ATGCGTTACGTTCAACCTCTTTCAGAGTCGTTCTTAGAGTTCGACTTAGTTGACGACTCTGGGCTCGGTCTCAACTCATACGACAGAATAAGTGACCGCCGGTTATGAAAAACACAGTGCCTTAGGGCTTTTCAGTCACTTATCGAGATGTACGTTTTACCGGACGAAATTAGTCCGGCGGTGTGTTATTCGCGGTTTTTGAAGGGTCAGATGACCCTCAGGCGTAACAACGGGAGAGAGTTGTTCACGTGCTACCTTCCTGCTCAGTCGAAGACCTTGATCCATCACTCGGCTTTGCCTCCGAGCTGGATCTCCTACGTTACTGATACTGGTTACTGAAAATTGAAAATAACTAAAAGAGCGCGCTTCGCCGCAGAGCCTGCTACTACCGAACTCCGCCTATGTACATACCCACTGCCTCTTAGCACAAACCTCTTCATCACACAAGCAACTTAACATTGTTCATTGCACTATACTTAGTATGTAGGTCAAATTCCGAAAATTGTGTCCGTTCTTGCACGTTCGTCCCAGAACCTAAAACGTCGAAGACTCGAAGTCCAAACAATTCCTGGCTGGCATGTCACGTCAATTCGTCCTTGCAAGACAAATCTTTGGAGGTTTGGAGATTATCAGCGGAGGATGGACCGATGGTGCGGCTGGTCAGCAAAGCCCTGCAAAGGGAGGCTCTGGTGGTTAATGATGATGATTTCTGCTTGTATCTACACAAAGCACCTGTCAGAACAACCAATCCCCGATCTTCATGCGGCGGATAAGGACCCCAACGCTCCATTACCGTGCCGTGAATGTTCATAGTCGCTTTGCGCAAAGCACTTCCCGACCCCTTCACCACCGTGACCGCGAACCACCGTGACCGCGAATTCCGCATCCTAACCACGATCGGTCCGCGCGATGAGAATCTGAGATGCAGAGGCGAGCGCGTTGGGATCCAGATGACACAGTCGCAGATACTAGACTCCAACGAAGGGCGACAGTCGTTTTCATGCGCGCGAAGTCATGCGGTACGCAGTCATCGGTAAAGCTATTGATAGAGCGCCTTCAAACAAAAGCAGAGGGGCATACAAACATAGAATTAGCAATTCCTCGACATCTCACGCGATGTTCCGAACATGTTCGACCCTCGAAAATCACGGATTCTTCATCAGCCAGCTGACAACTTCCCGTTCCCATTCACATCATGACCTCCGTCAGTCTAAATTTCGATCCACGGAATTCGGCAAGCTACACGAGACAAGGGACACCCAGGCCGCGGTCTGAATCCTCGTGACAATCGGCAAGCAACACCGGCCTGTGGTATTGGATCTCCAAGACAGGGGTCTTCAGCGCCGGTGCCAGCAGCCTGTATAAAGGTGAACGCATCGATAGGAATTTAGGAAACCGTCGTTCCACCAGAGATAAGATACTCCAAGCCATCCTTGGAGTCGATAAAGTTCTTTGTACGAGCACGGATTTAGTAGCGTCCACGATGTGTCGCCCTCACATGCCATCGTCTCCGACCTCTGGCTCATCAAGCATTCCACACCAAAGAACGAAGTGATCCTCACCTTCAATGATTTTGACAGTGAACCACCAGATTTGCGATGAAATATCGAGTCAGAAGACAGCCTGGGATGAGTAGCCATATATCATTGTCGAGGTCGGGACACGAGCAGGCCGACGAGCGAGGAGCAGCATTCGTCCTGATTAAATGGTCTCCAACTCATCAACGGAAGCAAGCAATCGACCGCGGATATGTTCGACAAACCTTTGGGGGGCGCAGAAGCGAATTCAGGCCATACGCACACGCAAACGGCAGGATGAACGCGAACACGACATCGTACATGGTTGTCGTTAGACCTGGTCCTTGTCCGTCGCGCTGCGCTGAGACTCAGATCCTGTAACAAAACAGAGGCACTGAGGCAGCCACCTTAAAGGTCCCAGCTTGCATTTTCGTGGGAGAACAGAGCGCCAAGACCCTGGTGCAGCTCTATTGAAGACCTACTACTACAGGGTAGTAGCAGGAATAATTAATAAATACAGTAGCGATCAAAAATAATGCACGTGAGCGCGTTTGGGCACACCCACCGAAGACTAGCCTTAGAACACATTTTTCTTTACACAACGCTATGGGAGGTAATGATTCTTGTTGGCGTTTGTTTTGGTTGGGTATCAGTGTTCAAAATCTCGGAAATTACAACAATTGAACGAAATCCCGCCGCTGGAGGAGCATCAAAAATGACGCTCGTGGGAACAACAAGTGTAGTCGCGTCGTAAATTGAACCACCACATTCCATCCTCGCTCATTTGCCCAATAACACATCTCTCCTCTTGAAACTTTGAGTAACTGTTCTCCAGATCGTTGTCTTGCACTGTACCAATGGTCACTTGCACACCTACAAAAAAAGCCTACATTTACCGACGCCGGAAGTACGACAACGAAAGTTTCACCGAAATCGCTCGCGCCCTCAATATTGACCGAACCGTCGTGTCACGAAACTTCTACAAACTCGAGAAGCAAGGTCCCAACCCAGACTTTTACGCTGTCACCAAGAAATCCGGCAGGCCACGCGTAATCACACCACATGGGGAACGACGTGCCTTGAGGCTCATCAATACCGGAGCTGGGCGTGATGCAACGGATGTCCAGCGCAAATTATTCCCCAATTATTCCCCCATGACAGTCCGTCGGATGTTCAAGGATGTTCATACGGAAAGGTCTGAATGGCCGAGTACGGCAGAAGAAGCCTTGGCTGTCCAAAAAGAACATCAAAAGCCGACTTAACTGGGCTCAGACGTGGTCTCGGCGGCGGGAATATTTCTGGCGCAAGGTTTGGTTCAGCGACGAGTCCAAATTCAATTTGTTTGGCTCGGATGGACGCTCCTACTGCAGGAGAATGCCCGGTGACGCGTTGAAGCCGCAAAATGTCAAGAAAACTGTCAAACACGGCGGGGGTAGCATCATGGTCTGGGGATGCATCTCTTGGCATGGCCCGGGGCGGCTTTATCGTATCGAGGGACGTATGAATGGGCCCAAGTACGTCTCTATTCTCTCAGATGCCTTCCTAGGTTCTGTCCAGGACCGGAAACGCCAGCCCCGGTCTGTCATTTTTCAACAAGATAATGACCCAAAGCACACATCAAAGGTTGCCAAGGAGTGGTTCCGCGAAAATTCAATCCGAGTTCTCCCATGGCCGGCATCCTCCCCTGACCAAAATATTATCGAGCACTTATGGGAACATCTGGATCGCAAAGTGCGCGCTCGCACAACTCAACCCCGAAATCTGGACGAACTGTAGGCAGCACTTCAGGAAGAATGGGACAAGATTGATGTGTCTTATATCCGTCGGCTTTACGACTCAATTCCAAGGCGGATTGATGCCGTGATAAGAGCTAAAGGACATTGGACAAAGTATTAATGGTATGTGGATTTCGGAGGTCATTGCTTGGTTCCCCACTGAGATTCTTTCCTTTCAGTTTCACTGTATATTATCTTATTAGCCGCTCTTTACTAATCACTCTCCCATTCATTCAATTTTGCGTGATTCCGCTTCATACTTGGAAGTCCAAATGTAATATACTGTAGCTCTAATCATACCAAATTTCATAAGTTTCTGTTCAGCGTAGAATTCAGAAAATGAAGATGATCTTCGAAGATGAAGAAAAATGAGTCACGTGCATTATTTTTGATCGCTACTGTATAGTAATCCCTCACGTGAAACTTCCCGCGCGCGTTAAGCGCGCGCGAACGCGCAAAACCTGGGCTCGCAATATGATGTTCATGCCAACCCAGCAATGCTCAATTACTGCAGATTCGATAGAACTATCGCTCTAAGGCTGATAAATTGGTTCTAAGTGCTCCCTGCTGCCCTTGCATCCTTCTATACTCCATGAAATCTGAATACTGTTTGAAAGTGTGCCTAAATTCTCATTTCGGGCATGCATTGGGCCCAGTCCAACCACGGAACGACTCGGGACGCTGGATGAAGCGCTATAAAGATATCTGAGGCTTTACTTCCACTTTGAACTGGGATTGAGGACGGCACACACCTCGGACACATGAACAAGCCTTGAACAAGGTAGTTCCTCACCCGGATTGCTGCCCAAGCACCAACTACCTCTCCTGCCTACTAGCCGCTCTCATTTGCCTTAGTCTATGACCTTCCATGCTAAACTTCCCACCTCGGGTGCTCATGTCATCCAAGCTTGAGTTCTTGAGCCTTCGAGTACGGTCATGTACGATTGCCATTGAGATGACCTTCCGAATCATTCGGACAGAGATTAGATGCATCACCGATTCCTACTGCCGCCCGCGTCGTTATCGCGTCGTCCTCGTGCCGAGTAACGACCTTCTAAATGGGCAACGGCGCTCGATTTGGAGAAATTATAGTGAGAAACCCTAGGAAACCATCAAAAAGCCACCACTTTAGGGAAAACCCCATGAATTATAGTGAAAATGGCCGAAAGCGTCACTTCTCCTGACTTCCCGCACCTACCCCAGCTCGAGCTGCAGAAGTCAAGGAAGCCTAGGATGCTGTGAGACGTCATATACTGTAGATATCCTCCCTTCTCTCTTCCCTCTCTCTTCCCCTTTCCTCTTTTGGAATTATTTTTTCTTTTCTTTTTCTTTTTTCTTTTTCACCCACATACACCAGTATCGAGCCGAAATTTTGGCCATGGTACATCCCCGTTTGAAGGGTATATAGAGGCAAAAATTGAGAGAGACGTGGATGGATCTGTGTGTCGAGTTGAGCTGGGCCGGGGACATGGAATCGTAACCGCGCAGGAGGACAGAGCGTTTCCTTCGACGGAGTGTGGTCTCAGAGGTTAACATTCGAGCTGAACTCCAGTGGGAGCGCTGCTGTTGCCGTGGTAGCTTCATGTATGATATTCACTTTAATCTACCGTACTCTGGTTAATGAAGTGCCGCTTTCCCTCTTTGTTGAGCGCGTTCCCGTGGTGCGTCGAAGGGCGAGGGAAATCGCCAAGCTGGTTGGCGCCGAAACTGCTTGTCCAATCCTTGCATTCCCGTATTCCAGTGAGTAATGTACAGAAACTACAGAGTCCAGATGATCGCCATCGCTCCGATACTTCTCTGTATTGGTATTTTCCTCTGCTTCCAAAGATCGTCTACGTGAAAAATTACAATCAGACGGGAGAGCCCAGCTTGACCGACGATCCACGGTCGTCATGGTCGATCTCGGATTCAGCCAGTGTGGCGGAATGATCGATTTCGTTCTGCGTCGGTGCATCAAAGTGCAGCACGGTCTCGTGTTCTTTCCGCACTTGAAGCTGGATGTTGGGGCCACTGGTTGTATTCCTGGTGGATTTCTCCGTCGAGAACACCGGTTCCTGAATGAAGTTGCCCGCTGAACGATGGGCGCGCGAGAGCGGATGTTTTGAGACTCACCGAGTGGAGCTGGATGTCGCTGATCATGTTCCTCAATACCTTCCGACAGAGGAGGGTATCCATCAGGGTCTGCGCTGACAGTGAGTTCCTCTCATCAAGCCCCATATACGCGGAGACGTACACCAGCATATACGCAACCTATTGGTACGCCTGTGATGAGAACGTACTCGGTGTTCGGGAACGCCAAATACAAGATCATTGTGACGCTGGCAAATGCACTCGCGATAAGCCCTGAGAACGGAAGTCGTAAGCGCAACAGACAAAATGTACAACCGGTGGGGCTTACCTGTCTGCACGGCCGTCCGAAATAGTCTCTTGACGACCCTCCCAGATCTCCTATACGTCGTCCTCGATGCTCTAATTGCCCAAAGCAAGACTCCTATTGAGAATCTTCATCAGTTGGACAGGCAATAATATTATTTCACAGCAACGACGAACGAACCTGCAATCAGCCAATCAGCCGCCACCTCCAGCGTCAGCCAAGCTGTGAGTGTAGCATTGAGGGTCGACAGCTCTTCGATTCTACCCATCGTGTTTGATAGCGTGAGTTCTCCGGAGATCATCGAGTGCGAGGGGGAACTCACGATGATAGCATCCATACCATGGCACCCTGAATGATCCCAAGGACCATCGCAGCGGTAGAGACAAGGACTAGCGGTATCACCAGGAAGAAGTTTTGCGTCAGTCGATATGCTCTGCGAATACCAGGCCCCAGGGTCAGCCTTCAAGCTTCAAGTCGCAACGGGCAACAGGGGTGATCTCGGATACCCACCGATAAGTCAGGAACAGCTGGGTCACGTAGGCCGTTAACGTCGTCATGATCGCAGACAGTGGGAAAGGCCAAATCTTTGGACCTGGAGAATGACAGAACCGCATCAGCGCTCAAGGTCGAAGATGCTAAAGAGAGACTCGGAATAGAACTTACGAAGAAGGGATTCGGGGTTTCCATAGTTCTCAATCCTTTGGTAAACATAAGAAAGTCGGCTTCTGCCCGCGAAGACCGGAGATAGGAAGCTGGACATACGAGTAATACCAGGTCATGTATAGTAGTCTAAGGCAACAGTTATCATGTTTCTTCGCGAGGAGGTAAAAGGAATGGCTTACGATAGGCAGTGGAAAGCGGTCATTAGAAATATCAGACCCATCGGATAGCTGTCCAAGAGAGTAGACTGAGATTCAGCAGGCGCCTGCAAGGTGCAAAGCGGAGAGTCCTACGTGATCCATTTTGGGTCCTTGAAGCCTACGTATCACCCCGCCATGAGCGCTCTCCCCGGAATATCAGATCAGAAACATGCAGAACTTACCAGAGGAATAATAGGTCGCATATTGAAACGTCAGAACTCCAAAGAGGTAGGTTTGCACTGTTGAGAGAGGCGGGGTGTAAGTGATCTGCAGGTGCTTCGTCGCCTAATCACGTAGTAGATCCCCCTCGGAAATGGCGTCCTCCCAGCGATCTCTACTACGCCGCACAGGCTTCCTATAGAGTCGAACGTACATATTGAGGCGACCAATGACGCTCCTAAATGAATCGCCATTCAATCGAGCCCACAAATGAGCAAACCGCGTCCACATTTAGCGGTTAATTGGACTTACCAACCGTCGATGAAATGAAGCTACCACTGCTCATGTTGCCTGCACCAGGCTCCCTCTCAGAGGATTAAGCACGTCGAAATGGAAAGAGATGTGAAGGAGCGGAAAGAGTTGGAGTTGACGAGAAGAGGGAAGGTGAAGGAGTGGGGGCAACGCATGGTCGGCGACACAACGGCCATTAGGTTATAAAGAGCCACTTACCCGAATATAGGACGGTTTGTTCAATTCGATGACAGATCTTTGTCTCATTTAGGGAAGGTTGTACGTTATACTTACCGGGCGGTCTCCCTGGCCTTCACACTCTCGAACGCTCGACCCGAGTCCGAGCTGCAACAGACTTAGCCCACTCCAGCAGTGGTACTTCTTCCATTGCATGTTTTTTGTTCCCCTTTGTTTCAGCGCATCCCCGTGGTCCCGGGCCGTCTAATGGGTGTGAGGGAAATCGGCAAGCCTGGGATTGGTGCTGAGGTTCAATTTGCTTGTCTAATGCTTTCCTTCCAAACAGGGACAACTACGGTAGACAACTACATATACTAAAAGGAAAATAATGCACTTCATCACCGTCACTTGTCTCATTTTCGGTTGCGGCCCACCCAACTTGAACATCCCCACTGTACGGTCGGCGGGAACGTCGTGGATGAAATTCCCGCGCGGGCGACCTTCGGCAGTTTTGGAAGCGAAACCAAATAGGGTTTCATCGCCCCTATCTAGCAGTGCCCAACCCAATAGAGGGCTGAACAGCCCAGTACGACCGTAGACATCGCTTTAAATTGTCCAATAATCACCAAAAACGCCTCCCAATACTGGAGAGGATATCATAAGCGATTTAGACAGTCTTTTGGAACATATATATACATCCTACAGAACACAATCTCAGCCGGGAGAGTGTTTGGGCTACGGCAAAGGATCAGGGAGGCACCATTGCCACCCGAGGGCGCTCTCGGATAAACCATCGTGGAATGCAAAAGAGCTATGAAACTGACCTTAATTAACGTGTACTGCCCCGGACCCACACCCGGTGCTCCTATGATGACGATTCACCATTACTGTAACCCTGCGCGAACTTCTTCGAAGCTTGAATGGGCCACTTTCGGATCCTGAAGACGTTGGTCAATTGAGCTATGACTTGCGTTAGAGTCCATATGTGATGTTTTCCCAGACGTAAGGGTAATAAGAAAAGGGAGGCTCACGAGAGCCTGACTACCGGAGTTGCCAATGTTACACACTCCTTTTTGGGATGACGACAGGCTGATTGCGAGTTAGATGTTGGGCACGAAGCGAAAGGTACAGATTTCCGTGCACTGGAATGACCCTCTACCGCCTGAAGCCGAGGAGTCAAGCTTAGAATACAGCCTAGGTGTGGCTGTGTCGCTTTAGGGCTGGTCAAGCTGGCCCCGCGTATTTACGACTTCCATTCGACAAGAGTCTACTCATTGAGCTAAAAATGATTTATTAAGATGCTCTCCTGGCCCATATGATATTGTTGGCTGTATCTAAGGCCCTTTAAGCCCTCCGGAGCACTCAAGACAGAGTGAAGGAAGGGGAAATAGGGACCTCAGCCATTTTCGGTCGACGAAGCAAAGCCACCGAAAGTTGCTCGCGCGAGAATTTCATCCACGACGTTCCCGCCGACGATACCCACTGAGGCTCAGGGCGATGAAACGGCGAAAATACTTAGAAACTGAGGCATACCCAGCGGGTAAACGCAATTCCTTGTGCACTATCGGGTATTCTCGCCAGAAATAGGAAGCATCGACTGGCGCTTGAGTTCCAAGTCCAATTTCTCGATTACCCGGGTCAGTTACAGCTTCTGACAGTTACTTCTTTTTCTCTAACACACAGAGGTTTACTAGTAGTGTAGACCCTATGGAATTTGAGAGATCCCAACACCACGGTGCACACGGTTCCTGTGAATGTAGGCACCCTTGAGCGATTACTCGTGTATCACGACCTCCCAGTCGTCGTGAGTGGTTGTCCAGACCCACCCCGTCGCGTTAGAACCAAGCTAACGATGAGTAATGCTCCTTGGTTGATCAGATTCGTCGACCCACGTTTGGAACAGGATTTCATGCGCGATGGAAAGCTTCCAAGACTGGATTTGATTTCACTGACGTCCACGCTAGCGCTCGCAACGCATAAGACCCGTTCGCCTCGTATTCAAAACAGAATGGACTCCGATAGAGGTTCACGGTATCCGAGTGGCTGGATCGAAGTTCGAAGTGCACACAGTGTATGCACGGCAGTCTTATCAGCGAGAAACACAAGATGTCAACCATGGCAGATGCAGACCACCACCACGACGCCCACACCTCGAGTCTGATATTCGCTCAGCACCGCCAGGTCCCCTAAGATTCAGAAGATGACTCTCATCGACGCTCGGTCTGGGAAATGGGCTCGTGATAGGGCAAGAAAACATACTACGCTTTCCCTGTAAACAGCTCTATACTCTGGCCTTTTTAGTTCTATCACCTGTTGTACATATATTGAACTCGAGATTTGTGTACAGCCCAATCACTTAACCAATATACGCGAACCCAACGCAAAAATCAAGCGCTAATCCCCTTCCCATTCCGCACCATCACCGACCCATATTCACCTTATCCTCAATCCCCAACATCTTACAAAACGCAACCGTCTGCGGGTTAGGGTAATGCGGTGCTACAAAAAGTCCAATCCAAGCACCCACTTCAACGCACGTTCAATAAAAGCAGGAAATAGAAGACGACTCACGCTGTCGATTCCGATTAGCACCCTCCGTCTCCGCACACGGTCCAGGCGCAGTCTTCTCAAAGACCTGTACGTCTTCCACTTTCAACAGTCGCTGCTCGTGCTTCACAGACCCACTGACCGCGCCACCAGCAGATGGAATGCTATCAGAGGACTCGCCACCACCACCGGAGGCCTTGATTAAATTCACCTCCACCCACTCCCTCTCCTTGGCCACCATCGCCCTCGCCTCCTCCTCCCCAGGGAAACCCCGTTGCAATTTCGACGTCGTGTTGAACCAGGGATGGAAGGCGCGTGTTATGGCTAGCCACTCGGGGTCGAAGGCGAGGGTTGGAGTTCGGCGTTGAGGTGGGGAGGTGGAGGTGGTGTCCATGGATGATGAGGGCTGGGAAGGCGATTGCTCAGGTTGGGAAGAGGACGACGCTGCCTGAGAAGAGGACGTCGATAATGATGAAGTAGAAGGCACGTCGATCTCGATAACCTCCAAAAACTGGCGCTTCGGTAGACACTTGTCCAATGCCAAAAACTTGGTTTCTCGAATGATGCGGGGTGGGAGATTCGAAGTCGGCGCTGGAGGGTGAGGTGCTGCAGGGACGGCTACAGGCGCAGGGGCGACATCCTCTTCCTCGTCGTCCAGCATGATTTCATCCGGGTTCGCTTTCGCCCGAGCTTGAGGAGGAAGTGGTGGGGCGGAAGGCTGCTCTACTGCGTCGGCGTCGGCGTCGGCCATCACGATCTCATCCGGGTTGTTGGACGGAGCACTGGGAGGTGCAATCGACGCTGCTACCTCCGCTTCATCCCCCTCATCATCGTCGTCTTCGATCGCTATTTCGTCTGGGTTGCTGGAAGACACAGGGACATGGGCAGGATTCTGAGCGTTCGAAGGGTCCTCTGCAGGCGCAGTTTCGTGCACGACGCTAGCCTCGAACCGGACGTGCAAGTGGGCAGCGAACCACCATTTCGGTTGGAGCGTCTGGAGGAGGCCCATCAGCGGTGGGGAGCCTAACCTGCCATCACAACTCATTTAGCAAGGAACTTGTGTGTAAAAGAGAACTGCACACCCACCTCCCGCTTTTGATATCGGCTTCGAAGAACCGTTTGCGCCGTAGGAGGCCCCGGAGGTCTCCGTGGTACGCGATGTTTTGAGGCCAGTCGTGTGAGACGAAGACGTCTGGGGAAGGGAGCTGGATAAAAGTCAGGTCAGGGTTCGATACTGACTACGATGGGATGGAAGGAAGGAAGATGTACAAGTGAGAGCCGCCGGATATCGAATTCGCGGGTGTGGTAGATGCTTCTCATGGAGGATTGGTCGTAGGGCAGTCGTTCGGGATGGCCTAAAGTGGGTAGCATATAGCGTTGAGCGAAGATCAGAAACCGCAGGGTTCGCGCGAATGAACAAACGGAGGAAGGCGAACGCACCTGTTCCGAAATCGTGTCCTTTGAAGATTCCAGAGATTCCAGAGACGCGTAGGCCATCGACTAGTACAGAGCCAGCGTGTCCCAGGAAGTACATGTTAGGAGCAAGCCATCCACCATGGTACAGCTCCCAGAGGTAGTTCGACGCCTCGTGGTTCCCGCCGATGACAATCGTCAAGACCGGGGCGACTTTCTCTCCCGTATAGTACCTATACCACGAGCATCAGCACACGATTAAGACTTTTAAATAGGTCAGAGGAGCATACCTACTTATGAAACTCTCCCAAAACCTTATACTTATTCGGAACGGCCATACATTGTAAATCCTGCGAGTTGCGGATGGCTTGGAAGTCGCCGCAGATGATGAGGAGGTCGACGGTGTAGTTGTTGATGGATTCTAGTCGGGCGAGTTCGGCATAGATTGAGTCGAGCTCGCCGTGGCAGCAGCCTTCGACTGCGATGCGCATGGTGGGTACGATGAGGAGAAGCTTGAGGCTGAGGACAAGCTTGAGGCTGAGGACAAGGCCTGTCGCGATCAGGATTCAGGACGCGATGGGGTGTTTGAGGATGTTAGGATTGGAGGGTGTTGCCGTCTCCGAGTCGCAAGAACCTACCCTCCCGGACGACTGCAATGCCTGGTACCCACCTCGTACCAAAGAAATTGCTCCAAAGTCCCAGTAAATTCTCATTTAGAAGCTACCACGTCACTATCCTCCGTCCTCGCTCTATCCCAGGGCACCCTAAAGAACGAGGATGACGCATTCCATGCACTGAGAATATCTTGAAACGCGATATCAGTCGACTCATACATACTAAACACGATATCAGGGCTTCATATCTGGACTTTGTATAGCTAGATTGCGGCGTTAGGCAGGGAAAAATGACAATGCCGGGTTTATTGAAAATCCGGGTCTGACAAAGATGATGTCCTGTAGGTATCGTGGACATCCTTGCTGACTGTCGATATTGCGACTGCTAATGGTTACTGCGAATCTGCACAGTAATTTGAAGGTTTCTCCGTGATAGACTTGTATTTCTCGGAGCGCGAGACCTAAAACGGCGGAATTTGCTCGATTATAGTGAAACTCAACCGTTCACAGCGCCCAAATTACTCGTGGGCGGGGTTCTGTGTTAAACTTAGTACTTCTGCTCGTTTCAATGGAAATGCCATGCAATGCCGCCCAGCTTCGCAGTCGGCTGACTGACTGAGAGACCCTTGAAACCCGAGACTCAGAGTCTCTATCTCATGTAGGATGCGCTGCGGCTATAATATCTATCAATGGAACTAGACACCATTATTGTATTTGGAATAGAACACGTTCAAAAAGATATTTAAGGGAATGCTGCGGTGGGTGGAGGACCTCAGACTGGTTCTCAAATCCCCACCCTTAGGCCCTACTTAAACTATCAACGTATACTGGTTCCCCTTAGTCTATCGTAGAAAACTTAGACTGACCTTATGCCAAACAGCGCCGGTCGGTACCCCATCCAAACAACCCAAACTCATCTGCCAAGACACGATGAAGTTCTCCTCTGTCATCCTCGCACTCGCTCTCACCACTACCGTCATCTGCACTCCCCTCCGCTACACCCCATCCTCATCCTCGTCAGACACCCGTGACGCCAGAGCCATCGTCCGCTCCCTCCTCCGAGAATACGAAGACTCCCTGGAAGCACGCGCAGGCTGCACAGCCAAGTCCCTCCCCAAGCGCAAATGCGATGTTAGAATCTGCAGTGGCTCATGCGTCCTTCTGCCATCCGGCAAGGCGTGCAAGTGGAGGACTAATAAAGCTGGCCTGATTGAGGGCGTGCCGCAGATGTGCATTAATGAGTGTGGGTGTGTTGTTTCGTAGATAGTTTAGGAGAGATTGTAGCGTGAATATGGCTTTTATTTGTGCGATGAATTCTGGATGTAATATTTTGTCCATCTTCGTGCACACCGTCTGCCGATGCTCGATGCTCCGTCCTCGTTGTGCACTTGCCTTCCGACGATCATAGTGCAATGCCTCAGGGGGTGGCAGTGTTCGGCTGTCGTGGTGCCGTTGATCCGACCCCACGGTCCTTGACTCGAAGAGCGTCTGACCAAACGATATCTTTTCAGTTTGCGCTTCCGTCTTTCTTTCCTCCAGACTGAGCTCGCTCACCAGAGCGCCTACATTCCCCAAACTTTTCTTCAAATCTCTATCGAAGACAGGTTCTTGGTGCGCTTCATCCTGCGCACTATACTGGAAAGGCTATAAAACTAATCAAATGCTAGATTTACATCACAACACCAGATCTATTCATTTCGTTTTCTTGAACGGTTGAATCCGTCTTTTTTCTGGAACCTATCCAGCTCAAACTAGACACCAAACCACACATCCGCTCGAAAAAACATGGGAAAAAGCGGAAAAGGCAAGAAGAACCACAATGGCGGCGGTGATAGCAGCCGTGGAGGACCACCCACCCGCGGCCGAGGAGGATTTCGCGGTGGAAGGGGTAGAGGCCGTGGACGAGGCGGCGGCGGCGGCGGCCCAGGCGCAGGATTCAGTCGAAAAGGAGGAATGAGTCATGCAACGAGCATGCTCGCAGACGATCTCTACATCATGGATCGAATGTTCCAAGGTTCGCTCCAAAAATCAGAATTTAGGCGTTTGATTTATGGTTTACTACAGGTCAGGGTCCGTCGAACCAGCATTATAATAACAACTCGAGGACTGCGACGCCTACCCGTGGAAGAGGTGGAAGAGGACGAGGTCAGCCGACGTACGATTCGCCGTACAATTCGAGTCCCCGCGGTCGCGGTAGGGGAATGGGAATCGGCTCGCCACTCTCGAAGGCTCCTGCACAACGCTCCAACGCACAACCATCGTTGTCGAATTTATTGAACTCGACACGACCTCTCCTTCGACCTGTCATTTTTGTGCGTTCAGAGCACACTCGTGTTTTGTTTGCGGAGGAAGACGAAGACGAGGACGGGGCTCTGATCATCGAACAAAAGGAAAATATCATCGTTGTTGACCAAGGTTCGTTCATTTACTCCTCACTATACAATTACTAATCTCCACGTCTAGATGTCTCAGAAGACGTCAACGAGCAACAATACATGACCCACGCTCCCACAGCAGACAAGGTCTTCCAAGTATTCAGTGGTGAATTTGATCAAGGGCTCCACTCTCACGAAGACGATGACGGCGACAACGAAGAGCTAGAGGAAATCGATTTCTCTGATCTCTCGCGTCTCATGGACACCTCCAACACCGGCAAGAAGACGACCAAGGTGAAGGTCAAGGCTATGCCTGATTTCGAAGAGAGGCAGGAACAATTCACTGGAGTATACGTTCGTCCCGAGTCTCAGATGGACGACCAGCCGTCTGCGGTGGCGGAAACCACTACTACTATCACGACTACAGCAAACATGCAACCAGATACCCCGACCCGAGACGTCACCGTCGAGCTCGGTCAACCTCACGGAGCCACGGCAGCCATGGAAGTTACTGAATCCACTACTGTCTCTACGAACGTTGCTGGGGATGTCACAGTCACCACCGAGTCTGTGATAGTCATCCAAGAAGCACCTCCCGCTGCCTTCCCGGAACGCGCATCTACAAGCAACGACGACGTCCCCGCTGCTGCCATGGCCGTGGACGACCCCGAACCCTCAGAAGTCAAAGAAGCCGAGCAAGAGGCAGCAGTCCCACTCGCTCCTCCCAGCCTCATCTCTGTCACTCCCGGCGAACCTCTCGCTGCCCCTTCCGCAGCCGATAAGGACGTGAAAGAAATCGACATGAACCCCGCCGCCGAGCTCGCGCCTCCCAGTTTCATCGCTGATACTGGTACCGATCCGGCGCCCAGTTTCATCATCGATACCGACCCCGCACCCATCGACCACCTCGGCATCGACGTCGAGATTGAGAAGCCGAGGATACGCACCCCGTCGCCTATCGCCGTTGATCGCGAAGACGATGATGATGATGAGGTGATCGTGTATGTTGCGCCTCATCCTCGGAAGAGCGCTATTGGGGTGGACGGAAAGGAGGTGAAAGAGGAGGGGGTGGAGGGGGTGAAGAAGCCGAGCGAGGTACCGGCGTTTACGCCGTACGAGGGTCTGGGATTGGGGTCTATTGCAGCGGCTGCGGGGTATATACCGCCGACGGTAGCGTCGCCACCACCGAAAGACATATCCAATTTCACATTCTCATTCTCTACTCCCTCCAAATCCACCCAACCCTCCTCCTCATCCTCCACAGCGAGGAGACTGGCAGTCCCGCCCATCGCCACACCGCGCATGCAAAAAGCCTTTACGGCGAAAGAGAAGAAGCTGTTGAAACGTCTAAAGCAGAAGGAGAAGAGGAAAGGCAAGGGTGGTAAAGGGGGCAGAGTGAGTTTTGGTATGTTGGGAGCGATGATGCAGGAGAGGGAGTTGCATGAGGAGTACGAGTTTGAGGATGGGTGCGATAAGCGATGGGCTGAACGGAGGAGGGGGGATTCGGATTTGGATTGGGGCGATGAGAATTCCGATGGAGAGCCAACAACAACTACAACAGCAGCAGTAGCAGCAGCAGGAACATCGAAAGATGGAATTTTCGGACCCCCGGTTGACGCGAGCGATATGCAAGTCGATGAAGACGTTGATCTGGACGCTATGAAGCAGTTTGTGAATGGGATGATTGGCCGGAATGCGGGTGTGTACACGACGTTTGGAGATTTGGAGGATGAGGAGAGGATTAGAAGGGAGGATGAGGAGGAGCGGGAGGGGGTGGAGAGGGGGAGTAGTGGGGAGAGTGGGAGTGAGGATGGTGTTGGTGAGGGTGATAGCGACGAGGATGGAGAGAAGGATGGTGTTAGGGGTGGGGAAGAGGACGATGGAGAGGATGATATCCTGACGAAGGAAGAGAAGATGTTGATTGAAGAGTTTGATCGGGCTGCTAGTTTGGATGATCGGGACGACGATGAAGACGACGACGACGACGAGGATGAAGAGGATGAAGATGAGATCGAGTTCAACGATGCGCTGGAGATGGCTTTGGAGGACGATGACGACGACGACGACGATGATGATGATGACGAGGATGAAGAAGCCACTCCGAACACCAAGTTTGCTCGTCGTCTGAAGAAACTGCGTGAACGCGCTAGGACGTATGAAGGGAAGGGTAAAGCGCGGGCCTATGACGACGACGACGATGAGGAGGATGACGATGTCTTGCATCGTAACTTGTCTTGGGCTATGGATGAGGACGATTTGGAGGAAGAGAGCTACTTGATTGCGAAGGTCCAGGTACGCACGGTTTACCTTTCCTTTCCCTCCAGCCCGGAAGCTCATTTGCAATTTGTAGGATATGTTGGACGAAAACCAGGATATCCTGGATTCGCGCAACAGGAAGGAAAGGAAGAAACTGTTCAAGGCTATCACGAATGGAGAGTTTGATTACGAAGATGATTACTTCCCACAAGCTCGTACGTTCTCCTCGCTTTACCACCTTCTGTACAGCAGGACTGACGTTGGTGCCTTAGGACGCGGAAAAGACAAGCGAAACGCCGTACCACCCGAGCTTCGCGCTCTATGGGACAAAGACCGAGCCAAGAAAGTTGCCTATAAAGCTCAACGCGAAGCTGAGAAGCTCGCCCGCGCCGCTGACCCCTTCAGCGTCAAGAAGGGCGGGAAGAAGGGGCGCAAAGCCATGCTCGCCGCCGCTTCCCTCCCCGCCTACTCCAACCCCAACGACGATGAGGTCAACGAAGATGATGGACCAATCACAACCCTCCTACCCGCCTCGAACCGAATAATCGACATCTCCTCTCTCATCCAGATGATCCGGCGCTTCGTAGCCGACGTGGGCGGCAACACCACGATGAGCCTCCCGCCGACGTCGAAGGAGACGCGGAAGAATGTGCATGAGCTGGCGATTGCGTTTGGGTTGAAGAGTGTGAGTAAGGGTAAGGGTGAGGCGCGGTATGTCACGTTGAGCAAGACGACGCGGACGGGTGTGGGGAGGGTGGATGAGCGCAAGGTGGCGCGTGTTGTGAAAAGGGCTGGCGGAGCTGGTGCGAGGGGGAATGATTTTGGTGCCCGTGGGGACTACTATGGGAATGGGAATGGAGGGAAGAAGGGAGGACCGAAGGGACATGTACCGAAACATAGGGAGGGCGAGGAGGTGGGGGGCAAAGCGCCCAAGATTGATGCGTCGAATGTTGGGTTTAGGATGTTGGCGATGATGGGGTGGGCGGAGGGGCAGAGGATTGGCGGTGTGGGTGGGGGCGATGGGTTGGCGGATCCGTTGGTTGCCATTGTGAAGCATTCGAAACTTGGTTTGGGTGCTTCGAGGGTTTAGGGCTTTCAATGGCCTCTCTAGCAGTCTCTAGCCCGCTACTCTGTTCCCCCGTTTCGTATGTATCGGTTCCGGTTTTGACACTTTTTTCTACCAGGCACAACTTCGTTGTTTGTATGGATAAGTATGGTCTAGATCTCTACGACCTGACTTTGGGCGTTTTTTGACCAGGGCTGGAAGTGGTTAGTGTGTATTGCCAATTAGTATGTGTTGGACGGTGAACTGGCCCCTACCGCCCGCTCTAAAGTTGCGCTGGATTCAGATGATTTTGGATCCCTCTGAGCACTCCGCTTTCTTCGTCCCTCTACTCTGTTCTACCAGGCACGACTTTGGTGCTGCTTGTACGCATATGGTCTAGGTGTTTATACGACCTAACCCTTTTTCGTCGTTGCACGTTGCACGCCAATGATCTCCCGTGAAATGTGGGTTAGGAAATAGTAAGAACTGTGTATACAGGTGTCAAGGGGTCGGTTTGTCTCCTGGGTGTCTACGATGACCAAATGCTGCGAAACGGAACACGGCGGACATGGACATGGTTTATCTCTGAGACTTCACGACGGTCCCTTCTTTCACGTTTTATCGCAGAGGATGTACACAATCCGAGTCGCTCACCGCTTAAAATCCATTGAGGACAAATTTCAGACTTTGGTCGAAGTTAGGTTGAACTTGACCTTGGAAACGAGGATTTCGGCTCAAGAAGTTTCCTCCAGTTCTCGTTGGGTATTTCTGATATATCGTTGAAAATGAGAAGGTGAAGAAGACGAGGAAATTCAACGTTCAGGCCTCGGGTTTCAAGAAGATCATCTGCGAGAAAAGATAGAATCTATCAAGGGTCAAAGCGTTTCACCAGATAGGTATAATGAAATCCGGCTTCGTCGGGCCTTGGGTGCGTGGGTTCTTACCGTCGTTGCTTGGTCTTCAACCATTGCGTTATTCTTCAAGAAGGTGAGCATATCTACTGGTGGAAAAGAACAATCTAATTGGCTACATATGCACTCGCACCGTGTGCGTTGGACAGAAGGGTAGCAAGGGCAACATTCAATGGAGAGAAGGGGATCATATCGACCATCATCATGACCAGACGAGGTGAACGAATGGTTTACGTTAACTCTTCTGAGAAGTGAGAGAATTATTTATGTTATGTATACCGCCCACAGAACATTCCTGTACTTAGTGTGAGCTTGTGACAGACAGTCCGTCACTCGATTTGAATGGAGGAGAAATGAAGATTCCGGGCCAAGTACGATTCATTAATATGGTCCCCCGGGAGCAAATGTTCACTTAGGGTTTCCAGGTACGAACCATGGGCAAGCGGCCAGGGAGCAATTCGAGAGAGATTCCTCGAAAAGGAACTTAAAAAAAAATGCCCAAAAAGGCTGAAAAAACACCCAAGAAATCAAAATTGATAAACTCGAAGAAGTCGCTTCCAAAGTTCCGGGATGGTCTGGGGATATTTTTTGGAATTCATCAACGGCGACCTCCAGAGAGCGCCCACAACATTACGGTATTCGGTTCACAGGCCCCGCGCTCGCCTGTCACTCTGTAGTCCCCCATGGCCGACCTGGCCACTGGCATCGTTCTTCTCTTCCTCTCTTTTTCTTCTGGACTTTTACGATCCCGACGTGCAGTTTGCCCCGTGGATGCACTTGGGCCTCGCTGCTGACCCCTACGGCTGACAACATTCGAGTTCAAACGTTCAAGGCGTGTTGGAGGAGCGGCTGCTTCTCACTTGGCCACTGGGTTCTTTGACGAGTTCTCGAAATCGACTAGCCACGCAGTGAAGAACCACCCATTGCGTGTCCTTCAACAGACTTTTACGACACCCCCTGCCCCCACATATACGGGACTTGTTAAACGGGAACCTTAAAGGCTTCACGTACGCCCATCTCCTTCCTTTGCTTTACGCCCCGTGGAGGATAGCCCAATGGCACTCAACTACATCTTCGGTGAGCCTTTCGCACTTTTCGTCTGATCTTCCTTTTCGGCAGCTGGGGAAAGTAGACGAGGGGAACAACATCATTAACGAGTCTGTCTTGATCTCTATAGCCATCTTCATTTCACTCCACTTCCTGGGGATTGCCACGACATGCCTGCGGCTTTTTCATCGGATCCAGCGCCGTCAGCTGTGGTGGGACGATTTCTGCGCGTTCATATCGATGCTCGGAGAGGGGTTGATTATAAGCAATTATTTCTTACTGGGACTCAGGCCCATCGGTGAGCAGCCATGGCTATGCGCTGGACATCGAACTCTAACAACGGTTAATTGTAGACACCTACCCTGAAAGGGCGCGATCCTACTTCACATATTCAGCATACCTGTGGACTCCGATAACGATGTGGTACGCTCTCCATGCCGCGAGGTTATACGTTCCGTATCTAACGATTTTCGAACGTTCAGGCTAGCGCGAATCAGCATCCTGACGGCGATGATTCGATTAGTCCCCGCCGGCCGCAACCAGCTCATAACCAAGATCTCCACCGTCGTCTTCTGGCTCATGATCACCACCATCGTATTCACCAGAATCACCATGTGCGGCGTGCCCCTCCCGCAATTCCTTGCATGCCATCCACAGCCAGACTACGAAGTAGGACTTAGTCTCGCTTGTGAGTCTCCATTTTAACAGCTTTCCTTCCCATGTGCATGTTGCTGAAATGTACCTGGTAGTTGGCCTTATCGGAACGGCGTGGCTTGTGGGTTGGCCCTTGTATCTCCTCTCGCGGATGAAACTTGCTGCGTTTGAGAAGAAGATTATTCAAGCCTGTTTTGCGAGCGGCGTTTCTTTAATCGCGCTCGATATCGCCCACGCCACTGCTCTTCTAATGGTGCGAGCCTCAGCGTACAAGAAGCACTACGAGGCGCTTAATACCACGGGGAACCTCATCGTAAGCATCGCCATTGTCTTGTCTTGCCCGTGGAAATTTTTGACGTGCTCAAATGCCGGTGCTTTAGGTCATCGTCTCGGTCTTGTGCTGCAACAGTCTCGTCCTTGCCACCTATGTTTACCGTCTATGGCGTCAACGGAAACAACGACAAGCTGAAGCCGAGGCAGGGGAAGAGTCGTCCTCGGAGCCAGAGTCCTCCTCAGAGAAATGTGCGTATTCCCACCTCCCTCAGCCACCTTATCGTACATCCGTCCTGATTCCCATCTCCTCGTCTAAAGATACCACAGAGAGAACAGGTCCTACAGCCACCACACATGGAACGACGATGACAACTTTTGGGACGCATACAACAGGTATCTACACGTCCATTGGGGACCTCACGTCTATCCAAACCAACGGCGCCAACAACTTCTCGAGTGCCAATACCTATTCAGTATCTGGCGCGACGCCCCCACAGGATACATCGACAAAGGGTGCTCCTCTTGTCGTCAGCGTATCATGATCCCGCTATTCCTAAGATTAAGGAAACACTAGGTAGCTCACATACCCATATAGCCTTCGTTGGCATCATACTGGAAGACCGGGACAGGCGGTCGTTGTACTTTGGCTCGACCTGCTGCCAGCCTCCGAGTCACCTCAGCACCGAGCACTGTTTTATACTGTACTCCACCCACTCCCGACCATGGACTCACTCCTACATCATGGACACTCGCACAAAATCGCTTTCGTTATCCCCCTTTCGCTTTGTTACGCTTTCCGAGTCTATCATTATATCCATCGCTTTCGTTCTTCTTGACTTGTGCTTTTGCTTTTATGGAATCACATCTGGTTCTTGTAGATTTTAGTCTGAACGTCATTTGTACTGCTACATACATACCATTCACATCTTGCTATCTTCTTTTTTTTTCAGTATCTCCGGTACTAGATCACTGTCGTTACGTTTTAATACATTTGGGGTTCTCGTGTGGAAGGTGGGCAAATCGATTCTGAACGTGGTAATGAAGTGCGCATTGGAGGTGAGCATCCAATACAACCCAGATCGAAATTCGAACCGCTGATCCTATGTATAACTTCCTAGGCTACTCCGGCCTGTCTATACTCGCATCAAATAACGACAGGTACCTCCCCCACCTACCCTCGTTCCACGTACAAATCTCCTTCCACCCCTCATTTCCAACCCCTAACGTATTCCTAAACCAGATTAAGTATCCGACAAGGTTGAAGTCGGCAAACGTAGGTTCACGGCCCATCACAAACTGGGGTACGACTTGTATCCCTCCAGATCCGTCTCCATCCTCCGAACACCCGGAATCTCGCATCGACTCGGACTGAGAGCAAGCGGAAAACGAAATCGCCGCCTCATCCTGAGGCGGCTGAGGCGTTGAGGCGACTTTGGCTTTATTTGTTGTAGCACGAAAACCAAACAAAATTTTATTTGTTCTCTCGCTCAAGCACAACGCCCACGCCGTCGTTCGTTCTTCTTATCTGTCCTCATCGTCGACGCCAACGTTACCGTACACGCCCGTGCAATAACCACTGAACACCTGGTAAGCGAGCATTAATATCATTCCTGGTAAGTGTCTCGATGTAAAAATGACCTCGGATTTGCTGATAAAGAGCTCCCTGCACTTGACTAGATGTAACCAGCTTCTGGGGCTAACGATGGTATGTCTTCAGTCAGGCCTTTCATCCGTGATTTAATCCAAGTGCCCTTCTCCCAGATTGCATTGATAGCCCTTTTTCTGCTTATGTCTGCGACGATGGAGAGGGCGTTCAAATGTCAAAGCTGCCACGCCGTTCTGGCACCTCATATCTCCAGTCCTAAGTCCCAAAGGCCCGGCGAGGAATATGTTGTTGTGAGTCTCTTGCCCGCCCTTTCAAGCCGTGTTGTTACTCACTGATTTGACAGTGTAACGGATCCAAAGACTCCCCGCACGCGACTTGGTTTAGGTGGACGTACACCATTGCCTACCTCGAAACCACTGTCCCCGCCAACTCCCTTCCGCCTTCCATGGGCCGAACTCCTCCCGTCCAGCAGCAGTCAGCGACTCCCCCCGCCCAGCAGCATTCAGCGACGTCCACGTCAACGCTCGCCGTCCTAGGCAGTTCCAACGACTCCGGGAAGGCCTGCACCATCGACAACTGTTCCCACCGGCCGAACTTACTCTGTCGCAACCGAAAGTGCGCACGTCATTGCCGTGCGGGTGCAGAGCCTTGTGGTCTGAAGGGCCATGCACCTAAGGATATGACTCCTACCCCTGCCCCCGCTGTCCAACCAGCTCTCGCGCCTTCGGCAACCCTCCCTGGACCTGCCCACACTCAAGATCATGCTCCGCCTCAGCCCATGGGCGGTGCGAGGGCTCCTACCACCTCCGCGCAAGCTATGGCTGCCAAGGAGCCCCGTTTTTTCTCGCAGATTGTCCCGGGTTACGCGAGCAAGCATAACGACGAGCAAGAGAAGCGCAAGAAGCGCCAGCAGGAGGAGGCGGAAAGGATCGCTAATAAGACGAAGACGGAGAATACGGTGATGATTACTGCTTGGGTGAAGGTAATGTACATCCTTTCTCTTCATTCATATATAGCTAATGTATGTGGACAGCCCGGCATTCCTCCAATCGTCGCTGCTCACCAACAAGACTGTGTTCTCACTTCCCTGACCCTCACAAACGACATCCTTGACAGTGTCGGACTTGGGGACGCAGAGCGATACTGCATTTACAAGTTCGAGCGTCGCGTCTTTATGTCCGTTTCCGCCAACCCACCGTTCGTCACACCACTTCCGTTGACCAAGACCAAGGAGATTTTTCTGAAGTCCCTTGACCTTCGAGTTGAAGACTGTTACCAGCTTAACATCCATCTCCATTCCCTCCCAGGGAGTTCTGCTCAGGCCCCTGACATCCGCTCCAACTTGCCCCAGGAGCGGAAGGCTGTACTGGCCAAGCGTGATTCCCGTCTCCTTTCTCGAGGCACTCCTAGTCCCTCTTCCCCCACTGCCTTTTCCCCGCCAATGTTGCTTGCCAAGCGACTCTACTCCGATCTCTCCCCATCGACATCGTACACTTCGGGCCCCAGTTCCACCCTCGCACCTGCATCAGTCGCTGAGCCCACCGTTCGCCCTTCCACTCCCGATGCAGAGAGCTTTGTCGACCTCACCAACCTCGAAGACGACAACTACCCGACCCCTCGCCCACTCAAGAGGCTTGCTTCAACCTCGAAGCACGTTGACAGATCGACTCCAACTCCTCGCATGCCCAAGAAGGAGAAGGTGTGGCCTAGCGACTTTAAAGTCTGCGAGGTTGTCGAGCTGTTGGACACGCTCTACGCGGGGGGCCTGTCGGAGGATGAACGTGCCAAGGCATTCTGGGATGCGACCCGTCTTCCGTTCAAGAGGACGACTGCCCGGGAGGCCTATGTGCGTTGGTTTACGGCTACCGATGAGCAGCGGGAGTATTGGCGAGGGCGCACGGTACCCTGGCAAGAATTCCAAGACAAGTTCAAGCTCCCGTCGCAGAAGCGGAAGTCGTTCCTTCAACGCGAGGCAAGACGTTACAAGCAAGCGGAGCGACGAGCAAGATCTTCTTGGGGTTGAGGAAAGGCTCGGGAGCCCTCTGCTTCGACGGACGAGGGAGAATACACCGGGACGGACGAGGAATCAACCTACTCTCAGTACGCCGAAGAATACGAGGGCTTAACGAGCCATCCCGAATTCCGCCCCGAAACTTATCACCACTCAGAGTTCTATTAATCCCATTCAGTTCAAATTCCCGTCAGCTCTCTCTCGCGCATTTTCTGTCTTTTTTCTTCTGTTTTTGTCCATGTTGTCTCGTGTACGTTCCCTTTTTTATTCCACAATTTCTCGGCGGTACCTTTTGTCCCTCATATCGTTGTCTCGCATTGGACTCTGTCAGCATCATCATCACTTTCTTTATTGTTGTGTAGCTAGTATGTAGTGTAGCCTGTAGTCTTTGCATGTATTGTGTAGTTTAGGTGTCCTTTATGAATAGATAATTACATTTGGATTTCGTTTGAGCTTCTGCATCATATACCTGTTTCGCATGAGGATCATCTCGTCTAAGAAAAAGTCGTAGCGCTCCGGCGTCATTTCACGGCAGATAGATTGGAAACCACCAAGCCATGCGTTGGTTTGCTCTGCGATTGACGTGTTGAAATACCATTCCTTCCCTCCTTCTCCACGCAGCTCTGGAAAGAGATGAGGATTGCAGTGCTCTTGGCAGAAGGTGTCGGTTTTTGAATGCTTGCACTTGAAATGGAAGACGTCAACAGCAAGGCCCGTGTTCTTGAACGCATCGCGATCCTTGACGTGTTTGGCAAGATTGCAATTGTTATCGAATATGATATGGTCTGGGAAGGGATGTTGTTTGAACGTCCGCTCGATGAAATCCTTGGTTCAATATTTTATATATCAGGAACATTTAATCACAATTGACAGCTAGGTGACCACTCACCGCACAGGCAGGCATCGACTCCGCAAACAGAAAGGTCTCGCGAGCGAGAATAATACCACATGGACATACTAGAATCTGCTCATTGTGAGTCCATGCACGTCCAAATTGGGCCTGGAGAATGTCTTCTGGGAGGGGAGTGTCTTGTACATCAGTCGTTTGCTGTCCAACCGTTGCCTCCGCTTGTTGGGCCTGCGTCGGTGGTTTGATAGTGGCTTCGAACGCCTGGCCATCTACAAATTCAACGGTTATTTCGTCATCACTAACACCATCCTCACTACCGTCTTCATCGCCATCCACGTCCCTATCCTCTCCTGGAGTGCCAACGTCCACCGATGCTGCCTTGCTGTTCTCCTTGGCCATCCGGGATCTCTCCTTCCTTCCTTTGTTTGGAAAGTTAGCTTCGGCAGTGCGCAGGCGATGAAGTTCCTCGGTATGGCGGTGGCGCGCATCTGCACATGTTCTGAATCCCTTTTCTGCCTTGGTTTTGCAGCCTTTGACAACGCACGTAGCACCCTTGTCCGCATGCTCTGGACAGTACTTGTCGTTGCGAATGTTGGCGAGAGGGATAGGGCAGTGAGGTTCCCGACATCGAGGGCGTCCAATCGTGATCCCATCCATGACTACTGCTGATACCTGATAGCCAGCTAGATTGGGCAACATTAGTTGTGAGAGTGATGAAGTTTTCAACAGCACGCACCTCGGGTATCCGTTGCAGGGTAGAGGCGCACACACTTGGAACATGCATGCCCCAGAGCAGGTTGACCAAAGTCACGGATCTGCTGGTTCCTTTGGCGCACCGCACTGTCGAAGCGATTGGCCTGCTCTCCATCGTGAGGCACCACCAAAGCGGTCTTCTCGTGAAGCTGGTAGAATTCCAGAAGGCTCGAAAGGGTAAAGGCATCATAGACGTGCCTCCCGCTCAGCGAAACCTCGAAACCCCATTCCTTTGGGAAGTTGGATGTAATCTCGTTTGTAAACATCTGCTTGTATGTCGCTGCGCAATTACTTGCCGACATCCAGGCCAAGTTCATGTTGGCCTTCCACATCTGAACGAGCCTATATTCCACGAAATGGTGGTCGGCAACCTGCAATGCGTTTGGAAGTTGGTCGTAGTAGCGACGCTCCTGATTCTGAACGGAATAGTCATGGAAATAGGTGGTCTTGCAGTCTAAATTCCGTGCCATATGAATCAATTAATCCAGTCCACTCTTTTGACGACATGAAACACACCAAGGCACTTCAAATGGACACACCAGGTTGGTACAGGCCCATGTGAAAGGGTATACAGGATTACTTTTCGCTGTTCAGCAACCTGCATCTTTCGCCCTTTTGACGTTCGGTTGCATCCAGGGTTGAGGCACATTTGCGACGGTGGCCATAGCGCTTTCTGAAAGGCTGTTGAAGACGAGATTAGTGGTACTGCATCCGATATAAAATTTTCGACGCACGGAATCCATTCTCTACACCATGGGTCAGAAATGTACGTCGGATCTCATCATCATCCAGCACGGGAAGCTCCCATATCATTGCCCCCATGTGTTCCCAGCACTGCTCAACCTCCTCCTCCGACATTCCACAGCTTTTGATGAGGAACTGCACTACACTTGGGGGTAAATCCTGAGGGACCTCGTTTGGCAGTGAAGTTGGGGGTTGCGCCAAAATGATCTCGTCCCGGCAATAGCGCGAAAAGAGGATGTAACGCGTGAGTTTTTCCAGTATCTTGTCATCCCCGTAGGAGGACAGGGCTTGGAAGACAGCATCCATACTCCTAGCAGACTTGGGCCGAGGATAGATATGAAAATGGATTAGGATTCGGTCGAAGACAGCTATGGACAATGATCGATGAACTACGAACTACGGTCGGCGCTGTTGTCAACCTGGAGTCCGCGCCAAGTAAACCCTAAAAAAAAACAAAGCCAAAGTCGCCTCGACGCCTCAGCCGCCTCGCGGTGAGGCGGCGGTCCGAGATCCCGCACTTTCTGCTCGGACTCACCGTCGGAGGAGGCTGACATCGACATCGACATCGACCCGACTTCATTCCGCCTAAACCAACCATCAATCCTATCCAATCCCTCCCTAAACACCCTCCACATCTCCAAACTCTTTTCACCAGACAGCTCCGCCAACATCCCTTCCTCGCTGTCCATCTCACCTCCGTAATAAAGCATACACCGCTCCTTGAGGTAATGGCGCTGGCTCTCGGGATGGAGGATCGTCACTACCAGAGGAAGCAAGAGTAGGATACCGGGTTTGAGAGCCTGAAAGGTTGCATCGGCGAATGCGGCTTGGAGGGTGTCTGTCCCGTCTGGTATGAACTTGGGCTTTGCGTATGTTGGTCGTCTGGGTGGTGCGGACTGGGACTTGGAGCCCATGGTAGACCACTTCTCATCCAGATACCTCGCAATGTCGAAACAACCCGCGACAGCAACGTCCGTCTCTTCATCGTAGATAACTGGAAGCGTGTACTGCTCACTTCCATCTGCATTCCCCTGACCGCCGTGTGTGGGCTGCTGCAACCCATATTGCTTGTTAGTAGGCTCTATCTCGGGGTAATCGATCCATCTCGTCGCGTAGGGAATCCCAGTATAGTTGAGCATGAGTCGGGCTGTCCATGACCGGTGGTCCCAGGTTAGTTTAGGTTCTAGAGAGGAGGTGAGGTCGTAGAAGATGATCATGCTAAAAGTCGAGGGTTAAAGTTTCTCCCTTGGTTTCCCGAAACAGGGAAAGACAGAACCACTTCAACAAACCTCCCGAGATGCATAGGAGCGGAGGTTTCAGACCGTCTCCAAGAGGATCCAAGAGGAGTCGGCATCCCTCGGCCCGGCCAAGCTGGGCGCCTGGGTTGGGTTTAGCGCCCGCCCAAGGTCCCTCCCCAACTCGCTTTGAGGGTGTGAGGGTATCTGGGGTGCGGCGGAGGATTGAGCGATTGACGTGAGCTTACTTGGAATTAGATAAGATAACCGGAGGCAGACTCGAGGCTACGTCGTGTTCAATCAGCTGATCCCCCTACCCCTAAAAGATGTCATGGAAGCAATTGGATTAATATTAGACTGGATTGGGGATCCCGGTAAAACATTCCTTTCACCCCAACCAACGGGTTCTTTAGTCTTTACTCCAGGTCACCTCTTCCCCACCATCCATCTCCATCTTCCATTATCTCTACTTTCCCAGATCTTGGCACCCCTTCGTCCTCGACCTCATTGCACCATGTCATCCCCCTCCTCGACCCAAAACACCGGCAACGACACAAACCCGCGACGTCCCACCCGCAGCCTCAAAGGCCGCGTCGCCATCGTCACTGGCGCAGGCTCACGCTCCACAGGCATAGGCAACGGACGCGCCTCCGCCATCCTTCTCGCCGAATCTGGGTGCGCCGTCGTCTGCGCCGACCTCAACCTCTCCTGGGCCTCCCAAACCGTCTCCATGATCACCTCCGAATTCGGTGTCACTCTCGACGAGGAGGGATTTAAGTCAAAACCCAGAGCCATCGCTGTCCAAGCGGACGTCTCGTCCGAGGAGGACTGCCAACGCGTCGTGCGGACGGCGGTGGAGACGTACGGCCGGTTGGACATCCTCGTGAACAACGTCGGTGTGGCGGGGCCCGTTGGGACCGCCGTCGAGGTGTCCAAACGCGACTGGGAGAGGGGTATGGAGGTTAACGTCACCGGTATGGTGTTGATGGCCAAGTACGCTGTCCCTGCGATGGAGCGGAATGCCAGGGACGATGTGAGTGGGAGGGGGACGATCGTTAATATGAGTAGTGTGGCGGGCTTGGTGGGCGGGAACCCGATGCTACTCTACCCGACGAGTAAAGGCGCGATTGTGAATTTGACGAGGGCGATGGCGGCGCATCATGCGGGGAGTGGGATTAGGGTTAATTGTGTGTGTCCTGGTATGTTTTCGTTTCGGTGTCGACGGGTTTGGTTTTCCGTGTTAACTGTAAACGTTTACATGGACGAATAATTGGAATTTTAGGGATGTTGTACACGCCGATGCTCTATAGCGGGGGTATGAGCGAAGAAACGCGTGAGGCGCGGAGGAAGAGGAGTATACTCCAGACGGAGGGGAATGGGTGGGACGCCGGACTCGCGGTGAGATTCCTCGCCAGCGACGAGGCGAGGTGGATAACGGGTGTCATACTCCCTGTTGATGCGGGGTATACGGCTGCGCCCCATGGAGGTGCTGAGGAAAATAAGGTCTTGACGAAGACGCTGATGGTTTCGTCCAAGTTGTAGTCATCCGTAGTTGTGGTCATCCATAGACTGTAGTCATCCATAAGCTGCCAGTCATGTATATTGAATCATGAAGGTTGGCTTACAGTTTTAATTTATTGCCCAACGCCCATCTCACAATCTCCGTGATTTCGTCTATAGGATAATCATAAATGAATTGAAAGTATAGAATATAGTACAGATGGGTGAGATGTGTAGCAAAGGCATGTCGTACTAGAACGTGAACGTGAATTGGGAATGTTGCGAGAATGGAGTCGAAATGTCGGGAGTGGAATGGGACTGTCGAAAGCGTGAAAGAGAAGTGAACTGGGAAACGGAAATGGGAACTTGAATGGGAGTGGAATGTCGAGTGTATGTGGGGTATTGAGGCTGAGACCTATAGCAAGGGAGTAGCAGAGTTCGAGAGATGACGACGACGAGGACGAAGTGGAAGTTGAAAGCAGAGAACACTTGAACGACAACATGAAGCCCAAGAAGACAACACGAAGAAAGAGATTTGGAGTGATAGCACAGACGGGGAGAAAGGACCATATAGGGAGTGAAAAGCAAGAAAGGACAGGGGAGAGAGAAAAGCACTGTAAGAGACGAGAGGCGACATCATCTGGAGGAGAACATGTAAAGCGCCACACGAGGAACTCAAGGCAAAGCATCTGACCAGTTCTCCTTATCCTCATCGTCATCCGAATCGGACTTCTTCTCTTCCTCAGTCTTATGCTCTTCCTTCTTCTCTTCCACCTTCTCCTCTTCCTTCTTCTCCTCAGCACTATCACCACTCTTCCCCTCCCTCTCCTCCCTCTCCTTCTTCCTCGCCTCCTCCTCTTTCTCCCTCAACTTCTGCCTCATCTTCTCCAACTCCTCCTCTTTCTCCTTCTCGGCCAACTTGGCCTTAATCTTCTCCATCTCAGCCTCCTTCTCCTCCTGCTTCTTCTTCTCTTCCCTCTTGAGGAGCAGTTCTTGACGACGCTTCTCGCGGAGCTGCTTCTCGCGTTCTTCGCGTGCTGCTTTTTCTTGCGCAAGTTTGACGCGGAGAGCGCGTTCGGAGGCGACCCATGACTCGATGTTGGAGGCTGCGAGGTGAGGGTTGGATTTGTGCTTTAGGAGGTCTGTTGGGGAGGGAATAAGGTTGGTTAGCGACAGTTCAAAGAGGTAACGCCAAGGGAGAGATAAGATAAGATGTGATCCTATCAGGAATAGATCCGAAGCCGATCCGGCGACGTCAAAAATCAGATGAAGACATTTCTTCGAGGTCAAGAAAGCATGGACTCGACACGTCTTTTCCCTTCCAACCACATCATCGCCCACATGCATCGACCGTCGACATGTCAAACGACGATGGGACCCCCATGAACGTCGAGCACAGCGCCGAGCACGACCACAAGAAATAGACCAATCACCCGCACCCAACCGAACATGAACGTGAACAAAAAGCATTAGAGCGCATATACTCACATCCTTGCAACCCAGCAACGCTAAACTCCTCCTCAGGCACCCCATCCGCAAACTTCTTCGCCAGCACAGCCAGCGTCTTCTTATCGAGCGGAGCAGCAGAATGACGGCGGGAGGCGATATCGTCCGTAGGCGGGGGTGCGATGTACGCTGTATTGCCTTCTCCAAACTTCTTGACGTGCGGTCTCGACGACGAAACGGCGGCGGCGGCGGAGGCTATCGATGACGATGCGGAGGATGTCTTCCTAGATGCCGATGTAGACGACGCGGGGGAGACCGAAGGCGTCGATGATCCCGACGAAGAGCCGAATGGCAGCGATAATGAAGAGGCGGAGGAGAGAAGGTTCGAAGCGCTCGAGGCGATACTCCACACGCTCGATGTCGACGGGCTCGAAGGGACGCCCGTCGTCGGTACTGGGGGGTTGGGAGTGAACATCCGGCTCTCAACCTTGATATTCTTTAACGCCTCATCCACCTCGCGCTCGCGCCTCTTCTGCGCCTCCCTTGCATCCCGACGACGCGCCTCAAGCTCTCCAGCGCTCAACGCCCCATCCGAATCCACATCCTCCACCTCATCTTCATCACACGCAGGGAAGAAGTTGCGGAACAACGCTTCCGCCTGCCACTTGCTCGCATTCTTGAACTCTATCCAGACGTCCATGCGCCCGGGACGGCGGAGGGCTTCGTCGAGCTTGTCGAGGTGGTTGGTGGTGGCGAAGAGGAGGCGGCCTTCGGAGGCTGCGACGCCGTCCAGGGCGTTGAGCAGTCCGCTGAGGGAGAGGGTGTTGACGTCCGAGAGGTACTCTCCTGACCGACCGCTCCTACCTCCTCTACGGCGGCCTGAGCCGTAGAACGAGGAGAATCCGGATTGCTGCTCTTGCGGTCCTTCGGCGTTGTTGTTGTTGCCACCGTTGTTGCCGTTATTGTTGTTGTTGTTGCTCGACCCTAGGATCTCTTCCTCGTCGTCTCGCGATACGCTACGGGTGAAGGCGGCGTCGAGGTCTTCCAGCAGAACGACACATCGAGCCGGGACGCGGCCCATCAAACTCGTCAACGTCGAGTCCGATATCCACGAAGCGCTCAGGGAGACGACGTAAATGTCCAGTTGGAGGTATCCGGCGAGGGCGTGGATGAGGGAGCTCTTGCCCGAGCCTGGGACGCCGTACAAGAGATATCCCCGGCGGAAAGGGATACCCCGGTCCGCATACCACTTCTCTGATCGCAAGAAATCCTTCGCGTCGTCGACCAACATCTCCTTCACACCCGGGTTGAGCACGATAGAGCTCAAAGGGCGCTTCGCCCTCGAATCCGTCCACCTCCACGACCCGTGCGCATCCGCAAAGTAGATCTGGATCCTGTGCACGCACTCGGCCTCGTACTCCTTCTTCGCCTGGAGGACCAACTGTTTGAGGATATTGTTCGATCGTGCGATGACGCTTATACTGATCATCTCCGAGTTGGTGTCGTGTTTTCGGGAGCGGCGGACGCGGAGCCAGTGCCCGCGGAAGAAGATGGTGTGGGTGGTGTCGTAGGTGGGCTGGAAGACGATGCGGGTTTTGGGTTTCTCGATGGGGTCTGTGTCGTCTTCGCCGTCTTGCCCGTGATGGGAGTAGCCCCGTTCAAAGTGGGCGTTGTATGCCTCCCATTCGCGTTCTGCTTCGTCCCATTCTTGGTCGGCGGGGCTGCCAAAGGTGGAGCTGGTGGATGTGGACCCGGAGCGGATGGTCGTTTCGAATTCGCGGGAGCGTTGCCACTCGGGCCTCCTGGAGAGCCAGAGCATGAGCCAGTCGTAGGGGTGTTCTTCTTCGCAGAAGTGTGCCGTCAGGAAGAATGCTAGGGTTGGTTGTCAGTTACCAGTGTCATGGATCATGGGTTGGAGTGGGAGGGAGATGAGAGTGGGAACGGCTGGGCTGGGCGCCCGGGCACCAGGGTCCGATAATGTCACCTTACGGGGCGAGATAAGCGCTGTGGCCACTCGCTACCGCGGGCGCAGGTCCCAATTCCGAAATGACTCATGCAGAGTCGGAACGATAGGAGGTGGCAACACTTACAGTTGACGAAATGCGACCTGGATAGGGGAGTCAGTTTGGGGTTGGTTGCGAGAGCGGTGGGGGGAGCAAGAGGACGTACCAGGCGCTACTCGATATTCTGCGAGCTGTCTCTACTGTCCCACCGAGCACGACAAGCTTCATGCCGTCGACGACGGACGACCCTCCCATGAGCGGTTGAACGAGCGACTTGACTGCGTCCATTCCTCTTCTCTCGTCTTCTTATTGCTGTGGTGTGATTTGTCGTTTAATGAGGAGAAGCGAGAGAGCCTATCCTAGTCAAGGTCAGAGCGTTAGAAGCGTGGTGGCGTACAGCAGTAGTAGGACAGGGGGCCAGACGTACGAAGCGCTGGGTTTGCGGGTGCGGGGATGGATTGGAATGGAAGAGGAAGGCAAGAGTAAATGAGTCGGTTTGGGGGGTTTTTGTGTGCTGTTAATGAATCAGGCAACCACGTAAGCCGTTGCTGTGGTTGTTGCGCAGTGTTGTGAGCGAGCGCTAAATGGCGGTGTGCTTCGGGTTTGAATAATGCGGGGTTGGGGGTGTGTGGCTGAGGTTAGGCACGGGTCACCGCCCCCTGTTGTGCTGTGAATGTGAATTGGGGGTGGGTGGATGGCGGTGGACAAGGTTTCTTTGTGTTCTCGCTTGGTTTTTGACGAGTGTTGAGGAAGAAGCTGGGACAGGCTTGCGGGGAATGGAAGCTCGTTGAAGATAAGGGGCGCTCCTGGTTGTTGATATAAGACTACTTGGGGTGACGTGGACAAGGAGTTGGGTCAGATGATGGGTATCACAACTCGCTGCGGCTGTCGTTCAACGGTGGACAAGCTCAATGGTGTAATCGACTGTCGCCACTCGGAATGACGACGACAAGGAACCCAGTGCACAGTGCACACCACTTTGTATTCCCTTTGGCTGATGGGAGAAGGAAAAAGGAAATGGAAGAAGGGAGGTTGAGGTTAGAGGGATGCCACGAACACTGGGGCGTGGTGCCGGTGCGTTGTGTGGGTGTGGGTGAATTCGAAGTCGGAAGTTCGCGCTAGAGGGAGAATGACAGGTGCTTAAATAGGTAATGGACCGGAGATGGGGGCGTGTAAGCCCTGGTATTAGTGCACTTTGCGGGGATAACTTTATTTGTTGGAAGGGGAAACTGTGAGTATGTGTGTTATTGAAGACGGGAGTGGTCACAGGTTCACAGGTCGGTTGGTCGGTATGACGGTACGTAGAGCGGGTCTTCTGGGTGAGTATGGATGACTAGGACTTTGGGGTCTTCCGATTCGGTTCTTTTGATGCGTAGTGATACTTGGATTGGTGAAGGGAGGCTCGCAGTCACGGTGGTGTGTTGGAAGCGGTACGCTGCGGGCGCGTCACGCGTGTGTTCTGAGTCTCAGTATGGCAATATTCGTGTTTTGCCGAGGGTTGTGTGCTGTTGCCGCCGGTGGCGGGTTCGGTACGGTGTCAATTGCTTGCTCCCTTTTAGTCGCGTGTGGCGGCCCCTGGCTGCGGGAGCGCTCGCAGCCAGCCTGCTCCATGAGTCAACCGCGGGTAGCTACTTACTAGTAGAGGATGTATGTACGATGACAATGCACTATAGTATACTCCCCCAGAGGATCCTAGTATCCCTATCTGATTCTCTTCCGATAGGTCCTTGTGCGATGACCATGTTCGTTTTCACTGCCTCGCCGCCGGGGTGGCGGTTACATATACCTCGAAGAGTTCGTGCTTCCCATCCTTGTACTCGTAACGCCGAACATCATCATTGACCTATGTAATGTCTATAGCAATAGGCCAATGACATAGCTCTCAGGGGGTGAGAGTGAAGTAAGTATCAAGTAATCATCGGATTTGTCGGCGAATGCTTCATTGACACAAGCTTCGCTTTTGACATGGATGGGCGAAGCGCCCGGAAAGCTCTTCGATTCAGAGGAACTTGAAGGGTTGTTTGTGGATGGTGTCCGGTTGTCTGAGTGGCCGTGTTATTCAAGTCAAGTGATCGCTCTGCTGGTTTTCTTTCTTGGTTCGTACTAGGTTTCGTAGGTCGTGGTTTCGTAGAGTTCTTAGCTCCGGTCTGCAAGGACTTGTGAATCAGACCCGAGATTTGACAAACGAAGACTTCTGACGATGGACTTGTGATAGAAGACGGCTCGGACGGATTTGGTCATACACAACGATTATGGACTGGTGATATCTAGAAGCGTCAAGACGGTGGACTGGCGATGATTCATAGTCGTAGTCGGGGCGGGTTGGGGGAATCGGGATTCGGGAATCAGGACGAGTCATGAACAGTAACTTGATAAGGGTAAGTAAATGTCTTTGTTGTAGTTGGGTTTGTTGGGTTGTTGGGCGGAGCGGAGCCGTATAGTTGAGAAGTCAATTCGGAGGATTGAATCCCTATTACGCTGTGTTACATGTGCAGCAACTTGAATGCAGCATTTCTGGATCCGATTCGTCAGGTCAGGTGTACATGGTTAATTAGGTGGTCTTTGAATCATCGGTTGCAATGGCCGATTGGGCGGTTAGGAGTTGGAGAGAAGACGAGTTGTTAGAGGTGTGGTTGTGCATTATACTAGTAGTTGGATGGGCAGAAAGCCCACGACGGTGGTGAAGTGGCTGGTTTAGGCGATCGGAACACGCTCTAGCGCTAGCATCAAAGCCGCCCGAGTGGCTCCACCGAATCTGAAACTCTCCCGTACTTCAACTTCAAGTTCCCGCTGTTGATTAAATTTAAACCTTCGAGTGTATCGTCCTCACTGCGGCAACGGAGCTACTGGTATCATAGTCCACACTCCTCCCACGACCATCTACTTGGAGGTTATTTGTATTTGTATATGATCATCTTCTACGACCTCACCTCCTGTAGGCTAGAACCCAGGCTAACCTGGGACCACCGGTCATGGTCAACCCGCCGACTCATCCTCAACTACCAATACCGGGATAGACTACTACCCCGAGATAGAGCCCACTTACAAGAAATATTGTTTGCAGCCTGCACGGGGAATGCAACTTTGACATGATTGACACAGTTGTAGAACTCGAGGACTCCTATCGTAGGATGTTCTCCGAGAATGTGAGTACCCTCGATGGTTGGAAACGCCGCAAGAAGAGAATCTGCGAATGAGATGAACCCTGCTGCGATCAATCCCGCAGTCGCAGATAACATAAAAGGCTTGACGAATTCTGCACTCCAAGTAGGTAACACTCTCACCATGGTGCCCGTTGGTCGCCAGTTCTCCATCACGACTCTGGCATCGCCTGCAGGCGCTTATTTCGACTCTGGTGGTGAGTTAGGTTAGGGTTAGAAGTCGTCATGCAAAGGTGGCGGTGCTATAGCGACGCTTCTTGGCGTCAGAGCTCTCCTCTCGAGGGGGAGACACACTATCACTCTTATTTCCTTATCACACACGGGATACCTCGCTCCAAAACGGTTCATGGATCCTCCACTTCAAACACCCGAGACACCACCACCCAGAGCCGACGAAATATGCGACAACGTGATGACCGACCCTCCACCGCCTTACCCTGATCCTACCCGTCCCCGCCGCCAACATCGAGGCACACGACGCCCAGGGAGCAGCCCTCGCTTGCAGACTATCCAGCGACTATCCTCCACAGATTCATACTCGGACTATGAAGGCGGCCTAAGACAGAATCTGTCGATGAGTGCATCCTCGGGGCCTAATACCGACGACGACATCGAAGGCGACGAACGAGACCGCGCAAGAATGTTTTTGACGCCTTCGCCGTTACTGCGTACGTCCAACATGCATCACCACCACCACCACCACCACGACAGACAGAGAGCACGCTCGGTGTCGCAGATGAGCACGCTGAGTGCTGCGCCGTCGCTGGCGCAGACGGTGTTGTCGTTGTTCCAGGTGGACCCGGAGGACGAGGAGGGAGGGATCTTTTTGCCCGAGGAGGGGATTGATACTATGGCGGATGAGCATGGGGATAGAGGATCGTTGCATTCGATGAGGCACGAGTTTAGCTGTTTCTCGTTGGCGAGTTGGGAGAGGTACTTTAGGCCTATGGGCCGTCCTCTCTATTGGAGAGCACTCGTCCACCTTTTGGTCATCAATTTCCCCTTTGCTCTGGCTGCCTGGGTGTATCTGTTCGTTTTTACCTTGGTGCGTCCCCTCTTCCATCACCTTCCAAGATCTCATTGCTTATCTCCCGTTCTTTTGTGTTCTTTTGGTAGACGGGCACAACAACCCTCGTCGCTCTCCCTCTAGGAGCCTTGCTATGTTTCCTCAACCTATTAGGCGCACGAGCCTTTGCCCGCGCCGAACTGGAACTCCAAACTCAATTCCACAGCCCGCTGTCATACCCCACACCATACCCTCCCCGCCCCATCTTCACGCGCTACCGCGAACTCACAGCGCAGGAAATCGAGTCTGGGCGTATGCCCTACTTGCGCACTGGCCTCGTCAAGGAACGGTCGTTCTACAAGAATGCTTATTCAATGGTATGTTCCGTGTTCCATGTTCCATGCCTTGCCCGGGCGATATCGATTCGTCTCGATCTACCTCTAGTCTAGACCTAGTACTAACAACTCTTCTTTCTCTCGGGTTCTACGTCATACAGTTCACAGATCCAACATCCTACCAAGCCCTCTTCTACTTCATCGTCATCAAACCAGCGATCACACTCGGTCTCTTGCTCTTCGTTCTCGTGTTTGTGCTGCCGTGTTTGGTTTTGGTTCTGCCCGCCCCAGCGGCCCTTCGAGCGGTCAGGAAGTTGGGGAAATGGCAGGGGAATGTGGCGGTTGAGGGGCTTTATTATGCTGTAAGGTAGGATTGGTACTAGTGGATGGTTGGATGGGAGATTGGTGATGTATCGTTGGTTGGGAATTGGTGTCGTATCGTTGGCTGCGGGTTTGGTGTTGTATGTTGGTTGGGTCATTGGTATCATCTGGTTGGCTGGGCGAAGGTCGTATGTATCCTGCCCCGGAAATTACAAAAGATTATGGTTATTTATTGATTCGTCTTCAGAGGCTGGACTAGTCTATCATCGGAGCACGCATCTCATGTACGTGCGATTTCCTAACAAAGGGCGTTGTTCCGCATTGGGTTCCGGGTTAACCATCAACAGGGAGATCAGTGTCAGTCTGAGTCGTCGACTGGCGGAAGGCTGCTGGTTGCGGTGAATGTCTTGCCAGATGGTCTTACGCACCTCAATGACGCTGCGTACGTGCGCATTGGAAGGCATATCTAAGATGCAAATGGTGGTGCGGATTCTCGAGGGTTGCATAGTATGCCAGCCTGTGCAACGTCCTCTTTAGACGGATTCAGTTATTTACCCTGCGCAGCCGCAGTCGTAGACTCGCGCGCCCTTCCCTCTCTGCCCAGCCTTTTGCACAGCGACTTTGTACACTCCCGGTTGGCGTTGAACGTTGGATGATCGCTGTCGGTCCAAATGCCAGTTTCCTTTGGTCAGGAGACTGTCTCAGTTTGCGAGCTCCCGGGCGCGGAATCCTACTGACGCCGAAATGGGCTGTATTCTCGCAACCTCAGTCACTGCCTTCGGTGTAGGAAGCCTAGCCAAGGTAACGGCTCCTGGGACGACCACTACAGCCTCCTCGCCAGGGACGGAAACACCGTCAATATCCTTCCACGACAGAGACACTGTGGTGGACGAGCTCGTCCTCATCGAGGAAACGAGCTCGACCTACCAACAATATCCGTTAGCGCCCAAAAGCCGGCATCAGATGTACGTCTCTCTTATTTTGTCTGTTGGACACATTTGCTGCGTCGATTTTGGGTAGTTAAAGGGTCGCCTGAAGTCACTTTTACTCTACGGAGCTTTCTTCCCCAGTTTTCTCTCTATTCGACTTTCTGTAGCTCGTAGCTTTAAACATTTGGGTGGATGTTGTGCTTGCACAACATCCGTGGACAAGATGAGGTTGAGTGATCCGGAGGCGGCGCACCCTGTTTGGCCTGAAAGGTCAGACCAAACAGCCTCGTCTTCCTCGTGCCGATGAGAGATACCATCTCTCATCTTCTCGTCGTTCTCGAGAGGTCCTCATCCTCTCCACTCGTTCCTCTCTCGTCTTCGCGTCCCACCGCTCCCGCCTACCACCAGCGCCTACGCTTGGCCATCCAGCCACGGTTGCCCCGGCTCGGTGGTCATCTGGGCGTTCCGGCCAGCAAGCTGGCCCCAGGCAACACCAAGGAAACCTGATTAGGTTTACTTGGCTTCACGCTTCGTCACGGCTCTCGAGAGAACGAGCCTATCTTGTCAAATCATACCTCACTTTCTATCTATTCAGAGGCATCCGTACTCTCCTCGGTCCGAACTGCATATCGATTCCGAGCCAGAATGGATCGGGTACTTTCCGCCAGGTGCATCAACATTAATGATGATGCCACTAGGAAATCAAGATTTCGCAGTCTCAGACTGTAAGGAAACATTGGGCGGCAGTCTGCTTTCCTTGTCCAAGTCAATCAACCGATACCACTTGTAGTTCTCCTTACAGATCCTTCTCGCCGTCTCGTTCAACTTGAGTACTGTGCAAAAGGTATCAAACCACTCGTCCCTCTTGTTATGCCACTCGTCCATGTCGCGCTTGTCGTCGACGGTATGAGCAAAGCAGACGAGGAAGTCGTAATACGTCACTTCAATCATCGAGAAAAACACGCCCCTGCCATTGTTAGTATGTTTATACTCGAGTAAAAGACGCCCCCCACACTGTAACTCCTGAACAACTTGAACAAGCTTACTTTTTGTCTTTCGGGGCCCAATAATTAACATAACCCTGAAGGTTGGGAGGCGGGATTTCGAAGACGTGTGCCAGGCATTCTCCAGAGATAAAGAACCCGGCGCCATAGTGGGGTGGGTAGATGGCTAGCCCGCGGGGACGACGCCTGGGGGGGTCACAGTCAAGTTCAACAGTCTCTGGGTATGCTGCGTCGCATCTGCCGCGCATCTATTCGTCAGCCGGGCTGTTCTTGCACGTGGAGGCAGACAGCGTACTCACTCCTCGCGAAATTCTTTGTACAGGGCGAGATCCATCGTATGTAGTTGGGAGTGAAGTCACAAGTGGGTCGTCGTGTCACCCAGAGACGCGTTTGGGACACGGTCCACGTGATGGCCAGTACTCGAGTCGGGGCCAGCTCATACAATTAGTCCGAGTCGATGAAGTCAGCCAATTCAGCTCCAACCTGTCAGTGAGCTCTACCTCTCGGTGGCATTGGCAGGTCGACACATGAGCCCACGTCTTACCTCCTCGTTTGTAAATTATCCTGTAACAACACAACCACTCGGCCCCCACGGCGTTTGTCATTTACGCAAGGGGGAAAGCTTAGGTCGAGTAGCAATTACAATGCGACTGCCGAGAGAGGTACATACTTATGAAGTCAACGAACACGCCACCCCTCGAGAAACGAGGTGCTGATACCTCAGGGTCACACACTAAGCACTGTCTGACTGACGCTATAGTCATTCCACAAAATCCCCAAATACACGAGGTCCTGAAGCGTCGTAGTAGTATGTACTTGTAGTTGTATCTACATTTACTTCTTTCCCTTCCTGAAGATTCCGCTCTTGGCGCGAGCGGTACCAGTAGCGTGGTTCTTAGCAGCCTTGGCCTTCTTCGCAGCCTGTTGTTTGGCCATGCGTTCCTGGTGCGCCGCCTGCTTCCTCGAAGGGTAGTTAATCTGCGTCTCTTTGCCCTTCTTCAACGAGTGCTGGAGCTTGTTGTGTACCTATACCGCACGTATCAGAACCTCCTCTTCGCGACCCGAATTTATAAACACTGGAGAACTGACCTTTGACGAATTAGGCTGCTTGTTATTAGGGAACCCAGCCATCTTAACCTGTGCAGCCGTCGTCGACTCGCCCTTTCCTCTCTGCCCAGCCTTCTGCACAGCAACCTTATACTCCCTGTTCGCGTTGGACGATTGCTGTCTATCCAGATGCCAGTTACCCTTGGTCAGGACTGTCTTTTGCGAGCTTCCCGGAGCGGCGGCGATGGAGAGCTTGCCGCCTTTGTGAGCGTCTTTGATGAACTTTGAGGCGTCCTTTTTTTGGGCGGCGTTCATTGACATGAAGGGGCCCTGAGAGATAGACAGCTCAGTCAATTTGAATGTGGTTGGAAGGAGAATATACGGTACGCACGGTTCGCTCGTAGATGTCATCAATGAAGTCTGCCAATCGAGCCTCAAGGTAGTCGGCGATCTCGACTTCACGGGCGGCAAGGGCGCTGAGGATTCAAGTTCGTCTGTCAGCAAGTGGACGATGCGACCAACGTATACCACTCACAGCTCATCGTCAAAGTCGAACGACCTGCGATAGGCACGACCAGCGACAGCAGAGGTGGCAAGGAAGAACACGGCAGCGGGGGCAAGAGTGAACTTCATTATGACGGTGAGAAAGTGTGAAAGTAGTTGAAGACGTTGAGGGTAGGTTTGGGAGCGTGGATAGATAGGTACGACCTGCGTTTGAATGGGTGTGCTCGATGTAACAGACCTGCTGTTCGATGGGGAACGAATACAGGAAGACTGCACTCCTTTTATATCTGTTGTCTGGCAGGGAGGGAGCCTTATCTCGGCGGCTTCAAGTTGCCGTCTCCTGTAAGTAAGTATTTTCAAAATCTCTGTTGGATCACCGCCCATAGTGTCACAGCTCCATGGCAGCCATCCGCGGCCGATATGTACTAAGGGCCACGAGGCCGAAACCAGTGGAGACACGTTAAAATACATACATCCTGACGCCAGTCTTGACACAAAGCATGTGGACCGCAAGGCGGTGTGCGAATGCCGTTGTAATACCATCCGTAACGCTCTATTCAATGCAGTGAAGATTCCAGATTTCAAATTGCAAAGGACGACCCCGTGTCCACGAATTCTACAGTTACATTTGCATGAGCCTTCGACAGGCCCCTACTAGTATACCATCTAAATTGGCCAAGCCGGATGCTGGACGACCTTAAGCGAGTCTCAACATTGACCACTCGGCTATCTTACAGTTCATCGTCCCCATGTCTATTTTTAGATACGTAACCCATCTTTGGCTCTCCATTGTCACGACATTGTCGGAACTGCAACTGCTGATGCGGGAAGCTGCCGTGATGACGGTCGCAATCTAAGTCCTTCGACACACAGCCCAGTCGAATCGCATCACATATCAGTGTGTCAGTGTCATGATCACTGCATCTTCTTCTTCCATTTGGGCGCTCGATTTCGATTTGGATTACATAGATGGTTCTATTCGAAAACCCTATCGAGATGGATTCTCAGCTGAACAAAAGCTCCTTCATTCAATCATCACCCCGGTCCAAGAACCTTACATTCGAGTCTCCGAACAACTTGAAAACTGCGCAACGCGTAACCTACTACAGTAGTACTACCTCCATGTCTTCCCAATCCCGTCTACTAGTAGACTTCCCACCGGAAATCTTCCCCGTGGTGGCAGGCCACCTCCCTCTCTACGCCACACCCCCAACCCTCCTCTCCCTCGCCCAAACCAACCGGCACATCTCCCAAATCACCCTCCCCCTCCTCTACTCGCACCTCATCCTCAAAAACGAATCCGATGCCCTCTCCGTCATCCACCAGATCCTCGAGGAGCCTTCAAAAGGCCATTTGGTGAGGGGCATCCACATCCGCTCTGCACTCTCCAAAGGAGTCCGTGAGGACCCTAACGGCCTTGATGTCCTCAAAGGCTTGGAGAGGCTGATCACGATGGGCGCTTTACCCTTCATTCATACCCTCGAGTTTCATTTTGAGGGGTTCTCGTGGTGGACGGACGAGGATGGTGAAGCTTTCTACGGGTTTGGAGAGCCTAAAGCGCCGTTCTGGGAGGGACTGAAGAAGAATTGTCCGCGGTTGCACACCCTGACTCTCACCAATATCGGTGATAGCGACGATAATCGATGGTTGGAAGAGTCTGGTCTATTTGAAATCGAGGTAGGCTTTCAATACAAAACTCGACGTCTGGGATTTTAGCAGTAGTTGAACACCACATCTTACAGAACATCCGTAACCTCACTTTACGCTTCTCCCAAAGCACACTCACCGAAACCGGGAACCAAAAACTCCTTCAAACCGTGTCCAATTTGGCACCCCGCCTGCGCACGCTCAACCTAGCTCCCAACTCTGACACAGACGAGTGGATGAAGATGGAGAACATCCTGGACTTTACGTTCCCCCATCTCGAGTCTCTGACGCTCAGCGCGTACGTCCTCGAGGACACAGCCAAAGCCATGGCATTCTGGGAGCGGCACCCCACTCTGGAGTACATCAACCTGAGTTATGGCGACGAAACACCGCGGTTCGCAGAAGGCGTTCATGATGTGGTGAACTTCCTGCCCAACCTGAGACACCTCGTCGTAAGTATCCCCAGACCTATCAACAACTCTACTCTCTATTAGCGAATGCATCACTGACCTTGATCCCACCTAGGCTCCATTCCGCGACGTCCGAAACCTCTCACCTCTCCTCCCACAACTAATCAGCCTCACAATCCTCGACAGCATCAACGCCCAAGTGCCCTACCTCCTCCGTTCCGTCCTCCAACCCTCCGCCCTCCAACCCCCCAACAGCACCGGTACCACCCCTAGCCTCCCCATCCTCCAAAGCCTCAACATCATCCAAGACGGCGAACCCTACGGCAAAATATCCCACCTCGAGGGTTCACACTGGTACGAAACGGCCGAGGGCGAGTTCAAAGAAGCGCCCGAGAAGAAGGGGCAGAAGTTTAAGAAGAGCGTGCTGAATGGGTATATGCATTCTATCGTCCGTGCGGCGCCGAATCTTGTAGAGTTGGGGTTGCAGGCGTCGGGTTTGGATGTGTCCAACTACGTGAGTTCTATCTTTTTCTCTCTCTCTGATATAGCGATTACATCCATGATCCATGCTAACCGCCATTTCAACAGGACAAACTCATCCCCGACCTCGCACAACTCAAAAACCTCCAGCGATTCTGCTACCGCGACCAACACACCCACCTCTCCGACCTCGACTCGGACCAAAAAGAAGAATTCAAATCCAAAGCCCGTCTGGCAGCCGAAGCCTGCCCTCGCCTGACCATGGTCGCAGATATCTACGCCGACCCACCCGCGCGATACGTCACTGCACGCATCTTGCGAAAATTGGACGATGGGAGCGTGGATGATGTCGAGCTTGTCACTGGAGATGGGATGGTGATTGGACAGGAGGACCAGGCGTTCCCGAGGAGTAGTGAGGCTTCGTTGGTCTAGGGCAACCATCGACACTGTGGAAATGAAGGAAGGAAAACAGGAAAGGACTGCCACCGGGTTCGAAGAAGATTTGTTATAACGCAAAAATGTACAAGGTTCAAATGGGTTACAGATAACTTAATCGTACAACACTAGTTCTGATAAAATGACAAGCCTTGAAATGGGTCGTAAAAGGTCGTAAAAAGCCCAGTCCATTTAGAACGAGCGGTCGTCACAAAAAAAAAAAAAAAAAAAGATGCAAACAAACATGCGAAAGATAAAAGCTGATACAAAAGCCAATGTAGATTCAGACAACGCACTGATCCAACCCTCAAGCCTCTAACCCCAACTCTAAACCACCTCAAGTTCTAACCGTATCCCCACCCTCAGGCAACGGCACAGTCCCCACCCTCCAACTCCTCACCAACTCCTGGCCCAAGGTACTATCCGGACAAACGCCAGGCTGAGGGGGAGGAACTGGCGCAGGAACCTGAAGAGCCGAGGCTGAACCGCTCCTGCTATGATGATGCCCTGAACCACTCCTCGATCCGCTTCTACTGCTATGCTGACCCAAACCATCACCTCCCCCAGAAGCCGCACTACGATGACTATAGCTGTGACTGTGGCGATGATTCGATTTCAGTTGCGGCGAGGAAACAGAGTATGAAGACGATGTGACCTTCGAGTCCGCAACAATTGAGTTGGGGGTTCCCCCAGTCAGAGCGACGGGGAAGGACTGCAAGGGTGCGTGAGGTGTAGGAACGGGAGAGCTCATAGGCGTGGCGTACATCGACATCGTTGGTGAGGTAATCGTTGAGGAGGTAATTGTCGGTGAGGCCGGGGTTCCCGTCGACGCAGGCGGGGTAGGATATTGGGGAACATGAGCCGGAGAAGCACCAGCTGCCGCCGCTCGAACTTGAGCAGGACTCATAGGCGCAGTAGGCGAAGGCACCGCACTCGTCGGCGCAGTCGACGTCGTGGAAGTAGGCGTCGTGCCACCACCCCCACCGCTCGAAGACGCCGACGTAGTCGTACTAGAGGTCGAATTACTCTTAACCAACCCCTTCCTCCCAATAAACGCAGCAAACGTCGCAGAGAGGGAGGTCTTCCTCGTCCTCGGCGCGGGTTTAGCTGCGCCGGACGAAGCGCTATGCACAGACACCGACTCCCCCGCTTCCGAAGGCGTAGAGGATTCGGGGACTATACTAGGTGGAGATGGCCCTGTGCTCGGTGCAGAGGGTACGGTAGGCTGCCCTATCGGCCCACCACCAGGAGACGAAGGCGTACTCTCCGTCGGTGCTTCAGTCTCTCCATCGCTATCGTCGTCTCCAGTTCCAGGCGCTGGCACCTCCCTCCTAGGCTGGTTTGGCTGAGGTTGGGAAGGCGTCTCGTCCGTCGGTGGAAGTGGTATAGGAGCCTGCGCCGCCGGACTCTTGGGGAATGAATGGTCCCACCACGTTCCCGGGATGAGGGCGATGGGGAGGAGCCAAGTTGCAGTCATGATCACGCCGTTGCCTAATCGAAGATCCAGCAGTTAAAAATCAATATGGATATAGGTATGGATGAGGAGGAGGATAAAGGTACTCACCAACATCATAACTCTTAATCTGCTGCCAGCTCCAGCTAATAAACGTCCCAATGTATCCCAAATACGGGGCCAACCGCTATCACACAAAAACCACCATCAGTCAACAATCGACTTCTCTTTTCTCGCGAGGAAAAGCGACCAACGATATACGCACCTGCAACAACAAAACAGTAGGCTGAACAGCAATCGGCAAACTAGCAACGGGGATATTGTTGAAGAACCACGTCAGAGCAGTCGTAATCATCGCCGCTCGTTTCGTCGCTTCGACCGTCTTGTCGGAGAGGATGAGGAGGACGGGGGGTGGGAGATACCTGTGTGTCCAAAGTTCCAATATGTCATCGTCAGTTCCAGCTGCTCGTCCAGGAGGCTCGAAAGAGAGAGGGGAAGAGGGAATAGAGAAAGAGAAACTTGAAAGAGAAACGCGAATCGAGAAACTCAAGAGAACCCTTTAAAACAAAATAGAGAAACGCAAGAAAACGAAAAGCCACAAATCCACGAAAGAAAACTCAAGAAAACTAAAAAAACTCGAATAAAAAAAAAAAACTCACAATCGATACCCCCACCAAAACACCTGCACGCTCATCTTCTCATTACTCGGCGCCCACGCTTTCTGTTCCAAAATCCTCACATGGCGCGTCCGTCCATCCGGTGAAGTGTACGTCCGATACGTGGCTTTGGCGGCGTAGGCGTAGTTGTAGGCGTTGTTGTGGGTGGGGAGGGGGGAGGTGGGGACTTGGAGGGAGGTGGTAGAGGCTGCTGTCGACGTGGTCGCGCTAGAGGACGCGCCGAACCATTGCCACATCCCAGCAGCTGGACGCGGCATCCAGCTCCAAGCTTTCACCTCAGGCTGCTGCTGTGGTTGAAGTTGCTGTTGGTGCTGCTGCTGAGCTGGTTCCTCCACGTCACCATCCAGATCCTCCTCCACCCAAACGCTAACGAGGTCTCCCATCTCCACTAGGTCGCGCTGTCCAGGGAGAATGGGAGAGTACAGCATGATACTGCTTCCATCCGTGAAGATACCCTCCTTGTCGTTCGGGTCTTCGTACCACTCTTCGTGCTCGTGTTCGTGATCTTCGTCCTCCACCTCGCCCTCTCCCTCCCCCTCGTCTTCCACTGGAGGAAGAGGTATAGTCCCACCCGGTGCGCCTGATCCTTCGTCCTCAGGCGGAAGCGGGATCGTCCGTCCAGGAGTGTACGGTGTAGGAGGAATATGCCCAGTCGTATCATACGACTCTAAAATATTCCATACGCTCCTCTTCTTCCTCTCCCTCCCACCACCTCCAGGCTTGCCACCAACCCCCTTCCCCCTCCCACTTTCACTCCCGCCGTTCATAGCAGGCGCCCGCCACAACCATTCAAGGACTTTATCCACCCCCTTCGCATGCTTGATCGCCTCAGGTACGGCGTCAGGCGGGGGGAGCGGTTTGCCTGTCTGCTTATCCCTCTTGGGCGTGCGCGGGGGCGGCGGCGCCGGCATACGCGTAATAGGATTCGGACGCGGCGAGCCGGGGTACCAACTTCCTCCTCCCCCTCGAGGACTCCCCGGGTACCGCGACCTTGGCGAACCGGGGAAACGACGATGGGGGGAACCTGGGTACGGGTACCCTGCGCGTGGGGAGCCGGGGAAGCGTCGGCGTGGTGTACCAGGCGCAGGTGTGGGTGGGCCAACGTCGATGTTGGGATCTGGGTCGATGGGGTGCTCCCAGACTGGTGGCGGGGGAAGGCTGTCGATTAGTTCTTGGATCTTGCGTGCGAGGACGGTGGGGTCGGAGAGGTCCTCCTCTTCTTCCTCCTTCTCCGCTGGTTCTTGATTGTGGTTGGTTGGAGGTACGGAGGGCTGACCGTCAGACGAGGCTGCGACGACGTGGATGCTGGGCAGAGGGACGGTGTTGAGTTCGGGGGAGTTGGGTGGTGCAATGGTGTGCACGACGGGTGTAGGCGGTGGTGCGCCCGAAGGCGTCGAGTTGTGAGCGAAGGGATTCGTATATCGAGAAGCGAGTGGGATGGTCCTGCCTGGAGGCGAGGTGAATCCCAGATCCGCAGCGGTCATGGGTTTAGGCAGAGGAGCGTTGGGCGTGGCTGGAGTAGTAGCTGATGTTGGAGTGGTGATGGAGGTATCTGTGGCATCGCCTGAAACGGAGGAGGATCCAGTATAGTTTGTGCTATAGGACGAAGAACCGACAGGGGTATCGTCCTCGTCGCCCTCTGCAACCATACTGAGCAACTTGGCGTGCCCTCCACCTTTCTGTCCCTGGGCTTGAGGAGGTTTCGACAAGACGGCTGAAGCTGATGAGCTAAGTTCGGATGCCAACGAAGAGGTCGAGCGAGAGCCCATGTAATAGAGCAGTTGTGGCTGGGGTTTGGCTGGTTCTGCGTTGTTTCCATCCTGCGTGGGCTTCGAAGCTTCTGGTTCTGTTGGTACAGTGCTTCCACCGAGGAAAGAGATGCTGGAGGTGGTAACAGCCGTCACTTTCTTCCAAAATCCACCGACGCTTTGAACTGAATTCTTGACCTTGCGTTTCGACGAGGAGGCGGCCGAACGGAGCGAAGAAACGCTGGAGACTCGACGTAGCTGTGTTGCTCCTGCAGAGGCTAGTGGTTCTGCAAGACAATGAGCCATCGTATTCAAAGATCATTCAAGAGTGCCAAACTCACCTCGAGAAACAGGCTTGGGATCCATAGAATGTCGACGTCCATGGGCCTTGATCGACGCTCCGCTGCTCGTCGAGCTCGCAGAACCCTTCACAGACGACGTCGAAGTCTGCTCAGAACCCGTTTTCGAGGCCGCATCGTTGGCAGGAGGTGCAGAACCAGACCCTCCAAACGGGAAGAAAGTGCGCTGCACAAATCGCTGCATGAAGCTCGACGATTCGGCCATCTTTCTTCCTTCGCTTTTTCTTGTTCCGACGCCGTTTGTTTTGGCGCTCAGCAGCAGTTCATGTCCACCTCCAACGTCCTGTGAGCGGTGAGAAGACGATGAAGAGGAAAAAGTGTGAGAACGGAGAACGTGGTCGAGGAAGAAGCGCGAACTGCAAGGCGCACAGAAGCGGGAGTGAGGGAACGACTTGCTTCATCGGGGTGATCCCGCGCCACGTGGGCGAGTAATTATCCCCCTATTTTTCCGACGCGTGCAACGACGCGCCCTCGTTCATCGTCCAACAACGCATAACCTGAAAGACACTCATAGAACAGTCAATCCAGGACCACTTTACATGTCCTTGGATGAGGAGAGCTACGCCGGCAATCACCTCATATCCTTGGCGGCAGGGACATGTCCTTTCATGCCACCGGATCCACGTCCGTCTCTTCTCTAAAAGGAGTTCTCTAAACCTGTGCGAGCAACCACCACCTCAACATGGAAGAGAGCTCAATAGCCAACCTCCCTGAACGCCCTCTGACAACGCCAGCCCAATGGCCGACCAGAAAGGGCATCGAGATCCTTTATCCACCGCACTCCAAAGTCTACATGCTCTTGCATGAAAGGGAAGAGACTGAACTCGTAGAAGGGTCAGTACAGCTTTACTACTGCAAGGAAGAAGATAGGAGGTATTATTATGACGAAGAAGACGAATGGCGGACTCTGCGGACCCGCGTTGTTATGTGGAGGAGACGGAGATTTTTGGAGATTTACAAAGGGTTTATCGAGGTCGGTTTCTTTCAGTTTATTATTCGTCACACTACCGAGAGTACTGTACTGATGAAAGGAAAATATTGACAGGGAAACCTTGACTTGACGTGACGCCACGAACAGGTTCGTTGACTCTCTCTCCTTCCGAACACCCTTTAACTTACCGCGACTATTGCCATTAGAGATGGAACGAATACATCCAGGGATTCGAAGAATACATGTCACACTTCCATCAGGTCACGCCTATGATTGAAACAACCGTCAATATACGCAAGCTATCTATATTCTCCGTGCAGATGGAGTACCCAGAAACATCATGGAAAATCAAACCCGAGGGCAAAGACCTTTTCGAAGAATGGCTCCTTCGTTGGGATATCGATCCGGATAATTGGTCTATTGACGCATCGGACTCGTGTAAGTGCTACAGTATCACTCGCCATAAGGCGGACAGGATGTGTAGCGCTAACACGTATCTTCGCAGTGAAAGTACATAAACTATGGCTCCAGAATCGGGAACCCAAGTTCCAAAGGTTGAAGCTCCCCGACCTGCAACAGGACGTTCACGAAGAGATATTCGACCGATGCGACGACCAACAGCTACTAGCGTTATCTCTATTTAGAGGGAACAAACCAAGTCGCCCCGCAGGTCGAGACTACGATCTTCCACCCACTCTTCCGCCAATGCTGCGACCTCCTGACTCCGAGCGTTCTACCCAACTTGACTTGCCTCAGAGTATATACTATCGTAGTGGAGTGGGATTAGCAATATTAGTAGGATTACACAAAAGAGTGGGATGTTGCCGCAAAAGAGTGGGATTGATATCAGCTGCGGCTCCCTTCAAACTCAGTGTATGAAGACGAAATGAAGACGCGCCAGAGGCGCCAAATACAATATATCCCCCTCCCCAACCTCTAACCACTAACCCCAACACTAAAGCCCAACCCTAAACCACACTCTAACCCAAACCCCTACCCTAACGGCTGCGCTACGCGCAGCGACTAACCCGAACTCTAACAGCCGCCCTTCGGGCGGCGGGGCTATCGAGCGAGAGGAGGCGCGAGCAAAAGAGTGGGATGATGGCGTGATCCCACTCTTTTGTCCCAATCCCACTCTTTTGCTCGCCATCCCACTTTCTTTTCCAATCCCACTCCACTAAAATTGTCATCGCCCCTTGCCTCAGCATCACCCACGCTCGACTGGGCGCACCGTTCCTCTCCGCCACACGCTCTCTCTGAGCGGGTGCACCATCCCCATAGGGGCGTTGCGCACACTCCTCCAGGACTCCCTCCCCGAGTGCAAGATCGCCAACCTCCATTTACAATTCTCGAGACCCGAGGCGAACTCGATAGCCTCAGCGACGCCGTGGTACATCCTCCGCATCTGCCCGGACGTGCGCAACCTTTCTGTGTCCCTCCTCTCGACCTTGGACGACCTCGTGTTCCCTCCGCACCATGTATACTCCAAGTTCCGCTGCATCGAGGTGCTGGAATGGCTTTCTGTCCACCAACTCCATCCTGATGGCATCCCGCGGCTGGCAGAGTGGTTATCTTCTCGGCCTACCGCGCCTAACGGCAATGGGGACCCCAGTCAGTCTGAAACCCAAGCAGAACGCGATTCATTCAAAGGCCTCACACACTTCAAGATCTCCCATACATCCCAAATCCCACCGCAATATACAGGCCTCCTCATCGCCTCCCTCCACGCAACCCCCTCACTGAAATTCCTCACCCTCGAGGGGCTGCACCTGCACTCCTCCATCCACTCCCTCATCCGCGAAATATCACTAGCCTGCCCAAACCTCGTCGCCCTCAAACTCGTCGCGCGGACAAACAACACGGGCACAATGCAGAACCGCACGGCCTCAGGGGAGGTCGCAGTGGTCTGGCCGCACCCCTCGGGGGCCTACGCGCCCGCCTTGGGGGGACTGAAAGCCCTCAAACACTTTGCGTGGAACTACAAATTGGTGGATGGAGATGCTACGCCGTTTGCGTTGGAGTTTTTTGAGCGGGGGGTTAAGCCTTGGGAGCGGCCTGGACTGGATGAACAGGAACGGCTACGGGAGAGTCTGGAGGGGGAGGGGGAGAGTGACTCAGTGAGGAGGAGGAACAATGGCCTTGGTACGTCCCCCACGAAGAACTCTGGTTCGACGATGCGGACATGAGCGTCCTGCCGTTCGCCGTGCACTGTCCTACCCTCCAGACCTTTGCGTCCAACTTTGTTATTGCGCCTGTTTATGAGATTGTTTGGGGCCCGCGTGTCAAGGAGAGTCTTTTATGAATGAAGGAGAGTCGTCTTCTTCGAATGCGGGAGCACGAGCACGAGTACAACAAGCACGACTCGGAGTCGGAGGGTCCGATCGCCAACGTGTGGTTGGAGGATTTGGTGGTCAGGCGGGTTCGGGCGTTGCATTGGAGGGAGGATCTTATTGCTGATAACCCTGATTTTGGGGTTTATGGACGGGGCCATTGGCCGGATGTTTAGACTCTTTATAAGGTCGAAAGGAGCTGAGGTGTCGACGCCTCCTTCTCAATGAGCTTGTGCATTTGTATGTTCGATGTCCAAGCTGCCTTCGCTTCGAAGGGCGCGCTGAGGATGCAGGTAACCGACCGCTTTCGGGGTATATTTGACTGAGGGCGAGCCCCTACTCGACCTTTTTGCGCTGCTTTTATCTGGTTTTTACTATAATAAGCATCCAGAAGGAAGGTTCTGTGTCAAGTTACTCTGAAAATCTAATACACCGAGTCGAAATACGGAATGATTTCAAGCAGATCTAGACGATTATTAAACTCACCATCCTTAAAAAATATTCGATTTATTTCAGATCTAGACAGGGCTCCCCTACTCCCTGAAATCCGTCGCCATTTTCAGAATGGGGTACAATGATGACGACTGTCGCAATCTCCTAATACACAGCCCATTCGAACTGCATCACAAGTCCTTCTCCGCAATATTGTATACTTGGATGTTCCCTTGTCAGTTTTCCAGTTGAGATGGATAGGGTACTGCGCGGGCGTCTTGAGGAGGTTATCGACGGGCCCAAAATCGAGTCTACATCAGTAGCGTTGGGAGTTCTGACAATGGGAACAGAGTTTGGTGATGTGTGCGATCGTGCATGGGGAACATGGCAGATGGAGATATATTAGTTCGTTGGCTGTTGACACTTGGTCCAGGCCGCCCAGCCCGAATCAGATAGACGCCCGTTGATAAGCCGGCAATGTACCCTCATGAATCCCACGGTGGAGGTAGTCCTGCAGCAGAGCTCACGTACACTCCTGCATCCACTCCATGCCAACGTTTTTGGAACCGGAGTACGAGTGTATCTTGAAGTCTTGTGGCCCAATTGTCGGGTGCCATGGTGTTTATGGGCGGTGACACTAAGATTCATGGTAAACGTTAAGGACTTGCATGACGGCACCTTGTAGCCCGAGCAGGGTCGCTAATTCACTCCGACAGCAGTATATAATGAGGATAGGGTTGGAAGATTTGTTCCACATCGAACAGCTGGCCTGTTAGTTACGCAAGGTCGTATCCACACCGATCCAATCAGTACCTTCAACTCCTTTCAAATACCCGTCATCATGAAGTTCTCCTTTGCTCCCACTGCAGTGCTTATGCTCGCCACCTCTGCTATTGCTGGTCGCGCTTACCGCAGGTCGTTCGACTTTGAAGACGAGCTGTGAGTGTGCTTTGACTTTGGTCGTATCGTCCACTTGCTCACAGACAAATTACAATCGCGACTGGTCAGCGCCCTTGCCGCACGAGAGCTCGAAATTGCCGACTACCTCGAGGCTCGATTGGCAGACTTCATCGACGACTACCTCTACGAGCGAGCCGTGCGTATCCCACCGACCAATAGGAGCCCGTTTCTGTAGCTAAACCTTGTTTCCCAGGGCCCCTTCATGGCAATGAACAACCAGAAGAAGGATGCGTCCAAATTCATCAAGGACGCCCACAAGGGTGGCCAGCTGAACACCGCCGCCGCTCCCGGAAGCTCGCAGCGGACAGTCCTGACCAAGGGCAACTGGCACCTCGACCGACAGCAATCGACGAACGCGAATGGAGAGCATAAGGTTGCGGTTCAGAAGGCTGGTCCGAGAGCCCAGGGCGAGTCGACTACCGCCGCCCAAGTTACGATTGCTGGGTTCCCCAATAACAAGCAGCCCACGTCGTCGAAGGTTAGTTCTTCCCTGTTCTTCCGGTCTGGTATGAGGGGTAGATGGAGAGTTCTGATTTGTGTGGTGTTGCGTGTAGGTTCACAATAAGCTCCAGCATTCGTTGAAGAGCGGTAAAGAGACGAGGATTAATTACCCTTCGAGGAAGACGGAGGCTCACAAACAGCGCATGGCACAAGAGCAGGCTGCGAAACGGGCTAAAAACGCCAAAAAGCACAAGGATGGTCAAGCTCGAGCCAAGAGCGGAATCTTCAGGAAGGGAAGGAAGTAGATATACCCTCCATACGCCTTTTGCGTGGTATTTTTAGGACTATGTGGTATGACAGTGCTACGGTAAAACAAAATCAAATGTATGACTGAGACGTTGTCGCCTCGTTTTTGACGAGAGGACGTGCTTTTCTCCTCGTTATCCTTGTCAGCATTCTCGGTCTAGATTATCGAAACAAATTCCTCATCTCTGCGAGCGAGTCTCGCAAATCCAACTGGCTCAAGTCGCGACTTTAGGCTTGCCTCAGGAGAGCAAGTTGCGAGTTCCGACTCGGGCTCTGGCGACCACGTGGGTCGTGTGCAAAATTTAAAGCACCGTCGCGTCACGTCGCGTCAGCCTTCGTCTCCCAACCACGATGGATCTCGCCCTGTACAAAGAGTTTCGCGAGGAGTGAATAACTCCAACTGCATTTTGAATTAGCAACTTGATTGACGAACCAACTCGACAGGTGCGATGCAGCATACCCAGAGAGCGTCGAAATCGACAGTGACCCTCCGAGGCGTCGTCCCCGTGGATTAGCCATTTACCCACCCCACTATGCCGCTGGGTTCTTCATTTCTTCAGAATGCGTGTATCAGACCTTCAAGGTCCCCCCTCCCGACCTTCTGGGTCTTGTCAATGACCGGGCCTGGAAAGAGAAAAGGTGAGTCGTCTAATACTGGGCCGCTGGTAAGTAACTGATGGTTAACCAATTGCAGGGGATCTGGAGTGAATTTCTCGATGATTCAGGTGACGCATTGCGACTATCTTGTTTGCTTCGCTCATACTGTTGACGACAAGAGGGACATGCAGGAGTGGCGTGAGAGGAGGGACGAGTGGTTTGATACCTTTTGCAGGATGCTCGAGTTGAACGAGGCGTCGAGAACGATTTTGAAGAGGAATTACAAGTGGCATCGCTTGATTTACCTGGACAAGTCAGTCGGAATGCCGCCCGATGTTTCCCTACAGTCTTCTACTGTGCTTTCCTAATTCCCAAATGTACCGCTCTATGCTGCGACTGGATGACCACTAATATTCTTCTTTCGTACATTGGTGCGCTCCAACAAGTAAATATGCAGTCCATACTGTTTTGCGAATCGATGTCACGGTATCTAGTAGGATATGGCGTATGAGATGAAGCAATTGAATTAGTGACGGAGGTGTGGAATCGATGCCTCGTTTTCGATGGAGCTCCTATAGTAGTTCTCAGTTCGATGCTCCACATCCTTTTCTGTCGTTACGAAGTGCACGATGCGTGGCATTGAGGCAAGCCCAACTCTGGGGTGCATCCTTCCTCGGCACTTTTTATGATAAACGCGCCCAGCCAGATTGCTCAAGGGCTGTCGCTCGTCAACTTCAACCTTCTCAGAGGAACTGGGAGATAGGTAGCCAAAGAGTTAATGGCACAGTGGGCGTATCTGTCTTATTACTGGCAGTAAATAGCACTCTGCGGGTGTCTCAAGACACATGAATTCAACTCACGCCGTATCCGGAACATCGAGTACCTGTCAACGGAATTCCTAGGCACTTACTATTTATAAAAGTTACCAAATCGAATTCCTTGGATCTGGATTGAGTTTGAATTACAGACGGGTTCCTGCCATGTGCTGTGGAGATAGGGACTCGTGTCCTTATCTTGTGACACCTCCCCTCTCGTGTACATGCAAGTTTTATCCAAGTTCGGTCGTCGACGGAGGATGCATGTTCCCTTGCCAAGTAATTTAGACGCCCGTTGCTGCGCCTGGTACGGGCTGATCGGTTTGCGAGGTAGTATATAGAGTGGTCCTTTTCAGCAAGTGTTCCTCAGTCTCCCTTGAGTCACTTTCCCCTTCGGACGGAACCTGCCTCAACTTGCCAGCTCAGTCTAATCTCAACGCTTAACATGAGTGTAAGTCGGATCCCGTCCGACGAGTCACGACGGGCGTGCTGCAATATGCAGCTCTTGTCTATGGCCCGAGCCTCCTATTATCCATTCCCATTTGCATTACTCACTACGTCCGTCTTAATCACTAGGGTGACTTCGCCAAACTGAATGAAGCCCAGAAAAAAGAGGCGAAAGCGTTTATAAACAAAGCACACTCGAAGGGAAAACTCCCGAAGGCTGCTGCGGCGAACCCGTCGCAAAAGACCATCTTTTCCGAAGGCGGCTTTCGTCTTGAACGACGGCAGGCAGTCCCCAATGACGGTGGGGCAAGAAAGGTAGCTGTCGAGCAGAATGGGCCCAGGAACGGTCGGAGTACGACTGTAGCTCAGACTAAAGTGCTCCCTGGATACCCTACCGATTCAGTGCCGCCTTCTGGAAAAGTAAGTCTTCCTTATACCACAATTCGGCCTTTTAATTTAACTTCTGATGATGGACTCACTTTGCTATAGATTAGGAATAGATTGCAGGCCTCCTTGAAGTTCGGAAAGGAGACCTATATCAAACCCCAGAGGCGACTCGATCATGATCGGCGCGTGGCTGAAGGTCAGCAGCAGAAGAGAGAGACACTCTTGAAGAAACACAATGAAGGTATAATGGCCAGGGCTGCCGCTGGTAATACGAGGAAAGGGAAGACGTGAGCCAGTGAATGTGCAATTGCATTATATCACTCTTTTTGAAGGCCTGTTTGAATTGCGATCGACCTGTTCTGGCCGGGAAGTGGGTTTGAAGTATGCATTCCGATTCTTTCGCCTGTACAATAGTGGTGTCATTCGCGCTCGAGTCTTTACCTTTACGCAAAATGACGTACATTAGGGTACCATACTGTATACTATGGAAAAGTACAGCGATATGTTATCGTTCGGATGTCTTTCCGTTTAACTGAATCCGTCTAAGGAGGAGGACCTTGCACAGGCCAGATCCAGCCTCGAGAATCAGCGCCAACAATTGCATCGTAGAAGCACCTTCCAATGCGCTCGTATGCAGCGTCATTAGGGTGTGTACCATCCGGTAACTCATTCACCGAAACCAGTCGTCCGCAGTCGGCAAAGACCACTGATCTCCCCTGGTTAACCCAATGTTGAACAACGCCCGGAATCGCCGCATTGAACGCATTGATCCTAGCATTAGCCGCTGCATCCCTATTGGGTGGCAACGACGAAACGACGACGAGGGTCTGCGGGGGAAAGTTCAAAACCCCGCCAATGAGATGGCTAAGTCTCGACGGCGCGTTGATAACGTCGATGTTCCTAGTCATATCGTTCGTTCCAACGAGGATGGTGGCGATGTTCGGGCGGTTCCTTGGCATGGACTCGCGCATCTTGCAGAAGACTTCGTCGATGATGAGGCCGGGCCATCCCTCGGTGTCTTTGTCGTGGAAGGTCGATCCGGTGGCTGGGTTGTTGCCGACCATGTTGACGGTGTTTCCGTCCCTGGCGAGGAGGTTGTAGAGGTCATCACGGTAGCCGTTACCTTGACTGCTTCCTACACCGAAGGTAATTGAAGCTGCGTGAATGTTTATTATTTCGGTGAGATTGGGAGACGCGTCGGAAAGGATTCACTTACCACCAAGGGGCATGATCCTGCAGGTCTTTCCCGTAAATGCGAGGGCATTGGGAAGCACGCAGGCTACAACAGCTGCTAATTGAAGGAGAGAGCGCATGTTTCGACGGGAGGGGAACTGGAGGATGACCGGAAGATGGAAACTTGCATGCGACTTTTAAGGATCCTCACGAACCCGGGAGATCTCGAAACCAAGTTGCTGTGTTTCACGGTCATCACGGAATCACTCTAGTGCGGCACAGGGATGCATTTCCACGGGCGGGTTACTGTACAAGGCACCACGACGACATGGACTATTGACTGATAAACAACTGGTCTGTAGGGCGGCCGCGAGGCTCCTCCCGCTTTCAACGCAATCTCTGACGTTTGGCATAACGCAACCGCCAATTTCCTTTCCTCATGTATCATCACGGGAAGTTGTTGGTGTCTGAATAATCGCAATGTCCTTCCGAGCCACTTATTGGCCATCACGCTATCCATGTTGGCTGAACTTGAGATCATCCAGAGGTTCGCCTATGCATAGGGTAAATAGCCCTGACTGCAGCAGTTGAACGCCAAAGGTTGATTCGTTCGTTCACTTGGGATTGGGAACTCGTGATCATGGAGGTGTATCATTTCGGGCGCTCAACCAAGCGCCGGGTCTAAAATGCCGATCCGTGGAGAACGGAGTGGACATACGGACATTGCGAGCTTACACTGTTAGTCGTCTCTCGTTGGCCTCCCCCGGCCATTATTAACCATGGATCCCATTCATCATTCCGCTGTATCGCTCTCACCGCTGATGCTTGGTGGTCGGGAACTTCTGTGGGCCGCCTGACCCGAAGGACCCTCTGTATGAACCAAGTTCTAGCCTGCTCTATAGCTGCTAATCTCTCTGCACGTTCACGGAATGTATCAGGGCGCTCACAGCAGGCTCGCAGAGGCCTCTGTAGGCGCGAAACCGTTGGGAACCAAATAGGGGCTCCGGTGATTCGGTCCGGTGGGTTCCGGTGCCTGGCAGCGCGGCCGCGAAAGGGCAAGCTTGTCCTTGCCTCCTACCGCCGCGACACCGAAGTTCCAGGAAATCCGGACGCCAACCTAGACCCGTGCCATGTACCATTTCCCGTCTACAGGTGCATCAGGGCTGTCTAGCTCTTCAAGTAGCCACGGCAGCTCGAAATCTGACAGCAAACACACCAGCTTGAACGCGACCCAGTCCAAATCAGCATCGAATCCACTGTTCTTGAAGATCGAGGAGGAACTGCACGATGCGAGGAGAGTGAGGCAACATGGTCAGGAGGACGATCTTAGAATGGCGTTGGATATGGTTATCAGCAGAGTCTGCGAATTGGTACGCCGTTGGGTCGTTTTGGTAGGCGACCAAACCCTGAACGATGATTTTTCCAGTCCAACTCGCTAAGCGAAGCCTACAAGGCTCAAGCTGAACTGGAAGTACAGCTGAACGTCGCCAAGTCGAATCTGCAGCTGGTTATCATGAACAACGAGATGCTCGAGGAAGCGCTCAAGAAGAACAATGCGGCTGCACGGGATCTGGGTTGGCGGAGAAGCGGCAGAGATAGCGTTAGCAGCAACAATGGAGATCCCAGAGGCAGTTTGGAACGGTCGCAGTCGGTGGACTATCCACCAGATTCGCCTGCGTCAGCTGGGTCGGAGAGCAGATTCTTCAAGTTCAGGTTTTCTGGGAATTCAGGCCATTCCTCTACACGGCCCAATAGCCGACCTGGGACGCCCAACCTTTCTGGTAGGAATTATGCACCAGAGCCGTGTAGCCCGGAACTGACGTCCAACTCAGGTCCTAGCAACTTGACCTCGCCCTCGATGCCATCGCTCACAACTGTGAACCACGCGAAGGAAATCGAAGAACTCACCGCCGAGCTTGAAAAGGAGAGGGCCGCGAAGAAGAAGATCGTTCAGGAAAAGGCGGCCTTGGAGGATGAGCTAGAGTCGTTATCGCAGGCACTGTTCGAAGAGGTGCGTTACCCCGGTTCTGCTCCGCTCGTCTCTCAAACTGACTCCCGCTCAAGGCCAACAAGATGGTTGCACAAGAGCGCATGAAGCTCGCAGAGACAGAAGAAGAGCTCAAGGAGACCCGAAAGGAGAAGGAAGCATTACAGAGTGCCCTCCGCCTCCTCGACGACCAAACGCGAAGGCGGAATGACGGACACCTGAGGACGTCCAGTTCGGAATTCTCGTTGGTTGATCCTACGGATCATGAAGGCGACAGCTCTTCAGCTTCTGGTTCAAGCCCTTCACCTTCGCATCACCCTTCTAACTCAAGGACGCACTCCCGATCTTCCTCGCAAATTGGCGTCAAGTCAATCCCCGCATCACCCATCACTTTGTCCGGCAGTTCTCTTCCGCCACTTCCGCCCTCCCCTTTCCCGGATGGCAACCCACCACAACGACCCACGACGACCTCCGATGATTTAACGTCCTCAGTGAGAGGCCTCTCTCTAGAAGCACCGTCGTTAGACGATGGAGAGGAGGAATCGCAACCCACACCGAGAAACCAACCATCTACCGCCACGCTCCCCAACTCCGATACATTCCCTTCTTCGTCATCTTCGTCGACTGTAGGAGACCGTATCTTATCGTCGATGATGCTCGAAGGCATGGACGGCAGTTCACCCTGGGCCGATGTCCCATCATCTGCAACAACAACCTCGGCCCCCTCGTCGACTGAATTGGCCTCATCGCTTTCCGAGTCTGCTGCCTCCGCAGCTGTCTCAGGCGCCAGTCGTAAACTCTCCATGGGAAGTGGCGGGATTGGCAGCTCTGTCTCGATGTACGCCGCGTACGCTGATATGCGGTGATTCATCGATGGGTAGAGACCTTCTGTTTCTTGTCTTTCTTGTTGGACACCTCGTATTCTTGGTACACGGACCCACTTTTGTTGCATTCTATTATTGTCGTTTAGATTCCTTACCTCTCGCATATTGCGGCTCTGGTCCGCACGTTTCCCTCGTATCACATTGCATGGTTGCCGTCTCCGATTTCTTGTCACCGCCTCTTGCATTATACCAGCTAATACTACTGTGTTCTTGTCGTTTTCCCAGTATGTTACGTCTACGGGCTTCTTGTTGATTATGTTTATCCTTCAATTCGAAGGCTTCTGGATTGCATCCAGACGTCCCTCTATTGCGATTCCTAGCAATGACGCCATCTCACACAATGCTTACTGTACCCATATACCAGTATTCCTCCCATTCCTCCCTCTATTCCTTTCCATCACCACCATCCTTCGAAACCTACACCACCATGTCCAGCGATAACGACTTCTCGAGCGTCCCCGTGCTGGACTACTCCCTCGCCCTCTCCCCCAGCACTAAACCCCAATTCCTCACGCAGCTCCGCCACGCCCTAATCAACGTCGGCTTTCTCTACCTCTCCAACCACCCCATCTCCGGCATCCCCGCGCTCCTCGACTACATCCCCAAACTCTTCGCCCTGCCTCAAGAAGAGAAGGACAAAGTCGCCATGGTCAACTCGCCGCACTTTTTGGGGTACTCGAGGTTGGGGAATGAGTTGACGAAGGGGAAGGTGGATTATAGGGAGCAGTGGGATTTTGCGACGAGGCATGAGACGAGGTGGAGGGATGAGAGGGATCCGGATTATTATAGGGTTTGGGGGCCCTGTCAGGTGTGTATACAGTATGGTTTGCTGTGTGTGGTTTGGAGGAGCCCCTATTGATTAATGAGCGCGTATCCTGTGCGCCGCTTCTACCGTGTAGTGGCCGAATCCGAAGCTCATCCCGGGGTTTAGAGAGACGCTTGAAGGGTACCTCGATGAAGTACAGGAGCTGAGCTTAAAGTTTAGCTCGCTCGTTGCGGAGGCGTTGGGTTTAGGACCGAACGGTCTTGATAGGTTTTATGATAAACCTGAGCTGATGCAGCACCGGGCGAAGATCGTGAAGTACCCGGTTCCGCCTGATGGCCAGGGAGAAGGACAGGGTGTTGGTCCGCATTACGATGCTGGGTTTTTGACTTTTGTGCGTTCTGTTTTGTTCTGGGTTGGTGCTCGGAGGCTGAAGTTGCGATGGTGGACCTGTAGCTTCTACAAGCATCGGAACATAGAGGACTTCAAGTCCAGAACTTGGCAGGCGACTGGATAGACGCTCCGCCTATCCCTGGAACATTTGTGGTTAACATTGGCAAAGGTAATTTGGTCTCTATATCAAATCGCGAACGACATCACTAAGCTATTTATGAGTAGCTTTGGAGTTTGTGACGAAAGGCATCGCCCGAGCAACATCCCATCGTGTCCTGTCCCCTCGCGGATCGACGCCTCGATACTCTGTGCCGTTCTTCCAGAACATCTCGTTGACGATTAAGTTAGCTGAAGTGGACTTGGAGTGTGCGTCTTCCGTTCTTCCCTCGCGATCATTGGAGTCGATGCTGACGCTCTGACGATGATTTTAGTTCCACCTGAAATCCTGAAGTTGAGAGACGAGAGGGGGACGGTGGCCGCTACGGATTGTATGTACCCTCTCTTCCTCGAGGATCCCACTGGGAGGCTCACTGTTATTATCGCGTTTTTCCAGCTGTAAACTTTGGAGAATTCAACCGAGAACCATCAGGGAGGGTGAATCTCATTGGAAGAGTCAAGTGCGTACTAGTCAATCTTCTCCTTTTTCCTTTTTATCTTCCGTATTTTGCTCATATATTTCCTACCTCGTAGGAGTCATCCAGATGTTGGCGAGCGACATTACCCAGCCCTGTTCAAGGAGTTATTCCCGAATGGCTTCGAAGGAAAGGGGAGTGCGTATTGATAAGTGGGTTGACGAGGACCTTGGTTCCCGTTGTATGACTAGGATATCTGGCCTGTAGGGAGCGTTTTTACTTGTGTATTTTACTGGGAGAGACTATGGACTTCATTTTCGAAGTACTCGAGTTGCACCTTTAGGTTACATAGAAGAGGTTTCTCGTCTTCGTTTGAGATGGACCTGAGAGCCGAGCGTCTGCCAGAGCTCCGACCAATATTCCTCTGCCCGGACTTTGAAATCTCCAGGTGAGCGAGAGCGGCGACTCAATTGCTTGGCGAAAGTCGATCCTGCCAGCAGAAATCAGGCGGCTTTCTACCACTTCTTGTCCATGAACGCCACAACCTGAGCGCTTGCGGGGTGCATACCGGGTCACTGAGGCGCCGTCCACCTTTTCTCAAAGTAAAAATCCAAGGCTTTAGCTGTATATTGAATCAGTAGCTTTGATGCTCGGAAGCTGGAACGTTTTGAGCTCGAGCTTTCAAGTTGGCTTCGTGAGTGTGAATTCCTTGATCATATTCGTTCCGAATTATTAACCTGAGCCATCCTTTCATCTTTACAGCTACGACTGCTGCTCTCACTTCACAGAGCAAATGTCGGATTTAGACTCTTTGCAGCCGTCCTGCAGAGGTTGCACCTCCCCTCCCGTTGTGATGCCATTTGTATGTCCTGAAACGCCGATATCATGTTTTGATGGAGATGCTTGTCACCATCAGCGATTGGGTGCACCGCCAGTGGGTTATCCGCGCTGGTCGACGAGAGTCCACGATTTGCTCTTTCCTTCCTCCATCGCCCTCCCCAGCCGTGTTCGTCGAGTCCATCTTTACAGACGACTCAACTGAGCGACGCGCCAAACCTCGCACCTGATGCGCCACCAATCAATTCTCCGGGCTCTGCTGGTCATCTCGCTCGGATTCTTCCACTCTCTTGCACAACGACCTCCAGCGAAACGCAACCATGATACGCACGACTACTATGTTGTAGAACATCGACCTTCGACTGGAGTTCCCCTCGACGAAGTAACGCGGCATCTGGGGGTAGAATTGGTGGATCGAGTGGGCGAGTTGGACGACATATGGCTGGTTCGAGCGCCCAAAGATCCGTTCGCGACGTCACAGGAGCTGGAGAGAAGGGATGACGAGGTGATAGTACCACGGGGTGGAGACAAAGTTCTGGACAGCTATCGGCGTTTGCGAGCAAGCGCGCTCGACGGAGGACTTTCCCCCCGGTCAGAAGATTCACACCTACACCCAGACCAAGCCGCAAAACTCTACACGTCCATCTCGCATCTCGAAAAGCAAGAGCTTCATGAGCTCGATCACCGCGCGCCCCCGCCCATCCGCCGGCCGCCCACCATCGACTCTGTCATCAACAAATTCAACGTCGAAGACCCACTGTTTCCTCGGCAATGGCATCTTGTGAACGAGCGGTACCCGGAAAATATGATGAATGTCACGCCGGTCTGGGATATGGGCTACACGGGCAAGGGTATACTCACCGCGCTTATCGACGACGGATTGGACTACACAGCAGCTGATCTAGCCGAGAAATTCGTGCGTCTTGTTCATGTTTTGATAATTCACTTCCTTGAGCTCACATTCTATCACCACCATCAGGATGCAGAAAACTCCTACGACTTCAACGATCACGTCCCTCTACCTTATCCCAAGTTGGAATGGCAGCATCACGGCACCCGCTGTGCCGGCCAAATCGCTGCCTCTAAAAATAACGTCTGTGGTGTCGGCATTGCTTACGACTCCAGAGTGTCTGGTCTACGTATCCTGGGTGGAAGGATCACCACCGTCGACCAAGCCACTGCCCTCAACTACGGCTTCCAAAATGTCCACATCTACTCATGTTCGTGGGGGCCTCGAGATGATGGCACGAAAATGCAGGCACCGCGGTATATCGTCCGCAAGGCTTTCTTGAACGGGGTCAACAAGGGTCGAGGAGGGAAAGGGAGCATTTATGTGTTTGCTAGCGGGAATGGAGGCAGAAGTGGTGACCAGTGCAACTTCGATGGGTACACGAATAGTATCTACTCTGTTACTGTGGGGTCGGTGGATTACAAGGGTCTACATCCGACGTACTCGGAGACGTGTACCGCCAATATGATTGTGGCCTACAGCTCTGGAAGCGGTGAGCATATCGTAAGTTTGTTCATTCATCTGGTTTGATGGTTGGTTAAACACCGCGTTCCTAGGTCACCACAGATAGAGGCCAAAACGAATGTGCTTTCAGTCATGGAGGAACGTCAGCAGCTGCACCGAACGCGGCAGGCGTGATCGCTCTGGCCTTGCAAGCTCGGTAAGCATTGTTCTTTGCCGTGAATCAAACAGCGATCTCTGACAGCCTAAACCAGACCTGAACTCACCTGGCGAGACGTCCAACACCTCTGCGTCGAGACCGCTCGCCGAATCAACCCACACGACCGTGACTGGGACCGTACCGCGGCCGGACGCTACTACAGCAACAAATACGGCTTTGGCGTCATCGACGGCTCTCTCTACGTCCAGCGGGCGCTCACCTGGAAGCTCGTCGACCCCCAAGCATGGCTTCAATCTCCCACAATCCAGATCGACGGTGGGAGGATGGACGAGGAGCTCGAGTTTGATGGAGGACGGTGGATTGGCCCTGGTGGTGTCAACAGCACCATCTCGATTACGAAAGAGATGCTTGAAGAAGCGAACCTCAGTGCTGAGAAGGGCTTGGAGCATGTTACGATCAAGGTGTGGATTGATCATACGAGGAGAGGGGATGTGGAAGTCGAGCTTGTTAGCCCGAACGGTGTGAAGAGCGTGTTGGCGCAGAAGCGGGGCAGGGACGAGGCGACGACTGGCTACCCGGGGTGGACATTCATGAGCGTCAAGCACTGGTGAGGTTCCTTCCCCTCCGTCTAGAAATCAGCTGTTCTAACGTCGATGTTTCAAAGGGGCGAAAAGCCTATAGGGGACTGGACAATCCGAGTTTCCGACCAGCAAACCGATGCCGACGAGGGCTACTTCTTGGGCTGGAACATGATCCTCTGGGGCTCAACTATCGACCCCTCAAAAGCAAAACTATACGAGATGGACGAGTTGGACCGTGTTCTACCACCTGGAAAGAGCGGGACGATCACCCCGATGAGACCTGTCGTTCCTTCTTCCCATAACACCACCGACACTCCCGCTCCGCATAAGGGCACCCCAACGAAGTTCAAATCGCCTCCTCACGAGACCGCGAAGGCTAAGCCCAGTCCCAACCCCGTGCTACCCGCAACCTCCCAGAAAGAGGACGGGGATGGGGAGGAGAAGAGCACTTTCCACAAAATCAAGGACACGGCGATCGAGCATTCGTGGTTGAGCGGGCTGGTATTCTTCTTGTTCGTTGGCAGTATCATTGGGAGTATTGCGTTCTGCTGCTGGCGAAGGAGAAGAGGCGCAATAAACGACCAGTACGTCCCATTGAGTGCCGTGGAGGAGAGCGTTCCGATGGGAGAGATGGGAGCGGCAGCGGCTCGGGGAGGAGGACCACAGTATCGGGATGAGGATGCGAACGGACAGGCGAGGGAAGGACAGAGCCAGCAACCGGCGAATATGACGTCTGAACAGCTGGAGCCGAGAAGCATAGCGTAATAGACTTGGTGCAGATGCTTTATCTTATTTTTTCCTATTGTAATTTATGTGTACAACTAAACATGATTTCGTTCAACTTTCCCGCCAGGTCGAAAAGCGAAGCCACGAAGATATCCGAGCGTAAGTCACACTGAGACCTTTGAACGCTGTCGCATACTTCTGTGAAAGGGAATATTATAATATGGTGCAGAGATACATAGGGTGAGAGTGGTATCTTGCAGCGTTGACCATCGAGATAATAGCAAGCAAATGAGAGGTAATCAGTATTGGCTACATAGGGCTAGACAAACAGTAACTGGATACATCAGTACATCGACAGAAATCCGAACATAGCACGAGCAGAGCCTCACTGGGCTTTGTTAGTAAAAAGATAAAATGGCGTAGAAAAACAATCCGAGAACCGCCGATGACGACGACACGGATATGGAAAAGAGAGATAAAATCAAGCACATAATAGATCGACGATGTCCACATTGAAAAACTAGCGCTCAAAGCAACGAAAGCGAACGTTAGTCGAAGGCGTGATCAAAAAAGCAGTTGAAAGGGCGAAGTATTGATGGAGCATCCTATCTGACGAAGAGACCAGATGCACCTAGATCGTCTTCAAATGACGTGTCGCAAGCTCGAACAATCTTAGAGCTTTTTTGAGGGTAAGGAAGGGTGTGAAGAATCATGAACGCCCCGAGTCTAAGCACGCGGAGGCATATAGCTCCCTCGTCCATCACGAGGGTTGGGTCTACCATACTGCCCTCTGTCATAAGGCGCAGATGGCGGGGCTGGTGCCCGGCCACCCTGCGAGATGGACGGTGACCTCGGGCGACTGTACGACGAGTGCGGCGGTGGAGGCATATACTCCATCACCGAATCCCTCCTTCCATAATCACGATCACCGCCAACAGTACTGGCGGTCGAGGGAGGAGGATAGAAACTGCTGCTTCCGCCCGATGACGGAGGCGGTCCAGTCGGGCTGTACTCCCCAGTTTGGCGACGCATGGGTTCCCCTCGAGGTGCATAGTAGTCAGAAGGTGGCGGAGCAACCGGGTAGTCGTCGCGAGGACGTTTGTGAGGTGGACGAGAATCATCGATGATGGGACCGCTGCCTCGTCGAAGGGGACTGGGACTCCTAGCTCGAACACGGGAAGTATATGGCTGAGAAGGACCACCTGGGGGTGGTGGACGAGTTGGCGGGGCATATCTATCATCGATCGGTGGGGCGCCAGGGGGACCACCTGATAAAAGACGAATGTCAGTTGTCGGGGCATTCAGAAAACTTGAAAACGTACCTCTGGGATACCGAGCGTCTCGGTCACCAGGCCTGTCCCAAGCTTGTACAGGAGGCTGAGCAAGCCCATCTCGGTCATAGCGATCCCGGTCTAGTGGCGCCTCCCAGTGTCCACGATCCTTATAGTAGGTATCCTCTTCCCAACGTCGCTGAGCCTGATAGTTCGATGTCTGTTGACCGTACCAGTCGCGGCCCGCAGCGCCAGCTGGAGGTGCATTACCGTATCTGCGGTCGTCATAATGAGGATCCGCAACAGGCCGACTGGGTGATGGAGGCAGTTGCCTCGCTCGATCTCGAGGCACGTCCGGAGGGGGAGAGTACGGGCGATAGGAGCGACTGTCTACGTAGCGAGAATCGTCAACATCCATTCGATCAGGCCGCCTGTCGGAGTCGTAGGTAGGGCGATATATATTGGGAGGTGGTCGATAGCTCCGTGGTCCATCCCCCTGATGTCCGCGATAATCTCGTTGAACGGGAGGCCTAGGAAGGCCCGGAGAAGGAGGAACCCTTGAAGAAGGAGCGGAGCGATCATCCCGAGCGGGATGAGAACCTTTGGGGGCGGTTGGAGAACCGGCGAATCTATCAGACTGGCGGTCGTAGTTAGCTGGTCGAGAAGCGTCAGAAATGCTACCATTTCGATGAAGAGGTTTCTCGGCAACTGGGACTGCATCAGGGCCCACGGGAACATCGCGACCGTCGCGATTCCCGTCGTCGACTGCCGCGGGTCCTGGGGGTTTGGTGTCCGGTTGGGACTTGCTGGGCGAGTCCTGGTTCAACAGCGAGCGAGATCCATCGTTCCGAACGAAGTCCCGGTCAGATGCAAGGGGACCATGAGCGGCATCATCGTTCGGACCCCGTCCTGGTGCACCAGAAGTATCGCCACCAGCTCGGCCAGGTCCTCTCGGAGGATGATCATCGCCGGGGGGTACAATGTGCCGACCATCTTTGCCAGAGGGTCCGCGAGGGATGAAATCTCTGCCGTCGTACGAGTCAGTGGAAGGAATGAAGTCGCGATTAACCGGCGGTCGATCATCAGGGTAGGGGTTATCAAAGGAGGCTGGAGGTCGAACATCTTGAGGTCGAGGCTCAAGGTCAGAAAGGGAGATGGGAACTTCTTCGGTTTTGACAAAGTGATCGTATCTTCGAGGAGGCAGGACTCTGTCAGCAGGCGGTACTCTGTCAGCAGGCGGTTCGTAGTGTCGTTCTTCAGGAGGAGGCCGTCTCATGTCAGTATTATTACGAGGGAAACGATCGTAAGGTCTGCGATCAGCCCAATCCCTGCGATTCCTGTTGGCGAATTCTCGGTCTCGGTTATCTCTGTCGTAAGGCTTATCATCACGAGAGAAAGGCCCCGATGCGAGAGGACCGCGAGCATCGGGACCCCCGCGAGAAGATGGCGGCTGATATCCAGAGCCCGGAGCTAGAGGACGGTCGTGGTCATGTCTACCTTGCCAACCATTCGGGTGTTGACCTGGAGCCTCTCTGCTATCCACGTTTGGCTTATCGGGAAGATTAGACGACGGAGGAGGTAAGCGGCTCGTCGACTCAGACAAAGGGATTTCTGAAGTCGAGGGAAGCATATCGGGTTTAGAAGGAGACGCAGGAACTTTGGAAGAAGGCCCTCCCGCACTGTCTGTAGGGATATCAATCCCTGTGGGAGAATAGTCTGGAGACACATCCATCGCATTGGGGTCTTGGGGGACGGTGATAGTAGGCTTTGTCGGAGAGGTCTTGCCATTCAGATGAGGAGCATCTTTCGCTCCTGCTGGTGCTTGGACGTTGTTGGAAGGACCGCCATTCTGAAGGCAATCAGTCGACGGAGAGATGGAAGGAAAGAAGAGAACTCACTTGAGGAGAAGCGAGTTCATTTCCGTTCGAAACCGAGGCTCTACGGTTATTAGACTCCCAGCTTTCCTTGTTCTTCAGACGTGGTGGTCGTCTGGTGTCAACAGGGGACGTCGAATCAGGGCCAGGTGCGTCATTTTTCGGGGCCCCGTTGGCTGCATCAGGATTCGCGGGTCCCTTTGGTGCAAGCCTCTCAGCTAACTCTGCTTCAGTGGTCGGAATTTTGCCCAAGTAAAGCCTAGCCAGTGATTCAGGTTGCGGAACTGCACGGTAGAATTGGTGTTGGCCGTTCTTGATAATTTGCTTTAGATTCTCCAGAATTTCGAGATCGTTCTTGCCCGGGGGAAGCAACACAGGTTGTCGCTGCTGTGAGTGGAAGCCTGGCCGCTGTCCTTGCTGGTATGGAGCTTGCCCATAGCTCCCATTTCCATGACCGACGTCAGGATAGGTCGCCGGATAGCTGTGTCCCACCATTCGCTACCGCTATGTGGGGCTTGTCGCTGTCGTTGTCGAGGTCGTCGCTGTCGAGGCCGTCGTCGATTCCAAAAGTCGAAAAACGGGTATCCTCTTACAAAGTCTTCAAGGGGACCAAGAGCCGGACGTCGTGGTTCTGGTGGAAGGAATGATTTTATTCCGCTGGTGCCGGTTCGTTTGTTTTGCCCTGTTGATTCACACTGTTTGTAAGCCGAAATCGTGCATCCAAGTTCGATCCCCTGCCGTGCGCTTCTTTTTCACGGGGCGTGTAAACGAGTAGATAAATTGGAAGAGATAAAGAAAATGGATAAGAGAGAAAGAGGTACAGATATATACATGTTAGGTTCTTAAAGTCGTAAAGGTATAGAATGTTGTACAGTCGCTCCAAAGTCCAAAACTTAGGCTGTCCAATTCCATCCTTAGTCCTATTAGCGTGGCAAACGGCTCGCTTTATCGCTGGCCACTACGCAACGACGATGCCCCACCCGAGTAGCCAACAGCTCTCACAGACGACGGGAACAGCAGCTCCGGGTTAGACCTATCAGGATGCAAATTCTCCTGCGACAAATTCCTCACATGAGTCGGGGGAGAATTCGGAGTCAAATAGAACGAGGCCGTATCGTCGTCAGATAACCCTCTTCGATGCGGCTGCGGCTGAGGTTGGTGTGGCTGTTTAGGCCTCGTCGCCCCTCGGGTATGGTGGTACCCGTTTGCAACGAAGGCTGTGGGCCGGGGAGGGGGAATGGCTGATGCGAGATTGGCGCCGGCGTCGACATCCATCAGATTGAGCAGGCTAATGGAACTGTCAGAGTTGAGCCTGTAGTGACCAGAAACGGAGGATTCGTTGCTAGGCTTCTTGGCAATGGAAGGGGGTGTAGGGTATCGTTCGGGATCGTAGACGTTGCTGCGGAATGGTGGCTGTAGCAACATTGGACCGTTGATGCTGCTCGAGTCGCCGTTCGTATTTAATTCGGTGGCGGGGGGCTGACGAGGCATAGTAGACGCAAAGTCGTAGCGCTGGAGAGTTGATGTAGACTCATCAGGGATCTCTCGAAGGGGGAAGCTTGGGGTAGGTGTCTTGAAGCTGGACGCTGTGGGAGCGGGAGGAGGGGGATGTTGGGGCGCAGGAGGGACGACAGCAGGTATGTCCTGAATCATTCGTCAGAAAATGACAGTCCCAAGTACCATGGCTTCTCACCTTGGAATCGCTCCTCCTCTTATTCCAGAAAGATTTCCATGGCGCTGCCGAAGAAGACTCCGTGGTTGGGGTCACGACTTGGATATTGGAATTCACAGTCGAAGAGTTCACATTGCTGACCGTCACATTCCCATGACTCTGCCGACTCTCCGTCTTGCTCCCAATCGTAAAGTTCTCGCCAGGCACCTTTGAAATTAAGAACACACGATTGTGGTGCCTATCATCCTCTGAAATGAGCGTCTCTCGCTCCTCTGACGCAGGGTCGCGGTCTGCAGCCATGTCGAGAGCGCTATCCTGCGTCGCCCGTCGACCAGCCTCCGATGCGGCATCGTAGTCGTCCAGCCTAAAACCGGGCTTAGGCAAAACGTGCTTTAAGCGCGTAGGCCTAGCTCGGAATGGATTCGGAATTGCGGAAGGAACGCCCTTCAAATGGTTGACGACGGAATGCAGCGTCGCACTGCCAGGCATTCGTTTCGAAGTATGGGTTGCTGTAATAGGGAGTGCTTCCAATGAAGCCTGGTGTTCCGACTCAGACCATTTGGACTGCAGTGGAGGGGTGAGCCGCGAGGCGCCATCGTCGCTGGTCAGATATAGAGGCAGCGGCGCGAGTTGTGATCGACTACTGTCAATGGCGTTAAGATCGACCACGGAGGACTGGTTGGCATTCGGCAAAGCAGTGGGTAATGGTCGTGGGGAAGGCTTCCTATCGACCGGGACAGCAGGCTGGAGATGCACCGGCTGCTGAACAGAGTTTTGGCGCCCGAAAACATAGCTCTGATCCACCACAGAAAGATTCGAGATATCAGTGACAGAGGGTCGAGGACCAATGAACGTCGGTACTTCTTCGTTCCGATCAATCGTCCAATCTTCCTTCGCCTTCTCGTAGCGCACAGGTTGAAGCGACGGGTGGAAGGCGGCTTTGACTCTGCGGAAGCAGGCTCGTTTTCTCCCAACCAAAAGAAGCATCAATCCAAGGATGACCATGGTGCCCACAGCTGAAGCGACGGGCGCGATGATGTGGATTGGTCTCCATGTTGAACCGTGGGCGACTGTGGACGTTGTCAGAAGCCATCCTAGTAGTCTGGGGAATGGAAGGAACGCTGGTACCCACCAACTACCGCTCTCATAATGTCGAAAGTATCGCCCACAGCCGGTAATTGTGCCCAAGCGGGGATAGCTACTGTGTCGATACGCGGGGTTCGGAGCGCATGATTGAACGGAACATCCGCGTCCTGGCATATCCCTCTCCAGTCTGTTAAGGAGGGTAGCTGGCGAGACCCACTCGTCAAGGCGCATGCGCTCCAAACATTGAAGTATATGTTGTTGCTGAGATGAATGATTGTCGTTCATTATTTCCCGGTGAAAAATCCTTTGATTCGTGGACGCACCAAGTACACTCGTTAGGAGTCGCTTCAATATCCGATGTTTGTCGTGTAGATAGCTCTACAAAGTGGGCTGTTAATTTAGGCGCCTAGCTTGAGGGACCGTGAGAGGGCTTCAACTCACCCCGTCTCTGTGCTGCGGTTTGCCCGCATCGTCGAGCTCTGTTCAATGCTTCTTGCAAGGTACAAGACGAGATGTCCCCTTCCCCTCTCAGCTGTGCACCGGGTCCCAGTTAACATCGAACTCGACGGCTCAGGTTGATTAGCACTCACATAGTCGGCGTTCTGTTCCCGTCGAGAGTTATTTCCGTTAGCCGATTAAAGCGGTTAAATCATTCGCAGACGAACGCTCACCCTTGAATTCTGCGCCAGCCCAAGCACCAACGACGAAGACACAAACGCAAAGAGGAGGAAAGCACGCATTTGCGGCTGCTGGGACGAAGGATAGGGTAGGATTCCGCTAAGGAGGTCTAGCGAGTAGAGGTCAACGGTCGTCGTGGTAAAGATCGAAGAAGCGAAAGAGCTGTGCTGACATGAGAGTTGTCTATTCTAAGCCGCAAAGATAGCGTGTCGAAGACTGATGCGCCGGTCACTCTCGGTCACTGATCAAGAACAGGATAGTGATACACTTTAGGTAGGATGGTCGGTGGATCCTGAGCACAATGTCAGGTTCATCTGTGCATCACTGGCGCTTCATGCGAGTAGGCAGTGCAAAAAGCGACTTCCATTGGCAAACCTGTAGGTTTGATGATGCGTTTGGAAGGTGGTGGTAAATCAGGAAGGAATGGGTCATATGGTCCACCTCGCCGGATTTGCCTTTCCAACAGAAAGATCAACGGAGCAACGAGGATGGCCTTCCCCATTGGTCCCAAGAACTCCCGATTATCTGTATTTCAGGAACGTCCATCATCTATTTAATTATCATGCATCAGTGACCTCGCGTGCCCCACGATGAAACTGGCTGCTCCATTCCTGGACTGCAATGCTTCTGCGTGGAGATGGGAACCGTTACTGGCCCAACAAGATTCTAAAAGTCACCTAGTGTCATCCACAGAACATCGCGGATAACATTGCAGCTCAACCCACTTTTTTACAACAAGACTAAGGCAATTACGACAGCCAAGAACATGGGTTGTTAAACGTAACAGCATTATGGTCGCTTCAACAAACCCAAAGTCCGCAACTGATCACGAACGACCTCCCCATACATCGAAGGCAGAGCGGACGTCTGAGCAGCGACCTGACGAAGCAGCGCTTCCAAGGTGTCGAATCTCAGCTCTGCATTCGCCTCGAACGTCGCCAACCGATGCTCTAGTCGAGCCTCCAATCGACTGAGCTTTTCTTCCACCTTGTTGTCGATTGCCGCCAGGCCGTCAGCTACCTTGTGTTCCAAGTTCACGAGGCGCTGTTGGAGAGCAGCCAGCTTCTCTTCTGTCGTCGCGTTCTGCCCAACAATGGAGCTATCCCGTATGCGAACCAGTGCGTGAGATGTCGAATGGCCCGGTGAAGGGCCGCTAGGTGCTGCAGGCGCCCTCTTGACATCACAATCGTGACAGATTAGCGTGTCGCGAACTACAATTAAAGGTTAGGTACACAAGGCACATGTTATGAGAAGCGTTTCCGCATAAAGGAATTGAAGACATACCACATACGACACACGCCCAGCACGGGGTTTTCACCTTCTGCTGACAGCAAGCACAGGCAAGTATATCCTCTGCATTCGCCCTTTCCTCCATGCCTCTCGAGCTCCTTGGGGTAGGCAGACTGCCATGGTCGCCACCACCAGCTTCCTGTTCCCTCATCCCAGATTCAACATTCCGGAATAGCCCCTTGATTCTTCCTAAAGTCGCTTTCGCCGATTCTACGATCCGAAGGAAATGGAAGTCGTGAAGAGTTTGTTCGACTTTGATCATTGGGTGCGACACATCGTGACTAAACCCGCGTTTTGTGGGCATGCGATCCGTACACACACCACACAAATCGATGTTGTCGGACATGTCTTCCGACATGCATTGGATGCAGAGGATTCTACACTTGGTAATCCGTCTCTCACACCAATCGCATCCCCATGCCCTACAAAGGAAAGAAGATTGAGCAATCAGCATTCCGATTCTCCGAGTGGGACTCACGGATGCCACGGAAGTTTCTGGATTTCAAACTGGGCGAGCGCGTGGTAGAACCTGGCCTCGGATGGGTCCAAGTCCCTTCTCAGATAATCCAGCTCTTGCTTTTCGGCCATGAATAACGGATTCTGAGGCGTCAATCCCATAGAAACGATGAGGTCCCTCGTCGAACGTTCGACAAAGCGTTTGCGTTCTGCAAATTTGGCCTCAAAGAATCTCCTGGACCACATTTGCGCCTGGACTTCATGGAGGATCGCATTGCATGCAAAGCTCCATCGGGCGCGTACCGGGTCTTCGACAAATTGCGAGGCTGTATACCGATGTCTGTAGAGCATGGGAGGGGTCCTTCGGAGGGTAAATGGCTGGTAATCGACCTCGTCGGGGTTGTCTTTCTTTCGGCGGTCAGTCCATGACGCCGTGATGGTGTCAGTCGAGAGGTTGAGAGACCCGCTGCAGCTTCGACACATCCCGTCGTCATCGTCGAGGATTTCCACGATGAAATCATACCCTGTCCTGATTCTAGAGGCAGTCCCACTAAAAGTGAATGCCGATGAATAGTCTTCTCCTTTCCCCAGCAAGGTTTTGCGGTCAGGTGATAGTCGGAAGGAAAGGCGCATCAGGAAAGTGATCGTCTCGTCTCCCTCTCGCCGAGAACAATGGCCCACCCAAGTACCCTGGAGGGGGTTGACGCCATGCAATCGCTGAGGCTCAAACTCGTAATAGTCGGTGGCATGGAAGGCATCCTGAATCCCATATTTGAGAATGTCGGCGGAGATGTAGTTGAGGGAGGACTTGATTGCCGCGATAGTGAGAGGTTCTGTCCCACTGGCGGCACTTGTCTCGTCCTCGTCAACCCAAGTACCGAACGAGTTTTGAATCGGAACCCTCTTGATATCACCATACGAGAGCTGGAACTACGAGTGCTTTCAGAACGACGACGATAAAATAGGAACATGGTACCAACCAGACCAAAGGCAAAGTTACCAAAGCGTCCCTGTACATCAAGGTGTGTTTGTTTGAAAACGGCTGGTGACGAGGTATCAGCCATGTTATAATGCCCACAAACCGAGGCCATACCTTCGAGGTTCTGAATACGGTAATCGACGGAGAGGAGGACCGACACTAGCGATTCGTTCAGAGTGGCCAGTTCCTCCGGATCCAAAACGTGCTTGCAGGCGAGTTTCAAAACTTTCAGATGACGCTTAAGGAGGAGATACAAGACTGGATAGACATACTGAGCACGGGAGCTGAGTGTAAGCGTCGCCTGTGTTCCCTGACAGAGGCCGGAGCACTTACACGTTCTATTCGCCCCTCTCCAGTAACCAACGACACCGTCGCAGGGGTATCAAGCTCGTAGCCTACCTCTCGAAGATTTCCTTCAATTCTTTCTTCCTCCATGCTCGAATATGCTTCTGTGACACGCGCGAGGTCAGGATCGGACATGATAGTCGAGCTGATCGATCGCGTTGAACGGAGAAGCAGTTCGATTCTCCAGAATGAAGGGTGGAAGAGGTACTCGTCTATTGCGCGTCGGTTGGATGGGAGGACGTGTTCAAGAACCTCGAACATGGTCCGGACGAGTTCGTAAATCTTGGCCTTGTATTTCGAGATGCTTGCTTGCCAGCCTGGAGAAATTATCAGCTGCGGCCGATTGAGGAGGGAGAAATAACACGAACCCACAGCCCAGAAGGCAATCCAAGTGGGTAGGCTAACAGTACATGGTTTGGATGAGCGGCTTCTCAATTGGTGTAGTATGGACGTACCTCCACCCATCAGGTCGAGACTCCACGAAAGTGTTGACTTCCATGACGCTCACGAAACCCGTTCCGTCGTCATCCACTGCCTCCAGGATAGGTTGGACATAAGCCGCGTTGATGTATGCAAGAGCCCATCGGTCGTCTTGCCTGCGGCGCTGAAGCAAAGATGAGTGGCTCCGTGCACTGGAAGGTTGTGGCGAACGAGGCATCCCAGGTGAAGGCAGAGGGGACAAAGAGGATCGATCACTTGGAGAGGAGCGTTGGTTTGCCTGGTTTGTGTAGTAGTCGTGGAGGGCGAGAACGAAATGTCGAGCCTTGACGCTTCCCTTCCAGCCCTGCCATAAAAATGTTAGTGTTGATAAAAGCGAAAGTTACCGTGTCTCTTACCATGTCTTTCCAGATTTGCTGAAGGTCCTGGAGAAGGGGTCAAATTAAGACCATGTCGACGAAATCGAACACTTGGAGAACGAACCTTGTCTGAAATGCGATCGTGAGCCCCTGCCAGCAAAGTAGTGATGATCTGGCTAGACTGCTGCTGTACCGCCTCCGTCAGCTGCCTGTTCTGCATCTCCAGCTTGCGCTCGAAGAGGATCATGTTGCGGTTGAATGCATCATCGATGTCTTCCTGCAGTTCCTTCATTAAACGCTTCCTTAGTTCCGGGATGTCGTTGGAACGACGCCCAGAATCTTTCCGCGAGATTCGAGACACGCTGGCATTATCACCAGCCCTCGTAACGAGCTCTTCCAAGTGCTCGTCGTTGGCAATACATGCTTTCGCACCACCATGGCTATCGAGAAACCGAAGCACGTCTTTCTCTCGTGGAGTGTCAAGTTTGCGGAAGACCGCAATCATGTCGAGTTTCTGCTCGATGACTCGGAGTCGATCTCCTTGCTCATCTAGCTTTTCGTTGGCAGCATCGACACCGAGTGATGTATGAAGGGACATCGCCAATTCGAGTTTTCGACGGTGGTCAATGAAGGCAGCCACAAAGTCCGAGAGTCTGCCTTCGTAAACACTCGATTTTATCGTCTTCACTAGGGAGAAGGTGAGCCAATCTCTCCGGTTAGCAGAATGAGGTGCTCGACATACTCAAGAAGCTCTTTTTGAGATATGCGTCACAAGCAGACGCGCACGTTTTGATATCATGGGCAATGGTTTGCATCAAAGGTTGTAGACGCTCTTCGAGCGTGACACCATCTCGCCCTTGTTCATGTGAGTTTCGAACATGTCGAAGCCTTGCGAACAATGTTAGAAACCACTCCTCGCAAAGGGTTTCGCGACTTACTCGAAGAAGACCATCATGAGTTCATGGATCTGCAGCTTGACTGCCAACACCTTTCGGTCATTTTCTCGTCGAGTCATATCCAAAGTGACGACCAGGACGAATGCTCCGACAGCGACTGTTCGCGAATGAGTATAATGCTTTTCCGTTCAGGAAAACAAGGTAAAATACCTCCTATGCAAGGGTGGATCTGGCCTAGCGCTTGCAGTCCTTTGACAAGCGTTTGCGCCTTTTCGCCCATACCATTCAATATCTCGTCAATGGTCTTCGGGTCTTGGCTCTTTTGGATTACTTCGAGCGCTTGAGGTCTCAGCGCTTCTTCATTGGCCTCATAGAACTCGTGGAGAACCTGGAGAGGCGTAGGCTCATGATCTAAAATTTACATCGTGGTTCAGTAAACAGCTGAGAGAAATCCAGGGTGACATACCAGTTGCAAAAACAGCTATTGGCATTGAACGAGCCGAGGACAGGGCGCTGTCTGTGCCGTAACCGTCCTCGTAGGCGTAGTCATAATCGTTCGCCGTGTAGGTAGCAGACAACGGGCTCCTGACCAGCGAGCTGTGCATTTTCTGGGTGGTTCAGATGTGACGAGAAATAGAAAATATTTCAGATCGCCACAGTCACAGTTTATTAGTGGGATTCTCATGGCGACCCCAATTCAAAGATGACTGTCAGTGATCTAAAAAAAAGTGAGCGCTCGTCCGTAATGCCCATGGTCGCCGGTGGGTGCACTGTATGAAATTTCTATCAGTCTTCTCGGGTCCATCAGTCTTCTTAACCTTTGCGACTCGCATGGCGGTTCTTCCAGGGAGAAAATAGACGCCTTGCGCCAGGTCGCAGTCGCAACGAGTCGGAAAGAAAGGAACACAACGTTGCACAGAAGCTGCAGCTGGTCTCGCGACGGCCCGAATGATGAATCGCAACACTCCGACTGATGCGCCATCACGGCAGCCATCTGAGGCACCCCGGCACGATACAAAGAGGAGTCACATTGATGTACAACGATGACTGTGCAGTTTTCTAGGCGCCTTGTCGACGCCCCTTGGAAGTACAGAGATAGAGACGCCAGGCAACGCTCAACGTCTGCTGACAGTCATTTAACAGCGAAACGGCGACATCGGTAACGCACTACTGTGAATTCCGAGGTACCCTGGATGTCCGTATCGCCCGACAACCCCATTATTGGAGTTAGCTCCAGTCTCACAACCGCTTCCGGAGGACCTGTACTAATAACGTCAAAGGCAGCCCTGCGTGACCTTGAAAGACTGCTGCTATACTCGGAGAATAACTTATCATTGTAGTCGCGGATTGCCTTCAAAGTTTTCAACTTACTATGTAGAAGCAACTAGTATCAAGTTCCTACCATAAACAATACCCGTACCCACAGACGAAGCAGATTCAACGGGGTACGAGCCCCAGCCCACTACCTCCTGCACCAATGAAGGGGTTATATCAACGAGAGGCTCCGCTGGATGTACAATTAACGCAGAGAAAATGTAAGTATGTACAAGTTCCAAACAAACGAAAAAAAACATGGGAGAAAAAGAAACTGCGAAAATAATGCCGATGAACGAATACAATCGAAAATACAAGTCTATATCATGACCCTGCTAAATGATGAAATGACAGTTTACGACGACTCTCGCTTCTTGAACAACCCAACAACATGCTGGCCTCCACACGAGACCTGCATGGCCGACCAGCTACCCGTTCTCCTAACGACAATCTGAGGAGTGACAGCCTCCGTCTCGTCACCCAACCCAAGCTCCGACTGCTCACCAACACCCCACGAGAGCAGCGCACCGTCCTGAGTAACAGCCATGCTGTACCGGGGACCAGCCGAGATCCACACCACCGGGTCGTCCTTCACAGCGTCGGGCAAAGGCACAAGCACCGGCTCCGTGATGCACTCTGCTCCCCTCGTTCCCTTGCCCTCGAACACCTCGTGGTCCTCGGGTAGACCGAGCTGATAGTCGTTGCACGCGCCGCAAGCGTACACCTTGCCCTGGGCGGTACGGAAGACGGTGTGGAACTCGCCTCCTCGAATCTGGACGACTCGATCCTGCTCCCCCTCGACGCTGCTAGGCAAGTTCGAGGGACTCAGCACCTCCAACTTGGTAGGCTGAAGCACGATCTCGCCACGTTCGCCGATACCGAGTTGGCCAACACTGTTGAGGCCCCAACCCCACACCTCGCCTGCCTGGTCCACAGCAAAGGTCGATCGCAGACCGGCACCGATGAGGACAGCCTTGCGCGAGCGACTTCCGAGCACGACTCGTTTCGGCGCAAGGGCCTCGTTTTTGTGGCGAGACAATACTCTGCGGCCTAGCTGACCCGAGCCACCAATGCCCCACGAGTAGACCTCGCCTTGGGTGGTCAGTGCCACCAAGTGGTTCTCACCACCAGCGATAGAAGCAATTTTGTCGGATGAAGATTTGGGGGTATACAATCCGTGGATGGTGATGGACGTCGGCGCGAGTTGCTTCCCGACGTCAGATGAGAAGTTAGATTTGCCTTCATCGTCCTAGTCATGAATGAGTCAGATCGAATGGAAGGGAAGCGAGATATGCATGTTTACTGACTCGGAAGGTACCCCACACTTTCAGATCACCCTGATCGTTGAGGGCGGCACCAAAGTTGTCGCCCGTGGCAAGCTGGACGGCCCGGAAGCCCTCGTCGGCAAGGGTTTGAATCAAGACGAATTCCTGGGCTCTCAAGTGGGCCTCATTCTCGGTGGGTTCCTTCTTGGTTTCACGACCAAGAGCCCCCTCGTCGTTGGTACCAGCGGACCAAATCTGGATCCGATAATTCAGCGCAATTCAGGAAAATAATAGGGAACACTCACTCTACCCTTCTCGTCAAGCAAGTAAGTATGCAAGCCTCCAGAGGTGACGGAAAGAATGCCAGCTCCAGGTTCCGAACCAAACGTCCCTTCTGAGATCTGCTGCTCGGCCCAGGGGTGTCTCCTGGGTTTCGGGACCTCGCTGTTGTAGTTTTCACCCAGCCCAAGCTGGCCAGAGTCGGTGGCTCCCCACACCCAGACAAGAGGCGATGGTCGTGTTGGAGCAGGAAGTGTTGGTGGCGAGATTAAATCCGGTTTTGGGGCTTTGGGTGCTCTAGGGGCAGCGGCCTTGGGCGCAGGCTTCGCGACAGGCTTCTCAGCAGACTTGCTGGCCGCCTTCTGTGCTGCCGCAGCCTTGGTGGTCGTTTTGGCCTTGGTCGCCGCTGTCGTCGCTGGTTCAACTCGCGCCCGTTTTGATGTCCTAGTCGCCGGCGACCTACTTCGTTTTTTGTCGCTCTTGTCGCTGGCGTCCGTCTTCTCGCTGTTCTGCGTGCCTTGACGCGTCAGCCTGGACTCGGGCTTGGATGTGGTGCGCGCCCTGGGCATTGTGGTGGCGGTAGATGGTGGAGCGGGGCAAGCAACGAACAGCAAAATTCTGGTCAGTGCATCGCCCGTTTTGGACGACTCAGTCACGTGTTATGACGCCGCGCTGCGTGACCGATCGCGTCGACGCGTTGAGGTCAACAGTAGACTCCGAGTCGGGCTGGCCCAGAGGGAGACGCTACGTTCTGGTTCTAGCTGCACTGAGATCGTTCTCTCATCACAATGTAAATGGTTAGGGTTGAACTTTCTTCCTTATTTCTGTCCCAGCCCGAATCTAACACGTGTACCTATGATTTTGCTTCCGTAAGTTTGTCCACCGAGTCCAGCATGCATAGGCATCTCTGCGAAACTTCCAGGACAAAAAGCATGTAAACAGTTGAAATTCCGTTAAGTAGCATTTCTGACGTGTATCTGGATAAAGTTTTCCTGTATCACGTTCAAGCTTCACACTAGTGTGGCAGGCTCCTTTCGACGTAAAATATCAAAGTTAATCTGATTAAAGGTTTCTTTCGGACAATGGTCGGCGGCTTTCAATGGAACATAGGAGATTTCCTCCTTCTCTATGTCGTATATTCCGTTATTCCATGTCAAGTCCCTCCCTAGCCACATATTTTTCACCGTCTCTTTACAGAATGGGCACGGAATCCTATAAAGGATCCAAGGTGTAGACAGCCACTGCTGCGCGATGAACGTTTGAACCGGGGGATCCATCAGGATGGCTGACAGCGCCCAAAACCTTAACGGACACTCAGAATTATAAGTTACTAAGTATCCACTGTGCCCACCTTCATGCACCGTTCTCAGTTCTTTATCAAGATTCGCGCTTGCGGACTGCCTCCATCCCGACAAAGATATGCTCAGTGCTAACAATCCCACCGGAAAGAATCAGCATAAGGATTGCCGTGAGTTTCACAGTTGACATATGTAGTCTGCGCCGACTCTGCTTTTCTGATTAAATTATACAGCATCTATCGTAGACGACGAAGTCAACGACTATCTCCGAGATTTACACAATCAAGGACACACCAATAGGCAAAAAAGTGTCCGAATGCTCAAAACCACAAAACACACCATGAGGTACATATGCTCCACATCTCGATGGGCGATCAACGGTGTTTTACTGAACACAAGTCTTCTAGCTCTGCAACAATCGCTCGCCGTTGGAGGAAGATGGGTCTCAAGGCGAGCTCTACCAATACGAAGAGCATGCCAGATGAAGAAAAAAAAAAAAAAAAAAAAAAAAAAACAGCACATCCTGGACGCCCTCGAGCGAGATCCAGGTGGTAACTTAAACTAGATCCCTGGAGTGAACACCCTGCTTTCCAGCGATACAGCTGTTCATCTTACGCGGTAAGTCCACCAAGTTCACCACCACGAGCGCGCATCCATATTGACAAACTCAAGTGACTACATTAGGTCGGAGATGCGAGCAGCCCATCCCGAAGGATTTGTCCTCAGAGATCCCACCGCAAGAAGTGCTCGTTGTACCGTCGTCAAAAGCCCTGATCCCCATGCCGAGAAAAGTTGACCGCCGTCCCTACCCTTTTGGTTCGAACAATTCAAGATGCCAAGACCACGCGTCATGTTCCTCCCCTTCTGCCTGAGTCCAATCTCGCTGTCTCGTTTAACTAATACCTGCGGTCGAAACTGTGTAAGCCTGCCGTCAATCGAAGCAACGAAATAAAAAAAAAAAAAGACATACTTCGGAATACGCTTTTGAAGCGATTAATGAAACAACATGGAGTGGAGACCCTAACCTTCCTCGGTAGCCAGACAATATCGGCGCACCAAACATCCGGTATGTTGACACGAGTCTCATAAAACCTATACCATAACTAACACCCTCCGCACAGAGAGCACTGGGGAGCTAGACAAATGCTCAACCCACCCTCAACGACGACTCTGCTCCTATCCGCAGAGGCAATCCACATCTTAGGAACAGCTTCCCGGCCCTCCCCATACCGGCGCCTCTTTTTCCTCCCCATCCTCATCCTATGCATCTGGCCAGTCTTCCTACCCATCTCCGACGCCCAAAAACCAGACCCAGGCCACGTCGCCTGCCTCATGTTCCTCCTCTTCGGCGCCTCCGACAAAATCCTCCTCACAAACGTCCAAAACGAGCTGTATCTTCGCTCTGACAAGGCGCTGACAGACGCGGGGAAAGTAAAGCATGTCTCACAGAGGTCATTTTGGAGCAGACTAAAATGGGCTCTGCAACTCCGCGTCGCGTTGAGGGGTATCGGGTGGTCGTTTGAGCCTCCACCCGGCCACCTCCCACCGCCGCCCCCTCCGCGTCGGCGGTGGACGTTCATCCTCTACCAGCTCGTTCAGTTCATTTATCATGCCCTATTCGTCGACCTATGTTTTTCTATCATCAGGCTCGTACCGTATTTCGAAGATTGGAGCAGCCTGATCGGGCGTGGCTTCCCAGCTCGAATGGTGGCATGCTGGCTGTTCATTACAGCAAGTTACCACATCCTGTGGTTGCCGTATCTCCTCACCAGCGCAGCCGGTGTTCCAGTGGGATGGGGCGAGCCACACGAGTGGCCGCAGATGCTGGGTAATCCTCTGGACGCGTACACCGTCCGTCGAGCTTGGGGGAGGGTATGGCATCAGGCCCTTCGAAGGGTGGGTCCTTCTACTCCATACTACACCCCTGAATCACCAACTAACGCGCCTACTTGCAGACACTAACATCTCACGCCGATTTCTTAGCCTTCAAAATCCTCCGTCTCCCCCAAAAGGGGGTGGTATCACGGTACACCCGCCTCTTCGGCGCCTTCTTCTGCTCCGGGCTCCTGCACTACCTCATCGACTGCGTTGCGACTGGCCGTCGCGACAGTCTCGCTATCCGTACATTCGTCCTCCAAGCTTGCGCGATAACGTTTGAGGATGCTGTGGTGGAGGTGGCGAAGAGGTGTGGGAGGCCGATTAAGCCGAATTGGTTTACGAGGGGGGTGGGGATCGTGTGGGTTTTAGCATGGTTTGCGTGGTCGTTGGCGCCGTGGTTGTTCAATATGGACGCAGCGGCGATTGTAGCGGCTTATCCGCCATTAGGGTTAGGGACGAGGGCTGTGGAGTTTGTGATGTCGAAGTTGTAGACCGGTGGCTGGGAGATGACGAAAAGAATAGGATGGGATTGGAGATTCAAAGTGTGATTGCGCCGAGAAGAGTGCGGTTGCCCAAAAAAAAAAGTGGGGTGGGGGAAAAGAGTGGGATCCCGGCCGACATCCCACTCTTTTCGTCGAGTGTGACGCCAATCCTTCCCACCCTTCCCGCCGCCCGTTGAAGGGCGGCTGTTAGAGTTAGGGTTAGTTAGATGCGTGTAGCGCAGCTGTTAGGGTGGGGATTTGGGTTAGAGTTGGGCTTAAGGTTTGGTTTAGGGTTGGGTTTGGTAGGTAGAGGTTGGGGAGGAGAATATTTTGTTGCGCGCTGCTGGGGCGCCTGGTTCGAAATAATTTGAAGTTGTATCGCTGAAAATGGAGAGAGGCCACTCCGCCACCGCCATCCCACTCTTTTGAAGGTGATCCCACTCTTTTTCACGACCTTTGCTCCCATCTCCTAATCCCATCATATTCTTTTCGTATATACTCTCGGTGGCTAGAATTTGTTATAGTCATAGTCGATTTGTTGCAACAGTGCTTCTACTAGAAGAAATCCGCGCATAATTGAGACCTATTAGCAGGCATAGACTGCATAGCTCGGTCACCATAGAACCTCGCTGGAAACAAGGACTAAATAATTCAGTCCATTCAAAGCCAAGTGGAAGGTAGTGGCTAAGCCTCTTCGAACACCACTCGTACACCTAGACCATCCAACACTCCAAAGGCCTTCGCATACTCTAGATTACTCTCCAAATCCCTTCTCATCTCCTCAGTCTTCTCCAGAGCATACCCATCCCGACCTCTAAATTTAATCACAATCTCCTCCTTCCTCGACTGAACCCTCGGGAGACCCTCTTGTCCACCATCTCCACTTGAAGACTGGCGCTCGTAGTCAAGTCTCTCTTTGACTTGCTTGGAAGTGGAGGACTGCTCAATAAGACTCTGCCGCCTCAAGAAGTATCGCGCAATAGCCTTGAGGTCCACCTTATCCAAATGTCCATACACAACGATCTCGCGTATCGCAGCAAACGGCAGCCCTTCCTCCCCTTCTACCCTTCCCGGCCCCGACCTCCCGCTCCCTCCTTCACATACGGCTGATCCCACTCTCGACCAATACTTCAGAAAGGCTTCCCGAAACCTAGCCTCCAACTGCCTCTCCAACGTCCAACTCGACAGAACCACTCTCCTCAGCCTCGTACACTCCGCAAGCGCGCACCACACCTCCGGACCAGCATCCACCAGCGGCCCCATCTCTCCCAGATCCACCTCCCGCAGCTCTGCGCCCGAGCGTAGCAAGAACGCGAGAATAGACCTGTCGGGGCTGATTACGCCCCCTTTTCCTGGTATTTCTTTCCATCGGCAAGTCAAAGAACGAAGGGAGGGGAGAGTAAGAAACTCTAACGGATAATAGGGGTCAGAACTAGAAACAACCACAAGCTCCTCGATGCGCTCGTGCATGAAGAATCGCGGGTGGAGTTCGTACTGTTCAGGATATTTGCGCGTGTCGGAGAACCTATCGCGACACAGCAGTTCCAGCCTCTTGAGATTCGACAAACCGCACACTGCAACATCCATCACATTCAGCACCGAAATCGACTGGAATGTAAGCGTCAACCTCGTAACGTCCGGATGCTCAACACGAGCCTTGATCGTCTTTGAACGCTTGGAAGGGCCAGTAACGAACAACTCGAGGTCCTCCAACCTCGGGGAATATCTTCCAAGATTCCCGATCCAGGAGACAAACCCAGGGGAGCGCACAAGGTCACTGGTAACAGGGACTCCAAGCGTCCTAAGATCCCTCCAAGCAGACTTCCCTCCTCCTCCTCCCCTTCCTTCCCCCGCCGACAAAGCCAGATTCCCCTCCAGCATCCCCCGGAACGACTCCAGTGGCGCACCAAACGACGGAACATACCCAACACAAACACCCCTCCACTCCCTCCCCTCCTCCCTCAACAACCCATAAAGCTTCGGCAAATCCTCCTCCAGACCCTCAGGGACAGGCATCCCACGAGGATTATCCCTCCCCACATCGAACACAAGTTCGAAATGAAGTGGTGTAGCGCCCGCACGGTCGAACCACGAACGAATAGCCTGCCAAGGTATACGCCCCTCCTTCGTCCACTCTGCCTTTTCGTGCATCCGGAATATGATACCAGCCCATAGGACGTGTGTCCCGAACGCCGCTTGCCTCCATTCACGGCAGACTGAGCGCAGAATGAGGAACTGGCGGCGAGCGTGGTGGTCGAGGATGGGAGGTAGGCATGCTGTGAGGACCTCGCCCAGTAACTCCTGGGGAAACCCCTGCAGAGGCGACAATGCCGGCTCGCGTTCAAGCATCGTCGTAGTCGTGGTCCTGGTTCTGAAGAGAGAGAGTGGGTTGTGTATACCGTATGTTCGAAAATGTGGTGCCAGTGTACGTACATACCCCCAACAGATCCCTATCACTACCTGCACCTCAACGTTCAACCCTATGTAAACCCCGCGCTTTGCAAATATCCAGACCAGAATTGAAAGCAGTGGGCGCATTGTACAGTATCAGAGAAGAAAGGGAAAAAGTTGTCCAATCAAACTTGAATCAAACCTCACAAGCTTCCCTTGAGTCTGACGTCACAAGCTCACCCCCTTTCTACTATCCGCCGCCCTGCATCCCCGAATCCTCTCCGCACCCAACCTACGACGCTTTCGTCTCCTCAGTACGAAAGCGTCTCCAAACGATGACTTCTTCCGCTACACAACCGGCCGATGGCTCCAAAACGAACAACGCCACCAATCCCTACGATACCAACCCTTCAACATCGAAGCACTAAAGGACGCCGCCACGCGCAGCGCAAACGCAACTGGAGTGGCCGGGTTCAAAAAACTCGCAGAAGGACGATGCAACAAAGTGTTCGATGTACAAATGACCGACGGACGTCGCGTCATCGCTCGACTCCCTACCCCCCTTGCTGGACCTCCACACTTGGTCACCGCAAGCGAAGTCGCCACGATGCGCTTTCTCCGCGAGCGCCTGGGTCTAACACAAATCCCTCGCGTCCTCTCCTGTTCGTCACGCGCGGAGGAGACGCCAGTCGGAGCAGAGCACATCATCATGGACGTCGCAGACGGCGTGTCGCTCCTCTCCGTCTGGGACGAACTGACCATGTCACAGAAGCTCAGAGTCGTCGACCAGTGGATCAAATTCGAGTCTGTAGCTACCAAAGCCATTAGCGGCGGCTACGGCTCCTTGTACTACCGCAACGACCTTCCACCAGAGCTCGCACGCGACCTCACAGTGTGGGGCAAAGTCGACGAGGAATTCGTACTCGGACCTAGCACCGTGCAGCTCGGCTTCTGGGAAGGCAAGCACGGAAACCCACGCGACCTCGAACTCGAACTTGACCGCGGGCCATGGCCAGACGTTGCCTCCTACCTCAAATCCATCTCCAACTGCGAACGTGCTTGGATCCGCAAATTCGCCAAACCACCACCCTCTACAGGCCGCACCTACAGAGCCCCATGGGAAGCCCCTCCCCATCTCCAAATACCCGAAGAGCACATCCACCTCCTCAACCTCTACGACAATATCGTGGCCCACCTCATCCCCACAGACAAGCGCTACCACCGCCCCTCTCTCACCCTCCGCGACTCGCATCACACCAACATCTTCCTCTCCAAAGACGCGCTCGACCGCGATGGCTCAATCCAAATCTCCTCCATAATCGACTGGCAACACACCGCCGTCCTCCCTCTCTACCTCACAGCCTTCGCCCCCCAATTCATCCAACAACGCCTCTTCTTCCCCGGAAAACCCAAAGAGGAAGTCGAAAGGGAAAACGCGTACCTCCACAAGGCGTACTACATGCTCTATAACGACACCAAGCTCGATACCGTCTGGGCCTCCCTCGTCAACCCCGAATCTCCAGGACGACACATGTCCGAGCAGTTGCCAGGAATCGCGCAGTTTTGCTGGCACGGCGGGTTTGCGACTCTCAAGTTGGACCTCATCACCGCGGCGAATCACTGGGAGGAGCTTGTAGGACCCGGAGTACCCTTTCCTCATCCAGAGCTCTGCAAGGAGGACGTTCAGAAGGCGGAGGAAGACGCAGTGCAGTGGGCCGAGGTCGAGAAAGCGATCGAAAAGGTTCGGGAATCTGTTGGCGTATATGAGGATGGGTGGGTATCAAATGTGCCAGAGTACGAAGAAGCCATCGAGGCCAACGATGAGCAGCGCAAAGCTTGGGTGGACAGCTTGACTGAGGAGGAAAAGAAAGGACTGGGCGGTGTGGACCCTGCAGATATTTGGCTTCTTCGACCTTGATAGTAATGGTGTACCCTTGCTTTCACGCATAATTACATGGCCCCTGCTCTTATGGTCAGGCGATAGATTACACCCTAGAAAACACTGGTGGTCGTTGTCATAGCTTCGAAGGAAATACTAAAGGGGTTCACGATACATACCACCTGGTCGAACATGAGCGCTGAGCGTCCAGACCCCGATCCACGAAACTACAAAACAAAACAATTCGTTCAGTCATTCACGTTCGTCACAAAATCTCTATCAAAGAATCAATCGTATGTATACACTTGTCGTTCGTACAAAACTAGCAGCAGTAATGGGGAATTGGGAGTCGTTGTGGATTGGATTTTCAGAAAGAAAGGGGAAGTTTCGCAAGAATGAGGAAAAGATTCACAAGAAAGAGGAATCGAGAAGAAAAGAAAATCGCTAATCAAAGCAAGAAATAGAACAAGCAATCCAAAGTCAAAAAAAGAGTTCTAGCGACGAACTAGATAGGTATAGATTGTAGACGTACATGCACCACCCGCCGACGATTCAAGATCCTCGAAACATGGCGAGCAGAAAAAAGGACTATATAAAACAACATCGCAGAGGTATATATCTCGAAGCGCACGAACACAGAAAAGGGCTTTGGAAGAAAGAGAAAAAAGGACCTCAACCGTCGACTCTCAGCCGAGGTCAAGACCCCTATCCATCCATCCGAAATTCCGCAAGGAGTCAAGTCAAATGAGACAAGAAACAAGAAAAAAAGTAGAGGTAGAAAGAAGGGAAAAAAGAAAAGAAAGAAGACGAGAAAGATCCAATCCAGTAACAAATACATAACTACAGAAAACAAGAAGCATAGATAATTGTGTGGGAGGTGTCATAATATATACGTGGCAAAGCAAAGAAAAATCAGCAAGAAATCAATCACAAAATTCGAGAGAGAGAGAGAGAGCTTGTACTCTCGAGGCGTTGAGGGGGGTTGAGTGTCGAGGTCGAGGGGGCGTAGTCTCGAAGCAGACGTGGTGCGCTCTCGAGGTCAAAGAGTCACGTAGCCTCAAACATCGAAGGGGTGTCGAGGTCGAGCCGCTCAAGACCACTCAATAGCCACACCACCAGGGGCAGCAGCCAACCCAATCCCCCTCTCCGACTCACGCTTCAACCACTTGAGCGCCCTCTTATCGTCCTTGAGAAGAGGCGACAGCTTCTCCCAGCAGCGTTGATTATGGTCCTGTAAAGAAAGAGAGAGGGAAAGAGGTCGTTAGCCATCGTGCGCAGTGAGAAGGGAGGTGGTTAGACATCGTCCGTGGAGTAAGCATCGTCCATGGAATGAACATCGTCCTCGAAAGCCGATGCCGAGCAAAAAGAAAAGCAAGAACACAAAAAACCCACCTTCAACCACTGCTTCTCCTCCTTCGTCAACATACTCTCCTTCACCATCTTCGTCTGAATCGGCACACACGTAAGCCGTTCAAATCCAAGCCAAATATCACCATTGAATTCGCCTTTAGTCTGCAAAAACAAAGATCATATCACGTCAGTTTCCCTTTCTTGAGACATAAAACCAAGCAAGCAAGCAAATAAAAACAGAAGGAATATGTAACTCACCTTAACCCTCCGAACAACCAACGCACTCTCAATCCTCATCCCCCACTTGCCCTTGGCATAAAACCCAGGCTCATTCGTAATAACATGCCCAGGAACCAACGGAACACTACTCGAAAAACTGTGCGGACCTTCGTGGACAGTCAGGAAGGAACCGAATCCGTGCCCTGTTCCGTGCTGTTAAACAGAGGGACAAAGGGGGTTAAGTTAGTATCGTGTAGTGTGGATTGTGATGGTGGATTGTAGAGTGAAGGGGTTGTAGGATGAAGGGGTTGTAGGATGAAGGGGTTGTGGAATGAAGGACGATTGTAGAATAAAGGTGAAGCAGGAACGAGAACCCACCAAATAATTCAAACCATCCTTCCACAACGCCTTCCTCGCCAAAACATCAAGCTGATGTCCAGACGTTCCTTCAGGGAATACAGCACTATCAATCGCAATCTATCCACCAAAGCAAAACAGAAAAAAATCGTTAATTCCCCATTATCACACACCGAGTCACCGAGTCATAGACGGAGAGAGAACGAGTACTCACATGCCCCTGCAAAACCCTCGTATACGCCTCGATCTGCTCACTCGTAGGCCGTCCAAAATGGTACGTCCGAGTCGTATCGCAAGTACCATCGCGGTACTGTCCGCCCGAGTCACTGTAGCACAAAACGATCGTCAGCATCCTGTATCCTTTACACACACCCATCCGTCCTCCTTCCCCTCCTCTTCCCCTCCTCCGCCGCTTTCCTCCTCAACCAACCCATCCTCAAAACCAACCATTCTCCCTTCCCAACAACAAAACAAGAAAAGACAGAACACTCACTTCAAATAAGGCGTCTCCCGATCAATCATCCTCGCCGTCCCCTTCCTCGCAACATAATGCGGCAACGCAGCATTAGGCCCACTAGCACTAATATTCTCATACGCCAAACCCATAAAATTCTTCGATTTGCGTCTAAACTCGGTAAGGCGGGAGGCAGCTTCGTATTCGGTAATGTCGTAGCCTTGGGAGAGCTTTTGGTCGAGCCAGGCTAGGAAGCGGACCTGTGAGGGGAGGGAGGGGGTTAGTAAAGGGAGGAAAAAGAAATAAAAGACACAGAAAGAAAGAGAGAGAGAAAGAAAGAAAGACAAAAAGAAAGAGACGAGCACTCACAAAAGAAACCCCATCCCTCAAATACGCCCTCCTCATACAATCAACCTCAACCTCATTCTTAACACTCATCATATGCTCAACCATACTCCCCACAACGGTATAATGACTACTCGTCAACATCAAACTAATCGCATAACTCGTCTGGGGGCTAATCAGCACCCTACCAACCCCATACTCCCTTTTACGCAGGAAAGCCCAAAGGTCGGTGTAGTCACGCCGCTCGACGGAGAGGGAGGACAGGTATGAAGCGACTTCGTCTACGACTTTGGCTTTGTCCAGGAAGAGAACGGCGGTGGTGAGGCCGATGTAGAGGTAGGCGTGGAAGAGGGGGTTGTAAGGGATGTCGGCACCGCGGAGGTTGAGGAGGTAGGCTGCGATGGAAGAAGAAAGGGTAAGTCGACGTGCTTTCGGAAGAAAGACAAGGGGAGGACTCACCAATTTGAGGCAACGAAGTGATCAACGTGCCAACCTGCATATCCTTCTCCGTCGGCTCCCTCTTCGAATAGGGAAGTGTAGTAGGAGGCTGAGCCTTGATCCACTCCCTCACTTTCGCAATCTTGTAGTTTGCATCCTTGCCTACACATCAGATCAGTACATGTATCTCTCAGCGTACCAATCCTACCCTGAGCACGCACCTGTAAACTCGATAGGCTGGATATACACACTCGCTTTACTCTTCTCCGGCTTATCCTTCCACACTAAATCAACCAAATTCTGTGGCGGGTACACCAGCTTCGAATCAAGACTCGACAACTTGGAGTTGATCAACGTCGCCTTCTCGTGCGAGATCATACGGGCGTCGAGGCCTATACGTGAGTTGCGGACGCGGCTCTAAAGAGAAAAAAAAAATCCGTAAGGGCATCGTCTTGGGCAGAGGGGTGGGGAGACGCACCAAAAGCCACTCGATCCAATCCTTGGGTTCGTTGGGCGCTCCAGCCCTGATGACAGTCCAGTTATGGTCGACTTGTTCCTCAGCTTGCTCCCAGTATCGAGAATCGGTGATGAGGTAGGCGTTGTTGCGGGTGATGATGGCTTGACCCGCCGTTCCCGTGAATCTGAACATCCCGCCATCAGCCACATCCAGTCAAGAGAAAAGGTTATTGTGTTGGTACGCACCCAGAGATATACTCGCGCCGTTTATCACTAAACGCCACATACTCTGATCCATGCGCATCTTCACTCGGTACGATGCTGTATCCCGTCAGCCACATCCTTTTTCACCAAAGAAAGAGAAAAGAAACTCACTAATAATCCAAATTATCCTTATCCATCAACCTCCTCAACTCCTCCAACCTATCCGTCGTATCGGGTTTCTCCCTAATCGTCTCAACATCATTCACCTTCCTCTCATACGCACTGCCCACAAGGGTACTCGTCGAGTCCTGGGGCATAAGCGGCGGCCGCGGTTTGGGCGCCGAACTCCCACTGCCATGGCTCTGATACGACTGCTGACTATCATGGCTCCGCCTCGACGCATACGTCCTCTGCGAATCATGCGAGCGCTGACTAAACTTGCTCGCCTGGGTCGCCCTCGAGTTGCTTCGATGGGGGCCATCGCCGCCAGCAGCGGGGTCGCGGCGGGCAGAGGAGTGGGTGTTGCGGCGGCTGAGGGAGAGCGAGCGGTTCGGGTTGCGGATGGGCTGGTCCGGGTCGAACTCGTCGTCACTCGGGTAGCGGCGGTCGTCGTGCTCGTGTTCGTCGCCGTGCTCGTCCCACTGGCCGCCCTTCTCGCGGTCCTTGCCTTTATCGAGTGCTTTATCTTTACGGCCCCATCCCCACTTGCTCGACGCTGTCGACTTTTTGGTGCCGGTCATGGTGTTACCGCGGGTGAGGCTGTATCCTTTCGCGTGGACGACGGGAGGAAAGACTTCAGGCAGCTCGTCGTATTTCTCGGAATCGGAGTGGAAGGTGATGCTTTCGGGCTGAAATTAAAAAAGAAATGAGTACAAAGCAAAGGGGATTTGTGACAAACAAGAAACCCTGGATAAAGGGGAAAACTCACGGCTGGGGGAGGCTCGTGCATGCCTCTCAACTGGTACGACCTATCCGAACTAGTCGACCACGACAGTCTCCTTCGCGGCTTCTTGGGCTTGCCGCCGCCTGTGCCATTCTGCCCGTTCTTGGCAAACGGGAAACACATCGGGGGTGGGGGTGGAGGAGGCGCCATTTCTGCTGATGGGTCTAGAGGTGTTCGCTCGGTTGCTGGGCTGGTGGTGGTGGTGGTGGGTTACGGGTTTCCGGTGCGAGGCCTAACGCCTGATCTTAAGACTGTTGCAGGACCCGCCTACTAGTCAATAGTCGCTTCGAGTGTATTCCAGGGAAAACTCGAACGAGAGAGAGGAGTGGAAAGAAGAAGCAACAAAAGAAGAAGCAGCCAGTCGTAAGTAAAAAAGCTAGCCGATGCCCCACTTGCACGAGGCTAAAACGCAGTCGTCACAGGAGTAGGTCGTCGTCGCGTGGGTGGGTGCGTGGTGTGTGCACAGAGATTGTCGTCGTGCGCTGAGTTTTTTTGTTCCTCGCAATTGAATGGACCTGGGAGGTGGATTGATGGTGACAGTTACCGATAGAGGGGCTGGCTGCTTGCAACTTACCCTGGCCGCCTAACGAGCTGCAGTCGAGAGCCTGAATGGAACGAGGCAGCGTATCACACGTGTCCGGCTTGATATCTCCGATCTGATCTAATCACCCAAATCAAGTCCAGTCATCTCTCCCCCTCCTCGTTCCAATTCCTTCCATACTCGTCTAATGCCCTATATCGAGAAGGTATGACTCAGGTGCTTCTCGGGGAAGCATCCCGAACTTCGATATACCCCTCCCTTGGGATCCCCCGCATTAGGATTCACACCTCTGCGGTGCTGTATTCACACTACCATCTATAGATAACTCTGCACCCCACTTCTCATTTCACCGCACTTCAGCAGCATGTAGCACCATTCCGGAGCTTCCTTGCATGTTCCGTTCCCACCTAAGTACCCACTTTCGCCTCCGTGTAATGATACCCATTTCCAGCCCCTCCTACCCGTTTCCAGCCCTCTCTTACCCAATTCCATTCCCTTCTCGTTCTCCCCTACTCATTTCAAGTCACCTTATCATCGTCTCGAGCCCTCTGGAATCTCGTTGAAGTCGGCGAATTGAAGCATCCAAATGCATACCTCATTACTGGCATAGTTTCCTTCCATTGCCAGTGCACAGCAGTTACACTGCCTCAAGATGGAACTCCACTTTCACCGTGCCGTTACTTTAACCCTCCTGGTACATACATTAATCCTCTACTATACCTCATGGTTTCATTGAGCGGCCAGAAAGCTGGTCGTTGCGACCGCCCAGAGTTCCGAGTCCGTGAACTACGAACGAACGCATAACGCATGACGAACGTGGTGAACTCTAGTGACGCAGAAAAGCAAGTAACGTTTAGTGTAGACTCGTGAACCAGTCGGTTCGGTCCCCTCAGTTCGAATAGAAAAATGATGAACTGTTGACGAAGGCGTTGATGGTGATGGCGGAGAACCAAAAAGGTGAGGGTACCGAACCGACTGGGCAAAACGGTCGCGGTTTTGGCAGGAGGGGTACCGTGTGAACGAGCACTTAGAAAATATCGCGCCTCAGCGTTTGGCTGAAATACAAAATCGAATCCCTATTCATCATATCTCTACCAATCGCCCTGAAACTTTGGGAAAATGCTCGCATAGACTTCTACATTCATTTGACACAGTATAAATCCGAATGAAAGCGAACGGGTGGACGATATTGAATGATTTCAGAGTGAAGATGCCTAAAAACAGGGAAAAACTGAGGCTCACAGGGAGAAACGATAGGTAAATCCTTGAAAAATGGAACAATAGTCCAGGGTACACCTGCGACTCGTTCTGTATCAAAATAGAGGCTCATACGCATCGGTATCTGCAAAAAAGCTCGAAATTCAGAATCTGCTTCTCGGGAGCCTTAGGCAAACACCTACAAATAACGCCGCTGGCTCTACGCCAGGACATCCTCGAGCGTGAATTCGTCCGTATCCTCCTCGTCCTGCTCCTCCGCTTCCTCCATATCCACAGTGTCTATGTCGAAATCGACGTCTTCTAGGCCACCCAGGAAAACCACCTGCAACGGAGCGTCGAAAAGCGGTCAAGAAGCGCGCAGAGATCGCGTCCGATGTCTGGTTTAAACCGGACGAGTGGCGCGTCACTCGACCGTCCCAGAAGGGTCACATCCAGCGCCAATTCCTATTCCTTCTCGACCATCTTCTGTCAGCTTGACCGGGTCAAAGTCGATTGCAGCAGCGTCACCTCCTACTTTGATGACCAGGAAACGGCGGGCAAACGACCTCTTTGAGGTGGGGACAGTCGGCGACAAGGGCGAAGGCGACGTACACAGTCGTGATGGTGGTCCAAGTTGAAGACGAAGAACTGATGGCGGGGATGCATCAGCGTTTACCTCATCGTTGACAGCAGCATCGTCGCACACGACTCCGTTCAACCTCAACCACTACGCAGAGTTCACGCTCGAGGATGTCCTGGCGCAGTGGCTTTATTTGTACGTGCTTGCCAAAGGCTCCTGAGAAGCAGATTCTGAATTTCAGCCTTTTTTGCAGATATCGATGTGTATGAGGCTCTATTCTGACACAGAATGAGTCGCAGATGTACCCTGGACTGTTGTTCCCCTTTTCAAGGATTTACCCGTCGTTTCTCCCCTGTAAGCCTCAGTTTTTCCCTGTTTTTCGGCATCTTCACTCTGAAAATGTTCAATGTCGTTCACCCGTTCGCTTCTATTCGGATATATCCTATGTCAAATGAATGTAGACGTCTATGCGAACATTTTCCCAAAGTTTCAGGGCGATTGGTAGAGATATGATGAATAGGGATTCGATTTTGTATTTCAGCCAAACGCTGAGGCGCGATATTTTCTAAGTGCTCGTTCACACGGTACCCCTCCTGCCAAAACCGCGACCGTTTTGCCCAGCCGGTTCTGACGAACCTATCCACCATCAGTGGATACGTGATCTCATCACCCTCTTTCGTCAGAACCGAGCTGGTTCACGAGCCTACGTTTAGTGTGACGCAAAAGAGTAAGTAACATAAACCATATGAGCACGAACCGGCCTCAGCTCGCCGTATAGATCACCCTCTCGAACCTAGCTAATGCCGGTGTGACCTTGGCTTACAGATGTGATTCTGAAGCTCGAAGCCCACCGCATATATCCTCCCTCCGTAAAGCTCTCGGCCGCCCGCATCCTCCCTCCGTTAGACCCTCAGTCGCCTGTATCCTCCCTCCGTTAGGCTCTCATCCGCCCCCGTGCCGTGCCATGAGGTGAGGTGAGGTTGTATACAGGTCTCGCCGGTCCTCCAAGTCCAACCCTCAATGACGAGTCGTGACCAACAGGTTACTGCCGCCTGCGGCCTTTTTGGACAAGACAATGAATTTGACGCACCGGGCACCAGGGCCACCGTGTAAAAAAAAATATAGTTAACCCCTTCGCGAAAATCATGAATGACAATGTACTGTATAACCAGCTGCGCGCGTAAAAAAGCAAGTAGCGGGTACCTATCCTTACTTCGAGGTGAGCACACCGGACGGACGGCCGAATGACGGGAAGAAAGGAGTGACGACGTGAATTATGTCACACCAACGAGTCAATGCCTAATTAACGGTCACTCGATATCGGACAGATAAGAGATTCCTTTGGCACGGTGCCAAAGGAATCTCTTATTAGTTGTGACAACTACCATACTCCACTCCAAGGAACAAAGAAAGTCGCTTTACCCAGTCGAACCAGCACATAGCATTTGCCAGTGCCAGTGAATCCGGATCCTTCCACCAAATATCATCCATTATCCTTCGAACGAAACGCCCTAAATTCGAAACAATCAAAACGTTCTGTCAATCAACCCTTTGAAAAAAAAAATCCAACATTCAAATCACTATTTAGCACTCGTCTTCTACATACTCAGATCTTCTCTTTCAACTCAATCAACGAACCCTTCACTAGTCACTATTAGTTTGTCTTGTCTTCTTTCACCTCTTTCAACTTACGAAAAAACGTGGGGACCACGATCTCGCATGTCCGCCTCGAGGCTCAGCGCTCAGGCTCAATCACCCAAGATCGAGGACGAGGTTCACACTTCGCCACTTTACCATTGCCCACGCACCATAAAACTTTATCATAACCCTACCAAGAATAAAGCAACAAACCACGAATCCAAAGAAACCCTCCAAACACGCGTTTCGCTCAACCGTGGCCCCTATGTCTCGATCACCCGACTCGGACTCAAACCAACAAACCGACAACTCGACCACCCGATCGCGAGTGGCACACCTGAGTATATACGAAAAGAATATGATGGGATTAGGAGATTGGAATAAACGTCGTGAAAAAGAGTGGGATGGTGGTGGAGGGGTGGCCTCTCTCCATTTTCAGCATCTTCAACGTCATATTATTTGGAAGAAGGCGCGCAACATACTATTCCCTTCCCCAACCTTTTAACTACCCAACCCAACCCTAAACCCAACCCTAAACCCAACTCTAACCACCAACCCTCACCCTAACAGCTGCGCTACGCGCAGATAACTAATCCTGACTCTAACGGCCGCCCTTCAACGGGCGGCACGGAGACTGGGCGGGATTGGCGTCACAACACGACGAAAGGAGTGGGATGACGGCTGGGATCCCACTCTTATTCCCCCATCCCACTCTTTTTGGGGCAATCACACTCTTTTCGACGCAATATCATTTTGAATCTCCAATCCCATCCTTTTCTTTTCGTCATCTCCCGGCACACCTCGTCTCCTCTCTCCTCCACTCAGGTTCAAAACATACACCAATCGCATACCTATGTACGGAGGGACCAAGGAGGCCCCCAGTGCAATCAACAACCACAAACCGTACGGAGCCCATCCCAGGCCACCGTATGGTGTTTACGGTTGCCAATATTTGTACGACCGCGCATTCCACACAACTAATTTCCAAACCGGACCACGAAGTCACCAGTAACCAGATACGGGTGGTAAGGCTGGCGGAAAGGGTATCGCAGGGGTATTCTACATAGCTCAGAGTCTCTATACAGGAATAGAACAGGTATGGCATACCCCTACGATGGCCCGTGGGTCGTGTCGTGCTGAAAGAAAAAAAAATGTCATTGAACTCCAAGGCTGGGGTTGTTCGACTTGCCGAAACCTTGCCAGATACAGAGAGAGCCAGTGGTGCGGTCGAGTGCTGTCTTCATTCCAAGATGTGTAGGATCATCGTGGATTGTAGGTGCTCCAGCAGCCCGAGTCTAAGTGAATAATAAATATACATACAACAACGTGCAACTCAACTCGACGGGTGATAGATAGGTCACAAAGGGTCCTTGTAAGGGGTGCGTACGCGTACGAGACAGACTCGACAATCCGCATTCAACCGAGCGCACTACTAGTGTACACGGCTAAACGATCATCATATTAGATTTCGACCGCCATTCCCAATCCGCATCGAGATATTCCTTAAACTCTGGGAGGGCTTTCCGGATAGTCACTAACCACTCACTATCCTCCTCGCATTCCATCAACGTAGCTTTAAGGGCCTCCCACGGGGCCGGCATCCACCCCGAATACTCCCAATCTACAAGGCAAAGCCGGCTCTTCCCCCGTCTCCAAGCTGACAGTCCTCCAGGGAGGATAATATTCCTAGGATACACATCTCCGTGACAAAAGTTGACCGATACAGGGCGGTCGATCAACGGCTGGATTTTCGGTCGGATGGTGTTGATGTTTCGTGGAAGATCCAAGCCTAGCCAGACTTGGGAGAAGAATCCCTGCGTTGTTGCAAGCTCTCTTCCGTTTTCCGCGACCCAGGAGATACGGGGGTCGTCGATTATCGTACTACCCGCAGCGTTGCAGATTACGGGGCGGCGCTGTGACTCGCAAGTGGTCTGTTGGCGAAGAGACCTAAGCTGGGATCGCAGGTCCAAGACAAGACGTTCCCAGTCCTGACTGGTGAAATGGTCCAGCACTGATGCAAGTGAGTCCCCATCGATGTACGTCGACAGTGTGTATGCCGTGTCGCCGTCCACAGTTATGTCGACGAGGTGCGGAAAATTGACGCCTTGTATATTGGAAGATTCCAGGTATTTCAGGCCGGCAGCTTCGACTGCTGATGAATGTTGGGCGGTACTAAACGAAGTCTTGCGCCTGAGGGCGAGGCCAAAGGGAAGGTGGTGGAGAACCGGGTGGACACGCCAACCCCAGCGGTTACTCAAAGCGCATAAGGAACGGTATATCAGGCGCTTTATGCGACGAGGTAGAACTTTCATAATTGTCCTGAGTATTGTGACGCGTAGGGGCACAACGGGATGTATGGAGGGGAGTGGGGGGTTGCATTGCACTACAGTCGACAAGTTATACCGCGTTGTTTACGAACAAGGAATTCTGGGTTGTACTCACTGTCTTCGTCGGTACCAAGTTCCTGCGTTGGGAGTGAGTCTTCCATTTTGCTCCAGTGGTCACGAAAGGGATTGTCACTTGTGACTCGTTGGACTTAGAACCAAGTTCGAAGTGGCAAGAACGACTCCTGATGAGTTTGGTGTTGCTTGGCTTAGGTCTGCCGATACCACCGCCACCAGACACACCTCCACCTCTACTCTCAACAGCACAAATCATAAAACCAATTCTTCTTTTAACAAAAGCGTCCATAATTAAAATGGAAACCTCTAACAGACACCAAATATGTAATATGTATGCATCTAGTAACAAACTAGTCCAAGTTTACGCAACAAAAAAAAATCAAAGGGGTGTAAAAACCAAGAAAAGAGGATGTTGACAGTGATGACGGCGGTGGTAATGGTAATGGCGACGACGAGGATGGGGGATAATGGTGACGAGAGGGTGGGGGATATTGGTGGCGAGCGAGGACCGTGGTGGATAACGGTGACGACGATGGGGATAACGGTGATGATGAGACGGCGGGGGCGGAAAGAAGAGAGTAAAAGGGAGGAGGATGAGGGTAAGGGTACTACTGTTCAACGAACATCCATGCAAATTACGATAGGAAAGAAGTCAAAAAAAAGGGATTACTGTTATATAGTCTGATATCGTCAAAACGAGACCCAAAACCACGAGGAAGGACGGGGACATGGATGGATGGACAAAAGAAGCAAGGCGAATGGATGGATCGATAAAAGGAGGTTGCGCAACAAAACGACGTAAGGTATGGTAGAAAAAACGACACAAGGTCCCTATAACGCCCAACACACCAACATCCTACTTCGCAAAACCCATCTGCATCTCCAAACTCCCCGTATCATCCTCAGCAGGCCTCCTCCTCGTACTAATACTCTCCCCCCTCCCATGCCCAGTCGACCTCTGCGTATAAAGCGGTGTAGCAGTCGTAGGCGTCTGAACATCACTCAGCGAAACATCAGAATGGTTGTGGTCCTTGTTCGTATAGAACGTGTTGCGTGGTTGCTGAGGTTGCGCGAGTCCACCACCGGCTGCTGCTGCAGCGGCAGCAGCGTTCTCCTTCTCCTCCATACGCTCAGCTGCGGCGGTTGCAGCGGATGCATCACCAATACCGGAACGGGTACCCCATCCAGTCTATATATCGACAAGCCGGTGTGAAAAGGAAGGGGCGAGGAGGAAGCACACGCAAAAAGAACCCATCACAAAGACGTTAGTTAGCTCTTTGTTCCTTCCAATAATAGACTCGGTGGGGGCGGATTTACGTACCTCGTGAAGCGTGAACAATGCGTAAATCTTCATGATAGCAAAGTAGTATCCGAACGCGATGAACGCGGGGACGTAGATAATGTCTTGAGGTCGGTTCCACAGGTGGGGCATTAATTTAAGGGTTCGGGTTGCTGATAGCCAGACCATGTATGATAGGACGATGTTCCTGGAATAGACGAAGGGTTGAAAACAGGCTCTCGTTCAAGAAAAGGAGTGTACGTACCACCATGGGAGATGATAGCCTCCTTGGTCGGTAGGGATTGTACTCTTGTAGATGAGGTAGGAGACCAAGACCGGGCCGACGAGTAGAGTAAGGGGATTGAACAGTTTGTCAACCTAAAAAAGCACGCATTAGCGATCAGCAAGCGAAACTAGACCTAACCATGGGCCCACCATCGTGAAAGCAACGTAGGGATGCGACGTCCAGATATGCCTCTCCATGAACAAACTCCTCAGATCCGACCGCCACGTATTCCTCGTCCACCGCAACACCTGTTTCAAGAACCTCCAATTAGGCTTCATCGTACTCAACAACTCTGCCTCCTTGCAGCACTGTACGTAAGTGCTCCATCCGTGGCTGACCATCCACCTTGTCAAGAACTTGTCGTCGCCCGAGTTGAGCTGGTATTTGCCTAACCAATAGTCATGCGTGAACCCGTGCAAGAACTCTGGATCCTTGAGAATGACAGTGCGGTAGGCAGCCGTTCGGCCAGACAGACAGGGGATACCGCCATCAATGTGTGTCGAGGCTGAGATCTCGATGTTACGAATGGACAGCCGGAAAGCGGCGAGGACCTCCCAGACCGTCATCCGCTCGCCAACCGGCTGCACACGCTGGCTCGTGCCCACACCGCCGACCTTCTGGTCCTCGAAGCAGGCAAGCACGTACGGCAGGAGGGTCGGTGGCCAGATGGCGTCGTCGTCGGCGAACACGATGATGTCGGTCGTCGTATTCTTGATGCCATGGCTCATCTGGAGTCGTTTGTTGGCAAAGGGGACGGTCAGAACGCGGATCCGCTCGGGGTCGACTTGGTTGGCGAGGTCCTGGAGTGGGCCCAGCATCTTCTCTTCGGTAATGATGAGGATTTCCTTGGGCTTGCCGACGAGCCAACTGTGCGCGGCCTCCTTGAATTCCTCGCCGGCGTCGATGGTGGGCACAATAATGGTGACATCTTCAGAGGCGATGTAGGTTGGGTTCTCGGGTAGGGGCACTGGGCGATACGTTGCTGCTGCGCTTAACCGAATGCAATACCATAAATAACGGTAGAATCTGTAGGCCATGTCAGGATGACTAGAATCACGACTCAGACTGGAAGGAACGCACCCGATTACGCCAAACGGTACGACTGAAAGCCAGAATCAGTCTCGAGAACGTAGACAACGACGAGGACAATAAGAAAGAGAGACGACGAGGGACTTACAGACTGGAAAATCATCCGAGGTCAGGTACAACATTGTTGACCGTGGTCAACTTTTGAAAAGGAGCGAATATTGTCTATACGAGCAGTTGGTAAAGGAGAGATTAGAAAAGAAACAGGATTAAAAAGGAGGCGTAAAACGACAGCGACGACGAGATTTGAAGCAGACCGAGAGCGAATGACAGCAACACCACTCTGCCCCGCCGACCGAAGAGCGGAGTTTCAATTTCCTGCAAGCCTTGTTCGCACCCAAATTAGAAACACCTTTTACGTACGTCTTCTCTCCACTTTGTCCCTTCTTGAGACATGATCCTTCTGAATCTGTTTAGCCTTCTGTCTTCCGTGTCACGAACATGTTCCCTTGCAGCCACGACAGGTTTTGGAAATGCAAAAGAGGCCAAACTTATCGGTGGATGGGAGCATTTTGATGCCGAACTTTGCTGGAACCTTGGCATCGCCAAGACCTGCGGCGGCTCAGTCCACCGTCGCCCAGTGCGCTCTCGGGTTCAACGGGCTTCTTGCCAGACCAAGATGCTCAAGCTTGCTCAGCCATGACCTACACCATCGCCCAACCCGACTTTCATCACAAAAAATTACTGAATCTTCAATTGCGGGTTTCAGCATCATCGGCACGCGGCCCATGAGAAACTCACAGCAAAACCTCCTCACCCGTCGACGTAGACTCGTGAACCAGTCGGTTCGGTCCCCTCAGTTCGAATAGAAAAATGATGAACTGTTGACGAAGGCGTTGATGGTGATGGCGGAGAACCAAAAAGGTGAGGGTACCGAACCGACTGGGCAAAACGGTCGCGGTTTTGGCAGGAGGGGTACCGTGTGAACGAGCACTTAGAAAATATCGCGCCTCAGCGTTTGGCTGAAATACAAAATCGAATCCCTATTCATCATATCTCTACCAATCGCCCTGAAACTTTGGGAAAATGCTCGCATAGACTCTCTACATTCATTTGACACAGTATAAATCCGAAATGAAAGCGAACGGGTGGACGATATTGAATGATTTCAGAGTGAAGATGCCTAAAAACAGGGAAAAACTGAGGCTCACAGGGAGAAACGATAGGTAAATCCTTGAAAAATGGAACAATAGTCCAGGGTACACCTGCGACTCGTTCTGTATCAAAATAGAGGCTCATACGCATCGGTATCTGCAAAAAAGCTCGAAATTCAGAATCTGCTTCTCGGGAGCCTTAGGCAAACACCTACAAATAACGCCGCTGGCTCTACGCCAGGACATCCTCGAGCGTGAATTCGTCCGTATCCTCCTCGTCCTGCTCCTCCGCTTCCTCCATATCCACAGTGTCTATGTCGAAATCGACGTCTTCTAGGCCACCCAGGAAAACCACCTGCAACGGAGCGTCGAAAAGCGGTCAAGAAGCGCGCAGAGATCGCGTCCGATGTCTGGTTTAAACCGGACGAGTGGCGCGTCACTCGACCGTCCCAGAAGGGTCACATCCAGCGCCAATTCTCCTATTCCTTCTCGACCATCTTCTGTCAGCTTGACCGGGTCAAAGTCGATTGCAGCAGCGTCACCTCCTACTTTGATGACCAGGAAACGGCGGGCAAACGACCTCTTTGAGGTGGGGACAGTCGGCGACAAGGGCGAAGGCGACGTACACAGTCGTGATGGTGGTCCAAGTTGAAGACGAAGAACTGATGGCGGGGATGCATCAGCGTTTACCTCATCGTTGACAGCAGCATCGTCGCACACGACTCCGTTCAACCTCAACCACTACGCAGAGTTCACGCTCGAGGATGTCCTGGCGCAGTGGCTTTATTTGTACGTGCTTGCCAAAGGCTCCTGAGAAGCAGATTCTGAATTTCAGCCTTTTTTGCAGATATCGATGTGTATGAGGCTCTATTCTGACACAGAATGAGTCGCAGATGTACCCTGGACTGTTGTTCCCCTTCTTCAAGGATTTACCCGTCGTTTCTCCCTGTAAGCCTCAGTTTTTCCCTGTTTTTCGGCATCTTCACTCTGAAAATGTTCAATGTCGTTCACCCGTTCGCTTCTATTCGGATATATCCTATGTCAAATGAATGTAGACGTCTATGCGAACATTTTCCCAAAGTTTCAGGGCGATTGGTAGAGATATGATGAATAGGGATTCGATTTTGTATTTCAGCCAAACGCTGAGGCGCGATATTTTCTAAGTGCTCGTTCACACGGTACACCCTCCTGCCAAAACCGCGACCGTTTTGCCCAGCCGGTTCTGACGAACCTATCCACCATCAGTGGATACGTGATCTCATCACCCTCTTTCGTCAGAACCGAGCTGGTTCACGAGCCTACCCGTCGACGTGTCACAATTCTTGGTGCCAGCAAGGGCTGCATGGCGTCATCTCCATTCGCCTATCGCCCCGCGGACCAAGTTCTCACTCCAACAACCTCTTCTTGGCTTTCTTCTCGACTTGGCTTGCTTGGACGACGAAGACCTTTGGGCGCTTGTATGACGGTTTCAGACCCTTACTGGGAATGGACAGCGGGCGCTAATTGATGGACGACAACCAGGGAGAGCGGATCCGCGGTTGCATTTGCATCCTGCAGATCACCGCCGGGCAATGTTTCGAATTCGAAATAATGCCATGTCCAATGGTGTGCGTAGCCGCAGCCGGTCATGTCGGCGACATCTCCTTAGCGCCCACTCACAGGCTTCTGACTGCGGAGAACTCGGCTCCTGGACCGTCCCCGCGGTCAACGGCAGGCTTCAGGCTGTTTCTGAAACCGCAATGCCCTTGTGAGGCCTGCAGCTAAGGAGTAAGTAATACGCCATCGCACTCTGACGATGGTTAGAATTAACCGCAGGCTTATCCAAATCAGTGAACTCCCGGTGCAAGGGCGCCAAGGGCGCCCATGCAAACGCGCGATGCTCGTGGTGAGCGATGTTACTGAGGGTCGTTTGGGACGTCATTGGGATTCGTCGGTCGTTCCTTCACGCCTCGGCGCTCGCAGGTCCCTTTTCCACCGGAACATAATTACACACAACACGAGTCACCGAATCAAAGAATCCTAATCTACACCACGAATCACAGTCTATAACAAGCGCAAATCCCACTCTCTGCCAGGCTACCGTTTAGCCCTATCAACAACACATCCCTCTACAACCTCGACATGACAAACTGCACCACCCTCGTCCCAACCCCAAGATCCATACCATCCTGCACAACATTCTTCACATCCTCAGTACAAGAAAACCACGGCGCCGCAGACCACGCAAACCACACCACAACCCACACCATCCCCACCCCCTTCGTAAACCAATTCGGCCTAATCGGCGTGCCACACCTCTTCGCCACCTCCACCACAGCATCCTCAAACGTAATCGCACAAGCTTGGAGGACGAAGGTACGGATAGCTAGACTACCCCGGTGACCCATCGCCACGCAGTCGATGAAATAGTGCAGGACCCCCGAGAAGAAGAAGGCGCCGAAGAGGCGGGTGTACCGCGATACCACCCCTTTCTTTGGGAGACGCAGGATCTTGTAGGCGACAACGTCCGCATTGGACGTCAGCGTCTGGGAATAGGCGCGTCAGTGGATGTGGGGTGAAATGAAATAGTAGCAAGGGACGAAGAAAACAAGGGAAAGAAGTAAGAACACACCCTTCGAAGCGCCTGATGCCACACCCTCCCCCAAGCTCGACGAACCGTGTACGCGTCCAGCGGGTTCCCCATCACCTGCGGCCACTCCCGCGGCTTGCCCCATCCCACCGCAACACCAATCGCACTAGCCACACAAAACGGCATCGACAAGACATGATGGCTCGCCACAATGAACATCCACGCCGATAATCGACCAGGGAACCCTCCCATCATCAAACCCCTAAAATCCGCAAAATACGGCACAAGCCTGCACACAGCAGACAACACGTCGAGGAACAGGACGTGGTACACCGCGCGGAGGAGCTGGCAGAGGACGAACGTCCACCTCCCGCGCTGCGGGGCCGGGGGCGGGAGGTGGCCAGGCGACGGCTCGAAGGACCACCCAACGCCTCGCAGCGCCAGCCGGAGCTCCACCGCCCACTTCACTCGACCCCACACCGACCGCTGCGACACGGGCTCCACTTTCCCCGCATCGGTGAGGGCCTTGTCAGAGCGCAGATACAGTTCGTTTTGGATGTCGGTGAAGAGGATTTTGTCGGAGGCGGAGAAGAGGAGGCTGTAGAGGAGGCCGACGAAGGGTTGGCCTGGTCTTTCGGCGTCGGAGATGGGCGAGAAGAGAGGCCAGATGGATAGGAAGAGAATGGGGAGGAAGAAGAGGCGCCGGTATGGAGAGGGGCGGGAGGCTGTCCCTAAGAGGTTGAAGACCTCCGCTCCTAGGAGCAGAGTCATCGGTGAGGGTGTGTTCAGCATTTTCCGGCCGAGTAAATCTGGGGGTGTACCAGGAGGTGGTGCAGCCTTTTTGACTCAGGTTAATTATAAGCCCGTCCTTTCGTATACCGAAGTCAAATGGAAGAGCGACCGAGAAAGAGTTCAACCTCATACAATTCCATTACTCGCTTCAAAGTAAGTATATTTCAACTGACCTCTTCTCGTCGCTTCCATGAGCAATAGGCTATTCTTACGCCCGCTCTGGTTAAAGCAGACAGCGGGATTATAATTCTATCAAGATAGGGGCGAACGCCTCGCGTGGTCTTGGCACTTAGAATGACCGGGGAACCCTGTGCGACGACCAACGTGCAGCAGTTCCAGGTAGTTCTTAGAGCACCCTTTCGGGAGATAGCCTGCAGCAAATACACATTGTATCTAATCGCGAAGAAAGAACAACTGGGGGACCCCAGACTACCCACATCTAATTTTACATGGATCTAATATACTCAATCACCTTAGTTCCAACTTTCAAGTCCGGATTGTCTTGAATAATCCCAGACGAAACAATAAACGTCAACCACGGCGCCATACACCACGAAAACCACACCACCACCCACACCCTCCCAACCATACGCGTAACCGGCGTAGGAACAATCGGCCTCCCAAGGCGCTTCGCCACCTCAGCCACCAAGTCTTCAAAAGTAATAGCGCAGGCGTGCAGCAGAAAGGTCCGCAGACAAACGCTGTCAGTGTGTCGGAGCGCCATACAGTCCGCCATGTAATGGAGAAGGCCGGATACGAAGAAGGAGGCGAAGAGGCGGAAGTACCGGGATACGAGGCCTTTGCGAGGAAGAAAGAAGACTTTGAACGCGAGAAAGTCGGCGTGGACTGTTAAGATCTTAAAAATGAGAACTCGGAAGTTAGTCAAGCGGCACACACATGATCGAGGATGGTGGTATAGTACACACCCTTCTGATAGACTGCTGCCAGACTCGACCCCATGCTCGACGAACTGTATAAGCATCCAACGGGTTTCCAAACAACTCTGGCCATTCGTGAGGCTGGCTAAGCCCAAGCCCGACGGAGAGGATAGTCAAAATCCGGAATGGGACGAGCAATCCATGGTAGCTGATGGCGATATAGAGCCAGCAGAGCAATTTATCAGGCCACGGCGCCGTCGCAAGCGTTTCCCTACCCGTCCCGTCGAAATAAGGGATGGTTTTGGCGGTGGCCACGCACAAGTCCAACGCTAAAGAGTTAAACGCTGTCCAAATCAACTGGTAGATGATGAACTCCCATCTCGTTCGGACGGGAGGACGGGGTCCGAGGTGTTCTGGAGAAGGCTCAAAAGACCACCCAACACCCCGCATCGAAGTGCGCAATTGGAACGCCCACTTCAGCCGACTCCACCATGAGCGTTGAGAGATATGGGGCGAGGCTTTGTCGTTCCGGAGCCTCAACTCGTTCTGGACGTCGGTGAGGACAAGAAAGTCGGAGGAGACGAGGAGGAGAGAGATCAGCCTCCCCGTGCGCGCGTAGTTGTCGTGGCTGGTTGCTGCTTTCGGGAGAAACATGGGATAGATGCAGAGCGGCGCCACCAGGAGGAAGAGAAGCCTTCTGTACTTCGAAGGGCGGGCAGCTATGCCCAGCAACGTGATGAGCTCTGCTGCCCAGATGAACGGTCCTGGTGTGAGTGTAGTCATCGTTGAACCAGTGGAGTGGAGACTGGCCTGGGGAAGCTCAAATACGCTGCCCCCTACCCGACTTCGGTCCTTGTTACAAGGCGGTCGCTAGATAGATGGCTTGCTGGATCCTTGTCACGTTGGTGTGTCCCAGAGCCGAAGAATCATGAGCGTATTGTCCCATCTTTCCGAATAATGAATGCTTCCGAATAATGGCATTCATTTCGAATTCAGAAGTAGGGTCTTGGAGTGTGTACTCGCCCCGACTTGAGGCGAAGTCCGCCTGTCGAAATGGAATTTCTGACAGTGTTGTAGAGTCCGAGAATAGACACGATGTCGAGGACAATTTCGGGGCAAAACCAGTCCCGAGGAGGGTATTTATGCGAGACACGCGATCCGGGAGAAGCTACTATGGAGCAGAGCAAGCGACAGATAGAATGTGCGACAACCCTCGACAACCCACCTGCTTTCGAGCCGACATCTCCGACCATCAGTGATGGAATCAATCGGCATGCGAAGCCGTATCGTTGCCCCCGTCCTCGCAGATCAGACTCAGGCTTGAAGAGAACCTCCAACTCAAAACCCAGCCCAAAAACTACTACATCGCGCTTCGCCGCACAGCCTGCTACTACCCACCTACCCGATCCGTTGAGGGAAAGGAAGCTTGTATTGTTGACTGAGAAAGGGAAATGACGATGGGTGGACGACAAGGACGACGGAGGAGCGGGAAGAAACGGCATCGCGGCAAGAGAAGGCGTGAGAAAAAGAGTTTGCCTACAGCGGTGCATAGTAAACCTGCTATGTACTACACTAGTTGTAGCAGACACCTCACTTTTGCACCGTCTTCGCAGCAACTGGAACTAACTGGTTAATGCAAGAACTATGTCGCTTGTAGGAAATGAAATCGAGATCTCGAGTTAAAACTCGAAGATAGTCGAGAGGATCACGACCTCGCTCACCGGAAACGAGCACGAGACGGCGTGCTTGCCTCCCTGCGCATGTTTCCTCCCGAACTTATCGTCAAAGTATTCAAAGCTTGCCTTGGGACTCCACTTATCCTCCACTGCCAATGGCGCCACCAAATCCTTGTTCTGAAGTCCGTTTGTCGAGTTGCCTTTTCCACCCCCGAGCTATGGGCAGGACTCATCGACGGGCGCGAACAGACGGACGAAGGCCGTCTCCCATCGAGACAGATCCGCTCGTGGTTTGACCGTGCAGGATCTCCACGATCACGGCGGCCAGTAACTGGCTTTGAGGACGCCTGCCTGTCATCCACGCCGTACAGCCGGGTGCAGCATCCAACAGCCGTTCGAAAGACGTCGTAATAGATCTAATGTACACGCAAAAAGCAGAATAGTCATGAATGACAACATAGCGTAAAGCCCGGAATACCGATAAAAACAATGTGGATACCAAGACACAAAAATTATCTTCTGTCGGTCTTGCCTCCTTTTCGTTTGCCAGCAAAGAGATGCTTGGGCTGCAAAAAAGGGTGGGTCAGTCAACACGCCGACAGAACCACAAGAGACCCAACAGGGACGCACCATTTTAGTTCTGATATGGCGATCACCTTCACCAGCCTTGGCCTGCATATTGCGTGGTCGTTGACCAAGGTTACGGAGTTGAACGGCTTTCTTGTATTGCTATAGTGTGACAGTGATCAGCAACGCTTCGAACCACAGAGTAAACAATAACTCACCTCCTCATTCTTGAGACCAGCCATAGACCTATCGGAACGAGGCTCCCTCCTACTAACCGTGACACCTCCCGAATTCGTCTTAAGCTTCTTAACCGCCTTCCTCGAAGCACCACCATCCACATCCATAGCCTCATCCTCCCAGTTCGCCTCACTGCCCTCCCCATTACTAGCATCGCCCATCTCGACATCGTCATCCTCCTCTCTCTGCCTTTTCCGCTTGGCACCCTGCAACTTGGCCAACATCTCCGCCCGCTCTTGGATACGCGAAGGATCGTAACCAGCTTTTGTGAGCTCGTCGGTAAGTTCGGTGAGTGTGCGCAGACCGGCTGTGCGGGGTAGGCGGGCTTGGTTCTTTTTGGCTTTCTTGACGCTTTGAGAGATGATTTTGTGTTCGAGATTGGACTTGGCTTCGGCGGCTTCACGCTCGTCGTCAGAGTCGAACTGCAAGGGGAAACGGCGGGTAAGCAAAGGCGGGGAGGGTGGAGGGAGGGGAAATAGCGCACCATTTCTTCCTCGCTGTCGTAGAACCCTTCAGCCTGCAAGCGTTCCTCCTCACGCTCGAGAGCCTCAAGCTTCTCTTCGATGTCGGGGTCGATAAAGTCGGCGATGTTCTTGCCGTCCATGATTTCTGGCATGACATCGAACTTCCACTCCGGGTTGGCAAGGATGTAGTCCCCTGAAATAGCAGGTGTGTTAACAGTGTCGCCTGGACACAGGCAAGGAAAAACTCACTCTTGAGGTTGATGTTGTAAACGCCAGCACCTCCCTCTTCAGCCTCCTCATCCCTGAGCAACCTGGGCCTGTCAGGATCGTCCTTGTCGTACTTCTTCCTGTTCTTCACAGCGTCAGGGATGAAGGGTGCCCGCACGACATCATCTCTGGGCTTGGGCTGCGCAACATGAATACGATTGACGATGCTGTTGATCTTGCTGCCCTTCATCTTCGTGTCGACACGGTGAGCCAGGAGAGCGTCGCAAGCCTTGTTCTTGGCGTCCATGACGCCCTCCTCGGAGAAGGTCGAGATTTGGACGCATTGGATGCCTTCAGAGTCGATGATTTCTTGGACGAGGGCGCGGTTGTCGGGGTGGAGGTCGTCGAGCTTCATCACGTCGATCTTGTTGATAACGAGCATGACGGGCTTGTTGGCGAAGAGGGGCTTGATGGAGTGGAAGAGTTTGCACTGTTCATTGGTGTAAGGAAGGGTTTTTGGCAAAGGGGATGAGCGTCACATACCTGGGCTTCGACGGTGTAGCCACACTGTTCGCTAAGATCCATAAAGTAGAGAATGCAAGCCTTGAGATGGGCGAGAGCAGTGATACTCTGCATTTCAATGGTGTTCATCTCTTCCAAAGGGTGATCAAGGATACCAGGGGTATCGATGACCTGCCATCGAAGGTACTTGTAGTCCAAGTGTCCGACGAAGAGAGATTTCGTGGTGAAAGCGTAGGGTTGGACGTCGACATCGGCGCGAGTGACCTTGTTGATGAAGGATGACTTTCCGACGTTGGGGTATCCACAAATGAGGAGGGTACGGGTGTTGGGGTCGATTGCGGGGAGACGGGAAATGTGTTGCCTGACTTGTTCGAGGTAGGCCAAGGGATCTTTTTGTCGTCGCATGATCGTTGCCATTCTACGCAAACCTTGTTAGCCCTGGGTCAAGAGAAGGGTCCGAGACTACTCACCGACCAAGGGCAGCCCTCTTCAGCTGCTTGCATCGGTAAAGAGAGTCGCCAAACTTCAATAGACGAACGTAGTCCTTGGCTACTTGATCAATCAAGTGTCTTGCGGTTCTCAATTGACCGAGAGCAAGTTTATAGTGGTTCTTATCGTACAAGACGTTCATCAACGACGACAGGAAAGGGTGGAGGTCCTACAATATCGATTCAATATCCAATTCATTCAGAAAAAAAGAATTGAACATACATCGAGTATAGGGAACTCGGACAAGATTGCACCAAGCTTTTCGTCGAAGGCATCCTGACAGAACTTGACTTTTCTCATATAAAAGTTTCGTATCCGACTAATCTTGAAGTTCTTATGGATAACCTACACAGAAAACCAGGTCAGATCCTCTTCTAAGCGATATCAGCTAGAAACTCACCGTCGGCGTTTTTCTTTGGGTTTTGGACAGGACGATGTCCAAGAAGTCGGCCGCCGTTGGCACGGGGGCGATAGCTTTGAGCCCGCTGGTCGACATTGTGCTCTACGTTGTGGGCGACGACGGCGACGATGGGCAGAACGGCGAGGAGCAAGACTCCTGGACCTTGTCGAGAGCAGTTGAGGAAGAAATTTCAGAGCCGTTCCCACGATCCGATTTCGGGCACCGACATTTCTTGGTCAGCGCGCCTCGTCTTCGCCCGCCCCCGCATTCCTGTTTTTGTCACCACGTCGACTCTGTCTCCCATGCAAGCCTCCACATCTGAACTGGGAGGAAATACTCTGGGTAGCCAACTGGGACCTTATGACAACACATTTTTTCTTGCGCTATCTGTGGTCTGCAGACCAACTTCGACGGCGCTTTTTCGGCGACTTTGCTGGCGGTTATGTACGTGACTGAGATTTGCCCTCAGTCACGTACATACGGTCTCTGTGATCCGCCCAAAGGACGCACTATCAAAGCGTCACGAAACATCAGAAATACATGAAGCTTTCTGGAAGGGTGGGGCACTCGCAAACTCTGTTCGTCTATCTGGAGGTACTTACTCTGGCAACACGCCCACAGAATCAGTATCAACGCTCTGGATGCTGGTAGAGATCTCGCCGGAACGCAGCAACCGGCGGTCCGGAGTCATTCCAGTTGTAGGCCTTCCATGCTTCCTGCATGAAACATACGCGTAGACGGGCGACGGCTGGGCGACGGAGACGTCTCTCGACATCTTTCATACCGCTTCGCGGTACTTGGATAGCGAAGGGTCTTCCTAATTAGCTTTCTTGGTGCCCTGTCCAAGAATTCTCGCTTGGGCGCCCACGTCCCTACTTGGTTTTATGAGGAGGAAAAGGTCCCAGGCCGCTACAGCCTCGGGCTCTTATCCCTTGCGGCGTCTGCTTATCCCGCCGATAAGAGGCAACATCATAACCTTGCCCCACCGCCGCGGTCGGACTAATTATCAGATTCAGACAGCCACCAATCTATACCAAATACATCGTACTTATGCAGCTTGGTAAGTCCCATTCATGCCCTTCAAAATGCCGTTTGAATTACCAGTTTCAATTCAGTGGCAGTGGGAGAATGGATAGATGAAAGCCTGCTCACTCCAGATGCTGTCAATTTCACTTCCTGCGACGGACGAAGATTCAGTCCAGTATTATCACATACCGCTTCGGCAGATAAGTAGCGCTCAGGTCTGCTGCACACGAGGCAAGGTTTGGTGACGTGAGTTTGATGTATGCTATTCCGCTCAAATCCCCAGTCACCTACCTTATGGGTAGACGTGGTTCCACGCCTTCTTTCGAAGAAGATGGGTTGTTGGTCCCAACAAAAGTCCGGGGCTGACGGGGCAATCATCGACGCCCTTTTCCAACCTTTTTGAATGAGGAATGCCGAAGACTTGAGCGCAAGCTCGCTAAACCTCCAGTGGAAGCCCCTATGATCGGAACCGGACCCATCGGGCAGTTGAAGTGAGGCGAAACGAAACACTCTCCATCAAATACACTAACCACCATCGTGTAAGGTTAGTTACAAGAGGATTTACAAAGTGGGCGTCCACGAACGGACAAGGGAGCGCTCTCGTAACGCCTGTCAAGAAATTGATGTTTCTGTTTCCCATTCACTCTTCAGGAAGCCAGGGTCGCCATTCGAAGCACCACCTCTTTCTCACTGTTACCGCACCACATATTGAGTATTCTTATATCGACACACTCGTTTTCTTCCGATCGTTCGGTTTCCCCTTCCCTTCTCCCTTCCTCCCCACTCTTCTCCTTCTTTTGGGTAACCTACAATGGCGCCTTCAGCGGCAGAGTTGGCAATGGTGGAAGCCGCAAGGCAGGATCCGATCGTGAGGAGAGACTTGACAAACATGGCCATGGCTAATAGTGAGTTCTAACTTCGTCCTCTTCTCGACACGGGCTAACCACAGTGTTAGCTGGCCTTTTGGTACGCGTTTGAGTACTATGAAAGAATCCCCCACCTAACACTCTTCCTTTCTCTCCCACAAGTTCATTCTCTTCTACGACCACTTGATTACACTTCCCGACGAGGTAGGGCCGATCCTTTGAATGTGGAATACGACCAATGTTGACGTTAATTGATAGGTCCGGGTCATTTGGCCGTACGTTCCCCTCGCCTCCGTCGACGCCGCCTATCGCGTACTCACGTTCATTCAGAATGCCATGGAAGTTGCCCAAAATCCTCTTCATGGTAAACCGATACTTTGTCCCCGCGTTCCTTATGTGAGTGCTTTCAGCAGTCCCTTCACGCAACATTACTAAACTGATGCCATTTCGTAGCTTCCACAATTTCAGTACGTTCATTCGCATACGGGTTCCGAGACAGTGATCTAAATTTAGGCGTGGACTTGCAGCATATGTTTTTTATAACATCAGCGATCCAGTGAGTTTTCTGACCATTGGAAGTTTTGAGAAACACTTACCCAACGTATTGTATAGATGTACGTTTGTTGCCATACGTCCCTCAGAGATCCTGAAAATCTGATACGACCCCGCTTTTCAGTTGCACCGCAAAGATCTGGACCGGGGCGTGAGTGGCTATTTGATTGGTTACCGCGCTCCTTTATCTCATCGTTTCTATCGCTTCCAGACCTTGTATATTCAGTTTAGCATGTGTCCAAGGGCTGCTCATGTTCCGCGTAGAAGCTATTTGTAAGTCTTGCCTAACGTTGGATACCAAAATGCGTGACCTAACGTCTTCCTCTAGATCGAGGCGCTAGAGTGAGTTACTACGCAATGCCTTCCCTCTTGAATCCTTACGAATGGACACCCTCAGCGTGTAAAACACTTCCTGTATGCCATGTTCGGACGTGAGTTACGGCAGTCTGCCTCTTTAGACCTACGCTGAACCCCTTCGTTCAGTCCAGCTGCTGGCCACTGGCATCCTATCCGGGATTATTATGCCTGCTGTGCGAGGTGCGACCATTTTCGCTTTCATACCTGCGAATCCCCGTCGCTGAAGGTTACAACAACCCTTCACTTAGGCTATTCCGGCCAAGACAAGGTACCTGGTTGTTTGTACATCATGCCTCAGCACATGGAGATGATTTGGTACGTGCACTTCTCGACTTCTGCCATGATCGATCCCATGACCCAATTTACTGAAATCTTTCGTTTAGGCTGCCAGGGACGCTGTTTGAAGGTATTTTAACTGTCGAAGCTATCTTAGCCCGAGGATACTAATCCTATTTCTCAGCGCTACTCGCTGTGATGACCATCTATCAAGGCATTGTATTAGGCTTCCGCTCGCCACTGTAAGTTTATCTGCCTGTTCCCTGCGTAGTAGCTTTATTGCTAACCTCATCCCACCACTTCAGACTCCGGGTGCTGGTCCGAGATGCCTTCATCTACTTCATCGCTATCTTCAGTGCGTCGCAATTTTCCTAGTTCCGTGAAGTGTGAAGGATGCTCATTGGGGTATAGCTTGCTTGTTGGCCAGTTTGATCTACCCCAAGGTCGGTCAGCGCTTTTTGGCCCCGCCGCTATTGCTTCCATCCACTGTTATCGCGTCCCTCGGAGTGAGTATTTTCTTGTCTCCGTCTCGTTCGCACCTGGAGTTAACACTTATTTCCTTCGTCGTTTTCCTAGACTGCACGGATAACAATCAACCTCCGAACGCAACCAACGCGCGAACAAGTCACCCCAGTCCCTGACCAAATCCAGCTGCGCTCACCGACGAGCACGAACCCCGTCATACCTTTCTACAGCACGTCGTACGGCATGCAAGACCAGATCAAGATCAAGATGGAGACATTTGTAGAAACTAGCAAGCCATGATTCGGACTAGGGGAAGCGGGAATCGAAAAAATTCAACATTCGAAATTCGGATTCGGATTCTACTGTAACAACATTGCAAAAAGACCGGAATACTTACAGTATTAGAGACGCGTAGCAACCGGCGGTCGAGTCTCTCAGACTCCGTACTGCAATACCAGTACAGAAGATGGGACCTGTGGAATGTGGAGCCCGCTGCTTGTCGGCCTCCCAGGGAGGTACGTAGCGCCCCACTTCGATGAGAAAACCAGGCAAAAAATCGGATGATACCCTCATGGATATTGCAAAAGGACATTGGGAAGGACACTATACATTCGTTTATACCCACACTCGTTTTAGCATTGGCACTCGTTATAGAAGACAGCATACTCTCTCCTTAAATCTTACTGCTTAAAGTCACCAACCTTCATTGAAAGTGACACACATAATGACCTTCAAAGCTTCAAAGTTCACAGGTTCATTTAACTTTCGCACTTGTCCGACTCGAGCAATGTCTTTGTACTCAACTTTGCATTGAAATACTCACTGTTGCGCCCTCCGACAACAACATCATGGATAGTAACGGAGCGAGGAGCAAACGGAACCGAAAAGAAGCTAAACTCTGCGAACCTCGACGTACCCTTGCAATACATTCGAATTTGTTTATTCTCGTAAAGGGAGACAACCATCTTTTCACTGGCAGCCAGTGATGATCGAAACCTAAAAGCATAAGGCCAGGAACCGTTTGGTGTACACACAACACGGGGTGGGCAGGTGGACATGACTTCGTTGGAGCTGAAGCAGTCCGCTCATCGGATGGTCAGAATTGCAGGGTCCTGGTAACTGTCAGAGGGACGATGTTTGAAGACAAGTACCGCGAAGATAAGAACTTGCAGGTTACGACAGACGCCACCCTACCGAGGGCTGAAGATGGCGGCGAAGGACCGTAAAACTTGGGGGATTACATGGCCATGACGCTACATCCGTGCGAGGTCGAAAAGATTTGAGGCATTAAGTGAAGCCGTTGGTGTTATATCCCTGCCATGTCCCCTCTCTCCAAGAAATGGGCGTAGAATTCGACCACTGAATAAATGTGCTTCGGGGAGGCCTCCAACTGCAAATTATACCTACCACCGCCACTGGGCCGCCACTGTACCAGTTTCGTCTGGGGACTCGGAAATTACCCAGATATTACGGTCGGGCGCTTGATCTGCTGGGACGTGCCAAGCTCCATCAGATAAGATATGTACCTCTCATCAATTCCTCTGAAACATGTCAATAAGATTAGAACCATCGTGGAGGGAGTAGAGGTCACCTGAAGCAGTTGAACCTGTGAACTCTGCCAGTGAATGTGAAACGGAATCAGCTGGTCAGGAAAGAAGTCACAGCCCGCCAGAATCTCGAGAAGATATGCCTGGTAGGAAGGTCTATGTGAGACGCTGTGATAGACCTTTTAAGCTAGTCGCCTAAAGCCATAGCGCAGGAACGTCATCGTCCGAGTTTAATCCCGTACGAGGAGGGAAGACCACGCGAGAAGATACGCCGATAGAATTCCGTCTCCCTTCCGGTTGCGGGGAAGCGCTTCCGATGCCCTAAAGTCCGTGCATATATACAACGAGACTGCAATATTAACGCAAAGTATGGGTAGGATCGACGGAGGAGAAACGGGATATGGTTGAATTGCAGTTAGAGCTTTGCAGATGACGCCGATTGAAGCCGCGCTGCCATTGTCTTCCAACAAACAACAGAAGCATCCTCGAGGTAACTGTCACTTGATTCGCCAGTGCAGAAGAGTCCAGCAGGTCATCGATCCTCGCTGATGACCAGGAGTTCGAAGAATTTCTGGGATACCTCGGATTCAGCTTGGTACGGATGCAAATCCGCCAAATGACGCAGGCGTGGTACGGATGAGGGACGCTGATCTCCAGTCATCGGAGGCAACGACCCGGTTCGACTTGAATCACCTGGGCCCAATTAAGTAGGCGACAACCTGAATACCGGAGACATGAGGCCCAGTAAAAATCAGTGGTTCTGTCTTTCTTCCATCCTGCAGGTTCAACTTGCCTTTCCCGATAACATGTTTCTAGTGGCGTACACAATTCCGAGGGTGTTACTGTAGCAAGGCCATCGGGTTTGTTCGTCCGGTCGAGGGTCGGAGTACCAAGGACACGGCTATGAGAATCCCAAGTTGAACGAGAGCACAGTCGCGAGTGAGAAACCAAGAGTACGTCGGCGGCGATCACAAGTTAAAAAGCACCTCGATGAAGGAGGTTCTTCGCAGATAGTCGACAGGACTAGAGGTATCTTCAAGAATGTGTTCGCAGCACCAAAGCTGGTTTGGGAATGGAACGCTGCGAACCTTCGAATAAGGCCACCTAGACAGCTGAGTCAAGACTCACGGTAGCCCGTCCTCCTGAAGTCAGAGTTCCCCACCAACCGACTCCAGTACGATACCATGGCCACTGGATGCTTGATTCTGGGTCTCGGACTCATCGGCCTGCACTGGCAAGGTTTCATTCCATCATTGCCGTGGCGGGATGGGAACGGGAAGGGTGGAATGCAGAGATTAATGGTGCCCAAGTTTAAGTTCATTACCAGACGGATGAACGACCTCAGCGAGATTGCGATGGTGGTGGTGAACTCATTGAGTGTCGTGGAACCTCCCGCTAAGCGTTGATGTTTGGTTCCAATGGGTATGCCAAACAACGTACCATTGGGCGCAAAATTGCGTTGAATCGTCCTATCCTGAGCCCCTGCCACTCGGTTCTACCCGCCTTTTGGCTTCTCAAGTATGACTCTGACCGAACAACCTTCGACCACGAAGAGCCGATCCTAGTCTCTCCCAGCTTTCAAGGCGGTCGGATCTGAGGACGGTTGCAATGGTTCTAGCTTTCTATATCTCGACGTCTCAGGCTCCAATGACGGTTCATTCTACTCTGCGTGCTATACATGCTCACCTGAAGGCTGATCAACAACGTGTTCCTCCTTGCTTGTCTGTTGACTTTGAATTCGGTGTCATATGATCCGAGCATTCCAAGCTGCCTCAGGTGGAAGAACGCTGGTGCAGCAGTCTATGAATTGCTAGTCTCTGCTCCGCGACGCTAGTCTAACAGAGTGGCTGCAGTCCGTTACAATGACGGTCAAGGGTCTGGTTACCGGTTTCTGACTGTCCTGGGACATATTATACCGGTCCAGATACTGTATCCAAGGAGCTGGCTGGGGGTCGGATACCGGCCTTGTTCTCATGCGCAAGGGCCCTTCTGACCTTCGATGTGACCATGCAATTTCAAATCAGTCAGCGTTCAGACAAGTCGCGGCTCGTTGCTTACAGGCCAACAACTTCTGGAGTAAGTATAGTGCTGTGCGTATCGCAGAGTTCCCATTCTTATACCCCTAACCTACGCAATCGCTCATTTCACAGCATCTAATCGCCTAAAACGACCATACTATTATTGACACCTTCAGCGCTGTAGATATCGCGTGTTACGATATCGAAAACTACACCTTTGTGAATCGAAGACACCCTCAAAATGCAGAGAACATACCCTTGTTTACCTCACTCCCAGCATACAGCATACAAACCGATTCACCTATCCATAGACGACAAAATTCCAATCCATCAACTATTTCTTCGAGGAAGGCCTTGGCCTACAACCCGACGTCGCGCTCTTGTCTTCGACAACACATTGTGTTAATGACTTCGACCGGTTCGAGCCATTCGAACCACCCCTCTTCTCAAACCGCACCGCGCACTTGGCAACAAACCGGCATTTCAAGCATAATTGAGCCTCGAATTCGAATTCGAATATCACTCACAAACGTGATCGCACAACTCCGGACAAGTGCGATCCCTGCCCAGGCGGAATTGGCTTCATCGACCTGGTTCACGGAAATACTTCCGATAATTTGCCTTTTCGACACATGGAATCAGTGGTTCGGTGGTTTACTTGATTAGAAAGGATTCGAACTGGTCACTGTTGTGAAACAAGAGTCTATCGATGACTTGGTCACTTGCCTCTTGCCAATAATCAAGTGAGAAGAATTGGTTGCTTAAGCTCGGTTTTATCCCAGGCGCCTCGAGGCAAAATGACATCGATAACTGTGTTCTATCTAATCGCAGGCATCTGGGCTCCGGAGGGCCGCAACTATTGCTGCAACCATCTATCCCGCCTCCGACTAATCCATGCCCTATAACCTGGTCATTCATATGGATGGATGATAGTTACGCCTCTAACACACTTTTCCGAAGGTTATAGCGCTCCTTCCTGGCTGACCATCCTATTTATAACGCCTCTAGTGTACTTGACCCTCGTTCTATCCATCCTTATCTTAACACCACCGCTCGCCACGGCCGCCACACCACTTGTTCTTCCCAGGTACCATAGCAGTCTTTAATCAACTAGCTCTGCCCACTCGTCAGCCAAGCCATAATTCGAACATCCGCAAGGTGGAACTTTCCGAGATCACATTCTGACTCGTCGAATTGCGGGGAAACAAACACTCACTTCACAAACAAGCCTGTAGAAGTCCAGAGCGACTTACATCGTACATAAGTAGAAGAATGACGAAATTCGAGCCTATTTTCCAATTTCTCTCATGAGTGCTCAGTGCAAACACTAGGCTGACTGATTGTCAGCCGTCAGTTATTTCAATCGATAGGCACTTGCCGTGAAGCCTTGAGGCAAGTAACTGATAATACACAGTAGTGACATGCAGCTTATTATACTTACAACACAGCTTCACTTGGGATACGTTAGGATTGGTAAGACCCTCATGGAAAGCGAGAGCCTAGCATGAGAGGATGGAGCTGTGGCGGGTTGGTCACCAGTGCCGTGGAAGGGGCCACGAAAAGAAAGACCTCTCCTGCCTTATTGAACTGTATTCCTTTTCGACATATGGTAACACCCTTCTCACCACAAGGTTTATAAATACAGCGCCCAGAAGTCCTAGACTAGTCCCGGCTCCGTACAGAATCCCTTTAGACGCCAATGACTCGGCGAAATTCGTATCACTCACATCCTACAGGCGTACAGCCTGAAGTGGGCGCATGCATAGGACAATAATCAACACGCTGTTTGCGAACAGAAATCGATCCCAACTGCCCATCTATCTAAACCCACCGTATCCACCCTTCGACTCGCGGAGCGTGACAAAGTCTCGGGGCGCTTAACCCATAAAAGGCACTCTCCAACTGGTTCGCGTCCCTCGAACCCGCTGGGAGTTCGAAGTCCTTCCATACCAGCGCGCCGTTCTTGACATTCGGGTTCCTTCACAACCTGCCTATCCAGTCATGGTTCGCCCATCGCGAATTTAACAGAACCCCAGCGCCCAGAACATCGAGGGTCGGCATCGAATGACATTGACGTCGTTTGGTTGGCTGGTCCAAGCCAAAAAGAAATTCCACGAGTAAAAAAAAAAAGCACGTCAACCTGAGCTCATATTCCTACAAAGACAGAAGACAGGTAAGTATTAAAACAACACACAGGTCCTGGCAAATTTCTCCAGCCCCTTCAGGAAGGTCGGTACCCAATCTCGAGCATGTCGAGTCGACGCTCCCACCCTTCCACCCCTCCCAACCCAAACGTCAATTATTTTCACTTCCGTGTATGTATGTCGGGTCTCCGAGGAGTGGTAACGAAACCCTAGTCCCTAGAAAATCAAAAGAGTCAAGACTCTTCGCGCCGCCGTAACGTACACCTGCTCAAGCTCCCGTTCCGTCGCTCCGCGATGCCCTTGGTTTTTTCCTTAGGGTTTTCCTCAAAAGTTACTGTACGCCACCATCGGGACTCGTCCACCGCATTGTTACTGGAGTTTTCGGAGGGTCGGAAGGTTCGGCTACATCGATACCCATGCCTGCCCTGGCAGCAATGCTCGTCTCGTCATGATGCACGATGCATTTACCGCCAGTGTATCCGAGTCAGCCCTGGCCGGGTCCAGAGTATTGATTCGTTACAGAGTACATATTGATTTTGTGTAAACCGGGTAATGGATTCAGTATCAAGCTCCCGAATGCTACATCGCCCATTTGCCGAACCTCCCGAGGATAGTACGACTTTCAAGAATGCGGGAGGTTAATCGAAAGCACGTTGCGATGGACCTGTCCTAAATTCCTGAAAGCGTGTTGTTGCGGCAATACTCGCTCAGCGCAACGTCGGACCATCTCTTGATTCCCTCACTTCTGACATCGGAGAAATATTTCTTTGGGGATTTTTCTGGGAATTTTTCGTTCATGGCGAGTCGGCCCTGACGACGCTCGCAGTCGCTCGCAGTTGTCTGCGTTGTCCCAATGTTCGGTAGGCTTTTCCCCAATGAGTGAGCTCGTCCTCGCCCACCCCAAGTCACGGTCCCAAGTTCCGGACACCCACCGACGTGTCGCGTCGTGTCGGTCCATTTCCCCAAGTCCTTTACTCTGAATCACGAAGATCAACTTAAGTACGCACAGCGTGCGCAACAAAGTCTTCAAGTTGGAGTTCAACAAGTGTATTATTCTTGCTACATAAAATATCGTCTATGTACTACTACTACTCTCTCTGTACCTCCACCGGTACCACTAAAAACACAGGGGGAGACATCGAAGAAAGAGTAGAAAAAAAGGAAAAGGAAGGATAGAAAGAGAAGACAAGACTAGATAATATACAACGTTTGGATTTGATTTCGAATTCGATTGTTTCTTGGGGAACGAGGATGCGGGGGTATGGAAACGATGCGGGATGGAAAGGACGATGATGTGTAGTGAGAGATGCATATGCGAGGAAAGAGAGAGGAAAGCAAAAAAGCGATTATTTAAATAAAGGCAGGGACGAGGAGGGTAAGGAGCGACTCAAGGGGTCGGATAACGATGATCAAGCAAGTCCTTGAAACAACAAAACATAAAAACTCAAAAAACGAGCGTGGATACTGGTACGAACAAAAAGCAGTTGAAAAGCTTTGAAAGGTAAGTACAATAGGTGGTGTTTTCAACCCGTGTATAATTGCAGTGAGGGCTGTAAAACGAGAAGGGGAATTGTGAACTATTATACTATACACAACTTTTGACGAAGTGAAAAACTTGTCACGGCATAAGCGAGTGAACAAGGGCAGGAAGGAGAAGGTAAGAAAAGAAAGCAACATAAGACGCGAAACGAAAAAGCCCATGTAAGAATACAAAAAATACACAAGATATGCAAGCATAATGGAACGACGATGAGGGAGAGTGGACGTTATACTACAGCACTGGAATCCAAAAAGAACGGAAAACCAACCACGATTTTTGTTTGAAACGAAGCAAAAATAACCATAACCCATAACCAAGTATAAAGAAAAGAAAAAAAGTCTAAAGGACAACAGCGTTATGAGCCTGCTGGTGCTGTTGTTGTCGTTGTTGTGTTTGTTGTTCGTCTTCTCCACCACCGAGCAACCTGCGCTTGGTCCACCTAACCCATTCCGTAACACCTCCGCCCTCACGCTTCCTCTGCGCCATAATCAACCTCCGCTTCGTCTCCTCGTCCGACGAGTCCGAGCTGTCGGGTGGAACACCCAGCCCCTCGATCTCCGCAAACCCAACATACCCATCCATCTGCCTGCACCGAGCAGACGCACGGCGAACGTTAAACTGCGGTCGATGGGGTTGCGGACCGGTAGACTGGATACCACCAAAGTGTTGCATAGACTGAGAACGGTGGTGGAGCGTTGATGAGAGACGGGAGCATAAGCCTGAGCATCGTCCACCGGAACAAGAGCATGATTCCTCTTCTTCATCGTACTCGTCGTCATCGTCATCATCGTCGTCTGCGTCGTCGTGGTCGTCGGAATATGCAGAGGGAACGCCCGATCGTCCCCGCCTGTGATCGTACCTCAGGGGCGGAGCAGCAGTCGCGGAGCGTCGATGGTCAAAAGTGGTCTTGTAAGGCGAGGGCATGTACTCTTTTGCGTGTCGGCCCATGGAGTAGTGGTGATACGCAGCCATCTGTGAAGGTGGTGTGGGCGGAGGCGTGAGGAGTCTCACGTCCTCCGGGTCCTCGTCCTCATCCTCCTCTTCAGGCGTAGGTGAGCCATCCGAAACCAGCGGAGGCGTGGTTCCACTCCTCCCGTGGTGATGATATTGGCCGTGACGAGTTTGAGATCGTTGATGATATGAAGCAGGTGTCGTGTGAGTTCTCTTTGGGGAAGGATAGGCATGGGCTGAAGGAACCACGGGTGCTGGTTCCGTCCGGGACCTCGATCGTTGATGATGGTAAGCAGAAGCAGAGGCGGGTAGAGTGGTCATATCTTCTCTGGACATCGATCGCGCGCTATTACTGCCACTCGAAGGCGGGGTAACAGCCATCACTGACATCCCGTGCTTCCCGCCGACCGCACAGCCTTGCACCCATCGCCCGTTCTCGTCATACGCGTAGTTCTCGTCGCTGCTGTCCGTACGCTCCGAGAGTTCCTCGCCGTTCCACTCGCTCCTCCGGTATCGGTCGTCGCTCCTGGATCCTCGGGAGTTGCTCGATTGGAGCACCTGCTCCAGCCTCGCGCGCAACACCTGTTCGTTTGGTGTCATTGTCTGGGGCTCGTTGTGATACGGCTCGGGACCAGGGGAGAGTGGAAGCGGGTGAGGCACTTGTCGCCTTGATAGTGTCGGCGATTGGTGTGTTCGGGCTGATGAGGCGACAGAGGGGGCGTAGCTCGGACCTCCCCTCGAGGGTGGGACGGGACTGCAGGGGCTGGATGGGCGGTAGTGGTAGGGGTTGCTCTTGACAGACGACCGGCGAGTCAGAGTGGGCGGGCTCTGGGCAGCGGCATCGTGGTGGTAAGGGTAGGGTGAGGAAGCAGCAGCGTCTTCATGACGTAGGCGTTGCTGTTGGGCGTCGTAGTGATGAGGTTGCCGATGATGGCCAGGGCCTTGACTATGACGTCTGGATCGCGACTCTGGTGCGGGGGACGGGGACGGGGAACGGGGCGTGACCATCGCGCTTCGGAATAGGAAATTGCCTCTAACTAGGTCTTCTGCCCGATGCTGGTCACTTGAGGAGGGGACGTGCGAGTGCCGTCTCTGGTGAGCTCGCACTGGTGAACGGGACGCTGAGTGGTGGGTGGACGCGTGGGGGTGTGCAGTGTGAGGGAGAGGGTTTCGCTCGTGTTCGTCCTTCATGAGTACTTCACGCAGGAGTTTCTCTGAGCGACTAGGGGGCCTATGTGGCGTAGTTTGTGGTGCCGAATTCGAGCTTGAGGGGCTCGATGTCGAAGGCGAAGATGCGTGTTTGGGCCTTGGGTGATGAATCTGCGGCATATCGGTTGAGAAAAGCAAAGATGAGTGGGGAGTAGTGGCTGTAGTCACAAGAGTGATTGGGGCCGTTACTGGTGTCGTTGGTGAAAGGATATTGGCGATGACCCGAGGTGACAGCGGTGGTCTCGGGACTGCCGCAGGCGACAACGACAGAGGCGATGGGACTCGAGAAGGGTTGAATGCAGCTTTTAGCAGAGAGAAAGATGGGATTGGGCTGAGTAGGCTAGCGCGAGGGGATTTTGGCGAGTAATTTGAAATCCCTTAAGACGATTGATGAGTATTGATGGGTGTTATAGGACGCGATAACATACCGTTGTTGTCGTTGGGACGGGAGTCAGAGACAGTGACGGGGGAAGTGGTGCGGTGGGGGTGGGCGTTATTAGGGGAAGTGGAATTGTGTTGGGCACACGTAGAAATAGAAAAAGCGCTGCTGCAAGGGCAGGTGCCCTCGTCTGGTTCACAGATTCTCGATTGGGAAATACCAGATCGAGATCCATTTCTGCAACCACTCTCTGGGGATTGAGCTGGCTCGCTCATCCTGCTCCGTTCGATTTGGCTCGGTTTGCACCAAGAATCCTTCGTTCCCACGCTTCTCTCCACTTGTCAACCCAAAAAACCCTGAGGGCTTCTCCAGGTCAAAAAAACCAGCCTACTCTTTGCGATCGTCACGGTGACTGCTACGCGTTGCTGCCCTCGATAACAAGGCCGCTTGGCTCCAACGCGCACGTGCACGGCTGGACTGGACGAGCTTGAGCCTGTTTCGAACACACGCCGCAAACACGAGGTCGGGCGAGGATGATGGTCCCTAGAGTCAACAGTTCACGGGTCGGGACTCGGGCGAGCGCAAGGGTGGACTTGCCTTGCTGGATCTTGACCGTTTGGCCGACACGAGGCTTTGCGGACCGTAGGGTGGCTGCTGCGGGTGGCCTATATGCGCCTATAAACTACGAGGCGGTGGATCTTCCAAGCACTAGAAGCTTTGTAGAAGCCGACCGCGTCGAATAGTAATGTACGCCTGGTACAAGCGATTCCGTTCCGCTGATATGACTCGGAGGGTATAAATTAAGGAATAAGGATAAGGGCGGTCTTGCGCTATTTCAAACTGGGTGGGCGGCGTTGTCGGTGTCGATGACGAGCGTCTAAGAGCGCTGGAGATGGACGTTAGCGACGACGGCGGCGGCGAAGAGTTGGTACGTGGTGGTGGTCAAGAGGAAAGATGGAAAATTGCGATGCTATGCATGCCATGACGGTCTACCTAAGCAATGTAAGCAAGGGAGCGCCGTAACCCGCTCGAAGCTTATTCGGCAAGTCGCGTGGGGTTGTGGTTAACCACCCTCGGTAAACATAACAACGGAATCAAAAAAATCATTAGATGGCCATCTAAACAGTCTGTACGCATGCATACAGACCCGTATTACCCGACTTACATTGGGGAAACGGCTAGCTAGCGAGTTGGGGAACGACGAACACGTCGTCAAAACCCTGAACGGCGCACAGGCCGACCCTTGTCGGTAAGCCGCACGCGTGTGCAGCTCAATTCAAGACAAGGCGCACCGACCCGACCCGACTCACCCGCCCGCTTAGATAATTAAGCCAATTGACTCCGGCGCACAGTCGGTCTTGGCACAGTCCCCAGCATCACCACGATCGAAGGGATTCCCCCAGATCAATTCAAATTGGAATTTGGAAATGCAGTTCTACCGCCTGCACTATTGGGTTTCTGGGAAGGAAAATCCCACCGGGGTTCTAAATTACAGGGTGTGTTGCCGCCGTCTAATGCGACCTGGTTGCACTACATACGTGGAACCACGAAGAAGGAATGAACGAAAGAATGGAATAACGTCCAGCCACACTCCGTCTAGGAAATGAGCAGGAATCCTGGCCAAGGTGCGCAATTGAACTCCACATTAAATCTGTGATTTTCGTGAATTTATCGAGGTGTTCGTTTTGTTCTTTCTATTTTCCTGCTTTTCTCTGGTATATCACTACACGTAAAGACAAGAACGCTCACTGGACCCTCTGTGACCGCCCTCCCGAACAACGATTACAACGGGCCCTTGTCCAGGGGTATCTATTATCACCACCGTCGAGACCTTGTCCTCATCGTTCCTCCCCACTCCTAAGATTCCACTCGCGTGCTCTAATTAACACAAAAGCCTGCTCGCTTATTATCCTTCAATTCAATTAGGAAATCCAACCAAACTCGAATGCGAAGAACGAACAACAACTCGAACCCGCGGTACCTGACAATCTATTTCCCCACATTCTATTGATCCCAATGCCATAACAGAACATAAGAATGCTCACTTGCAACCTCATTGAGATTATGATATCAAGCGATTGGAAAAGAGGCGTGACATTTCACTGACAGCTCCGTCCGGTGTACGTACTACACAGGCTGCGCTGCACCAGATACTGGGTTTTGACCCCATTTCCGCGAACGGAGTTCTAGTCATCTATAGAGTAGCACAGAAAGCAAGGAACTTCTAAGCATCTTTGTAAAAAGTGAATGGGAGCTTGGAGTAAGTATGTTTTTGCTTTGGAAGACACGATGCAGGTCATCTGCCACCTGGGGGGTTGGTCGTATCAGTATCAGTTACCAGACTTGAAGCTTGACTTGGCGGATTGAGAAAGAGAGAGGCATTTACTTACGACCGTTTGAGATGCCGGCGGAATTACTTTGCAGCTCTCTTGTCGGTGTAAATCTACTGAATAGCCATAGGACACGTCCATTGACAATTGGGCGCTATTTTCGGAGGGCTGTATTCGCACAGCCCGGGTTCTCAAGTTCGCGGTTTTGCTTGGATTACTTGGTATGTTGAATAAGTAACGCACGGCTAGACTAGACACCACCTAGACTTGTCCCGGTTTTCGCAACTTTCCGGTCGTTAATAAACCTCCGAGTGTCGAGGAGGTCGTAAGGTTTCGGCCTCAGGTTACCGTTGAGCGCCGGAGTGGATGTCGGACCAGAACTTGGCCTCGAGTACTTAGGGTGTTTCGCAAAATCACATCAACTGAACCACTTGGAATCCCGCTCGAAGGGTTGCAGCGGCGAAGTTAGAAGAGTCGAGTCGCTCGAGCGACAATCGACCAGGTCGTGTGTGATTCAATAAAGTTACCAAGAGCCAACACTTCAACCTCCCTTCCATAAATCTCACAGAAAACCTTACGGTTGTGAAGGAGCGGTTAGCGTATACGTAGTAAAAGGCATCTCATGACCCAGAGAGCGGGAGAAGATCTGCCACAAACCGAAGGGTGACTGACTGTCTGAACACTCCTCCGATCTCACAACTGTAACGACGTCCCTTCAGATGACCCCGCACTTACCTCACTTGGGTTCTCGCCGTCACACTTTTCCCTGTCTCAACCCAGGGCTCCGACGTACCCTAGTTTCGGGTTGTGGAGTCGGGTAGTGTGCTAGGGAGGCGGTACGTCTTTCCCTTTTATGTTCTTAATTTTCTTCTTGGGTGGCGAGGGAAGGGTGAGGACGGGGTTGTGGTAACTCTACGCGAGATTCGAGGGCTATCGTGTCTCCGATTCAAATGTGATTCAGATGGAGTTCAAGGAGGTTAGTTTGGCTCAGGAGAGTTCACGCGTTGCTGTGAAGTTGCTGTGAAGACGAGGTTGTTCGACGGGTGGTGGCAAATTCCAACTCGTGTTGGAATGTTTATTTCGTCTCAAGATTTTTGTGAAAGCTAAGCGAGGCATTCTCGTACGGTGGAACATTCGAGTCATATTGCTCTACTGTACCCCTCTGGTTCGCATTTCGAGGGTACCTTCTCAGAGTTCTCCTTTGTCTTTCTCGGTAATTAAAATCTTTCATTAAACTCATCGCGTCCCTGTTTGTTTTTCATCTCTCTGTTCTATGAACTTCGATTCTACCTTTCCCTGCCTTCTGTCTTTCTCTCGTCTTACGTTCCTTTTCCACCGCATACAGCTCCCAGTCGCAGTACAGTCAGCACCCTCAAATGTTTCTCCACCCATTTAGAAAACCAAGGGTCCAAACTCTTCGCTCAAACGTTTCAGTCAAACACTGATTCCTGAAGTTAACAATGCCGAAGTTAGTACCTCGACTCATTACTAAACCTCATCAAATCTAGCCAGGCGTAATAAAAATCTAGAATCTCACCCTTTGCCTGGAATCCAGAAGAAATCACAAAGACACCCTACAAATCGAGTAATATGCGTACGGGGGAGTGGAGGCTTTATGCTTTCGCCGCTAGCAGGAGATTTGCGGGTACTCAGGAACCCGTGTTTTCTGATGTTTTTGAATAGGACGGGTGGAATGTTAGTGGAATGGGTTTGCCTACATGCTTGGGTCATCCATACACACCTGATCCACTGGTGGAGATGGGTGAGCCATTGACCATCGCTGTCCTGGACCCCTGGTGCTGGTTCTGTTTGCCGGGGTATGCCACACCCGGTGCGGCAGATTTCTCAAGTGTGGCACACGACACGATCCAACCTTGCAATTCAATTCGAACTGAACCGGGATCTCAAAGCGCATTCCCATACTTCACTAATAAGTATCGACGGATACCCAACATCCACACACCATACTCACCGTCGTCACCACGCTATTACGTCTGGACTCTGCTTGTCGACGTACCACTCGAGATCGTCGGTGGTTGCAAAAGTACATTACGCTCCCGTAAGTTACCTAACTTACCCTGCGAAAAGTACATTAAATGTACTTACGCTCCCTTAAGGTAACTTTACCTACTGGGCCCATACATACGGTACCGTAAAGTGATGGTAAGTTGGTGGGGCACAGGAAAAGTAAGGTACGAACTTACCGAAACTTATGGTATGTTTAGAGAGATAGCTGAGAGCCTGGTGAGAGTTCGGCCCTTATACGGCGGTCATACCATATATAGAATGACAACTTACGTATTAGGCCGAAGCTGAACCACCGAGCGAGCACCTCTCCTGGTTCCTGGCTTCGACCATGACGCTCGCCTTCGGCCATCCAGACAGGGACAGCAATTTCGACCTCAAAAGGCACAGGGCGCCTGTATACGATGTGGGATGAGCTGGCGCAGTAGCAAGGGACATTTGGGGCAAGGGACGGGTCCGGGTGGTCCTTTGAAACAGTGGGATAAGGTACGAGCAAACACACATTCCACAACCCTTTATCAGGCTAACTGCATGTACAATAGTGCTTTAGATATCTTTACCTGTACCGTAGGCTGTACTATGACGCGCCAATAGACCGATTAGGCAACCCGAACATTTGCTTCCGCTTGCATGTGGGCTGAGACCATCGGGATTTCGGGAGGCGGGACGCTTGAGGGCTGGCCGCCTTTCGTCGATTTATCTTAATCGCTCTTTTCTACAGGCCATCTTCAAGATGAAGAGGATAAAACGAGCGCTTAACGCGCTCTTTTCAAGCGAAGACTCTCCACCTCCCAATCAGTCAACCAATCAGCCACCCCCGACGCACCAGGCAATTTTACTCGGGCAAAGCACAACGAACCATTCCAACGTCACATTAGGCGGGGAGAGGACCTTGTTTTCTGGACACGCGCCCGCGATTTACCCATCGCAACCGGTGAATATTGGCGGGGTTGTGACTGGCAGTGGTTTCGCAGGTCTCCAGTCTGCACAGGTGCTCGGTACGCCCTTTATCATTTACCAGCTGCGAAACTACGTTCTAACTTTAAAAAACCTAGAAATACCTGGCCTTGGAGTTCTTATTGCAAATGGACAAGCGACAGTCACCCCACAGCTCGTTCAATCAGTGGGGGAGGGTTCGTATACTTCACATCCCGGTCCTCCCGTCACCTTTGGCCTTCAATCGTCGCCCAACGTGCAAGGATCGCTTGGTACTACTCCTGCAACAGTTCCTACGCCTCCCCATCACGCTATATCGCAAATCTCAGCAACCAGCGTTGGAACACCGACTAATCCATTCGTCTTTGCGCCCTCAGCAGTCCCGAATGCCTTTGGGGCTGAAGCCCAACGTACAACTGCGTCCCAAACTGCCCATCGTGCGTCAGCTAACTCAACGACCCCGGCATTACCTTCGACATTCCATGGAGGCCAAACTTTCGCGAAAAATCCCGGTTTCAATACCAACTCTGAGGTGCTGTCTGCAGTCGAGCAAGGTGGGTACATCCGCTTACCTGTTAAGCGATATACTGAGATATTGGGGTACAGAAAAGGATCATCAAGACTGGCCTAATGGTGACGTACGACGAGAGATTGAAAAGGGAGCCAGCAAACCAGGATGGAGGGAATCCAAGTGGGTTTGGACCTCGCAGGGAAGGCGAGGCTTTGATGGTGCAGATGCCCGAACCAACGCCTGCTGCGGTGTTTTCATCTGCGCCAACGAGCAATGTCGCATCCCTGTCCGTCCCAAAACCCAGAGCGCTGCTCGGAAGGCACAGATCGACGAGGGGTGTGCGCATTGCCACACCGCCCCACTCCAGGTCTACCGCTGTACCGTTCAGTCGTTCCACTATGAACAGGAACGAGGGGGAAAGGTTTACGAAGTCTGGGCACACCAAGGAACGCATACACATCCCCGCCCTCCGCTCAACTTCCTTACGCACGACGAAAAGGCGGCTGTCGTCGCCCAGGTCCAGCTTAACCCAGTCGGCACTTCCGCTCTACAGCTCCGGGCAGGAACACTTCAACCAGGGTCGGTTCCATTGCCAGAAATATCGCCTGTACTCGCCAACGCCAGCAGTGCACGGTACTACATGAAACAGGCCCAGCAGCAACTTGGAGTAGGAGCACCGCAGACTTCCAAAGGTGGCCTGGCACTGCTCAAGGAACTGATTGGTTTGAACGACGAGTTGGGCGATGAATTCCTGATCTACTCGCAGCTTCACTCGTCTCTTGGTGTCCTGGTCTTCCGAACACGCTTCATGACCAAACTCATCGAGAGCAGTGTCGAGGATTGGGGTAGCACGGACGAGCGAATGGATGGGAGGCATGGATTTGTCTCAGATGGGAATCATTCCTTTTTCAAGGATGGGGTACTGCTGACGAGCAACGTCTTCTCTTCGAGGTTGCGGGAATGGGTTCCAGTGGTTTGGACGCTTATCTTTGGTATGGATGAAGACCACCACCGCCCTCACTTCAAGCATCTCTTTGGCCCTATAATCGCGAAGCTGAAATCAACCGGACGTCCTTTTGATAAGCGGTTTCTCCTTAACGTGAGTGCAGTCAGTTCCTCTACTTCCTTTTAACCTTACAGTCTCGTAGGTCATGGATTTTTCGCTTGCCCAACGTAGAGCACATGCCGAGGAATACGCCCTAGCTGCTGCTTCGATGATCCCAGGCTTCACACACCTTGCCCCCACTGTCCAAGAGCAGCAGATGGTTCTGCTACGGGAGGAAGCTAAGGCGGTCGAGATTGGGTGTCAGTTTCACTTTTGGAACCAAGCAACACGGGTCAAGGGTGACAGTGGTTTGGTTGACCAGGGAAGGGCGGCCGACTTCGAATATATCTTGCGCAAGATGGTCTCCAAAGAGACTGATCAAGCTCAGTTCGATGTGTGTGTCCGTCGCATCGAAACCGAGTTTCCTCAGGCATATGCCTGGATCTCATGGTGGCTCCAAGATGCCGTGGTTGGAATGATATTTCCAGCAAAAAGCAACATTCACCATGAGGATGCTGCTGACGCACCAACGACTTCCAATGCTGGAGAGCATGGTCACTCACTTCTCAATGCCGCTATGGGTTCTGGAAACGATCTGCTGGAGGGTTTACGGAAGTTGAAGAAGTATGAGAGCGCCTTTGAAAGGAAGTTCAACGCGATTAGTGGTATGAGATCTATTAACTCTGTTAGTATGTTTCGCCTTTGTGACCTCTCCCAACAGATGGTCACTTTACGCCTGCGGGTCCTCGTGAAAAGCGTTCAACAAAGCGTGTAAAGTTCTTCGAAAACGATGGGCGTGCTCCTGATACAACAACTGCTATTCAAGCGCTGGCAACCTCACCTCCTTCCATCGATTTGTATGCATCATGGCCCCTCTTCACCCTCGCCTACAAATGGGACAGCCCCAACTCCTGCTTTTTTGACCATGGCCTCGAGCTCTGGTTCCGCGCCTATGTCGTGTGGCCAGAGAAAGCTAGAGCGGAGTGTCGGAATCTCGTTCCCTCAAGCAGCTTTCTAGGGGGAATGCTTAGCCATTTCGACCGTCGGTGGAAACTCGTAACAACGACCAAAAAGAAGAGCTCCAATCCAGAATCATCGCTAAAGAAGGCACTCACAACCCAGCAAGGTGTAACCCGGAATCGAATCTTCAACCACTGGATGCCCTCCCTCGAGAAGGACTCCTATCAGTCCGCCACTGACTGGCTTCAGTTCGCTATTGAGGTCAGTATGCTACATTCCATGATTTCTAGAAGTCAACTAATTTATAGCATTTGTTTAGGACGGAAATGTTTCCCTTGACGCCCAAGCGTTCTTCGGTATCCGGAACCTGGTGTATACTAAGTGTTCCAATGGCCATGAGCAGTCCAAATGGCATAGCGAGGAAGTACACTGTCTTACACGCCTCTCGTCTCGTTTTATCGAGATGATAGGTAGTCGGGATGATCGAAGTGGGACAGCGATCTCATTGGGGGAGTACTTCTCTGAACTTGTCCCATTGAAGCCAAACCTCGAACCCGACGGCTTCACAGGGCTACAGCCATGCACTCATCGCGGATGTGGCGCAATCTCATCCCTTCACAAAATCTCGACTTCATGGCCACAGATTCTGACGATCGAGTCCAACCTCCGATGCAACGATCAAGTGGATAATACCCTCACCTTTGATTCACGGTTTACCATTGCCATCGTCGATAATCACCTCGCTGCAAACCAACCACGTGTCACGTATGAATTGGTTGGACGGATCATCTCAAAAAATGGGAACCATTTTGTTGCTCACCTCCGCCTTGGGACAAGCTACTACAGCTACGACGACATGGCCAATAATGGGAAGTTGAAGAAGCTCAAGACGAGTCAGTCTCTGGAGAAGCGTCATACCACAGAGGTGTACTATGTCTACGTTCGTACAAGTACCACTGGGAAGGTATGTGTACTTTATCTTTATCTTTCACGCAAGTATCTAACTACTATGCTAGACCATACAGCCAGGCGAAATGGCTCAAGCTACACGCCTTAATTTCATGAAGACTGTTGTCCACGGAAGTAGTGAACGACCAGTTGCGGTTTCCGACTCGGGCTCCGACCTTTCGTACATGTCGGATCCAGGGGAAGGAAATATTCCAGCACGACAACGACGGTTAGTCCTTCCGTATCTCTTCAAGCTGGTTGCTTTGGATCAACATTAGATCTGACATTGTGTTATTTCTGCCAGATCCCAGCGCGAAACTAGTAAACGCCCGAAGTCCTATATAGAACCGGAAGACATCGGTCTTGATGTTTTTGACAAAGAGACCAACATCTTCGGTGATTCGGACGAAGACGTTGGGGGTCTATTTGACACCAAGAGCGTCACGCCGGAGCCTCTAATCCCTCTTAAGCAGGAATTGGACTCGCGGGAGGAGGAAAAGGCAAGCAAAGAGCCGCACTCCAACCTCTCTGATCCTCCTAAGTCCCTTCCCAAATCGACGACCTTGACTGTTCAATCTTGTCTAACCTGCGGCGTCACCGGTCCCTCTGCTTCTGAACTGATCTATTGTGGAATTTGCAAGGTTGCTAGCCATGTGGTGTGCGTTCGGCGAACTCTACCAACCAACTTCGACGAAGCATTCGTTTTCGACTTCCACTTCTGTTGCGAGTCCTGTATCCACTACGGACGATGGGACGAAGTCATGTACGTGTATTGGATAAGAATTCCCCGGTTTGCAGCGCTAACTATAGACCTAGGATTGGATCGTTCATTCTCGTCAATATATACGAGGTTATACCGCGTTCTACGGGCCTTTCCAAGCCTGCCATGTCGTTCTACTATCCAGCAAAAATCATTGCTAGGCATGATAAGGTAGCGACGCTCCAATGGCACGAGTTCAACTACTACAGAGAGAAGATTCCTCAAGTGCCTCCAACGTTCGAGCGAGAGGTGTCAAGATGCTTTCAAGATCGTCAGTCTGAACGTATCATGTCTGGAGATCCTCACAAGGCGGGTTGCATATTCCATTTCTGGTTCATGTAGGCTCACCTATCTCACAGCAAGCGTTTGGATCGATTTGCTGGCCACTGGAGCTATCATCAGACGAGCTTACTGGGGAGCAACGGTCGAAGCTGACCGCCGGGGACAAGCTCAACCTCATGGCGGCAATGACCAATGCTCTTCCAGCGGTTGTTTCTGTTGTCAGAGGTGATCGCTTCCACCCGATTTCTAGGCTGATGGAGCAACACATGGCGAAGTTACCGGGTACAGCTTCCACACTGTCTCGGAATAATCATGTTGTCGAGTTCAGGTCTCTCTTCTCCCTCCCAGTCTTTCCGGGCCATCGAAACCTCATCGAACATTTCTTGAGGGAGGTCAATATCCTGGAGAAGATTGGGGACAAGCGAAATCCTGATGAAGCCGATACAGCTGCGGTAGGCTTGATGGAGCTGGTCGTCCTTCGACAATACTTCGGGGTCAACAGCAGTCACGATGGCGAAATTTACGAACTCAGCAGATGGCTAACTCAAGACGAGTACGACAAGTCTCTTCCTGAGAACGTCACATTGCGGGGTAGACTGGTCCGCCAACTCACCGATCACGAGAAGGCCTTCAACTCCATCAATCCAACTTCCCCAGACGACGACTCAAAGGCTTTAGTAAAGTCCGACAAGCTTTCTGGCCTGGCAACATACACAAGGCAGCAACTCCACCTTCGAATCGATGACACTCTCCGTATCCCAAACACTTCGTCCCTCGTCCAAGCTCTAACAGAACAAGGAGAACGATATATCTTTGGCTCTTACGCTCCCGAACACTGCATGGCGATGGAATTGGGCCGAGAGGAGGAAAAGAATGTCAAGGATTATCCCCCAGTCCCCGCTTTCCCTCGTAGTTTTCCATTGACTGGAACCTATCGCGTCGTCAGCAGCATACCATCGACTTCGAAGCCCACCAAGCTTGAACAGACGAAGCTCAACTTCAAACCGACCAAGAGAGAGCAGCAGATGACCACCACCACCACACGAGTACTCCGAGCTTCAACAGTCCAAAAGAGGGACAGAGTAGGATCTTTGGACGAAGAGGTGGATGTTTCTCGTTTGGGTGAGAATAAAAGAGGCACAAAGCGCGTTAGGAAGTAGATTAAAGTATCTTCTTGTCTAATAGTACTGTAAAGCCTTTAAACAATTACATTACACTTATTTATTATATCCTTCACGCACATTTCCCCTTTCAAGTTACCTTAAGTTACTTTCCACTCCTCCCTTACCCCGGAATCTCACAAGTGTTTTCTCCGCCTACAGCCACTAACTTTACTTGAAAACATTATAGAATGCTCGTTAAGCTCTATCAATCTATCTAAAGTAGGAATTTTGAATTGGAAATGTCTTGAAGCAAGAATATTGATTTAAGGTGACCGGGGAACTGTAGGTTCATTTCACGAACCTTAACAAGTTTTTGCTGCTTTGCTAGAAGCTACCAGCGTCCGACATGTGTAGTATTAATGTTTGTTTATGAATACATACATTAATATCAAATCCCCGGTGTAATATAAACCTGGAATATAGTGTCCAAGGCGGAGAGGGAACATGGAACCTTCCGTATAACGTATAACAGAGTGAATTATGAAGGAAGTTCCTGAAAGGATTTGCTCCAAAGAGACATTTGAGTGTATTAATGTATGTATTGGGTCCTCAAATAAAGTGCTTACATGACCTATAGGTACAAGGAACAACGATAGAATAAAGGTATGGGACGTGAGGTTGATGAGCCGTGTGGGCGCTTATCACTTTAGGGCAGGTCAATATTCACTACTATATCGAGCAAGGCCCGTGAATACCCACTTTTGCCAGACCTCGGTGATCATTCATCTTTCCCTTTGGCACACTAGATCTGTAATTGCTTTGTAGGACACCCGTGGCTATGCCGTCCGGTCCCCTCTCGGGGTTCACAGTCACGACTTTGCTCCCCTGCACGAATCACCCTTACCAAGAACGCCGAGTGTCTAAACTTCACATATAGGCTATACACACTATCACTACATATCAGTGCTACCTCACCTATATCTCTCCTGTTTCTCTGGGACTCATAAACCGTACCATTAATCACAATCTCCCCAAGTTACCCTAAGTTCACAAGTTCGTCGTAAGTTAAGGTCCTCACCGTGGGAATAAAGTAGCGTAAGTTCGCCCTATATGGTTTGGGTGGGCCGCACGGTAACTTACCTACATTATACCTAACTTTTCTTCCTATCGAGATCGTCACCTCGTCACACCCGTCAAGGCGCTAATTCGGTGAACCCTTTGATGACGATTGATGATTGGTGATGGAGGGCGGACTGGGATTCAGGAAATGAACAGAACATGTCAGAATCGTACTTGATAAGTCAACTTCGCATTCGAGGAGGATGAAATCAATGAATGATCATCATAATTTAAGGGTGTAATTGAAGGGTCTATTACTTGGAGACTTGAGTCTGACGGAGCAGGCGGAGGCTTGCATGTGGAATGGTATACTGATATTTCACCGGTGAGCTCTTTCCAATCATGGTTCATCAAGCAGTTCGAAATTCGAGTGTTCGAATTTCTTTTTCGCGACGCAAAAGTGCGCACTGAGACCGCGCGATGGAGCGGGAAAACATACGCGATGATGAACGAGGTAGGTGATGATGCAAGTGAGTCTTGCAAGAAGGCGTCAGCCTCACAATGCGCAGCTCTTGTTCTCTTGGGGTAACCTGAGTATCACTAACCGAGGCATCATACATTACATGTATTCCAGCCCCCCATCCCTCCCTCCTCACATTTTTCCGACACGCGTGCTTCTAAATAGAAACGCCGTCCCCTTCTTTGGGAATCCAGCTCCACGGGCGCTCGATCCCAAAATGTCAGCAGTTCACGGCAAAAGCCTCGAGCTGACCCTCCATCGTATCCATGCAATTATTTGCGATCGGCGAACTGCAACTGCACACGACCCATCGCTGAACCCTCTAATTGAACCGCTAGGAACGTGGAGCAGGTTGTTTGTTCAATTGAATTGATCCCAGAGACAGGGCGGTGATGACGATGATCATGAGTTGCCGCCGCCGGAGGGAATGCAACTGACAGCCAGATAGACAGACGCCCAAACGGCGCTTTTGCCAAGCGTGGCGTCGGGCCCGTGGAACTGGTGCGCTTCCAAAAATAGGGTGGGTGCGGGAGAAGAGTATGCACTACTAATGCTACCCACTTCGACGTCTGTATGGTCTTGTGCCCTTATTCATACCTTCTTGTGTGGCAGCATCACGCGCTTTCGACATAGAACCAAGGAGAAGAAATAGACGATTCCGAGGAGACGGCGTGTTTAGAAGCTCGTTGGCGTCGACTGTTGTTGTTGGACAGTCGGATTCTGGCGTGGGGTCAGCAGACTCGAAAGCCTTGAGGTCCAGGTCAGAAAGATGGGTGATGTGGCGAGAAAACATGCCCCGCAACTCGGAGGAAGAGGCGAAGTCGAAGGTAAAGAGTGGTTTAAGCGGTATGGAGAAGATAGTACTAGCAAAAGTTGATTATCGATTTCTTTATCTCTACAATTGACCAGCTGATTAAGGAGAGCAATCGGTCACCCGAGCGAGATAATGATTGTCCACCACGCCTTCGCCGTCCGACGCCGCATCTTGACGGACGAACGTGTCCCAAATCTCGACAAAGGCCCTTGCAAGGGTTCGGACAGTCGGAGATGTGATCTCCTGGTACTCGAGCTCAGACCAGGAAACCGTATTTCCCAAATTCCTCACCTAACCGAGATCGTAAAGGGTGATTATAACGATGTTGGTGAGATTCCAAGTGGAACCCCGAGCATAGTCGGGAAGGGGATACCAAATACGAATACCCTGAGATCATTTCGGGCGGGATGATTATGGGCAAGAGGGATGTGATTAGATGGAGAGTTATTAGTGAGTGACTTGTTGTGAGTGAAATCTTGGGAAAATAGCGAACAATTCGGTTTTTTGTCACCCGTGGGCGCGTGGGCTCTAATTTTGTTTGCCGGAATCAGAAAGTTGGTTCGCCGTTTGCCATGGACCGGTTTACAAGGTGATGACCCCCTAGTCGTGTGCTAGGGTCATTGCAGAATTCGAAACCACGAGGGCAGAAGGTTCTGTCTACCTTCACGTTGAAAGTAAACTTTTGCAGCCAAGGTTCATCAAACTTGGTAAGCGAACCAGCACTCTCTCTGAATTGTACTGCCTCTTTCAATTGACCAGCGCAAAGCTAAAGAGACGCCTACGGAGAAACAGAAGACATATAGGGAGCAGATGACAGAGATCAGATTGGTTTAAGAAGCTCTCTGAATGCCGAATAGGATAGTCACCGCGTTGTGATCATTGTTCATATATTTTAAGACTTTGTGACGCCGTCGAGGGTGAGCGACATTCTTGACTTCTGGTGTGAACCCGGCGTGCCTCGCACCGGGTTCCCGACGGGGATTGGACTGTACCTTGAGCGTTTCGCCTCAATTAACGGATAAGAGCGGGCGTTTGGGATATCTTATCACATCAAGGGTCTCTGCGATAGTGATAGCCCCTTCACTGTATCTCTGACCTCGATGTCAGATAAAAGAGACACAGGGTAGAATTACGAATGGACTTGCATCATTCCTTACGCCTTCACCCTTGCGACCCTTCGGTTTTTCCTTCTTTTTGTGTCTGCTGACCTCTCCCTCGTCAGGCCCCGGATACTGCGTGTCTCGAACGTTCGTAAGAGGGCTCTGAGCGGTTTCCTAGTGCCGATTATGCTCGGGGCGTTCAGGCCTGCCAACAATCTATCCGTTCAAAACCTTGAAGGATCCGGCGACGTCACGCACCAGCTTTCCCTCGTGTTCGCCATGTGTTCTGCCTCGATCGTTCCAGCTAGGTACTAGAGCTCCGTGACTTCATTCATCCCTGCGTGACGACCGGACACGCTGCAGCCTTCAACGGATGATGAGGTCTCGAGCCTCAAACCGAATATCCGAGTAAGGTGGTATGCATAGGCCGATGGCCATATTCACGCTTCTCGGGTGGTAGGTGGGGTATGGGGTCGTTGCCACTGCGTGTCCTTCAGATTGATTGTAATGGCCATGGAGGAAGATCACCGTAGACCTAATGAAGTTGAGAATCTGATCTATGTAGTGAAAATCCCTCACCTAGGCAGTGGGGCGTTTCTGAGCATTGGGTTTGGGCTGTGCGCATCCAGGTTGAAACCTATGAATATTAGGACCCCCATCCTCTTCACAGAAGCACGGTATCGGGCTGTGCTGTCTTGGTCTCAAAATGGACTTTGTTTCATGGAGTGCGGTGCCTCGAGCCGACAGAAGCTCGATGCCTTCCCGCCCATCATTAAGTCATTAAGTGTCCTCTATCCCCTTGTCGAAGAATGAAATGGCTAATAGGAAGGTCTGGCGTGCTCATAGAACTACTTCGATCGCTGTTCGAGTTGGTTCACGAGTCCTACAGGGTGCGAGAGCGCATGAGTTCGGTGCCGTGGAGTGGAACCTGAAAGTTCGTTGCAGCAATATTCGCGCACGCTGGAATCCATGGTGGTATGTACAGGATGCTGACAGCGGGCGAAGCTGCGCACAGCGTCCCTTTCACAGGCACATCTACCTTCTCAAGCTCCACGAGAATTGGGGTGTAAGATGGTGACCTGGTTCTTCCTTTCCATATTGACCTTTGACTGGCGGGCCTGTCGATCCCATAGTAACATGCCCTCATAAGCATCTATCACATAGAACACGCACTATTTGAGTAACCCTTCGCTCTTTGGGTCAATGTTTCCTTATTTCGCCGTTTGTTGCATACCATAAACAAAGGGCCATCGGTGTGATAGTCGCGAGGAGGGCGGGCTTACCGCACTCAGGGTTGTCACATTGACTACGGGACCTATTGAATACTGTATATAAGAGAGAAATGGGGTCCTTACGCCAGCCTCCTTTATCGCAACTTCTCCGCCCGCCATTGATTCTCTACCCGCCCCTATCTGCAGTGGCTCGCTCGCCTGCCGGCGCTTATTTGCAACCGGGTCGGCACGAGCGGCATTCCATTGCAAACCCGCCCCAACTCCGATTCGGGACCCAGCGGGCGCGGCATTCAGCGCCAGCAAGCTGCCGTCCATTGCTTGCGCTCCTCGATGACTCGGATCCCATCCCATGCAGATCTCTAAGACCTCAACGAGGACGGAGGCCGCTAATGTTGATGGTCCTCATGCTCAAAATACCTCTCAATTGGACGGCGGTGACACACGGGGGGCTGTGGATTAGGTTTTATCATCGGTTCATCAGGCAATCTGTAGGCATGCATTCTCGTCGCTCGACGTAATTGAATTGGCACCCACTGGCATTCCGTCACTGCTATCTCTAGCTTAGGACTCTCCGTGCTGTGGTGCTCGTGCTGGATCCTTCTAGATATGTTGGCGACCTGCGAGACCTATTTTTGCGCCTTCCGGTCGATCCCGCAAGCAAAAACATCTACCCCTATCGGCTTAGGTCTCTGAAAATGCCCCGAGGTTCCTCTCTGCCTCTCTAGTACTTGAAGTTGGCTTCTAATCGCTGAACGCCTTCGCCTACATCGATAGGTGAGTTCCGTTCTTGAACGGCTTACATCATGGAGACGACTAATCTTCATCTTGCAACTTAAATAGACTACCATGGAGCAAGGTGGCTCACGTTGCCATAACTATTTCAAGATAAGCTTCAAACTGGCTCACGCCTCAAACGCTTTCGACTCGATTCGTGGCCGTTGACGCGTTGGATTAAGCGGTGTCCTTCGATCGATGTACCCCAGTTTCTTACTCCCGGGCGCGCGCTCAATCAGCGCTGGTCGGGTTTCACATTTCATACGCCTTCATTTCCAGGGATCCTTCGCGTGGGTTAGGCAGGGCAACTTGAACGTATTTTAAGGAGTTCAATTGGGGACAGCCGTTGTTCTCCTCCCACATTATCGTAGCGCGCAGGCCCTCCTGAACACACCCCTCAGGTTCCATATTCAGGAAGCCCCACGAGGACGGGTAGGAGAGGATGGTCGGTTCTCTTCGCCCTCGACCCTCAGCTCCACAACCTTCAGGTACGTCTGACTTCTGGTTCATTCCCAAGGCTATCAGCTCTGCAAACCCTCTTTGCGTTGGATGATATCATTCATCCCCACATCCGAAAGTATGTCAACATTTCTAGCGACCACTACACACCAATTTGAACTGACTCGTACAGGCTTTGGCAATAACGCGCCTTGTCAGTTGTACATTCGGCTTGGAGTGCCATGCGTCATTCGTGACAATGGTTGTCGTCAATATGTCCCGTGCAACTTTGATCTGATTCCCTCGCCCTCAGCTTCGAAATAGACTTTCGCGCGGTCAACATGTCTTCTGCGATGGCTTGGGCGACGGGAAATAGGTCTTACCTCGGCGAACACGAGGTGAGAACTGCTGTGATATTTTCTCATGACAAGAAATAAGGTCGACATGAGCTGATAGTCATTAAGGGGTGAAAAACAGGCCGGATATCAATGTCGAACGGATTACATACCCCATGGTTCAGTTTCTCCAAGATTCTTAAGCCCATGAATCCCGCCTCCCGCCCACGACTTCGGATCATGTAATCTTGCCTGCGTCAAACATAGGTCATCGAGGGCCATTCACCTTATCTTGCGAGCGCCTTCAAAGCAGTACGCCTCCGTATGCCTTCTATGACTAAATCCAAACGTCGTTCTTCACTACAGCTATCAGTCCGAATCCCAATTCATCTGTCGCCAGAATCCATACCGGTAGGCATAAGGAATTAGGATCACACGGACGACGAACGCTTCTCGAAAGCGTTCATTTCGGACACTAATGCACAACTAGCTCTCCCATGTCGCTGCCTCGAGTAATAGCAACCCGAGGCGACGTCCAGCACCACGCTTCACTTCGGCGATAGATGGCACCCGCGGTTCTGCCAGGATGCAGCGGGGTCACTGGCAAGGAATAGGGAAAATTGACATGGAACGAGGTGCACGCAAGGAAGTTCTCTTTCAGTTGGTTTCTTTTTTCTCCGAGCTTCGAAAGGGTTCTCATGGAATGAATCAAAGCCAATTTGTAGGTTTGTACCTTCCCCATACCGTATATTGCGTTTGGTAAGTAGGAACCGGCGGCTATCTCCCGTATCAAATGGATGTTTGAGAATTTTCAGATGCCTCCGAAGTGCAATTCTGCTGTTACAGCATCTGGGACCCTGCAAAGCATCCGCTCCGCGTCTTGATACATGAGCCCAGTCGACTTTGAGTCGATTCGTCCAGACCCACCACTGCTGTCTCTCCGTCTGTTCGGCTTCCTAGGCGATAGGTTCTGGTACGTACGTCGTGGATCATGCAATCTAGAAGGCATGTTATTCTGGGGCGAACTGACTATAGCTACCCTGAGCGTGTCCGGTCAAAACCGAGCTTCTCGGTCCTCTGTGCAGCTCCTTGGTCCAGCTCCAAATTCACTGGCAACCAAGCTTCTGCGATCTGACTGGCCGCATATTTGCCATCTGAATCTCGGGGAGGCACTGTACATCCCCCTTGCACGCGCATATCTCGCTTGGGATCCCGTCCTGACGGATAAGCAATGCACTTTGCACAGTACCGTAAACCGAACTGTTTTCGTCTTCCGGAATGGTTCGGAAGAAGCTACTGTCATTCACCATCGCGGACTTGGAATGAAGATCGAGCGGTACACCTGATAACCCGACGCATTCAAACATCCTTGTCTCGCCGAGTCACATCTGACGGCAGGCATTCGTCGGCTTTGCCAAAATTAACAAGCTCGCTCCAGTCCCCTCCGCTACTCTCCCCTCCAACCTCGCAGAACAGTGGATCTGAAGGGCTGGGCTAAGGTAGCACCACGTTCGTGATTACCATGCTGAAGGAGCGGATGTACATTCGATTACAACGACATTTGCTACAACACCGCGAATACGGAATAGGTCTGTCCATCTAGAGTTACACTTGGAAACGGCGACGAGCGTCAGACGTCTTGCTAATTTCAGTCAACTGGAGATCCGAGCTTCCCCAAGTCACGTCTGATTCCAGCTTGGGGCCTCGTATCAGGATGTTGGATACGACATGGATATCGGTTGGGGGGAACTGCTCCTGCCGCGAAGCCATGACTTCACGTATATTAATAGTCAATCTGGCGACCTGGAAGGAAAGATTCGTGAGCGACGGTGTCATCGTCTGGCGAGTGGACGGCGTTACTCCAATGCATGATACAGTGCTGAGTGGCCTGTTAAACAAGACATCGTGAATGAGCGATGTCTCGGGAGCTTCGAAGCAAACTTACACGACTAGTTGCGGTGTGATGATATATTTATCAGTTAATGGAAGGACGACCGGGACAAGTAGGCATACTGTGGGATGTTTAAACTACCAAACCCCACCGCGATTCGACAATAGGACTCACTGAAGATGGAGAGGAAGTAGAAAACCGAGTCCCGAATCAGAATCTTCAGCCTAGAAGCGAAGGGAAACTTTAGTCCACCGCCATCCTGAGCTTGGAGTTGACGTACGCATCTGGGGCGTTGCCGAAGCCTCTCGTCTTTAGGATTGTCATCCCAATCAGGATAGCTAGATGAAAATGAGTTTAACTTAGGCCTCGCTGGGGAGAGACTAGTACCGACCCTCGAAGGTTAAACTTGGGACCCTGTTGTTCACCAAATGAACGCTGTTAGCGTGCGTTAGAGCTAAGAGGACCCATGGTACTCACCATAACCCAATCTCAAACGGCACAGGGATCACGTAAAGACAGCCGGAGAGGAGAGGCTGTCCCGTGTACACTTCATAAGACCGACATTAGTCTTTGACAAGGATCTCACCGGAGATGAGGACCAACCTTGCGAGTGTATGAGAGCCAGGATGGTAAAGGATACAGATACCGACAACTGTACTGGAAGGACGATCGAATTTTCGCAGAGCAGGAGATTGAAAGGGAGGCGTACATGCAAATATCGCCCACAGTGCTATTCGTACTCTCTTTTAAGGGAAAATGATCAGCCCAGTCCAACTGAGTATCTTCCCGAAGTTCTTACCCTGTCGTTCCCGTCTGTAGAATTTGGATGTCAGGATTTAGTGATCGAGAATTGCAAGAGCAACTTACACATTGCTTGGACTCGAAGCATCAATGTTCCCTCAACGCACACAGTCGAAAATACAGGAGGTCTAGGTATGCAGTGAGACTAAGCTCGGGATCGGGTGCGGCTGCTGGCGGATTTGGGAGGATAGATGGCTCAGAAACTTACATTGAAAGCCAAAGCCGCATTCGACAACTGGTGTATGTCAGGGAAAATGGAAGAACGAAGGAGTGTGTCGGGGACATACAGCTAAACGGAGCTGAGGTCAAGGACTAGGTTAAACAGGTTGGATGAACTTACGGATAGGGGCGCCACCATTATAGCCGCTGGCAGTGAACTAGGTAAGCCTTGCTGACTGGACACTTGATAAATGCGACTGACTTATGACTTTAAACCTTGACGAAGTCAGTAACATCGAAATAAAGTGCTGGAGATCTGGTAGTATACGTACATTATGAAAGGTGGAACCCCATATCGATTAATCAGAACGAATATCTTAGGGAGTGCCCACTTCATCCTATAAAGCAAGAATTAGGCCGTCTTTCCTTCTGAAATCGGGAATGGGTTCGTACGACCAAATATACTTGACCTGAAACCAGTCGTTCAACTGGGGTGTGCGCTCAAGAGTTATCATTCTGTACGTACCTCGCCCTCGAAGGTCAATGCGTGGTCATAGATGAGCATGAACTAGTGCACTCGTCAGCCAACGGGCTCGAGTGGGGAGCTTGAGAACAATTGGAGAACTCACAAGGAGCGCGACTGGCGGCAGAGATTGGGTATTTAACTTGTGAGCTACTCGTTGTTATTGAGAGAACGCACCATTTGCATAGTTGGAAGCTTGAAAACCTACTTGAAGGGAGAGGTCTTTGGCGACGAGTTCTAAAGGATTGTGGGATGCAAAGTCTTGCGCGAGCGACATGTTCCTAAGGTGGCTGTAAAAACAGGGGTTTCGGGCAAGGGATACAACTGCACAAAACCCTGCCTATTATAATACCTCGCGAGCAGACGGATGCCACCACATTCTCAAAAACGGTTAGAGCGATATCTCTGTGTCAGGATGATTGATTGTATCCCCACATCTTTTGCTTTCCCACTGGACAGCTGGAACCGTAGGCTTCCTTACTTGGGCCTTCGTTTACGGTCTGTGTCTGATCCTGTCAAACGGTGAGGTGAGATTGTGGGTTGAATACAAAGATGACTGTGTCCACATCACACCCTACTAGGGTGATCATCGATCAGAGGGACGAGGAGAACAAGGTCAGTTCGGAGTCCCGTAGGTAGAGATCAGCACCGGGCACTAGTGGCCTCAGCGGCTATCAGCTCACCGCCTGCACGCTCTCTGAGAACGACTATTATGGCGTCCGAGGCGCTCGCAAGACCAGCCAGTCAATAGTAGTTTGGTCCTCTGCGCCTCTGTCTCCCAGCTCGTCCAAAGTATACCCCAATCAATCAATACATTTCTCGGTTCCACCAAATTGTGACAGACCACGTAAGAGCGTCTACATTCTGCCCTTCGACTTGTTCAAAAAATCAGCTTCGGAAAATTAAAAGGGTACAATGGGCGCACCCCAAAACTGAAAAGAGGCCTGGTCGAAGCTTGGCCGATGGTCTTTGTATTGTGTGGTCTCGGTGAACGTGAGTTCCCGGCTTCCTGTGCATCCAACGACACATGCATACATCGGCGGACTCTGGCATTCGGTAACGAGTCATCCACTGGGCTCAACTGCCACTATGCAGAACGTAACAGATAACTATTTAACTTGAATCAGTGGGGTCCTGGGGTCACCTTACAAGTCATTCTTCTCGTAACAAACACTTTGGTTAAATTCGGTCTAACCGCTTTGTCCGAAGACGCCAACGTTGTTGTGGATGGTGAGAAGGAGGGTACTTAGAGGCCAAATCCGATCCTGACGGGAATGGGATTGTTGTTGTGTTTGGCAGGGGCGTTGATGCCAAGCTCAGGCCGCCGCCCGACTCGGGCGCACCGCCACACACGCAGCTGCGCCATGCACGTCCGCTCAGCGTCGTCCTGGAGGCTGCGCTCTACTGCGGCGTTGCTCTGACACTGTGCACTGCGGGCTCAAAACCTATAAGACTGACTGTCTCTTCTACTGTTGCGAGGATATAAGGCCACACCACTGGACGACCATCGCGAACAATGTCAATCCGCAACCTCCTGGAACGTTTCTTCCCCTCCAACGTGGGGGAGCACAAGGTCGTCATTAGCGGTACAGACTGGGCTGGAAAAACGACTCTCCTGTACTACCTGAAGCGAGGCGAGATTATCCAAACCATACCCACTATCGGGTTCAACATCGAACACCTCACCCTCTCTACTTCATCCAACCAGAAACTGGACCTGGAGCTATGGGACCTTGGTTCTGGCTGTGGAGGATTCAGAATGGCTCGAATGATGCTGAGACACATCGCATATACTGCCAAGGCCATTATCTGGGTCGTTGATAGCACAGACACGCCCGAGATGATGGCTGAGAGCGCTGAAACTCTGCTAATTGCTTTGGAAGATGCAGAGGAGATGAAGAATCTCAAAACCGAGAGACATCTTCCAGTCCTGATGTGGGTGCTCATGTATTTCTCTGTACCGAGGCCATTACTGAATGCCAGCAGCCTAGCAAACAAGTCTGACCTACCCAACGCTATGCCGCTGGACGATATCCGAAAAGTGTTCCGTCACGCAACAGCAGGGCGGATCGCTTCCATCTACCGGACCTCCCTACCAGTGGTCACCAAGTCTGTCACAGGCCTCCAAGAAGCTATTGACTGGCTCGCTCTTGCTTTAGACATCGCGTCGTCCTCGCCGAAGACTGGGGGACCAGCGCCAAAGGTTGAACTTCCCCCCAACCCCCGTCAACCGAGTGCCCTCTCCAAACGACTGGAGACGTGGCTCCATCAAACAGAGGTCGATTCCCCACCTGATGAGTTCATCTCACAGTTCAAATCCTACAGCCTCCCTTCATGGGATCATTACACCCATATCCGCATAGCCTACCTCTTGCTCATGGCTCACGGAAGGCAGAAAGGTGAGTCCCGTACCACTGCAACTACGAGATATCCCCCCAAGCTCATGCAACACCAGGCAAAGACATGGTTTTCTCCGGCCTCGAGAACTACATCGCCAACAACTCCAAAACCAACGTCCGGGGCTTCCACTTTACGATGACCTACTTCTGGATCCAAATCGTCCATTTCGGCATTCGCAACATGCCCCCTCAGCTCTTGGACCACCCGCTCGAAACCGACACGACGGCCAACGTCCGGTACCCCTCGTCCGCCGACTTCTTTCGCTTCCTCTTCATCAACCCTCATTTAGTGGATGGAAGCCTGTGGACAGACTATTACTCGAAGGAAGTCATGATGAGTCCAGAAGCAAAGAGCAGCATGGTTCTCCCTGATAAGAAACCCCTACCGAGCTTGGTCATTCGCGACGCAATAGCTTCGTTCGGAACTGGGTCGTGATAGGTCGTCAATTGCTAGAAATAAGAATAGGGTACAGGTTACAACTGTGAAGTCCAGGGATGAGAATTACAACCCTCTAACACTCGTACAAAGAAAAACAAATGTGTCCCAATAGAAAAAAGAAAGGTGAGTAATACAGAACGAATACAATCACTTCCGCTGCACCAACCGAATACCTGTCATTTCAGGCGGCAGCTCATCAGGTTCAGATTCAGATGTCGGCGACTTGGTCCACAGTGCCTCACTCTCCTCCTTATCATCCTCGTCAGTCGCAGACACCTTGGGATACTTCTTCCTCTTCTCGCGCTCCTTTGATTTATCCCTCTGCTTCTGCTTCTCTTTCTGCTTCTTCTCATCCGCCCGCCGGATCTTCTCTGCTTCGCCGTCGTCCCAGTCCTGACTCCTTGCCGAATCCGTCACAGACGGAAACGACAGCAGCGTATCTCGAGCGGTCGTCGATGTCCGGTCGAAGATGTCGCGGGAATCTTTGCGGTAGGGGAGCGGGCGCTGGTACATCGTCGCAGGCGCACTATGCACGGCGTGTTCTTGCGAAAGGAGCGCCGACATGGTGAGTAGTTGGCTATCCTTCGAGTCCCCAGTTCCCACTACAGCCATCGTACTATCCCGCATTCCACTAGTGCTCTCCGACGAGCTACCGAACCCACCCCCTGATCCCAGCCCAGCCACGTTCGTGCCAAACGAGGTCATCGAGTTCCGTGTGGAAGGTGGTTGCACTTCGATCTCCAGGAGGTCACCAGAGGGGATGGCGGGCAGAGGTGGATATCCGGTATCCACCGTCGGCGTCGCGGGCGCTGGTCGGAGCTCGTGCGTCGTCTTGTTCTCGCCCTGGCCAGGCCTGTTGTACGAATGCACCAAATCACGGTCATCGAATTTGATGGTGGGCTTGCGAGGGGTTTCGGGGTTCTGTGATCGTATTGACGACGCGCGGATGGATGCACCGTCGTCACCGAAGCGGGGCACGGGAGCGTCGTACAGTTGGTGTCGCTTCAGACCAGAGTGTGGGTCGTTGTCGGCGAGCCATGTGTTAGAAGAGGGTAGCCGCGATTGCCGACTGCTTTGGCTCATGCGGCGTGCTCGGATGATGCTTCCAACAGTACCGAATGAACCGCGGAGAGTGTCCATTCCAGGGTCTTCGATTCCAGTCTTCTCTTCGACGGTGTCCGTCTGGGCGCGAGCTGCTTGCAGGAGCAAAGTCGAACGACGGTCGAGCTTGTTGAATTCCTTGGGGTCGACTTTGGATAATTGGAGGATGGTGATGCCGATACAAATAACGATAAAGGACAGGACGATGGTGATAATGCCTGTTACTGTAGTCTTGAGGCCTTGGAATAGCACAATAGTGGTGACCATCGTGAAGAATGTGACTGAAGGGCTGTTGAGTTGCTTTTCGTGCGGGAATGGAAATTAAGAGACGTACAGATGACATAGTATGTCGGTGTGACTGCAAGAGAGGGTCAGCTATTGCCATGGGATGAAAAGAGAAACCTACCCATAGCGGTGTTGAATAGTGCGAGGGCGATGTTCAAATAATAAATCTCAACCACTAGGACATCATCAGCTGTGAGCCTGTATAGGAAGAAGTGGGACTCACGTAGCGTGATCACGACGAAAGCGAATAAGAAATACATAAACCAGTGCTTGAACTGCAAGATATTAGAGTATTACTTCTCGATTGAATCGGAGTACGCACCTGGTTATCTCCCATCGCAGTGGTAACAATAGCAGCTCCTAGGCCAGTGGTGACGCTGACAGAGATGCCGCCAATCATACTGCAGACGAAAATGTACCACAGCATGCTCTTCTTTCCATACTTTGGGGCAAAGTAGAAGACAATTACGAGGGACGCAACGATGAGCACAGATGTTAACGAGAGGAACCCGGGTGCCAGGAACAGTTTCTGAAACTCGCGGATTTGACCAACGGTTTCTCCATGGGGTGCGTTGAGTGCGATAACAATTGAACCGAGCTAACCAGACGTCAGGCGGTAGTGGAGGAAAGGTGGCGCTTTCTACTCACAATGCACAATGCGCATCCTAGCCATCCAAAGAAGCTGAGTTTCTCGTTCAAGAAGAACGAAGACAATGCAGCCGATACAACGACAGATAGGGCTCCCAGTGGTGTCTATTGGCCGTATCAAATCTCCGTCTTGCCGGAATGAACGACGAGATACGCACGACGACGATTGCTTCTACAAAGGCATAGGCTGCCGGCCAATTGTCAGACTCGCAAGACAATTAGAGCCCACATGAGACTCACCAGCAAAGTTACACAGCTCCCCAAGGACCATCACTAGAGCCCAAGTCTCAGCAATTCCTCCAACCAGAACGCAACAACAACCTACAAATCATTCCGCCCCACCATAGCGCCTGTTCAAAAGGTCTTCAGAACCAGAATTTCTGGGTAAACCAGATGGCCACCCACCGATTTAAGATAAGCTACACCTTCCCCAAGCTCTCCGCCCGCCTGCGAGCGAATCAAGCCCTTCTTCTTGAGCACAAAACTCGAACCGATGAGGACGCCGCTAGCGACCGCCAAGATAACACCAACGACCTAAAGGAGGCGTTCTGTAAGAAAACGGCGCTATTAAGAGAGATAAGGCTTTACCTTGAGGTTCTTTGGGGCTTCAAGTGTGCCAGAGACAGCAGATGAGGTCGCCGCTGCCACTGCCGATGTCGTCGTCGACGAGGCCATTGAAGTCGACGACAAACCTGTGTTGCCAACCGCCAAATTGGAGAAAGCCAGCCTTTGCAGTGTCTGGCCGGCATCAATTCCAACTGGAGCTCCGATCACGCTTGGCCGGCCGTTGCTACCGGGTTATCTCCTTTTAGGGGCTACACCCATCTCTCTCTGTCTCAACGAAAGGCGAATTTCCATTCGATTTTCATCGGATTTCCAAGTGTCCAGACTCAGTCGATCCTCCAGGCAAGGCCTAGCCTGATTGTCGTTTATGAATCACCTCAGTATCCATAGAAATGTGCACTGACCATGAAGATAATTGATGCAATCCCAAATGCACAGTCACCGTACTAGTATGCGTGACCAGATGAACAAACATCTACTTCTCCATCGACGCTTCCCTGAAGTACTCGCTACATAACCTCGGACTGCCACATGGCAGTGAGTGGGTGTAAAATGCCCGTCTTTTTTTACCCAGTTCCCGGCAGCCATGAAATGTGAATACATCCATCATGAACTAGAGAAGACGCCTAGAAATCACATCGCCTCGCACAGATGCAGTAGATCCACGCCCAAAATAGACGCATCAAGTAAAAGAGTCATGACCCATATCAGTGCCCAGTATTCTACAGCATCAACGAACGAAAAGTAGGTTCCAACGACATTGCAGGCGAAAACGGGTATTGCAACTTTTTAAATTCAGAATGCAACTGTGGACCGAAGACGAGCAACAACCCTATGGTGCCCATTGGCCGACGCAAGCATCTCCGCCGTCCATCCATTATCCGTCATGGCATGAGGGTCGATCTCAGGGGCTTGAAGGAGTCGAGCAACAACAGCATCCCTACCAAGCTGCGATGCCAACATCAACGCCGTGTATCCACCATTCGCCACTGTATTGACGTGGATTCCGGGAACGTGGAGTAAGCGACCAACGACACCGTCATGACCATTTACAGAGGCCAACATCAGCGCCGTCAGTACATGGTTTCCAGCCCCGTTGACTACAATTTGCGGGTGGTGAAGGAGCTGATCGACGGCGGCCCCGCAACCGTTGGCTGAAGCCATCATCAAGGCCGTCCACCCATGGTTAGCTGCCCTGTAAACCTGGATGCCCGGTACCAGGAGCAGTCGCGCCACGACTAGATCATGGCCACTTCGTGAGGCAAGCATCAGTGCAGTCTGGCCATAATCGTCTGCAGCGTCGACCTCAATCCCGGGAGCTTCGAGGAGTCGAGCAACGATTCGAACATGGCCCATTGCTGAAGCTAGCATCAAGGCTGTCCATCCATGGTTGGCTATTTGGTTGACCTGGATGCTTGTGAAGTGAAGGAGTCGAGTGACGACCCTGTCACGGCCGGGGAGTGCGGCTAACATCAACGCGGTGCGCCCATCGTTGTCCCCAGCGTCGACGACAATTCCAGGATATTCCAGGAGCTGTTGCACAGTTCTTTCGTGACCGTTGGTCGCAGCCAACATTAGTGCCGTCTTGTTGCGGTAATTGACCGCATTGACCTGGATTCCAGGCACTTGGATTAACCGAGAGAGTCACTGTAGCGATTTTCTGAGGCCAGCATTAGCGCTGTATTTCCATCGTTGTCCGAGGCATTGACGTCAATTCCTGGTGCTCGAAGCAGCTCTTCAACTGTTCCTTCAGGTGCCCATCGCGAGGCCAGCATTAGTGCCGTCCGCCCATGCCTGTCCGTCGCATTAACGGCAATACCAGGAGCAAGGAGGAGACGAGAAACCATCCCCTTGCGACCACCCTCCGATGCCCCCATTAGGGCTGTCCTCCCATTGCTGTCAGCAGCATTGACTTGGAGCCCTGGAACACGAAGGAGTCGGGCAGCAATAGTTTCGTTCCCATTTCGGGACGCTAGTGCCAGTGCATTGGCGACAGTATGACTGGCCCGAACCTCCGGGACCTGGAGAAGTCGGCTGACGATTTCTTCACAACCTCGCCGCGAGGCATGGGTCAGAGCGGTGTGGCCGTTGGAGTCTGTCGCATTGTAGTGAATGCCGGACACTTGGATAAGGCGAGCTACAATTCGTTCATGACCGTTGATTGAAGCTATAATCAATGCGGTGTGCCCGACGTTGTCCGTTGCGTTGACGCGAATCCCTGGGGCCTGGAGGAGCCGAACCACGATCCCTTCGTGGCCTACTTCCGAGGCAACCATGAGGGCGGTCCTTCCATTGCTATTCGATGTTGCCCTATTGACATCTATGCCGTTGAACCGAAGTAGCCCTCGTACAGCCAATTCATTGCCACTCTGAGACGCCATGTAGAGAGCCGTCCTACCAGTAGGCGTCTGAGAGTCGACTTCCCAGCCACGATCGACAACGCTTCCGAAGTGCTCATGTAGACCGTAGTGTACAGCCACATGCAGAGGGCTGAGCACGTCGATCAACCAACCATTCCAGGGAATAGGATAGGCGGTGCACCCCAGAAGGAAATCCTTGACGGCGTCGAATACCTGGGGCAAATCACATCGATCTATGTGAAATCCCAAGAATTTGTGGGCGTACTGAAGGAGAGGGTGTTGCTCGCAGATCTTCCGAAACTCATGCGGCCAGGTGAGTTTACGCCCCGAGTCAATGATACCACTGGAAATCAGCCGATGAATCAAGGCGTTGGTGATGAAGACATGGGGATTTGACTGATCCTTGAGGAGAAGGGGGCCCAGTGCGTCCTTTGCCGTAAAATCTTTTGAGCGAGGAAATTGGTACCATTTCAATTTCAATTTCAATTTGGACGCGTAGCCAAATGGAGACACTTACGGATAAGCCTAAATGCATTAGTTTCCTGATGTTTCTCCACTAGCCCGCAGCAAACGGAGACGATAGACTCCTCATCTGGCATCCGGGAGGGATCAAAATCGAATGTCTCCGAATGAATTGCCAGTGCGTATCGCAAATCCTGCGTGGATAGGGGTCCCTGGGCAAACGCGCGCCAAAGAAGGACCTTTTCTGCAAGCTGGCGGGATTCACGATCTTGGCTGAGTATCCGTTCCATACTGGCGGCGTACATGTCATGTATGCCGTGTGGAAACCGGGAGAGTTTATCCTTTACGCATTCAAGCGTCCGACAATTTTGTAGGGCGTTAAGCTGGAGGGAGGCGTGAAGAAACCTGAAAATCGTCAATTCAGCGAGCACAAGCATTGAAATTAATGAAGCTTACATTCCATCGGCCTTTTCCACGACCTCTTTAATCAATTCCTTCCGATACGAATTGACGTCCAGCACACGGCACAGGTTCTCGTAGCGTTCCAATTTCTCCTCGATAAGCAGCTCCATGTCTTCACGCTGCGCTGAGATGGTGCAGAATACCGCGCAGGCGAGCTTCTTGCCCAACTCTTCCAGCGGTCGAGAAGTGAGAAGGAAGTTCCCCCGTAATTTGTTGATGGCCTGGAATGAGGTCGAATCGGACATCCACTCGAGCTTCGTCGACACCGTCGAGGACGTAGTAAACGCGGCCAAAGTGTCCCTCCAGCATCTGGAGTAGTCCCACGAGCTCACCCACCGATGGCTCTGTATCCTCCAACTTGTGTCGGTCCAATACGCCTTTGACGACGTAAGCCAGCTCGTGTGTGTGTGTGTGTGTGTGTGTGTGTGTGTTTCCAAGGTCCAGCAGCCTCGTGGGCACCGTAACCCCCAGGCTGACTAATAGAGAGGAACTCCCAGAACTCTCATCAGCCCAGTAAGTTGTCGGGACAAAGGGCGACTGTCGCCAGCCCGTAGGTAGTCGATGTCCATCCCAGAGTAGCCGACAACCCGAGGAGTTGTAATTCACGATTTCTCCCGTGTTTGGGTCACAAATACTCCCATATACTTCCTATTTTATAAACATTGGTTCTCGAATATATATATGCGGCAGTTTGTGTGTTACGATGCTACCTGTCCAACCGTCTTCATGAACTTGTACGCAAAGGGTGCCACTATCTCGCTGGCCTTGTCGATGCTAATGAGAATGCGCACTTGGTCGGTGCTCCTGCTCCCCACGCTTCGGATGCGTTCCATATCGTCTGGCTTCAAGACGTTCATTAGCAGCTGTCGCCTTGATGTCGTTCGACGCATTGCTTGATCAGCGCTTTCAGGATGTCGCTCACAGTCAGCGGCTCTGTATAGCGACTATAAACCATGAGCACACAGGTACGCTCAGACTCCAGTGCGAGAAGGTCCTCAATAACGGTAGATCTGCATGGTAATAAGACATCGACAGAGACCCGACCAGACCATCGAGAGGTACTCACGCCAGTACAGTCTTTCCAGCACCCGCTACAACGGTATCGAATCAGCATTGGGAACTGGAGGACAAGGGGAGAATATACGTATACCCATCCACCATATGATCCCATTCGCACTTTTCTTCCATTCACGATAAAGGCGACTTTCCAAAAGCCACCTTCCAGTCCCATTGGTCCGTTGTTTGCGAACATCAGCGTGGATCTTCCTGAAGTTCACGCCGGGTGCTAAGAGCCCCCGCAATTTCGATACCAGCTCAACTTAACATGGTCAGATATGTGACATTAAAAGCTTGAAAAGAGACTTACCACGCTCGTCCGCAGAGGACGGCGCATAATTGTTGATCTGGACGTGCAGGTCGCGCTCAACATTATAGAAGTTCCCGCCGCCGATGTTCACCTGGCGCGGTGGTTCAAATAGTTGTTTGTCCTCATTTTCAAAGTCCTCTATGTGCAACTATGAGCTTTATTTGAGATTTGCCTAGTTTGGAATCGAGAAATCGTACGTGTCACAGGCATTTGCCCGCTATGTCGGCCAGCATCGTTCTTTGCTCAGGCTGTCAGCGACGTGTAACTTTAACGGGAATTCTGCTCACCAAGTCAGAGGATCTTTGCCCCATAGCGTGGTCGTGCTAGTCTGAGAACCGTGAAGGTGACTCGACGCTGGAGTGCGTGCACGATGGCGATGGAACGATAACAAGATGCACACAAGCGCCCGTGCCCCCGCACGAGTTGTGCTGTGCGTGGGATCCCAATTTCAAACTCAGAAGCTGTTCGGCATCGGAGACCGTGGATGGACTCGAGCTCGGAGATTTGCCTCCTCATTGTGTGCCAGAGAATAACCATCAAAAAATATTTATCATAAGTTAAAACTATCTACTCATGAATGAAGGTGTGTATGCTAAGAGGATGCCAGAGAAAATGCCAAAGTACAAGAAAATGCAGGGAAGTATAGACGATCAAAGATTAAGCGCCTACTTCTTCTCGTCCTTCTTCTCGTCCTTCTTCTCATCCTTCTTTTCATCCTTCTTCTCATCCTTCTTCTCGTCCTTCTTCTCGTCCTTCTTCTCGTCCTTCTTCTTCTTATCCTTCTTCTCCGACAACTTCTTCCTCAACGCCTTCCTCTTAGTCCTCCTGCTCTTCCTCTTCTTCCTCTCCTTGTCCAAAATCTCAGCAACCTCCTTGCTGCTCTTACCCCTCAACTTGCGCCTCAGCGACTTGGCGCGCTTAAGACTGCTGGTACGTTGGCGCTCAAGAGCCTTATTTTTCGCACGGCTCTTGGTCAACAGCGCCTTGGTCTTCTTCAGCTCAGCCTTAAGCTTAGCCACCTCGTCCGAATCCTTCGAACGCGCCTCGAGCCCAAAGAGATCATCAAATTCGCGGGCGTCGAGGTCGTCAATGTCGAAACCACGCGCTTCGAGTTCTTCAAGGTCGAATCCGCGAGCTTCGAGGTCGTAGTCGCCGTCAAAGATGTCACGGGCGTCGTAGTCGCCCAAGTCGAACCCGAGGTCGCGGGCGTCGAGGTCTTCAGGGTAGAGCTCGCGTGCTTCGAGATCAAATTCGTCGAATTCACGGGCGGCGTACTCGTCGAAATCGTCAAAGTCACGGGCGTCGACGTAGTTATCGCCGTCGAGGAGGTCGCGGGCCTCGAAGAGGGCGTCCTCGGTGAGGTCACGAGCATCAAGGGGCTCGTAGTCCTATTCAACCAAATCCATTAACATCACGAACGAAAACAGTGGAAAGGAACAAACTTACAAGCTGGGCAGAAACCGCCGCGAGGAGGATGGAAGCAGAAACAAAAGTGAGAAGCCTCATTTTAAGCTATGCGGTATAGCTGGGTAGCAGTAAAAAGAGAGTAGTAGTGGAGGAGGGGGAAGTAACTGTTCGTGAGCTGGCAAACTACCGCCCATCCCTTCGCTGTACTTATACTCTTCCAGATCCTGCTATCACGGAATTGTCAGCTGGCGCATGGGCGCGCTCCCGTCGAAACCAGAGCCATAGCCTCCGTCGTAGACCAAAGGGCATCACGGAAGGAGTCTATTAATAGATCTGATGCCTGAAATAACTGCAATGAATAGAGCGGAGAAACACGCAAAACGCAAAGTACTCACCCCCACGATCGACGACGAACTTCCCCAAGATATCTATCCCACTACTTTCAAAACCCCTCCCTCCACCTCACCTCCAGACCATAGTTTTGAAGGACGCCCGAGTATGAGGGTGCTATGATGGCTTCAAGTAACGTAAAAATAGCACGAAAGTCAGAGCCGCACAATCGACCTCCATTCCGGATCTGGATGTCTCGGTCACCGCCATCCCTGTTAGATGGATTGAATCAACGTTTGATCACAAGTACCCAGTCCATCGCAAGTTCATCAAGAAGCCGGGCGGTGCAAAAGACGACATTGAGAAGCATCGGGTCTCATTCCGCCAGCCCGTCGTATTTCGATAAACTCTTCCCAAATACCTGAACGTATACATACATCAATTATCTAATCCGTACTAAATCACAGCACGACACATACTTACCAACTTACAAACAAACAAACTCGCGCTGAATCGAGCACGCAAAAAACAGAAAATCGAAAAAACAGTAGATTGCTGACAATTGCAACCTCCACCGGCCACCCCACTTCCGTCATCACAACTCATCCGCACACCGACACTCACAATTCGCAACCGGACACATCCCATGCGCCCTCCTCCCATCTTCACCAAGGAACCATTCCAAAATATGCGCAGCATGCCCTCCATGCCGGCAAGTCTGGCAAATAACGATCGCATCATCGATTGTATCTGTCCCAAATAAAAACCCACATCCATCATCAAATGGTAAGCACAACTTCGTCCAACAAGAGCTCGACAAAGGGGTCGTCGCCATGAACAATGCCCACCTTTATATTGCGAATACCCCAAATCCATCTCCCTCGATGCATCATCAACGATCCCCAAAGTCATCAAACAAACAGAACATTTAGGCAAGGCACGACTGCAATTGGGGCACGTTGTGGGCTAATGCAATCATCCATACCTATATCAGTACACACCACCCAAACTCGAGAGAAAAAGAGGTACATAAAACCCACTCACCCTGCCCTTCTGAAGCGCCTTCGCAGCCAACGACTCCGTACTATTCACCGGCTTGTTGCAATAATGACACCGAATCAAAATCTGAGGCGGTACAAGTTCATTGGAGACGATATCCCCATTCTGCACAGCATCAAGAAGCAACTGGCCCCTCTCGATATCGAACCCGACACGTTCGTGATGAAGCCTGAACCCATCCAAGAGATCGCGGTAGGTCTGCAGCCACTTGTCCACGCGTCTATCTTGGAACTTTACGGGACAGACGTAGGAACCCATGATGGCGGCCGTTTGGACATCACCAGTGCGATCCACGTAGGCTTGGAGGATGTCCAGTCCGCGACTCGTGAGGCCAGTGACGATGAGCGCGTCGATGTTGCCGGATTGACAAGCACTAGCCGTGACGCGCTGCAGATAGGAGCTGAGGGTCCGGTCATCCAGGAACTGGAACGCAATGGCCAAGCGCTCTCGGAATGGGATCACGTCCTCCTCCAGGACCTCAGTCCAATCACCGACGCCCATGTGGATAACCATCATCCTGCAGTACGGATCTTGCAACTTGACTGCAAGTCGACTGTAATGTTCTCGTAGGTCTGGGTTCTTCAACGCGCTCGAGTTGTGCGGTGTCAACGCTGCAATGGTGCCGGACATCATCTGGTGCATCTCATCTATGCTTGAATTAGTCAACAACCTCGATAAGAAGTACTATTCAAATCCATACCGTTACTTCGCATAAGCAGATCCATCGCCTTAGAATATTGCTTGGTAAAGACAAGCCAACAAGCCGCCCTTGAGATCTTTCCCTCCTTCTCCCACCGCCTCACGGCCGCCTTCAGCTCCTCGTCACGCAGACTCCACCCGCACAGCTGAAGTGCAAGCTGCCGTTGATGCAGTTTCGTGGTAGGAAGGGAGGGCTTCCAGGCGGAACGTTCCGACCCTCTCCGTTCCATCAGCGCCGAAATTGCTGCATTCCAGTTGCCATAAAGATCGTCTGCAGGAGAATGACTTCGTCTGGAAGCCTGCCTCTCGAAACCCGCCGCAGAATGTCCAGAGCCAGGGACGTCCAGCAGCCGTTGGGTCGCTATCGGGGTGTCGTCCACAGAATGCGCATTGGGCGGGGCGACTGGTTGGAATCCTTCCCAGAGTCCGAGCAGACCTTGATATGAGAAATCGTATCCGTGAAGACGAGGTGTTGGATTGCAGAGGAGATCACGCGAGTCTAAAATGGTTGTGAGATAGGAGTCAGAGGTAAAGATGGTATGCCTTACGATGTACCCATGCCCAGACTTCAGACAGGCACTGAGGGACAGACTCCCCATCCATATCGTCTTGTGTTATATTGGAATTGTCCCATGGCTGTAAACTTGTCAGAAGGGGAGGGCGTATGCTACCGTGAGCCGCTTACCTTGCTCAGGCCGTATCCCTTGAGAGCCCTCTTCCTCATTACCATGGATATATCCTCCTCAATAACATGAACCACGCCTTTCAAAGCTCGAGGTCGACTTCCAGACGGTTTCCGTTTCCCAGGCCCGGGACTGACATGTCGCTCTCTGCTCGTCGAATGTGCACCGTGTCCTGTAGTTGGAGGTGGCCGTGATTGAGCGCGGGACTCGCTTTGGTAGGTGTACTTCCGGAACGATGCTGGACTGTAGCCCCGTTTGCTGGTCCGAGAGCTGGCAAGAGTCTTCATGGCAAGCTGCGCGGAGACACCGCTCAAGGGGAAGGAGTCGTCGTCTCTTGCAAATAGAGCTGACCCTGAGGGGTGGCCTGACTTGGAGGCACGCCCGCGGATGTTGGACTCGTCCCGTCCAGCTCCAGAACGGGATCGCGAGGCACGGTCACGTTCACTCATCGCGTATCGGGCATGAGAGGACGATGCTTGCCGGATGTCTGAATGGAATTCGTCCCACAGTTCTTCGTCCCGATAGCCTTCAATAAACTTGAGGCCAAGCCCTGCACCAATGGCGAGTTCTCCTCGAGAGCTCCAGATAGTTTGCTTCGGTGTGTCGTGGACCTGGTAAAGTTCCAAGTCGCCGTCTTTGTTCACGATCATGACACTGGAGGCAAGGGGGTGTTTGTCGGTCGGGCTAGGAACGATGGTGAAAGACGCTAATGGCTTCGTAAAGTTTTTGGCTGCAAAAATACCATGAGAAGGGATGCGAAGATGATCCAATAAAACGCACTCTTGCGGGTATCTGCGAGCACATAGGCAGGTTGCGAAGCCCGGTCGGGTGTCCCAGGGGTTTCCGTGATTCTTGGAGGAACCGGCTGTTGAGGTTGAGCCTGCGACGTTGGCCATGGTAAATTCGCCCAAGACCTCCTTGAAACTCTGAGAGACGAGTCTCTCGAGCCCTTTCCTTCCCCATCGGACGAACCACCAAACACACTTCCTTCCGATGACCAGCTCCGCGTCTCCGCAAGATCCCAAAACCTCACATAGCTCGAATCCCTCTCCAGGGTGGCCAAACAGCCTCGTCGAACGTTGGAGAACTCGACGTGTGTATAGGCTGCATTGGCTCGAAGCCTGGCACCATCCGCCGTCGCATCCTTCTCCGAGAACATGAGCAACGGCTGTGCCAACTTGCGATAGTCCCAAACGGTGATCGAGTTGTCTCCGTAGCATGCGATTCGGTGTGGGTCGAACGGGTCGGTGGCGATTCCGTGGACCTTGGCTGCGACGTAGGTGACGGACGGTGTGACTGATCGAAGGTCGAAGAGTCGCAACCAGCGGTGGGATACACCAGCAAGAAGCATGTGGGTCGTGTCTGGGATGAAGGAAACACAAGAGACGACTTCCGTGAGGGCATGTTGTTGGAGGATTCGACTATCGACGCGGTTGTCTACTCGTGGAATCTGAGGCTGAGGGCGCGATGGAAGGCGGTGCGAATGGTCGTTGAGCTCGTCCAGCCCAGGGATCGTTATGTTCGCTCGGTTGGAAATGATGTCCCAGACAATCAAGCTGGAATCGTTTCGTATCTTGTCCAAGCCGACGGCAAGATAATTGGGATCTTTGGCGCAGAACGCGAGGGCGTTGCAGCTCCTTGACATTCGGACCGGCAGCGAGACCGTTGGACCGCTGGACAAAATATTCGACTGCCTGGCTTGCTTTGTCGCTTCCAAACGAATCAAGTCGACCCGCCCTGTGCTGGTCCCAACGGCTAGCAAGTCGTCGAAAGCAGGATCCGGTGACCATGCAAAGCACTGGGAAGCTTATCAGGCGGCGTCGTCGCTGAGCATAACGTTCCTGGGACGCACCCTAAGATGATGGAGGTCGTGTTGGGACGTTATATGGCGAATCTCTGGGTATTCTGCAGCCCATTCGTATAGTGTTATCTGTGAATTTCCGCCAACGACGAACTTGTTCTCGTGTCGAGGGTGCCAGAGGACGCGTTTGTCGGGTAGCACCATGCTGGCTGATCGTCGTGGTCAACACAAGTCGAATCGATGTGACTAGACGGTGTCAAAAGTTGGTTGGTGTCATTTGCAATGGGAGGTCGTCGTCGTCGATGTTGAGCTGTTGTGGTTCGATGTCAAGCCGCGAGCCCATTTGATCGCGGTCCACCGTGGCGTCAACGAGATCTGTTGTCTCCTGACCACCACCATCGACAAGCAGACGTGCCTGGTGAACTCAAACACGATCCAAACTCTCTTATTTCTGTGGTATAACTGGCGAGGGGCCATCACGAGCTCAGGATCGCTATCGTCAAAAAAATGCTAGCAACTGGTTTTTCATCGTGTCAAACTTGGGTCACGCTGCATTCTATCTGGAGACTAGGACATCGCAGCTCCTGTTCTTTTATCGACATTGCATGTTCTGGGAAGCAGGGCTTATCACAACACCTAGGTTCTATCCCATAACAAATCCACACCCCGCAACGACTCCTCAACCCCATACGCGAACTTCTTCGTCGCGTCCGGACGACTCCTCAGCACTATCAGCTCATTTAGCAACGCCAAACAGGTCCAGATCCAGTCTACAGACGACTCACCGCTCCAAGGTGGAACATACAGTAGCGAATTCTGGCCTAAAAACATCCACCGTCTCTTCTCTATACGCAATTTGACGAAGAGTTTATCCCAAGATTGCATAATCCCCCTAGCCCTCTCGCGGAGTTCATGTCCTCTACCCATAAACAACCGCTGGAGCTCTGTAAACGGCATCTCGACCAATTTCCGAAGTAACACGGGTATTCCAGAAATCTATCCGAATTCACGACGAGTGAGTAACTTGTACCCTAACACCCATACACCGAACTGTACTCACATAAAGACACAACGGATCTCTAGTTCTTATATTCTCAAGCTCCTCCAGAGCTTGTAAAAGCTGGCCGTACCTCGTCCTATTAAAGGAGAGATTGCAAGTGCGCCGATAGCGACTCCAAGCATCCAGGTTGTCCGACGCCCTTTTCTCTCCAGTCTCGAGCGCATGAACCAACACCTCCGCCAACGTGCGGCATAGTCGGTCGAGATGAAGGTGGAGGTAAGCGCGATGCGCCGATGTCTCGGAGAGGCTCTCCAAGACTGCATACCGTTCCGAACACATCTCCCAAGATTCGTGCACGAGTAGGAATTGGAACTCGTGGAGACCTTCCTGCGCCCTAAAACGGTACCTTTCGTGTATTGCATGCGCCATGTCTCCGCAGTTGAGTCCGCCGTCGCCACCCTGTACATATTTCGCGCGCACGACGAGTCGATGTAATTGGGGGAGGATGCGCCGGTCAATGTCATAGATGATGAGATCTTTGATCGAGAAGAAGGCCTCCCAGTCAGTGTCGAGTTCGACCAAGTTGTGTGTGAGGCGAAGGAGTGGGTGCAGTCTCTCAAGGCACGCCATCTTGAAGTAAAAACCATGTGTCCGTAACGCCAGTCGGAGGAGGCTGGGGCCACAACCAGACTGTGTGACGAGATCAAACACATCCGCGAGCACTTCAGTTCCTCCTCTGACCTGAAGATTTTGAAGCGAGGGTAAAACGAGTTTGTGGAGGATGTAGTCCCCACTGTTCTCGACGACTTTGGGACCGGTGTCGGCATAGAATGTTCTCAGGTGTGCAAGTGTAACCATAGGGGAGCCGATAGGCATACATCCCGAATGCTCCACCTGCATGTGTTCCAACTTCACAAGGCGATGGAGAACGTGCTGGATGATATTATCCCTACCCTCCGCGGTCTCCCGGTATACTTGTAAGTTCTCCCATGGCAAATCCTCATACGCGCCCTGTGCTGTCCCGGCTTCATGGCGCCATGACCATTTGGCGAAGGTGACGTTGGTGAGGAGGGGTAACCGGTGCTTCACTCGTTTGAAGTACTCGAGCACCGGCGCATCTTGTGTTCCGAAAAGATAAACCTCTTGCCACCGGTGCGACAGATCCGCGAGTACCTGGAATACAGGTTCATCCAAGTACCTAGATGGCGGGCCGAAGCAGATGCGAAGAGGCGAGTCTTTGGATCTGCTGATATGAAGCTTCAGCTGCTCCAAATACGTCTCCCGCCGGGGATCTGAAATGAGGCCCAGTTTAGCGAGTGAGATGGGAGGTAGGAAGCCGTATAGGTCTGGTAGCGAGAGTATGGCGGCGTTCCAACTCCTACACACCAAACGATAGTTGCCGATGGCCCCCCAATCGACGTGGTTCTGACGGGGAATGAAATGTCGCGACAGGACGGGGTTGGACACATCCATAGGGTCGGGGACAAAGTTCCGGAGTACTTCAATCCAGATTTCCTGCGGTAATGTTCGCACCATCGATAGTATCCCGCGGTGCGAAGAGATAAACTCTTCCAAAGCCGCCTGTCGCTGAATGAGGTATGCCCGGTTTCGTAGTAGTACCATCGACGACCGTTTCAAGTGGCGGTTAAAGGAGGACAAGACATCCGCTGCATCTGTTATGGCCTGAGTGATGCTTTCAACCTGCGTTTCCGTTGGTGGTATGTTGCTGCTCAGAAGCTCAGGGACAGGCGACGATGGGGCGTTTGGTGGTAACTGGTTCTCCTTGCTTATTGAACGCACTAGACCAGAGAATATCATGATGTGAAGCGCTAGCCGGGGCTTTGCCAGGGGCGTCAGATGTCCATAGTTTCCGTGAGTTATTTAGTGCACCTTGAGAGATCTGCGTGTGTCTTTGCGGCTTTGCTTTTCAATAGTATCTGAACGGGTACTGCGAGAGGTGCAAATGCCAATGATGGTTAATGATGGTGTGCGGAGACACAGCCAGGTGATGACCGATTGATGCGGATCAGAGGACATTGTCAGGGGTATAAAACAGCACTTCGCGTCCATAGAGGCTTCTCCAGCTGCCACCATTAGCGTGCCTCCCTGAGGTGCACGTCCTCCAGCCATGGATCCAAGAATCGAGCCTCTCATTTCGAATAACCATGTTCCAGACCCCATTCACATCCCCTACCTCACCGACGAACTATCGAAAACCTCAAAGGAACTCTCATCGACGCATCAAAAAATTGAATTGGTCGAACAGTTTCTGGCAGGCCTTCACTCTCGACACACACTGCTGGCTAAGAAAGAAAGCGCCATGCGCGACACACTTTCACCTTTGCGCGCATTCCCTCCTGAGCTCCTCGGAGAACTGTTCAGAGCTTGCCTGCCACTGATGCTCGACGCCCACGGACGGCGCCAATTCGCCATCTTGAGAGCTGTCTGTCGCGCCTGGAGGGAGGTGACATTCTCCACTCCTCACCTCTGGCCCGACATCCAAGTCGATATAGTTAAGCGCTTCGGGACGATACAATACGAACCGTTACCCACCCCGGCACAACTTCAGTCGTGGTTCACTGATCGAGCGCGGTCGAAACCTCTCTCATTCAACCTCGCGGCAAGGATTCCAATCAACAAAATGTTGCCTCCTCATGTAATCCACGAACTCGTCAAATGCTTGAAGTGCAGCGTCATTGGAAATCGCTCGCCTTTGGCTTAGCGTTACATGGCTTTGGTCCTCTTTCGGAACTGATTCACGCTGCATTAACGTCTCCAGCTAGACCGTGGAGGAACCTCGAATCGTTCGGGCTGGGCGTAGGCCCTCACAGCGTGTGGCATCAGTCGATTGTGCCGTGGTTCAAAAGGCTTCGGTGGCACACCCCGCGTCTGCGGTGCCTCATGTTCACTCTCCACTCGACTGGGCTGGACTTTCCTCCCGGCGTCACTCATCCCTCCGTCACCGAAGTGGTGGTCACACTGGGACCAGGGACTCATCTAGCCGTGACGTTATCCATCCATTTTGTCTATAAATAACCTCGTGAGGTCCAAAGGCGCGACCTCGAATTCACCCATGCCCGGCTCCATACTCTCGCCATGGATGCACAGGCACTCGGCTGCTTGCACACTATCAACCTCCCTAACCTACGCGTTTTCCACTGCTACGAGAGGGCCCCTTGGCCGCCCAACGCCTTTTCCATAGCCCTCGACAGCCTGGCTTCGGTGGTCAAACAGACAAAGAACTCATTGCGCACCCTCGCGATCTCAAGTTCCAAGGTGACTGATGAGATGGTGGCTGTAGCTTGGTCTACGATTGTCTCCTGCAAGTATCTGGAACGTTTGCTTATCCCCGCCTGGTCGCTCGCTGACCTTCTGAACATACCCTTCACACCGAGCGAGGAGACGCCCGTCCCGTTCCCGGCGCTCAAGTCGATGTCTGTCCATGGTCATTCCAACAAGATTGACTTGAGGTGCCTGGCGGGGTACCTCATTGAGCGCAGGAGCCTCTTCCGACAGCTACCTCCGCCCGTCAGGATTGAATTTGTGTTCCAGCGATCTAGATTCCCTGCAGCGGCCCAACTCTGGGGAGAGGAATGGAGAGAACCGGTGATTAGAGCTTTGTTTGATGGTTTGGGCGTCGGGACGCGCATATCATGTCTGAAATGAATAGATTACCGTCAAGCCAAATGTCGACGGTAAGGCCCGATAGGATTGCCGGTAGAGGGCAGTTGTGGTGAGGAGCAAGTCGGTCCCTCGGTATCTGGTCGGTGGGAAAGAAAACTGGTAACCAATGGGCAGCATCCGATGATATGTCGAGGACTGGGTGTATTCCAGCAAGTGGTGCCTAATGTACAAATTACAGTTCATCCTTGGGTGCAGCATCCTTAGGGTCGAGGTAGACGAGCTCAGTCTCGAATACCAATGCAGAGTTGGCGGGGATAATGTCGCCAATTGATCGTTCACCTATGCCAGCTATCAGTCCAAGTCCTTGTCAAGGTTTAGACGAAACGTACCGTATGCCAAGTGTGCGGGGATAGTGAGAACTCGCTTCTCGCCAACGCACATGCCTTGCAAACCGTCGTCCCAGCCCTTGATGACCTGACCAACACCGACTACAGGAATGTCAACTACCGTTCCAGTTGAAGGACTGAAGGAACTCACGTTTAAGAGGAAGGGGTGTGCCGCGGTCGTGGCTACAAGTTCAGCTAGTTCAGTATACCCCTATCATCCTGGTTTCCGTTCGGGCACGAACCTTGAGTCGAATTTCTTTCCAGTGGCGAACAAAGTACCAGTCTATACAAGAGTAGATTGAGTATAATCAGTCAATGTGCGGTCCCCAATACACTCACATAGTGAACCTCGAGGTTGTCCCCAGTCTTAGCCTTGACCGAGCAGTCCTCAGGCGTGAAGGTCGTCTCGATTTGAAGCTCCTTAGGTGCTTCCTTGGCAGCCAAAGCGGCGCCGGCAAACATGAGCGAGGCAAACCAACCGAGGAGACGCATCGTTACGAGTGTGGGGTAAAGGAAAGGATAAGAAAGGGATAATTTGAGGGTAATATAAGACAGAAGGCTGAGAAGCGCGACGCCCGACACGTCCTTGGGATCAGCGACGTGTCACGCCACGTGAGACTGCACTGCCGCCGAGGCGTCCAAATGGGGACACGTCCGCGGATCATGCCGGTTGTTCCGAGCTGTATAGTTGCGGGGTATGCCGAAAACCTTATTCCAGGGCTACCCATTGCAGTATTGGGCAAAAGTTCCCGTTCCCGTCGTCGTCGCCGTCGTTCTCAACAATGGTGAGCACCTTTTTGTCGTTGTCGGGGCCGTTTGACTGACCGCGCTCGATGTCGTCGAAATAGCCTTCCCAAAAAACCTTCCGCACTAAGGTGAAGCTCGCCAAGGCTGCCCGCCAGAACAGGTGTGAACAACCGTGAAACGATGAGCTCGACATCGAGGCTGACTGTGTGTTGTTAGGCCCATCCCCCAGTGGTTCCGCCTGAAGACCGATACCAAGATCCAAGTTTGTGTTCCCGGCACTGTATCTCCAAAATCACCACTAATCACGGCCCTTTTCCTTCTTCTCAGTACAACGCTAAGCGACGACACTGGCGACGAACGAAGCTCAACATCTAAGCTCGCTTTTTCTCGCTTTCGTATTCGCCTTCGCCTTGTATCATCATCACACGATGTTTGCTGCTGGAATTGGGAGGCAGAAGGGTTAAAATCACACAACGCAGCATCCACTTCACTACATGCATCATATGGCCCTTTCAGTCGCATACTCTATGCCGCAACAACACCATGCCCAATCATTTTCACTCTGAAGCGAGTCTGGTTCGAGTTCTGAGGAAATCAGCCAAGTCAAGACGGTGCTGGGTTATCATTTCGCAGATTGCTATCGACCCTTGCAATCGCCAGCCCACTCTTTTCTCTACCCTTCAACTTGCACTCGGTCAGCTTATTCCAGCCCCGTTCTTATCATTGGCTAGAAGGCTGCATGCTCCTCGTTATGGGCGCCATCCTTGCTCGATTGGATCCTCTCCTGTCAGTTCATGTTGGATTAGCCTGATCCATTTGGCACCCGCTTTTAATTGGGACTAACGGTCGTCACTGGCCCGTTAAGAAGCATCGGTGCCCAGGCCCTCGCCTTGAGCAGCTGCGCTTGTTCTGGTTCGAAGATGTTCCTTCATTGTCTCATTTCTACTGCGCTTTTTGCTGTCAGGATTGCACAGGCTGCCCCTTCGTTGATCGAGAGTTCAATCAGTGCGAGGGCTGCGAGAGGTCTGTGCACTCGTAGGCATTGACCGATTACTAACAGTTCAAGCCAGATGGAATCGATTTGTCTGTCCTTGAAATTACCCCAACCGCGCTATCTGCGATAGCGGACACTTACCGACAGTTCAACGTCGATTACTCCAGTGTCACGGGCCCCAGGGAAGAGAAGCCGTATGCTCGAAGAGGAATTGGGGCTATCTTCGACGTCCATGGTAATGTCGACTCCGCCTGATCATGGCAAGATCTCACCTCCCTCCAGCCCACGCTGAACCGGACTGGTACCGCTCGTTGACTCCTTTCTCTGGTGGCGAGCCCCTTAAGAGCACGGGAGGCGGTGACCTCGTTCCTGTGTGGAACATCACGGCGCACATCGCCTTCATGAACACCATGGGTATCACCCACTCCGTTCTCGGTTTCACGGGGCCCAGCGCGAACGTTTACATGCGCGACCGAAACAGGACGGTTGCCCTAGCTCGCCTCATCAACGAACAACTCGCGGCCTACGCCCGCACCCAACCAGAGCAGTTCAGTTTCTTTGCTGCGGTGCCTTTGCCTTACGCCGACGATGCTATCAAGGAGTTAGAGTATGCGACGAAGGAGTTGGGTGCTGTCGGTGTTGCACTGATGAGTAACCACGAGGGGATGTATCTGGGGCATGATGTTTTCACCCCGTTTTGGAAGTACATGGATGGGATGGGAGGGAGGCAGATCGTTTATGTCCACCCCACCACCCCGTACATCCCCGTTAACGACACCTTTGTCGTGGCCAATCCCAATCCTAGCATGGAGACCAGTCGGATGGAGTACTAGTAAGCGCTGACTCCCCTTCCTTCACCCCGATTCAGCGACTGATGTGGTCTGCTGCAGTATGGAGACCGCTCGGACGTTCACGGACCTGACTATCACGCAGACTCTTCAGAACTTCACGAATACCCACTTTGTCTTGCCCCATCGTTTGTCTCTTTCGTGCATTCCCCAAGCGGAAGACCTACTAACGCCTCCAAATTATAGTTGGCGGTGCGTTCCCTGTGATGATCGATCGTGTCTTGAAGACACGACATCCTGAACTTTACGACTCCTCCTTGGCGATCTATCGCTCAAGGTTCGCATGCATAGTTCTGCTTTGAAACGATTCGGACGCATTCTAACCCTTCGTCGCTAGGCTCTGGTGGGATTCTGCGAGTCCCACCTATTTCCACCAAGTTGCTGGTCTACTTGGATACGACATACCCAAAGCGAACCTCCTTTTCGGAACGGTAAGCTGCTTCGTACTCGGCCAGACGCGCGTAGTTAGTCTGAATTCGAATCTAGGACTACCCCTTCGTTGGCACGGCTGCGAACCAGGCGGATCTTCAGGCCATCCTCGCGTACCCTGGCCTGACAGACGATGAGAAGGACAACATTCTCTCCAACAACTACAAGTCGTTGTTCGGGGACAAGTTGAACTTCTGAACAGTGTCGCGGTTACGAGACGTATTTCTGGTGAGTCGATTCTTTTAGTTTGGGATATGATTCTGAACAGAATGTTCAGTGAAATGCACGTGGTTGGCCTGGTCGTTGAAAACGATATCTGCACGAGTTTCATGTCATATCCTTATGGACTATTATATCAAGACGGTCTTTCAACATAAGGAGTGTTCCAGGAAGTATCTTAATCAATGTACAAAACTGGGTATGGTACTAGGGGTGCATGAAGTCAACATGTTCTCAATGGTTTGTCCTAATTCATTTCGTCAGTGACAAGCCTGTTCAGCCTCCCCATGGCCACCAAGAAGATATGGGCCAAGGCAACGAACTTCGATTATGTGCTGTCCATTCTCCATCTGGACCAGGGTTCGAGATAGCCCCCAAATGGGCACAGTTTTGAGAATCGACCTGCTATGCTGCTGTTGCGATGCCAGCTTCCATAACGCTCGATGATGGTCCAACGTCACTGCATCAGGACAAGGATTCAGCGATAGCTCGATCTCTTTCATTGCGCCAAACCCGGACGGTCGTGTGTCGAGTGTGCGCGCAATCCAGTCGAGAGCCAGCCAGATATCGACTGCCTGCGCGCCTGTTTTGATCACTTGGAGAGATGGGAGCATGGAAAGGTCCAGTGTGGGAATCACTATCGCGATAGACTTGTATTAGAGGTAATGTTCGACACAGCGATGGTCCGAGGAACAACTGACCCTGTTCTCCGTAGAAGCTATACGGCTCGAACTGGAGGGTAACGAGGGAAGACGAGAATGCGCATATGAAGTTGAGATGGTGTACGTCGAGCATTGGAATTTGTCCCAACAAGAGCGTTTGTATGCCTGTGATATCCCAGGTTTTTGAAGACGAAAGGAGGGGAAGATAGGGGCGATCAATGTGGCAGAGTCCTAACTGAGTCGGTCCTCTTCCACGAACTCGGACTTGGGCACTCTCCTTCTCGACAAGGGATCCACAAAGACGCATATCCTGAACGGAATTGCAAGCGCTCAAGACATGCGTTGGGAGGGATAGGAACCTCATAAATACGGTATTCAACCCCTCCTGCTGCAGGCGCTCGATAATTGCGAGCTGGACTTTGCGGTGAAGGCTGTCCCATTGAAGCCCCGGCGTTCCCAAGAGGCGTATCATCTTCAAGTTGTGAAGCTTGTCGAGAACATAACATAGTGCCTTCTCCTCTTTCGAAACTCGAAAGCGAACGGCGTTGGGTGGTGTACTATGCGGGATGTGCCAAAAGTGGAGCACGTGTACGAGGTCGGCGAGTTGGGGGTTCCGCTTGAGGAGCTCTGCGAAACGTTCGATCAAGGATGGGGAACCTTGTGCTCGAGCTTCGATCGTTATTGTTGCGTGTATAAACCTGCGACAGTAGAGATAGAGGGTTCGGGATGTGAGGGTCAGAGTCTTGAGAGCGCCCAGATCTTCTTTAAGGTATAGATCTATGATGCGATAGATCAGTTCAATCGGAACACGAGCTTGCAGGTGGTTGGAGACTGGCTTTTCATGGATGCGGGGAAACAATGGGAGACGATCTTTGAATACAGATCTCAGGTGTAAGTTTAAGCGTCGCAACATGGTGGTGCAAGGGAAGGTGCGGCAAAGGCTTGGTTCTCCTCGAGGCTTTGGCCTCGTTTCAGTCGGGATCCTCCCGTGACATGATCTGTGATCAGCCACGCGTCAAGGGTTCTTCAACTTTCATTCGAGAATGGGGTCCAAAGTCCAATCACCCCCATTTTTGTTCGGGCTCAGGCCTAATACCTTGGCACACTCTCCATTGGCAGCTTGAAAACTCTCGGTTTGGCTTGGAGGAGAACGGGTACCCCGACTCGGACCATCGCGACCAAGTTGCTGGCATAATCGCCAGAGAAGTCCTAAGTTGCCATTGAGTTGCCAGCACTTTTATCTCTGCCACGACGACCACGACCCGACCACGACTCACCGTCGACATAACCTATGTTTTTGAGTGCTCAGGAGCCCCCATCCATGATGACTCGTTCCCACCTGACAGTTGTAATCCAGGCCCATAAGGATGTTGAGCAAGATCTCACCGACGCCACCCACTCGTTGACCAGAGTGCCAGAAATCCTTGTGGCCCCCTTTCCAGAACACCTTTTCAGCAATCATCCGCCGACAGAAGAACAAGTGCACTCCGTTCGTCAAACTATTGCTGCAGCAGAGAGGGTACTCGCTTCCATCGACTTAAAGTTGCGCCATTCGCCAAATGACAGCGGGTTGCTTAGCAGTCGCATCGCCTGCCAGACATTCATCGACAATCATCGGAAGGTGTTGTCCCCTTGGAGGCATCTACCCGAGGAACTCCTCATGGAAATATTCTCGAAATTCCTCCCACATACTAACCCCCTCGAGGTTAGGCTTCACCCCTACTCAAGGGGGTATTTTCGCCGGTGGATGTCGATTCGACGTGTCTGTAGAGAATGGAAAGACGCGCTTCATACGGTTCCCAAGCTATTTGGCTACCTGCCCACGCTCTCCTTCCGGATAGGGTCTCAGTCGGGAGTTGGACATTACCAGCAGCTCCTTCAGCACATCGGTTGGGCCTATCCGGAACCATTGCAGTTCATGGTGTCTAACATATTCTCTGCGGAAGAAGGGCTCAAGGCCCTCCCTGAGCTCATCGCTCTCACGGATAACTGGGAAATAGTCCACTTCGACAACTCCTACAGTCTTCTCCTGTCTCTAACCGGCCTCAAGTTCCCCAATTTACGCAAACTAACGCTGGAATTGTGGTGGTTGGAGTCCGACGACGTGGCGCATGGAGACCCATTGAGCGTATTCGAGCATGCACCGAAGCTAGAGCACCTGCTTGCTGGATCCAGCTGCATAATCGGAGCGAGGGCTAAATTCCCTTGGAAGCAGCTAAAGTTTTACGCAGATATATTAGGCGATGCAGTAGGTGGCGCGCTTCCGACTGTCGTCGCACAATGCACCGAACTTGAGCATCTCAAGGTTCGCCAAAGAGAGCGTATCCCCGTTGACAAGGTGAACCTTCGTGCCCTGAAGTCCCTTGACATCTATTACGGAGGCAGCATCCTTTTTCCAGAACACATCATTCACCAACTGACACTTCTACGGCTCGAAACGCTTCGAATCGCCCTGCCTGACATCATAGAGTCCTCTTTCGCTTTCCGTTCTGTCACGTCCCTAGTTTCACGGTCTGGGTGCGGGAATCACCTTCGGCACATATCTTTGCTCATAGGTCCACAGTTGTCGAAGGGCGAGCTCACCAATCTCCTTCATGACACCCCTCAACTAATCAGACTCGATATCAAATATCCACCGATCGAGGACGCTCTCAGTCTCGCCGTACTCCCCGATCGCCCAACTCTCGTCCGGCAACTAGAGTGCCTGCGCATCCATACCAACATCAATCCGGGAGACGAAGCTGTATATCGCACCATCGGCCAAACCAGATGCGAGGCGGTACCCAGTGTGCGGTGCCAGCCACCCGTCCGTCGTTTGAAGGAACTTAGGGTCGTCGTCCCGTACGACGCTAAGCAGGGCTTCATCGTCCGCGGCTAAGCAGCTCCTGGAATTGAATGATAAAATTCTGGCCTTGTCCACTAACACTGGTCTCTTCGTCTCGGGATTTCCCCAACGGCTGAACCGATTACTACTGGACATTGAGGCGCTTGCCATCGAAGATGTTCAGCACCTGCGCGTGAGTTTCTCTGTTTTTGGATCTCGTATAAAACGTACCTGATGCGGACTTGAACGCAGATATCGCAACTACATCTAACCCTGTGGGAGCTGGTAACGGCATATCCCTACATCATCCCGTCCGACAAGGAATTTTCTTTTCAAAGAACGTGTGAAGAGAGTTCTTACTCGCTGGGAGCCCTTGTTCTCTGCGACTTTGGACGATTTGCATTGGGTACGAGTTGGAGAGAATTCTCTGGTGTATATTCCAGATGATCACGGTGTGTGCGCTCGCGTGAATCTTAAATGGAGGCCTCTTCTGACCCTACCGAAGACATGAGGACGACCTCGGAAGCTGTCTCTAAGTTCATCTATGGGATGGAAGACTCAGTACCCGAAGCTGACCTTTTTTGGTGGTTTTAGTGGGAACACTAAGGGTAGTCTATATGCTCAAGTCTTGTTACCCTCTTTTAAATTCAAAGACATTGTCCAGTATCCTTTGAAGTACCCCGCGATGGATTTCAGAGTTCGTAACTTGGGGGCTTATCCGTATCGGCGATTTGGATGAAGGTAGTGTGATCACTATATTCAGCAGACGGTGCTATATGCTACATTTCTTGTCAATCATCAATTTCTACAACTAGCTGAACACCAAGTTCTGTCAGTTCTCGAAGGGCAATCGCGTCGCCCACGTTCTTCTGAAAGTCTCGCTGTTGCCCGCTCATAGAGTTGCGCGGCCAACCCTTTTGGCGTCGGCAATACCTGAAAGAGATCACAATTTCCTCTCTCTTGCAACCCGGTCGCAATTGACTAGGACCGCCTACTTCTACAAGAGGTTTCAACGTTCAAGCTCCGCTTCATCATGATTCACTGACGAAACGAGATGAAGGAAGGTACAGGTAAATAGGCCTCCTCCATCTGCTGGCAGGACTGCGGGATGGAAGAAGTTTGAAAACCTTCAGATAACAAGGTCGAGATCGCCGTCAAGGATTTTCTTAAAGACCATCGAGACATCATCGAAGAAGAAGAAGTCAAAGACAACTTACTGGCAGCAGCTCAAGTTGGAAGTTGAATAAAAGTTTTCCGCGAACAGGACCAGGGGCACCGCAGATACGTAGAGTGTACCCTTCCGAGTCGGAGGAGTAGATGGGATCATCGTCTTATCCCTTTCGTTATCGCCCAAAGAGACCCAATAACCTACTTCCATCCACCTCAATACCGACTCCTCATTCAACAAAGCGCGTCCCATTTCCACAAATACTAGTCTGATCTTCCACACCACTCGCTACTATATCAAAGAACCAGAGGACAACGACCCTGCCCCATTCACTCCATTCCACTTGCAAACCCACCCCCCGGGAGCCCTCACCTCCACACTCGCCCTAACCCCCACCTCCCCAAACCACGCCACCTCCACCGGCTCAAACCCCACCTGCGGCGGCTTATCCGACACCCAAACCACCCTCACCTCCCTAAACGCCGTAAACCTACCACCCGCCAGCGTCCCCGCCAGCCTCTTCCACCCTTCCTTGTATCCCTCGCTGAATTGCCCTGGAATCATCCCGAGCCCGAGGTGCACGTGGGCGAGGATGGTGAGGGTTTGCAGGGTGTTGCGGTGGTTGATTGGGAGGGTGTGCAGGAGCGCGGGGAGGTGTGTGGTTTGGGGGCTGTAGGGGTAGTGGATTGTGAGGTGCTGGAGGGAGGTGTGGTGTGTGAGGTCGTAGATTGGTTCTGGGTCGTCGTCGCTAGTTGAGGGTGAGAATCTGTCGAGATCTACATATTCTCGAATTAGCTTCAATGCCATGATACCAAGCACGTAATAGAAATAGAAAAACAGAAAAACAGACTCACTCCACAACGGATTCATCAACGTCAACTCCCTCACCGTCGGTGCAATCTCGGTCTGCAGCTGCTCCCTCAACTGCGGGTAGGCGTAGTACTCATGATCAAGGTGTACAATGAGCTTCATCCCCCTCGTCGACGAGATACACCCAGGAGGAAACACAAACTCCGACCTAGCCTCCACAACCGACTCGGGCATAATCTCCGAATGGTCCAAATCCGGGCGCTGGGACATATCCAAGAGCACCTCCAGCTCATCCAAATCTACACCCCGCGCCTCCTCGGGTATTTCGCTCAGTCTCTCACTCAGCGCGCGTTTCTGCATTTCGGAGAGGGTGGTACTAGTGTTGTTACTCATGGAGGGCGTGCCGATACCCTGGAAACAGGCGAGGAGGGCAAGGCGTTTGAGGGATGAAGTGGAGAAGACGAGGTTGTGGAATTGCTGAGCCCAGATATTGAATATCCAGCCGTTGATATGCAAGGATGTGAGGTCGGGAGAACGGAGTGCCCGGGAGACAGATTCACGGAGCCGGGGTGCGATGGAGCGCCATACGACGCGCTCGAGTCGGTGTGGGTGGTCCGGTTTCCCCTGCCCCGGCCGAGGACCCTTCAGTTCCAGCGAAGAGATGGAGGGGAGGAGGTCCAGGATCGACGCTGCGAGGTTTGCACTCTCGGGCTCGTGTAACCAGATGCTTCGGTGGGATTTGGCGGATATCTTGACATATTTCAGACCTGAGGTTAGACTGGGCTGGGTTTGGAGCGCCTGGAAGAGACCGGGAAACGACGCGGGGTTGGAGAGGGCGACGCGTTGGAAGAGGAGGTACTGCGCAGGTCCGCGCCACTGTTTGCACACACGCGCGCAGGCGGTGAGGGATGCGCTGTCGTCGTCGTTCCAAGCGAAGATGTAGTCGAGGAGTTCGGGTGAGAAGTCGAGAGCGTGCATGGCTATCCTTGCTGCCTTTTTTACCCCGTTCTTGAGCTGTAGAGATGAAGAAAGGTTGTAGGAGATAACGTGGACCCGAGAACATGCTGCTTTATCTAGAAGCATTCGTAACCTTCACAGTATCACATAACACGTTTGGTACCGCAAATGTGTGGCTTCACTCTAGAGCCTGAGTATCTGTCAATAGCAAAAATGTCAGAAAAGAAGGTGATACGCTTCTTACTCACCAGGTTGGTATTCTAATTCTGACATTGGACGAGATCCCCGAAAACTAAATGTTTCTGAGTCTTGCGCCTTTTCCTGACTGATAACATGTTGACGATGTTCTTGTCCGTCGTCGACGTTCAGGGAGGCGAACAACACCGTCAGTCGACGACGAGTGGTCCGTTGATGGATGATGAGATCTTATCTTATCAGTCTCGCAGGCCGTTTGCCACGATGACCGATGAGCTGTGAATCTGATGTGACGCTGCGTGTCCTCAAGGAGTCGGACGCTCTCTCCGTCAACCTCCAACATCCACCTGGCCAAGGGGCATAAGACTCTTTCTGCCTTTCACCAACACCCTGCAGGTACGTTCATATCACTAGACCTAGTGTCTATAACCCTTTAACTGATTCGAAATCTTAGTAGGACTCCTCTGAGACGTGTTCCAGACCAGCCAGACAGTCAGCCGTTGTTCTGAATCTCTGAGGCTTCGTCATAAGCCATTGCTAGGTTTGTCCAGCCTCGGTACGCGTCTCGTTGGGCGAGAGCTTCAATTGGGGCTTATAAGAATTTGCTTTCAGACTGGTATATTCATCATCGACATATAGAACTCACCGGCGGCAAGCCGACTCCCAAACCAAACCAAAATGTCACTGCTATTAACAGTGTTCCTCATCGTCTTCGTGACACAGCTCATCTCGTGGATTGGGCAGAACGTCTTACTAGAATGGGTGCGTCTTGCCTTTCCTCTCACTACTCCAACTTCCACTCCCTTTCTTATTCACTTCCTGACTTAACACTCAACTAACATGCCAATCCACCTCAACAAACACGCATACAGGCCTACAACCTCTACCTCCGCCTAAGCCGCAACTCTCTAGCCGCCCGCCAACGCTCCCTCAAAACCGAAATCCTCAACAACAAAACCGAACTACTCAAAACGAGCGCCCAAGACCAGTTTGCAAAGTGGGCCAAGTTGAGGAGGAGTGTGGATAAGGGGTTGGCGGAGTTGGAGAAGTTGAGTGAGTGATGTGTTTTTACCCTCGTTATTGGTGGTGGTGTTTTGTCAGAGGGGAAGAGTGGTAGGGGATGGTGGTTGTTTAGGCTGGGGCGCCGACCCGGAGTAGTTGAGCATGGCGGGGATTGCCATGTGTTGGCATTTGTGGCTCGTGGATGCTGCGGGTGTGGAGTTGACAGCGCCAGCTCTGGACTCGCTGGCTCTCAAAACGCGATTCCACGATGCGGCCTTCATACCAGAGGCCTTCATCATCCAGCCTCTATTGATTTCTCCTTTTCATCTCCCCTCTCTCCATCCCATGTTTCATGAAACTAATCTCTCCATCCAGACTCTGAAATCGCAACTGCAAAATCAAGCTTCTCCACCAAATTCAACGCTGTAATCTGGGCGCTCACGTCAGGCGTGAACTTGGTCATCGGATGGTGGTACGGACGTAAAGCCGTGTTCTACCTGCCAGAAGGGTGGATGGGTCCTCTGACGTGGTGGTTCTCCTTCCCATTTGCCCCGCGAGGTATGTACCTACCCTTTTTCCCATTCTCCCTTTATCCACCGTGCCGTTGGCGTCTAACAAACGCGATTTTCTTTTCGTTTTGAATTGTAGGATCTGTAAGCGTCGGCGTCTGGTCGTTCGCATGCAAGCGCGTTTTGCTCGTCCTCGAGAGGATGGTGAAAGAGTTGTTCTTTGCGGAGACACAAGCGAAGGAAGTCCCCGTTGGGTTTTCGCCGAGTTCGTCGTCATCGTCGACTCCGAATCCGATGTCCAAGGCCTCGTCGGGCTCTCCTTCGCCAAGACGGAGGACCACTGTGACTGTTGAGTCCGAGGATGAGAAGTCATGATACATACTCTACTACAATACTCACCGTACGGATGTGTGTTGGGATTGGTACGGAGGTATCCAGTCGACGGTCGTGATGCTTGGATGTATGGATGATAGACTAAGACCCTATAGGCTATGGCGATTCATGGATTCTCGAGTCTCTTGACACTGTTCGCCATTTTTTGACATTACTTATGTTATTGTAGATTATATGTAGCCTCCCGCTGGAAGATTGTGCATGGCTTCTGTGTGTACTGTGTAATGTCGACGAATCTAAATCTAACTTTCTGGCATCCAGCCTCCAGGTTGCTCAACACCAGTCTTCCTTGCTCCTATCTACAGTGGACAATGTGAGACATGGATTGGGACGGTGTACGAGTATGGACGGAATTCAGGTGAATGTGACGTCTCGTTTACTGTCACCTTTACTGTCATGGTGGGTCCGGAAGACTGCGAGTGGTCCCCTGGAGTTACACATGTACATATGTCGGTGATTCACCTGTGGTCCCGGTGGCTACTGTTGGCGTCGCGGAGGCAGTACCAGTCTGCGTCTACGGCGGGTCGGTACCTTTGGAAGGAAGCCTGTGGACACTCATCCGTGCAGCTGATTCGCTGGTAGTGGTGGAGGACCGCCAAGGCGTCCGATGCCATCCGCTCGGACGGACGGCGTCACTGGAGACTGAGACTGGATGGAGACTGGAGCGGCGATGGGATGGGATTGGGGCTCTCCAGTATGTATGTACATGGACATGGGTCCTTCGTGGATGGGTTCCATGGATTCCCCGAGACACGTTCCATTACACTGGCGGACGTCGTTCCGCCGTTCCAGGAAGTGAGAGACCTTGCCCCCCGTCGGCGCATTACCCCGCACTCTATGAGTCTATGGGATCGGTCCGGGTAGTTTGTCTCCGGCAACCTCTCAAGTCTCCTCGTCGTCGCTCGATGAATAATTCTCTTCGTCGGCTTTCGGGAGTCCCACGTCCCTCCCTCGTACATTATTCACAAACGTCGTGAAAGATGACCCATGTTCCTCCCAGCAAGCCGGTGTGCGGTTCTACCGCCTATCCTCTAATAGAAACATTGTCCCCGGGCCCCGCTGCTGCATTTCTGAGAATCTTACGTCTTATGGTAAGTCGAGGTTGTATTCAGCGAGATCCGCGAATGCAATTGTCAGCATATTCGAATTCAAGAGTGTTCATGCATAAGAAGTCTGAATTCTGAAATTCCAATCGCTGCTAGGAGGGGAGGAGGGGAAACTGTCATGTGATTCCCGAGTGACTCCGGGGAGAGGGGAACAAGTGACGTCGATCCGTGCCATTTTCGGAGACGGATGCGCGGGGAGCCGCCCCTGGACGGTGTTCCAATGAACCAACTCCTCCTCGACCCAAAGAAAATGCATTTCCCTTATTTAATAATCCCCGAGCCACTCCAACTTGTCTCTCATCCACCACCACCACAACCCCCATCCACACCAACTTATCCCTCCCCATCGACAACGACGACGACGATTAGAACACGATGACCACCGTTAACGTCCCCGGCATCCAGGTCCTCTCCAACCAGGCGCCCAAGGCCCAAGCCGAGCTCTTCACCGACGGAGCCCTCAAGTTCCTCGCCGCCCTCCACCGCACCTTCGAGTCGACAAGGCAGTCGCTGCTGACTGCCCGCGAGGAGGCCCAGAGGCGCTACGACGCCGGCGCCGTCCTCGACTTCCCACCTGAGACACAGGCCGTCCGGGACGACCCCAGCTGGCAATGCGCCCCACCCGCTCCTGGTCTTGAGGACCGCCGTGTCGAGATTACCGGCCCCACTGATAGGAAGATGGTCATTAATGCGCTGAATAGTGGTGCGCAGACGTTCATGGCTGATTTTGAGGGTACGTTGAGTTTGTTATCGTTGGGAGGGGTGTTTCAGATAGCTGATCGTTGTGTTATGTGGTGTGGTGTAGATTCGTCCTCGCCTACGTTTGCGAACATGCTTAATGGCCAGATCAACTTGCGCGATGCTATCCGTCGCCAGATTGATTTCGAGACCAATGGCAAGAAGTACAAGCTCTCTGAGAACCCTGCTACCCTCATCGTCCGGTACGTTGACCTCACCTTCCTTCTTTCTTCATCACGCTCATCTAATCTTCTCTAGTCCCCGAGGATGGCACCTCGACGAACCCCGCGTCCTCATCGACAACCAGCCCGTCTCCGCCTCCATCTTCGACTTTGCCCTCTTCTTCTACCACAACGCCAAGGAGCAAGTCAAGCGCGGCAAAGGCCCCTACTTCTACCTCCCGAAGATGGAGCACTACCTCGAGGCCCGCCTCTGGAACGACATCTTCGTCTTCTCGCAGCACTATATCGGTCTGCCCCAGGGCACGATCCGCGGAACCGTCTTGATTGAGACTATCCCCGCTGCCTTCCACATGGAGGAGATCCTCTTTGAGTTGAGGGAACATTCGAGTGGATTGAACTGTGGACGGTGAGTTGCTATTTTTTGTGGTGGTGTTGTATGAGCTTTGGGGCTGATGATAGTGGGTTTGTAGATGGGATTATATCTTCAGCTTCATTAAGAAGCGACGGGCTGACCGCTCTGCTGTCCTCCCTGATCGCAAGGACGTCACTATGACCGTTCCTTTCATGGACGCCTACGTCCGTCTCCTCATCAACACTTGCCACAGGTAAGCCCCGTCCTCTTTCAACATATATCATCCTCTAACACTCTCTCCAGGCGCAAGGTCGCAGCCATGGGTGGCATGTCCGCTCAGATCCCCATCAAGGACGACCCCAAGGCCAACGAAATCGCCATGGCCAAGGTCCGCGCCGACAAGCTCCGCGAGGTCACCGCCGGGCACGACGGCACCTGGATCGCGCACCCGCTCATCGAGCCCATCGCGCGCGGCATCTTCGACCAGCACATGCTCGGGCCCAACCAGTACCACAACCGCCGGCTCGACGTTAAGGTCACCGCCGCGGACCTCCTGAACACCACCGTCCCCGGCAAGATCACGCTCGACGGCGTGCGCGAGAACGTGTCGACGTGCCTTGCGTATACGGCTGCGTGGGTCGGTGGGAACGGCTGTATCCCGTACAACTACCTCATGGAGGACGCTGCCACCGCTGAGATCACGCGTATCCAGCTGTGGCAGTGGGTCAAGTACGGTATGCGGGTGGACGATACCGGTGAGCTTATCACTGTCGAGTATGTGGATAAGCTTGTGGAGGAGTTGGCGCCTACGATTAAGAAGATTGTGGCGGGTGTGAAGGATGAGAATGTGCATATTGCGAAGGAGTATTTGAGGAGTCAGATTAGGAGGCAGTGGCCTTCCGAGTTTTTGACGAGTGATTTGATGCCGTTCCTTGCTGTTCGGGATGGTGTTCCGCCCAAGTTCCAGAAGGCGGCTTTGTAAATTGTAGTACGTTTTTCGTGTAATTCTCTTTTTTGTAATTTGTAGTGTTTCTTCGTTTCGTTTTCTGCATGCCATTCATCATTCTAGTACATAGGCCCAATATTTATCATCATCGTTTGCGACGACTCGAAGAGTGTGTGATATGCCCCAAGATCGAGTGATTTCCGGGAGAGGGATGGCAACTGTCTAGAAGCAACTCTCTATCAGAAGCAATTGGTTTATTTTTGTGGTAGCTTACGCAACTACTACTTGCATTGGCAATACAACTACTAACAAAAGGTTACAGTTAGCGCCCAGTCCCTAGTAGTAGTAATCAATCACTGTCCTGACCATTCAACCCCTCGTCTTACTTTCTTCCGGGTCACACTTGTGAATAACTATAGACTGGTATCCATGGCACATGCCCTCTGAGACACAGAATGGCAATATGGGGGAGCCCCGGTACAGCGGTACTTGAAGCTTGAAGCCTAAGATCCTCATCGATCACGTTCGCGATCGGGTTGAACTTTGAAGTGTATCGAGGGTTAACTGGTTTGTGGACCAGTTGAGGGAGGTAGGTGGTGGCGACGATCGCGAGTCATGGTGGTGCGGGGAGCCGGAGTAGTGAGGAGGGTGCAGAGGGTGTTGAAGGAGGAGGTTGAGTCTGGTGGTCAGCCTGAGGGAGGGGAGTGTGAAGGATGTGGTTACTAGGATGATTTGTTTGGGGGATGCCACATGTCACGAGTCAAGAGTCAGTCGGGGCCCAGTGGGAGTGGGAGTCGGTCGTAGAGGTGTTGTGGTTCAGACTCGAGTCCACGATGTCAATGATCGCGAGAATGGTTTCAGGACTATAGTAAGTATTACTACTAAACACTGTCAGATTCCGACTACTCTGCGACGACTCGGAGTAGCCCCTGAACAGGGGCCCTTTTCAGCTGGGCGTGGATGCAGCTGGCTCGTGGGCTCTGCGCTACTTATTACGAAGATGGTTGGTTCTTCGCATCCTTACGATGGAGTTTCCATTCACTTTCCTGGCGCTGAGACGTCGTCGTTATGGGTTATGGGGAGGAAAGGTGGTGACATGGTGGTGCGCCCCCCTGTTTTCGTCGATGCCAGGAATGCTTGGCATCCGCCGGTCAATCCTCGACGGTGATCGTTTCTCCTTCTTCTACCGCCCTTCTAAGCTAAGCAAGGCAGGGCTGTAAGTTGCAGGACGCGGAGTTGGAGCAACTCGTTCAACCTCCACGCCTGGTATGTTTGCCTTGGCATCCGCACAGGACTATCCATAGGAGCTTCGCTGCGAATAGACTGGTTTTAATATCTGCAACTGTTGGAGAAACGGGTTGGTTGGGGGCCAATGACTCGGAGTTTTGGGGGTTTCACCGCGCAAAACTGCAACTAATTGACTGAAGCAACGACAGAAAATAACACCTTTTTTGCTCTTGGAAAAGTGCATTTGAGCAGAACTCGATAGTGTACAAACACTTCAGCGGGAGTGCGCCGCCTACTAGCCCCGTAAAATCAATCATCCATTCAACCCGCTCGCCGTTGCTTTCTTCCAGGTTACGCTGTTAATAGTTATGACTATAGATTGGTATTCATCCCTCTGCGACATGGAAGGGCGAAATGGGCTCAGGGAGCCCCGGTACTTGAAGCCAAGCATATATTATTACCATTCAAGGCGAAGGGAAGAATTCAGAGCAAGACGCCGATCAAAGTCGATTACCCAGAATGACGACGGGCAACCTAAATTTGGACGCCAAAGTCGATGCCAAGACAGGAGACCAGAGACGAAATGCACCGGCAAAACTACACTTTAAAGAATGAGTTCGGATACAGAAACTATGGACGGGCCTTTCTGGGTCTCTATCAAGCACTGAGGGAGCCTGTTCTAGGGCACGAATCTGTGGTTCAGACCTCTGCGGAGGTCGAGATGCTAATTTGTTCGCAAAGTGACGGGGCGCACGCATATTCGCTTTTTTGGCAGAAATGAGGCCTGAGGCGGGGGAAGAAAGCGCAGTCTATTCTCGGAGTATGCGTTCTACCATTCAAACAGCTTCATTCTCTCAGTCTTTGCGGAGACTTTGCAGCCTCGAAAGGTATATAAGCCTAGGCAGACACACCTCTAGTTTCCTCACTCGGGATTTCATCTCTGGGTACTCAACCGAACCTTCCCCCCTCACACCTCACAACCAGCACAACATGCACTTCAAAACTATCCTTGCTCTTACCGCTCTCGCTCTCACTGCCGGCGTTCATGGCACTGCTACCCCCGTCGCCCATTCCGACGACAAGGGCGTTAAACACCACGACCATTCCAAGTTCGACTACGGAAAGGACGGCTATGGCAAAGACGGCTACGGCAAGGATGGCTATGGCAAGGACGGTTATGGCAAGGATGGCTATGGAAAGGACGGCAAGGACGGCTATGGCAAAGACGGCTATGGCAAGGATGGCTATGGAAAGGACGGCAAGGACGGCTATGGCAAAGATGGCCATGGGAAGGATGGTTATGGCAAGGACGGTTATGGGAAGGATGGTTATGGCAAGGACGGTTATGGGAAGGATGGCTATGGCAAGGACGGTCATGGGAAGGACGGCTATGGCATCTACGGCTATGGCAAGGACGGCTATGGCACCTACGGCTATGGCAAGGATGGCTATGGCAAAGATCGTTACGGCATCTACGGTTATGGCAAGGACGGCTATGGCAAGGACGGCTACGGCACCTACGGCTATGGCAAGTCGTTCGACTACTACCGCAACTACGACAAGCACGGCTATGGTCGGTTCGACTATGGCAAGTACGAAAGTCGCGACTTCGACAAGTACGACCATGGCAAGTCCGGGCATCGTAACTACGGCAAGTTCGACTACGGAAGGTACGACTACGGCAGGTACGACTACGGCAAGTACGGCCACGGCAAGTACGGCCACGGCAAGTACGGCCACGGCAAATACGACAGGTACGACCACGGCAAGTACGACAGGTACGACAGGTACGACCATGGAAAGTACGACAGGTATGACCATGGCAAGTATGGCAAGTCGGAGTACCGCAAGCACGGCTACTAGGCGCTCGAGCCTCACAGTGTCTGCCTCGCATTCCTTCCACTCCCTCCTTCCAGTACTCCGCAACACCATCCCCTCATGCGATGGCTCCTACACGTTCATTACGATATTATTTGCTTCCAATTTCTTCGCTTTCGTTCTTCTACCCCTTTTTACTTCAGACCACATCGCCTCACTCCGTTCGTCCCCTACTTTGAAATCCCCTTTGGACATTCAATCGCTCTTTCGTATTGGTGAACCCTTTCGGACTATCTATTTTTGGGCCCTGAACTTTTGTAACATCGTGCTTACCCCCCTGTACATGTTGACTACATCCCCTTACTGTAGTTACAGTAGTGCGCGTCATGTAGCAAGGTCGTAATCTAACCCTGGTGGTAGACCTACAGAACGAACTTGGCTTCGTTTCCTATCTGCGCATTATCATCCACGTGTGTATTTGAGTCATTCCTTCGCGGGTCATTGCATCCGAGTCAGCCCTTCAATCGACATCGAGACATCTACGACGACTCGTCGACGAGGGGAGTGGCGCCGTGGTACTTCGGTACACTATCACAGTCGCGACCCGGGTCGTTTCATTGCGCTCCATAAGTGTATTGAGATACCCGATAACTCACACTCGGTACAAAACATGGCCCGTGACTGTAGGCTACTTTTCGTCCCAGTGTACCAAGTCTCCGAGGTGAGGATCGTCCCATAGCGGCCTCTCGGATACTTGGACGGTTAGGTGCAGGCCTTCCTTCACCTCTCGCCGAAGGGAATGTCGCACAGCCTCGAGCATCGGCTCGTGTGTTCGTGGAAGGAACAGCGATACACGCTCTATCTGTGCAATTTCCTCTACCGGTCTCCATCGGTCTTTGACCATCTCGGAAAACCCATCCGCAGTGAGGCTGAGGAACCTCGAAGACTCGGGGCGGGACGTCGTCGTCCCAGCCAAAGTATCATCCTCGAGGTCCTTGTACCGTGCATCGACGCAATCGAGTGTCAGTTCTTTGAGTTTTGGGAGGAGCGCATGGCCGTTCCAGTCGATTTGGAAGTGCTCGAAAACGGCGTTGTAGTCGGTCGAGACTCCCATCGTCAGGGAGAGTAAATTCGGAGTCGCGAGGAAGAGTTGGACGATCTCGGATACCTCCATCTCCCATGTGAGGTGGTACAACGAGAGAGTGGTGAGGTTGAAGATCTGGGCGCGGATCCTAGACCAGTCGAATGCTTTGGGTGTCTGTGGTTGGTTGTACGCGCCGAGACGGAGGCTAGTAAGAGAGGGGAAGTTGTATGCCTCGAAAACGAAAGGTTCGCTGGTGAAGTGTTTGTGGATCAGAGTTAGGTCGATCAGAATGGGGTGGGGGAGGAGGGGGAGAAGATGGGTCCCCGTATCGTCGGTTTCGCCGCTATCGACGATGAAGAACGTTCCGCGTACGAGGGAGGTACATGATTTGAATATCTGGGACCAAGTTTCGTATGTGATCCAGGGTACGATGGAGAGTGCGTGAGTTGCTTCCACGGGAGAGGCAGTCCTTGACGGTCGGCGTCGGTGTCGAAATCGAAGAGTGCAGGTGCCCAAAGGTCCGCATGTTCTATCGCTACTCGGCGGAGTTGGGGGAGGTTGGAGAGGACGCACTGGTTGGAAGGGAAGAGAATCGTGAACGTCGAATCTGCGCTCGCTGAAGCTGACTCGCGGAGGACGAGCGACTTAGACGTTTCGTAGTCAATGCATGCTGAACTTGCACCGCCCAAACAAGCGCCCAAACGGCACCAATTCACTGCAGCACCACAGATCTGAACGGCCCCTTTTGTTCTTGACGGAGTGCATTCGGTGATGATCGATGATGACCTTACTTTACAAGCTTAAATGAATTTAAAAATAATTGGGGGAGGGTATTGGAAGCATCGATTAACAGTGAAGTTCAAGAAAATAAAGCTAGTAGTGAGGAAGGCAAAAAATAAAAAACTCTCCGTCTGGGAGTCGAACCCAGCTTTCGCGCGTGACAGGCGCGTGTACTAACCGATATACTAACGGAGAACTTGAAAGGCGTTCAGATTTGCGGTATACGTCATTGAGCTGTGAATGAAGCGGAGCTTCCAACGTCGTCTTGATGGAAAACAGCTGAGGCCGGAATCTGGATTCAGGCTTCATCATATTGCAGGTTTTCTGGCTCTCGTCTGCAGGTTGTTGTCGCAACTGGACTCTGTATTTGTGCCTGCTGGTTGAGATATACCTATTGGCAGACGCTCCAGCTTCTGGAGACACGCTTATGGACAGACGCTCCGCTCAAAGTCGAGAAGAACTCCGACTCTGGGTGCAGTCTACTTCTGGCGTTGACGCTCTCTTGATCCACGACCACGACTATGCAGCAGCTGGAACCCAACCTCGAGTCATTTCTGGACCACAACCACCCACCTGGCGATGACGACGTCCGCTCTCTGCTGAAAGAACTCTCGTCTGTGGAAGATGAACTCAGATCCGTCGAATTGCGACTGGAAGAGCTTCGGGCACGACAAGCCCATCTTCGAAGCGCGATATCGCCTCTACGGAGGTTTCCGTCCGAGTTATTGGCAGAGCTTTTCAGAGCTTGTTTGCCTCCCATTCTGGATGAAGGCGGTCGTGAACGGTTCCTCGTTCTAAGATCCGTCTGTCGGGCGTGGAGGGAAGCTGCGTTCTCTACACCTGAGCTATGGGCGGGGATCAAACTACGCGTATATATTCCCAACGCAAGGTATTGGGGGAAGGGCGATACTAGTATAGTACCCTGGAGGGAGTTACGCTCGTGGTTTGGCCGAGCTGGATCCACACCTCTCTGGCTCCTAGTTCATTTCGAGATAGACGAGAAAATCTTGACTGGAGGTGGAGGACGGCGCCATAGTAATCCCGACGTGCTGGAGGATGTGGGACGAATCTTTCAACTCCTAGAGGAGGATCGGGGTTGGAAGGGGATTTCCATCACGTATGGCCGAATATGCCCTGCACCCTTCCGAAACCTCTTCCTGGACATGATGGAGACGATTTCACTTGCGCCAGTGGGTACTACTACTAGCCTCTCGCCCTGGAGGAACCTCAGATCTCTCCACATCCCTCTGACTCACCGTGGTCCACAACGACCTGAAGTCATATTGTGGGCTAACAACCTCGAATCGCTTTCTCCCCATCTATCCGACCTCACGTTGACGATGACCAGCAGATTGGTAGGCGGGGTCGTTATTTCCCATGCGTCAATCACGTCTTTGACGCTCAACCTCTTCCACATCTATACACAGCAGGCTCTTCATATCGTAGGAGGTGACCTCCCCAATCTCAAGAAGCTGAAGATTGACGAGACAGATCCGGCCATGACACGCTACTGGCAGACGGAGGCTGACCTCGAGCGAGAACGGTTCGTTCACGATGGGGTGGAGGAACTTGTTATCTCGTCCACGATGCACCCGTTGGAACCCTTGGGCTTTCTTACACTCCCTTCCCTCCGATCTTTGGCGTGTCACAGGAAAGGCCGCGAGCGCAGCAGCAGGGGCAACAGCGTCCCGCCCGACCCAGTCACCCCCATCGTGTCATTCCTGGCGCGATCGGGGGACTCGCTTCGGACACTGGATCTTGCTTATGCAGGGTTACGACTTGAGCCTCAGGACGAGGTGCAGATGTGGCTTGCGATCTCGCGGTGCAGGTCACTTCGATACCTGTCTGTCGAGTGCGACAAATTCCACGTCCTTCTCCCCTCGCCTGATCCACATTCTGCTCTCTCGATCCCTTTCCCAGCTATACGCCGGATCGCTCTCTACGAACATTCTGCCACGATTGATCTCAGGGCTATCGCACGATATTTTGCTTATCGCCAGAGTCGCATTGACTCTTCCCCCAGTGCAGCTGTCAATGGCTCAAACGAGAGCGTGGCTGGAGGCGAACCGGCCGAGTTGCAAATGGGGTGCAGGAGGGCAGAAATTGTGATCACCTTTATTGGACTTTCCTGTCGCGAGGGTAAGCCGAGCAGGGCCCAGGAGTTGCAGTGGGACTTGGAGAGTGATGTAGAGTACGCGAATGCTCTTCGAGAATTGACTGACCTCGGTGTTCGGATAGTTGTAGAAGACGATGGTTGAAACGAGTATGCTAGGCTCACATTTCTGGATAGCTAGTAGCTAAACACGAACGACATGTACCGTTCCCAGACCAATGATATCTCGCAGGGGCGCTTCCATGCCATACATAAATAAAAGTGGAGCGTTGGGACACCCTCTGATTTCTGAGATACCACGTCAGGAATACTCAAAGTTTCAGCTGTGCAGGCTACCTAAAAGAGCTGTGAAATCATCCTTTAGGAGTTCTCCGAGTCCTATCCACCGTTTGGTGTTTGCTCAGTGACTGCGCACCATTTCGCCCAAAAAGGGGCAGCAAGATGATCAATATCCCGACGTCTCTCCGAAGGGTCGGAAAGAAGGAAGAAGCCACTGGTGCGCCTCCCGATGCAATCCCAGGCGCATTTCGGCTCGCCCCGCCCTCCCTCCAGCACCAGGCCGGACGGACGGTTACCATTTCGGGTAACCAACGCTCCCGATTGGGCATGCGCAAGGCCAGCGGCACCAATTGTTCGAGAAGGTTCGACACCACAGGTCCAATGTAACTTCCTGAAACAAAATGGGAAGGAAAGTGGACTTCAGAAACAATCTAGAGAAGTCTGGAGTATCGGAGAGATAGATTAGTAGTAGTTGACCCCACAAGAACGACGCGCCTTTGTTCCAGAAAATTCGAAACGTGAGTCATCGCCGTTCAGCATTCGTTGGACAATGTTCTTTGAACTGTCTCGAACGTTCTCAAAGGTGGAGCACCTCAGCGGCCAAAACATATATAAGAGACGCAGTCGAAGGCAGATGCAAAGCAAGTTTCAAGTCGAGCACGTCCTATCTAGTTACCTCTGCCTTTCACAACTCGCCTAGTAGTTCTCTTCTCGCAAAGTCGCCCAATTCAATCAACCTATCGCAAACACGATGTCAAACGTTTTCTTCTACGAGCCTTTCTACGACTTTGACCGCTTCTTTGACGAAGCCTTCAACTTCCGCAACTTCCGTTCGGGCGAGACGGGGACTCAACTCCAGCGCCGCCAGTCTGCGACGAACGGGGATGGAGCCATCCGCTATTTCAAGCCAAGGTAAGCAATGTCGCATTCATATGTGCTTCTTCGGACGGAGATCTGACACAGTAACCGTTGTTTAGGATGGACTTACATGAAGACAAAGAGAAGAACCTCGTAACTGCGACCTTCGAGCTACCCGGTCTCAAGAAGGAGGATATCTCGATCGACGTCCAGAATGGCCGCTTGACCGTGTCCGCCGAGAGCAAGTCGTCCTCCGAGCACAACGAGAACGGGTACGCAGTCCGTGAGCGAAGATTTGGCAAGTTCTCGAGGACTTTGCAGTTGCCTGAAGGTCTGAAGGTGAGTACATACAAGTGCCAGTTCAAGCTCGCTTTCTCCGGTCCTTTTCGAACAGATTACTGACACGGTTTGCTCGCAATTCTAGGATGACACCATCAAGGCATCGATGCAAGATGGAGTATTGACTGTTACTTTCCCTAAAACGAGCCCTGAGCTCGCGCCCAAGAAGATCGCCATCAACTAAGCGATCGATGACTCTGGTTGTTGGTGTTGAATGACTTTGACGAAACATTACGACCTCATTGCTAGCATTCTCATGGACTTTCACTCATTTGTAACACCAGCAACTCTACTGCACTGCATTTTGCTACTTAATGTTGGTAGTAGGAGAGTAATTGATAGTATCGTTTGTTCCTTCTATGGCTGCATTCGTTTGGCTGAGGCCCGTCACCGAGTACTAATCTACCACGAGCATACTTTTGATGAAATCCTTTATTCCCGATCTACAAAGCACTTGTAAAGCACCAGTTGAAAGCGAATAGTAGGTAGAGGACCGGCTTGTCCTGATTCGCGCCCGACGTTGCGAACCATCCGGCTTTCCTAATATAATAGTCACACAGCGCAGGATTATCGACATGGAGATGGGCTGGTCTTTCGAACAGAACCAGTCACTGAGATCTTGATCACGGGTTGCAAGGTTCCTAAAAAGTCTGTTAAAGCATCCTTCGCAGTGGGTGTACCCAGGGAAATGGGGGCGGCTGTGCGTCGAAGTTCTGATGAGAGAGATGAGCGTCTGTGGGGGCAGTTGGGGCGAGGCTCGCGGGTAGAGCTGTTCTTCATAGTTCCAGCTGAGATTGAGGCTCCCGGAGAATCTGTTTAGGCGCCCGCTAGATGTGCTGAGGTGACCAGAGTACCGCAAGGCACGGACCGCTCTGGCAAGTGTTCAGCTTTCTTTTCCCAGTATAAGGTCCAAGTATCGCTGTCACTTCCGATTAGGCTGTTGATCTGAGATATACTCGACACCATCTCTCCCACCTTTGTACTACGAGCTACAGTAGCTAAGCAGACGTCCGATGGTATGACAGACGATGTTCCAGTGACCTTACAGCGCACCCACAAACCGACAAACACACGGAATTGGGACGGTAAGGTCTTGGGGAAATCTGGAATCAGATTATCGTTCACGCGTTGAAAGATACCTCCGTACTCTTTATGGGCAGCTAACTACAGCCGCCCGGGTCAAAGGAGGGAAGGAAGACAAGGAGATGGCAGAGTGACAAGGGCGTGGGAACCGGCAATCAATGTGGACACCGGCGGTCTGGAAACTGTAAATGGAATTCGCCCTTTCTTGACTTCACCACCCACCATCGTCGTTGTCGCTGTCGCCGCCGTCGTCCACCACAACGTCCCCACCTTGCGCTCGCTTTTCACGAAATGTCTCGTCGAAGGGGGTCGACGATGACAGAAGTGAGCCTTAGGCTCAGCGAGGATGCAGTTGACCACAACGGTGTCGCCAGAATGACGCATATAGCACCGGGGCCAGCCAACGACGACTCTACCATTGCGCCCTGGCTAGACATTCCAGTGAGTATGGCTGCCATGCAGAATTTATGAAACGATTCCATGGACAGGAAACTGGAAATTTGGGCCTCGGTCGTCTTTGATGTTCGTGACTGACCACCCGTTGTAGCCAACGCCGCCGCCAAAATCACCGCTTCGATCGTTCAACTTTCCAAAGGTTTCGGTGTCATCTATCGCAACGACGCGAAACGGAAGCTACAGTAATGGCTCAAGATATCCCCGGCACTCAGAGTCACAAAGCACACTCAGCATACCGCCCGACAACAGGAGATCGGTTGAAGGCGACGGCGATTCCTCGCGACACAACTTTTATAGCGGCTCGTCATCCCACTCTAATGAGATCCGCAAGTCAAAGTCATCGATTGGGCTGAATGTCCTTTCCAAACTGCGGGGCAGGCCGAGCAAGGCCAATCTCGCCCTATCTGACTCGAAGTCTACCGACGCTTCACAACATCCATCGCTACAGCCGCCAGAACCACCTCTGCCCTCCTCGTCTTTCATGAATCTTGCCTCAGCAAACAGTTCGTTTCTCTCACTGGGGAAATCCGCGAAAGGCAAGGAGAAGAGGAAACAGTCGCGGCACCCACCCACACCGCCAGAGAAGGACGAACTGGAACACCAGCATCTCATGGACCTCGATATCCGCGACATGTCCGGAATCATTGACCCAAGGGCACACTCTGCTCAAAGACATGAGCCGAGTTCACCCTCACTGAGCAGCGGTCGCTCGGATTACGGGGTGTTCTTGCGACATCAGCCAGCAGGATCCGACTATAGACAGCTTCAGCCCTCCGACTTCAGTAACCCTTTTGTAAAGTCATCCTCGCACTCTGGACGTCGAGCAAACGATAGAAGGATATCGCCAACGACCGTCATCTCGCCGAACGGGACTCTGTACCGACACCATGCGACCAATTCAATAATTTCGACAGGGGCGGAAGGTAGTCCGACATGGGTTCCTCCAGAAAGTTGGGCAGTGGAGAATTATGATGAAGACGCTATGGAAGCCGCCGCCTATTCCAGTTCTGACGAGAGCGTACACGGTAGCCACAGTGTCGACAGACCCACGCCACTTACGGAACGGCCGACCCTTCCGCCCCCAGTCGCAGACCCATCGACGCCCAAAGCGATGAGACGGAAGCGGCCAAGATCATCTCATTCCGACAAACTGATTTACAGGATGAAGATCTTCCACTCAAACGGCAGTTGGCGTCACGTCGCCATTTCACTCGATTGTACCGTGGCGCAACTCAACAAAGAACTGTTTGCGAAGGCAAAGTGGGACAGCGACAGAAAGGACCGGTTGTATCTGTCAGAAGGAGGGCGAGGTGAGCCTCCTTGTCCTTGGACCGAATATCTGTTGACACCATCCTAGAACGGTTACTTGGCCCAACTGAACGTCCCGCAAAAATCGTGAAGCGAAGACTAACCCTTGCCGGCTACCTCCCAATCGATGGTTTGGATACATTGGGACTCGAAGACCTACCCTTCTTGTTCAGATTTTCTTATAAAAGCCAGCTCTTAGGTCCTCCGGTAAGTACGACCCCACCGGTGACGCTTCGACCTGCTGAGATTTTAACAGGAGGAAGACCTTAACTTCGAATCCTTTGATTTCATTGACCTCACTGGTCGAAGTTTGCGAACCATTCCTGTATTGCTGCACCAAAACGCCGATTCTATTGTCTCCCTCAAGTTGTCACGCAATCCCATGCTCGAAATCCCGCTCGACTTCATTCAATCGTGCTCTCTTCTTCGCGACCTGCGGCTTTCTAATATGGCAATGAAGAAGGTTCCTCAGAGTGTCCAATATTCTTCCACCCTTCATCGACTCGATTTATCCTCAAACCGCATTGCGGACCTTACCGACGCATACCTCGATCACATACCCAACCTCCTGGAACTCAATGTCATGAACAACAAGCTCGAAAAGCTCCCATGGCATTTTGGGCGCCTGCGATGCTTGGTGACTCTCAATATCTCCAACAATAGGTTCACGGAGTTTCCCAAGGAGGTGTTTCAAATGAAGAACCTTCGCACCTTGGACGTCTCATTCAACACGATCAAGGTCATCCCTGAAGAGCTCGGGCAACTGGCGGAGCTTGAACACTTCCTTCTTGTTGGAAATCAGATTTCCAAATTCCCCGACCAAGCCAGAGAGCTCCACAATCTCTCGATGTTGGATTGCAGGCGGAACTCGGTTTCTGACCTGACTATTGTCTTGATGTTGCCCAAAATCCAACAGGTTTACGCCGACCACAATGCCATATCCTCCCTCGACCTTTCCATCGGGCCCAACATGAAAGGTTTGGATGTTTCGCACAACGACATCACCCAGCTCTCCCTCATTCCCGGACCGGTCGGCCGTTCTCCATATTCGCTCACTTCCCTCGACCTCTCATATACCAAGCTGTCATCCCTAGACGACCTCGCACTCGGCACCCTTACCTCCCTCAAAACCTTGAAGCTCGACCACAATACTATTCGTTCCATTCCCGACACCCTCGGGGAACTGAGCTGGCTCGAAACCCTCACTGTTTCCGATAATCGGTTGGACAGTCTCCCAGATTCGATTGGGCGTCTTCAAAAGCTGGAGACCCTCGACGCTCATAACAACAGCTTAAGCGAGCTTCCCCAATCGTTATGGAACTGCGCGAGCTTGACAAGGATCAACGTTACTTCGAATTTCCTCGGTTCATGGCACGATCCACCGGTTTCGAGCGACGTCGGTATCGACGATGCTTCCAGCCTGTATTTGGCGAGAAAGGGTTCAACCGCTTCCACCACCTCGACCAGTGGACTTCCACCACTCGTTCATTCGTTGGAGAGGCTGTACCTTGGAGAAAACCGATTGACAGAAGAATCGATACACCCGCTAATGATTTTCAAGGAACTTCGCGTCCTCAACCTTTCCTTCAACGAACTCCAGGAGCTACCCCCAATATTCTTCCGTAACATGACGCAACTAGAAGAGCTGTATCTCAGCGGGAACAAACTGACAAGCATACCGACTGAAGACCTGCACAGAATGACTCGCCTTTCGACACTGTTCCTGAACGGAAATCGTTTGCAGACTCTCCCTCAGGAGCTCGGGAAGCTCAAAGACCTCAGTATCTTGGACGTCGGCAGCAACATGTTGAAATACAATATCAACAACTGGGAGTTCGATTGGAACTGGTGGGTTATGACCGGGTAATGCTTGGACGTAGCGTGCTAACTGTCTTGCAGGAACTTCAACAAGAAGCTCAAGTATCTCAACCTGTCGGGGAACAACCGCCTCCAAATCAAATCCGAGTCGAGCCGAAATTCAGCCAGCCACAACCGCACCAGCCGACTGGATTTTGCTTCTCTCGGACGTCAGACGCTTGCGGGATTCAAAGAACTCGCCTCGCTTCGTGTTCTGGGTTTGATGGATGTCACTATTGCGACCACTGGCACGGACGCCTCGGTTGACATTCCAGATGAAACGGATATACGTCGCGTGCGAACATCACCGTCGACGGTGAATGGTATGGCGTACGGCATAGCAGACTCGCTCGGGCGGAACGATGTCCTTAATATGCTCGATCTCGTCCGCGAGTTCCCAGCGAGTCCAGGTGAACCCAAACCCAACAAGGCCATATTTGCCATGTTCGGACGCTGTCAACCCCCCAAAGGGCTTCTCCCCGGCACCAGCCCCAACAAACTCTCCAAGTTTCTTCACGACCATTTCACCGAGGTTTTCATTCGCCAGATGAATGAATTGCCCGAGAAGAAAGGCGGGGTTTCAGACGCTCTCCGGCGGACGTTCCTCGAGCTGAATCAGAAGCTTTGGGAACACATCCACCAATTGAAACGCAAGAACTCTCAAGCGACTCCCATGCCAGCCCCGAACGGAACACTGGTGAATTCCGGCTTCGACCCCGGACTCTTGAATATCGGAGCCACATCTGTTGTCCTTTATGTGGTCGACAAGAGGATCTACGTGGCCAACGTCGGTGATGCGGTCGCTGTCCTCTCGAGGGCAGGTGTCGCTCATCGACTGTCCCACCGACACCACCCATACGATCGTGAAGAAACCGCACATATTCGATCAGCAGAAGGCTGGGTCTCTCCCAATGGTCTGATCAATGACCAGGTGGAAGTATCCCGCTCTTTCGGACATTTCAACCTCGTCCCTGTGGTTAGGGCCGCCCCAGACATATTCTCGCAGCCGCTCGGTGATCGTGACGAGTTCATTATCATCGCCAATCGCGGCCTGTGGGAGTTTGTGCCGCACCAAACTGCAGTTGACATCGCGAGGACTGTGGCCCACATTGACCCTATGATCGCTGCCCAAAAGCTGCGCGATTTCGCCATCAGTTACGGTGCAGACGGCAGTACCATGATCATGGTCATCATGGTCAGCGATCTGTTCAAGGACCCCCGTTCACGGCAACCCACTCTCGACAACATCGTCCTCCCGGCGAAAGTTCCTAAGCGCAAGAAGGAAGAACGCATCCCAGGAAATCGTCACCTCCCACCCGAAGTCGACGCTCCTACCGGCCATATCGCGATCGCCTTTACCGACATTCGGAATTCGACGCACTTGTGGGAGGTCAATCCCGGCATGCCCACTGCCATGCACCTACACAATCACCTCCTTCGGTATCACCTACGTCGATGCGGCGGTTACGAGGTCAAAACGGAAGGAGACAGTTTCATGGTTTCCTTCCCGACGGCGTTGGCAGCGGTGTGGTGGTGCGTTACCGTCCAGAAAGAGTTGCTGAACGTGTCATGGCCGTTGGAAATTCTGGAATGCGAGGATGGAAAGGAGATCAGGGATGAAGCGGGGAACATCATCGCGAGGGGTTTGTCTGTCAGGATGGGTATCCATTGCGGTGTGCCTGTCTGCGAGACGGATTGGATCACCAACCGGATGGACTACTTTGGATCGATGGTCAACCGATCGGCTCGAGTCAACAGCCACGCACAAGGAGGGCAGATCATGGTTAGCGCCGACGTCCTGCGCGAGATCAACGCGCGTATCTATGACAAGGTCGAGGAGCAGACGGAGTACAGCAGAAACCAGCCTCAAGACGCCATCGACGGTATTCGAGAGATCGGGATTTCGCTCATTCCGGTTGGCGAGGTCAAGCTCAAAGGATTCGAGTTTACGGAAATGTTGACTGCCGTCTATCCCAAGGGCTTGGAGCATCGCCATGGTATGAAGGATGCCAATGTGTCTGGCGCGGCATCGCGAATCCAGTTCAGCGTACCGCAGACCAAAGAACTTGGTATCCTTTGCTTGCGTTTGGAGGCGCTCTCTGGAGGCTACCTCTTCAAAACTCCACCACCTGCTCGCAAGGGCAGCATTGCATCGCAGACCGCAAGCTTGCTCCCTGGCGCTGGACCCCACCCTGGCTCTAGCAGCAACACCACTGAAGAAGCGACCTCGAACGAGGCTGAGGCTGAGCCACAAGGTCCGCCTGTGATCGTTGCTGACCCTGAAACGCTGCTTCCACCCATCAACGACCAAATCTCTGACGCTGACCTGATGCGGATTATCGACTGGTTTGCTATGCGGATCGAGAATGCGGTCAATATGCTTGCGCATCGATATTGCCCGCCGAACATGGACAGGGTCAACTTCATTAATGCCTTGATCGAGGGGGAGCAGCTGGATGCACGGACGTTGGAGTATATCTCGGGTATCCTGAAAAGGATTTCATAATCGTGCTTTGCTTTTTTTTTTTTTTTTTTCATTCACTTTATCCTTCCATTCCCTTTTGTTATTTTGCTTTCGTTGCTGACGGTTATCCCTTGCTTTTTCTTTCCGAGGCCACGTCCATTTCAAAGAAGCCATTATCTCTACTACAAGATCACATTTCTATAGAATCTTGGTTTTGTTTTATCTCCTCGCTTACCGTTTCTTTGCCACTCTTTTCTTCGCTTGTATTTTCGTCACTATTTGTGCGCTCGGTTATCTATTATATCTGTAGTTGTAGGGCTATACCATCTAGGCTGTATTTATAGTTGTAGTATTACTTACCCGTCTCCTGCGTGTCTGACTGCGAAACCTGTTCTCGAATGTAGAGACTGTCGTTTTTACTTTGCTAACTACCCACTGGAATATGATTCAGATGTGCGGAAGGAAGATGCTAGTGATACAGGTGTCGCTACGATGTTACAGCGGGTGGGAGGGTTTCGCTAAATGCAACAAAGGTGTTCATACGTCGAATAGGAAATCATCTACAGACTCGGGTTGGCTCGTGAAGATCATCTCATCTTGCTTCGCTGCAGGGCGGGAGGGTTCCTTCTTCGCGGTCAGCGTATTCGATCTCGATAGGCCAGGACGAGATGCGGGCCGTTGGGCTGCCCCTATTTTAGGCGCTCCAGTCGTCCCCTTAGCATTGGATGTTGAGAAACTACGAGCAGGTTGCTGGGCTTGAGGTGGTTTGCCGTAGCTTGCAGCTCTTGGCCGAGCTGACGCTGATGCTGGCCTGGCGATTGTGGCACCCGCGTTCGTTGGCTTGGGTTTCACTGCCATCGCTGTTGCTGGTCGTGCTATGGGCGCCCTTGGTTTAGGGTTGGCGGTGGTACCAGTAGAGGCGGTGGGGGTGGGTCGCCGGACCTGTGAGCTCGCGCTTCGCTTTGTTGGTTCAGCGGCCTTGGGGGCGGTGGCCTTTGGCTGAAGTTGGCGGAATGGATCGTCGTCGTCTGAGATATCGTCAGGAAGGGGGACTGTGAGAATGTGAAGAGAACGCACCGAGTTCTTTCAGAGCCATGAGACTCCATGACTCGGATATGGGCTGGGTGGAGTCGATGTCTGGTAGCTGGACCTCTCTGTCGTCGAATGGAATGGAGAAGACAACCTTTCGGAAGTCTTGAGCTAGAGACTTGTAGTCTGGTAGGTCAAAGTCGAAAGGCGGTTGGTATGGAAGGTCTGAGGACTTGGGGTTAGCGTCGACTTGCGTCCAATGAGAATAACAAACGCACCCAAGGTATTTGGAGCCATGTATTCAATCTCATCGAAATCGTCCTCCTCCAGAATGGTCTCCTGCACCTCAGCTTGTGGTGACTCCAAGCACAAGTCGTCCCCCACATCCCAATGATTCCCTTTATTCGCGGGCGTCTCAAAGTTCTTGCTCGCGCTCCTGGGCAACCTGGCATTCTTCCTCGTCGAACTCGGACGCTGTAACTCTGGAGTGGCGGTATCTTGTTGCGTAGTCGTCTCAACTAGTACGAGTTTGGGAAGTTTGACGAATCCGTCTTTGGAGGATGACCCTTGGTTGGCCTGTTGTTGGACCCGGTTTGGGAAGGGCGTTTTGTCGAGGAATGGGCGTGGTTTACCGGTTGTGGCGAACCCGTTTTTGCCTTCTGGATATTTCCAGCGTCATTAGGAATAGGCATTGGGGGAGGATTTAAGGATACTTACGAGCTATAGCAGCTGCGAAAGGCGTGCGCATCACATTCTTGCCCTTGGGTCCTACAGTTCTCGCTCCCGCATTCTCTGCCCGTTTCAGACCTCGACTGGGGGTCTTGGTCGGGTAATATGGCGCGTCAAGCGCTAATTGGTGAGCCCTTGAGCTGAGCATCGTCGTTGTAGTCGTTGTGGTCGTTTCAGGGCGCTAAAGCCATTCAGATTGTCGTGGTACGGAAGCAAACTTGTGCAATGGCGGGAACGACTTGGCGTGGGGCTTGGGCGCGTCGTGACTTGAACGTCGCGTGACCGCTTTGGGAAGGCACGTGGCGTCGGGATTCCAATTTGGGGCTCCGCTACGGGGCGGTAGTCCGGAATCCGGACTGTGTCACGTTTTTTGTCAGGTGACGGACGTGACGCCTATCGGAGATAGGCAGTCCGGTCAATTTGGTTGGATTTTGGCGGGTGGGTCGTCCACCTCCGCTGTATTTCACTTTTTTATCCTAATACCAATCGATTTCGACCGAATTTTCAACGCTATTAGGATGACATGGGACGCAGAGGGCTAAACAAAAGAGTCTGGGAGGCACAGTAAAAAGAAAGCCGGGAAAGTCGTGAAAAACACCCCAAACGGGCGCCAAAAATCAGCACGGTTCCAGGCGACCATCCACAGAAGCCCCAGCACCCAGCGGTCATCTTCGAGCAGATTAAGTCTTAGGATATCTAGAACGACGTCTTTCTGCTGAGACACCCGCGATTTCAACACGTAACAGACGGGGCCGGGCTGCTGAACTTGATGCTGAAGGGGTTGAAGCCCGAGTTGAAGCTGGGGTGGAGTCTGGATCTGAGACGAATGACAGGAGCGAAAAATGGACGGAGTCTTTGAGGTATGATACTGTTTTATTGTTCTCTGGACTTACATTTTGAATTTTCGTGTCCCAAGAGTTCTGAAGCATCCGACTCTGAAGCCGAGGACGAGCTCTTAGATCTGTAATATTGTACTATGGTTAGGATGCTATAGTGGTACTATATTTGCGTTCGAACAAGCGTTTTCAAGCACAATTTCGATTGTATATATGGACTACGTGGTTGTATTCAAACTTTCCAAACCTCCCTATCATTGTCAGTGTCCTCATTGATTGCCAACGCCGAAAGTCTGTATTTCCTCAACTCGAGAACCTGCATTTCTTACACTTTCTTCAATGGAGAGACGACCAGAGTGATCATGCCATTGAAAAGCAATGCTGGGAGTATCATGCAGAAGGTTTTGCCGTATCCAGTCCCAACGTCGATGAGCGCGTCAAATCCTGAGCACAGAGCCATCGTTGCCTTCATCTGGAACTCCCGCGGCACGATATACCCTCCAGAAGCCAAGAAAATGAGCATACACACCTTCAAGCCCCAAAGCATCCATTTATGCGAGAATTCCGACCAAAAACCGGATGCTACCGCGCGTTCTTCCGGGACAACCAATGCGTAGGCGACCTGAGCTTGTTCCGCTGTCGTAAACGACGAAATCGACGTCTTATCTGGTAGTTGCGGTCCAAATTCAATGTGCGTCGTATCGACGGCCTCTTCCTGCATATCCATGTCGATTTTGACGCGTCAATTCGCAGAGATAAATTCAAGACGAAGTGGATTGTGGTGGTACATGGGCAACCCGCGCGATCATAAGGACCGACACGGTAAAATTAAACCAAATTGACCGGTCCCTCTAGCGAGGAAAAGCGGAACGTCCATCACGTGGCAAAAAACGTGACGCCCGAGCTACGAGGGACCGGGCTCCGGTCTAACGGGGCGGGGTCAGAGAGCGCGTTTCTGTGCTGTCGACGACGATGAGCACGTCTCGGGCAAATATCCTAAGTTTCTGCTTGTTTTTACAAGGATTCTCCTTGACGCTCTAAAACCGACATGTTATTCAATCTTTGAAGGACGTGTACACCCTGGGCATGGTGAATTTGATTCTCTGATAGTGATTTAGACAATTGTGGGTAGAAGGCGGGCGTTGCCTTTTCCAAGCTTGTCTTCAGTCTACGAAGGCGGTGAGTTGGGCCTATTTTACGAATGAAGACCCCGTACTGACTGGTACTTTGGACTTGATGCAGCCAGGGAGAATTTTCAGTCCACGTCTGATTTCGCTGACCGGAACGGGCGCTTGATCTCAATCACTGTTTACAGTACTACCTTTCGCCCGGTGTGTTAGGCTCTTCCTGAGGCATTTTTGTCGAGCTCTCAGCTGACACCGCAGCGCATAGTCTCGATGGCCAACCCAGGTTACCGCCCCTTGGACCGTCTCGCAGTGCACAACAGCAACAAGGGCGGGGTGGTGTACAGCACTCTCCGCACGGCATTGACGAGAACCAGGTCGCGCAAGGCTCTCGTCGTAGCGTGTGTCTTCGTCATTTCATGTCTCCTGTTTCTCGCCCCGTCATTGAGGGACCCAGAATCTGAATGGTCCCTCCAGAAACTACCCTTTCGATTTAACCGCCCGATGCAAAAGCAGTCGCAGTGCACTCCCGATGAATACAGTGCCGGAGAGTGGATATATCGACCATACTACACCAGACCTGGTCCATTGACGAAAACCTACAACTTGACCAGCTCTTCCACAGATTCGCCCCCGCCTGTCGTTGCAGAGGGAGACCCTGAAGATCCCATTTCCGGATATGGAACCAAACCGCCCACCGCTTACCTGCAGAACATGACGAAATCGGAGGACGTGTTGACCTTTACACGGTTTGAAGCTTGTGCGAGCTCGAGAGAGTATTGGTGGCATCTCGCTGCGGATAGGCCGGAGCAGTTTGACCGATTCCCTGGCCCGACAGAGTGGGAGTGGGTTCCTGGAGGAAGGTGCAGGGGCAATCCAGGATTGAGAGACTGGGATAGGGAGGAGGTTGTGAGAGAATTGGTCGAAGGCGGAGGATGGCTTCTGGTCGGTGGTGCGTCCCGAGAGGTAGTTCTCTACCACCATCTGCTCACAGTGCAATTGTAGATTCCGTCACAGAAAACCACTTCTTCTCTCTCTCCTGTCTACTCTACCCGCACGTCATTGGGTATCCAGATTACACCAAACTCACGACGATGTACGACCGGGCGTGGCCTCAGCACCTCTATCTCAATCCCACCTCACCTCTCGCCGAATCACTCGCGTTCCCAAATGGGTTCAATATCTCATCGACTCCGCTGGTGACTTTCCGCCGCGTCGACCTACTCTGGTCGAAAGACGATCTCGTCAAGATGCACAAAGAAATGCATCCCGAGTTCTACGAACCTGCTTCTCATGACACACCTAGCACATTCCAACTCTTTGGTGAGGAAGCGGTTTGGACGATCTCACCGCAGGAGTATTTCGATATCTTCACGAAGCCACTACCGGAGGGGAATTACCGCACGATGGTGGTCAGCACGGCTGGCCATTGGACGACCAACCTTTTCCATGGGTACAAGCGCGAAGGGGAGCCCGAGGTCGGTAGTGATCCTCAAGGCAAGGCGAAACCCGTCTGGAACTACGACGGCCTGGTCCAGTTCTACCAAGACGTCATGGGGCGCTGGGTCGTTGAAGCTCAAAAGATGATCTCCCATTCTGCGCCACTTCCCACCTCCTACAGCTCGACATCGCTGCACCCCGATCACGACGACATGAGCGGACGCCTTGGACGGATCTGGCCGATCAAATGGAAGAACGGGGACAAGAAGGAACGAAAGCTGAGAAATAGGAAGGTCCTCGTCAGAGCATACCTCCCTGGCCACGAGGACTGTCACAAGAAACGTTCACCGTGGAGGACGATCCTGCCGTTTGATTGGAACTGGTGGAATTGGGCTGAAATCTGGAGGTTCAATAAGGTTTTCATGGTGAGCCATTCTTCATTCTTCTCGCCTTGGGATAATCGCTGGACTCGACACGATATTAATATTATGTCTTTTCAGGACCTTCTCGCGGACCGAGCACGGTATCCAGATGTGCATTATTTGGGGATCGACAGACCAGCGAGATTGAGACCGGACGCGGTAAGCTTTTTCAAATAGGCTTCTACATACCGATCTGTCACCCTTACTTGTTAACCTTCTCTAGCATTCAACGGGTGACTGTCTCCACATTATGTCGGGGGCTGGCGTCCTCGAGGGCTGGTCCCATTATATTTGGCATTTTGTTACTCGCGAAGTTTGAATTTGGGTGTGAAGGCTACTGGTTTGCCATATCACAGATGTGTTATTCTGATGTATTATTCTTGGGACACTTTTTGGTGCTTGTATCGTTATTCTTCTCTCTTGTATGTGTGTAACAGTGGGCTAATAACTTTTTTTGTAAAGAGTAAAGAGTCTTAATTGGAGGTCAGGGTTGCATGATGGAACGTACTGCCAGTGTAAATCAGCCTTCTAGCCTGGCAGCGTTCCGACGTTGATGCTTCCAATCTCTGTCGTAACTATTGCATTATGTGGAAGCGACTGAATGGTATGTAAGTACAAAGAACCTACATAATCAAACTCCGTGAATTCCCTCAAATCGCGTTCCCAGAGTTTTTGGGACTGTACCTGTGAGCGGCCTTTGACTCTAGCACAGTCTAGCATTAATGACCTTGATGTGATGGCTCTCACGCGACTTGAATTGAGACGCCAGCGTTTTCGTTTACCTTGAGACCATCACACCGCTTCCAACCAGGATGTCGAGACTTCAAAAATTGGGCTTGCCTTGCGCGGCTCTAGTTACTTTGCTTCTGCTACCATGGATTCTTGTTTCCAAACGAGTTGGGCCAACACTGCGGTGGATAAAGGTACGGCACTTGGCTCATATACACCCGAGAGAGACATTGACCTCGAAGGGAAAGTCACGTCGCGTCGAACGCCAGATTCTTCGACTGCCGCACCTTCCCCCCGAGATTCTGGTCGAAATAATGAAACATGTCGAGTGGGACGACGTTCTAGCTCTCCGAAGGGTAGCGTCCTTTGTTCGATCTTGAACTTAAAGTCGGCATCTGACGAGTCGCGCTCAGTGTTGCCGCACCTTTCACTCTGTGTCGAAGGACAGGGAGGTCTGGCTCTCGTTGCTGAAGAGATACTGCGACACCGTCATTCCCCGACCTTTTTTCCTGTCCCAACCGCTGGGGCTATGTTCGGGTGATGACCTCGAGGCCCGCGTCGTCCAATGGTGGACCGGGTGGGAGGGACTCAGATCCACGACGCAGACATTCACCACGGATGCGAACATGTCTGACAACTGGGGACCGCTATGTCCATTACCAGGCGATCAGTTCTTCCTTTATAAGGGAACCGATGGCTCCATCTTCTACTGCAATCCGGGCCAGCCAGATGCCCCTATGCATCTCCTCGTGCCCACCCCTTACCCCTCGGACTATCGCGTCGGAGTCTGCGTCGCGGTGGATGTACTGGGCACGCAAGGCATCGACGGGGCCCCAACCTTGCCCTCTGACTGGTCTTTCGAACATCGCTTCTTCCCTCCAGTTTTCCGGCTCGCAGTTTGTCGCTATGCCCGGGGAACCGGAACTATTGAGATTTGGGAGATAAGGGCAGAGGTGGAGGGAGGGGCCATTGGTTACTCGTCACGCCTTGTCAAGTCCTTTTCCGACAGTGTTCGGCCGACATGTTGTTCTTTGCTCGGTGACCATGTTGCGTACCAATCACGTTCAGCCAGCGCAACGAGAATCGTCGACTGGACAGCGGTCACAGACGGAGGGCCTGTCCTGGGCGTCGATATAGCACTTTCGTCACCCTTCGTGCGTTTCATACTCCATCATATGCGAATGGATGGCTAACTTCCTCCCACAGTACATCCTTCTGCTCCCCCATCGAAGAATCCTCGTGCACTCGTCTTATATCTATATTGCTGACTGGAAACTATACGGCCGGTCCGAGTCATCACCCCCTTCACCTATACGTCCGCAGTGGCAGTCCACGGAGGAGTTTCGCAAACCCCATCCCTATTTCGTCTCATTTTACATCAACAACTCCTTTCGACTTATTTTGTGTAGTCGGGGGCGCCGTTCTCTGACCGGAGTCATCGTATCCAATGACCCGGATGTAGCGGTTTCGGATAGTGTCGCCTTTGCGCAGCTTGCAGATTGTGTCCCAGATGCCCACGACGAACTGTGGTTTGATTACCGCAAGGGAATCTGTGTTTTTAACTATGCGCAACGCGCCCACCTCCTCTGCTACAAGTGGCCAGGTGACAGCCTCCCGGAACCATCGTTCTCCGAAATTGCGTTCCCTGAGGGCACATATACTATCTATCTCGACAAAGCTCATGCACGCTCGCGAGTGGTCATGTTCCTCTACAAGCGACCCTGTAAGACTGCATTCTTTGGATAAATTACCGGTAGCTTAGATAGTACATCGGACATAAATACATGGAAGGACCCATCATCCAGGACGGCTGTGTGTTAAGAGACTTCGTGTCGTTTTCGAATCCCCGATCCTTCGAGTCATCCAGATGGATACCAGATTGAATGGAATCAGGCCTTTTGTGCAATAGTGTTTTTAGGGTCCAGTACCCCCTAGAGGGCCGACATGTGCATTAGCCAAATATCGAGCTCTGCTTTGAGGTTCACCCGTTCACCAGTCAGATTGCGATGTAACTTGGTCTCAAAGATCAGAATAGGATCGATGAGCACCCGGGAGTCTCTGTCTCATTCTAAATGAGCGGGCATGGCGTAGACTCGTGTCACAATGTGAGTCAAGATCACGATCGACCCCGCACTCTACTGCCCTACTCAACTAGTGACTATCGTTTACATGCGGTGGAACTCTGTTAGATGCAATGCACAACGGAGAGAACGAGCAAAATGGCTGTACGCTGTGAAAACAACACCCGGTGCTCGGAAGTTCGGACGGATCAGCCCTGCTCCTTGGTACAATCGAGCGACGTGGCGATTGGGGCGGTTGATTGCCCATTTTGAATATGGCTCTTCAGCAAGCAACCCGTCTTCGAGTCTAAAACTTAAAGGGATCAACAAAAATATGAATACTGGGGTATAGACCTGGAGGTGATTATACAGACAAAGAGCGATTGTAAGGTACCAGAGGAGAGCAAGGACTCATAGTGGATGAAAGAGTGACTAACGGGTAATTAAAACGAGACTTGGAGCTTGGAGGTGGGAGACCTTGCAAAAAAGCAAAAAGTAATCTTGTCGACTATGCATTTCCCGACGATACTTGTTCTTTCACATGCTCGTCACCAAACAACCCGAGAGACCGTTTAGTTACCCAGGTTGGGAGCCGAGCGTGCTTCCTATGGGAGAAGCCGTGTATCTTGATCGCCCGGGTGCTGGGCCAATGCCTTTCTTGGATCAGCGAGCAGGTTTTCCAGTACTCTTGATGCCTCGACCACGTGTATTCGTCAGGTAGACAGTGGATATAGACGTCGCTGAGGGATCCACAGTCTGGGGAGTGTCTGGAGTTGAGGGACGAATCAATCCAAAACAAGGTGTTGGTGAGGTCTTTCGGCTGGATGAAGATTTCGATTTCTTGAAGTAACGGTACTTGGCAAAGCTGTAGACAGTCTGCGAGTGACGTTGTGCGATGGTGAGAAAGTGCTTCATGCGAAGAGAAGTGTAAGACCTACGCTGTTCTAGCTGGTCCAACCAGCCCTGAGCAGTAAATGTGAGCTTGGTCAGGCTGGCCCAGCATGCCTTCACGAGCCGGTCGTACTCGGCGTTGTACAAGTCAATAGTCCCCAAGTCGAGGGTCGTTACGGCCGTAAGGTCCAGCGCATTTAAGAGTGGCTGGACCGAGTCTGTACAGGTTGAATCGAGCTCGAGAATGCGCGGTCTTGGGAGCCGTCGACCGTCTTGCAACACCCTCCCATCATCCCAGACCGCTGCCCGTATGGTCATCCACTCGACGCTGGTACATTCGCTCAACACAACAGCCGGAATGTCGATCATGGACAACGAAACGGTCTTCAAGGTGTCGGACTGGAGTGTACGAGTGAGGGCGGCTTGGACGGCAGTGTCGATGTCCTCCCACTTGCACTGAAGGGCTTCAGCCTCGAGGTCTTCGAGGTTGGTGAGCCGGTTGATAATGAATGTGAAAGCCTTTGCACTGTCGCTCGACTTCCCCGTATTCAAGAGGATGTTGCGAGTGCGTTGTCTCGGTAGGGCTTCGATGCAAAGGCTACGAACGACGCTGGCGATTTCAGGCGACTGCTTGACAATTCCGGCGAACTCTAGGGCGTCGCGACCTTGGCCAGACGGGTTTTCGAGACCTTCCGGGTTGCCGCAGCAGGCGCAGGGGTATTTGCGAATGGCGATTGAAGCGAAGAGGTACTGCAGGCAATGTGAGCGGAGAGACTTGCAGGTTAGGGCGAGGGCTTTGAGAGTGTCGAGGTCGCGGCCGTGGCAGACGAAAAGGTGGCGGTCGATTATACGGTAGATGACTTCTGCTGGGAGGCGGTGGGGCAGCGAGTCTGCGTTGGGCTTTGGGCTTGGGCTTGTGCTGGTTTTCTTCTGGAACTTGCACCGGGGCGAGGTTCGAAAGGTAAGACGGCGCAACATTGTGAGAATAGCGAGTGTGGTGAGGGTCTGACTGGAAGGAGAGTGAGGAGATGTGTTGGAATTTTTTGTGACGTTTCTGGGGTGGTCCCCTGGGGCTTTAACGTCTGAAAGGCTGGTGGGCAAAGACACTTCCCACGAACTCGACTCGAAACACTGTTTCAACTTCAATGTTTTGTTCGGGAAAAGTCGACATGGGCTCGGTTAACTCAACGCAGGTTACCACAGCCGCTCAGGTATTCGCTCGAGCTAGTTCGCCGCAGAATATGGGGAGCTCGTGGACGGTAGGGCCAACCATTTCAACGGAAAGTTAACTACTTGAGGAGCAGGAGCCTGCCCAATACCTTCCTCCGAATTCGAACTGAGCACGCATCCAGGCCTCTCGCGATGATCAATTACGCTACCCCCTCACTTAAAAGCGTCCCAAGTAAAGACAAGGTTAACTCGTACCATCGCATGCCAGTGTGCCTGGGGCGATGGCGGCAGCGCCTCCGCTACTAGTAAGCGAGTTTGCATTGCCATCAGTGCGGTGTTTGGATTTGATGCGTCCCGCTAGTGTCGAACGACGCGTTTCACTGGACATTACTTAGGGTCAGTGAAACAGCTCCTACTATAGCCACGACTTGAGGTTTATGGGTCGGGATCTACACATCGCACAGGGTCTAAATTGATGGATCATGTCTGCCGCGACCTACGGGATGCACAAGGTGTCTCAAGATGAGTCACCGCCATGATGTCCAACTCCAGTCCATGGAGTCGTCTTCTCCTAGTGCCTACATAAAAAATCCTTCATTCAATACGAGAAAGAGAAAAAAAGAGAGGTGACCCAGAGATGCATCATCCAAGCACAAAAATGTCCACCGCGCGGATGTTCGGACGCATCAAACGGTGTGATTGAGCGACGTGGCCATGTGGGTGGGTTGGTTGCCGAAATCGGCTTGGGTGATGCAGTGAGTTCATTCCAGATACCAGACCGGACATACTTAGATGTACTTGGGAAGGGAGTTGAACATTATTGCCTCTGGTTCATCCAAAATGAAGGTTAGAAAGGATGACCGCGTGTGTCACAGAGCGTCTTGCATCTCCTGAATCGACCTGTTTTCAGAACATCGGAAAATCCGTCGAAGCTTGACGATATGTATTGGTCTTTTCAGATAAGAAAAGGAAAAAAAAAAAAAGTGAGGATAATGGACTATGGGCCTGACCGGGAATTGAACCCGGGACCTCCTCGATATAAGGCGAACCCTAACAAGGAATCATACTACTAGACCATCAGGCCGATGGTTGTTCTTCCGTGACCGTTTGACATATTCTCACAAACCGGAGTAACTCCGAGAGGAGAATAATTCGACCTGATCATCCAAGGTCGAATTCAACGTTCACGCCGGCATTTCAGACAGGTTCGCAAATGACAAGTTTTATAGTACCACCAACAGAATCGTACGAACATACATCCCACACCCAACTACGAACTCTTAATTAACTCCGCAGCCGCCTCCGTCCCCGCAATCCTCTCCAACCTAAACCAATCATACTTTGAAAACAAAACCCTACACGTCACATCCGACGGTTCCACTCCCTCATCCAAGAAAGGATACGACAAAAACTCTGTGAAATACTGCGGATGCTCCGGTGGTCCATAGAAAATGATATTCCTAATCCCTCTAATCTTGTATCGCTTGTAAAAGTGGAAGCGCTCGCTGATGAGGAGGAAGGATTTCTCCCCCTTGAAGAAGGCGAGTCGGGCGCGGGAGATGTCGGCGTTGGAGGAGTACTCGGAGAGGATGGTGAAGGAGGAGCTCGAGTTTTTGCGGAAGTGGTTGTGCACTCTGATGAAGTCGAAGGAGGAGGGGATGAAGATGATTGTGTTTGTGCTTTGGACTGCTGATTTCATGATTGAGGGGAGGAACTGTAGAGGGATTAGGATGTGGAAGGGATGTATGGGTCGCGGCGGCATACCTGAGTGGTGAAATGTTGGAATCGTTTCTCAGCTTCGTCTTGGGGACTCGTGCATTCGAAATAGCTGAAGCTCTGATGATATCAGTCAGTAAGCGGGCCTCAGCATCATTTTGCGGAGTAGAACATACATTGTCAAGTCCAGCAGGGATATGGATGGGAGTCCACCGTTTATCAGTCCTGAGTTTACCAGCGACATTCTTCAGGTCGTTGTTGTAGAGTGCGCGAATCTCAGACGTCTCAAACGCAGAGATAAGAACGGTTTGCCTCAGATAAGCAGCTCTAGGCTCGTCGTCAGAAGAATCGTAAACGGAGGGAGGGATAGGGCGTACAGGCCATCGAGGTACCAGGGTTTGATACGAGAGAAGTCGGTGTCATGGGATTCTTTGGGAAGTTTGTTGAGGTGGGACATTACGAACTATTAACGGAATGTCGGTGAACATCAAGGCGTGGACCATTGCTGCCCGGCGCACCTTCACATGTTCCCAATTCTGCATCGTCAGTGAATCCAGTTGGTCGATGACGAGAACTTCTATCGAAGTCAAGTAGTCCGCGTTCCTACATACCCTGGTCAGCGCATTTCCAATGAAGACAGCGGAAGACGCACTTTTCCTTCTCTATCGACCTACGCAGGCCCAGAGGGCTCGCGAGGATCAAGTCACAACCGTAAAACTCGGTAAACAACTTGACGCTCTTCCTCGTCATTTTGACACCAATCCTAAAGTTATCGTCGACGTTGCCCTTGAAAGTTTCCACATGGTCTACCGGGTACGTTCCAGGGTCCGCTGAGGTCAGTTTATCGACCACGCCAGGAGGAAGACCGTATTCCGTCAAGAACCTCGACTGGTTTTCGATTTGGAAGTCGGGCGAGGGTGTGTGTGAAGTGATAGCGTGGAACCAGTCGAGAGCAGAGTTGCGGAAGGGGAGAAGGATCAAGACCGAAGGGCGCGTGAATCCTTGGTCTTGCACGTCTTCTGGAGGTGGTGCTTCGGGGTTGGTTTTGGCGTGGTGAAACAACCGTTCGTTGTTTTTGAGCACCCGGCGACGTTTTCTGAAGGAATGTCAGTTTAGCGTTTCAGAAAAAGAGATAGACCACAAGCGCACTTTGAGATGTGGTTGAGTGCGTGAAGTGCGATTGCTTCTCTGGTAGATTGACGAGATTCAAGCGGTGAGGATGATAGATAGACGTCTTTGCGAGTGGATAGTGCAGAGATAAGGTCATTCTGCAGCTCGACCTGATCTTGAGTGAGCTCGTGAGCCAGCCTGATATTCGAGGATGAGGTAGACGTACTGCGATTGAGTTTTGCTTGTCGCTTTTTGAATGGTGTCCTTAGCCGTTCCAGAAGCTGTCTGGGCTTCAGTAATAAGTCATAAACCTTGGATAGAGTACTTACGTCTGGTTTGACGAGGACGTCGGAGGAGGTACCCTCTTCGACATTGGGTGTGGAGACAATGGCAGGCCCCAGTTTCCCAACTGTTTCCTTCGAGGTCTTCCACGACTTTTGGTCGACAGCGGCCCTCTTTTGCTCTGAAATCACGCTTGAAGAAGGGCCGAAGTGCACTTCGTACAGGTCTGTACCGGCCTCTGTTACGGTATAGGTTTTCAGAAACTAGGAAACTGGAGAGGAAGATAACACTCACCTTCGGTCTCTTCGTCCTCCTTCTCTACAACCTCTTCAGCATCGTTTTCCTCGTCCTCATCCGCAGCCTTCTCTTTTGTCTTTTTCGATTCCTTTGGTGGTTTTGTCGATTCGAGATACTGCACATCGACCTTGTCCGAGAACGATATTGTCTTTCGCTTGTTCAATTTTTCTGATGGTACAACTTCTTCAACCGGGCGCTTCCTCTTGCCCACTTTTGTTGCAGAGACGTTCAAAAGCGTCAATAGCTTGGTCGTAACGTTTGTTCCGTCGTCGATGGCCATAATTTGAGAACGAGGATGAGAATTGGAGTTTCCTTGAAGTTGCTAACCAAAATTATTGATCTGGACGGGGTCATGTGTTTGGCACGTGGGCTCGCGTTCGAAGACCTTCGAAGACGCGTCGGTCATTCCCGAACGCCCTCTTTACCTCCTTCTGTCACCATCAGCGTTCGAGTCCAATAGACCGCGCACCGACGGCGACAGCGACGACGACGACGAACCAGGAAACTCTAAAAATCAAAGCCTATGCGAGTTCTATGCGTTGCTGAAAAGCCTTCCATCTCCAAGTCCATCACCCAAATTCTCTCGGGCGGGCAATTCAGAACGGTATGCGGTAAACCGGGTATCTGAAGGATCGAGCTCATGAATCGTCTATAGACAAACACAGCTCTCGGTTACATCAAGAACTATGAATTCGACTACCCCCAGACCAGAGCAACGTTCGTCGTGACATGCGTTACGGGTCACCTCACCTCGACAGACTTTACGGAGCAGCACCGGGGATGGCATTCCTGTGACCCATCTGCCCTATTCGACGCCGAAGTCCAGACATTTGTTCCTCAAGACAAGAAAGCCATCGAGACCAACCTGAAAAACCAAGCGAGATACGCGGATATGTTGATGATATGGACGGATTGTGATCGAGAGGGTGAACATATTGGGATGGAGGTTGTCAACGTTTGTCGGAGAGTGCGGCCTAATATCCAGGTCAAGCGGGCACGTTTTAGCGCTATTATTGCTCAGTGAGTGTTCAATTCTTTTAGGATTTCGTGGTGAAGCTGACCTATGTAGACAAATTCATCGAGCAGCGCAGCATCCCGTGGAATTGGATCTCAGGCAAGCCGACGCAGTTGAAGCTCGAATACTACTGGATCTCAAGATTGGCGCCGCTTTCACCCGGCTCCAAACACTTTACCTACAAAACCGTTTCCAGCAAATTACATCTGTCGTCTCTTACGGTACGCGTCCCACCTGTGCTCTCGTGGTGCTCGTCTCTCAAACCGTACAGGCCCGTGCCAATTCCCAACCCTGGGTTTTGTCGTACAAAGGTATTTGAAAGTACAAGACTTCCGTCCAGAAACATTTTGGTACATACACTTGGAACTCAACGCACGGGACGACGACGGCCATGCACAACTTGTCAAGTTCTCTTGGAAGCGACCGCACCAATTCGATTACGACGTCGCACACTCTTTGTATGCGAGGGTCCTTGATAACGTTAGGGCTCGTGTGCTGAAAGTGGTGAAGAAGGAGACAAAGAAATGGTATGTGAGTCTGTCATAACGTGCGCATCGCTAACGCCAGTGTCCTAGGAAGCCGTTACCATTGACCACAGTCGAGCTTCAGAAAGCTGGATCGAGGCTGCTCAAGATGGCTCCCAAGAAGATCCTTGACGCAAGTACCAGCGATATGCGCTTGTTTTACGACGTTCTCTAATGGTTTCTTAGATCGCCGAAAAGCTCTATCAGCAAGGATTCCTTTCATATCCTCGTACCGAGACCGACCAATACGATAATCAATTTGACTTTATGACCCTCATCAACAAGCAAACTGCCGACAATGCTTGGGGTGACTTTGCTCGCAGGTAGGCACAGGTACCTCGGTTCCAAACCCTCTTATAACCTGTCACAGATTGCAGCAGGGAGGGTTCAACGCACCGCGAAAGGGAAAGAACAACGATAAAGCCCATCCACCTATCCATCCGACTGCACACGCTGGACACCTCACGGGAGACGAGAAGAGGGTTTACGAATATATCACGCGACGCTTCCTCGCCAGCTGCTCAGAGGACGCCAGAGGCAATCAGACCACTGTCGAAGTTGTGTGCGGAGGCGAAGAGTTTACTGCTACAGGTACGGAAGGACATCCATTTGATGGCGTCTTTTTACCAACTGAGCGTGTCAGGTCTCGGGATCATTGCTAGGAACTACCTCGAGGTGTTTCCATACGACAAATGGGCAGAACATGAGCTGCCTAATTTCGAGGAGGGTCAAGAATTCAATCCTACCCTGTGCGAGCTGAGGGAGGGACAGACGACTGCGCCCAACTACCTGACTGAAGCTGATTTGGTTGCTCTTATGGACAAGAACGGGATTGGTGAGTCCTCTCGCTGCTCTCCCCAAGTTTGCCTTAACATGTGCTATGGCTATTAGGCACGGACGCGACGATAGCCCAGCATATCGAAACCATCATACAACGGGAGTACGTTATCGAGCGGATGGAAGGTTCAACCAAGTATTTGATCCCGTCGACACTTGGAATCGGTCTCATCGAGGGTTATAACAACATCGGATTGGAGAAGAGCGTTAGCAAACCTGTTCTTCGCCGTGAAGTGCGTCTTTCCCCTCCTAGCTGCCCTTTTCTCGAAGCCCGGCTGATATTCCTTTCGTGTAGACGGAACGAAGGATGGTACAGGTGTGCGAAGGCGCGACAACTAAACAACAGATGTTGCAAGCGAGTCTGGAGCAGTACAAGGAGATGTATGAGATTACTCGGAGGGAGCTTGCTAAAGTGGAAGAGGTGAGTTTGGTGCGTTCGGAGTGTGAAGATCATCGCTGAGTGTGGTACAGAGCGTTCGCAGGTACTTGACTGAGGGCGGAGGAGGTGCACCGCCACCTCCACCTGGGGGAGGAGGGGGCCCTGGAGGAGCTGCAGGGCCAGGTGGTGGCGGTGGAGGAGGTCGCGGAGGGCGGGGTGGTGGTGGCAGTGGTGGACGCGGAGGCGGAGGCGGTGGTGGAAATGGTCGTGGGGGTGACGGTCTGTCCAATCACATCATACGAAGTATCGCTCGTTTACTAACACTATTCGCAGATCGGCCAGCACCCCCACCACAGCCGAAACCAAGGTCTCAACGTAATCCCGCCGTGGTGAACGACCCACCTCCCCCGCCGCCTAGGACATCTACACTAAACCGAGGAGGTGTCAATCAGTGTCATTGTGACATCCCAGCACAGAGGAAGATAGGCACTAGCGGCGTTTCGAGAGGGAAGGCGCATTGGGTGTGTGGCAAGATCAGCCACGACGAAGATCGGTGTAGCTATTTTATGACAACGGAATCAGAGGCCGCCAACCCATCATCGACGTCGACAAGCACAGTTCCTGCCAAACGGCCGTATCCGGCTACGGACCAGCCTCCACCGAAATGCAAATGCAACAAGGACGCTGCGACTAGGACTGTCACGAAGGATAACGAGAATAAGGGCCGTGTGTTTTACACTTGTGAAAATCCACAAGGCGAGCAGTGTGGTTTCTTCGAGTGGGCGGACGCTCCAAGTTCCAACTCTGGGTCAGGGATGGGTAGCAGAACTACTTCGATGGGCAACTCTGGGACGTCGAAGGATGTTTGCTTCAAGGTGCGTCCTTTTGTCTTCATCATTCTATTTGTAAAACGAAGAACAGTTGGTCATTTTCAATTCATAACAGTGTAATCAACCAGGACATTGGTCAAATGGTATGTTGTCACGCGACGTGTTTGTTGGCTTGGCGCGTTTTCGCGTTCTTCTCCGTGTCGGAATTCTTGTTTCTGACGCGCATCTCTTCGCTCCACCTATCCTGGTCCAGCCTGTCCGAATCCTGACGGTGGGAGCTTGAACAAGCGGCCCCGTAGCTTTGGGTCGGCGACAGCGAACAGTACTGGCAGCTCTAGTCTGGTGTGCTTCAAGTGCAAAGAGCCTGGCCATTTAGCACCAAGTGAGTGTGATGGAAACGGCGGTGAACGTTTGCGAAGTTGTTGACGTGATTTCCTTCCAGGCTGTCCCAACTCGGGCCAATCGTATTCCCAAGGAGGCTCGAAAAGCAATGCCGAATGTTTCAAGTGTAACAAGAAGGGACATTTCGCCAATGGTATAGTGATTTTCCTTGTTGTTTGATTGCCAGAACGCGTTGAACATGGTTTGTTGATTAGAGTGCCCGGGGAATACGCGTGGGTCGAGTTCGAGTAGTCGAGGATCAACGAGGGCGACCGCCAAAAGAGGACGAGGGGGATCGTCAAGCCGGGCGACGAGTAAACGCGGCAAGGGAGGGAAAAAGTCGACTTTTGCAGCAGCTGATGGTCGATGAACGCTTTGAAGACATGAAACAACTCGCCAAACCATACGCATTGCTTCACCTGTATCGAACACGTAACATTCCTATGGGCTCACTGTATATTAATCAATCCACAGCAACAGACTTCTACATCGTTTTGGATCACGCTTAGGCTCGTCGTCAACCAGACTGTGGTGAAACGGGTAGTTGATGCTAAATTACCCTTTCAGAGCGTGTCGTTTACTTGATCAAGGGGCGTACCGGTGTCAACGTCAGTGCGAGTAAGATTAAGTTCTGGTTTGGTTCCGAGAGGTGTCGCAGTGAAGAGAAGCTAACTGTGATTCCCGTCAGGTAGATCGGCTTCTTGCCTCGGGCAGCCCAATTTGGTCGCCGGGGAATCGCTATGTAGTCAGAACTCGCCGCCACCCTCGCTCGTTCCCTCCTTTTTTTCTTACTAGGGTTCTATGGACTTATTCAATCCCGGCTACACCGCGATATGTTTGCCCGAGCCGCAGATGCTAAAAATACACGCGAGAACATATGGATGCGGGGAGCATGTGTCCGAGCAACACCTTTTGAATCTTGGTCAAATCGCCTACAGTTCCCTATCGAGTGTTGACTTCTTTTCTCTCCATAGATGCCTAAACCAGCGATCATTCGATGCTTCAGGGTCTTATAAAAGCGGGTTGGCTTTGGCGTCTCTTCTTTTCCTCACCTCCACGGTCTTTTTCCTTCATCCCTCTTTCTCCTCCTCTTTCTCCTCCCTTCGTCCTCTTTTTTTGAATTGATTTCGTTTTCGCCTCAGCTGTACTCGGAGGATGCCATCGAGTAAAGCGGGTAGTTGGTCAGAGAAGGAGAAGGCGACGTCGTCGGTGGAGCAGGTTGGGACGCCCAGCAGCGGTTCTGTTGTTGAGATTGCGCTTGAGCATGTTACGGAGGAGGAGAAAAAGAAGGTGTTGAGGAAGATGGACTGGCATCTTTTGCCGTTCATTTCTTTGCTCTACTTGCTTTCCTTTTTGTGAGCATTCCCTCTGTCGATTCGTTTGTGTGTTTTGTGGGTGCTGAACCCTTGATGATGATGATGATGATAGGGATCGTGCTAATATTGGTATGTGTGAAGCGAAATATGGGTGACTGGATGCGAATAGGACTGACCAGAGTATGTTGATTGATGTCAGGGAACGCGAGGATTGCTGGGATGTCGGAAGATGTGGGATTAGATGGTCTCAAGTACAATGTGGTATGTGGTTCTCGATGATACCATTTCGGCTGATGTACTCAGGTCTTCTGCCCAGGTCGCAGCCGTGTTCTTCGTAAGTCTGGAACAGAATCAGGTCTTCTGTTGCCGCTCACGGGGATATACATAGGTCCCCTACGCATTGGCTGAACTTCCCTCGTACGTCCCCGTCTCTTCTTGCACCATTCTCCTGGCTAATCAGTCGTCACATCAGGAATGTCGCTCTCAAGTTGGTCCGCCCTTCCATCTGGAGTGAGTTCTAGTGTCGTTGGACCCTCTATTACACTTCAACTGACAGCGTCTGTTCGCTAGTCCCTTCAATCATGGTTGCATGGGGTACGTCGCGACGGTGCCGCTACGCTGACGGCCTTCTCTATCCAAGTATCTAACTGGCCAAACTTAATCTCGCTTTCCGCTTTCAGGCTTGGTTATGACGTTGATGTGTCTGTGCCACACCTACGAAGGTCTAATCATGTACGAACCGCTCTACATCTCTTCCTTTTTTAATTTCCACAACAAAAAACTGACGATGAATCAATCTGTTCTTCTAGCGCGCGCGTCTTCCTCGGCTTGACAGAAGCTGGTTTGTTCCCTGGTGTACGCGGCTATTTTTTTGTGTCTTTTTCTTCTCCGCGTTAACACCGTGAATACTGATTGTCGATCCGGGGACGGTGGTGTTTGTAGATCGCTTTTTATTTGTCGCTTTGGTATCGCCGTCAAGATGTTGCGAGGAGGATTGCGATTTTCTTCTCGGCTGCTACTGTTGCTGGTAAGTCTCCTTCCTTATTTGATCGAGGTATGATTATGAACTGTTTTGGTATTTTAGGTGCTTTCGGAGGTTTGCTTGCGTGAGTTTCCATAGCATGATAGCCCGATCTGCGACCAGTACTCATTTTCTGCAGCTATGGTATCGCTCATATGGATGGAATTGGTAACCTGCACGGTTGGCAATGGATTGTGAGTGCCTGGATTGGATATTGGCCCGCTAACTCCATGATTGACGGACTCTTCCTAGTTCTGTCTCGAGGGTATTGGTGCGGATCAAACTCTTGGGATCCTCCAAGATTCGTCTTAACCCCACTTTATAGTCACCGTCCTCGTCGCTATCGCCGCATTCTTCTGTATGCATGACGTAGGTCTAGAGGAGGTACAGTGTCTATTTGAAATCATGCTCACAACTCTGTCTGCGCTAGTACCCCGAGACTGCCAGCTTCCTGACTCCTAAGGAGCGTTCGATCATCATTGCCATGCTCAAGGAAGATAGCCAAGGTCTCTCCAAGGAGTTCAAGAAAGAGTTCTTGTGGCACGCACTCAAGGATTACAAGACTTATGTTCAAGTCGGAATCTACCTCGGTTGGTCGGATATTATACTTACCCCGACGATTTTTAACTTGAACTTGTGACAGGCCTCCTGGTCCCAGTCTACTCCATCTCCCTCTTCACACCCACCATCGTTCGCGAACTCGGGTATGCCGCTGCCCACGCTCAACTCCTCACCATCCCACCTTTCGTCGCCGGCTGCATTGCCACTATCGTTGGTGAGTTCTAATCATCCTATACTCCACTGCTTCATCAAAGTCTAACACCATGCTTTTAGTCGGCGTGTACTCTGACAAACTCAACCTCCGCGGTCCGTTCATCATCGGTGGATGCCTCGTCTCCATGGTCGGCTACATCGTGCTCTACACCCAAACACGCCCTGGTGTCTCGTACGTCGGCGCCGTCCTGACTGCGGTCGGAGTGTACCCGTGCATTGCTGTCGTGCTTGCGTGGGCTGGGTCTGCTGCGGGTGGTGATGTTGCCAAGGGTGTTGTGCTTGCTACTGTTATTGGTATCGGTAACCTTGGAGGGTGAGTGCATTTGAAGTGAATGGTGAATGGAGAGTGATGTGGTGTTTTGTAGTATCTGCTCGTCGTTCATCTACCTTCACCCACCCCGCTTCCATCCCGGACATGGTACCTGCATGGGATTCCTTTCTATGACGTGAGTCCCAATCCATCTATCTCCTAAAAGCACATGCGCGAGTTCTTTGACACTGACACGCGAACCCTTAGGATCACTCTGAGCGTGTTCGCGATGTGGAAGTACAACCAGCTGAACAAGCGGAATGAGAGGATCTGCCGTGAACAAAATATTGACGAGAGTCGACGGGATGAGTTTAAGGATGTCGGGAATGATAGTCCTCTTTTCAGGTGTGTATTCCTTCTCACGAAGTTTAGTGGAATGCAGACTCAACGAGCCTCCCGTTCAGGTTCACGATCTAAACTCCCATTCCTGGACCTTCTCTATTCCCATCCCCACATTACCATAAAGAGTGGGTGGCCCAGGGGGCCCTCACTTACGACTACTACGCTACTGTGATTATGGTTCGCATTTCAAAATTCTCACTCTAAAATTCACACTCCAAAAGAACGGGTTCGCTGCATTAATCTTTTCTGATCTGCTATGGTCGTTACTTATTAGATGCTCGCTGAAATGTACAAATACTATGTGTACTTCCCTGGGATTAGGCTAGATTTCAATTCCATTTTTCCTTTTTTATTTCCCTTTTTGTATTTCCTCTTTCTCGCTCTCTTCTCTCGGCTGGTACGAATCAAGCCAGCGGGTTACGCGGTGACTGCACGGTGATTAAGCGCCCGTCAATACAGTGCCGCGTCAATTTGATGGGCACGTAGTCATCGCATCAAACAAAGGTCATGGGAGTCGGGACCAGAGCCATCACGACAATTGTTCACCCTTCGTCTTGAACCACCATCACGGTCGTTTACAGCGCCCCTCATGCTTAGCAGGCTATCAACCGTTGTGAAGGCCATTCGAAAGCCTAAAGCCAGGTAACTCGCCTGTATTCTCTTGAAAGGCTGAACCAGTCGTGGCTGATACTGTCTTCATATCCAGATTAGAGCTGGTGAAGGCTGACGACCTTCCGATCGAAATCATTCAAGAGATTCTGGAGAAGTTCGACGACGGCGTTAGGAACAGCGCATTACGTGCATGTTGTCTCGTCTCTCAACAATGGAAGGCTCTTGCACAACCTCTTCTTTACCAAACCATCACCCTGCGCAGTCCATCCAAATTCCGAGGGCTCCTGGAAGCCCTGCAGAGTTCGCCACACCTAGCAGCTGGCGTCACCCGCGTCGTCCTCCTGGGGACGACGTATCCTTTGTGGAACTTCTGGGTGTACGACGAGTATTATGCAGATTTAGGAGCTCAGATTCTGCGGCTCCTCAGCCCTAAAGCTTTGGAACTCCGAGTCCAAGTCACATCACAAGAGCTCGTTCACTGGGATAGATATGACAGGCTGAAGCCGCCGATCCGGGAGGCAATCACCGCCCTCCTAGCTTCACCCCATCTCCTGGACCTCACCATCGACGGATGGAAATTTGCAATTCCCGTCTATGAATATTACAGCCTCATTTTGGCTTCGCCGTCACTCAAGCGACTGGTGTTGAGAAGAGCCTTCTGCGAAGTTTCCATGCGGCCGACGGATCATGTTGCGCACTCGGACAGCGCTCCTTCAACCACTGTCGATCTCGAGTACTTGGAACTGGACATTGATGGTGAAGCGGGGAATGCGGACATGTCCTTCCCACCACTCCCAGTAACCTCCTCGAAGGGCCTACGATTCCATCTGACGCTCAAAGATTTTCACGATGCCGTTCGTCCGGTTGAACATCGTTTGAGGACCGCCCTGGCGCCAGCGGTTAGCCACTTGGAATTGGACGTCAAGGGTGAGTGGCGGATAGCTCAGTACCTTCTTCTTCTTCTTCGATGCTCCCGAGTGTAGACTTACCGGCGTTCCTGTTTGCAGATCGCAGCTACCACCAAATATGGGACTTGGAATTCTTCGCGAACCTCCAGAGTTTGGCCCTGCGCAGAACTTCAAACCCCCATCTCGCCCGCCTCAGCTGGGTGGTCGACACCTTGAACACTCTCAAACACAAGACGAGTTTGCAGAGGCTTTGTTTGTCGTTTGTCATGACGCATGTGGAGGGACGAACGGAAGTGGACATCGCTGGTGAAGAGGTTGGTGGGTGGAGAGTATCCTGCGTTGAAGACTTTGGATTTGCGGCTTGTCATTTCTAGGGGGTGGGATAAGTCGGTCCTTCAGCTGGATTTATTGCAGGCTGCTGGAATCAGATGTACATACAGGATTCAAAAGGTTCTTCGGGCTACGGCTTCAATCAATTCTGGCTGACCCTTTGTCAGTAATCGTCTTTTTTATTATCCCCCTAATTCATTGGGATTGGACTTCTTGTGAAGGTTATTTGAAAACTTTTGAGAATGCTCTCCTAACCAAACCCTAGATGGAGCTTATTTGATTTTCGGCGAACAACGGTGCAGCAAGCCGTGTGTCGGGGCAAGGGATCAAATTTCCGGACGATGATAGCGGAAGCCAAGCTTGGCGGCCTTTCACCGCTCTCGCCACTTCCCAGCACAATCCCAGCATTTGCCACCTTTCCGCAAAGGACGTCATGATCATCGCTATGACAGGCAACCGCTTTCCAGTCGAGTTGTCACTCGAGATTCTGAAAGATTTCGTGCCGGTAGTGCCTTGGACGCCAGAAGAGTATTCAAGGCGCGAATTCCTTGTTTTGCCTCTTTTCGAGACGTACTATCGCCAGCTGCAACAATTGGCGTCTCTACGGGGCGTCTGTCAAGATTGGAACGAAATTATATGCGACATTATCTACACCCATGTAGTTCTGCCTTGCCATCCTTTGTACATCGTTCGCAAAACCGTTGGGATCCTTCGTCACCACGCAGACCGCATCCAGAGCCTAACCATCTGCGATTTATCTTGGGGCTATTACACGCTTTCGAAAGAGGGGCGTAAAGAGTCCAAGGCTCTGGTCGACCGTCACCTTAAAAAGTACCTCGGCAATGCCAAGACCCCAATCCAACTCGAGAGGCTCGTTCTTGAAGGTGCAGACTCGGTGTATATGAAGAGGGCATGGCGTCGCAAGACAATTCTTAACGCCCCGACCACCGTCAAACACCTCATTTTCTCCAACGTGACGATCGCCGTTTCTCTTGCCCTGGTACACCTTGGGAAGTACTTGGAGACGCTTGCAATCCGAGGGTGGACATACTGGGGGGGCGAACGTTATCCTCTCCGCCTTCCGAAGCAATTCCAGCGCCTCCAGCAGCTCGTGTTGCAGGACTGTTTCATCGATGAATACGCCACGTCCAAGTTATTCGGGCGCATTGGGACTCTCACCTACTGTCCCAAGCGCAAGAAACGAATTCAACAGTCGCAACTGCGGGACCTCCGGATCCAAGGTTTTACGACTTTCGATCCCCATCGAATGGCGACAACGCTATGCATCAACGGTATCGGGAAGGGGTTAACCACCCTCCACATTTATTTCAACCACGGGAGGATAGCCTCCTTACCAGGGGTAGTCGTCACCGTATCCCATTCCGCCGGGGCGACAGCCATCGCGAAAGAATGCCAGTCGCTTATTGATTTCCGATACGCTGGAACCATCGAGAGGACTTTCTTCAGGCACCTTTCCAAGTCGCTCAAAGTCCTCGCGCTTGCTGTCTGGGCCCCGAGCATCTGTTCCGACGAGAGTACACCATGGTGGCAGACCATGGACTTGGGTTACTTCACCCCCGAGAACATAGGGGACGTCATTTCGCTGAGCGACAATCGGTACCACCTCGAGCGCTTGATCATATTGATACAGTGCTGGCCGGGAGAGCCTGACCCTCCAGCCTCCTTCATTGACGCGGTCAATGAAGGATTGGAGGCAGTGGATATCCCATTTGAAGTGAAACATCTTCGCAAGGGTAAAATGTCGATGGTCTGACACGTCATCTTGCCTTTCGGGAACGCTGGTGTTTCTAGTTGAATTGGACTTGGCGTCTTCCCGCTTCCCTCACCTTGTCGCTAGTGCGAGCAGTGCCGTTGTTATTCTCAGGCTCTTCCATCATCTGCGACGCAAAATTACACTGGACCAATCTTCCTTTTTCCTTTTCCTTTTCCTTTACTCTCACTCTCACTCTCACTCTCTATCTCTTGTGTGGTAGTTAAGCCAGCGCTTACCCCACGAGTATATACATTATTGAGGCTGTTCTTGGGTCCAATTCCTTTGAGTTGTAGAATAAATATTATGGCTGTATTTTAGAGTATGGACAGATGAGAACGACGCGCGGAGCACTCACGGCCCCTGATATACGCTGGGTGATCGTTTCATGCAGGTCTATAGATTCACTCCTCCTCCCATCTCCATTTGCACGGCTATGGACAAAGGCCTCTGCCTTGCGTCCACACTGCTGTGATTTGCATTTCAAGCGTCTGACTTGAAACTTAACACTACGAAGGACGCCTACCCAACCTAGATCTGTGAAGTTGTGGAACTTGCAATGTCGCCCGCCGGTTTGTCTCTCCGTACTCGAAGATTTTTATCCTGCTGCTGGCTCCTGTGCTGATTCTTGCCTTGTCGTCCAGCCTCGGGCTGTCCACGACCAGGCTCTTCAGTCCAATGTCCCCTTTTCGACTTCGTCATACCAAGCACATCCCTGGCAGAGTGATCAAAGGCTTCGAGCGACGAGCACGAGGGTCCTCTATTCCCAGTGCCTCCTTCTAATCTCACAAATTCCCCATCCGATTTTCCTGAAATTCAGCTTTCGAGTTGGCTCGCGGCCAATGAGCAGAGCCCATTGCGTTCTGGACAAGAGTCGACAAAGTCCAGAGCTCCGAGACATATTCGCGCTCGGCCTCAGTTGGGCGTTTCCGGGTTGGGTGGCGGTGCAAGCGATGCAGTCGCTGACAGAATCCACCGAAGAAGTCCACTCTCACGAACGTTCACCTGTTTCTCAGCGTTCCTTCTCCCACTGGAGCCATTTGCAGCTTATCTTTTGCTGTGCTTCCCGTCTTATCTGCGCGAATGCGCGCTTCCATCGGGAGGGGTGTACGAAAGCAGTCTGGACAGGGCTCTGATGGGCCACTTCACCCCACCGATAGACACCACTCCTCGATTACGGTATTATGAACGGATTGGAGGAAGCAGGAGATGCATGGTGGGCTAGCCCGCTCTATCTAATGACGCTGGGGGTTTGGCTGTACGATGCCTTGAAGGGGTAATATTGAAGCACGCCGTGCATTCCTTCTCGAGCGATAGCCTAAGAGGGCTATATAAAGCACCGCATTCTGGCCCTATCCCGTTTCTTCAGCATACCTCAGCACAGATACTTCTGTCTTACCTCACGCTTCCAGCAACGCTTTTAGTGGTCGACGATCGGTCACTAGCTCTTACTCTGACTAGTCTAAACTAGTTCACATCACCCCTATCTCACCTGCTCATACGCGACCAAAACGACAACTTCAACGCCCGTCATGGGTAGTATATCTGACAAAATGACGACTCTGGACGTGAATGGTCCGCCTCCGTTTGGCTCAGCGGCTACCTCCGACACTCATCTTCCGCACCCCGAAAAACTCGCAGTCGAGCCAACAAAAATCGACGATGAGGCACCTTTCGACCTTGAGTCTGTAACGGAGGCCGAGCGGAAGAAAGTACTGCGAAAGATGGATTGGAAGTTGCTTCCTTTCATTTCCTTCTTGTACTTGCTATCTTTTTTGTGAGTTCCTTGCGTTCTACGTTTGTGTTGTGGGGCTGGGCGCTTACCACTATCTATATCTTGGTAGGGATCGAGCTAATATTGGCAACGCTAAAATTGCTGGTATGGCCCACGACTTGAAACTCGACGGCTTGAAGTACAACGTCATCGCCGCTGTGTTCTTCATCCCGTACGCACTGGCAGAAGTACCTTCGTATGTCTCCTATCTCTCTTCCCTTTACCACCTGTTCTGATCGCTACTGTTACTTCCTTCTCAGAAACGTCTGCCTCAAACTCTTCCGACCTTCGCGATGGAGTACGTTCTTCACATCCTATCTTCGGCTTTCTCTGACATGTTGTGTGAATTCAGTCCCTTCCATTATGGTCGCTTGGGGTCTTGTTATGACTCTCATGTGTCTCTGCAAGACATACGAAGGCCTCATTGTGTGAGTACGGTCCGTTTTCCGAAAGAGTACCCTTCTGATCAGAAATTTTCTTCAGTGCTCGTGTTTTCCTTGGATTGACTGAAGCAGGATTGTTCCCTGGAGTAAGTGAACGATACCGATGATTTTCTGCAATCTTCTGACCGATTTCGTCACCTGCAGATCACGTTCTACCTCTCGCTATGGTATCGTAGAAAGGACATGTCCCAGCGTATTGCTATCTTCTTCTCCGCCGCGACCATCGCTGGTGCATTCGGTGGATTGCTCGCATATGCCATTGAACATATGGAAGGCATTGGTGGGCTTTACGGCTGGCAATGGATTGTAAGTAGCGTCAAAGCTTTCGTCTCCGAGTCTCATCTGACCTCCCTTTCCTGCTTTCTAGTTCTGTCTCGAAGGAATGGCCACCGTCGTCTTCGCCTTTCTCTCCTACTTCTTCATGTACGACTGCCCCGAAGATGCCAGCTTCCTTACACCAAGAGAACGCAAGATCGTGGTTACGATGTTGAAGGAGGATAAGCAGGGTCTTGCTACGGATTTCAAGATGGATTATGTCTGGCAGGCGATGAAGGATAGGAAGACCTACCTTCAGGTTGGCATTTATACCGGCTTGTTGGTGCCTGTCTATGCCATCTCGCTGTTCACCCCCACTATCGTCAACGAACTCGGGTTTGATGCTGCTGTTTCTCAGCTCCTTACTGTCCCGCCGTTCTTCTGCGGCTGCGTTGCCACTCTTATCAGTACGTCGCTCCTTTGGCTTTCCATCTCATTTCTGACCACGCGGTTTTTCATTTACAGTTGGTATCCTCTCAGACAAATACCACAAACGAGGACCATTCGTCGTGGTTGGCTGCTCAATATCCTTAATCGGCTACATCATCCTCATCTCTCAAAACACTGTTGCGGGCTCGTACGTCGGTGCCGTCCTCGCTGCTACCGGCGTCTATCCCTGCGTACCTGTTACACTCGCCTGGGCGGGTTCGAACTCGGGAGGAGACATGCGTCGTGGCGTCGCCCTCGCCATGGTCATCGGGTTTGGTAACCTTGGAGGAATCTGCTCCTCGTTCATCTACATCAAGCCACCCCGGTTCTTCCTTGGTCACGGTATGATCATTGGATGGTTGTGCCTTGCGATTATGTTCGCGTGTGCGGCGATGTATGATTATAAGAGGCAGAATGCGTTGAATAAGGCGAGGTGTGAGGCGGAGGGGATTGATGAGAGTCGTGAAGCCGAGTTTGTACATTTGGGGAATGATAGTCCTCTTTTCCAGTGCGTATCTTTTTCCCATCGGTTGATTGGTGGAACTCGAAACTGATTGTGATCTTCTCATCGCAGCTATACCATTTAAAAATCTCCATTCACTTGCAAAATTTCATCTCAAGCAAGAGTCAACTCCCATCTCATTTATTCATGCCTACGTATACCACCTTCGATCTTCTTTTTAACGGCCTTGTGTCGGCGGCGCTGTGGGGTTTTTGAGGCTGGTGCAAGGGCCAGTACATTTTCGACTAGCATTTTCTCCTTTCATGGTCTTCTTTTACGCCTTTCGTAACGATTCCTCCACGGACCTTGGACTAGTAGAACGACCACCAACGCGAACAATTAGAATAGGATAAAGTAGAAGTGTACTAGTATCAATATCACTATCGTACTCGAGTGGAGTTGTAATATAGTTCGAACTTCGATTGCAATTTCTGCGTTTCTTCTATTCGCCTTGACACACAGCCGGAAGATTTTGATTCTTGTTAAATCCGATTTTCCATGGAGGTGGGCTAGTTTGCGATGGTGGAGATACCTTTTCAATTCCCATCGGGAGAGGACATCTCACGTCCCAGAGGGGACTAGTTTTTGGAGGACGTTCTTCATGACAGTCACACCCGGCGGTCATCGGGCGAGAAAAGATGTATAGATTCTGTTTTTGGCTCTTCCGTTGCCCTGTATCGCGCACCACTTCTCCTACACGCTTTGGGACCCTCAGTAGCGCCAAGCAGAGGCGCCCGTGGATGTTGTTTGTCCTTGCTTGTCCAGCACGTCGTTGGTCAGCGACGCCAAACAGGTCGAGCTCACCGCGACGAACGACGAGTAAGCATCCAAAACTCTCGTCAAACGCGGTTCTGTCGGGGACGCGCAGAATAGGACGGGTTGCAGAGTCAGTACCCGGCTACAATAACAACGACCCACGAACCGCCTGTTCACGATGCATTTGTACAACTTGACGCTCCAACCGCCGACGGCCAACATCCAGGCAATCGTTGGCAATTTCTCCGGCGTTCGACAACAAGAAATTATCGTTTCGCATGGGACTCGTCTGGAGCTTCTTCGACCCGACCCCCAGACTGGCAAAGTCTCGACGGTGATCTCGACGGATGCGTTTGGGTCGGTGCGGTCGTTGGCCGCGTTTCGGTTGACGGGTGGAACCAAGGGTGAGCAAATTGTACGTATGAACGAGCTTTTCCGGTCGTTTACCTGTCATTTTCTTAGATTATGCCATCCTAGGGTCGGATTCAGGACGTATCGTTATCCTGGACTATGACCCAAAGACGACCAGCTTTGTCAAACTTCACCAAGAAACCTTTGGAAAGTCGGGAGCGAGGCGGATAGTTCCTGGCCAGTACCTTGCGACGGACCCTAAAGGTCGTGCCGTTATGATTGGCGCTATGGAGAAGGCCAAGCTGGTTTATATTCTTAACCGTGACGCCGCTGCCAACCTCACGATTTCGTCCCCACTCGAGGCGCACAAGAATTCAGCGATCATTCACCATATTGTCGGCGTCGACGTTGGATTCGAAAACCCTTTGTTCGCGGCGTTGGAGGTGGACTATTCAGAGTCGGACCAAGATCCAACTGGAGAGGCGTTTAACAACGCAGAGAAGGTGCGTTTTGGGATAAGTCCTTTCTGTTCATGTCTAACTTGTCATTCAGATGCTCACATATTACGAGCTCGATCTCGGTCTGAACCACGTTGTTCGAAAATGGAGCGAACCTACCGACCCACGAGCAAACCTTCTCGTCCAGGTCCCGGGAGGTCAACTGGCCTCATCCGACCGATACGACGGCCCTTCAGGTGTTCTCGTTTGTTGTGAGGACCACATCATTTATCGACATATGGACGCGCCCCAGCATCGCGTGCCCATCCCCCGCCGACGACACCCACTAGAGGATCCCGAGCGCGGTGTTATCATCACGGCCGCAGTCATGCACAAAATGAAAGGCGCTTTCTTCTTCCTTCTCCAGAACGAGGATGGCGACCTCTTCAAGGTTACGATTGAACACGAAGAGGAAGATGTGAAGGCTTTGAAGATCAAGTACTTCGATACTGTCCCAGTGGCTTCCAGTCTTTGCATCCTCAAATCCGGTTTCCTTTTCGTCGCAAGCGAGTTCGGCAACCAGTGCGTTGTTTGATTTCTGATTTTAGACCTATGTTAACCCTCTCTCCAGCCACCTCTATCAATTCCAGAAATTGGGTGATGACGATGACGAACCAGAAGTCACATCCACTTCATACCCCTCCTTTGGTATGGCTGATCCTACAGCCGCCCTTCCTCGCGCCTACTTCAAACCTCGTCCCCTTGACAATCTCGCCCTCGCCGATGAACTCGAATCACTGGACCCCATTCTCGATTCCAAGGTTCTGAACCTCCTCCCTAATTCTGATGCACCTCAAATCTTTGCCGCCTGCGGTCGCGGCGCACGCAGTACCCTGCGCACACTCCGCCATGGCCTGGAAGTCGAGGAGTCTGTTAGTTCCGAGCTCCCTGGTATTCCAAACGCTGTTTGGACAACCAAGAAGACTGAAGAAGGTATGTACCCATCCGGGTCTTGGAATCAGTCCCCTAACCACCTTTTGCAGACCCTTACGACTCCTATATCATCCTATCCTTCGTCAACGGTACCCTTGTCTTGTCCATAGGAGAAACGATCGAAGAAGTCCAAGACACCGGTTTCCTGTCCTCCTCGCCCACCATCGCGGTTCAACAAATCGGCGCCGACGCTCTCCTCCAAGTCCACCCGCACGGTATTCGACACGTCCTAGCCGACCGACGAGTCAACGAATGGCGCGTTCCCCAAGGCAAGACGATCGTCACCGCCACCACCAACAAGCGACAGGTGGTTGTTGCCCTCAGTTCTGCGGAGTTAGTATACTTTGAATTGGACTTGGATGGCCAGCTTAACGAGTACCAAGATCGAAAGGCCATGGGCAGCACGGTGCTTGCTCTGAGCATTGGCGAGGTTCCCGAAGGTCGACAGCGGACACCATATCTCGTACGTCATTCTTCATATCCGAGTTGTTCTCAGAAGATGGACTGAGTGACGTTTGGCTAGGCTGTTGGTTGCGAAGACCAAACTGTGCGAATCATCTCTTTGGACCCTGAAACGACGCTTGAAACACTCAGTTTGCAAGCGTTGACTGCACCACCTTCTTCGATCTGCATCGCCGATATGCTCGATGCTAGTATCAACAAGTCACAGCCCACGATGTTTGTGAACATTGGTCTGCAGAATGGTGTTCTTTTGCGTACTGTGTTGGATCCTATCAACGGCCAACTAACGGACACGCGAACTCGGTACGTATTGCATCTTCCCTTACTTCCACTCTGTCAGTTGGGCTAGACCTGTTTCTTACTAACTAATGATGCTCGCCACAGATTCCTCGGTACACGCCCGATCAAGCTCATTCGAGTGCCCGTCCACAAGAACCCCGCCATCCTAGCTCTCTCATCTCGTTCGTGGATCAACTACACGCACCAGAACATGATGCACTTCACCCCTTTGATTTATGACAACCTTGATTATGCGTGGAGTTTCTCGGCTGAGTTGAGTCCGGAGGGATTGATTGGAATTGCTGGGAATGTTCTTCGGTGAGTTGCTTCGCGTTGGCTGGTGGAGGGTTGGTGCTGATCATGTCGGTGTAGGATATTCACGATTCCTAAGTTGGGCTCGAAGTTGAAGCAGGATACTTTGCCGTTGTCGTATACCCCTCGCAAACTGATCACCCATCCCGAGAACAACTACTTCTACTTGATCGAGAGTGATCATAGGGTGTATAGTGAAGAGGCTACGAAGGCGAAGCTGGATGAGCTGGTAAGTGACCCATGTCGTTTCCTTCCAGTAACATGTCGCTCACATCTACTCTAGCAAAAGAAAGGCAAGAAGATTGATGAAGAAATCATCAGCCTTCCACCTTCCGAGTTCGGGCGACCAAAAGCACCTGCTGGTACTTGGGCTTCCAACATCCGCATCATCGACCCCGTGGAGAACAAGACTGTCGCGGTCTTCCCCCTCGATAACAACGAAGCTGCGTTCTCCATTGCGATTGTACCCTTTTCGGCACGGAATGGGGAACTCCATCTGGTGGTTGGGACGGCGAAGGACACGACTGTGTCGCCTAGGACGTGTGAGAGTGGGTTCTTGAGAACGTACAAGTTTACGGAAAATGGAACTGGTTTGGAGTTGCTGCACAAGGTTCGTTCTTTGACTTCTCTTTGGGTAGGGAGAGAGGATGCTGATTATCGTTTTACAGACCGAGACGGACGATGTTCCCATGGCGTTGCTGGCTTTCCAGGGCCGTTTGGCTGCTGGTGTTGGCAAGGCTTTGAGGATTTATGATATTGGAAAGAAGAAGCTGCTTCGAAAGGTGGAGAACAAAGTGAGTCGATGCCAGGTTTTGACTGATATGGTGTTGACGACATTCTATAGTCGTTTACGACAGCAATTGTGACGTTGACTACTCAAGGTTCAAGAATCCTCGTCGGTGACATGCAAGAATCCGTACAATATGTGGTCTACAAGCAACCCGAAAACCGACTGCTGACCTTTGCTGATGACACCCAACCACGGTGGGTCACCGCGATTACCATGGTCGACTACAACACCATCGTCGCCGGCGACAGGTTCGGCAACATCTTCGTGAACCGTCTCGACTCCAAGGTGTCCGACCAAGTTGACGAGGATCCTACTGGTGCCGGTATCCTCCACGAGAAACCCATCCTCATGGGTGCGCCGCACAAGACGAAGATGATTGCGCATTTCCATGTGGGGGATATCATTACTTCGTTGCACAAGGTGTCGCTGGTGGCTGGTGGACGGGAAGTGATCGTCTATACCGGTCTGCACGGGACGATCGGTATTCTCATGCCGTTCATCTCGAAAGAGGACGTGGACTTTATTTCTACCCTCGAGCAGCACATGCGGACTGAGCAGCCTAGTCTAGTTGGACGCGACCAACTTGCTTATAGGGGCTACTACGTCCCTGTTAAAGCGGTTGTTGATGGGGATTTGTGCGAGACTTATGCACATCTTCCTGCTTCCAAGCAGAGCTCTATTGCGAACGAGTTGGACCGGACGGTTGGAGAGGTCCTTAAAAAGCTGGAGCAGATGCGTGTTACGTCGAGTGGTTTCTAGAGTCTTTTTTGTTGCGATTAGTGACCGTGGTGTGGATTTTTGGTGCTGTTGTAAACCGATTAATAGACCGTGTTTTTGTATTTTGCTGTATCATAATTCTCCTAAATAACTTTTTCACTGAGTAAGAACGTCGAGAAGGTTCGAAAAAGGCGTGATTGAGGCCGGGGGACTCCACCTATAATTCCGCCAAGGACTGGGAAACGGAATGTACTCGAGTATTTCCCCTGAGCGTATTGATGACGCAGCCTAAAGTTGTCCCTTTAATTTGAACCACCACCATGAACGTCCTCACCACCGCGTCGCGTCGTCTCGCTTCTGGAAGCTCTAGAGCTTATCTGACACGTCCTGTAGCTTCATATGGCTATAGGTCTGCGCGCACTGTGACTACGTTGTCAGAGACCAAGGTGTGTGTTCGTGAATCGTGGACGGGAAGTCTCGGTTGCTGACGACGCGTATTTCTTTTGTATAGTACACCGCAAAGGCAACTGCTACTGGTGCAGGTCGTAACGGCACTGTAGAGTCCAACGGGCTCAGCTTAAACCTTGCTACACCCAAAGAACTGGGAGGAACTGGAAACGGGCAGAACCCAGAGCAACTCTTCGCCATGGGCTATGCTGGTACGTCACGCCCTCTTTCTCTTACTTGTTCGAAATTGAGACTTACGCAACTTTCTACACAAGGTTGCTTCCTCGGTGCCGTCCAATTCCAGGCTAAACAGCACGGAAGACCAGAGGTTGGAGAGAAAGCCAAAGTCCACACAGAAGTTCATATTGGCACGCCGACTGGAGGTTCTGGATTCGGTCTTGCCGTCGATATCACCGTCGAGGGTGTCGACCAGGAGATTCTGCAGGCTGCTCACGCTGTAAGTCGACCTGTCTATCTCCTTCCTCGTCTCTAACGCTGACGGGCTTTGCAGATGTGCCCATACAGCCGCGCCACCAAGGGCAACATCGTCGTCAACGTCAAGTCCGCTTGAATTCTTCCAAACATGAAATTGAAGTGATTCCGAATTTACCCTCGCTGGGTTATGTATGTACTAAAAATAATACGATTTCTTTTAGTACCGTCACTTATTGCTTCGTCTCACGAAAACCCGAGTGGAATTGAGTCCGAACAGATTCGCTCATTTGTGTCATACATACATGGTCATGCTTCTGGACCGGCTGTGCTGCTGCCCGCTTGCGATTGGTCTGTGTGCGGCATCGACCCTGAGCGGGAAGGGTCGCCACTGACCTCGTGCCCGCGAGCTTGTCCTTACGTTCTCAGCCTCGAGCAGCACTGGTAAGCACAAATTGTTCATTATGGTGGCTCCAACCGCGTATCTCTTGTTTTCCGACTCTCCTAACATGGCTCTTCACAACACCAGACATGGATTCCGCCAACCTCCCCGAGCGCCTGCGCGAGCTGTTCCATTCGAATGAACCCCTGAGCGACGAGGACATCCACCAAACCCAGCGCGTACGGCATGAGCGCCAAAGCAGCATCGAAAACCTCCGATCCAAACTCGCAGACATTGAAGCCCAAATCCGAGAGATGCGAAAGCAAAAGGGACAATTGATGAACGAGATTGCGCAGAGGAAGAAGGATATCCGAGCATGCGACATGCTCCTCTCGCACGCGCGTTTCCTCCCTGCCGAAATACTCCAGCTGATATTTCTATACGCTCTACCAACGGAGGTATCGCAGCGTCACCAGCACTGGGCGTCCAAGTACGTCGACAACGCTCCCATCTCCCTCACTCAAGTCTGCAGGCACTGGAGACAAGTGGCATTGGGAACACCTGAGCTATGGACTTTGTTCTCCCTCCGAACGTTCAAAACATCGATGCTTCAGGTCCGAGGTGATGCCTTTGAGAGGATGGTAAAGGACTACTTCAGTCGAGCAGGCGACCTTCCCAAGTCCATCGACTTCCACTACGGCCTGGGGTTCACGCCGTCCCATATGAACACTCTCCTGCCATGTCTATTCAACTCTGTATTGGTGGAGAACCTCACACTGAGCTCCCCTCACCTCCTCGACACTAACAACGCCTTGAACGCGTACAATAGGAACGGGCGACTTACGAAACGTCTAACGAACCTAAAGTCGCTCGTCCTCCGCGAGACAGCTTCAGCGAACCGAGAATCAACGTTCACGATGCCCTTCCCTTCCAACCAGCGCGTCCTTTCCAACCTCACCCAACTCCGCCGAGTAGAGATAGAACATAGCCGGAGTGCGGACCTTTGGGCACCTGCACTCTTCGATTTCGACATCGACGCCGACCGTCAAGGACTACCTCTACCGTGGAATCAACTCACCCACCTCTCCATCGTACCCTGGATCACATACGAAACTTGGTCCCAGATGTTCAAATCATGTACTTCTCTTGTACGCGGAACGTTTTACATCGTCGATGGCGGCGAAACCGACGATACGGGGACCAACCTTATCCCCCTCCTCCCCCACTCCAATCTGATCGACCTAACTCTAATCCAAAAACACTTCACAAGCGAACCTTTTGTATTCGAAGCATACAACTTCCCCTCGCTTATTAGTCTCCGTCTCGGCGCGTACAACCAACCACACACAGCCAAAGCATTCGACTGGTCCAGGATCCGCACCCAAATCTTCAACCTCACCACTCTCTCATTGTACCACCTCACATGGGAGATGGCGGTGTCCGAGATTGTCCAACTCTTTCTTGCCACTCCGAATTTACTCTCCCTGGCGATGGGGGTCTCGACCGACTACAACGCGGTTTTTGAGCACTTCCAAATCGACTGGAACGGCCATGCGCTCCTCCCAAAACTGAAAGAACTGACACTCGATTGCGTCGATGCACGGTACAAGGACCTCGAGGATGATACTTTGGCTGGGACGACGACGTCCCGCTCCGAGTCTTCGAGGTTCCTCAGCCTCACTGCGGATGGGTTCTCCGAGATGGTCAAAGACCGATGGAGACCGGTAGAGGAAATTGCACAGATAGAGCGTGTATCGCTGTTCCTTCCACGAACACACGAACCGATGCTCGAGGCTGTGCGACACTCCCTTCGGCGAGAGGTGAAGGAAGGCCTGCACCTAACCGTCCAAGTATCCGAGAGACCACAATGGGACGATCCCCTCCTCGGAGGCTTGACTCACTGGGACGACATGTAGACTACAGGACAGCCATGGCTTGCACCAGGTGTGAGTTATCGGGTATCTCAATACACTTATGGAACGCAATGAAACGACTGTCGTTTTGATCAACCATTCGGGGAAGATTGGTGTCACCACATAAGTAAGCGCGACTCTGACTATTGAACCCATAACGTTCATCGTAGACGACCTGGGTCGCAACTGTGATAGTGTACCGAAGTACCACTCCACTCCCCTCGTCGTAGAAGTCTTGATATCGATTGAAGGGCTGGTACAAGGCACTGGATCCCATTTCTCCTGATGCAATGGGACTTCAGCTGCAGAAAAGCAACCGACTCCTTAAAGGGTTCAAAGACATTCGCGAGGGTTGTAATCACAGGAGGCCCACGAGGGAATGACTCAAATACACACGTGGATAATGCGCAGATTGGAAACGAAGTCAAGTTCATTCCGTAGGTCTACCACCAGGGTTTTACGACCTTGCTACATGACACGCACTACAGTAACTACAGTAAGGAGATGTAGTCAACATGTACAGGGGGGTAAGTACGAAACGTATGTAGCAGTTACATCGCGTGAGTTGTTATGGCATTTGTTACAAAAGTTCAGGGCCCGAAAACAGATAGTCCGAAAGGGTTCACCAATACGAAAGAGCGATGAATGTTCAAAGGGGATTCAAAGTAAAGGGCGAACGGCGTGAGACAATGTGGTCTGAAGTAAAACGGGGTAGAAGAACGAAAGCGAAGAAATTGGAAGCAAATAATATCGTGATGAATGTGTAGGAGCCATCCCGTGAGGGGATCGTGTTGCAGAGTACTTGGGGAAGGAGTTGAGGGAAAGCGAGGCAGGCACTGTGAGGCTCGAGCGCCTAGTGGCCGTGCTTGCTGTAGTCCGACTTGCCGTACCCGCCATACCCGCCATGGCCGTACCCGCCATACCCGCCATGGCCGTACCCGCCATATCCGCCATGGCCGTACCCGTCGTACTTGCCGTGGCCGTACCTGCCGTAGTCGTACCTGCCGTAGTCGTACCTGCCGTAGTCGAATCTGCCGTAGTTACGATAGCCGTCCTTGCCATGGTCGTACTTGTTTACGTCGTGACTTTGGTACTTGCCATAGCCGTCTTTGCCATAGCCGTAGGTGCCATAGCCGTCCTTGCCATAGCCGTAGGTGCCATAGCCATCCTTGCCATAGCCGTAGCCGTCCTTGCCATAGCCGTCTTTACCATAGCCATGGTCGTGGTGTTTAACGCCCTTGCCGTCGGCGACGGGGATAGCAGTGCCGTGAACGCCGGCAGTGAAGGCGAGAGCGGTGAGAGCGAGGATGGTTTTGAAGTGCATGTTGTGCTGGTTGTTCGGAGGGCGAGTTCGGTTGGGTACCCAGAGATGAAATCCCGAGTGAGGAGACTAGAGGTGCGTTTGCCTGGGCTTATATACCTTTTCGAGGCCGCGAAGTTTCCGCAAAGACTGGGAAATAAAACTGTATGAATAGAATGCATACTCCGAGAATAGACTGCGCTTTCTTCCCGCCTCATTTCTGCCAAAAAAAGCGAATATGCGTACGCTCAGTCACTTTGTGAACAAATTAGCATCTCGACTCCGCAGAGGTCTGAACCACAGATTCGTGCCCTAGAACAGCTCCTTCAGTGCTTGATAGAGCTCCAGAAAGGTCCATCCATAGTTTATGTATTCCCAGTCATTCTTTAAAGTGCAGTTTGCCTGTGCCTTTCGTCCCTCGTCTCCCGCCTTGGTATCGACTTTGGCGTCCAAATTTAGGTTCACCGTCGTCATTCTGGGCAATCGACTTTGATCGGCGTCTAGCTCTCAAGTCTCTTCGCCTTGAATGGCAATATATGCTTGGCTTCAAGTACTGGCGCTCCCCATATTACCATTCTGTGTCTCAGTGGGCATGGATACCAGTCTATAGTTATCACAGTGTAACCTGGAAGAAAGTAAGGCGAGGGGTTGAATGGACAGTGATTGATTACTAGGGACTGGGCGCGCATTCCCGCTGTTTGTACAGTGTCAAATTCTGCTCGAATGCACTCCGTCAAGAGCAAAAGGCGTCATTCTGTGGTGCTGCTGTTAATTGGTGCAGTTTGCGCGGTGAAAGTTCAACACGCATTGGCTACGAAACGTCTAATGAACCTCAAGTCGCTTGTCCTCCGCGAGACAGCTTCAGCGAACCGAGATTCGTCGTTCACGATGCTCTTCCCTTCCAACCAACTCGGCCTTTCTAACCTACCCCAACTCCGCCGAGTGGCGATAGAACATAACCGCTGTGCGGACCTTTGGGCAGTTGCACTCTTCGCTTTCGACATCGATCCCGACTGTTGTAGCATGTTGTGCAGATACCGTAGGTATGGCCAAGAAACCTTCCTCCCATCTTACTCTATTTAAGTATTTCCCTTCATTTCTACAGCAAGGTATAAAAACCGATATCTCAGTAACGACTTCACGATAGTATGCTTCCCGTTAACAATGTTTGTTATTATTTAACTCGAATGGCTTCGCCCTTACCTTCTTTCCCTGCGCTCGCAAGGTTTAGAACATTGTAGATAGTTCTGTACTTGCCTGGAAAGTAGTGTTTAAACAATATAAATGGATCTCCCTTCAGCTCGAAGGACGATACCCCTTTTTATGACCCTAAAACTTGACTTACCAACTACGTAAGAACCTCGTACAGCTTCGCGCTACGACCTTTGAGTTTTGGAACTAGAATAAGGCGTGCTTATCCTCGACCACTTCGTCCACACCAGTACTCAGAAAAGAAATCTCACATCGGTTAAGTCTGATACATTGAGGTTAGTATCACAACTGTAAACTAAGTAAGGTTCTACTCTACTATTCTAAATTCCCGGCTATCTTCACCCCGAAGACACCAACGTTTCGACATCTCCTAACACCGACCGTCAAGGACTGCCTCTACCGTGGAAATAACTCACTCACCTCTCTATCGCCCCCTGCATCACATACAAAACCTGGTCTCAGATATTTAACTCGTGCACTGCCCTCGTACGCGGAACGTTCTACATCGTCGATGGCGGCGACCCACATTAACCCCCCTCCTCCCCCACTCCAATCTGATCGACCTAACTCTAATCCACAAACACTTCACAAGGGAACCTTTCGTATTCGAAGCATACAACTTCCCCTCTCTCACTAGCCTCCGTTTAGGCACATACAGCCAACCACATACAACCAAAGCGTTCGACTGGTCCAGAATCCGCACCCAAATTTTTAACCTAACCACTCTCTCGTTGTATCACCTCACATGGGAGATGGATGTATCTGAAATGTCTAACTCTTTCTCGCCACTCCAAATTTACTCTCCCTGACGATGGGAGTCTCGACCGACTACAGCGCCGCCTTCAAACACTTCCAAATCGATTGGAACGGCCACGCGCTCCTCCCAAAACTGAAAGAACTGGCACTCGATTGACTCGACGCACGATATAAGAACTTTGAGGATGATACTTTGGCAGGGACGACGACGTCCCGCTCCGAGTCTTCGAGGCTCAGTCTCACTGCAGACGGGTTTTCGGAGACTTAACTCACTGGGACGGCAACGTTTAGCCTATACTAGCTACACCAAGTGTGAGTGATCGAGTACCTCAATACGTTCATGGAACGCAATGAAGTGAATATCGATTTTGTTTTCTAACATCAACCATTTGGGGAAGTTTGGTGTCACCAGATAGGTGCGATGTGCATTGGGCCCATAACGTTCGCCGCAACGCCCTGGATCGCCACGGTGATAGTGTACCGTTCCCACGGATGCAAACAGTGCGACGGCTATTGGTAGGAAGGATCCTTGGATCCAGAAGGTGTGTCTCGGATTCGAGAGGTGGGGCGAAGGAGCTCGGGCCAACTGCGCGTACTCGTTGGCATGGAAGGGGCCAGCACGTTACTATCGTCTCATGATGGCAATACATATATCGTAACATGAGGGCTTGCTAGCCTGTATCAAGCCTGTATATACAGTGACGATAGATTCCGTTGTGCGCGTATGTTTTTCGTATTGAATTTGAGCAGTTGCGAGAACAGAGAGATGGAAGAATAGATGGAAGAAAATCTCCTCGGATTGTCGGCTAACCTGGGATGGACATCGTTTTCCCTCGGGTAGACGACAGTTGCCCTTGGTCCCGGCAATTTACGGGGCTGATGAGGGGGCTTGGAGTTCTTCTCAGTTACTCAGCCTGGCGGTTACGGTGCCCGCGAGGCCACTGGACCTTGGAAACACACACACACACACTCCTGATGCAATGGGATGTCAGCCACTGAAAAGTAATCGACTGCTCAAAGGGCTCAAAGACATTCGCGAGCGATGTAGTCACAGGAGGCAGGGCCGCCACACTGCAATGGAATGACCCAAATGTACACGGGGATAAAGCAAAGATTGGAAACGAAGCCAAGTTCATTCCATAGGTCTACCTCCAGGGCTTTATGACCTTGCTACATAACACGAACTACAGTGAGTAAGAGATGTAGTCAACAGGTACAAGGGGCTGCGAAGCGTGGTTGAAGATATGTACATCGCGTAGATCGTTACGACATTTGTTACAAGTGTTCTGGGCCAGAAAGATCGAAAATACATAGTCCAAAAAGAAGGGCGACGGTTCAAAGGGGATTCAAAGTAAGGGGCGAACGGAGTGAAGCAATGGTAAAAAAGAGGACGGGAAGAACGAAAGGTTGAATGGAATCGGAAGCAGATAATATCGTGATGAACAAGTAGGAGCCATCGCGTGAGGGGATCGTGTTGCAGAGTATTGGGGGATGGAGTTATGGGAAGGCGAGGCGAGCAGTGTGAGGTTCGGACGCCTAGTAGCCGTGCTTGCGGTAGCCCGACTTGCCGTACCCGCCATACCCGCCATGGCCGTACCCTCCGTACCCGCCATGGCCATGCCCTCCGTACCCGCCATGGCCATGCCCACCGTACCCGCCATGGCCATACCCGCCGTACCCGCCATGGCCATGCCCACCGTACCCGCCATACCCGCCTTGGCCGTACCCGCCATGCCTGCCGTAGTTACTATAACCGGACTTGCCATGGCCGTAGTCGCGACTTTCGTATTTGCCATAGTCGAACCGGCCATAGCCGTCCTTGCCATAGCCGTGGCCGCCATAGCCGTCCTTTCCGTGGCCATCTTTGCCGTAGCCATCTTTGCCATAGCCGTAACCCCCATAGCCGCCCTTGCCATGGCCATCTTTGCCATAGCCATCTTTGCCATAGCCGTAACCCCCATAGCCGCCCTTGCCATGGCCATCTTTGCCATAGCCATCCTTGCCATAGCCGTCTTTACCATAGCCATGGTCGTGGTGTTTAACGCCCTTGCCGTCGGCGACGGGGATAGCAGTGCCGTGAACGCCGGCAGTGAAGGCGAGAGCGGTGAGAGCGAGGATGGTTTTGAAGTGCATGTTGTGCTGGTTGTTCGGAGGGCGAGTTCGGTTGGGTACCCAGAGATGAAATCCCGAGTGAGGAGACTAGAGGTGCGTTTGCCTAGGCTTATATACCTTTTGGAGGCCGCGTAGTCTCCAAAAAGACCTAGCATTAAACCCATAGAAATAGAATACATACTCCGAGAATAGACTGCGCTTCTGTCGAGCCTCATTTCTGCCAAAGAAAGCAGGTATATGTGCGCTCCGCCTCTTTGTGAACAAATTACTATCTCGACTCCGCAGATGTCTGAACGTAAACGCATTCGTGCCCTAGAACACATTCGTGCCCTAGAACAACTCCCTAAGCGATCTACAGAGCTCCAGAAAGATCTTTACATATTCTATGTATTCGAATTCACTCTTTAAAGTGCAGTTTACCAGCGCCTTTCCTCCCTGGTCTCCCGTCTTGGCATCGACTTTGGCGTCCAAATTTAGGTTCACCATCGTCATTCTGGGTAATCGACTTTGATCGGCGTCTAGCTCTGAATTCCTTTCGCCTTGAATGGCAATATGTGCTTGGCTTGAAGTACCGGGGCTCCTTGAGCCCATTTCGCCCTTCTATGTCTCAGAGGGATGAATACCAATCTATAGTCATAACAGCGTAACCTGGAAGAAAGTAAGGCGAGGGGTTGGTTGAATGGATGTTTGATTACGGACTAGGCGCATTCAAGTTCCCGCTGTTTGTACACTATCGACTTCTGCTCGAATGCACTTTGCCAAGAGCAAAAGGTGTTATTTTCTGCGGTGCTTCAGTGAATTAGTGCAGTTTGCGCGGTGAAACCCCAAAACTCATTGGCCCCCAACCACCCCGTTTCTCCAACCATGTAGATATTAAATACGTACCAGTCTATTCGCAGCGAAGCTATGAATAGTCCTGTGCGGATGGCCAAGGCAAACATACTAGGCGTGGAGGGTGAACGAGCTGGTCTAACTCCGCGTCCTGCAACGTACAGACCTGCTTTGCTTAGAAGGGCGGTAGAAGGAGAAACGATCACCGTCGAGGACTGGCCAGCGGATGCCAAGAATTCCCATCGACGAAAACAGGGGGAGCACCACCATGTCACCACCTTTCATCCCCATAACGACGGCGCCTCAGCGCCAGGAAATTGAATGGAAACTCCATCGTAAGGATGGGAAGAACAAACCATCCATAATAGCACAGAGCCACGAGCCAGCTGCATCCACGCCCAGCTGAACAGGGCTCAAGGGCGACTCGTCGCAGAGTAGTCGGAATCTGACAGTGTTTACTATAGTCCTGAAACGGCGATCATTGACATTGTGGAGAATCTGAACCACACCTCTACGACCGACTCCCACTCCCACTGGGTCCCGACTCACTCGTGACATCCCCCAAACAAATCATCCTAACCACATCCTTCACACTCCCTCCCTGACCACCAGACTCAACCTCCTTCAACACCCTCTGCACCTCCTCACTACTCCCCGCACCACTCGTCGCCACCACCTCCCTCAACTGCTCCACAAACCCTTGATACGCTTCTTCAACCCTATCACGAACGTGGTCGATGAGGATCTTAGCTGTGCGTCCATGCTGGTGTGACGATGATGGCGACGACGATGAAGAGGTCCGCTGCTGCTCGCCGTCACTTCCACTTGCCGTCCCTGAAGATTGGTATCCAGATTGCGTTGCCTGACCCTGTCCACCTTGACCGTGCTGCCCCTCCCCATCCGCATCCCCCAAATACAACCTAATCCTCGCAACATTCGCCCTCAAATCCCTTTCAATCGCACTCCTAAATTCGGTATACAAAGCAAGAATGTGCGTCGGATTGCTCAGCGTTGCAATATCCACTGCACCAGCAGCAGCAGTCTGGGGGTTGGCAGTTCGGGCTCCAGTCGGTGGAGACTGGGCGGTACGGAGGCTTGTGCCCGGTTTCGTGGCGGAACCGCTGCTGAGGGTTTGGACTCGTAAGACCCAATCGTCGAGAGGACCACAAATAGGGGCTACACTCGCGTTGATAACGTCTTCGCAGGCTCGTCGGAGGTCGTGGTCGATGCCCTGTTACATAGTCTGTGTTAAGCAGATGACTCAGTTTCTTTTCTAGCCGCGACTTACGTGCTTAGCCCCTCTAATGCTTTCATCTCTACTCACTCCCAAAGAGGCAAAAAGGCCTTCGGGAAGTATCGCAGTCGTCCGGTTGAGCATCGTAGTCAATGTCCCTACTCGATCGATGTCATTTCTCGCTCATTTTCCAAAAAATGAATACTGTACCTGTGACACCGCCCGAACTGGCAGGCTCTGCAGCCCCAAACCCAGAAACACCAGGCGTCCTCATCCCTGCACTCTTCACAGGGGTACTAGGGAACGCACCAACAGAGATGTCCTTCTGCTGCCCATTGGTAGATTCGCCTTCCAGGCTCTTAGCCACATCCTTCAATATAAGCAGGTGTCGCACAAGGAACAGGTGACCATCAAGGGGTGTACTAGGCGGAGGCCGGGCTTTAATCATGTCTCGTGCTGCGAGTAGCGATTGCCGGCAGAGTAGAGCTGCTTCTTGGGCAATGTCTTCGAAGATGGCAGGCTGTAGGCGGGCGTTAGCCTCCCAGGAACATTACGCCTCAACGTCCGGAGTGAACATACCTTCACAAAGTCGTGCAACTGGGAGAGAATCCAGACCATCTTCCGAACAGTCGGATACCAGGTTTCCTGTTGAGTGAGGTTCGCCTTGAAGATCCTGCTAACAGTCTCCTTCTCGCGTATCTCCGTCCCACTTTTAGGCTGGTTCGCAGCTAAACGCCGAGATGCCTCAGATTCTGAACACAACCGCGTTACACCAACAGCAAGACTCACCAACAATAACATCAGGCCAAGCCAAATCCTCCTTCTTCGGCGTATAATACTTTATGTCACTCTGAATGAGCGCCTGCGCCTTGAAAAACAACCTCGTCTGCGCATCCTGTAGCACCATCTGCAACAAATGGCGGATATGCAGTCGGCGGCCTACATGGCCCAGTTTGCCTTTGCTCTTGCGTTTGGCGGTCAGACTGGCAGTGTCCAGGTCCACCGTCAACTCAGAGTCGCTGTCGGCGTCTTCGTCGCTCGAATCTTCGTCGGATTCGGAGTCCGAGGTGTCGATTTGGGATGAGCTTGAGGCGCCGTCCGAGAAGAGGGTGCTGCTCGTTGAGGTTGATGTGGAGATCGGCGCGTCGAGGACCATGAGGGCCTGTAGGACTGTGCATACTTCGCAGAGAGCCGTCAGTCTCGGTTCGTGTAAGATGCGCGGTCGAAGGTCGTCATAGAGGAGGTCGCAAAGGGTTTCGAGGTATTGACTACATATCATTAGCAGTGGACATCTTGAAACGAGTAAAGGTCTTACTAGAGCTGGTCCTCAGCTGTACTGAAGAATTCTCGGTAGAGGTTGAATTCGTCGGTGCAGAGTTGCTTAAGATAGCTACAACCCGCTCTCGTCTGATCCATATCGTAAGGCCTGGAGCAATTACGATGTTGATATGATACTCACCAACTCTACCAATTCGCTTCGACTGGGATCCAACCCTCTGATTTCCTCCATGATCTTTGGAAGCAACAAAGCTTTCCTCGTGCTGAAGTAGGCAGAGTGGCATTCCGACAGAAGCGCGGAGAGTTCATCTGGATAGGATCGAGCACGCCTCTCAAGCTCGCCGAGTAGTGGTGCGACCTTGGCGGCGACTGACCGGAATCGTGTGTAAAGTAGGTGCATTTGGGCGGTTTGGGACACGTCCTGGGATGAGCTCTGTCAGCAGGAACTGTGACGAGGCATCGGGAATAGGTCGCACCTTTTCAGAGAGACGCCTTGAGATATCTGATGACAACGCTCGCAGTGAACCAACAAAGTTCATCTTGATCAGGGTCATAGCCCTCGTCATGCATTGCTGGAAGCGTAGCAGGTAGACTTCAGCCTCTTTGTAGTGCCTCTAGAATCCAAGTTAAAGGTGGGTATGATTGACAGGTTGCATAAAGTACTTACCCGTGACTTGAGGAATTCTATACAAATGTCGACCTTCTCCACCATGTACAGGAAATCGCTTTGGTAGATGAGCTGTTCTCCTGGATGGTTCAGCATTCGCGTCGCGATATCGAGTTGCTGGAAATATTCCAGATGTGAACCGATGTCGTCTGTGAGCTCAACGAGCTTGTCCTGAGCACACCATTCAGCACGATATCCAAGTCTATCCCCCGTCTAGGACGCACCTTCTCCTCCAGCAACCTCTCACAGGCATCCTTCAGACTCTTACCCCCCTCCTCAACACTCCTCCAATTCTCGAGCATGACATCCACCTCGCGCTCGATCTCGTCGACTTTGGACAACAAGAGGTCGCATGTCTCAAGATGCTGCGCAACCGTCGCGATATGCGCTCTGAAATGGGCTTCTTGGCTATGAGCGACCGAGCGGTCAATCAAGGCGAACCAGTCGTAGAGCTGCTGGGTCGTATGCACGGGTTGTCGAGGATGCAGCGCATGTGTTCCGGTGCGATTCTGGAAAGGATTCTGAGGCGTCGAGGGCCGTGAAGACGATGCGAACCGGTTGGTGGGCGTCGCTGGTGTCGATGGGTCGTCGTCGTTCTCCTCCGCGCTAAACTGCCATCGCCCTGTTCAATTATCTGGATTGCCGTAACTGAAGGCCATTCCACACACACCTTTAAAGGCATAGGGACCTTGTCCGTAGCCTGCTTGATAGCATTGACGCTACGTATCTCGAGGTCACCGAGCGGAGCTTTGGCCTCCCATTCCTCGACGCTCAGTGTCGGCGCGGCTGACGGCTGCTGTGATTTGAGAGGCGACGGTCGCGCGTACCCTGCATTGCTAGGCGGTTGTAGCAGTGACGAAGGGGCGTTCTGCGCTGTCCTGCGTGGTGATGCACGGAAGTTGGACGTTGAGCTCATTGCCCGCCGCGATGGCAAACAACTGACCCTTCCGCGTCTGCTTTTTGATCGCGCTGATCTCAACTTGGCGAGTCTTCAATTGAAGATCTTGTATTGTAGATATTTTAGAATTTAATTCACGAACTACGGGTGGGTATGACTGGATTCCCAACTAATGTCATTAACAGAGCACCGATGCAAATACAACCAGAAGATTTTTCATCTCCCACCTACACATCCCCAGCACGGCCAACGGGTATGATCACGACGGCACCTTTCAATCCCCTGACTCTGACCCTTCTCTGATCTCTCCTAATCACCCAAACAATTCATCCAACAGACGCCCGCCTTATAAAACCTTGAAATTGCCCGCACGCAAAGCCCCTTCCTCGTCAAATTGGGATACCTTGTCCAGCAACTTCTCAATGGTTTCGTCCCAGAGTTTCTGATGGCCTTCAGCGTACGCTTCCTTAGTTGAACGGGTGTTGAGGGACTGGGATAGCCATTCGATGGTGTCGTGAAGCTCGGTAGCTTTGACTTGCACATCAAGTCAGCGGAGATGAGGGAGGACGCCCATGTTGAGAGTCACTGGTCCCAAAAGTCCATCGGCGGGAATAGTTATGACAGTAAAAAGTACTGTCATCCTGACGTCCGAAGGCTCAGGTTGTCGGTCTAGAGGTGCGAGATAACACGGTCGATTGCAACCACACATTCGACAATGGCCGTCTAGATTATGAAACGTGGCTGCTGTCGGTAGGGCCCGAAGGTACGATGACGGGCCAGGTTAAGGGAATACGGAGTCAATGGTTTCCGTTGAAAGAGCCATAATACATCGTTCCGGCTGAAGCTGGTCGTTAAATCATCCTTCGGGTCAGAGAACTGTTCGTGTTGAGCGATTACTCTGCAGCATCAAGGGCCTTCTATCAAGCCCAACACTGGGAGAACATGTATCCGCGAAGATTATCGTCGCGGTCGCTGTCGTTGACGATGTCGAGCGCATGCGTCCTTCAGAGGTCGTCGTGGTCAAGGTCGAAGACCACAATTGTCTCAGGGTCGGCGCCTGTCGCAACGTTTGTGCCAAGCCAATACTGTCCCGGTCTAAAATTAGCGCCCACAGGTCACGGCCTGAATCGATGTGATCCCGTGCTCCTGGCATCATTGTGCCTGTCGAAGACATCCTTAAAAGCTTTGTTCTCAAACCACGACGACCGTTGGTGAACACTGCGGCCACACCCCCAAATCAACAACACCAGCAACGCCCAGCCATTTCATCGTGGAACAACCCAAGAGCATGGATGCCGGGTTAGTCGTCAGCCCCTCCTATAGACTGGGTGCGGCGTCGCTGAGCAGTACCTTCATCTAGATCACGTTCAACTACAGAGGCTGACAGCCTTCCGACCGAGATCATGCAAGAGATCTTGGAAAGGATCGACGGTGGCGATAAGAACAGCTCGCTGCGCATATGCTGCCTCGTCTCTAGACAATGGAGAGATCTTTCCCAACCTCTTCTTTTTCAAACCATTTCTCTATGCCAGCCATCCACATTCGAAGGTCTTCTGGACGCCCTACAACGGTCGCAGCATTTATCAGGCAGCGTCCAACGCGTCGTGATCAAGGCCGTTTATCCTGTGATATGGATGGAGCACCCGCCAGCTGCCAACTTGGCAGCCAATATCCTCCGGGCGCTTCCCCACCCGAGAGCGGTAGAACTGCTAGGTCCACGCTCGGGAATCCGCGTTTATTGGAACGAGAGGATGTCGTGGGCATTGCGACAGGCACTCACCGATCTCCTCGCGTCACCCCACCTCGTGGATCTCACCATCGACGGATGGAGATTTCCAATGCATCTCAGCAAATACTACAACCTCATTTTCGCCTCGCCATCGCTCAGACGGGTCAAACTGAGAAGGGCTTTTCTCGACATCTATAAACATGAGGATGAAGATTTGAAGGTTCCTCCTGCCGACCTCGAATACTTCGAACTGGACGTTGACTGGGATGTATATGGCCCCGATTATCCTCCTTTCCCTCCGTTCCCCATCATCTCATCAAAAGGTCTAAGATTGCGCTACACAGTTAAACTTTCATTCCAAGAAGAAGCGGTCCAGGTTTACCTCTTTCGAAGGATCGAGCAGCAGTTAATCCACTCGTTCGTACCGACAGTTAACCACTTGGAATTGGACGTTAGAGGTGAGATTAACATGGCTAGATCCATAACATGACATGGACTCACTGTACCTCTCTGCTGCCGTAGACATCTACAGCTGGAACTTGGAACACTTCACGAATCTCGAAAGCCTGGTCATCCGAAAAGACCCAGACACCCTATTACAGGCCTATCCTCGGTGGATGGTTGACACCATAAGGACCCTGAAGCGCAAAAATAAGTTACAAGCCCTCGAGTTGACACTCACTTTGATGGACCACGAAGGAACCCAACTATGGATACAGCTCCTCGAGAGTTTCGTTGGCGGAGAGTTCCCTGCATTAAAAACATTACATCTGCAACTTGCCGTCTCGGACGCTTGGGACGATTCAGTGCTCCGATTAGACCTGTTGGAGGCAGTCGGTATCAACTGTACATATACTATTTGTCTTGAGAAAAATATCAACCACATGCCGCAATAGCAATCGCTTTCAGCGGTAATACTTATTCATCATCGTGGCAATGTCGGTCCACTGAGGCTCCTATCTAAATCTTTGCGCTTTTGACGACATCGCCTCTGGATGAAGGAATCAACGAAGCACAGAGGACCAAGGAAAAAGAATGGGCCTCACTGGGAGTTGAACCCAGGACCTCCTCGATTTCGGACCGAAACCCAAACGAGGAATCATACTACTAGACCATAAGGCCACTGGCATGGTGTAACTTCCGTAGCCCAATGAACATTGTGCCAACTGGCAATCAATTCCGAACCACAGCAATCGGCGCCCACAATGCTCTTACTCACCTTACGGTTCAACTGGTTCAACTGCATGGACCACTTCCTCGACTCCGCCGTAAGATGTCCCAATGTTCTACCTGATCTGCCCAACTTTAACCCCAGCTTTGGACGCTTTTCTAACCCAAAACCTATCGCCCAACGACGACGACATTCCGTACCTGAAAATATCTGTTGGGAAGAACTAACCACGAGGCCGAAGCTTTAACCCTCCAGATCCTCAACTTCAACCCAGTCCCACCTACACTTCAAGATCGATACGTTCGGCTCTCACAGCAACGGAAGGACCTCCAGACGGTGCTATCTCCCCTTCGACAATTCCCTCTCGAATTAGTGGGCGAGCTGCTTAAAGCTTCCCTGCCTGCTGGAGCCGCGGCACCGTGCCACATTGAGTTAACTCGACGGGAACGCGTGCACTTTGCAGTTCTCCTGTCAACATGTAGATTGAGGAGAAGAGCGGCATATTCGACACCTGCCCTGTGGGTAAACGTTTCGCTGCGACTTGACAGAGTGGTCCTGTTCAAGGCAGATTTCTGGACAGCTTTGTACGACAAGCTGCGAAATTAGCTTCATCGTGCAAGAGACCAACCCTTGCGCCTCGGGCTTGCGACAACTCGATCGGAAACGATCCACCATGCAAATCATTAGAAGACTTTGGAAGATCTTTGGGTCCTCTACGGGAATCTCGCCGATGCGATCATTGTACTCTCTCCGACTCGTCCCTGCACAGTCACGGTCCAATGCTTGCTTCACGTCTCAGCGACTTACTCGCTGCCGATGCAGCTGCCTCGCAGTTTTAGATTGGGTAGTAGCCTGGTAAGAAAGTCATACATGTGTTGTTTTCGGCGTGAGTCCATTCCTTCCTAGTACCCCCAAATAGTTGCTTCATCGCCAAAATTAGAAACCGATGCATTGGGCGCCTATTTCAAAGTCGACTTGTGACTGGTGACGTAGCAGATAGCCCGTCTTACCTGAGCGCTTGGTGGAGCCTGTCCCAGTCTCCAGCTGTGACAGCTCAACTACTTAGTGGCGAGCTATATTGATGGCCAATGGTACGGTCTCGCTCGCTTACCGAGAGTCGGGTCCCCTGTTCGCGCCATATTGTCGTGGGAAGCGCCTGCATCCGAAAACGGAAAAGACAGGTGGCACAAATACCATCCTTCCTTGTCCCAAGCCACCAGCAAGCCACGATGGCCAGCAGTGCAGGTGGGCTTGCGTCGCGCAGCCCGTCCCTGGAGGCACGGGGCCTTCGCCTTCCCCCGGAGGTCATCTACCGCCTCATTGACCAATACCTCGGCCTTGACGAGTGGAAAACGCTCTCCAGGTCCTGTCGGGCCCTGCACAGGCGCTGCCGCAAGTACATCTTTCAAGAGGTGGAGCTGTCCCGCCCCATCCCCATGTACGCCAACGGCATCCAAGTTCCACCACCGATCGACGAAGAAGAGGGCTCAGCCCCGCCCACCACCTTGGTCGAACGCTTCGAGGCGCTCCTCAGACGATCTCCCGACATTACCAATCTAATCAGGAAGTTTAACATTCACTCCCTACCAATGTCGACGGGTGCCTTCTGGGAGAACCTATGGCTTTCCCGAGAAGAAAGAGCGTGGCGTTTCGTCCTCACGCAGGAGTACAGCGCACTGCACGAGCTGGTCATCGAAGCGAAGTGGCAGGTCGTCTTCTCAAGGATCAGACCCGAGATTCAGACCGCTCTGTTCAAGTTCGTCCAATCCCCCCGCCTCTGCGTCGTCTCCTTCGCCATGCGGTCATTCCCGGTTTCTCTCATCGAGAACTGCTGGAACGCTTCCCGCTTCAGCTTATGTGGTCAAGTCGTTCCCCATGATCCCAAGATTCCGCTTCCTCCCGTTTCCAAGAATAACGTCAATCGTCGAGCCAGACCATGGCAAGTGTCGATGTGCCATGTGCCTGACGAGTCGGTTTCGCTTATCACCAAGAGCTCCAAAATTGACATTGGAGAGTTGGGCATGCTGAACTTCAACGGTATCGACGGATACTCGTTCGCTGTTAGCGGCCTGGTTAGAGAGAGCTCTCCCTCGCTTTGTTCTTTGATTTTGACAGTCAAAAACCCTGCGGTCTCGGGTAAGTGAACAACACGTCCTCCTGATCCATGTACTGACGTTTAAACCCAGTCCCGTTGCCGCTTGGAAGGCTGTTGAAGCTCCAGACGCTCATTGTCACTATCGAAGCGCATGCCATTGTCTCGACGCTGAACTGGCTCGACCTCTCGGCTGCGACTATCCCCTACGATGAACACCAAGGCCTCTGGGGGGAAATCACCTTGGCGTTGTGTGCGGGCATGGAAAATCCGGAGGAGGCACGGCTGATTCATGTGGGACTTTGGAAGGAGGTGCAAAAGCTGGAATCCGTCTTCCCTAACCTTCGAAAGGTTAACATTCGGGGGACGACGCGGGGACACGAGGTGGATGGAACGATCAAGCTGCTGTCGCTTGGGCTTTATCACGCTGATCGAAAAGATCCTCTCGAGGACTGGAATTGCCAGAACTGCGGACTTGATAACGAATAGGTTGGCACACGGGGTAAGGGCATATTATATATACATCGAGGTTAATGTTAGACACAGTACCATAGAATAATGTTTTTAATGTTGGAAAAATTGGCTCTACGGCTCGGGGATGATGCTCGTGGATAACGCATAGTATCAACTTTCAGGTCGTTGGCCTACTAGCCGCGTTGAGAAGTTCCACTTCGAACGGGATGCCCAAAGCCTCTAAAGCTTCGTAAACTGCTTTGATGAAGGAGTCCGGAGGGGTGTCCTCTCCTACCAAACACTGTACCAATATGATCAAGCGCTCGAGGTGGTACCGATTTTCGCTCAGCGAAACGACGTCCCCTATCTTGTCGGGGGTGAAGTACCCCAAGTCCAGGCTCTGCCACCATAGTATACTCTCGTGGGGACGAATACTCGGGGGCCAGACAGCAAGCGCAAGGATTTTGAGCGACTTGGAAAGGTGCTTGAAGAAAGCCTTCTCGATGGATCCTGCATATCGGAAGTCGATGAGGGACTGGCATTCTTTCGCGATGGCTGTCGCCGCGGCGGAATGAGATATGGTGGCGGCTGTTTCTGGTGCGAGGTACATCCTCCCGTGATGGAAATGGATGTGGAGGATGGTCAACCCCTTCCCAATGCTGTTGGTGCGTAGCATCGTGACGATTCGGTTGGGATCGAGGCTCGTACCGCCTTTGACTCGGAAGTCCCGCAGTTGCGACTGATGAATTCTTTTCTTGTGCTTGGGACAATAAGTGAGAGCCCCGATGCGCTCGAATAACTTGAACGCATCACATTTAGCAATGCAGCAGTTCTGCAGCACCAGCTTCTGGAGACACTGGAATTGCTTTGGAAGGTGGAAGGTGGGAGGTGTATCGCTATCGTAGTACGACCATTCGTGGAGTTCCAGTGTCTCCAGACTCTGCCCAAGGTGCACCAATGCGAGGGAAACGGGGATGGCCTGGAGGAAGGAGAGAACAAGGTGTTTAACTGTGGCAGGGGCGTTTGGAATGGTCTTGGGACCCCAGTTCCGCTTCATGTATACCTCTCCGCCTTCTAGGACGAGTCGTTCGATGTGGATTCGGGTATGAGCGTTGCCCAGGTACTTCTGGAGGTGACGGTTGACCAGAGCTGCGGATACCCCTCTCTCCTCTTCAGTAATCGGACGATCACCATAGCTTAGATCGCATATGGTTATAGCCCGTATACGATCGACGTGATGGCGGAGGATCCCAATGGTTTCACGAGCGATTGACAAAGGATGAGAGGGTAGGACTACGTGGTTATAGATGAGGTCGCACAAAATTGCGTCCCATTGTTGACAGACACTCCGTATAGATGCTAAATGCTGGAGCCGGCGATGGTAGAGCTTGAATATAGGCAAAAGAGAGCATTCCGACAGTGCATAGTCTGCTGGCGTCCAAGGAGTTGCTGGTGCGAGATCTTCCAAAACCTCCAACCATAGTTCTGTTGGAAGAAGGGTGTATGCCATAGCGGTGAGGTCCTGTGTAACGGTAGGAACGGGAGTGAGTGAAGGGGACAGAGGCTATCCAAGCACGCCGCAGATGATCAGATCTGGAAATTATGTCAGCGCTTAAAAGGCGTTTTCCTTGTTTACCTCGAGTTAAAATTCGCCCCCATAGCTGCAAACGCAGACGCGTTGAAAAGCAGATTGAGAGATTGACGTTCTACCATATACCATATATCCGATTGATAGTGATGCAAAATAACAGGCAGCGCCTAGTAGTATTACCGAATTAAATGGGACCAAAAAGAGCTTCAGTAGTGTGTGTGCACTAGATGCCGACTGCCTCCAACAAAGGTAACTGAAGAACTGGCACGACGTCATGACCACTGGACCGCGGGATCAGAGGAGCCATTCTGCGCTGGCCTACGTCGTACAATTTCTGATAATTAAAATTCCTTAGTCACCTTATTTTCAACTTTTTCAACTAAAAGATAGAATTCCGAAAACCTGAGCTATTCTCGAGTCATGAAATAATATACAGCCACTTTTTTACTTCTAAGTTCTATTCCGCTGCTGCTTCCAAGGTCGACTTTGATGGTGCTCCTTGGCTTGCACTTGGCATAAGCCATCGCCGAAACGGAGGCAATTTTGGTCTTTGATCTTGACCGCGACGTTCTCCAAGAGAAATATGTTCGACATCGTCAACGACAGCGACAACAGGGACAATCTGCGCCCATGAATCTACCCTCGAGCTGGATATGCCATCTTCGGCTTGATGGAAGGCAAACAGAAGCTCCGAAGTCTAAAAATATAACTACGATTGCGAGGTTGATTTCGTAAAACCCCGCCTTTGGGCAGTGACCACGACCACGACGACGACGAAACTGGACACGGAAGCCTCTCACGAGGGACACAAGAATGCCAGATTTCTCTCAGAAGGTGTTCCAGGTGTTCCAGAGACGGGCGGTCAGTGAAGAGGTACGGGTCGAGAGTCGGACAGGCCTGTTGAACGCGTACAACTCGCTGAACGATATCGCAGGGCGGGCTGCTCAGTGCCCAAGACCCCACAGAGGTCGATGTTAATGACCCCATACGTCTTTGGATTGTGCAAGTTGGTGGGTATTCATGGCCCCAAAGGGGACAACTCGCCCAAGGAGATAACGGCGCACTGACCATGTTTGTCGTCCAGGCATCATAATCTGCACGGCGAGTCTCCTGTCGTTTGGCCTACGGAAGCTTCACCAACCAAAGGTCATTGCTGAAGTGCTGGGCGGGATTCTACTTGGTACGCTGGCATAGTGTTGTCATCGCGCTTTGAGCTCACATCTTTGCAGGACCAACGGCGTTTGGTAGGTTCTCATGGCCGACCCCTGAGCAAAAGCCTAATGCATCACATCCAAGGTCGAATTCCCGGTTTCACAGAGCACATATTCCCTGAAGCATCTCGCGGATACTTGGGGCTTGTCGCCGATATTGGACTCTGCCTGTTCCTGTTCCTCGTTGGCCTAGAGATAGACGCTGGCGTTATCCAGCGGAATGCAAAGTTATCAGCTACTGTAGCCCTGGCGGGGATGATCCTTCCATTCGCCATTGGTTCGGGCTTGGCGGTTTCCATATATAAGGAATTCATCGACCCTAGGGTCGAGTTCACCCATTTCATGCTCTTCACGGGCGTGGCATATTCGATTACCGCCTTCCCCGTCCTTTGCCGTATCCTTACAGAGCTGAAGCTTTTAGATACCACGGTCGGTATCGTGGTTCTCTCTGCAGGCGTGGGCAATGATATCAGTGAGTGGCCATCCCGCTTCCTCTCCTACGACTGCTGAACCTCTTCCGTAGTCGGATGGACCTTACTCGCTCTGAGCGTTGCACTCGTCAACGCAGGAACTGGCCTCACAGCGCTCTACATCTTATTGATCTGCGTAGCTTGGACTCTCATCGTTCTGTTCCCTATGAAATGGGTCATGAAGTGGCTAGCTCGCGTCACAGGCTCCAGTAGGTATTCTTTGCCAATTGAAGTGACGAGACTGGCTGACGGCGCGGACTAGTTGAGAACGGACCAACTGTGTTCTTCATGACAGTCACCATGCTGGTGCTCTTCGGATCGGCCTTCTTTACCGACATCATAGGCGTACATGCCATCTTCGGTAAAGCATATTCCCTTCACGACTTCTTCCACTCTCTGAGTACCCTCGACAGGTGCATTTTTGGCCGGCCTGATTGTGCCGCGGGAGGGAGGGCTTGCCATCGCACTGACCGAGAAACTTGAAGACATGGTTTCTATCATTTTCCTCCCTCTGGTACATTTATCGTGGTCAATATCCCACCCTTTCTGACTAACTTCCGACAGTATTTCACCCTCTCTGGACTGTCCACAGACTTAGGACTCCTCGACAGCGGTGCGCCATTACTCTCTCCTGCCTCTGCTTGTTCCTGACCATTGTCCAAGGCAAGACGTGGGCATATACCGTTGCAATCATCACCACTGCGTTCGTTGGAAAATTTGGAGGATGCTTCTTGGGCGCCCGCTACGTAGCTGGATTCGACGTGCGTGAATCTGCTGCAATCGGCTCTCTCATGAGCTGCAAAGGGTGAAAACAACGTTGCTATCGGAATAATGAAAACGCTGACAGTATGACACAGATTGGTGGAGCTGATTGTCCTGAACGTTGGCTTATCCGCTAAAATCCTTTCAAGAGTACGCATTCATTTCATGGGCGGTATTCTCCGGCTAATTTGGTCCAAGCGTGTTTTCTCCATGTTCGTGTTGGAAGCGCTGGTCCTGACGTTCGTGACCACTCCACTCGTTACGTGGCTTTATCCCCCGAACACTCGGGTCCGCGTGGCTGCACACGGCTCGAACTTCAAGCACGTCGGTGACGGGGAGGCAGGGGAAGAAGAGACGCACCCGCCTTCTCGTGCAGGGGCTCGCAAATCTCGTTTCACGATCGTACTTGACAAATTTGAACACTTGTCAGGTATGATGGCTCTGACCCAGCTGGTCAACCCGTCGCCTCCAACTGGGAAAGAGGCCCCTCAACCTTCTTCCGCAAAAATGGTCAACCCAAATTCGCAGCAAGTCTCCATTGAAGCCCTACGAGTCATGGAGCTCACTGACCGTGTGTCCGCCGTTATGAAGTCTTCAGCGGCAGAGTCAGTCCTCCATAATGATCCCTTGCTCTCAGCCTTTCGGATGTTTGGAGGGCTCAACCAGATCAATATCGACCCCTCTCTCGTCATCGTCAAATTCGAACAGATGGCTTCCAGCATCGCGGAGCAAGCAAGGAATTATGGTTCAGATTTGATTCTAATCCCCTGGCTCTCATCTGCTCAGGATACTTATGCCAATGTCCCTCATCACATAGAACCTGGCCAATCGCACTTCGAACCCACCACAGCTCCCAACACTCCCAAATTCAGCGCGCATTCTGGTACCCCGAGGCCGACCACAGCACCGAATACCCCAAAGTCTCCCATACCAAACCCTTTCGATATGCTCTTCAAAGCTTCGACCCATCAAGTATCAGCCTCGGTCATCCACTCGCAGTTTGTTAGGAGCGTGTTTTCTCAAGCTACTACCGATGTTGCACTCTTCGTCGATCAGTCGATGTTGGAAGTCATAGCTTTGTTGAATGGGAGGCAGCATCTGTTCCTCCCGTTCTTTGGCGGCCCGGATGATCGCTTAGCCTTGGAATTCGTTGTCCAGCTCGTGGAAACTAATACCAATATCACTGCGACGGTGGCAAGGATCACCAGGCGTGACGTTGGGGACGTATTGGATGGTGCTCTCAAAAGGCCCGAGGATGTTAACGTCCTGACTATCAGTTCAGTACGTAGTAGTACCTTCCTCTCGGGATGTCACATGCTAACAGAGGAGTCATCCAGAACGTGGGCGGTTCGTATCCTGATACGATATATCCCCACCATGACTCGGCCACGAAGCTGCAATCCGAGACTGCCGACAATGTTCTTTGGGCCAGGTTTGCCAAGTTGAGGGCGGGAGCTTCCGGTGCCAGCGAAAATGGGTCATCTCAGGGACCCACTTGGACCAACCCCAGAATCGAATTCAAGGAGATCGACACTCTCGCTCCCTTGCACGTGGCACTTCAAGAGGCAGAACGATGCTCTAGTAGATTGCTATCCGCCTCAACCGGCGATCAGGATGGCGAGGTTCGGGATGACTCAAAAGCCACCCCGTCTCCATCTGAGATTCGAGCCAGGACAAGCATCGCGATCAAAGTCCAACAGCCTACCGAGGACGAGATCGACTTCGAGCCAGCGGAAACCCCTGTCACTCCCACTACGCCTACCACCCCGAGAGTCTGTGTCGATGGCCCGCTGATGGTCGTGACTGGTCGGTCGAGGCGCCTCGCGGCCGAAGATCATAGGATTGAATTGAAAGAACTCATGGAGGAGCATGGAAGGTTGGGCTCGGAGGTCCGCAAAACAATAGGGGATGCGGCGAGCGCGTTCGTTATTGCGGATGTTGGAAGTGGTGTTTTAGTGTTGCAAGCCGCCACTTGCATGTGAGGAAGGAGATGGTGTTTGGTTTCTCATTCGTGGTCATTCTTCTGTTTCTGTTTTCTAGTTTTAGCCGCGCTAGATGGAGCATACATGTAAGCAAGGCTGTTCGACCCTCCGTAACAAAATCCGCAGCTAATATCGCCGTATGCGTAAATGACAGGTTCGTGTTGGCCCCTGTTTTCATTCTTCTTTGGTGAGTCTGACTTTATTCATCGATGAAGTCGAACTAACAATAGGGATTTGCCCGCAGGCTCGTCTGTATCCTTCTTCCCTGGGCCTGGACATGGGACCCATGCACGCGGAAATAAGAGCGTTGTGCTGGAGTGCCGTCCTTGCCATCCCCGCTTTACAACCCTTTCGAGGCCTGGTTCTTTCTGGTCCCATGGATCTTCCTGTTCTTTTTCTCACCCCCGGCTTCTGACCAGGTCCCAAGAAGCGAGCGGCGATAGGTGCACAAGGTTCGGCGCAGATTATCGCCGTACGCTGCTGAGCCTATCGTGTAATTCTAGAGGTCTTTTGTTTCTTTGCGAGAGGTTGCGCGCTATGCGGAATTGTGATTGCTGTTGCACCAAGCGACACCAATATCCATCAACTTTGCTTCCGTATGGAATTGGAAGGCGCTCCTGGCCGCGTTTCAGGCTGTGATGGATTTAGCGCCCAGAGATATAGCCTTGGAGTTGATCAAAGGTTTGATTCTTGAGTCCCAAGGTTTCATAGCTAACTTTCTCGTTAGTGCATCTTTGATTTAATTGGGATTCTACCCGGGGGCACGAGCTCTTCAAACGATGTTTCTTGGGCATTTTTCCTTCGGTTGGTTACTGCACCGGAGCTTGACAACTGAATACGTCGTCGGTCGGGACCTATTCTCGGGGTACTTGACAACACCTAAGTAACTATTTGCACACGGGCCGATCAATTGGGAGCCTGATTTTCTCCCATCTCCTTCATTTCTCTCTTCATCACAGCCGATGCACGCCTGAAGGGGATCAATTGAACCATCATTTGGAGTTTGGCAGCATATGTGATGGTCTCCTTGAGAAATCAGCTATAGATCTGCCGTCCTCTATCCCCTCTTCCTTGTTTATTGTTTGGCACTTGTGACGGAAGCTCAAAGAGTCTTTTCACTCGATCTTCCACCATATACCATCCCTTCGCTTCTTTTCCATTCTCCATCGACCATGACACTTGCAAGAGTTATCACGCCCCCCAAACGACCGTCATCGGCACCCAACCTCACGACACCAGAGGTTATAAGCCAGCGTATAGACGAGGAGTTGAGAGTGCGCAGTATGGATTTGTAACACTGGTCATGAACTGACGTATGTTCGTTGTTCGCGCCCACAGAGAGAGGCGGCGCTACTTAAGGAAGCGAAGCGGAAGGAAGTCAAAGGTACAAGGCTACTGGTCATAGGTGAATGCAAGATTAGAGGCTCAGCATTCCACAGTACTACTTCTTGGTCAAGCGGAGTCTGGTGCGTAGCTTTCTGAATTGCTGTGCGATCATCGAGTTGACCGAGGTCGGCGTCGGCGCATCCCTCAGGCAAATCAACACTCCAGAAACACTTCCAACTTCTCTATGCAGAGGGCACCCTCGACTCGGAACGGCCTTACTGGCGACCTGCGGTCTACTACAACATTATCAAGGCTGCGCGCATGATTTTGGCAGAGCTAGATTACGAATTCGCCGCCCGTTCTCCAGGCGACATGCATACCTCCGACGACGTGGTGCACCAGCTGATGGACGTAAGAACGGCACTATTGCCTCTCATCTCTATGGAAGACGCTCTTGCTTCAGAGATCAACGGCGGAGTAGCGATTTCAGGTGGACGTAGCGGCGCATATGTTCGACCGGGCTGGCAGAACTTCCTTTCCCATAATCAAGCCAGCATTGCGCTTCCTGAGACGGCCATGATGGCCGCCAAGATGCTTGCACGGGTTGCTAATGAAATCAGGACACTCTGGGAACACCCTACAGTTCAGTACTACATCGAACAGCGCAAGATTCGGGTCGAGGAGTCCGCCGCTTTGTAAGTAGTCACATTGGCTCTTCTGGATGCGGCCTGACAGTGATCTCGTATGTTCTTCACAGCTTCATAAGTCATATAGGTCGGATAACACAGCCAGACTACCTTCCAACGACCGGTGCGCACGTACCCCGAAGTCTTCCCGGTAACAAGGTTTCGACTGACATCTTTAATTGAAGATGATATTCTGCGAGTACGGTTGCGGACACTGGGCGTCATCGAGCACAACTTCTCAGTTCCAATGGGTGGAGTTCTGTACAATTGGAGACTCTTCGATGTGGGGGGCGCGGTATGTTCCCGCTCGTTCAGATTCTCCAGGATTAGCGTTTAATTCATTCCTTCTCTAGCGTGGTCAGGTATGATGCATCACATTATCACCTTCCTTCCATTAATCCGGGGCCAATCCTTTAATAGCGCCAAGCATGGGTCCCCTTTTTCGATGACGGTATGTACCTATCGGGACTCCTCTCTGGATTCTTCGATTCTCACCTCGGCTTCTCTTAGCTATCTCTATCATTTTCCTTGGTGGGTTTGCTTCTTCACCGCTTTCTTCCCCCCACCTTACGCCATCCCAAGCTCCAATAAGCGCTTTCGACCAGGTGAGCAAATCCGTCACAGCCCATCTCTTATCTCAACTGAGTTCGGCGATTTTTGCCTCTGTGGCAGTATCTCGAAGAAGACCCCAAAGTGAACCGAATCGATGATTCGCTCCAACTGTTCACCTCGATCTGCAAGAACAAGATATTCAAGGACGTCCATCTCGTTCTGATGTTGAACAAGGTAGGAGAGGTTCTTGGACACAATGGTGACCGTGATAACCTCATGGCTGTTCTGCTAGACCGATATTCTCAAGCAGAAGTTGGCGGCCAACGTCAAGATTCGAAAATAGTGCGTTCCTTTGTCAAGGGAATATCATCAGATGACAGGCACGCTAACCGTCCTGCAGTATCACAAGCTATGGGGACAGGGCGAACAACTACGAAACCGCCTCTGCCTATTTCCGTCAACATTTCGTGCACGCTCACAAGAAAAACTCTGCCGAGACTAACCGGCAGCTCTATTTGGTACGTTCATCCCTTCAGCTCGTCGCAGAATATCACTGACTTGCTGTGCCATCGACAGCACTTCACCTCGATGATGGTAACCTTCAACTTCTTCCCTTGCGGCGTACGGCCCTCTGATGGATTTTACAGGATACGAAAGCAATCCAGAGTATCATCGCTGCCGGTAAGCAAACTTGTCATTTTCTCGAGTCGATGAACGAGGCTAATGGGTATCATAATAAAATCAAAACTAAAAACGAATAAAAACAGTCGGTGAAGCCATCCTGCAAAAACATATCACCAAAGTAGGGCTGATATAGTCGATGTACAAGAAAGGCCTAGTCGCTGGCATACTACTACGCCTACTACCCCCTCTCCTGCCACCTCGTTTGTTGTATTTATATATAATAGTGTTGTAGCATTATAAATGAACTGTACCATAGCTAAGCTTATGTCGTAACGTGTCGTATATACTGGTCAATCTGGATTTTGTCTTCTCCCGGTTCACTTTGATGTTGATTTGCGGTAGCTCCAGGTTCCAAGATGTCGGTGATGTGTTGCATATGAAGAGGCGGCATGTCGAATAATGGAAAATGATTGCAGGGAGCCCTCGTTCGATGTTTCCTCCCAAGAATTATGTGCCGGCTCCGAGGAGCCTTCCACCACCCCGACCAACGTTCCGCCCTTCAGTTCTCGTATCGACTGATCCTGGGCGACAGCTGACGTTTCGACCTCTGGCTCTTCAGCCCAAGATGATATAACCGCAACTCCGCTCTGTCCTTGAGGCCTGCCAGCTGCGTCTCTGCCCTGATGAACCCCGCCCGAGTAGGAGAAGCGAAGAGTCCGATCTCGACCTGCTTCAGCGAGGAGAACTCGGACTCGGACAGCAAGGACTGGAGGTGCTCCCATCCATCAAGTTTGTTGGGGTCGATGAAGAACTCGAGGGCGACGCGTTCGATGATACAGGAGGCGGACGATTTGATGCAACAGAGCAGTTCAATGGCCCATTCGAGGGCTGTGTCTGCCTCTTCCAGTGTCAAGCGGACTGAGCGGAGGCACGTAGAGTGGGACAGGTCCAAAGGCCGCACTAGAGCCGCAGTCAGGTCAAAAGGAGGGGCACATCGGAGAGGAGGAACGGACGGTTAGATAGGTATCGAGTAAGGAATAGGGACAGGTGAGCTTACCTCTCCATTGCCCAGGCTTCAAATGGAGGTGTTCGAGAGAGCCGCTAACCGCCAGGAGGAGCTTCTCGATGACATGGAGGTCGGAGAAGTGGGACACCCGCAGTTCGCGTAATGAAGAGACGTCGACCATGGGTGTTTCTCCAAATAACCAGTAATCCAGATAGCCAAAGGTGACGTGGTCGAGTGTCAGCACCTCCAGTTTGGAAGATGGAATCACATCACAACCATCCCATTCCTCGATAACACAACCCAACCTGTGCTCAGCGAGATCGTCGTCCTCGACTGTGGTTGATGATAGCGAAAGGCCTTTCAGGTTCTTGCAGTGTGACAGCAGGACGGCGAGAGAGGTATAGTTGGGGAAGCACCACGAATGGAGTTTGAGATAGGTGAGCGAGGATGATGTGGCGAGCAGCGAGCAGAGTGCGTTTTGAAACGCGGCTGGGAGGGTCCTCCAATAAAAAATCGACGCCGAAGAGATTTCCAAATGCCGCAAATTCTTCAACCTCTTGAAGATGCTTAACAGCGCTGGCTCCGAGGTGACCCACGTCGCTGACTGGAGCTCGGGATGTCTGATGTGCATTGGTGCGCCTTCGCAAATTTCCAGCTCTCGAATGTACCCAGCAATCTCGGGAGCACTCTCGATGACCGAGAGGAGCTCTTTGCAACGCCCCGAAGGAAACTGGGTTACCCCGTGTCCGGTCCACGCCTGGAGGCAGACTTTTGCGAACAGGTGGTACCTGCTTGTTGGCAACCAGGCCTGGGCGACGCGAGAGCACGCTCTCAGCGTCTCATAGTCATTGTAGAGATGGTCGATGACATGGTCCACCAGCTCTTGAGGAAGTCGAAAAGTCGTAGTCGACATGTAGGAGTTTCGGAGACTCAGCCTCATGAAAGCTCGTCGACGAGTGGGAACTTCTGGTGCTCAATGAGGGCCGTGTGCAGTGCGAAATGACGAGAATAGCATACCTGAAGTCAAATAGTGGAAGGGAAGTCAATGGACTTGGCGGACGGTGGGCGACATAGAACAGGAAGCGAGTGAACGTGCGGGAGAGTGTTCAGCCTTCCTATATGGATGCATGGTGCGGCGCTGGAGGTCACGGTTTCTGAGCGTGCCTGCAGGACCATGATGTGATCGATAGCGCATCGATCACAGGGGCTTTTGCCCGGTCCGACCTTGACGCAAAAAGTCCCGCTGGGATGATGTTCGATGTCCTTTTGTGGCGCTAACGAGGTCGCGTGATGTGGGGGAGGAGGGGAAAAGGCAATGTTTATTCCATTTGGACCGACGCATTAAGGCCAAACGGACAGTAAAATCGTATGTTATTTCCTGGAGACGAGTAAGAAATTGACAGGTGAACATAGGACGCGACTTACACACAAAGGAATCCGCTCCATGACGCTCCAGTGATGCTGCTTATGCTTGCAGTCTTGAGAGTTTCCAACGGCCGGCCAGATACCTGGGCCTTGAACCACAGCCGTGATAAGCACTTACCCAACTAGGGTCAAGCAAGTAGGTGTCAATCATACCAAGCTGTGCCTTACCAGCTTTGGAATGTTTTATCTGAACTCACCTGTATGTAAACGGTATGGAAAGCGCGCACCAACCCCACGGAGACGAGCGCGACGTCAATTCCAAGCCGACCGACATAAAGGCACACCAAAGAGGGACCTAATAACTCGCTATCACCTAACATTATTATTGCATCAGAAAATCAGAAGCTCGTGTTGAATTGAAGGGATGTTGACCGACCATACTTGAGGAATGCGACGTCAACGTTTCGCCTCCAGTAATCTAGACCATATGTGTATGCATCCTACAGGTCAGCAAAGCGTCTTGGATAAAGGTGGCTTGGTGACATAATTTAATTCACCTTTATTTGGAGCACGTTGAAACCGCCTGTCTCGGGAGGCAGGCAGCCAACATTCATGCAAACAGAATCGCCGCGAGTGGCAAGTCGGTTCTTGCTCCGCGTCGACGTCGATACGTTGGGAGGTCCGGGGTCACAAGGTCATAGAGAATATATGATATTTTCCTTGGCCTCGACGTAATTGGTCAATGGAAGACAGACAAACACAAAGCGTTTGTTGACTGTCATTCAAGACCCGCTGTCCAATTCGAATCCCGAATGAGCCAGAGGTTTAAGTACCTGGCAAGCCTGGCTTCATTGACGAGCACTCGCCCGTTTCTACGCTTATTCCTGGAATTATCAAGGGCATCATACGGTCAATAATAGTCTCCATGTATAGGGACCCTTTCAATGAGGACTTACTGAAGGCGTGGAGCTCGTGTTCACCACGTTGGTGACAACTCGCAAGGGTCTAGTGGATCTCGCCTAGGGCCATTTACCAGTGACTGGTTGCCCGTGTACGTACACGGCTGTAAGATTCCCTACCGCCACCTTCACCATCTGCATCCGCGCCAGTCAGCAATGAGACCATGAAAAATCAATAATACCAACCAAAGTTTATCCCGCTCATCATCGGTTTCCTTTGTTCTCTGGCCCACGCGGTAGCGGTTTGGAGAACCTACCAACAGGCCTTCGTTTTTATCAAGATCGCGCGGTCTCCATCGATGCACTCGACCTAGAAGCAAACAGTCTAAACCAAGCTACGATCGTTACGTTTCAAAAAGAAAGAACGAAACCCAGGTCGCGAACCGGCTTACGCGTTCCGTCTCTGTGATCGATCGCAGCGCGATTGATTTATTTAGCGAGTTGATTGCCGAATATGGAAGCCGAAATTCAGCCCTCGCCGTTGCGAGGAGGATGGAAAGGAGTAGCAGTATAGAAAAGGCTTGAAGCATGTCTACACTGGAAATTCCCAAGAAAACGCCCCAAATATTCATGACCACGTACGCTTACCATCCGATACCTCTGGTACATAACACCCTCCTCGGACAACACATCTAGTTGGACAGGGATTATATTTGGTTCGCATCTGTCTAATACCGAAGCCAAAAGCACAGAGTACAACTATAAAAAAGGCGCGAAAAGAACAGAAAATAGAGAAGGAGAATAGCCTTTATAATAGTACAAACCGAAACCTTGAGCGTGACGAGGGGGGATAGTACAGGGGATGATGTTATTGTTATGCATTGGAACATTAATTAAGGATCAGAGCCTGAGAATAGTGTTGGAACAAATAGGAAAGACACAACTCCGAGCATAGGTCCGACAGTGAAGTATGGAATTAGATGGCAATAAGGCTAGGGTCTGGATCGTCGAATCCCTCGACCTTCGCGTTCCATTTCCATCGTCCCTCCAGGAAACCGTTGGCCGTATCCTCCAACACAATCTCGTTACGCTTTTGGACATAAACCTGGAAGCCGCGTGTTAGACGAGTAGATGAAGAGAACGGAAAGACTGACCGTCTTGTTCGTCACTTGTTGACGAAGGGTGGGGATGTTCTCAGGCTCTAATGGGGATTCCAAGAGTTCGGAGAGGTCTTCGACTGCTTTCTCCAAGTCCCTGAACGATTATAAGAATCACTGATAGGAGGAACAAAAGCGTAGGACGAACCTCTGGTTATCTTCGAAGAGCTCCTTCTCATTACCCTTGGCGAGGTAATAAGCCATGGCGTACGTCCATTTGAGAGTCATGCGGCACTTCTCCACCTCCTCAACAGCCTTCTTCATGAACTGAACCTCGATCCAGGTGAGCGCAGACGTGATCTGCATCTCCTCCATCTTCTTCTCAGTCTTGGCATAAAGGTCTACAGAGAGTTTGGCGGATTGTTCATGATTGGCCCATCGGTTATAGTACTATGAAAAGGGTCAGATGGGTCGAGATATGAAACGGAGATGAACTCACGTGGAGATAACGCTCCAAAGAGGCTCGACTGCGACTTTGGGCGTCCCGCGCCTCCTGGCCAGCCTTCTCGTCGTATCGGTTGCATGAATACCATGCGGTACCATGTTCGCTCCAGGGACCTGGAAGTCCGCATTAGGCGCATGTAACAGAATGACAAACATGAAACCGGCAACTTACCCATACAAACCCAGCAGAACTCGTGCTTACACTTCTTGCACGTCATATGGCTGTCGCTCGGCGTTTAGTATCAGCTATGACGATATACGAACAGAACAACTTACTTGCATCCGCCGTTCTTCTCGATCGTGCTCTGACACTGGCTGCACTCCTTGGTGTTGCTCTTGATCCAGTTGGCAGTCTCACTGTCGTCCCGACACTTCTTCAACCACATCTTGGCCACATTGCAGATTACTGGTCTGTGGTCGCTCTCGACCGGGCATCCGAAGCAGAACTTGTGTTCCTTGCCTCCAAGACTGGATTGGCTCTGACTCTGGCTTTGTTCCTGGCCTCCAATCCCCCGCGCGCCACATGACACGATAGGTACGATCGATGTAAGACTGAGTTTGGAGGAGGCCGCTGGACACGAGACGGTGTTGGTACACGATGGATAAGGGCAGAACTTGAGGTCGGGGTTGCACGACACGAAATGACGAACTAGAAGTTCCTGGAAGCGCGACCAGACCTTGAGGTTCTCCTCCGCCTCCGCCGGAGTAATGCTTTGTGAGCCTTGCTCCGGAACGAGAACTGAGCGAATGAAGGTATCGGATGTGACCAGAGCACAGCCTTCCGCCATGCAGCGAAGATAGTGCTCGCCCTCATCACGAATTTTGGAAGTGATGTAAGCAGTCCAGCAACCAGAACAAAAGGTGTGTTCACAGTCGAGGGAAAGCGTTCGGACTTTGGGGTCGTCGTCAAAGCAAATTGGACACACAAAAGGCTCGTCAGCTTTCTTTAATGCCTTCGGTGAGGCACAGGAAGATGGGGGAGATCCAGAGCTGGATTTGGATGATCGTGAACCAGAGGAGAATGAAGAAAGGAGCTTGGATGTCGATCTCGTTGGACGACGGGTAGAAGATGAATTCGATGTTTGTGTCCTAGCTGGCGTCGGGGTTGCTTGTGGGTCTACCTCGGGCAACACAATGCCTGCAGAGACCATGACCTTGGTGGGGTTGTCCATGTACTGCTCGATAAGCTTCTCCTTGTTCCACGACGAATGCCGCAACAGTAGTTTCGCGATGTCGAGCTAGCATGCGTTCAGCGAATGCATACACAGGGCTATCAAGGAAGACCCACCTCGACTCCAAGGATGCCACTTGTGTGCTCAGCGTCGTCGCGCATGACCTTCTCCACAGCGGCCTGACTTAGCGACTCGTGCTCTACTTCATACGACTTGCGCTTGCCCTTGGTCGACACCTTGAAATCGTCGCCGATGTCCATGTCCATGTCGTCGTCCGACACTGGTGCCGAAATCCCGGTGAGCGGGGTGTGTGTGGCGAGCGCGATGACCTCGACTCACCTTCGTCGTCTTGGGTTCCGTCAAGCATATCCTCGTCATCGTAGTAGGCAGCGTCATCGTCAGAGTATTCGTAGTCTGAGGACATGGTTCTGTATAATCTCGTGGTTGAAAACTGGGCTGGTCGTCGTCCAGATCGATGAGCAAGAGGGATGAGGCGCGGGGGGCACGGCTCTTTATGGGACCTGAATCACGTGATGCAATATAAGTCACCGCCAGTCATCGCCTAAAAGGTCCGACCTCGCGGTCGACGGCGACGACGAGCACCGCCAAAAGGCAGCGCAAGGCAAGTCTTTATCGTCATTTCGAGTCACCGAGACTAACCCAAGATGTTCTGGCTGCTCACAGATGCGCAACGTCTGGCAAAGCTGGCGGGATTTCCTGCGCGGACAAGTTCCGGTGTGGTTGATGGTCAAGGCCAGTGCAGCGACCAGAGCATCCCCGCCAGCATTGCCAACGCCACCACCGACCACCATAGAATCTTTACCTGCTGAAGTATTGGACAACGTCTTCAGTTTCTTCGAGGGCGAGTTCGAAGAGCTAAAAACGTGTAGCCTAGTTTCGCCACTCTGGCGATCCCTCTGCCAGCCTAGGCTCTTCAGGCGACTGGTGCTCTCACTGCAGGACATCGAATATTCCATCCAATTCACAAAGTTCATGCTCGACTCGCCGCATATCAGAGCAGCAGTCCACCATGTCGAGGTCGACTTTACCGACCCATGGCACTCGGATCGTACAGATCGTCGAGCCACCACCAACCGTGTGGGGGACATCCTCGAGCTCCTGCCTCGACCTGAATCTCTCAAACTATACGGACCACGGCACTCTGACAGGATCAAGTGGAGCAAACTCCCTGCCCACCTGCGCAACTCGATAAAGACAGTGCTCAGACGCCAGAGCCTCTCGTCCTTCCTGATCGACGGCTGGGTTATGGACGTCACCATGGCGGAGCTCAACGCCTTGTTCGCAGGCTGCCCGTCTCTCACTCATCTCTCCCTCCTCGAGGCTTCCGACGGACTGTGGGGCCCTACAGAAGGTCTACCCGACACACCCCGCCTCGTGCTGGAGGAGCTGACGCTCTCCAACACGTTCGCCAAGGACCCCAAGCTGATTGAATGGCTCTGCAAGCCGGAGTCTGCCATCGATCTGACCAACCTGCAGACCCTGCACGTCATGGAATCAAGGGACGACGCCGCTGTCAGCGCCCTCCTGGCCACCGTCGGGTCATCGCTCCAACGACTCGAGTTGAACATCAGTCAGTTCATTATCCCCTACAGCCATTCCCCCATTCTAATGCTTGTGACTTGTGACAGGTTTCTCCGCTGAAAACGATATTTCCTTCAAGCATAACAAGAACCTTCACAGCTTGACTTTCAGCTTTGGCGTCTTCTACACTGAACTTTACAACAGCAGCATCCCCCTAATCTGCGAGGTCCTGGAAACACTCCCATACCCAAACAACCTCGAAGAGCTCACGCTCGTGCTCTATGTCACCCACCCACGCAACACCAACGTCCGGATCTTCCCTCCCCCGCCGATCACGCGGTTCAACTACGAGCGATGGGCTGCGCTCGGCAGGCTCCTTCCTGGAGTTAGATTCAGTTCACTCTCTCGGGTCAACATCGAGCTGATCCACCATGGCATCGACGCTCGTGCGTACAGTACCTTTGCTGCGCAGAAGATGGGTGATATCGGCGCTACTGTCGAGTGGAAGTTCTCGCGCGACGATGCTCCAGAGGGCCGGGCTGCCTGATCCATCTACGCATCTATGCCTTCCTCACTTGAACGTTCTGTTGGGTTTCGTTCTGTGTTTGGCTACAGGTCTGCCGATGCTTTCCTCTCTTCACTTCATTCACCTGTCTGTTTTCGTCCATTCTGCTGTTCACTTCTGCTTCACCTGTTACGACTTGCTTCCATGGCGCCCCCACATGCATAGCCCGGAAATAAGCTCACGAGGAAATAATTTTCAGCATACTCACGATTTCTGCTTTCTGTTCTGTTTTTTCACTGTTCGTCTGTAATTCCTCCTATACCCGCACATACCCCCTCCTCCAGTGTTTATCACCGCTTCCTCGTCCGCCTCACATTCATACCTAGATGTCGGTTAGTTGTCTGTTCAGATTATCTATTCATTTCTCGTACTTAGACTATATTCGGTATACGTTATCATCCGTCTGTTGCTACAAAAATCCTACCATAGACCATCGCCTTATGTACTTCCAACGTCTTTGCCACGATCGACTGTATCAAGTACTACATCCATTTACTCGAGTATACAACTACCTTTGCTGGAAATCTAAGTAGTCTACATTTGTCACGCCAATGCACGGAAGAGGGACTGAATGACCGTCCGGGTTATACCACGAGGTATGTTTGACCACGAGGTCATGAACCCCGCTCGCATGAGTTGTTCCACCCATAGCGGCAACGAGAACGTGAACCAAGTGACTACCCACACATAGCCCAGTGCTTTGAGGAAGATCGGACGTGGCTTGTACCCCAATCTCCCGCTTAGACCACTGAGAATGCGTCCCAGAGCCAGAGCGAGGGGTTGCAGAGCAAAGAAAATGAGTGCTCCGTACGAGACCGTACGACCTCTATTCGCCATGTACTCCCCGGCAACATGCATTAACCCAGAGAAGAGGAATGCAATTGCGATCTCGAGGTAGTGCGTGCACACCCATTCGGGTCTGAAACCTAGGATATCCTTCACGACGAACGAGGAGTTCGATTTGAGGTGCTGCAACGGGATTTGAATTTTTAATTAATTCGCAGGTACATCGAGGAGTCGAAGGAGGACGTGGACGTACCCCACGCATCACCTGGTGCCAGAACCGACTGCCAACCCACTCCATCAGTACCAATTCCAGAGCCCTTAGCAAGATAAACTCACTTCCAACACCCAGAAACACTCCACGCCTCTCCAACCTCTCCAAACAAATACGGCCACTCCTCCGGTTCACTCGCGCCTAACCAAACGGACGCGATGCACCAGGGGTAGTACATACAATTCAACCCCGCGTATACCATAGCCGGGTGGAAGAACACGGTGAGGCGGTACTTCCATGGGGCGCGGGTGAGGCGGTGGGAGGGGTCGGTGAAGTATGGGTTGAATCGGTGAGTTAGTTCGTTGAGGATGTCGAGGGCGAGGAAGTTGGATGTGAGGAGGAGGATGCGGGTTTGGATAAAACGCGTTTGGGATGTTGGTTTGGCTGATGTCGATGGTGTTTCTTTAGGACTTGTTAGGTTTCGTAGAGGAGTTCTGGGAGACGTCCGCACACGGTACGCCCATTTGAGTCTCTGCCAGAACATCGTTGATGGTGTCACCACATGCCCGATTCGATTTCCCTCGACCACCAACAATCTGAACGAGACAAAGAGGAGGTTGGTAGCATTACACCCAATCGCATTGTCGAAAAACGCGTCGTTGGTCGTGGTGAAGAACACGATATGTGTCCAGAGAGCTGCTACGGGGCTGAACAGCGTCAATTTGGCCCATAGCGATGAGCGCGGTTGTTTAGAGCCAAATTGGCTCGAGTTGGCTAGTAGAAAGAGGTTCTGAACCTCGAGAAAGACGAACAGTAGGAAAGACTGGGCATAGTTGAGCGTCGTTCGAGAGGAGTTAGAGGTCATCGAGCGCTAAAAGCGCTTCCCAACGTCGTACGTTGTGGTTCGAGGTCAACATTCGGACGTCAAGATTTCTGTGATCCGTCATTGATTCATCAGGCATCCCGCACGGAGGTGCAAACCCATCGACGTCTCGTATCTAGTGTGATCAATCTAGTTCATAGCCCATATTTATTCTACGAGCTACATTACAGGCTATTGTCGTGTAAAGTACTTTCAGCATTTTCTTCTGTTTCTCATCTGATCCAAATTCCTCTTTTTTTCACTCGTCGATGGATATATGCAAGGATTAGATCTGGCCGGAAGGACCGAGGGTAGGACCGCCGGGGTTGTTGGCGGGGGTGGTCGCCTCGGGCTTCATGGCGGGGAAGAGCAAGACCTCCTTGATGTCTGGAAAAGGGATAAGTGTCAGGATGGAACGTGTAATGCAACGGGCGCGGAGACGTACTGGTAGAGTCGGTCAAGAACATGACGAGACGGTCGATACCCAATCCCCATCCACCAGTGGGAGCGAGACCGTGTTCAAGACTAGATGACGGTCGATTAGAAAGAAACCACAGGATAGATAGGAATGCAACTTACGCATCGATGAAAGTCTCGTCAATACCCTGAGCCTCCTCGTCTCCCTGCTCCTTCTGCCTAACCTGCTCCTCGAATCGCAACCGTTGCTCAAAGGGATCGTTCAACTCGGTATACGCATTGCAGAACTCCTTTCCGCACATGAAACCCTCGAATCGCTCGCAAAGACCAGGGCGAGAGCGATGCCACTTGGCAAGAGGGGACATGACCTGCGGGTGTCCAACGATGAAGGAAGGCGACTGGCACAGCGGCTCAATGAACTCTCCGACGAGCTTGTCAAGCAATCGCGCGTTGGTGCGAGGCTCGGAGCACTCGACGTTGTGCTTGGTGCAGAGCTCGCGCAACCACTTGTTGGTCTCGTCGGTGTGGAGCTGGTCGCCGGGAGGGAACTTGACGCCGAGCTTCTCCTCGAGGGTTTCGATCATGTCGTAGCGCTTCCAGGGGCGCTTGAATTCGAGCTCGATCTGCTTGGCACCCTCCTGTCCCTTGTTGCCGTCGGGGTGGTAAATGAGCTTGGTGCCGCCGGTCAAGCTCTTGACGAGACCTTCCAACATGATTTCGGTAATCTCCATGAGGTCCTCCTGGTCGGCGTAGGCCATATAGAACTCGCAGATGGTGAATTCGGGGTTGTGAGTGAGGTCAATGCCTTCGTTACGGAAGACACGACCGATTTCATAGACGCGGTCGAGTCCACCGACGACGAGCTGCTTGAGGTAGAGCTCGGGAGCGATACGAAGGAAGAGATCCAAGTTGAGGTCGTTGTGGTGGGTAACGAACGGTTTGGCGGTCGCTCCTCCAGCAAGGAGAGAGGTGATGGGTGTCTCGACTTCCATGAAGCCCAAGTTGTCGAGGAAGCGACGAATGTACGCGATGATGCGGCTGCGAGTGATGAAAATTTTGCGGCTGTTCTCGTTGAGGATGAGGTCGAGGTAGCGCTTGCGGTAGCGGGTTTCTTGGTCCTTCAAGCCGAAGTGGGATGAAGGGAGTTGGTGGAGGTTGGGTGCGAGCAAGACCATCGAGGACGGAGAGATACTGAGCTCTCCCTTCTTGGTACGCGAGGGTGTGCCAACAACACCGACGATGTCACCGCGCTTGAAGTGTTCGTGCAACTCGACGAAGCCGTCTGGGTTGTCAGAGTCCCTGTATGAGATGTTTATTGCTGTAATGAGCTGGCAGACGCGACGCGGTGCTCACTGTTGGGTGGCCATGATTTGGACCTTGACGCCCTCTCCGTGCAAGTCATAGAATCGAAGCTTGGAACCACTGGCACGAATGTTGTGGATACGTCCAGCAAGGCTTTCGGTCTTGCCTTCGAGCTTGTTTCCGGACTCGATGACGCCCTCCGGGCCATACTTGTTGATGTAGTCGGTTAATGAGATTGAGACGTGGAACTTGTGAGGGTAGGGGTTCGGGTTCTGGGTCTCCTTCAAATGCTTGATTTGCCTAGCCCTGAGTTCATAATATTGCTATAACCGGCTTCAGCTCGATCTCGTGAACAACCTGGACGGTACGCACGTTGGGGTTCAAGTCGTCGTCGCTCTGCTTCGTCTCCTTCTCCTTCGCAGGAGCAGCTGGTGCGGCGGCAGCCTTTGCAGCCTTGGATGCCTCCTTGGCCCTCTGCTTTTCACGCCGCTTCAGCTCCCTGAAACCGTTATCGATAACCCATAGACGATTGAAATCGCGGGGAGAACGTACTGCTTGGAGATCATCTCCCCCGTGACGGGGTCCTTGTGTGTTCCTGCTGCCTCTGTCGCCATCTTTCTAAAGCCTTGAAGGTTTCTAGGTGGCCTAGATATCTGACGGAGTGGTCTTGATAAAGGTAAAGGTCGAAGAAGCCTGAGCATTCACTTTTTTCGAATCTTGTCGATAAAGAATGAGATCAAGTGACTCGACCGATCTCCTCCCTAATTAAGGCAAACGTTCTCAAGGTCACGAGATTTCCGGGCGCTTATCACTTTCGGGAACGAATTGGCGGATCGCACGACCGAAAGGCATTCAGACGCCCATTACAATCGAGAAATTTGTAGGTACATACAGGAAAGAATTACACAGTGAGTCAATTAAAGTAAAAAATAGGAAAGGAGGGAGGGGTATATGGCTGGTGAAAGTATATACAACAGTGTACCTGAGTGTCAGCCTCAAACCTACAACGCTCTCCGCGTTCCAACGCGCCCTGGCCACAAGAGTAGCAAAGATAGGAAGCGTCTATGAGACTAGAAGGCGAAGACAAATACCACTTACAGAACCCGGTGCTCCCGTAGTAAGAATGGTCAGCGCCGTTGTAGACCGCGTTCGGAACTCCAACGTCGAACGCTACCGCAACACACAGCGCCAAAACGATAAACCTGGAGTGGGATTTCCGGCGCGGTCCAGGCCATCGAAGCACCAGGACATAGAACGTCTGTATTCTTATCGCCTGTAAAATAGTAGGTGGAGAAACAATGGAGTCGTTAGCGGTGACCTGGAAATGGCATTGACACAGCGCATTCGAGCGACCTAATCGGCCGAAGTAGTCAGTATGATGCTGTGCTGTGAAGGGTGGAATGATCGCGTACGTTAGGGCAACAAGCACCCAATTTGTTTCAAGGCATATTGGGGGGTGCACGTAGGATCGTTGTCACCAATGAATTAACTATAATAAAGTCACACAAGCGCACCAATACAACTTCAAGGATAAAGAAGTGGACGACGACGAGTCAGCAAGTCCGCCACATCGTCTTTCGAGAGCACGGCGCCAGGACGCGAGAGAAGTCTAAATCCCCTTCGACGAAGTTGTCGGTACTGTGGATGGTGTAATGAAGCCCAAAGACACATGATTTGATAGTGTACAAACAGCGGGAATGTGCGTCCAGTCCCTAATCAATCACTGTCCATTCAACCCCTCGCTTTACTTTCTTCCAGGTTACACTGATAACTATAGACTGGTATCCATGTCCTTTGAGACACAGAATGTTAATATGAGGAGCCCCAGTACTTGAGAGCCAGGTATATATCACCATTGAAGGCGAGGAATTGAGAGTTAGATGTCAATCAAAGTCGATTGCCCAGAATGACGACGGGCAACCTAAATTTGGACGCCAAAGTCGATGCCAAGACAGGAGACCAGAGACGAAAGGCACTGGCAAACTACACTTTAAAGAATGGTTTCGAATACATAAACTATGGATGGACCTTTCTGGAGCTCTATCAAGCACTAAGGGAACTGTTCTAATAGGGCACGAATGTGTTTACGTTCAGACATCTGCGGAGTCGAGATGCTAATTTGTTCACAAAGTGACGGAGCGCACGCATATTCGCTTTTTTGGCAGAAGTGAGGCGGGAAAGAGGCGCAGTCTATTCTCGGAATATGTATTCTATTTCTATGGCTATCTTTTGGGAGACTGCGCGGCCTCCAAAAGGTATATAAACCTAGGCAAACGCACCTCTAGTTTCCTCACTCGGGATTTCATCTCTGGGTACTCAACCGAACTTGCCCTCACAACCAACACAACATGCACTTCAAAACTATCCTCGCTCTCACCGCTCTCGCCCTCACTGCCGGCGTTCACGGCACTGCTATCCCGGTCGCTCATTCCGACGACAAAGGCGTTAAAGACTACGACCATTCCAAGTACGACTATGGCAAGGACGGCTACGGCAAGGACGGCTATGGAAAGGACGGCTATGGCAAGGATGGTTATGGCAAGGATGGTTATGGGAAGGACGGCAAGGACGGCTATGGCAAAGACGGCTATGGGAAGGACGGCAAGGACGGCTACGGCAAAGACGGCTATGGCAAGGACGGCTATGGCAAAGACGGCTATGGCAAGGATGGTTATGGGAAGGACGGCTATGGGAAGGATGGTTATGGCAAAGACGGCTATGGCAAGGATGGTTATGGGAAGGACGGCTATGGCAAGGATGGTTATGGGAAGGACGGCTATGGTAAAGACGGCTATGGCAAGGATGGCTATGGCAAAGACGGCTATGGCAAGGATGGTTATGGGAAGGACGGCTATGGCAAGGATGGTTATGGGAAGGACGGCTATGGTAAAGACGGCTATGGCAAGGATGGCTATGGCAAGGACGGATATGGCAAGGACGGCTACAGCATCTACGGCTATGGCAAGGACGGCTATGGCAAGGGCGGCTATGGCACTTATGGCTATGGCAAGGACGGCTATGGCACCTACGGCTATGGCAAGTCGTTCGACTACTACCGCAACTACGACAAGTACGGTTATGGCCGGTTCGACTATGGCAAGTACGACTACGGCAGGTACGACTACGGCAGGTACGACCACGGCAAGTACGACAGGTACGACCATGGCAAGTACGGCAAGTCGGACTACCGCAAGCACGGCTACTAGGCGTTCGAACCTCACAGTGTCCGCCTCGCTTTCCCCAGTACTCCGCAGCACCGTCCCCGAGTCACCCGATGACTCCTACACATTCATTACGATACTATTTGCTTCCAATTTCTTCGCTTTCGTTCTTCCGCCCCCTTCTTACTTCAGACCACATTGCCTCGCTCCGTTCGGCCCCCACTTTGAATCCCCTTTGGACATTCGCTCTTTCACATCGGTGAACCCTTTTGGACCATGTATTTTCGATGTTTTTGCCCCTGAACTTTGTAACAGCACAACTTGCGCGATGTAACTGCTAAATACGTTTCGTACCCCCTTGTACATGTCGACTACATCTCTTACTTACTGTAGTTCACGTTTTGTAGCACTGAGGTCATAAATCCCTGGCGGTAGACCTACGGAATGAACTTGGCTTCGCGTCAAATCTTCGCTTGATCGTGAGCCATTGCATCATGTGCCTCCTATGTGCCTCCTGTTATTACAGCGCTCCCGAAAGTCTCTGAGCCCTTTGAGCAGTCGGTTGCTTTTCAGCAGCTGACGTTCCATTGCGTCAGGAGAAATGGGAACGCGATAAACCGGGACACTATCACAGCGCGACCCAGCACATCACGGTTAGTATGGGCTCAGTGCACTGCGCCTATCTCGTGACACCAAACCTTTCCCGACTGAATGTTTGACGATGGAAAACAGAACCCACATTCATTTCATTGCGCCCCAGAACCTCGATGAGCTGTCCTATCCTCTGACCACGCGTGAAGTCACACACCGCGTTCGAGGCGAGATTGCTTGTGGGCACACAACAGACTCCTGGGGACCAATGGCTAGGTCCTGTTCGAAGATCCACGTAAAGGGTGGAACCTTTATGTACCAGTTATTGTCATCGATTGAGCGTTTATCAGTGACCACTTGACAGGAGACTAGAAGTGGACAGCTGCCAGATGAAGTACAGCCCGAGGCAGTGGCAAAAGGTCAGCGGCGGAAAACGATTAAGGAACGAACTTGCAATCAAAAAGGTCCGGGGCGCTTCGGAAAAGCCCTTTCATGATTTCCCGCTCCTGGGTAACGATTATTCATGTACCAAAGCAATTAGCCTGTGCATAATATGATATTATGAAGGGCGAGATACTTATACAGTAAGATGTGCATTGGTATTTCAGTAATACCTAGAAGGCCCAAAGGACGGTGGTGGACGTCCAATCTCGTCCGAGCCGTCATCCTTGATTTCTCCAGGAATGGCATCACCGTCTCTACGATGCTTCTGCACGCTGAAGCTTGAACGGTGTCCCCCAACCTGTACTACAGGGCCATTTCCCTCATGTTGGTGCGTCGGCAATACCACACCTTGAAGAGAGCCTGTCCCTGATTGAGCCCCTCTGACGAGCTCAGGTCGGGTAAACCAAAACAACAGGACATTGAGGAATCCATTCAGCGCGAAAATTGACGATCCGAAGAGGGTTGCTTGGTATGGGATACTGGCTCCACTGAACTGTAGCCATCGGGTGATGCTGATTGGGACGATGCAGAAGATGTAGACAGCTGGATAGCTAAACTGCCTTCAATTAACAGCACACGTGAAGAATGAGATGGGCCTACAGAAGCATCATCTTAGCGATGGCTTGGTCCTCGATGGCCTCCTCCTCCGGCTCGGGCGAGCGACGCATGACGAAGAACATGATCCCGTAGAGAACTAGCATCACAATGGCGCTGATCCACATCCACAGGTACTCCGTAATAATTTGTTCGGTTTTGTACCAGGGGTCAATCCAGCACCCTGCGATCATAGTGCATGGCAATTAGCAGTGACGAGACATGGGTAGCGGTATGTTAGAAACGTACAGAAACCGGTGCTCCCATAGTACGGCGGGCTGGCGTTCTTGTAGACAGCATTAGGCACACCGACGTCTATGGCGATTGCGATCCACAGCAAGGCAACAACCCACAGGGAGTGCGACTTCACAATGGGTCGGCGACGCACTAAGACGTGAAACGTCTGTGCGCCGATGGCCTAGCTCGCATCGAAGCCGTAAGAGGGCTGGTCGACGATAGTGATAAGGTGTACGTACAAGTGAGCTAACGTAAACCGTAAATTAGGATTTGAGCATGAGCGACATGCGAGGGAAGGTACCCACCTGAGAGCTGTGAGAACGATGCCCACTTGCTTCAGCGCTCCCTGCGCTACACAAACAGGGTCATTGCCACCAATGAACTGCACAAACAGATTTTGATTAGGCGGACGGTGCCTCAGGCCAACGACTCGGAATAGACATACCCCTTCCATCATCCACTTGATCGTTGGAATGTTCGCTGAGTTCAACAGTTCCGTGGTGTATCACCGTCAGAGCTTCGATTGCCCCATTGAAAAGGCACCCTGGCATGACCTACCCACAGCTTGAATCAGATCCGCTAACATGAGAGTTAAGAATAGCGTCGAATCTGCAACGTCGTCTCGCTGAAGCGCTGAACCATGCCGTGAAAAGAGACGGAACCCTCGTTTCCGAAGTTGGCGACGCTGTTCAAAGGAACCAAATGAGAATTCACAGCGATATCTATCAAAGCATTAACTATGTACAACTCACCGCAGAGTAAAACAGTACACAGAGAACCGCGATCCCAGACGCGCTGGAGCAACATAACGCCAAGTCATTTACTACATGGAACAAGCGGGGCGATGGCGAGACTCACATCGAGGACAAAGCGTCGATAAATTGTCCGATACGTTGGCCTATGGTGAACTGACAAACAGCAGTAGACGAGAGGTTATCCAGTGGTGAGCAGCAAAGCTGAGGACCAACAGCGGCATCATGCTCGAAGAACCCACAGACGCTCTTTGCGTCATACGGTAGGCCGCAGATTGTTACGTCCGTACCATTGCGAAGGGAGAAGTGGAGAAGGTAATCTGTCGCAGTACACTGGGACATGGGGTTTGGATGGTCGGGGGGCTCGGGGAAATCGAGTTCCACGGAACGCGTGCTTCTTATTAAGAGAGCCTGTGGGCGCTAAAGCTCACGTCAAAATGGCATATGGCCTTGCGGGCGTTCCTGAATGGACAGGTGTGTCTGTGTGAGGCAGTGCAATGCAAAATGACGCCGAGGAGTGCTTTCTCACTACTTAGTTTTCCATCTTTGCCACATTACATATCCAGCCCTGCTTGCCCTCCACGTTGAAGAAACTTGCACTGTCGTAGCAGGACACAGGACTCGGCGAGTGCTCCGTCCCGAGTCGGAGGCTTATCTGGTTCCGCCAGGTCACAGCTCTTTCCAACTTCCCTCAGCGCAAAGCCCGCTTTTCAGCTCATACAAATAGCCGCCAGTTGAGGACTATCGTGGGCTCCAACATGATCAGATCTAGCACTGTTGCACAGAAGCATTAACGACAATCCATATGAATGAAGGCCGGACTTCTTAAAGATCGACTGAACCGAGCAACGTGTTTATTTAGCTTCTCCGATTACCTTTCTTACACCTCTCCCTTCATGACCTCGCTACAGTCAGCTCTCAGCGCGCTAGGGGAGGCCCTATGCATCCTAGGCTGCACACAGCGCTCACCTCACCTCCGACTTCTCACTTTCGCCAGCATCGTCTGCCTCGCTGTCTGCCTATTCCTCAATCCAACGGGCTCGGCGTACCGGGACTACACGATAGGATGTTCAGCTGCCATCCGGGTATTCATGATGTCGGATTTCTTACTCCTCAACGACCCTCTGAAGTTTAGGAAACTGAACGAACCGGCACCTCCACCCTCGTCCGAAGCATCTCTCAGTGTGCGCCTAAAACGAAGCTTCGACCTCGTCTACGCACCTCGAGGAGTAGGTTGGACACACCGAATACGAGGCATGGCAAATAGCGCGCCAAACAAGTCAACAGCAACGCTCCCCTTCCTCGCCAAGCGGATGAAGATCTTCGTAGTCCAGTTCATTCTCTACGAACTCGCCGACCTGGTCATCCAAGCCAACCAACATTTCCCGCCACTGCTCTCCGACAAATGGTGGCTGAGGGCTCTCGTGGTCATCGCCCATCTCACCGAGCTCAGAACACGACTTTTAATGACTTACGAATTGATTATAATTGGGAGGGTGGTTACGGGCCTGTCAGAACCTGACGAATCCGAGTGGCCTCCACTCTTTGGGTCGGTCTTGGAAGTATACACAGTTCGAAGGTTTTGGGGGTGAGTGCGCATCGCTGTTCCATTGATCATTAGCGTCGACTTATCGACAACATTCAGGCAATTTTGGCACCAGGTTTTGCGAAGGGTGAGCTTCCTTCGCAATTTTTATCTGACAAGGCCCCGTTGCTGACTCGTCTCACCAAAGATGCTCACAACACACAGCGACTTCCTTGCACAGTGCCTAGGACTCCGAAAACGTCTCATCGCAAGATACTTCAAGCTCCACATGGCGTTCTTCATCTCCGCAATCGTTCATTACTGTGGAGACTTCACCATCCGACAAGATTGGAAAGGAGGAAGCATGCACTACTTCTTGCTGCAGGCAGCCGCTATCACCGTGGAGGACGCTTTGATTTACGCTGGGAGGAGGCTGGGATGCGAAAGATGGATGTCCAAACGGTGGGCTAGGTTGCTGGGCTATGCATGGGTGATGGCGTGGTTCGCTGCTACACATCCTATCTGGCTCGGGCCGCAGATAGAGGTTGGATTCGTCACTTCAAGACCGCCCAATGTGTTTCGTGCCTTGCAAAAGTAGTAGTACTATTATTCGATGTAGAACAGCCTAGTGTAGATTCATTGACCTAATGAGATCGTTTACGACTGGAATGACGGGTCAGTCAACGGGCAACACCTTTAAAGAGGAATAAGACGCACAGTTGAAGGTTTGGGAGCTGAGGCAAGGTCCACGTCCACATTTGCCGCCTTCAATTTCTCGTTCACCATCTCGTTGAACTCCTCCCGCAAAATAGCCTCTCTCCTTTCCCTCTCCTCTTTCTGCAACTTCAAGATACTCCTCTTCTCCTCCGCACTGATGACCTGGTTCTCCTTCCTCATACGCACAGCGTTCATCCTCTTGTGCCTACTTCCACTCATGACATACCCGACATTCTCGTACTGCGCAATCTGCTCCGAGGTCAAACCAATTTCACCACGACGAGGAATTCGGACGCTGGTGTCCTCTTGCAAGAAAGCGGCCATAGCTGAACCTTCTCCGCGAAGGAGAGCACCGCCGTACGCCCGTTCGTTGAGCTTCTTTCCAGTATTGGTCGAGAATATGGGTTTGGGGCCGACCTCGTCGTCGGAATCAGACTCCACAGCCCGGCTCGAACCGCGACTCTTGGATTTCGACTTGCTCCTGTCAGAGGTGGAGGGTGCAGATGAAGGTGAGCGAGAGATGGGTCGGCTCTTTTCGATTTGCATGTCTTTCGAGGAGCTTGGTGAAGCGGTACGGGGTGGGTGACGAGTTGGGCTATGGCTGGGCGAACGGATCCGGACGCTCTTGCTTCGACTTCGAGTACGGCTCCGGGAGCGTCGACGTCGCTCTTCGTCTTCACTGTCGGCGCGGTACGATCGCCTTCGTTCACGACTGCGTTCGGGGGAAGACGAACGGGATCGAGACCTTGAATAGGACCTGCGTCGTCGTTTCTTGTCCTTTCGGGACTTCTTCTTTTCTTTCTTCCTACGCCTGCGCTCACGCTCGTCCTCTGACGAGGAGTCGGTCGAGTAGCTCCGTGCTCTCTTTGACTTCTTTGACTTTTTCCGCTTGGGCGACCTATTCAGCAGTGAGTGAATCGTTCAGCGAAAAAGCTAATACAATGCACGCACCGAGAGCGTTCAGGCTCTTTTGGAGAGGGAGGCCAAATGTCCACTGTCATCGCTTCTCGTTGCGCTCGACGGCTGGTAGACAGGACATTAGTAGACTAGTCGGTTTATATAAGGTATTACTTACCTTTCGAGCCATTCACTGTTGCCAGAGCCTCCACCGTATGGTCTGTGATCTCGCCGGTTCGGATACATGTTTGGTCGAGGAGACTCCATGCGAGGCGGTGGTGGCCCTCGGTAGTCGTCGTATCTGGGGCTCCCTCGTCGTTCATATCCTCTGTCCTGTGGCCTGTCCCTCCGGTCGTATCTCTCGTCATCCCGCTCCCTGTCGTGCCTGTACCTATCCCTGCTACGACTTCTCCGCGGCGACCTTGAACGTGAATAGTTTCTTCTGGGTGACCGCGAGCGGCCTCGTGGTCGTTCATTATGGCTTCTTTGAGGATCTTGGGGCACAAGGCCCATCCGTGAAGGGTGAACGGTGGCCATGGTGGTGGTCGGGGTTCAAGAGTGGAATATGAATTTGGTTTCGCGCCAACTTGAAAAAGCAGAGGAGTCATAACGTAACCTATGTAGTGACTGACTTACAGGTCTCCGTTAGTATATCGGTTAGTACACGCGCCTGTCATTTAATTGGCCGCGCGAAAGCTGGGTTCGACTCCCAGACGGAGAGATTCTTTTTGTCCGCGATAGCGACAACACCTCTTTGATTTGAAAATCGCAGCAACTCTGCCGACTACATCGAGAATATCCATACTCCTAGCAACAACCGCGGTACACACAAAAAGTTGCCCTATCGCTATCGCACATTAACATTCATTCTGTTGATACGCAGGCTACCCTGCAACACTCGCTTCTTCCCCAGGCAAGCCCTGGCAATCAGTGATAGTAAACTTGAGCCAGGGAGACTTGAATTAAAGCTCACATATCCTACCTGATATTTTCAATGTCCAGCAAGGCCACTACAGGCTTGGAATATGACAAATTGCATATTTGTCCTAGATCTGCGTCAACAGCATCAGCATCATAGGGCTTCCTTGTTATGCAGCACGATCCGCCTACTTGTTAAATGCAAAGAGAATCTCAAAATGCCCTTGTCATGCACCCAGGGGTGTTCCTTCAGCAATTGGAGCATGACTCTCCAGGTTCCATCCGAATGGCAGAAGATGATGAAGGACCACAGGCTGTCTAGGGAGAGGCGACGCTTGCGGGATCCAATCGGAGTCTCAGAGAAATCACTCACTGTACGCGATGAACCGGAGGTCAATTCTCTCTTCTGTCAATATCCGCTCTGGGAAGTTGGGTACCGTGAACCTCAGTTCGTCAGGATGGCCTTTGACGTGTATTGCACTGTAGCTGGTCTTCTGTCCGTCACTCTCGCTGAAATACCGGTGGTCGTTCACGAGCTGGAAGAGACCATTGGCATCTTTCTCTAAACATCGCTCGACAATTTCATCAAAGGCGCTGGATCCCGGAGACGGGTCCAAAATGGCTATTAGGCTTTCTATAGCAGGAGGGGCAGTCGTGAATGAAGGTGCCGCAAAGAAGGCATCGGGCAGGTTTAAAAGAATGAATCGGAGCGGGGACTGGCCATTGAAGATTTTGTTCTGCAGCATTTTCGACATTGTTGAGCGACTTCCGTTGCACAGCTGTAGGAGCTCCTGGATGCACGAGTCAAGGCCGTCTTCCAGCCCGGACACAGCATAGATACCGCGGCAGATACAGCGAATGATAGCCTTCCGGGTTTCATTGTTGCGATCTGTCAACTTCTCGAGGAATTCCGTGTTGGCAATAGGATCGACCTAAAGGAGCGTCAAATCATTTCTCTATTCTCTGAGGAACTCGCGCCCTAACCTTGGGGGTGTCCGGCTGTCCCGTGTTGGTCGCCATCCCTGTGACGGAGGTGAGAGTGGTGGGTGTCTGATTCAAGGCGAATCTAAAATGTGGCCGAAATGGTCAAGATTGAAGTTCACAGTTCCGTTTGAAAGAGGAGAATCGTTTGAGATCGTTGGATGGAGCTGCCACTGTTATCGTGATGGGTCAGGCTGGACTGTGACATGGATTGATCGGCGTTCCGGGTTTGGTCGTGCTTGCTTCCGTGGAAGGCACGAGGTGGGGTTTTCACTCCGAATTACACAAGTCTCAAAGGATCCTCGTAGTAGGCTGTATTTAGATGCATCTCATGTGACGAACCAGGGTCTTCCTTGTGCATCCCGCAAAGGTCCGAGTTGAATTTAGTACGTAGGCCCTGTGACCCCTGAGCTAAGCGCTCAAAACAGGCGCCCATCTGGGGGTCGATACAGAGGTGATGGAGGAAAGAAGTCAACACCGGGAGTGAAGAGAAACATACGAAGCAGCTCAAACGAGTATTTCTGTCGCCAGGCCTTTTCCCTGTCACTCGGACATCTGTGGTCTAGCCTAGACGCGCGGCATTTCTCCGTCTTTCAAGGATGCAAACCGAGAACAACCGCAAGAATTGTGGGCCACCGTGCCAGGTGATCTTGTCGCAGCGGGACCACAAAGGGTCTGATAAGAACTAAGATTCACAAAGACGTTATTTGGGCATTGTACAGTCGAAGATTCCATATGGCTTCCGTACGAGACACTTGCATTTCCGTAGCTTACCCAGGAGCGCCCAAATGATACCGCAAGCCTCAAAGTTTGGCAGATGCTGCTCCCCAACCAAGCTTCGTGGCCAACCTCCCAGTGATCGTGTCAGTACGGCCAGTTGGATTGGAAGAGGGCCTGTAAAACCAAGAAATGAGTAAATTTGCAGAAGGCCGATCTTGGCTTGCACCCTCGCTCAAGGGCGTTCTTTGGTCAACGTAAAGCGCAACTCCATCGCTAGTCTTTAGAAGAAGCAAGTTTTTTTTTTGACGATTTCACGTTCACATGGTACGGTATTCAAAATAGCCTTACAGAGTCAACTTGTTCGGAACAATCTCGATCCAGTAGCTGGAAATTTGAAGGGTCAGTGACAAGGTATATGGAAAACAGAACACGGAGCTCACCCGTCGGGGTCCAAAATGAAAGCGATATGCCTCATCTTTCCATCGGAAGGCTTCTTCTTGAAATGAACACCGAGTTGCTCGAAGCGAGCGCACGCCTTCTCAACATCGTCGACCGCAAGGGCAATGTGACCGAATCCGCGGCCAGGATCACTGTTTCCACTGGCGTATCCCTTGAATTCGGGATCATTCTCGGTACCATGGTTGTGCGTCAACTCGAGAACGCCTGGAATAACATCGCAGATCAAAGTTGGATTGTGACGATGGGAGGAGAGAGATCAACTGACCTTCACGGGCGAATCGAGACGCCTCCTTCTCTTCGGGGCTCAAGTCTCGTCCTTCGTGGTTGAAGGCGAGGAAGTAGAGGGTGAAGTCATCGAACTTCTTCACTGTAACCCGTGTTAGATGTGATATCATCAGGCTAATCTTATCAGGTGGACACTCACCAGAAAGAAGATCCATTCCAATGACCTGAAGGACAGAGTGTTGCGTCAAATCATTTCGAGGTGCAACTAGATCGTCACTACTCACATCTTGGTAAAAGGCGAGAGAGACCTTTGGGTCTTTGACCCGAAGCATAGTATGGTTGAACTGATCGTCATCTCGTTTAGCTTCGAACGCGTCCCATCGCAAAGAGATAAACGCACCTTGAAGCTAGCGGTCTCTGCTGAGCGAGGCATGTCGGGCGATATCGTCGATGTCAGGAAGAGATGGGCCTTTCCAGCAGAACCAGTACCCGCCGGTTTATATCAGATTCTGCTATCTCATGATGACGACATGCGTTCTTGTCAGCCAAAAGTCTGGATGCGCATGTCGTCCTCCTGGTTCGCCGCCATAAGATTTGCACTATTCCTGACTACTGATGGTGCCTCATTTTTGTAACTCCTCAGAGAATGATCAGACCGTGAAATACACAAACAATACAAGGATTGTGCTTGAAGTACGAGAGAACGCGAGAGCATGAAGGTAGCCCCTATTTTATAGACCGTGCGAGTCTTTGATAAGTGCGCACGTGTCCCGGCGGCAATGTCCTGGCGCTGGCGAATTCGGCGATCAATAGGTTTTCCGACCCATTGTTCCTCTTCCACCATGTTCTGCGCCAGGTCTCCTGGAATCTTCCCCTACCACGACTTTCATGGCCCCAGATTGCACAGAAGACAACACAGGACTCGTGTCCACGACAGGCATGTCGTTTCCTGCCAGGCGAGCACTGGGAATTGTATCCGACGGACAGTGCACCGCTCTGGAGGCTGTCCGAATCATCGAGAAATTGGGACAGTGATAAAGGATCCTGGTAAGTAATAGGATAAATTGTCTGTCGACTTCCAACCATTGACGTGCATTACTTCCAGGTAACACTTGCAGCCAGATGAGTGCACCGAGGATGGGCTGCGAGAGGGCGATTCGTGGCCAACCTGTTGTCGACTAGAGCCATGGAGACTGGTTTCTAAAGTGACCCTCGAGCTCCAATCCACCTTGGTCGTCTGATTAACCGACCGTTGCTTTTCCTCTGCATCCGGTACTGCGATGAATCCTTGATCACCATGGCCTGAATCGAGGCTGAGGTCGCCCAAAGCTACTCCTATGTAGGCGCGGCGAGGGTTCGATTCTCATATCGTTCCCATGCAGTTCCCATGTAAGTATGCACATCAAGTCTTCTCCATGACGCTCACTCAAGTTGTCTATTATAGATATGGTGCTTCTACTCGATTTCGACCTCGTCAGCCCCTATTAATCCTTGCACTTGCATTTAATGGGGATCCCGAGGCACGTGGAACCCGGCGGCTATTGTCAGACTGAGAATAGACGTCAGCGCATTGAACTGATTTTTCGGTGCCTCGTTGTTTTCATCTTTCCTCTCGACTACCAACTCTGTCTATCGTCGCTACCTCCTCGCAGAGGTTCGATCCTCAAGCGTAGCTCGAAAAACATAGTGCTCCATCAGATACTACAGCCGGATCAGCATCGACAATTCGCAATCGCACTTGAGCGCCCGCGTCGAAGACGAAGCAGCGTGGCCTCTGACTGCGGTGGAAGGTATGTCCTAACCTTTCTCGCAGAGACAGTAGTCTCAACAACGCCATTGCTAGGTTAACTCACTCGATGTGGCCCGGGGCTGCCGGCTTTGGAACAGACGAACGGGCCTCGACGGTGTGCATCGTGCACAGGCTAGTGTTTAATCACAAATCATGGCTGATGTCGGACTGGCACAACGTACCGTCCGCCTCATGTCCCTAGACATGTCGGCGGTATCCAACCTCCGATATGGTTAGGTCAATGATCGCTTCCTCTTCATCTCACGGGACCTTCAGCGTCGCCCAACGTACCTTCTTCTTAGCACTTAATGTGATTGAGTGTGATTCCAACCCACACGCAGCGGATACCATCGCTAGGGGCCGTGCAAACCATATGGAGGTGATTTACCTCTGGCCGTTATCTTGTGGTTTACCTCGCCAAAGATCGACGAAGTTGGTAGCCCAGAACCACAGGCGGAAAACTTGCTCTGACCCTCTGTCTGAGGGCCTTTATGCACTGGGAGTGGTGAGTCCTCTTTTGACCTCATTTATAAATCGTTGACCCAATTGCTGAGCAGGAATGGGAGTTTTTCTCGTATTCGCCAAGTTTTCGCCTGCGGCCTAACCCCTAATTCGAGCGACGCGAAAAGACGCGTGACCAGGGCGGAGTTGAACGAAATTGGTTCGGCGCGCCAAACGCGTTTACTGGAATCGGCCCTTGCACGTGATGCCTTTGCTTATCATCAACAGCCATGTCCCACTCTCTCCCCCCGCTGTCGTCCTTGACGCGAATACCACAAAAACAGTCCTCGATGTCGAGAACAGTGTTGCCGCCGCTTGAAACGATGACGGGCTACCGCAGGGCCCATGCGATCCTCTCTTCGTCCCCGCCCCGGTCGTCCTCCCCCCCTGGTACTCCATATTCCTCGCGACATTCCCACCATCACCCCTACATTCAGTCGAGCCCAACGCTGGGTAGCGGTATCGAGTTGGCACCCCTACAGTACCGCTCAGATGATCCGCCGTCCCTTTGGATCCAACACGAAAGTCAGCTACCCGTCTCACCCAAGCAGCCCCAATATGCCTCATTCGCCCGGCCAAAATACGCATTTGAGGACGAGACCGACCTGCCGCCATCCTCCGAGTTCGACATTGGGGACCCGAGAGACGACGCAGAAATGAGTCTTCCGGAAATGGACTCGGAAACCACAAGTGAAAGCACTCCAGGTCACGGGTCCACGTATTTCTCAGACAGCGAAGAAGAAGGGGTCACGCATGATGGAGAGGGCGATGATGGGTTCGGGTACGGAAATGGTGGATTTCGAGCGACCTTTTTTCGGGTGTCTGCAGAACGCGGGCAATGGAAGGACGATCCACTGGCATTGAAAGCAACGACCACCGCTGGCCTGCCAAGAATCCCATTGCGACAATCCATGCCTACTCTATCTCGTCCTTCGTCAGTGGAACCATCGGTTACGGCACGGCCTATCTCGGAACCTGTGGAATCTTCCAAACCTCCAGAAGCCTGTTTGCAAGTTCCGGGTGACCAAGATCGTGTTGATAATGGTCTCGAGGTGACAGCGGAGAAAGAACCCTCCCCCGCACTTTTGGATGGACCGCTATCCAGACTTACATCTCCCGCACCTAGTGCCAAAGAACTCACCCCAGAGTGCGACGGAAATGGACGTTACTCCTCTCCCCTCCCACCCTCCTCTCCACCTTTGTCCCCGATGTCAGGCTGCCTCCCGTCCCTGTCCAGATCAGTCTCGCCTTTGTCCTTTGCGCCATCTTCGCCGATGTCGATGCCTCCGTTGTCTCCTAGGATCGAACCACCACCTCTGTCGCTTGAAGAGCCTCCCACTCATGACGCCAACCTTGATGTCAGTTCAAGCCCAGTGCATGAAGCTCAAGTATCTTTGACTGATGACGCAGTGAGTTCCTTTGTTGTTCTTACTGCCTCGTTTATCTTGCTGACCACGCATCTCAAAGATTTCCTCCGACCCCATCGACAAGACGTCATCGCTCGAACTGGAAACGCCGTCTAAAGACTTGACATCCCCCGGTCTTCCCAAGCCCCAGCACGCCGTCGCCGAACCACAGTCATCACCACCACCGCCCAGCTCTGCAGAAGCTGCACGCTCCAGTACAGACCCAGTATCCCCGTCAGTCGAGCTACAAGGCGCCGGAAAGCAACGATCGGCCACCCCAGAACCTTCAGCTTCATCGTCCAAGCAGAAATCGAAGAGCAAGAGCGGCCTCAAGAGTTCGCAAACGCAGTCGGACAACGATGCTTCCACTAAATCAAAGTCATTAAAGCGAAAACAGCCTCAAGCTGCTTCACAAGCTCCGTCAAAGAAACAGCGGGTTGCGTCTGAGCCTGCTTCGACATCGGAAGCTAACCGTTCACAGAAGACGAAGAAGTTGGCGAAAACCCCTCAGGCCGACGACGATGATGCCATGGCGGAGGATGAGCTGCCTCAAGCGGGACCATCGAAGACCAAGGCCAGAAAGAAACAGACGAGACGGTCACGAGCGCCCCAGTTTTTGCATGATTCGCCGCAGAAGGTCGACCCTGCTGATGGACCGGCTGAGCCATTTGATGAGGAGCTGAAGGGCATGCTTATCGAGTGTATGGCGACGTCGCGGGCATCTTCTATGGCCGTGTCTGTCCTTTGCAGGACTGTGCTTCAGACCCATCCGTACCTTAAGGAGCAGAAGACGGAGAAGGAGTGGAGGAAGGTCGTGAACCGCATCCTTTATACTGGTATGGCGCCGAGAGGGAGCGGTGTATTTGGAAAGGTCGACAGCAGTGGAAAGGTGTGTAGCCTGTCCTTGTCTGTGATAGGCGCTGCTGACTGGTGTCCCATTTCCAGGATGATTCCGATCGACCTTTGGAGGCTCAGTGGTTCTATGTTCCCGAAATGGATGAGGACCAGGATCGTGCAGCGCTAATTCGCAGCATGATGCCCCGGCCTGCAAAACGCAGCGAAACCAAGAAGTACAAGCAGTACTATTGGCGACCTCTTGACAAGATCTCGCGTTGGGATCCGGAAGATGACCTGTAACCAGCATCTTCGTCATTTTTCACGTTCTGGCCTTTTTTCGTCTTTATTTTAATGTTTAATCTCGTTTACGTTCTTCATGATCATGGCATGGACCTGCGCTCGTGCTTCGGATTTCATTTTGGAGACACTTTTATTGCAATCAATTACACCCTGCATTTTTCCATTCGCTTCGTGCATACTTTTGTTGTAGCCTGTCCATGTTGTGCTCATTTTTTTTATCTTTATTACATTCCGTATATTTGTACCCCAAGCCAAAATGTTGTGTCTAGTACGTAGTAGTAAGTAGTCAGAAGTGAAGTCAAAAATGAAAATACCCCGCGTTGAGTCGAAGAGGGATCCGAGGACCAGCGCTTAGCCAAGCAAAACCAAGCAGGTTTATACATTTTCGGCAACATTTTCTTTTGGCACCAACGGTCACCACAGTTCTGACCTTGACCATGAAACGGGTGCAGGGCGGCGCAGACAGCGCAGCAGAGGGACCTGCTTTGAAGAAGACGAAAATAGCAGGGATGAACGAAGTCGACGACGGTAGTAATGGCTGGACGAAAATCGAGAAACGGAAGAAGAAGAAACAGGTCAAAAACGAGGCCAAATTGGATGTGTGTGTGTGTTTTCTTTCAATTTTTCGTGCCTCGTTTCTTTTGTGCAGTTCCTGGCCTGTCAAAGGCAAGACGGGTGAAACCCCCGCAGAGGGCCCTTTGTTTTTCTTTTCAGCTAACCGCCATGACTGTCCTTTTCGTTCACGATTACTATGGGTATAAGCCGTGGGTTTACTCACCGTATCATTATTACCAGACGGCGCAGCCGAGGTTTATGTATTCGAACCATGAAATTCTGAGGAGGAACTATGCTATTGGCATCGAGGTGCGTCGTCGTTGTCTTTGAATGAAGCCCAAGCTAACAAGAACGGTAGGACGTGAGGGATCTGGCTCTCCATCTCGTCGCCGACGCCCCGCCTCCAGGATGGCTTCGCGTAGAGGTGCGCGCACCACTTCATTCATGATCGACGACGCCCACATTAACCGCAATCCCCAATACTTTTCTTAGAATGGCCAACTCGTACAGAGGGTTGTAGTCCTCATGGTCCCAGGACTGACCAACGACCTGCTCGGTATGCCCCCAATCCCGACCAACGCGACCACCAACCCCAATTTACCGCTCGCCATTCCTTTGTTGTCGTCTGAGAGCTCTGCGAACGCCGCTGCTATCCCGTTCATTGCGACTACGTTCAGCCACGCGTGTCCTACTCGCGCGCCGGGGGACCAGACTAGGATGCACAGTGTTATGAGCACCTTTTTTAATAGTACGGTTACGCAGGAGGAGAAGAGGCGGAGGATGAATCAGAGGTTGAAATGTGCGTTTTTCTTTTTCTCTTTAAACCTCTTTGAAGGGCATTTCGTTCTTGGTGCTGATTCAAAGACGTCCGTTTATTAGCAGAACGACCAAAGGACGATCCGACGCAGTATTTGTTGTCGTTGGAGCAGATGATTGAGAATGAGTACCCGATTCCGTCGTATATGGCGGATGTGTTTGAGAAGCCGAGTGGGTGGTTGGAGACGCCGCAGCCTGCGAACCCGCCTGTTCCTGGGTCGAAGCAGAGGATTTATGCCATTGATTGTGAAATGGTGAGTATCTGCTGTAATCGTCTCTCTCGCCTTTGCTCATACTGTGACAGTGTATGACGGAAGATGGGAAGGAGTTGACTCGGGTCTGTCTCATTGACTACCACTCTGGCTGCGTGGTGTACGACCAGCTGGTGAAGCCCTCCAAGCCAATCACGGACTATCTCACTAGGTCAGTGCAATCTTTTGTGTTCACTTGGCAGCATCTCATACGTTTCCCAGATTTTCTGGAATTACCGCTGAACAGTTGTCCTCTGTGACCACCACGCTCGCCGACGTCCAAGCTCACATCATCAAACTGCTTTCTCCTCCCGCCACCAACCCTTTTTCGATGCAACCGTCAACGGAGCCGCCGCCGCCTACGCCCATCCTCTTGGGGCATTCCTTGGAATCCGACTTGAAGGCTCTGAAGATCTGCCACCCCTACTGCCTCGACACGGCTCTGATGTACCACCACCCGCGCGGCCGGCCACTCAAACCCGGTCTCGCCTGGCTCACCAAGAAATGGTGCGGCCGCGAAATCCAAACGCGGGGTGAAGGAGGGCACGACCCCGAAGAAGACGCACGCGCCTGTCTCGACCTGCTCCGACGCAAACTCGAAGAAGGGCCTGGTTTTGGCGAGTACAAAACCGACCAGGAGTCCATCTTTGAGAGGATGTCGCGGGCAAACCGGAGGGCTGGTGGTGGGCCTGGCACGATCCGGTCTGCTGTTGTGGATTTTGGGAATCCGGCGCAGATGCATGGGAGTAAAGCCACGACTGCGTTGGCGTGTAAGAGTGATGAAGAGGTTGTGCAGAATTTGCTTGGTGCTGTTCCGTCGCATGATTTTGTGTTTGGGAGGTTGATGGGTTTGGCTGATCAATTGGGATGTGCGTGTCTTTTTGTTTACTCGTTCTTTTGTGGGAGGTTGGCTGATGATGTTCTGTGTAGGGATAACGCAGCGTGCTACCGCCGATTCGCCTACTCCTCCTACTCCCAACCCACCAGCAACCCCGGAGCAGATTACGGCCACGCTCAAAACGCTCAACACCCATCTACAGACTATCCATTCTTCTCTCCCTCCTCGCACCGCGTTCCTTTTGTTCACGGGACACTCTGACCCACGCCGGATGACGCAGTTAAACGCTCGGAAATCGGCCTTTGATACTGCGCTGAGGTCGGGGAAGAATCCTGATGAGCTGCCTGATGATATGAGGTGGACGAGTGCTGATTCGAGAGATTTGGAGGAGGCGGTTGAGTTGACGAAGAGGGGGTTGTTGTTTTTGGGTGTGAAGACGTGATTGGCCTGCGTCTTAAGTCTTTGTCTCTTTACTTGATGTCTACCTTTTTTTTATGTTGCATCTTCCCTGTGTTACACCCTCGCTCGCTCGCTCGCTCGCTCTCTTCCCCCTTTCTTCCTACTACCTATGACTACCTGATGATACCTATGGTTACAGTTATGGCTTCCTCCCATTAGTGAATTAGTAGTAACGTTAGGATGGTGTGGATGTTGTTGTGGCTCTGGTTGGCTATGCACGTACTGTGTATAATCTGTGTCTTTATGGTCGTCGTTTTGTACATATGCTGTATACCATGTTATCCAATGCGATTGGCCCTCTTTCCTCTTGTTCTGTTGAGGCCCCCGCTATTCGCTCCCCGTCCGACGTCCCCGACCGTTTCAACGTCCGCCATCCGCAAGGGATGATGACCACCTTTGACGTGCGGGAAGTAAACAATCACCATGCCGCACAGACTCAGTGACCGCTCTCGACATCTCTTCCAAAACCCTCCCTAAATGAGGGGCAAAGCCGACTACTCACCACTCTACCTCGTGCTCATCGAGGTCCTCTCCCTCCTCAGCCTCACGGTCCGACCCTCGCGCGATAGGTGGTTATGGTTCATCCCCATAGCTTTGCTCAGTGTTTATGTGGTGGGTTTTACGGCTTCGGAGGACCTTGTTGGGGATTATAGTCAGGGGTTGTGGGTTGTGACGAATTTGTGGATCGTGTCGGATTTTGTGCTGTTGACGGATGTGCAGAGGGTGTTGGGGAAGGGAGGGAGGAAGGGAGAAGAGGGGAGGGCTGGGAATGGTAATGACGGGAGAGGGAAGGCTATATCCGAAGCTCCGTTCAGCCAGAGGCTGAAATGGGGTTTCGAACTCTTGATTTCGCCTAGAGGCATGGGCTGGACACACGCCTCCAACCCCTCGCACCGCAGCCTCCCCAAAACCTCAAAATCTCGGTGTATCCAGCAACACCTGCTTTACCTTGTACACTGTTTAATCGTCTACGACCTCGCACAAATTGTCTTCACTTTGAATCCTGCGTTTGATCGGAAGACGGGGCAGAGGTTCTGGTGGCAGCCGTGGTGGGTCAAGCCGAGTGTTTTGGCGCATACGATGGCTTCGTATGGGGGTATGGGAGGGGTATATTGTGTTGGGACTATTTTGGTTGTTGCGGTTGGCTTAGTGCAGCCGGAGGAATGGCCGTTTATGTATGGGTCGGTGTGGGAGGGGTATACGGTGCGGAGGTGCTGGAGGTGAGTGTCGAGTGTTTTGAGGTTGGTGGTTCCTTTTGTTGAACTTGGTTGGGTTTGGGTTTTGTAGTAAGGTTTGGCATCAGAATATGAAACGGGTGGGTATCCATCCTCTTTCTTGACTATTATCTTGGCGGCTAATGAAGATTTGGTGGATGTAGTTCATGATGGCGCATACGAACTACCTTGCCGACATCCTTCACCTCCCACATTCATCCCCCCTCCGACGATCCTTCAAACTCTACCTCTCATTCGCCATCTCCGCACTCATCCACTACTGCGGCGACTACATGCTTATCCAGAGCTGGCACGGTGCTACGGGTGCTCTCATTTTCTTCTTCTCCCAAGCCGTTGCCATTACTTTCGAAAGTGCTGTCATATCCGCAGCTAAAAGCTTGCTTGGATTGAGAAGGGCGACGTGGTGGACCAGGGCTGTAGGGTATGTGTGGGTTATCGCGTGGTTTTCGGTTATGTTGCCGGTTTGGATTGAGCCGCATGTACGGGTTGGGTTTATGGATGGTGGGAGGTATGAGAGTTTGATTGGGAGGGCGGTGGGGTATATCGTGTCCCGCTTCAAGTAGTAGGTGGCTACGGTATATCCGGGTATGATGGTGTATATATGATGCTCTCTGTGCTGTTTAATACGCGCGACGGTTGCATCCATGCTGTACATTTCGTTACAGTAAGCTCTCGTCAACGCATTCCACATCATCGTTGTCGGCTGAATACGGTTACCTGATGTTGGTGGTTGTGATTTATTTGGCTCGGCGCCTATTCTTGGGCGCTTATTACCATACAGCTTGTGGTGACCAGATATCGGGACGATGATGGTCACAATCATATTGAAGGAGGGTAATGATAAATTTACTGCCCTGCCGAGACGCGCTCTAGTTGCTGTGCGTAATTCCCTTGCAGCTGGGCGCGGAGGGCAGATTGACAGCTAGCTCGTGGCTCCGCCCTACAGGAATAAGCATGTACAAACCAATCGATAAGGCGCCTCGCTGTCGCAACGAAGTTCAACTGCTTGTAACAGGTCAGAACTCGTGAACTTTGCACTCTTACCCTCTGAACCCTGGAAACACCTTCGATCGTATCTGACGAGAAAGAACGTGGTCGATCCAGGATTGACAGAGCCAGAGAAGGTGGGTAATAGATTTACATCGTATAGCCGATGATGAACGATTTGACCTTACCCTATAGATCAAGCTGGGATGCGACGAGGAATTCATCGAGCGATTGAAGGATCCCGACAATGGACCTCGGAAGGCGATCATCCGCGTCATATGCCGAGAGGTGTACGCGCTTTCAGGGTTGCAGGGCGATCTCCATCCGTGCATGGAGGAACTCCTACAAATATGCAAGGGAAACAAAGCCACGCTAGTCAAGATGCTTCAAACCGACTTTCTCAATAGCAAAACGCCACTCGAGTTCATTTTGGAGATGCTCCCGGATGAGTGCTTTGCGGCGCCATCATTCGAGTGTATGCCTCCTGTGATTGCAGCGCTCGCAAGTGTCTTTCTGCCCTTTGAAGAATCGGTTGCTTTTCAGCAGCTGATGTCCCACTGCCTCAAGAGAAATGGGAACGCCTTGTACCAACTTTTCAATCGATATCGAGACTTCGACGAGGGGGACGCAGTGATAACCCGTTACACTGTCACTGTCACGGCCACTGCTTCACAAGAGCCCTACAACAGGCCTTATGTATACATACATCGTGCCTATCTGGAGATACCAAACTTCCCCGAGCGGTTGATGATAACAAACAAAATCGACATTCGTTTCATTGCGTTCTGTGAGTGTATTGAGGTACTTTATCGAAACCACAAGCCCTTAACACCCATTTTCCAGATACCGTATTCTCCTGCTGCATCTTTTGCGATTCGAGTGGATCATTCAAACTCAAATTCGAGCATCAAGGACCAACTTCTGACACTCGTTCTGCAAGTGCTAATGGCTACGACGCGAGTCTGAGCCTATCAGGTGCGACTGGCTATGTTTCACTGGAGCTATCCTTTGATCCCTTAGTTATAGACGGGAAGTGGAAATCATCAGAACTGCCAGTGATTGTTTCAACGAAGCCACAGGGCAAGAATGATTCTGCTTATACAACCGGTACTTTTGACTTGGCTCGTACCAGGTGTGTAATCTTGCTGCAAGTGTGCTCTCTTCTGAGCCTCATGAACGTGATCACATATCAGGACATTAATCGGAAAGCAGAGGATTTTGAAAGGGACTATCGAGATTGCCACCAGGAAAGGTTTTGTTCGGCTCAAGGTTCAGTATCAAGCTAACACTGTTTGGTATTCAGAATATAGATGATCTCCTGAAGGGTCCCCGCGGATGAAAGCCGTACGAATAGTTTGGCCAAAGATCATGTGTCGTCTGTTAGTGGAAGATATATGTACCATTTCGTAGTTTACTGAGTAGAGTCCGCCAAGCGACGGATAGGTATACGCCAAACCTTCTGTGCCGGACGCTTTGAATCACAACAGTTTCCTTCCTCATTCTCTGGAAACCCAGCCTTCGTGTGCATCTTTGTCGTTTCAATACCTACCCCGTGCCACACGTGGGGGGCCTACAAGCATGTATAAACGAAAGGCCATGATGCTCCAGCTAAGGCAGCGTCGAGTCGCGTTGTCGATAACGTCCCCAGTGCATACCCTTGCCCTCCCTCGACACGATGACTACAGTTGCAGGGCCAGTGGAGCTGGATCAAACGGAACCCGAGAAGGTAGCCTCTTTAATAGACGCAGCGACTAGCTACTAATAACGAGTTCAAATGATCCTTGTAGAAGGAGTTGGCAATGGATTCAGAAACCTTCCTTGCCAGTCTTTCACAAAAGGACAACGAGACGAGGAAGAAGATCATATATACGATGTGCGAGGGAGTCTACGGCTTGACGGGACTAGAAGACACGCTCGACACTTGCCTGGACGCTTTGCTTCAGCTATGCCACAACGACAAGTCGCTGCTTTCGAAGATGCTGATGACACCATTTATCGAAGGACAGACCCCCTTTGGCTGGATCATTAGAAGCTTCCGGGCCAGAGGAGTTTTATACAGCGCCGACACTGGAGACTGCGCCAGCGATCGTCAAACTTATCGGGATCTGTAACTTCGAAATGAGGAAAGAGCATTTGCAGGATCTGACAGACGCGTCTCAAAAGAAGAATTCCAACTCGTTGTTCCAGCTCTTCAATACTGCCAGGAGTTATTCCTACTGCTCCACTCGTTATACTGTCAAGCTCGAATCCACTTCGAAGATACAATTCACCATTCCAAACTTCCCAGAACGAATGCTCATGGAAGGCCGGATTGACTTGCGCTTCATTCTCATGAGTGAGTCGATCGAGTCTCGGGTGTTCGAATTGGCATTGACCAAGATATACCAGCAAGGCTGTGGACCTTTTCCTTCGAGTGTACAGGAGGCCCAGGCGTTTGGAGAACTACGGCAAACGTGAGCAGCGGAATGGCAACTGGAAACGCCTGGATTTCCCTTTACTTAGCACGTAAGCCGCCTCTTCATAATTACGGTTCCAGCTCGAGGAGTACTACTAACCTTGAGAGAAGGAGGGGATCAAGTAGTGCTGTGCAACTCAATGGCCATTTCAAAGAGACGAACCACCGTGGACAGTGCTGTCGAGTTAGATATCACCGCGATCAAGTTGGTTCATCCTCCATTCCCTTCGCTTTCCTCCGTATTGATATTTATCTCGCAGAAGCTTCCTCGAAAAGGATCGCACGTTGAAAGGTCATCTAGAGATCGTAACTAGATGACTGCCCAGCGACCCTCGGTGAAGTCCTGGAGAGTGAATGGCAATAGCAGCAGACATTGAATATGAATCTTTGAGTCTAAACTAAGTTTAAGCGTCCCAGGAAAGGCATTCGTGAGAAGACCTCTGAATGCGGTTACCTCTCGTCGCATCCTCAGGTTTTGGCCTTCAGTGAACCTGGTATGTGCTGATTCATGATGTCGATTTACATCTGAGCCCACAATGAACGATGATACGAAACCTGTTCCAAGCCCCATGTCCTACGACTGTGGATGTTCAGAGGAGAAGAGCCGCAGCGTAGTTTCGAAAGGAAATACCAAGGGGATGGGTTCAGATGATTGGAGAAACCGTCTTTCGATAGAGCCCAATTGGAAGAAAGGTACGTCTTGGGAAGGAATCGCAGTGCTAGCGAAGCTGTGTTGACACTACTTCATTGATAGATCCATGAGTCCAATACCAGGGAGACGCCAGTAATGAGACGGGAAATGGCAGTCCACGCACTTCGCCTCTGTTCAAGCAACACTGACGCTGGTGAACTACGCTTGACTAGAGCTGATCCCAGGGAGCCTCGTTGTCCCATAGGTAACTGTCTTGCCAAAGAGCGTCCAGAAGTAAAGCGCGCTCGATAGAGTCCAAGTCGACCGCAGGTACATGAAGGAGTCACAGCCATCGTCGAGCATAGATTCGAGTTATTAGACGGAGAGAGTGAGTGGTAGACTGTTCCTTGCAGAGTCCGCTAGCGTCAGGAGACACTGAGAAGTCGTTAGCGCACATAGAAAATAAGCGTTGAGCCATGGCCTATAAGGATGTCGGTCCCTAGTCCTATGGGATTATGGGATACCAAGCTCGACATGAGAGTTCAGGACAGGGCTGGCTTTTCACAGGTTAGGAGCCTATCCGGAGTCGAAGGTAACCGGAAACCCGATCATCAATGACATCACTACACGTGACTCAGACCGCCGAAATAGCGCCGCGCAGTCTTGTGCCGCGACTTCAGCCTCTTTCTCTCAAACCACCGACTTTGGTTAGAAGGTCAGGACTGTTCTGAACAATTATGGATATCGTTGTTGGTACTGAGCTGTATATCTACAGGAAACAATGGCCTCCTCGAACTCGAGATCTTCAACGGCGCTTTCGTTGCCAACAGTTTTCGCGAAGGAGCTGCTTGCACCGTTGTTCGGGACGTTGTCCAAGATAGATATCGCGAAATCCGCGCTATTCTACTATGTTATTGCCATTTACTCGCTGAAGGCGTACAGACATCTTCGAGCCAGAGGTGTAACAACCACTGGGAAGGAGGTGTTCAACTATGTATCGCAGGTGAGTTCTCAAACCCACTATGAATTGACTATGCTAACTGAGACTCATTCTATACGACAGTTTGTTGTCCGCCTCATCCTCCGAGTGCCTTCCACAAAGCGAAAGGTCGCTGCTCAAATGGACAAGGCGAAGCTCGATGTGGAGAACAAGCTGGTTCCAAAGGGCCCCGACGTGACCCGACATCTGGCATTGCCTGAAGAGGGCAAGTCCATCGAGTGGATTCTCGCTGAGATGGACAAGATGGACGCCGAGCTTGATGGCAAGTCCAACGTGTGGCGCGAGGGCAAGCTTTCTGGAGCGGTCTATCGTACGTTTAGACTTGAACCGAGGAAAGCCATTGGACTAATGCTTCGAATCCCATAGACGGCGGAGACGACTTGCAGAGGATCATTGTGGCCGCTTACGAGCGCTATTGCGTCTCAAACCCTCTCCATCCTGACGTGTTCCCCGCAGTGCGCAAAATGGAGGCCGAAATCGTGGCAATGGTTCTCAAGCTTTATCACGCGCCAGATGGTGCTGCTGGTGTGATGACTTCTGGAGGAACGGAGTCTATTGTCATGGCCGTCAAGACCTATCGCGACTGGGCGAGAAAGGTCAAGGGCATCACTGAACCGGAGATGTACGTGTCCAGTGTCCTTTTGGCGTTGGGTAGGAATTTGACATCAGCCTCTCATTTAAAGCATTATCCCTGCTTCAGCACACGCTGCCTTTGACAAGGGCGCGGCCTACTTGAAGATCAAGGTACACACAATTCCTGTGAACCCTTACTCGCGGAAGGTTGATATCAAGCGCGTTCGCCGGGCCATGTGAGTAATCGACGAGTTCTTGTTTCGTCACGCGGCTGTCTGTACCTAACTAACGCCTATTCCTCGTTCTCTTTCAGCAACGCTAACACCATTCTCGTGAGTATAGCTACCGCCTTCCGCGCATGGTCCAATCTGATTGTCTGTTTCTTAGCTTGTTGGTTCCTGTGTCAATTTCCCCGACGGAAATCAAGATGACATCGCCGCCCTCTCCGATTTGGCTGTGCGGTACAACATCGGCCTGCATGTTGACTGCTGTCTGGGTAGCTTCATCGTGCCTTTCTTGGAGCCAACCGGCCTTTCTGGAGGTAATGGAAAAGGAAAGTACAAACTTGAACCCTTCGACTTCAAGCTCCCTGGTGTCACTAGTATCAGCTGTGATACACATAAGGTGTGTCATTCCACCTTTGCCCTATTTTTCATAGGCTGAAGACATTCGTCTCCAGTACGGATTTGCGCCCAAGGTTCGTTCACCCCCGGACAGATTGGGAATGATTCTTATGAGATTCTCTAGGGAACATCTGTGATTATGTATCGCAGCTCTGAACTCCGGGCGTACCAATACTACATTAACCCGACATGGACTGGTACGTGCCTTTTGTTAATCCTTCAAACATGACGAAATTCTTACGTCGCTTCAGGTGGTGTTTACGCCAGCCCTAGCTTGGCTGGATCACGGTAAATTGCACCTTCGTTTTTGCTTTCGCTGTCTCACGTTCAATACAGTCCTGGTGCTCTGATTGCTGGAGCGTGGGCTGTCATGCAAGCAGTCGGTACCAAGTAGGTTTCCGCCCGGTGTCTCTACCAGTGCCTTGGACTCACAATCTATTCAGAGGATACCTCGAATCGTGCCGAGCAATTGTCCTGGGTGCTCGACAGATTGCTGACGCCATCACCTCTTCGATACCCGAACTGTACGTCCTGGGTGACCCGCCCGCAAGCGTGGTTGCTTTCGGAAGCAAGCACCCCAACGTGAACGTTTTGGAAGTGGGTGATGCCATGAGCAAGAAGGGGTGGCATTTGAATGGCCTCAGTGGACCTCCCGCTGTGCACATCGCTGTAACGGTACGTACTGTCGCATTTGGAGCCCAGCGAAAGCTAAAATGGCCGTTGTAGCGCTTGACCGTGCCACTCGTTGATCAGTTCATCGCTGACCTTAAGGACGCCGTCCGGGAAGCCAAGGTTTCGCCTTCCGGGCAGGGAACGATGGTCGCACTATACGGTTTGGGCAATTCGAGTGCTGTTGGACCTGACATGGTCGGCGAACTGGCGACCGCGTTCCTCGATGCTTTGTACAAGGCTTAAGTTGTGTTGTTGGTAATGTCCCATTTTGTGTTTGATACCCCTGATAATGTATGTATTTTAGAAACGCACTTGAGCAGAGGTGTACAGGGCCTATGGACTGCCAAACCGCTGAGGCTGAAATTGATTCAATCACCGGCAGAAAGCGAATTTCAAAAGTCCGCAGCTGGGGAAGAACGCAACTTTTTTTTTAACTCTTTTTTTCTCTCTCCTCCATTCGCAACTGACGACCGACCTCTTGCCGTTTACCCATGGACCCCATCGCCTCATCTCCAACGATTGTCCAGGAAGCGCGCGCCTCGCTGTTAGAGCTGGAATCGGCGGACAAGAGATGCGAGGAGGAAATCACGAAGCTAGACACGCAGATAGCGCAACTCCGCTCGTACCGGGCTGGAATTCAAGCAGCAGCCATGCACCACAAGAGGATACTGGCCTGTCAGGTTTTCGACAAACTACCCGTCGAGACACTTGGTCGCATCATCTACTTTGCGGCAGAAGCTGCCAGCGAGTGGTGGATACGCGGGAAAGCTGAAATTTTGTCGCTTACCCACGTATCCCAACGATGGAGGACGGCGGCACTCACCCAGCATAGCGTATGGAAGGATTTCGAGATCAGCCTTCCCCGCTTTCGATGTCGAAGTGCCTCTTGGCAGCCATTCTTGCAACTGGAGCCTTTGATGGAGCTTTGGTTTCGACGTGCAGGCAGTCTGCCGAAGTCGTTGTCCCTCGTGTTCCAAACGTATGGAAGCTCTTCGCATTCCCTTTGCGCAATCTGCTCCCCGCATGTTCAGTCCATTCTCCGAAAGTTCGGTCCGTGGCGATCTGTTTCGCTCAGACTTGGGCACCCGCGCTGCGTCGAGAAGTTGGGAAATGAATCTTGGAATTCGATCGAAAACCTTTCCCTGTATATCATGCGGGATTGCCACCGTTCGGCGCTCCGACGTGATTACCAGTTCCCGTTCGCAAGCATCCCTACCTTGACGATGCTTAAGATCGATTCCCTCGACGCAGATGGAACGTTCAAGGACATCAATGCGGCCTTCTTCGCCTTCCCCGCCGTCTTCTTGCAGCGTCTTGTGGACCTCAAACTCTACACGCGGTCGAACAACAGTCAGCTTCTCCGGATCGTTCAGCAGTGTTCCAGTCTGGAGCATCTTTCCCTCGCGATCGGATCATCGGTTCCTGCCAGTGGTCACCAACTTGAAACCTCAGAACCACTCGTCCCCTTCCTCCTCCCAGTCCTGAAATCATTGTCGATCGACCTGCTTGAGCTCTGCCTCCACTCCGTCCTCGGAAAGCTTATTTGTCCTCAATTGATCGAATTAACGGTGGAAGGTCATGAAGCTGATCCTGTGGCGGACGCAGGCGAGGATGGAGACGAAGACGAGATTTGTTTTCTCGACATCCTCGACAAGTTCATCGACCGCTCTTCATGTGCCCTGCGGAAGCTGGATGTCTCCTTTCCGTACTCCCCCCACCTCGAGGATGCGCCTGACTCGGTGGATTTTCACTTTGTCAAGTTCCTTCAAGGGTCTTGCAGGCATTTGACTTCCCTCTCCCTCTCCAATCTTACCAAGGTCACTGGGAGCTTCTTGCAACCTTTTTATTGCCCTACGGACAACTACCTTCCGCGACTCGAAATCATCAGACTGCTTCTGGTTCCAAAGGAATTCAAAACGCAGTCCCTGTTCCAGCTCATCAGCGCCCGATGGGCGCAATCCCAGGAACAGGAAACCCATTCGGCAACTTCAAGCTCAGTAACACCTCTTAAGAAGGCGGAAGTTACTTTCCATTTTCAAGAAGTGCCCAACGTAAAGCCGTGGGTTCCGAGCGCCTTCTTCGAGGCGATTGAGGGAGGCTTGAAGTTGGATGTAACGCCCACTGAATATTCGCCGATTCCCAAGGCCCGGGATGCAAAGGCGTGGTCCAGGGGCGACTTCGACCTACAAAGCGTCAGACACATTTGCCGGTGGGCGCGGGAACAGGCCAAGGAAGAGATGGAGTGGTATCTGTCCCATGCCGAGTCGGACCATGATTGAACTTTGGACTTGAAACCGAAGTTTTTGCTGTTTGTGCGCTCTCTACATACTCGCCGCTGTGATTAATTCTTTCTTGGGACGCTGTAGACATTGTCGATTACTCTTACTCCGTAGGCATGTATTTCTGTCTGACGCCATTGACTGTCCCATACATAGAACGCTGGACCGTTTTGGCAATTCGACTTTGTATTCGATCATGAAAGTGCAAAGTCGACTAGCAACGCGATGGTGATTGTACGAATCCGAAGCCATGCGAGCCATTACAAATGAAGCCAACAAGTCAGGTAACATAAGCTCACATGTTCGTCGAATGTCGATTGAACGATCAACGGCGCAACGACCTGGAGAGGCACGCGCACAAAGCACAGGTGCCAACCACGATGGTAGTCACTCCAATTAAGCACGCGGTGGGATGCTTCAAATAGGAAGATCGCTCCTCAGGGGTTCCTTCGCCACGTCCAGAACGGTCCGTCGAGGACATTCTTCCCATCTGCAACGCGTTGATCTTGGCGTCAAGGTGATCTGCACGCAGGATCGTCAGATGATCCAAAAGTCGGTGAGACGGTACAACCGGATAGAGGTGGGATAATTGACGCACCGTTGGCTGAGGTGCACGATGAAGAATCGATGAAAGCACAGTCGTAGAAGGCTAAGCCACGACAATATGCGAAGGAGCCTTGTGTCAATGGAAGTCGCCTCTGGTAAAGATTGACTGGCTCCATAGGCGGAGGTGGTGGAGGTGGTCTGATATTCCTTGGATGCGACGGCTCGGCGCGCATAGAAGGGATGGTTTGGTCTCGCTGGGCTGGCTGGGAGGACATGGGGGAAGCCATTGGGGGGAATTAATTGGGGGAAACGTGGGTTTTAAGCCCAATAAAAGCTGTGGTACCAATTCCTGTCACACTGTAGTACATCGCTTGAGCAAAAAAAGGGAAAGAGCAGAGAAATGTAGAATCTATAATAAATATTGGAAGAGAATTATAAAGGTTTAGGGCTAAATGCCAGGGTATGCTCTTATGAGCGCTGTTAATTTGATCGATTCAGTGCCCCCAGAGCGACTGTCAGTGGTGTCCCAAATATATTCATATTTTGAACCCTATTATCGAGCATTTTTCCCGCTGCGCAGTCCACCACGATCACCACGCAGCTTCCTGTTCCCCGTACAAGGCTTATCATTCTCAAAGAACGTCGGTTGTCAAACTAGCTTTCAACTATACACGGGAATTCCGTTCGCTTCTAGAAGACGGAGTTGTTTTGCTTCTCCTCGTTCACCCTAATGTCGACGATGCTTACTATATTTATCTGATATGTTCCCAGAACATAAGTCTTCAACGGGCACCAATCGACCCTCGGAGAAGATATCTCTGACGTGGGTCTTTTCCAAGTTGAGCAGATGCGACGGGTTGTCCCTCGTTGCAAACCATGAGCAGAGCACGTTGTCTACCAGTATGCCGTCAACTTGCCTATCTGAGCCTTATCGATGGCCTGTCCTTCAGGAATGGTCTGAGGATACATGGTGAAGTCAATTCTTCGTACTGACTAGGCGGTGCGGCGGAACTTCGAGCCTCTCGCGAGCGCTGAGGCTGAATCAACCAACAGAGCGTGCATAGCATTAATATTCATACCTTGTGGATTGGGATTGGCGCGCCGGAAAGTGGCCAACTGACGACGGCTTTTTCGTTGTTCGGCCCGGGGGCGCCCCTCGCTTTGATCAACCACGATTGTACACTACAAGTAAACCCTTAGGCGAACGCTGTCGTTCAGATATGGACGTCGGAACTCGGGATTCGCATCATGAAAAGGGCTCCGCACCCAAGGGGAGATGGACTGGCCCTCAGAAATGATTTCAAACTCCGCGAGTTACTTAAGCTTACGCGGCGAGCGCTCGGGCGCTAAAGAGGTTCGAGGAATTCGGACTTTTTCACGGAGTGCGTAACATATCACAATTCAGCTTTAAATACAACATGGACGTGCATGGAGGAACGAGAGCAACTAAACAGAGTGGTACATATTGCTGAATGGAAGGGGGGTTCAAATTATACAGGAAAGTGTTAATGCTGACCCTAAAGTCCGGTCCACATGGGCCTCCATGCGAGCTTGCGTGTGGTAGAGAATGCGATGCAACCCCCGGCAAGGACGAGCAATGCAGCTCCGACCGCGATGGGGGTCCAATCTATGTTGTTCCCGGGATCTTTCTTCTTGTCTTCAGGATGGTCGTTGACATGATTGCTGGTAGCTGGACGTCGTTGATCAGGCGTGTCACCTCGCAGGGTAGCGTTGGGGACGGATATGTGGTCTGCAGGAGTATGGAAGAAGAATATGACTGAGCTTTTCTTCTCCTCTTGGAGTGGAGATTGGGAAGTGAAGTACGTACCCAGAGTGAATTTACAGTGGTTGAAAGTGAATCCGCGACCATACGCAAACATACACGCGTCAAAGGGGAGCTGGGGATCATTGGCCATGACTTGATTGGGGGTGCCGACGCCATTCCCGATGCCGTCTGGGTCACCAAGCTGTATGCTGTTGTACCCATGGTTGTTGTCGGTATGGTTGTGCATGTCATGGCGGTTTGGGTATGCGATGTGTTGTTCATCGTAAGGGGCAGCACCGTAGGTGTGTTTTGACATACTGAAGGGAAGGTTTGAAAAGGGAGGGTAGATACAGTAGGACTATATGTTCCAAATTCCGCGATTCAAACACCGCCCTGCATGTGGGAAGTACGGAGCACGAACCTAGCGAAGTTGTAATGGCCAACTTCGACCGGAACCTGCCTTTAGGCTTGGCGACGGTCATGATCGAAATGGTAAAGTTGCTTGACACTTGTACATATCTGGAGCTTCTGTAGCCCACAAGAAGAGCACTGGGCAAGCAAAGGCGAACGTCAAGAGGGAGGCTCGAACTGAAACATACAACAGCACCTCTTAGCATCTCCTTCTTAGCTCAGTTGGTAGAGCGCGTCACTAGTACGTCCATCCGCGGATTATGACGAGGTCAGTCGTTCGAGTCGGCTAGAAGGAATGTCAGTGCAATGTTGCTTTTTTCTTGCTTTTTTAAGCTGCCTCTTTCTCAGTCGGATCACTGGCTCTTCAGATGGATTAAGGGCACGTATCTCGGTACACACCTGCCAGCGCAACTTCAAGGCAGATGGCAGGAAGAACATTGGCGACCATCCTAATTCTTTTTGCTTCCGCGCCTCTGAAACTAAACAACTCTCCTTTCCCTCTCTCACTCTCCCTCTTTCGAGTCTTGAAAGCTTGAAGGCAAGTTTAAAGTTCTTCTGAGAGCCTTTGTTCTCGCCAAGATAGGGGCTCTCGAGATAAGATCATCATCGCTGATCATGAACGCGTCGCGCGTTCGATTCTCGCTGCTGCCATTCCCCCTTCCCTTCTCTATGCATCCTCGGCTCAGACCAGAAGGGCACGGAGCGAGGTAGAGTTTACAGGAAACACTTGACACAAATCGGATTCTCCGAACCGACACAACCCATCCCTCCGTAAAGAAGATGCAGTGCTTACCCGTCTCTCAATGACAGCGGACGCGTCCAAAACCCGTCGTCGCAATGGCTTCCACCATGGTATCATTGACTGCATGCATACCCCGCTTTCCAAGGAGTCTCTTCATAATCCATTACTCGGAGTAGTAAGTATAGTAGTTCTTCAGCTGAGATATAGATTTAAAAGACATGATGGATGGATGGGGAATGATTAGAATCTCGTACCATCCCGCGCTCGGAGGCGGCGGAATACATATAAAAGCGACAGGGGTCCTGAAGGCTTGGCTTCTTTTTCCGTGGTCCAATCATCCTTGCTCTATCGTCCATCATCTCTTCCTCCTCCTCGCTGTGTAAAGGTACGCGTTTTCAAGAAGAGGGCGATGATCTGAAATATTGAAGAGTATTTGTAGATCTAGTAAATCATGTCAGAGCCGATCTACGAAGCGACTGCCTCTGCGCCAGTCAACATCGCCGTCATCAAGTGCGCTCTTCTCTCTCTCTCTCTATCCATGATTGAGATCTAATACTCGACATCGTTCAGATACTGGGGTAAACGCGACACCTCACTCATCCTGCCCACCAACTCCTCGCTCTCCGTCACCCTCTCGCAGGACCACCTCCGATCCACGACCACATCCCGCGCTTCGTCCTCCTTCGACAAAGATCGCCTATGGCTCAACGGACAGGAGGATGTTATCAAACCCGGATCGAGACTAGAGACGTGTATCCGCGAGATGAAGAAACTGAGGAAGGAATTGGTGGAGGATAAAGATGCTAATGCTCCCAAGGTGCCTTATTCATTCATTCAAACGTCTCATCTACCCAAAATCCTCACATGTATAATGTCAGCTCTCAACTCTCCCAGTCCACATCGCCTCCTACAACAACTTCCCCACCGCCGCCGGGCTCGCATCAAGCGCAAGCGGTTTCGCCGCGCTCGTCTCCTCCCTCGCCCACCTCTACACTCTGACCCCGCCGCTCACCTCGCCCTCCACCCTCTCCCTCATCGCGCGTCAAGGCTCCGGCTCCGCCTGCCGCTCCCTCTTCGGCGGCTTCGTGGCCTGGGAGATGGGCTCCACCCCCACCGGCACCGACTCGCTCGCCGTCCAAATCGCCGACGAAGCGCACTGGCCCGAGATGCACGCCCTCATCTGCGTCGTCAGCGACGACAAGAAGGGGACGAGCTCCACAGCCGGCATGCAGCGCACCGTCGAGACGTCGACTCTGTTGCAGCACCGAATCAAGGATGTCGTGCCCCGGAGGATGGACGAGATGATTAGGGCGATCAAGGAGAAGGATTTCGATTCGTTCGCGAGGATCACGATGGCCGACTCCAACTCGTTCCACGCCGTCGCGCTCGACACCGAACCACCCATCTTTTACATGAACGACGTCTCGCGCGCGATCATCGCCCTCATCGTCGAACTTAACCGTGTATCATTGGAGAAGGGCGAGGGATACAAAGCGGCGTATACGTACGACGCCGGTCCCAACGCTGTCATCTACACACTCGATAAGAACGTCAAAGAGGTGATCCAGCTCATCGTCAAGTACTTCCCGCAAAAGGCGGGCGAGTTCAAGGATAACCTCCAGGTTCTCGGAGGAGGTGTGGCCGATATCAACCAAGTCGCACAAGTTCCGGAGGGGTTCAATGAGAAGGTCGCGGTGGTTAGGGAGGTTGGTGCCGTCAAGGGTTTGATTCATACCAAGGTCGGCGATGGACCGAGGAGGTTGGGTGATGAGGAGAGTTTGTTGGGCAAGGATGGCTTCCCCAAGACTCTGGTCGCCTAAGCGCGGTTGGTAGGAATCTAATAGAAGTTATCGGCTACTCGGATCTCAAGGAATATAATGCTCTCATCTACTCCCCCACCAACCAGAGTGAAAACAATCATATGGAATTGGTATGCTCGATCGGAGAACTGTGTGTATGAAAGAATGAATGTATGCGAGTTGTATAGAATGATAGGAACAAAAACAAGGCGCGGTAAGAGAATTGAAAGAAAATCGACTTTGGATTTCTAGTAATGACGTTAGTAGTAGTATCAAAAAAATGGGACAAAGTAATAGTAGTACAGAGGAAAAAATCGATTACAAAAAAAAGAGAGTACACCTTCAACACGTTTATTCCACTCCCTTCCACCATCAGCCCCTTCCACTTTCCACATCCCACCTCCCACCTAAAACGAAGTAGTACTATCAACCTCAATAGTCGGCACAATACTCGCAATAAACTTGAGGAAAACCACAAGATAGAAATCAACCCTCATGCCTTCAGGCTCATCGCTATCCTTATCATCCCCAGCTGCACCTGCTGCAGAAGACGACGAGGACGCCTCCTTCCCGCCACTCGATTTACGTCCAAACAACCATTTCTTCTTTTCTTTGGGTTCTTTCGCGTCTTTGCCTGTATCGATCAAATGGTCAGAAAACAACACTGTGAAAAACCGAACAGAGGGTTACGCACCAGAAGCACCACCCAAAGCCTTCTCCTTGGCCTCCTTCGCAGCCAACTGCTCAGCCACAACCTTATCATTCATCCTCTCAATAATCTTCTTCATCACACTCGAATGCTTGCACGGGTGCACACTCGCAGCTTGGAGCGAGGTAGAATGGATGAACTGCTCAATCGTGACCGTCTTTTGCGCGTGGTCAGCCGAGATGTCTTGGAAGATTTGTTGGGGGGTGAGAGGGGTGCGGTTCTATTATCCGGGTTGAGAAGGGTTAGATTAATTCGGTAGGTGGAGAGAGGGGATGGAAAGGAGAGGGGATACAACGCACCTCGTCGTACCCGATCAACCACAACCTAGGCGTCTGGTAATACTTGTCATACGTGATCATAACATCATACGTCCGGACTTGCAAAAGGTTCGTCTTGGCCGGTTCAACCACCGCACTCGTCTTCGCCGCCCCCGCAGCAGGCGCCGCCGCAGCAGGCTTGGTAGCAGTAGCCTCATCAGCCTCCTCCAAATCCTCCTCCATATCAGGTATATCATCCAAATCAGGCGTCTCCTGCGCACCACCCTGTCCTCCCCCCACTCCCCCTCCTGCTCCGCCTAACGAAACACCACCCATCCCTTTCGAAAGCCCATCATCGTCATCCTCGTCATCCACATCCGGGATCTCACCAAGCCCCTCCCCAGCACCAAGCGTACCAGGCTGCGTCACCTTCCGTCCCGCATGCGTCTCGACCCAATCGTCATCGTCAGCAGCAGCAGCGTTCTTGTCTTTGTCCTTGCTCTTGCCGCCAGAGGAGGAGGCCGCGGGGGTGGAGGTGGTAGGCTCGTCCCCGGAGAAGTTGACGAGTCGCTCAGCGTCCTCGTCGGCGTCGGTGTAGGCGAGTGATTGGGCGCGCCGGAGGCAGGGTACGCCCCGTGTTACGAGGTATTGCTTGTCGGCGGGCAGAAAGTCGCGGGTTTTGGAGGGGTCGCCTTTTTCCCTGTTGGAATGGTTTTGGTCAGTATATCGTGTTATGAGTGAGGGGTGATCGTGATGCTGATATTGATACGATAACGGTGTGGGGGTGGGGCGCGAGTATTAATATGGCAGGCACACGCAACGGAACAGAACACGCTGATGAAGCGTGATAAGATCGACGTGGGGTACTATGCAATGCAGCGCCCCGGCGAAGATCGACCATCGGGCTCCACGCGAATCCTGGACGAGGATCAAGAGACGCGCGTTGCAGATTGACCCGTGAAAGCATAATGAAAGATCCATCCGGTGCACGAGGCACGGGTCTAGCGCCCACACACCAACCATAACGAGCATCCTCCCGTATCGAGCGGGCCTGGATCTGGATTGGGTTGGCATGGTGGTACCTAGTCACAAATATGCATCCCACAGCGCCGACGCCGAAGCGGGTCGCAATCGACCGACCGACCGACGGACTGACCATCGGACGGGCGCCTCCCTATCGATCGACCTGGGTATCCTCCAAGTGGCTGGCCCGTTCCCCTCTCTGCTGGCCCCCCGCCCCGTCACACAGAATCGAGTCCCGCCACAAGAAACCCACAGGAAACGACGACTCACCAAGACCAAACTGGGAACTTGTACACCAAGAAATCGCCCGATGCTACGAATTCCTCTGTAGTAGTCGACGATCAGTTTCGCTGTCCGCGTTCTGCGAGGGAAGAGGGAGGGAGAGGAACGCACCAGGTGTGATACGCCCGTGTTCCTTGAACTTGCTTTCCTTGAGGACCTGGAGAGGTGGGAGGAGAGGTGATCAGTACACTCATCACCCCCCGCTGAACATTGGTTGTCGAGAGACGGAGGAGGGGCGTCGCTGTCGCTGTCTCCAACTGCGTGGTGGTCGATGGATGCATGAACTCGCCCTGACTGCTGACATCGACGATAGCACCCTCCACTCGCCTCTCCTAACCAACCAAGCAAACGACGCTGGGGAAAAAACGTACTGGACTCAAGTACTCGCGCACAGCGAACAAATGGGACTACACATCCATGCCAGAAACCACCATTAGCAAGTCATCGTTCGATCTAGAATGTATAGAAACAAACCTGAAGAGCTTGCATCCTTTCCTCCTAATCCTTCAAAAAAGCAGGTGTCGTATCTGTTCTGTCGTGTTGTACTCTCCAAACTCAGGCTGGTGGTACTGGTAACTAGTAGTGCAACCCCTTGAGCCTCGTTATCTCGATCGATGAAACTCGAAGCTGGACGAACACTCTTCTGCGAGTCTAGCTGGTCGTCGTAGGGCGAACGAGTCGAAAGTCGTAATGGAACAACGAGAAGAAGAGGGTTGTTGAGGAAGAGAAGTTGGGTGTTGAAGAGTGCTGGGATTGGTTGGTGATGGTGGTTATTGATACAATCGATTTACGCTTGGCCGAGTTAGGGGTGTGAACCACGTGCCTCTTGGTCGGGTGCCTGGCCCCGCGCTGCAAATCAAAATCAATGTCCACTGGCGCGGTCATTTGACTCTGACACGAGGTACGAATGGATGTATACAACATAGATGTAACCCAAGAACAAACGTATGTATGTACCGCAAGTCAATATAACAGTAGGTATGTATGTGTTTTCCTCGTTCAAGAGGATTTTTGTGACCTTGTATCCAAGGTCTCGCCGGGGGTATGAGGAAGTGAGTATAGATGTGAGGAAGGTCGACAAAGACTACGATCTCTCCTCTTTCTTCTCCTTCTTACTCTTCTTCTTCTCCTTCTTCCCTTTCTCTTTCTCCTTCACCTCCCCGCTCTCTCTCGCCGGTTCGTCCACGTCCATCTTATCCTCCCCACCCTCCTTCTCCTTGCTCTTCTTCTCTTTCTTCTCTTTCTTCTTCTCTTTACCCTTCTTCTTCTCCTTTTTCTCCCCATCCTCCACGCTCCCTTTCGCCACCTCCGCACCCTCCGTCGTCGTCGACTCTTCCGGCGATTTCGACTTTTTCTTGTCCTTCTTCGACTTTTTCTTCTCCGAACCGTCTGCCGCCTCTGTTGAGCCTCCCTGCAGCTCTACGGATTTGGACTTTTCCTTCTTCTTCTCCTTCTTCTCCTTCTTGTCTTTCTTGTCTTTCGACTTTTCCTTCTCCTTCTCCTTTTCTTTCGACTTGTCACTCGACTCGGCCTCAGCAGACGAATCGAGCTTGGTCTTTTTGGGTGCTGGCGATGACTTTACAACAACCGATGAGCATCCTACGAGATCGAAGACGAGAAAAACAAGACAAGACACTCACCTCCTCATCCTCAGCTTTCCGCTTCTTACTCTTCTCCTTCTTCTCCTTCTTCTCCTTACTCTCCTTCTCCTTCCCATCCTCCTGCGTCTCATTCCTCTTCTCAACTACACCCTTCAATGGCGAATCCGATCCTTTCTTCTTCTCCACCCCATTCACCCCATTCGCACCATTCGCACCACTAACACCACCCTTACCCTTCCCCTCTACATCACTCTCCGTAGGCGAAGGTGTCACAGGGGACATCCGCGTAGGCGCGCCAAGGGGCATATGGTTCGCGCCCGTCCCTCTGTTCACAGGCTCGCGGTTCCGGTTCCAGCTGTTATTGTGGTTGCTGTTGTTGTTGAACCCCCCTCGACCACCACCCCGTCCTCCCCGTCCTCCGCCCCGCCCTCCGCGTTGGTTGTTGTTGAAGTTGGATTGGCCGTCGCGTCCACCGGTCTATGGCGAAAGGAAGGGTCAGTATTTCGTGTCTGTGCAAGAAGCGTGTGGAGAGAGGAGGAGGAGGAGGGGGAGGGGGAGCGAAGGTGTGTGTGAGAGAGAAGGTAGGGTCGTTTGGAACGCTGCAATGTGTAGCAGGGGCGAGGCAAACCACGACGACGGTATTGTAGATTACATGGGTGTAACCCCAACTTCGACTGAGAACCCTCCAACCCCGACCGACCCCCATCCCGACGCCTACCCACACCTCCCACCTATAGCCACACCTCCCACCCAACAAAATCCCAACAAAATCCCAACAAAAATCCCACCAAAAAAGTCAAACAAAAAACAAGGACTCACCTTCGGCCCTTTATACAAACTCTTCTGATACTTCTCCGCTTCACTAATACAACTCGTATGGCCCTTCCACTCGCCGGGGGTGTTGAACGTTTTGGAGCAGTCGATGCAGTCGAACCCGCCGTGGCATCGGCCGGCGTGTTGGTCGAGTTTGGGCTTTTTGACGACGTCGCCGCAGCCTGGATGGGGGTTGAAGGTTATATAGAGGTTGAGTAGAGGTTGGAGAGTCGGAGGTCGGGGGGTTATTTCGTTTTTGGAGGTTCGAATCGGTGTGTGGTACGAATTGGAAGACGAGTATCGAGGGCGGAAGACGACCAGGCAATGGTTAGCGTATGAGCCCAGGGAGGTTTAACATATCCAGAAGATAGTCCATTCGAATCAACACGGAGAAAATACCGATATCCAGGAAGAAAGAAACACTAGCAAAGTTAGCCGTTGCACCAAATCACGCATTATGCAGGGGAATGAAAGACTGACTATGACATCTGCAGAGGTCGAACCGAGCCCACGATCAGAGCAGAGCAGAATGCAGATAATGCAGATGGATGGATCGTGGTGTCGGTAGGCGAGCAGCATGGACAGACCGATCAATAAGGGACGACGACATTGGGAGGTTACAGAGAAGAGATTCCAGAGGATTTCTGTAAGTCATTCGTATAAACACAAAAGAAAACCAAACACGCACTGGAAAGAAACCATTTTCCCTTCTCTAAATCTTCAAATCCCCAATTCGTAGTGCTGTATTACCACAGTCGTTCACAGCCAACTATCGGCTGCTGGTATATCAAATAGGCCCCGTTATAGAGTCCTATTAATGTGACGTTTTGAAGAAGAGAGAGACAGAGAGAAAAGAGCGAGAGACGAAACCAGAGTTCAAAATTGACCTTGAGGAAGGTCAGAAAGCCTGAGGCAGATTCTATTTCAGCTTGGCACACCGATCGCGAAAAAAGTGGGCACGTGGATGGCACGTGGCTTGCATTTGGGCGCTAAATTCGTTTGCATCAGGTTATGACATTGATAGTAGATGGGCAAGAAGGAGAAGGGGGAATGACCAAGCTCAGCAGGGGGAGTACGAGCAAAGGCCCTAGCATACGATTTATGCTTGGCTGCTAGCGCTGTTGCTCCAACTGTCAAAGGCGGTAACTCGTTAGAAGCCTGCAACACTTGGCCACAGCAGTTCCCTGCCCTGTCAAGACAGATACAGACATCAACAATCAGGGTCAAAGACGTTTTCAAAAAGCGTTACAGGTCTTCCGTTCTACAACGCTGAGCGCACCATCCATACGGTGTGGAAAACACCCACTCCGCTATGTACGTACTTATATATACATTGCCAGTTTAATCTGAATATCTTCCCGGACGAACGCGCATTCCGAGTCCACGACGACATGCCGGTGGCTCTATGCTCTTCACCCGATTTGTGACGTTAGCTCTGCACACCATTTTCTGCCCGGCTCGCTTGCTCGAACAGGATTTGGCTTCGATTGCCGTTGGCATGTAGAGTGTTTGTGATGGGGTCTGATATCCATCGCTTTGGGGTTTGAATTTGTCCACAGTGGGTTGTCGAGGCTTAGCGCCTCAGCATTCCCGTAATAGCTGTGCGCTCAACCTGGGTAGTCAAGCTCCGAGTATGGCGTGGATTCAGCTGGGACGTCGACTTGGAAAAATAGGAAACCGCAAATGAAATTGACGCCCCTTCGTTACATATCGGGCGCTGCGGGTCGTGTTCCATGGGCGACACAGCCTGGGCGTTGAGCATTGTGACTATTTTAGGGTTGCTGCTACTAGTAGGTCGCGAAACCTAAATTTCCGACAGCTATAGTATGTGCCACCAGCGTAACTTTTTGCGCCAGTGATGTACCGTTCTTTGCATCTGTACTGACGATGGGCCATACTATGGTACGTCGTGGAGGAGAATTGAGACCAAACTACAGCGGGTGACTGTAGCCAACCCGCCGAAAGTTCGACCTTCAAAGCGAATACCAGCCTCCACTTTGAAAGGGCGATTTTCGATGTCAGTACTGTGGCCAGTCATCAGAGGACCCCGGAGAATATATGGGGAGGTTAGTTGGCATTCCTGATAAAATTCGGAAATTTTGGCCTGAATGTTACCTTAGTTCCTGATAAAATTGGTCATTTTGCGCGAAAATCTTAGTTGGTTTGTCCTGATAAAATCGGGTCGAGAGTCCGAGCTTAGACGTTTGTCCTGATAAAATCTTGGCCAAGGAGCCCCAAATGAGCATTATGTAGAGGTCGCAGGTTCGAATCCTAGTCGTTGATGTTGCTTTTGGCTTTCCAGAACCGCCACGGAAACGCATTTACTCCCTTAACCGATGCTACACTTCGGACTAACAGCAATTATTTCGCTCTCATCCCCCACATCCAGTTCCTCACAGTCTTGCCCTCCAAGACCATCACCCTGCAGTGCAATGGCGGCTTTCTTCTTGACCAGGAATTTTTACTACTTTTCAGATCTCTCTCTACGCAATCCACGGAGCTTGAGAAGGCGTTGAAATTGTGGAAAGGGAGGAAGAAGGATGACGGAGACTTGGAATTGGCTGATGGTGATGTAGTCGGGGATTGGTGACGAAAGAGGGCCAGTCTGAGCGAAAACCATTGAAATTGAAGGGAAAATGTTCATTTTTGACCAATTTTGGAGGTTAGTACAATGGTCCTGATAAAATTGGGATTTCGGCGCTAGGTTGAATTTTTGTCCTGATAAAATTGGAAAAAAACGCTTTCCGGTTTTGAAATCTAACCTCCCCATATACTTTCCGGGGTCCTGTCATCAGTCGGTGAGCGCTGACACAAAAGCCACCGGGTTGGACACCCCCGTGGCTACAATCGATCGGCACTGAGATCTGATGTTGTGCCTCAGTGCTCCGTCTTTTGCCCCTTCTATTCTTAGATTCTGAAAAACAGATAAAAACGGGACGCAGACCTAGTTCAGCCTCAACCCTCAGCTTCATTCATCGCTGCTTTTCTCACCTGTCCACTCCTCGACGAAGTTTAACGCGATGGCATATAGACACAGAAACCCTTTCAGGGCACAATTTGCAAGGGAACCGGAGGGTATTGTGCCAGAACACCCTGTACACCGCGCATTGCCGGTGGAGGATAGCACCAGGTCGACTATGAGTGGCACCGACACCCCCGTCGCCCAGAGCACTTTCAACCACGCACGCTATCTCACTTTCAACAACTGCCATTTCACCCAAGCCTCGCCGACGTATGTTAAAGGTTTGTGTTCAATGTGCTAACCGCGATCCGCATGGATGATGATGGTTTCCCTAAGACCAGATGCTGATCCGCAAGGTCAGCATGGAGGATTCTTCCACTGCGAAGGAAGATGGCGTGAACAAGCCTTTGAATGACTCAAGGAGCCTGTTGGCCTCCCCGGAGGATAACATAGTCTCTTCCCCTGTAGGAATATTGGGCGTGGTCATTCTTGTTAGTTGTGTGACATCCTTGATCATACGAAAGCTGTAGATGTGGGGATCGACGAAACGACCGCCAGTTAATGCATACATACCTTTGCTATTGGGAGAAGATAAATGACTTGCCACCATGTCCACCACTTGTACCCATACATTTTCAAATTTAATGCCTTTGGAAGAGGACTCCGTGCCCTACGGATTCAAACTGGTACCCCGTTGGTCAATCATTCAATAAGCCCGGCTTCAACTGTTCAGGAGAAGGCATTGAGTGGCTCTGACGGTTTGGACGGACATCATCCGGCCACCATAAAGTCCCTAATTTTTCCATGAGGTGAGGGTCGAGGGACCTTGGGGTGCTTGGTGGCGCGTCCTGAAGGACCTTCGAGTTACCTCAACTTTCGAGGTGCCGCACCCAAATATTTTGCGATTTCCGTTGCCCCGAGCCGCACATCACCAGTGAAGCCGGATGTGCAACGTGTTGGTAGGCGTATACGTAATCCAGTACACGATGCCTCGAACCTGTCGCCCGTGTTGACTGGGTGTGAGGAAACGCTTCCCGTATGATGCTTCCCGTATAAGTAGTACTGTTCAGTGCACGCGTGCGGGGTTTCGAAAGCCAAGACAAGATTTCCTAAAGGGGCTCGGCTCCTTCCAAATTGAGTACCGCACAGGGAGCATACCTTAGCTTCCGTGCTAAATGACGCTAGCCTGAGATCCAAGGCCTGGGTGCTGAGACTCAGAGAGGTGAAAGAGAATATGACACTCTCGTACACTCGTAGATCCACCTTACTACGGGTATTCAGTGTTTCATATCGGTGCTCTGTCGCTCTGTAGCGTGCATTTGGCCGAGTTCGAGACCTCACCGAGACTGGACGCGCAGTACACCGCTCGAAGAGATACAAGGACTTTAAAACTTCGAGATGTCAGCAACAGCCTATCGCCTGAATTGGAATCCATCGTCACAGCATGTATGGGCATAGCCTCACCAACGCTGGCGTTGTTCATGCGAACAAACCACCAATAGGATGAGTTGACGCGAGAACAGCACGTTTTCATTGGCCGTTCAAAGGAGCTCGCCTTTGACTGCCTCAATCTTGGACGCTCGAGATTCTGTTCTAGTCTCGAGAAGACTACTCTTGCACGCCCAGATTGGTCGCGACCGCGGAAAGCCATTGGTTATTATCCCCTACAGGTGTCCGTGAGCGTCTTGAACTCGTTTGACTCTGCCTCTCATTGGATGTTCTTATCACAATCTGGAGGCCAATGGACTCCCAGCTGGTTTGTTAAGAGGTCTACGAAACGAGACAAAAGCTGTAATACTTAGGTTATAAGTACCATACCCGACGGTTTCTTTGAGGTTCTCAAACATATTGGTCCTTTCCTCGTCTTCATCACCCCCAATGCCTTCCGGTGATTACAGCGCTCAGCACTCAGAGAGCCTCCCAGTCCCTCTGAGCTCGCCTCAGTCTGGTGATGGATCCATCCCCAGCCCGCAAGATGACGGCGAGCGTGCTGAATTTCGATCCGAACCTCCGCCCCCGCCAACCCCAACCCCAATCCAGTCCACTGAGTTCCGTCGGGAGAATGTACCTCTGGGTGCCGGCTCTTTCGCAAATTGTCGCGATCTAGCGTTCCATGATTGTACTTTCATCGATGCGTCGGCGAACATCTCCATCAATGGTGCGTAGGATTTCAAACGAGAAGTGCAATCCCATGACATATCAATTACCTGAGCGGCTCTGCAGACCACATAAACTGGAATGCCAATCAGAGACCTTGCGACACTCACCCGGGCCCTCGAGCTTCAAAGAAGAGAGAAGAGAAAGCGCCCTATATGAAGCACCCTACAGTGTGCATCGCAGGAATGACGGCCATCGTGGCAGGGACCTGGGCCCTTGGTCTATCGGGAGCACTCCAAAGTTGCTGGCATTGATACCTGCGACGATGTTTTATTCTACTAGCCCATTCGATTGACGCCTCACCTTCACTATTTATGTACCACGAGTCAATACTCTGCATGCCATCGCCTGTCTTCCTTAACGAGTGTAATAGACGAATTTAAGCGACGGAACCACGATCGAGAACTTAGACGAGAGGCCTACGGATTGCCTATGGATGTGAGAGATCGGGAATACAAAGGTAAATCCCATCGCCGATGCACGTCTCCAACCAATCTCCAACAAAGCTCGACAGACGATTGCTCTCATGCCGTGAGTTGCCGAAGGTAAAATCACCGTCGGATCAAACCCAGGAAACCTTCCGACAAACGCGTCTAGGCACGCGTTGCGAACGTTGCTTTCTCCTCTTCCTTCACCTTCTGGCTCCGCAGCGCAGTCATGTTCGCGACCAACGAGCCGTTACCCCAAGATGAAGTTTCTAGGATCAAGGAGAATATCGCTGGCCTCACATCTAGACTCTCCCGCAACGACCAGCAGCTCGCCATTCTCCTTCGTCAGGTAGAAGAGATTCGTGGCGAAAACGTGCGACTCAGCATCGAAATCCAGAAACAGAAGAACTTGATATCACTTCTCCGATCTCTCCCGCTCGAGCTTTTGGGCTACATTTTCCTCCTGGCAAGCGAACCAACTACCACGCCAATGCGAGACAGCAGGGACAATGGCCCCCATGGGACTCGGATAAAGGCCGAGCGCGTTGGGGCGCTCCGAGTCGTGCAGGGCGATGCGGAGAACAGGCGAGAAATTCTTGCTTTCAGCCACGTCTGTAGGCGCTGGAGAAGGGCTGCTCTCGCGACCCCGCGACTCTGGCGCTCGTTCTCTCTCCAGGAGGGCGCTTCTTACTCCCCCCGATCGCGGTTAATGAACTGGGACAGATATGTTCCCCGAGTTCAAAACTGGCTTCAGCGAGCTGGGGCTCTGCCCAAATCACTATCGATTTCAAGCACCTCTTACGTCACCGCAATTGGCATGTATTGCGATGATGATAACGACTCGTGCGGCGGCTCCTGCCCTGCATGTGCAGACTCTGTCGTGGATGGCATCATCAGGCAGCTACATCCCTGGAAACACCTCTCCCTCGAGGTCGTGACGCCAGCGTGCCTAGAGGCTCTCGGCAACAGGTTGTTGTCCACCGCTCCGGATGCGTGGAACTCGATCCAACACTTATCTATCTCCATCGCTAAATTGGGTGTCCCTAGGCCTCATGCCCGTTTTCCTCCTGTCCGGGACTTGAAGGAATTGCAAATCGCATTCCCGACGGATGATGAAGAGGCCAATTCCCCCAGCTTCCACATGGGTTTTCCCGCTTCAACACTTCAAAACCTCACCCATTTCGAGCTCACTGCGACTTGGAGTTTCGCCGCCGTTGCCGAAGTGTTGAGGCACTGTGTCAATTTAGACAGCTTTGTCTTTGTGTGGAGGTGTATGGATCTCGAGGATGTTATCGAATCCGGTAGCGATGGCGCTGATACAAACAATATCGGGGTGGTTCAGCTCCCCGCGCTCAAAACCCTCTCCCTCACACTTGAGGAGGAACGTCCCCCGAGTCTCGTTTTGCGCTCCCTCCAAACGTCGTCACTTACTCATCTCTTCATCAACCTCCTGGACGATGGTCCCGAGGAAGATATTGGGATCGTCGTCAAGGACTTTATTACCTCCTCCAACTGCTCCCAATCCCTCGTAACCTTTCATCTCGCGTGCGAGAATGTCACCGACGATAATCTGGTACAATTACTGCGACTACTTCCCTCCCTCCGGACATTGAGGTTAAGCTCCATGCAGAACGTTGTTGGGAAGTTCTTGTTACCGTTTTACTGCCCCTCGGACGACCATCTTCCACATCTCGAGGCGCTAGAGCTTCTCCAGATGCCTCGTGCCTTCAAACCGCGTTATCTTCTAAACTTCGTGGCTGCAAGAGGGCCAAGAGCCACCTACCATCCTCCGGACTCCAGCGGCAGGGTACAGGGTATCACTCGGACCGTGCTTAAACGGGCGGTGTTGGACTTTGCAAAGGAGCCGTGCCACAGTGGGGTTGTAGAGGCGTTGAATAGGGGATTTGAATTAGAAATGGACAAGGGGTGCATGCCCACGGCCTTTTATTCAACGCCTGAGCCAGCATGGGTGGCAACATACCATCGGACTACTACATAGTATGAAGTTTGTTATATCCTTTTCGTTCCAGTGAATTTGATGTACTTTCTATTGGATGTGCAGTTGGAATGTACAGACGCACATACCACCGTGCAATGGATCGGGTGAGCAAAGGTGAACAGATATTCGCCTGCAGCCATTGCTCCCGGGAATGCCAGGATTAAGACGGTCTCCAAAATCGATGCTGGAAATAGCGCCAGTGAAAAAGAAGGACAACAGTTCGGACGTATCATGATATCAGCGGCGCGAAGGTACTTTGGGAGAATCCGCTTTTCATGTGGCGACAGTTTTTCGCTGGATCACTGTGATCGTCCACGATCAGTGAAGTCGACGAGAATAGAATAGCACGGCGACAGTGGGAAGGAGTCGATAATGGAGTGCGATTTCTCAGGTCGTGGGCGGGATCGGCGGACATCTTGACGCAACTAGAGGCAGTTATCGTGATGACAGCAGCTTGCTCCTGATTAGATCTTGGCTGGGACACACCCTTCGTTTGTGAGGACAAGACGCGGACCCCCAATAGCTTCTAGTATAGATTACCCACGAAAGTCTAGCCAGCGATGGCACTGTTACCGGACCCCTAGGCCGTTGTCTCTTCCTCTGGATGCTCGATCTTCTCAGTTCCGCAGAATAGGACATGTCCAGCGTCTCTTTGCTCGGAAAGTGGCGGCAAGCGAGCTGGCTTCCTAGTGACAGACTTTTCCGACTCGGTTTCGAGAGAGGGAGACCCGTCAGGGATTCGAGGAGCCGGTATCCGTTTCGTGGTTTTGCAATTCAAGCACCTGTAAACCATAGCGTGGCCGTGCGATGAAAGCTCTGCACACGAGGGTCGTCAACTCCGAGGTTCTCAACCAGATCTTTCGCATATGGACCAACGTACTGCGTAGGCGCGTAGCGACAGAAACTCCTGGTATCAGGGTTGTTTTACACCCTTTGCATAATGTCCGTTTGACAGAGGGATCGCTGGAACACGAGTCAATATATTCCGAATTTCGCGATATAAAGCACGTACATCTTCAGAGTCGTCCTTTGAGCCACGGTTGGTATCGAGCGAGCATAGAACTGCCCGAGGTCATCCAAAATCTCGCTCGTCGACTTTCTGGATTTGGATTTCTTCCTCTTCTTGTTGGTACACTTCGATCCGCCAGGCTCTTGGCCTAGGCCTGGCTGTGCGGACTGAACGTCTTCAGCCTTCGAGTTGGAGGTCGAGGACTGCTGTGAGGTCTCTTCAAGACCTTCCAACCCACATCTCTGCAAATAGGCGCTCGCCTGGTACATAAAATTGAGCCTTTGGAGAACGTCGCGATTCGGTACGTTGTTGATGTTGGGCCCCACTTCTCTCTCCTTCTTGTCGTTCTTCCCCATGATGGCTTCAGTTTAGGGTGTTTTATGTCGTCGAAATGATTGTTCTAGATGACCTTGGATGGCCTTGCTGAGGGCGAAAGCCAAGCTGGGTCCTGGAGTTCAGACCGACCACCTTAGGCTTCTCGCGACTCGCCGACGGTGCCGATGATGGGGCTTGGCACGTGCTCGATATCATCAAATCACGGGGCATAGCCGCGTTTGGTCTTGAGGCCCCTATCTCTGATGGAGAGAGCGCAACCCCCGTGCAACTTTGAACGTCAGAACCACAGTGGCAAAAGGTTCGATAGGCTTTTCGCATTATCGAAGACCTGAGAAGGGGCAGAGAGCTCCGATAGGCGTTTATCATGCATAGAATTTACCGCATTGAATCGACTCGGAGGAACAAACTATAGTTACCGGGTCGAAGATCTTTCACTTGTGCTCAATGGAGATTTTCACTATTCGTTGCGATAATCCGAGTCAATGAATCCTACCCTAGCTAGTGCCACTCTCTTTCGTAAGGATATAGCTATAAGTGACCGCAATCCAATGCCTATTTTTCGGACTTCAAAGTTCATGATCCAAGCACTACTGTCTTTAAATTTGCCACCACCCTTCAACCGCCCTTAGGCAATGCATCCGCTTCGAAGCTCCCAGCCTTCAGGAACGTCCCAACGGGCGGCCGCTGCATGCAGTCATAAGGCGTCACATCACTAACCCTAAGCGCCCAGCCAGCTGCCCCAATCAAGCAGTGCGAGGCAAGATGTTGCGAGTCGCGGATCTAGGCACCAGGAACCTGCAAGGCATCTATAAAGAAAACCTCATTTAAAGGGTAGAGAATTATGATTCTGCTCGAGATTCCTTACCCCCACCCCGGCCCCAGTTTTGCGGTAGCTGTCGACGTCCCCATTCCATTCCTTTAACTTCACTCTCCTTGCTATCTTCACGACGATGAACAGACATTTCGCTTCAATTCTCAAAAGATCATCCCTCCTCTTATCCCTCTTATTTACCCTAATCAGCCAAGTTGACGCCTCCCTCTTACCCAAATCCGACAAAAAGAAGAGCAGAACAGTTATTTTTACCAAGGAAGCGGGGAAGACTGTATGTCATATCTTGGAAACGTACGCAAGTAATTGTTAATCCCTAGCGATGCTTATTTATTGACCGACATCTTTCCATCCTTGTGTAGAGGCGAAAGGGTGAAATGCCCCAATAAGACCCTAGTCATCGCTCTCGTCTCCGTCTTCTGCAGCAGTAAGTCAAACCCTTTCCCCTGCCTCATAAAGCACCATTTACCCACCGTCGACCACTCATGCAGTAATCCTCATCGTCGGAATCGCAATTCTCGCCTTCTTCTTGATGCGCAGACGAAAATTCAGAGTTGGTAAATCAGGGAAGGGGGAGAAAGGTAGCGATGGAGCATCCGAAGCGAAGCCCCAATCGCTCGAAGAAAGTTGCAAGACGCCCCAGATATCGCAAGAGGGCGAAGCGAAACAGAGGGAAGGCGCAGTCGAAGGACCTCCAACTATTCCCCACCACGTGCTCCCTCCTACCGATCCCTTCTTGAAGGCGGCACCCCAATAGTCGTCCTCTTCGTCCCACTTGCGAACAAAAGGAGTCTAACTACATACCATCGCTCCATTTCACAAACCTGGCATAGCTTCATGGCCACGGAGCATAAGTACTGTGGGTCACCTAGGCAGTCCACCAACGAACACTTCTTGATTAAAGCCATCACCCAAAATATCACCTTTGATACGGTATGGCTTTCATCGTGAGATGGCCTCTTCCTTTGGGGCACCTATAATCAAGAAGGACTCGTTGTGATCATCATGGCAAGGAGAGTATAGGAAGTGTGGGATCTGGCCAGTAGAAGTGCGTACCCACGGAATCAGAGGCGGGTTTGGCGGATAACATCACAGAAGACAGACGTGAGAAGGATGTTGGCGCATAGCGGGGAAAGTTGTGTTCTTCCCGAGCTTTGCGCTTTGCGCTCCGCGAGAAGTGGCGCGGGGTCGTGAAGTGGGGCTGCGGGCAAGAAATCCCTACCAGGTATACACCATGACTGGAATGTTTGAATTCCATGCAAGAATCACTTAAGAAGCGGCATGGTTCGTCATTTGTCATGACGGTTGCTATACGTCAGGTTGTGCCCCGGAGCGACTTTAACGGCATAAGTAGGATGTGCAGTTGTAGGCGGTTTTGCACCTACACAAAGTCAGAAAGAGGCATAAACAAACTAGTCAGAGGCGAGAAAGAGAGGAATGCGAATCCCATCATCGGGCAAGAATAGTGGGATCCACCGGTGATCTGGCCGTTCAACTTCGTGATCCACCAAACCACGCCGAGCGGAATGGGCAACAAAAGATGACGAACAGCGTCAAGAAACAAGCAATTGATCATTGAGCAAGATTTTACAAAATTATAGCACAACACTATTCGGATGGAGGTGGTTAATCCTCACAACAACGACTGATGAAAGAGATGGAAACTCACATTACAACAACAACATTACAACAAGGCTAGAAAGTTGAGTGTGGGGTCGTTCAGTTCATCTCGGTGTCGCCATCGTCGTCCTCGTCGTGTTCATTGCCAGTGAGACCAGCCTTGGCAAGGGCCTCCTTGGAAGTATAGTCGACGCGAACACCACGGGTTCGGCGGCCAGTAGGGAGAATAGCGCTGGGGTCAATCTCTTCAAAGGTTTCCTCCTGTCGCGGTTGTCAGCAAATTCAACATTGAAAGGCACGGCACAGCAAAGCGCGTACGAAACGCGCTCTGCACGTAGCAACGCGTCACCTACCTCTTCGTCGTCGTCTTCTTCAACCTCATCGTCGTCGTCGTCATCATCTTCCTCCTCTTCATCATCTACGCTCTCCATGGACTCGTCAGCAATCTCAGTGGACTTCCCCTTGCCCTTGTCGACTGTCGACGCGGCGACTGCATCAGATGCAGTGTTCCTATCAACAAGAACGCGTTAGCGGACGTCGCTTGGTCGTCGCGCTCATCGCCACTGAAGCGAAAAGACGTACTGGGCATTGGTGGGGTCAGTGACGCTGGACGACATGGCGCTGTGAGACGACGGTGGTGGTTGGGATGAGAAAAGGATTTGTGGGACTGTGGAAAGTTATGAAACGCGAGATGAATGCTGTTTGTTTGGACACTTTATTTGGCCCCGCAGCACTCAAATTGGGTTCAATTGCGCCCCTTTTCCTCTTCCTTTTTCCATGGAATTGCTTTGAATTCCTTTGTGCCTTTATGAACGGTTTTCAATCAAAGAATTGGGTATGTGAGCGCCTTCTAGTATGCTTGTCTACGGCTTCTGAAGTCAATCAAAGCTTTTAGACTGTCGCCTTGTGGGGAACGAAATCCGGGACAGTTTGCTCGGCCAAAGGAGGTCGGATCGCAGCTGCTCCGTGAATGTCGTAAATTACGCCGAATCTCTTCCAGTTCTGCGTTATCTGTGGACCCAAACTTGGCTGATGGCAGCAGGCGGCACAGCTGTAAACTGTGTCGAGATCTGAACTTGAGGCATCAGTTTGGTGGACATCCCATCATCATATGGATTCCACCTGTCTTATGCTCCTTTGATCCCGACTTACCTCAGCACTAGCAACCACTTCACTCTCGACGGGCGTCATATTAGATCCCTTTTGTCTTCCTGCACCACCTTGGTTCTTCCCCTTCAGTCACTGACCATGTCCAGGAAGGGTTCACTCGGCGATTTCCTCGAGGGCAGCCTCAAGGAATTCAAGCGCCGAGGTCGTTCTGACTCGGCGCTCGACAGGCCTTCAGCATTCGACAAGTCTGCCTCGGCCAGTGGTTCGTCGTCGACTGCAGCAAGTAGCGCCAGAAAGTCTATCATGCCCCTCGTTAGCCGCCTGCCCAGCTTTCGCCGCTCTGATGGATGGAGGCAGGCCCCCAGCCATGACAAGAGGCCGCTCTTGATCATGAGGCTCTCGTCCCAGTCCTTCCTCGATTCGGTCGTTCTCGACGACACCTCCAAAAACACCCTGTACACTATGAAAACAGAGGGCGCCACGACGAGGATCACGAGAAGCATATCGGCTACGACCCAATTCTGCACCATCCGCTGGCCGAAAACACTGCCTGCGATAGTCAAGGGAAAGATGGCAACCGACGGCGTATCGATACACCTGGGAGATGCACGGTTCATTGGTGGGGAGAATTTGTTGAAGCGGGGACCAAAGCCAGAGTGAGTATCATGTCTTCTGACTCGGTATAGTTTCACTGACACCCATCAAGTTCGTCGCGAAAATTCAATCTACCCAACTACTCCCAAGTCCTTAAATGGAAACGATATGGCAATATTTACTGGGTGTGTATTAATGAACGCCTCTTGACATATGGTTTTATTAATTTCTTCATAGTGCACGACGCTGTCCGTCAGAGGTCCAGTGGCTGTTCTGGAAATGGCCAAAGACAAAACGCCGACCAAGTTGACTGTTTATGAAACCCTTCACGACAAATACGACACAAAAGGCGTCCTCTCTTATCACGGTGTCTACATACCTTTGATGGACTATCTCCTGGTGACGGCGTTGTTGCTGGTGACGGACCTGCAAGAGTGGATGCTGGTGAAGAAGGTGGAGGGCAGGAACATCATTGTTCCGAATCCTTTGGGGCAGGAAGGGAGTGCAGTGGAAACGACAACATCGGACGTGCAATGGAGAAAGATCTTGTACCGCGAACCGATGTACCGAAGACTGGCAAGCGAAACGTCCTCGACCTATACTTGGTTCACGGATTCGGATTCGACGCACTACCCCATCACGCCAACGTCGCCTAGAAGCCCTCACCAAGTCTATGGCCACCCACCGAGCGCACCTGCAGGAGAGTCAATTCTCTCGTTCACGGACTCCGAGTACGAGGGTGATAATGAGGAGGTTACCGTCCGGCCCATAAGTCCATCCATGGAATCTGCATTTTATCCCTCTCAATCGGATGTCGCACCCGCACATGGATATGCCGACCCTTCCTATCATCGAAAATCGATGCCACCGCCTCCGGTGCCGCCGCTTCCCGCCCAGTTTCAAGGGAGCAATGTATCCCTACCCTCACCTCCTGTTTCAACCCCGGCCTCACCTTCTAGACCCTTACGCCGCCTCCCCCAACCGCCAGTCCAAAGACCCGGACACCTCACATTCGCGTCCGCGGCCTCCAGTTCTACGTCAACCCCCAGCTCTTCAAGCTCCAGGTCGCCACCGCATCCTCCTCACCCTCTATCAATTCCAACACCATCATACGATACCGCCATCGGTTCCTCCTCGACGGACAGCGCGGCCCAAACGAAACCTCATGGCATTGTTAACCGGACGAGATCAATGACCGCCCGTGCCGCACCACGGCCATTGCCCACCGTCCCATCAGCTAATGTTCACGCTTTACGACGTTCTCGGAGCCACGCTCTCCTCGCAGACGAGACAGCATCGTCGTCAATGTCAAACGAGATCCTGTTACCACCTCCGCCGCCGCTTTCACCGACGAGCCAACGTTCGCTTCCTCCAACGCCCCGTGTACCTGTTAGTGATCCTACGAGTCCGCCTCCGGAAGTTGCGCAGGAGGAATTGCGAGCAGCCGTCGCCGCCGTTCGCGCTTTACGCGGTCAACAACACGCCAACCAACATCGTCACCACCACAATCACCATCATTATCAAAGCCAGGGAGTGGACATTCTGCCACCTCTACCATCCCCGCCTGGGTCGGCGAAGAGCGAAGAGGACGACGTAGCGCAGTGGGTGCAGATTTTGACCAGCCCGGGCGGTGCAGCAGGGCGGAATGCACCCATGACGCCGTTTACGAGGCAGATGTTCGACGCTCCTCCGCCTGCTTACAATACCCTGACGTTCAGTCACCCGCCGCCACCGTTACCACCACCACCACCGGCAGCTCAGAGTGCTTTCGAATCTCAGTCGTAACGTGTAACAGGCTTCCTAAAACTGGGACAAGGGGAGGGTCTCTCTCTCTCGTGATGGATAACGCGATTGGTGGCTTGGGATCGCATTGTTCTCGTTCTTTCTCGCGTAAGGATGGGAACGTGCGACTGTCTCTGCGGGAATGCAAGTGTCATGTCCTTTGCGGTTGCACTTTTTTTGGCGGGTTGTGCGCGTGGAACGAGTGAAGCTTCGATGCGCCCAGACGTCAACTTGAGTTCCAAGTTTAGCGCTCCGTTGCTATCCTGTGGAAAGGTATCGACGTGGTGAGTGCTCAGGGATGTGGAATTTGTCATTGTATGTATACCCTCGCCGAAGAGCCCGACATGAGCTATCGGCCATTCTTTGTCAGTTAGTGCCGTTTCTCAGTGCTTACTCGCAGAACCTTGACGGCAGCATGGTTTCCTTTTCGTCTCTTTTCTTGTCTTCTTTCGATTTTCTTGGGCAACGTGTCTACGATCTCTCTCACCTCCCTATTGTTTGTCTTCCGGCTTTGACGACTGCTAGCATATACCGTATCTATGTATCACGAAAATGGCATTCTGTATCATTATATCGCCTTTCTCTTTATAGTTGCTGTCTTCCTCCCTTCTTCTGATCTCTGCATTTGTTTGTCTCTCTACATCGCTCCCGGCCTCACATTTTTTGACGTTTCTTTGCATATCCATACCTGTCTCCCGGGTGCAAATCCCGTTTCCTTCTTCTCGGTTCCGCAGAATCAAGAAGAAGTAAATAGGTGTTTGATACTCCCTCCTTCCTCGCCCCATCTTATCCCATATGGATTCCGGTTCTGCCTTCTGGATCCTCGGTTTTCCTATTATAACCTCTCTCCCCGCATGTACTCCCAGTTGTCACGACCCCGACGTCTTCCAATGTATCAATCATTGCTTCTGGACGGCCCTTTCGTGCCCCGTTTTCCCAATCCCTGTGGTCAGCGTTGATTTCGAGCGCCGTTGAAGGTTGTATGGTTTTATAGCACATGTAACACCTCCGCTCGCGGTAGTTGCGGTCGGTGATTTCGCTGTTCAGCTTGGGAGATGATCCCCCAGGGAGTCTATTTCAATTGAGACGTCCGGGCCAGGGTAAGACCCTTGTTCCTTTCACTTTAAGACCAGGTGGTATACTGGGATAGTTGCAGTTAAGAATCTGAGAAATGAATTGGGTGTCGTAATTTCTGCGTTCGCGTCCTCTCTTCCGCCCTCGAAAGACATCATCCATGACCATGCAGCAACGTGCTGCTTTATCCGAGATGAGGTACATTCGGGACCGTCTATTCTTCTCGGCGAAACTAGCATATATGTATATACACATACAAGTACTTAGTACAGATACTTAAGTCAAGACGCAAAGTCTATCTCCGGACCCATCTCATTTCCGTGACGAACGGTGAAAACGTCCATTGTGCGCCACTGTCCGTCCATCGATTGTCCCATCACTCAACTCGAGAAACCAACTTCGCCCTGTAACGTGTCCGTGAACCCCAAACCCAGTGAATCCTAGAAACCAACAAAGGGATATGACGAACATGCGTCAAAAGATAGAGAAAAATCGAGAAAGCGTTGGCATGTAACGTGAATGATGAAGCAACCAAGTCCGAACTTGCAGGGACCCTTCAAGTTCTGCATCATCCGACGGAGTCGAATGGTCCTCTTGGGGAGTTCAGAGACTCAAGTTGAATTGCGAGGGCTGACGTTGCGACTGCTCGACTCGCCCAAGGCTCGCGCTTTCCATGCCTCCTGCCGCACCTGCAAACCCTTGAGCAGCTTGACGAGTGTTTGCTTGAGTTCAGGCATGTACTGGTCGAGTACTTCCGGGGACGGCTCTTCAGCCAAACAAACTTCAAGGATGGTGCGCATTTCTTGTGGGACGATATGGATGTCACTGTGATCGCGATAAGAATGCATCACTTTAGCCCACGAATAGGTGAAGACGAACCTCAAGTCGATTTGGTGGTACGCAAACGCGTGTATAACAGTGTTGAATTCCGTTCCGATTTGGACGTAGACGTCGCTCACGTCTGTTACAGTTGCCCTAGCCTTGCTCCAGTCTTTTAGAACTTGCTGTAGGCGCTTCGTAGATGCTAATAGATTTTGGACTGCCGTAGGGACATCACCCTGGACCTTTAAAGTTACTGAGTTTCATTTCCTTTTGTTAGAGTGCTGGAGAAGTGAACTTACGTTTGGTGTATGCCTCCCGCTATCGGAAGAGCCGCGCGACGGAATGCTGCTTGTTGGAGAGTAACTGGCCATCTATGCTTATTTGCTTGCGTCAAGATCGTCCTTGTCCTTTTAATTAAATCCCCGAAAGTCGATGCGATACTATGCAGTACTCCGAAGCTATGTTTCCGCAACGCGTGGCTGGTCGTCGTCGTCGTCGTCGTCGTTGTCGGGGTGATTCACGGATGATCAAGGCTCGTCACTGCAGAACCTGAAGAACTTGAATATCCAGGCAACTGCGGCGGTCGTTGTGAGGTCGGGGAGAGGTCTTATGCATAGCCTAACGTGGTCGTTTGAGGGTATATGGTGTAGATTCTCGAATTCTGGAAGGAAAGAGCTCAGAGCATTACTTGGTCACTGGTGTGCAAGGATGGAAGATGGCACAGCCCCTGTGGGCCGCCGCGCTTGGCGCGTCACAGCCTTCAGTCGGAGTCTGAAACCTCGAGGGGCCTTCCTGCATTCGCAGGCGACTTTAGTAGCCAGGTAATCCTCATTCTTCATCTACTAGAGAGACTTGGAAGATATCGGTGCGCAAAGTTCATAATATGGATCGTTCCTTGCGTAAATCCTTGAATCGAGCTGACCTTGTGGATGTCGGAGTGTGAAGTCATGGTCTCGACACCATCCGACTCGGCGCCTGGATCACAAAACTGCGTTTCACGAACGATGACACGCTTGTAGTCACTCCAATCAAAAGCCAAAATGCGATGTGCAAAAACGATTGCAGCTAAGATACAGAGTTCATTGATCGATGTTACAGGATACATAGTTCCAAAGCTGTAAAATTATGATATCATGAGCGTTCGAGACAGTTCAGAGCATGGGGTATATAAAGTCCAAGATGGGGGACCGGAATGATCACCACTGCTACTTCCGCAGATCAGGCAACCGGCCATAATCCTCCTCGTCATCGTCCTCCTCCGGCATGGTCTCCGCCGTCCGGGGCCGAGAGAGCTTCGAAGACGCATAGTGGTTGCCAGTGGACGACGACAAAGACCTAGGCGGGGGATTTGGAGATTGATAGATCGGGTGCGAGTCTGGCAGGACTCTCGTGCCATACCCTCCATTCTCCTCTGCCTTCTCAATATCGATGTTGACCGCACCGCGGTTGAGACCATCGTTTCCATCTCGGAAAGCCGGAAGGTGTCCGTATTTGGTGTGAGGCACGATGGGCGATTCGGGAGGTGTTTCTGTCGATGGTCCTTTGACGAGTTCAGGTCGAGTGAGGAAGAATAATACCACGTTGAAAAGCCCTGAAAAAGCGAAGATGGAGCTGGCAAAGAGAGTTGCTTGGTATGGAGGTTTGTGACCACTGAACGCAAGCCATCGTGTGAGGCTGTTTGGGAAAACGCAAACAACGTAGACAGCTGGGTAGCTATAAGAACTCCGAGGTTAGAGCTGGCTATCGCGGAAGAGTTGTGGGAAACGTGACTGACAATAGCAGTAGATTAGCAATAGTTCTAACCGCCCTCTCCTCCTCGTCCATCTCATCGTTGTGGTGATGACGGTTCACATTGACGCCGTTTGAACCTCTCCAACGGACACCCCTCTCGACGACGATAAAGCCCCTCATCACCAAGAACATGAGAGTGTACAGAACGACCATGAGGAATGCCGCCAACCATACCCACAGGTATTCTGACACCACCAACTCGACTTTATACTCGTCGCGGATCCAGCACCCTAGAATCACTTAGTATGAGCTATCTGTGATTCCTGGAGGAAAGGGAGAAGGACTTACAGAAACCATTCCGACCATAGTAGATCTCGTTTCGATGAACGGCATTGGGTATACCGACTACGAGCGCTGTGAAGATCCAAACTCCTGCAGTCATGTACTTGCAGATATGTGTGGGACCTCTCCATCGCAACACGAGCACCGAGAATGTATGGATTGCAATGGCCTGAGTGAATATCCCTGTTTTTCAGCCAAGGCCAGACAAAGTTGACGTCTTTGAGGTCACGTACCAGTGATCTACATCCCAAAGCACCGGGTAAGTTAACGCTTGTCGTATGAAGGAACCATTACACTCACGTCAAAGCCACACCATTGATACCAATCTGCTTGATGACAGCCTGCGCCGTGCACAGCGTCCCTTCAGTTATCCTCTGCACAACCAACAGTGTGCCGAGTGACATGGATATCAGACACCTCGCTTTACTATCGAGACTCGCCCAGGCGAAGTACTCACCCCTTCCCTCATCCACCGAATATTGGGCATATTCCCGATTGCTTGGATTAGATCCGCCAGCATGAGGTTGAGGAAGAGGCTGGAATCTGTCAGGTCGGTTTGGACTCGAGTTGCGTCTCGTCGTAGGATTCGGGCTAATTGAAGCCATCGAATCTGTTGTCGTGGAGCGCCACAGGTCAACTCTGGGCTCTTTGGAGAGGTGGGCAGGGGTGGGAGGACGTACAAATGCATAGACCAGGAGCGAGAGGCAAGCTGCCGCCGAAAGACTTGAAGCACAATGCACCTGAGTTAGCATCACGTATTCCATGGGGGGATAGGTCCCAGAAGACGTACAATGAGGACTGGATAGTGAAGTATATCCCAAGTCGCTGGTCAAACGTGAACTCAGCGTTCGAATCCATCTCAAATGTCGCCGTCGAGACGAAGGAGTCAAGAGAAGAGGCAGAACCACTGAGACTCGACCTTTGAACACGAGTTTACGACGGCACGTTGTATACCCCGAAGCCAAATAAGCTTCTAGGTCGGGCGTCGAAGAAGAAGTTGAGGAAAGAGAAGGGGACTATCAACCAACACTACCGTCACCAGGTTTATGTATCGTCCCTCCCTCATTCAATCCGTGAACCTGTGCTTGTATTCACGATGCCCACCGCAAGCGATTTAGATGGACACTTGACGTGGGCGCGTGACCCTTGATGTGCTCCGAGGCTGAGCAGCTCCCGGTCCTCCATCTCTATATTCAGAGCTACACTTGTCACTTGCGGGTGGTGATAAGGATGCGAGTGCACAGTATTACGCAAGGAAAGGTGTTGAACCGAATTGAGCCGGTGCTAATACTAGATGGTGCCTGTGCAGATGCTTGTCACGTTGATCTTCTAATGGAACGGAAATGGCACGGAACACGAATGTCTAATACTTATCTATGATCACCAGGTCCAGGATTAGGATCACCATATCCAAGTCCACAGCCGCCCATGTACAGCTTGAATAGTACATACTCTACATGGTTAGACAGAGATGAGTGCCTCAACGCGCCACAAAGTAATTAAGCGCCCGTCCATGCGCACACCTCGTTCTCAAAGCTAGCCCCCACCTACTCCATTCCTAAAACATCGGCTCCCTTCCCACCACCAGATGCAACAAATCACCTTCCGGCTCCTTATCCTCTTCTGCCACGAACTCCAAAATGCTCGAAAACACTTCCGTGCGTTGATGGTACCTCTCGGAAGTGAGGGATACGGGTTTCAGCGTCGTCGATCCCACTTCCGATTGATCGTGCAGATGACTGCTGGTGCCACCAGCTGCGGAAAGACCATGTCCGTTGGTGTAGGGAGCAAACTCGAGAGGGTCGACGATACCCCGGAGCATATCCGCCGTTCCTCTCGAATTGTGCGTGGCAAGTCGATTTGGATAGGATGTTGACGTCGCCGATGAACTGCGATGGTGAGGATATGAAGGCTCTTCATCGTCTTCGGCGATAGCGTCCTCGTGTGCATCCGAATATTCATCTTCAGGTAGGACGTTCGTCCAGACCGCACTCTCCTCGGACTCCCTCCTTCTTCTCTCCGTTCCTACTCCATTCTCCCTCTCAGTTTCGCCTCTTCCCACAGAAGACCCCACCTCACCAGACCCTCCCTCTCTCGGAACTTGGGACCCCGACCTGCTCTTCTTCCCACTCACCATCGACGCTGAAACGGGCAACACGGGCGGCCTCGCACTCTGCATCGACGGAGCCAACAGGTAAGTAAGCAGTCCCCTAAACGTTTCGGACTCGTCTGGGTTTTTGTGGTCCACTACGTGGGAAACCTGGGTTTGGAGGAATTGGAGAGCGCGGACGGGGGTGGTTTCTTCGCACATTTCGCGGAATCTGGAGAGGTTATTCAGGTAAATCAGGCGATACACGCAGTGGAGCGGTGCACATACTGTTGACGGCGGATGTGGAACTTTGCCCGTCGAATTACTTCAGAGACTTGAGGTCTGATATCAAATGATATGAGCGCGAGTCAATTCAAGGCATACTGATTCTTACCTCCTCAACTCCATCTTCCAGAAATCATCCAACCGCTTCTCTTTGGTCGAGATTCCAGTGAGCTGGTTCCTGTCGTTCGCGGAAACTGGCTCCGCCGACGAAGATGCCGGGACAGGAGGCACCGGACTCTGCGAAATCCCAGGTGCATCGCCGGTCGTTGTAGGCGCCCCATCCGGGTTCAAATTGCTATTGGGCATCCCTGTACCTGTCCCTACACCCGAGCCACCACCGCCCGTCGCCGGACTGCCCGTACGCGTACCGTCACCAGACCTCCCAGCTCCATTCCCACTTGATGCACTAGCATTCCCAACCCCGACCAACCCACCCGCATTCCCTCCATGCAAGAAAACCGTTCTTTCCCCTGGACAATACACAACCTGATGCGCAAACCTCGGCAACGGGACTTCGCCACCATTCGCCACACTCTCAGGATGCCGCGCGATTTGACTCCACTTGCCTGGTTTGGGGTCGTACCGGTAAACCCAGTTGGAGGGGTGGGTTTTGAGGGAAGCGGGCTGGGCTGGGGAGGAGGCGGTTGAGCGTGTTAAGCCGCAGAATCTATCAGTAGTTCAAGTTGAGTATAGCTTGCGGAGGTTCGGTGTGTTGGGAGACGTACACGTAGATCTCCTTGAGGAGAGGGTCGATTACTGCTCGTTGGGTGAAACAAGGATCGGGTCCACCGGAAGTCGTGAAGTTGGAAAAGAGCTCGGTCGAGACCCCCGTGTTGATATCGTAGACATACATATCAGCGAGATAACGCTGTTCGCGTTGCCCGCCGAAGATGTACAGCTGTTTGGATTTAGGCTCGAGTACCATGGAGTGACCTGCTCGCATTGTTAGGTGTAAAGGACAGGCGGAGGAACGGTCTACGCACCGAAACGAGGTGGGATGGTGTTGGGGGGCTGTCCACTCAAATCCGCTGCTCTACGAAAGTGGTCAGAAGAGCTAGAGGAGCCACGGACGGCAAACTCACTGCAGAAGCTTCCATTTGCTCATTCGAATGTTGTAACTATACAACCCAGAGAACTTTGACGTTTCCCAATCCCCGTCAACCACTCTCCCTCCAAACACATACAAGATCTGAGTTTCGCTGTCGATGACCATTTGGTGGTCGAATACCAGCGGCGGGCCTCCCGAGGACTAGGATCAAACATGCATATCAAAGGAAATTCGGATGGACAGGATTATAGGATCAAGTATACGCACAGCAGTATCGAACGAGAGGAACACCCATTTCCCTGCATCCAGTCCTCGAGTCTGGTAGCGGTAAAACTCGGAACAGTAGGTTTTCGTTGGTGTTACAACAGGTGTTGCGTTCTGGCTTTCAGGAGGCGTTATTTGTTGGCGTAGCGGTGACTGTTGGGCGATCATGGGCGTTGATGTCAGAGGGACACCGGGGGTGCTGCCTCCAGCGCCTGGAGGGTTGCTAGGGCCAGCATTGCCTGCGGGACGAGGTATCTTGACGTCCGTATCGTCGAGTCTCCCTAGGAGGTAGATACTTCCAGTTCGCGAGTCAAATACCATCTTATGACAGGACCGTGGGCCAGGCGCATTGTGCTCCTTCGAGGTACTGGGGCTGAGCAGTTTCCACCGATCTTCCTTGACATGGTACGCCCAGAAATCGTCCAAACTCTTCTCCCCGTCCCATCCTCCAAACAGATATACGATCTGGTTGTCTGGATCCATACACATTGCGTGGCCGCCCCTTGGCGATGGTATGTCCCCGTCTGCATCTGTCCCTGTGATTCGCGTCCAAATTGCTTGTGGCTGGCATGAGTGGAGGTAACTGGTGAATAGACCTGCATCGGATAGGCTGTGGAGTAGTTGTTCGGCGGCTGACCAGTCGCCTTGCAAAACGATTTTCTCGTGTAGTTTGGAGATGAGTGGGTGTTCGAGGTACAAGCCTGACCTGTCGGAGATGGACTTGAAGGGTGTGAGGAGACGGCGCTGGCGGAGGTGTTTGAGGATGTGGCGCATAACGATCTTTTCTCGGTGCTATAGTATTTTAGTCAAAAGCTAATTGAGGTGTGGTGGGAGAGGCGTGACGTACTTCTTCGTAGGTTAAGCGTACATGTTCGATATAGGCAGGGTCGTTGTGTCCTGACATTCCAACGTACCAAATAGATATGTGGAAACTCTGTCCATGGGCACTAAGAGTCGTTCAGTCCGGTGGTACCCGTGCTAGTGGAATAAGCGCTCACGCAATCGGTTCGATCTTGACGTATCGAGTGGGGACTGGGATGCCCGCAGCGTTGATATGCTTGATCTCAAACGTCTCTGGGTCTGCGTTGTTCTTCAGCCCTCCATGGAAAACCTGCACCATGTTGTCCTCCGTCATTCCAATGTAGATCTTGAATTCCTTCATATTGCAAGGATGGGCTGCGGCGCACAGGTCAGAGACGACGTCTGTTGCTCTGCACTGGAGAGCTGCTCACGTTTGTTGAACTGAAGTTTATCGTCAATTTAAACGCTCTCTGGGTGAACACGATTGAGCTCACTTTGCCAAAGGTGATGCGTCCTGTTGGGTATTGAGTACGGCTCGATTACGACGAGGGGTGACTAGACGCAACTGAGGACAGCCAACGATTCCAGGCGTAGCAGAAGCCATTGTTTAGTGTTTCCCTGGTATGCCCCACTCCATCTGCTGTTCTGATCTGAGGGATTGTCGACGAGGATGTTGTCGCAGCTGTAACGCCCGCTATGAGGCGTTGCGAAGGCGATCGTGTAGGTTAGCGGCACCTCTTGAGGCTGCGTCGAGGCCATGTTGAGCAATGGTTAGACGGCGGTCGCTGTGCGCTGGTTGCTGCCCGCAGTGACCTTGGAGGTCGTGGAGGAAGATTCAAGGAAGACGGTGACGAATAAGATCGGTCACATCGGGGTTCGAACTTGGCGCTAAAGCAGGAATTCCCACGCCTCATCACCCGCCTGCAACTTCAGCTGTTGCTCCTGACGATCACGACGCCGAATTCCACTCTTTTTCTCTGTCGCGAACCGCCCTTACTGGTTTTTCTTTGGCAAGATAGTGCTCATCCGGAGAGTCAGAAATGGAGATATCGTGGCCGAAAGTAGCGGGCAGTCCCAAGAAGAAGACAGCATCGAAACAGATTAGGCGGTCGTCGAATGAAGAATAGCGTCTTTTTCTTGCTGGCGATGTTCAAGAAACCGCACTAAACATCACAGCTGTCCTGAAGCTCTTATCACGTTGTGGATGTAACTCAGCCTTGTAGCCCAGCATCGAGGATATCCACGTGGACCTAGGAACTCTAGTGGAGAATATTCTATCTTCCCATGGATGGAGGTTCTGCAGTTCGATTGATGAGATGAAGAGGCCGGCTTATCCACGACCACCTCGCGAGGCTTGGGGTACAAGAGGTAAATTCCCTTTGATTTCCCGACATTGAGGAGGATCTAATTTTGGCCCTTTCTATTCAGGTAGTGATACAGAAAGAAGCCCAAAGATATCGTGTGCTATTTTGGTGATTCGATATCAACGCATGGGTGTCCCGACTAGCCGTGCAAGAAGCAATGATAGTTGTGCTAAGCATAAGGTCTGTTTCCCAAGAGGACTGATGTGCTAGCCCCAATTCGCAGGCAAGCTGTCTTTCTCATCCCCAAATCGCTCCAACCAAAGATGGACCACCGGTTAGGATTTCCGAATTCCAATGTCACCATTCAAACGACTGGAATCTTAGCAGGCATGGGATATGCTTCACACTCGTGGTCCAGCCTAGCATCCTTACATTCTCGACGCATCAAATTCTACCTCTCTTCGGTATGGCGTTCCCTCCCAGCCCATCTAATTGGTCCGAATTCTCCACCTTCACCATGTGTATTATTACTGTCATCCAAACTGCTTCAGAGGCGTGCTTCTTGATTTCGACGCGGTAGGGCCCTATATAACCCTCGACACTCGGGTTCAAGTCGCATTCCGACACCGTCTTCGTTGTGGCCCACAATGAAGGCATCCACGTTATGGTCTCTCCTCCCGTCTTTGCTCGCTGGCTCGGCCATTGCAGCAAAGGTCCCCCTCTCATCGCTCACCCCGGTTGGTAACATTATCCCGAACAAATTTATTATCGAGGTCGACACCGAAGCCAACATCCCCCACAAGCGGTCGTTTGCCCGAGTGCGTTACACGGCACCAGAACTAGACCGCTTTTCGACGACTGACACGCCCTGTCCCGTAGGATTTGGACGCTGTATACGCTTCCATCCAGGCTCGTGATGTGAGCTTCGAAGTCGTGCAAGAATTCGAGAAACCGGGATTATTCGTCGGAGCGAGCATTACGGTCCAAGTACGTCTTCTAGTCGCAACAACCATTAGCACATACTGATCCTGTCCAACAGACTTCGGATGTGCGCTCTCTTCCATTATACATTTGATTGGACAATGACCATGGTTTCTTAGGATGCAGCCACGCTTGAGCATTTACCTGGCATTAAGACCATTCACCCTGCAAGACGATTTGACCGACCCCAGTAAACCCGAAATTCTTCCCTTGTTCTTCGTCGCCTGACCATCTGCTGGTGACCAGGCCGGTGTTCGAGCATATCGTGCAAGGACCCGATGATCCTCATCTCCCACCTTTTGGAACTTCGACGCACCTTTTGACCGTGAGTTGTGCTTGCTTTATACCACCATGAGTTGCTGAATCAAGGCTTAACTCGTCTGGCGGATTCTCGTTTGCTATTGATCGTTCTTCGACTTCGAATAGGGTGTCGACAAGCTTCACGCCAGAGGTATCCTCGGACAAGGAATCAAAATCGCTGTGTAAGTGGCCCCTTCTTTTAATCCCATCTTTCTCCGCCTTTTCTTGAGTCCTACTTCCTACGTCTTCGGTTATTCGTCATCCATCGCTCGAGTTGAGTTGGGTTCTAACTACGGAATATTCCCATCTATCTAGGCTCGATACCGGTGAGTTGCTTCGTCCATTTCTCTTCTTATCCCACAAAGAAGGGAGGGGAATACGAGGGCCTTTTATTTCAGCATCTCAAGCAGAATTCTAACTGGAATGTGGTGCTCGGTTTAATTTTCTAGGAATTGATTATACGCATCCATTCCTCGGAGGAGGGATTGGACCGGGGAAGAAGATTATTGGAGGTTTTGATTTCGTAGGAGATGATTATGACGGTGCGCTTACTTGGCCTGTCTCTCGTCTTGCCATGAGGCGAACTCACATCATTCTCAATGGTCTGGTCTGATTAGGTACCAATCTGCCACACCCCGATGAAGACCCCTTGGACCAATGCCAAGGTCACGGCACCCACGTCGCAGTAAGTATAAAACAGCTCTTCACCTCGACTGCTATTGCGGAACGGTATTAAGTAGACGCCGTCACTTAGGGCATCATCGGAACCGATGGCGGAAACGAATACAATTTTACGGGCGTTGCGCCTGAAGCTGAACAATTCGCCTACCGAATCTTCGGATGTGAAGGGTTTACTCAAGATGATGGTGAATCCCATACCCTCCCTTTTTCTCCATGTAGATGAAAACACCTGGGCTGACTGGTTCGATTCGCAGTGATCATTGCGGCGCTGTTCAGGGGTGTGGACGACGGAGCTGATATCCTGAGTTTGTCCCTTGGTGGTGCGCATGGATGGACTGTTTCTGCCGGTGCAGTTGTTGCTAGTCGGATTGCGGAGACTGGCAAGATTATCACTATTGCTGCTGGAAATGACGTATGTGGCCTTCAAGGTTGGGACAAGGGAAGAATGCTAATGGTGAGCTGCAGGGCTCCAGAGGCTCGTGGTATGCCGCCAGTCCTTCCTCCGCCATCAACGCCATTTCGGTTGGGAGTCTCGAGAAGTACGTTTTGGATTCTCCGATAAAGATTCACTGAATGGAGCTTACTCTAACTCTCGTAGCGTTGTCATTCCCTTGCAAACAGCGAAACTCCACAATGTCGAGCAATCCTCCGTCATCTACTTCCAACTCAAGCCCCTGCCGATTGAAGGCGAATGGCCTGTCTACGTCATCTCGAACGACACCACCAAGATTGACGATGCTTGCGAACCTCTCCCGGACGATACCCCCGACCTCTCAAAATTTGTGACCATTGTTCGACGCGGGACGTGTACTTTTGTCACGAAGCTCAAGCATATTGCCGAGAAGGGAGGAAACTACTCTTTGATTTATGAGTGAGTGTAGTTAATCCATGACGACTCTTGTCGGTGTGCTGAAAGGCTTTTGATTTAGCAATGGCACCGGCTTCACATCGGTTGCAGTTGGAAACTATACTACCGCGTTGATTCGGGCTGAGGATGGAGAATATGTGAGGATTTTCTCATCACAATCCTTGATCGACGCTGACGTCCGTCTGTTAGATTGTCGAGAAATATTTTGCAGGCGAAGACGTCAAGGTCTCATTCCCTCAGAACGGTGGAACTGTATCGTTCCCGAACCCCCGCGGAGGCCTTATGTCCACATTCTCGACTTACGGTCCCACCAACGACTTCTACTTCAAACCTGCCATTAGTGCTCCAGGAGGAAACATCCTCTCTGCATATCCCACGACGCTTGGCAGCTTTGCTGTCCTCTCTGGCACTTCGATGGCTACACCTTTTGCAGCAGGTGCCGCTGCCCTCCTCCTGCAGGTTCAGGGCAAAAATGCGGAAGTGGCTAGAGCTGCTCGGGATATTTTCCAGACCACGGCAATGACGATCCGCTCGAAGAACGAGGAGGATGCGCTGATTGAGACTGTTACCCAAACGGGATCAGGATTGATCAACGTTTACAACGCCATCTATTCGCAGACGACGGTCACGCCTGGAGAACTTATTGTGAACGATACTGCTCATTTCAAAGAGACGTAAGTTCTTTTCTTCTCATTTTCTCCCGGTTAATTACCATGATATGGGGTACTGATTCTTCAATTGCCCCCGCAATTCCAGTCATAGAATCTCGATTGCCAATAACGGCGACGCACCCAAGACTTACAAGCTCTCTCACACGGCTGCTGGGACTGCGCTTACCATCAAAGAGGTGAATAATCTTACATTATCTTTGATTTGCAAGTGACTTAAGCGGTCCCCCAGGATTCCGTTTCTGCCGAGCTAGGCCCCGTGCCCCTCTCTGATGCTTCTGCAGAGGTGTCGATTTCTCCGTCTGAGATCACAGTGGCGCCTGGTGAAACCAAGGAAGTCACTGTCCATATCCAGGAGCCTTCCGATGTCGATAGGTCGAGGTACCCGGTGTATTCTGGATTCATCACTGTTAGTGCTCCTGGGGAGAACTATCGGGTGACTTACATTGGCCTTGCGGCTAGTCTGAGGGACAAGCAGATCCTTGATACCTCTGACGAGTGGATTAATGCGACCCTACCCGCCATCGTCAACGCAACATCCGAAGAAGTGCAAACTGGACCGGCCAACTACACTTTTGTGGAGGGCGATTTCCCCGTGTTGCTCTTCAGGTGAGTGCGACTGGTGGCTATGTGAAGAATTTCGCAGTAACTGACTCCATTTTTGTGGATAGGCTGGCGTTTGGTACCCCCCGACTTCGAGTGGATTTGGTTTCGTCGGATTCTAAGATCCACACTAATGTTCACAGTCCCCGAGGTATTCCCAGTGAGGAGGGACATGTCTTCACGTTCCCTCAGCGTACGAGGCCCGGTAGCTTCACGTTTACGCAAACTCTTGGACCTCTCGTCGAATGGAACTATCTCTCGCGACATGCCGAGGTTCGTACTACTCATTAGCGTTGGAGGCTGACCACTGACACGTTATGACTAGGTCGAAGGCGAGGAATACAGTCCCTATGCGCTAAGTCAACCCTTATTCGCGAACGGAACAACCATCCCCAACGGATCCTACAGGCTCCTTGTGCGAGCTCTGAGGGTCACCGGAAACCCAGAACACCAACACGATTACGAAACATGGCTCAGCCCTGTGATAGGCGTCAACGTTCCCGCTCCCAAGGAAGACTAGAGTAGGGTCAAGAGACGTGAACTTCTTCATTTGTATAATCGACGAACATACCTCAGGACCCAATGGAATCATTAACTTGCGGCTTCTGTTACCCCACGTTTGCGAGGCTGTTCATAGCTTCGCGAATCCCGATGATGCAAAAGGGAAGGACACGAGACTCTATAGGCCCCTAATGATAATTGATGCGAATTCTATGCAAGTCTCCGCACTATGGTTCTGAGAAGCCGGTCGACACGCGCAAGAAGCTAGGTTGTTCAAGAGACTCGGCGTCTACTGTTCCGAGGTCCTCCCAGCTCTCGTTCGTGCTCGCCAATCGCAGTGACTTCTTTCCCCCGCCAAGAGGATAAACCTTTGTCTGAGGGGATTTGGCTTATAACGGGGGAAGAATCCCTTGGAGCTTTGGTGTTATCTGTTGCTCGTCCCATGAAGTCGATTCTTCGTTGGGCGTTGCCTTCGTTATTGGCAGCTCGCTCTGTATGGGCGGCTGTCCCATTGCCTTCGGTCTCCGAATCTCGCCTCCCGTTCATTCCTAACAAATTCATTATCGAGGTTGATGATGTGTCTGCCTTCCGCACGAAGCGGTCCTTTGTCCGCGTAAGTGGCTGTCGGTTGTTCCTGGGCCTTTTGGGTTGGTGCTGAATGAAGCAATAGCGACACGATGCACTCTATGCGACACTAGAAGAGCGGGCTGTCATCTTCGACGTTGACGCTGAATTTGACGAACCGGGCCTTTTCGTTGGAGCTGCTGTGACTATTGAGGTGAGTATCGCATCCATAGGATGCTACAATTAGCCGACGCCTCTCTCCTCCCTTTAGGACTCGGAGGTAAGTCGTATCGATTCCTAGCTACTATAGATTTTCCGAGGTGATGTAATCTCTTTTCGTCCGAAGGATGCGATCAGCCTCGCCAACACACCGGGAATTAAAGCAATTCGGCCAGTGGTGAGGATAGATCCTCCAAGGTGCGTCGTTCTAGTCCGGCTACGCTGAGGATGGGATAGGAATTGACGAGATTCCTCAATGTTTTAGGCCTGAGTTCAACTACGTTCCGAGTGGCGAAGTACCAAGGAAAGGAAGCACGCCTGCTGCTCACCGACTAGCTGTAGGTTTTTTGGAAATTTCTCGAGAGGCCTCGATGTACCTTAAAACATTGTCTAGGGAGTTGATAAGCTCCACGGGGAAGGAATCACTGGCAAGGGTGTCAAAGTAGCAGTGTGAGTCACTCGATCATCGACCTATGGAGCGCAAGTATTGACGCAGTTGTCCGCTCCCAGAATCGACTCTGGTTTGTCGCTCGAATCCAAAGGGGCCATTACTTTGACTTCAACATCTTCCAGGTATCGACTACAATCATCCTAATCTTGGGGAAGGTTTCGGAGAGGGTTTCAAAGTTGCAGGTGGTCACGACTTTGTAGGAGATGAATTCAATGGTATGACCACAGCCATTCCTTCTCCATTGGATCAGAACTGATATCAAGACCAGGAACGAACGAGATGAAGCCCGACGACGACCCCATGGACGAATGTAACGGCCATGGATCGCACGTTGCGGTAAGCGCCCAGTCCCGTTCATCTCCATTACCACCTTCATCAATCACGCTGACCGGGCTCTCTAGGGAATCATTGCCGCGAGTGGGGAGAACAACTGGAATGTAACCGGTGTAGCGCCTGATGCTACTCTGTACGCCTATCGAGTATTTGGATGCCTTGGTTTCGTGACGGACACACGTAAGCGCCCGATTCCGTCCCACCTCTCATGACCTTTGACACACCGTCGGGACAGTCATCATTCAGGCAATGTTGAGGGCAGTCAAGGATGGTGTCGATGTCATCAACATTTCCATTGGAGGAAGAGATGGCTGGACGAGAGCCACTGGTAGCGTGGTCGCTAGCAGGATTGCTGCCACCGGTAAAGTCGTGGTTATCTCGGCTGGAAACGAGGTATGAGAACAAGATCAACCGTCCGAAATGATTCTTGGCTAACTTATAATAGGGAATGAGCGGAGCATTTTATACCTCTGGTCCCGCAAACGGAATCGACGTTATCTCAGTTGGAAGCGTAGAAAAGTACGTCCGAGGGACACACTTATCTCGTCAACGTCTTCTGAACTTCTCCATAGCACCATACTGCCTTTACAAACAGTGAACGTGGTCGGGGCAGAACATGACCCCATTCCCTACTTCTCGTGGCTTCCATTCAATGTCACAGAGGACCTCCCTCTCTATGCTACATCCAACGACACCACCGTCGAGGATGATGCCTGCGAGGAGCTTCCAGAGGACACGCCATTGCTTGACAAGTACCTAGTCCTTGTTCGACGAGGATCATGTCCATTCGTGAGTTGTTTATCCTCGATCAGACCACGCGGTGTTTGGCCTAACCATATTCTCGCAGACGCAAAAGATCGAGAACTTGCGAAAGAAGAACGCGACGCAAGCACTCTTCTACGAGTACGTTCCTTGTCCAGTAATGATATCGAATGTCCACTGACTCTTTGCAGTAATGGATCGAATTTCCTTGGTATTGTGGTCGGGAACTTCACTGGAGCACTAATTAAAGCTGAAGATGGCGAATGGGTAAGTCACATAGGGTTCCGTTGAGAAGAGCTATTAACCAGGTTTGAAGCTGGTCGAGCAATTCCTTTCGGGAGCAGATGTCAAATTAAACTTCCCTCAAACTGGAGGGGAGATCGACCACCCGGCAGTTGGAGGCGGTTTGATGTCCAACTTCTCCAGGTGAGTGGACCGCAACGGCTTCCCCGAGACTGCGCATTAAACAGGCTTCGGTAACAGTTACGGGCCAACCAACGACTTCTACTTCAAGCCCGCCTTGGCGGCACCAGGAGGAAACATCCTTTCCACCGTTCCCTTGAATATGAGCGCCTTTGCAGTCGTGTCCGGAACATCCATGTCTGCTCCGTTCGTGGCCGGAAGCGCCGCTCTTATACTCTCCGTACGCGGCGTCACACCTGAAGTTGGCCGAGCAACACGAAACCTACTCGAAACGACGGCATCATATGTTCCTTCAAGCGACGCCGAGGACGCGCTTCTTCAAACTGCCATCCAACAAGGTGCAGGCTTGGTGAATGTCCACAAGGCGGTTCACACGACGACTTTGGTCTCTCCTGGCGAGCTGGTACTCAACGACACAGCCAACTTTAAACCAGTGTACGTCTCGCGCGTCCGTGTTTCCGACGGTTAACTCGATGTTGACATTTATTCAACGCGACACATTACAGTCACAAGGTTTTGCTGAATAACACTGGCGACACCGAAAGAACATATTCTGTCAAGCACGTACCCGCTGGTACGGCTCTGACAATTCTCCAGGTGAACTTCGTATTTATTTTGCCGTCCCGAGCTGCCAACACTAACTTCAACCATAGGGCGTCCCATTCCAATCGAACGGACCTGTCCCCCTAGTACCAGAAGCGGCGTCTGTCGAAGCCTCACCCAGCACCTTTACGCTCGCTCCCGGAGAAGGCATCGAAGTCACCCTCACCTTCACCCAACCCGAGGGCCTCGACCTCAAGCGCTTCCCCATCTACTCGGGTTTCGTCGAATTCGAAGATGACACCGAGGAAACCACCCACGTTTCCTATATCGGCTCAGCGGTCGCTTTGAAGGACGTCCAAGTGGTCGATAATACCCCGCTTTACTTTGGCGAGAAGATGCCCATGCTGACGAACTCGAGTGGGATGGTACAGCACGAGCCGACGAATTATACTTTTGTGGGCAATGACACCACGACCATTTATTGGAGGTGAGCCGCTTGTCATTGTTTGAAGTTCACCGCTGATCAAGTTAATCTTTCCCTGGATCGCAGGCAGCTCTTTGGAACCCGACTCTTCCTCCTCGACGTAGTGGATGCCAACATCTCCCTCCGCACGACTCTCAATAGACGTCAGGCGGCTTCCTCAGACGATGCGCATATCTTCACATTCCCTTCCGAGGACCAATCCAACGTTTTCACCGAAGTCAAAGTGACTGGCAATTTGGTCACTCTGGATTACTTGCCTCGCAACAATGATGTGCGTACAGATCTATTTGATTTTCTTTTCTTCAGTGCCTGTAGAGGCAACAATGCTAACTCACCGCCTATAGAATCCATACGACTATGGCTACAACGCCCTTGCATGGGTCCAGCCGAAATTCGCGAACGGAACGAGGGTTCCTCCAGGAGACTACCGTCTTCTCCTTCGAGCTCTTAAGGTTACGGGCGATCCCTCCAAGGACGAGGACTACGAGAGTTGGCTGAGTCCCGTCGTAGGTGTTTATCCTACGGAACAGGAGGAGCCTGAGGAACCCGAGACACCTGAACCTGAAGATCCAGAGGACCCAGAGAACCCAGAGGACCCGGAAACTCCTGAACCTGAAGAGCCCGAAGAACCGGGAGCTCCTGAACCTGAGGACCCGGAGGCACCTGAGGCTCCCGAAGAGCCCGAAGATCCTGAGACGCCTGAGGAACCCTTGCCTCAACCGGCGTTGGTGTCAAGGAGTATTGATCTCAACTTTGTCCCAACATGAATTTGTTAAATGCCTCGACGAGTACTTACCGCTGGATTCGATGTACCGTATGTAAATGCGTTGAATATGATTGAAAGGTCTTCACCTTTTTGGACCCACTTAACACGGTCAGGTAGGGTCACCGTTCCTCAGCAGAGAAGTCGAAGCCCGGGGAAGGTGGATATCCTCATCTCGGCAAATCGGTCGGCAGAACCTACTCCCACGCCCACGTCCTTAGTTTGGGTCAAGGAGCCCCTATCCAACCTTGCTCTTTTCCAACTACACGTCTTCGCCTTTCACTTCGCTTATGGATAAGAAACAGCCTTTGGCTGCCATTTTGGAACACCTTGGTCTGCCAAGGGATGCTTACAAGGAAGAATCTCTGGCAGAAATCTACGATACACCTTTGGGAAAGGGTCTCCTGGAATGGCTGGCTGGGCAATTCGAGACGGGACCAAGTGTTTCGGGTGAAGATGGGGCTTTGGATTCGAAGCTCAAGGCTGCAGCTACGGATATAGCTTTGGAGTCTAAGGAAATTACAATGTACGTTCCCCCGTGTCTGAATCTTTTGTTCTTGCGTTGTTGACCCGACGTTGGTTTCGTAGCCTGGAACAATTGGCGTTGAAGGGAAGGCATAACCTGAATGACGAAGCCAACGATGAAGTATCATTGAAGGATTATGTCAAGCCCTCTGATTACAAGTGCGATATCTCGTGAGACACCGTATTGGTCTGTACTAACAGGTTTCAAGGGGACAAATCACGAACGCTAAAGCTGAAACGCGTATAAGGAACGAGGAGCTGGCATTTTTGAAAAGACGGCTTGACCTCACAAAGTGCGTTGAACTGTCGACTATAGGTTACTCCTGGTCTCTTACGGAACCAGAAAGGCCTCTTCAGATCTTCGCAAGTCTATAGAGAGACTGCAAGCGACGTCCAAGGCTTTAGATAATGAAATCGCGAAGCAGCGGGACGGGTTGGTCGAGTTGTCGTCGGAGGTTTGTCCCTCATTTTTTACGGCACTATCCTCAAACAAGGCTGAACCATGCTAGGCTGACAAAGTCATGTCCTCTACACGCCTTGAAGCTTCCGCTCTCCTCGAGGCTTCCGTCCAAGAACCATTGGTGAACGACACACAAACTCTCGCAGCTCTCTCCTCGACCAGAGACGACTTGATCGACCGGCTTCAGTCCATGAAACTCTCTTCTTCCGGTTCGACAGAGCTCGATCCCAGCAGGATAGAAGCAGAAGCTCAATCACTCCAGGAAAAGATTAACAAGATCGATTGGGAACGTGCTGAGAAGGGTGCTTTCATTGCGCAGCTGGAGCGAATGTGTGAGGCCATCGAGGGGGGAAAGGATGTCACTGACCTGACGGTGACGGCGGATGAATTGGACGGGGGAGCTGGCGGGCGCGTACTGGTAGATCGTGGTATCCTCGACGAAGTGGCCAAGGCGTGGAATTTGCATCAGGCTACCAATATCAAGGCGAAAGGGAAGGGTTTGGACCAGGTGTGTTGTGTGTAGTTTCACTCGAGCTGATTCCATTCTAACACTCTGTCCAGCTTCTTTCCGAGATACCAGTCAGGCTCTTGAAGCTTCTGGAACATCTACATTCCAGGTTGTCGGGGGATGTTGACAACGTTCGAGAAGCTGAGGTTTTGATTCGGGTGCTGGGCGAAGAACTGCATGACTTGAAGGAGGACCTTGCTTTTGCCAAGTCGAGAATCACCACCCAAGATGAAGCCGTGGGTTCAGACGACGATGCACTACTGCAAGAGCAATTGACGAATCTGTTAGAGGAGTTGAAAGGTACGCTTCCGACTTGCACGTTGGCGAACTGTTCGTTTAAGCGTTGGTAGATCACTGTCCTGAGGATTCCGACCCTCTGTCGATAAACACCCCAGACGACTTGATCTCGGAAATCGAGTCGCTCTTGGCGCGCGAACGGCTTCTTCAGAATGGTGCTAAACGTTGGCAATCGTCCATTTCCGATGCTCTACGGCGAAACCGAAACTCATTCGACGAGATTCTAAACGGCACTGTCTATGCGAACTCCACAATGAACACGTCCTCTCCCTTTCAGCCCAGTCCTGAGGCGGAGGCACTGCAAAGGAAGGCCGTGGATGTAGCGAAGACTTTGGAAAATGAGATGGAGAGGTTGAGAAGTGCCGCAGGTGGATTGTTGGAGAACGATAGAAATAGGAAAACGTTCACCAAGTTTGTAGATTACCATTTGAAATAGGATCCTGACCTTGGTGGTTGAGTCAAAACGGCGTCTTGAGGCAACATCGCGCACGTCTTGCCAATCCTAGGCGCTTATCAGGGGACACAGGGGCGAAAATATTCATTAAGCGCCGGTACATGTCAACGGTGGTATAGCCTATACAAATCAAGGGAATCAAAGTGCGCGTGAGAAAGGGATCGACGAAGTCTAGGTTGCAGCGCCGATATAATGCATATGGACCCTATGGTTCCGCCTGCCATTTGCAGATCAGGGAAAAGGGACCGGTACGGGGAGATAGACGCTCGAGAAGTCGCCTATATGAATAACACGATGCAGTGCACGAGGCCTTTCATTGGCCCTAAGTTGGATCTTTAATGATTGGCGGTTGTACGCAGCGTCGACCTAGCTCGAGCCGGCTTGGTTGGTATTTGGCCGACAAGAGCATTGTGAGCATTCATGCAAACAGAAACCAAAAGTCCAAAAGTCAAGACAGAAGCCATCAGTGTGTGTCGGAAAACAGGTGCCAGGAGCTCCAAACTTCTGGAAGCAGGTCGCACATTCTCGACAAAAGCGTTTCACGATGTCTTGTTTCCCGGAAGCAAATTCGGATGTGAGGAACAAGGCACCGTTCATATGGGACAAGACGCAGTTGATGGGGAACCCTGAAGGCGCTGGACACGAGTTTGAAGGCCCTTGTAATGTGGGACAGAACCCTGTAAAGAACCTTTAGAACTTGCTGGCACTTTGTTAGCCCCTCGTGAGTCAATGGAAAAGAGATGGTGGCAGTCCACCGAAAAGCCGAGTCGGCAGTGCAGTGATAAGTGAGCTTAGTCAGCATTCTTCGCACGAATGCAGCTCCGACGCCAGAGACTGTGCTCGTCGTGCTCAACAACAAAGCCACTTTCCTGACCACCACCATCGACGACGACGACCAAACCGTTTCGCCGCGACGCACAGCGAGCAAGCCACCCAGATCCCAGTGAAATCGCTAGCGTTCACCACAAGGGCGGCCAGATCATATAACGACTACGCTGGTTCTTGGCTCTCTGTTCCCCTAGAGCAGCGAAGTCGCCCGTTCACCGACGACAAAGACAACGACCAGCCAATGTGATGTATTTTCCACAACAATCCCCCGGTATCACGCACAAACTACCCACCCACCATGACCAGTCTGCTTGGGGCCGCGCAGCTTCCCACTCGATCCTTGTTCCTCCAGGATCACAACCAGTGGGCGTTGGTATTCCTCCCTTACAGTCCCCGGGATATCCTCTATACAATGGCACAATCCAGCAGCATCATCCAGGGCATCACCCTCTAACCCATGCACCCATGCACCACCAGAACTCCCTCACTCATTTCTCATCTCCTCCGAACGGCCATGCACATCAACAACAGCAGCAGCAGCAGCAACAGTCCCATCTGCTGGCTCAGGGCTCACCAGCGGGGCAGATTATATCCACCCATTGGCAGCAGCAGCTGCTCAAGTGTGATGTGCGTCTTGTTTTCTATGATTTTCGTAACCAGTCCCATCGCTCGTCTCGAGATTTGCCATCATGTTTGATGGAGGGGATCAACTAGGCTATTCTGTTCTATTCTATTCGCTTTCGTTACTGCACGGGACACAGTACTAACCAACTCCTGCAGATGGTTCGACAATCCCGCTCCCCGCACCACAGGGCAAGGGCCAACGCCATGGCCGCGCGTACTGTTCCCAAATCCGCAATCCCTATCACCAACCCCAACGCGAAAGCCACATCTTCCACGCCTTCAAGCGATAAGACAAATGGGGCAGCGAAAGATGGCGATTCATCTTCTACATCCGACACCGCTAATTCCCCCTCCAATAACAGCTCCACCAATCACCCTTCGTCCACCGTTGCGCCTGTCGCTGAAGCACCAAGGTTGACGACAATCAAGCCTCCAGAGAGTACCTGGAACTCTTTGGATATGGGAGGCGTCAACATCAAGAACCTTCCGCCCACATCCGGTCTCTTCACCTTCACCTTCTTGATTAACCTCTACCTCAACCACAACTCGCTCCAATCAGTACCACCAGAGATCTCTAAGCTTCGCCACCTTGAACTCCTTGACCTGTCTGGGAACGGTCTCCACAGTTTACCACCCGAGCTCGGCATGTTGACACAGCTGAAGGAGCTTTACGTCTTCGACAATCAGCTGACCACCATCCCTTACCAGTTGGGGACCCTCCACCAGTTACAGACATTGGGTATCGAAGGAAATCCTATGGAAAGCCATATCAAGAATATCGTTCAGAAGGATGGTACCCCCGCCCTCATTTCCTATCTCCGAGACAATTGCCCCGCTCCTCCTCCCCCACCTGCTCGCGTATGGCGGAATCTGCTGACGGGTCCAGAAAGGGAAGCCATCGAGAACGACCCCACCGTGGAGACGGTCTCTGTTTTGTCGTACAACATCCTTTGTGAGAAGTATGCCACAGAGCGGTTGTACGGCTACACTCCATCTTGGGCGCTGGCGTGGTCATATCGCAAGCATCAGATCATGAAGGAAATTACAGAGCACGGTACCGATATCATTTGCCTCCAGGAAGTCGACATCGCACAGTACGAGGACTTCTTCTCGAGGGATCTTGAGGAGCACGGGTATGCCGGCGCGTATCATCCCAAGTCGCGATCGAGGACGATACACAACGAATCGGACAGAAGGCTAGTAGACGGCTGCGCCATCTTCTACAAGTCTTCCCGGTGCGTGAACATTTCTATCATCACTCCGGTCCCCACTAATCGACACTCTGGTCTAGCTTCCAACTCGTTGAGAAGCAGCATATCGAGTTCAGTGCACTCGCGATGCAGCGCCAGGACTTCAAGAAGACGGATGACATGTTCAACCGAGTGCTCGGCAAGGATCACATCGCCGTTCTCTGCTTGCTGGAAGACAAGGTTACGGGCACAAGGATTCTGATCGCGAACGTACACGTTCATTGGGACCCCGCGTATAGTGACGTCAAGCTTGTGCAGGTTGCTCTTTTGGTGGATGAAGTCGAGAAGAGTGCCAACCAACTAGCCAAGTACCCTCCTCGACCACCCAAGTCGGCAACACCTGGGGCCGGAGATTCCGAGCCTGGTAAACCAGAGAGGAACCCCCCTCACTACACCGATGGCACCAAGGTCCCTCTCATCATCGCCGGCGATTTCAACTCGACGCCCGACTCCAGTGTCTACGAGTTCCTTTCGACGGGTAGCCTTCCCCCGAACCACGCGGACTTCTTATCGCACAAGTATGGAAGGTACACGTCGGATGGGATGAAGCATCGGTTGAATTTGAGGAGCGCCTACGCCTCGCCCAGCCTGGCCGCCGAGCAGCATCTGACCAATTATACTCCCAGTTTCCAAGGGGAGCTTGATTACATCTGGTACTCCGCGAGCAACCTTGCTGTGAACCAGATTTTGTCTCCGATGGATCATCGGTACTTGGAGAAGGTGGTTGGGTTCCCGAATGTGCACTTCCCTTCCGAGTGAGTCGCTTCGATTTTGGTTCAAATGCTCAATGTACTGACCGAATTTTTGTAGCCACATTTCAATCGGCTGCGAGCTGCGCATCAAGCCACCTCGAGATCACTCAGCGAGGCCTCCACCACCCACCAATTCATCCCCATCGCCAACATCATGAATAGGTGCCGAGTGAAGATGTATTCCTACCTTCTACTTTTTTGCTTGGGCGTTTTGGTTGTTGTGTAGTAAGATTACCTTTCTGGCCTCATATCTCACTTTCCTTTTTTTTCCGACCGAACGAACATTGTCATTTAGTTGCTTGTTTGTTTTTTACACCGCCTCTCACATATTTTCTTGTTTTTCTCTCTTTTTCTTTTCCTCGTCTGATACTACTACTCTCCTTCATTTTCTGTACATTTTGTGTCGTGTGTCTGTGTGTGTTATATACTTTCCTTGTCATCAATTACCTTTATTTTTATCGTCTTCAAGTTCCCGTCCTGGCACTGTCTATCGCACTCTGCCTGTGTCTCATTCGCGGACTATATCTCTAGTGATTTGTGTTGATGATCCTTATTCTTGTCTATTCTGCACATTGATCGCTGATCTTGTGAACCATCGATACCGCTTAGGCTTGGACATGTGCGGGGTTCAGTCTACTGAAAGACCAGCTTGATGGAAACCTCGACACCAGTTCCCGTGTACTACATGTCCGATTGAAAGTCCGTGCCTGCCATGGGCGCTTATCTTTTTCTTGGCGGAGTATATATAAAGAGGCTGTACGCAGATTGTACCTTGAATACTCTCACCACCTTTTGACGTTCATCAAGTATGTCAAAGCCAGCCCGCACAGCATACGCAGGGTCCCGCAGAAAGCTCGTCGTCGCCCTCGACGTTGGAACGACCTTCAGTGGCATCTCTTACTGGTGAGCACTGCGATGCAAGCTTGATGGTCAAAGGAACCATGATATTCAACAACGTTCTGGTTCGACTTGATAGCATTCTGGATCCAGGACAGGTATCTGAAATCAAGGCTGTAACGAGGTGCAACGTGCCCGCTGTGCTTTGCCTTTCTAGGGCTGACCGTGGCGCCCCAGATTCCCCGCTGCAGAGAATTCCGAAACGACGAGCGAGGCATCGAAGATACCCACTGTCCTCTACTACGACTCTCGAGGCAATGTCAAAGCCGTTGGAGCTGAGACCAATCAAGATGGCATCTTCGAGACGGCAATGGACGAAGGTTGGATGAAGGTCGAATGGTGTGTTGCTCTTTGAAAGCTTCATCTAGAGCCTTTGATCATCTGGGCATGTGGGGGCAGGTTCAAGCTTCACATTCGTCCCAAGTCCGAGACGTCAAGTGCTGTAAAGAACAGGCTTCCGCCGCTGCCTAGGGGGAAGACTGTCGTCCAAGTTCTTTCCGACTTCCTTCGCTACCTGTTCAAGTGCGCGAAGAGCTTTATCCAGGACACGCACGTTAATGGTCGCGATCTGTGGAACTCTTTGGAGTCTACTATTCACTACGTTATCACCCATCCCAATGGATGGGAAGGATACCAACAGAGTCAGATTAGAGATGCTGCTGTACAAGCTGGATTCATTCCGGATACGACAGCTGGTCACGACAGGGTATCCTTTGTTACAGAAGGAGAAGCGAGTTTGCACTTCGCCATCGATAATGGCCTTTCAGCGATCGGGGTATGTATCGACCGTCTCCCGTCCTAGTGCTATACGCTCACCGTTCGCATTCCAGAAAGGAGAAGGCGTGATCATCGTAGATGCAGGTGGAGGAACGGTTGATATCAGCGCCTACAATAAGACGTCTGCGCCACAAGAAAGGGCTACTTTCGAGGAGACTTCCATCCCACAGTGTACGTAGGTCTCGTTCACGGGGCCCGATCTCAGGGACAACCATGGCGGTGCTGACTTGACGGACTCTTTAGGTCACTTCTTTGGATCCGTTTTCGTCAGTATCTACGCAAGACAGTTTCTAGAAGGTCGTTTATCCACTGTGCTCGATGAATTTCACGTACTAACTCGGATCTGCTGCACTCAGAGTACCTGGCAGAGTCTCCTTTCTTCGACGACTTAGACCACATCATCCGCTGCTTCGACAAGGCAACCAAGGTTCGATTCAGCAGCGATAAGCAGCCACAGTACATCCGGTTTGGAAGCACCCGGGACAACGATGACTCTTGCAGCATTCGATTCGGACAATTGAAGCTCGAAGGCTCGAAAGTTGCAGAGTTTTTTGAGCCATCGGTGAAGTGCATCATCGAGGCGTTGAGAGCTCAGATTCGCAGTGCTCAGAATGTCAAGGTGAGGGTGCTCATCGAATCGCTTCAAAACGGACAGTATCACTGAGCTTTGGTGCAGCATGTGGTTCTTGTGGGTGGGTTCTCCGCCAGCAACTGGCTCTGGGAGAAGGTTTCCGAATCTTTGAAGCCATTGGGTGTCGAAGTCTTCAGGCCTCAGAACTACGTGTAAGGTCCAATTGCACTAGTCCTGGTACTGCGGGTTGACAGCCATCTACAGAAACAAGGCTGTCTCCGATGGATCGGTAGCGTTCTACCTCGACCAAATGGTGAACGTTCGAATTGCAAGGTACACATACGGCCAGGAGATCAACGGCTTTTACGATGCAAAAGACCCAGAGCATCGCGCTAGGGAACACACGACCTACATCTCTATGGCCAATGTTAAGCGTGTCCCGAAGGTGTTCTCGGTCTGCGTGAGCAAGGTGGGTAGAGTGACTTATGCTTAGCAGACTCACGGCATAGGCTGCTCACCGCTCCTCAGAACACACGTGTTCATGTGGACACAGAGTTGAGACAAGACAACTTCTCGTACCTCTTCGACTCAGACCGCGCGGAATCCGACAGGCCAACCATCTACTCAACGCTGCTGCGCTACACCGGAGACGATGTTAACCCCAGGTGGACTGACGTTGAGCCAGGTAAGTCCTGCATTGCTCTCCGGGATTCGGAATGAGTGGACGCCACTTACACCGTCCTGCAATCGCAGAGAAATACGACACACTGTGTTCCTTCGAAGTGGACGTCTCCCACCTTCCCCGCGTTTTGGTTCCAAAACAGAACGGACAGCCGGGGACGTATTGGAAGGTGGACTATAGCATCATCTTGTCGTTTGGTACGCAAGAGCTTCGCGTACAGATCGCCTGGACAGAAGCCAATGTGAGTGCATCACATTTTATTCCCTCATCCCCCGTTCGCTTACAAATAGTTTTTGTCTATTAGGGAATTGAGAAGCGGTATGTACTCGCTGTACTGCGTGCTCTAGGCTCAGTACTCATTCGTTTCCACAGGTCCCCAGTCAAGATTGTGTATGAACCGAACGATGTATAACTGATATGTGCATAATTTCCGCTTTAAATGAAGATTGTATTATACTCGTTGCCTAAACTCTTCATGGCACTACAAAAAGGGTTGCATTACTCTCACGGAACCGTCATGTGTTGGGAGCCCAAGCTGTCCTCACCCCCAGTTAAGCGCCCATGTTTCCCTCTTTTTGATGGCATCATCAATGGTCGTCCCGAGATTCGGCATTGCTCCGCAGACCCCCGTGCACCATCACCTAGCACAGGATCTCCTGCTTTCGATGTAACACGACCCTCGGAATTTCCCTTCATAATTGGCACACCACAGGGGTGCATACTGATCGCGTGGTCACCTGAAAATAGCTCGCCATGTTCAAATTCACAGCCTCACCGTGACAGTGGCTTCGCCGCTACTAATTGCCAGGGAGTATTCGAAGTCCGCGGGCGCTTATTAGACACTGTCGATATAAGACAGAGGCTGTACGCAAGGGGTACCTTGAACTCCGCTCTCCACCTTTCATACTGTCACATTATGCCAAGAGAAGGTCGCAAACCATACACAGGGTTTGGAAGGAAACTCGTCGTCGCCCTCGACGTTGGGACGACCTTTAGTGGGATCTCGTACTGGTGAGCAAGGGAGACAGCCGTGCTAAAGTACTCGTCGAACCGATTGGCGATTCTCCCAACAGCATCTTGGACCCTGGACAAGTTCCTGAGATCAAGGCAGTGACGAGGTGCGTTGTATGGTGGACCCCTGTCCGCCTACGAACTGATTATGCCCCCAGGTTCCCAGCTGCAGAGAACTCAGAGACTATGAGCGAGGCCTCAAAGATCCCCACCATCCTGTACTACGATGCGGAAGGTAATGTTAAGGCTGTGGGAGCTGAGACAACCGAAGAGGGCATATTCGAGAGGGCAATGGACGAAGGGTGGACAAAGGTCGAATGGTGTGCCACTCCATCAACAGCTCTACTACGCAATTGGTGACCTACCGCCCCTCTCTCTGCTAGGTTCAAGCTTCACATCCGTCCCCAGTCAGAAACCTCGAACGACGTGAAGAGCAGACTCCCGCCACTGCCTCAAGGGAAGACCGTCGTGCAAGTCCTCGCTGACTTCCTTCGCTACCTCCGGCGGTGTGCAAAGAGGTTTATCCAGGACACGCATATTGGCGGTGAAGATCTATGGAGGACTTTGGAGCCTTATATGCACTATGTGATTACACATCCCAATGGATGGGAGGGGTACCAGCAGAGCCAGATCCGAAAGGCTGTGGTACAAGCCCGCCTAATCGCGGATCGGCCATCTGGACACGATAGGGTGACTTTTGTTACTGAAGGAGAGGCAAGTCTGCATTTTGCCATTGAGAACGGTCTGTCTTTAATTGAGGTATGTGTCGCGCATCGTACTCTATTGTCCGTGACTTGCGACTTAACTTCTTTCCTTCCAGAAAGGAGAGGGGGTTATCATTGTGGATGCGGGTGGAGGAACGGTCGACATCAGTGCCTACAAGAAAGCGTCTGACCCCAAAGAACGAGATATGTTTGAGGAGATTGCCATTCCACAATGTAGGTACATACGGCACGTGTCTGGTGGTACCTGTTTCAGGGACGACCGCAGACCATGTCGACGCTGACACAACGGAATCTTTAGGTCATTTCTTTGGATCTGTTTTTGTCAGTATCTACGCGAGGCAGTTGCTAGAAGGTGCACCCTTTTCCCCCCTCGAATTATCCACGGAAATTAACGCAGGCCTCGTGCTGTGACATTCAGAACTTCTCGCAGAATCCCCCTTCATCGATGATTTAGACCACATCATCCGCTGCTTCGACAAGTCGACAAAGATTCGGTTCACCAGCGATAAGCAACCACAATACATTCGGTTTGGGGGCACCAGGGACAATGACGAATCGTGCAACATTCGGTTCGGACAGCTGAAGCTCGAGGGGTCGCAAGTTGCCACCTTCTTCGAACCGTCGATAAAGTGCATTACCGAAGCGTTGAAAGCTCAGATTCGAAACTCCCAGACAGTCATTAAGGCGAGATTTATTTTGAGCTTCTTTTGAAAGGCGACGGTAGCTGAAGTGCGGGGCGTAGCATGTTGTTCTCGTCGGCGGATTCTCAGCGAGTAACTGGTTACACGCGAAGGTCAGCGAAGCTCTCAAACCGCTATGGGTGACAATATTCCGGCCTCAGAACTACGTGTATGTATCGTATTCAAGCACAGAGTCGGTGATATTAACGTCCGCTGACAATCCTCTACAGCAACAAGGCTGTTTCTGACGGCTCTGTTGCCTTCCACCTCGACCGAATGGTGACAGTCCGCATTGCCAAATATACATATGGCACAACTGTCAGCCTCGCCTACGACGAGAAAGATCCCGAACATCGTGCTAGGGAGGATACCACCTATTTATCTATAGACTATGGATGGTTCAAAACGCGTCCCTAAATGCTTTTCCATCTGCGTGAGCAAGGTAAGTAGGCCTATTTTTTAGTTTATCAAAGGACCCAAATCCATCGGACTCATATTCATCGGCCCTTCAGAATACTCCCGTCAATGAGAACCAAGAATTTGTAGACGCCGTCGATTACCTTTTTGACAGCGAGACACCGTCGGATACGCGCGTAAACCTGGTGCTGTATCGCTACACCGGAGAAGACACCAATCCTAAATGGCGAGACGTTGACCCAGGTATGCTTGAATCCGTTCCAGGCTTCCTAAGTCAGCTCCACCGTCCAGTCTAGATCTCACGCAGGGTCATGATAATAGACAAGTACGATAAATTATGTCGCCTGGAAGCGGACGTCTCCCACTTGCCTCGTGTTCTGATCCCGAAGAAGAATGGGAAGAGTGGGACGTATTGGATGATTAAAGCAAGGATGGTCTTGTCTTTTGGAACGCAGGAACTTCGTGCCCAGGTTGCTTGGAAAGAAGCTAATGTGAGTGCGGCTAACTCTCTGTTTCGCACTTTCAAGCCACTGACCTGTGTTCCTCGTTGACATGACAGGGAACTGAGAAGAGGTCTGTATCGTTGAAAGTATTAGGAATGGCTGTGTCCTTGCTGACTTTAACAGGTCCCCAGTCACGATTGTATATGAGCCCAACAATGTATAGCAGTGTACCTGGCCCCTCTCAGAAGCGACTTTGGTCCTCTACTCATAATATTCTTAAATCTTCGTGATCACAACAGCTCAATGAGTGTCACGCTGTCCCGATCGAGTCCACTTTCAACTTATCCGCCCATTAAGCGCCCAAGAGTCCCGGCCTTTTGATGCCATCAAAATTCTCCATCCTGGCCTATGGGGAGCTCTTATTGGCATTACTATGGAAGCTAACCTTCGTTGAACTCGTCTCTGTTCCATGGTATAATGTGCTAGTGCCCGGAATTCCCGCCAGGCGGACTAGACCTCTGTTCGAGTTCTTTGCGAGTACGGATAGTAGAGGGTTGCTTCAGGGTGAATTCACCCTGCTTGTCTGTGTTAGCATCAGAGGGTTCCGAGGCCCATCACCGCGCCCTCGGTCCCTCTTCGTACATTTAGCCTTGCCTATACCATCCCTAATGCCATACTCGTACTCACGTAGCTCCAATATACATCTTGGTCGCGCTTAGTACGGGTGTGAGCCAGGGATTAGGCATTCGAGGCTCACACAACCCTTATAGAATGGGAGTGGGGTGGTATTTATGCTGTTGCTGCTGCGCCTCCCCCGGGGGCAAGCAACGCGATCTCAACTGCCGCGCTCTCAGCCGCTGTCATCGCCTCGGTATGCGACGCAACAGACAATACAGGAGTGCCCTTCGACAACGGCGTGGCATGTTCCCACTTTAATTCACGAACGTCAAATAAGAGTTCGAAGACAAAGGCAAGGTCTGCGCGAGGGACCTTCATGACCACCGCAAGCTCAAGCTCAGGCCGTATATCATCCTCGCCGCGACTACATACGACAGGTTCCACTGCCACTCAACGAGGCCGGACAACCTCGAGTGGGCCGGATAGTAGCGCAAGGAACCGTCCCACAGGGATGTCTGCTTCGAGCCCGTCTGCTTTTGGTGCAGCAACGGGTGCCCTAGACCTGGGGACGATCACGAAGAGGAGGAGTAGAACCTGATGTCGTCAGGAAGGGCGTTCCTCGAGACGGCGTTCCTCGTCCTTGTTCCGAGGACCATTCCCGCTTGACTGTCAGCCATCTTGATTCCTTCCAGAGATCATGACCCCCTTCTTCCTGTGTAGACGTAGTGCTTCCACGGTTAGGGTTCCAAGTCATAGTATCAATCCATCTGGTCAACCGTTCCAAGTCGTGTCATCTGGTCAACCATTCCAAGTCTTGTTCATAATCTGGTAAAACAGCCATTCACGTTCGATACTCCAGGAATAAATATAATCGTACAACAGTTGGGAGTATAATCAGACAGGCGGGTCCGGTGAGTTGGATCCGCATTCGGAGCAGAGAGCAGAACGTCATATGAGGGGTAAAGGAGAGCGAGAAGGGAAGGGCGTAACTGGGAACGCGGCGAGCATTGAATATTGAATATTAAGGCGTGGCGCGAGATTGTAAGAGGCACCGGGCGCCTGTGGGAGGCAACAGGCAGCGCAAGGCAGACCGGGGTAGATACGGTATCCGCAGCGTCAGCACAATCATTAATGACATGCCATTCCCTTGTCATCGCCAGCTTGGTTGAGGATGGCCTCGGTGTTCATCGTCGCTCCGAAGACGTAGTGACCGATTGCGGCGCCGATGACGACTGAAGCGATGAGGTAGGCCTGTTGTGGTTGTACAGTCAGTAAACGATGTGGTTTAGAGATGGGTATGGGGGAGGGGTTTTGGACGTACGTTGTAAGTCATGAATACCAGCATGAGGAAGAAGGAGATGAAGACGGTGGAACCGTAGATGGCTGCTCGGAGGGCTCGGGATACTGGTGGGACGACCGCTCTGTTGCGCCAGGTGTTAGCTCTATATAGATAGGCAATAATCCCAATAACATATAAACGCACCCAGTAAACGCATTCCTCAACAACCTCGGATTCCCGCTCAACAAACCCGCATCCTCCACATCTCTATGATGTCCATCTACAGGGCTCGCTCGTCCACTACTCCCTCTACTCCCCGACACCGCTCCTCCGGAGACCTTGTTTCGTAGCTTCAAAGCGACTTGATAATCTACCTTTCGTTGGAAGACGCGCACCCATTCGTGGAAGACGCAGATGAGGATGATGGCGATGCAGGAGAGGAGGAAGCCGGTCTTTGAGGAGATGTGCCAGGATTTGAAGACTATACAGGTGTCGTAGATTTGGGTGTTCCTGTTTATTTCACGGAGGTGTGGAGGTTAGAGTAAGGTTTAGGATTTGGGTGGAGGAGAGGACAAAAATAGGTTGTCAGCTCAGTCGACTGTCGTTAAAACTGGATTCAAACGCACCAAAGCATGTGGAGGTTACATTTGGGCATCCCGGGCATATCGTGGTCTCCATGATCTCCGTGGCTCATCTTTAGTTAATTCTACTTATGTGGAGACCTTTGAAGTAAAGGTCGTGGAGGGAGGAGATGAAGAGGTGCGGGCTGCGGTAGCCGAGCAGCGTGCCAAGCGAGATTGATGGACGGTTATTATTTGGTAGCCGTGATTGGGACCTTTGTCTGGTCGTACCTCTCCGGTGGTATGGGATATTGGGGTATAGAGAGAGTGCTATTGGACTATGATACAGGAAATGTAAAAGTACAGACCCGGTTAGGCCAGGGTGTTGATATCCAAGGTAATATTTGGAGATGGGAAACAGGGTGACCGACAATTTCATCGTCTCAGTCAACAACCACAGCTTCGCCAGCTTGACCACGTCTCACTACTCCCCGTCCAGAGTCCAGTTGTTCTCTTTGATCAGCCTTTCACGTTCCAGCAAGTACTTTCCTGTTAACACAAGGTGAATTCAGTCAGGGTTTCACAGAGGAAGACATAATGGACTCACCTTCTTTATACTTCTGGGAGTTATCTGCGGCTTTATGGTAGAACCACCCCAGTCTATCGCCACATCCAACGCAGTATACATCGGCGACGGTGTGCACTCCGGTCCTACAACATCATGCACGAGAAGAGATGGATTAGCACTCTTGTCTACCGTTTAGCTCGAGAAGGGGTCTTTTAAGGCTTACAAGAGAGAACGGTCTTCCCGCTTTCCCAACTTGACATTCGTTGCTGACTGCATTAAACTGTGCAAATAGTCAGAGACGTGGAGTGCCAGATATTGTAGATTCAGATGGATGAACTCACAATCCTCGACCGTCTCTCCCAGAGAAGGCTTTGCTAATGAGTTCATCTTGGAGGCTCTGTATTCGTCAGGGATATTAGGAGACATAAAGCTCAGCGTTTTAACAGTGAGCAACTACGCACGATAACAGCAGAACACTTTGCACAAGAGTATGTCGGATGACCTTCGTAAGTCTGCACAACCCGCGCCTTGGTATCCTCCGAATTCGATCTAGCCATGCTCTTCAATCGTCTGCTATGTAGACTAATTCTCGTCGTCGTAGTCGCCGTCTAGAGGTTCATCCACCAGTCGTAGTCGCGGTCCAGAGTTCACAGTCGCAGTACATGGCCCCAGACTTCCAAAACGATGAGGTCAACCAGGCTCGCCTCCGAGTCCGCCGGCCTCAGTTGGACCTGACCCTGATCGCGCTGATCGCAAGTTCAAACTCAGCCCACCGAGCCTTGGCATCGTCCAGCACTGCTTAGCGCCGTGTCATCCTCATCGTGTCCGACGACGAGCAAAGCCGCCCCGCCCAGGATGGATTTACCGCAAGAAGTCGTACTCGCCATTCAGAGGATCCTAGATGCCAGACCTACAACGGACGACCCGTTCGATGGTCTCGTGGAGGAGTTTAGCACCGTCTCCATCCTCAATGAGTTCTTCCCCGATGGTCCGTTCGTACCCTACGCGCCCATCGCCGCTTCACAAGCCCAAACAGATGAGACTGACGAGCGAAAATAGAGGCATCACTAGGAAAGCTAGACGAAGTCAACGCCCAACTCGCAGAAACGCAGAAACAAATCCAAGCCGAAATCGACACTCTCCAAGCTGAACTGCGTACGAACCAGGATCCTGAACGGATGTCTGTAATCCAGGAAATGATTTCTGTACGTATATTCTTCTTGTGTAAAATCTGGGTTTTTTCGCGTCTTTAAAGTAACGAGGGAAGGATTTGTTAGGGCAAATGTCGAAGATTCGGGAGAAGGCGACGGAGAGCGAGGCTGTGGTTAGGAATATCACCAAGGACATCCAAGTATTGGATTTGGCGAAGAAGAATTTGATTATGAGTATGACGATGTTGAAGAGGTTGCAGATGTTGGGTGGGTGCTCTCGTAGCGGAGCGTCGTAAGAGAGTGCTGATACCCGTATAGTGAACGCGTTGACCCAGCTCGAGGACTTGATCAAGGAGCGAAAGTACGCTGATGTCGCGCAGACGTTGTCCGCAGTCAAGCAACTCTCAGAGACGTTCAAATCATACACTTCAGTCCCCAGAATCGCGCGCTTGTGGAAGCGCATCCACGATATCCAGGGCCAACTCAGAAGCCAACTCGAGGAGGACTTTGATTCATTGTGCGTGTTCCCTACTCAGGCCCAGTCCCAAGAACCGCATGCTGACAACCCCATAGCTTCATCCAAGATACCGCCAAACCCGTCCGGCCCTCTCTAATCGCCGAAGGCTGCCAAGTCGTCGACGTCCTCGGCCCAGAAGTCCGCTCCCACATCATCGACCGCTTCGTCGCCCTCGAACTCAAGGAATACCGCCGCATCTTCCGCACCAACGACGAAGCCGGGCAACTCGACAACCTCTCCCGGCGCTACGCATGGTTCCGGAGGTTACTCAGTACTTTTGAAGTCGAGCAAGGGAGGGTATTCCCGTCGGATTGGAAGGTTGGATGGCACTTGTTGGCCAAATTTGCAGAGATTACGAGGGACCATGTTACGACTCTTTTGACCAAGATTGGTCCGTCGTTGACGGTGAAGGCGTTGTTGGAGAATATTCAGATTACGGCTGAATTTGAGGCTTCGATGGCGAGGAAGTGGGCTACGTCGGTTAGTCGTGTCGTTCTCTTGCCGTTGGTAAAAGCTGAGCGTTCGTTAGTTCCAAGAAATGCTAAAGGCGACCGACGCAAGCCATTCGCAGCCAGGGAAGACCATCACATCCGCGTTCGAATCTCATATGAACATCTTTGTTGACGCTCAGGACAAGTTCGTCACTGCCTTCAGCACCTTATCCCGTCGCTGACCGTCACGTTAGAGCCCTCTCTGATATGCTTGCACCTCATCGAAAGAACAACAAAGCCGCCTACAAACCTCCTGTGCGAACCTCGTTGGACACAGGCGAAGAGGAGGCCAAGGAGTCGGAGGAGAGTATGGTAGTCCTCCCCTCGTCCACAGAATTGTTCTACTTCTACGGACAGAGTTTGGAGCAATGCGCTAGCCTGTCCACTGCCCAACCCTTATTTGACTTGGCCAATGTCCACAAGAAGTGGTTGAGGATATATGCAGGTTGGTTTTTGCTTGTGATTTATGGCAGTGGACTGACGCATGACGCGCCAATGCAGAGGAGGTTCTGGCTATCAGTTCGAAACGGCCTGTGGCTACGTCCACGCGCAAGTCGCTTGAAACTAGGGTCGATGTTGAGCTGCTCAAGCAGACCTGTCTCGTTATCAATACGGCTGATTATTGCCAAACCACTGCACTTGAGCTCGAGGAGAAGATCAAGGAGAAGATCGACGCGGATTGGAAGGAGAAAGTCAGTTTCCAAGCAGAGAGGGATTTGTTCGTGAGGTAAGTTCGAGGTGGTGATCTCTTCGTTCCACCAAATATTGACGGTATCTCAGCACTATTTCAACCGCTATTGGCGTCCAACTGCGCGAGTTCGAGGTGGCGTGTGACCCGCCATTCATCACTCTGGGTCGGACATCTTGGTCGTCATTGAACCAAGTCACTGGCCAGTCGCCCTATACGGACGAGTTTGTGAAAGCCGCTGAGCAGGTTGTGGAGCTCATCAAACCTTTGGTCGAGCAGAAGAAGTATATGCGGAATTTCCTTGACAAGGCGTGCAGGTGAGGATCCTTTTCCCGTTTTCCTCAGCTTGATTTTGCCATTGCATGGAAGAGAGATGTTGGCGCTAATTGTGATTATCATCTAGCCTTATCTTGGTCAAATTCACCAACGCGCTCGTTCGAAGCCGGCCTCTGAAGGAGATTGGCGCTGAGCAGGTGTGTAAATATATCTTTTCCATATTGGATTTTTCTGACCCGGAGATGTTGTGCAGCTCCTGATAGATTTACAAACCCTCAAAGCGTATCTCACGAAAATGCCTGGTGAAGCGTTAATTACGAACACGTACGTTGTCTTCTCCTTTTGTTGAACCTTCTTTCTTCCATCCCGAGCGCTTCTTTGCAGCCTCGGTTGCTTCCTTTACAATTTGTTGTCGTCCGAGAGTTCGGAATTTTCTCATAAGAGTTTGGTGGATGACAGGTATACCCGTGCCTTGGCAAAGACGACTTCGAGACTGGAAGCGCTGTTGAAAGTTATTGTGACGCCCGAGGTATGTTTCTATCACACCCCTCAACAGATTTTTGGTGGATTGCAAGGATGCTGACGGCTATCCTAGGACCCTCCAGAAGGTTTTGTTCTCAACTACACACTCCTTATTGGAGATGCTTCTTTCACCAACTTCCAAAAGGTGTGTTTAAATTCCCATCGTTCATCTCATTTATCACGGAGGTGGAGCGGGGTCTTGAGTTTGTCTTGTTCTTCCTCGACATCCCCACATGTCCTCCGCCCCTCGAAGTTTATTCCCTCATATGCCGCCTATCTAACGCCGTTTGCTCACCACGTATTCCTTGCTATCATAATTCCTATTGGACCCTAATCCCTCTCCGACAGATCCTCGACTTGAAAGGCACACCCAAAGCAGCACAGAAAAACCTCTTTGACTCGTTCGAAGTCATCACCAGCACGAAAACCGATTTGGAGAGTACGTCTTTCCTCTCCTCGCTGGACATGGACCCTCCGACTACAGCGCATGTGGGCGGGAGTTTGTTGAGTCCTGGAGGGAGTCGGTTGGCGTCTGGAGGGGAGAGTATGTTTGCGGGGCTGGGAGCTGGGCCGGGGCCTAGTGGGCCGTCGACGGGTTCGAGTGGTGTGGGTGATGGAGGGGTTGGTGGGGGAGGTGGTGGTGGTGGTGGGAGGCCGGCTGGGGATACGAAGCAGGTGTTTTCGGATTTCAGGCGGTTTGTTAGTTTTGGGTTGAGGAAGGATTCTGTGGCTCCTTAGTGTTGCTGCTACGGTGTCTCTACTATTGGATTTAGTGGTACGAGGATGTGACCCCAGCGGAGTACTCTTTTGCATTACAGTTTTTCGTTTTTAGAAGGTTTTGGATTGGTGTTTGGGTTCCTACCGAGGGGTACAAGTATATACGCGAGGGTGGTAGGTTGTGAAAGGTTGTGGTTGGTATCGTACATATGTGCAAAAGGGGTGGTGGGTTGTACAACAGGCTTTTGAAAGCTGAAGAAAAAGAAAAAGGAATGGTTGGCTAATTGTACAGATGAAAAAGCTAAAGAAAGTATCTTGTAGAAGTTGAAGCTAAAATTGAAATTGAAGGCTTGCTTTGCGAGTTGAATAACCCAAGAAAAAGGGGGTTGTTGCTAGATAATCAGCCTCTGCGAAGGGTATAGGAGAAGTCGTTAGATGAATAGAGGTGGACGTGTCCATAGATCGTTCAGAGATGAAGAGAACACGACGACGACGAAAGTAATCAAGAAAGAAATACACATGAAATTCGGACAAGTAGGGACTCGATGGAACTAGAAGGTCCGTGGTATGTCCGGATCTGACGATCCCTTGAGGCTAGTCTCAAACCGAGCAGAGAGCGGCGTGTTGAAGAACGCCGAGGTTGATCCAGAGCGCGAGCGCGAGTGTAGATCAAGTTGGGAATGGGAATGGGAATGAGACTGGGAGCTTGGACCCGGCGGGCGGGCTGTCACCGACGATGCTGGGGAGCTCAGCCCTAGCACGCGTTGGACGATGTAGTTGGGCGAGGAGAGGCCGGTGGGGAGGGGTGTAGGCGGGCCCACCGCCGCCTCGTCTGATTCGTGTGTCCCGTGGTGCTGCTCGGTTGAGGGAGAGGGAGGGACGGCGCGGAAGGGGCTCATGGGGCCTACCAGCACCGAGTCGCGGTCCATGAACGCCCTGGAACGGCCCTGTGCGATAGCTGGTAGAGGCTCATCATCGCTATAGGTAAAGTTGACGTCCGAGGCGGAGATGGGGATACTGTCCGTTGGTGATTCGAGGTTCTCCATCATCGGGTGGACGTGGACCGGGTCGCTGCGCGAGGAGGAGCCTGATGTGCTGAGCCGGACTTGGCGGTGTGGGCTGAGGAATTGCGAGTTGCGCGGGATGGAGATTTGGACTGGGATTGGGAAGGTGGTGGAGCGCGTTGACCGCTGTGTGCCGCCGGAAGATGATGACTCGCCTCCGCTTGTTGGGCTCTTGTTCTCCCCATCGCCGTTACTGTTACCATTTCCTTTACCGTTCCCGAGTCCTCCGAATCCTCCCTCAAACTGGACGCCCCTGCCCTCATCACCTACTGAGACCCCCGCACTATTCGAGCTACTCCATCTAGATCTCTCCTCTGGCAAAGCAGGGTGCATCTGCGGCGGAGTGCTATATCTCCGCACATCCTGCGCCGAACTCGTGTCAGTCACGAACCCGTTGTTCGAGATGGTCGAAACGTCCGAGGAAACGGTGAAATCGATGAAGGAATCTCGAACGTGGAGGTGGTGGTCGTCGGCGGTAGTGGTGGGTCCGCCGGTGCTGCTCACGCCTGTAGAGGGACCGGCGATCCCTGTGCCTGCGCCTGTTCCGCTCGTGGAGGGCCGCGAGGGGTCTTGCCGGGGGAAGGGGATGAAGCTGGCTGGGGTCAGTCGGAAGGTTCGTCGAGACATGGACGGTCCTTGTGCAGTGTCTGGCGGTAGCTTCGGGAGCGCGGAGAACCGCGCGGATTGTCTCCCCCCTCCACTCACTGGCGGACTCGCGCTATCAGGAACGAGAGGAGAGCTTCCATGCAAGTTGCTCCCGGAACTGTAGGAGAAGCGTGTCGAGGCTATCTGAGAGGATGGCCATGCGCTATCGTCGGAATTGGAGCGTTGCGGCGTTACGATGAATCGCGTGCTCGCGCTCGCTGATGGCGGTGTCAGCTTGAACGTGGTCTGCGAAGCCTCAGGGCGCTGCGGCTCTGTCGGTTGAGATGGTGTCGGTGGTGGAGAATTGATCGTCGGGTGCTGAGGTATTGGAGGAAGGGGGCGTGATTCATGTCGAGCTTGGGCGGCGGAGAGGCTGGCTTGGGTGTTGGGAGAAGGAAGCGGTGGTGGAGGAGCAGAAGAGGTGGGCCTCTGCTCAGTCGGACTGCGCATCGGCTCCATCTCGAGACTCGAAGAAGCCTCTCGTCTGCTATGTCCATGAATGAAAGATCGCCTTGGCAAAAAGCTGGCCTTGCTAGTGCGGGGACTCAGGCTTCTCAATACCTGGCGTACGGCGCTTCCACCGAGGACTTTGGGGTCTTCATCGATACTCTGGTCGTAGATACTCCCTCTGTCTTCTTTGGATAGATCGCGAATAGGGAACGGTGGGGTAAGGTCGGAAGAGAAGGTGTCTGGAGAAGTTTTATTGCCACCTGAGGTCTGATTGGGGCTGCTCAAGAGGTCATCGCTCTTGCGCTTGCCTTTCGCAGGAGGGTGGGTGCTCGCAACAGGCCCACTAGTTGGATACGAAGACTGGCCGACGGAACGAGGGACCGATAGAGGCGATTCTCCACCGTTGGTGAGAACAGAAGCAGCGTACGAAGGAGGTGCGACCGGATATGATTCAGATAGCTCAGCTTCGTGGTGGCCGGTTGTGGTAGGAGCAGTCAGGTAGGACAGAGACCCCGCCGTCGAGGTTGCCTGGGCAGCAGATAGCGCCCCTTGTCCAGAGGGAGGCTGGAAAGGCAAATTAATTTGGTAGTTGGGCGACCAGGAACGATAGTCACTGACGCGTCTATCCACATTCCCATTACCGTTACCATTACCTGCACCACCGTTACCATTCCCATTGGCGCCCACTCGTCCGTTCTGGCTGCTGCGCAAGAAACCGGGTTTACGAATCATCAGTGATGGCCGGAAACGAGGTGATGATCGAGAACTGCTGCTCAGCGGATCGCTTTCAGATTCGATGGTGTTTTCATACGTGCGGTGCTTCTCGTTGGTGTCATCCGAGTGTCGGAATTGGATACCCAGGCTTTCGCGCGCAAATTGGGTAGATGCTTGAAGCCTCCATCTTGAGAAACTGCTCTTGCCGCTGCCCTCTCGTCGTCCCGAGTCGCCTGCCCGACTGCCGCGCCTGCCAATGTCCCTATGAGCGCCCATGCCAAGTTCCACCTCGATATCGCCGACGTCTTGATGACCTGACGACGAAGATTGCCGCGCGATATCGAGCACGCTTCCTTCGGCTTCCGTGACTTTGTCGTGATGCGTTTGGGAGAGGACTGACTGCGCCATTTGGCTCCGCCACTGTAGCTGCCGTTTGAACAGTCGACGAGACCGATAGATGAAGAAGTAGTACAGGACGCCAGATAGAAGTAGGCATGCCAGAACGCCAGCCAGTGCAAAAGCCGCGATAGTTCCCTTGTTGAACGTGGGTGATGGAACAATCACGGGTGGAGGCGTTGGCGTCAATGGTTCTGGGCTAGAATTGGAGAAGTGGATGGGTACTCAGAATAGGCAACAAGGGTGGGAGGGCGGAAAACTGACTCTGGTGATCCAACAGAAAAGACTCGAAAGCCGCCCTCCAGAAGCGACAGGGTTCCCTCTCCTTCATTAGTGATGATAACCTCATGCGTCGAATTCGGCTCCAGCGTGGTGGCATAGTATAGGAGGCTATCGTGTGACAGAAATGATGATCGTGCGGAAAGGCTGACAGTTTCGTTATTCAAAGTGACAGAATACCTGCCGGCTTGTGGAGAGGTAGTTCCTCGAAGCAAAAAGGAGGTACCTTGGGGAGGTCAATCCCCGAGACATGTCAGTCTTGGGAACGGAAGCACTAGGCAAATGGAGTCTCGAGGGTGGAAGCTCACCTCGAAAACGCGCGACAGCCTGATCACCCGTGGTATTAGATCTATGCAATGTAGCATTGCCTTCAGTTACGAAAGACCACCTTCCATGGAATGCGACTGATTGTGGATTAAGTTGGTTGATACTGTAGATATTATCCGGACTAGAGCCCTCCCGTCAAACAAAGAACGACAGATGATCAGAGGGAATGTCATACGTTGTGGAGTTCAGGTTTGGAGGTCTTGCAGCCACGACCGCGTGTTCAAAGCGGACTTCCGACCTGGGTGGATTTTGGTTCTGGGGTATTCGAGCGGTGAGAGAGACCGTGTGCAGGGTGTTCTCCAGGCCCTGAATGGTTGCCAGTATGTTTTGAGAAAGGTCCGAGCCAATCGAGGTCAGTCTCTCATTGTCGAGGTCTATGGTGTAGTCGGCATTGGTGACGTTTCCCAGTAGCTGTACGTTCGTCCCTAACAAGCGAGCGTCAGCATGATAAATCAGTGCGTGAGGGTAGTTTCCGCACCTCTCCAAGTGACCGAGACCTTAGCGCCGTCGCGCGCTGTGACGTGCAAACTCGTGCCATTTCCTACGGCACCCTGAACAGTTGCGAATCCCGAGTCCGTGAAGAAAGGGTTCCAGCCCGCATTGAGATCTGGTAAGGACAGTGTGTCGCCTAAAGGTTCGTATGATATAGTGGGGGAAGTGTCATCGATAGGAAACTGGACGATGTTGGCCATGGACTTCTGAGCTCATATGTGAAGTCGGCTGGGCCAAGGGGCGAAAGGGGAGGACGACCGCAAGGGGTGATACAGGAGGACAAGAAGGGAAAAGAACCCTGGCGCCAGGCGTGGTGTATAAGAGAAGTTATAATAGGACAGAATCGATGTGATCGTTGAGGACCCGGGGGACTAGAGGGGCTTGGGAAGGCGCGCAGATAAAAAGCTGCTAGACCTAGGGACCCACGATCTCGCAGTAGAAGAAAGAAGAGGGCCTGAGATCCCGGAGCAGAGGGGTCGCCTTAAGGTTCCGCAAGCAATAAACCAGATTGGCTGTACGTACAAATTTGACCTGGTGCACGGATCGTCATACCGACCGAAATGACTTGTTATGGGAGCCCAATCGACTGTCAAAATCCAATCTCGTATATTTCCCGAGATGGTCTGTCAGAGGGTGGAATTCCCCTTTCAGAACCAATCAGCTGGCTTCTGGCGCCAACACGATGCATCACATCGTAACCAATCCCTTGCCTTTGGAACTCAGCGACGATAGTGGTCCTCTGGCTGGAGGTCCTTGAGATGCGTTTTCCTTGCGCACCCATGTCACAGCGAGCACCTGCGGGCCCTTGGCAATGGGAGTCAGAGGCGGTCAAGACATGAGAAAGATTCGGAAAAGATGATGGTCGTTGCGCAAAGAGAACACGAGGCCGACTTCAATGTGGGAGTCGGCTTTACCGGCTTTGCCGAAATTGATCCAATCACAGGGCAACCGGAGTGGGCGCTAAACGAGGATATGCGGGGCAACGTTATTTATGACCAGTTATGACCTCAATACAGCCTCTACTTCCTTTTACGAGTCAAATAGAGAGTCTGCGTGCTGAGGACTCGGTAAAAGGCACATAATTCTCTATTTAGTTTACCCGCATGCCATGCGTTTTGAAGTAGAATCACCGGTGACCCCGGCCGATGCGAAACGAGGCCCGGAGGCATTGTTTTGTCAATTTTTTCCTATCGGCTCGTATTGAGCCTGGAGACAGAGCACACCTGCTATTCTGTCCTCCTGGCCTGCTTATCCTGGTCATTTTAGTGGGCTTCGACAGGCTTCAGTCTGGCCTTGACACTGACAGACCCGGGTTGTCCGGCCGATTCCATCAAGCAGGGCCAAACAAGGCCTTCCCCGGGTGCTGACAGTGCGCTGCACGCGCCTTGCACCAGTACCGTCATGTCGGTATAGTACAGCAGCTACAATCGGGATAAGTCAGGTAAGCTTAACTATTTCAAATTATGTGTGCAACCTATTGACACGAAGTGTAATCTGTTGTCTCCTATTCTCTTCAAGTCCAAGGAAATCCCGAAGCATACATGTCTGTCAAGGAGCCAGACAGCCTTCCGATTGACTTGATTGGGAGCCCTGGCTTCTTTCCGGCGCTCCTAGATTACATCCGGAGCGTGACCAACTCACATTCTCTACCCTTAGACGAAGTGATTATCAAGTCAATTCTCCTATGTCTCGTTGCCGGTAACAAACACCTTGTGCTTCGAACCCCAGAGGAAGATATTGGTGTCGTCGTTAAAGTTGTTGTCTGGGTGAGTGGTAATCTGCATTCCCCTTATCAGGTATCACTTTAGGTTTGGTGGTGGTCCTATGACGCTTCGTATCATCAGGAGGTGTAGCCATTCATTTGTGGTACACTGCCTCGCGAACGAGCGAAGGCTAACCCTACCTTGTTTGGGTCGATGAAACATAACCGCTGTGGTCCCCACTGTACCTCCAACGAGCACGTTGGTCCCGAAGGACGGTCCCGCTGCAATCCTTTCGCCTGGCTTAGCTGAGGGCGAAAAGGTGAGAATCCAGTCGCCTCACGGGTGGCACGACTGCGAACCAAGATTCAGTTCCTCGCAATATCTCGCAGATGCGGCCTTATCATGCTATCCTATATGCCTGGCACTGCGGCAGCCTTGCAGTGATAGCTCATCTCCTTACTCGCCGCATCATAGCGTCATAGAATGACACTTACCATGTATCCACAGACATTATCCTTTCTCTTTGGGTACCCTACCCAGAAGGTGAAACTGCGCTCATATTCTAGCGGCATCTCGCCGGCCGCCTTCCTTGGAGCATTATTCCTGCCTTCAAACCGCACCAATGCATCTCAGGAGGACGTCTACAGATCAGCTCGAGCGTCCGGGCACTACGCTAAGCCCGGTAGACCCTTATCCTCGAATCGATCTCCGGGTCCTGACTACTCTCGCTCGATCTCATACCCAAACGACTTAGCTCAGGCACATTCGCACTCGCGAACAACCTCTTTCAGTCGTCGCGTTCGCAAACGTGGGTCTGAATCAAGATTCAGCGGTCAGTCAGAAACAGAGGGACCTTATCCTTCTGCATCCCACCTTCCTCATCTTCACCATTCATTCACCGAGCCACTGCCAAACCGGCAGGGCCATCATCTTGAAGCGGGGTCACTTGAGTTTCCACGGGCACTCGTCTTATCTGGCATCGAAAAGGCTAATGACTCTGTGCACCGCGCCCTCGTCCAAGTTCTCTCCGCAAAATGTGTCACTCGGGCAGATTTGGGAGGTGAATCCGTCCAGACGGGTGACCTCGGACAGCGCTACGAACAGCCTAATGTGCACGGTAGCACCCGGGACAGTTCGGAAAACGTAGCGTGGCCACTTCCTCCTGGATTCATCATGATCTATGTTTGCCCGATTGATACTAAGGAGCGGCCACCTATTCATAGAAGCTTGGTGCGTCATTCAAATCACAACATGTTTCCCGGAAGGGTGGAGAATGACTGAATTTATCCACTATTCGCGCCCCGTTGAACAGCTCGACAGATTTGCGATGAGCCACAACGTCCAGATATCTCAAGCCGTGCGCTACGCCCTTAAGTCTACGCCATTCTCGCCACCGCTGCATTCTGGAGCTGGAGGTCCTCAGTCTAATCCCAGTTCCCCGTCACTCACAATTCATTCCCCGTTGCCGCAACCACACAGTCAATCATACACGCCCCCATACTTTACGAAACCGTTGCCTGCGGGTCAGCCACCCGCTCTCAACCGACATTTCAACATCTCCTCTTCCTCCATTCCTCCACAAACTCCTGCGATTCCTTATCCGGAGAAGCCTATCGTACCGGGATGGTTCCTCAAACTACTACGCCAGTACCGCCGCAAGACCTACTTCGCACCGAGCCTTGATCTCTACCTATCCGACCTGTTCTCCGCTGTACGTCATCATCCAAGCTTGGATGGGATGATGTTGACGGCGAGTGCCAGGAAGGACGCCGAGGCGCTTGCTCGCGCCGCTCGAGTCATCGGTGCTGACCTGACTGGGATGGAGCTCCTGCGACCTCCAGGGCATATGACCAAAGACGACGAAGCGGACGGAGACGACTCATCGGCGTACTACTCCATCCCTGACATTGGGGCATCGCATATCGCACCACAAATATCGCATTCGCCACAGTACTCTCGAAGGACGCAGTTGTTGGGGGACGAATCATCGACGACGCCCCTACTGCGGCAAGATTCTGCATCGGTGTTCACAAATGCACGGACGATTGGGACGACTACGCATGGACACGGTCAAGGGGCGACGAGTGAGGACGAGGAACCCGAGCCATCGTCGCACGATGTAGAAGTTGAAGTGTTAGAGGTGACGGAGGTAGACGTTGCCCGGATCGTACCTCGCGTCGTCACCCACAGGCTGCGACTGAGAGATAGTCCATCAGAGGAGGTGCTGGCAAGTGCGGTCGTCGGGGCCACGTTCGATGCTGTGACTGCCGAAACTGGAGCAGAATATACCGGAAAGGGAAGCATGGAAGGCGATGCGGTTGGTCTGGGGATGATGGATCATGATGGAGACTGGACTGGCTACGGCTCCCTTGGGATCAAGGACATCTTGGTTGACATCCTGAACAAAGTTTGAATTGCTTGCTGGCTTGTCCCCTATGTTATGGCGAGTTCTGCTATGTTATGTTGCGATTGCGATTACTCATCCTGGTTTCGTGTACAACGGTATCCGACTCTTCTTTTGTATCTGTTGACTCCGTTGGTGGAGATAAGCCTTGTTGGTCTTCTTGAATAGGTTTTAGACGCGTCAAACGGTGAAAAGGCCTGGGAGAACGAGCTTGTTTTGGTCTGATGACCGACCGGATCAAGCCAAGAAGGCGCCCGATTGGCCGGAGCGAATTGTCCCATATTTTGTTTCGTTGACGCAAACCACGGCGTTCCAGCATCTCTGCCTCCACAAATGCCTTCAATGCGGACAAAACGAGTCAAATACCAGGCACCCTGGACTTGATTTTGGTATTTGAAGATAGAAGCACTCGATATGGTCGGGCCATTCGCCCCGCACTGCAAGTACTCCCGCGGTTTTTTGGGCGTTATCGCCAAAGTCGATACCTATGGCGAAATGGCTGACAAAGATAGCTGCAATATTGCGAATATTCCATTGGGTACAGACGGTGGACGTGGGTTATTTAGGTCTATGAGAGACCCACAACTTGTTCCTTTTGCCCCTAAGATCTCGCAAGCTGGCAATATAGGACGTTCACCACGATAACCCCTCAACTATCTCTAACCCCGGCCACAGTACACCAAGTTATGACGGCAGACATCAAGATGGCGGAGCCAGTGGCTTCGACGTCCAAACTTCCAACAGGCAACGCGGAGGGTGTACTAGCGAGTCGTACACAGGCGAAGAAAAGGCGTATTCCAGGCGCATGCGACATCTGTAAACGCAAGAAGAGTAAGCGTGGCCCTAATAGTCCCATGACTCGTGCTGATGGTCGCGCTCCTGGCCCTCGTACATCAGTTCGCTGTAGGTTTCCCTATACTTGGGCGGCATCGCCTGTACACGAGCCGTGCTCATTCATCACCTTCCTAGGCGACAGTGGAGAACTACCCGGAAACAGGTGCAGCAACTGTATTCAATTGGGTCTGGAATGTACACACAAGGAGGTCACAAAGGTGCGTCCTATCATTATCATCACTGTAATGACGGCAGTGAGTTCTCATGCTGGTCTCTCGACAGACTCTGGGTTCAGCAAAAGGGTACGAGCCCTTTCGGGTTTCATTGCCCTCTGACAGCGGCAATTCCCTCGTTTGGTATGGCTGATTGCCTTTTCTGGATTCGATAGCTATGTGGAAAGCTTGGAAATGCGGTTAGAAAAGATGGATAGGCTGCTGAGGAGGGTGAGTGAGTCGTCGTCTGTGGGTGTGAAATTGATGATGATGACGGTATACAGTTACTGCCGGGAGTTGACTTGAACCAAGAGCTGTCCAAACCTAGCGAGCCCGCCCCTTCGCCAAAACCGTTGGAGAGGAACGACGAGACAGAAGTCCTGGGAAAGCTCAATCGCCTCACTCTCAACCCACAAGAACGACGCTTTTTCGGAAAATCAAGGTATTTTCCGGCCTTTACCGCGGCCTTTGCAACGTCTGAACGTCCTCCTCCCATTTAGTCAGTATGACTTGCTACAAACGGCTCTTGACCTTCGACAAGAGTTCACTGGAGAGGGTGTTGCGTACGTCCAGTCAGCATTGCCCATGAAGCGGCCAGAGTTCTGGGACGTGCCGAAGGTAAGTTTTGTCCCTTGGAGAGTAGTTATACGTAACTCACGGAAAACTCAGTGGATGTCCTACAATCCTGAACTTGACGAAGACCAACGGGAGTATGCCTTCCCCGACGAAGATCTATACCCTTCCCTTGTCAACGCCTACTTCACCCACATCAATCCATTTCTTCCCCTCTTGCACCGCCCAACTTTTGAAAAACAGATCAAAGATGGACTACATTTGGAGGACTCGATGTTCGCAAGGGTTTTCTTGATGGTTTGTGCCCATGGGGCACGGTATTCCGACGATCCTCGGGTTTTTCCTGAAGGGACTACGTCGACTTGCTCGGCCGGGTGGCAATGGTTCGAACAGGTTCACATTCTTCGGAAGAACCTGTTCAATCGGACGACGCTCTTCGAGTTGCAGATGCACGCAGTTAGTCTTTCACCATCGTGGAACAATCGAGTAGTGAGGCTTATTGACCATTCTCTGCAGCTTCATGTCCTCTTCGCCTCGTCTAGCGAAACGCCACAAGGTGTTTGGGCCCAAATTGGGATGGCACTGCGATTGTCCCAAGAGGTTGGAGGACACCTACGGAGGAGAAGAAAGGATGGTACGCCTCCGACTATTGAGGACGAGCTATGGAAACGAGCATTCTGGTACCGTTTTTCGTTCTCTGGTGATGTTTGGCTCAGTGCTTACATTCCGATTACATAGGGTGATATTGAGTCTCGATCGTTTAATCAGTTCCAGTGCTGGGCGGCCCTGTGGATTACAAGATGAAGAGTACGGTAGTTTCTTCCCGACTTTGAAGCTTCGTTATTTTTACCTTTTCCTCTCAGTTTCGATCTGGATCTTCCCCTCGAGGTGGACGACGAATATTGGGATCAGGGTTTCGTTCAGCCAGAGGGACAACCATCGAGCGTATCCTATTTCAATTGCTATCTTGGCTTGATGGATATCCTGGCATATGCTATGAGATTGATCGTAAGCAACCTTTCATCCGTAACATTTGGACATTGAATTGACGTTATTCCGTCGCAACAGTATCCCAGCAAACGTTCGAAGTATGCCGGTAAAACGCGCTCGGAACAGCAGATAATAGCCGAACTCGACACCGCCATGAACAACTGGATGGATTCTTTACCGGAGCATCGTAAGTGCCGGCCTGATTGGATGAACTTCGCATCTAACTTCGTCCCCAAGTGAAATGGAATCCTGGTCCCAAGAACCCGCTGTTTTTGCAGCAGTCGTCGGCACTTCATGCTACCTATTACCACATCCAGATCCTCATTCACAGACCTTTCATTCCCTCGCCGCGGAATCCCATTCCAGGAGCGTTCCCGTCCTTGGCCATTTGTACGAATGCGGCTCGTTCATGTTGCCATGTCCTCGAAGGGTTCACCAAAATCAACTTCCTTCCTACCCAACACTTCCAGGTACGTGGAAGAGAGGCACGCCGTTTCGAAATGGAGCTGACGGTTCCCACAAGGTTATCGCCTTTACCGCTGCGGTAATTTTGTTACTGAATATCTGGAGTGGGAAGCGGACTGGGTTTGCACCGAATCCTAGACGTGAGATGGAGGATGTCTCGCGGTGCATGGAAATGCTCAAGGCGGCAGAGAAGAGGTATGTTCCTGCCTAACGCGTACACTTTTGGGGGGCACTGACCCTTTCCTTGCTTAGGTCGGCTTCGGCAGGTCGCTTTGTGTAAGTGGCTCCTGCTTCCTGGTATTGGTCCCATCTAAATGCCATCCTCACGTTGTAGGGACCTGCTCACTGAAGTCGCATCGGCCGGGGACCTCGAAGCCGCAATAAAGAGAAATGCGAGCACGACGAAGAAGTCCAAGAAGCGTTCACGGTCGGATTCCGAGGACGCCGACGATGCCTCCTCTACTTCGAGTGTCACCTCAGGTTCCCCCGTCCTATCAGAAGCTCGCAATATAGCCGGGTCGCGCCGGGTCTCGTTGAGCCAGCAGACGAGCCCAATATCCCCTGTTGAACCTCCGATCAATTTCCTCCTCCCGATGTATGGGAACGACCTTGGACGACTACCTGTGTATGGCCAGTTCAATTTTGCAGACCCGTCGAATGTCAACGCCTTCCTGGGCGAGCAGCTGGGTCAGATCCATACCTCCGTTCCAACGAAAACGTCGTATCACTTTGACCAGCCGCCGGCAGCCCCGACGTCAAACCCTCCGCCAAACCCGATGACCCTCACCTCCGACCCTGCTTCCGCCATTTTCACCTCCGCTGCCGACGATTTTGCCTTTGATAATATGCTCAAGGACGCCATGTTCAGCTGTGACGTCATCCCGCCTTCGTTCAACCCAGCTCCTCAGGCTGGCACTAGCTCTAGTCCTCAAACTGCAAGCACGAGTAGTGCTGGAAGCAGTAGTAGCGCGGCTTCGACGTCTGCTCCACAGTTGCCGAATTTACCCCCTCTTACCATGTCAACGACTGATATTGCTGCATTGATCATGCAATGTTCGGGAGTGGATTACACTGCGCTTCTTCAGCAGCTGTCCATGTTGAGTCAGTTACAAATGCAAATGCAGCTGCAACAGCCAATGTGGGACATGGAGATGATGAAATTGTGGTCTTCTGCCCCAGCGAACTTGGAGTAAGTCTTGACTTGTGGCTGTCAGCTGCGAAGAGCTAATCCAATCGCAGCAGATTGAATGATTGGGACGCTTTCATTTCGAATGTCGGGCAACTGACGCAATCTCAAGCTCCTACTTGACCTGGAGAGAGCTAGATACCCCTCGCACCCTTGTTCGTTTGGTTGTTTTGGTTAAATCTGCTTTCGTGTGTTCTACCCCCGTTGCTCTCTCGGTTTGTTTTTATGCTTCCATTGTATTGTAGCTATGTAGGATGTGTTGTGTACACCATTATACCTGTCGCTTTGCACCCCGTGTGTTCCGGTAAAACTCTTCAACCCAACATCACAGCTCCATGCCTAGCATCTCCGCCAGCGCTTGCTTCGCGACCTCAACTTGCTCCTCCGTTGTACTTTCCAACGAAACTGTTATCACACCCTCCTCCCCCGTCGGAGGCTCCAATGTGTTTAATTGGCTGTCCAGCATGGAGGCCTTCATAAAGTGACCTGGCCTCTTCTCCATCCGATCGTATAGCACCTCCCGCGGGCCGTTGATAAATACGAAAAACGTCGGGAGAATTTCGGGGAGGGGTGGTTTAAGCAAGTCTGATGGGATGTCGACTCCATTGGCTTCCTTGAGCTTCTGAGCGTTGGATGGGTGTGACGCTGGCCTGCGCAGTCCGCGAAGGATGTCCCGGTAGTATACCTTCAGAGCTGAGCACCCGACGACTACCCCCTGCACCTTTCCTCCACCCTCGAACTCTTGCTTCGCAGACTGGGATTGGAGCTCCACAATCTTTTGCTCGGCTGTCGTTCGAATCAATTCCAACCAAGGTTCTCGGTCAGCGTCGTTCAAGGGTATCCCAGCGGACATCTTGTCTACGTTTGCCTTGGGATGAAGGTCGTCTCCCTCTATCCACTCCATTCGAAGCTCCTTGGCGAGGGTGGATCCTAGAGTGGACTTTCCTGTTCCCGAAACCCCCTGTGAATACGATCGAGGACTGTCAGTGCCTGAAAATCACACAGAGGTGAAATAAACCTCGGACCATGACTACTATTAGCACAGTTTTAGGGCCGCCTTTGGGTTCTTCTCCCCCTTCCTTCTTCTGGGTTTGGGGATGGGAGTTGGCACCCTGATCGGCCGTCCCGTTCAAGTGGATAGCGGGCATTGGGTAATGTGGAGTTTTGGAAACGGGTCGTCGGGTCCGCACCCTCGTCGGTGAACGGGGTCAAGCTGTGTTATAGTTGACCAATGGATGACGCGCTTCTTTCACTGGATTCAAGGGGCTTTGTCGGATTCCAAGATCACTCGGATCATTCGGATACATCATCCCCTGCCCCCCGCTTCGTCACTTGGAGATTCCGCTGCAGTCGCCGCGTTTTCCACAAAGTTAAAACTCCCGTTCAGCGCGTGGAGGAGCGATGCTGCGCAGTGCAAACCCCGGCGTGCAAGGTGGCTCCGATGGACATTGCCCGCCAGGTGTATAAACACGCTTGTCATATGCTGAACCCGAGAATCAATACGGTATTGCTGAATGTCGCTGAACACCCGACGGAGCTCATGCTTAAAACATATGTTAATTATACCCAAGTTGAATTCTGGGTTCACCAGAGTGCAGCATGGGGTATTACGAGCGGGTCACCGCCACTGGTTCCGTCGCCGATCAATTCAGAAAATTGAGCTGAAAAGAGTTCTTATTCTTTGCGACAGCTTCTACAGCCCTTAACGTTGGATGGCTATGGCGAGTAGCCCAGGAAACCCAGGTGTTGACACTGACGGTCCCCCCACTGGCCAGCCAAGCCACCTGGGAGGGGATGTGCAAATGCACGTCCCCAGTCGCCTCCAGGACAGTGCACGCATGCATCCCTTACCCGATACGTCCAGGACCCAGTCCCTCCCACCAACCGCAGCGCACAATCCGATGCCAACGACAACCCCGAGCCATGCCAATATTCACGCTGGATAATATCCACACCAAGTCCATCCAACATACGATAATCCTGCCAATCTCGCCCCAACGCACCACCCAGGTCACGGCCAAAAGCGTTTAAGGATCGACGACGGGTCTGGTCGAGATGCTGGCGGTTGGACAGACGGTTCTGGGGAAGGTCGGGCCCACTGCCAGTGTCCTCCTCTGACTGGGCCTGGAGGACTTCTGAGCCGCTTGGTTGAGGTTGACCAACTCTCCAGGAAAATGGAAGCCATCATGTGCCGACTCGAGAGGCTGGAGGCAGAGGTGGTGGAGCTCCGAGCTATGAACGCTGCATTGGCAGACCAGCTGGCGGGTGCGACCTCAACCGATTACTAGCAAAGAGGAGAGTCGGGTTTCAGTGAGTCATTAACTGGTCTCCTGGGCGTGATAGAATACTTACACTGCCAGGAGCAGGACGCGCCAGAATAACACTTTGAAGATGAAATCTGTAGACCGCTATCTAGACAAAGCTGTCACATAGTAAAAGGCGCATCGATAACACCGCTTGGCTATTCGCTCCCCGAATGTTCCAGGATGTCCTCACTTGTCTTAAGAGGATCACAATGCGTCAGGTATCAAAGCGAGGGGTTGGAAGGATTGAATCCCCTTGGATGACGATCAGGCCACTGGAAACCTTCTGTCAGTTGAAAGTAGGTTGATGGCCCCTGAACAAGAAACAAACTTTCATCGACGGGATCGAATGTCATACTCAAACCCTCCGGTGGCGTAGCTGGGCGGGATTACAAACGGTCAGGGCGGGCGAGGGTATCTGTTTCATGGCGGGTGGTTTGATCGCCAGGAGGTTGGCAGGGGCAATCACGTCACCGGACTACGTTCACCGTGTTTCCTCGTTCCAAACGCCCGTTCGACTAGAGACTCTGCTTCGAATTCAGCTTGCCTTCGATGGATTATTGTCGAAAGAGTCGTATATCGTAGAGTGCATGCACCGAGGTCGAGTTCTGATGGCATCAAACACATTTCCGAACCAATCGAGGAGTGGGCGCTTATCCATGTAGTTCACAGTAGAATAGAGCTTTAGAGGGGCGTAGCACGGTAAACAGATACAGAGCGAGGTTACAAAGCTTTAAGATGGCATCCAGGCCCCTAAGTCGATCTACGATCTGTCAGGGTATAAAGCTAAATGGGATATACATAAGGAGCCCTTCACTCAGTGAAGACGCCCCTATACGCGGCAACCGAACCCATCTCGACGAATACGACTCCCAAGCTGTTAAGGTTGTTGACTGCCCCAGGCTCGGGGAAATCGGTTGGTCGAAGTGAAGCACCGCTGACGCTGGAAGATGGGACAGCAGATGACGAAGGCGACCGGGTTGAGCTTGGAGTTACCGAAGAGGATGGGCGGACCGAAGTGCTGGGAGGGACCCATTCCTCGCTGGTGGGTGGTTCCGGTGTAGGAGAGGGAGCAGGGGGCTCGGAACTAGGAGGGGGTGGGGGCGGGGCAGGAGGATCGGGAGTAGGAGATGGGGGAGGGGGCGCAGGACCACCTCCTGCACCGTCAGCCCACTCCCATGTGCCGTGAATGACACCGACACGCTGTGCGTCGAATTCAAAGAACTCGAAGAGACCACGCGAAAGGTCGAAGCCGCGACCTGGGTGGCATCCGGGGCACTTGAGAAATGTTAGCATCGATTATCGAGAGGATTAGAAGTGTTGGGACACGCACACTGTCCTCAATTATAGCGACTGCGGATTTGCCGCCATAGTTGATCCTGATTGCCCTGCCACAATCTGTCGCCGCGTTGAATTCCTACACGGAACGTACTTCAGAAGAAGGAAACGAGGCAAAACGATTCAATATACCGCTTGTCTCCTTGCGACAACCTAGAGTAAACGTTCATTAGTTGTCATCGGAGTCGACGTGAAGAACGAAACTGATGGACATACGAATTCGCTGTTAAGCAGGAAACGGCCACATGCGCCACTGTGTTGGGCGGTCGAAGGCGTTAGTGGGATACGCGCAATTTACGATGAACAACTCCACTCACGCATTCCCTGTTTGAGTGTCGTACCAAGAGAATTCGGTAAATTGCCCTTGGCGCTTGGTATGGGTGGTGTTCGAAGATGAAAGATCGCGTTCTTCGAGTTGCACTGGGTTCGAATTGGCAGGAACCTCATCCAGTGCCGGAGGCGATCCGCGGACTTTGAGGAGACGACGATGGTGGGAAGACGAGGCGGAATTGTGAGCGCGAGGGGTAGCAGTGGCGCCAAGAACGAGGAGAGAAAGCAATGCAGGAAGTTTCAACAACATATTAGGGTTTTAATGAGTTCGAAGGATTCAGAAAGGAATGGGATAAGTAAGGAATGAAAGTGGTGCCCAATTGGCAGAGTACGTCGAAGGAAGCCCTTGGGAGGGGAGGTCAGGAGAACGTGAAGGAGTAAAGTTGAAGGGAAGAGTCTAGAAGACGAAAGGTACTACGTTGGCTACAGCAACAACGTCAACCAATCATTTTATGGGCGGCCGGAGCCTATATAGGAGCACGGCCAGAAAACTTTGTGGCCACCACACGGCAGGAGGCGGCTTTGAGTTTCCATCCTGCGTTCTGACCGGGTTTACCCCAGCCGAATGATCGATCTGGTTGGAACGGCCTTCCTCCCCTTCGTGCCAGTTGCTACACTTACCCTTGCTTCAGCGGGCTTCGAGGGGACTAACTGAAGAAGATAGACACAGGGACGCCATGGAACTGGCTTCCTCGAGCTTGTACTTGCGGAAACGGTAATTGTGGAGTTACTTGGGGAGAAAAGGACATGGTTGCGTTGGCACACCTGAAGCCAAAAGGAGAGTCATTGGTTCTCATTGATAAGGGGAAGTCGCGACGGTACCTTCGCCCATGAGGCGTTTCGATGATGCTGGAACTGATTCAACTGAATTGGTTTCAAGTCTAAGGTCTTGCCGCCTGGTTGAGGACGGGGTCGGCAATATGCGAGGTAACCTGATGGCGCATCAGTGGCTGTGCAACGCTGGTTGAGGCCACCCGGGCGGGGTTTCTTGTTTCTGTCTAACCACCACAAGCTCTATGCAATCGAACCCATTTCTATTCTTTTACACTTGGGTTACAATGAAGGGTCGGGGTATAGAAGGAATATGATGCAGGGTAAGTCATAATGAGAATGTCCTTGAAGTTGATAACGAAATTGTAAAGTGTGTTCCAGAACTGTAACGCAAGCCATCCAACAGAAGAAAGAAAAGAAGGAATTTCCAAGGAATTTCAATTGATAACAAGGGTGTATCAAACCCTGAAACGCAGAAGGCTCATGAGCATGGAAGCAAACGAAACCTCATCGAAATAATCGATGTACATGTCGGATAGTTCGTCGTTGTCGGAAGAGCCGAGCCCTTGGTTTTGGCTGGAACCGTCGACCTGCGAAGCGCCATTATAGGCGGCACTGTTCACAGTTGAAGGTGGTGGCGTCGAAGGGATGGCAGGGAGGTTAATAAGCTGTTCCACAATTGGCTCATCGAGGATGATGAGGGGAGACAAATTGCTGATATTGTTCGAGTTGCTAGCCTCGATTAGCTCAAGGCCACCTGGAATCTGTGAAAATGTTAGTGCTCTGTCCAAAATCTAGGAATTGTCCTGTAACTCACAGTCTGGTTTGAATCATTATAGCCGAGGCTCGAGAATGGCACATAGGGAGCGAGCGACTGGGAAGTAATTGTTTCACCAAAGGAAGGGTTCGACGCTACGGAAACACTCGGATGATACCCAGGACTAAAGGAGGGCAAAGTGACGGGAGAAGGGGTAGGGTCGGAAAGGCTCGAGTCGCTTGATCCACTGCTCGAGGGCCTAATGGAGGACGGGGAGGTGGACCACTGGGCTGGTGAGACTGGAGAGGCCAAGGCGGTGGGGGTATGTGATGGTGGAGGGCGTGCATCGGGCAACGGCACGGGAGTCCTGCGGGGGGTTTTGGGAAAGTTCGCGAAATGCGAGCCTACTACGCGATCGTCAGTTACGAAGGCACATACGCGATCATTGGCGACTTACCAGTGTAGTCATACATGGGATCAAAGTGTCCAGAGGGTGATTGACGATCGACAGGGGCCTTGGGCGACTTGATCTACAAGTGGAAGACGCGTCGACGAGTTGGAAAGAGAGTAGACGTGATGGGTAAGGGTGTATAGACGTCTTCAAGACGTTAAAACGTTGGGAACGTTGTAATCGAGTGGCGTTCTCGACAGTCGGGTTTTGGAAAGGGGAATGGTTGGAATGGTTGGAGAGAGGGAAGATGGTAAGAGAGAGAGGGAAGACGAAGCTGAAGGAAAGGTGGGATAAACACGTCGAGGCTTTTTCTACTGCTTAATGACCCGTCTCCGTCATTGCTAGACCAAAGGAGTTAAGGATTGGAAAGCCTTTGTTTATACTGGCGAACCAGTCGGTTCGGTGTCACCTGAGTACCGAACCGACTCGTCATAAAATGGGGGCCCTTTCGACGGGAGAGGGCCCAAATTTCACGCCTTTCTACCTTCTACCTTCTTCAAACTCGCCAGACCATCTCTAACGCGCAATAAATCCCCCCCCCCCCCGCAGTAGCACACTGGTGCAGACAAACTGAGCTCTGGCGATTCCATCTACCATTAGCGGATGAATGATCCCATCACCCTCTGTGGTCAGAACCGAGCTGGTTAACGAGCCTACCGTGACCTTTGTTTGAAAGGCAATCCCTTTTGTTTGTTTTTACTGGACCTGCTAAACTCTCTTCGACTGGTATCAATGAGAATGCCGAAGGTAAATGCTGTTCAATGTACAGCCGAGCTCTGCACTGCATCGTCCAGTCTCCCTTCTCCAACTCTCCTTGTTTACTACCTTCTGTCTCTACCTTTACTCCCAGGCCCTGGCTTCCCGGTGGCTTCAAAGGGGAAACCGTGTTTAGAAACTGCAACCGAACTTTTTTTTTCTAACGAGAGTTTCGATGTAGAAGTGGGTGGATGAACTTCCCTTTCTTTGCAAGTGGTGACCGCCCAGTGCATATTGAACTTGTTAGTATCTGGTACTTACTGCCATGTCATTCCGGGGCAAACTGGAGTTGCCAAACGTTAATAATAATGAGATCGACGAAGAGAAAATCGGAGTGTACTTTGCAGGGCCCTGCGATCAACGTCTAAGTGGGCGTCTAGATAACACAACCACAAGAAATTAACTGTGGCACGGAGAGAATCACCTTCTTTCTCCGAGATCCAATATCTCCGGTTCGTCGCTGTCTGATGGCAAATCGATTGAGACAAAGAAACGTTGGAAACGCGTTCAAGTTTTAAATTCTCCCAACTCCAGTGGACGTACGTGACTCTTGGGCTTTCTTTGTCTCCATCATGCACGAATTCGGAATTCGAATGAGAAGTGGGGAAGGCTTCCATTTCTTCTGTCCGTCGGAACAGATAATCTTTGTGCAGTTACGACAGACATATCTTTATGAATTCGGTGTAGATCGTACAAATACATGGTATGAAAAGCACGTGGTATATGGAGAGCGATAGCACATCGAGGGTGTATGCATAGTATAGCATAGGAGAGGATTAGACGTCGTTGGGGTCGAAGACGATCTTCGCTGGACTTCGTTTCTCGATGCCCTAAACACACAGTCGTCAGTCAATATCGCAATACATGCCAGATATGTGAGCACCACTCACGTTCTCCTTCCACGAAATCTGAGCACGAAGTTCCACAGCGCTGAAGAACAGGATATAGTTGTACTCGAGGTACCAATAGTTCCCACTCGTGCCGTTCGCTCTTGTCCGTGGCTGGATGGGAAGATGCGACAAGTCCATCTCTACTGTACACAGTTTCGCATAGTTCTCTACACCCCGCATCAGCGAACAACATTCCCAATCCCACCGAATGAAAAAAAGTAAAAACTCACCACTATCCTCATCCTTCCACTTCGGATTCGCATTATTCCCCTTATAACACCACACCTCACTCTTCACATTCTTCAAACTCTCCCGATTCTCAAACTCGTACCAAAACCCATACCTAAACTCCCTCTCCTCCGACACCTGCGTGTTCTTATGCAGCACGACCTGGAAGAACCCGCCGATGCGCTTTGAGTTGGAGACGGAGATGAAGGTTTGGGATTGGCGCTTGACGTGCTCGGGGTCCTTGGAGTCGTAAGGGATGTGGCAAAAGGTTCCGTAGGCGACTTTGGAGACGCGGGTGGTGACGAAGTGGTCGAGGTAAAATGAGAGGGCGCCGTCGGAGACTGCTTTATTGCTGTGGGAGGAAGGTTGGAATGTGAAAAGTGGAAGGATGAGGGAGGAAACGTACACATGGTTCTCTGGTCGGATGACGTTCAGGCCTTTAGGTTTCAAAGCCTCATCGACTTTGTGGAAGAGCCAGTCGCTCGCTGAGAAACCTCCGACGAGTACAACATGCTTTCACAAGCCCATCAGCACCACACTGCTCACAAATCTCGAAGTAAAGGACTAACCTTGATGGTATGATGCCCATTCTTAATCTGCTCCTCAACCGCATCCACAATACACTTCACGGAGGGCTCAAAGAATTTGGCAACATCCGTGCCAGCCAACTTGAGCTGTCCAAATCGAATATTGCACGACTCATCGTTATCCCTCGTCCCTCCGAACTTGACGTACTGTGGTTGCTTGTCGCTGCTGAATCGGACCTTGGTAGATTTGTCGAAGCAGCGTACGATGTGGTCGATGTCTTCTACAAAGTCTGATTCGGCGAGGAAACCTGCATTCGGGAGAGGGTTAGATGTGTGGGTAGGGAGTGGTTACGGACGGCGTTACCTTCTAAGAACAGGCGGGCGTGGATGCTCACGAAAACGGATCCGTGGAAGTGGCCTGGAGAGCGGGTTAGTCAATTGTATCGACGAAAGAGTCGTGGACGCACATTGTGGCGCAGCGATTTCCTCAAACACCGGCGCTTTGTCAGGGGCAGTGGACGCCTTCTTCCCATAAGCGCTAACATCCACAGTGCCCCCTCCAGCATCCACAATTACCACACCCTCTCCGCTCTACAGAACAGACGCAGTCAGCCAGATGACCGCGTTCTGTATACAAGACAATACCCCGACGTACCTGCATAGCGCCGGCCGGAAGCCCATTATCGATTGAGAAATGCAAACTCGCCTCTCCCTCCGTCACGAACGACACCCTCGCATGACCCGCCGGTGTATCCGGGATCAACCTCGCCAACACCACCGCCTCTCGAATCTGGCTCTGCTGGTACCCCTCCCAGCCATTCGGATGCGAAATCACATAGTCGATCTCACTCTCCACTGATTCCCAGAGATCTCGCCCGTTGGCATGGGTGTCTTGGATGTAGCTCTTGCCGCAGTTGAAGAGGTATTGGAGGAAGTCGGCGAGGACTTGGACAACGGTTTTGTTCAAAGGGAGGGGTGGGATGTTGGCTGTGACGTGGTGCGAGGCGCCGGATTTGGGTCGGATATGGAGTTTGAACCTGTATTGTCGTAGGGGTTGTCAGCATCGTGGTTAGATTCTTGTGGATGGAATCGGGGAGATAAGGGCGAAAGAGAGCAAGACTGAACTGACCATTCTGTCTTGACCCAATCTTCGTCCATCGCCATCTCGTAGATACCTTCTCGCATGGCTTCTGCACCGACTGCGCAGACGTTCCCCCCACGGTCATAGTAAATAACTGTCGGGATCTTGGAGGCGCCGCTAATCTGTTCATGGGCAGGGAACCTAGACGGACGGTGATTAGCTTTCGCTGCACTCTTCCTCCTCCTTCCTCTCCCAGTCCGTGAACCACGAACCTAGTGACTCCTTTAATCTCAGGCACCTGGCCGGGGTCTAGGATACTACCAGCACAGAATCAGCGTCTTATCATGCCACCTCAAGTCCAGCAGTAACGCACCTGTAGGAGATACCACTGTACGTCGTGCCGACGTCGAAAGCCAGCACCAGCTTCCTCCTGGATCCCCCATACGGTCGTCGATTCAAGTGTGCCATTCGTGGTGGGAGAGGACTAAATTGGTTGTGCGCAACGTGTGTGCCGCAGGCTTCTCTATTCGTTATTTATAGGCGTGGCGGGTGATTGGCGCTCGTCGGTCTCCTAATTCTGTTGTGTGCGCAACGGTTCTTGTTTCTTGGAATGAATGAGAGCCTGACAGGCCTGTATGCTTCGTCGCGGTTTTGTAGACCCGGCCTGAGCCCGCTATTTAACCTGTGGCGCAGACGGGGTCTACAGCAGTCCACACCGCCTCCGAACTGTTGCTTCCATGATAAAGATCTAAATCAGGGCGGGTTACACAGCAAAAGCGTTTTTGATCATGCTGGACTTTTCGTCTGCCCTTGCTGTCTGGGGCGTCTAAAGTTTGAAATGGTTCGACGCGATGATCGTGGTGGTCAGAGAGAAAGGAACGACACCGCCGCGCCTTTCGGGGCTTTGTGGCGTTCCCAGAGCGCGCGAAAGGATCGATTCAGCGAGAATGCAGCTTTTGTCACCCAACTCGACATTACAGAAACTACAAGTACACGAAGAAGGAGAGCAAGAATAAGCCAATTATTTCATTTCGGTGTCCTCGTCCTTCTTTGTCAAACCCTCGCTCAGCAGCAGAGCATCGATCTCGTGCGGTCGGTAGATCTTGGCCTTGGGCTTGTTCGTCTCGGGATCGAGAGTGAGAACGGCGAACTCCACTGTCGAAGCAGCGCAGGTCAGCAACTTCATCCAGGTTTGCTTTTAAAGAGAAAATAGAGGGCCGACGCACGTTTCTCGCTGTTCAGCGTCGTACTATCCATCGTCTTGCTCATCGTCCTCAACACCAAACCGATCGCGTCCTTCACCACAATATCGTCTTTGTACTCTTGCTTGAGTAGACTTTGGGCGGTGCCGTTGTTGGCGCCGATGCAGGTTGCTTTCCAGCCGGAGTAATTGCCTGAGGGATCGGAGTGGTATAGTTGGAATTGGTAGTGTGGGTCGTAGCCGGCGTAGAGGAGGGATACACCGAATGGTCGGAGACCTAGTTTTACGCGTGAGCATGGAGGGTTGCAGAGTGAGGTGGTGAAGACCTACCTCCGAACTGGGTGTACCCTTGCTTCATATCACATAGTCGCTGGGCGAGGAGTTCCACTGGGATATCTTCGTTGTAGGTTAACAGATGGCGCTGCGCAGCGTTGCGGGCAAAGTTGACCAGGGAGTTTGCGTCAGCTGTGAGACCAGCTACACCTCCTATCACATTCCTGCATCCAGAATCCAAATCGTCAGTCAGCCCTTCCCTAAGTACACCTTGCAACATTGGACGCACGAGTTCAGCAAGAAGATCTTCTCTCCACTTCCACCATAACCTCCCTCCTTGGAGCTTGAGAGATCGAGGAGTTTGCCCGTAACCTTCTTCTCTGCTGCGAGCACTACACCGTCTTTGGCTAGGACGCCGAGGACGGTACCGGCGTGCGAGATGGCTTCCATCGCATATTCGACTGGGGTAGTTCAGCATTCAATATTTATTGAGTGTTTCTCTGGAGTCGGGGTTCTCTCACTTTGATATAATCGACCTATACATACACTTTAGTCATGTAATAGACAACCTAACCTGACATGGCATACCTTCTGGCGAGAAGATCGTAGTACGACCTTAACGAAACATACACTTCATTAGTCTAAAGTTCCCATTAACCCGAAGACAATGGTATCGACATACTGTCATATCGTCTGGCCTATTCCAAATTTCTATGAGCTCTCAATTCACTTATCCAACAAGAATACTTACCATCTTGAATTAAGGGAACGAGGAGGAGGAATTATGAGAAACGACTCGACCGTCGACGCGTCGAGGCACCCTCATCAGCATACGCGTCGCTATCGGTATCCGCCGATAACCCTGATCCGTCCACCTTCCAAATCCATCCCCTTCCTCGGCCGGCAATCATCCGGCACGGCGACCAAAAGTTAGGGGCTGCTGACTAATCCTCCTTACAAAATCTTTCCCAAAAAACCAATATCGACTTGAGCTTGTACTTCAAACGACCGTTATACACCCATTTACACGACGCCATGACTCGGATAACGAATTTTGGACGAAAACGAAAGTACTTAGAGGCAGGCTTTGGAACGGCGGCAGAGGAGGCGAGCAAGCCTTCGCCACAACCGGAAGCTTCGACATCGACAGCGGTTGGGGTGGTCAATGAAGAAACAGCACCAAAAGCAGACGACGCTGTAGCGGGAGAGGGTGGTGAACCACCAAAGAAGAAGAGGAAAAGGCATAGGTCGAAGAAGAAGAAGACTGATCAAGAGAAGGAGGGGGAGACGGGGAACGAGAACGGTGAACCGTCAGAGGGAGGAAAGGAAGGTGGAGAAGACGCGAAGGATTCCACTGCCAAATCTAAGAAAGCGAAGAAGAATCCTAAAAACAAGAAGAAAAAGGGTATGTGCTCGTTCAATTCATGTAAAATATGATCTACAACCCATATCGTACAGAATACGTTAGCCCAAGTGAAAAACGCCGTCTGGCCCGGATAAAGGAACGACTAGCAAACACGACCTGCTTCGTATGCAGAGAAAAGGGTCACGCAGCTCGAGATTGCCCTAGAGCTTCAGAACTCGCAGCTGCAGCTGGCGAACCCCCCGCAGAGGGCAAGAAACCAGCAGCCTCCTCCGTGGTTGGGATTTGTTACCGGTATGCTCGATTCTTCATTATCAACCAAGAGAAGACTAAAATATCTATTTCGCAGGTGCGGTTCAACGAAACACAATCTCTCAAAATGCAAGAAACCACCAAACCCTGAGAACCCGCTTCCCTACGCGTCGTGCTTCGTATGTTCAGGGAAGGGACATCTAGCATCCGCGTGCCCTCAGAACAAAACCAAGGGCGTCTATCCGAACGGAGGATGCTGTAAAATCTGCGGTGATACCAGTCACTTGGCCAAGGATTGTACAATCCGTCGAAACGGTGAGCCTTGCCCTCCCACCTCCCATCTCACCTTCCCGCTCCCTCTCGGTCAAAGCTAACCTCCATTTCCTTTCCATAGACCCATCAGCAAAAGCAACAGTCGGCACAGGACGAGACGTCGGAGCAGACGAAGACGACTTTATGGCTCTAACACGCAAATCCAAGCAAGTCGAACGCGAGGAACAGAAGGAGGAGCGGTTCAAGCGGTTGTTGGAAGTTTCGGAGCACGCACCTACGCGGGTTGTCAATGGCGTACCAAAGACGACCGCGAACCCGCTGGCGCCAAAACCTGCGAAGAAGGTGGTGGTTTTCTAACCAGGGGATGTTTGATCGTGACAGTGGCTGTTGGGGATGGCTTCTGTTCTTGGCTGGGCGAATTGAATGAATCCTTGTTCTCGCTTTTGGAAATGACAGTCTCCAGTCTTGGCTCACCTTTCTTCTTCCTTGTTCGTGCACATCAAGGGGCAATGTACCAGTTTCACATCGGCATCCACGTTCAGCCACCGCCTTTGTGCCTCGGAATTCAGACGCCTCAGTGTGAGGTGTGGATTGCAGAGCTGTGGTGTGTTGGGTTGTGAAAAGCGATCGATGACAGCCTTTTCACGCTTGACCGGCCCAGTCAGGTCTTCGTCTGTGTAAGTGGTACTTGCCCCATCTTATATCGACCAAGGAACTGATCTGTATTACGCAGTATAGCGTAGATCATACACATGGAGAATTTCCTTGACTGCGTCCTGCCAATTCTATGAGGAGACAACGGTCGTGGCTCGCCATCCTCGCCTAGAACGGACGCCTCTGTGGGCGACCACCATGATACATTTCCTCTTTCATCGACTATCGATGCTTCTTACTTGATTTCTGTGACCCACAGAGCTTCACGCCTGGAACCGACATTCCAAACGTAGGACGCACTGGCTCGGACTTTGCCTTCACGCTTCATGTTGGAGGGACCCACACATCCACTAATCCTCGGAGAAGACAGACATGACCGGATAAACCTGTCCAGGGGGACATATCGGTGAAAGCGATGAGGCGAGGCGTCCTAAGTATTCGCGTCGACTCTGCAGAGGCTGAAGTAGGATGCCGTTTCAGTGCGAAAAACGGTGGCCTCCTGTTTCATTCTTGTGTGCGGTATGTGATCATAACAGTTTCTGTCCGCGGGCTGGGATCTTGCGCTGATTGCTTGATTAGCGCTTTGGATGGATGGCGAGATGGAGGTAGGTCATTCGGGGGTGCGCAAGGTAAAAAAGGAGCATCTTGGAGGAAGATGTCAATTGGACATTGAAGAGACAAATGTACTTTCGTCGCCTCCAGTGCTATGCCTCTGGATACCAGCCCGACAGACGGACCGACGTTGTTTTCTAGCCACTCCTCTGCCCATCACTGATTTCAAGAGTTCTAAGGGACGGATTCACGGTACGTAACTATGCGAATCTCCAGCGTCCATCACCGTTCTGAAAATACAACAGCTGTTTTCAGGCACTCGTCTCTCCCAATCCCGACAGTCGACCAGAAAAGATGACATGAAACGCGTCCGGCAACCTGAAAGAGTGAAAAAATGACATTCACCCGGATTTAAAAACGATTCAAGGAGCCCCCAAGATGGAAACAGACGACCTACAACAGTCAATCAGCCCGCTGAAACGTAGGAAATCTTGAAATCCAGATGACAAGCTCGAATTCGGAAAGACGCTCCTTGGATCGCGCAAGGCGAATGATTGGATGGGCTCCGGGGGTACACACAAATCATATCCTTGGTTGCAGGTGACATGGGCTATAAGTCTCGTGCTCCCTGATGAGATCGAGAGAGGATATATCACCTCCCATTTAACTTACATTCACTTCGTTCTTTTCTTCGAGTTGGAGCAGTCGCTGGTACGATGGACCCCGATTTGTTGACAGCCAGATACTACGCGACGGTACGAACTTTTACTCGCTTGTTCCCTCGACAGGACTTCTCATCGCAAACATCTCCCACGGCAGTGTGTAGCAGGTGCGGATCACACGCATGTTTTGGACCACGGAGGCAGGAACTGACGTCCTCCCCAGCTAGCGGCGTGACTGCCTTTGTGAGTGCTGGTCCTGGGTGTCTCTCCATCCCTTTCGAGTCTCACTGGATCCCAAGCTATACGATTACTTTGACACATTCGTTCAAGAAGTAAGTGCTACCTTTTGCCTTCATCGCTGTCGGGAACTAGGACTGATGGGACTGGAATGATTCTTAGGCTTCGACTCTATGGCCCAGCCGATTCTCTCTGGGCAAGGTCCTATTCTTGCTGACTCGATATACTCCATTCATCGACTTGCCAGTCGGATTGCTCGGTGAGAAAAGGTCTATACCTTGTCTGAGATCCAACCTGATCTTCCTCGATCCCAGCTACATTCACCAAAGGGCTGTTGAATCCATCGGTGAGGGATATTTTCGAGCGTCCCCACAAATTTCGTCCTGATTTCAATCGTTTGAAGTCGTGTTCAAGGATTGGCTTCGTCTCGGGGAGTAAGTATGTCCTCGCTGCCTTGATGGATGCCGTACTAATGGAATGCTCAGTTGTGTCTTTTGTTGGCACCGCCTCTTCAGAGGGTAGGTTTGTCGCGATGGTCTTCTACCCTGGTTGTCAGTATCATTTACCTAGATCCTCGACGCAGCCTTATTGGTCATTTCCCTTCATGCCTTACTTGGAGCAAGTCGAAAGATCGGACTTATTTTGGCCATCGTCTATTCAGTGAGGCTGAAAAAATATCTTCTCTCCTTTGCCCCGAATAATAACGATGTCGGCAGGCAGGGACACTCACTTCTTTGTCGTTCCTTCTACACTATCTGATAACTCTTGAATGTAATCTCTCCTATTTTTCCGTCGTCTCTGTGGTACTCACCATTCCCCCAGACATTCCATCGCCATCTCCTGAATTTACGGATTGCATGGCCTTTATGGATCCTCTCAATGGCCACCTTGTCGGATTCTATATCCTACTCGCGGGAGAAATCTGTGAGTACACCGCGAGATTGGGTCGGCTCTCCGTGATGATAATGATTCCGATTTGGGCAGGCATCGCTCTAATAGCGGTTATCTGCGGCCTGAGAAAATACATCCACACGAGGAGCCCGTTGATGGCCAACATGTACAGAGACGGGACGTTCTACTTCATTGCGCTGATGTGTGGGTTGTCACGATTCTTCTACTATGATCCGTATTCCGATATCCAGAGTAGCTTTCACAGCCTTCAATATCGCATTCGCCCACTTAGGTCCGGTGAGTCCATCCCGATGCTCTTGACACATGGTTCTGGCGATTCTGATCAGTCGCGAGGATAGGTGTTATATAGGGGGATGTTTGTGAGGTGAGTCTCTTCCTTGGAGTCAATGCACGGCGTTAAATCTCACAACACCCGACTTGATAGCTGGCAGAGAATCCTTCACGCGATTCTAGCAAGCCGCTTGGTCTTGAATGTGCGAAGCAGTCGTGTCAGGAACGAATTTTCGACTTGTAGTATGTCCGACATTCGTTTCAAGGTTGCTGGAAAGTTTGAAGGCGCGAGTCAAGGAGGAACCGCCTTCACTGAGGACACCGTGGTAGACATGATGCCGCCTGTAAACCGTTGAGAGATTTGGCGAGATGCCTGGTCTGATCACAATATAACCTCTCCCGGGACCGGGCGCCTTCGTGATCATTGTGTTTCTTCAGTCCTGACAGACGGTATGGTTTCCGTTTCCCATCCCATACACGTTTCCATTTGCAAACCTGTCATCTCCTACCAGATTGTGTTATCGAGCTCCAAGTCAAAACCCCGGAGCAACGTTATTTTCGCAGCACACCTCACGCAAGAAAATGTCCTCCGACTGATTGACATAAGTGCTATTGTCGATTTGGGAAGAATGCTAAACTAAGTCCGTGGTGCCTGACCATTCATCACTCGCAACGCCCACAAAAGGTGTTATATGCATCGCATCTGCTTTTTGGTTTTTTCCCGGCTTCCTTTTGCATTGGCTATAAGGATCGCAAGCGGTGGTCGCGACTCGCGACGCTACCCTTTGCGCGCTAGTCCTCACCCTCACCCCAGATGGCAGAGACCCAGTCTGCTTCACGATACTATGTAGAGGTAGCCTTTCCCCCGGGTTGCCTAGGTTGAATGCGTCGGCTGATTTAGCTCAGAATGTTGCAGGTTGGAAGATCCAAAAACCTGTCCCGCTAAAATCCACTCAACCTTCACTTCTTTCAACCACCCTAAAGTTGCCAGCCTCACTTTCTTCGTGAGTTCCTCCTCTCATTTTGGTATATCCCACGCTCACAGCCCACGTCAGCTTTGCGATTATCTTCAAACATTAGATGAAGAAGTGCGCCATCGTTGTTTATTCCTACCTCAACTGTTCTCATGGATTTTGGATCGACATTTTCATCAGGTCACGAGAATATGGTTCAGCAGGCTCTCCGCCGGGAAGGTCTTATTCTTCATATCCCGATACACGACAATGATAGATGTACCAACTACTTTAGTCGGTAAGCGCCCAGCCTGGAGAAGGCCCGTTGGCACCAATTGCTCATATGTGTCGCTCTACCAGGGTTTTTCAGTCGGGGTATTCTCTCAGCGGCAGTGAGTGCCATGGTCAAGGTCCAAGTTGGGAGTGACTGAAGTCGGAGAGAAGCCTTGTCGGCATTTAGGCAGGTTTAACAAGTGTGAGTCTCTGCATCCCGCTTTTACCATTGCTTTCCAGGCTGAACACCCTTCAGTTTCCACCTTTCTTGGGGTCACCGCATCAGAAGGTCGGATAAGATTGTTGAATTTGGGTCTCCTCCAGGCTGATGACGTTTCTTTTCAACAGCGATCCTGGTCATTTCTTTGAGTGCGCTACTTGGGTCTAGGAAGAGATACACTAGGATCTTGGCGGCGATTTTCTCGGTACGGTCCACTCCACTTTCTATGGATTTGGAACAGCTGGAGCCTTCCACACAGCTCGCTTTAATTGCATGCATTGCATTTTTGGGATATTCGTTTGCTGTTGTAAAATGTAAGTCATCGTCATTTGGTCAAGTCGAGTTGTGCTCTTATTCCTCTTGTCTGGTTTAGATGCTGCCCCTGTTGACCAGGAAGCAGAAGGCTGTCTACATTCTATACCTCCACTTGATGGCGTTCTAATTTGCTATTATATCCTCCTTGCTGGGGAATTTCGTGAGTCCTGATGTCTTCTGTTCGATGCTTATAGATCAAGACCTTTCATTCTGTCTACTAAAGTCATTACCGCCATCGGTTTCTCCGTCGGACTGAGAGAGAACCTACGCTCTAAAAACTCGCTGATACTAACGCTGTATCGAGACGGCACAGTGTATTACTTCATCTTGCTAGGTAAGTTTGGCGTCCCCGTCTACTTCGTTTCGCGCCGTCTAACGAGGATCCTAGCTCTCTCGTCCGTTAGTATTGCAGCTGTGCACCTAAAGCCGGTATGGCAATCTATCTTGGCAATCTCGAGTCGAGTCTGATTTCGCTTCACAGGATCTCTGGGGTGCCCTTGCACCGTAAGGCCCTCCTTATCCGTGTTCGCCTTCAGATTCCTGAATTTAGCGTAGGTGGCAACGGGTTCTGCATCCCGTCCTAGCAAACCGGCTCCTCCTCAACATGCGCACTCCGAATTATCAAGAAACATATGATCTCTCGACAGACCTGGAATTCGAAGGCATGCCGACCACCCAGTCGGAACCCACAGATACCAGTCTCGGTACAAGGTCCAACATTGACGCCTATATTACCTCGTCCTATTCGAGCTCCTTCCAACGCAGAAGCGAAAGGAGCTAGGGGCGGTGCTGTTGTTCTGGGAAAGGATAGTCGGGGCTGGCAGCCGCCCGAGTCAGCCGAGGAATTTGGGTGTAGATGCGACCGACCATGGAATTCAATGAGCCACTAAGCCGAAAACTTTCGGACCTGGAAAAGGATATTTTCGCTGGATTTGGTGGGCAACAAACGGGGTGCCATACGGGGTTTCGTCTACGAAAGGCTTGATCAGAGCACTAGGACTTGTATAGTGAGTACAACACCAACCAATTGAAGAGATTAAACGCGCCTCCGAGGTGGCGTATGTTATACTTTCAATACCGGCCTCCAAGCTGTACCTGAACGGCCACATCCATTCTCACCATGTCCACAGATTACCTCAGTTCACTGGCTGCGCTGAAAACTGGGTTACCCGAAATGTTATAACTACCAGGGCGGTTCAATCTCCGCAAACCACCACCCTGTGCCCGCTACCGCGTGAAGTTCGCCGACAAGGACCAGTACTCAATTATTGGGAAAGATGGAAGACTGGCGCCTGGTAGCTGCGACTAGCCTTTATTATACGACAGTGCGTTGCATCGGATTTCACCGCCGTTGGCTTCTCTTTAACCATAGGGGAAACAGTGTATTGCAGGTCAGTCTTAGGCGTCATCCCCTGTCGAATCACTAGGAAATCCCGACACGTCTTTGAACTCTATCTCAGTCGCCAGTCTGACCGCTTTCGTAAGCATCATGTTTCTTTAGATCTGAGAAACGCTTTCGCTGACATGAACAAACCAGTTCTACGACTACTTCCTTACCTTTGGCGACGAGGTGAGTGAAGGGGGTTGACATCGTACCGCAAGTAACTGATATTCAAGTCTATAGGTGTCCAGGATATTATTATGGTACAGCAAGCTGTCTGTTGGGAAAATACTCTTCTTTCTCTCCAAATACACCGCGTTCATCGATATTCCGCTGAATATCCTAAGTGAGCAATAGTCCGACATAGCCTGTTTGCTTGGGCTGACGATGGATGCACCCGCTCAGTTCTATTTGGCAACGGCTTGACACCAGAGGTGAGCTTGCCTGCTTACATTTAAGAGAGCTCCTGCTGATATGAGGAAGGCTTGTAAATACGTAGGGACTGCCATAACCGGTGAGAGTGCCAACAGATCCGGTGAATTGCAACTGGACAAACTCATCTCGATGCTTAAAGCACTCTCTTTCGTTGGTGTGGCCACTGCCGATGGTAGGTATTGCTCTACTACTTGTGCAAGCTTTCATTTCCCTGATCTTAATTTTCTCCAGCGATACTGTTGGTATCGCTACATGCCCTCTTGGGGTCATCGAAAAGGGGAGGGATCGTTCTATCGGCACTGTTCGCGGTAAGTATACAGGTTTAATCTGTATAAGCTGTTTCGTACAACGTGAGTAACTCGACCAACGGCACTCTTAGCTGGGCTTCATGACGTCCCTCGGATTCACGGTGTACTTTATAAACACATTACAAGGTGCGTTCATGGGCTCTGACATAGCCCATTATCCCCTCACGACCACTCCGGTTCAGCCGTTCCGCCATCTTATCCAGGCTCTATCTGTGAATATTACCACCCTCCTAAGCAACTAGATGGCCTCCAAGTCTGCTACTATATCCTGCTCGCGGGAGAGTTCTGTAGGTCCAACTTAGCACCTACTACATCCGTCAGGTCCTCACACCAACTCGTCCTTCCAAGGCATAACCATCGCCGGACTTGTCCTTGGCTTAAGGGATTACCGGCACGCACAAAGTCGTTTGATGATTAATCTGTACAAAGATGGGACACTTTACTTCGTTTCGCTGCTCAGTGAGTGCAATCCTTCTCATAAACTCCTTGCTTTTTAGATTCGCTCACGCCCTTCCTTGCAGTGTTCTCAACATTAAACATAGTCGCCCCTTACATATTCCCGGTAAGTTGCTCGAAAAAAGGGTCGACTATTGCTAACTTGACCCTTAGAACGGCTTTGGTCGGATTTTGACTCCGTACGTGCAAATCTCTTGTCCTCCCTTCGACCTGGATCCGAGTTGTCATTCTGATGCCTCTTCACAGGTGGCAAAGGGCCATCCACGCCATACTAGCGAGTCGACTGGTATTGAATATGCGTAGCAATGCATGCAACTACGTGGAGACGTTTGTTATCTCGACGGAACTTCGATTCGGTGGAAAATCAGAGTCGGACGCCAGTACTAGTGTGGAGGAAAGGATAACGCTTGATACTGAAATAACGCGCCCGCTCGGAGCGGGCTTAGCATGATGAAACACGTGTAGACGTACTTAGAGATCTCCGTTGTACTAATTACCTCGTCCTATTCCAACAGGGAAGACATAACAGATGATGATATTATCCTGGGACCGGCTAATGGGTCAATCAAGTCGACGTGGATACACAACGGCTACAGCGGCTTAGGAGTATGTATTGAATTCGAAGTACTTAGCGTGAGACTCAAGCAGGAAGAATCAGGCTAGGATATTGCTCGAAAAGGAGACTTTTGTTCGAATTGGCCTGCAAACAAACAAGTTACCATACGGGACTTAGACTTGATCAGAGCAATGGGGCTCGTTTGAGGGTGGACCTTAGGGAAAATACTTCGTACTTAGGGTGCAATTACCAATTGAAGAGATAAAATCCAAGCCCGAAGTCGGACGTGTGTTGTACTTTATCCCGCATCGGCTTGTGTCTGGGCGCCCATCCTCAATGCCGCCCACATTTGTCGCGGCCGCTCGGGCGAGAAACGCTATAACTAGGACGGCTACGATAATGCAGTGGAATCTATCCACCTAGCCATATCCTGAAAGCTGTCCTCGGAGGCCAGCAACCTTGCACAACTTGTAGAAATGGAGGACTGGGTTCTCGTATATTCTACGGGTCTTCATTATGTGAAGGTAGGTTCCTGTTGCATTCCAGTTCCGTTGTCCAATCCTTAAGGAAACAGTGCGTTGCAGGTTAGTCTCCAGGCCATATCACCGAAAACTGGGAAGTTCTGACGGGAAGGCGGTCTATAATTAGTCGCCAGTTTCACCTCCTTCGTAAGTCGTGAAATCCATCTATATCACTCTCGCTGACCTGTAAAATCTAGCTCTACGACTACTTTCTCACCTTTGGCGAGGAAGTAAGAACCTTTCGAAGCAATTGGTATTCAGCGCAGACTCTGACGCTAGCAACGGGTCCATAGGTATCCAAGATATGGCACAGCAGGTTATCTCTTGGCAAAGTCCTGTTCCTCTTGTCCAGGTATACGGCATTTGTCGATCAACCAATCAACTTGCTCCGTGAGTATGCGCTCCACTATAGTCTATACAATATTAGCCACCAGACTGACGATTAATACTAGTTCTATTCGGCCATGATTTAACCCCAAAGGTGAGGTTGAGAGCCACTTTTCCACAAGTCGCTCGCTGATATCTGGAAGTTCTGTGGCATCATAGGCAACTTCATGACCGGTGGGTCAAGGCGCAGCCCCAACGCCCTCCTGGTGATAAACTAACATCAATAATCCGATCCAGCGCTTACCTTTGTGGGGGTTTGCGCCTCTGAGGGTAGGCTCTCCCTTGCTCAATCACTGGTCGCCGTTCTAACTGAGACCCTCCTCAGCGATACTGCTGCTGTCATTGAACTGCCTTCTAGGCGCATCAAAGAAAAGCAAGATAGTTCTATCTCTGTCCTTCGGAGTACGTCCACGTTTCGTCTTGACTTGCCGCAGAACGGCAGTGACCTCTGTTTTACTTCAACCCAGCTTGGCTTTCTTGCGTCCCTTGGTTTTCTTACCTATTTTATGGTCACTATCAAAGGTGTGTCCGTGAATCATGATACAGGCCTCGTATTGATTATGATTGGCTTTCAGCGGTTCCACCAACCTTTCCAGGCTCTGTCTGTGAATTCTACCATCCTCCCCAACTAGATGGGCTCCTTTGCTGCTACTATATCTTGATCGCTGGGGAATTCTGTGGGTCCAGGCATCGCATCTTCCACTTTGAGCGCACTGACGTCTTTCGAAAGGTATCACAATCGCTGGACTGACCGTCGGATTGAGGGAATATCGGCACGCCCGAAGTCGTTTGATGATTAGTTTGTACCAAGATGGAACCCTCTACTTCGTCACTCTATTAGGTGGGTACAACTTTCCGAATGTCTGCATCGGCTGGTTTAGCCCCCTTCCAGTATTCTCGACACTCAACATATCCGCGCCGTACATATTCCCGGTACGTTAATCCCTCCCAGATAGACATCCGGTTGCTAACTTGACTGTGACAGCCCTATCTTGGTCGTATTCACAGCGTATCGAGGTAGAATGTGCGGGCCGCCAAATTGAGCTCAGATTCCGGAATTCACCGGGAATCCAAATGGAATGTGACCACAACGCTCGTTTTTTGTATTCAGCTTCATTTTCGGGAATATAGCCGCCATTTGAACGAAATCTGGCTCTCAGAATGCAGTACAATCCGACGTCCATCGCTTTTCCCTCTTACGCACAATCCAGATATTCTACATTCCCTGTCTATTTTCAGGTCAAATCGATCGTATTGGCCTAAATATAGTCCTTGTACAAATGACACGACCCCCGCCAGACCGCCCAATTCTCCTTCAAACCGCGCTCTCTCGCCTCGAAACCTAGCAAAGAGGCGCTACAGACCTTCTGGTACGCCCACAACCCCATATAACGGTGAGCAACCATCCGGTATCTTCATTAACGCGTCCGAAACTGACGAGTTGATCCCTCAGCTGTAATGGACGCCAATATCGACCCCATTCTTCAAGCTATTCCCGGCACAGCAGCCCCTCCCACCTTGACGCAGGCGTCAACTAGACCAACATCAACTCTGGGAAGCTCCGCCTAGCCACGCTATCCCTCTAGCGATGGGCCCAACCACATCCCCGCCGGCCGGGCCCAACTACATCCTCCCACCACTGCCTACTTTCCCAGCTCTCCGAAACAACCCCAGTCCTCCAGCCAAACACGTTGTGCCTGCCCCCATAACCATGCCCAGTCCAACGCATACCCTCCCGCCACTTCCCGCCTCGCAGGCGCCGAATCCTCCTCAGGTGCCTCCCACTCTTTCACCGATGACTCGCCCTTTCCCCGCCTTGACAATCTCGACTGCACTCCCTGTCACCCCTTTCGTGCTTACCATGAAAGATGGAAAGATCGCTGGTGAAGCTGTATATCGCGAATGCATCGAGATTCGGAAGCAGATCGCTGTCCTCGAGCAGTACAACCAAGCGTTAGTGGATCGAACGGCGTGGCTCCAGGCAGAGCATTCCTCGTTGACGGGTGCGCATGCTGCACTCAGGGCCGAATTTGATGCACTCTCGAAGGCGGTTGAGGAGCTGAAGGTATCGACCTCGACAATCGTGGAATCGGCCAGCAGCAGCTCCTCGGCGACGATATTCGACGTGCTGTGCGATGGCGACGGTCATGTCAATGATGCGATTGCGAAATTGGAGGAGGACGTGGTAGACGAGCTCACTGCATCCGATTTCCAAAAGAGCACTTACTGCCATGTAGGTCAATGCTCCTTCCCGTCGTTCCTTGTTAGTGACCTCGAATTTCGCTAGCTGCTTGTCAACGAAGCTGTCAAGGCAGTCCTTGGCATCAGTGTCCTCAATAAGAGGGACCTCTTCCCCGTCGTCCCTAACCCCGACCTTCCAGACGAAGACATTCTAAGCCGTCCGTTGATCAAAGGCACCACCATCCACATTCAACGGTACCTTTGGGAATTCTCTGAAACCAATCCACACAACGAGAAAGTCATCGGCATCCTAGCAGACTATGTAATGGCGCACGGTTGGACGTACCATGAAGAGGCCGCAGCTGCTTGTGGATACGTCTCGCGGCAGCGAATGCGCCGTGCGCATTTCTTAACGAACAGTGAGTAACCGGTACTGGACAAGAACAGAGGCACTCACATATCGAGCCCGGTTCAACATGTCAGTTCGAGTCTTCTTATCCGCCCTCTTGACTGCAGCGGTTTCAGAATTACCTCGCCATATACCCCGCATGCGCGCCATCTTGGATTTGAAAGAGACCTTCCACTGATGGAGCGAAAGGATCTTCCCTGCAGCTGCGGCCTCTTCATGGTACGTCCAACCGTGCGCCATTACATAGTCTGCTAGGATGCCGATGACTTTCTCGTTGTGTGGATTGGTTTCAGAGAATTCCCAAAGGTACCGTTGAATGTGGATGGTGGTGCCTTTGATCAACGGACGGCTTAGAATGTCTTCGTCTGGAAGGTCGGGGTTAGGGACGACGGGGAAGAGGTCCCTCTTATTGAGGACACTGATGCCAAGGACTGCCTTGACAGCTTCGTTGACAAGCAGCTAGCGAAATTCGAGGTCACTAACAAGGAACGACGGGAAGGAGCATTGACCTACATGGCAGTAAGTGCTCTTTTGGAAATCGGATGCAGTGAGCTCGTCTACCACGTCCTCCTCCAATTTCGCAATCGCATCATTGACATGACCGTCGCCATCGCACAGCACGTCGAATATCGTCGCCGAGGAGCTGCTGCTGGCCGATTCCACGATTGTCGAGGTCGATACCTTCAGCTCCTCAACCGCCTTCGAGAGTGCATCAAATTCGGCCCTGAGTGCAGCATGCGCACCCGTCAACGAGGAATGCTCTGCCTGGAGCCACGCCGTTCGATCCACTAACGCTTGGTTGTACTGCTCGAGGACAGCGATCTGCTTCCGAATCTCGATGCATTCGCGATATACAGCTTCACCAGCGATCTTTCCATCTTTCATGGTAAGCACGAAAGGGGTGACAGGGAGTGCAGTCGAGATTGTCAAGGCGGGGAAAGGGCGAGTCATCGGTGAAAGAGTGGGAGGCACCTGAGGAGGATTCGGCGCCTGCGAGGCGGGAAGTGGCGGGAGGGTATGCGTTGGACTGGGCATGGTTATGGGGGCAGGCACAACGTGTTTGGCTGGAGGACTGGGGTTGTTTCGGAGAGCTGGGAAAGTAGGCAGTGGTGGGAGGATGTAGTTGGGCCCGGCCGGCGGGGATGTGGTTGGGCCCATCGCTAGAGGGATAGCGTGGCTAGGCGGAGCTTCCAGAGTTGATGTTGGTCTAGTTGACGCCTGCGTCAAGGTGGGAGGGGCTGCTGTGCCGGGAATAGCTTGAAGAATGGGGTCGATATTGGCGTCCATTACAGCTGAGGGATCAACTCGTCAGTTTCGGACGCGTTAATGAAGATACCGGATGGTTGCTCACCGTTATATGGGGTTGTGGGCGTACCAGAAGGTCTGTAGCGCCTCTTTGCTAGGTTTCGAGGCGAGAGAGCGCGGTTTGAAGGAGAATTGGGCGGTCTGGCGGGGGTCGTGTCATTTGTACAAGGACTATATTTAGGCCAATACGATCGATTTGACCTGAAAATAGACAGGGAATGTAGAATATCTGGATTGTGCGTAAGAGGGAAAAGCGATGGACGTCGGATTGTACTGCATTCTGAGAGCCAGATTTCGTTCAAATGGCGGCTATATTCCCGAAAATGAAGCTGAATACAAAAAACGAGCGTTGTGGTCACATTCCATTTGGATTCCCGGTGAATTCCGGAATCTGAGCTCAATTTGGCGGCCCGCACATTCTACCTCGATACGCTGTGGTATGTGCAATCTTCATTCACACCCAGCTTTTACAGTGGCCCTGACATCGTTTTCTCAGGTGGCAAAGAGTCATCCACGCGATCCTAGCGAATCGACTCTTACTGAATATGCGTGGTAACGTCAACGCACGCATCCACACGGACACATTTGCTATCTCGGAGCTTCGATTCGGTGGAAAGACAGACGTTAGCAGTGCGGAGGAAAAGACTGATCTTGATCCTGAAACAACTTCGCGCTCACTTGGAACGGACTTGGCATGATAAAACACTAGACTTACTTAGAGATCACCGTTGTACTATTATTACAGTCTGTAGCCTTATCTGAACGTTAAGCGCTTGATAAACACTTGACATTGCGCGAGGGGGAAATCATCTGATTCGCACGAAACGCCCTGATTTTCGTTCTGTTAGGAGGGGATTTGTTGCGACATGGATAGTAAACTTACGTGACCCGGTGCCCTTGAAGTGATAAATGCTGTGATTCAAGTGAACTTGTCGACTACTCGTACAGGGGGTGCAAGCTCAAACGTGAAAGAATGAAACATGAAGTTTTCCATCATTCCCTTCACTCCTGACCTTTCCTCCGACTGCGTCTATCACGTCGTATTACCTGTCAGCCATTCCTTTAGCATAAAAGAAGTTCTATAACACATCGAGGGCGACATTCAAGTCGCACACTCCGGATTGCGAAGAATTCAGATGGCTCAGGACCTTGGAATAGTTTTGATCGAAATCGAAACTTTCAAATTCTACGTACAGGTATGTTGGTCGAAAATTTCCAGTGTGTTTATACTGACTACCAGAAGTGCGCCACAGGTCGGCCAGCGTCTCATTTGCTATCACGACCTAGATGGCATATTGACCCTCTACACTGCAGCTGCTGCCGTGACCCTATTAGTGAGTTCAACCCGATACATTTTTTCACTTGGAAGCTCATAGTAGCCATAGATATGTGACTACCTTCAAACCCTTGGTGAAGAAGTACATGCGCCCGGCACAAAATTATTAACTGACCCAACTTTTCCTTCTCCCAGGTTTCGAAGATATGGTTCACCACGAAGCTTTCGCTCGGGAAAATTCTCTTCCTGATGTCGCGATACACAGCGCTCATAGATGCACCTTTAATGTTACTCGGTAAGCACCCACTGGACCCAATGAAGTCACAACGGCGCCTGATTCCCTGTTAGTTCAAACCAACCGAGGACTTTTATCCCCGAGCGTAGGTTTGACTCTTTCCTAGTAACCAGCTGTCGCCGAAGTACTGACCGGTGGCCAAGTCTTGTCTACCCTTAAAAAGGCTCACAAACTGTGAGTGTGTCGCCTATTTCTGACTCTTCGCCGCCATTAAATAGTTGTGATTGCGCGATTTTTAGTATCGTCTTTTCTTGGCGTTGCGGCTTCGGAAGGTCGGATAAAGCTCTCACTGCATCTTGGCTCGAAATACTGATGGATCCTTTCATCAACAAGCCATTCTCTTCGTCTCGCTGAGTGTTTTACTGGGGTCTCAGAGGAGCTACAACATCACGCTAGCTGCAATATACGTCGGAGGCTTCCTTGCGTGTCTGGCGCTTGTTGTTTACCTCGCGGTTACCAAAGGCAAGGTGACCTTACCTTTCCGTTCAACTATCGCTGATCTTGCTCTTGCCTTTAGCTGCCCGGTCACCCCTGCCCGGATTGGACTGTGTATACATTTCTCCTTCAGAGTCGTTCGACGGCGTAGCGATTTGTTACTGCATTCTACTTGCCGGGGAGTTGTGTGAGTGTCAATACGCAGAGGGCGCCGGGTTTAAGAACTAAGCCTCATTCGATTCAAGGCATCGCGGTTTTAGGTGTCACCGTTGGATTCAAAGACTTCTTACGGACGAAGAGCTCCCTTGCCAGAACTATGTACCGAGACGGCACTTGGTACTACATCACACTGCTAGGTATGGTGCACGGTATACTCTCTTTGCTTACTGAATTCCCTCTTTCCAGGTTTGTCAACCTTGAATGTTGCAGCTCCTTATACGAAACCAGTAATGTCGATCCTCCCTGAAGCTTCCGCCCGAGTAATCTGATAGAGAGCCCATTTCCAGCACTTCCTTTACCCTACAACTATAGTGTAAGTTGCTTCTTTACTTCATGTCGCTATACAGCCTATCTAACGCGTCGACCCCAGGTGGCAGAGGATACTGCATTCAGTTTTGGCGAGCCGACTATTCCTCAATATGCGCCCCTCAGCCCCGAATGAGACCACAGACATCGTCTCGACGCACTTTGAATTCAGAAGGAGGGACAGCTAACGGTTTCGATAGCACAGATTTGAGCCACCAATCCACTGCTTGCAGCATTGGCCATACCTAATAGGACAGTCCAAAGGGGGCACTCGCGAAAGGAATCAAGGGGAGCAGTGCCCATAGACCTAATAGATACGTGCTACGCGCTACAACCGGACATTCCCACTAAATACAACGCCAAATGCATTCATGCACTGGAATACTTAACTGCTGTTTCCATATCAGCCCGCGGGATGAGGAGCGTAAGCGTGGCGACCTCAAGCTAAGCCAGCTCAAGCCCCCTAAACATGGCTAAACCGCGTGCCGTTGCGTCAGCTGAGTCAGCTCATTAGCGTGGCCAGGGCAACACAGCCACACCACAATCACCTCTACCTGCAACCATTACCTCGAAATTTCTGTGAAAGCTTACTGAATCTGTAAGTCCACTCCTTCAGTTCTAAGGCGATATATAAATCCAACGCTAAAAGATTTCCGCTCCTTTACTTCCAGACAAACCGGATTTTATAAATGAAACTTACAGCCATTGCTGCTGTTGCGGCCAGCGCCGCGGCTCTTGGTGAGTTATTGTGTTTGAGACTGGTGGATAACGCTAATAAAGCTCTTTTCGACCTCTGACAGTGAGCGCAACTCCTCTCAGAGTCGTTGTCGTTTCCAACAGTGTCCAAACCACTGAACCGTTCCCGGGACCATTGCGATTTGGCCACCCCGTCGGCGGGTCCGATGCTGTTGCCAAACTCATGCCCATGAATCAACCTCGGCCACGACCCTGCGGCCGCTTCAGACAGAAGGCTATCGACATCTCCAACTCGTTCCGCAAGGCCTTTGGCTTCCCTCTTATCGAGCCCGACAACGTCACCCACGGCAAGGAGATCCACGGCGGTGTGATTCGAATCCTCCCCTTCATTGGAGGCCCTACCGAAGCCAGGATCGAGCGACCCATGCGTAATGGAAAGGGCTGGTTCGGAAGGACCAAGGGTGGAGAAAGAATCCAGATTATCACTGCCGCTACCGCGGGCCCAGCTCATGACAACGTCGGCGCCAAGTTGAGGCCAGTCAAAGGATACGGATATGGCCACCCAGGTCATCTCCACCACAAGGACCACCCCCACCGCCATGGATTCCACCACCGTCACGGACAAGACTTCTACACCCGCATCCAGAACGCAATCATGTCGCTCGGCCCCTGGGAGGGCAGGGCTGTCGCTTTCGTTCTTGGCTGTGGTCTTGGTGTCTTGTTGCGCATGATCTGGGTCTTGACCGTCGTCACCTACCGCTCTATCCGTGGCTCTGATGAGACTGAATACGTTCAAGTCACTGTCTTTGATGAGGACGAGGAAGATCAACGTCGCAACACACCCATCAGCGCCCCTCCCGCCTATGTCTACCCCGTCGACGAGAAGGTCGAACTCGAGGCACCCAAGGCAGCTGCCCCTACTGCTAACGAGAACTAGGCAGGCAGCTGGTAATAGGCGGACTCAAAGATCACATTGCTCAACTCGGTCACTCGTTCTCGTTTTCTGATAGTTGTTTTGCCTCCACTTTCCCCTACCCTTTACCCCTGATTTCATTGTACCGGCGAGCTTATGGACTCTATATCTCAATCCGTCGTATATACTGCTTTGAAAGTATGAATGCAAGAATGCAATGATGCTGTGCAAATAAGCTCCAGGTTGAGCGACATCCAGTGGGGCTTCTTCCATCCGGGCGCCAAAATTCTGACTGGGGTGAGTGAGTCAACTGGAAAGGCGGTGTGGCAAAGTGCCAGAGGACACCACTCGCCTATTCGTAGTGCTATCGCAAGTGAAGTCGATATCGAAGGTCGACGGAGGCTCAAGTCCTTCTCGTCACTGCAGGCGGAACCTACCAATGGTTTCCAAATCTAACGCAGCCAAATTTAACTAAAGGGTTAGGGGCCAGTGCCTCCACCATGCTGTGTCTTTTGCGTACATGCCTCTTAGACCTGAGTCTCAATATTTTAAATATAGCTCTGGATAATGCCAGAACATTTCCACTCCAGAATTGGCGGCGGCGGCGCTCCCAGTGCCTATGACTAAGCCAAATTGGAAACTTGGGGACGTCAGCACTGTATGCATATGGTTATTGGCATCGCAACCTGCGGCCTGAGGGTCTATGTACGTGAGTATATATCTTAATGCAATAAATCGATTATAAACAATGTGGCGAACAGAACATCCAAGAAATCTACAACATCTTCGCCGAAGAAGCGATGGTGACAAAGACGGAAGGGGGGGATGCAAATGGGGTTGTAGAGCGCACTTGGCGCTCGGGCTACATCATCAAAAGCGGGGTGGCCAAGCGTCCGGACTTCATAAAATACGAGGAAGTTAGGCGGGGTGAGGGGATAGGCGGCTTCCCAGTCAATATAGTATGATTATCGGGGTGAGTAGAATGCGTCTTAGGGAGTGTGGTGTATTCGCGGGATGATAGTCGCAGCATCTAGGTGTCGGACTAAAGCCTGGTTGCATCTGATGGCAACCGTGACTGGGCTTCATGATCATCGACGAGTTCTAAGGCAGGAATGCTTCCTGCGTTGGCAGGCCGGTGCAGGTATTGCTGGAGAAATGACGACGAGAAACGCACGATATGTTCGTCGACCAACGTATTGTCTTGGTGATATTGCCCCAAGTGGTGAGCGGAGCGTTCAACAAGGTCTCGCTGCGTGTCCCGGCGCGGTTGGAAGAGATCGCCAGAGCGCTCGTGTGATTGGAGATAGGCTTCAAGACTGCGATGGTGGAAGCGAATGGTTCGAGACGGGTCTATGTTGTCGGGGGATGGAATGTTGATGATGGAGTGGAGGTCGCAGAGGACCTTGTCCGTCGTTCCGGATGGGAACTCGAGGAAGCTATCCAATAGGCTAGCATTCAACCATGTCGCTTGCGTACACATCACGATATGGAGGATACGGCGCAGCAGCGGTATATCCGCGACCTGAGCTGCAGAGAATATTGTGTTGAATAATAGATCCAGACCCATGAATGGCTCGGGACTAGTAGAATCCAGGACAAGCCTGAGCATGTCACAAGGGGAATGGCCGGGGTATGGGTCATCAATAAGCTTGATGGCCTTTACAGCGTACTCAAATTGCCCCGATGCTTCATGTACCAGCGCATGCACGTCCCTTACGCGCGGCCAGCTTTGAGGCAAGGACAGATGTTTACCCCGTATCTCCGCGAACGCGTGGTAAAAGAAAGAGGCCAGGTCGTTATCGTTCTGGAAGTCGTCCAAGCAAACGTGATGCGTATGGGATTTTAGTTCTTCTCCGCCGAGGGTGTTCCTGATGACGCGCTCCGGGCGGCTCGAGATTACGAACCGGAAAGGGAAACGTTCTTCCTTAATGGCAGTGTCGATGAGCTTGAGGATATGGGACTGCTCGTGGGCGTGACGACATTGGTCGAGCGCTTCGATGAGGATTAGGTTCTTCCGTTGTAGCAGAAGCTTTCCCGCACGCCGTTGTCGTCGTTGACACGGCAGCTCGAATATCCTTTGAAAAAGCCCTCGTCGGCCTTCAGACCTAAGCTGGGCGACAGGATTGAGGATCAGCGTCCTCAACTGGACTTCCAATGACTTTTCGAAGATCCCTGGGTCGTCGTCGATGGCCTTGCATACATAGCGTTTCAAGCCAGGGATGGACGACGCGAGCTGATAGGCGATGGTCGTAATTAGCTTTCTTCCATTGTTGGCGTTGGTAGACTCTGCTGAAAAGAAAAATGACGCCGCCAGTCGCCCATCCTGACGAAGCAGCTGCGCCACCCTCTGTTGGATCCAGGTCTTCCCGCCTCCCGCAGCACCCGACAGCCAGAAGACGGGGAGACCCCCATGGTCAGCAACCCATTCCATGAAGATGTCGATGACGGCTTGTCGAGGGGCGTGAACGGGCTCGAGGGGGTAGTGGAAGGAAGGGGATTCGTCTGTAGCTTCGATAGCACTATGGCTGAGCAATGCCTTCATGGGATCTACGTGGCGGTTCAAACGACCCTTAAACCTGATGTCAGATGTCAAATTTACTTACTGAGTTCATGATGAGCATGGCACTGAGGAAAGATGAGGTAGGCGTTGTCCGCGTTGGTAAAGTTGCCGCCATGAACCACGAACCCCGTGGCATGGTGGAAGGCCATCGACGGTGAAGGGGGGGCAACCAAGGGCCTCGAGGTACAAGAAATGGTGTATTTATTGTCACTGAAGCGACTGTCTGGAAGGTTCCTGGGGCATAGGTACCGGATCTGACCCTGGAATTAATTCCCATCTCCGCCGTTGCTACGGCTACTACCATTCCCCCAACAAATAAGCGCCCGAGTGGAACTGTGGAAGTAAGACTTTCTCGACATGCCTGAACTACTTAATAGCGCATACCATGCCGCGTTAGGGGGCAATAAATGGCCTTGGAGAGTCCTGGTCAAGGGAGGATGCCAGCCACAGAGCCTTGTGGGGTGGAGGATGGATCGGACTAGCTAAAGAGAGACATCCACACGAGGACATATTCCGTTTGGAAGATCTGTTCGATAGTACTCGTTCAATACCGTGATTGAGATATCGATCAAGTCTGCTGGTCGTTTCTAAAACCACACGAGGCCGAATTCTCAATGCATTGAGCATCATTGTGACGAGCGCTTAGTAGCCGAGATCTAACTGCATCGCCGATCATCACAAGGTGATGAGAAGAAAGGTTCCTCGTTGATTAATGGTTACTGGTCCTTCGCTTGATCTCGCGTTTGGTGGTGCTGTTGAGGTTGGTAGTAGGAACCACCAGGAGGCCCGGTGAGTTCGATGCCTGACACGCAGAGGATGTCATGGTGGTCACTCGGACTCGTGACCCGTAAGTACCACCACCACCGAGAATGCGCCCATTCCGGTCACACCAATAGCAATTCCGAGAATTGGGGCTTCCGGCAACGATATCTCAACGAGTTCGACTGACACTTGGAGAGCGCCCAACTTCGATCTAGTGCCAGCTTGTCAACGGACATATCAAACCGCCCTTTAGATAAACTTTCAGGTTCACAGACAAACTGCCACCTTTGAAGCTTGAAGCCTGAAATGAAATCATGCTTCCCAATACGGCAGAGACGAAACCGACAAACTCGAGAATGTGTGAGATAACTATCGAATTTGGAGGCGGCACCGCACCGCTGTACTCTGACTTTCACACCCCTGGCCTCCGCAGACTCATAGTGTCTTGAAATTTTTCGTATCTGAAAATTTTCGTGTTATGAGATGTGCATTTTGAGCAGAGCTTGCGTCATGGCGAAGTTAATTACCGCTTGACCGTGACACACAGTGTGTTGGCTTCCAGGTCCACCTGTTAACATGTGGAGGTAGTACTTGCCAAATTCCGAGAACTCCTTCACATTCCCTTCACACCCCTAGGCTCCAGCATTGCTATCATCCAAATGACTCGCCTCCGACAGAACAGACTGGTACGTGAACCGAACTCAATTTGGACTCCCCAACAATTGAGCGTCTCATCATAACTCATCACATACACCCTCCAACAGGGCAACGAAACATGTTCTAAATGAATCTAGTAGTATTCCTCATCTACCAACATCTAGAACAGGCCAAGTATGTGCATACAAGAAATCTGGTGGAAAGGGTTTTGGCCGCACCCCTCCTAACTAACATTACAACAGCATTACCATTCGCAATGAAATCGGCAATGTAAGAGAGGAAGAAAGCAAAGGAACGAGGTGAAAAGAGAGTGGAATCGCGTGTCCCTTACTTCTTCTCCTCAGGAGCGGGCTGCTCATCGACGTTGGCCATGATCCAGGGCTCGGAGGTGACGAATTGTGAAGTGGGAACACCGAGTTCGAAGAGGCGGGAGACGGCCTTGGAGAAGCTGCAAAGCAGGTTAGAACGAGGAAACTCGAGGTGTTATGGGATAACGTACTCCTTGAACCAGAGGTCCTGGTCCTCAGCGTAGGCCTTGGCGTGCTTCTTGAAGCTCTTGTCTTGAGTGAGGACATAGTCGGTACTAGTGTCCACAAATGAGCAACGCGGATGACCCGATAATTAACCAGAGTGACTTACGGCAACATCATGAGAGACTTGGTCTTCTTATCCTCGTACTGCTTGGGTCCCTCCCACTTCTTCCAGACCCACTTCTCATCGAACAACAGCTTGAAGAAGTCGTTGGTCACAGTGGTAGGGGAGAAGGTCCAGGGACCGTCGTAGCCGGATCGGTCGCGGTGGGCACGTCCGAGGGCGTGGGCACCAGACAAGGCAACAATCTCCTGATCATTGAATCTAGGAAGGGTAGCAACAACGTTAGAACCGTGACAAAACGGAACACGGAGAAACTGTGACGTACCCCATACGGTAGAAGATCTATTAAAAAACGACGGATACGTGTCAGAAAATGTCGCAATAAGAAAAAGGAAAGGTAGCAGCACGTACCTGTCGCAAGTGGTCAGCACCCTGGCTAGCGTCGGGAAGACGACCGTCGGGAGTGGCTTGGGAGGCAACACCGTCAATTCGTCCGGGTCTCCAGGGGATCTTGGGGCCGCCCATTTCCTGAACCACTGTTAGACGACACATTCGAGTGAATAAATGTGAAAACGAACCTGAATAGCAGCGACACCGGCGAGAGTCCAGAGGTCACCGTAGCTAATCCAAGGGAACTCCTGCTTGACCTTCTCCATCAATTCACGAGCGACGTTCAAACCAGCGTTGGCGCCGTGCAGGGATTCAGGCTCGAATCGCATGGTAGCATAGTTGCTTCACGGAACTTTAGCAAGAGCAAGCATTGAAAACAAACGCGCGTATAACTTACCTTCCACCAGTGTTGGACTCCTTGTCGTAGGTACCAGACGAGTGCCAGGCGAGACGGAGAAGAACGGGTCCGTAGGAGCCGTCTAAAAACAGTGTCAGTTGCTGAATAGCTCACCAATGACGAAATCCAACTTACCATCATAGTCTCCAGCATCGGCGACGAGGTCAGCAATGCGGTTGTAAACCTAGACGCGTCGTTAGCTTCAGAATAGCCACGCCTATGGTTTAACTTACCTTCTGGTAGTCCTCCTTGCTGGGGGTAAAGTGGGTGGCGGCCTTGGCAGATTGCACGCCCCCTTTTACGACGTTCTCTGCGTCGCCTTGGAAGAAGAAGTAGGCAACACCAGCAGCACCAGCAGCACCGAGACCCCACAAGAGACCAGAGCTCGACGACTTGGCCTCAGGAGGGGGTGGTGCGGTCGAGTATTGGCGACCTCGAGGGGCAGCCCTGACCACTGAGGGGAGGTTTCGTGGGGCCTTGCCAGCAGCGGCGCGGCGGATGGGGTTGGCGTTGCGGACGGATGCGCGAAGAAGGTTGAAGGACATTGTGGACGACGACGAGAGCAACAGCTACGACGACGAGGAGAAAGATATGGTTGAGAGAGATGAACACGGCAAGTTGCGTGTTTATGTCTCGCTTACATGTAGGCCGCCGAGCGAATAGTCTAGAATTATGGGAATTAATTGCTAATTCCCCGCGTGACTTGACCAATCACGTCCTGACCTTTATCATACTCCTCTTTCCCTTGGCACACCGGAAACATTCTCCATTTGGAAGGTTATTGCGTGCGCCAAGAACGGAACCGAATGCACTGGCATGAAGCGGACGGGGAGGAAAAGGATGAAGATGGGCGCTAATCGTATTGAATTCTCGTCAAGATGATAACCTTTATATGTCCCAAATCGACGCCTTATGTCAGGCGAAGCAGTGCACGAAACGGCATGTTCTGTCGAAACCATGATCTTCTCGACCCACATGCCTCCTCCCACGTCTAACCCTGAGTCTGCTTCTGAATCACAGCACACAGAAACCCGGGTACAAAAGCTGCATGGATTATGCAATCAGGTCACTCCCGCGGCGACAAGAGCACTCGTTCACGTTAGGCGAGGGAGGAGGGCGGGCAAATCAAAAGCCATGGCAGCCGGCGGATGGGCGCTTCGGTGCAACAGTTCTTCCACTCCCGGATCTGCAATTTAAGGCGTTCAACAAAGGTCACGGATGGAATTAGTGATCATTCTAGTCGTCTCGTGAACGATAACGAACGTTACTCATCCAGTCACGACCGCGAAATTTGTCGTCGGAATCATCGTTCAAAGCTTTGCTTTCGCCATCGCCTCCGACTGCCGTGCGTCGCCTTCAAAAAACGCATGGAGCGCTTCCGCTGCAACAAACTTTCGGACGTCGTTCAAATTTAATTCCCGAAAACTCCACGCACTATCTCTTGTACAACCCGTCGGACGACCAGTGGTGTTACTCAGCCCTGTTCGTGACTTCAGGTACTGAACGCTCACCAGATGGTCACTCGAGAGGATACAAACGTTGCTGGCGTTCCGGACGCACCTCCAAACAACGTTCTGCGATATGAGAGGCCCCTCGACACTCCACCAGGATCATCGCCTCCCATGATCCAGTGCAGAGCAAGCGTAGGGAACGACTCGTGAGCCTCATTGGCTACCAACAAGCTGACTAGTTTCGAGCCTCCTTTCATATATAAACCAGGCAGCGTGAATTGGGCAGTTCATCCTCCCACTCGCTGGTCAGCCATACCGACGCTGGACTGCACTTCAAACAGACACCTATACCATCCTTGTTCTACAAACAATCCAAACCCTCGAGAATCCCCAGAGGAGTGAATGGAAGCCTTGCGATACGAGTCACTGGCTTCTTCCCTGGAATGACGTCAGGGCCTGTTGCGCGCTTAGTAGCTGCGAGGGACCATTTGTCGCGATGGAAAGTAGATCTCACTGCATGCCCTTCCAAATTGAAAACTTGAATAATCCCTGTTTCAGGAAACTAAGGTTATTATCGATTGGGTGAGGGAGTTAGCAATCCCCGGGGAACCTCTATATGTCCTCAAGCGGAAACGACAACCAACTCATAACCTTGCTTTCACATTACCGCCATGCTGCTTCTGCAAAAACTCGTAGAACGCTTGGGCTAGCGTAGTCGTAATTAGTTGCTGATTGTCTTAATAACAAATGTATAAAACTCACCGTACTCCATAGGTCGCTCTTGTACCACCTAGGGAAATAAATTGGAATCAGTCACTTCGTCCGCCCACCCGTTGACAGCGAGACCCACCAAGTGACCGCCACCTGACACTCGAACGTTACTCGTGTTGTTGATTCTCCTCCACACCGTGTTCTGCGCAATAACCGGACCTCCGACCCTATACAAACAAACATCATTGAGAGGGTCAATTCGACGTGGGAAGGGTAGAAAGACGCGTACATGACGCTCGCGTTCTCGTCGCCTCCCATAATCCAATGCAACGCCACCTTCTCATCCAACATAGGCAGCTTCTCATACGCCTCGTTCATCGAAAGGAATTCATTGAATTGACGAGTTTCCTAATGCCATAGTCGAATGAGCATCGACATCTCGGAGTAACGCAGTCGACGCACCGATTCAGGTCCGCACTTCAATCGAACACCTCCGTTGATCTTATCTTCATAAAGTGCATGAGAGATGTACGAGTCAAAGACCTGCGGTTGCCAAGCAGAGTACATGGGCGTCTTGCCCAGTGCTGCGCGTGCTTCCTCTCTGCAGTCCATTCAGTACTCCCCTCGTCTACGTATCTGAAACGAAGGATTACGAACCGGGAAGACCAAGCTCCCCTTCGACCGAGAGCGCCTCCGACATAGACCATAGCTGCATCATTGTTGTTGGTGCTGACAGGGAAGATGGTAGTTTCGCTGATGACGAGCGACTTGAAGAGACCGGGGTAGCTTATTCCGCACAGGACCCTGAAGGTAGAAGCGTCAGCGGGCACGGTTATCACCACAGGTGGGTATTACCTACATTGAATCACCGCCCAAGGAGTGTCCCACTCCCACCAGCGACCTTCCTTCTGCAGCCAACCCACTCTGTTTACGTCTCTGCGCAACAGCATCGTCGACTCTAACCAAAATCCTGGGAAGCGCCTCGTCGCGGTCCGGGAGATAGTGAAGACAGAAGTTGGCGACATCTCTTCCATAGTCCGAACGGTCAGCTACACGAAAGTCAGTGCGCGAGTTCCTGGGATGTAGAAGATGGTCGCACCGAGTCTGGGATGATTTGGCCCATTGGCAAGAGCAGAATCTCCATGATCTACACATTCCAGCACCCAGATTTCTTCTATCCGGACACGAGAACCAGACTGCTCAGTGAGGTCAATGAGCCGCCTCATCGGGACTTCCCAAGTCTACAGCCCAAGATTTCAGCAAACAACCCCACCGTCCATTGAAGGACTACGCACCTCTTTATGAAGCCCATTCGCATGTGTAACAACCAGGGTCAACTTCTCAACACCTTCCAGCTTCTCTCCATCACGTTTTCTCCTCTTGATCCTCAAAACCGCATTCCACAATCCAATTTTCGCAACGACTCTCTCCGGCCCTTCCACAATCTTTCCCTGCCCCTGACTCAAATCCCTCTCCAGCGCCCTCTTCTCCTTGACCAACGCCATCGCATGTTTCGCCACCCACTGCTTTCGCTCGCGCCCCTTCAAGCCATCTGGTACAAGTTCAATTTGGCCGGGAGTTGAAGCGCAGCGGGGAAATGCGGCAGGAGTGAAGTGAAGGCTGGTTGTGTGTGTCTGGCAGTCTTTGAAAGCTTGAAGCTGGGGTTCTGGAATGGAAGCTGGGTCGAAGGTCACCATAGAGGGTGCAACCTCCAGGGGCGCTAGACCTGGTCGAGGGTTGCATGTCGGCACCTTGAGAGGCTCGGTCGGAATCGTGTACATAGTCGCCATTCTGCTCAACTTCTCGTTGACGGGTCTGATTGAGAGGTGAAGCTAGAAACGTTGATACGCCGGTCTTTCTGGTAACGATAACGCGGAGTTGGCGATCTTGAGAATGCCATCGTGGTGGATGCTATTTAAGAAGAAATCGGACACTGGGTGAGCGGTGTTTATTCAAATTGATCCGGACTAAAGGGGCTCGTTCGCGAAATATCACGGGCTCCTTAGAGACTAGAGAACACGGGGAAAGAGATGCAAGTAATATGGACGCTAGCGTACATGTTGTGGTTATAACAGCTTCTCAATGACTTCTGAACTCAGGCCCGCGGTGTTTTCGAAAGCTGGAAGCTGAGAAGGGTCGGAGAAATGGGAGATATACAGGTGTTCCAAGAGAATAGCATATCGAACATCGCGAATGGTGAGCCCTGGCGTTTCGATCCACTCGATATCGCTCGACGAAGGACGTGCTGGTTTCTTTCCGCTGTGAGTTTGGACATATAGCGTTAGTTCGCTTGACGAGCCATCTTCCGAGGGTAACACGAGGTAGTCATCGAAATGGTGCTGTTCCGAGGTGGTTAAAGAATGGTGGAAGCCATGGGATTACGTAGACTTACATTCTCCCCAATGTTAGAGATAACTTTAACGTCTTCTAGGAATATTTTGGCCTTGGCCAGCTTATCGTGGAAGAGGAATCGCTTCACGAGGTATGGCGGAGGCGGTGCATCACCCGTGCTCTTCATAGACTGTCAGCGGAAGTTGGAGAGGAAGGAATAAGAGACATACCTCTGGTGCACTACATCCACAGTCTTCCGGGTCTGCGTTACCCTCCTGCTGCTTCCCAAACTCAATCCTCCAACCACGTTTCAACAACGGCGGAAGGAACTCTTCCACTTCGTTTCTTGATAAGCATGCAGTCGGATATCCACTAGCGCGGGGTGGTAGAGGCGGAAGCTCTAACGAACGACATGCGGTCGATTCCTTGGAGCGATGGTACAGCGAGAGGAGATTCGTGAGACCGTTAGCCGAAGGTTCTGCCTTGTAAACACGTCAGAAACGCCACTGTAAGAACCATTAAAGGACAACTAACGTTCTGAGAGTTTCGCTGCCTTCATACGCTCAGACCATGTTGGCTTTGGCGACTTTACTTCAGATGACATCCCACCGGACTGCGTGGTAGAGCTTGAATGCCTCGATCTGCCAGTTTGGGGCTTTCCTGTCCCTTGAAAAGCTAGTCGAGGTAGGCATGTGGTGGATAATGCACGGTTTCCAATCCGAGAGGCGGTAAAGAGCGACAAAGATGATGCTCGTCGCAGCAACATGAGAGTTTGAAGACAAGAGACGCGCTGTCATCATCGTGATGGCAAACTGGAAGATAGGGGCATCATTCCTTGGCAACTTTCCTTGTATTAAGGCAAGAGGCGCCTCAAAACTCTCTCCATGTCCAGAAAAGGCTTCTGCAGTATTTATTGGGTATTTGTCTAAAGTCCTTCCATGACCAGATATCTACCTAAATGTCCTTAATGCAAGGGTGTAAGTAATTAAATAAGAAATCCCTACGCCAGCCTACTACGCATCCTCAACACCACGATACGTCCTCACCTCCTCTCGCATCCGTCGGATCTGTCCAGTCGTGAATTCCGACAAGCATTCGTCTGGAGAGTAATCCATGAAGTTGGTGTAAGGATCACTGCCAGGAAGATGTGCGCAAGAGTCAGACGGTGTGCAGGACCTGGATTCCTTGGATTGTTGAGGAGTGTCGGAGACGTAGTCTCCCGGTCCATCACAGCTCTTACCCTAGAAGAGTTTCAAGTTGAACACCGAAGATTGGAAGAAATAGAACTACAACTCACATCGAAAGTGTGGTAGAGTCCGACCCAGTGTCCGACTTCGTGAGTGAGGGTATGTCCTTTGTTGTAGATGCTCATGGAGCCTCCCGGGACCGAACCGTAATGGATAACGACCCCGTCAAGCTCTGGAGTGGCATCGTAGTACCAGGGGAATGTCGCGTATCCCAGGAGATCATGGCTATCTTCTGAGTCAGCCTGAGCGCTTCCGGAACATTAATGGAAGATTACTCACTCCACAGTCCAAACATTTAGGGTTGCAGCATCACCCTGTCGAGTTGCAAGTTTGATCTCGCGCTCGATCCTAGAAAAGACATCAGGAAGGGTACCAAACGGAGTGAATGAATCAACTCACTCATCCTCATAATGGAACCCAGCCGAGAACCACTCGGGATTCAAAATCCTCGTGGTATTAACCAACTCCCAATCAAACCCAGCCAGATCAAAACCCTCATTGAGGACATCTATCTGGGCAGCAATCGTCTCATCTCTGCACGCCCACAAGCAAACACACATTAAACATGATGATTAGTTCTTATCCATCGATTATGATCGAAGCCAGAAACCCACTCACGAAAGCCATCCGCCCTCAGCGGTCCTATTCGTAGCAATAACATGGAAATGCACAGGGAACTTGACAGGGCCCGCTCGCGCATTCTTAGCTGGCCGACGGGATTTCTGGAACTTCTTCTCGACCTTCCTGGCAATTTTGGGAGTTACTACGCTTCCACAACCACTAGGAAATGAATGGAAAGTAATCAGTATCACCGCTAACACGTTGAGATCAGCGCCCATGAGGTCGTTGCAACGAGAACTCACCGCCCAGTGCCATCGATGAAGGTCTTGCCAGTGGTAACCTTGGTCGAGCCTGCTGCGGTCGTGCTAGGATGCGACGCTGAGCTCGACGGTGAACTCCCAGAATCATGGTGGATCTCCTTCTGCAGTGGCGTAAACCTGAATCCAGGAGAGGCTACGACCGTCGGGGCCACAGTGAGTGAGGCGGCGAACAAAGCTAGTATCCTTGAGTAGTGCATGGTCGCTTCAAGCTCCTAGGCGATTGTCAGGAAGACTGTGGACGGCTGGATGGAACCGATGAGGGAAAAGGGAAAGGATGGAAGAGCAACAGGATGCGATGATTTCCCATTTGTTATAAACGCCTCTGCCGCATGCAACCATCGCGTAAGAAGGCCGGGAGGCGAAGCACCGCAAACAATGCCGCAAACACAGGCGTCAACAGGGTGACAGAACGTGCCGTTGCCAGACACAGCTTGTAGCAATCTGCCCTGGATTCTAATCGCCGTTTGGTCCTAGGTCCTTCCAAGTTCGTCTCCCCTTTCGAAGAGGGGGAAACCTTTCCTCTTGAACCCCCAATTGCTCCTTGAGTTGTCGACTTTGACTTTGTCACCGGCAAGTCCCTAGATCTTTTGACACTGACATAGATATGATCGAGAGGACAATGGAAAGGGTTAGACCCTGTGATGAGTTCGGTGTTTGTTGCCCCATGCGTTTGAGCGCCCATTAACGAATCTGGAGAAGAACCAGTGATGGTGGTGAAGGGCTGTACTATACACTGTATAGCTTGGTTGACTGAGCCGTTGCAAAAGGCCGTTTGCTTTCAATTTGAATAGGCTTCGCCCTTTAAGTATCCGGGATTCACTTAAGCGCTCGTGGGGATTACGGTTCTCACGTAATTATTAACACTGAGCGACGCTCGAGCTGGCAGAGACAGGAAATCACAGTTGATTCTTGTCCGATACACCATCTGCTGGATGCTTTTCTTCGCCTTCCTCCACTCCACTTTCCTTTCAACGGGAAGCTCAACAACAGTCTCACCGAGCTATGTCGACCATCTGATAGCTAATCGAGACGGACCAAACCACTCCACAGAGGACATCCTGTTTGACAAGAATTACCGCTCATCCTGGGACATTATCTGGGCATGCTTTGCTACAATTTTTGCGTGCACTTGGGTATCTGTGCATCCGAATGTGTGCGGCCATCGTTCCACGCGGAGGGCGAGGATATTCCAGAGAGTCAAATTGATGTTTTGGGGAATAATGGCCCCAGAGCTACTTGTCGGATTTGCCTTCAAGCAATGGAGGGGCGCGAGGGCAATACATAGTCTGGTCCTGGAGGAAGTACAAAGACGAGGGATCCAAAATACTCCTGATGGTGAGAGCTGCGCTCGGATTGTAGCATATTTGCCCTTACTGGCCCTTACAAAGGACATCGATGGACGATAGTCCATTCGCATCTCGTTCAAATGGGCGGGTATCTTTTCAAGGAGGGCGAAGAACTCAAGTGGCTGGTCCTCGATCCTGGCCGGGACGTGCCGGTGCCCTCGTGGCGCGCTCGGATGATATCCTTGCTCATCGAGCGCAGGTTCATCCAAGGGCTGGATTCCGAGGAGGAAATCGAGGATCGAAGCAAGGGGGACGCGCTAGCCAAGACATTTGTTCTGGTTCAAGTGCTGTGGTTCATTGTTCAATGCATCGCCCGGTACTCTCAGAACTTAGCGATGACTGAACTTGAGCTTACGACTCTTGCTTATGCCATCTTGAATAGTGCGATGTACCTATGCTGGTGGAGCAAACCTCTGGATGTACAATTCCCCATCGTCATATCAGAGCACACCGAGAGCTGCGTAACTTGTTCATGCTCGAATGGAGCCGCCCAACCACCACGCCAAGTCGACACCGACACTATGGTCGTCTTGAGTCATTCGGAACTCAGGCATATTCGAGACCCCCGAGAGGAGTGGAAGAGACCTACTGATACCCATCGCCACCGCCGGCTAGTACGTGTCACTATACGTCTTTGGCGGGAAGTTCGTACCTTTTTCGCCTGGTGCTGTCTGGAAAGCACATGGGGAGTTAAAGTCAACCTGTCGAACTGGCCCCCAGGACTGAGGCACCGTAAGTATGCACCACATTTCCCTCTGCTCTATGCTAACAACAAACCTGACCAGTGATCCTCGCCTTCCTGTATTGCATCGACACCGTGACAAAAGGCGTCTGGGACGTTCTGGAAGAGGTCACAGTAACCGACCCAAAGTTCAGCGTCAACAGGACCGAGGCCTACCCAACTTTTCACGCGTACGTTAACTGGGAGCTTCAACCCTCCACTGTCATGCTAGACTCCGGTGTACCTGTACTCGCAGTGGCCGTCTTATTCGGGGGTTTGCATTGTGTTGCCTGGTCCTGGACATTTTCCTCTCCCTCTAGTCAACTGCTTTGGCGCATTTTTGCGCTCTGCATTACCCTCTCACCCCTGGTGACGGTGATGCTCTCGTTTCCGTATGCAGTCTCTGTCGCTTATAAAGAGTGGCTAGATAGGAACGTGGAAACGTCCGGTGCAAGGGGGCTCATTATGAAAGTTTTGGTACATATAGGTGATGGGACTATACTTCTGTCCCTTGTTGTGTATATGATTTCCCGTATCATACTACTCGTAGTCACTTTTATCGAGCTCCGGTACCTGCCTCCTTCTGCTCACCGGACTGTGGAATGGTCAGAACTCATTCCCCATATCTAGCTACAGTTATTCGTAATATACTGGAGGCTTGACCTGCTGAACCCTGGAACGACATGCCGATAACGGGACCGGCGCCTATTTTGGGCGTTTTTACTTCAGACAGAACCAACGAAGAGGGGCATTTCCCTTCATTTCCAGTACACAGGAAATCACATAGTATTCATCATATATCACCTAGAAAACAGAGTACGTGTCCGATGTATGTATGTATATATGGCATAAAAGACTCGAAGAGAAACCCGAGTGCACACAGGGGAGACCATTGGTATGTAGCTACTTGTAGTAGAGTACGAGATAATAAGTAGAAGTAAAGAAACGGACTGAATAGCTAACTACATGACCAAGCGTTTCGAAAGGGAGTGATCATGAACAGCCCTGCCATATATGCCCAATGGTATCCCCTCGCAACGAACCCCAGGGAAGTGGCAAGGATGGATATAGCAAAGGTGACACCCGGCGAAAGAGGATAAGTGGTGGGGCGCGAGGTAGAGTGAAGGGAGCGGCGAGGAAACTCGAAACACAACGAAGGAATGAGGCAGAGTACAGTAGTAGCTAGATAAGTAGAGCGGCAAATCTAAAGTACAGGAACAGACTGAGATACGCAAGACAAAAAAAGAGACGTTTCATGACGATTCGATATGTTGTAGCAAGCGGCACAAAGGGAGAAGAACGAACACAAAAGTCGAGAAAAAATACACCATCCTCAACGAATAAAAAAGAAAAATGGAAAAGTACAACCCACAGGTAAAGAAAACCCAGAACACACGCGGAGAGTGAGGAGAAGGGGAAGATAGTTGCTAGTAATACAACACGAGACATCAAGTCGATCTCGAAGTAATAAGTTAAGAAATAAGAAAAGGTGCAGACTGAAAAAAGGCTGATAAGTAACGAATAATAATTTTGACGAAGCGGCTGTACGCGTCATCGAGATTTTGGGTTGTTACAACAAAAAGGAGCCAGTGAGACCTGCTGGAGTCGGTAGTGCAGGGAATGAGATCGGAAAAAGGAATGTGTTAACGAAGCAAGGATCGAAAAGGATTGCGGTGGCAATGTGGGTCGGGACAGGAACCGGGAGTAAGGACTGCGTGGAAGGGAAAAGAATGGAAGGAAGGATCAATCCGAGGGAGATTAAGCTGACGTGAAGCTGCTGGATGATATCGTGATTAGAAAAGGAAGGCGGTCGACACCGAGTGTAGGGATGGATGAGCGATGGAATAGATAGGATAAGGTACGCCAAAAGATCTGGATAGGGATCGCAAGTCAGCATCCAAGAACGACCGAAACCATGCTCAGACCACTTACAATACTTATAGCCAAAACGAAACATCAATGGTGATTAGAGACCACCACCGAGTCTCTCTAACAACTGTTGTGCCAACAAAGCCTCCTCGAACACTCCAATGTCGTCGGAAACGGCTTCAAGAGGGGGGACATGTCGATCCGGGCTGCTGCCTTCGGATTTGCTCGAGGCCTTGGACGATTTGCTTTTGAGCTTGACCTTGTCGACTCGATGCTTCGATGGCCTCATAGACAATATCTTGGTGGCAGAAGGGCTCGAGGGGCGTCGAATCGGACTACTGGGGTTAGATTGGCTGAGTGGAAGGTTGCCCCACGCGCTCATCCGCTGACCCCTGGATCGACCCAAAGACCCAGACCAATTTCCATCTTTGTCCATCTCGAACACTTCTTCATCTCGATACGCACTCCTACTCTCCCTCCCTGTCCGTATGTTCAACTCCTCCCGAGTGACAATCCGAAGGGCGCCACCCTCTGCCACACTCGGAGGTGCAAAGGGATCCCGCAAGTCCATGAAATCCCCCTCGTCGACTTCGTGCACCGAAGGGTTGCTGCTCTCTGGTGAACAGTTGATACTAGTCGAGGATCGATTACGTCTTCCCTTGTCGAGTTCGGAAGCTCGCCGTGTCAATTGAGGGAACTTAAAGCCGCTGCTGATCCCAAGGCCCAGACTTGAATGTGAGTTCGAGGAACGAAGTGGATACTTCGTCTTCCCAGAACTGCCAAGCCCGTTCCGAATACCTTCCAAGCCTTGTACGAAGGAGTCATGCTTGGAAGAGAGGCTCTTCGCCTTCCCCTTCAGATTGGCCATGAAGGATGAAGGAGGGCTGGGAGAGTGATTACGAGACTTGGAGCTGGTCGAGTCGCGCTTGCGGACGTGGACACCGATGAAAGGCGTCAAGCTCAGACCAGGAGTGGGCGCTCGTGTGGGAGTAGGAGTGGGTGTGGACTCTCGACTGCGTGTGGGAGTAGAGCATTGGGATGGCTGACGTTCGGTTTCCATACTGGGTCTCTCGAAGAACCGCGAGCGAGAACCAAGACTGAACTTGCTACTGCAGGATGTATGTGGCCGTTGCGAGGTATGTGGTGACGTCCGAGTAGGAGTGATGGGGAGGACGGGGAGGGTCGGGCTGTCGGCGAAGGATGATGTAGTAGGGGTCGATCGCGGGGTTGGGTAAGGGTTGGAGAAAGATTTGGAAGTAGGGATGTCGATGGGGGTACTCATGGGGGTTTGAGGAGGAGACAAAGACGGAGACGACGACGATGAAAAGGCGTTCTCGACGGCCACATTGGTGAACGCTGAACTATTGTAAGAGTTGTTCAAGGACAATTGAGGCTTGCTTGGAGATGTATAGACCGAAGAGGCCACAGAAGTGGTCCGAGCACCCTGTGGTTGTCCTTGGAACGGGACCGGCAATCCGACGTCGAGAGGGTCTGTTTGGGCCACAGCGGTCTTTTCAGCGGCGACCGTGGTCTTGTCCGTATAGATGTAGGCATAGCCAGGTTCGAAGTTCTCCTCGTCGTCGAACTTGGAATCGCGCACTGGAGTGGGAAGGGCGGAGGGAGAGGGTTCGGGGGACATCAGGACCGAGTTGGCGGGTACGCTCCTTGCCATGGGTGTCTCGAAGGATGAAGCGCAAGAGGAGGAGGAAGTTTGGCGAGAGAGGGTTGGCGCAGGTTTACTGTTGAGGTAGAGCCCTTCATCTGATCCATCACGATGGTGAGCGGGGCCAGCATTCGTGAAAACAACCTGGCGATGGACCGCGCTAAGAGCGATATCCGTAAAACCACCCCCGAGGGAGAACTTCTTGGCACTCTTATTAAAAGCTGAGGGTGCACAAGGTTGACCCAAGGGTCGCCGCTTGTTCGCCGCAAACGGTGGGGATGTGGTGGTCGTTGTCGAGAGTGAGACAGTGATGGCGTTCATTCTGGACAGGTCGACCGCAGGTGGGAGAGCAGCGTCAGCTGTGGTGGTAGATTGACGGATAGTGGATGGAGCGCGCAAATAAGCATTATATGCGTGAACTGGAGGGGTTTAATTAAGAATTGAGATGCTCAAAATGGGAAAGGCAAAAAAGTGACTTACGAAGGAATGCAGCCATAACACCAATGATGCAGAGGACCATCACTGCAGTCCGAAAGATCTGGAGGGTAGCATATGCGGAAGATCTTTTCGTGGCAGACGAGGGTGCCGAATTGGGGGTCGCCGAACGGGCGACGTTGACGGCTACGATCTCGAGCACGAACGCCACCAAAGCCGCGAATTGGGATGCAACAAGAAAGACCAGTAGACTTTGTGATCGACCATTCCCGATTCTCAGTCTTAACGATGATGGACTGGCTGCGACTTGAGCGGTGCCGGCTTCCAAATCGCGGGGAGGGAGTCCGGTGCGATTGGGATGGTGCGGAGGATGCAAATGGTTGACAAATGTGACATCCGATGTCGAACAAACGCTGGGCACTTTCTCATGACCAGACTCTGAGCACGGGAGCGACTGGAGCGAAGAAATAGGAGAGCGAGGTTCGATGCTAGCGATGGTCGAAAGCCGAGTGCCGCTGAAGGAAGGCGTGCGAGTTCCCTCTGTCGGGGTCACATGCGCGTTGTTGTTTGGCCCCTGTTTGGCGACGCGCATCGCGACGAGCAGAAAGGGGATGACGGTGCCAATAAACGCCAGCCAAAGTGCAGCAGGTACGCTGGGCGACATCGACTCGCGCGGTACGGCAGCGAAGACGAGAGAGACCAGCGTCGCTAAATGAAAAATCTAGCTTCAGAAGCCTGGGGCCGGCTATTACGGCTGAGACTCACCGCAGACGAGCTCGATTACGAGCAGAACGAGCCAATAGGTCTTCAACCTAACTTCTGCATATTCGTTGCTCAGGTAGAGCACCGAGGCCCCGACTGTAGAAAGAAAATGGTCGTCAGAAAACGCCAGATAGCGCATATATGCGTCAAATAGACTACTCGCCTTCGAGAAAGATCAGGGCTTCAACGACAAGCTCGCCTTTACCTCTCATTCCCAGGCCAACGCCATGGCTGTCGGCTAGAGCCGTTCTGAGTCCTAGTGCGCCATAGAGTGTCGACAAGACGGCCAATGCGCCAATGGCGATGTACGCCACAACCGCCTCTGTCCGGCTGCTTTGAGTTTTGAACCCCCTCCGCGCATGCCATGGTCGATGTGAAAGAACCAACGCGAGGAGAACGAGGGCAAACAACGGGACAAGGAACGTCAGGGCTGGCGGAACCGCCTGAAGAACGGTGGACGCAGCGGAGGACGCCATCTGGAGGACGTCGACGACGGCGAGCAAGAAGGAATTTGGGATCTAAAGGAAAGGAAGGAATAGGCGGGGAAGGGCCAACCGGAGGAATAGACGTGGAGCGCCCAATATAAGCTGAAGTGTATTCCGTCAGTAAAAAGAGAAAAATAGGGTCCGAGGAAATGAATTACCCTCAATCGCCCCTCTTCTGACGTCTAAATCTAGAAATCCCCCATCCCAATCGGGACATCGGCCCCTTTTCCAGATCCCACCCTGCGCTTCGTGAGATCAGGGCAACGCGCAGATCACTCGTCAACTGAACCCAATTCCCATTCTCTTCACGAAGCACCCTCCTTCGCCAGATCCATTCACCAGAACCTCCTAGCTACTCCGTCTACCATGAATTATTACCACAGCATGAGGAATAGAAAACATGCTATGCGGGAACGAGGGCAACCGTTCATTATTATGTATAATCGAACGAATTCAGTGCTATAAAGCTACAGGCCAATGCTATAATCGCGGGTTGCCAGTTGTGCCTCGAATCGTTGATTGACAGCACAGCGAAGCTTGTAACTACACTGCAAACCTTGCGCTTCGTGATCGCAAGACGACAACCACCATAAATTCGTTCATAAGACTGCCGTGTCTGGCCCATCCACCTCGAGATTTGTTCAGGATCATCCATCGCTCCTGCCTCTACTCGACGTCCCAGATGGGATCCATCTGCGCTTGACACCTAGACACCTTCCGGGAAACTGGAAAAGGATGAGAAGGAGGCGGACCTTATGGTACCGTCGCTAACCATGTCTAACAGCATTTCTTGCGGCAATTTGTTACTGCTACTCTACCTGACGGTACTACGCGCTTACAGACAACCCCTCCTTCTCCATCTCAGGTATCGGCCCCCGTCTATCGCCCGGCACCTCTATCCTCCGCTCGAAGGGTGCGCACACACGGCCTAAAATTAGAACACCACACCCCCATATGGTCAACCGACTTCTACCCTTATCGTCATTCCTCCGTCGTTCCCTCACCACCCTGAAATAACCGCCCCAGAGTCCCAGACGTACACCCCCGCCTTCTACACCTTCGCCCTTCGGTAGCCTGGCTCTCACCTGCTGATACCGTCCTTGTCCTTGCTTCCGTCCGACATCCTACGACGAAATGGGTGGATATGTTCACAAGAGTTTGAGACTTCCACTTCCTCCGGTTCGAATCGGGGTGATAGCTAATGTGACGGAACCGGTTCTCGTACATCTGATGGAATGAGAACCGGTGCAGGAAGTCTAATCTAATCGAACTCGCACCGAGTAATAGCGATAGCTATTGGATATGTAAGTGAGAACTGCGGTATGTACCGCAAAGAACCACTTCGGTGTTCTATACAAACCTTGGTTGAATCCCAGCTTCTCAGAATTGCTGTTGAAGCACCACCTTCGAATCGAGCTTAGGGGTGGTAGAGTGAGAACTGCGTTCAACAGTCATAAAATTTCGCATCCCTAGAACCTGGAAAAGGGTCTTGATTATCTGTACAACCCACACTAATAATTCACAACTCATCTTCCTCTATGCGCTCAGAACTGACGAAAGTATACTTTCAATAAATTCCTTTACTCACGCGAACCATCTTAACCGCATGCTCGACATTTCAGTACCCCCAAACTACCCTTCCAAACCTCTCAAAGTAGCTCATACATGAGTCACTGAATTCAAACGACCTCAAGCTCGCAATTGTCGAGTATCTTATCTACGCTGCTCATGACAAACGAATGTCAGTTTAACCGCACAGTCTCCCGGGTTTATCACAGTCAACTGCATCCCCGCCATCAAACCTACCGTCGGCGCTAAAGCTATGATACAATCGATGATGTCGTCGTTTTACAATCCTCGAACGCTCTCACACGATGACAGCACTGGTCACCTTCCCCAGCGCATCTGACATTTGAAATTGAAGTGTATGGCTCAGCATGCGAACTCCAGAGTGTGGATAGGGCTAATTATAACGTACCGACAGCTACACCGCTACACCACCCCGGAGTGCGTCAAGAACTCGCCGCTCGAAATTTCGTAAATGTCATTTTTCTCGAAGCGCCCAAAGCTTAGTAGGTGAGTACGGTTGAACTTCGGATATAACATCCGTGTCTATTGGGCCTTTACAATTTTTAGGGACCCAAACCCTTTGGTAAGTAGCCGGTGGTTAGAGTGGGTCCCCAAATACGGGCCGCCCAGGAACTTCTTTCGAAGTTCGAACAAAACCCCGTTTCTCAGACCCAGTCCCGCTTCAACCAAGCGAAGATGGAAATACGAAGCCCTTGGTGGACCCAACCTTGGGCCGCCTTGAACACTGAGCAAATCTCCAGAGGTTTCCAACGAGTAACCAGATGGCGTCAAGTGCCAGGGAAATAACTGTATAGTCTGCGCTATGTTTTCTCACCGGAGCGGACATTGGGCGTCTAATTCGGCGTGGGAGAACTCCTCACTTTCCACCTCGAACCCGAAGAAGTGATATTTATGGTTCATCGAGCTTCGATGTACGTACCCTTTCTTAGGGGTTTCGCGGCTGTTGAACACTGCTAGTATGAGTCTTCATGCTTCACAGGTACCAGACCCAGACGGAAATAGGTCAATTCAAACAAGTCAGAGTTCCAGGGGCTGTGGCTGACATGGCAAGTGTCATTACGGGTTCTCGAGAAGTGTCGACGAGGAGTAATGACAATTCTCCCTCCGCCCAGGGACACTCGCCGGGGTACGACGTCAAACACCGTCATCCGCCCCTTGGAAATGAAAAAGGGCCCATATTGTCAAAACAGGTTCCCAAGCTATAACTATTCGAACTGATCTTTCTGCAGGGAGATGATTCAAAACGAGTGAAGCTGAGGAATAATGAGGAGTAGAGTGGAGTAAATCCCCACTAGAACATACTATTCTCCTCTCGAGTCTCCGTCCATTCACATCGCTGATGAACAATAGTAAATCCTCAATCCTCCCAGTTGACTGACCCCTAACTTTGAAGCTTAATGATGGAAAACCTCCGTGTCGGCACCGGGCGCAATAGTTATTACAGCGCTTTCGGGGCGGGACCAGGCGGCACCGTCCCAATTCTGCAAATCCCAAGCCTAACGAAGGCTATAGACACTGTAACCATCACTCGCACTTCAATTTTAGTTACCTTTTCCTGCATATTTCCTAATTCACTAAGGCATGTTGATTCCCTCCGTTCAAAAATTAGATCCCACCTCGACGACCGACGACCGACGACCATAATTTCCACTGGCGACGGTGGCGTCCATCCATCGAGGACAGTCGCTATTCCAATCATTATTATCAGAATCAAATCTCTAGCTTGCGGCGAGTGTGTGAGTCACTGAGGGTCACAGTTGTAGCAGAGGTTTGTTTTACTCGTGGTAGCTGAAGTCAACGATGCACAATGCGGCACACGATGCCGCCTAACCAGCGCTTAATTTACCGGGTCTGGAACCCTGACATGCGCTCCCTCTTACCTTTCACACACCCCGACGCGCCTTTGCGGGACAAATACGTATAAGATCCTAAAAAGGCGCCTGTACACGAAACTCCAAAAGAAAATCCACACACAACTGTCAAATACAGTTCAAAAATCCTAACACCATTGACACCCCGACACCCAACGTTGGACTGGGACCCAGGCGGATCCCAGCGACGCCTAAGAGGACAGAATGTCAACACCTTTCAAACGTTCAACAACGAGGACGATGACGAAGAATTATTGACTTTTCGGGATGCAGTGATGGTCGACCTTTTTGATGGGATTGGTCAAAGGAGGAAAGAAGCGTCGAAGGAGGATTCGTCGTCGCGGGAGCGCAGTGTCTGCTGCGTCCGTGTGGTGATTTGCTGGACGACGCGCTATCGTCGGGTCGAAGAATACACAGTGCCGTTTCGTCTATGATGATGCCGAAGAGGAGGGAGAGTTTGACGTTGAAATTTGGATGAACTTATTGGTCGGCCTCCTGTTCAGCCAAGTCTCGTGTCGAATGTCGCAGACAAGTCCACTTTTCCCGGAAACGCCTGCCTGGTGTGCAGACCACTGTACGAAGAGCAGCTACTATAGCGCATTCCGCAAGAAGTTGTCACCAAAAGTCCACGAACGCCTCGAATGGCACTGACAGTGATTGTCATAGATTCGGCCGATTCGAGCCTGTCGAGTAAAAAGCTGGATCGTAAGTCCAAGGGAACAGAGGAAGACTTGAACAAGACCAAGCCTGAGCACAATGAGGTTGAGCGACGTGCTCGAATGCACGACGACGGTTGACAAAACCCGCCAAACACCCCGCTCGAGACATAGCAACCGTCACCACACTGTCGAGGGGGGTCAGTAATGAATAGTTAATTAAATCGATGATAGCAATGACGGAGGGGACCTTGCGCGCCCGCTCACAAGGCTTATCAGCGCCTACGACAGGCTGTCGACGTCAATCACATCGCGATTGACAATGAGCTCGAGGCTCACGGAGTGGGTGGTGGCCTCGTGTTGGGATATGCATGATAGTACGCTCTTTCTGCCAGGTGAAAATAGCCTCCGAGAGCTTTGAAGGGTCTTGGCTGTATATATTGCAGAATGAATATGAACCAGCAAGCCTTCCCGGCGAGTTGAGTTTCAAGCATTTGTTCGGGTGTCTATACAATCACAGGGATTGCGGCCAGTTCAAAGGAGTAGTCGATTTGGCAAATAGGGATTGGAAAATAGGACGAATAAGAGTCAGGTCCATTAGAAGGATCGTCGCTTCTCACCTTGTCAGATTCAGCCAGGGACGATGTCCTCCCCAGAGGAAGTCACATTCCATCTTCGCAGCCGCTTCTCCACACACTTGCTAGATTAAGCCTTCGAATCTCTATGAATCTCGAGTTCAGATGCAACACAAACTGTTCGATTTGATGAATTAATACATATAAAGGCTGCACGGTACCTCTATTGGTGGAGGAAGCTGAAGGAAGTGAAGTGATTGCACTGCTGGCGCTTTGGGGCGGTCCAGTCGGCTCTTGGGTATGTGCGGTGAATAGGCGATCAGCTGGGTACTCAATTACATCGAGTGCCATAGAAGTACACCCATTTCGAGGCAACTCGTCCAGATGTGGGCTAATGCTGTTGTCGGGCGAAAAGTGGTGGGGTGATTGGTTGGAGATTGGGCCGAGCCTGGGTACGTGGGACGTCATCGTGGTTCTTAAAATGCCTGGCGGAAGAGAAAAATGCGTAGAGACGCCGGAGTGTTATGTACTGGAAAAATGAAATCGATTGGCCCTATTGAGCTCGTATACACTGGACCAATGGAATGAAACGCGCTGGATTGAAGGGTGTGTGTGTAGGGTCACCAAGTTGATCAGGTATGGAGGGGCCTCCCTTTGACCGACGGGACCTCCAATTAGCAAGCTAGTCTCGGATTACTCGTCGACTTGGAAGCAGCCAATATGGCGTAACTGGTTTGGAAAAGCCAAAGAGCGAGGAAGTCGCCAGAAGTCGCCACCATTACCACGCACGAATCGCAGCTTGACCATGTTGTTTATCGTGGGGATCGGGATGCACGAGGCGAACAGAAAGAGTGGAAGACAATCGGCGGTCGCCCTTTCCATGACCGTTCCGGTGGACGTAGCTCTAATCGACTTGTGTCACCGCAGGGAGAAACCAGCTTTCGGACCCGAATGGAATGGAGCTCATCTTCAAGCCATTCAAGTCGGTATACAGCCAGACGGTACCGAGAGCCTGTAATATAAGCTTTGTGAGTTTCTGTGACCGGCTGACCGTTGCTGCTATGTTCCATGTCCACCCGAGAGAACCAGTGGCGACTCGGTCGAAATCGAAAGTCGCACCGCCCCACTGATTGATTCTGGCTTTTTCGCAGATATTCTGGACAGATTTCGCATTCTAGAAGGGCTGGTAGACGCCATGTGTGTCCCGATAGGCTGGAGAACGAATTGCAAGGTGCGTAGAGCTGGGTACCGGTGCGGGGAAAGCGCCGAGCGCGAAAAGTCGAACAAGGGAGGATTGGAGCTCCGACTGAAAGGTAAGTACGTCGCGCCTGGATCAGGCACCTCTCGAGGCGACCACCACTGTCGTTGAAGACGAGAGTGCCACATCGGCTGTATAGTACCCTCGGTGATACTTCACTACTGCTTTTCTTGCAGTACCTCGTGATTGATACTCGCTTTCCAGGGTATACGTGTTTATGTTGACAATGCAGAATTATAATCCGCTTCGACTCGGGAGTCGGGAAGGACACCTCCCCAGGGACTTCTGCTATGGGTTTCGTGCGAATTTCAGGGACAACTGCCAGGACGGTCAGAAATGAGCGCCTATTTTTCGACAGTCTTCGCACTTCGTTGTCGAGGGCGGGTCCTTCAACCAAGTCCACGGAGAGGCCAGACAGTCCTCTAATTCTCCCTTATCAGCCCCCGGTACGCCGAGGTCCAGGAGCAAGCACAACTACAGAAATCTCTCCGACGCCATACTCAACCGCGTTCCTAGTCTCTCCAGGGTCCATGGCCAAATCGTTCAATTTCTTTCCCTCTCGAACGAGTGCAGCTTCCTTTGGCGTTCCATGGTTGAGGTTTCAAGCGACTTAAAAGGTTTGGGAGAATCTCTCTATTCTCTGAAATCGCGCACCTTCCAAAGCTCTATATCAGCATTTTATACCTGACCCCACTGTAGCTTCCAATGGCTACAACTTCAGTCCTTTGTCACGTCGGGGACTCAGTTTTGGTTAATTAGGTCTTTGCCTCCACTGCAGGTACGTACTCCTTTCTATACTTGAGGTGTTGTAACCGATGATTGGACTTGTAGGAGCTCATCCCTCCGCATGATGAAGTTAACCTACAGTTTTCTCACCTCGTTCGAAGACTGTTGGCGTTAATCCGACAGAAAGAATCGCGGCGAAGGAAGCTGTCTCGCATCCATAGTTTTCACTGAAGATACATGAAATTTAGCACTTGATTCTCGGATACGGATAGTCTCGGTTGGGGTTTCCTGTTCATAACCGGTTTCATGGCACGATCTCAGGCAGGTACATTGTCAACGTTCTTGGCGAATGCTCGGTCCTTTGCTTGGTGTCCATTCGACTTGTAAAACAACAACCTAGCAGTGTCGTCATCATGCTGGACCCATAACTCGCTGGTAAACTTTGAATCACCAACTTAGTTCCGTTCATTCAGAATAGGCATGCCGCGGGCGGTTATTACATCTTGCGAGCGCTCCGCCGGCAGCCCATTTCAAGAGACGCCGCATCAAAGTGCAGACAAACTGGTTTGCCTTCTCTAAGAGTATTCATGTCGCCGCTCACTAAGCGCCCAGCTTAATCACGGTGTATTCGAGTCCAAACGCCTTATTCACGCCATTCGCTCAACATGAAAAAAAAAACATCAACGCCTACACGGTACAAGGAGGCCGGCGTCCAAAGAAAAAAAACGTGGTGGCAACACGGAACTTGGGCGGAACAAGAGAAAAAATAGAGCTAGATCGGCGATTCGTCGGATGACATCATCCCGACGCTTGCGATGAATTTGATTTTTGGACGCGCTCGAGCTCGTGGATTTCAGTCGTTTGCTAACACGCTCGCGGTACAGGTTTCCTCGTGGTCTGGTCAGCTGTCGATGTAGACGGCTACCTGTGGGTATGTAGATGGCACCGGGAAATTGAATCTGTGATTCTTCAGCAAAGGTGAAAGATGGCAGATATACAATCAGGGTCCTGTGTCAACTGAAGATTGTTGCGAAGTTTCCGGTCGGTATGTGGATGCCAAGGAACGTACTGAGTTCTGAAAATTAGCTGAGTCAGATAATTCATTAATGATTAGGGCAACACTTTCTTCGAACGAACGAGCGGACAGGGTCATAGCACGTTCTGTGAGGTGAGGGGAAAGAGAGCAATGTGTTTTGGTCGCTGTGTAGAGTTCTGTTGGAACGAGTGGCATTGGCAAAATGTCTTCCATGGCCATATTTATGCCCATGGCGATGCGAGTCTATCGGGGCCTATAAATTTATAGACCGGGCCTCGAGAGCAGTATCAAACCAGTTGAGGACAAATAGAGCTGCACGGTTCGATTTGCCGGAGTTGCTGGTGGGCCCCTGGTAGACGTTTGGTTGCAATGGGATTCGAAGGTGTTGACGAGAGATAACAAGATAGCTTGAGATGGTCACTTGAACGCCCATTCAAGAGGCCAGGAGTGCCCAGTCGCATGTCGAGAACCCGGAAGCACGTCAGCCGGTGTTCCCTGCGCAGAGATGGCGTCGCGTATCACTCCGACTTCGGGTTGAGTGGGTCAAGGAAGTGAGCTTCGGGAAAGAGAGAAGACCTGTAGAGGAACATCCTTTGAAAGTTCGGAAAGCCAAGTCTTGCGACCCACCGCTGGAAGTTTCGCAAATCCCAAGGTGGAAAGATAAAGACACGCATATTGAAGGCTCGATAATGAATTTAGCAAGCCGAACTGGGACTGGGCCAAGTCCAGCCAGAATCAAGGTTGATATCACCGAGGGAAGCCTGTTCTTTAGACACCTTGGACTTCTATTTGGGGGGCTGTGAAGGATGCTGCTCAACTTCGAAATTTGAGGCAACAAACATAACCCAGATCCCCGAAAATGGGACGGACAGAAAAAGCGCCTGGAGTCGACCCGTTCAGGTAGAGTGAAAGGCAGATGAAATCCAGAGTCAAAGGGTGATCGAACGATGACTTCAAAGTGTATTTCAGAGCTCCTCCTGCACCATAGACACTTAAAAGCCCTGTGGATGACGAAACTGTAGTCCTTGGCTCCAACAAACGTCGATCCACTATCGGTGATTGTGGACGGATAAGGGCGCTGGAGCTCTAGCATCCATCCATTCGGGAGATTTCGTACCAAGATCAAGGTTTCCATGGAACAGGTCGGAACGCCCAAGAAGGAGGAAGAGGTACAGAGTTCGCCGACGAGAGGTGTTGACAAGTGCCATAATGGAAGACTCGAGAGGTGTATACAGTAGACTCAATTGTAGTGTCTCTGGTTCAGAGCTGAAGATAGAATATCAAACGTTTGTCCCCTTGAAATTTTGGAAGGCGACTGCGGAACGAACCACCGAGAAATGGTATGGAGCATGGCCCACTTTGTTGATATCGCACAATAACACGCTCTTCCCTGGCAATCAATTGATAGAAAAAAAAATAGAAGATAGACAGATAACGGAAGTGCTATACCCTTGGAGAATGGCTTCAAAATAGCTCTCGTATCAAAGGTGGTAGTTGAAGAACGTAACAGCGCTGGCTCGAGCTCGAGATTGAAGAGGAGAAAAAGGCAGGGCGCTCGGGCAGACGCGGCTGTGGATCGGCTGGGACGAGAATAATGAACCAGCAAGTTGCCGAGGGATGCCGGTGGTTCTGGCGCGGGGATTGGCGCGTGTGATTGGGGCGGTTCAGTTTGTGGTTTGTTTCTGGATCTTGCAACCTCGAGTGCGTTCGGCAGCTTCGACCCTCGAAACAACTCCTTTGGGTCTGAAAAAGGGACTATATCGGTCCAAACATCCTGGAAATCGACAATCAAGAGATATCGTCACCCGTTGTTTTTGGTTGACGCCATATGCCATGGATGGATACGATATGATGACTCGGCTCTTCTGGCGTTCAGAAAACTTTTAAGAAGAACGTAGATGATTTTAAAAGAGGGTCAAAGAAATTCCGCTTGACGCTCCTCCGCTCACTGCTTTCGCCGTCGCTGCTGTTGCCAGTCGCCAGCTCTCTTTGTCTTCAACTTCCACCTGCTCGTCTGCCAGCTTTCGCCACACAGTCCCACTATCCCCTCTTCGGGCCGCATCACGAAATAGCCTGAACACAGGTTGTCACAGTGTCTGTCATTTCCTGTCCTCGAGGTCTCGTCTGTTCCTGAACCACACCATAAACAGAAAGCTTGCTTGGGCTAAGCAGTGATATTCACTATACAAAGTGATATTAATGACACGATGTCGCCGCAATCGTACCTGGACGCTCACCACGAGCAGCATAATGACAGTTCTATAGCGACCACCAGCGCTACCAACGAGGCCTATAATAACAGCCTCCAACCAGAAGGAAGTGGCTCCGGGATTACCGCAGAACAAGAACGTACGCCATTCCCTGCCCCTTCTCGTTTATTGACGCGTGCCAACTCGCGATGGCATCCCTTTACAGGAAGCATGGGTCGTTTTGCTATCCCAACGAGCTCAAGATCTTCCAAAGACTCCACACTAAAGTCTTACATCGACATCGTCGTCGACTCACCCTATTTGACCCTGAGAGGGACCGGTCCTGACGTCGAGGCGACTCACCTCACTGGTCATGTCGTCCTCTTCCTTACAGAAGCCACATCAATGAAGGAGGTGTATCTGGAGTTCAGAGGAAAGGCAAAGATACCAGTTCCTGCCAGTGAATCGTGCGTCCTCTCCCAATCGCTCTTTTACGTGCTACTGAATACATCATCTCTATAGGCTAATTGGCAACCCTTCCTCGATGTTGGCATACAACGTCTGCCACCACCGCTGGTCTTTCCTCGAACTTGGAACCGGTTCAAAACACGTGGGAACACGCACCCTGAAAGCTGGCCGACACATCTTCCCTTTCTCCCTCGAAATTGGCGGCTCCCTACCTTCAAGCATCTCCACTCCCGTTCTTGGCGGTGCCTCCGTCTCCTACAAACTATACGCCGAAGCTTCACGACCACACAAACTCAATTTCCCATTCTCATCCAACCTGCACCACACCGTACCCATCACCCTCATCCGCTCCTTTGCTCAAACCGCCCTCGAATACCAACAGACGCTGGAAATTGAGAACACATGGCCAGGCAAGCTCATGTACTCGATCGTCCTACCACACAAAGCATGGGCGCAAGGAGACACACTTGGCGTGCTCGTCAAGTTCAGTCCGACCGTGAAAGGTGTTGGGGTGCACAGCATCCTGACGAATGTGGAAGAAAAAACGAGGATCTACGCAAGGAGTGGGGAGCGGGAGGACAAGAGAGTCGTGGCAAGTGCCAGGCACGAAATCGTGGATGGGAAAAGAGCGGTGTTAGTTGAGGCGACGAACAAACCAGCTCTTTGGATAGGCCACGCAGCACCGCCACGAAGTCCACCGCCCTTGTCTCCTGTTGAGGAGGTGGAACGGGCCCTACAGCGCGAACGGGAAGAGAGTCTTCGTGCGTCCTCTTCATCGTCCGGTCTCCGATCACAAGATTCGTTCGACACTTCGTCCTTTGACTCTGACGATGTTTCCCCAATCGCACCGACCGATATTGTTACCACCCTCTCCCTCCCCCTACCCTCGAATTCTACCGCCATGATTCCATCCCATGCTCTCGAACCAGTAACGGTCTCGCACCGCGTTCGCTGGGCGATCTATATCACCAATCCCGACGGCCACATCAGCGAACTCCGCTGCTCACTCCCAATCATCATCATGGACGGCCGCCTGTTGAATGAAACAAGGATGTACACCGCATTCACGAGGAGATCCGTGCTGTCGCCTGAAGGCATGCTGGCAGGTGCGATGGGAGCAGGTGGTGTACCTGGATGGGAGGGTGACAACTTGCCTGGAAGCGAGAGGGAGCCTGGGGTGGATGTGCTTGACCTTGATGTCGAAGACCAGGAACTCCCGAGTTACCATGCGCACGTCAGGGATCGCGTCGCCAACATGTATCTCCCGGAGTCGTCCACACTGAGGGTCACAAACCCTTGGGTTATCAATGGAACGTCGCCAACATCGCCAATGAATTCAGCTGCCGTCTCGAGGAATGGGGAGGCATCGATGTCGCTTATGAGCTTGACGGGGTTCGAAGAGGCCTCGTCAGGCATGGCAGGCCCCGTTCCCCCTTCCGACGCCGATGAGGGAGCTGAGATGGGGGAGATCCCTTCTGGGGACGCTCCCCGCGGCGCTGCGATGTCACGGCCTGCATCCTCGAGTTTGGGCCTTCCTCTTTCACGGACACATTCCCGTCAAGGGTCTCTGCCTTCAGCTACTCCATCCTCCCTCGCCGGACATCGGTCCTCCTTCTCCTCGAGTCGATTCGGCCTTCCCGGTTCCCGACCAAGGTCAGGCTACAACACACCACTCGAGCCAGCTCACGTCATGGCCCACCTCCCTCATGCACCGGGAAGCGGTGACAATACCCCGTTGGATTGGGTCAATTCAGAGTTGTTGCTGAGTCTGAGCGATGAACCTGGGAGGCGGTTTGAGAGGGAGATCGAGTTGTCGAGAGGTGCTAGTGGGGCACAGAGTCTAGTTCCCAGTCGTCCGTCTTCTCCTGTGCAGGGGCAGTCGAGTTCAAGCTCCAGCCGTCCAGCGACCAGCCAGGGCAAGAGTGGTCTTGGCGGGTTCTTGAAGGGTGCGATTAAAGGTCTTGGATTCACCAAGGCACATCGAGACGATAGCGAACATCGTTACGGCCAACCCTCTTCGTCTTCCCAGTCTACTGGTCCTCCCCTACCGCCCACCAGCAACACCCGGCAGTCAAGGCCTTCGAGTTCGAACGTTATGCGCATGGTCGCCTCCGCGCCTGTCTCCCCGAGGTTGAGGCCGATAGCACTCGTCAACCCGGCATCCCACCTTCCACGAACAGGTTCTAGCTCGTCCATATCCTCATCGGTCTCGCCTCGTACCCCTATAACCCCATTGTCCCGTCCGGCATCGCCCAACCATCTCCGTGACTGCCCCTACCAAGGCGAACAACCCTACTGCCGAGAGAATCGAGATGAACATCTGTTGCATCGAGCGTTTACTGAGGTGCCGGATTACTCGGTCGCAGCGAGGGGTTTCATTGGAGGTGTTGCGCCTTTGAGCAGTTTGCTTGGGTTGCCGAGCTACGAGGAGGCGGCGAGGGATAGGGATAGGGAGCAGAGGAGAGTTCATAGCGGGTGATTGATCTAGGCATGCACCCGTTGTCACCGAGGGGAGTGAGCCTGAGGGTTGAGAGGATGTGGATGTGGGTGGGTTGAGTTGAGATGGGTATAGATTAGGTTTGGGTTGAAGGAGAGTCTAAGATACAGGCCCTCATGTTGACGCGTCCACCGGAACTCGCTTTTGCGAGCGTTCGGGGGCCGGTTCATTCGACACTTGCCGCGCCCATTCTCACATTTTGGACATGGACCACAAACATTATCGGATTCAATTGGGTATATGTCTCCTTTCTTTTTCCTTTCTTATTGGTATTGGTTAATGCACTTCACAACGAAAGTATGACGGATTATTGCTTTAGACTTCTTTTCCACTTCATTCTTGGGCGCCAGGCATCTTGTATCGAATATAATATGTAGTATCATTGGCATTTTATCGCATAGACTGTACTTGTATCATGACTCTCGAGTGTAACTGTTGTTTAGTTAGTGCTCACGACCCATCATCCCCATTCAATCGAATTCATTGGTTGTCTTATACACCTGCAGCTGTATGACACGTGCGATCAAACTCTACGGTCAAGTGAGGTCCCAGGTTCTCTTCCTCTCCTTTCGTTCGCCGTCATCGCTCTGAGAAGGCTCCAAACCCATCGCTAGCTCGTGGTCTTACATTGGTAGCCGCGAGGCTGGACAACCTGGCGTCATACCACCACCGTGACTGACTGCGGTTGGGACTTTCAGGAATCGCTTCTCCCGTGGTCACGCCTTTGGCCTCCCTTCGTTGCATCTCAGGAAAGAAACTAAAGACGGGGTCGGAGAGGGCGAACCAGCGATTGAACCCTCGGTCGAGAGAACTGAACTCGTGCTGCAGATCTTTGACCTTGACGCTACTCCCCGAATTGCGCTATCTTGTACGCTAGTGTTAACGCTTGCGCGCATCCTTCGCGTGTAATGATTTCTATTGGCAACGACGCACATACCGATAGCAGGGCACAATCTTCGACTGCCGGGTCGCGGTGAATCGCGAGAGGACTTCAGCGAGGTCATCATCACAAGTGCTTTGTGGAGGTACTGGCTTTGGCTTGCTCAGTGACGTGTTAATGGCAGCTGGCAATAGGTGAGTTGCTGCTAACAGACTCCATCTTACACGATTTATTGACCGTTTGTTCTTGGATGAAAGCGTATCTCGACCTTGTCGCGTCATCTCAACCACCTCCTCTTAGAAGTTCCGACTGTTGGAGTCCTTTGTCCAGCTGTTGATCAATGATTAAGTTCATCCAATCGAGGTGCGGGCGATTTTCAGCGTTCATTTGGGCGAGATCTATTGTGACGCTTCATCGACGGGTCTTATGACTGGGCTCCCACACACCTGACTTTAGGCAGGAGACAGGAGTCAGTGGTACTTTTTCAAGAAGCACAGAATGCTGTATGCTTCGAACCCCGGAACGAGGCTAGCTCCAAGGTACTTGCTGTACCTGCCTTCTCTTTTCTCCCTAACGCTATGCTAGGCCCCTCTCTGTCTTGATTCTTATCCCACCCGCACCGTGACTGTCGGGACCTTGGTGGCTTTTGGGCGCCAATTACAGATGGTAAAAGGAAGCGAAAGCAAGGTACGTAGTGACCTCCTATCGCGCGTCACTTGGATGTTCACACCGATAGGGGGTACCAGGAGTGGGATTTATCATACTGGATCGAAATTTGTCTGTCAGCATTGGAAGTTTGTGGAAGTCCAGGCGAAGACCTACCCTCGGAGGCGGTACTATGTATGTATCGATCTTGCCTATGACGTAATTCGCGGGATCCACTGCTCGGAACGCTGGCGGTGATCATGTCGACAATGTGGCTCCGAATTGAAAGGACACCCTCCTCGTAATGCCTTACCGCTCGCTTTTCGATGACAGCACCCTTCCCGAATAAAGCTTTAAAGAGTCACCAAACACGAGGCTTGGGGTGTCCAAGCCTCTGATTAAAGATAGTCTGTCTCTCTGACAAAGGACACTGAGAACCATTCAAGAATCCGGGTGGGGCCTCAGTATCGTGGAGCTCCGAAGCTGTATCTTCCAAACGAGAACACGAGGCTAACGCGTGTCTGGTCCCCAGACGATCCATTGCCGCAGAAGAGAACAGTGGTGGGTGCAGGTCGCAGAAGATGCGAAGGCATGTTTTCCGAAGTCTGGCCAAGTTGCTGATACAGATTTAATTAGTGGATTAAACTTCCCGTGTCGATGATCTCCTGTCTAATCGAGCAGGCATGGGCGCTAGGGGATGGCTCTCGGGTGGTCTCTCTGCCGCGTCTCGTGTAGGGGGTCGTGGTGTGTAGGTTATTTCGGTATCGGGTTCGGAGGCTTCCGCTGATTCCTTTCATTTGACAGGAAAAATCGCGTTTACTCGATTGGGATGTGAAAGAGACCACTAACCCAGATGAGTAGTGACCAAATGGCGTTATCCGAATGGAGTGCCATCCAGTGACGCAGTGTTCCAGATGCCTCTTCCTGTAGTAGACTTCCTCCATTCTCATCCACAGCCTAAATCTATAAAATGGACGGTGCTGCTATGCTTTGGATAACTTTCAATCCCCCTCACAGTCAAGAACTTTCTCCTCGCCACCCACAGACGCCCAGTCTCAATCGACGATCACCCTGATGCCGTCCTCATCCACGAAACATAGTCGTTCTTCCTCCCACCCATCCTCGGCTACTCATCATAGTAGTCGTTCCAAGCACAAGATTCGCAAGTCGGTATCGAGTGATTCACCCCCGAAATCAGTTGTTATTCTCCTTCCACCACAAGCACCTCCTGTCATCATCTCCTCGCCGTCCCACCGCACGGCCGTGCCCGCTGCCCCCGCGCTCCTCCACTCATCATCCAAGTCAATGCCGGTCCCCACCCAGATCCACACCTCCTCTTCATATCCTCCTCCCGTCAACGTCACGACCAGTACATCGCACCACCATAGGGCTCCCCATGGCGCGTCAGGAAGTCGAAGTAAATCCCGGCATCATTCGAGCGGGCCCAGCCATAGTATGCCCGTTAGCTCGTCCCCCCCTCACACCACAAAGTATAGCTACACGATCGCCCCTATCGGGCGCTCTGTGAGTAATACTTCATCTGGTAGCGGACATGGGTACCCTAGTCACCATAGTGCACGAGCAACGGTGACGAGACCGGAGGATGAGTACTACGATCATCCGGCGGTTCGGGCATACGAGATGCAGAAGGCGGCGGAGCAGGCGAGGTGGAATAGGAAGGCGCAGCTCGAACGCGAGCAGATGCAGCAGCATCGTGTTCAGGTCCAGGTGTTCAATGCTCCAGGAAGCCAACACCGTTGGTGATAGCATATCTCGCATCGTTGCGAGTGTCTCGGTGGAATAAGTAAGTATTCGGCTTCGTATAGTCTCAAGAGCATTTATCTGACCATGGGATTGCAGACTTGTTTCTCGTCCACTTTTATGTACAGGTCTAGCATCTCCCTCACGATCCGGCCTTGCATCGCCTTTGTATTATTCTTTCTTGCTTTCAAACCCGGTCTACTCTATTATATTCACCGGATGTCTCCATGGACTTGCTTTTGATTGTGACGAGGGTATTTAAAGTGTAGCGCCTTGATGTGTCTATCACTATTCACGAAAAGGCCAACAACTCGGACGATGGGTTTTGCGGGGCAAAATATGCCGATTGATTCACGTACTTTACTTTGTACCATATACCTTTTACACGCGAACATACAATATACCGAGACGCTGCTATCGTTAGCTTGTCGTTACTACCTTCAGGTTACAAATATACATGTATAGTTATAATGAGGAACCCTCGAAGAAAAGACGATGGAAAGTGGTGACGAAGAAAAGCGAAAGGAATCGACGACAACCAAACTGGAACCCAACATTCATTCACCTACGAAGTAAGCTTAATGACCCAGGTCTCCGGACACGGCTGGCTTTGCGGAAGAAGCCTCTGCTTCTCATAGTCCTCGTCCCTCTCTAATCCTTTAAAAAGGGTTACATCCCCTAAGTAATCAATCCTCTTCGGGCGCTTATCCGCACCGGGATTGCCCTCCACCCTCTTCTTCACCGCAGCTTCCACCCTCTCCTTCACCTTCTTATCCAAAACAATCAGCCCCCACTCCGAGTCCAGAATAGGCTCCTGCAACGCCGCCCACACCGCCTCCCAAACCATCCCGCACGTTATGTTCGCTGTGGACTTGATATCGATCGTCCAGGGAAAGTTTTTACAGATCATGCGGAGCCAGTGGGTGGGCGACACCTTGGCTGGGAGGTTACGTGTGGCATAGAATGTTGAGGCGAGGATTTCGGTTTGTGGGTTGCGACGGATGTCAAATCGGAGTTTGGTGGTGTCGATGGCGAGGATGGGGTGTAGGGTGGGATACTTGGTGGAATATTGGGCTACGACTGGGGGCATGTGCGTGTCAGCGTTTTTTGGTTGAGCAGAGAGGAGACGGGGATGTACCTGGAGGAGCGGCCCCGTAGGCGTCGGTGTATGCTTGCCCTCCCCATGCTTGTGGTTGAGGTGGATAATTGGGGACTGGGCCCCAGCCTGGTGCTCCGTTTCCGTATGCTGCGGCGTTGCCGTACCACGGATTCCAAGACATCGTCGCTTAGAGTGCGCTATAGAGGACGAATGTGCGGGAGGGAAGATATCAAGGGATTAACGTCGAGATAAGCATGGGCGCTCTTATTTAATGCAACCTATGGGCGGCTGTGTGTGAGTCACGAGTGCTGTGCAAGTCATGAAATCCGAGAACCGTCGCTATTGTGGTACACCGTTCCTTGGATGAGTTGTGACATCGCCGAATTGGTTGCCCTTGGGCGCGCTGATTGCAGGTCCTCGTTTGAGTGACGTCTGATTGGATCAGTATTTCTAGAACGGTGGTGATGGTGGTGGTAATACCAATAGGCGCCCGTGGCTATGGTGCGCCTCGGGGGTATCGGCGTTCGAGAAATCGAGTAGGGGGAGTAGGGGTAGACCGTTATGTGGGCGCTCGTGCTATATGTAACTGTGGCAAAGCCGAGGTTTGGAAGGAATAGGGGGTAACGGGACACAATTCACGGATCACTACGACCATGTATTGACCAGTTATTGAGAGTCATAGAGAGCATTGCATCGAACTGTACAGCCTTCTAAGATCAGTGCGAAGTAATATAGTTTGGAAGGGAACGGAGCATACCGTCTGGAAGCCCGGTCCCCGACCATAGAAGCGAAGGTGCTGTAGATGGGCCTGTTCAGGAAATTTCCACGGACTCGGACCGCACTGCCTTGCATTGGGTGGCTTCCAAGCCTGGCCTTCTGTTTTCACTGTTCAGACTCAATTCGCTTTCAGCACTCACTGCTGGGTCATTGAAGCGCTTCTGAAACACAGAGAATTCAGATCATGATGGTGCTTGTTCAGCAGGAGAACTCACCCGCTGGTACGTGCTTCTATCGCCTATGGATTTGACAAGGTAGTTAGCGATATCACGGAGATCAGAGGGACTCGAGTAATGTGGGTGCAAACTAGGATGGCACGAGGCGTCGAGGCCGTGGTCTATCGACTTTACCGGAGCGCTCAAATGGCGAGGACGCCCGGCTAGGCGCCTATACACATCGCTGTGCAATCGATATGCGGTGGGCAGGGCAGGGCGAGATCGTGCACTTCCTGGACGCAGTAGTTGAATCATGCTGCACACTTGATGGACGGCCTGCTAAGCCCCCTCTGGATGCCCAGGCGCCGGTAAGGATCGATGGCTACCGATATCGTAAGGATAGTCATCCACACCGCTGGGAGCTGAATTTGAAAGCCGCGAGCGAAGGCCAGGGAGACCGTGACCAGGCAGATGTAATTTTGCTCGGGTTCTGATAAATTCTGGCGGTTCAATGCTCCAGGGATGAGGCGAAAGCCGAAGTTGACTGAATGTGCTGCCTTCGATTTGAACAAGTGCCCGAGAAAGTGAATGGGTGACCAGTATATCCAATGGTATGAAGGTTGAGTAGACTTGAGACCTCCCGATGAAAGCTCGGAGAATCTCTGAGTCGGCCAATCACTAGAATGTTCGACGCCGAGGGGTGGAAGGAGGGCGTGGTAGAGTCGAGGAGAATGGTCGCATGTTGAGAACTATTTAGGAGGGAGCCGGGGTGGGTATGGGAGCGGGTAACAATGTTCCCCACAGTGTATGGGGTTAAGAAGTATCACAAGGTTGTTCTGATTCCCATGAAGTGTCGATGGTAAGTCCGGGACAAACCCTTTTCTGACACAAGCCGTTCTCGAGTATTCCCACCAACGGAACGGGTGAAGTTCATAAAGCTGCGAGCTTCAACCGAGAGGTGGGGAAGGCGGAAACTGAAGCAGTTTGGATCAAAAATCCCAGGAAAGATGGTGGATTGTTGACCGAAGGGTTTAGCCACGAGGTGTAAAAGTGTCGCAGCCGTCGATCCCCCGCATGTGGGGTGTGAAACCCAAGAAATTGTGCCCTCCTGGTGGGCGAAAATGAAGCGTAAAAGGCTATCGGGTTCCGAGACAGGAGTTCTTCACTGTAATCATGTTTCCAAGGTCAATACATGCCGTGTGAGGCAGAAATAGATGGCGAGTTTGAGCCGCTCGCAGCAACCGATTGAAAGCCGATGCTGTGCCGCGGGCGTTGTTGACTTTTGTTTTGGTGCCAACGTAAGCAAGAGTAGGGCGGATATAACTGCCACGTCAGACGATTTCCGTTTCCTTACGACCTCCACGTAGTCCGTCCTGCCATTGCGCAGTATCCGCTTCTCCCTTATTTCCTTCCACACCGCCGCCTCAGGGCTTTCCTTTCCTTCGACCCTTACCAAGTCTCTAAATAATACATTCGACTTGGATCCAATTCGAATTTAACTATTCGGATTACAACAACAACACAAACATCACTGTATTGTGAGTAATTTCGGAGACATTTGTCTAGATTTTAGCGAATATTGACAACGACGTCGTGCAGATTTTTTTCACAACGAGAACCACAATGTCCTTTGTTTCCGCCCACTCCCCATCGCCATCGTGCGATTCACCCTCACCGTCGCCATCGACCTCATCACACGCCTTGCCAGACGCTGGACAGCCGCCCAGGAAGCGGTCCAGGTCTGAGATGACCTCTGAAGAACGCAAGGAAGCACGAGCGCACAGAAATCGAATCGCCGCTCAGAACAGCCGCGACCGACGGAAGGCTCAATTCTCATGGCTCGAGCGCCGTGTCGCCGAGCTCGAGGAGGAGAACCGCCGGCTACGAGCTGGCCTTCCTGTCCCCCCTGTACCAGCACCACCACCACCCGCAGGCCTTCATATCCCCGTTCTCTCCAACATCGCCCCCGCCATGATGCCCGCACCACAACCAATCCCTGTCCTCAGTCCCGAGGACGCAATCCGGGCCAGTCGGGATTTGGAGCGAGAACGGGAGAACGAAGAGCTCAAGGAACGCATCAAGACCTTGGAACGCGGCTGGGACGCAGTTGTCAAGGCTCTGGCAGCCCAGGGCTTGCCCACAGGCCTTTCAACAACTCCCGCCGCACCCACCACCGCCTCGACTCACTCGACCCAACCACTTAACCCCGTCCCTGTTTCGACGACTCCCTCTACTTCCACAACGCCCTCTTCACCCCCGACAACCTCCCCAACCACCACTACCAAACCTCCCATTTCCTCCGCCACACACTTCTCTACCGGTTTCCCTTCTCCTGCGCCCTCCCATGCCTCCGACTTCGACTTTGAAGCACCCGTCTCCGCACCATCACCATTGGCGTTGTCCACTCCCCACCAACAGCAGCGTGATGACGTTACCGCTCGCCACTCAGCACGGGTGGCGACCCTCGAGCCTCGCTCGACGGCCCTGCAGCGGGCGGTCTCGTCCTCTCACGCGGCCAAAGTGTCGGCGTGTACCCTTCGCCATCTACCAGCTTCATCGAGGTCTCCGATGATGCAACAGCAGATGATGATGCAAAGATGGAAGACTTGTTCAGGGAGATTGTTGTTGATGACTCAACGTCGTCAGCGACGGGCGAATCTAGCGGCCGACCAGTACAAGAGGCAGCTTCTGCTGCTCCGTCGGTCACTTCCACCACCACGGAAGTAGGGAAGACAGAGACCCAGGGACAAGGAGAGAGTTTGGGTAAGAGGAAGAGGGAAGAAGACGAAGAATCATCGGGAGCGACGAAGAAGCTCGCCTTTGACGGATTGGAATTGGGAATTGGAGCGAACGCCGGACTGGACTTTGGTTTCGACTGGTCGAATACCGCATCATCAACCACCACTGCGCCTCTCACTCCCGACGAGATGCAGCAGATGCTCAACCAGATCGACACCACCAACGCCATGATGCAGTTTCCCAACGACTTGGGCCTCGACATGACCTTGGATCTCGGTATCTGGTCCAACACTGCGACCGCTGGTGTTTTCTAAACCCGGCGCCAGTGTTGTCTGTCTTCCTTGTCTCGCATCACCGGATTCGACTCGTTGTTACCCCACTTCGCAAACGAGTGCGCCTAGTTCTGCGTACTTGAAGGTTTGGGAACAGCCTCACTGAGTCTCCGAAGCGTTGTTTCGTCCCACGTGGACCCCGTGACCCATTAGTCTGGACATTCGCCCAACATGGTGTCGCCCCTGATACCACCTCCCAAAATTGTACAACAGTATCCATTTCGTCTTTCTCATTGGGTTGGCTTTCTTCATCTACATCTAGAGCTCCAGTCGTTTTCGTTCATTTCGTTTTCTTTGTCATTTTCATCATTTCCTCTCATCATCAGCATCTCTCTATTTATGTCTCTCTTCCTCTCTGTTTCTCTTTTTGACGATAGTGTCTTCCTGCATTTTCTACCGTGGTTTTCTTCCTATCGCCCCTTCTGCGCAGTCGACCGATCCGTCGACTGTGGCACGCCCGACGACCTTACCACCTCTGACCCCGACTACTCGGCCTCGCTAGTCACGACTATCGGTCACCTCTCGCCGTCGAGTTCACCAGCTGGTCTCAAACCGACAGGACGCATTGCGGAGGGAGGGCCTAGGCGAGATGAGATGAAGGAAATGGCGGAATGAACTTCCTGGAAGCCGGGTGGGTGGCTGCTCCTCTTCGGGGTTGTAGCAGTAGCCTGCCTGTTCGCATCCTCGAGTGTTTTTCCGCTTTAATTTCCTTTCCATTCTCTCTTTCCGAAGCTTTCTGCTTTGTGGTGTTGTTTCTCGAGGGATGGTTCCACGTCTGGTTGGCTTGGCGAGTTGGAGGCGATCTTTGGTTCGCTGTCCCACCATCCCGATCGGTCTGTTTCCCTTTTTGGGAAGGAGGACTTCCTGTTTTGGTAGCACGTTCTATGGTTTGTTGGTTCCTCACATTTGGTTGTGGGCGATGAAATAGTTTACTTGCGCGTAGTACATGATTTGGAATGACACTGTTGTCCTGCAATATTTGTGTGAACACCGAAAACAAGAGTCCGAATGAAATGGGAAGGGAAGCTGGAGCTAAAAGTGAAAGGGTTGACTAGTGGAGAGCTGGGATGGCCGGGTGCGGGAAGTGGTGAGAAACTGAAAGGTACCGAGAAGGAAGTGGCGGGGATTTAAGCGGATACGTAGATAAGATGCAGACTGGAATAGGGGCAAATTAAAGGGAAACTAAGTCGCGACGTTCACGACGCAGCTGCAGGCAGAAGGGCCGAATAGCGCTTGGAACGCGATGTAAATAGCAATTCCTCCCAACGCAGACGCCATCGCCGCGATGGAAAGGAAAGAGAAGGACTGAGTGTTTGTGGCGGGAAGTTTGTCCTGCCATTGCGGCTCTTTGGCAATCATGGACCCATTCGGTCCTCGTTCACGAGTGACGACTACCGAAGGGCGGGATTGTGAGCCTACGCGACAAAATACGATGACAAGGAGACATACCTTGCGTACTGTGAATACCGGCAGAGTATTCGTTGAACTGACAACCATAGTACACGCTATCCCCAGATTCTGAAAAGTGTCCCTCTTGGGTGGACCCGTCGGCTGAAATGTGTTGTTTCGGTTGGTTCAAGTGGATTCTGTGACCACCATGACATTCCAAATCGCCATAACGGTCCAGGTCGGTGGGGGGTGATCGTGGTCTTGGTCGTGGTCGCCGGTACGGTTCGTCGGGGACGTCGTCTGAAGAGAAAGAGTTGGATCTGCGCAACTGACGCCTACGGTAAGTCGGGGTCATCACGTTGCGTGATCTCAAAGCAGGTGGCGGGGAATTGCGCGCGTCTCTCGAGCTGTGGGGTTGTCCGCTTCTGGGAGAAGGGTGGCCGTCTTGGCCGCCAATACTAGGTGAAGACTGAGAGGGAGCTTCTCTCTGCATGATTGGACGTTGAGAGAGGGAGGGGGAGGGGAGGGGGAAGATGGAGGCCATGGGTCGATCATGTCTTTTATTTAAACCTGCCTACTTTGCAAAACCCGCTTTCTGAAATTAAAGCTCCGATATCAACGATAGCCTCGTTCTTAAACAGCAGGAGTGAATAAGCTTCGAGGACTTGAGAGAGCATCCGAGTAGTACCAGTTATGGAAGTGACAGTGGGGAAGTCTCAAGTGCTGTGGGACTCCCGGGTCGGACTCACGTGCTACATCACATAGGCGCTTATTGATTCCGAGTCAGACGCGTCGGTCTAGGGCTGACAGACGTTCTGGTGCTGCCTTCCGCCGGAGTTTGTTTCGCTTAGATCTTAGGCTAAGATAAGTTGTGATACCTCACGCAACAAACAATCTACATCTGCGCTCTCCATTGAAAGTGGGATTATGGGACCCGGACTACGAGGAACTTAAGAGGCGTCGAACTATTGGAAGACATAACAGTACACATGATTTTGCTTCTAGCACATACACACTACCGCAACGCGTAGATTGTTTAGGTTATACCGTTTCGACACAGTATTCACTAATGAAACGATTTCTCAAACTCAAAATACACATGGTTTAGAGACAAGAGTTTTCCGATTTACGGACCCGTACGCTTTTGGAGTACGAACGCTACCCAGGGCATGTATTTCTAGACTTGCAATAGTCCATTCTGCGCTCGGGCTTTCTTTTTTCTCGTCTCGTTCAATTTTCAATGACACCAAGCTGTATGCATACTACAAAGCGGTGCTGTAGACATTCGATTTGATCGGTGAGCGAAATGTAACCTGCAGTGACTAGTGACATAAATAGGATTGTCGGACTGTTGGGCCTTCCCAAGACTAAGTATGCAGCACTTGCGCAGAATGAGCGAATGGCTGGAGCCCATGTACAGGGGTAAGTACATCACGTAGGACAGCCATCACTTACACCGATTCGCTATGTACGCCACTGCTCGGCTCCTTGAAAAACTAACACTCACCGTACCTCAGAAATAGTATATACATAGCCTCCATCAGCTTCATCAACGTGTACGAGCCTCTCGACTAACGCCACCAGCATCAGCCCTCATTGACTTGACTTCATCAACGGGTTCAAGCCCATGTTGCCACTAAGTAACACCATATAGCCTCATCGGCTTCATCAACGGGTTTAAGCCCACGTTGCCAGTACTGGTTACGAACATCTCTTTCCAACGCTACCCACTCCGCCCGGCATTCTTTCTAGACGACATTCAACACCCTCGCTGACGTGTAAACGGCTCTCCCCGCCTTCTCTTAGGGGTCTTATGTTGGTAGGCAAGTCTACAGGGCCACATGGAATTTGGGCGGTCAACTCATCTGCTACGCACCAGCACCATAGTCTCGTGAACCAGACTCGATTCTTTGGAGAAGATAATCGTTCTCTTGGAAGAGGAAGAATGGTAATTGAACACCATCATCCCCGTGTGGGCGCCATTTGCATCACGCTTCCCTTGAAGCAGCGCCCATAATTCTCTTATGACCTATAATTTGAGCACTCGTTGACTTCGTGCACGTACCCTCTTTCCCTACCATGGTCTTCCACTTGAAGGCGTTTCCACTGCTTATTCCAACTCTTCTGCTTATCTTCGCGGGACTTGCATCATCCGAGAAGCTAGACGGACTCTTGTTACCTCGCGCTGGGACCTTAGCCTTGGATGCTGTTCCCATTGGTTCAGGTTCACTGGGAATCCGCGACCAGCCCAAGATGGTCTGCGTTAATGGAACAGGTAAGACAGTCGTCAGCTTGGTATCTCGTTCAGACTTCCCTACGATCTATTTGCGCGACTGCAGAAATATGCGGGCCCGACTCCGTCCAGTGCTGTCCACCCGACACAACTTGTCAGAAAGAAAAGCTCAAGCCCACCTTCAAGAGTTCTTGCAGTCAAACACGTCCGTCCGGGACGCTGAAACCTCTCTTTCAGCAAACGTGTTAAAGGTCGAGCATGGTGCTGCCCCAAGGATGCCCTGATTTGCGGTCTCGAGGGGCTCGCCGCCACCGACTGTTGCGATGCATCCATCGGGTGAGTTTTGACTCGTTGTTCTCGTTCAAGCCCTTTGACCCTCGTCTCCGTTTGCTATAGTGAGCACTGCTGCGGCGATATCTGTTGCGCCAGAAACCAAGAGTGCCAATTCGACGGTGTAGAATTCGGGTGCTCGACCACAGAGGATGAGGCCGGTGAAGCCGAGTCAGCGTCGTCCACCAACGATGGGAAGGCGATGATGCTCGCGACTGTTGGGAGTTACGGTTTTAGTATGCTTGCGGTGGGCGCATCCGTCGCTTTATGGTCTATGTAGAGATTTCCGACCTTCTCTCCTTGCTGAAATATATGTTTCGATGCACATTAGAGCTGCGGGAGTCCATTTCAAGATGATATCCTCCAAGCGTCGCCTATTCCGAGTCGGTCCTGCATCATCGCTTGGCAACACCTGCGCGCCGAGCTGAGACCCACCGCCCATTGCGCGGTGTTGAGCATGATGGACTGGGCCTGAGCTTGAACGTCGAGGGCCCGCACTTCCCAAGCGACTTTTCTATAGCCCACTCCACCTTCTGCGGCAACACGTCTCGCAATCCACATACAGAGCTATGCGAATGAGCACCGCTCGAGGCTGGACAGTCCTCGCGCTGGCTTCAGCGTATCTCTCCGACAGCGTGCTCGCCACGGAGAGGTTGGACGGATTGTTAGAATCCCACAGCAGACCAGCCACCCCCGCGGACAGCGGTTCCAGGTACCCGCTAAGCGCCCGTCAAATGAAGACGGAATGCGCAAACGGAACTGGTGAGAACCGCCAGCTCCACAGCTCGACTCCGAGTCTGCGCTGACCTGACGACTGCCCTTGTATCAGTTTCATGCACTGAAAGTCCTTTCTACTGCTGTCCAACAGGACACACATGTCTTCTACCCCAGTACGGTCCATCTCTTCATCCCGCCACCCGTGCTGTGGTCGTCGACTGACAACTTCGATCGCCAGATTCCGAACGGGCGATAAGAAGCAACCATATTGTTGCTCACCTGCAGCTCAGAGCTGCGGTCCTGACGGTACAGACTGCTGTGAACCAGAAAGGTTCGTCATCATTCCACCCTTCGAGGCGACGCGACGTCCGCTGACACCGCCCTTTGCTTATTCCCTTCTTCACGCCCAGAGAGAAGTGCTGTGGACCCATCTGCTGTGAATTGAACAAGTTTTGTAATCCCAACGCGGTTCCATATTGCTTTGATTCAGAACTTGAAGCCTTGGAAGCTGGTGGATTGTCGGGGAGTGGAGCCTTAGACAGGAATACGAAGATGGCATGGGTTGCGATCGGGATGATTGCGACTGTGGGCTGGATCATGCAAGGGCTCTGACCCGAGTCTCTTCTTTCCCACACGTTTCTAGATACAGATCGTAGAATCCATCAAGTATGTATTCAACAACAGGATTCGGTACAAGAGAACCAGGAAGAGAACAAGTAGCGTGTGGTCTTCTTCCTCGTTTTTGTGGGCGCCGACGCACACACGCCTACAAGTATACCGACTCTCGAGCGTATATGAGCAGGTGTCGGTTCATGTCTTTTCCAAACAGGATAAAACCCCAGGTTACCCCAGGGCTTCGCACCCCTTCCCTGCCTCTACGAGCATGCACCTCCACTTCTCTCAGTGTCCGCCACAATGGCCCTCGACTCACCGCAACCTCGATACGTATGGTCTCTCGATGTGCAATTTGTTCACTGCACGTTGGGATTCGATGCACTGGGTTGCGGTGGGTAGGCGTCATTTGGCGGAGATTGGCAGAAGTGAAGGTTTCGCGTTCCTCCAATCGTCCAATCGAGGACGCGCTTCCACTCCTGATGGGTGGGTTGTCAGTGAATACGCTATCTAGATTGTAGAATCTAGATAGCGTATTCATTCGCGTCCTTCAGGCTGGTTCACGGTCCCCTGCTTGGGCGTCTCCGGCTGGAAACGTCGTACAGATACAATCTTCGTACTGCTGTCGTGGACGCTACGACGCCGCTCGATAATCTTCCAACGCCTTCTTGACCTCCAACTTCTCCATGACTGCTCGATACAAACTCGACTGCTGTTTCTTTGGTTTTGTAGCTTTCGGTCGTGATCCTGATGTAGGAGCGGTCGGAGTCAGATCTCCTGATTCGTCTTCTGTTTTTGCGGGAATGGCGGATGCGGGGGACGAGGTGGTAGAAGTAGATGTCGAGCTGTTTGCGTTGGTAGAAACTGGATTTGGGGCGTTGGAAGTGACTGCTAGAGCGCGTAGATGGACAGGGACAATGATTGGAGTCGTTCGGGGTGGGGGAGGCCACTGGAAACCGAGGTCAAGTCAGGTAACGTGAGATGAAGAGGATGGACGCACGCCTCGCCCGGGTTGGCAGAACCAAAGAGCTGCCCATGGCGGATACTCCTTTTCTAATTTGATGATGTGCTCCTCGAGGAACTTGAGCCTCGCAAGCAGCGTTCGAGGAGGCGAAGGAACTGAAAGAGTTGCGTCAGCTTCGTAAGTAATGGTTACATAGAAAAAAAGGCATACCGTATCGCACAGCGAAATGAGCTTCGATATTCTTCAATCGATCGTCCAAGGCGGGATAGCGAGATGGAGTACCCTCTTCCTCTTCCTCGCTCGGCTCCTTCGTCAAAACCTCACTTTCTGTCCTTCGTCGCACTCTTCGCCCGTCTGAAGTTCCATCGGCGCCGTCTCCTCTGTGAGCCCTCTTGTCCCCAATGTTGGCTTTGCCCTTTGCCCTAGTCCGGCTGAGGGGACCATCGCTGTTCTTCGCGATATCGTACTTCATTTGAGCGTCGCGGTCGATCGGTCGGGCGTCCGTTCGTGCACAGGAGGAAACGTTGCGAGGGTCGACAGTACTTGGTGACCGTTGTTTTAGTTCGCCATTCTTTTTATCTGTACTGTTCTGCGGAGTGGCTTCTGTGGTCGAGTCGGCGCTCTGGAGTGCTGCCAGTTGTTTTCTCCTCTCTGAGAGGGAATACAAGAACTCGGCTCGATTGGAGGCGTTGTTTCGTGCTCGGTTGCGTGCCAGGAATTGCGATATTGATTTGGTCATCTGTTCGAAGTGTCAGGAGAGGTGACATAGAAATGCATATGTTGCTCACAGTGGTCGGTGTCCTAGTCGGTTCGTTGGGTACGAGATGAGGGGAAACATATGCGAGTTTACGCGTGTCCAAGCGCTCCTTGGAATCGGATTGTGAAGGACCAGCGTTCTCGGGGGTAGGGGTAGCTCCTTTGTCGAAGGATTCGCGTCCATCTTCCTGGCGACGTTTTAAAAGGCCTTGAAACCGCCGAATCATTTTTCCAACTGCAGTGTAAACGCCCGTAGTCTCCCAGTCGGGAGAAAGAACCAGCATGTCCATCTCCAGCCCTTTTAAGCTCTCGGTAAGTTTTGCTTCCTCCAAGAATGTTTTTAGGATATCGTCCCAGTGTTCGTAGTTTTCGGGTGGTTGTGGTGGAGGCACGGGTGGTTTCTCCACTGGCTTGACTGTCGATGATGGAACTGGGTGAGGCTTTGGGGCTGGAGAAGGTGCTTCTATTGGTGCAGGCTGTCTAGGCGTGGCATTGACTTCATTTTGATCGGGTTGAGTTTGGTAATAGGCGTTGTACCCCGAATAATGTGGATGAATTCCTCGACTTGGATCGACATGGTGTTCCTGCTTCACAGTTGGTGCCGGCGGTGTCGACGACGCTGGATACTGGCCTGGGTGATGATAATATTGGTACCAGTTCGTCGGCCAATGTCCTTGTACAGGAGGTTGAGGTGGGTGAGTATAAGTCCCAGGATATGTAGACGGGTAGTGATTGTACAGCGGTGGATGGTGGCTCGTCGACGTCGTGGGGGCACTTGGTGTCGAGCTTGTCCGGTAGTACGACGAGCGCGAGGATTCTGCCGCTGCGGGCGGTGGTCCGTGTGTCATCGTTGGGTCATGGAGTTGGGAAAACGATTCGTATTCAAAGACAAGATCTTGAGCGTCAAACTTTGAAAATGATGACGGTCAGTTTGCCGGCTACTAGATCAATGGCCGGGTCTGACTTTAGGGCAGGTCAGTTGAAGGCAAATACTTCGCTATAGATTTTAAGTTATCGGTACTAATAACGTCCGTATCGATTAGGGGTTAAATCACTTCGTTGTGGTTGAGCATCGCTCCGAAGAGCCGCTGGTTCGATTCCAGCTACGGACATGATCTTCACTTTTTGTTGCTTTTTTTTGTTCGAACGCTCCGCAGAATTTCATAGAGAGAATAAATGATGTTCATATTTTTCAGGCTCGCCTGGAGGACATCGTCCTACAGGCCAGCGTGCAGGGTCAAGTCGAAACCATCTGTGAAGGACTGTGACCCGCAAGATAACTTTTGATCGGAATTGTTTTCACTTTCCGAATCAACGTCGACCACAGCGATTCCCACATCCAAAACATCCAAGTGATTTGCAGGTTCTCCAACCGGCCTGGCGAGAGTACTAGTCCTCCTGTCCAGCAACATTTACCGCGATATCAACCGCCACGTTCTCGGCCACGAGGCTCGGCCGTCACGGCATTCGCCGGAAGGAACAAAAGAAAACTCTCCGAGTTTGCCATTGTTTGTGCCGAACAAGATATATCGTGAGAAGGCCCCCCAAATTATTTTCCTCTCCCATAATTTGGTTCTCCACTGTGCTCCGCTTCAACTTGAGCGGCTACGACTTTGCTACGCCCACAGTTCGTTCAACTTCGTCATCGTCGCCAACGTTCTACGCCACTCCTTTTCACCTCCCCTCGTCGCGACGAACGTTCTTCTCAACGAATTGCTCACCGTTCCATGCCCGCTCGACGTCGCTGACGAACCACAGGGATGGAGAGCATCTACGCTATCATGGGCGGCCTTGGCCTCCGACTTTTGCTTTCCGGTATAACGCGCTATCATTCACCGCTAGCGGACCACGCATTTTCCTATAAAGACGACCTCTCTTCAACGCTATTCAACATTCAATATGCCTCCAGAGCCAGCTTCAAACTCACCACCGTCCTAGTTGGCCTGTGGGAGGGTATTGTCACACTTCACTATCTCAAGAAAATGCCCAACTCTTGGGACCCATACATTGCCTATGGGGTACGACTGTTCATTGACTTGATTGTGACGGAGAGTATTGAGCGGTTGGTTGTGGTGGTGATATGGACTGGGTTGGGGATGGTGCTGGCGGACGTGACGCCCGGGATTTGGAGAGAAGTTGGTTTGCATCGGATTTGGCGGAGGACGAGGAGGGACTTGTACACGATTTCCAGGATCGTGGAGAAGGGCGTCCCCAAGGTCGCTCTTCCTCCTCTGCCCCGTGTCCGTGTCGTCCGGTTCTCTGGGGAAGACAGGGAAGAAGAAGCCAGGGCTGAGCGCGAGAGGGAGCGAGAAGAACGCAGGAGAGAACGGAGAGAGAGACGCGCCGAGGCTGAAGCTGCTCGCCAAATTGAAGAGGACGAGGAAGACGAGTCCATCTCGGCGCCGGTTACCCCTTCGATTCTTCAACCTCCGTCGTCGACTATCGAGACCGCGACCGTGGCGAGTGCAAGGAGACGAACGACACCTGCCGCCCAGTCAGAACTGGCTTCTATCCTGGACCGGACACCGTCGGCGTCAACTTCTGCATCAACTTCTGCAGTCGCCACACCAGTCATTGCCACCGTTTCGAGCAGCAGGAGTCGCGAACGTGAATTTGTGGTCCAGCGGGAACCAGCCAAGGAACGCGAACGCTTCCCCATTGGTCTTCCAACGCCCGACACCACTGTTGCGAACGCTCGTCCAACACCGTCCCGTTCAGTGCGCCAATTCTTGTTCGAAGACAACATTCCGACCTCGCCTACCCCCTCCACTACGTCTACCACCGACCTCGACTTCAGCGTCGACGACGACCTGGACGATGATAACCGTTCTTCCTCGGCTGCTTCCTTCACGGCTGCTTCGTCACCCTTCACTTCCGCTTCCAATCTCACTCCTCGTATCGAGCTCCTGAGCCCTCCAGGCTCCGAGTACGATCTCCAGGAACCGGATACTCCTCAATTCACAGGTCAACGACTTCAGTTCCTGGATACAGCAATGGACAATGCTCCCGAAGTCGATGCAGAGTTCGAGCTCATGAGCGATATCGCTGCGGAAGAAGAGATGCTCGCTATCGCTGGTGGAACCGGAAAGTACGACGACGATTACGACGACGAAGTCGCCACTCCCCGAGCTCGCCACCCGTATCTCCCACCCACCCCTTCGGATTCTGCTGCTCGCTTCAGCGTGTCTGGAAGGAGGCCTGTTACGATGGGAAGGCGAGACTTGCCACCTGCAGACGAGTCCGCCTCCATGGAAGAGGAAGAACATGTCGTCGTCCCTCCTGCCGCCTCGCTTGAACAGATCCCCGACGATGAACCAGAGCCCCCGAAGGAACAAACCAAGGAAGAGCGACCACCCACACCACCCGCCAAGGACGACATTCCTGCTGGTTACCGCTCCCCGCCCCCTACCGCAGCTGCCAAGTTGAAGTCTTCGTCCTCGAAGAAGGCTGCCTCGTCTATCGGTGTCCGCCCTTCCGAGAAACCCAAGAAGTCGTCCAAGAGCAAGAGCGTGGTCAGTGAAGGAGCCCAGACTCCCCAGCTCGGTTCATTCACTACTCAGTTCAATCTCCCCGCCCCCGCTCCTGCTCCGACCCCACCTCCCATCTCGGTGGCCACTTCCGGGCTTCAAGTTCCCAACGCTCCAGTCGGTGTCGCCATGATTACGCCTGTTTCTGCCGACCGAGATGTACCAGCCGCCAATGTTCCTGCCCCTCAACCTCAAACCATGGCTCCGCAATCGTACATGGCTGGGTCGGGTGTTCCTGTTCCCCCTACTCCCGGTACTCTCCTTGGCGGGTTCGGCAACCCTGGTATTACTCACGGATATTCCAACCGCTACGAGGATGACAGGAGCACGGTTCTGCCACCTGCCTACGAAGACTGGACTGGACATCGGGACAGTCAAGAGGAGGAGGAAGATGATATGTATCTCGACGAGGAGACTTCAAGGATTCACACCGAGGCGTATCGTCAGGCTTTGGAAGCTGAGACTGAGGCTTCTCGTGTTCAGGTACGTTCTTCTAATCCAATACTGTTATTTGAACCATTTCACTAACGACTATTTCTCTCTGCCCAGGACGTACCTAAGAAAACCTACTCGACTGTCTCGAGGCGGACATCACCGCCCAAGGAACCCGCACCTGTCCAACAAACCGTCGCGCCCGTCCTTACCAGTGAACCTGCACCCATGTTCCAATCTCCGCCCATCTCCCCTGTCTCACCTCTTGCACCCACCTGGGGAAGGAAGGACGAACCACCCAAGGATCGTAAAGGCCGAAGCGGACGCGGTAGCATCGAGAACAAGCGCACCGAGCCCGTCAAGAGTCTCGTCAATTTCTGGGCTGGCAAGGACGACGCTGGGTCTGTCATCGGCACCCGAAGCGATATTGGCCCAGTTGGAGGAAGGAGGCCCAGTATCAGCCGGGCTGCAGGTAGCATGAGCACAGTTGGAACAGGTACCCGCGCACCTCTCGATACGAGCGCGATCTACCGACCTTCATCCAAGTCGAAGTCCCGCTCCAACTCTGTCTCAAGGGCGAAGACGAAGGAGCAGCAGGAGGAGGAGGACGAAGCTGCTAGGGTGGCTGCTGCTGCTATCGCTTCAGCTGAGGCTTTGATCGCGCAGCAAAGGTTGGAGGACGAAGAGGAAGAGAGGGAGAGGAGGAGGAAGCGTGAGTTGGCGGAGGAAGAGGAGAGGAAGAGGGTTGAGAAGGAGATGGCGGAGGCTGCTGCTGAGGTGGAGAGACTCAGGTTGGAGGAAGAGGAGAGACAGCGCAAGGAAGAAGAGGAGAGACTTCGTCTCGAGGCCGAAGAGCGAGCCAGGAAGGCGGAGGAAGAGCGTTTGGCTCAGGAGGCTGAGGAACAAGCTCGTCGGGAAGAAGAGGAGCGTCTTGCTCGGGAGGCTGAAGAAAAGGCACGTCAGGAGGAAGAAGAGCGCCTTGCCCGTGAAGCTGAAGAACAAGCCCGTCGAGAGGAAGAAGAGCGCCTTGCCCGTGAAGCTGAAGAGCGAGCCCGTCGAGAGGAGGAGGAGCGCCTTGCTCGCGAAGCCGCCGAGGAGAAAGCCCGACTGGAGGAGGAAGAGCGCCAGCGCCTGGCTCGTGAAGCTGAAGAGAAAGCTCGTCAAGAGGAGGAAGCCCGCCTTGCAAAGGAAGCTGAAGAAGCTGCTGCTGCCGAGGCCAAGCGCATTAGGAAAGAGGAGAAGAAGAGGAGAAAGGCGGAAGAGAAGGCAAGGAAGGAGGCTGAGGAGGCTGCTGCGGCTGAGGCTGAACGCAAGCGTCTCGAAGAGGAGGAAGCCGAGCGCGAGCGTCAACGCATCGCTGCAGAGGAGGCTGCTGAAGAAGAGCGGCGCCGACAGGAAGAGGAGAGGCTGCGCGAGGAAGAGGAAGAACGCAAGAGGAAGGCACAGGAGGAGGAACAAGAGAGGAGGTGGAAACTCGAGATGGAGGAGCGCGAGAGGTTGTTGGCTGAGGAGGCCGAGAAGAAGAGGAAGGAAGAGGAAGCTGCTGCTGCCGAGGAAGAGAAGAAGAGGCTTGAGGCTGAAGCCGCTGCCGAGGAGGAGAAGCGAAAGGCTGAGGAAGCGGCTAAAGCTGAGAAGGCCGCTGCTTCCGAGAAAGGTTCGACATTGTCTTTCAACAGGAACAAGGAATTACCACCCATCGTCGATGCCGACGCCGACAATCAGCCTCCCTCCGTCTTTGGTTCAGGACTCGACGTTAACAAATTCGACAAGGGACCCTACGATGCTTTCGATGACCCATTTAGCCAGCCGAACGACGGTGACGTCCCTACTACACCCACTCAAGAGACAACAAATCTCGCGGGTATCGGTGCTGGTGGGCGCAGCGACCTTGGACGTGCAAGAAGCGAAGTTCAACAGCGCGAGGCCTCACCTGCTCCCGTTATCACGGTCGACCCCGGTAGTGCCAACGCCAGTATGAATGCTGACGCCGATGCCGATGCGGAAGGTGAGGCGGAGGGCGAGGGCAACGACCAGGATGCTTTGGGTGCCGATGGAGATGACCTCGCTTCGGTCTCAGTTGCGACCAGCGCTACTGCTGTCTCTGCAGACATCGAGAAGCGAATGCAGAAGACGTTCTCGTTGCGCGCTCAAAAGACTGATGTAGAGCGTCGACTGGAAGAGATCAAGGCCAAAAACGCCCCCGAGGACGTCGTCAAGGCCACCGAGCGCGTATTGAGGAAGTACGAGAAGAAGCTCAGGCGGTATTACGAGGATTGCCAACAGCACTCATTCTACTACTCGCACGCCCCCACCGACCTCCTGTTGATGAAGATGAGCCCCGAAGTTGCACGAGACCACATCAACGAAACTCTCCTCTGGCATATCGTTCCTGACCGACAATCGTTCGCGTTCAGGATCACGCTTCCTCCAACCAACAATAAGGCCGGCAAAGCGCTCAAGGCAGCTATCCTCAGGCACCTGGAAGAGTAGGTTTTCCTTCTTCATCTCTGAGGTCTTCCCACTCACCACTTGTTACAGTGAACTCAATATCAAGCCAGTCACTGATAGAGCCAATGGAAGGGTGGTGCATGTCACCATTGACGAAAACGAATTCGACGAGTGGGTTGCGGAGCATCGTCGTGCTGCTACTGCTGGTGAATCGTGATAGGTGAGACTTTCCGCAAACTCCTTCGGCCTTCTGGACATCTTGCTCATTGTTCTCACAGACGATGAAACATTTTTATTTTTTCCTTTTCTTGCTCGAATTCTCCGACGACGTTCTTACGAAAATTCACGACTGATATCATCTCGTTTTTCCATTGCTTTTTACTCGCTACCCCATACCAAGCTCAAGGACACTTGATTTCTATCGCTGGCTACGATATCCCCATACGCTACTCAACATCGCTACGATTTCCATTTTCTTTTTATTCATTTGGGCTTTCCGTTTTTATGACTCGACTTAGCGACATCCCTATTCTTGCTACCGAATCCTTGTTGTATTTGTATCTTGGAGTCGATGCTTCGTTCTTGTCTCTTCGTTCTTGTACCTCGCACATTACGATTACCCCTACCTGCCTAGACTTCTAATGACCTGAATGACACGACTTTATGATCTCGAAATCCGCGACGCCTCATTGTATGATATTGGTGGCAAACTACCTCCTCGCCTCGCTCCATCCTCCAGTCGAAATACTGTCAGGCAGAGTACCACCACAGCTATCCACATGGTGTGTATCCGGTGTCAGGGTAATAACAATCTCACCACCCAGCCGGAAGGTATCATAAAAATCAAGGTGGCATCTTGAACCACTGGGATTAGGCGTCACCGTAGCCGTTCCATTGGTTTCGGTCGACCATCGTACTGATCCGTCGTTCGCGATGACGGAGACATCCTTGACGTATGCTGCAGCGCCGGGTGGTATCTTTTCTGCGACTGACTTGGGGTCGTAATTGACTACGCGAACGGTGGTGCTGACATTCAGGAAGGGAGTGTGGATCGTATACTTGGGAACCATGGGCGAGAGAACCAGGTATTGGGTCGTTGAAGGAACTTAGGACAGGGTGTCAGAGCCAGCCGAAGGGGTGAGAACAGACGGAAGACATACTTGGGTACAATCCCAAGATATGGAAAGCCAGTAAGGTGGCCATAGCTGCCTGATCATCGTTTCCTGGAAGACCATCCGCGTCTACTCCAAAGTTCTGGAACACCACCTCCCTAACACGTTGCACGGATTTGGTGGGCCTGTCCGCGTAGTGATAACCGATTGGGGTCTGATCACCAGGATTCAGGGATGAAGCAGAGAGGAGAAGCCACGGACTGCAACATACCTGGAACGATGGTTCATTCCCTGCGAGATAATACTCTTCGTCGAAGAAGTGATCCAATCGCTTCACAAACGTCTCCTGTAGCTGTTTCAGAACCTCCAGAGAGGAGCTTGGGGACGATCGCTCACATTTCCACCCATGATGTCGATCAAATAAGCCGTGTCGTGCGGTGCAAAGCTGCGAAAAGTCAGGGATAGGGTATGGTCGATGTCACGTATGACGCTCACAAACTATATTCCCAAGAACTAGATTCATAGAAACCATTGGTGTTCGATCCCTGGAGAGAGCAGGGTCTCGTCTCATTCTTGTCCTTAGGCGAACAGTTGGTCGGATCGGTATACGCAAAGGTTCCATTCGGGTACCGTTTCTGAAAGAATCCTGAAGCCCTTTTCAGCAAATGATTTCATCCCCACTGGAACCAATCGACCGACCTTTGAAACCGTCGCTCTCGACAGTTTCATCCCAGATGTTACGATAGAACTGAAGTGCAGGACCACGATTAGTGCGATCGCGAATGAATGAACCGACTTAGTACCAGTGACATGTTCGTGTACTTCTCAACATCATCAGGTCGTTCAAGCAACTGGGCCACCTGTCGAATCGCAAAATCTTCGAACGCATATTCAAGGGTCCGGCTTCCTTCTCGAGTTTGTCTACCAGTGCTTGAAGTATCCAATACCGCGAACGGAACATACCCGTACTGTCTGAAGGGACTCAAAGCCTGATACGAATCGGATGAGAGGAAGCTCTTACTTGTACACGTTGATTTGTCGGCCTTGGATGTTCCACTCCGGCGGATTCACTTCAGCATCAGTGACCATCGCCCGATACGCTTCTTCAACATCTATTCCAAGTCTCTCGGCTTCATTGTGATAGTGGACCACGAAATGCCCGACAATGTTGTCGGCACTGGTACCTGCACATAGCCTCTCCATTTCATATCTCCACGAGATCAAGTTCGGACCCACCTCCTTGCGTCCATCCTTGAAGGTTGTTGGCACGACATTCAGGCATCCATCCGTGTTTGCGCCAACCGTCGATGTAAGTCTCGACAATCTCTGCGTATTCTTCAGGCGAGTGCAATCCGAGGAGAGGGAAGAAGGTCCGGAACTAATCACCATGGACCCTGAGATGTTTCCTGTCTGCTTACTGTGCGAATGTACTCACAGTATCCCAACTGTAGGGTCAGGAGAGTTAGACAAGAACGAGGAGTGCGTATCTCCTTACCTGCAGTACAGAGAATCAAAATATGGCGAGGTTGTATCCGCGAATACACCCTGGCTTTCGCCCGTCGCATTGTTCTGTCAATCGCTTCAGTGCTCAAATCCTGCAACAAGAGCCACGTACCGGGGTCAAAAAGCTCCTATACAGTGACGAATAGAACATCTGCGTTATATTAGGCGGTGTGCCAGGAACGTCGATCTCAATCCTGGAAAGCTTCTCTTGCCACAGGACCCGAGCCCGCTCGCGAATCTCTGCAAAGCTTGCAGAACCAATTTCTTCTTCAGCGTTTGCACAAGCCTGGTCGACCGACCGGAAGGATATACCGACACGGATGTTGAGTTCATTCGTCTCAGGATCCTCAGGTATAAGCGAGAATAAGGCACCGGATTGGTAGATGCCGCCGATCAAGTTGAGTGACAGGTTGAGTCGGGTGAGGCCCAGCCCTTTCGCATCAAGCCCGTAACTGAAAAAAGGGAGAAAGGATCTGTGAACTCGACTATCACTTCACAAGAGAGGAGTTCGCCTTACTTGTCAGCTGTCCAAACGCCGTATTCTTCGAGCTTCTGTTTTCCTCCGTCGAGAAGATCGTAGCACGCGAACGCCTGATAGTTGAACCTCCCAGGACCAAAACTGGAGGTCGAACATCAGCTTTACTCTGGACACTGGCACGAGCTAACATTACCTAGAGCCATAGCGACCCCCGATGGTGATCCTACCTTCGTCAGGGTGGATAAGAAGTTCTCCGCCAGCGAAAGACGCAGGTAAATCATTGGCCATATCGAGCACGAAGTACGGTTTGGTATTTGGCGGGAACGTGAACCTTTCCAGACCTGCTCGTCGGGTTGCAGTAGCTTCCATCTTAATGTCATTGTCCAATGTGAGGGTAAAGTACCCCGGAGCACCGTCTACTGAATCATAAGTAGCGCGGGAGCGCATATCGACGCAACATACCATCGGTGAACGGTTTCCTGAGCCGCTGACGGGCGTTAAGTGAAGTGGTGCAGGTCTCAAACCCCCCAGGACAGAGTACAGGCATCACTTCAAAGTTCCCGTATGTACCTTTGGACACCAGTTAGATCAACAGCTTCGAAAAAGGAACGACCGATCCTCGGGCCTACCCAAAGATGACCCAGTGCCACTGTCATGCAAAGGGCTCAGTCCACGAACAAATTCGGATGCGTTGGCCACGTATCCTGAAAGTCTGTCAACCTCAACGGTCTTTACCGGCAAGATTTCCACCGACCAGCAGGGGCATATCCCGTCATATCAGTCGAAAATTTGACCTGCGGTCGAGTTTTAGACTATAGCTACCGCAATGGCAGGAACACCGTACCATGCCAAAGGGAAGGGATGCTCCTGGACTAATGAAGATCAGGCCGGGGTGAACCTGGTGCTTGGTCATGTCAGGGTTCTTACCAGACATTGCCGAAATTCGCTGTATTGAAGGCGCTATCAGTGCCATTCAGGAACAGGAGACAAAGAGATGTCACCAGTTCCAATGAAGGGGTTGACAAAGGCCGTATAGTCGAGTTCAGTTGCATCAGCGGCGGCTTCGATGTCTTCCGTGATACGTTTCTGCAAGGCTGGGGAAGGCTGAGCGTGGGCAAGCCACGGCGAGAGCTCAAGTGCAAAAATGAGGTACTGCAGCAGGCACCCCATCTTGGCAGGGCGAAGCTTGTAGAGTTCAAAAGACAAAGGCGAAGAGTATATGACAGGCAGGACAAATGAGTAGGTCAACCTGAGTCAGGAGAATGGCCAGAAACTTGAAGAAAGGGCTTTCGCTTCGCCCATACATGGGGTGGCTGCGGGTATCTTTAAAGCCAGGAATCGAACAATTGTGAACCCCAGAAACTTCTGTGGACGTCTTCAGAAGAGACTACCACAGGGTAGATTAACCGCAGAAAGAATAAATGGAAGTCGAAAGAATACCCATCTTGCTTCTTGCACCTTAGGACGGCCAAGCGAAGCTGAAATGTCTTGCTAGGGATTTGTCCTGGCCTTTCTTATTATCCCAGGAAGATAACAAAAACGAACGTCAGAAGGGTAATCTTACGAAGAATCAATAGAAAGAAGGTGCTCACTGTCTGCTTGATTCCCATCGCTTAAAAACGGGAAAGACGAGGTCCCCAGGTATGATTCCTAGCGCTGGGCCACGGCGGTTGGCCTGGAAAGAGCCGACGCGACTAGGAAGCCTGTATGGTTAGGCTCATTCCAATTTAGCTCCACCATCCCGCCTCGTGCTACGAGAGGCTCAAAACGGCAGCGCCCGTTTAGGCGATGCTTCTTGGAAGTCGGAAAGTGGCACAAGAGGGTGGTAAACGCCGTTGATGACAAACGGTTCCTTTGCACACGAGAAGTAACAGGAAGGTCAGAACCCGCCGTGCCATTCTGTCCAACATATGTGCCCCTGGAATGCAGTCAAGACATATCGAGGTACTTACAGTCGGATAGAAGGTTCTTGAAATGGAAGAAAAGACTCGCCACCCCAGCAGTCGGGAAAACCTGGACCGTTGGGAGACTTCTACGTTGTTCTCATGGCTCTCACCGCTGTCAAGCTGCTCCAAATAATTTAGGTGGCGTGGATGTTCTGTGATAAAAGAAAACGAGGAATTTACGCTCAGCCATTCAGTCTTCGTCGTGGTGGAACAGTAAAGAAGCGCTCATCGAGGAAACGGTGCCAAGCATGGAAAAGCTGATTCAAGCTCCGATTGATCGTATTCGATCGGAGTGCGAGTGGCCCATGCCGGCGCTTGCCACCTAAACACCTCTCATCTGTCGACACTTTGGGTTTGGCCCTCGAGGCAGAATTTCCTTCGAAAGCGGAAGAAAGAAAAATTCCACGGGTAGATATGGACCAAATGCATCTTCTACCAATTCAATTCTCTCTTCCACCGCCCATAATCCAGCGAATTCGAAACAAGTGATATTGGTTTGGATTTAGACTCGGACAACATCAGGGAAATGTCCTTCCCGAATTGAGAGCACACACAGGATTATAATGCTGCATTAACCTCGTTATCAGAGTATGTCAGGCCTCATGGTGCGCCATCTATGTTTCTCCACATTCGCGATCACTTGCTCATTCATATCGTAGTGGCTTCCTTTTGCGCAGTTCTCTACGGCCGGGCCTCTTTTATTTCAGAGGATAAGGCGATCGGGAACTAGTTTGAAGGCCTTCTCTCGATAATGACATGGGCCCAGTACGATCCGGAAGGCCATCGATCATCTCTGGTAGTCTCTCTGCGTATTGAATTATTCGCAGTTCGTTCGATCTTGGGGTGCTCTGGGATGGCGACATCTTGCCATTTGGGACGTCCTATGGCCCGGAGTTGAAGACCACCAGTTGGCTTGCACTTTCGCTGCTGACAAGCCTCGATGCTGGAATATGACCTCCGGCCAACCTCGCCCCTCATCGCCATCCCCAACCTTGGAACGAATTCCTGTGCTTTTTGGCGTTTCATACCAATCATTAATTCTTCTAAACTTCGGGCCTCTTCCGAACCACATGTGAAAGTTCTTTTTCATTTTTTCATAAATTCTCAAACACGCCTGGCATTTGCTCCGGAGGACTTAAGGAAGAGCCACTGTCCCCTCATATCTATGGGAGCGCTGCTCATCCTTGGTACCTCTGGATCATAATTAGAAGCTCAATGTTCGGGCTCAGGAATGGAACCCAAACTGGTGATTCCCGGTAACGGGAGACAAAGAAAGGGTGCGTGGCACTGATCTCGGGATGTGTACGGTGTCTGAACTCAGCGAGTTATGATCTCGAGGAAGGCTTTCGATTCTGTGAAGCTAAGTGATGCCATTCCACATCCCTCGTAGCGGGTTACTACAGTCCTAAGGGCTTCTCTAGAATTTGGCTTTGGACGTCCAGTTCTGGATAAAGGGATACGAACTTTTTATGGCGTCTTCAAGCCGACGTACTAGGTTTAGTTCCGATTCCATCGCTGGGGTAGATTTATCATTTCCCATTCTCGGTGGTACAAATTGCATGACTCAAGTTCGCCGTCCGGTACGATCAAGGCCGGCTCTTGGTGTAGATCCCCTTTGTGCAGGGTTGCTGGGACGGGTTACAGGAACTGTTTGCGTTGGATGAAGAATTCATTGGTGCTCTCCAACCTCCAGGAGTGCGCATGGAATGGTTATTTGGTAACCTGAACATGACATATACAGCTTTCATTTGAAATAATATAACCTTTTGACTCCATCTTGCGGTGTATAAAAGGGGGAGGAACAAAACGAGCCCCAACTCGAGGCTGTTGCCTTTTGGAGTTGGGACTGAGCCATCACACTTCTTCTTCACAACCATATTTCTACATTCAATGCCCACCACGGTTTGTGCTTGAGCGATATATACCCAGCAGCTCTTTGCAGCCCTCGTCCGTCATTTATACCCCCGCCGTGCTCAAGCACCCTCAGGCCCGGCAACAAGCTCCGACTCCGAGGCTCAGGGACAACTCGCCAAGCACCACGCTGTCCTCGACGGCCTCAACCAAAAACCACGACCTCGACGCTGCCCGCAACGACGAAGGTCTGTCCCCAATGTCGCCCTTCGCCCGTCTCCCCCTCGACGTCGTCCACATCATCTTCCTCTACTGTCTCCCGACGGATCACAACCCCTACATATGTGTAGCGGAACCGCCGATGCTGTTAACCCACGTCTGTCGCAGATGGCGTGAGGTCGCCTTCGACATGCCCTTGCTATGGGCCAGCATCCACGTCCACATCCCGTTCTATCCCGAGCTACCAGCAAGCCTCGCGCCCCAGGCGGAGTACCGCGGGCAACCCGACACCGTCGACCAGCTCGAACCCGCCCAGCGAGCGGCATACCTCAGTGACGTGTTCTACTGGGAGTCAAAAATGCGAGATCTCAAGGATATGGTCGTTCAGTGGCTCGCTCGGGCCAAAGGCTGCCAAATCTCGCTCTCGCTGTCCCAGTTCACCAACCTGCTCGACAACGCCAAAGGCACCAGCCAGGTTAACGACGTGGTGGCCGTCCTCCTCGCGTACTGCGGTCAATGGAAGTCTGTCGAGCTGTACGCGTCATCTCCGACAATCGCCCAATTCCTGGCAGTGCACACACAGGACGCTCCCCATCTGCAGCGCATTTCAATCAAATGGCAAACCCCGATGGAACGCAACCTCAACCGCGGCGCCAACAAGGTTGCGCTAGTCTCGCCGGAGGGGCTAATGACAGTGCCCGAGCTCAAGTCTCTCAGTTTACAAATCCTTCCTCGGAATATTATGAGTCTGCCAGTCCGGTGGGAAGGACTGACGGAGCTTATTTTCGATGAATACTTTTACGGACTTGATTCGGAGAGCTTGAGGCGCCGCTTCCTTCCCTCGGACGCGCTTGACTTGCTCGCCCTTTGTCCCCGCCTTGTTCGCTGCCGCCTAGCTATTGGCCGAGGCAGGATGATAGGCGCTTCACCGCCCCAGTCTCCTTTGACTTCCCCTTCGTCCAATGGCAATAACTCGAGCCTGGGGTCGGATCGGACCCCGGTACGTAAATTGATCCCTCTTCCTTGTCTCGAGCATCTCGCCATCGACGAAGGGATCTCCCTCGGAGACTTCTTCCTCTGCCTCCACCTCCCCTCACTCAAGGAGGTGGTGTTTTCAACCGCACTCACTCCTTGTGAAGACGAGACCCCGTCACATTCCCAGCAATCCGGCCAGTCCACAACATCGGCACCCATTGCAGTTCCAGGAGTCACCGGCCAGTTGCCCTATACCCAACAAGCATCCTCGTCCTCTCGTCACGCTGATGCATCTTCCCCGCTTATCGACCTCCTTTCTCAATACGGTCGGAACCTCGAAAAGCTCACATTCGACGAAGCAGGGCTCTCGTTACGAGATATCGAACGTGCTCTGGATCTGGTTCCCAACCTGACGCATCTGACGATGAATAGGAAGAGCATGTCGCGGTGGTCGAGTGTAGGTTTTGGGATGACTGGTGGGAGACAAAGGGCGGCGCCTGGGTACCTGAGCAAAGGGTTGCTGGAGCGCTTGACACCCAAGCCTGTCGCCGGCGGCAGCCACATCAATACTGCGACAGCCAGTCTCTGCCCTCGACTCATATCATTCTCGGGCAAACTCTCAGCGCCAATCGAAATGCAAGACACGCTCATCGAGTTCATTAAATGGCGACGATACCCCTGGGCCAACACGTACCACCCCTCCTTATCCAACGCTCCCCCTCCAGCGGTCCTCCAAAAATGCACCATCAATTTCAGCTCATACTCATCCCCCACATCGAGTTACGACGTCCAAGATCTGAAAGACATTTCAGCCGAACTGTCAAGTCAGAATGTGGATATGCACGAGTTTGATTTGAACATCATCTACCCGAATGTTGGGTATGCGATGCCGTTCAAGACGGGCGGGGGAAGTGGTGGTGGGATGGGAAGTGGGGGGTCTGGGAATGGGAGAGCGTTGATGTCTTCGTTTGTGCCAAAGTGCCGGAACATGAGCGCGGGAGTGTATGGGTTCTCGAGTTGGTATGCAACAGGTGGCGGTGGTGGGCTTAGGGATATGTGGTTCGAGGCTTGGTGAAGGGTTCGGTGTATTGATATCAGACGGAGCGTACGTATCTTGGGCAAGGGGCTGGAACTGTCAGCCAGCGTTCGACGCGGACATCATGACCACATCCTTTTTTTCTCTTGATTTCTTTCATTTCTCTTCTATCTCTGGGGACTATGTATTATACGTTGTATCATCTTGGGCTTCACGTTTTTGGGTTTTTGATCACTCATCTAACCATTTCCCATCCATTTGCAGACTACCTACCATACGCCTTTTTCTCTTTCTTTCCGGACTTGACTTTCGTTCTTTGGCTCGTTCGTTCGACTACGACCATTACGACTTTTCCGTATATACCACGACCTCGTCTCTGGGTTCCAGCGTTTTCTTGATCACTTTTAGGGTTACATGACGTTCATAGCTCGTGGGCTTCAGGGCAGAACTGTTGATATCTCGACTACTACATACCGCACACATACCATACATCCGGCGCATCCTTACCAACCATACCCTGACGACTTTCTTCTTTCAACTTTCCTTTCTTCTACCTTTTGGCTCGTGACTCTTTCGTTCCCCGTTCTCTTATATTCCCGACTGCGATAACGAACGCCACGTCTTTTCTACTCTGTCTCGTTTCATCACCCGAGTTTTGGTCTGTAGTTTCCCCACTGTATACAGATTAATTTCGGTTTCCTCTGATTGTCTTCCTCTCCCCGATCCATATTTACCCTACCTTACTCTATCTACTACTACCATTATTAGATCGACGCATCTCATCCTTTGTCTACGTAACTTAGACTCTGAATTGGAACATGAGGCCTTTTTTCTTTTCTGTTCGGGATGTGCTTCGAGGTTGAGCTTACCGCGAGGGTTTATGTGTATGGTAGAGCTGATGTGTAGGTCATATACTATCGTGTGCACATCTCTTCACCGTCCGTATCGATTAGGGGTTAAATCACTTCGTTGTGGCATGCACTGAGCGTACAACTCCGAAGAGCCGCTGGTTCGATTCCAGCTACGGACAACCTTTTGCTTTTTTCTTTCTCTCTCTCCTTGCCGCTTGCGCTCCACCTCCTTTGGGCCAAGTCTGGACTATGGACTCCAACAAGGCACAAGGTAGCGCTTGCCGGATCCAAACCTCAGAGACTGCATTGATCACAGCCATGATCATGAACACCAGCAAGGTGATTTACACGATTGTAACAACAGCTCCAAAAAAGTAGAGAACAGTCACACTAGTAGCTACACGGGGAAGAGAAGGGGTAGTAATTATGCACACGAACCGAGGAAACAGACGACAAGAATGAAATGACTACAATAGAGCAAACCATGATGAGCAAGAGGTAAGCGGACTGGGGAAGTCCAATAGGAAGAAGTACACGATCAGTGAATAATTACGAGGTTGTACCAAGTGAAATCTCCGTCTGCAATGAGCCTCTCCAGATAAGCACCCTTCAGGTTCCAACACGGCAGCAATCCTCCTCTCCTTTCTCTCCGCCAAGCCCGATATGCCCTTCCTTCCCTCAACAGCGTTCCAAAGAATCGGAAAGTTCGAAACTTGAGAGAACAAAAAAAGGGCCACCAAGAAAAACCGAAAGAGTTCGAAAGAGGTTAAATAGGGTCACAGACGGGACTCCGGTATAGCGACAAATGGCATAATTTCCGCGAAAAGGTTCCGGAAATAGCGTACTTCGCGAATGAGGCGATTATAAATTGAGCGGCATAGTGGGGAGGGGTTGGGTGTATATAACATAGGGTCGTCGTCATGTTTCTTTTCCTGAGTTCGTGGAAGCACCCCCGGTTTCATCATCGTCGTCGTTGTCGTCTCTTTTTGTCCGTAGAAAACGGTTTCTGCGGTCAGTAGTTGGGCTGTGATCAGGATCAGGGGGAGATGGATAGGCGGCGGCATAGGCGGGGCTGAATGAGGATGGAGTAGCAGGCTAGTCGGGCGGGCCAAAACCGTCAACGGCGAAGGTGTTCAAATTTCCTCCGGTATCATATCCTTCTTGTCCAACGCCCGTCTGCCTTCATTCCACTTCTTCAGGTACTCCCTCGCCCTCTCCTCGAACAGTTCGCAATTTTCGAACAGGTCGCCCGGTAGCTTGTCCTTCCTCTGATCCCAAGGTTTCACATCTACACACTCGCACCGATCCAGACATACAAGGATCATCCCAAACGAATATGCATCGGCTAGCAGAGGATCCTGGCATTCGCCTCGCAGGATCTCCGGGGCGGAGAAAGGTCGGGTGCCGGGGTGGATCTGTTCGATCCTGACGGCGGGAAGTTTGGGTTGCTGGCGGCTGTGGAGGTAGGGGAACGGATCGACGGGTTCATCATGAGGCGATTTGAAGTCCGAATCCGCAGAAACCGAACGCCCAAAGTCGAGCAACTTGATGGTGTTGGAGTCCCTTGTGACCTGGACGTTCAGTAACGACAAGTCACCGTGACTTAGCCGATATGAATGGAGGTGTGTGAGTCCGTCGAGGAGTTGATTGTGATAGTCGATCTTTTGAGCGAGGGTTAAGGGAGGCCGGGCCATTATCACATCGTATAACGTCCGGCATTCGAGATACTCCAGCACGATCCCGACGTTCTCCAAGCAGCCATAGAAAGCGCAGATATTGCGATGTCGAGCGACGGTTGTGTACACCCGCAGTTCAGCCAGGAACTGGACGGTCACATCTGAAGCATTCGACTGCATCTCGCCATTGATTTCGAGCTGAATGACATCCGGCTTCTTCACCACACATTTGAACAATTCTGATGCTGATCCGTGCGCGAATGGTGTTAAACTGGCCGTCGCATTGGGGGGCGCTGCGTAGGCCGTCGGTGTTGGGAACGAGAAGATGGAATTGGGGTGCCGCGAAGGGTGATATACTGGCGATGGTGGTGGCGATTCCTCGACCTTGTGGGATGGATGGTGGTGGTGGTGGACGACCTGCTCGTCGATTCCATGGTTGTATTCCTTGTAGACAACGGCTGGTTCATGTTCGACGGCTGTTTCTTCCGATGAGGAGAAAGAGTTTATTGAGTTGTTCAGAGGCTGGACTTCGTCCTCCTCGTCCATTTCCACTGCATGTTACGAGGCTTGGTTAGACATGCGCTTGTCTCAAGGCTAGAGGATGATTAAACTCGCCCATCCACCAATTCTTCTTCGATGTCAATGTCACCCGCTTCACTTGCATCGGTTTCGTTCGAGCTGACGGCGGCCCTGTGGTTGCAGATACAACGCCTGCCTTGAGGTCGTTGGTCGGCGAGGCGACCTGCACGCTGATATTCCTGCCGAATCCTGGTCGGTGTGCCATTTGAGAAGTTGAATCAAGCGGTAGAAATAAGAACTGAGGCGATAAATCGAGGTTTGCGCTTTGCGCGGTAGATGGTACAAGTCAAAAGTGCCACCCAAAACGTTTTGGCTCCAGGCTCAGTTTATTCGTCTTGGCATTCTGCGAACGTGCTTGGCCGATAAGGCCGTCCAGACTCATGACTCCAGTGAGACTTTGGTTATTGTCAGGAAGTCTTTCTATCTTCACTCTACAAGCCTTTATCGATAGCCTTCCTGGTTCTGGGGCCAAGGTGACCAAAAGCGCTGGAATACCCTCGCTTCTCTGGGGAATCACATTTATCAAATACCCATCTAGAAGAAGCGCCGAACTCACTCTTCACATGATCCCCGAAGCCTTCTCCACAAAGTATAGATTCCAGCCAACTACTCCAATGGCTGCTACGACTCCAGCAATTACGCACAACCAACCAGCTGCACCAAATTCTAGGCAGGTCGTTTATACATACAGATTATATAAAGCTGTCCGTGCACCGTGAACAAAGAGAATTGTCCAGATGCAAAGAGGAAAAGAAATAGTAATGAAGTGTCCCAGTAGTAGTTATGAGGCTACTACAATAGAAATGTCGTGATACTAAGAGTCCGGGTAGCGATAGCAATGGTCATGAACGCCGTAAAGAAACGAGCGGATAGGTTGAAGAGATACGAGAATATCCAACCACGAGTCCTTCCACTAATTTGTCGGGAATAGTTTACCAGAGCGAGGCAATGAAGCTTCCAACGAGGGCAGCAACCATTCCAACAACCGAAGCGGTCTTGGTCACAGCGGCACCAGCATCGTCATCATCACCACCACCATTTCCTTTGGTTCCACCGCCGGCTCCAGTGTTCTTGACGCCAATGAGCTCGGAGGGGGCCAATTGGGCAGCATCGTGCACGGGCTGAGGGCCAATCTGGCCGTTACCGACCATGATCATCTTGCCGACGGACGGGACACCGTTAACGACGACGAAAATGAGAGCAGGGCCAGGAGCGAGGACAGCAGGGTTGGGAGGAAGCTGGCTGACATGGAGGACGGCGCTGTTGTTGGAACCGTAGCCGGTGTAGGTGTGGTCAAGCTGGACGAAGCGCTGACCCATGTTCTACAGAGACCCAGATTAGCTTCCTAGATACCACATAGCGGGAATGGGACGAACTTACGAGGTTGTGGGTGGAGAAGCCAGGTCGGACGATGGTAACCTTGGCAGTCTTGACATTGTTAACGTCACCGAAGAGATCATCCTCGTCGAGAGTGATGTCGAAAGAGTCGCCACCGTAGGAGAGGCTGGAGAGCAAGCCCTTGGGCTCAGGTCGGCGCTCCTTGTACCAGGTGGGGTACCACAACTCAGTTCGGTACTCGGTGGGGAAGGGGTGGCCATCGCTTGGAGCAACAAAGTCGGGGTTGGGGTTGGATCCCGAAACCATGACGGAACCATCGGGAAGGAGGACGGCAGACGAGTGGTACATCCTAGGAACGGTACTGGCAGCCAAGCCCTCATCTGACCACTTGTTGCCAGTGGTAGCCTCAGGGTCGAAGATGACAGGAGTGTACAATGGGTTGTCGGCGTAAGAATGGCCAATAGCCCAGGTGTCATTTCCGTAACCGGCGGTTCCTAAAGGCGGATAGTTAGCTCGAGGAATGTTCAAAAATAGCCATGAAGGCATGACGCACCGAATCGTGCTCCGTTGAGAGTGAGGATCTTGCCGTCAGGCAGGAAGACCATGTTGACCATCACACGAGCCTCCGGAAGGGGATCTTCCTGAGAGTACGACGGAGATACATCCGGGGTGATCTTGACGCAAGAAGTGGAAGCACCATAGCTGGGCTTAATGAAGTCTGGGGCAGTCCATCTACAGTCCGGTGGCGTCAATCAGGCTGTTCGTGGACATATTATTCAAAACCAGCTCACCGTTCGGTCTGGACGTTCGATCCACCGCAGAAAAGGATAGTAGCGGTGTAGTCGTTGGCGGGGGTGAGCGGCAACATGATGGAACCAGCGCTGGCGGGGTAGACACGGACAGCATCCGGAATATCATCCAAAGGAGTTTCTTCGTTGGTGTTATAGTCCAAAAGCGAAGTGGCCCAGTTGGACTGGATGAGGAGCTTTCCAGAGGGAAGGAGCCAGGTCAACGGGAACAAGTTGGCGGGGAGGGTTCGCGAGAGCAAGTCGAGGTAGACGGTGCCTTCGCCTCGAGGTGGGAAGAACTGATAGGTGGGGTTATCCTGACCCGGGTCATTGACGTAGCCACCGTATCTGCAACCTCCGATCTGACAGAGAGCGGGGAATATGTCAGTATCTGCCGACGTTATTGGTTGCAAGGATTGCGGCTTACAATGATAATGGAACCATCATCCAATGTTTCCCTGTGGGTTTAGTGGTGAATACCTGGCTCATTTCCTTGTGGCAGGGCCTGACTTACAGTGTTGGGTACCATCGCTGGTCTGTGGGAATCGGGGACAGCGTCCAGTCGCAGTTGCCGTCATCACAAGGAGTATACAAGCTTTCAAAACGGGTTAGCACCAAGGTAATGCGACTTCAAAGTGGACAGGCGCCACTCACCGAATTCTAAAGTCCATCGATCGAGCTCAGTCAGCTAGGCTTTAAAAAGCATTGACATGCGATACGTACGATGTTCGGCCGTCGACGTTGAAGTAAGGGGCGCTAGCGGTATTTTGGTCGGGCGTTGGGATACCGCCAAAGGTGACGGCTTCGTTACCGCCTACGTTGATCCAGGTTCCATTGCCCAAGACATTGCCACCCTAATTCAATAGATGAGTACCAGTTCTTGTTAATGTCATGGGACAACTACATACCGCACAGAACGAGTTGGTAACGATGTCCATGGGCCGCTGTTCGCCGCTGCCAACCGCCCATTCTAAAAGCGGACATCTCGGTTAGAGCCCAAGGGCGGGCACGACGGGCAACGCGGTACTCACCAGATGCCCATGCTGGATGACCGTTGATTTGGGCGGGGTTGGCTTCGACCTTGTCGACGAACAAAACTTTGTCCTCTGTTCCCAGGAACAGCTAAGGCGAGTTAGGACGCGATTATCCACCGTGGTATTCCTTTTTCAAACTCACTTGTTGTGCGCTAACCAAGCTTTCTCCAATGAGCTCAAAGCCACCTGGGACACCTGTTCGCTGCGGTTGGCCTGGAGGGGGGAGAGTGGTTGCGGATTGGGCATAGCCCACGGTGAAGAGAGAAGCTGCGGCGACGAGCGGGATCATGGCTCGCGAGGGAGAGGCGGGGAGTCGAGAGGTAGGGGGTTGGGGCAGACGGGGGGAGATCCACAAAGAAAGGAACGTGGTGCACTGAACACAGGCTTTAAATAACGGCCACTAGAACACGGGGCGCCCAGAAGGACCAAGGGATTGGCCGAGGCGCTATGCAGACAGCACTCTTGCAAGAGTGTCCAGCGGGGGAGAAAGGGTTTGGAGATTGCATCGCTTCCGGACCAAGACATTAAATGGAAAGTTTGCCAGCACCTCGATCTGGCAAAGTGTTGAGATCTGACATGATGTATCCCGTCAAATCGACCATCAGGTTACCATTTGCAGCGGCTAACCCTTACCGCCAAGGCTCAACCAAGACCCAATTCCGGTAGGTGGTTGACGGAATTGTTATATGTATCAGTTCGGGGCCAAACCAGTGACTCTAGCGGCCCATGACTCGGACGACCTCTGTTGTACTCGTATCAGTATCGAGGAAAACAGAGGAGATGACAATGAATAGTGCTTCCCAACATTATTGAACCTCTAAGAATGTTATTGTCGTTTTCATCGAGGAGAACACGAGCCTTGAGGCAATTATGGGCGTTGTTGTGGGGGGTCCAAGGACAAGATCACGGCTTGGTAGTCCGTCATACCAAGGCACGTTTCCCACACGCGGAAGCCGACTTCGACGGGCGGTAACGGCACGCAGCCTCTCCTTTTAGGATTTCTTTCTACTTTTTCTGATTTTCCGCCCCACCTTCGCCATTTAGCGCCTTTGGCATTGATAATCCTCGCCGCTTGGTCTGAGACACGCCTCTGCCAGCACAGTAGTGAAGACTTCGACTTCTGTGCCAGCCACAACTTCCCATGCACCGATGTTTTCCGACACCCTATTCGGCTGGCAGGTATTCTGGATCGCTCGGCGTCTGCCATATTTTTTCCCTGAAGAAAAACCATTTCGAACCCTCGCTTAACGTTACGGGTCTTGGTCTAGTAAGTGGAGATCACGATCCACCACCCTCCAGACCTCGAGGGTGTCGGGAATGACACAAGCCTTACCCTGCATCATCTCCAAGATCGCTGGCTTGCTCTTGTCTTCGCACGTCTGCGTGTCTGTGGGCCACTGTCTTGTTGGCCCTTGGGATTGCCTTGAGAGTAACGATTTTCTTGGATCAAAGCTTCGTTGCAACACCCCCAGACAAACCTACCGACTCATCTAACCAAACACCCTAGCAAAATCATCTTTTGTCTTCCATGTGGTTGAAGGGCGCCCAAGCGCTCAAGCTTCGGACTCAAGGATAAAAGGCCATAACAGCCCGTCGTTGTCGTTATCATCATGGGCTCTCGGTTAACTCTTCCCGTTTGTACTTGCACGCCTTTTCCCTCTGTTTTTCATGGTACCAATTGAATCCTTAATCCCGCTGTACATTCAGCTCGGGACATACATTCAGGGCTCTTCTGGTTTACAGTACTCTTTTGCATCCATCGCATCAGTTCTCCGACGTGACCGTAGCCACGGATCCGTAACTTGGGCGCTTCTCTCCGGTCCTTTGATGGTTCTTTTTTTAGCATCTTGACTCTCCGACATCGAGAACCATCGTCCATCCGAACTCCCTGGGTGTGGACACTCCACCGATATCACTCTGCAAACTCCAATCCCACAACCATTGTCAATTCTTTGAAGCACGTAAAGCTCACCTCGTGTCTTGCCCATGGGATCAACGTCAATGAAGGCAGTCATACAGCTTTCACCGCACTATCCTCGATAAAGGAGGTTATCACAGCCTGTAGCTTCGGTGGCGCTAGAGAATTCAAACTCTTTCGTGCAGGTCGCGGTGTGAGAGCTGTTTCACGAACGGCGCTTATCACTCAGGTCCGCTTTAAATATCCTCCCATCTCCTCTAATGCATGATTCTTGCCTCTCCACCCCCATACCCCGAACCCCTCCGTAATGTCCTCTACAGACGGAGTGGTATGCAGCGAAGCTGACCGTCTGAGGGCCTCGCAAGATGCATCCCAAATCCACTGTCTAACTCGAGGAGAGTCACTTGGCGTGATGGTAAGTGTAGAGACAAATGACAACGTTACCAAAACCTGTTCTGATGCAACGGCAGCTCATCGCAGAAACGGGCGTCCTCTCTCTCCTGGCGGTGATATATGTCTTCGGTATCATTATTGTGCGTTTCCTCTCGCGTTTCGCGGAAACATGGTTTGAAGCTTTGAAGCTTATCTTTATTTCCGTCCTTAGCGCAACATATTTCGTCGGAGACGTCTCTCGGAAGAGTGGAAAGTGTTTGAAGAGCCTACCGATCTGTTACTGGTTAGACCCTGAACCCTACTGACATGAAGATTAAATCTAATCATCCACGTTTTCGTCATGCAGGCAAGCTTGTTTGCAATAGACGGGATTCAGGCCGTAGGTGCAATTATTAACGTGGTATGGCTGCATCGAGGGAAGGTCGAGACCGGGCCTTTCTGCGAGGCGCAAGGAATTTTCAAGCAATACGGAGAAGTTGGCGTGGCTTTCAACACCATTGTGAGTGGCTATTCTTCTCGGAGTGAAAACGCCCTTACATACTCTTTCAGCTTATTGCCCTCTACACATTTATCGCATTGTGGGGAGGGAGAAAGATTCGGTCGATGCTCAAGACCGCCATCCTCGTATTCTTGGCCTGGTTGGCCCCTCTCATCCTCGTTCTGATCGGTAATCTTACCACTCAAGACTTCCATGGCCCCGTTCCCGTTTGTATTCCTTACATCCACAAACCCTGTGTCAAATCTCTGACATCTTCATTATTTACAGCTTTGGTGCTGGATCACCAAGCGCCATCCTGTCTGGCGTATTATGGGCGAGTACCTGTGGATGTGGTTGGGGCTCGCCATCTGCATCCTCATGTACATCCCCATCTACTTCTGGAATCGAGGCAACTTCGTACCCCAAGACAAGTGGTGGAAGGTCCGAGTTCGGTCCACCAGATGTTCGCCCATCGACTCGGAACTCAGGCGAAAAGCTTCAATCATGCTACTCTATCCTCTCGCTTATTCCATTGTGGTCCTCCCGCTCAGCATCATTCGCTGGATCACCTTTGATAGGGAGAAGAAGGGGTATTCGGAGCCTACGATGGCCACTGCAGCGACGGTACTGGCAGGTGTGCTCTTCGCCTCGAGCGGTTTCTTGAACGTCATCCTCTACCTTCGGACTCGCCCGGATACTGCATTATTTGGTGGACGGTATCGCGAAGGTCCAAGGCTACCCTCAACAGTGGGAGGTCCACGAACCTCGACATGGAGTGCGAAGCCTTCCCGGTCCATCAGCGACTCTCCTGCGAGTTACATTTGCCCCGATGACCGGGACTCCGAGTTGGATGATTTCGGGAGGGCACCTCCAAGTATCACTCGATGATATGATATTACTGTAGGAATCCACTGCGGATTCTATCGTGGGCGCGTGGTAGGACAGGCTTCGGAGCTCAACTCCTCTCTCTCTCTCTCTCGCTCATGGATTGTCGTACACGAACTGCCGATCTTCTTCTGCAATATTATGTTATGTATGAGTACTCCTTTTGTATTATAGACTGGATCAATATTACCTTGGGCTTTCTTGAATGGAGGAATTTGGGCTCGGAGGATAAGAATCAAAGTAGCAATCGTCGTAGTGATATCCCCCGGCTACCCGGGGTGAACGACGACGACCTCAAGTTATGCCACACGCAGTGAGAATGATCGTCGCACTTGGTTGCCTTACATTTTCTGTAGCGGTGACAGGGAGGTGTTAGGTGCCATTCCATCCAACCAACGAGTTGAGTTGTGTGACTCGTCGGAACCGCAAGGTGACACGGGCGTTTCAGATTTCTTCAAAGCGAAGTCTACTCGGACACAATAATAGGGTGGGAGAACTTGAAGACAGTGTTGGTTGAAGCTGGCTGGCTGCGAATTAAAGGAGACGCAGGCATATTTCAATTAGACGCGCGCTTAAACATGCAGAAGACGCGAAGCTGGCTCATCTTAAGAGTTCGGCCCTCTGGCAACTTGAATGCTATTCGTCACCGTGACACGGCAATACCAGTCATAGATCCCAGGTATGATACCATAGAGCCATTCCCCTTTCCCGTGAGAGAGAAAGTTAGGACATAAAGTTCCCTTCTCGGAGCTATGTATAACAAGATGGGTTTGCATGCAACATGGCCTACCAAGATTCCAAGCCCTGAATTGCAATCTTTCTCCCCAAACAAGACAAAAACACTTGGAGTATGCTTATAAATCTCCTTCTCATTCAACTTTGGGGACAAGGGCTGTAGCCTGGGCTCCTTTCCTCACAGTCGAAACGGCACCTGCCTGCTATAAAGGAGGAAGATGCTCATTGAGTGGTCGTTAGCGCGCGCTAAATGAGAGCGTGAGAGCATCCTTCCCAGTTGCCGGCCCGGCCCTGTGTGAAGTTTCCAGCTCGCGGCGTTCGCGGCAGCCAGCAATGCTTTCCGCGTCCGTCCACCGACTTTGCTGGGCTGCTCGACGGCAATGCCAACGAGCTCCACCACGGCCAGCAGACCGCATACTCGTCCTCAGCGCCGCCTCTCAAAGTCGTTGGGCAAGCACTAAATCCGAGACGGCGACGGCGACCCCGAAACGCAGAAGGAAGAAGACTGATACCTTGCCGCAACCGAGCGTCAACCTTCCAGCACCGGAGAAATGGGCGGAGTCGTTCAATGTCAAGCTCTCTACGAAGCCATTATCTGGTCGTATCTCAGTGTCCAACCCTGAAACTGCGGACAAGCTTGCCAATGCGTTCGTTCCAGAGGGATCGAAGGATAAAGTCATCGTTGAGGCGTATCCAGGTTCGTCGCCAGCTTCCTTAACGAGTCTCTGCAGTACTAAGTCGCTTTCTTCTAGGACCCGGACAACTGACGCGGTCGTTGTTGAAACTACCACGAGAACGTATCAAGAAAATCGTCCTAATGGAACCAATCCCTGGGTTTTTGGAATGGCTCAAAGTGAGTGAGGCGCACCTTTTGTTCACTTATCTGGATTCTGATTCTTGACCCAGCCTCTGGAAGAATTGGACGACAGAATATCAGTTATGGCAGTTGACCCATGGATCTGGAGCTCCTACGACGAACTCCAGGAAGCCGGACACCTCGCCGACGTCCCCATTCTTGACTGGAATGCAGGAGTTCACCCAACCCTCCACTTCATCCAACACCTGCCAAGTATCGTTCTGGGGGAACAGCTCTTGAACCAGTACATCCGAACCATACCAGACCAACATTGGCTCTACAAATACGGTCGGATTCCGCTGGACATGGTCATTAGCGCTAGAATGCTCCAGGTATACCTCGTTTCTTCTTCTTGCACCAACGTGGTCCTTACATCGCACATCTCAACGTTACCAGCGCCTAACAGCTACCACTCAAGACACTAATCAACGCGGCAAACTTGGGGTATTCCGTGAGGCCACAAGCGTTGTTACCACCCCCGTCCCACCTTCCGAACTCGACCCATACGACGAACACTTTTACCCTGTCCGTAAAGCATCTACGTCCAATGCTTCCAAGGCACTGGAAGATCGCAAAGCTGGCAATCCCCATCTGGCGCTAAGAATTATGGCTCTGGACGAACCCGTGAGTGCCCTCTTATTTTAACCTCACAACTTCACTCAAACCCAAGTCTGCGAGCAGCTCATTAAACCCAAGACTCTGGAAACTTGGGACTATGTCACACGGAAATTATTCATCTCCAAGGCCACCCCTGTTTCAAAGTCGATCCAGTATGTTTTCTCACATAAAAGCTTGCCGTTTTTCCATAACGTGTCTTAAAACAGGACTCTCGCACCTGGCGCCAACGCCATCCTCAAGTACCTCACCGATCCCGACCTGCCTGCTGAGCAACAGCTCGATGTCAGCAAACGGCCGCAAGAGTTGACAGTACACGAATGGGCTCTCATCGTCAACGCATTCGACAAGTGGCCTTTCCGCCCCAAACACCTCGGCATCGACGTTGACTTGATCACAACAGGCAAGATCGCACGCAAGTAAGCCAGGGTGCACCGATATGAAACGTCCATCTTGCGCATATGCCAAAGCAATCTTGCGGTTACTCGAATAAATTACATCACTCATAAATAAATGGATACATCGAAACAATACAGCAATTCATCCTAGTGCGGCGGAATTCAGGTTTCCTTCAAAGCGGGTTAGCACCAGCAGTTCCATAAAGGCACTTCTCTACTCACCTCATCGGCTAGCTGAGTCTCTTCCCAATTGTCGTCTACGGTTTGCTGCGATTCATCCGTCATATCAACATCGCCATTCGGCGCAGTCCCGTTGGGTTTCTTCGCCGTCGCCGTCTTGTCCTTCTTGGGAAGCATGTTGAACAGGGTAGCTTGTTTCGGCCCTGCATCTTTCTTTGCGTCTTTGCCTTTAGCAACAGGACCTGTTGGTTGAGAGACAACAGTCAGTCAGAATCCAGGTCCATGAGTGGAATGAGAGCACGACGTACGTTTGCGAGTCGATATTGACCCTGCCTCGGCAGCATCCACTTTGTCAAAGAAGCTTTCGCTCTTGTGGAGAGACTTGTTATTTTCAGAGTTGCGGGCGAAAGGGTTCTTGTTCGTGTCAGGCGCGGCCTTCCTTGCGAACGGGTTGAATTCTACGCGTCATTCGTTAGCCACCGCTCTAAGCATGAAATAGAAGGTATCACGTACTATTCTTTGGTGGGGGCGGACCCATCGTACTCGACGAGAACGAGTCCTCCACTTCGTCCCGCTTGCGCTTCTCAACCGGCGGGGGCGAATCCCTCATGGTCTGGTCATCCGCCCACTGACTCGAACTCGACGCTTCCATCGCCGGACTGCTCTGCCTCATGAAGTTCTGGGATTGCGTCGACGGTGCCTTGGAACTAAATCTCGTGGTCTCGATTACAGGTTTCGTCACCCTCGCCATCCCAGGTCTCTCCACAGGCGGCGGTGCTCGAACGTCCCCCAATGGATCGTACCTCGACGAACTAGATTCCGCGAGTTGCCTCAATGGCGCGTCAGGCTTCATCCACCTCCGCCTCTTGTTCCTCAACACGATCAACCTATCCTCATCTTCCTCCCGTTCTTGCTTCAGATACTCCATCTTCTCTTTCAACCCTTGCAAGCTGTAGAAATTGGCGATGGCAATGGCGGCGTCGAAAGAGGGAATGTTGTGGAGGAGCTTGACGAGCTCGAGAGCGCGGGCGGTGTTACCATCTTTACACGCATGTTGGATGAGGATGATGAATTCCTTGTCAATGGCCTGTTCGCGGGATTGGATGTCCTCGGTGGTCAGGTCGTCATCCAGGGAATCGAGGGCTGTTTGAACGTAGAGGAGATTGCGTTCGATCCTGCGCGCATTTCATGAATAAAGCTAAAAGACGATAGGGAGACCTACTTACCGCTCTTCGCCAGCGTGAGCTTGACGGAATGGCAACTGGATAGGAAGCTCTTGCATTAAAGGTCTAGGGAAACCCGGATGTTCTTGCCGACCCTATTCACATAGTTTTATTACTGACCATTCCAACAAAAGGGAGTGGTCGACTGACCTTCAAGATGATGCACATAAAGTTCTCGTCGCTGACACCGACAGGCCAGTACGATTCATCCTTTCCTTTCCGCCTCTCGAGGAGATTGGTGTCCATTATCCGGACCCAGGCGGCATGATGCGGTATTCTGACTTTGGTCAAGATGTGGAGATAACCAGTGCTGTCGTACATTGCCGGTAGCTGACAGTTCCGATGAGGAAGAGTTCTAGCAGAGAGTTGAAGTCATTGAACTCACTCCTTGCTCGGTCAGACCGACCCATTTCAGTGTGTGGTTCTTGGGAACAGGGAGGACATCCCGCTGTCTTACACTAAAGTCATCAAAGTTGATGACAGTGTAGTACAAGTTCTGCGACCCTGTTAGGTGGTCAGCCGGGTTCACTCAAACGAGAAGAGCACCCACCATCGATGGTTGTAAAACCTGGCCGATGCACAACGAACACCCATTCAGCACTTGCAACCATTGTCACGAGGTCTCCACCAAGTGCCATAATCCTCCGCTCCCGACCGGTTCCAGATAGGAATGTTAAATCATTCTCGCTCGTAGCCACTACCACGTTCCCATATCCCTGTAAATCAGCATTCGTGCTGTTTCGCAGGCCTTCCTTAGGGGCAAGACCGCCAGCCGCAATCCCGAGGACACTAGTGCCAGGCCGGAGTGAGTACCTCCACTCCTTTGCCGTCGGTGAATACGGCTTGAAGAGCACTTGTGCTGGATGCCCTGCCTCTGGTGGACACGCAAAAACTGCACCACATTCGCCTAAGGATAGCTGTCAGTTACGAGATCGAACCAGAGATTGCCAAGAATGCGTACCCAAGTAACCCATGTCGTTTTTGTAATTGTCTGTGAAATGGAAACTCGGTCGCTCGGTTGTGTTAAAGAATGATACGTTTATGATTTGGTGCACATCTTGGTCCGTGGCTTCAATTACTCCGAGCATATTGAACGCTAGAGACACGCGTTAGGACACTGTTCGCAGAGCTTGCTCCATATTGACGCACCCAGGTACCTCTTCTTGTTAACAAATGGCGTTGAGCCGGGTTGGAAGGGCGGTTGAGCCTTGGTGATGCTCACTGTCCGTTGGATCAGCCTCGGTACCTATTCAGCACAGGCATCCTCTTACCCATTTCCTTCACATACCCACTCCCTCCTCTCCTCCCCGCAGGTTCGTCATCGTCATTCAAGGCACCATCCATGTCATCTTCGATGAAGTTCTTATGCAAGTCAATGTCATCGTCGAGGTCAACATCATCCCCGCCCAAGTCGTCCTCGTCCATCTTGTCGTCGTCTGCAAAGATATCATTCTCAAGCGACTTTTTGGAAGTCGAGGACGTCGTCGTGGTAGGGACAGCTGAGCCGGTTCTGACTGGATCTGGATACTTCTTGTCGATAGGATTGGACCAACGGGAGAATCCACCTTCGTCGTCCGTCCATGCAATAAGATTACGTTTAGGGCAAAAAGCAAGTTGGGTGATGGTAGCTCCTGGTGTGCCCGTTGCGCTGAGGGAAGTTTAAGTACTAGGTCTGGCAAGAGCTGAGAATCACGTTACTTTGTTATGTGCTGTCTGCTTTTAGTTGACCAGACGCGGACTGTGGATTGAGAAGCAGATGCGAGGTACTCTCCATTGGGCGAGATGGCGAGGGCGGTGATTGCACCCAGGGCATCCGTGTGAGAGAATGATCCTGGGATTTTGCTCCAGTCAGACCGAGAGATAGCCACGATCTCTGGACAGGCGGTCAGTTGAAAGTGTTGTACGAATTGGTGGCAGGGGAAACGCACGGTGGCTCTTGGATGCAACATAGAAATGGCTTCCTGAAGGATGCCACACCGCTGAACAGTCATAACCATACTCTGTTGACCTGTTCGGGCGTTAAAATGGTTCAACTGTCAGAAAGAGTTGCACTCACTCGTCGTCCTTCACCACCGGGAGAATTCCTTCTATCGTCTTTTCGAGCCTCGGCTCGTCCTCGCTCAGATCCCAGATAAGAATCTTGCCATCTGCCGTGCATGTTGTCTAAGTAGGCCAGGGCATGAAACTGTCAATCCGGTAGGAGGGCAATCCAAACGTACCAATATGTTCCCTGAAGGATGCCAACTGACAGCCCGGGCATGTGCAGTATATCCAGTGAGGTCTTGTACAGAAACGGTATCTTCCAGGTCGACAACCCGAACCTTGAGTTCGCTGCTTCAGGTTAGCAGACACATACGCACATCAACCATCGCACGCACTCAGATGCAACGGCCACCTTCCGTCCTTTGGGGTCAATAGCGATGGATCTTGCTGGTACCGAGGTCGAAGTGACAGTAGCGTCAGAAGATGTCGAGCCAATTGCATATCTTCGAACGTCAGAGTCTTTGCAACTTGAAAGCCAGCAGTCTTCCTGCAGAACGCGTATTCAGGTCAGAGAAAAGTTGACACATTCGAGTGAGAATGCAGGGACGCACAGCAGTCGCAATCCAAGTCACCGCTTCCTCAGAGTCTGCAGCTGTACTTGGTTCTTTTTCTGCCCCTCCGTCTACGTCCCAAATCCGCACAAGACAATCTTCGCCGCCAGTATAAACGCGTCTGCGTCCTTGAGGGTCAGCAAAGAACGGCGCCAGCGCAGGAACGACCTACGATCCATCCTTTGAGAAAGCCAGTCGAGTCGTTCCTCGCGCATGCGCTCCACTGTTAATAATATTTGAAGACATCCCGTTGTGTTTGCCGATACCAGCCTGGTCCTGAGTTTGTGTGTGGTCGACGTCGTCGAAGCAAAGAATTCCTGGCAGCGGAATTTCTGGCCGCCGTCGCGGTCACGGTCGCGTCACGCTCCATCAACGTGTTTATCCCACGCCCCTAAGGTAAGCTTCTTGCACCACGAGTGCTCAGCGCTCAGTGTTGTCCGTTAGCTAGCTTATGTGGTTCGGCCTATGTCGTCCGTAAAATGATAATGGGTCAACCGTACTTAAGGATAAAAGTATTCCAAATGGGGTCTATCAACGTCAACGTGAATATTGTCCAATTTCTTCCCGTGCTCTCCGACTGGAGAACACTCCATTGTCTGAAGGAAAGCTGGCAGAGTTGTTCTAGGTGACACACAACCTTCGAGTGCTCTCACTCTCTCAAACTCAGCCTGACACCCAGCTCATGCGACACGGCGCCTCGGTCTGGGGTTTCCTTCCAAAGCTTGAAGTCCTTCGGTTGAGGAGTCACCCCAGACGAACGCACTTGGCCTGATGAACGGCTTTGCCAAGTTCAGTGGTGTGGGTTGCAGACGTGTAAGGTTGGACTACTATGTATCTCATTGGTGATAGCTACTACATGGAGGGACGGGAGAATGCGTCCAACATTGAACCCCTCGGGTATTAGAAGCTTGTTCCGCCTACTCGATTGCAATGTCCACAGTATTGATCTAAAGAACTGTGTTGATAAACACCTTTACCTGCTCCCGCTGATACGGGCTTCTATCCCATCTCACTCTCCCTCTGTTTTGACTGACCCACAAGTAAATACAGCTTACGCGCCCGCGGCTACATATACGTACAAATACAAGTGGCAGAAAGCGAAGACACCAAAAACACAGCCCCGCCATCAAGAGGTCGCTGCCACAGTGAAGCTTCAATGTTTAACGCTTAACATTCAGCACTCAGATTCTGGTGGAACTTGACCGTATTACACCCCTGCCCTGTGCGAGTGGTCGAGGCGCCGTGGTAGGTTTCCTCGGCGAGGTGTCACCTTGAGATGGTCTGGCGACGGGGCGAGATCCAGAAGGAACGCGATTCTTCTGCGGCGATTGGTGTCCAGTCTGTGAAAACGGCAGGCTGGGCAGAGGCTTGGACGTGCTCTGCGTCACCCGAGAAGGGGATGAGTGCGATCCCGAAGGGACTTTGGACGGATTAGAGGACTTGCCCGCCGAATCGTCCTGACCGCTCGCCGCTTCCGCTCTCGCCCTTGCAATATCCTCCGGCTCGAAGTTCCTCTTACGTGACAACGAGCGCGCAACGCTCACCCCGCTCAGATTGGACCGAACCGAGTCCCCGCGCGCCAAGCTCGTTTCACCGGCGACTTCCTGTCGTGAACTCACAACCCTCTGTTTGTCCTTCCTCAAACTCGGAGCCGCCGGTTTACTCCCCCTCGGCTTCTCCCTTCCCAACCACAGATCCGCTCCTAAACTCTTCGTCGACCGATTATTGTTCAGGTAGATGAGCGCCTCAGACGCTGGAGAAGCATCGAAGAACGCCCTATCTTCCGGATCGATTTCAACACGCCCATGAAATCCCTGTTTTGCGTACTTCCGCCTATAATACGAGATCAAATTGAATTCCGCCTGGTCCCTCGCGCGGCGGCGCTTCCGTTCCTCGTAGACATGATCAGGCAGAATCTGGACGTCGTCAAAGTCTTGTGCCATATAGGGCGGTCGCGTGCGAGGTCGAGGAGGCGTAGGGGGTCGAGGGAATTGGTCGAGGAGCCGGTCCAGTTCTTCCAGGCCACCAACTTCGCAAATTATACAGTCGCAATATTCCTTGTGCTTGACGCGACCATACCGTCTGTCGAACCGTCCGAGGAGAGATTTGGACGAGGTAGATGGTCTACGCTGGGGAGGGTAGTAGTTCGAGGTACTGCCATCGGTCCGGTCGGTGTCCTTGGACAGTCTCCCAAACGAGAGATGCGAGTTCTGGCTGGACTCGGTCTCGCTAGAGTTGCGCATGGGCATGGAGCGCGAGTGTCGAAGCGTTCGATCTTTAGATCTATAGGAACGACATGTAAGTTTGGGCGATTCGAATAAGAACTTGACAGGAATGTCCCCGTACCGTCTGGTCCACTTGTTTCCGAGTTTACGGAGTTTGTCCATTATTTCAGTTTGAGAATGCGAAGAGAGAAGCAGTTAGAGTAAATGTGTCGGTTGAGACGATTCAAGTGCACGGTGCTCGAAGAATACCTTGGAGAGCCCGACCACTGGCCGTCCCGCTTTTTATACCCTGGAAACCATTGGGTTGGGCCACTGAAGAAGCCACACCACCGGACAATGTGAAGCAACCACCGCCCCGTCCAAGTGGCACATGCGCATTGTCCGTCGCAGCGACGCGATCCCGTATTTCCCATTCCAAGCCATCCGAGGCTCTTTGACAGCAAGAGCGTCGGACAATGGTTATGGAGACGCTATTGCATGCCGTGGAGCAAGGTTTTGGCCTTTCTCTTTTACGAGAGCGGTGAAAGACACCACTTTCTCCTTTCGAGGCCCGTTTAAGAGCGAAGATTGAGGGCGTTCATGGTATCGTGGTAGAAGTTGTCGCCAGCAAGACAAAGGAATCGGGGTCGCCTGCGGGACGCATTGCATCCACGTTGTATTGCGGGGGATCAATGGTTACAGCTTTCCCAAAACACCCAGGATCAGTATCAAGAAGTGAAACTGGAGTTGAACAAAGAAGGTTGCCGGGTTACTGATGGTTGAATGAGAGAGAAAACCGACCTCTCTCCTAATCCTATTCCCACAGCCAACTTGACGAAATCCAAACCCCGCGCTACGTGCCAACGGGACTCAAAGGCCCGATATCTTCTTATGCCTCCCCTATATGGTGTATTCTCTCACCTCGTTCTAGTCGAATTCAGAGGAATATCGCGGTGTGGTTGAGCAACTGGACTCGGCGGTGCCTATCGGAGCAGACAGGGGCCTGGATCAATCGGGGCGGAAAGCCGGGCCATGGGCGCTTAAGCAACTCTCCCGGGCCTCGACGGCGGCAGACATAGAGGAGTGAGCTGGCCGTGCCTTAATGCCTTTCATTCAGATAACCACCTTATAGTGCCACTACTCACATCTATCTTACTGCTCCAACTAGCGACCAGGCACGAATGCCCTTGTACCGGTACAAAGTCTCGTGCCACATTTCACGAGGGAGGGATATAAGAACTCGGGAGAGCATACCGTCAAAGCACATCCAGCCCCATCTCCCTCTAATACTCACCCTGTCTCTCAGAGAACATCTTACAATGACCCTTGGAACCACCCCCACCCGATCCACCTCGAATTCGGACGCCATCACCGACCTCGAGGAACAACAACCATCACTCTGTCTAGAGTGGCTACTGAGCTGGTCTCAGTACCTAGACACTCACCAATCAGATGGGGACTCGGATTCCGACAACCTTACTCAGACTACCAGTGCATCCTCTACCACCAGCCTTCAAGGAGATCCCCCAGCGAGCACAGCTCCGAGTCAAGAGACTACTGCTTCGTCAGCTGTCGGCTCGAATGAGCCTGAGGTTCGTACTACTAAATCACCTTGCAACAACCTGTCCTCATCCGTACCCTAGATACCCGTCCCTGACCCGCGGGGCGGCGACCTCGTCATCTACGGACCCGACCAAAACCTCTACGACGACCCCACAACGGCAGCGCGAGACCTCGTCTCCAAAATACGCTCCTTAAATCCAGCCATGGTCCTTCTCGCCTGGAAGCTGAAAGACATTAAGTGTGACACAGTTTCAAAGACAAGCTCCCGCAAGGCGTGCTGTTATGCCATCCAGTTCACCTCTTCTCAGACTGCGCGAGAGTTCGTCTTGGCAATGAATGGGCTTGAAAAGACTTCCGACTCGGAAGGCAAACTGGCTTACATCCCCTACGATGTGAGGATTGAAAGGGATGGAAGCGTCCACTATATGATCCCTGTGACCGACTGATCCTACTTCAATTGAGGCGGGCTCTTGGGCAGAGAAAGAAGATGTTGCATATTGAAACATACATAAATACATAGAGGTTCGGGGCATATACATAGCGAGAATAAGTAAAAGTACAATTCTTTACTTTTATGTTCGAAGCGGATTACTTTGGTCGCTTGGTATCGAGGGTGGAATGCGATGGTTAACTACTAACTACAGAAGGATGTTTGAATTGAATGAAATGAAGTGGAAGGATGCTGAATGATGATAATGAAGAATGACTTGAAGCTTGAATGTTGAATGGGTCGATCATTGAACTTTGAATGGAAGATGAGGCGCCAGAAATGCAACAATGCAGAATATAAAACAAATCAATGAAGTGGCACCATCCTTTAACGCTGAAGAGTCCCTGGCAAAATGGTAAGGATCGTCGGATAATCAAGAGGTGTACCGATGCGATGAAATGTTGAGAAACAGTGACAAAACAAGAAGGGCGGACAAAACAATACCAATGCTGAAGAAGAAAAGCCAAAGGGAGCAGCCAGAAGCAACGATGAAATGGTGTCAATAAAACTCAAAAACCTGGAAGACAAAGGACGATGGTGGTATAACGAGGTGGAAAGAGGAGATGACAATTAGTAAAGCAATGCAGATGGAAAGCATAAGTGAGGAATAAAAAGCGCAGAAGAGGGATGCCCCGGTGCCAAGAAACGATTACCGTTCAAAGGCATCCTCGAAGCTGGCGACGGCTCGTTCCTTAGAGGACCCAGAAGCGAGAGATTTCATTTCCTTCGAGAGCCGACTGCTTTCAGCCAACCAGAGTCCCTTCACCTCTTCGTTCCGTAGATCAGCATCATCGGATGAGGACTCTGAGATGCCCAATCCTCGGAGAACCTCCGTGATCCAGACACCGCTAGCAAGCGTCACCTCGCCAACCGTTCCAGCACCGTTGCGACCGAGTCCAGCGCCGAATGACGCAGTGCGACCGAAAGCACGCTTGCCTTTGCCTGCTCCAGAGGGTCCAGAAGGCAATGATGACGAAGACATCTGAACGAGGCCGACACCTTCCAAGACTCCAAGCAAGTCGCCAAAGTCACTGCGCGAGACAGCGTCGAAAGCGCCAAGCTCGCTTCGGTCGAGGACGTTATTGTAGAAAATGAACAGTTGTTGCGTGTCGATACTGACGCCTGACGTCGTGGTTGGAGATGAGGAGATGGAAACGGTGCGCTTTACTGGAGAAGCAGATGGCTTCCTAGGTGAGGCCGAGACGGTGAGAGGAAGGCCAGCCTGCAGGCGTTGAGCTGCAAGGAGGATGGAAAGGAGGACGATGCGGGCTTGGAGACCAAGGTTGCGGATTTTAGAAATGATTTCGCTGTTTCCAGCATTGGGGGAAGGTGCTGCAGCTGTCGCAGGTGTTTTGCTGGCGGTGGTGGCAGGAGCATAGGCCTTGAGCGCAGCGAGGATGTGTGGGGGAGTGACAGAGGGCGCAGGGGTGTTCAATGGATTAGCATCCCCAGTAGCCTTGCTTGCAGCGACAGCAAGGTCGATGGCACCGCGAAGGACTTCGAACAGGCTTCGGACGTCACCAGTAAGATTGGCGATGCGCTTGGTGAGAAGGACTAGTGAAGGGTTCGGAAGGAGTTTCTTGATGTCGTTCGCAACCGTCTCCGAAGAATCCGAGGACTCTTGAAGAGGTGCAAGGCGAGCTTGAAGAATACTGTGAAGTTGGGTGGGCGTATAGGGAGCAAAGTGAAGGGTCTGAATAGAGGAAGTAGTGGGGGAATAGGTTGGGGAATCGGCGGTCAAGGTGTGTGTATTGGCGATGCCGATAATTCGGAGGAGGTTAGAAGTGGATTCAGCAAGTGCGAATAGGCTGGACAATGACTGCCAGTTAGCAGCGATGTGGTCGAGCTCATCGAGAATAAGCAAGCTAAGAAGACGGTTAGAGAAGGTTGATGGTACGAAGAGAAGCAATACTAACCATTTAGTGTCAAGGGAAAGCAGAAGAGAGTTGACATCATTCTGGACCTTGGCCTTCTTGGCGCGACTGGTGTGCCCTTGCTTCGAACGCAAGACGTCGGCGAATTGGTTCAAGAGGGCATCGACGGTCTTGAGAGTCATGCAGTTGACAAAGACGGTCACGATTGATGTGTCTTTTCCGATGTTTTGGACGACCGAGTTGACCAAGGCAGTCTTTCCGGTGCCGGGTGATCCGGAAATAAACAAACTTGTGGGCGTGTCATCTTGCATGCTGGCGTCGTCGACAAAGGCGTCGAGAAAACGCTGAATGGTGGCTTTTTCAGCCTCACGACCGGCCATGGACATATCGGCGTTGTTGCAAGTGGCTCTGAGCTGTGCCTTGACCCGTGCATGTAGTGGCAGTAGTGCGGTTGGTGGGGTAGGAGGGGGTGTAGCGATGGCTAGGTCGGCGACCTCGCGTGTGGGTGTAGAGGGAATAGTAGATGCAGACGCTCGTCGGCGAATTGCTGTATACTAATTAGCCGCATTCTTAATTTATAAATTGAAATACCTACGTTGGCGGGAGGGTGAGCTGAGGTTGCCCTCTGTGACTGTCCTGCGAATCGCCCTGGCGGCTCTAGCCGAGATTGGGGACGAGGGCGCGCTGACAGGCTCGGGCTTGAAGGGAGGAATATTTTCCTTGTTTCCCTCGCCATCGACAACGATCGTGACCGTCCTTGCGCGCTTTGGTTTGGGTGTGGACTCTGGAGTGTGAAGCTGCTCAACAGCTTTTGTGCGCGGTGTGGACTCCTGGTCTTGGTGGCCACGTTTCCCAAGGACGGTGCTGCGTGTGACGCGCGTTGTCTGCATTGTGAGTCGTCCGACGAGCGCTGTGGTTGAGGGAAGAGATGGTGGAAGTCGACGGTAGAGTCCCAGTCCTCCGAGAAAACTCGGCCTCTTTCTTCCCGTTCCAAACGTACTTTCAAACTCCGCCGTTCAACGCGACTCGCGACTCGACGCGCCGGACGCGCCGGCCTCGTGCTCAACGCGACGCGTTCTCACGTGTCGCCGCCACCTGTGATCCCGCCGCTCTGCCACCGACGACCATCGAGTCCTGCTCACCGTTGCACACGACGACCTCAACTATACTATACCGCACAGACTCGATATCCCTGATGATACGCAGTTCCCGGCCTGTAACTCAGACATTCCACAGCATCCGAATAACCCGCTAAACCCGTCGGTCCCTGATCGAAAGCACTGATGAATGTCCGGACAAAGGCGACCATGCATCGAAGATTCGACGAAAAGGCGCTAACAAGGATGTCTCTTGCCTCGTCTGGAACACTAATTAACTGAAATCCTTGGCTCGGAAACAGGAGCAATGATTAATAGGGGCTCACATAGGCGCCCTCTTGAATTCCGACGCCCCTGGATTTGGGCGCTTTGTCTTTGGGCCAGGGGTTTTCTACACTCTAAGGCGACGGAAAGAGTCGCAAATCTACTGCTCAGGGGACTGCGAGTGTGGTATTACCTGTCAACACTTCTCCTCGGCGACACCTAAGAGTCCCCACTTCCGTCAACTAATAATACCCTCACTTCCTTCAGTCAATTACGCCAGCCACCTTCACGACGGCCAACTAAGTACGCTTCTTCCCCTTCCTGCTTCTAATCTAAACTTGGAGCTCTGGCGTTGGGGTATATAAGTATGCCTTTACATCTCCTGATGGGGTTTCTTTTCCTCAAATGAATCGCCTGATTTTCCTCCCGCTTTAAATGCCTCCCAATGCTGGTCCCGTACGACTCTTTGGCCTCCTGGTTTCTGGAATCTCGCTGCTGTTGGCTAGACGTTGCCGCGGTTTGCCTCAGGATCTCGGGTACGTCTACGTGCAGTCTAACTGAACGAAGTTATTTATGCTAGAGTTAGTCCTTACAAACAACGGCACGGACATGATGAAGACGAGGACAGTGACGAGAATAAAGACGACGACCACGGGGGAAGACCTGCTCTAACTTCACCTCCCTTGGCAGGCCAGGTTGCTCTCTCCGATACAACCACGATAACGTTCTACTCTCACTCTCACACGCCCACAATGCGAGTTCCTGCGGGATCGACTTCATGGATTAGGCAGCTTCCTTCCCCGGTCTGGCCAGAAGCAAACTCTGAAGAGTCCCTCATCGCTTCCCGTGCCCAAGCTCATCAGGATGCCCTAGCAGGTCTCGGAAAGGGCGGTATCGTCGGGGCGTCTCTTGGAGGCGGTACGTCTATTTTCGTCTCTATCATTTGTATCTGTCCATTTGCCTTCCCTGAGTTACAACACTTCTAGAGCCAAAGAGCATCCATCTAATCCATTCTTCCCCGCAGTGATCATCCTCGCCTTAATCATTATGCTCATAACCGCATGCCTCAGGAAAAGGCGCAAAGCACGGAGACAGCCACGAAGGTCGACGACAATCACGACCTTCCTTCGAAACAGCACCGTTAAGCCGTCTCAGCGGCGCCAAAGTCGACAGTCTGGATCCACCTTTCCGGACTCCGACCTGGGCTTCGGCACTAGCACTCCATACCACGGTGACAACTTCGCAACCTCGCATCAGCAACGGGGACAGTCGGGCTCGGGTATTAGCAACTTGGATGGCAGTGGCGTCGCGACAGCAGCGCCCCTGACAGGGGCGGGTGATGGAAGAGGGCCCGTTCAACTTCACACCTCTCACGAAAGCGACGAATCGTCTCTTCCCAGCCCCCTCTACCCGCCTCCAGGTCTTAGCAACCTTGGCCACCACTCCTACTCCGATTCGGGTCACAAAGATTCACCTTTCCCTGAAGCACATGTTGCTGTTCTTGACGGACTTGACCCTGAACGCCAATCGACCCTGAGCTCGGAAGGAACTCATGGCCCCAAGCGAGACGTAAAGGAGACAGAAGAGGATCCTGGGGATGACGAGGAACCTGAGGGAAGGGGTGCACGTACAGACCTTCCAGATATCGTAGTAACTCGGGCCAGTGTCACGGGTAGCATCGACTCTCGTCGTGAGCCTCCTCCGTATAGTTTCACGTAATGTTCGAACTTGGTGTATACCCCAAATTACTTACCTTGACGTCAATGGCGAATTCCCACACGTGTAAATGATTCTTCACTCGACAAACATTAGTAGATCATGGTATCCATTAAAAACACAAGCATTTTATCCGTACAAATACCAAAGATGCATCGACCAGAGGGAGCCATAGTAGGAGGAGAGGCGTAGTGGGAGAGATGGCATAGCAGGAAAAGCATAGGAGAGACTGCATAGTAGGAGAAGCATAGGAGAGAGGCATCATAATACTAGAGCAGAAGAATGCGTAACATATTGAAGCTCTTATGCTGAGGGAGGTCCAAACGTGAGACCAGTCTCAGAAGACTCTATCTCATAGTCGGCCAGGTAAGCCTTCCGCACTCTCAAACACTGACAATGCTCGTTGTGCGGAACACAACCAACAACATGTCTAGACTCGATGAATTCCCCATATGCTTCCACATAAGACGCCGATCCGAGATCCGGATACCCAATCTCAACGCCATCTCCTCAAGGTTGGGAAGGAACCCACAGTTGGATCGGAACTGTTCCAGGAATGGGACATCAACCCGTTTTTGGGCGAGTGAGAGGACCTGGAGATTATGCGTCTGCAAAAGGATTTCAGTCAAGACTCCGGTCGGGAGCAGCAAGTTCTCAATCCTGAGAGCGCGGAGAGTGCCTTGGCACTGCCGAATGAGCTCCGTGAGTTGGACCCCGACATCAGCGTTATATGCAGGCGAGTCCCTGGGGTTGAACACCGAGATGGATAGCGTCTCCAGATTGGGGGCTTTGAAACCTTGCAGGAAGGACCCGATGTCCTGGTAGACCTGGGACCTGTCACACACGATTAGTTTCTTTAACTCGGGAAAGGTCACCGTTGAGCCAATGACGTTGGGATTGTTGCCAGGGAGGATATCCCACCACGTGACAATGAGCTCTTCCACATTCGCGCATCGAGAAAGAAGAGACATAACGTCCTGTAAACCTACTGCCCAGAACACGGGGAAGGCGATGACCAGCCGGGTGAGCTGGTGCCAGGGAAAGCAATGTTCCCATAGCTTCAAGCGAGAGAATTGGAGAGTGAGAGTCAGATCGTTGAGACGAGGCATCGACCCCATACAGTAAACATTGACATCGGAGTCCGAGATCGTGTAGCTCGCGGGGTTAGTGATGACGAGGGTCTCCAGCTCGGACCAGACGACAGAAGCCCAAGAATAATGGTTGTTTGAAACCTGTAAGGATTCAAAGAGTGTCGAGCCTTTATCTGCATCCAGGCTGAGCACCTTGAGCCTGGAGGCGAGAGGCTTGAACGACTCTAAATCACTCCTGATGATCGGAAAGGGGCCGGGAGACGGGTTCAGAAGCCTGTGGAGTTGCTTTGGGTGGGGAATAGCCTGGAGCACAAGAGAAATCGGCATGCTTCCACACCTTCCGAACCACCTGTCGATACGATCCATAATTTGGGGAGCACACACGGTGTGTTCAGCAGGCAGTCGAATACCCAGAGAAGTCCAAAGCCTGGGTGTTGTAGAGGCCACCAGGTTCCACTTCCGACAAACGAGGAGCAGAGTCAGTGCTTGTTTATTGCGATCAGGTATCTTGTCATGTTGCCCTAGAACAGTCTCCTCAAAGATGAGGCGCAGGACGTCGTCGTTTAGACGCTTGGCAGGACTGTCCCGAACGGACAGGGATGCGATCTGAGGGATAATTTGTGCTGGATCCATGGCTGTGAGTCTTGGATTGGGGCTGGGGAGAGGCTGATCTCTTCATCCCGAATCTTAAACGTTTTGGTGTGGTCTACGCGCTGGTCTAAGCGTCGTCGCAGTCAAAGCCCGATCGTTACCGCGTTCCTGTCCATGTTAACTACCGATGGTCCACTGGGTGTTCCTACGCAACCGTTTTACCGTTGCCATTCAATGATTCCTTGCCGGACAAATGGATCCGCAAAACCGACTCTACTCATTGACAAACCACGTGTGCATGTTGGTCCAAGAGCCTCTAGCTGGCGCGGCTAATGAGAGAATGTAATTTCTGTTCCACATAGGCAAGCAGTGGATTGTTCATAGAATCTCCAACTAAGAGGGAGGCTCAGTAAGCGGAGGTGAACGACACAATCAAACGTACATACCTCCAATACGTAAGGCTTGATCACGGGGCAAGGAGCAAAGCACCTCAATTTCTGCCTTACGACCTCGAGCCTGAGTTGCCTCTAGCTCATCCCTAGCGCCTATAAGCCACCCAACAAGCACGGAGTAATATATGTACACTTACCGCCAACGTCGAGGAAGATGTGGTCGCTTCAGCATAGACCGAATCTAGTGAAATTCACATCAGGCAATCTCAAAGTGGAGAACTGCATATCCCACCTTGTTCTCGTCATAATCTGTGAGAGGCAGAAGTAGAGATGGGTCCAGGTCCCATCTATGAGCAACGTCAATGAACATGTGCCGAGAACGATGCTAAAGAGGACCTACTCCATGACTTCACTTATCCGCAGGCCTAGCCATTTGATGCGTCTCGTCGCCAGCGTGTCATTCTCGTGCCTCATGCTTTGGCTCCCATATCGATAGACCGACAGGATGTCGATTCCGTATGGATCACAGTCGACAAGCGCAGCGAGAGCTACGCTGCAGTCAAGTGTTAAGGTAAAGGGCTGCAAAGGATAATGGGACGTGTCGACTCACTGCTTAGGGAGCGCATCTCCAAGCGATTTGACCAGATGCCGGGTTGCGATATCTGGGTAGCCTTTCCCCTTCGTTGCAGTCAGCTGAGAGATCGTGGTCGATGACAGGCTTCCCGTACGGTGACCATGATTCCCTTTCCGATGTTTAATCCATGCGTCACTCCTAGTTGGCATAGAGTCTGGAAGACCGCCTTATAGACCGGTAAGCACGACTACGTGGCAATTGAAACAAACCATCGCGCTTACCTCCTTCTCTACAACCAATACCCACGCGATGTCTTCGTCGACCCCAAACGATTCAATGTCTTCCCCGGCGGGTATGTTGGAAGGCTGGAAATTCACGGTTAGAAATGGCCAAGATGGGGCAAGGGGGTTGAACCTCTGTGTCATTCCCTTGAACGACTTCCCCGGAATATAAGTTGATTGTTATTCCAGCGCCGCACACGAGGCCCTTGGATGCTGCCCGCTGTTCGAACTCTCATATGAAGGGCACCTATCTCGAGATGCTGGAAATTACGTACCACATTTAAATCGCATCGCTGGGTACCCCATGTTGCCGCAAGGTCGTCCACTAACTGTTGGCATAATGAGTCGGTGACAAGCGCAGAGAATATGTTTCACTTAAACACTCACTGTGTCTACGACTGACTGACGGCCGAATAGTGCGACGTCCTTGTAATATATATCTCTGCGCCTTGTCAGTATACTATAAAGAGGGGCAGATCGTCGGTCTCTGACACATACCGTTTCGTCGTGGGCGTGCCAGTCACAAGCCCCTCGTGCATTATGTCCAGGACTCTGAATAGTTGAGCTGTTGAAGTCAGCGTGCGCATCACATGAACTGTCGCAATTGTGCCTCGCCCATTGAGCGGGAGCTTCCCGTAGCAAATCTCTTAGGGAACTTGAGACTCCGTTTTGCGGGCTCGCTGGACAAATACAGAGGTCAGTACATAGCCCAGTCGCGAGTGACATACAGACCCGTCGACCGTTAATCTTTTCCTATCAGCAAGCTGTATCTCTAGCTTCGGCCTTTGCTTCTTTCCTTGGGATTCTTCACCATCATCTAATATAACAGCGCCGCAGGCTTCAATCTGCTTCAAGAATGAGAGAACCATGTCCTCAATGCACTTGACAACGTCAATTTGCTCCCTGGGGGACTTTGGTATCAGTATATGCATCTTTATGGACGACGTCAAATACATACTCCTCAAGGTCGACTTCGCTTTCAGAGCCTTGTTTGCTAGTCGGCCACTTCTCTTCCTCACCATCTCCAAGTTCTTCAAAGTCGTCGTATGGGCCAGAATCGCCCATAGGATCAGTCCTTTCTGATTCTTCCACAGCATATAGGACGGACACCGGGTCTCTGGCCGTGTTAATATCCCAAAACACGTCGTCCTTGAATACGTCCATGGTGGTTTGTAAAAGACCAAGACGGAAGGTGAGTATCCGAGTTCGGAAGCTCTGGTTTCCGTCTCCGCGTCGGCAACTGCCGAACCCCTTGCTGAACGTACTGAAGGCAGTGAAGCGGTCGTCCCTTTCCGAATCGACCCAGCGCCTGTCTTACATCGTCAGCCTCTGGATAGTCCCCATTTCAACATGGAAGAGTTTATAGGCAACCTTGAACCCAAACTTTACCGAAGTTTGTCACAATGGCGGCGGCTGACGACTTCAGCACCAACCAGAACCAGGCCAGCAGCACCGTGCCTGGTGTCGAAGATCCCTCTCTGAAGCTTGGCTTCAGCTCTTTACAGCGGCACCCATTGAGCTTCGAGGATGGGAATCTTGCTTTGATTTCGGAGGATCACTATTTTCTCGTGCATCGAGGTTTTCTGTGTCGACATTCTGCTGCGCTCAAGGATATCATTCTCAAATCGGAGGACCAACGCCGTCTTTTCAACCGACCAGTGGTGACGATCGATGAGAAATGGGCGGATCTAGGGTGCTTTCTGTCGTCTTTATACGATGGAGTGTGCGTGATTCCTCTCGCCTGCGTTGACCCTTGGCTGACAGTGTTGCAGGACCCATTTGTCGTCCTCGATCGAGGATTTCGCAGTAGTGGCCGCCATACTTCGACTCGCCACCAAGTACCAAGTGGAACATATTCGTATTGAAATCCTTCGTAAACTCGCATCGACTTGGCCTCGCAATCTGCTTGCTTGGGATATCCGTGAATCCAACGCGACGAGCCTGGGGCTCTACAAGCCTCGCGCTGTTTACCCTCATCCAATGTACGAGACTTCTTCATCTACAGAGATTGACTTCTCACGAGGACTAGAATGGTTATACCGCTGTTCTACGAAGTCAAGGCTCATGAGCTATTACCATCGGCATACTACGATCTCAGTCGCTGTGTGGCTAGCGACATCGTCAGCGGGTGGAGCTATCCTGCAGACCCATCTACCAGTTGGCACCTCGACAACGACTCCATTCTCACAGTTTTGAGAGGAAAGGAGCAGGCTTCTAGGTTCCTCTCCACTTTCATTGTCAACGAACTCGAAGGACGCGAACCCAGTACCGGGTGTATCTACAAAACCGACCCCGACCCGTTGAAACGACGTATTTGCCCTGCATCTTTCGAAGCTGTCACCTTTGAAATCGTCAGGGACTGTAATGGCGTCGTGTGCCACCGTGTTACTGATCCTCTGTTCGCCATCCTGGATTCGTATTTGATGCAGAAGAGAGACAACCCAATTGGTCGTGGTAAGATCACGTTCAGGGCTTGTGACTCTTGCAGGGAGGACTTCGCACATGCTGTTGAAGCTGCTCGTAACAATCTCTGGCAGAAACTCCCCTCCTGGTTTGGTGTCAAGTTGGATCTTTGGCCTCAGACCGCTGGTTATTGAAGGGTTGATATGATACCGCATTCTCTGTTTTTACCCCCTATTACTTCGCCTCTACTCGGGCCTTATTATTTTTCATTCACTTGCTTTTCATTCGTATAGACATGTTCGTTTTTTTCTTTTATAGCCGTATAGTAATTGCCCCCATCGTGACCCAGGGCTTGGAATCCTAAGGCCATACCGTCTGAATTAGCGCCCGAGCGGGTCCGAAGCTGCACCTTCAGAAGGTAATTCCCACGGTTCCTTTCTACCAATGGGCCCAGCCATAGCCAGCCTCTTGACGCCGCGGTACTCTGTAACTACCCCCGTATTCGGTACGCATTTAGTCCGTTCAGCTTTGGCTCACGCTCTAAAGAGCTTCTCTATTGAACAGCTATGCACCGCTGTCTAGGAATTCCCGAAATCCAATCGAATATATCTGGTATTCTTCAGGATAAGGACGAAGTTGGATTGGCCAGATGGGCAGGGACTTGTCGCCTATTCCACAAGAACGCGATTCCCCATCTATGGAGAAACATACCTGGGCTTTACGTGATAGCAAACCTTCTCCCGGATTGTTTCTCGGATTTTAATGGGGAACTGGTATGTCGCATCGGCATGATATGTTCGAGACGGTTCTGATGTGATACAAGTTCTTGAAGGAGAATGCGCCAATCTCAAAACATCTCCCGCGACTCCGAGAACATACGAACTACGTGAAGCTAATCTCTTACTATGAAGCACGTTACGACGACGTAGACATAGATCCCCCTATGTTGCACTGGTCGGCCTTGCACTTGCTGCTCGAAGACCACCTTTCCTTGCTTCCGCTGTTTCCAAATGTCCAAGAGGTGGTCATCCCGTTCTTTCAAGAGAAAAAAAAGGAAACGATATTTTACTCCGCCTTCTTAACATCGCCCAACCTTCGATCCGTGACCGTGTTGACGGACGAGGTCTTTGACATTTATGGGATCAACAAAACAGCGTCAAACCGAGAAGATGCCCACGTCATTTCACTTGTGACCCATCTGTCTTCCTTTGCACCAAATCTACTGTCCTTTGGAATCGACGGTCCTTATCATGAGCAACCGGTATGGGAACGTCACACGGCCATGAATTGCTTGAACGGCGTGCTCCCATCGTTTTCTGACGCTCTCCGCTCACTCCACATCATTCACCTTGCCGTAAATGACACAGACATCGCCACTTTATCCCGCCTTCGAGGACTCGAGGAGCTCGAGTTCCTAATCAATGAAGCGACCTTTGACGCACATTCGCCACACCCCCCTTCACCGTCTCCTGGTTTTCCGGCGCTCAGATCTCTCGACATTATGATCACGGACGCGACTGCATCAACCACATTCTTCTGTTCATTCGAAATCCCGCATCTACAAAGTCTTTCGATAACTTACGGTTTGTTTGGAGGAGAAGAAGAACTGGGAGATGTGATGCGCGGTGTTTCTTGTGGTGTCGGTCACTCTTCCCTTACTTCCCTCATGATCCGGGAGGTTGAAATTGAGCCAGGGTTTGGCGAATCAGATGGCCCTTCTGCTTTCCTCATTGTGCCGACCACTCTTCAACCCCTCACCGCATTCCAAAATCTCGAAAGCTTTACTATTACTCCTTGCCGGATCCTGCAAGCCTTTGCCAACGATAATTTGGCAGAACTTCTGGAATCGTGGCCACAATTGGAACGATTCTCAGTCGAGGAGGACTCCTGGTCGCACACACTATCGGCCACGACGGTCACTTTACAAGGCGTTCAAGCTGCGGTACAGCATTGTCCCAAACTGACCTATCTCCATTTTCCTTGCGACGCTCGACAGGTGCCGCCGCTGCTGGGAAGCGTGCCACCACACCCTTCCCTAGCGCATTGGAATGTGAGCCACTCCCCGGTACATTCCTCGCACGACATCGTGGAATGGATCCCCAAAGTCCTTCCGCATCTGCGCAATTTGGACTATTTTGTCAATGCTCGAGAGATGCTTCGCATCTATTGCGACCCGCGGTGGACCGAACGCAAAAACGACTTGGAAGAGGTGCCGGAGGATTTTTTGATGGCAGTTAGCAAGTGGAATGGTGTTGTTCGAGAGTTACATCGGGCTTGGACAACCTCCGCGGTTAAGGTAGCCCATTCGTAGAATAATAAGAAGTTGTTTGTTCTTGTGCTCTGGATTTACAGGATCTCCTGACGAGCCTCCTGATCAGGCGGCAATCCTGTTGCCTAATTAGCGCCCGTTTGATCCGCCTCAGCTGATTCTGTTTCTCACGATGCCGGCAGAATGATTGGTCTCGTCCTTTTCTGCTCCTGCCACGGCGATCGACGCGTCGTCGCGCTTTCTCTGCAAATGAACCAGTTCCCGAGTATGTGCTCAGCGTAAATTCCAGTTTTCAGGTCTAAAGCTTACCTGTTCTCCACAGAGATGCACCGTTGCCTCGAGATTTCCGAAATCCAAGCAAAGATTTGCGCAGATTTGGGAAACGAGGGGAAGAAAGACGCGTTGGCCAGATTGGCAAGAATTGGACGCGTTTTTCACGAAAGTGCGATCCGACAGCTGTGGAAAGAGATACCAGGGCTACATGTGATCACGAATCTCCTCCCTGGTTGTTTCTTGGAGCGCGATGAGGAACTCGTCAGTCGCTGCATTCGCAGATATAACATGGCGTGTTTCTAACGCCTTACCCACAGATTTTGGCGCACAATCCTCCTATTTCAGAACATCTTCCCCGGCTCAAGAAGTATACAGATCTTGTCAAGGTCGTCGACTATCCCACCCGATACTACCTGAACAAGGGGCCCAAACCGTTCCACTGGACAGCCTTGCACCTGCTATCAGCGGGAAATATCATACCTCTTCCCCTTTTTCGGAATGCCCGGGAAATAACCCTTCCTTTCCTCTTGGACTCCAGAAGAACCACAATTTTCTACCCCGCCTTTCTGCTTTCCCCGACTGTCGAGTCCATCACCATTTTGACCGACGAGGTTATCGACACCGACATCTGGTGGGGGGACGTACTTGAATCACAACCCGAAGACGCCCATTGCAAATCTCTCATCAATCATCTGGCTCCGCTTGCTTCGAATATTTCAAGGTTCGCCATCAGGGGTACAGAGACAGTGTGGGAGCGGCATACGCCTATGGTCTGTTTGAGCGGCATCCTCCCGCTCTTTTCGAACACGCTCCGCTCGCTCGATATAACCCACCTCTCGATGGACGCAGAGGGCATTGCAAGTCTGTCCCGACTCGGTGGTCTCGAGGATCTCAAGCTCCTAATTCAGGCCGGAACCCAGTGGCCAAATTCCAGAACGATCAACTTTGAGGCGCTTACCTCCCTCGACGTTGTAATCAAAGACGCGGTGGTGGACCCTTGCCAAACTTTCTTCCACTCGATGCGGGCACCCCGGCTGCAGTACCTCTCTCTGGCCTTCGCGCTCGATGGAGAGGAGGTGGACCTGGGAGCCGTGTTTCTCAATTTGTCTTGCGCCGTTGACTCGTCCTCTCTTACCTCAATCACCGTCAAGGTAGCCGAGATCAACGTGAACTATCTGCAAGATGATGATATGGATGCCACTGCATTCGCCGTCGCATCGTCGACTCTCAAACCCCTCTCCATATTCAAGAACCTTACTACCTTCGAACTCGATCCCTGCCGACTTTTGCCTAGTTTCACCGATTCGGATCTGCTCGAACTTACCTCCTCGTGGCCAAACCTCGAACGGCTCCAAATGCAGGAAGAAACCACCCGGTTTAAGCTCTCAGAAACGGCAGTAACTCTACGGGGCGTCCAAGAGGCGCTGGGGCACTGTCCTAAGCTATCCTTCCTCAGCATTCCTTGTGATGCTTCGGAGATACCCAACAACTCGACTCTGAAGCCCCACCCATCCCTGGCCCATTGGAATTTCAATCATTCCCCACTCGGCTGTGGTCGCCACCTGGTAAAGTGGGTCCTTGCCAACTACCCAGGCGTGAAGGAAATCTGCAACTTTGAACAGGCCAGGAAGGAGTTGGCTCGCATGTGCTTGCCTTCAGGCGGGAGGTCATGGGAGAAGCTAGAACAGGCTGCGGATGATTTCTTGGTCGCTCTGGCTCAATGGAATGGTGTGCTTCCAGCGTTGGCAGAGTTTAGGTCGTCTACTAGCAATACCTGTGACTCGTCGATGGGCAGTTTAATATGATCGTGAAAGGTGCTCCGATTGCTTGTCGTACCTACCACTAAGTCCAGTACAGCGTCGATTTTAAAGTTAAAAAAACGGAGGTCCGTATGGAAACATTGTTGTCGACCAGTGGACACACATATTCTAAGGCCAGCGTCTATCATCGGCGCTGAAAGCCGATACAAGCCTTTGGTAAGGTGTTCTAGAAGGCAAGAAGCGCAGCGAACGCCAAACAGTTGGGAATTTGGAGCAAAGAAAGTCGTGAGAAACTTGAACAACGCGTCGTCCTCTCCACGAACTCTGTTTCCCGCAACTCCGCATACCGCATCCTTGATTATGTCTGAAGCATCAGCTCCCGCTCAACGCTTCGTCCCAGGCGCACCAGAACCAGCGCCGCTTTCAAAAGCCCAAAAGAAAAGGCGACGGGCAAAGAAGACTGACGGCGCTCAGGACGCCAACGAGGCGCCCGTCGCCGGTGCTGACCCTGTCTCCGCAACTGCAAGCAATGCCCCCGAGCCCTCAGAGGCCCGTGAAGGGTCTTTGGCGCCCCCAGAGGTCCAGGTCGCAGAATCGACTGGCTCACCCCTTCCCGAAGAGCAGGTCTTGCTCAAGCCGAGTCCAATCGTCGAGCTTGTCACCAAGCGCTTAAAGGCGACCACCAAAAAGATCGTGAGTGGCAGCTGGATCCTTCTTGGATCATATTGATTCTGATTTGCTCTTCAAAGACCCGCATTTCTGGATATGCTGCGACCGACCCTGAAAAGTTGAACGATGACCAGAAGCGAACCCTCAAGACCCTCCCTGCTCTCGAAGCCGTCCAGAAGGAACTCAGCGAAGTGAAGAAAGCAATCGAAGTTGGTATCCTTTTGCATACCTCTAGCCTTGTTTTTGATGTTTTGGCCAGGTCCACGAAGCCGAACTCACCTCTGAGCTGGCGGTCAAACGAGCAGAAGCAGAGAGGGCAGAGAAGGGACGCATCCAATCGGCCGTCGATACAGCTCAGGTAACCAATAATTTCATTTGAAATTCAATTCGTCTAACGTCGTCTCCCAGAACAACTTGCTATCGAAAACATCGGACCTCTTGAACCTCCTCCGTGCTCGGTCAACTGTCGCAGGCGGTTACGCGGACCCTTCAGTCTTTGCAAACGAACTCGAACATGCCGCCTTTTTCGCTCTTGTTGATGCTATCGTTGGTGAGGATGGTGATAGGAAACAATCTGCTATCACCGGTTTCTTGTTTGGCACTGGAGAATTTGACGGAGTCCCTTGTACGTTTTGATCAGTCTCTTATCTCGTGTGCTGTCTAAATTTACGTTTTCGCGTTTCAGTCACACGGATATCCGAAATCTTGAATCTCATCTTGAACCCTCCCCGACCACCCACACCGCCGCCTGTTGTTGAACCCTCGATAGTCATGTCCAATGAAGCAGAAGGTCCCGTTGTCGGTGTTCCCGGAACACCGGCGCCCGTTGGTGGTTTCCGCTTCATGCAGGAGAGCGAGATCGAGCCGTCTTTGGAAGAGGGTGCTGAAGAGCCTCAACAACCTGTCGCTGCGGAACCTACGGAAGACGCTCCACCTGCAGTTGTCAACGGCCATGCCGCTCCAGACGCCGCTCCCGCCGTTGGGGTACGTTTAATTCTCGTGCTTTACGCTCTCACCATGGACTAACGACGCGTTTCTTCCAGGGTGATGGTTCTACTCTCGACTGGGCCGATCACGATGAAGCCGACTTGCCACCTATCGAGCACTTCAAGGCTTCTGGCTCTGCTACCCCAGCTGAATCCGCCGATTCTCCACAAGACGCTGCTCCGGCTTCGAACGGCCAGGTGAATGGTGTTCCCGTGGAGGGTGAAGCCTCTCCTGCTCCTCGCCAAGGAGGAGGTCGAGGAAATGGCCGTGGTCGTGGAGGCTACAGAGGAGATCATCGCGGAGGATACCGAGGCGGATATCGCGGTGGTGAGCGTGGTGGATACCGTGGTGGTGACCGAGGCGGCTATAGAGGGTTCCGTGGTGGCGACCGTGGTGGTAGGAAGCTTGCAACCTACTCTGCCTGTGGTATTGCTGACTTTCGACCTTAGGTTATCGCGGTCGTGGCGGAGGTGCTAGTGGTGATTGGCGCGCTGATGGCGAGCGTCGCGGACGAGGACGTGGGCGTGGAGGTCAGTTTTTATTCACTGCTGCTAAACCTTCTGATGCGATTGCATCTTCAGGACCACATGGCCAGTTCCCCAGGCCTCAAACACCTCAAACTAATCCTGTAGCTTAAAGACGCGTTCACAAAATATGTCTGCCGATCTGTGGTTGCGCATGATCAGTCCCCATCTCGGTTCTCAACTAACCTCTGACAGCCGCTCCTTACTATCCAATGTCACTGACCATTGCATGTACCCATCCCACATCACCTCTGTACTTGTCCGACGCGTTGTTGTAATCTGTTATAATTGTACCAACCCTTCCCATATTCAATCCCCCTAATCCTCCGGTATTCATTCAAGTTACCGGCACGATCACATCACCAATTGCATCATCGCGCGTCGTTCGCGATCGGTGAAAGATAGGTTTTGAGCTGCTGTCTTTTCCTCTGTCCTAACCATCAAGAAGCTTTTTTTGTGATTAGAGGGATGGTCGAGATTGATTATTCTGTATACCTTGTCACGGGCAGGAACTTTCTCCCTCCTGGCAAGGTGAGTTGATTTTTTGCTTCCGGTGTGACTGAGTCAGATGGCAGATGTAATCTATCGACGTATGCTTTACAGGATTATCTTGACTCTTTGGAAGAGGTGAGCTCGGTTTGGGTGTGCACGTTATGCTCTATACTGAAAGAGGCTGTACAGTCGCTTCAAGGAGGTGTCACTGTTGTCCAAGTGCGAGAGAAAGATGCAGACACGGGCGAGGTGAGCTCTACCCCGCACTTCCCTTCAAAAGCCAGTTTTAACAACCCTATTTGAAGTTTATCGAAATCGCAAGGAAGAGCAAGGAAGTGTGCGACAAATACAATGTCCCACTCATCATCAACGACCGCGTCGACGTCGCTCTTGTCGTTGGTGCAGCAGGACTTCACATTGGTCAAGACGACATGGACATTGCCCAAGCTAGGAAACTTTTGCCGCCTGGAACTATTATTGGTGTAAGCTGCAACAAGATTGAGGAACTTGAGGCTGCTGTGAAGGCTGGTGCCGATTATGTGGGTATCGGGACGGTTTGGCCTACTCAGACGAAGGATGTGGCGCATAGGATTATTGGCCCTAGAGGAATCGGGGAGAGGCTAAAGGTGCTGGATGGTACGGGTGTGAAGGCTGTTGCCATTGGTGAGTGTCCCTTGTATGCACACGCGAGAAGCCCGTTGAATTCTCTGTAGGCGGGATCAAGTCGACCAATTTGTGGAGGACCTTACATGGCGGCGTGACTACAACGGGAAGTGCACTGGACGGCGTTGCTGTTGTGAGTGAGATTATGGGATCTCCTGAGCCTAAATCTGCGGCCGAGAAGCTTTCATCGATCGTGAAGGCCTTCAAGAAAGAGCATGCTCGAGTCACCGAGCTACGTGCTTCGCAGCGGCTCACGAAAGAGTCCATCATTGGCCAGGTGGCTGAGTTGGTAAAGAAGATTCGGGATGTGAACCCGTTGGTACATCAGGTCTGTAGTACCTCTGCTCGCGAGAAAGGGGGAACTAGGACTAATAGAATATGCAGATCACAAACCATGTCGTCGCCACGCAATCGGCTAATGTCACGCTTGCCATTGGGGCGAGCCCTATCATGGCGACAGAGCCAGCAGAGATGGAAGATCTGTCCAAGATTGCCAACGCACTCCTCGTGAACATCGGGACCATGGTATCTTCTGGAGTCGAAGGAGCGAGACTTGCTGGTGGGTCGTCGTTTCTGCCTGTAACTCTGCGGGTCCGCCTCTGACCATGTATCTCTTAGGCGTCTGTGCTAACAAGTACAGGAAGCCGATTGTATTCGACCCCGTCGGTGTAGGAGCCAGTGCTTTCAGGAGAAACAACGCCAATGGTGAGTAGGTTTCTTCACTCAGCAGGGAAGCTTACTAACGCATGAGATAGGCTTCTTGAACCAATGGCAAGCGAGTATTATCAAAGGCAATGCGGGCGAGCTTGCTGCTTTGGCAGGAACTACTGAGGTACGCTTCAAGCCTGCACATATACACGTGCGCTCTGACCGTCCTTTAGGTTCTCTCGAAAGGCGTTGACAGCGTAGGATCTGGATTCAAGGACCCCGTCTCGTTTGTCCGCAACCTGGCACGCAAAGAACGTGAATACATGCATCTTTATACATTCGAAGCACTGGTACTCATGGTGATCTCTTATAGGATGCGTAATCGTATTGACAGGACATACCGACTACATCTCCGATGGGAACACTGTCGTCTCTTTGTCGAACGGACATCCGGCCCTAGGACAAATCACTGGATCTGGGTGTATCCTTGGAAGCTGCCTGGCTTCGTACTGTGCGACTGCCCTGCAGGGTAAAGAGGTGGATCTTCAGGGACCCATCGTCGATGACACCTCATTCGTCGCGGCTATTGCAGGGTAAGGACTTCTTCCAGTCAGCTTATTTTTACTGAGACTGACTGACGATGAATACTCTAGCACCCTCGTTCTTACTGTCGCCGCTGAGATCGCAACCAAAAAAGACGAATTCAAAGGTCCTGGAACCTTCTTGTCAGTGTTGATCGACACGTTGTCCACGTTGAAGGCTGAGGACATAGTAGAAAATGCTAAGCTTACTATCCACTGACGCTGATCCCTTTGTAAATAACCCATCTATGTACCCTGGCCAATCTAGATTTTAACATGTTGAGGTGTTCTTCTGATGACGGTAATGCCCCTATCCACGCTCGGCTATCAGATTGAATGCCGGATGCGGCATCGGCGGTGACACGTTCAGCAACGTTGAACGTCATGTTGCCCACCGCCATCATCAGTGCTCCTCGCTGTTGCAGGCAGCGAGCTCGAGGTGAATCACGGCCCAGGTGAGCGACTGCTCAAGGACTGGAACAACGAACCCGACAGTAAACCAAGATGACGACTTCGCATTCACCACGGCTGAACCCGCGCAACAAAGCAAGACGGCGGTTTTCTGCGAGTGCGACGGGATGGACGCCGAGCTCCCCCAAACCACTCGCATCTGCGCCACTGTTTAGGCCCAATAAACAGAGAAGGGTGTCGATGAGCCCTCCGACGAGGACAGCACTGGCCCATGGCCACAGGCCCTACACTGACACATCGGACTACGAGGACGACCACCATGACATCCGAGAAGAACTAGACTGGCTGCGTAGGGCGCGTTCGACGTCGCCAAAGCCCTTGATATTTGACGACGAGCCACGACAGGCTGCATACTCGTCGTTGCCACCCACACCTATCCTCCCTTCACACCCATACGAGCCGCCAACGCCAGTTTCTCCCCTGTCTTCTGCGTTTGGGACACCTGAACCGCCAACGAAGGTCGAACGCCAGGATATACCGTTTTCGCTATGGGATTATCTTCGAGAAGAGCTCCTTGCGACAGACTTTGACTCGCATCAAGAACAGAAATGGGAACGGGTGAGCAATTTCTTGAGTATGCCTTTGGCAATGGAAAAGGTGTGTATCCAAATGATTCGGTTAGGGAGGTATGACTGAACCATTACGTCTTGCTAGATCATCGGATTTGGCGTTATCGTGTGCTTCGACTCATTCCTCTACACATTCACCATCCTACCCATTCGGTTCTTCCTGGCATTCCTGCGCTTCATTGGAAATATGCTCCGGATATCATCACCACCCTTACCGCCTTCACAAAAAGCAGACCTCTTGCGAGGACTTTTGCTGATCATCTCCTTGCTTATCTTGAACCCACTGACGGACGCCAGCAAAATCTACCATACGATTCGTGGACAGGACACGATCAAGCTGTATGTTATTTTCAATGCTCTGGAGGTAATTTACAACAGCCTATCAACTATACGACTGGTACTGACATTTAACTGTAGATTGCAGATCGGTTATGTGCGTCTATTGGCCAAGACGTCCTCGACTGCCTGTTTTCGAGGTCAACACTGGAGCCTTTGACCCACCGGATACCTGTGACTACCCAAACCTTGCGGCCGATATTCTTCTTCTTCCTCGCGACAATATATAATGGTAGGTGTGTGTCAGCATTACATTACCATACGCCGCTCATCTCGTTCTCAGTCGCGCATGGCCTCGTCATGGTCTACCAACTCATCGCACTGAATGTCGCCATCAACTCCTATGACCACGCCCTCCTCACACTGCTGGTGTCTAATCAATTTGTGGAAATCAAAGGGAGTGTTTTTAAGAAATTCGAAAAGGATAACCTGTTCCAAATAACATGCGCAGGTGTGTCAGGTGCCCAGAGTCGTTTGAAACGCTGGTTAATATCGCTTTAGACATTGTTGAGAGGTTCACGCTTTCTCTGATGTTGCTTATTGTCGCGCTGCGCAATCTCATGGAACTGCGGGGGACTGACTTTGAAGCGTCGGAGGGCTTCGTCCTTCCGAAGAGTTTCGGATGGTTCAGAGGAAACAATATCCTGTGGACAATCTCTTATGTTTGTCTTTAAGCTGCTTCTAATAATCGCAAAGCTGACAACAGTCGTATAGCCCGTGGTTATGGTACTCGGCTGCGAGATGGTCGTTGATTGGTTGAAACACGCTTTCATCACCAAGTTCAACCACATCCGCCCATCTGTGTACGAACGTTATACAGATGTACTCTGCCTAGATCTTTCTAGCGGCAGTGCTGTCGGTCGCCGTCGAACACGGAAGGTACGGGTATACCTCAGTCTATCTGCGTGGTGCCCTGTTGAAACGTCAACTTGCAGCACTCCTATGTCGACCAATCTCCTTTAGTTGCCAGGCGACTGGGCTTTGCCTCTCTTCCCCTTGCGGCCCTGTTCATTCTCGTGGGCTCACAATCGCTAAGCGGGGTTTTCTCGTCTGCCTTCTCCGAATTTACGTACCCTTGGACGTGGTCACTACGAACACTATCTCAAGACGACTTCATTTATTACCTCACGTGGGCCACGATAGGCTTGCTGTTCTGGCTGTGGTATGTCGTCGGCCGGGCTTTTCATTGACTCTGAGCTAACAAGGCGCGTTTTAAGTTTCGTGTGCATTAAGATCATCGTCGGGATAAATCTTATCAGCTTTGCAACTCGAAGAAGAGCTGGGATGGAGGCGCGAGAGGCAGCAGATGTAGTGAACGACTTTGGGCGCGACCCTATAGGAGAGGGCAAGGAGGAGCGGGTAAGTAGAGATTTCTATCCTTGGTGATCGCCATCGCTAATCAGCTATGTGCAGAAATATAACAAAGAGCTGAAGTCGATTCTTGACAACGACGCCGACGACGTTCCTCGTGCTTCAGACATCGGCGAAAACAAGCCAGGAGATGACAGGAGCAAGAAACGACGATTACGATTAGAAGAATTGACCAGATATACTATGGTAAAGCGGATATGGTAGCTGGGATTTATGCACATATTTATGGTGATTTTGTGGATGGGAATCATATTATAACGGGAATGAGGCGGGTATACTATCATTGACAACGGTATGCAACGCGGTCACAGTGTTGCAACGGACCTTATCGCAGCCCAGGCGCTGCTTTATCGGCCCAGATTTTTATATAATCCTATGCAGGTGAACGCGACAGTGCTTTCTATTTTACTTTTGTAACGGAGAAGCAATTGCTTCTCAGAGGAATGCGTTATCAGTGGTAGAATTTTCGTTGCAAAAGCAAAAATCCCACGTAGTTTGGACATTCCGCAATGAGTGGGAGTGGATTGACCGTATAAACTACATATAAATTAACAATGAATGTTTTCTAACCCACTGGTCTACATTTCATGCCCCTCGTACCCTTTCTGAAGAGACGAAACAGAAATCTTGGGAGCGTGACAGGAGCGAGAGAGCGTTCCCAGCAGTTTGCAACGCGACCTCCCGCGACTTTCATCAAACGATCAAAAATTTGTCACGCTCCCCCCTTCGGAGTTGCCAATGATGTGACATCGGAGTGTTCGCCATCATGTCACAGTCGTTGCAACACTATGACTTTTGGTGCTTTTGAGACACCCTCCACCGGCCTCCCTCTGGCAGAACGAGAACTTCGCTGATTCTCTAAATGACTAAATAAATGAATAGCCGAATAGAACAGCAACCTAAATACCAAATTTCAAATTCCCAAAATGAGTACACAGAGAGATATTGAAGAGAGAGTGAAATCCGTTGCAACACCCTGCAAACGATAGTATATGCAGTCCAGAAGACGACACATCATATCAGGTTCCGAGTAACGAGCTGAATCTGTTCTCCACCGTCCTTTTCCTCCCGCTCACGCCTGCGTGCCGCCCGTTTCGCCGCGCGCTTCTCTCGAGCTTCTTTCTCCTTTGGCGTCTCGTCACGCCAACGCCAATCTCCAGAGAAACCAGTTCCAAATATCTTACGAACATTGATGCAGAGCAGGATCGCATTTGCCAGCCATTCGGGCGCGACGTGGAGCATGTAAAATGCCACCTTGGACCCTTTACTGTTCTGTGATCCTGGTGCTGTGGAATCAAGGGCCACTGTGTAGTTGTTCATTACTGCCATGCGGTACACGGCCACGGTACCCTGATATTATTGCCCTGTCAATGTCATGAAGGTCTTGGTTCGCGAAACGGCGGACGTACTGTTAGCGTGGCGATTACACAGAGCATGAGCAAGCCACGTTTAGCCACGCGAGGCTGCTTCCACCAAGACCATGCCGCTACCAGCAGGATAACTGCGTTCATCAAGAACAAACCCACAGCAGCGCTCACGTATCTGGAAGTAATATTAGTCAGTCCTTCAGATCGTCAATGTACTCCGAATACCTGTATACAAAAGTTCTCTGCGCATGTCTCTCGCTCGTAAATCCTTTCTTGTATGTACTATGGGCGATGATACCGGGAACGGTGGCTGCAAGGAAGGCGAACCCGGCGAACCCAGTAAACCGGCGCGCCCAAAATCGTTGGCGAGGGTAGTCGGGATCTCCTTCCTGTGGAGGTGGAATGTGACATCCCTTGGTAGCTGCTGCACTTGATTCGGGATAGCGCTCATAACCATAGCTAGCGTTTATGAGCAAGCACCGGAGGAGGCTGATCAAATCGCTCGCGATGGTGATGTAGCCCGACCCGAAGCTGAGTTGCATGTAGTTCGCCATTCCGCCAGAGAGTCTCTTCTTTTCATTTCTGGCCTGGTTTGCCCGAAGTGCAAAAATCGCGATTCTAGATTGTCGACCATGTTTAGCAGACGTGTCAAGGGCAGGGTGAGTTTCAGTGTTCTCCAGGGAACCGACTCACCGCTCAACGGCGAAAATGATTGTCCCAATGAGGAGTGTCGTCCTTGACCTCCTGTCATACAGCCGATAGACTACCAGAGGAACGAGCAGGCCATATAGGACTGCAAATAACACAGAGGGTGCGAAGTCTTCAGGGAGGGCAGCACCGCCGATAGGTGATGGGAATTCCACAGAGGCCATTGAACCGTGAGCTCGTTTTGAAATCAGGGCGCCCATACTTATATCCTTTCGCTTCACCTCGCGCCGCACAGCCGCACAGCCTTGCTTCACACCCTGGTTTACAAAGTTCCTCCGACCATGACGACTTCTACAGCAGTTAGTATCCAAGGCCGGTGCCATCAATCGGCATGGGGCGGCACACCTATGAGTTCAAAGCAACGAGAGTGGGTCTCAGCTTGTGTAACCACCTTCTCTACTATATCCAGCGCTGAAACTCGAGCACGACTGGAATTGAATCAATCGCAGTGGGTGAGCGAAAATACTGCTCGACGGCTGCCAAGGTTTGTCGTTGCCGTAGATTCCGACTCGGAGACGTCTACCCAAAACGCCAAAGCCCCTGTTGCGATGAACTTGAATTGCGCCTTAAAATTGGATCAATGGACTCGAAATGAGCGTCATTTTATTAACCAAGGTATAGTACACAAGGTTTGAACTAGATAGCTATTCAGTGTAACGAATGACGGGATCAAGGTTGAGATAAACATGTATCTGATGCTCTGAAGGTAATGAGGGAAATGGGAGAGCTGCAGGCAAAGATGACGTTTAACAGGACCAAGTTGAAAGGGAGAATGGGGTATAGGGCTGTCCTACGTAGCTTGGTAGAAACGTTTTGGATCCTAGGCAGGGCTTCTGTCGACAACGTGCGTGCTGTGACCCGCTTTTTCACTTCGAATACGCTTGCGTTCAGCTCGTCTTTGAGCGCGTTTCTCCCGGAACTGCTTCTCCTGCGGTGTCTCGTCGCGGAAGCGCCAGTCCCCCCACATCCCGGTTCCGCACAGCTTGCGGGTATTGACACCTAGCAACAAGGCACACGCAAGCCACTCTAGTGATACATGGGCGATGTAGAACCCCGCTTTAGATCCTGTCGAGTTCTGTGACCCCTCTGCGGTCGAGTCTAACGCCACTGTGCGGTTTAACATGACTGCCAGTCGGTATATTCCGATTCCACACTATCAAATTGACGTCAGTGGCCTTACGGGACTGGAGTTCTAGACTTACAGTGAGTAACGCCACCGTAACGACAAGGAGTAGGCCACGCCTTCCTGCTCGTGGCTGTTTCCAAATAGACCACCCCGCTGCGCCCATGAGGACCCCATGTGCTAGGGCAAGTTCGACTGCGGCACTCGCATATCTGGTGATACGTTTAGATGACTATCAGCCAACTCATCCAGCTCACGGGTGTGTCGCCTACCTGAGTTTATATGTCTTGTCCGCAACCGCCTGGTCTGTGAATGTCTTCTTGTAGACACTGTGGGCAAGGATGTTGGGAACAGTGGCAGCGAGAAAAGATAGTCCCGAGAAGTCAGCGAATCGACGAATCCAGAAGCGCTGCCGTGGATTATCGACATCGGTTTCCTTGGGCGGGGGGAGGTCACATCCCTTGGTGGATGCCGCACTTGATTCCGGATAGCGCTCTGGCCCATAGCTGGCATTCACCAGCAGGCAGCGGATGAGGTTGACGAGATCGTTCGCAATTCCTATGTAACCTTGTGCAAAACTGAGTTGCATGTAGTTTGCCAAGTTTCCTGACTGTCTCATCGTTTCGTTTCTGGCTTGCGCTGCTCGGATGGAGAATATAACGATCCTTTATAACAGGAAGTTTAACCATCAGAGTCACAAAGAAGTCGCCGCAACGCACCGCTCAGTTGAGAAGATGATCGTCCCTAGTAGAAGGACTGTTCTTGACCGCCTATCGTAGAGACGATACGCCGTGAGGGGGACAAGAAGTCCATACAAAACAGCGAATAGGATAGACGGCGCAAAGTCTGGAGGAAGGGACGCCCCACCGACTGGGGAGGGGAACTCGACGGTCGCCATTGAATAGTGTTTCTGCCTCCAAACGAGTTGTTCTCTTTATATACATTGTTGGAACTCCGTTCGCACATTGTTTACAGCACCATTTCGGCAGAGCAGAGTATCCCCAAAACGTGTTTAATTCGCGTGGTAGCGCTCTACAGCACTAGCCAAAGCCCATCAAACAACCCACCCAGGAGACGCAGTGCTGTATAGTGCGCAGCGGATAACAGTATGCTATCCATGGAGACTCGCGTTTCGGTCTTGGTAGTGATCTGAAGACCAATGCGTCTGAATCGGATTCGGAGAGGAGACCGGAATAGCCCTATTGGCGACTTGTCGGAACTATTAGGCTAGTACAAGGGGCTCAAAATCGCAGATCCATTGAGCACACAACGAACAAGTGCGAATGTACTGTGGTTGGCTCTTGTCCGAACACCCGTCCCAGTAGTCTTCCACAAGATGGAGCAAGACCCACTCAATTCCGTGCGAAACGGCCACTTCTCTACACCTGCATTCAGCACTGGCCCGGAAACATACCATTAGGACACGGAGGAGTCGAACACCAACCTACATCTACTGGGCAGCCGCGCAGTAAGGAGGATGATGGCAATGAACCAAATGTATTATGTTCCGGTTACGATGCGTAGTATAACTATGTTATGTGTGTCGTGCGTGTTATGGTATGGTACAATTGCTAGGGCTCGAACAAGCAGAAGAAGAAAGAAAGAAGTGCTTAGCCAATTGGCAAAATAGACAGCAAGAACGAGAATAAATACAACAAACGACGGTGTCGAAGTCCATGTTCCAGGAAGAAAAACGTGTATACGAATTGTACACAGGGAAGGCGAATAGTGAAGTAGCAAGCCAAAAATCGTTATGAACTTGTACCACCTGGCCAACTTGGAACTGATGAAGACGCCGCCGTGACAGGATGGGAGACTGAAGCAGAGTTGAAGGTGAAGTTTTGAGCGCTTGGTGCCGCTGTGGTCGGTGGTCGAGGAGATCGTTGGATGGAACTTGCATCCTTCATAGGTGACCCATTTACAGATTGGCTTGCCTGGCGACTGCCGACAAGGCGTCAGCCCAAGAACCACATCCTGAGAGCCTGCAATTACTCACCTGGGATCAGCGGTTGGAGCAGGAGTCCCGGATGCATTGCTTGCAGCAGCAGCAGCAGTCATATCGGTAGAAATTTTGAGATATCCAGCCTGGACGAGGAAGTCCCAGACCCTACTGGTCTTGTTCACATCGATTTTAACGAGATCACGAGCTTCTCTGCGTCGCAGTTTACCACCACGACGCGCATACTCGCGAACAAGGGTTTCTTTGATAACAAGATAAGGTTTGGGGAGGATACGGAGCTGAGAGCAAAGGGCTTGCTCGGCGGGAGTAAGGAGATGGAGGGAAGGACTGTTGGCGAGATTGAGAGGGGCCGCTGGGAGGGCCGTGAGAATTGACGTATGGAAAACGAATGGGGAGAGAGCTTACGAGGTTTGCGAACAGGTGGCCCTGTGCCACTTGCCAGTCGGGGTGTAGGTTCCCGCGACCCTGATGGAAAATTGAGTATGCTGTGCTCTGCTGAATATGGATGACACATACCTTCTCGTCTTCTGCTACTATCGACGACAATATAGTCTCTCGCAGCTTTGATTTGGGTCTATCATCTCCTTGTTAGAAAAATCAGAGCGGGAACTACAATAGACGTACCCGTTTAATGAGGTCGGTCTCATACTTGTCGATATCAGCTGCATTGCAGAGTCCCAGCCGACGATAGTGCTGTAGTTCTTGTATCCGTTTCCTGAGCATAGCTTCGTCTGAAAGGGTTGAGATAAGAAGACTAATCTCGGAAGGATGTACCTACAAAGCATATCCGTCGTGAAGGCTTCGTAATCTGCAGCCGTTTGCAACTTTGCAAATGGCCGTAACCGATGGATGAACTCTCGCTCTTCTTTCGGCCTCTTCCTTTCTGCAGTTTGCCACTGGAAGATGTATTGTTAGGTGTCGTATACAAATTGGCACGATGCTACACTCACCTTCTTGTAGTCCAGAAGCCCTCTCTCAAACATAAATGCCTTTGCTTCAAGTCGCTTCTCTACCCGTTGGAAGTACATTTGCAGCAGTGTGAGCTTGAAATCGAGAGATGCCTGGGTTTCATAGGGCTGTGGTATCACAGGTTCCTCCACCTCGTCTTCCGGGTTCCCCATGACCACGTCCTCCGATTTAACCTCTTTCTTGACGATCCCGTTCGTCTGGTGGCCATTAACATTCCCATTACTTGCGAATGTTGGACCCGGTGTTGCAGATGACTCTGGAAAGTCGTGTAGGCCAGCTAACTTGTCTTCTTCGAACTTCTTTCGTGCCTTAACATCGGGGTCGTGGTCATCTTCTGGTATTTCGTCGCCTCCGTATTGGTAGACGACACCGAATTCGAGATCTTTGACGAGGTCTTCGGCTTCGTTGTCTAACTCGTGCTCGAATTCCAAGCGACCAGGGAAGTATGAAGAGATCTCGTGTATGCCAGGTGCTGATGTCGGGGCTGGACCGGGTATTGGGATAACTCGCTTGTTCATTTCGCTTATTCGCCGACGTTTGCGAGATTGAAACTCGTAAGGATCGATGTTAAATTCCACATCCATACGCTGTGGAACAGCAAAGTCATTAGACACTGTTTTGGAATCCAGAGAAGCGAATGCAATTTACCGGTCGAGGCCAGTCAGGCGACTCAACATAGACCTTGTGGTAATGTTTCGCCACTTCCTCCGTCGTCCGCGTTCCGATATGTTCTGCAACCTTCTTCCAATTACCGATGCCGAACAACTTGATACCAGCGAGAAGAAGATATTCTCTGTGGTTTACATGAGATTAGAACGGAATGCAGAAACGAAGGACATACTCGTCTGCTCCCCAGTCTTCGGTAAATATAGGATAAGAATGGACATCCTGTGGATGAATGTGAGCTTAATTGGAGACGATAAAGCCATAGGACTGACGATAACGCGGTAGGCATGCCAGCGCTTATGATCCTTAAACTCCTTCCCCGCACAAAAGCAGCTGGGACATATGTCGGCCCCCTCGTCCGCCTGGCATGCTGGGTCCGCACATTTCATGCGTACGCTATGTGTGAGGTCGCGGCCACATGAATCGCAGGTATAATTGCTGCCTGGATCCGTGAAAACTGAAATTGGAGGTTAGAATAACCCAATCAGGCGAACTATATTATGACGCACCTTGAACTTCTTCCGGGATCTGCTGTGCTTGCCCATCTCCGAGAGTCATTTCGACGCTCAACAGCGCTCCGCTCAGTAAACCCTGTTTTCCGCTAGGTCGCGTTCAGGACGATCCTTTGGTCGTTCAAGCCGTTTGAATGTCGTCGTCGACGGTTCGCGTCGGTGTGGACCACTGGAGCGGTTTGGCGGGATTGTTCCCGGTTGGGCCTAGCAGAGCCTCACTATTGAAGACAGTCTGAACACTGTATTGGCCTCCTCGACGTCTGAGGTTGGATATTTGACCCGCGGTCGTCGTCGCTGGGCGGCTACGACGATGGGAAGAACGATGAGTGGATGTTTGTGGTTGTTTACCAACCGCGTCGGCAGGTGTGGCCTGGCCGCCTAGGCCCGCTGCCCGAAGGTTGCCTCCGACCGCCAAAGTACAAGGCCACTTTGTCGACAGCGTGCCTGTTCAAAGGATTCTACAAAAGACATGTGTCAACAGCTATTGCCATCGTCTCCAATGCCTGCTACCAAGAGACCTTGACTGTTCCGGCAACATTGTATTCTGTAGGGGCTGGTGGTATATCATGCATGACCCTCGACGACAATCGTCCTCTAAGGTATCGCCAACAGCCCACTAGACATCGACAGCAAGACTTTCCGCATGCTCATCATTCAGATTTTACGCTTTCTTCTGTGGGCAGTCGGCACAGGAGCGGTCGCTGTGGGCATGGTCATTCCAGTCATCTTGCTCTCTATCGCCTTTTCAAATCAACCGATCGGCCTGCAAGTGTTCCTAGCCATGGATGAAGCGCAGCGCGATGTCGTCGCCATAATAGAACCAAGGGCTGTTAGGCATATGCATAACCTTCCTCGGGGCCACCGCTTGACCCACGATGCTATAGGATAACTGGGACTGTCCCCCGGTGTACAATCGGCTCCATGCAACCTTCGCGCATTCTCGAAGAACCCTAGGCCTCCACCCTTTCCAGGACCATCATTCTCTCAGTTTCACTTTGTCGAAGATAGCTATTCCCTTGCTATCATGCTGTCATTATTGCTTTCCCGCTGCTTTCCTTTGCTCTGCTGTCATCACTCGCTTTCTTGTCGCTATCGATCGTTGCATAGTTTATTGGTAGATCAGGTTTGCTCATGGACTAAGGACTGATTGTACATTAACTTTTTCCTTACTATTCTGGACGTAGAAAATGGACTGAATCTCTAGACCTAAGACGATCCCTCTAGACTTTGCCAGTCTGGTGCTTTATCTCCAGGGAGGTGTAAACCTCCTGTCGTAAAGACGTGCACAAATTTCAGTTGGCTGCTGCGAAATCCACCGCCCCAAACTGTTCACCTTTTTGATCGGACCTTGCTGGTGGAACAGCTCTTGTGAGTTATCCATCCAATAAGCGCCCACTTAGGCCCAATTAGGTGCCATTGAAGAGGAGATTGTCCTCTTCGAGAATGTGGCGTCCCAGAGTCTATTTCCGTTGCCTCGAAGTCCAGTTTAGTCTTCCCAATTGCCATTTCCTGGGGTAATGCTGGTCACAAAGTCCAATTTTTGGGGCAGCGATGCTTGTATGTCGCCATGTTGAGTTTCTACTTTTGAGAAAACCAACAGGGCGCGCGAGCATGCGTGCAATGCGAAGCCCGGATCGCGTGGACACACTAAGGAACTCCGGATTGCTTCTTGCTGATCCCCCTCATCCAGCACCGTCCGCGCAGGCACTGCAGTACGCTCTTCAAGTCATTCAATTGAATTGTGCGCTAATCCTGTTGATTTTTCAATATTGGCCACCTGAGACGGAGAATGGTCGGCTGACCCTGAAATTTGCTAATTGTAGCTCGAGTTCTCCCATGTCCCGCAGCCGCGGTGACGAAGCGCGTGCTACAGCTCACCTATTCAGGAATTTGAATGCAGACGGACCTTAGTTCTCTCACAAGAATGGACTTTTACCTCGCCTTCCTACAGGCTTGGAAGACTTGTCGATGAACCTTTCCTTCAGACGCGGTCCCGTCGGGTTGAGGTGGTCGCAAAATCGCTCGCTCGTTTCGCCCGAACAGGGAAACACCCACACGCCGACTTTGCCTTGTCTCTCGGCTGAACTCATGGGCAACGGTTGTCACAATCTCCCCAGATTTCCCCGCGTTCATCCCACATGGCCCGCGTCTTCTTGACTGATCGCTCATCTCCATCTTGTCCGTTGAACCACCATTGGCCACTTGTGCTCTCACTTTGCCCTGGCTGACTCTGTTCCCGTTTCTCACTGACGGGAGAGCCAGCATGGCACCATTCTCTCTTCGGGCATGCGCCCTTGTAGCCTATTCTTGGCAATGCAGAGTATATAATAACTGAGCATACTGGACAGCAAATTCTCCCCAGGTCGAGTTTCTCAACCTTTCTCCTTCCTCGCAGATTTCCCAATCGCGTGGATCTTCGCCTCCCCTTCCCTCCCAGTGCCAGCAATGCGTCCCGCGTTCCTTTCGCTTTGCTTTGCGGTCCTCTCGCAAGCGTGGTTGGGCTTTGCCTCTCCTGTTCCTGTCGGAGAGCTCGAAGCTCGCCAGAGTGGTATCGATTCCACCACCTATGGCAACCTCGAACGGTTTGCGAAGCATTCTTCTGCCGCTTACCAGCTCCTTGGGTGCCCTCGGCCTGTAGGAACCACGCTGGTCAAGTATGTACGTGGTACCTTTTTCTCGAGTGTTCATCCTTGGGAAGATAACTCACCTTGGCTTTCCATTTTGTAGATTGACAGATCTGGGACACAAGGGTACATCTCCCGCGACGACTCGAGGAAGGAAATCATCGTCTCCTTCCGTGGTTCGATGAGTGTCACCGACGCCCTTGTTGGTGGGTCGCATGATTCCCGTGCATTCCCGAGCGCCTAATCATCCTTGTTTTCTTTTCTCAGACCTCGCGATAATTATGGTCCCGCTGAAGTCCACCGGCATCACTAACGTTGGCGATGCGCATGTCCACACCGGCTTCCAATTCGCGTACAACGTCGTCGCCGATGATGTTATCTCGACTGTCAGGAATCAATACAACTCGCGCTCCGGTTATACCATCGTTGTTACTGGCCACTCTCTCGGAGGTGCTGTCGCTTCGATGGCTGCAATTTCTCTCAAAGCCGCTCTTCCCAACGCTCCCTTGAAGCTTTACACCTATGGTACGATCCATTTCTTCGATTTGCCATAGCCTTGGTCTGACAGTCCCCCGCTCTCTCCAGGACAACCCCGTGTTGGCAATGCTGCCTTCGCTAGCTTGGTTGAGAGCCGCGTTGGCGTCAACAACATCTTCCGAAGTGAGTTCGTTACTTGGATCGTCCTCGTGCAATTTCTGATTCCGTCTTCTCCAGCTGTGCACACCTACGGTTAGTTCTGCGCGCCTTGAGCGCCAACGGCATATGGAATCAAGCGCTGACTACTGTTGCAGATGGCGTCCCCACTGTCTTGTTCAAGGCTCTTGGCTACCGTCACTTGTGAGTGTTGTGCCGTCTACTACATATAGAACCGAAGCTAAATGTGTACTCCCTTGTAGTGCTACTGAGTACTGGAACTTCCAAGATCCTCGTAAGTTGACGTTGTGCCAGTTGCTCGATGGTCCCGTGCTTACTGTGCCTTCCAATCCAGCCAATGCTGCCAACACCAGGAAGTGCAATGGAGGCGACGACCCCAAGTGCAGCGACTCCATTCGTAAGCCCCTTTCCTCATCGCCGCAGCCCGCTCGAACGCTCTTAACACCTTCCTTTGTAGCCTCAACTTTCATCAACCCCGCTCATGTTTACTACTTCGGCGAAGGTAAGAGCCGACTTCATCTTCATTGAAGCTCGGACGGATATTGACTCCCCCATCGCAGTTATGGGCCTCAACCCTCTCCTCTGCCTGTAATGCTCATGATGTACGACACCACGAATCACTCGATGGGATACCCAAGTTCGGATTGTACAAATTATCGGATGGACTCGGATATACCCGCGGAGGTTTGTCAACAGAGTGTAAAACTACGCATACCATTACGACTAGTGGATGTATTTTTAGCATGGATGGATACGGATTTCATGACTCTGATTGGTGCAGTGGACTTTCTTTGAGGGAAGATAGGGTTGGCCGAGAGGCTCTAAATTTGGAAGGGAAGCTGCAGACTGCCTCCAGTGAAGGATGGGGCAAGGCAACGATCGCCTCCATTCGGTAAGCTTCTTGCCCTAAAGGAACGCTATCGGAACACCGCATGACATATGCGGGCTCACGCTCTGCTCCTCCTCGGGTTGAAGCAACCGATGCATTTATCCGAGTGGTCTCGACTCAGTTGAGAACGATAAGTATGTAAACGGTGCATGTCACGAGATGTACTAGGCCACGGTGATGTGGTTTGGTGGTTTGACTGTAGCTTAGTTGTCTGTACACAAGTTACCCTCTGATCTCCCTTGACTCGAAGCACAATCGAGATGCTATATGTACTTTCTGTAAACTGGATGCTTTGGCCTGGACTCGAACTCGAGGGCAACCTGTGTTTGGCGTTGTTAGCAATAGGAGACTTTGGCATCTGATTGACACTAGGGCGCCAAATCACTCAGCCTCTAACGACCACGATATCTACCCCAGACACCAGCCAAACGTTGGATATAGCGGCCGGAAGCTAGTCTTTCGCGCATATCGACTAAAAGAGGATACGTAAGTCAGTTATAACGCTGCTAATTTCATAAGGCTAATGCTTTTCAGCAAATCCTCGACCTACATGAAGCTTTCGAACATACTACCGACAACCTTGCTATGCTTGCTCGACGCGATTCTCGTATCTGCGCAACCTAGGCGCGAACTACCACTCGACGTTGTTGTGCCGGGGACAGCGTTGAATGGCCAGGCATTCGTTATTCCTACAGCAGGATCGCTGGTTCTCTCGGTCGCAGTATGTTCAGAAAACTCCAACCTACGGTTCATCGTCTCGAATTCCAGCTCGACAAGCAATCCAAACTCGGACGGGGGTGCATTGGTGAACCTTGTTAATGGGGTTGGAACATATGTCAGTGGTTATCCAAACGGAGGGGTGCTTCAGATAGAAGGAAGCGGTTCTTTCGAAGTTGCCCTATCGGACACTGGCCAGCCAATTCATGCCCATTTCCCACCGCTTCCGTTGCTGGGTGACACGACTTCGAATCAGGCAATCCTATTCTCTCCACCATTCTTTGTTCCGGAACCCATTCAGCCAAGATACCCCAATTACACCATGCTTCCGGTCGACATACCCCAAGACTCGCCACCCCAAACTCCCGACTACACCTTATCACTATTTCCTACAAGAGAGGACGACTACCCACGTTCAAGCTGCTTTCTATCCGCAGAATCCCAACTGGAATCCGGAACTATAACTTCTGAAGAGACCCCATGGCTCCGAGACGAGGACGGGTGGCGACTTCAATATCTCATTCGCGGCCTCGAACCTTCAACCAATTACACGGCCTACGTCCTTGACGACACAAGGGTGTTTGGACCGATATATTTCACGACCAAATCAGCGGCCTTCCCCTGCCATTTGGTATCCAACTTGCCGTATTGCCCGCGGGTAGCCTATGCTATGCCTTTAGCTCCACCGCCCGACGGTGCCGACACGTACACAGGCGACACCCTTCCACAAGAACTTCAAGACCCACTCAAATCCTATCTCACAAACTTTACCATCAGCCTCGGACGCTTCGCCTGTGGGAGAGACTTGTATTCTCCCCTCGTGGACTGTATCGACTGCCAGCGCGAGTACAGAAAGTGGCTTTGTGCCATTTCTCTACCCCGATGTTCCGAACCAAGCCCTTCGAATCCCAACGCCTTCACCGCACTGGCTCCGGACCCCACGGCAACCGGATTAAGCGCGACGAAGAACGAGCAACAGCAGGTCCTTTCTGCGCTTGTACCGCTCCAGACTTCCACACCACCCCGAAACTCGAATCTTCCACCATTCGATAGCCCCTATCAAATGCTGCTTCCATGTCTTGAAACATGCACAGCCGTTGATCGAGCTTGCCCACCGTTTTTGGGCTTCAAATGTCCTACATCACAGTTCAACGGGGCCGCAAGCTACGGTATTGGGTACATCGATGGAAAGGAAGGCGACGAGAAGGAGGGTTTGACAGGACAGGCGCAGGATAGGTATGGGAATGTGTGGTGTGCTTTGGGTTGATGTTCAGAGTTCTATGGTTCGGCACCTTGTGACAATGTATTCTTCCGACCTCTCCGTCTCCAACTTCCCATCCTTGTCCTCAAGCGCCGTTGAAAACAGTCCCTCACCGGAAAAGGTTTAAGTACCACTGCTATTATCGGTATTGGCAAGCATCTGTTCTCCAGGATCTGTTGTCAAGACTTCCGATGCGCAAGGGAGGGAAGTCATCAAGATGCCTCAGCCGGGAAAATCTCGTCGGTCCGAACGCATTTCCTTCTATGTAGGCGCCCCGAAACATACCTAAGGAGGTTGACCCACAATTGTTATCGCGTTGAATTCGAGCCATGAGGTGAGCGGTCCGTTAAAACTCAATTCTTGTTCCAACCTTGATAAATAACCGGCAGCGGCGCTGATGGAAGACAACTTTATGGTATATGTTGGCACGCCCAGGTCGCGAGTTCCGGTTAATCGTTCAAACTGAGGAACTACGCTATCTATACCTAGGAGCAATAGGGTCTTTAGAGCGCTGGAAGACTTCTTCTCGTCGAGCACCTGCACAGGATCTGCCTATCTAACTAACAGCTGACAGCAGCGTACCTTCTATATATGTTCTATCGGGCGCTCAGTCGCCATTTGGGGCGAATGCTGGATTATGGATCAGGTTTACGACATGTGCAGGCTATGCCACCAATTCAGACTTGCGAGCGTATGGGTTATCCGCATCAAACCCTGTGGAACCAATAAATCCTTTCATGATCGCAGCCATGGAGCGGTCTCTTCCCTGCCTGCCACTGCCCCACTTACAACGCTCCTTCCTTCGCCTCCTGCCCTTCTGTCTCGACTCCTTTCGCTATGCCCAATGTTACACTGACCATCGAAGATGTCTCTCCGCTGATTGTATACTCCGAAAGATGGGTCGCAGGTTCGTCAGCCAATGACCCATTACTCGAGAGGTACGCTTCAGCCGCTTTTTTCTTGGTCGATGCTCATGCAGCCCCAATTTCCCTAGATATTCACAGGCCAACTACATGACTGTGGATGCCAGTGGGGAGTTGGCCACCTTTGTCTTCACCGGGAACCGAGTGGAATTGTTTGGAGCGAAACGCCCTAACTATGGTCAATACCAAGTCACTGTAAACGATGAAGTGTACCAGGGCAGGGAAGCCAATAGTGATACGGATGAGTTCCAAATGTTGCTATGGGTTGGTGATTGGGAGAAGGCCAAGCCTCGCACTGTGAAATATGCAACTTTGGGTGGTGGTCGTCCGATCGACCTCGACTTCGTCTGTCACCTCTTCCCTTTGGACTGGACGCCCCATTTACCCATTCTTCTTTTTCAGATAAGGTTTTCATTTCCCGTTGGGCGTCCGGACGAAGAAGTGGTCGTCCACACCTTCCAAGACACTGATCCTTCATTCGTGTACGAGCCTGATGACCACTGGGAACGGAATGCAACGAATGTTGCTAGTTTTTCCGGCGGTACTGGTCGGTGAGAACTCAGCGTTTTCCAAAGCTGCTTGCAAATCTAATGATTCGATAAAGGGCTGCAAATTGTGCGGGGGATTCATTTGCTTTTACATTCGAGGGCGACGCTGTGTCCTTGTATGGCCCTGTTGGACCAACGGGAGCCCGGTTCAGGGTTGTGATCGAAAGTCAAGGGCTGCCAGATGAACTGACCACCAACAAGCCATTCTGGCGCACGAATACGCTGCTTTATCATAAAGCTGACCTTGGACCTGGTCGCCACACGATCAATGTGACAGTGCTGCCGGAGTCAAATGAGGAAGGTGTTCAGCGCAGCTTTGCGATTGACTATGCCGAGGTTTACACGTCTGGACAGTGAGTTCGGGCCAAGATCCATATACATTTGAATGGGCCTTGATGCGTTCTATTCAGGTCCGTTTCATCAACGCCAGGTTCTGCTGGGTGCGTCCAATATTCCACTCATCTGTTTTAGATGTCTCGTGCCAACCGTACGGTCAGACTTTCAGCTGGAGCGGCCGCAGGAATAGCTCTGGCCGGCGTCCTTCTTGCCCTGGGTCTCATCCTCGGTATCCTCATATGGTCCTTAGTTATCTATGCCCGGAGAAAAGGGCGTGTTCTGCATTTTGGTTTTATTGATCCAGAGAAACCGGCCGAAGCGCAGAACACAATACAACCATTCCAATACACGACAGTCGATAGTGCATCGCCTCCGCCTACAACCTCAGGGGATCCGCTCTTGCGGACACATACATCCAATAACTCCATCGCGGCTACTCCGATGACATCCCAGTGGCCGCCCAGCACACAACCATTGGACCAAGCTGTTGTCGTGAATGATCCTGCTATCCGGCCCATACAGGTACACAGGGCCTTACCTATGCACGAAATCGGTTCTGACTATGCTTGTAACCCTTCCAGTCTGTCGCGTCTTTAGGACAGGAGGTTGTCATCCCTCCTCACGGCTATCAGAAGTCTCGTGCACCACAACTACAACCTCCGCCACAAGGGGTTCGTTCGCGTCTGGCACCCGCTGCACAAGGCGCCGCTCTTCAGGGAGTCTCTCCTGTGACGGAAGAACGGACTTTGCAGACGGGTGGAGCGAATTCCTCGTTCTCGTTTTACACACAGGAGAGTCCTCCGATGTATTCCATGAACGATCCCAGTACCCCGCATGGACCCCAATCGTCGCTGCCTCGAAAGTTCTAGAAGTTTTTGATGATCTGTCGATGAAAAGGTACCCCGTCTATAGACAATGGTTCTCATTGAAGCAGTTCTTTCCTTGTACGAATCATCGCCATTCCCTAATATTTGCAGTATGTATCATGTACTAATTCTTAATTGCGCCTTTTTGTTTCTGTCAAAGGGTTGGTATTTGAACGGACAACATACTATATTGAGGCTAGGATTAGTTATGGGTATACGTATATGACAGGCAAGTTACTACTTATGATGTGGTGTTATAATACAGCACGCCGGAATATTGGCGCCAAGAAGTCGTAATGAAGGGAAGATCTATGCTTGGGTATAGGCAGCTGACGGCGCTTGTAGACTATTAGAAGATCCAGGGATATCACGGTTAGGAGGTCCTTTGATTTCCACTGTCTTGGAGTCAATGTCAGAGTACACGCTCGTTCGTGCTCCGTTGTCTTGAATGGAAGGTAGTGTCGGATGTAAACTGGGCCTACGACCGGAGAGCTTCGACCGTTTTCCACGCTTAAATTCGAATGAGCATTAATTACTTTCCTGAATAGGATGGGACGGGGACTCGGACATACCGAGGAAAAGGACGGCGCAGAACTAGGCGCCCAATTCGAGGACGGGGCATTCGACGGAGTGCCCCAGCTAGACGCCGGGCCCCAACTGGATGGAGCGTATTGAGTGGATATTTCAGTGAATGACATATCTCTTGAAATGGTTGAAACAGTCGATTTTGAGTCGCCCGCGATTGACACCCGAGAGCGCGAGCGACGGAGCGACCGAACATCCGAGTTTCTTCCAAAGAAGGGAAGATAGCCTCGCCGCCGCAAGAAGAGGAACAGCAAAGCCACCAAAAGCAGGAAGGCAATCCCACTGCTAAAGGTGATTCCAAATACCATGGCCGGACTGGCGGAACGCGAACCTGACAAGCTTTGAACGGCGGCAGTCAGTGAGCAGTTTCTAGAAGCACAAACAGAACGTACTTACCTCGAGGATCCACTGTCACCTTTGGCGATGTAGACGTTGGCATAGTCTATCGCAAGGGTATCTCCGGGAGAGTCAAGGGATACCTTGATCTCATGTGAGCCTCCATCGAGCCCCGCCGCCAGGTACATTAGTTGCTGGTGACGCTCGACTGGGTAATCGCGTTTTGCAGAAAAGAACTCTTGAGGTCCATCGTCCAAGCTCACACTATACCTAGAGGTATAGTCTCTTCCACTGGGTCCATACAGTGCCACGGCATGTCCTAGCCAAGAATAAGCGAGTTTCCCCTCTAAGGGCGACGATCCCCCACTCACCCTTGAATTTCAAAGTCACAGAAGATTGAAACGCAGAGGTTATGCTTGATGAAAGCGAGGATGATATAAGAGCAAGAATGGTGACAAAGGGTAAGGTACTCACTGTCCACTGCCGCCCATGTAGCTGTTCGGTCCCGCTACTGTCTCCCAGTTGGTAGGAGGGAAGTAGACAAATTTATGGTCGCCTTCCGTGATAGTGTTCTGGACGGTCACGATCTCGACGCTTCCTCCCTCTCCACCCAATCTGCTCTTCAGAGAGACCTTACATCGCCACTGTGAGCTTCCGACTGGAATCTGCCAAAAGGACAAAGGACTTACAAAGTCCACATCCAAGTACTTTCCCTCCTCCAAGTTTCTGAGGATGACACTGTGCTCGCCTTGAGGAAACTCTTCCCGGAAAAGCGGGTCTCGAAAGACATCCACTTGAGCACTCCCACTGCGGCTCGTTGGAATGCTCTGGTTTACTTGAACTTCGAATCTCCCATGATTGCCTCTCAATGCTCCGTATATTGCAGCCTCTGAGCCAGTGAACTTAAAGGACATGGCTTCTCCCGCCTTATTGGTGAGCATAAATGAGCTCTCTGAGTACCTACAAGGAGGATAAGTCTGCTGCTGAGGAACACGAGCGATGCTGCCAACTACCTGCTAAGTTGCTTGTCATCAGAGCTTCCAGGTCTCCAGTCTGAGGAGTAACTTATGAAAGGAGCTGAGTCTTCGAAAGTGAAATAGACGTCCGGCATCGTAGCTGAAGCGCCCTATGGGGTTGAGGTGATGTAGTGAAGGCGTTCTTCAGGGACTGGAGGGCGATGTTTTGGCGTCCGGTGACCAAGGCTGGGCTCAGTTTATATGGCACTGACAACCAAGGCCATTGAGCACATCATTGTGAGAAGGCGGTTCAATGAATTGGGCAAGAGAACAGATGAATCCCACCGCCGGGCGCCACGACGATGATCATCACCTTGTACTCTGTACGACCGAACACGAGCCTTGCACTTCCTGGTACACAGGTTCTCCGAAACAGTGAACAGGGGCATTTGCAGTTAGCGTGCTCAGCAGAAAGACTTGGGATGTCGACTATTTAGACTTCGCATCTGAGTATCAGTCGCGATGCCACCCCACTGCCTCTGAAATCACAAAAGCTAAAACTGAACTGAGTCGAAAGCTCGGATGAATTACATACATACGTACTCTCTTCACACAACTACTGATCGCGAATGGTATGTAGAGAGAACCAGGGGTGGAACGATGTAGTGCCAGTAATCTTTGGCGCTGAACAGGCTGCCATCCCCCACTGGGTGAAGGTTTGCGGTGAGACAGGCTGGTTATAGTGGTGCCATCGTGGCGAGGCTCTCCAGGACATCACATATCGCCTTTTTCGCTCTTCAAGTTCGCAACAGTCATGACGGGCGAGTTAACAACCCAGACGTTTCAAACAACCGCCCATGAACTCTTTCAATTGCCCCATCAAGCATCACGATCCTCGGGCCCACATGGGGTTTGGCAAGTGTCGCTACTTCCCCATCAATTCCAACTCGAGTTGTCATCAAGTACTGGTTCCAAAGTGGGTTTCAAAGACAGCAGATTCCCAACGCACCAGGTACTTAGTATGCACGTAAGACCCGGGAAAACCGGAGATTTCTGCCGGGGATGGGGATGTATTTCAAGGATTATCTGAAATATCGCAGGGCGTGGTCTATTGCGTATCCGGCAATATACACCTTCCCTTGCCGCTGGAAGGCACTAAGCCCCCAGAACAAGAGTCTACCCATCCGCGTTAGCGTCCGAATATAAGTACAAGAAGATGGGCCGATGGTTACCTATTATGCATTTCCCGTTGACACAACGTACCCTGTCTGCGAAGGGTATGGCGGTGCAGTCTCTTCCCCCATCTGCAGCCCCGTCTAGGGAATAGTCTACACAACCACCACAAGACCTGGATAGACATGGAGTTAATACGTGATATTGAAAGGACAACGGTTGCACAACACGACGCACTCGAGATCGTTGAGGATATCCACGCAGTCAATACCAATGGAGGTGGTGCCTCGGTAGTTGGGACAAGGTTGATACCCGGGCTCACAGGCGTCTTTGAAGGACAACTGTCGCCTCGGGAGTCCACTGCCGCCAAGGAAAGGTGTTCCCGGAGCTGTTGGCCCTTGTTCAGCGGGAGCAAGGAGGCGGTTCAATTAGCACACTGACAGCAGAATCCATTGCCACCCTTCTGACAGTCACTTTCTGGAGCATACGATCCCTTCATCGAAGAACAGTGACCATGGGAGGGCGATCCTGGATTGGAGTAGGGTTTCTGGTTGGGACATCTGGCCTTACAGTCAGCTTCGAGCGCTCTTCAACTGGGCCACATGCGCACCGTTGACAATTTGTGTTTCCAGAGGAAGTCTGAATACAGAATGAGTTCAGTTAAACAGGTTAGATAGATCCGATACACTCACAGCGAAACATCCCGCGGGACACGGGCAGCAGGTCACGGCACCGTGGATGTTGTTGAAGGTTCCCGGGTTGCACGTTTCACAATTCACCCACCCGCCGGTCGAGTATCTACCGGGCGAACATAGCTGCGGGCTATGCACGGCATTGTGGGGGCACATGGCTCCAGGTGGACATGGATCACAGTCGGTCGAACCCGAGGCTGAGCTGTAGGTGCCAGGAGTGCAGTGCTGCTCTTGTTTCATGCCGGCCCCTGGGCAATGGTATCCAGGTCTTGCCCGAATACAAGTACGTTGGCCATGCTCTATACAAGTAGTCAGTTACACCGCGCGAAGTGAACGGGAGTTGCTGACCTTTGGAGTATGACCCTGGGGGACAGTCCTGGCAAGGACTATATCCAGTACTGGAATATTGTCCTGGGGCGCAACGGTCATTTCTACGCTTCCTGAGTATTTTAGCGTGCCCATTTGCGTTATTTCCAGGTTGATGAGCCTGAACTAAGGACGCCAGGCATACCACAACTGCCAGAATCGCGGTGGCCAGCCTCATGGGCGGTGCCATCACTGTCGATTACGGTCGTGTTGGGAAGACAGAGACTTCTTCGAGAATCTAAGACATGTCCCCAAGGTTCTGCGCACCATTTTCAAGCCGTCAGGCGATGGAACCGGTCCAACTGCGTTCTTTGCGTCCATTCCCAATCCCGATCGAGGTGGTCAAGGGGCGGGTCAAAGCCAAAAGCGGAAAACCAGCGGGAAGTTGCGCCACGTGCGCCATCAAATCCAAACAAACCCAATCTGAGTCGGCCCGCTTGATACCGTCTCCTTCCTCGTTCAAGCAGTCCGCGATGTGCTCCACTGGTTTCGACGTTTTCTAATTCCATCCACTCACGATAATGGCACCAAAGAACAGAGAAGAAGCGAAATGCGAAGTGTGCACGACAAACGTATCGAAATACACTTGTGCACAGTGCAGAATTGTATAGTTGGTTTCGGTTTCTTCTTCCCAGGATGTTTCTCTAACTTATGTTCTATAGCTGTTCGGTGCCTTGTTATAAGAACCACAAAGGTGGGTAGAATGAAAAATAGGAGACTTACATAGATGCTTACTCAGTTCCTAGCCTCGTCGTGCCAACAGAAGGATAGTGTAGAGAAACCGGCCACAGAATTGGCACCGCCTGCAGCGTCTGGTATGGGTTCACCTCCTCGTCAAGGCCGCACGCTGAGTAGAGAACCAAGTCTCCAAGGAAGATGCACCATTAGCAGACCCGCCTGTTCTCCGCCCTTTAACCTCACTAAAATGGCCGTATGTTCCTGAAGAGTCGGCATATCCAGATCCATTAAAGCGGGACGATCCCAAAGTGCTACAACTTCACCAATACGAGGCCATTGGTGAGTAATCCAACTCCTTTGAATCGTTAACTATACTCACGAAGGCTCAAGCTACATCCCCCAAGGTCAGAGAGGTACTAGCAAAACACGAAAACCTACCAGCCCTGCTCCAGTCTATCGACAAACTACGCGGACGGGAGCGTGAAGAAGAGCTGCAAAAGGCCCTCGGAGTCACCGCCGAAGATGTGAGTGGCCGCCTGGAACCCAAGGAGCTCAGCGAGGACGTCCTAGCCCTGAGGGAACTAGCAGAGGCCATCGAAGCCGCAGTTCGAGGGGAAAACCCCTCCGCACTGGGTTTGAATTGGGAAAGCCTCCTCGAATAACGGCCTCCTTCAACAAACCATACCCGGCGCAAGGACAACCATATTTTAGCGTGATAAATGTACAATAGTAGATACTGCAATGAATCAAAGCACCAAACACTTCTAATGAAGATCATCCGTCTGCTTCTCATTTCCGCTCCCACCTTCTATGCAAATCTACCAAGGGGATGGGAACCAGTCCTTGCGCATCGAAATGCGCTCTTGCAGGTATACAAACGGGGTGTTTCCAAGCCGGACTAGGACGAATAGATAGACGGACACTGTTGCTTTACGGCGGAATCAAGAATTCTTTAACCTGAGAAGATGGATGAGCTCTTGGTAGTTCCGTCCGAGAAGGGCGAAAGGGGCGTACCAATTCGTATGTGAAGAACGAGGTGGCAATGCTGGGCGCCACCTTGACTGCAAAGGGGGGTGCATGTGTCAGTGGGAAGTAGGTTATCGGAGAAACCACCACGCACGTAGGTTAGGCCACAGCCCTCGGTAAAGCCCCTGCACGCCTTCCACCTTCAGGATACTCCTCAACGCATCAAGAGCACCATTGTACTTGATGTTTCCTCCCTGCATTCCCGTCACCTGCATCTTCCTCCTCAAAACATCAAAGGGGTATGTCAACGTTTGCGATATTGAGCCTATCAGAAACTTTGAGTTAACAACGTTCGCAAACCCGAACAAGAAAGGAAGCGCACCTGCCAATGCACCGCAGGATAATTTCCGAGCGACGCTACTCTTACCGGGAGGTGTGATCACACCTCTTAAAAATTCGTACGCCGCAAAATTAATCCCCACATACGGTGCCACGCCCATCGCGGTTGTCACCAACCCCCGATACAACGCACGGACACCTCCCTCTTCTCGCATCACCTTCAACGTCATTCCCCACATTGTCAGATCGCGTTTGCTGTACTTGAGTGCGCCTGCCACTGCTGCTGATGCTGAGGTCGGAGCAGCGGACCGAGCCGAGGACGAAGTATGGTATGCAGAAGAGAGGGACGGTGAGGAAGTCGACGGTATCGAGGAAGTCGCAGCAGAAGCACCTGCAGGTAGCGGTTTAGGAGCAGTGAAGTTAATTGAAGCGGTCGCTATCGAGAGACGTGATCGGACCAGGTCGAGGGGGTATGTCGAGCCTGAGGTAGAGATTAATGGTCAGAAAGCGGTGGCGAACGTGCACTACCCTCGTGGTTCCAACTCACAGACTGAAGTGATACCAGCCAGTGCACCGGCTGCTAACCGTTTGGGTGTGTCGAGCTCCTTCACTCCGTGCGCTGTGAACAACTTCTTGAGTTGCTCGTAGGTAGTAAATTGAACAGCACTGAGCGATACATTGTGACGTGAGTTCCGAGGAAGGTTTAATGAAAGCAAGATTCTGGCGTACCTGTAGGGAACGATCCGTATGCAATTGATACCATTGCCGCGCATGAACCCTCTGAACCCCTCTTCCCGCCACATCCGCACCAGACTCCGCCACACACCCTTGTACTGAGCGTCGGATCCGCGAGGCTGCACTTGTCTAAAGAAAGTGCACCAATTAGTATTCCGAAAACCAAAACGGGCCACAAGGTCGAAATAGGCGCTCAAAGGTCGGGCGAACAATGAAGACCAAATTAGGGACAATGCAAGGTGCCAGGCGACCTCGGCTACCCAGAACCACGATGCTGCGCTGACTCGAGACAAGTAACGGGCGGGGGACGTACTGAATGATCTTTAATCGCTCCAACGGGCTAACCACTGTCCGTGACGCTGCGCCGGCACATCCCCCAGCTAAGGACGTTGTCAGAAATTGTGTTAAGCACTGATAAAGGCCAGCGACTCACCAATGAAGTAAGATGCCACCTGGGGGCTGAGAAACAACACGGTCTTGGGGGCAGGCGGTGTATCAAGAACCGTATCTTTGGGGTCCGGCGCCTGGGGTGTTGCTGCCACGGTGCTGGACGACGTCGACGCTGCCGTAGGTGAGGCAGCGGTACTCATAGTTCCGGTCTGAGTTGTAGGACGTTCTGAATGTAGGTTGGGAAATGGTTTGTCGCATGAACGAGGTGGGTGTTAAGAACGAAAAGCTGCGCCAACGATTGGCTGTAATGAATGCGGTCCCCTGAATGGCACCGGTGGTGTCGACGGGTGTCTAGTGTGCCTCTGTGACGACGATAGGACAACGGCGAGGAGTCCTTGAGGCGCTGGAGGATGTGGTTATGTGGTTCCAAGAGAAAAGGAATCGCGAGTCGGGGAGGCTAACTTTCCAGGCATCATCATAGGGGCTGTGTTCTGGTCATGTGATCGAATTTTGCCCCTTTTTGAAATTCGCGTTTATTCCTCTTTCATTAGAGTTCTTTCTTTTTCCTTTTCTTCTCGACAGTCAGCTGGAATACGATGTCATCGGGGCTCCAGACGAACATTCACCCTCTTTTGTCTCATTTTGGGCTTGAAATTCTGCTACCGCCGCCTCTGGCTTGCCTTGGGATGACGAATGGCGACATCTTGACGCCCATGGTGCCAACATACCAGATTGGCTACCTTCTAGATTTTAAATCCCAACGAATTCTCGTCATCACCCTTGTTTCGGATCTCGGGCACACACCAAGGAATACTCGACAGTTGCACAGCAAGTAAAGGGGAGCTTTTGCGAGACTTATGGCTACGTTCGCCCAACGCGTGGATCGGATTGCCCTATTGTGGGCGAATAACTCTGGTTAGCCTCGGACCGACGTGCTGTACTTTACGCACTTGTGTCAACTCGCAATGAAACCTTCTAAAGGTTTATATCCTTGCACGACCTCGCTATGCTTCAACAATGCTGGTACGTATCGTAACCCTTGACCCGCTGCTGTAAGGACAGCTGCCTAGACCTTGAGCTAATAGTGTCGCTCTGGATCTTGCTCCAGTGCGATGGACTGTCGACTCGCTGTGTAATTTGCCGCTAACCCAGCGGGTGAACCCATCTCTGGCTAGCGTTCAATTAACAGCGTATCATTGACCCTTTCCGGATTTCATTCTTGACGTACGTCTAAATTTAGCTCGTCGATGAGGGACTGTCTCCTGTTCCTGTGCGATCTACTGCGGTCAGCCTTAATCTTCGGCGGGTGGCAACAGAGATCCTCTGGGTATGGATCTGTATGCACCAGCACCATACTTATGATGAGGTTTTTGGTCTTTCCTTTTCTAGGGGACACGTAGTCCACCAAGCAACTGGCCATCTCGTTCAATGTGACCTGCCGACATTCCGATTCCGAACTATCACCTTTACGAAGGACTGTTCTCAACAGTCAGTCACACAGGCACGACATCGGGTTAATCGACGCCATTGCCGTCCATTCTTTCCCTGTTTTCTGGGACGAGGTTACCTCTGCACCCGGTTTCGCTGCTCGATTTCTTAGCTACGCCTGTCGAGGCCTCCCGAAAATACCGGGATACCTTCACCCCACATGCCATTCCACCAACCAGCACCAATCTCGTTGCTCTTCTGATGATGTCCGCCTGTGAACTGTGTACCACTTGCTTGATAGTATCAATCAATAGAAGCGCTATGATCCTTCACTTCATTATGGTCGTGAGATGAATCAAAGGACAGCGAATCCCAGGACATTCCGATGATGATTGAGGGCCCTTCTTTCAGATCGTAACGGCAGAATTGGCAAGGCTTAGAAGGCTTGGTCATTGGTCCAAGTCGGTTTTTCCTTCCGGGTGCACAACCTAGTAAAATGGGGTATTGTGATCCTGCCTGGCGACAGTTTCCCCTGGGCGTATTGTTTCTTCGCAATGGGCATAGTTGGCTACATTACGAACATGATGGTCCATGATCAGTTGACCCCGCTCCACTCGCTTCTTACTTGTTCAGCATGGGGGGAGCAAGATCCAAATAGGATCTTGCAATAGACCATTCGATGCGGGCGAGGAGAATGGAAGACATGGATGGGACTATACTTGAAGCGTAATAATGATCTACTTATCCAGTGCAGCAAGTACTTAGAACATCACCCTGTCTTAACTCTAACGAACGGACGTACAGATATCAGTCAACCATCTGCAAACCCCAACCGGAGGTATCAGCGACAAGTTACAGTTTGAATTGGTTACCTAGGTCAGGACTCAGTCCATTTGTTGTAGAGGAGCCACAAAGGCGCCGGCAGTGGGACAATACATCCGGGTCGGTGATCTGGCGCGGTGCCAGCGTCGACGCCTTCGTTTTTCTCAACCTCCACCACCGTCGACGTTATTCTCGACAACCAATGCTCGCCCCACACCAGTCATAGCAAATTTCGGACATTTATTTTATCTATTGAAACTATTTCTGGTTTTCTACACATCACTGGCCAACAGTCACAGGCCAATCCACACGATCGCTATTTCTCGACCCGCTCGGACGTTTGGTGTAGGAATCGAGCGACAAACAGTCTTTACATTATTTGTGAGTGCCCATTCCGTTAGTAGCCTCTTCACTATGGTTTTTAGAAAGAAGAACACAGTTTGCCTTCTTCGTCGTGTTTTCAGGGGTGCCGTGGTGGTTGTCCTTCCAGAACCACAACAGCGCTGACTGAAGCTTCGCCATACTCTCTTCCATTACGCTACATATGACTCGCTTTCCATTTCTCAGAACCCCATTCGTTTTTCTGTTTTCAAGTGTCTGCCTCAAGGCTGAGGTCAGGGAGTGCGGCGAAGCAGAGCCGAAGTCCTCGTGGCCTCAGCATGTTTTAAGTGCAGGCAACGGAATGTGGCGAGCTGCTGGCTACATTCATCCTGTTTAATGGCATACCTGTGTCTCGCCCTGATTACCATTTCGTTCATTGAAATCGGAATCGTGGACTTGGCTGACACTCCTATGCAGAATTTCCCTAATCCAGCCTTTCGCCGCCGGAGAGATTCATCTCGGCGTTTAACAGAAGCGTGGAAGCAGTCATCGAGTGCCCAAAGCGCCGAACTACATTTAGGATGTCCAAATCCACCGAGCATGTCACGAGCACTCTGCATAGCCAACACAGTACACTATCATTATCGTCGGACAGTTCCAATGATGATTCAAGTTGGAGCCCAGCCACTATCTCTACCCAACCCACTGTCACAGAACCTAGCCGGACCTTCATTAGTCCCCCCGCAACGCCCTCTGGTGGTGATAACAAGGGTGGCACAGGGGCTAACCGAACATCCCCAGACGCCCACCAGACCGGCCCTGCATCCACCGTGACCACCGCAAACGCTGTGGCCTCGTTGCCTCTGAACACGAACAATCCATCAACAATATCGGATGCGAAATCATACACAAGGTCCCCAGACATTACTACAACTAGCCGAACAGTTGCCCTTCCGCCTGCATCTGCCCCTTCATCTGCGCCTTCTGCCTCTTCCACTTCTCGCTCTCCCCCTTCTCCGGTTCTTCTGCGGATCGACGTTGCTTCCCCCGCCGAATCTATCGCACCACCTGCGCCCCCTCCCAAGTCGCCCAGGCACGTCACACACGGACGACCTCTTCCTCTTCCAACTGCGTCATCTTCGTCCTCCATGGGTAGTGGCCAGAGCAAACCATCGCATCCCCCTGCTGCGACACCCTCGAGCGTCCAGCAACCGCAGCGGTCAGCACCCCAGCAACAGCAACGTCTGCAGAAGCCACACCCGCAGACAGTCCCAGGATCCCCGACGCATGCGATAGGGTCTACGTCCAAGAACACGCCGCCGCCGCAACTCTCTGCACCAAGTCCATCCCAAACACGCGTTCGTTCACCATCACCACAACCTTCTCAAACGCTACCGCCGCGATCACAAACTCTTCACCCGCCCGCCCCGATCATCACGAGCACGTCACAGGCACCTTCTTCAGCCTCGAATGGTCAACCAGACACACCGGTATCGATGGCGGGTTCGTTTGGGAGCGGTGCCTCAAAGTTTATGCGGAAGATTGCTGGACGAAGAAAGAAATCGGAGGACGCTACGACGCTGTTTGGGAGGCAAGACGGTTCTCTCTCGCAACGCCCGTCTAATTCGCAACTTGGCGCGGATGCTGCTAACAATGCCTGGGCTAACGTTCCCGGAGGAATGTCACATTCACAGAGTCCACCACAGCGGCAAGCGACTGCACCCCCATCCACGACTTCTATATCTGGTCCTCCCAGTGGTGCGAAGAAGCACGTTCCAAGTCCAATAGGAATCCCGCCCGTGAAACCTACTGCAGTGGTTGCTTCACCCTCGGCCTTGTCGCCTACACCTGCACTCGGATCCACCAGTGGAGCAGCGAATAATCGGACATCGCTTATTACTCTGAGCCCAGGTATCTCGTCGGCAGTCAACTTCATGCGAACCTTACCTTCCCCCTCTGAGGAGCAGAGTGAGGCGAATCCGATAAAGGAGGAGCACCGGACAGAAGAGACCGTTGCACAGCCAATCGCATCCCCAGTTTCGGCCATTCCCCAGTCGGCGCCAGCGGGGTCTGCAACGCATCCAGTCTCTTCACCGGAGAAGGAAGTCGAGCGAGAAGGGAAGGCGAGCAACGAGGCGAAAGAGACGTGGAGGAAGAGCGACTCGACGATAGGCCATCATACGATCCGGCATAATTGCAACGCCCGCACCTCTCGCCCAGTGTCCATGGCGGAGTCGTTCCAATCGGCGTATACGATCGTTCCAAGCGGCGGTCCAGGCTCTATAGGAGGCGGAAATAAACGCTGGAGCACGCTAACCGCGGATATGGAGTTTGGGGTCATGGTGGAAGAAGACGGTGAAGAAGTGGACGAAGACCCGCGAGCGCCAAGACAACCAGTACCCACGTCCAGCGCAACCGTGGGGGCTTCCTCTAAGACGTCCTCGCACACGCCCTGTGCCAAACAGCAGAATCGACGTTCTGTTTCCCTCAATGTTGGAATCATGGGTTCTACGGCGGCGGAAGCTACACCGTCCTATGTATATGCCAGTGGGACAAGCCATGACGCGGCGCCTTTGTCACACTCGATCTCGGAATCTGGGGCGTTGTCAGCTTCCGCAACGAAAACAGCATATCAACTCCCGCCCTCAGGTACCACGACAGAAAATGCTGCTCACCCCGCCAGGGCGTTTCCACATCAACCGTATCCTATAGCCAGCCAACCAGGACAAAGCCACCCGTCCCAATCGAGAACATCGGCTGTGGGTGGCTCACGCTCCAGTTCCCTTTATAACCACGGTCAGCACCAGCCTTCATCCTCTCCTGGTCACCAAGCCTCGTCGAATAACCTTCGTGGACGCCTCACTGCTTGGACGGCTGGTCCGACCGGTAATCCTGGAGCTAGCCAACCTTCGCGTAACTCTACTTTGCCCCCGCCATCATCAATGCCACCTATGTCCAATTGTGAGTAACCTTTTTATCTTTGTGATGAATCGTTGTTCTTATCACCTCGTCATGTCAGCCACCCAGTCCCATGGTCCGCCAGCCACCCGCCCAACGACGATAAGCATAACGAACAGTCTTGCTCCCGCAGCGGGTCTTGCGAAGCGAGCTGCAGAGAAGCTTGGTGGTTTTGGCAAGAAGTGGGGCCTTAGCACCTCATCATCAGGTTCAGGATACTCATCCTCTGCTTCGAGTAGAGACGCTGGATCGTACTGGTCATCCCAATCCCAAGTGGACCATGGACACGGCGCGCCCCTGGCTCGAACCAATTCCAACCAATCGTCTTTGGCGTCGAGCATGAAGAGCGGGCATGGCAGTTTGAGCAGTAGCTTTGGGGAGATCGTGCACCGGGTGCAGTTACCGTCGAGGGACAAGAAGGATCGTAAAAAGAGGAGGACACCCAACGCCCCGTCCGGAGCCTACAGCATGACCTCCAGTATCACCAGCACCAGTACCTCAGAGTCGGATGTTTTCTTCCCCTCTAATGCGCCAGTGTTGGGTGTCATGATGCGGGGTCCATTGCAGACACAACAAAGCGGGGCCCCCATCGGTGGCGTCGTCTTCGGCCGTAGTTTGCAGACTGTTGTCAGTCAAACCCGTGCTGTGTTGTCGATATCGAAAGAAAAGGAGCCGGCCAACAGGATAGAGGGGGATCGGGAACGTCTGGTGAAGGACCTCGAGCATAGGATGTTGCCTGCACTGGTTGTAAGATGTGCGCAGCATCTATTGCTATGGGGAGTGCAGGAGGAGGGATTGTTTCGGTGAGTTCAAATCCATCTCAGTTTAAATTTTGTTGTCTGTAGCTTGGACCCCTTGGCTTACTCTGGGTTGCGCTTTTAGTGTCAGTGGTCGTGCATCTCATGTATTGAAATTGCGGTCGGAGTTCGACACCGGTGAGTTACTGCGATTTTAACATTCCTCATTGACCATGTTTACTGATGGGAACGTCAAGGTGTCGACTATGACATGACAAGCTGCAGTCCTGGAGACCTGGATCCTCACGCTGTGGCATCGGTATTCAAGGCGTACCTGCGAGAACGTAAGTAGGAATGTTCGGACGAAAGAACTTGCAACTGACGCGGTCGTTTTACAGTACCAGAGGCAATTTTGACCCACAGATTGCATCCTCTTTTCGAAGCGGCGGTGACCCAGGAATTGGAGACCTATCCTCCCACACCCGCTGCCCCCACGAAGATCACAACCCGAGCACCTGGTCTTCCTTCGAATCCCAGATCTGGGATGAATGCACCAGCTATGCGCAAACCCCCGTCACTTTCGACTCTCGCGATGCCTTCCTTCAATGGCATGCCACCGGCTTCCAAGACACTGCTCACCAAGCTCAGATCTTTAATTTCTCAACTACCTGTTGAGAATCGAGATTTGATTTATACCGTGGTTCAATTGATCAAGGCAACCTATCAGGCGAGCAAGGATACGAAGATGCCCCTCAGCAACCTGTTGCTTGTGTTCTGTCCAAGTTTGAACATGAGCCCGCCGCTCTTGAAAGCGCTTTGCGAGTCTCCAGGAATCTGGGATCCGATTCCGGAAGAGGAAGTCATCGATATTCGACGACAGACCATTGTCATTAGCGCGCAGAATATGGAGTACAACAGTCAGCCTGCGGCAGAGGATGGCGACGAGGCCGAGAAGCAAAGTTTATCAAGCCTTCCTTCAGAGCATCCATCGGAGTATTACGCCTCCGTCGAGAGCTCTCTTGTCTTGGACAACCCCGACAAGAGCCAGCGGCCACCAGTACCGACAATCTACCTCGATAGCCTGAGTCACTGCTCGTCTTCATCCTTGTCCTCTACCCAGGAGGTTGAAGTGCCCGCATCCATCCCTTCGCCTCCACCTCTGTCGTCCTCCGCGGAATCCATCTTGACCCCGACTTCCTCTGGGCACCCATCCCTCTCTCATCTTCCACTTGACGCGAAGGGTACCCTTAGTCGGAAATCCTCGACCAACGACCTTCCCCAAATCAGGGAAGGTGCTCCCCTCGTCGTTTGTATTGAAGGCCACCGAAAGCGCTCTGTCCCTGAGCTGGTCACGGATGAACGTGTGCAGTTCCCGGCTAGTCCCCCCATTCCGCCCTCGCCGAGTTCGATTAGGCGTCGATCACTCGCTCTTCTCTCTCTTCCCGCGTTCCCATCCTCGACTCCCTCACAAGACCCAACTTCCCCCGACAGTCCTGGCCCTGGTTTGAGGGGCAAGAAGCCGTCACTTCGTCGGTTGTTCACCAAACGCTCGACAGCATCTCTGAGTTCGAGCTCGAGCTCTGCGAATCTCAGTGCCAGTGCAAAGGCTCGAAGTTCGGTTCCTCTTCAATATTCTCCAGGCTTGGCCACCTACACGCCCCCAACTCCTCGATCTGCGACTGATTCGTCCGTATCAACGCCCCTGTCGGCTGTCACTGCCCCGCAATCTAGCACGTCTCTACTGCCTCCCGTTTTGGACATGCAGATCGATGCTGGGGAGTCCCTGGCAGTGGACCTTGGCTTCGAGTTGTCGGACATCCCTTCACCTAGGTTCCCGCTTGGAACGGGTGGGACTGAGACGACGTTCTATGCATCGGCCGTCAGTTCTCAGGTATCGGTTGTGACGGGCGGCTCTTCGGGAGGGGATGACTCCCGGGGCCCGTATACAAGGCAGAGGAATGTGTCCACCGCCTCGTCGAACCATTTGGGTTTGTTGGACGAGGTCGATGCGGAAGAAGATGATTGGACACGGAGCGTGTTGGCTGCCGCTGGTGCGACCAAGGCATAAAGGTTCTCTCGCGCCATACCTCCCTTCTCTCCGAGAGAGATTTATATCTCCGTACTCGCTGGTCGGTTGGAGATTCCTATTGGTGCTAATCGAAATTCGTCTTCCCCTCGCTCCTTTCGAATTTCGCATTTCGCATTTCTATTGGACATTTTTCCTTTCCTCTGCGATGCATGCTCCCGTGCAAGACCCCGCATCATGTAGAACAGTGCAATCCCTTTTTTTCTTTTCTTTTTGATTCGCGCATGTTTATTCCGATACCCTGCAAGTTACATGTTTCCTCCCTTTTGGTCTATTGCAGTAGTCGTCACCTCACATCGCTATCCTTGCCTCTACTATTCCTCAAAATTTTTGGGTTCGTTTGTATAATCTTCGGTCATCAGTTAGATGGTCGCTCCTTGTGTCACACTCTTCTATATCTTCTCCCTATGAAAATGTAAATGTTTATCCCTTCGACAAATTCAAAACACAAGGGCGGGACGGGAGCAACTGGCATTGGCCCTAACTTTGGCGCCTCAGCCAAGGCAATAGCAGTAGACACTGCGAATTTAGAGCTCTTATTCATTTCTTTTGGTCTTCCATACGTTACGGTGATCGATCGTATCTGCTTTTGTGGTATGATTTTCATTCCTTATTGACGGACAAGTTCAAACGTTCATAGCTGGTAGTAGGATGAATAGAGACCGTTGGTGTTGATCTACTACTGTGACGTAATTCGCAGATAATGATGCTATAGGCCAATTTCATTTCATGGGGGTGAAGAACATAAGTAGCGAGCTTATCGTTTAAACTCAACTTCCATCGCGATTCCCATCGCCCCCATCGTTGTCGTCGTCCACCGTCCAGGATGGCGTCCAACAACGCGAAAACAGTTCAGGGAAAGCTGTTTGGCACCAGCGCCTCGTCCTCAGGGGAGACGAGCGGGTTACCTACACAGTCGAGTGCTGACAGTGAGGCCCCCGCTATCGATGGGATCCCTTTTCCGTCGTCGTCGAGGGAAGCACAGGCCCCGCCGTTGACGATCAACATCCCAAAGCCTGCCAACCCACCCACCCCACCGCCTAGGAACTCGAAGAACGCGGAGGCCTCACCGCGAACCTCAGATCCATACACCGCGTCGCTCCCCTTTAGACAAAGGCTCGCCCAGCAGTTGGGGCGGGATTACCAAGGCGCAGAACGCTACAGATTGATTCAAGACGATAAACGCGAGAAGCACTGGAAGCGATGGGGACCGTATCTCAGCGATAGACAGTGGGTGAGTCCTGCGTTTCGTCCGACCCATCAACGCGTCATTGATGATTTTACGCCTTGATTTTAGGCTACAGTTCGAGAGGATTATTCTGCCGATGGCGATGCCTGGAGTCACTTCCCCCATGAACACGCTAGATCTCGCGCGTATAGATGGGGCGAGGATGGTATTGCTGGTGTTTCGGACAATCACCAACGCCTTTGCCTTGGTCTTTCCCTCTGGAATGGAGTAGACCCCATCCTCAAGGAACGCCTCTTTGGCGTTACTGGTCATCAAGGCAACCACGGGGAGGACGTCAAGGAACTCTACTATTACCTCGATTCCACACCAACCCATTCGTACATGAAGTTCTTGTACAAGTACCCGCAAAGGCGGTACCCTTACGAAGAGCTCGTCACCAAGAACCAGCAACGGAGCCGCGAAGAAGAAGAGTTTGAGATCCTAGACACCGATGCCTTTGACGAGGACAGATATTGGGATGTGTTCGTGGAGGTGAGATCCCTACTTGCCTGTCTGTAGTGATAATCTAACAGACGAATTCCAGTATGCCAAAGACGAAGATAATCCAGACAACATTTACATGCGGATTACTTGCTACAATAGAGGTCCTGATCCTGCAACTCTCCACGTCATTCCTCAGTTGTGGTTCCCCAACACTTGGTCATGGCCTGCTGAGAAGCCGCCCATGCCCTCGATGACTGGAACCGTCAAGGGACACACTGCGTCAGATCAGATCTCGGTGGTCACTGTACGGCACCCTACCTTGGGCAAGACCAACCTCTACTGTCTCCCCTCCCCTCCCCCAGTTGGTCCTTCGAATGATTTCGAAGTCGACCCAGACGAGGAAGTTGTCCAGCCGGCCCTCCTTTTCACAGAGAACAACACAAACTTCAATCGCCTTTATGGTGGCAACAACGAGACGCCCTATGTGAAAGACGCGTTCCACGACCACATTATCCCATCCCATCGACCGCAAGACAACAAGTCGGAAGAGGGATTCTTCTCCCATACAAGGCGCCCCAGGACAGCATCGATGTTTAGTCGCATGGAGAAACGGGGCGAATCTTCAGATGAGTACGAGGAGGGGCCATGCACACCTTTCCCCGTCGGAGCCTCCTTCGTCAACCCTGAAAACAAGGGAACTAAATTCGGCGCACACTACGTCTTCCGAGACGTGCCCGGGCATGGAGGCTGCGCTGTGGTTCGGTTGAAGTTGACACCCAACCGCTTGGGCAAAGACGTCAGCTTGGAGGATGAAGTTGTTTTTGATGACGTCGTTGAGGAGAGGAGGCAGGAGGCTGACGAATTCTATGCAGGATTGCTGAGCGCAGGTGGAGTTTCTGCAGCGGGCATGACTGGATTTGGATTGGACGGCGCACCTGGCGGGCTGATGATTAGCGAAGATCTCAAGCAGATTATGCGGCAAGCGTTTGGTGGGATGCTCTGGACCAAGCAATACTATCGGTTCATACAGAAGGAATGGCTTGAAGGAGATCCGGCACAACCTCCGCCTCCTCCGAATCGAAAGTGGATCAGGAATAGGGTACGTGTGTCTTCTCGGCTGTGCGTTAACTCTGCCGCTGAATGGCCACCGATTAGGAATGGAAACACATGCACATAGAGGATATCCTGTCGATGCCAGACAAGTGAGTCTCCTCCTTGTCGGTCTGCACCGCGTCCTGACCACGCTTCAGATGGGAATACCCTTTCTTTGCTGCATGGGACACTGCTTTCCATTGCATCCCTCTCGCCGTTGTTGATCCCGCCTTTGCGAAGAAGCAGCTGGATTTGCTGACTCGTGAATGGTATATGAATCCCAATGGCCAAATTCCTGCCTACGAATGGAACTTCTCGGACGTCAACCCGCCTGTGCACGCCTGGGCTACCTTCCGTGTATTCAAGATTGAACGGAAGCTCTACGGCCGTGAAGATCTTCAATTCTTGGAGCGCGTCTTCCAGAAGCTATTGCTGAACTTTACATGGTATGTATATCCGCCCTCGGTGCTGTACGTGATATTAAATACCGCTCGCTTGTAGGTGGGTCAACCGGAAGGACCAGGGAGGAAACAACGTCTTCGAAGGAGGATTCCTGGGTTTAGATAACATTGGTGCCTTCAATCGATCTGAACCCCTGCCCACCGGCGGGCAGCTTCGTCAAGCAGATGGTACTGCATGGATGGCGTTTTATGCTCTCAACATGTGAGCAATGCTAGAGTCTCTTGACCAGCTCTTTTCTAACCCGTCCTTAGGATGAGTATCGCTCTGGAGCTGGCCAAACATAATCCTGTTTACGAAGATATTGCATCAAAGTTCTTCGAGGTGTGTGGCAACGTCGAAGTGCCTATTCCCAAACTTATGCGAATGCGGGATTAAAAGCACTTCATTTTCATCGCTGATGCCATGACATATCGCGAGGGTGACCACGAAGAATCCCTTTGGAATGAAGAGGACGGCATGTACTACGACGCCATCAAGTTTGGTCCTGGAAATTCGATGCAGTTGCCTGTAAGGTCCCTGGTCGGTCTGATCCCATTGTATGCAACCCTCGTCCTGGAACCCTCGACCATCAACCGCTTCCCTGGGTTTAAGAAGCGAATGGAGTGGTTCATCGACAACAGGCCCGCAGTTGCTGCTAGGAACATGGCCAACATGAGAGGTGAGATTCCTTCTTCTCGATGGCGTTTTCAGCCATCTAACGAAGACCCACGTTTGATAGCGGGCGGAAGGGAGCAACGAAGACTGCTGGCCCTTGCCAGTAAGGAACGCTTGACCAGAATTCTGGAGAAGATGCTGGATGAAGACGAATTCTTGGGTGACCATGGAATTCGATCGTACGCCTTCCTCAATTCGAAGATATTTCGAACCACAACTCACTCCTATTCGCAGTTTGTCTAAGCACCACGAGAAACACCCTTGGGGCATTGACGTTCATGGTCAACGATATGAAGTCGGCTATTGGCCCGGTGACTCCAAGTCTGGGATGTTCGGTGGAAACTCCAACTGGAGGGGACCTATCTGTGCGTGACCATTCTGCAGGGTAAGATTTACATCTCACCACGACTCCCCAGGGCTCGCAACCAACTTCCTTCTCATTGAGAGTCTCCAACGATTCTACCAATATTACGGCGATGATTTACAGGTAAGCTTTATCGCCTTCGTGTTCTGTGGCTTGGCTAATCCTCGCATAGGTCGAATGCCCAACCGGCAGTGGATTCTACATGAATCTTGCTTCGGTCGCGGAAGAGATCCAACACCGTATTATCCACATCTTTGGTCGAGATGCGAATGGTCGTCGAGCCACCAATGGCGGAAACCCGAAGTTGGATTTCGATCCCCATTTCCGTGACTACGTTTGGTTCTACGAGGTATGGAAGGGTGCTCCTGTGAACGGGAAATACCAATCTGACTACGGCCACAGTTCTTCAATGGAGACACTGGCAGGGGTCTGGGAGCCTCCCACCAGACTGGTTGGTCTGGCTTGGTCGCGTATCACATCTTGCAAAGCGGTGTCACTTGCCGTCTGCCGAAGACACCTCGAAGTGCGTTTTGCTTTTGAGTTTCTCCGCGTCTGATACTGATATCCTTCTCTTAACTAATAGCCCCACGAAGTGTACTCCACCACTACTTCGACGTGAGTGCCTTTATACGTCGGTCTCCTCTTTCCTGCTAACGCGACTCACATTTGCTAGGAAACACTCACAGAAGCTCGCTCGAGATTGGGCTCTGAGTTCGGTGGTGCCACGCCATCAGACCTTCGTTCGGCCTACAGTGGCTTCAGCGCCTTCCCAGATGAGGCCGGCACCTTGTACGACATTTCTCCTGATGCTCTTTAGACGATTCCAGATGGACGTTATAAAACCTTACGGACAACCTGTATGTTTACGATGTTGGCAAACGGCAATTCGATACTCTAGACTTGACTTCCATCTGCAACTCGGAGGGGAAGATCTAGTACGGACACATGGCGAGAAGCCTGTACGTACGCCAACACCGCATGCTTGTTTCTTCTACCCCTTGATTATTCACGCAATTTCTACTCGGAGAGGCACCATCCACCTCATCGTTGGTCGCGTAACGCCGTAAGCCATGATCGGGAGAAGCAGGGGACCTGTCACTGTTGGACACCCCGGGGCTTTGGAACAAGCAGGTCTGTTATCGGAAGCGCGAGGCTTTGTGAGGCTGTTAGCCTGTTCCTCGCTAGTCCCAGGCGTGCGTTTCAGGTAATCATCGCAATTGAGATGGGAACCAGGAGGAAGGAAGGGCTTCGATATCCTTACTCCACACCTCAACCATGAAACGTCGGGGAAATTAGAGACGAGAGTGAGAGTGAATAGCATTTCCTCTATGTATTGAACAATGCTTCGACACGTGGGATAGAGAAAGAGAAAGAAACGGAGAAAAAGAGAAGAGAACTTGAAAAACCATGGAAATAAAGTTACAACTGGTATGAGAAATAAGAAATTGAGGTTCCTCCTAGAAATAATGGATAGGAATAATATGAGTTGGTTGGGTTGGGGTTTGCACGACCTTTGCAAGCCAGGGCACGATACGCAGGTGTGAATGCGGAAGGGAGCGGGGAAGGGGGAGGAGGGGGAAGAGAAGCGAACCTCTTGAGAGCCGGATACGAACAAAATAGACAAGGGCGAAGAGACGAGACGAAATAAGAAATAAAACGACGGGGAGGAAGGATTCAACCAGGGCAAGGTTGAAACAGACGGACGTGAAACTTGAACGAGTGTCGTCGTTTATGGCAGAACAAGCGAGGATTTTTTCTTAAAAAAAGGGTAGAGATTAATAGATAGGTGTTGACTGATGTAAAAAAATGAAAAGGAGAAACTGAGGAAACGTATACGTTAGACTAAGATAATGAAAGAAAAAAAGGGGCGGGAAGAAAACGACCATACATACATAAAAAAGAAGTAGAGAGAGAGAGAGAGTAAGAGTAAAAAGGACGAAAGGAGTGTTGGATTGGTGCATCATACGGGAGAGACGGCGGGAAAGCATACATAATAAAGAACGAAAGAGACGAAACCGAAACGAAAGTGGGGCAACAAAATAAAAAGGTTCTGATGTGATAGGAGTAAGCAAGAAAGGAGGAAGTTCGATTTCGATTATACGGAAAAAGAGGGGGTGGAAGAGTCGGCGTAAGGAGATGGTTGGACGCGTGGAGGGAAGAAAACGATGATCCAACCCATATACGACATAAAGTGACTACACGTACAAATTACGCAAAAAGGCGGTGGGATGCGAGGGAAGAGGCAAGCGTAAGGTATGCGGTAAGAAAGTAGGGTAAAAGGCGCGAGCGAATACGAAGTCGGTGGTGTACAAACAGGACGAAAGAAGTGTTGAAACATGATGTTACAACATACATCAAGGGTCTCAGAAAGGGGTTCGCGAGGGGTGGGCGGAAGGAGGGCGCGCCTTTTTGAGTGTGTGCAGTCGGTCGGTCGGTGGGATGGAGGTGATATACACGCATGCGTATGTGCCGGAGGGGAGACGTCCAGTGAGTATAGAGGCTTGGTTGGCTGGCGGAGTGTGGTCTGTGCGGATTGCTGCGATAATAATGTGTTGCGAAAGACAGAAAACATTGAATTGTTCCAGTGAAGAAAGAAAGAAAGAGAAAAATAAATGCGTGCGATGAGTTGCTGTGTGACCGAGAGTTGCAGAGATGAAGAAGACGATTGGGAATGCAGATGGATGGGATGGACAAATGAAGAATAAAAACCAAGAAACATACGACGGCAAACAACTCTCCCCAGAAACAACACACACAAGAGAACCCATTAATCCAAACCACCAAGGTTTCGAAAAGAGGGAGAGTTGCCGTCGTCGCGGTGAATAGATTGATGATAATGCGGGTGCTGCCTTTCTAGGTGACCAACAGCGTAACCTGTCCACCCGGTTTCCAAGCCTCGAACGCCATCTGCACATCCTCCGTACTGCCCAAGGAAACGTAATCCCCATCTTCATCCTTGTACTTGACCTTCAGCGGCCCATCGTCCCTCCTAGGTCCACACAACCGAATCTTCCTTCCAACCTTCTCCACCAACTCTTCGTATTCCGTCGACCTGGGGACCTGGATCACAAAGATATCTTCGTGGAAGTGAACCTTGACCTTGATCGGTGGACCAGCGTTCATCGGGGACGAAACAGAATGCAAACCATGCCCATTGGCATGGTACCCATTGATCTCATTCGACCCATACGACTGGTGGGCAGCTGGATGATGGTGTCCGCTCATGTAGCCACTGTCGTACTTGCCTCGAGATCCCGGGAGTCCAACACCACCCACCAATGAGGACTCGCTCGAACCAAACGGTGTGACGGGTGACGAGCTGTTGGGAGAATAGTCCGAGCTGTCACCGGTACTTTGGCTCGAGCCGCTCCCCCGCTTCCCGTTGGGTTTGACGTTGACTGGGATACCTCCAGGACTGTTGCTCCAGTGCGAGTTGGTGGGCAACGGACGAGGTGCGGGCATCGGTTTGCTGGGTACGTACGCGCTCGGTTGGCTCGCACTTCTAGAACGGTTCATCGGAGGAGCACGGGGAAGGCCAGGTGCATTGCCGTTGGGTGTCGGTGACCTCCCATTCCTATAGTCGTTGGCCATCACGCCATTGACGGGACCAGCCGTACCAGGACTCTGCCCTCCACCGCCCTCATACGCCGACTTGAGCCTTGTCGAGCTAAACTGACTCCGCAACACAGGTCTTGACGATTTAGGACCAGTGGGGAGGGAATTGCCAAAGCTCGCGTCCGAGGCATAGCTCGCAGCACTCATGTTCGAGTTCATTCTGGGTGTATGCGGTCGAGAATGGTGAGTTGCTCAGGCCCGAGGCCCGGCAACGTTGTTTCTCCATTGAGCGATCGTCGGTCCATCGTTGCTTTCTGTCTGAGCCCGAGGACGTTCGTAGCCATGCAGTGATTCGCTTCGCTCGCCTGGCATGGACAATGCGGTCGGTCTTCTATTGCCCATCGGTGTTCCACGTCCAGAATACGAAGTAGAGGCTGGTGGGTAGTCTTCGAGATCATCTTCCTCATCATCACGGTCGAATCCTTCGTGTGGCGGGTAGCCCTGTGGGCCCGACGAACTGTAGGATGTATGGGACGACTCGTAATGATAGGGTGCTGTTGACCGTGAACTGCTTCTGGCCGAAACAGCCGACGACGCCTGTGATGAGTATGCTGATGACGAGACGACACTGCCTTGACTGGAAAAGTGTGAGTGGGGGTCGGTAGGAGGAACACGGACGATGGGCGAATGGTGGGCCACCCTGGAAATGGGCCCATGAGGTCGCTCGGATGCCCGCCGTTGTGCAGCTTCCTTGATTAGGCGATTGATGGTAGACTCCCATTGGCGCATCTGGTCCTCTCGTTTGCAACGCAGGGTAAAGAACTCGAGATCATCATCCCCTTTCCACCAAACCTGGAGCGGGAAATGTGCGGGAATGCCAGAGGCTATTGAAAAAGGGTTAGATATGTGTACGTTAATGAGTCCAGTGCGGTCTTACCTGTAGATGCACGAGCGGGGACAGAGAGAGCCTGGGTTACGTTACCGAGGAAGATCCGCCCTTTGAGTAACAAGGGAGTATCTCTTTGAGCAATAGACTGGCCGCCGGTGGCGAGAGGTAGTGGAGCAGGCTGTTTCTTGAGGATAGAATTGTTCTTGGCGTTCTTGCCGCGACCGTTTGGGGGTTGCTGGAGAGCCTCCTTGCAGCAGAGGATGATCTTCTCGAAGAGGAAGACATGGTACTCCCGATCAATGTCCGATTTTGTCACGACAAAGACGTCTTCGAGCAAGAGTTCACCAAAGTTTTCTAGGTGATGGCCCTTCCAGTCAGTGATACGTTTGGCGAGTGACTTGACGATCTGCTCGTTGTCTGCGCGTCGATGTGCTTCGTTGATTTTTGCGGTGATGCGGTGAGCAGCCTCTGCGCCCTGTTTGAGGCCTTCGAGATGTGGGTAGGTGTCATCTCCGGTAGCGACCTTGATCAAGTCCTGTTGACAATGTGTCAGCGGCCATGCGGGACCGGGGCAAGGAAAAGTGAGACTCACACCAAAGAATAGGGGATATTTGCAGACACGCTGAATGGGAGTGATATGGAATGCCTTGAGTTCGCTGACACTGATGAAGCCATTCAAAGCCTTGCATGTCGTGAGTGCTCGGTAACGGCCGAACAAGGGTTGTTAGGGACCTACCGCGAGATTCTGTTCATTGGCGACCAATAGCTCTGTTGCGTTGGTAAAATTGGAACAGTAGGGTTCGTATACTGCGAATTCGTCTTCCTACAAGGGTGTGAGAGTGAGCCTTTAGACAGGGGCGTCAACGTACACAGTCGACGAAATGCTGCCCCCAACGTTGCTCGGACCAGGGCTGCTCTAGAGTTGACTCGAAGCGGATTAGAAACTTGCGCTGAAAGTTGAGAAGGTTGTTCAGATTTGGGAACAAGAGATGAATTGTGTCCTGATCGATGATGTTCTGCTGTGCGAGCTGTGTAGCGTATTTCTAAAAGCGGGTGGGATGTTGGTTGGGTGGGCCAAGCGGGGCCAATAAGGGCGACGCACCTGCATGATTTCGAGCCCCTCGACATACTTGCGCTCCGTCTCCAAGATTTCCCGCGTAATATGGATGCGGCGGGCTTCGCGGGCGTTTGTTGGCGGGGCGGGACCGGCTGGGAGGCTGTCGTGGTGCAGCGAGTCGGATGATTCATGGGCTGAGAGTGTGGGCGGTGATGTGGGGGCCTGTTCAAAGACGTCCTCGGGCAGGTACTCGACGATGGCGGTGACGCTGTTAATGACCTGCTCGCTGTCAGCGGGGGCTGTTGCTGCTGCTGACTGATTGGTGGACTCACCTTGACGAGGCCGTCTGTTGACTTGCGATCCCACAGGTCAGTGATGGCGAAGGGCTCTAGACCAGGGATTGCCTGCATGACCTGGTTGTTGCGGACCTGCATTGCGAAGAGGGCGATGGCATGCTTGCGCTCCTTGTCTGGGTTTGCTTCGTACTTTTCCGGGTTGAATTGGGAGTTGTTTATCTTGTTAAAGTTTTGGTCGAGCTGGTCGAATATGTAGCAGAGGGAGATGCCGAGGGAAAAGATATCCCATAGCTGTGTGACTGGGTCTGTTGACTGGCGGTCGTCTGTTGATTCAGCGGCGAGGTTGAAGTAGTAGGAGAAGCCCCGGATACGCATGAGGCGGGAGCGGAGGGATGCACATTGCTGGTAAAGGGATGTCGCTTGGGAAGCCGACTTGTTGAGGAGAGTGTTGCCTGCAACTGGCGTCTCGATTTGCAGGTTTTGGCTCGAGATTATCGATTTTTTGCGCGCAGCTGCTTGCGAGGCCATTTCCAACGCGCGAGACTCGGGAAAGTGTACCACGAATACAACTTATCACAAAACACCATTTCCATCACAACCTTTCGCACTCCGACAACAATTCCGCCAAACAACACTCCTTCCTCTCTCCTATTGTCCCTTTCTTATTATTATTCTTTATTTCATTTTTCTTATCCTTCTACTCTCTATATACCTTCGTATAGACGCCTCCAAGGCGAGGGGGATCCATCCCAACCAGCCTCCCTCCAAAGCACAGCTCAGATTCACACATCCGATCGACCCACGCGACCCCCATTCGGCCATCCACAACAAATCTGCTTCCCTGGGTCGACAAGATCCCATTTGCCGATCCCATCACAACCACACATCCTTCCATGGGAACTCCTAATTTGTTGTCGCTCCCAGCTCGAACGTCCTGGTGCACCCAGTCCAACTGTGGAAAACACTTTCTCCCCCCCTTTGATTTTTATAAAAGACCGCGACAAGACCTTCATCGTTGCTGACCTCGGATCTTACATTCCATCACACTTGAGTCAGTTTCTAAGGCTCGTCCTCCAGAGACACCCTTACCTGTCCTTCCCTTTGTACATACGCAGACCTCCGGAGCAAAAGGAGTGTAAGAGTACAATCCCGGACCCTAATCAAGCAACGGACATGCACTCCATTTACCCTCCATCCCCGGTGCTGTGACATACGCTATAACTACCTTGTACTTTTGCCTCTTGCGCACATGCTGTCAACGTAGCACCCAGCATAGATATACGCGAACAACGGCAAGAAAGGGTAAAGAGAGAGGTTATTCAAAATGAATGACCCAGCCGTATGGGTGGCATACTGACAATCCATGCATATCTTATCTCCTCCGGCGACTCGGGGAGGCTAGTTTATTGTTAGCCTCCTCCCTCTAGAGCTCGTATATCATTCAGGTACCACTCGCCTTCTCACTCATTGTTCAAACCCGCCACCGACCTCATACTCTCGACCAACAAGCCCCAGGCAAACTCGACTCGCGTGCACAACAAACCCCCACTATTGTTCGTCGATGTCCAGAGGGGAGGAAAGAGAGTCTCTGAGCGAGCGCTTACCGATCCGACAATCCGATCCTGGGTACAACTACGGTTTACCTTTCCTTTGTGGTTTCCTCTTTCAAGTCCTCAAGGATACCGACCCGAGCAAGCACGCCTACGACCTCGTCTATCAGAAAAAACAACTTGGTACAGTCCAGTTTAAGCGTTTTAAGTAGACACCGCCTGGAACATACTACACAGTAGTATGGAGGCTACTAGCCACTCATGTCCTAGCCAAATGCCGAATACTATCTACGCTTTGATCACCGGTCTCACTTGAATACCATGGTGGAATATAAGCCAAACGCCGTGGCAGTCAGGCCTACTACATAAGCCTCCACCACCGAAAACACCGAAACACCAGGCCAGAGCGTCCTAGTAGCTAGTCATAATCAACTCTCGATTTTCTCGAAAATGCGATCTCTCGTAAAGGTTCTATTCCCCCAAAATTCGAGCGCTGATACAATCCAATATGCCCCTTAGGCTTGGGCGCTTCACGGAAAGGGGTACCGGTACTGAGAACCGAAAGGTCCAAGCTAACGTTTCGTCAGTAACCTTGACACCTTCTGTTCCACTATCGTTTCTATGGCTAAGAATGTGTCTGGAATCCGATGAGTACGTGGGTCGCCCGTTATAGGGCTATGTCGTACATTATAGCGGCTGCAGGACTAACTTGGAACTTGTTTGGACTCATGATCAGGGCCGCGACTACTAAGGGACACCGAGAAAGTTCAGAAAGGACCTTTGGAGGTTCTTCGAGAAGATAAGATATGTGTATCTCGTATCTCTGTCATGGTATAGATACCATGTAGGTGGCTAAAATGATCCCTCGAGGCACGGCGATTGGGTCAATCATTTATCGGTGTGCATTGGCGTAGAGGGTCTGATTGTGGCGAAACCGAGCTTGTTATCCCATAGGGCCATGCATGACCAGTGCTGTAAACCCGCCACCATAAAGTTCCTGAACCTCCCCCACATTCGCGGGAGCTCGAGGAACGAACTTTCCCAACGAACGCCTTATGTGATTTCGAAGAACCCATGATCATGGCAGTCCGGCGGTCCCAGCTCGACCGTGACGCCCTTACCTTCGGGGTCTCTTTGTGCAAAGATGTAATACATAAGATAGGTAAGTAGAGGCTCGATCTCGCGTCTTGGATCGTTAGTCTAATTGGCCATAGCTAGAGACTACAGGCTACATCCCCACCGGAATCCTCGCTCGTCGGTGCGGAGACCTCTTTCCTCCGCTCCGAGGAATGAAATGAATGAACGAGCTTATCAGTTCCTTGTAGTCCAACCCCGAGGGTGATGGACACCACATGCGCCCATGGGCTCACACTGTACTAAGCAGCTAACTTGAACTTCCGCGTTATCATAGAGAAACCCTGGGCTTAGCTTCCGAAGATGTCTGAATCATACATTCCCGGACATTAGTTGGTAAACAACCGCGAAGGAGGGAGCGTCATGGGTGGAGTGTTTGAAGTTGACAGTTGGATAGATAGATGAAGTACCAAGTTACACCGTGTGGTCAGGAGGAGAGGAGGAAGGAATGCACGCGTTCACCGCAGTTGCATGAGTCGGAACTCGGAGAAAAGCAAAAAGGGACTCTGTGAATACTTATCAAGGAACCGGCGAGTTGGAAGTACTTACTTAGAAGTCTGAGAGAGCTTTAAAGAGTTAAAGTATTTTCGTAGCGCAAATGAGATGGATACGACGTTGTTGGCGCTAGTAGACAAGTCCGATGTTTGAGGAGGTTGCTTCGGGGCATCATGAAACCCGATGCGTATGAAGGTACAGTATGCACGATGGTGATGGAGAGCCCGATGGCGCCTTCATTCGTAATACAGTGGTACAGCCTATCTGGAGCTGAAGACAGAGCGACTTTCAAAGCGTGAGTTGAAGTTCTGACTCGCGAACACCCCGCCGTGTTTCCCTCCGAGTCCTCCGACTCGCACTCCTCCGAATTGACCGCTGGTCCAACCACCCAAAGCATCCAGAATTCGGTTCCGCTCCTCGCAAGTGTCGAAGAATGCCATGGTTTCGTCTGGATTCTAAAGCACGTTCCTCTTTGCGTTTCTCTGATTGAACGTGAGCGTACCTGGATGTGGAGCTTCAACTTTGACTTATCGCGGTGTTGCAAGCGGAAGTCACCTGGAACGACTCCACTCCTGTCATCGCCCGAGCAGTTTTAGCCAAGCCCATTTTACGGTGAACGTTCGTCGTCCACTGGGTCGTTTAAATTTCTCAACCAAGCCTCGTAAATCCTGTTGTCTCGAGTGACGCTGACGTGGATTCCAGGCCCAACTGCTCTACATACTACACTTGATCCTTTCAGCCACGATCGAGGGCAGCCACCGACGTTGTACTCTGAGTCTTAGTACCACGCGAGCATGAAGAAACGTGGCTGCTGACCGTGACCCGCTCAGCCACTCGATGATCGATCATACCCTTCCGGGACCCTCTCCTCTGTCCAATAATCATCAAAGAAAGATACAATATTATTCCGATTAGATATGTATATGTATATGTATATGTGGATGTGGATGTGGCTAAAAGAGATGACGATGATGAAATATGAAAATGATGAAACCCCAGCGACAGACGACCACATCCAAGCCACCAATTGATCTCAAGGGCTGAATTTTTGATTCAATGATTGTGGTGGTAGTCTTCCAGGAGCTTCGAGTGACTCCGTTGCGGTCGCCGTTAGCGTCACGCGTTGCCAATGGATCATTGCTCTTTTGGCTACGCGTACTCTCCAAGCCAAATAAAATCACATACGAGATGCTCACACAAGTGGCATACGAAAACTTTCGAATCTATTTTACGGGGTAAATATAGGTTACCAGACACGTCATATATGGTCTTCGAGTGATCCTGTTTGTCCGTGAAGAGCGTGAGCCTCAGACATTGAGTTAGTACTACAGGGGCTATAGCTAAACGCGAGTGCATTGAATGACGCGCCCATCAGCAGATTTTTGGACGGGCGCTTATTTTGTGATGGCGCCCTGCGAGGTCTGCTCGGAGGCGCTTAACGATCCACTTCATTCGAGTGAGCCTGAACCACCTGGAGATAAGTAAGTAAGGTCTATTTTCGCAGCTTAGATTAAAAGGCCGTGTGCTAAGATGTTAACGAAGATGTTGGGATTCCATCATTGACCGGGATTGGCGGTGTACACGGGAAAAGCCCTCAAACAGCGCGGCAAGCTTCGTTTTATTTTTTTTTAGTCGAAAAAGATTTACAACACTCCGATAAGCTTCTCCTCTAGCTGATGGCCCTTTCATGCTGCTAAACGAGCACAACCACCCACCGTTTGCATCATGCATCGTCACATACGCATCAGTTTCTGGATCATAAGTAGACTAACGGTGCACATACGGTCTTAACAGATCATTATCAGCTTTGAATCATGGTATAGATAAACTGGGTAACATCGATGCTTATTCAAAGGGGGCAGAAGCCTGCGTGAAGCGCTCAAGGCCCGGTTAGGCACATGGTTGGAGGTTTTGGTTCATATAGAGTGATAGTTCATCTTCGTCGTGATTCATGGAGGGACCTAGATTGAATGTATGCGTGGAGTGTTACGAGTTGGTATACATAGCTTGAACTGAGGGAAAAGGTAAGGCTCTAGTACCTTGGAGGGCTATATCAGAAACACGCACTCGGGAGTCGAAATGATGCCAGAGGCTTAATGTATCACTGGGCAATGAGTACGATCATCTGGTCGATGTATACAGTGCATCTTGTGCTGACATTTTCGCGGAGGTGGTGTATCAGACGCTCTGCCATCACAGCAGCAGTCCGAGGCAGCAACGAACGGGGTGCACACTGCACTCCGGCCTAGAGCCTCGATTACAATATTCCTCGAGTCATACAGCGTCACAATCATCCCCATCCAGTGCTGAAGAGTCGGATACACTGCTCCAACTGTCTGATACGGTGATCAACATGCGGATCATTCCAGCTGTAAAGTGGAGACATTCTGCATGTGCACAATGTAGGTGACCTGAAGTAACAATCCATCTGTATCCTGTAAACTCTAGTAGGCACACGTCTCCTCGAGGACTGACATCATGGAACAACCCTTCAACGTTTCAAACCTCGGCATATCACGATCAAGACATTTTGCGCTCGCTGGGCTTTGCGGCTTTACTTGTAATTATAGCCTGTTCAAACCCTCGAACCCGATTCCAGAAGGCTATTTATGATGAAGATGGAATGCGTTGTATGCGGACGAACTACGGCTTTGCTTCAATGGACCTCAGGCCCCGGTGGGGTCGATGGGGAAATGAGGCGCCAGTATACTTCCGCTCTATTCACCGCCCGTGGAGTTGCACATTGGCACCTCGTTTCCTTGGAGACATAATTGCTGTTCGTAAAGGTTTGGAATCCGTAAGCTTGGGAGTTGAGAAAGCACTTGCCGTACAGGTGACTGAGCTACTCCACATTCCTCTCGTCAATCAAAGATGACCGAAGTTTCGCGGAAAGCTTAGTCTTGTAGCGTCAATGGCTACGGTCTGAGAGAGCGCTAAAAGCATCCAGACAGAGAGAACAATCCGTAGAAAGTTGCGTCATATTCAGCGGCGTCAGGACCTTATCAGATGTTCCAGTGTGCCGATTCAAGAACTAACACTTCTGAAACACCCAGACCAATATTCCTGTAACATTCGGATTGGAAGGTCGAAGAAGCGAGATGCAGTTTCCCCTTCTTCGGAGAGACGAGTTTTTTAAGAGCCACAGAGCGGAAAACAAGTGTCCCAACTTGTCGCCAAAACGCACCTCTTTCCAGGAACTGTACAGTAATAGGTCTTCTCCCGCGCATATATTCCGGTGCTCCAGGCAAAATCAAAGAGGGAAGCGCGGAGATGTCGATGATTATCCTCGAGGCTACGGCAAACGAGGTCCAACGGCTGTGTCAATGTGAAACTGCGGTAGTAGAAAGGATCATTGACGTCGAGTCTTCTCTAGGTACCGGAACGCACTTACCTATCTTAGAAATTTGAAGGACAACCAACTTGTTTGAAGCAGATGGGTGTAAGTAGGACTGACGGATTGATACCAGACGACGAGGGTCGATTGAGAAGAGACGAGTGGTTGACATCGACTTGCAAACGTGATTCGGCGTTACCTTGGACTTGCGACTTTGAGAGGACATTGAACGGGTCCGCGTTGACAAAGAGGTACAAGGGTCGGTTGTGCGTAGGAATAAACTTCCCTTGAAGGGAAATTTTGCTGAAGTTCGTCAGAGAACTTGCCTCGTGGAGGTACTTTTGCCTTGTGCAGCTTAGCACGAGTGGTGTAGCTGCTAATATAATCATAATGAAACTTGAAACGGAAGAAGAAAGGAGAATGGAATCACGTTTCGTTCTCCAGGCAGGTCCAATTTTCCAGAAGAATGGGCCATTGAATAGGTGAAATCGATACTTAACAAAGTCAGCGACGGAAATGAATAGAATCGACAGGGAAGGAACGCCGCGGTCGTTGAAAACGAGGGTGCCTAGGTAGTCGTGCAAAGTTTAAGTTCTGTTCGTTAGCAAGGTGGCAGCTGCCTCCAAAACCCTTGATGTCATTGTCGTATCGTGGAAACGTGCTCGTAAACTCTAGCACAGGCTAACTAGGAAAGGCCGATGATGGTGGAAAATACAGAGAAGAGTACGTACCACCGTGGATACCAGGTAATAAGCGGTACAATCCGCTGAGAAGTTCTACCGAGGGACGGTGTCCGTAAAAGCTTGGAACACGAACGTACTCCGTCCACTGGGTCTAACCAAACTGGAAAGCGGAAGCCGTTCGGGCAGAGTCGAAGGCATGAGTTCAAGAGTCTTCTGGATGATCTGTGAGAAACCTTCAAAAAAAGGACGCGGTTCTAAACGTCGTCAAGAAAAACATCGATGAAAGTTTAGAGCGCACTCACCGGATGGCGGAAGGCTGCAGGTGTCAGAAGAGCTCTATTCCCGATATACCCACTTCCTTTTTACCCACCTGCGAGGTATTGCCAACGGAGGTCTGAGGCGATCGAAACTTGAAGCCGAGCGAAGTTCAACTCGGCAACAGGCTCCAAGAAAAGAGTTTAGACGCGAAAATACACGCGTTTTCTAGAGTTCTCAGCGGGCCATAGGCGTATGGGCGACTGTGTGCAACGAAAATGCCAGTCGCGGTAGGAGACGTTTTCATGTTTGGCCAAACTTCTGCCGTCACCAGCGCTAAAGTTGACGGCCGTGAGTCGAAGCCTGCTCCGAGTTGGAGGTTCCTGCGATTCCGTCGTCGCAATCGAGCTCGGCGAGTGGCAATGTCGTAAGGTGTAACTCAACGGTCTGATGTATACGAGCCATTTTTTGGGTCTACTCTCTGAGTAAGGAGTCAACAAATGTGCGAAACAGCGTTGAAGTCTTCGAAAACCGGGCTTACCTTTTTCTCTCCAACGGACAGAATCCAGAAAGATCGATGCGGCATTATTTGTCCTGTTGAATGCATGCCGACGCATTGGTTGAAGGTATATAGCATTGAAGCTCTGCGCTCAAGCTCGAAATTTTCGAGCAGGACTCCAGACCTGTCCGCGAAGGCCTAGAGACAACTTGAAGGGAACCTTTATCCGCCTGAATCAGATACTGCAACATTGCTAGGGAAGACGGATTTCCTGACTGGAGAAGGAGTTTCGCTGCCCCAGACTCCTAGGTGTCTGCTCGGATAACGCTGCTATCGACATACCCTGCCTAACTCAGGCCTAGCTCTACCTAACTGGCGGTTTCGTTTTGGGGCGCGGCCCCTATTTCTGGGACCCGTCGGCACTTTTCGACCAGCGGGACATTGCGACTCCCGATCCCGACTCAAGCGATCATCGATCAGGTCGATTGCGAGGTCGCGTGCGTCCGCATGGGTCTAACGATGGCGAGGTGGAGAAGGCCGCCAATGGCGACAGCACGCGACAAGCTCTGGTACCTGATGCAGCAGACTTGGCAGGGAGCGACCTTGCTTGCGAACCTTCCAATAGAAAGAACTGTAGGATTGGAAATTGTACATTGCAACGGTGGAGTTCCTTGAAGTCCGTTAGAAATCGTTTCCTAAGTACAAATATGAGCAGTCAGAAAGGCAAATGCGGCATAAGACGGCAGAACGTACCAGGCGAACAGACTCTAAGCGTCCAGAAGGATCCGGCCTGAATTACTACTGCATTGAGAAGAGATTCCAGCTCACCAATCTACAGTGTGTCGCGCAATATTTCACCGCAGAGAATCACAAGTTTCGACCAATTTGAATTCTTTCCTATTGGGAGTGGAATGAAGGTGCTCACGAGACCCTGCCCTGCTCCAATGGATGTTGGTGTGGCCAAAACGAGCAATCGAAGTCAAGCGAGCCCACATGGTCGTATCGTGTTTGATACCCCGCATCCGCATCGTCGAATCACCGTCCACAATCTAATCACTTGCATGGGGTTGCGGCGAAATAAATGTTAGCGATCTGGAGGAAACTCGAGGATCATTGTATTGATAGGCTGTGATACTCTGGCTGCCTCTAGTCGTTCCAAAGGAGGATTCGAACCAATCCTGCGAGTTTGATTTGACGCAAGCGTTGCACAGTCGAAATGAAAGGCAGTATGGCGGGTGGTAGGAGATAACCTGGCCCAAGCGAAGAGGGTGGATTGGCTCGATTCTGAAGGTTGGACTTGAAGCTTGAAGCCTCGGTGACTGTGGCAGACAAGTCGGTAGATTGAACGGTGGAAGAACTCTGGTACCAGAGAGGCCCACAGAGATTTGCCAGTACGCCGCCAGTTGAAGGTCGTTGGCCACTGTCTCTCCAGGCGGAAGTCTGAGTAGTGTTGTCGGCCAGCCATTTCGGTACAAAGAAGGCTCTACAGGCGAGATGTAATTTGTTGAACGGGGTGTTCCGTGTTATTTCAAGACGGCTCCGAGGCGTCGATATGGCTATGATCTCAGGAATCAGAGTTCGACATCGTGGACGACGAATACGAAACCTCATTTGGAACTCCGACGGGGGTCGGAGTTTAGGGCTGAGCGTGTGAGTTGGTGTGATGGGGTCCTCCAGCACTCCTTGGACCCAATGGCACCACCCCGAGCCCATTCTTCTCCATCGCGTCCGCATACTGCCTCCGCCAACGTCCAGCAGCCCGCCGCCGATCCCAATGTCAACGAAGAACTCTTCGTCAACCCCATGCTTGGGGAGCCGTTGGTCATATACATCGAGAAAGACGTCGAGGACAAAGAGGAGCTCGTTCGCCTGTTAACAGTGAGTTAATTAGAATTGAATTGGTCGCGGTTCGCGTGTAGGCATCGGGATCGCGTTTTGGGGGGAATCTGAAATGCCCGCCGAAGGCGAAGTAGCTTATCGACGTGACGTTATCAACTCTGTAGCGAATGAGAACTGATTAGACCCCTAGACATATGGCGGAAACATTGCTTCAGGTTATAGTGGAGTTTCATACATCCTTGGTCAGTATTCGCCTCCCAGTCATTGCACAGACTGTGTTGACACTGTGCATGTCGCAGTCGACCCCCTGAAGATATCAGGTCAGAATCTGTATCGCCAGTACGCGAATAAGAAGGGCAAAGTTGTACTTGACGCCCGTTGGATTCGAGAATGTATAAAGGCGAACAAGTTGTTGACTTATGCCACCAATTGGGGAGGGTGTAAAGTAACCGGGGAGGAACGGGCGATTCTGCAGAGACACCAGCAGCAGCAGCAACAACAACAACAACAACAACAACAACAACAACAACAGCCCCCTCACCCGCAATCTATACACCACCAGCACCAGCATCATGGCGACCTTAATGAACGAGACGTTTGCTCCATCATCATGGACCGGGTATTTTCGAATGCAGAAGAGCAGGCACAACAACACCCTCAGATGCAACAAGGGCAGCAGCACCATCAACAGCAGCAGCCTGATCAGCAACCTCCCCAACCACAGCAGCAGCACCAACCCCAACAACATCCTCCGGCGCCTACCGCTCCGCCACAGGCTGGGCCTGTTGTACAACCCCAGCACCCGCAACCTATGATGCCCTACGCCATGCCTGTTGCCACTGTGCTTGTCGACCCCATGAACCCATTCGCAGGTGTTGCTCATTATGCCCATCCCGGTCACCCACCACCGGGTGTGGTACCTCCCCATGCATGGCCTGTTCACCCCCATGCCTTGATGCCTCAGATGATGCGGCCCATGCAAGGTCATCAACAATGGGAGGCCTATCACCAGCAGGTGGGCATGCAGTCCCAACAGCCCTACGTCGGCGCGGAATATCGGTATCGAGAAACGACTGCCCCTTGGGTGACATCCAATGCAACCTATTACGACACCACTGTAAGCGCCCAAGTATATCCATCGTCCACGATTTCTGACGCAACGTTCTCAGCAATATGTCCAGTCGTATCAGCAGCAGCAGCCTACAGCGTACCCTTCCGCACCAGATCAAATGGAGCAGACACATCCAGAGCCTCAAATCCAAGCACCACAACCTCAAGCTCAGGCCCAGGTCCCGTTGCAGCCACAGACACAGGCAACGCCTTCGGAGACACCCACTCCAGCTCCTCCACCTGTGGATGTACAGCCATCGACAGGAACTTTGGAGCCTCCAGATAGGCCTAGAGGCCGCAAGCGCACACGAGTCGTGGTAAGTCCTTGCCAGACCATGGTTTTCTTCCCACCTTGATAAACTTGCCACAATAGACCACGCCTGCCACTCCTGCAACGGAGCTAGTCGCTCGATCGGCCCCAGCGAGATCGCCGACACCTCCCACACGCGTCATCAAGAGTACCTATGGAGGCAATTTATTCACGGCTGAGGATGTGATGTATCTCAAGAAGTACATCGACTATTGTCAGGAACAAGGACTCGTTCTGAGGTATGCTTCTTCGAAATTATCGTTTTGCATGTTGCTCAACGTATCACGCAGCCTTCGTGAGATCTGTGAACGCGTCGCAGTCAAGGTCAGATGCTTCTTGTTGTATGTGCGACGTGAGTACTAACCCATTGAACCCACTAGGCACCGCATCATACGTTAGTTGCTCAAGTCGTAACATTTGCCTTGGATGGCCGCTCTGATGCCTTTTCAGGTTCTATTCGTGGCGGAGATATTGCAATAAGCATAAGATCCGTTTGAGCGGATATATGATGAATCAAGCAAGAGACAGCTCACCAATGGACGAAGACATTGGGGAAGAAGGGGAGATCGAAGAAGAGTCGGAGGTTTCCAGAGGTGGCCCTGGGCCCAGTTCTTCACGGATGAACTCGACGGCAGCACCAGCTCAAGCAGAGGCCCGGTCAGAGTCCGTTCCAAGGAATCGATCACCAACCCCTCCTAGAGCCCTATATCGGAGTACAACTGGGAAAGGCGTTGCTTTCACTCAAGAAGACGTTACCTTTCTGGTCAAGTTTATGCGGTATAAGGAGTGCGCTTTTTTTCTCTGTTGGTCTTGGTAGCTTACTGATCTTTGTGAAGAGCCCAGTCTCAGGGTCGTATGGACATGGTCGCTTTCTGGAAGGAAGTCGCTGCAAAGGTTTGTCCGACTCGCAACTTGATTGACCTTCTGTTGACTCTTTACCCAGGCCCCCCATCATTCGAAGGCATCGTGGATGAAGTATTGGAGAAGACATAAGCATGAGCTCACTCGGACTGAAGCGGATGGTCCTCTACCTCCTCCTCCCGAAAAGAAGATGCGATATGTCGCCAGTGATGATGTCCTTTTGGCCAAGTTCTTCAGAGAAAAGAGGCCCGGTACATCCGACCAACTGTTCCAGGAATTTGCTTCCAAGGTGCGATCCGTTTGACGAATTGAAAGTGCGTTGCAAGTTTAACACTTCTCCATAGTACGGCCATCATCCATGGAAAGGCTGGCAAGAACACCATCGGATACACAAGGCCAAGATTGATCACCTCATCGAATTACTGAATGCCGGGCATAACATTGACGTCGTCGAGCCTGAAAACCAGTCTTGAAGAGCTGCGATTCGTTTCTCGAATGGACATCGAACATATTTTAATCGCTACTTATGAGACTCATTTTGTATGTACTTCTTCGTTGTTGTTGTTGCACTCCATGTTGTACCCTCCTCCACCTCGCTAAAGAGCACTCACTGTATTGTATACCCTGTAGTAGTACACCTACTAGCCATCTGCCATTAGTCTTCGTCGTTATCTTATCGCATTCTCGGGCCGCCTGGCATCAGTTAGGGGCTTTGATCGAGACCCCGGAACTCATCTTGACATCACTTTCAACCACCAAGTGCCGTCCTTGTGCATAGTCTCTGCTTTCCATCTCAACAATGCCAGAATATCTCAGTCAAGAACAGATTGACCAGGCATGCAACGTATTCCCTGTTGGATCAATGGACGACTGACTCTCGACTCGGATTTGCAGTTCAATAAGAACGGGTATGGTTCGTCTGGTAGTTGATACTGGAGAACGTCTGAACTGATGTAAAGCGAAGATATCTCGTTCTGCCGTCATTCTTGTCGGAAGAAGAGACATCCGCGTTGCGGAAGCGCTCTAAGGAGCTGCTGGACGAATTTGACCCTTCTACCCACCCTCTGGTATGATCCGCCGACGTACTTCGTCGACATGAACTCACATTTAAGTCTATGGGTTTGCAGACCAAGTTCACGACAGGAGACGATGACCACGTCGGAGACGACTATTTCCTGACGTCTGGTGACAAGATGTCAGAGTTCATCTACCTCGATTATTCGAAAGTCTCTGCTGACGCGGGTTGTAGACGCTATTTCTTGGAAACGGACGCGGTGGATGGAGATGGAAAGTTGAACAGGGAAAAGCAGAAAGCTGTGAATAAGATTGGACATGGTGCGTTTATCCGATCCTTGCTTTGTCCATTGCTGGTTACCTGACCCGTCCCTACGTTGAATCCAAGGCTTGCACGAGCTTGACCCTCTCTTCCGGAAAGTGACTTTGGAGAATGAACGCATTAGAGCTGTGGTTAGGGATTTGAAGTTCCATCGGGATCCTGTTGGTATGTCTGCGTCACCAAGGCAAGGACGAATGTAACTGATGCGGATGTCTTGGACGGAATTCAGCTCTCCAGTCGATGGTAATCACGAAGCAGCCGCAGATTGGTGGCGAAGGTACGCTCCTTCTTGTGAGGTTGCTCGAAATTGCGATGCTGACCTCAAGGGATGGACTGTAGTGCCTGAGCATAATGACTCGTAGGTAACCTTTCTCTCACCCTGCGCAAATCAGTGCATTGAATTCGCATCCTTCGCAGGACATTCCTGGTAAGCTCTCAACATCCCGATCTATCTTCTCCCCAGCCCCTCAGGCTTACTTAACAACACACTCCGACACCTCCAAACAGTACACAGACCCACCATCCGCCCTCGGCTTCTGGATCGCCCTCGAGAAATGCACAGAATCCAACGGAGCCCTGTCTTTCCTTCCCGGATCGCACAAGACCACGCCAATCACCAAACGTTTCGTTCGTCTCGGGCCTGGAAAGGGTACGGGGTTCGAGACGTTGGTCTCACCCGAGGAAGAGAAACGTGTGGCTGAGGAGGGCAAGAAGGGGGAATATACCTTGGAGACTTGCAATCCAGGTGGGTCTTTCTTATCTCGGCTGTACGGGTTGAAGTTGTAGCTGACGATGATTGGGTGAATGGACGAATTTTCACATTGTTGTTGTAGGCGATTTGGTCCTCATCCATGGCTCGGTGCTGCACAAATCGGAGAGGAACACGAGTCCCAATACGAGGTTTGCGTATACCTTCCATATGATCGAGTCGCCGCCCTATGCAAATTATGACGAGAAGAATTGGTTGCAGCCTACACCCGAGATGCCGTTCTCGAGGATCCTGCCTCCGGGGGAGATCAACGTGTTCTAGGTGCTCCTTCGACAACGGTCCTGCGGGTGGTAGGATATGAAGAAGCAAGTGACGGAATCTTTTGTGTTACAACAGTTTGGTGTTAGCGGTATAGCAACAGTGTGGTATCTCTGTGTTAAATAGGTATTATCTAAATGGAATCAGCGTCACGAACAAGATAATAGTACATTGCAATAACCCTCAATCTTCCTCAGAATCAGACCCATAATCAGAAAACTCGTCAGGATCGATAGTAGCGACTCCAGGTTTTGGTGGAGGTGCCTGCCAGTTATTCGGGTCGTCACTATCGTCGCCGTCGTCGTCCTGGGTATCTGGAGCAGCGGCAGAAGCGCCATTCTGCTGTTTTCCTCTCTCCTCCGGAGGGACGAATACGTTTTGTGCTTTGGTCACGGTGTCCCGCCTCAGTTCTCGTTGTTCGTCGATTGCGGCGCCTGAGATCATGTCTTTCCAGAGTTGAATCAATTGTCTGTAGGACCAGTGTCAGAACAGGAATGTCGGAGAGGGGGGTAAGTGGGAATAGAACGTACACTGCTTCGTTCCCTGCACACCAACTTAGATGGTTCACTTGATGTCCAAGGCGCTCGGCAAGCTGGGAAACGGAGTAGGTCCCTATTTCGCTTTCCTCCATCATCGTCAGATACAGTTCCTTGACATCGATCACGTAGAGTCGTGGGCGGTCGCGCTCTGTAGATGGGATGTCGCGTGTGTCGGGTCTCCGTCTGGGGTCGGAGGATGCTGCGTATGATCGTTGAGGGGACCGTGAACGTGAGCGTCGACGGTCTCGTCTTGAATCGTAGTCGTTGTGCCTACTGGAGGACTGCTATGGATTCTGTCAGAAGGATTGTGCTAGGGCGCATTCAAGAAACAGACCTGGTGAGTGTCTCTACGCGAACCGTAAATCAGGGAGCGGATGTCTTCGACGTGGAAGAAAACTCCTAGACTGCCGAGGATGTCTGTCGTCCAATCTTCGCCCATGATTAAGAGGATGGTAGGTTGTCGTGGGTCGAGGCGGAGTAGTTCTCGCAGTTTGTCTCCAATCTGGTCTTGGCTCATGGTGTGGGAATCACCGTATCTGAAGGCCTAGAGGAAACCTCTCTTCGTCAGTGGCTACACGATAGCAAGCAGAAGGACATACCTCACGAGTAGTCTCGGCTCCCTGCTTCAAACCCAGGTTCCTTTCATCAGACAGATGCACACCCGTCCCAGGTTTATACTCGAGGTCAGGAACACGCGCTTCTGCGAATCCAACGTCCAGAAGCCGGGGTGCTCTCCGTCTGTCACTGACGGCTCGATGGTCAAGACTCCAAAGGTTGTATACGAGCGAGCAAATGCGAAGGTTTTGCGTCCAGCGAGTGTCGGCTGGTACGCTGTATTTTGGGAGGTCGAGTGTGCGTTGGAGGATGCGGTAGAGTACCCTGTCAAATAACACAGATCAGCATGGGCTACACAACTAAAGGGAGGACGAGGCCACACCTGTTATGCTCAAAATGTCCCCTCTTTAATCCGGGTTCTGGGTTACTGTCCGTGTACCCGCGATTAGCCTGGCTGGTATCGTACGGCGCGTTCCCCTTCTTCGGTTTCATCCTCGACAGTTTCGCTTCCAGCTCCTCGACGGCATGAAAGTGGATGGGGGATACGGATTGGAAACTGTCGATTCTCATAGGGTACGCCCTGGGAAGAGGCAACCGCATGGCGTTGGTGTACCGACGCGTTTCCTGTTCGGTCATGTAGAGATAAGAAGCGCCCGTGTGGGTTATTCCTAATTGTCCTATATTTAGTTTTCGGAATGCGGGTTGGGTCAGATAGCTCACCGAAGACCAGTTCAAGAGGTTCATTGGAAATTCTGGACTTTAGAGGTGAGCTAGAGCCCGCCAGGGACTCTGCCAGTGGTTTCTCGCTATTCCACTGCGTTTCCCCGTGTTTGCCTGGTCTTATGCCGTTCCTTTATCAGTTTCCTTTTGTTTTCGATAAAAGTTATTCGTCCTCACCCCCTTATATGTGCTCTCCATCCTCCGACTTGGTAGTAACGAGTGTCGGACATCGTGGTGGCTGGGTGAAGGGAAGGAATGTGAAGGGAAGGTGAAGTGTTGATTCTTGGTGCCGTCGCGCCGAGAAAGCGGAACAAACGCGGTCCGACGCGCTTCGTCCCTGTCTTTTAAGTCACAGCCACCCCCTAGCTCCCGCCTTGCTTCGGCGCGACCGCAAAGGCCAGTGCGCTGCAGGGTACCGGGATACAGTAGGTTGTGCAAAGGCGATGCCACATATGGCGCCTGATAGATGACCTGTGTACGGCATTCACCGGCGGCTACGACTACTGGCATTGCGCAGACCTGCTTGGTGAAAGCCAAAGGTTGAGTACCGCGTCGAGACTCGAGCAATGATCAACTCAGCGACGCGCTCTACCCTTTCAATGTCTCTTTTGAGTGCCAGCTGCAGAGCTTCTTCCCGCGTGTAAGGATTGACCCGTCTTCAGTCCGAAGTGGGAAGAGTACAGACTCTCGGCTATCGAAATCTTTCCGAGAAACGTTCGAAGGTCAATGGGGTTTCCAAGTACTTACTGCGGATTACTACCACTAGCTGAGTAGGCTCTCGGAGAGCTTGTGGCCTTGATTCGTTGCCCTCGCGGACTGCGTCTAAGCTTAGGAAGAAGAGTCGCATTATCAATTCCCCTTGAAATTTGATGATATCGCGCTGCGCAGGAGAACTGTATTTACTTGGGCTTCTTTTCAGCTGTACTTGGTTCAAGGCTGTGATTTCCAGTGCAAGGAAATTGCGTCACTGGTCGGGTCGCTCTCCGGTACCTGTCTGCGGGAGTGACGCTAATGAAGTGTAGATTAGGTTGAGGCTAACGAGTGATGTTCCGACCCTCTCTACCGCAGGAGGAACCCGAGCAGAAGAGTAGCACGTATGCCCATTCTTATGAGCTTCTTAGTCTAGCTCATTCTATGAATTCCGAACCCATTCGACAAGTCACATTTTGCTTCCGCCCCCATCCAGAGGCTTCGCGAAGTCCTCCATACCGAAGCCAGGCCGATAAAAATACGACAGAGGGTAAGGCAAATTTCCATTACATCTGACATCGTCTCCTAAGCTCAAGAATAACTGACAAAGGTCTCTTACACCTCTTTCACGCAACCTATGACCGCAATTGGTCCCTGTTGGTCCCAAAAAGGCGCTGTGGAGCCCCCTCTTGGCGCCCGTCATGACGCAAGCCGGGACTTTCCCGCAGGCGCTCCTTCCGAATCCGGTAAGAGCAGTCTTGGCAAACCCATGGGCCATGGGGTTGGCCACCAAGTGTCGATTTGCGTCATTTCGCTCCGCTTGTCGCTATAAAACATCTCTTCCGATCTCTTTCGACGGTTTCGTTCGTCCCGATCTATAAACTCAACTTGCCTGCTTGGACCTCTGTGACGACTTGGACTTGAACCGCCACGTCGACCCCGAATACGCCTACGACTACGACGACGACGAGTACTACGATCTAATAGCTTCTAGGAAATCATGAAAGTAGCGGGTGCAGCGCTTCCTGGGGTCTTTTTCTGCTTTGCAGCGATGGTGCTGCTCATCTTTGTGCGTCTGAATTGTGGACTCGTGGATTCCTTGGACTTTGTGCTTACCTCGTGTACGCTCCTAGGTGTCGGTGTCAGAACCGACATGGGACAGAGTCTCCTTCCTCAATGTGCGGAGAGATAACGGGACTGTGCACTATGGATGCTTTGGGTACACGAACCATCCAGTGGGTATCGGGTATTACTTCAGGTGAGCTTTACATGCCTTTATTCAAGGACTTTGGGCTAACGAACGAATGACTGAAGCAATGACCGACTCAACTCGGGGATCCTGCACAACCTCACGAAAACACTCATCCTCCATCCAATCGGTACGTCTCGTCTCACCTTTCTCCTATCCTATCCCACCCAAACACACGCTCACCATACTTGGAAAAAACAGCCGCTGGTCTCGCAGGTATCGCCTTCTTCTTCGGCCTCTGCGGTCTCGCCTTCAGCCGCATCGGGACGATCTTCATGTCCCTGGTCGCCGGCCTCGCAGTCCTCGTCACCCTCGTCGCCTGGGTTATCGACATGGTCCTCTTCGGTATCGCACGACAGCGATACAGAAACGAGGGTCTCTGGGCGCAGTATGGCAATGCGAATTGGTTGACGCTGGGTGCGCTTGTGTCGCTTGTGTTGGGATTCTGCACGGCGGCGATTGGGTCGTTTGGGAGGTATAGGAGGAAGAGGAGTGATGTTGGTCGAACGACCTACTAAATGGTGTTGGTTATGTTTTCGACGACCCTTGACGACGTTTTGCGACCCCCCACGTTCTTCAAGTTGTGACATCTGCTTTCTCGGCTTTTACTCTCCATGCTTTCTCCTAACGACTCGCTGTTTTCACGAGTTACAGTCTCAGCTTTTGTCTTAACTAGAATATCCCCCCACCACACCCCTCCAGCCCAGTCATTTTTTTTTCACTTGTTCATCCCGACTGTTGGAAGTTTTCGAACGCTTTATAGTTTTGCTTCAAGTTGTATAATGTCCTTTCGACTTCATCCATTCGTTTTCTTTTGTACTAGTAGTAAGTACTCATGTCCTTTCAGACCCCTCACGCCCCGCCTTTAGTGTAGTAGTACTATTGTTAAGTATAGTGTAATGTCAATTGCTTCTGACGCCTCGTTTTAATTTTCAACTTTGATTTTGTGAGAGTGTGAGTACCAGAACGACAAGGAAGAGAATCAGTTCATTCTTAGAAGTACAGAGCAGAAATTTATGGATTTGGTAACAAATGCGTTTACTGAGCAGGAATAGGAACTTCGCCAAGAGGGGTCAGCCTCAAGTTGTGCCTTCGAACATCCTTGCCATAGTCAGGAACAGCCGAATGGTTCGTGACTCGGTTATCCTATTACAGACGTTAGCCATCCACACCTACGCAGGCTTTGTGCACGGAAAACACTCACCCAGATGATCACGCTCCCGGGCTCATGCCTCGCCCTGACTTGGAAATCCGCACCCTTCGCAATATGATCATACAAGAACTTCAACAGCGCATCCGACTCTTCCTTCTTCAACCCCACAATATGTCTGGTAAATGCCGGGTTCACAAAGATGCTCTTCTCACCCGTGACAGGGTGGACTCGTATAACAGGATGAACAGCTTCCACCGGTTCCTTCCTCACCGCCCCTCCACTCCTCCTCGACTCTTCAACCTGAGCCACACCTGAATGCAGCGCTTTCAGTCCTACCAACCTCTTCTGGAATTCGGGCGACAAGCGGTTGTACGCTTCGGTCGTGGAGAGGAAGAGTGTGTCGCCGCCGACGGTGGGTTGGTCGAGGGGCCAGAAGAAGGTTGTAGAGGGTGGTTGGGGTTCGTAGGAGACGTCGGAGTGCCAGAATGCGTACGAGAGGAAGGTGTCGATGAAGTAGTCGTTGATGTTGCGTTTGCCTGGTTGGCGGAGGACTGGAAAGGGTGGGAAGGGGGTGAGAGGGTTACTGAGAGGGGGGAGGGGGAGACGTACGGTTGACGTAGGCTGGGTGACCCTCGATGTTGGGGAGTGTAGCGTGCAAGTGGGGGACGCCGAAGTGGCTTTGGGTAAATCCCTCGAGCGTCAACGATACTCCGTTACTGCAGTGAAGGAAAGAAACTCACGCAGCGATAGCGACTTGCTTCTCGGGAGGAAGATCCTGAAAGTCTTGCTCTCGGAAGATCACGAGTTTACGCTGGGCAACGAATAATCCGAGCTCATCCAAGCCTTCTTTGGTGAGCTGGGAGAGTTGGATGCCGGAGAGTTCGGTGCCGATGTAGGGGGAGAGGTGTTTGACCTTTGTGTTAGGGCTCAAGAGACGGGGGAGGGTGGGGTCAGCCCGGGAGCCTGGGTCGACGTGTTCTAGAGGTACGAGTACAGATTAGATGGGCAAAGACAAGGCGGATGGATGGGAGACGGGGAGGACGTACCGAAAGGCTGGTGTTGCTCGAGACGTTCCTCGAGGTTGGAGTTGGGAGGGTATTTGTTGCTTAGGTCGACGCGGTGCCATTTCTTGGGGTTGTTAGTTGGGACGGGCGATTCGTGGTGAACGATTTCGGAGACGGAGGGAGCCATGGTGCTTTGCCTTGAGAGTGCTAAGGCTCCTCTATGGTTTATATACCCATTGTGGATTGCTATAAACTAGAAGAGATGGCGTGTGGATTGACGACAAGCAAAGAGGGAATGGCGAAATTGCTACTAGCGTTCTCGGATGTTGTTCCTTCTTGCGAAGTTGGTCGGGGAGATGGTGAAACAGCATAGTTTGCACGGAGAAGCCGTCGGTTCGGGTTGTTATCCGTGTTGTGAACTTGGACTTCTTTTATTCGAATAGAAGCGGAGCGGTGCCGTAGACGCGGGATTCTTAGCGGGATGAGCATTGAGCACGCCAATTACACTGTGGTTATCGACAGGGGGGATGGACGGAGTTTGGAATTGGATCTTGGACCAGGTCGTCCATTACGGTCGCCCTCGTCCACGCTCACAGACTCAACGGATGTACGATTCTGTGGGTCCAGGTTGTGAGTACCTTGCCGGCGGAAAGACTGCGAACTGACACCCACCACTTGGCGCCCTAAACTGTTCCTTTGTCAGGGAGAACGATTTCCTTTTGTTGCATTATGTCTCGGGTCCGATCGTTGAACACGTACAAGGAAACAGAGCTACCATTTGGAGTCGCCCACAGTCCCGCCGTCAGGGTCGACGACGAGGAAGGGTTTTTGGTCGTCGTTGATGGCGACATTGATGGCATCGCCCCTATAGAAATGAGTTTGGTGTTATTTGGACACCGTTGAACTATTGCGCTCCGCCCGCGAACAATATTGTGTGGTTCTTTCCCATTAACCTCCCTTGCGATATCCTTAAATTCATTACAACGTTTCTCTATTCTTAAAACCACCCCCTTATCACACGACCATCCCATTAGATTCACGACCCCCTTCACGACAACCTACAACGTCCCCGCCTCTCTCAACCAACACACCCTCTTTTACGACTTCAATCCTATAGACTCTCAATACCCAGCGACATAATGTCTGCAGCAGATTCAGGAGGCGTTCTGAAGCCCATCTTGTTGAGGTCCTCGACCCCAGGTGCGTCGTGTAACACCTCGCCTCGAGCCACTCACGCTAACCGAACACCCGAATAGCTCCCAACGAGAAAGGTGTGTTTCGTTGTGCCGTATGCCAAAGTATCGAGGTACTAAAATAACCCTAGTTATGCGATACCTACAGTCGATGTCGACAGCAGACAGTAGACCCGACGATTCACCTCCCCGTTCGCTTGTCGGTGCAACCGAAGAGTACAGGTCCAACGTGACGCAACGAAATGGAGCCCTCTCTCCTACACACCAATCCAGAGTCCTCTCACCCAAACCTAAAAGCCAAGTCACCGCGAAATACAGCGACTTCAACAAACCCAATGGCTCCGCTGTCCCTGAACAACCCCACGATGCCAATGCGGAAGACGCCGACTCGAATATTCAGGTTGGGGAGCGATCAGATATCGGTGAACCCTTGGTATGTCTGCATCTTTGCCTTGTGACATGTTCCGCGGCTAATTTTATCTAGCATGAACCTGGTCCCAACGATCCCCCTGGTCCCAAATACGAGTCTTACGACTCTGGTCCCTCTTTTGGCAACTTTGGCCCTCTCCCTACAGAAGATCGCGCGTCGACGAACCCATATGGTGGATCATCGTGGAATGTATGTCACGTACCCTATCTACCCCAACGTTATCTGGCTCACCTTCGCCCTGAACACAGCCCGACTGGGCCCAGATTAGAAACAAGCACCCTTCGGACGTTCCTTGGAATCAAGATAGCAGTTCGGCCCTAGACCAGAATCCCGCCAGTGGTGCCGGTCTTCCCACTGAAGAGTTTGGTGTCCAACAACGCGAGGTTCGTTGTTCTATTCTTGCTCTCAACGCTGAACACGGGGCTGATGACGTCGTTGCAGGCTTCCAAAGCTGGATCGCGGGTGCAAAGCCAGGTTACTGGCAACGGGAACCGACCTTTCTCCCCAGGTGCTCGCTCCAAGGTGGCTGGAACGGAGAAAGGGACTGCGTACCCTCCTCTTCCGGAAAGCGCTCTGGATTATGATCCCTGGGAGCCCCCTGTATCTCCCAAGTCACGTGCGTGGTCGAAAGCACCTTCCATTTCGCCGTCGGATTCCGCTTCTGCTCTTCCAAAGCCACGCCCTCCCAAACCTGCCTCAAACGGGCATGCATTGAGTAAGTGACGTCCCCCCTCTTCACTTCTTCAATCTTCCTTTTTCGCGATCCTCGAGTCTCCAACCCGGCGGACCCTTTGTGATTTCTTCCATCTGTCGAGCTGAGCGCCGCAGATTTGGCGTTTTGACTCTTTGATCATCGTCGTGTGTTGACAAGCGTTCTGACCTTCTTTTGATCTTCTGCTTCGTTGACAGGCCGGTCGCCGCCTCCAGGATCGCCTTCTCCTTTGTCGCAAACAGGTCATCAAAACCGACCTTTCTCACCCTATCGACACGGTCCCACGACTGAGGACCTCATTCATGCCGCTGTGAGAGGTCGAGCGTTGGTTATACCCGAAGTTGAAGAGGAGAAGACTGTTTCGTCCATCGAAAAGCCTCCATCGCAAGCCCCGCCACCTTCACAGCCACCTGCTTCCCCCTCAAAACACCCACTATCACCGCCGCCTGCGCAGTCGCCACAGATACCGCCGATAACGTCCCCCAAGATGAGCAGCCGCGCCCCCTCGCAGTTGAACGGTAGTGCCCATCCCAAGACTGCCTCGCAAGTCTCAAAGCCACCCTCCGCGGCACCCTCGCGCCAATCCCAGTCCCAGTCTGCTCGGTCGCAATCCGCAAAGTCGATGACCAACGACGGGTATGACGCTGAAGAAGCGCGAATTGTCAATGAGGCGCTTCTCGCGCAGCACGCGCAAACTCCTCGATCGACGTACTATGCGCGCTCGATTGAACCAGAGTTGACGGGACATTACCATGATGAGGAGTTGTGCCAGTTGTTGCGTCATGAGAGCGATGATACTCAGCCTGAGGTTGTGAGGAAGGCGTTGAGGAAGGCCATTAGGCAGAGGGTTAAAAAGTTGGGGATGAAGTATGATACTGAGGTGTGTTCTTTTGTGGCTTTGGTTCTGAATGGGGACTTACGCATTGTCTCTGGTAGTCTTTGAAGCAGTATAAGAGGTCGTACCAGGAGCATGACCATGGTGCACCCACCGAGTTTGATCAGGATGTGAGTAGCGCAAGATATGCTTTGTCTGCGGGTGCTGACCTTTTCGTTGCAGGAACCTCCCAAGTGGGCTTCCGACATTAAACGCGAGCTCGTCTTGATGCAACAGCGAATCGAGAGCTTGGGTCCCAAGATCGAGAACCTCCGCTACGAGCAGTCATTCGAACATGGCGACTCCAAGTTTGCGTACGAAGACGAGTCCAACCGCACGCCACGGACCCAGACAGTCAACATTGAAACCCAGCCTGCTGGTACGCTAGCGGACTCGATGTACCACGAGATGACGATGGACGAGGACGGGCACATGCGGGAGTTTGATGACATGACGGAGACGCCGAGGGACGCTAGGACTGATGGTGGTGAGACCGCTCGAACGCCGCAGAGGAGTTTCGTGTATGGTGATGGTGGACGGGATGATTCGCCGGGCCAGCAGTACCTCGAGGAGGAGCTGTACAAGTTGAAGCAGAGGCCTAAGAAGGAGCAGTCGGCGCTTTCGCATCAAACTTGGGAGATCAGCCGGGAGGGTGGGGATTACGATGAGGATGAGAGGATCCATGCACCTACGATTCCTGATACCAATGGTGGAGAGGGGTATGGGGATCGAGGGCCGTCGCCTCCTTTGCCTGCTCTACCCGACCACGACGAAGACGAGGAGACCGTCGATCAACATCATAGCCGACAACTTGAAGTTCACCAGGGTCAGTTTGACTATGGTGCTTCGGACCCTACGGCAGCGATGCCTCCCTGGCAGCGTATCCATGCTCGCCTTCTCAACTGGGCTATCATCTGGCCCGCTAGCGAACTCGAAACTGCGCTCAACAGTACCACTCGGGGACACCAAGTCGACGAAGTGGCGCTTAGTATCTGGAGTACCCAGACGTACAAGCGATATGTTCGTGCGAGGTTGACTGAGCAGCCGCAAGGGAATGTGGATCGGTTGTTCGTACCACCGAATATGGCGGATGCGATTAGCAATGCTGTTTTCAATGGGCGGCATGGGGAGGCTTGTGGGATGTTGAGGGATTTGTGGATTCCGTTTGGGTTGGAGGGGACGCCGAGGTTGATTGTTGTCCTTGCGAAGCATAGGTCGGATCCCAACCATTGGGTTGTGCATAGGTGAGTTTTTTGGTTGGGTGTATTCGTGCAGGATGGATGGCTGAATGGGGCTTATTGCAAAGGTTTTCGCTGCCTGATGGCAACCTGACGACTTATGATTCGTACCCTGAGAGGACACTGCCTGACGGTCGGGTGAGTATTGAATCCTTTCGCCCCTATGGCCTTCAGATACTGACCACTCCTTCGCTAATAGCCACTAGGCTGGTGGTTCGCCATCCGCATCGCCTGGCCCAACGCCATGTACCCCCAACCCGACAACCTTGTCCAGAAAATGGTCCGACTCCACCGACCCCTGCAATTGCCCATCGACAACAGCGTCGCTGCTGCCGGTATCTGGCGGAACATTCTCATGGGCTCCAGGGCGGAGAGGAGTTTGGATTTGGAGAGGTTGAGGGATTTGATCAACACTGAAGTGAAGAATTTGAAGCAGAGAAAGTTGTTGGGCAAGTTGACGGTTGGTGTGCCCAGGCCTGCGTGGGATGATGGCCGGTGAAGCCTGAGGTGATGCGGCGTTTTTAGGTGGTTTTTTATGCTTTTCGTTCGTTTCGTTCTGTCTTTTTTGCTGCTATTTCCTCTTCTTCTGCGTTTGCTTTCGGTCCTGGCGATACCTCTGTTTTCTCCCAGTCTCTCTCTCTCTCGCGTACACATCTCTATCACACTGTCTGTACTACATTGGACGCTACTACTTCGTTCTTTCAAACTACTTACAGCTTGAACGGTCTTGACTCTTTGAGTCTTGTTCCTCCGTCTCCTCGTTCTCTTCTTTCCCTCTTCTTTTCTTTTTTGTTTTTGGTTGTGGAACTGGTGTATCTTATAGGTATAGTTTGTACTTGAGTACGTTTCAACTTTTTCATCCCTGGTGAGCGGGCTTCCTCTCTCTTTCTTTACGAGTCGGATGGTGGGTTTAGCCCCTTGCTGTCCTGTGCTCCGTAGTAGGTAGTAAGTAGAATGTAGTATGTAGTGGTACATAGCGTTTTTCCTTTTTTGTTTTTGTCTTGTTACGACCTGCGATGAATGTTATGACTTTTCTCTGTTCTGGCTTGAATATACACGAGGGTTTGGATTGAGAGAGACTTGCAATTGTCTACCATTCGTTTGGATAATTTACTCTGTATGGGATGGTGCCTAAAAGAATTGGCGTGGATTTGGTTCACCAGCTATTATATGGGTTGGTGGACGTTGACGAAATGGTGATACCTTAAGCTGATGAAAGTTTTGAGCTCCTCACTGGGACAGCTCCTCACTGACTCGGATGGGTTTGGTCCGATTCCCAGTGGTCAGTCAAAGGACTGCCCGTGAGACGATTGCGGTCGAATAGCTGGTAGGGAAATTGAGGTTCCCCGAAGACACTGAAGGTCGAATGAGGATTTCCGACGCCATCTGGACTCGAAAGTCGCCCCTCAACATCAGATCCTGGTGCTCTAAGCCGGGATTGTCCCTGACCATGCCCGCGAGCCTGATCGCTCGCACGGCTAACTTTGCGGGGGACTCCTGTCAGGCTTGCGCCGAATGCTGGAGTTCCCGGGCCCGTAGGTTGATTGCTTGTCTCTTGAGCGGAAGACGGGACCAAGTGTGGTTTTACTGTGGCACCTCCCTCCACCTTTGCTTGCCCACCGTTGCTTGAACTACTGGATGTCTGTTGTTGCTGAGGTAGTTGCAAGTCTGAACTGCCTTTGCGGTGAGATTCCTAAAAAAAAAATCGTCCAAAGTCATCTTGGTCCGGCAAGAGTTGCACTCTACCTCAACGGCCTTGGAAACCTAGATAATTGGGGCTGTGTCAATTCTTGACATCCAAGGGAAGATGTCGTTGGAATGGTCGGATTTGACTTCCGATGCTCACTTTTGATACTAAGCAGAACACGACACTACGTGGATTAATTATTTCACTTATAGCGCATTTAGCACAAACGGTTATGTCGATAATGGTGACGGCGAGACTGGAACTGCAACGACGACAATCCCTTTATCTACTACAGTCAAGGGCAGTCTATCCCTCAACCCCAGCAACAGTCTCTGCAACAGCAACCGCACCAGACAGCCGCCAGTGTTCCATGCGCCTCACAATGGGCACGGGCAACTGTCTCCCATACCTGCAAATTTTGCATCCCTGGGCCTATGACGAAGTTGAAGAAAAATCTCAAATGAAAGGCGAAAAACCCATACCTTGACCGGAATCATCGTCTCTGTGGAGACTTGACATTCGAGGCTATTGTCGGTGGCCGTTGACATCCCGAGAACGCTCCAGTAAGAAAAGGTATCACCAAGACAATTTGGGAGATGGAAGATGGTATAGTGACACAGGGTTTTGGCAGCCCATGCTTATAACTTGGGGGCCTCCGCCTGGCTGCATATCCTCTTGCGTATGGTTGATTTGTCGACGTTGAAATGAAGATGAGTTGCATATGTCTTTAACTCGGTGTGTACTGCAGATTGAGTGGTCGTTTATGATAAGTAGAATGGAAAGAATGGAATGGTGGTGTTGTTGGTGGTTGGGAGGTTTACTTCCACGTCGGGAGCTGCAATACACAAGCACTCGCCGGCTCGTTGGCAACTACCACCGTTCAAGTCCAGATTTCAAGGGACCAAGTGAAGTAGAGGAAGTGACCTTGGTGCGATGGAGGCCATCGGAACTGTGCCAACATCACGACCTCCCACCAATGACCCAGGTAGCTCCTATGCGATACTCCAAGTGTGTGCAAGTTGCTTGCCTGAACTATTATCGCAAATAAGCGCCCCCTCGCGCCCTACAGCGCCACATGTCGCCCTTGCAATCAATCTCACGACCACGTAGGTTGAAAGGATCGCGGGTGCCTAGGAATGAGGAAAGACAAAAGGAAGGGTTATCGCCGTCCACTGAGGTTCACTGTATTGGAAAACAAGGCCACACGAGTTACAGTGGGGTGAGAAATTGCCGAGATAGCAGGTCCCAGGGATTTCTCCAGCTAGGGACGAGGGTGAGAGTTCCGTGGGGGCATTTCACGATGCAGTAGGGGGTGATAGCCTCCAACGACGCCGCGATTCAGATCCTTCTTGGCGAGTGCTTCTAGGGCGATTGCTGTCTCGGTCTTACATCAGGGACGGCCAACACATTCTAGGGTACAGGTAGCTCACCGTCAACCCCGAACCGAGATGTGTATGTATGTCGGGATTTCCTGAATGTTTCCCAGAGCTTTCGTTGAACTGGGAACGAGTTCATTTGCGAATGATTTAAAGTCCTCGCAGAATAGACTCCAAATCGCTCATCGAGTTTTGCTGACTCTGGGCTTTGTGAAGGTGGCTGAAGTCAGGAACAACTGCCGGCTTCTGCAAAAACTATACGATTCACAAGCAGTGAATCAGTAAAAAGCGCTGAAGTTTTCCAAGGCTAATCGTACCAATGAGGCTTCTTGGATAGAAGCTGATTTTTGGTCCAAAAGATCCCTCAGTTGGTCGGTATTGGCTTTGGATTTCAATTTCTTCTTCTTGAACGCATTTTTGGCAGCGTTCTGCCGTTTGGATGACGCTTTTCCGCCTTTCGACATCGTCAGAGTCGATGGGGGGTCGACAAGCTTGAATTTTGTTCTTCGAGGTCGCGAATTTGCTTAGTCATCGCGGTACCATCAGGGTGATCCTGCGCGTTTGACTGGCCTGAACTTGGACCACGACCACCACGAGCTTCTGCTTTCCTCCAATTGAATGCGCCTTACGACCTACAACGACCTATAGATTTCTGAGCTCAAAAATGGCCGACTCACAGAGTCTGAAGGTTACTATGTTGGGAGCGGGCCAGGAAGTCGGACGGTCGTGCTGCGTTCTACAATACCGGGGGAAGACCGTCGTCTGCGATACTGGCGTACACCCAGCGTACAGCGGAATGGCCTCATTGCCTTTCATTGACGACCTCGACTGGAGTACGGTCGATGCCATTCTCGTGACCCAGTATGTCTCAGGCAATCGCGAGCCTTTGAACCTTGAAACTGAATTCGTTGTAATAGTTTCCACTTGGACCATGCTGCAGCGCTCACTTATATCACTGAAAAAGTGTGTATACACCTTTGGACTGTCAGACATGGACTAATGGCTGCTTTAGACCAACTTTCGCGATGGGAAGGGCAAGGTTTACATGACCCATCCAACAAAAGCAGTCCACAAATTCATGATGCAAGATTTTGCTCGAATGAGGTCCGTCGGCTATTCCCTCTCAAGTCTCAAGCTTGACTGTATCCCAATAGCTCCTCGACTTCCGACGCGCTTTTCTCTCCATTAGACATGCAAATGTCACTCGCCTCAATCATCCCCGTTTCCGCCCACCAACTCATCAATGTTTGCCCTGGTGTCAGCTTTACACCGTACCATGCTGGTCACGTCCTTGGAGCCTGTATGTTCCTGATTGACATTGCTGGCCTTAAAATCCTCTACACTGGTGACTACTCCCGAGAAGAGGACCGACATCTTGTGAAGGCAGAGCTTCCACCTATCCGTCCAGACGTCCTCATTGTCGAGAGTACATACGGTGTACATACTCTCGAAGGTCGTGAAGAGAAAGAGGCCCGCTTTACGACACTCGTTCACTCGATCATCCGGCGTGGTGGACATGTTCTTCTCCCTGCTTTCGCTCTCGGTCGTGCTCAGGAACTCTTGCTCATCCTGGACGAGTACTGGAAGAAACATCCTGACCTTCACAACGTTCCCATTTACTATGCGTCTAGCTTGGCTCGGAAGTGTATGGCGGTCTACCAAACCTATATTCATACAATGAATGCCAACATTCGAACACGGTTCGCAAAGCGTGACAATCCCTTCGTCTTCAAGTACGTCCAGGTTTACCCGCAGCAGCTCTTTTCACTAAGTATTCTTTTAGGTACATCTCTAACCTTCCTCAAACCCGAGGATGGGAAAAGAAGATTGCGGAAGGACCTCCTTGCGTGGTACTTGCAAGTCCTGGCTTCATGCAAGTTGGTCCAAGCCGTGAACTTTTCGAATTATGGGCCCCGGACGCTCGCAATGGACTCATCATCACTGGCTACTCGATTGAAGGAACGCTTGCTAGGGTGAGTCATGGTTTGGGCTCGGGGCGGGGTATATCTACTTTTCCTCTATCTCCTGTATATATAAATCTGTGTGCAATGGATATCTTTTCCCCCGCCAACTTCTTTCCGTGAATGCCTACGCCCTGTGCCCGTCCTCCCTTGTGATCCGAGCTCAACCCTCTCTTCCAGGACATCATGACTGAACCAGAAGACTTTATCGGCCTGAAAGGCAACACGATTCCACGAAAGATATCTGTGGACTACATCTCCTTCAGCGCCCATGTCGACTATGCTCAGAATTCAGAATTTATTCAAGCGGTGAAGGCTCAACACGTCGTGAGTGTCTACTCCTTTCTTCGACTTGAGCTTCTTTTGATCCAGGTTTCTAGGTTTTGGTTCATGGAGAGCAAAACACGATGGGGCGTTTGCGCGCCGCTATGGCGGCCAAATTCAAAGAACGGGATGAAGATGTGAAGATTCATACACCGCGTAACTTGGAGACCCTGGAACTCTCGTTCCGAGGAGAGCGAGTTGCCAAGGTAGGTGTTTTGCGTGGCTATAGTTCAGAGCCGCTTTTTCCGAGTCAATACAGTATCTGATAAAGCGCTACCCCTATCTAGGCTATTGGAACTCTCGCTGACAAGCCTCCTCAAGCCAATGACGTCTTATCCGGCCTTTTGGTGGCAAAAGACTATTCCTATACCCTCCTTGATCCCCGAGACCTTAAAGACTTCACTGGTCTGTCGACTTGCGTTGTGACGCAGCGGCAGAAGCTGGTAATAAGCGTCGGCTGGGATCTGGTGCGGTGGCACCTGGAGGGTATGTATGGCAAGGTGGAAGAGGGTCTCGATAAGGATGGTGTCTTGACTATGCGGGTATGTCATTCACTACACCTCGGTCGCGAATTTCGGCCACCAATCCAACTTTTCTGTACTAATAACCACTTCTCTATAACAGGTTATGGGAGTGCTCGATGTGAAGCACACAGGAGAACACGAACTGACACTCGAATGGGACTCGAGCGCGAGTAACGATATGATCGCAGATTCGACATTGGCGTTAATTACCGGTATTGATAAGAGTCCTGCCTCGGTGAAATGTGAGTTGGGTTCCTTCGGTAAATTACGAGCAACCTTTTTGTTGACGTCCTGCCCACTTTACAGTGACCACCCACCCCCACTCGCATTCACACAGCCACCACCAACACCCTCATGCCGACCTTGAGGGAGAATCATCCTCCGTTACACGGATCCAGCGACTAGCCATGTTCCTCGAGGCCCACTTTGGCGAAGTTGAACTTCATTATCCAGATGAGGAAACAGAGCAACGAGACAACGCCGAAGAAGACGAGGAAGAAGAAGAAGAAGAACGAGAACCTGCGCTGCTAGTCCGCCTAGACGAGGCATTTGCTCAAATTAATCTCTTGTCTTTGGTAAGTTATTTTCACAACCTTTACCCTTTACCTTTTCATTATGCTTTAATTAGCGGTATGGCGTCAGCGCTATCCCGCGGAAGCATTCCATCTCTCGCTGGCCTCCCTGCTTTCACCCTCTTCTTCTCTACATCCAGACGACGATTACCATCTGTTTTTTCCTCTTTTATCCATTTTCAATTTACACATACATGTTCTGTTGTCGACTTGTCGTACTGACTTCTTTTTCATCAGACCGTGTCGAGTCCCAACGAAGCACTACGGAAACGCGTCGAAGCAGTTCTCGATATGGCCTTGACGACCGTAAGCTCTTTAACGGAGTCTTTCACCTCTGGGGTCCCCGTTACAATCGACTCGGATGTTGCGGGGTCCAAGGGCAAGGACGATAAGGCGCTTTCGATGGTCGGGCCCGCAAGCGCTGATGGCGCCGGTGGTGACAAAAGTCGTGGTTCTGGCAATGAGGACGTTGATATGGGTGATAAGCCAACGGAAGAGGGCGATTCCAACAAGAATGCTGGTGATGAGGGAGGGTCTAAAATAGCTGAGGGACAGTCTGAGGCTGGAGCTGATGGAGATGCTGGCGCAGTGGCTGATCATGTTGCTGTACCCCAGGACGAATCATCAGCTAAAGGTGAGGTGAGCGGTGATGGAGATGGAGATCATGGTGCTTCCGGGACGACCAAGGCTGCAGAAGGAGACGGTGTATGATGACAAACAGTACATAGCAGATGAGATTTATGTATCGTCCTTGTATGTATTTCAATATTGCTCGAGGTAATAATGGTGATTGGTCTTTACTCTTCGATAATCGAAAAGGCCGAAATGATCGAGTTGAAGTCAAGATGCTGGATATGGAGCTAGTCTACATGTGTTGTGGTGAATTCAGTACCGGAAAGAAATGGTTGGTCTATAGTAGTGAGAAAAAAATGGATACAGATATTGTACAGATATTGCTAAAGTACATGATGGCGGTTCCCGGAAAGAATGGAATTCCTAAGAAAACAGCAGAACAAACTGCAATTTGAGTGGTTACATACTCGAAAGCAAGGCACCGAAAGTCGAATAAATGATGCAACTCCGGAGGGATCAGGACGGAACAGTGGGTTTTTTGGAGAACTGTGACAGTGATTCCGAGGGAAGACATAAAAGTTGTATGTTATGTCACAAGGTTTCCTTTGTGATACTGTAAGAGGTTATATTAGCGGGAGAGTTTGACTTGCGACGGAGATCGTGAGACTCACCTCCACTTTGACGTATTCAGTGTGACATTCCATTGCCACTTTGCCTGATACTGCGCCCTTTTCCGCTCCTTGTGGGATAGCACCGCGATCGCCCCCACGACGATGGTCTGCACCAATGAGAACGCGGATATGGAGAAGAGTAACGGTCGGATGCTCTGTTGGCGGGGACCCTCAGGAATGTCGAAGTTTCTGATGGATATGAGGGTTGTGAATACGAGGGTGATAGTGAGGGCGGCTGTCCACACGGCGGTGAGAGTGTAGGGGGCGGCGACTGTGAATATAGAGAACCAACGCGTCGAGCGTATAGGTTTTGACCGTGTAAGGAGGGCAAGGAGCGAATGGTAGGCGACTGTGCCGATGAAAGCACCTGGAATGATCCACATTGCAGGTGTGATATAGAGGACCAAAGCCCCTTGAATGAGAGTGACTGTCGAAGTCAGCAAGGAGACACAGGTGAGCACGAGTATGGGGGACGGGAACAGCGTGTTCATGGCATCCGTGTACTGGGTGAACGAAGTAGAAAGAGGAAGAACGGGGGATGTGTGATGACCAGAGAACGAGTATCAAGTTCAAATAGGCAGAAGATCAAGCAACGTAAGGTGGCTTTAACGGCAGATGCACAGGATAAATCAGGCAATTCCGAAGACTGCCTTCCCATCTCAAGATGAGAACACCCACTAAACTAGACGTTTCGTGGGGGCGAAGCCTCCCGTTGTTACCCTGCTACCATGATGCCTTCTCCGAGCCAAAGCATCAGTAACAGCACAATTGAATACAGACAGACCTTAAAACAACCAAATTAAACCCTCCTTAACTATTCTGCGGGATTTTGCCGAAGATTATATAGCCGAGGGCAACCGTTCCATCCCAAAAGGTAACACATACAGTACCAAACGAAACGAAAGAAACATCGAGTGTGGCGGCGTCCCTAGATAATGCAACATTCTGGTTATTCAGTCATTCAATCATCATCATCGTCACTCTCAAACTCGATTTTCTGATATCTGCGCGCTTTCTTGGTAGGGTTCCCGAGTGCAACCCCTTTCTGTGGGATAGTAGTGGGTGTTTCTGTTTGGAAGGGATGAATATCAGCACTTGATAGGGCCGTTAAAAGCCTAGCCTACTTACTTTGTGGTGCCGCTCGCTTCTTCGGGTCAGGAATTTTGGCCTTGGGTTCTTCCTTCTCAACAGCTTTGGACGAGGAAGCACGGGAACTTGATGCAGTTGTCGTCGGGGTCTTGCCTAGAATAGTTTGAGCGCTCGTTTCCTCTGCCTTCGATCTCGGTGGTGACAAGTCAGCGAGTTTCGCTGATCATCAATCCTCAGCAGCTAGCCATCCGTTACTGAATTTTCACTCACAGCGTGCTGCTGAAGGGGTGTTTGAAGACCCAAACGACGGGAGGGCTGGCATTGAACTGCCATGCAAACGGCCTTTCCGCGACTGAGCCTGGAGAGCAATCTGGGAAAGTTTCGGTTAAGCTGAACCTTTCGGTAGTCAAAGATGGACACTTACGTCCAAGAATATCGTAGTAGCAAACTCTGCCGCCTCGCTGGGTGGTATCTCAACCAACTCCATGTGAACTGGTTTCTTCGCTGCTGGGCCGATTGTGAACTACCCGAAATGTACCGTTTGAGTATGAGAGAGGAACTCCGGAGGGGTCTATGGCTCACTGTTAGGTTCTTCGAAGGAGAAGGGTTGACTCCGCCGATGAACAGCTCTCCCCCAACAAGGAGTTCCGCCACTTTCTCTGAAAACTGTTCAAGTATGCTTTCAGATGCTTTCGAACCCTATTCAGAGAAATGTATGAACATCGCCATTCCATCAGGAAGCAACGCCTATCACGTACGGACCAGCACATTGTGAACATCAGTTTCTGTCCAATTGCCTCTCCACCAGCGTCCATCTGAACCAGCCTGTCCCAGATGCATCGTCCATTTGTCGTCGGTTACCGATGACAAGGCCACGAATCTGTAGATACCCTGATAAATAACCTGAATGAGTTCGTCAAGGGCTCCAAAGTTTGAGAACACATCGGTTGCCATGAGGAGTGTCGAGGTTTGAGGCTATGAAGAAGACGACGTTGGCAATGCTGGTGGTCGAACTTGAACCGCGTTTTGCGCGTCTCGGGTCTAAGAAAGGGGCTTTGATGGGTCCGTGGGAAGATTTCCACAACAGGAACTCAAAAGTCGCGAGTGTTGAAGTGACTCATGGTGGTTCAATTTCTCTAGTAACCGAACTATGATACAGCCAAAAAATCCCAAGAAAAAATGTAGACTGGCAGGAAGATCGAAAGGCAGCGCTAAGCTGCGATAGTAGATCGAGTAGTCCGTTGTACAAGGGTACGGTCGCTACAACAGGATGGAAAACAGAGTGAGTGGGTGAGTGAGTGAGCGAGTGAGATATAGATAGATAAGTGAGTGCATAGCAATAACAAAACAATGCGAGAGAACGAGAGCGATGGGGATGACAATGTAGAGAAACGCAACTGATAGCGAATAAAAATAGGAAATGGGTGAATGAAGGTGGTTTAGTTGGGATAGAATGCCAGTGTGTGAGGGTGGAGGGAATTGCCTCCTCTTGTATAATCTGAAGGGCATCCGGGCTGGTGCCTGGGTGCTGGACATTATTGTCGATGTAGGACCTTTTTAACCGCAGGCGATGCGCATGCACTGAGGGTCGGCCTTAGCCTGATGAAACAAGTCGGGTCAGATTAAATTCCTATGCACGCATGGTAGTACCTACAGAGGGTTCTCGTGCAGCGAGTTCTGCGGCAGGTATGGGAGATGATACTGCCATGGTGGCAAGAGCTGTGATAAAGGATGTGTTAGTCCTCCGCATCGCCAAGACGCGACGACGAAGAATCCTTACCAAGAGCAGCCAAGAAGGAGGAGACAATGGTGAACCTCATTTTGAGTTATGCAAAAAGAATGGTGACGGTTTTTAAGGCTTGAGCCCAGAAGTAACGGGAGGCTAGCTCTGAGTTGGTTGTGATGACGGAGGTGGAAGCTCTGAGGTTTTCGTTGCTCTGTTCGCAAGCTTTTATAGACCTTCTCGCTTAGCGAGCTAGGCTATGGCTGGCAGGAGGCTCTGATACGACTCAATAGAACTCCACGCGCTGGCAATAGAACATATCACAGACGACAAAGGTACGAACCAATGGGGACTGTGGCGGCTTCGGCGGTGGTCAACACCCCCTGCCTGGTGGGATCTTCGGTTCTTCGCTAATCAACGTAATATACAGAACGCCCACAGAACATATCATGATAGAGATAAGCTGATTTCTTCCGTTGGAGGTTGGAATAAACGGACATCCCAAAACGGGAGCTTCCAAGAGTTTGGATGACAGCATCAACTGCCATAATTGGATCGTGTCAAACCAAATTAGGTTGGTTTCCAACGCCAAGAAGTTAAGCCAAACTTGGAAGGTCGTATGTGGTTGCTTGTTTTAGGTTGAACTTCTCCTGGGAGCGGAAGTATATTGCGATGCCGTGGAGTAGAGCTATGATATCTTGTTTGCCGTTTTACCTCGAGGCGCTGGACGACAGTCCATCGCTATAGCTCTGTAAATCGCTTCTTGGCTCTGAGGCCCCAGGACCAACTTAATTGCTAGAGGTCGAGGAGTTGACTCGCCAGGAACAAGTGATGTCGCTTATTTAGAAAGCTGAATTGACGGTTGATGTGGCTGATACTTGACTTGCGACTTGTTCGCAGGCAAAGGACTTGATGGGAAGTTGAACTTAGCGTATTCGCGTGCTGTACAGTAGTCTACTAGCCTTATGGTATTCTCAGTTTACTTCTGTTTTCGAGTAGAATTTCTTCTGATCCAGGGAAGCAGGTTATATGATGTACCGAGCGATAGAGCTTTGCAGAGAACACTGATCTTTCCAGAGAAGCAATACACCAGTCATAGCTGGTTGAATTACCTGGCCAAGGCCCAAGCATGGCTGCAGGGTACCATCCACGCACGGGCGAAGCACCGGTGGATCGAATTGTATTAAAATTATAAAACAAAGGGAGTTGCTCAGAAGTAGGCAGTGTTTATCGAACGCGTCGTATATTGCTACGAGTGAATCTCCATACAATTCACTTCGTTTACGACAGGCTATTAATACGGTCCGAAGCCATAATGTAAATTGGATCAAATTTCCGACCTCCGACTTCTCCTTCCTCAGCCGCGAAAAAGGTATCGTAAAGCACAGAGCTATTTACAGTCCGTGGGCAAGGTATGATCGTCGAAGACGAAGATGGAGGAGGCCCTGAAGCCCAAGCCTCGGCTAGCAAACGCCGCCCACAGTACACATCGATATTTCTTCTTGTACCTCGTTTGTTCAGCCTGGATCCACGCATTCCGTGCTTGGACAACTACAGGCGGGCCGGCTCCTTGTTAGACTCATGTTAAGAGTTGCAAACCAGAAGACACTCACAAGTCGGATTACAGGGCATCAGAGACAGTGCGTCGAAGAACACACGGAGGAAGACGACATTTCCGTGGTCGGTCGACGGGTCCCTTGCGGCGTTCGGCGAGAAACCTGCAAATTCAACCAGAGCTGCGTGGACGACGTGAAGCATCTCAGCCCAGATTTCCCCCATATCTTCCTCTACATGTCAGGACCAGGGGAAGGCGCTGAAAGGGGGAAAGACTTGCCATGCTCGTCGGTAACTGCCCTCAAGCTGGTATGTACCAATGGGTTAATGGCACTGCAAGAGATCGTTAAAGATAGCACCAAGCAATTTGGAGAGTGCGAGCGTACGGATCAACCGAGTATGGATAACGTCGCAGACCTTCCGGCTTCTTCGAGACCCACACGCCCATCCTAAAGTCCAAGATCGACCCCTTATTTCCTTGTTGCCACATCCAGCTGGAGGGCTCCGTTAGCGACCCAAAAACATGAGGAGAGATATCAAAACCTCACTCCGCAAAGGCGTCTGAAAGCCCTTCTCCGACGGCTCTGGCAATACGAGTCTGGAGACATGCTGCCGTTCCCCCACCGACGAGCCGGTTAGTAATTCCGTGCGCGTACTCGTGGATGATGATGTCGTTTTGCATTCCAAAATCTCTACCAGTATACGCCTGAGGCGAGTGCGTGCGTTAGAAATCACCAGTCCCTGTGGCGCGACCTTTGCACTCACATTAGCTTCGTCCCAGTAAATTCCCAACCGAAGCAGCGGCGTCTCCCCACTGTCGCAGGTCAGAGAATACCCGACGGTAAATAAACAAATAAAGCACGCACTCCGGACCCGTCATCATCGACGCATTCCTCTCCAAAGAAAGATCATGCAAGATCGTCTGCACTCCATCGCCTTCCTTCCCACCTTTACCATAATTCTCCTGTTGAAAATTGAATGCCGACTCGACAAAACCATACCGGTATGAAATATCATGCATAACGTTCATCACATAGAACGCGTTGGTCACCGCAGCGTAATAGTTTCCTGGCGTGTAAAGCGGTTCTTTGTTTGGGTCATACGTGTAGATGAAGTCCAAGAAGTTGGATGTTTGGGGCGCCCAGAGAGGAGTACGGCCACTGGCGTAGGATACACCGTTATTGCCACTAAAGAGTCGAAGTTTAGTACAGCTTAATTTCAGAGGTACGAAAGGGTTCATCCAACTGACGTTGTGCGGTTAAACTTGTGGGGCCCAAATTCGTGCCATCCCCTCGGGGATGCAACTGGGTCTTGAGGGTTGAAGAGAATCCGAAGGCTGGACGCTGGGGAAGCTCTATTAGCCGGGACAACTTTGTACTTCAGTCGTCCCGTAAATCAGCATCAAGTCGGAAGCTGGTCCAGGGGGGACTTACAGAAGCGTCAGCAGCATAGTTGACGACAGAGACCAGTTCGCCAGTGTGAGCATCTACAAACGCCCGATACCATTCTTCTTCGCTTCGAGCATCCGTTGCATAGACAAGAGACAAAGTTCCATCTGGGCGGGATAAATATCCGAGTATTGCATCCTCTCCGGACCTGCTGGTCCCGCTACCGGCGACTACCCCCAGAAGGTCATCCACGTTGCTTTTGGCAAGAGCATCCCCGAATTCGAGAGTTGGTGTGGAAGGTGCGGCTTTGTCTGTGTGTTGGGTGTCATCAGCCTCCCAATGACCTTGCTTCCAGTGAACGTCCACATTACCTGTATCGGCGACGAAAGATGAACCGAATGACACTACTTCATCCTCCGTGGACGCAATGTTGGCCACTGCATTGAAGACGGGAAGACCGTTCTGACAACATCTCTGGTTAAAAGACGCTCCTTTACATTGACTAAAAGAAACGCCTGCCTTACATGCAACTGCTGCAAGTACGCATGTCTTGCAACGTCCGACTCAAAGCCACTGACATACTCCACGTTCGCAAGAGGAATATCAAGCTCTCGAGCAACAACAGCTTTGTATCGGTCAGCTTCGAGGGCGCCAGAGTCCAGGCGAATGGGGTCGCGCTGGAGCAATACCCTCTTGGAAACCCCAAGCTCAGCTGAAGTCTAAATGAGAGCACTTATAAGCAGCAGGACACGACCAACGCAACCAGAAGCGACTAACCCTGAACGTAGCTGGAGGCTGATAAAACCCGTAGGCACACTCTTCCGCGCTGACCGAGGTTTTATCAACGGTTGGGAGGGAACCAACTCTCAACAATAGAATGCAGAGAGCAAGAAACCTGTAGCGCAATGAAAAGGTCATGCTTCAGATCTGTTGGTGGATGAAGGTGGGGACTCTCGGGATGAATATTATCAGGCAAACGTCCTTTATTATATGGCGCCAGGCTATCCACGTCCGACGCCTCATCACGATGACCAGATAGAAAGGAAGCATCGGCGAGTCTTCTGAGGCGCCAAGCATCACGAGCTAAATGACTGTCGACTGGGGTCACTCTCCCGTGGGCAATACCACGACCATATTTTCCACCGACGATGGAAACCAATCCCCCAAGTCTACAAACTCAGTACATTACACACTTCGGACGTCTACTTCTCCAACTTTCCCTTGGCCCACCAATCGCCCAAATCCAATCGCAAAAGAAGGTGATACAGAGCGACAGCCCCTCCAGTTGGCCGATTTTCACCCATCTGAACTTCAATCGGCAACTTGGACGATGAAGGCCCTTTATCGACCAAGCCTTTCAGAACCTTGGTCTAAAGTGGATTGCATTAGCGATCAACCCATTCAATTGGCCATCAGACTATAGCGACTCACCAACATCCCCATCTTCCCTCTGAACCTGCCATAAAGATCCTCGATCACAGGCGCCGCTTCGTACTCTTTCATCCTCTTCCGGTGCAGCTCGCCCACGACAACGCAGAACTCGAGAACGATCTCCAACGAATGCCGCATCAACTCACTGACAGCCTTCTGGCCCGTTCGCAGTAGACAAGCACTGAGAATGTCGTCCAAGAGGTTTGAATGAGCTTCGGCCAGCTCGAAGACGTCTGTAAAGTCACTGCTGGCCTCCCCGGATTCAGATGGGGGCTTCGGCGAAAGTCGAGCCAGGAATGGGTCAAAGTTTCCACCGATCGCGGTGTCGAAGACGTATGAAGAAAGACTTGCGACAAAGGATTGAGCGATGAACCTGAAATGCAGAAAGAGTTTCCGGTATTGTGGGAGGTTCTGGAAAGTCGGGTCGCGCGTCCCCCTTGCGATCCTGAAGACCGATTTGAGTGCACTTTCGACTAGAGGTACGGAGACGTTAGAAGACTATTGCATCCATCAATAGGGGTATAGGTTACCTCGAAGAAGTCGGAGAATGAATGCAAATATTCGCTGATACTTGTGAAGGATATCATGCGAAATGAGGATGTCCATGGGCCGAGGCGGCTTGTAATCCATGTACAAAAAGTCCAAAGCCCTGCAACACACTGTGAGTATCCTCCTCCTTGGACTGAGATAGCTACATACTCAATATCTGCACGCAAAATCTCGTCAGTCGCCCAATGCCATCACCCCAGACACCCTGAGGAACTACTCACAAAGCGGATTCAGCCATTTATCCTTCCCACTCCCAACAGGAAGATCCCTAATCGCAAACCCAATCCTCCAAATAGCCTCCTCAAGTATAATATGCCTACTCTTCCTCGCCTCCTCATCCTCCCACCTCTTACCAAGATTCAACGAATCCACAATCACCGTCCGCAAAAAGAAACTGAGATCCCCGCTAACGGGGGGCCAGATCTCCCGCTCGAGAAGGTTGGAAGAAATACCGACTGCCCAGGGTTGTTTGCTTTCTTTGATAAACCTTCTACTTGGTCGACGGCGGATGGAGCGCATGGACATGCTGTGGGCTGTGTTGTCGATTTCGTATTCTCCAGCGTCGGAAAAGAGGGCTTCGGTTAGTCTGGTTTTGAAGCCAGGGGCTGTCACCAAGAGGTAAGAGCGGAGGAGTTCCAGGTGCAGTCGAAAATTGAGATTCCCTGAAGAAGAGAGGAAGAGAGACAATAGGGTCGAAGAAAGCGTCGCAGAGTGATCTAGCAACTTTCGGAACACCAGAAATGTGAGGTGAGGCAGGGTTGGCGTAATTGCAGGTAGCTGAGAGGGGAAGTTTGCAATAAATGTAGAGAGGGCGGATGTCGTTCTATCGACCGCTTGCAAGGCTGTCGTACCGACATAAATGCCTGGCTCGAGGTCGTACACATGGAATTCTGAAAACTCGGGTGGATAGCTCCTCTCCGGGTCCGGCGATGGTTGTCTGGCGTGGCGACTGGCAGAAGAGTCGCGGCTCGACTCTAGTTCACTCCACGCCGCCGTTATCTGGTCCTCCGTCCAAAGCCACCGAATGCGCTTCTTCGCCGACTCCTCAGAACTGAGCAGTTCGTGGTCCGGTTGCGCCTTCTTGAGTAGTATGAGGGACTTTTGAGCCGCGGGGAGGATGTCAAGCAAGGGCTTAGGAAAGAATTCCGGGAAATCGTGTTGAATCTGCTCCAATGCTTCAAATATATCTTCTTCCTCATCCTCCTCGTCTAACCCAGGATAATAGTCTTCAGGTCGGTCCTCGACTTTGGAAAGCTGTTGTATAGGTTGCCCGCCGTACCCGACTGAAATCCCAACTTGGTGCAAATATTCCTTGGAGGTGGTGTCGAGGATGTACGCAAAGATAGCAACGACCTCACGAGGAGACTGTCGTTCGTAGTGAGATGATAGATGCTGATATATCGTTGAGATGATCGTGATTGGCGAAGGTTCGAATGCTCGGTACGATTCTGGTCCAATGTTTTCTGGCTATCGTGAAGGTTAGGCCAGATCGTTGACACTATCGAGACGGAGACTCACCCGCCCATACAACTCTGCCAATGCATCCAGAATCTCTTCATAGACTGCATACTTCATCCATGAAGCAGCGGGCGGGACGACGATCTCGTCAGAAGCTAGTCGCACCAGAACCGTTCGCAGGTACATCAGGGTAGAGGAGAGGGAATGCGCAAAGGCGTGGACAGTCGGGCCAGCTTTGACCATACTACAGATGAATGAGCGAATGCTGCCTTCTTGGAAGTGCTGGTGACGTACCTTTGGTTCAGGGTCTTGATAAACTCTTCCAGACGGCGCAGATGTGTACCGATGGACAAGAACCGCGATAGTAAGCTATCCAAGAATCGTCAGCATTCACCAACCCCAACGAAGTAATTCGGGACGTACCTCTTACTGATAACCTCGTCCGTCCCGTCAATAGCTACATGTCCAACCTGACCCGGCTCCAATCCAACCTGGACAAATCTATCCGTATGGTGGTCCCATTTGAAGAGAGTCGACGAAGTCCCGATAACGACCATCCGAATGGCCTGTCGAAATTCTTCTTCCGTAACGTAGACGAATTTGACGTTCTTGTCATCGAACTTTGGGTTAATACTGTCAAATGCAAGGTTAGGATTTTAACGGGGCAGAAGATAGGCCAAGACGTACTGTTGGCGAGCAGCTGAGAGAACGAGGGGCTCCTGTTCTGAGAGGAAGGCCGTTGACGTTCGAGATTGGGGAAAGGTTTCGCGCAGCCGATCCCAAGATACCGTTCTGTTCTAAGAGAAGTCCGTATGAGTACCCTTCAACATATGCGCACATAGGACATACAGAGTTGTGATGCTCGCCTTCCACCAGTGACCTCCAAAACTCTTCTACAGACGGCGGCTCGGTAGGCTCCTGTGGTGCAACCAACTCTGGTAGAGGGCGGACATTGTTGAAAGCCCGCGGGGGTAGGTTCCTGTTAATTTCTGAGAGCTTTAAAGCTCTGACTATAGGATCTTGAGGTTTCTCTTCAAGCGGGGGGACGAAGAACGAAGGTCGAATGGGGAACAGTGTACCGGAATCCCCTAACTTGAGTTCATCAAAGTCTTCGATCTCGAGGGCATCGATGTTCCTCCAAATTTCCATGATGTTACAGTTGGGCTGGAGTAGAGAGGACTACCATCATTTGGAGTAGACTAAGCTCGAGCCGCCGACGTCGTTGGCGACGATGATGAGGGTTGTGATCACGATGATGGCCGCGACGCGTCGAAGAAGTTTGGCAGCATCCTCCAAACCTAACAAAAGCGATAATTTGAGATCCCCTGGATTCGAGCTTTACCCCATCCACCATGTTCAAATTCGACTTTGCCATCGACGACATCGACGAGACCATCGAACAATCCATTCCAGAAACCAAACCATCCATCTCCAACGAACCGACCACCACCAAACAACTCCCTTTCAAAGAACACACAATCTCTGACCTTGTTCGTCCATTTCTCTCCAAAAATGCATTCTAGCAATTGGAAAGATAATGAATTTAATTTCTCATGTTAAGCTCAGCTCGATGCTCTACCGTCGTTGATCTCATACTCTCGGTTGACTGTTCCTAGTGGATCTGGAAAGGAGCCAGTGACGATTTTGCATCGGGATCTTTTCGATGCTCGGTTTCAGCTTATCTCGGAGGGGAGGGACGAGTTGGTGAAGAGTGACGAATCTGGAGATAATGAAAAGACTGGAGAGGGGAAAGATCAGAAAAGCGTCTTGACGTATCTCGATGCACCATCAGACCTCCTCCCAGGCGTATACGAGGGTGGTTTGAAGACTTGGGAATGTAGTCTGGACGTCGTGGAGTACCTCGAGGGGTCCAGTCCATTTTCTTCCTATCAGGGCAAACGAGTACTTGAGGTGAGTATATACCTAAATCTCTTGCACTCTTCTCAACTGACTCTCATGTGAAGCTAGGTTGCGGGACTGCCGTCCCTTCCCTCTATGTCCTGCAAAACCTGTTCTCATACCCTGAGGAGGAGGTCAAACAGCCTACCGAAATCCACCTCCAGGACTACAATGATTCGGTTCTTGAGTTGATGACACTTCCAAACGTGTTCTTGACCTGGTGTGCGTAGTCGAGGGACTTTCCACTAGCCCCTTTGCTCACAACACACGTAGACGCTTCCCCTGCCTCCCTTGCAGCTCGCGAGGCCACCCAATCCGACCCTGTCGACCCTTCCGCCCCTGGAGAAGTCCACATCGCGGATGAACTCAGGGATGCCTTCCTCTCATCCCTCGCCCAGCGCAACATCACCATCCGCTTTTTCTCTGGCGCTTGGGAGACCTTTGATCTGCAGAAAACAGGAGGAAACTACGATCTCCTCATGACCTCCGAAACCATCTACCGCACCGAAAGCCTGGTACCCTTGACCAGGATCCTGGACGAGGGATGCCCAGATTCCCTGACCGAGAAGGCCGCTAAATTGTCCGTCAACGACAAATCGGCAGCGAAGGAGCACGAGACCTCGCCGTTGTGCTTGGTCGCAGCCAAGGTGTTGTACTTTGGAGTGGGAGGCGGGATATCCGAGTTCGTAGAGTTCCTATCAGAGAAGAAACCGGGTCGGAAGGGGGAAGCGACGGCGGTGTTGGAAAAAGTCACGAACGTGGGTCGAAGAGTGCTAAGCATTCAGTGGATATGAGCAAAACGTAATCAGTGTTTTGCTGGCTGGTATAATAGTGGGGTCATAAAAATGGTACAATACATGCAGGGGGTCGTGACGGGGTCGTTCAAAAATAAACTAGTTCATAATAGTAAGACAGTATGTGCAATGAAGGTCGAAAGGTCCAGTCTGCGTGGACAATAGTGAAACGGGGGTTTCTGTGGGTTATCCACAGATACCGTCGTCGATGAGGACACCACATCGACTGCATCGGACGCGTTTGTCCAGGAGACAGAGGCCAATGCCTAGAGGGAACCAGAAGACTGCAGCAAGAATGCCTGAAGATCCGGGGTATCAGCTTCAGCGGTGACATCGCAACACAGTGAGCATTACGCACCCAGAATCCCATACTTGGTCTCCGGAACATGCTCCCCAGCCTGCAGGCAGATCATCTCTGGGTGGGATGGTGGCAAGAACGACGTGATCCTCTCGCCCGTTACTGGGTTGGTGTAGTAAAAGACCGTCGGAGTCGGGGTGAACGTGGGCTGGGTATTGCAGGAAGGTCCTGAGTAGTTGTAGGGTATCATGGGCTCGCTCTCGTCGATTCCGGTGTATATCTTTGGCCGAGGCTTGTCACTAGGATCTAGAGAACGGGTCGAGCGATGAGCATAGGGCATCAGCGAAGGCGGAACGACGAGAACGCACAATTGGAGGCGTCGATAGCATAATCGTAGGAAGGGGGATTGTCTCTGGGTACCTGTGCCTATTGTGAAGACGACATTGTTAGTCCGCAGCGCTGGGAATGAGCAGCAGGCTGGCGATGGCGCTCACTATATTATGTCTGTCGGGATCGGAGAGGATCATGGCTGCGATGACCTTTATAGCTGCTCCAGAGCTGCTGGGTCTACGTGGTCGAGATCGATGGTGCGACTGCGGCGCAACCGACAAGAGTCAGGAGCAAATAACTAAACCGCTCACTGCTTTTGGCGATCCGCAGTGCCCAAGCCGTCCAAATTCGCCCTCCTCTCCAACATCCAAACCGAGATTGATCGTGGGAATAATATACAGATGGGGATGACCCTGCCGCTACACGTGCCGATCGCGATCGAGCGGGGTTGGCAGTTTGAACGGCACCTGCTTTTTTTTCTAGACGCGGTTTAGTTTCTTTCCTCCATCTCTTTTTATTTCCGTATATTCGACATGACCAGCATGGAAGTCGACCAAAACGCTCCAGGTCCCTCAAACCAAAACGCTACCAACGAGGTCAAGGTTGACGATATGACCTCGAGAGACTAGTTGCGCCCTTTTCTCGACGTTGTGTGGTCACAGAATTTATCGTCTTGGGTCTTTTCTTACAGCTATGCCGATTCCTATGCCCACTTTGGTGCGCGTTTAACTAACCTTTGAAGGGCTTTAACTGATTTTTTTTATTCTCGTAAACAGGCATTCACGAAGAAATGTTGAAGGACTCTGTCCGAACGGGATCATATCGCTCTGCCATCGTCAACAACCCCCATCTCTTCAAAGGAAAAACGGTCCTCGACGTCGGATGCGGCACTGGAATTCTCAGCATGTTCGCTGCAAAAGCTGGCGCAAAGCACGTCACTGGTGTCCGTCTAATAATCATCCTCGACGTCCCAACCACGCGACTGATAATTCCTCCAGATCGACATGTCCAACATCATCGACCAAGCACAAAAGATCATTGAGGCCAACGGCTTCAAAGATAGTGCGTTCTAGTCGACGCTTGAACGAGCCGATCTCATCTCAACCACACCCTTTAGCGATCACTCTCGTCAAGGGTAAACTTGAGGAAACAGAACTCCCGTTGAAGGAATACGACATCATCATCTCCGAATGGATGGGCTATTTCCTGCTTTACGAATCGATGCTCGATACCGTTCTCCTTGCCCGCGATAAATACCTCAAAAAGGGAGGCTTGATCTTCCCTGATACCGCCATCATGTATATCTCTGCGATTGAGGACCAGGAATACAAGGAGGAAAAAATCAACTGTGAGTAACCCATGACGCCGTATCATTTTATGTACTGACGCGTTGTGCAGTCTGGGAGAACGTTTATGGCTTTGACTACTCGTGTATCAAGGACATCGCACTCCGAGAACCTTTGGTCGATACCGTCGAACTCAAGGCTGTCGTGACGGACCCTTATATGCTCAAGGTAGGCGTAATTCAATTGCCCTTGAAATTTGTTATAAACATGCCTCCACAGCACATCGACCTCCTCACTGCCAAGAAGGAAGACCTTACCTTCGAGGCACCATTTACCCTCAAAGCCACCCGCGACGATTGTGAGTTGCATATTACCTGAGATCCAGGAGCAACGACCAAACATCTTCCCTAGACATCCACGCCTTCCTCGCCTGGTTCGACATCTCCTTCGAATGCACACACAAAAAGGTCAAGTTCTCAACGGGACCTCACGCTCAATACACCCACTGGAAGTAAGTCTAAACTTGCTCTCTAAAACTGCTTCTTTCAATTAATTAATGCAAACCTCCCTAGACAAACCGTCTTCTACACGCCCGAAACCATCACCGTCAACAGGGGCGACACCATCACCGGCAAGGTGACATGCGCACCCAACAAACGCAACCCCCGCGACCTCGACATCGGCATCTCCTACAAGCACGAATCCGAACCAGAGGAACGCTTCGTGCAATATAAGATGTACGTCAATTTCCCTTCTTCCTACTTTTTTTTTTTCTTTTTTTTTTTGGCTGGATGCACCCTTTTCTGTCACGAGCGCGTAATGGCTGTTTTGTCGTTGGAGTTGAATTGCTGGAAAAGCAAAAAAGAGTCAGAGTCTTAAAGAGAGAGAGCGCTAACGCTATCATCAGGTCTTGATTTTCTGATTCGTTTGGATCGAATTCATCGAATCTCGTCATCTCATGTTATACTTATACACCCCCCTCCTTGTGTATCGCGTACAACGTTGTTGACCCAACCTTTACCAGGTACTAAAAACATTAAACTACTGCCATTGACAATATCGGGGGGTACCCTGGATCTCTTTTTCTTGTACGACTATTGGGACACGCGGTCACGACCTAACTACGATACACTATCACGCTTATAGAGTGTTCAATTCTTGTAACATTTTCCCGTCGGATTGGCGACTGACATCGTTGAACGTTCTGTGAAGAATTCAGTGTATTCGGCAAACCTGCAGGTGGGATCTTGGCCTGTAACGTACACAGCCGTTTTCTGGAAGGACTCTACCACTCCGAGTCTTGGTTGGGCGATCCAATAATCGCCGGCGCAATGCCTATGGTCCCGAGAGACATCATGGACGGCGTCGGGACTCGGTCCCTCTCCTGCAAAATTCTTTCAAATCCTTCGGAAAGTCTTACTTTACCAACCCGATTAGTATCTGACCATTGGTTGGCTTGAATAGGCTTACGGAAACAAGGGAAGATATCGGGGTAATGAGTGGGGCTCTTCATATTGTCAATCATTCTTCATCTCTTCATTTTCCGTCGTCTCCTGTTCATTGGCTCACTGGCAGGAACCAATTTGTCTGTCATTGTCAATGGTCAACTGGTCACCAGTCAAGCATCGAGAAAGTCTTACGGGGAATAGGCGACGTTTGGTTATGCTCCGCTTCCTTCACATTACCCTCCTCGTACTTCCACTCGTACGTGGTCTTACACGATTGTACGGAACGAACTCCCTTTTCTCGACCCTATGGAGAATGAGCGGACTATTAGATTGCTACCATTATAAAGATCTACAATAAGCATGGCATCAGAACAGAACATCGAAAGCTGAAGCGTAATAGTACAAAGATAATAATGATATCGTGATATATATCCCTTGCGTTTGTGTTGCAAATACATACTATGTAGTTAGATCAGCAGAAAAGCAGATACCAGAAAGATGAGAGAAAGGAGAGACGATTAGATCACGGTGGTGGTATGTATCATTGAGTCCATGTTACCGACTGTTATTGATCATCGTCCGAATCGACGACTTGGCGACCTCCGCAGACGCCCTGCGCCTCCCGCTCATAATGAAGCCCCACAGTGCCAGACAGAGGAGCAACGAACAAAACAACATCACCCTGATCTCTTCCCCCGCACTCGATTTCTCCATGACCAACCCCATGATCCCCATGATCCCCCGTTTACGTGCCCCACTGGAGAACGCAGCAGGTCGAAGATCCTTGCTGTATTTGCGTGTCCGGGACGACACCCCGAGACCCCAAGGCCACACCATCCTGGAATGCTCGAGGGCAGTGATGGTAATGGGCAGCCCATGCTCGTCGCACACGAGTTCGAATGAACCGGATGCTCGGGAAGGAAGGGGGAAGGGGAACGTCCGATACGCGATGGAGAAAGGTAGAGGCACGGGGTACACAGGCGGGATGAAGGTCAAGGAGAAACGCCTCAGGCGTGGATTGCTTTTCGCGATACATGCTGCACCAGACGAGAGGGTCTCGTCGCCTGGGTACCGGACGATCGTCAAGTTCAGAGTTTGGAGCTTGGGGAAGCCTCGAATCGTCTTTGCGAATGCATCCTGAGTAAGAATCATCCTTATTAGTGAACACGATGTGTGATGTATTGAAACGCACCAGCTGGAACGACGGTTTATGGGCACAGGTCAACTCGAGGTGCCGCAGCCTGGGGCATGACTGGATCAGCGATCTCAGCAGGTTGCCGCTGTCGTACATGGAATGAAGCGTAAACGAGATCTTGAGATCGGTTAGAGAGGTCAACTCGCGCAGAAGGCTCGCCACAATCGGCGCCGACACCTCGCGTGTCTCTACCGCGTCGCGGAAGGTAACTGATTTAAGAGAAGTGTGTATGTGAGGTAAAGCCTGGAGTTGTTGGTGAGTTCCGCAGAAGGAAGTCACGCGGCTGAGGCTGCTGGGATCTAAGGAGGATAGGTGGATGGGCTGTATGGTGTGTCTGGATAAACTCAGGGATTCCAGGTGTTCATGGGCCTCCAGGAATGCAATGAATGGTCGTTTTTCGCCTTGTCCTAGTGATCGGGGGAACCAGTCGATGCAGACGTCACCGAGGGTTAGCTTGCGTAGGCGAGGCCATCGTCCTTCGACGAGGTAGTGCATATCTGTGGGCACTGAGTAAGAGCCGTCTATGCCAAGTTCTTCGAGATTCGGGCAGCGATCGATGAGCATGCGCTTGAACTTTTTAGAAAGTGGATGGTCCTCTGAGAAACCAACGTCATACACTGAAACAACCTGGACAAAAGGAAGACCATACCATCGAGGAACATATCGTTGTGGTTTTCATAGAACCCAGTCTTGAGGATAAGAGAGAAACCTTTGAGATCGGTGAAGTCGAATAGCTATATGGGGACAGTGAACATGGGCCAGAAGACTTGTAGTCGGAGATGAAACGCACATGGCTATTTAGATTCGGTAAAACGGCGCCTATGGACGTTGCGATATACCGGAGTTGAGGGCACCTGATTTCAAGGTAAATTTGGAGCCTTCATTTGTAGATACCGGAGAGAAACGCACCCCATACGCAAGGCGAACCACATATCCTCGTGATGAGGCAGTTCCTCGTCGTTCCACTGAAACCTAACAAGGGCGTCCAAACGTTTGGACGACGCGACCTTGATGATTGCTTGACATGCCTCGGCATTGTCGGTTGTGGACATCGACCGTCTCGAGCAGGACCTATCTGGTTCATATGCGAGTTCTCGAACGTGCCGAGCAATGTCTGGCCGTTTTGTCAACATTCCAAGTGTAATGGAACATTGCTGGGATGTTTGCAAAGTAATCTTCTCGTACAACACAGTTGATACGTGAGAGAAGACATTTGTTGACTGGGGAGAGTCAGCCTGAGACATCCTTGTCCACAGAGACATCGTTACGCACCGTCAACCCGAAATTCAGTATATCCCTTCGCGAATCGAGCAATGAAGCAAATTCTATAAGCAAGTCTGGGGGAACAGACTCGAATGGTGCTGGTGGTCGATCTTGCGTGTTTCTGGGGCCATAGAGTGTATCCAAGGTCGCTATTGAGTCCAGGTACATTCGTTTTCCAGGTTGTTGTGGCCTAAAACCAGAGGGAAATTCGTGGCGAGGATATCGGTGGTGGAGGCATTAGGCCAACCTTCTTTATATGCCGACCCATTTTCGGAAAGACCCATTTAGACCAGCACCACGTGATGTCATCATTTTCCCAGGATGACTACAGCGAACAGTGAGCGAACGGGCGACCACAAACCTTGGCCTACCAACTAGTAAGGCGACCGAATTCTGCTTTAAAATACAGCTTCGGCCTTCTGGAATCGTTAATTCGTCTGGGGAACACTGGGACAATGTCTGGATGTTGTGGAACTGGGAGCTGAACACCTCTCATCACTGTCCTCTCATGGCCTGACATTTTTGCTCCCACCTTCGCTCCCAACCAACCTAAATCAAGTGCGATGATTCTAACTGATTGGAGAATCGAGAAATCAAAGTTGGATTCGAGACTGTGGGTGCAGTGTCTACATACATCGACAGCCTATTGGAGTTTGGGATCCTCGTCAACTTGACGGGCGCATCGACACGGAACACGCCACGCAAACAACAGGAGCCCACCATCCGAGACGCGACTCAACCTCATCCAGGCTAGGGACCTCTGCATACTCCTTTCGAAGCGGGCTTCCTCGAGCCAGATTCCACTGGATACTCAATACTTGCCTGGCGAATCTCTTACCCCGCCGGGATCTAGGCGGTCTTTCGACGGCGTTATCGACGTGGGGAAGTTACCTGGCGCCACTTCCAAGCAGTACCTGCTCTATCAGCCGTTTTCCGCGGAGAATAAGGCGCTCACTACGAATACACGGTTTCTGATGTAATGTGAGACCATCCAGATGCTCGACGATGCTCATTGGGTTTCATACAACGCGCAACGATCATTGGTTCGCCTTGCAGTTCCCGGACTTCGAATAACGTTACACCTGAACGTTCTACTGCTCTGCTTCCGTCCTCGGAAATGTCAAGTTCTGATTGGCTTTCGCTCGATTATCTGATTCAAATCCATCCGCAATGAATCTCTCTCGTCTAGAAGGCGATGGCACGCTCGGCCTTCATGGTCCTCCTACTTAGAAAGTCACTCGATCTCGTCGAACAGCTAGGTAATCTTTTGTTCCCAAGCGCCACTAGCTGCGTGCTAATCAGGCTCGGGCTTTGCATCACGGCGACCCGCTGATTGCCAATGCCTTTTCTTGGTCGCCGAGTCAATCATAAAGCACTTTCCCAGCGTCAGATGCTGCTTTCGATCACCAGAAACAGGAAGTCTTGGTGACTCTCCGCCTTAGATGGATCCTGGACCGCTCCCCGTCTAATCTCGCTGTAAACCAACCAACGCCACTCGAAACTTGGTCGCGGGAGTCGCATTAGACTTCAATAGACTGCCCGTCATGGCCGAGCAACGCTTTGTATCCTGCATTTGCGAACTCCCGAAATAACTAAGTGAGTTGTATTGAATAGTCACAGAGTATAAAGACACCCATTCGCTAGCGTCCGAGGCGTCCGAAATCCAGGAGGTAAAAATATCCCAAGCAGTCCGCTTCCAAGATGCGAGAGGCCATGAGAAGAGAAAGTTCTTAAGGTACACTCGTAAAGTCGTCACAAATACAAGTACAAACGGAATGAGCCCATCAGACTAGAAGTGCAGCGGTGACTAGAATAGAGGCCAGGGTAAGGAAGCCGGTGGAGGATCCCATTTTCAAAGACAAGGCGCTTCCGGCTCGAAGTTCAGAAGTGACCTGCAGGAGGGTGAGTCGCGTATCGAGCAGGAAGCTCATTCCGAGGCCATCATAGGCGAGCTCCACCGTTAAGGACGTATTCTGGCCACTAAAGGTCTGCATATCCGTTCTATTGGGAAGGTGTCATGAGAGGCGATTGAGGAGAGATGATAGCAACGTACGCGTTGAATTGTTGGCCTTCGTTGTCAACCACGCGAGCCCCATTGATTGACCCCTCGTCGACCTGGGCTGTCAGTTGATATGTTCCTGCAGCAAGGTCGCCAATGGGGTTGATCACAACGTTTTCGCTTTCCCATTCGTTGAACGGAGCCCACGCTTGTTCTAAGGTTCCGGTTTAGACATATGCTGGAGGACGATGGAAAGGGAACGTACGCTGTACTTCAGTCGTGCCCACAGTCAGATCACGCTTGAGGAGGTTGCGAGGAGCGAGGGCGGATCGTCCAATTCCAATGTCTGGCAAAGACCGCCTGGTAGCGTTTGATCCTCCGACAGATGAACAGTCGAAGCCAGAGAGGGAGAAGGTGAATTTGGTTCCGGATCTGAGGCCAAGCTGCTTCCTGAGACCTGACAGGTAGGCACCCTGGATACTTTGGGCTCTGTAACGCTGGTGAATCTCGAAGATAGCAACAGAGCAGGAGGAAGGGTTTCTCACAGGTTGTCCACACAAGCAATGACCGCATCCGCTCCTCCTTCGGCTGTGATAGCGAATGGATACTGTGGACGATAAGCCCCTGTGCCGGAGTATTAGGTTTAGAGCGCCTCTTACCTGGTTGCAAGACATGTTGAGACCAGCGTCTTGGCATTGTTGGATAGTACATCCTGCGGCCCTTCGATTGGTATCTTTGACTGACTCATCCCCGGCAAAGGTCAGCTCATCGGTGTCGGTCTTGCCGCGAGCCTGGAATCCTCTGCAATAGTTGTTGAACAACTAGGGCACATCGGACTTGGAGTTAGCGGGCAAAGATAGGATTCACTCAAAACGTACCTGGTCAACGGCCTCTTCTCTCCTCCTCTGCAAGTCCCCGGACAATGGCCGATCACCTCGACGAAGCCTACTGTAATCCAAAATGGCGGTACCATCTTGGATCAAAACACCAGGGATCGGCGCAGTCGCTGCCAAAGAAGGAGCGGAGCGAGTAACCGTCGAGACAACCACCGATGGCTCGGGGGCTTCAGTGGCTGGAGGAACAGGAGGTACAGGCGGCGGTGTTGCAGGAGGAGCGTCGGGAGCGGGCACAAGCGTCTCGGGTGACACCGCTGGAGGAACAGGAGGAACTGCAGGAGGGGATGGTGATGCGTCAGGTGCTGTTGCAGGCGGCGCCAGATCATCGACCGGTGCGGTAGGCGGAACGTCTGGAGTAGCAGGTAGAATTTCCGGCGGGGCTAGTGTTGGAGGGGTGTCAGGCGGTACGTCTGGCGGGGTAACAGGGGGTACAGGAGGCTCTGTCGGTGGGTCACCTGGCATGGTGGGTGGTTCTGCAGGAGGTCCGTCTGGAGTGGTAGGTAGGTCTGCAGGAGGCTCATCTGGGGTGGTCGGTGGCTCCACGGGAGGTTCGTCTGGTGCAGTGGGCGGCTCTGCCGGCGGTTCGTCCGGTGTGGTAGGTGGTTCCACAGGCGGTTCATCGGGCGGCGTGGTCTGTGGCTCGGCAGGTGGTTCGCCGGGCGTGGTAGGCGGTTCATCGGGCGTGGTGGGCGGCTCGACAGGTGGTTCGACAGGTATCGTAGGAGGTTCCACAGGAGGTTCATCGGGCGTGGCGGGTGGTTCGTCAGGTGTCGTCGGAGGGCCAACAGGAGGTTCATCGGGCGTGGTGGGTGGTGCCGGCTCCGTGACTGTCACGGTCGTGATTTCTGTGGTTGGAACCGATACGATTGCTGTTTCTGTCGAGGTCACAACTAGAGTTTCCGTCACAGTAAACGGTACGCTTCCGGGGAATACGGTTGTCGTGACAGTAACAGGCTCGTCATCGTCTGGAAGTGTAACGGTCACTGTACTTGGTGGAAGACCAGGTTCAGTTACGGTGATGATAGACGTTTCCGGAGGTGCGGTGATAGTAACTGTTCCATTTATGGTAACGGTCTCGGGAGGTAGAGTGATCGTGATAGTGCCATTCTCTCCTGGGACAGGAACTGTAATGGTTGTTACAACAGGGACAGTGATCGTGGAGAAATTGGTCACAGTCACTGTCGCCTCTGGGAGGATGGTGGTGCAGTTCGTCACGAAGATCGTAGTCGGTACATACTCCGTGGCTGTAGATGTTACGGTCACGGTAATGTTGTTGTACAGCCCATCGCACGGGGGACAGGTGTCGCCAGGTGAGGGGCAACTGGGCGTAGGGTAAGCAGGACACGACGTCGAAGGGCACTCAGTGCATGTTGGACAGGTTGGGCACGTGGGTGTCTCTGGATCTGGACACGTTGAGGGACAGGTGGGGCAGGTTGCTGACGGACACTCGTCTGGATATGGGTACGGGGACGTCGGGGGACACGAAGGACAGGCTGAAGAGTCTGGGCAAGTTGGTGACGGACATACAGGAGGGTCGGGTGGTGGGCATGTAGGAGTGAGGGGGCAGGGATCCGGTGTTGGACATGTTACTGTGGGACAACTTGGGGTGGGGCAGGTAGGGGTTTCGGGAATGGGACAGACAGTCGGTGCGCATGGCTGACATTGGCTAGTACAGCAGCGCGCTCCGTGTACGCAGAATTCGCGAGGTGCTTTCGGGGAGAAATTATCAGGCCATTACAGAAAATGAGGCGCTAATGTCAATGACTCACTGCACTCTCTGGGTATTGCAACAATTTCGGGCTGTTGCAATGTCTGCCTCGCGTAGAAGAGCAGTATGAGGAGGATAGTCGTCCGCATTGCAACTCGGCGCGAGGATTAGGACATCTGCGGCACCTGGTTTTTGTAGGGACCACCGCAAATCATTCTATTCTTGGCGAAGGTTCCCTTCGTTGCCGACACAGTGAATGGTCTGGTAGCCTGGGCGCCAGTGCTGTCCATTTACCCGGAAGTGGAATGTTGCGGTAGATAAAGTCGAACAGAGTTAAGGACACGCATGGAGTCTGTCCTCCGATCCCTTTTTGAGAACAAGCTGACCCTTTCGATGACGCTCGAGACCATGCCTATTGGCAGTGTCTTGCCACAATAACCGCCCAGCATGTACATGGTCGCCCTACATTGGTTGAACACGAAAGATGAGGCCACAACACCGACAAAATTCGGGTTATCGCTGGGCATGGCGCACAAGGTTCCAGTTGCGCAACCAGACACTGCTGGATCACCTGTGCAGCGACAATGCGCCCTTTCACACCAGGCAACAGACAAAAATAGATTCATTTGCGCTGAAGGTCGTCATTGTTGTCTTCCAAGCATCGTCAACGGAAGTTTTCAGGCGCCATACCCTTCCGCCCGGTGAGTTTGCCTGGCGGTACAACCTCGACACCGGTAGGAGATAGTTGCGGTCTCGTCGCTGGTTCCTTCTTGGTCAATCTTCCTCGCTCGACTTGTATCGGCTCGAGGGTTGGACATGGGCAGCGTAACATTGAGCAGCGACATGTCTGATGTCAAGTGGTGAGCGACCGCGATGTGCAATCAATGGGGCCAGGGTATTGTCATCCGTTTGCATTGCCCAATGTTTGAAATGAACACCCGGAAGTCATTGGACTGAAATTACGCGTTAGAAGAAGAAGGATTTGAGACAGTCCTACTTACTTTGCCTTTTTGAACGACTGGAATTGTGCAAGCAACGTGCAAGGGCAGGTAAGATTCCTGCTACTACCCTGTAGTAATAGTAGGTCTTCAATAGAGCTGCCACAGGGTCTTGGCGCTCAGTTCTCCCACGAAAGTGTAAAGTGGCTGTGACCCACTCCGAGTCAGGTAGCTGTGATCTTGCCGCTTCCCTTGCGTTGGTCTAGCATCCAACTACCGTCCACCAATTCGGTCCGCTTTTCGTATGACGCCCCTTGATACACCACCTGCATTCAGCTTGCATAGTCGTTTGGTGTAAAGCGATCTTGGTGTAAATACTGTCCAGCTACAACCATGCACATAATGTTTTCGTGTTCATCCTACTTGCCATTCAATTGCGTATGTGTATGGCTTGCATTTACTTCTGCGCCTTCCCAAGTTTGGTCGGACTTGTCCGCGGTTAACTGCTTGCTTCTACTGATGGCTCAGCAGTTATTTATTCAGGACAAATGCTGCTCCCCGCTCGTCGGCCTGCTCGTGTTCCCAACCTCAACGATGATCTATGGCTACTCATCCCAGGCGGTCTTCTCTGCACGAGGATAGCTTTAGTAGCGCACACGACACGTCGCCCTCACACGCCTATTGTCTCCGAGACTCCGACCTCTGTCGGTATCATCAAGCTTTACATACCAAAGAACGAGGTGTTCCTCGCCTTCAATGTTTTCGACAGTGAACCCCGGCCAGATTTTCGATGAGCTACCGGCTGGAAGGATGGCTTGGAGCATCTTCATCTCTGGTGGGGTGACGGACCACGGTCCCCTATCGACCGTCGCTGAACACCCTCGTCTTCGAGAACCCATATCACGGGCCGGCGCTGTGAGCGGGCTGCGGTGATTGTCCACAAGGATTCAGACTTGGCGAGGAGAACGAATATTTTCTCCGACTAGAGTCTGGTTCACGAGACAAGACTGGGCGACTCTTGTCTCCTGTCTTGCCGATTTCCGTGGATCGAGACCGAGGGAGGTCATTCAGTTGAACAGGCAGTGCGCTTTTAGAAATTAGGCGCGTGCAGAATCCGCGATTCTCAAGGGTCGAACACGGGCAAGATAGGTTGTCGAGGCACTTTTGAGAGGAATCCTACTGGCACACTCTAGAATGGTGTCTCGACTCTCGCAAATACCCGAGGTTCGTATCTGGATTCTGTCGGTCGTCGTCCGGTTAAACAGACGGAACGCGAAGAAGTTAGCGGACTGGTTCCAGAATTGGAAAGATATCCAGGGATTGCCATTTTGTAAGGACGTAAGTTGGATGCTTGACAAGTAGTTATAGGATGAGCTTTTGTAAAATGTCAGATTTATGTTGTGTAGGTTCACTTGACATGTCCCTGTAATATCCCGGGAAGCGTACGATGTAATAAAATGTTACCTGTGCTCCAATACGCTTAACCCGAACGCAGAAAAGCGAGTTAAAAGGAAGTGGATATGGGCGTAGCTCCGTAGTAGCAGGCTCTGCGGCGAAGCGCGCTCTTTTAGTTATTGGCGAGAAGTGACAGCACAGGCGCAAGAAGAACATTCCGAAAGTATCGGGTGTGAGCCCCTGTTGGTGTTCGTGGGAACCTTGTTTATTTCTGAACCTTCGGCGCTTTGGCACGGGCGCTAACTTCACGAACGCAGGGTTGTTGCTCCGTTTTCCAGGTGACTATCAACGAGAAGGTAGGAGTGAGGCTTGTTTCTATTTAGGAAGTACAGAGAATATGAGAGCTTGTTCACAGAGGTTGGAGTGGCGCAGAATCGGTCTTCAAACCAAGCACAATGAAGGTGGCAAAAGAAAACTAAAGCCGGAACCGAAGTCCTATTTAGGTTATTAGAGGAGGCACTCCCAAATTGAATAAGGTTGGAGGTAGCTTTTATGAAAGTAAGCCTGGTGTCAAGGAAGAAACTCCTTCCCTTACATTCCGCTGCCCTTCAGCCGTTGTCTTTCGACAAGCCATCATCCGGAAACCGTTAATTTGTCACTATCCGTCTTTTCGCGTGCTAAGAGACACCGTGACACTGGTGACTGCGGTCAACAATATCGATCTAAGTTCCGTGGGACAGGGGGAGTGGAACTGTTTGGTGCATGGTTGCCAGCGGTACCTGGAAGTGGCGGAGCTGGCTGCCTCTTCTGCCAACGCCGTTTTTTAGATTATAAAGAGATAAGCAGCTTGGACGATGGGTGGCTGGGGTTTTATATCTCAAACACTGAGTCCAGGAAGGATGTTTCCGAAAGCCTCGGGGTCAAACGATCAGGAGCGTGTGCTTTTATATTCGCTCATTGCCGGAAGGCGTCTGGGCCCACTGAGCGCCAACTACGTTGAACGCGTTAGACGATATGGTATCAGCCTCCCCCAACGCAATGCCACAGCGACTCACATATCCCAGCACCTGAAGAAGAAGGCTACACCAGCGCTCACTGGCAGTTTCTCAGGGGAAAGGTGATCCATATGTGTTGTCCAGCGGCTTACCGGCTTGATTGTATGGATTCCTTTGAGACCGTTGCAATGGTTCGAAACGAGGGAAAGGACCACCTTTACCTAACCTTGCTCCACAATCAGTGTCGGTATGTCTGGACTGAAGCCTCGGTTCGCGGCTGCCCGTCCTACCACAGTCCAGAGGCGTAACTTATCGCCTCACCTTAGGCCGCCGTTCCCTCTTGCGCAGCGGATGACTCGGATATTCCCAGCCGTTCCAAACATTTAAGTGCTCTACAGAGGGACGTGCGACGCGCTCGCACCTCACGTCGCCAGGGTACCTGATCGTGTAATCCGGCGTGGCTTTTACGGAGAATATCTCGTCCTGCACTCGCCCAAGCTCTGATCTCGTGGCGGAAGAAATGGAGATGGCACGACTCGCTGGAATATAAAAGGGTGCCCGACTTCTTCAGCATAAACCATCCCATCTTCCAGGGTCTCCAGCTTCTCTAGACGTCCCGCACCATTATCCACGATGCGCTTCATCACGGCTGCCTCCGTTCTCCTCTCGCTCCTAATGGCGTCAGAGGGAAAGGAACTTCTTAACCGCCAGGCCAGTTGTGACACCTACGTCGTCTCCAACATGACAGGTGGATTCAGGACTCGCACCTTTATCGACTTCTCCAATGCCCAGGAAGGAGATAACACCCAACAGTTCTTGGTGTATGTCATCTCCCCTCTCGGTTGATTGTTTTACTGAACCTGATCTCTCTACAGTGCCAACAGCTTCTACACCAGCAACTGGGATGTCTACATTGACCCAGGTCCCCTCACCCACACCTTCACTCCCAACAACGTGAAGCTCGGCAACGGAGCACTCGAACTGAAAGTCTCTGCGCACCCCGGTGGAAACGCCAAGGTCGTCTCCGCCGAGATTGGCACAACTTATAGCTTCAAGTATGGTTCTGTCCGAACATACCTCAAGTCAAGCACAACCCCTGGCGTATGCGAGGGTAATTTCCTCTATGGTACGCCCACGTTCTCGCATTCCACGCTTATTGTACTCATCCGAAACGCGCTGTTGAAATAGCCAATAGGTTTAACGAGGTCGACTGGGAGATTTTGACAAGTACGATCGATACCGATGCCCCATGCGTTCCAAAGGGTATTTGGGCCACCAACCAGGTATGTTTTCGAGACCTTGAATCACTTCGAGACAGCGGCCAACGAGGACATTTGTCTAGGCGTTGGTTGAGGGCGGTCAAAAAACTAGCGATATTGTCCCGTTCACCTTCGACCCCCGAGCCGATTTCCATGGTAAGGTCTTCTTTCCGATTACCGAGAGAGTGTGAACTGAATGAAAATGCATTTCAGAGTACCGAATTGACGTAAGCCCCGTTCTACCCGTGACTCTTCTCTCCATTCAGTACTAAACCTCCTTCAACCAGTGGTCCGCAGATGCCACTCGATTCTACATCGACGGTCAGTTCAAGACCATGCTGACCGACAACGTAAGAGTTCGACGGCCTACTGTAAGCAAAACGTTAGCTGACGTGTTTGCATCCAGGTCCCAGAAATTGCAGGCCCATGGCTCTGGAATGCATGGAGCAACGGTCAAGAGTGCTGGTCGCAGGGACCTCCCACCGCTGATTCGGTCACCCGTATCCGCTCGATTGAGATCTTCAGGGACTTCGTTGAGGTCCCTACTGGTACCGTCTGCAACGTCTAATACCCTGAAGTATAGAGCACCTGTTTGTTTAATGTCTGGAAAGATGTCACGAGGCACCAAGGATTCATGCGGTATACTGTACTACGCCCGGCGACTCGGACGATGTAACGGAAATCCGACCGACAAGTGAGATGTGTCCGAGAATCAATAAGCACAGATCACCAACGCTCGACCAGTGTCAACCCCGTCAAGGCTAAGACGGACCGCCAGCCCTAGCCATCTTCTTGTCATGTCCTCGCTTACGGTCGTGGTTCGCGCGAGTTGCTTTGTTTCTATCCTTCCAAGCACGCCCTCGAGCGTTCCCTCGACTACCAGACCCTTCGCCTTGACCTCCACCCTGCCCTCCACCTCCACCGCCCCTGCCACCTCTCCCTCCACCACGACCACCGCGCCCTCTGCCACGGTGATGTCCCCCTCTTCCAGGTTCCGACGATGATTGAGGTTCCAGGGGACCTGCCACGTTTCCTCTGAACTCGTGCTTGAGTAAAATCTTGTCCTTCTTCTTCGGCTATAAGAGATGGTCAGCATACGTATCATCACCACATAGGCAAGGAGAACTTACATTTCGTTCCAAAACAATTGCCCATCCTTCAATCTGCTCGTGAGACCAACCCGTCTTTTGGATAAGCTCAGCTCGAGCCTTGCTTCGACGCGTCGCCGCATCTCTAGCAAAGGCAGATGGGTCCGCCACATAGGCTTGCTCGATCAGATACTCTGGATCGACCTCGCCAGGGGTTCCCTCTGCACCCGGCTCTCCATCCGACTCGCTCTCCCCTTCCGGATCCTCCAGGTCGCCTGCCCCAGGCACCCGCACAGGCTCCTCGATATCGTCATCCTCCTCGAATGCCACGATCTTGGGTTTGGGCTTGGCCCCATCTTCTTCTTCACCTTCTTCCTCTTCGTCGGATTCCATGTCCATAATTTCAACCCGCCGGAGGATGTCTGCCTTCATCCTTTCGCGGGCGCCTTGGTCAGGTTTGGCGAGCAGGGTTGCCGCACTAGGAGTCATGTCAGAATACGACTGATATATGATAGATCGCATACACTCACTCTTCAGCCTTCTTCCCGAATCGTACTGAACTAAAGTCGACAGCTTCGTCGTCGAATATATTTCGTCTCTCTGGGACTGGAGAGGCCTGTCTTTGGACTGGTTGCTGCCGTTGTGAATCCAGAGTAGCTTCATCCGGAGCGCTTCCTTCGAGCAAAGCCTCGATTACTCGTTCGACATTACCGTCGTAAGCGGGATGCTTCAGTAGCTTGCCGACGTATTGAGTTGAAAGGTCTGGGAGAAGGTCGAGGATCTGAGAGGTTTTTGAAACGAGCTCGACATCATCGATTTCTGCTGAGTAGGACGTAGTCGACGGGACTTCAGTTGTCGTTGGTCCTTTTCCTTTAGCATCGACGGACTTCGAAGGCGCTGGTCTCTGAAGGCCTGAACCGTGAAGGAGGATGGTGAGGGCACCCGGCTCCTTGGAATAAGAGCCGTGTTCCACCAAGGTGCTCTCCAGGATATCCAAGCGAGCATCCCTTTCTTGCGCCTTGCTGAGTGCCCCGGTGAGGAGCTGCGTCAGATCATGGCTACGCTGATAATCCTGCAATAGCGTCAAATTGAGGAACGGGGTCGGAGGTGTCGCTCCTGACGATGTCGACTCGTCAGAGCCGTTAGTGGACGTTTCCAACATGGCGAAAATAGCTGAAAAGATAGTTTCGGCTTGCTCTGCTAGTTGTTGCGGTCCATTAGCTTGGGTGAGGTTGGCGAGAGATTGTTTGAAGAGTAGGTGGAAGCTGTCGATGAGGGTGAGTTTGGTCTTCACCCAAATAGTGGTCCATTCCGTTGGGTCAACTTCAGCTGTGGTACCCACAGCCGAGATGGCTGAAAGCAGGGCGCGCGTCCCGCCGTACGACCAGGCGGTAGAACTGAGGCCAGGGAGATACAGGTTTGACAGGGCGGTGATGAAGGGTACGTGCTTGATAAATGGAGCTAAGAGAGGTGCGTCGGGAATTCCTGGGATTTTGGAGGCCCCTGAGCAAGCTACCATGAAGCAGTAGATCACTTCAGCTGCCTTTCGTTGGTTGTACAGTCCTTGAGTCGATTGCAGGATGGCTGTGAAACTCGGTACGAGTGCTGTTTCGACTTCTGTCACGACATTTGGGCTGTTCAAGGCACACAGGTTGAAGATATGGCGAAGCTTGGATGGCGATGATCGTGCGTAGACAATGGCCAGATCCGTGAGGATTTTGAGGTCGTCCAAGCCGCCTTCTTCAGCCAGACGCTCTGTCAGCTTCAAGACTTTGGCATGAATAGCTTTCTCCGAAGGCGATTTTTCATCTTCCGTCACCCAGATAGCTGCCTGTAACTTTTGAAAAGCCTGATCGAGCAGGTACGATCGGAGAAAGGTTATCGTTGAGGTCGCCAGACTGTCTGTCGCCTTGGTGGTTTTTCCAGTCGATGACTTCGCATTCTTAGTCGTGGTAGTGATTGAGATCGCATTAGAGAGGGAGTTGGAGACAGTGGACAATAACGAAGATTGCTGGGTCGGCGTCAAGTCTTTGCGGACTGACGAAGACGGCCAAGCGGGCAGCGTCGTAAGTGATTGGACCGCCATCGCTCCCAGGCAAAGCTGAAAATCTCAATTTTGAGAATTTTATTTCGAGGGAACATTTAAAACATACTCTTCGTTCCAATCTTTTGCTGTATCAAGGTAGGCGAATCTCTTGAGAGGGTCAGACCCAAGCTGGGACGCAGCCGGGACAAGCGACCCTAACCCAAGTCACCTGTGGTTAGGGGCAGTCAAATCCCCAGCTTGACCGACACCCTTTGCCATCGTTCTAGGACAACCGTGACGACAATAGAAAACAGTAAAAAGTATGGCAATGCATAAGCTTCACAGAAGACTGCGATGGCTATTCTGATAAGGTGCGTTGGCTATTCTACTCGACATTCACTCAGGGGCTGAATCGACCTAGTATTGAGCGCAAAACCCGGCGCCAAATCTCGACCGCTGTAGGCTCAGATGGGGCAGGTCGGCGGGTGGGGGTTAGCAGGCGCTTTCTTTGGGCAACCTGGCTGGTTACCGAGGCTTCCTGTATCAGGGTTCTGGACGGCTGTTAATGAAGGACTCGAGACAGCAACGCTGCGGTGACCCACATAAAGGCATTGTACGCCATCTCCGTAGCTGTGGGGGTTGTGCGAGTGTCATTTGTCGTCAGAATTCTCGGAGGAATCATGTCCAACAGTTCTTGGCCGGCCCTACCCACCTGCAGTAGATCGCAAACGGGCCTTGAAGCTGATTCACCAAAGGACGCCCATCTGGGCCGTAAGGCGGGCAACAGAATAACTGACGTTCTTCTATCAGTAATCTATAGTGAAGACTTCAAAAGATGACATACACCCGGAGGTGGGATGGGGCCTGGCCCTTGCGGAAGGGCGAATGCGACGGAGAGCAAGAGAAGAGGGTAACTGCGCAAGAACATGGTGAAGGGGACTCTACCATACCGTATCAAGGTAACTCGCTTTTTATCCATTCACCTTCGAATTGATAGGTATCAGCAAGCTAGCGAGGATGGAGCACCACTCGGGTCTCCTGAGCTCCGACCTACGCTTTCAGGCGGCTCGAGGGGCTATGTCGTTGGTCGACTCGCGTGCGTGCCTTTAATGCCGTTCAAGTCCACAGATGCCTATCTTGACACCCTTTCTAGGATGAGACCGTGGTTTCAAGCCTCCACATGTTGCGAAAGCGCGATGTTTAGGCGGCCCTTTTCAAAGGCGCACAGGACCGACATCAGAAAGCTGACGCCTGTGAGCAATTTCGTGCGGCGTCCCCATTGGGATCGCGGACGATGTTGGCCCTTAAAGCACACAAGGCCCCGCCACTGTAAAAACCGTTGACCGCTCGATGTTTTCTTCCGCCTCAGTCGTACATAATTCAATCACCGAGAGGACCAGGCGTCGGCTCCGGCGGTCCAACTTTGCGCGATACGGTATGGTCAATACCCTTTTCTGGCGACTGATCGGCGTTTGCTCCACTAAAGATGGACAAAGATGGACCTCGCACGCGGTCCTCGTCCGCAACACTAATTGTGATTCCAATGCCCCTGAATTTTTTTCAAGAGATCGGCACGTTCTCGGTGATTGTATACATGGGAAAACGAAATTGGCTTGCAATTTGACCCGCTGTAGGTCCTAAAGGCGATCATATCAGCACAAGGTGTTATAAGAACGACCCTGCCTTTCCATCAGGTTCGGTGTCGAGTTCTTCGTTTCTTCGTTGCTTCATTCTACCCTACTTCCCAGTCTCTCCTTTCCTTTCTTTTTCAGCGATGGTTTCCTCCAAGCTCGCTGTTCTCCTTTCCCTCACACTCTTTACCATCCCAGCTCTATCCCACAACTCTCAGAATGATCTACATCGTCGAAACAATAACCGATGCGCGCCCGGAACGTACTCCTCGTCAGGAAATTCCCCGTGTACACCGTGCCCTGCTGGATCCTACACCAAGGGTACGCTCCTTGATTTATTTATTCCCGGACGGCTACTGACTTGGGCTCGTAGAATATGGATTCAGGAATTGTCAACAAGCTCGACCTGGCTACTACATTCCCTCTCGCGGAATGACACAGGAGTTGCCTTGCAGCCCTGGAACCTACGTCTCCTCTTCTGGTGCCACAGGTTGTCTGAGCTGCCCGCCTGGTTTCATGTGTCCCAGTAGCGCTATGCACACGCCCCAGCAATGCTCTCCAGGCCGCTACTCAACTGGTGGCGTCGCCAACTGCCCCCTCTGCCCCGCAGGATACTTCAACAACATCCACAAGGCTACTGGATGCTGCGAATGTCCCGCCGGCTGGTTCCTTGTGAGTCCATTTAGCTTCAATCCTGCACCCTTGAATTTCCTGACGGTCTCTGTTTCGTCATAGGCCCATGGAGGAAACGTCAATTGCCAGATGTACGTCGGATCGAGTCGTCCACCGCTATCGAAATGTATTCTAACATCACGCATTCAGGTGTCCCAACCAAACCCCTTACTCGAACCCTGCTTCCACCTCTATGAGCCAATGCTCCGCAAAACCAGGGCTGTACGCTCCTTCGAAGACCGCCACTCAAGGCTCCAACGGTGCTTGCCGTGCGTATACTTTTTTCTATGCCATAATTCCAAATTAACCGAAGCCCCTTCAGCCCCGTCCCTCCCTATCCCCAGTGGCATCCCCAAGCGTCACTGGACCCCCAGGTCCAACTGCAAGGCTGGCGAACGAGCCTGCCCAGTCTACCGCGGCTCCAAAGTCGTCAGCTTCAACTGTGTCGACATCCGATCCGACCTCGAGTGAGTTCTCCTTTCCAGCATCTCCTATCGGATGGTTTTCACTGATGCTTCGACCAGGTCTTGTGGAGGGTGTGTCACCTACTCCAACGATGGCTCTCCCAGCCCAGATGGTGGCCGGGATTGCAGTGCGATCCCATTCGTCAACGATGTCCGCTGCAGCAACGGGTCGTGCCAGATCGGTGAGTAATTCTACTTTTCGTTCTTTCCTGAAGGCTCATGGGATGAAAAATCTAGGTTCCTGCGCACGCGGCTATGTTATCTCCCTGGATGGAGGTTCTTGCGTCCCCCCTCTCTAAGTTACTCCCTTCGCACCTCCCCAACCTCCGTGGATGGTGTTAATCGCCTAGTGGTATCCGATACCCTAATAATCTCCACTCGCCTCGCCTCGCCTCGCCTCGAGTGGCACTGCCCTCCGTAGACCGGACTCTAGCTAGCACATCTTCTATGACGGTTCCTAGTGCTCGCGCTTCTGAAATACTTGTGCTTCGTATCGTATTTATTAATTAAGGCTACGGTCAATTTTGGTCTGCCCGGGGATTTCTGGAACGGACTTTTGAACGTATCTTGAACAATCGCACTGTCGCTCGGATGTTTCAAATGTATTGACGGAATCAGTGGACGTTCTCATTTGTTGCCTTGGTCTTGATGGATTCGTTAGATAGGAAGGTTGGTGCAATATACAGTAAATCGATCTCAGCACGTCTAACAGCGGAAGAACTCGAGATGTATGCAATACATTGGTAGAGATCGTCATATAAATACAATGGCTCTGGTTATAGAGTCCGTCGTGATGGAAGGGTCGGTAACTAAATGTTCGAAATGAGACTAAGTCGAGGAAATTACAGGTAACAGAGGATAATCAAGAGGTATAACGAGATCAGGGATATCCTAGATGCCTGTGCTACTACACTGCAGCATCAGTACATGACGAACGAGTGTTAAATCAGGTAGAAGACAAACCTAGATGGGAAGCGCCGCTATCCCTAGAGGGCGTGTTTTCATTGAAAATTCCAGGTGCTGTCCCTATCGAATAAAAGGTGGTCCCGCCGAGGTCGAGCCTGTTCAGCATCGAAAGTGAAGAACCTGACATCGAACAGAATACTCACCTGAACCACCTGCCAACGTTGACAGTTCGGCGAATCCAATTGATGGAGGGTCCGCGCGGAATACGGAATATACGTTCTTCTACAAAGGTTCGAGACGCGAAACAGATGATGAGGAACGAGTAAAACGATGATGGAAGACAATAGTGAAAACGGAGATCCTACTTACAAGGAAAGTATCACCGATAACCCATCCAGGGTTCTGAGAGTTTTCAGGGATGTTGCTTCCAAGGCCCAAGTCGAAGATGGCACCTAGGCAGAGGGAGCTTCCAAAAGATGTTTGGCCAAGGTTCATGTCATCCGGGGAGATGCTCCACGACTTTCCTCCAAAGTTGAGTGTGATGTTGATCTCGGTTCTGCAGGCTGAACAGATGAACCCGCTAGGGTCAGTGACGAGAGATGGTAAAGGAGTGTGTGGGACTTACGATAGTACCAGAAGCCCTCGTTGCCTATGGACCTCCGTGAACCAGGTACTGCCGCCCAAATGGCTTCGACATCACCGGAAGGTCCGCCAATCAACGTGGTACCAGTATCGATTGCAGCTAACGATGCAGACCCGGTGGAGATTGGCACTGATCTTCCTTGGACGGTGATTCCTACAACCCAGTCAGTATAAACTGAAATCCAGAGCACAGGTACACGCACGCCGAACAGGGAGCAGCCAGAAAGAAGGGAACGACACGGGAAGGTCGAGGAATTCAATTTCTCCGCTGTACAGAGAAGTGTTCCTTCCTCCCAGGGTGAAGATTCCTCCAGGTTCAGCCTCCCGGGCAATTGACACATTCAGGAATCGCGTCAGCCAGAACGACATTTCTGGACTTGAAAGTTGATTGTTCTCTAACAAGTTCTGCCAGAATGGCGTGGCACGTGTGCTTGCTATGGTTTCGAAAGCGAGACCTAGAATCCCAGATACCCCTCCGTCTAGTAATGTACTTGATAGCTGATCAGCGGCCACTAAACAACTTGGGTTAGGACGACTCGGAGTCAGGTCTGGTAGAAACTCACGGAATGTTTGCCTTTCCACTGTGAAGTTACCCAGCCTCACAGTGTCTCTATTGATAGAGCCCGCAACTGCACCCGACCCATAGCGGATAGTAGTCCCAGCGGCGCTTTGTTGGACAGTGGAGGACCGTGCAGGATCAAACAGTGGAATTCCGGTACAAGTGGCACAGGCGATATCCGCGACCCAAAGATCCGCGGACCCGGTATCAAGGACAACCTCGAATGCCTGAGGACTAGTCGAAATTATAAGTGCACTGTTGCATATGGAAGGAAACTGGGGGAGGAGCTAAAAATAGGCGATTTCCTAAATGCCAATCATGTCGTCACAAGGGCAACGTGTAGCCCTCGGTAGCTCCGCAGCCCGCAGGCAGAGAAGAGAACACTCACGGCGTGCCTATCAAGACCTCCCCTAGATAGCTGGCGTCTGAATGCTATTGATAACCAACCCCTCAGACACCGTGCTGCTGGACGAGAGATAAGGCTAATAACCTACCTGGTTGATCATAGGGATGTCCTCGACGGCCCTTCTTCTGCCAGAGGATGAGCCAACATTATATTTCGCTCTTAAACTTTGGGCGACTGATGCATAGTGTTCGATTCCGTAGTGCGTTCGAGACCGACGTGCGAGAGGTACGGTTATAGGATCCACTGCGAGGGCGAGTGATATCCAGAGGAAGGGGAGTAGGAGGGACTTCATGGTGGGGTATAGTAAGACGACGGTGAGGGGAAGGTTGGTAGCAGGGCTGTTCAGGATTCGACCAGGCTATAATGGTACCCCAAGTTGGTCACGATCAGATTCCGTTGCAGACAACTCCACTAATATTAGTCGTGGTAGATTGGGCAATCACAACAACAGCCCTAGGCGGTTAAATGTAGTGGGGGATGGGCAGTTACGCCTCTTTTGTCGTACTCAGGCCAGTGACGAACGAGGGCGACGACGTGTCGACAGTTTCAGCAGCTGGGAATAAGAAGCACGGTGCTTCCCAAGGTCGACCCATTACCTTTTTCTTTAAAGAGAATGGGCTCACACAGAAACTTCTTTCCCTAAAGCCTAAAGTCGAATGGAATGACGTTAGTGTGGTTAGTCCGCCGCAGCATGAGTAAAAATGGAGAGTGTTGCTCACAAACCGGTTGGAGCGTATCGTTCTTGGCTGGCATCATCGGCAACCTCAGGATGGCGCTTCACTCGATACGATGGAAGCATCGTTCTCGCAAGAACAAAGCCTGACATCATTGCGCGACAACCTCGGATGGGTAGATGCCGATGCCGAGGCTTTTATTAAACGTCTGTCGACCAGCCGCCGGTCGGCCTGTCGTCTGAGTTTCAAGTGTGTACTGTGTGATGTATCAAACTCAGCACACGGCATCGATTGCCCGTGTCTCAGTGCTCACTGCCCCCAGCCAGCATTCTCACCAACTTTAAGTGCCATGGCATTGCCTCACTACCTAACTATAAATACGAATAATACAACCCAGTCGCGACCAGGGAATTACGGATTTGGATTTTCTGATAAGAACGCCGATGCCAACCACACAGAGGGAGGGAGGGAGAACATATGCAATGGCTGTCGATGCTGATAGTGCACTGTCCTCAGGGGATCACAGTCTCTGCAAGACAGGTGTCAGAAAGGCTGGACAGAAAGCATGCGTGAGCCGGAATGAACACCCACAGGAACCAACCGTGCCCTGTGGCCGGACGGAAAGATCAAGCAATAACGCAGTACGCGCCGCCACCGTTATTACCTCCAGTCTCTTGAGAGGTAGGGATATCGGTAGAGAACTTGGTGAAGGAATCCATTTGATCGAGAAAAGACTGACTGAGGGTGAGTAGTGCAAATGAATGCGACTGGGGAAAATTACTGTCGCCCCCCAGCTTTTATAACTTTTGTGAACTCCAAGGTGATTGGTCCAGTGGATGAGTTAAACCGAGAATGTCGGGTAATATGGAGGATACCTTCCATTCCGCTGGTTTGTGTCGCAGTATGATCGTTGGTGGACAAAGGATCCGGACTTCCGATCGAGTCTTCGAGTTTTGTTGACTTTACTTCAAGGTCTTTCCGTGGTTGAAATAGCGTCCAATGTGAGCAGTATACGCGCCCGAGTGTTTAACGGGTTAAACGCTGTCAGCATTGAGCTGCGGTATAAATATAGGGCGTTGAAGTTGTCCGCCTGGAATACACAGTGTGAGACAGGAGCGGAAGCACCCATCCGCTGGTCCAAGCATAATCTCTCTTAAAGGTAAGATCCACTCAGAAAACGGTCTTAGTATCGTCGAGGAATGTATACTCGCAGCCGCTTCAGATCGGTCATATTGCGCTTACATTTTGCATGAAACACATTTCGCTCCCGAACGCGCAACCTGGAGGCTGCGAGCTGAGTTTCCAGAAGTAGTGCAGGTGCACGAGGGCCGTTTGCGCAGGGGAAACACTCGGCTTGACTGTCCGTGATTCGCAGACGGGATATCAGGGAGTCATGCAAAGTTTCTGATTTTCCCGGCACTTAATCAGAGCCTGACAGCACTGTCTTCATCCACACCGCCAGATCATTCAACTCTTGATCGTCGAACCAGTGTCCCAACTCCTCGTAAGAGGCAAACCTCAGCCTGACCTTCTCTTTATCCTCCTTCGCATCCTGAGGAGTGAGAGGCTCCTTCGATCTGACAAACTCGATGCCCACATCCGAAGCCACCTTCTGGGCAGAGTACATGCTGAACTCGTACTGGACTTGGGCGTCGTGGGTTCCGTGGCCCCACCATATCGGCAGCGTCTTTGAGATAGGCGAGGCAAACTATGGCGCAAGTCCGTAATGCATCCTGGTGTCAGCAGCTCCTCGATTAACCCTGACGGAGAGCCCACCCACCTCTTCAACCTTCCTCCTCAAGGGAACATAACTACTCAAGATGAACAGCCCCGCCAGCTTCCTCTTGGTAGTCAACCCAGTCATCCAAGCGACCGCCCCTCCCTGACTGAATCCTCCAACGATGATCCGATGAGACGGGATCTTACACTCGCGCTCCTCGATATCAATCAGTGTGTTTATCCATTTGGCGGATCTGTAAAGCCCTTCTTCGTCTTCTGCGCGATTCTCGATGTCGAAGGAGTAACAATCGAACCTACGTGGGGTGCGCAGCGTGCGTCGTACGCGCGAAGAACGGGCACAGGGTGTGGGTTGTTGGAAATGGGAGGGGGCGTTCGTGGTCCGGAAAGTAGGGATATGAGTCAACCCCCGGTTTTACAGCCTTTGGTATCACTCTAAGCTTACCAGGTGTTCATTCGAGCGTTTCTGTTTCCCGTGACAATGCCCACAGGACTATGCAAAGGACACGAAAATCAATCAGCAATGTTCTCGAGGCACCCGGCTGGACATCCCCGTCGAACACTAGTACTCACGCATGAGGGAGGACAAACTTGATCCCTTCGCCATCCACCCCGAGCTTTTGCTGAACCCATTTCGCGCCGAATACCATCCCTCGGCCAGTATCCCCCAGTCCCTACGCAACAAAAACAACCTTCATCAGTAAAGTGTAACTGTAAGTTTGAGCTTACAATCGGTGCGTTTGCATGCGGATAGACAGGCAGAGAGAATTGAAAAGAAAGGCATTCCTGGTAGATCCAACTCACATGTAGCCAGAACACTGTGGCTGTGTGTCGTCCTTTTGGCTCCAATACGATACTATCCAGTTTGACCGACGGAGACCGCGCTGGGTCTTCAGTGGACGAGGAGCTCGTTACTTCAGGATCTAAACACATCTGGTAAAAGTTCGGCGTCGCGATGAAAGAAAGAATTTCTTTTCCTCAGGGGTTCACAACAGTGGCAATTAAGTTTGTGGGCGTGATACAAGTCACATTTCGATTCCCGACCGGCTCTCGGCGTTCAACATTGCAGATACACACTTCTCCCAGGTGTAACTGACTCGAGAACATGCCAAGCTGGACTAGAGATCTCCTAACTACGAAAGTGGATGACAGAATGGTGAAAACTACCAAATGTATGGTAACAACTTGTACGGAACTTCCTTCGCCCACAACTCCCACTCTTCTCCAAACGCATTATGCAACACCTCGTCCTCCCTCGGCAAACGATCAATCAAGCTTGCGGTAATAACCAACGGAACCATGGACAGCACCACAAACAACGGCTTGCCAAATCTAGTCTTCAGAAACCCTGATTCCCAAATCCACGAGCCCTAAGAGAAGAGAACCAGGAGTCAGCATCGAGTATAGGAATAACTTGAATGAATGGCTCGAATGTATTCAAATCTCACAGCGGATCACAACCTCGCCAACTCTAAAAACACAAAAAAGGCGAATAGACTCACGGGCGAAGCAAAAGTTAAGAACCCTCCGGTAATCGTGACTAGGATGGCGAGGTATCCAGGATGCCGGACGAAGGAATATGGCCCGTCTTTGATCAGGCGGTGGTCTTTCTTCAAGCTCATCTCGAATGTGAAGAATCGTCCTAGGGCGCGGTAGCATGCCCAGCGCAGATACGCGCCTGAACACGATAGAAATACACCCAGGAGGAAGGGAATGGTTACCCGTATGCCTCTGGGGTTCTCGGTGCGCAGCAATTGGGATAATGGATAGAGGAGTGATTTAGGGGGCGGAGGATAGGTCATGAGAAATATGGAGGCGACTTCTACGAGGGCGCCCGCCCAGAGGGAGAACTATGGTAGCGAGGTCAATAGGGACGCAGAGGAACGGGCACAGAAGATACACGAACGTGGACAATCCCCCGCGGTGACGAAACGCGCAGGAAGTCTTCCAGAAAGTTGGACTTGACTTGCTCTGTAGGCGCAGCGGGAGGGTGAGGTGGGGTAGTGGCAAAGTGTATGACCGACGCGGCCAAGACAAGCAAGGGGGCTTTGACCAATTGCAACGTCGACGACATGGTGGATGAAGTTGTCCAAGATACGGCAGTTCGAATTGTCCTTGGACGGCATTATAAGCATGGTTTCTTCCTAGATTATACAATCATTGAGATACCTGGTCTGTAACCGGACTTCCTTGAGCACAGGTGCTTCTCTTCGTTGGTGCAGCGGGGTCTGAGCTTCTAATACCGTCGCCACATCCGTTGGAATGGGATAGATATGGTGGATTCAAAGCCTATTTATACCTGCCAACGGCCGGGTGCTATTAGTAGAACAAATCCAGCGAACTGATGAAGGTTAGCTCAGGGTTTGCGTGAGACATGTCTAAGGCAAGGGGAACTGACGAGCATGCCCGTCAGCACCATTTGAAAGCGGTCGAGGAACCGAGACGATAAAATCGCATTCTCGAGGACAGCGAACGCGATGGTGTTAGAGGAAGCAGGCATTCGAATCAATAGAAGATAGGCGGAACTAACGAAGATGTGACACGAGGATACGTTTGAAGGTCGGTCCATGACTTGGGCATACAGCAAACCTGGAAGCAAGGAGTGCAGCTCTCATCTCATGGTCTCCGGTCATCTTCGGTGCTGGTCCACGATCATCGGGGAATGGTGTAGACAGTGTGGGGCTGGCAAGCGTTGAAGATGATCGCCTACGTCTATTGCAGGAAGGTACGAATGGGTAACTACTTCGCGTGAGTGATTAAAGACCGGATATATGAACGACCGTGGTATTAAACCGATTCTGTGGGGAATGGGAATTAGTGAAGAACAGGCACGACCGCGCTGAGACTTACGCGTCAAAACGTTGTTCAATTTTGTTACTCGTGACGACACGCTCAAGTCAACAGTCTTGTCACCAAAGTCGACAATCAAACCACCGAGAACCGAGGGGTTAACCTAAGGGACAGTGAGCAGAAGCTGCGAATGGGAAACGAGGTAGACACGTTACCTTGTTGGTGATTTTGAGGACCTTGGCCTTCTGAGCAGTCTGGGATTGCTTGAGGGTGGATTCCAAGCGGGTGAGGGTGTCCTTGGGGAGGGGGGCTGCGGACGTGACGGTGACGGTCAATTCGCCCTTGTGCTCAGCCAAGAGCTCGTTGAAGCCCTCAATAACACCCTCGGTCTCTGCCAAACGACCGTTCTCAGAGAGGAGAGCCAGCAAGTTCTTGGTGACGTCGGTGAGTTGTTCCTTCTTGCCAGAGCCCTCGACCTTGACAAGGAGGGTGTTGAGGCCCTTCTGGCGCTCCTGGAGAGAAAGAGTGGGGTTGGTAATGAAGGAGCTGACTTCGGGTTGGGTCTTAATGGCGTTGGAGACGCTGGCGAGTTCAGCAGCGACCTTGTTGAGAGTTGCAGGGGACTTGGCCAATGCAGCACCGAAGACAGCCTTGGAGTACTTGGTGGCGATGGAGGAGGCCGCACGGCGGCTGAGGCCAGCGGCCACGGAGACTGAGCGAGCGGTTGAGGCGAGCAACATGGTTTCGACGACGAGGGGAACGTTGACCAGAGCCTTCCAGCCACGCAAAAAGTCGGTTGCCTTCGGACTACGGGATCTTCCGGTTTTGTACCCTCGTGGGAACAACCTACCCCTGTCGAGCGGGATCAGATTCTTGCCTTTACCCAGCCCTCTTTCCCTTCTTCTTTCATGACAGTCGAAATGGCATTCAATTAAAGGGCACGGAATACAGAGAATGACCCATTTCCGAATTCTTCTTCTCTATGCTTTTTGTAGAACAAGCAGGCAAGTGTCGGCAAGATATCTTGCATGGAATTTGTCCGTAACCTATGCAAGTTCCATCGGAGACCCATCGGTAAGCATACTCCAGGAGGACAACATGTGTCCAAGGACGAGAAAGCTTGTCGGCCATGCACACAACACGATCCCAAGTATGTTTATGGCCAAGAACGTGGTTACCCAGAAAGAATCATACACTGACGCTATGACAAAAGTGGACACGATTTGCTATTCACACTATCGATGGGAATCGAATGATGTTCCTCAAATCGCGCTGCGGCCCTCGGATGAGGCTGTGAAATGTCGCGTTGCGTACAGGCGGCAAGAGGTCCCCGCGCGCCAACAGACTCCGATCAACGAGAGCTTAGTTATGGTCTCGAGCCTTTATTAACCTCTACGTTCCCCATGAACACCTTCCCCGCCCCTCGTCTACACCTCGCTGAGTAGTGAGACAGCCATCCGCCCACAGACGCGTTCAGCCCGGTCAAATAGCCCCATTCCAGCGATCTGGGCTTCCTGATAACGCGCACATACCCCGACACATAACAACCTCCGAAAAGAGAACAATAGACCTTGTGTAGCCTGCCGAAGGTGCAGTGTACAATGGCTTTTATCCCATAACGTATTCCCACTAAAATGCTTTATATCTAGCTCAGCTCCTGCTAGGTCGCTGTGATTGTTGACGCCCTCCTTTGCTCGCTGTCACGATGTTCTTCTTGCCCGCCTGGTTGCGGGGTTTCTTCCTTTTCCTTTTCTTGTTCACGACTTATGTTAACGCTCATGAAGACTCATTATGTGTGTAACACTCACATCAGACCGTTCCTCCTGAACTAATCCACCACAGTCACTTCTTCCGTAACTTATTGCAATCCGCCAGAAACTCTTCTTATCCAGCACTTCGAGGTCGCCTATTTCCCTGGAAATCAATCCGTATCTTTCAACCTTTCTGCAGCCAGCGTGGTGCGTGGGACATAGCTGCCACCGCAATCGATCCATTCTGACGCGTCTTTGCAGCAATCCAATGTCAACGTCACAGCCAACCTTTTCCTCAACGTTTATGGGATGAACCCCGTGAACGTCACTCTCGATCTTTGCAGTATTTTCAATGGAGACCTTTGCCCGTTACCCGCATACAACTTCACCGGCGCCGACTCTATCGTACTCCCAAACTCCCTCAACGTCGCAGATATGATCCCCCTCATCGCCTACAAGATTCCCGATCTAGAGGGTTTTGCCCAGCTTACCCTGACCGAGCCTTCCACGGGAATTGTCCGGGCTTGCGTTCAAGCTACCCTATCCAACGGATGGTCTGCTCACCAATCTGCAGTCGAGTGGGGTACGGGTGGAGCCGCGATTGCCACACTAATTGTGTCGGTCTTCTTGACCCTATTCACCACTGACGCCATCGCACCCTTCCGCTTCTTGGAACTGATGTACCTGTTCCAATCGATCGCGAGCAGCGCACTTCTTAGCCTCAACTACCCATCCGTCTATCGCGCTTTTGCTCTCAACTTCGCTTGGGCAGTAGGGCTCTTCCCTACCTCCGATTCGTCGGCCATCCAAAATTCCATCAACGAGCTGCGGCATCGTACTGGGAGTCAGCTCGCTGACTCAAGCAGTGGATCCGTCGTGCAGTTTGTCAACCGGAGGCTTAGCCCTTACAATAACGAAGTTACGACATCATCTTCTTCCGCAGGGATTAGCTCCATCTTCCGACGCGACAATGATGACCTGTCTTGGATGGGAAATGGGATGGTATCTGCGCTAACGAAACGCGCAGAGACCTTGAACGGACAAGTCGAAACCGTTACGCCCGACTCTGACAATGTTTTGGACGCCGGCCTCCCGATCTACGTCAATTCGCTGCACGTCTCGACGGCAAACGCGTTCATGACTGCGTTTTTGTGCGCGTTAATGCTCTTCGGTGTTACTCTTGCCCTCCTTGGCATTGGATATGGAGTCAATGTTCTTTTGAGACGGTTCAAGGAGAAGAAGCTCGGAAGGACCCCAGAATCCGGCTTTGACTATATCGCCTTTGCGCGTTCTTGGATTCTTCGCATCGTAAGTGTATTGGTATCATTTCGCTCCGTTTCTAACTATTTTTCTAGTCGTTGATTTCCTTTGGACCCCTTCTCCTCTTTATTTTCTACCAATGGACTCTGAAGGACTCCTGGGCCACCGTCCTTCTATCCGTTCTGTGCTTTTTGGCGATTGGGGCACTCGTCGGTTATCCGACCTTCCTCGTCGTTCGGCTTGTTCGACAAAACGACCAGTTCGCGCTCTACACGCCCGGCAACTCGTGCTTGGCGGCCAATGGTCCTCTCTATTCTCAATATAGACCACCGCGATCCTACTTCTTCGCACCTCTTCTCGCCGCAACAGTGCTTCGGTCGATCATCGTGGCGTTTGCCAAGTACACTGCGCAAGCTCAGGTCGGGCTGTTGATCGCCACCGAGGTCATTTTGGTTGGCTTGCATTGCTGGCTGAGGCCGTACCAAAGCCGTGGAGGGGACATCTTCTCAACTTACCTTGCCATCGTACGACTGGTAACCTCAGGCCTCCTCATCGCTTTCCTGCAGCCACTGGAAGTCAAACCAATCCCACGCGTAGTCATCGGGATCGTCATTGCGGTCATCTTCTCCGTCGCAGTCGTCATCACCCTTACCAGCTTCATCCTCAACCTTGGCCTGCAAAGGCTATGGTCGAAACGAACATCGACCGGCAGCTCATCTTCAACAGGGTCTGACGACTCAGCCTCGCAAGGGTCGATGCTAGAAAAGGGTGTCGTCGTTGCCGAAAGCAACCCCGCACTCGATTCTACCGCTCGGAGTCGCACCAACAACGCCCACGCCAGCGACTCGAGTGACGACTCGGGCTCTGATGAAGAGATGATCGTGTCGGCCAATGTTCGTCCCCATAACCCCACTCCGACGCAGAGCACGCCTATTGACAGTTCTTTTCTCTCCCCGTTCCCCGTCTCGCCTACAGGATCGACCGTCACGAGTTTAGACCCGCCTAGCCTTTATTCGTCCAGGGATTCAGGGACGATGACGGTTGGCTCGCTGCTTTCGAGGAGGTGGTCGTTTAGTTATTCTCAGCCGAATTCGCCGAGTGGGTCTAGTGCGCATGGGTATGCGTATTCAAGCTACGGGGGTACGAACAGGGATTCGTATCAGGGTGGTGGGTCATCTGTGGGGCACGGGTATGGCCAGGGAAGGGAGAGCGTGTTGTCGATGAGTAGGCCTCCTACGAGCATGGAGTCGTACCATGCTAGTGCGTCTTCGTCTCCCAGTGCATGGAGGCCTGGCTCGAGTTCGGGGAGCAGTAGTGGAAACGTTACGAGGCAATCATCGGCAAAGGCTGTCCAACACTACCAACAGCAACATCGCAATATCCCCGAGAACGAGACCACCTCATAGTCGGAGTACGGGATACCACTTCTCCATTCGATGTTTCTTCCTGTTCTTTGTGTGGGCGACATTGTGTTGCCTTTATGCGTTACTGATCAGTGATATTGTTGGGAATCGATCCAACAATCAAGCATCGACTTACGACAATAGAAATGGAATCAGCATTATTCAACTCGGCTCAGTTTGCCGTCTACGCTAAGCCTACACGAGGCTGCTTCTCCCTCCTGGAGTCAGTCCGGCGCAAATTGGCGAAGAGGCTATCTTGGGGGTCGCTAAAAGCCCTCAACCCTTCAAGCAATCACGAGGCTACCCGTCCCATCTTCCCGATTCTAGACCCGACTCCGACCTGGAACCCTACACCAACATCGTCCCTGTAGACGATCCCTGTTCCTTCACCCCCTACCCTGCACCACACCGCCACTCACCCATTCTTCTTCTTTCCGTACCAGACACCGTTTAATGATGTACGATGGACTAGCCTTCAACATTCACCGACTTTCAAACATTTTCACTGCATACCGTGGACACTCACTCAGTCATCCCGCATCCTTCATTTTCAATCACTAGATAGTAGTAGCTCTTCTCCTCGCATCGTTCATCACGTTCCAAGTCATACTTAGATCTTTCTCCGCACCCAAAGTTCGCGGCATCCACACTCTTTTTACCCTAGTCATTCGTTAATCTCGACAGCAATCACTTGATGTAGCCCTTATTACCCGTACTTACTCTAGTCTTGTTTTATTCGCTCGCCCCCTTCAGACGGGATCCAAATGTATAGTAGATTATCTATGGAATCAGAATTGAATCAATTGGTTTTTCGAAGTCGACATCCGACTTTTCTGACGACTTCCAAGAGAATGACTCGACCGCTCGAAGAAATCGCTTTTGCAACCATTTTCATTCCAGACATTATAAGAAATATGCATTACTTAGTTAATTAGCCCCACCTCCACTCAACTCACTTGTACCCCCTCTACTTAAGCACGACACTGCACACCCATCTTCAACAACGCAATAGCAGCTTTATGCTGGCTAACCGCCAAAACGATGAAACAATGCCAAATGGCATGCGAGCTTCCTCCAATCACGTCGAGTTTCTGTCGGATATTGGGTGGGAGGAATCGTTCGGGGACGTGCGTTGCGTAGAAGACGAGACCGATGATGTAGGAGAGGAGCGAGGGGAAGATTACGCCTAAAGGAAGGGAGGGGTTTGAGATATGTTCATAGGAGATTGGGAAGGACTTACAGACAAACTCGTACATCTCGCGCCAGGAGTGGAGGAAACCCAGTAGTGCCATCGGAGCCAAGCCCGAGAAGGCCATCGCGACGAAGAACGCGACGCGATATAGCTAGAGGAGAAGGATCAAGTCAGGATAAGTGCATCAAATGAATTGGAGAAACGAGAACGTACTCGGTACTCGTGCATGTTGAACCACTTCATGAAAGGGAATATGTTACCCAGAACACCCGTGAGGAGGCAAAGCCCCAAGAAGCAGTAGGATAGCGTCGGATGGCAGTCCTGGAATCCGTAGTGCACAATGGTGGCGACCGTAGCACTGATCAACCTATTCCAACCCGTTAGACCCAATCCCAAATGAACAAAATCCCAGCACTCACCATCCAATACCGATATAATCACACCTCGCACAAAACTCCACACTCCTTTTATCCGCACACCCGCTCATCGTATGCCAAACCGCGCTCGCAAACAAGCACATCAAAGCAAACGACATGAACGCATACTCGATCGGATCCTCCATCTTCGAAGTCTCAAGAAGCTTGGTAGCTCCCCGAGCTTCAATCAACGGAGTGATCGCGAGCGGGAAGGGAGGGGTAGGTAACGATGCAAAGAACGAAGTGATACCGTAATAGCAGGTGGAGAGAATAGAAAAAATAGATAGGGTGATGGATGTAGTGTAAGATGCGATGAATTCCAACCATGGGGGTAGTGCTGTGGTGTGGGGTATATGGGATGCAAGTGTCTGATGGATGGTGTCTAGATACGGAGCAGATGTGGTTTTGACAGAGGCCCAAAGCGAGTGGATGTAGGATGCGGATAGGTTGAAAAAGACGAGGTTGGAGAACCAGATGAGGAAGGGGACTAGGTGCGTGTGGATGTTGACTGGGCGGAGAGGGGTTAGCACATATTTTTTCAAGGGGAACTTGTGTGATCAACTTACGTGTTTCGTTGTGGAATTCGAAAACACTGCGAACGAGCAGCCCCCATCTTTCGATGGGAATAAAGCGATACCCATGCACCACGAAAGGGTTGTTCTTCCAGTCGTGTGGAAGGTCATGGTAGCTGATGAGGTGAACACCGTGCAAGCTACGCTGCACAGCGCGCTTGATTTCCAAGGCCATAACCTCAAACTCATCTTTGAGGACATCCAATTCGTGGCCAATGCCGTCGCGAATGGCGGTGAGTTCGTGGCCAATGATATCGAGTTCGTGGTTAAAGTTCTCTCGCATATGGGCGAGGTTTTCCTTCATATGATCGAAACCTTCCCGCATGTGTTCGAACTGTTCGCCAAGGGTCTCCATCATTTCCTCTTGTTGTTCGCGCATCGCTTCGACGTTGGCCTCGAAGCCGTCCCGAACGTCAGAGAGGTACTCGCTACCAAGAGCGACGATGCTCTTGCGTCTCTGTCTTGTCGTTGGCGGCCTGAGTTTGCCATCGTCACTCTCCTCTTGACCCTCCTCCAACTTTGATCGGACTTCCATGACGAGCGCCTCGAGACCTTCTGCAACCGACGCAAAGGTCGGCCACGAAGCAAAGTCGGTAGATGACAGGTTGAATGGCGAAGTGGGGAACGGGAAAGAAACAGAAGCGAGGTGCTCCCGTAAGGTTGTCAAATGGGTTGATAACGTTTCGATATACTTGGGATGAAACTCCAAATCAATGTCGTGAAAACGTGTGCGGGCGTTATCGAGCGTTTCTTCGTCAATCATTTGGGGCATGGTCGGGACTTGTGGCCATTCGGGTAGCTGAGGGAGTTCGATATCGGGGAGGTAGGTTCGAACGTGCGCGAGGACGTCGAGGTAGCCCGTCTCGGCGCTGGGGAGCTGGGCGTTGAGGGACGGGAAATGCGATACGACTTCGGAGCGAATGTTGCTCAACATGTCGAGCGCTGTCTTGGCCCATTGTCGCGCGTCCTCCAACGTGGGGGCGGAGGGCAGTGCCGCTGTCGCCTGGCCCGAGGATGTCGGGTTGCTCACGCCGATTCCTGCCATCCCTAACAACCTCGTTTCGAGGCTCTCGAGGTACGTGAGCACTAGCCATCGTAAGGAAGCCAGAGTCTGCGTTGGTGATGCTGAGGAAAGGTCCAATGCGTCGACTGTCCTCGCTGGGCGCGCAACGTCTGTGGAATGGTGGAGGCGGAAGCCGAGTGCAGCGAGGTGTGACGGTGCTGGAGGCGCTGATAATCGTCGTCGCTGTCGCGGTGGAGCCATATTTTTCTGAGGTCGGAGCGATACGCCCGTCGCCATTGTCGTTGGGGAGTGCGTCGACATTGTGTAGGTGCGGTCTGAGCAGGTAGAAAAAAAAAAGGAGCGTGGTCGTCGGATTTGCTACGACGAGATAAGGAGCATATAGGTTTTACGAGAAACGACTAGCTCAGACCGTTCTACGCAATGGTTTGGGGACAAACTAGAAATCATATGCACCACACACAACAAGTTGGATCATCGTACGGCCGCCATCACCCTTTGTCAGCACACCTTGGCGCTAATTTGGCGCTCGCCGGGTTGACCCCGTTTCCGAACCATGCACGCCCTTTCCAGGTCGATACCATGTTCTGCCTGTCGCTGCTACAGATCCTACGCCGCCTCAGCTAGAATTCTCGCAAGAGCGGCGTCCACCACAGCCCAGCAGTTTCCATTCCCTGCCCACCGCAATCCGAGCCCCCATGAGGTTTTTCATCTGCCTCGGAATGCCACAGAGGCAGACATAAAAGCGAGGTGTGAGTGTATCTGCTGTATTCCTTGAAGTTTCCATCTCACCGAAATGCCGTAGATTTCGACCTTGTGCGGCTGTATCACCCGGATAAAGCGTCAGACGTGCCCGCGGATGTGGCCCACCACCGGTTCCAGGTTATCACCCATGCCTACGACGTACTGCGAGGGAAGAAGGCGTCTGGAACTGTAGACGGGGACCAGGCGAACCCTTCTGTCGACCTCAGATACCAGACAACAGCAGCGTGGCGGACAATGCACCGGCGTCGAACAGAGGAGCTGTACAAGAGCGGTGCTGCGGACGACAAGTGGAAGGACAGGTTAATCGTGGCTGGAGTCATCGGTGTAAGCTCGGTTCTCTCCGCTATCCAGCTTTGGCCTAATGCAACCAAATAGACGATACTGTTCGTTATCACTAACACGATGACGACACGGAGAGAAGTCATGGCAGAGTTCAGCAGGAGTAGGGAGCAGAGTGCCGCCCAGCAACGGCATCAGCGGCGCGTTCAGATAGCTGCTCAAGAGGCGCGACTGGCTGCGGAGGAATCAGCACCTAGCGCAGAAAGTTCATGACACCACCGGGGATGCACACCACACTTAGACCTCACACTGGATTCCACCAATACACTACTATGGACCCATTAATCTGTACATTTAGATCTGAAGCACTAACATGGTATCGATAGCTGGCATAATTACGCGGGACTAATAGGGGTATACTAAGAGCAACGTTCAAAGCAACAGTCTAACCCGTCCAGCAGACTGTACCTGCAGGGTATCAACACCATCCCGAGCACCGTAGTAGTGCGTCCAGTCTTTCCCTTCTACATCTACTCCCTCCTCCAACGGAATCGAGAACTCTGGGATATCCAAACTGGAGTACTGCAAGGCCAGCGGTCCAGAGAAATTGGCAGGGGCGTAGCGGAGCACTGTTTCTCCCTCCGGCGACGTCGAAACATGCGAACTACGAATGGGACGGCGTCGGTATTCTTTCGCTGGTCGGTACGTCAAATCCATGTCGCCTCCCGAAGTGCGAGTTTCCAACACCGCTGGACTGGGTGAGGACATGTCCAAAGGAGCGGAGGGCACGATGTCGAGCTTAGTCGGTTTGTTCGTATTCTGCGATATCGAGAGGTTGTCCACGAGGGAGAGGCTGCCTGATATCCACCCTTCGGATCGAATGGAGAGGTTTCTGGCTTGAAGAGATTCGCGGAAGTTGAGCACACTGTCGTGTCTTCCCTGTGATACAAGGTCAATGACCAGCTCGTCCAACTCGATATGGGCGCCTGGGGAGACTGTCATCTGAGCATTCGCATCAGCGAAGATACTGAGCTTCTTCAGGGAGCGAGGGATGAAGATGGTGATCCTCGTCCAAGTGCACTGGGTTTCGGTGGACTCTTCCGTGTTCAGAGGGGTGGAGACGTTGAAGAAAGAACCATTTGTGACTGAAGTGGGAGTGTTCGGTGCGGAGGTGTAATCGAAGGACACTGCGGGTGTTTCCTTTCCGCCCAGAGTCATGTCGTACACAACGTTCTTCTCTTGGGAGTCTGGCGAACTGGCTAACGTGACTTCGGCGAACGCTCCCCCGACAAGGTTGAAGCTGTGGTCTCCCTCGTCTGACACAGGGATGATCTGGAGATTGGTGTTGCGCACGGGTGTCCCAAAACATTCGAGGGAATCAGAGTAGAACTTGTCCAACGGTCGGGCAGGAGCTGCCAGAGGTATGACTCGCTTTATTAATGGGGATGGACAGTGGTGAATTTAGCAAGCCTGTCTTTCGAACTCGCCGAGAAAAGGACTTACTTGTGGTGTATAAACCCTCAACATCATCCTCTCGTACAACCTCGACACCACAGCGAACGCCACAACGCACAGGCACAGCAGGATGACATAGAAGACAAGGACGCCCCAGATACTCTTACTACACATAAGTCGTGCTCATGAGCATCATTTCGAAACTCGGGGAGCCTAAATCCAACAAACAGGTGCTCACCTGAACCGCTTGCGCCTCGACCCAACCTCCTTCAACAAATACTTCGGATTCAGATACACCGAACTCGTCCAACTCCCAGTCGCCTTCTTGGAAGAGATGGATCCCCGGCGCTGTCGATCCCTAGCCTCGTGACCATGGCTATGTCGCTCGTCCATCGTATAGCCTAGTTCTTCTATGCCCTCCGGGGCATGTGCGAATTCTACTTTGCAGAGGAAAGAAAAAAGGGTCGGTTCACGGTGTGACGCCACGGAACACAACTTGGTACTCACCGTCTGCTTTCCCTGGGAGCATTGTGGTTGTAAGGAAGGGTTGTGGAGGATAAGAAGGTCACTGGCACATGGGCTATGCGTCGTCTTTGGTGTTCGTCGTCGTGGACGCCAACCTACTGTGGGCTAGTACTTAAGAAAGGATTGATTGAGGCAATTTCGACAATGAGAAGTCGAAGCCGCCGCCCAGACGCGCATCTTGGGCGGAAGCAATCACCATCAGAGTGCATCAATGATGTCGATGATGCCAAGTGACAAGCGCCCATTAGCCGAGCCGCTGACGCGAAGGAGGGTTTGACACGACGGTCGTGTTCGACGCGACTGGAGGGAACGATGAACTCAAGGAATAACGTCGAATTACATATCGTTAATGATACAGTACGGAACAAGATGCTCAATAACAGAGTGGGCTTATACAGTACCAGGGAGCGCCAAATCGGTGACGTTTACTACTATCCAAACTCTAGTCGCGTTTTCTGATACCTTTTCCGCAGACCAATAATAAACCAGGGATATGCCAGAGCGTTCAGAACCCACTCCCTTATCTACATAAACTGTATATCAGAGCGGAATAAGGGCTGTAGTCCGACTTACAAAAGGCTAAACGTCAAAAGAAGCTCCCGGAAGTCCTCCCGAGTACTCTCATAGGGCGATACAATAGCGCCATACCTCACCACAAGGCTTCGCGTTCCATTCAAGACGAGAGATCCTTCAGAGACTTCAACCCTTTGAAGACTAATCTCGCCATATGACTTGCTTTTGTCGCAACTCAGGCTCCTGGCACGCTTGCGCAGTGCAGCCTCAGCAAGCCATTGGGACCTGGTTACCCTCGGTATGCGACCCGCGAGCAGCTCAGGAGCATAAAGGGCCGCTACTGGAAGCCTGTATTATTCATATCGTCCCTCAACTTCTTCAATGGCTCCCTCCGTCGCTGAACTCCCTCAACAAACTCCTGCCAACGCTGTCGAAAGCGCAAAGGCCGCTGCCAACAACGGCGTGCGCCTCGACTTGAGCGCCAAGTTCGCTCCCCACAGCGACCCAGAGGAGAAGCTCCCAATTGTTGAGCCTTTCAGTACGGCCCCTTCCCGTCTCATATATCTATTTCTGAAAACTAATAACCTGCGCAGACCACGTCGACCCTGGCTCCCGCGCGGACAAGAACCTCCCCAACCTCCTCAACCCGAACACCAAAGTCCGACATCTCTCGCCGTACATCGGTACCGAGTTGTCTGGTGTTCAGCTTTCTCAGTTGAGCAAAGAGGGATTGGACGAACTCGCGTTGTTGGCTGCGCAGCGCAAGGTCTTGATCTTAAGAGACCAAGACTTCCAGGATTTGCCTGCCGAGAAGCTGATTGAGCTTACAAGGTGAGTGGTACTCACTTTCTGGTCCAGAACGAGTGCTGATGGGTCTGTAGTCACTTCGGCCCCATTCACTCGCATCCAACTGCACCTAACGTGAAGGGCTTCACCGAGTTCGTCAACAGTAAGTTGAAACCGCTGTGTTCAATCTTGAAGGATCGTCTGACGACAGGAACCCAGTTCTCAGAGAACCAGGGTACACCTCAAAGTACTTCGCCTCGCGTACGGCAAGCAGCACGAACTACGTCTACTGGCACTCGGACGTCTCCTACGAGAGGCAACCCCCCAGCACCACATTCTTCTGGCTCTTGGACAAGGTGTGCACACAACTAACTCCTTCCCTTCTATGCGATTCTCATCGCTCGTCCACAGCCCGACGTCGGTGGTGATACCCTGTTCCTCTCCACTGTCGAGGCCTACAATCGCCTCTCTCCTGAATTCAAGAAACGCCTTGAAGGGCTCACTGCTCTCCACTCCGGCGTAGCCCAGGCCGACGAGTCTCGCAAGTATGGCGGTGTAGTCCGTCGCGACCCCGTCGAGTCCATCCATCCCGTCGTCCGTGTCCACCCTGTGACCGGAGAGAAGGCTCTATTCGTTAACCCAGAGTTTACCCGCCATATCGTTGGATTCAAGAAAGAGGAGTCAGATGCGCTGCTCAAATTCCTGTACGACCATATTGCCAAAGGCGCAGACTTCCAGGTTCGAGCGAATTATTTGCCTGGGACGGTGGTTATTTGGGTACGTCCATCTGACAGCCTCTGTACCGTGACATTCAACCTGTAGCAATGTGCGCTAACGGTGCGGTCCTTTAGGATAACCGTGTTACGAACCATTCTGCGGTACCCGACTTTGGAACTGATAAGGGAAGGCATGCTTTGAGGTTGACTCCTCAGGGCGAGGTGCCCATCCCAGCCACTGCTTGAAGGAGCCGTCGAAGCGGGTAGAAGATAGCCAATTGTGTGTATGATCACGGTTGACCAAATATCAAATCGAATCTAGCGAATCGCGACTTTTTGCTTTCAGTGGTCAAAGTAAGCGCCCAAGTTCAAGACCGTGCAGGAACACCTGAGTCAGAATTTCGAAATTCCACGGGGGTGCAAGCAAGGGGATACTTAAACTTCCTACCCTTTGGGGCGCTCGATTCAGAGCCAGCCACGCACGTTCGGTTAACCTATACCATGCCAGTACTTCGAGCGCTTAATGGAAACTCATCGATCTAAATTCTTTTGGAAGACTGCGACTCGCGAGAAGGGATGATGGATGGGTCTGCATTCAAGCCATTAAATGTACTAATACACAGAATTATAATGCAAAAAGCGATACAATGGTACGTCACTCAGAAGTAGAGCCCGGTCCAACCTCCAGAAGAGACATCGATCCTATCCTTTCCTCCCTCGCTTCCAACATAATGGGTCCACTTGGCCCCATCCTCGATGACGTTAAAGTCGCCCATGATAGTCGACCTCTTGGAATGCATCGCGACCTTCCCATCGGTCCTCGCCTGCTTGTAGTTGAGGTACATATCGCCGTTCTTAGCCGACAAGTGTCTGTTCTGGAAGGGCCTCTTGACTGCGTTGGCGATGTAAGTGATATCGGTCTTTCCTGAGCCAGTCGCCGTCGAGAGCTTGGTCGTTTCGGGGTTGAGCAAGTTGGAGGGAGGTGCTTGGTAGACCTTGACGCTGACAACACCATTGCTCCTCTGGCTGGTGATATCAGTCTCACTCGACACAGTCGCCTCTCCCACAATCCATCCTTGATAAATCTCCATGCTGTAGTCCTCTGCGTAGACCTTGCTGCTGGGAAGGATCATGTTCTTGTCGTCGAGGTGGAAGAGCACCACAGAGAGTTTCTTCAAGTCTAAGCGAAGGTCATCGGCGAACTTGACTTGGGCGGTAGAGCGAGAGTGGATATTGAGGATCTTGACGTTGGAGGGGACGGACATGACAATGTCGTAGCGGAGGCAAGCTGTTCCGGCCTCGACTTCTGCTCGAGGAAGCTGCTGGGTAGCGAACCGCAGAGCCGTGCCTAATCCAGTATCTTGGGCCGCGCTCTCGATTTCAAAGACGGTGTTGTCGGCAGCGTGCTTGTCGGTACTACGGACAACGATGTTGTAGGAAACGTCTCGAGCATCTGGCTCTGCGTTGACGATTGTGATTGTTCCAACTCCACCACCGAGGAGCTTGATGGAGTGGTCTTGTTGGTCGTTGACGGGTACGCTGAAGGGGAAGCCTCGGGACGAATCTTTAAAGAAGAATTGGGAGTTTGCACAGCCGAGTGAACTACCGAAAGCCGGCATGCCTTCCGGGCGACTGTCAGTAACTGCCGGAGACTAGGAATAGGCGTGAGTGCGAAGTCATTCGGGATCCAGAAGTGGACTCACAGAGGGGAAAGACAGCCCTCCGCTAAAGAGGGCATAGACCAGCCAGAGAGCGGCAACAGCTCCGAAGGCTTTCCAGAATAACGAGAAGCTGGAAAAGGTGTAACAATGAGCAAGCCAGCATGGATTGAACGATAGCACCGGGGACTCACTCGACACCGCAGCAGACACAGTAGCGCCTCCGCCTCTTCAATAAGGGGTTTCCGTCCTCTCTCTCTCCATTTGGAAGAGGGGTGTTGGGAAGCATGATTCTTCCGTTCTCTCCGCCATCTTCAGTTGAAACAGCGGCGTCTGGGAGGGGAGGAGACAAAGTCGTCAGAGCTTATCGCAGTGGAATAGAGAATCAACCCACATTCTTCCAATCCCTTCTTGGCTTTGAACGATGTCCAAGCGCCCGTTATTCTTTCCCAGAACGAGACACTTCCAGAAGAAGTCATTTCCTAAGCGTGTAGTATGCTTTATGAGACCTAGAGATAAAGTGAACAAGGCCTGGGGTTTGGCCGGAAACAAGTGGGAAGGAACCTGGGAGGGGAGAGGCGAAAGGATTACGAACGAGGGACCCATGTATCCTTATATACGTGCGGACGATAGCAGGAGCTGATTGTGATCTTTCTCAATCTAGAACCACAATCAGCGCCGGCCGTGGCGACACATAACTTTCCTGCGAGACAGGCAATGCATGTCAGCACATTATTATGTACGGGAAACCAATGATAACTGTTTTGAGCTCGTACCTTGCTTTGACACTGTGGTGACTGCGGAGCCTGTTCGGCGCTTGTCGCCCGCATTTGTTACCACTATAAGTCGCCAGAAGCTGCAGCAGCGTAATTAAGTCGTAATCTCGCCCAGAGCCGCTGTAAAGCATATGCTTCAGCGACGAAACAAGGTCAGACCCATCGGAAACATGGGGCAAAGAGTGAGAGCATAACGAGAGATAAGAATCAGTATCAATCAAACACAGCGAGAGGCGGCGCAAAACCCGACTGCCGAGTGGAAAGATGTGGGAATGTCGTCGTGTCTGGGAGCGTTGTGCCTATCGAGGCACACTTACAGCGGGTGACGCTGACTGAAGCACCAGGCCAGTCAGGGACCCAAAAATACCACAAAGGGAGATAACATTGACAGCAAGACGTCGGATGAGAGCAAATCGTCAGTACATGGTATAAGTCGTGATTCATTAGGAAAGGTCCTGGCAAGGCCCTGAAATTCAAGCCAGTGATCCCTGAGGATGCGAACAAGTCAGTCGAATCTCTCATGATGTGGGTTGCGCTTACCATTGGGTCCCATGGTGGCAAAACAATAGGATCACCTCCCTCGAAGATCTGAACCAGTTCCCTCGGCGCCAGCGCTTTGGGAACAACCACCTGATAGACAAACCTGCGAAGATATTTCAATACCCGTTTTTTAAAAGCAAGAAGGACAAGAAACGCACTGATCAAACCACTCATCGGTCATGATGAAATAGCCATGATTTCCGGCAGACTCTCCCCAAGAATTCTCAACCTTGTAACGAACAGGCTTGCCGTTCGGGTCGAGGTGGACACCAGAGATGACCATGGCGTACGTCATTGACGAGTCAGCCATCTGTAATCGCTCGTCTTTGGTCAAGCCCAACTTGATGTCGAAAGCGTTCTCGTATTCGAACAGGGCAGTGTCCATGATCCCAGAACCGCTATCGGAGAACTTGCCGACATCGCAGCCAAAGAAGACGGGCTGACCGGCTTTGATGAGCTGGAGGCACCGTTAGCCTTTTCAGCCACAAGGAAAGGTTAAACGACATACCTTGATGATCATAGCCTTCATGTTCTCGATCTCGGTGTTAACGTCTGCAAGACGAGGTCAGCAAGGGTGGCATTGAATAGATGAGGGCACGTACAGAGAATGGGACGCCCACCCCATACATTGCCGAGCTTGTCAACAGTATACAACTTGCCATACTCGTTACGGGGATCGTTGATCAAGGAGAACGACTCGGAAGGAGGGAAGGGCTTGGTACCAAACTGCTCGTAATACTCCTTGGGCGTGCCCTCCCATCTGCCAGTCTTGTCATCAGCGTCGATATACTCCCAGACAAACCTCTTGTTGGGACTAGGGGGAACGCCCAAAGTAGCAGTCATCATGTTATACATCTCCTTCATCAACTCCTCCTTCTGAGCGCGAAGCGTGGCAATGACCGTGTCCTCCTTCACGAACGCATTGCGGAGGGCCTCTGCTTGTCTGCGCAGAATGAGCGCATGCTCCCGGAGTTTAGTCTTCAGAAGGTTGTTGAGCGGGCCGGAGAGAGAAGAATGGGTAGTCTCGGGGTATAGCGATTGTGGTACGAGACCGTATAGTTCCATCAGGTTGACGGACATGTCCCATTGCCCACCATCTGAGATGAGGTCGCTCGAGAGGTGCTGAACCAGGCGGTCGTCCAAAGGCAAGTCCGAGTGTTGAATCATCAATTCCAGATAATAATTGGCTTTATTCAGTTTGTCCCAGAAGAAGAGGTAGGACTGGAGAAGACGCTTATCAGTACCAAATATCCAACATGGACACCCCACACACCTGCGAGAGTTGGAACTCCTTCAATTTGAGCTTCTTCATAATGTTATACCTGATAACATTGGTAGTGGCAAACAGCCAGCATCTGCCGCTACTCTTTTGGTTGGTTATAGGACCGGTCTTGAAGTCAACCACGTTGTTGAAGATGTGTTGGTCGGATATCCTTGCAGAGCGCGACGAAAGGACCGTCCTGATATCGCTCTGGGAAAGGATTGTCCTCGCAAGCTGCACCTTGGAGTTGGCCGACGCCTCAGCTTCCCAAGACGCTACATGGCCCAAGGTGAGCTTGCCATCCCCAGCAATTGGGGTAGCCATAACAAACTCGGGTTCCGCGAGCGCGCTCGAAGACTCCTCACCAGGAGGCAGCTTCTCGTTGTGCGCAAAGTGTGTATTCTTTGGTGTCGGGATTCGTTCGGAGGATGGCTGGTTACCCATGGTGGTCGACGGACAAGGATGTCAGAGCTCGACGAAAACGGATCTCGTTGGGCGCTATCTATAGCGTTGCGGATGGCAGTGCCCCTGTCTACATGCGATAAGCTCGCGGTCCGCGCGGTCCTCGACAATGTACTCATCCGGCCGTTCTACCCTGGACCAGATCCTTTCATCGAGACTAATACCTTTCCTGACCCTAGACAGCCCACACGACCACCAAGATGTTCTGCAACATTCCAAAGTTCGCGAGGTCACGTCGAGCCAGGGCCCGGCGGACTCAGTTAACCGGATAGCCGTCATGGCGGCCAAATTCAGTCATGTTGTAGACGACATTCATCACAACCGGCTTTTCCCAAGCTTGTCTCTCCCCAACTCACTCGACAGATCCATAATGGGCGTCGGTCGATTTCTTCTCAACGTGCTCGTCGTGTTAGCCGCCGTGGCGGGAGGCTTTTACCAGTTCAAACTCAGGCCGTTGCTCGAGCGCTTTGGTCACGGAAGAATAATCCGTTCTGTGGGCAATACTGATTGCACTGGGGTTCCTGAGCTCAAGGCATGTGAGAGTACGTATACTTCCCTGAACCTTTAGTATCGGCGGGTTGACGAATTCTTTGTTCAGAGATTGTGTTGCACCAACCCACGGGAGTGATCTACCTCGCGTGTTCCACCCCTGAAAGTCGCGTGCACTGGACACCCGCCGTAGGCCACCTCAACGCGGAAGGCGCCTCAAGGGAGGATTATGTCGCGACATACGACCCATTGACCCAGAAGATTACGCGATTGACAGTCACCGGATTCACCAGCAAGCGTGGTCTCTCCCTCCATGGAATGGACGTCGTCCCTTCCGCTGACGACCCCGACCAACTTTGGGTGTACCTCGTCAACCATCGTGCGCCGCTAGAAGGCGACGCCAGGAAGGTCGGCGCTGACTCTGCCATCGAAGTCTTCAAAACCATTGTCGGTAGCTCGAAATTGGAATACGTTCGGACGGTTGAAGACGACACTATTATCACTCCCAACGACCTTATCGGCTCCCCTGACGGTAAAAGCTTCTATGTCACCAACGACCACGGCGTCAAAGTCGGATTCGTAAGTCCCAATACTTGCCAGTTAAACCCCGTTCGTACTAAACGCCTTGTTCCTATAGAGCAGAGACTTGGAAATGCTGGGACGTTCGGCTACCTCGGTAGTCTACTGCCACGTCGATGAGGGCTGCAAATTCGCCATCCAGGGCATGCACGGTAACAACGGCATCGCCCAAGCACCCAACGGAACCATTTACGTCGTCAACTCGCTGCATGGTGCTTTGAATGTTCTCGAGCGCCAGGCTGATAACACTCTGGTCTTGACGGACGTGATTGAAGTTGGTGAGTGTGCAGTTTGCGCGTTTTTGCAATGTGAAATACTAAGAGGGTCGTGTTTAGATCGCCCCATGGATAACGCAATGGTGGATTCTGAAGGACACGTTTGGACGGCCGGTAAGTTACGATTTAAACTTAGGCTTTTGTTCCTCCGACTAACAGCGATCCAGCGTTCCCCAAGGCCTTGACCCTCGTGTTCAAGCACTTTAAGGATCCCGTCAACGTTCTTTCCCCATCCACCGCCTTCCGCTTTTCTATCAACACGGGCGAGGATGCATTCTATGGCAAGAAATTCAAAGTTGACCGGGTAAGAACATTGACTTCTGGTGAACGAAAGAAGCTCATACCGTGTTTAGGCCTTTGAAGACGATGGTGAAATCGCCTCGGGAACAACCTCCGCTGTCTATGATGCTGAACGAAACCGGCTCTTCTTGAATGGTATGCATCCTCCCGCTTATCGCGTTTCTCAACGACTAAAACGTTGTTTCAGGCCTCGCCGCACCACGACTCACGATTTGCAAGCTTTAATGACCAGATGTGAATCTAGGCTTCGAATGATCGCAATTAAATGTAAAGAATTAGGCAGATCACGTCAATAGACGCGAGTTCTTTGTTATAAAGATAATTTTGCTTCGAGGCAGAGAGATGGAAAGAGTCGTATTTTCATAAGCCCATAACTGTACATACTGTCGAATTTGATGCATATGAGGGCTCCGTATCAAATCATGCATGCAAAGAATGAAGCAAGCTCCTGGATGCTTAATCCCATCCACCAGTGCCAGTGGTCTCAGCACCCCATCCAGCGGCGGTTGTCGTATCGGCGGCCCAGTCGCTGGGACCAGCGTTGTCGGCGGACCAGTCGAGAGCACCTAAGCGAAGAGTCAGATAAGATATGGATTTTAGGGGACGTCAACTTACCCTCTCCAGAAACGAGTGCAGGGTTGATGCTGCCGGCTTGGGGTGCGGATGAGACGTCCCACTCGGACAAGCCAGCGGGGGCTTCCTCAGCACCAGCGGCAGCAGCAGCCTTGGCAGCGGCTTCCTCTTGCTGCTGCTTCTCAACCTCCTCAGGGTCCCTGTAGAAGAACATGTCGACCATGACATTCCAGCCATCGGGAGTTCTTGGGATGGTGCCTCGGAGTCGGAGGACTTCACGGGCGAGGAGCCACCAGATGAGACCGATGGAGTGCCTGGTCTTGTTGTTGGTGGGGATAGCAACGTCGACGAACTGCAAGGGAGCATCGGTGTCGCAAAGAGCGATCACGGGGATGTTGACATAGGAAGCCTCTCGGATGGCCTGGTGGTCAACACGGGGATCGGTCACGATAATGATACGGGGCTCCTTGAATGATCGGGTGATGTAGTTGGTGAAGGAACCGGGGGTGAAGCGACCAGCGATAGCCTGAGCACCGGTGTTGGCGGCGAATTTGAGGACTGCACGGTGACCGTAGGGACGGGCGGAAATGACACAGATATCGTTGGGGTTCTCAACAGCAGCGATAATTCGGGCGGCCAAAACGAGTTTTTCCCAAGTCTTGCCAATGTTGAGGATATGGATGCCTGCAGAAATGAGAAAATTCTGCTTTTTTTGCAGCAGAAAATTGCAGAGTGCGTACCATCGGCACGTCGCTTCCAGACGTAAGGCTCCATCTGCTTATCGCAGTTTTTGGTGCCAATATGGCATTGGGCAGCCAGCAAAAGCTGGATATCCTCCTCGGTCGCGCTCAAGATGGATGGAAGTTTGGACGTCATGTTGAAGGGAAAGACCTGCAGAGAGCGCGAGATCGTCGTCAGAGTCAACATCCAGAGTGCAGAATCCAGCATCCAGCCCAAATCCCGCGATTTCGACGCCTCCACGTTCAATCACACATCCCAACTGGCGTAAAGGACACTCACCGTGAAGCTTTTGACTGCCCGATGTCGACGTGGACGACGCTGCGGTCGGTTTTGAGAGTGGTGTTGTGGTCGACGACTCTGGTGGCTGATGCCGAGCCCTCCGGACGCTATAGCTTTTCTCACGCAACAGGAATGGAAAGATCCCCTATCGCCTGCAGCTTGCAAGTGTGAGGGACGAATACAGGGCTCAGATACCCGCTATTCTGGCCTGCGTTGAAGGATGCTAGTGCTCAGGTGGGTCAGTTGCAAGTGTGACGAGATCTCTGTCGAGGTATATGTGAAAAGCGTTGCTGTGGGGGAAATGACATTGACACGGGTCACTTCCAGATGGCACTGCCGTCCGTTTAGGTCCCAGGCCCAGTTCATACAGACTCTGAGAGTGTGGTTTCCGTTCTTTAAAGAGGAACGGCCAGGACCGAGCTTGCCTCAACTCAAGGGTAGCGCTCAGTCCACGTGACGGAAAAGGCACCGCCACAGGCATCGTCGTCCGTGATGCGAACACTTGGCACAACGACTCCGAGCGCGTCAATAACGACGTTCAACTTGAACCTCTACCACCATTGTCGCTGGCCTCGACATTGAATTCCGCACACCCTCCCGGAGGAACAAACTAGCCACGATGGACGACATTGCGTCTGGACGTTCAGTAGACATCGAGTTGGGAGGACAAGAGGTCATCACAATAGAGTTGGACGGACTCGATGAAAACACGACCGACGTTCTCGACTTGCTCAAGGAAGGACAGTGCAAAGTGTGGATATGGACAAAGCTGGCTGCAGAGTACTTTAGGAGAGGCTGGCTTTCCTGTGCAGAACAAATCGCCCTGGCTGCGGTAGAAAGTGAGCACAACCGTCCTTGAAGCTACTCTAAATCTCAACGTTCGCAGCGCTCCAAGCCAACGGAACAGGGTCAACTCTAGCACCAATCTACGCCCTGCTTGCCAATCTTCAACTCGCCAAGGGTCGCGATGCACCCATGCTTGTTCTCGAAGATGCCCGTAGGATTGATCTCGACAGCCTACATCAACTCATTACTGACACTCGTCAGAGCTGGATAGGTTACCAGAGGCAGAGAAGACAGAGAAGATCAAGTTCACTGAAGAAGCTTCTAAATATCTTAACAAATCTCAGCAAAGTCTTGCCGAAAACCCCGAAGATGACAGTATGGGCATTGCACTTCCTTACCTGAGTCGAGGTGAGGGCGACCTGCATTGAACAGTGTTCAATTGATTCAACCTTCTTTCAGGTATCCAACAACTTGCCCAACAATCATTTGACGAGGCCTTGCGCTCATTTGAAGGAGTGCTCAGTCAAAGTCCGACCAATATCGTTGCGCTGCTGGGAAAGGCAAGCAACAACTTCCTAATGCCCTACTCAGAATTAACCCAACGTCCAATAGGCACGTGTACTGTTCCAGAAGAAATTCTACAAGGAAGCGCTGCGACTATATCAAGACGTTCTGCGCTACAAGCCAAATTGCAAGCCGGATCCGCGTGTTGGTATCGGGATGTGCCTGTGGGCCCTCGGCCACAAGGAGAAAGCCAAACAGGCGTGGCAGCGAAGTCTTGAAGTGGTGAGCCGTGTCTTTCCACTTGACTTATATCTACCTTACCTTCTCTCCAACTCAGAACCCCGGCGGATGGCAAGTCCAGCTGTTACTCGGAATCGAATCCATCAACGCGAGCAAAAGCCAGGCAATCTCGGAAGAAGCCAAGACACAGGCCTTTCTGTCTGGAACTGAGATGGTCGGAAGAACCTTCCGGATGAATAGCAAGAATGCCTCGGCAGCCAATGCGATGTGTGAGATAATGATTCGCAAAGGCAAATACCAGCAGGTCAGTTAATCCTGATGCGTGATGGCTTTTAAGCTTATTCCTTCCTCTAGGCAATGAAACTGGCAGAACGTACAATTCAATTTGCCGACACGCGGACGTTACTCGCTGAAGGATATCTCCGCGCCGCCCGCGCTGCGCATGCGCAAGGGAACCTCCAACAAGCCCGCCAATTCTACGCCACCGTCCTTAACAAGCTCGGCGACACACAGAAGGATCGTTCGCAATTGACTATCGCCTCCATCGGAATGGCCCAACTCCAGATGCACTACGGTTCGTTTGCCTGTGTTGTTTGAAGTTATTCTCCTTTACACACCGCCTGTTGCAGACGAGGCCGCTGCAGCCATCCATACACTCGACACGTTGATTCAGCAACCCAACACTCAACGTTCTCCAGAAGCGATTGTTATGCTTGCTTCTCTTCGTGCATGCCCTCGTCCCGGCGTCTCAAGTAGTGAAGTAGCCCAGGAGAAGGCTCAAGCTCGAGACCTTTTTGATCGCGCTCTCAAAGGTCTCGAAATCGACGGTGCCCGGCACGGTCCTAGCAAAGCATCCCTCAACATCACCGATGATCTGGATATGCACCTTGAAATTGCACGACTATGGCAGGGCGAAAATACAGAACGAGTTTATAAGGCGTACAAAGAGGCCATGCGAATAAGCGAAACGTTTGGCGATGTTGATCCACGTTTGGTCAACAATCTGGGCGTATTGGAACATCTGGAGGGACGGCTCTCGGAGGCACGCACGCTTTACGAATCAGCATTGACAAAGGTTGCGGGTCAGGGCAAGGGAGACGAGGCGATGTCGACGTCTATGCTTTTCAACTTGGCCCGCGTCTACGAGGATGAAGGAGACGTTACCCTTGCTAAAGAGGCTTATGACAAACTTCTTTCCCGCCATCCCGAATACATCGATGGTGAGTTTCTATACTTCTGTTCCTCCACCCATATTGACGTTAACTCTAGCCAAGATTCGCCAGTCCCAAATGTTGCTGTCTGTCAACAAATTCGCAGAAGCAAACGACCTGCTGAAGCAATGCCTCTCAGCCCATCCTTCCAACCTCAACCTTCGAGCCGCCTACCTCCACTTCCTCATGCAGACCATCCGCATCGGGGACTACAAGTCCTTCAAGGAATTTGTGTTCAGCACTCTGAAGGATCACGATAAGCACGACGTTTACTCGCTGTGCGCAGCTGCTTGGCTTCACTTCTTCCAGGCACGAGAAAGCCGGGATGTATCGCAGAAGGGCCTTGAGGAGCGAAGGAAGGCATTCCAACGAGCGGCGGAGTACTACGAGAAGGCACTTCAGTTGGACCCGCAGTGTGCCTATGCAGCTCAGGGTCTGGCTATCATCATCGCGGAGGATGCATTGGGGAATCTCTATGGCGCTATGGGATCCGCTGCGCCCGATGACCATCAAAGGCGGTTAATAAACGTCCGCGAGGCTCTCGACATCTTCGCCAAAGTCCGGGAATCGATCAACGATGGTAGCGTTTACACCAACATGGGACACTGTTATTACAGTCGTGACGAGTTTGACCGTGCCATTGAGAGTGTATGTCTCTGCTTCTATTGCCTAGTTCGTGTTCCTGACCTTTTGCGCAGTACGAAACAGCTTCTGGCCGGTTCTACCAGAACCAGAACTACTCTGTCTTGATGTGTCTCTGCCGGTCGTGGTACTCGAAAGCTATCAAGGATCAGTCGCCTATGGCTATGAATACCGCTCTTCGTTATGCACAATCCGTAAGACATTACTCTGCCTTCACGGTACAATCTAAAACTTCTTGTAGGCTTTGCACATCCTTCCCAATGACAAGGTCGCCTTATACAACATTGCCATGATTCAGCAAAAGGCCGCCGAAATGATGTTCTCGATACCGGCCCCGAAACGAAACCTGAAAGACCTTCAACGGGTTATTGACCAAGCCACTCACGCTCAGAAGCAAGTCTTTTCCCCCTTTTCAACCGTGTTGCTATGATAACCGAGTATCCAGACTGTTCCTGTCGTTAGCTCAAGATAAAGCGGCCGCCCTTCCCTACAATCGGGACATTGCTGATCAGCGAAGGAAATATGGTGACATCATGTTGCGGAAAGCTGAGGAACATCTTTCGAGTCAACGACAGTACGAGTCTGAACAGCAAGCGCGACTCGAAGCTGCCCGACAGAAACGGCTGGAAGAAAAATTGCGACTGGAAGAAGAGGAGGTGCGTCTTGCTAAGGATTATGTTTGGCGAGATTCTGACAAAAAAATAGCGACTTCGCATGGAGGCGCTCCGCATAGAAGCGGAAAAACTCGCTGAAGAGCGTCGCATTGCCAGGGAGCAGGCTATGGAATGGACGAGGGAAGTCAAAGGAGACAGTGATGAGGAGAAAGAGAAGCGCCCAAAGAAGGCCAAGAAGCCACGAAGTGACCATGTCAGTGGGGATGAAGGAGAACCGAAGAAAAGGCGTCGAGGCAAGCTCAGGAAAGAAAAGGCCTCAAGTGAACAACCAGAAGAAGAGAACATGTTCAGCGAAGAAGACGAACCGCAGGAGAAGCCCAAGAAGGTGTGTACTTTATCAGTTTTTGATTATGACCGGGCATTACGAGGGATCTTTCGGGCTGACGATTTCTCCCTTCAGCCTCGTGCGGCCAAAAAGCGAGTTGTCAGGGATGATGACGATGAAGATGGAGCTGGACCGCGTAAGAAGCAATTGTAAGTCTCTCTTGATGTTTCTCCGAGGTGGGAACGAACTGACTTTCTCTTGTATAGCAAAAGCAGGGAGGTGCTTTCGGATACGGACGACGAGATGTCGTGATTTCTCTACTTTTAATCTATAGTGGCTTTTATTTCTTGTGTTAATCTTACCTGATTTACATTGTTACAGAGTCTAGCGTGGAATTTCAGAGGTTCCGAACGCTTAGGGCCTATTTTCAGTCTTCCGCATTCAAATCTTTCCATCGCAAATCCCAGCCAAGAACTCAACAACGTGGTCGGGCACGTTTCCCACGTGGTTGAGAGCATGAAGACGGATCGGACAAAGTTCGTCATTTGGTCGGTAACAACCACGGCCCCCACGACGATGCGGACCGTCTTTGAAACCACTTTCACTCGCAGATGCACGATCTTCAGGAGCCTTGAGGATATTCTGGGGTGTGCTTTCCTAAACTGTCAGCGTAAATCAGGTCATGGGAACACGAGACTGTTCAACTCTATTCCACCCTCTGCTTCTTCATTCATTCTCTTCCGTTCTACCCCACATTGTAATCTAACTTTGCTTCTTTCCCAGAGTAGAATACCGACCTGTGGTATGTATTCGACTTGATATCCGTGACTCCAAACTCCCCATGGCTCAAGACGCGCCAATGACCCGCTGATCCAGTTTCTCGAAGAAGCGGATGATGCTCGGTTGTATCGCCTTCTCGACGATGATCGCTTTCTGAAATTCGGACATTCGACCGTTATAAAGGAGAAGATTGTCTTGAGGTTCCGCTGTCCCCTCACGGAGCCACCATGATTTACGGTTCTTTCCTCCTCAAATTCGTCACCCTCTCGTTGGTGAGCAGCGCCCTTGCTGCTATCAACCAGCTCCAGCAGATCAATAACTTTGGTCCCAACCCCACCAATGTGCGGATGTACCTCTACCGACCCCCGAATGTGGTCTCCAATCCCGCATTGATCGTCGCAATGCATTACTGCACCGGTACCGCCCAAGCCTTCTTCTCTGGCACCCAATACGCCAACCTCGCGGACACCCACCGATCCTTCATCGTCCTCTACCCCAGTGCTCCCGACAGCGGAGGATGCTGGGACGTCCACACCAACGCCACCCTCACGCACGATGCTGGAGGTGACTCGCTCGGCATTGCCAGCGCTGTCCGCTATGCTATCCAGAACTACGGTGTCGACCGCAGCCGTGTCTTCATCACTGGAACCTCCTCCGGTGCTATGATGACCAACGTTTTGGCCGGTGCTTACCCAGATCTCTTTGCTGCTGGTTCTGCCTTTGCTGGTGTCCCATATGCCTGCTTCGCTGGTCCCGGCATGTGGAACAACCAGTGCGCCAACGGTCAATTGAGCAGGACTCCTCAACAATGGGTACGTTAGTTCAAGATTTGGGGAATAAAGCGTTGGGTTGATTTGATTTCCTCAGGGTGACCTTGTTCGCTCCGGATACCCTGGATACACAGGCCCACGACCCAGGATGCAGCTCTGGCACGGTACACAGTGAGTATATCTTCGTTTCCTCAGTTTTCAAGTACATTGAGCAATTCTCCACAGGGACACCACCTTGAGCTACAACAACCACAACGAGGGCATCAAGCAATGGACCAACGTTTTCGGCTACACCACCACCCCCGTCCAGACCTTCCAGAACTCTCCTCGCTCTGGCTGGACCCGATCCGTCTACGGCCCCAACTTCCAGGCTATTAGCGCTGCCAACACCGGCCACAACCTCCCTGTCCAGGAGAACGAAGCCCTCCAATGGTTCGGAATCATCCCCGGTGCCACCCCACCCCTCGTCACCACCCAACCTCCCATTACCACTCAACCACCCATCACCACCCAACCTCCCGTCGTCACCACCACCCAGCCGCCCCCAGTCGTCACCAACCCTCCTGGAACCAACTGCGCCGGCAAGTGGGCTCAGTGCGGCGGCAATGGCTGGAGCGGTGCTACTTGCTGTGTCTCTGGATCTACTTGCAACAAGTTGAACGACTGGTACTCTCAATGCCAGTAAATTCGTTGATCTGGTTGTGATGTAGCTGTAAACGCATGATGCAAAAGTTCCAATATCTCTCTTCATATTCGGACCACTTGGGTGGTATAGAATCGGCGTTTGAGTCTCGTAAGAGAGTATTGGTAGAATTACATGGCTGGGGGAGCCTTGGGCTTCCTGACCTTTGCCCCAGTAGCCTCGATCAGACCTTTGAGCTCTCCCTTGACGTGTAAAGTTTGCAAGTTATCGGAACCCCCGATTGACTTTCCTTGGATGATAACGTTGGGGAATGTCGAGTGCTTCGTAAGACGTGTCAAGAGTGCCTTGATGAAGTGGCCGTCGTCTGCAGGGAAAACTGAAGTTCTGGTCTGTACATGTATTGCAGAAACTAACCTCGGGTATCAACCTCTACGACCTTGGGTGGCGGGTGGATGTTGTAGCTCTGAAGCAACTGCTTAGCGCGGCGAGAGTATCTGAGTCGTAATACGGTCGGTCAAGATACGACTACGGAGGAACAGCAGTGCTCACGGGCAGTAGGTCTAATAGCAACCATCTTAGTCAATTCATTCACTTTCAAGGAAGGGGGCTTGACGTACCTTGCTGAAAACGACAATAGGATGAACTTTATCGATACGGGCGGCTTCCTTACGCCATTTGACATTTGGATTTCCCGCTGCGTAGATATCCCAGTCCAGTTGCTGTGTCACATCCAAGTGCTCAGGTTCGTTGAGAGCACGACCATTATCCTCTGTGCTGGTGACAAGATACAGCAAACCGTAGATTTCGTCTACCTTAGACCCCTTGACCAGCTGCACGACGTTAGCCCGAGAGAGACTTGGAGTTCTGCGATCCTTTACCGACGCTGGCAATTCCCAAGGAACGTAGAAAATGAACACGAAGACGAAAAGGATGGCGCCGAGAATCAGGCCTCGTCTGCTCTTTCGTGTTGCACCTGCGGCCATCTTGCTATCTTCTTCCTCCTAGTCGTTGTCGTCGTCGACGGTGGTATAGAGACGATAAGGATGGCTTTTGGTGCTGTTGGCACCGTGTAGAACGTGGAGGAGAAGAGTATGGGAATTGCTGTTGGTCATCACGGAGATTCAACATCAACACGTCGGTGCCTTTGGCGCTAATTTGGGATCTGCACACCTTTGATCGCTCTAATTTCGTCTTTACCGTCTATCCAGTCCTTCAGTAAATTTCCTAGCCAAGATGACCCAGAAAATCGCGGATATTGAATATGTTCTCTTTGATATGGACGGTATGGCTTCAACGATGGTGGTGGTGGTCGCAGTCCAACCCGTTTCTAATTTAAAACACCAGGTTTGATGATCGATTCTGAATCGATGTATACCTACGTGACCAGTTCGTATCTGAACTCTTAAAAACGTTCATGACATCGAATACTAGCAACAGACAGGATTCTGGGACGTTATGGAAAGGAAATGACCTGGGATATCAAGGCAGGCTGCATGGGCAAACGTGAGTTTTCGACCAATCCCCTTCAATCTCGATGTACTCAAATCGCTTTCAGCGGAACGCGTCGCAGCAGCCTACCTTCTATCCCACTTTCCAGACATAGACCTGGACATAGAAACCTACCTCGAGGAACGAAACCGCCTCCAAGATGAAATGTGGCCAACCGTAAAGCTCCTTCCTGGAGTCAAGAAACTGGTCCAGCATCTCAAGAAACACAATATACCCATCGCAATCGCTACTGGGTCCCGGAGGTCTAAATACATTCTCAAGACCTCACACCACCCAGATGTTTTCGACTGCTTTGAAGGGAAAGTTGTCTGCTCCGACGACAAGGAATATGTTTCGAGAGGGAAGCCCCACCCGGATATCTTCCTCGCGGCTGCTAGGGAGCTATTGAAGAGGGATGTAGGTGTTCCCGATGCAGAGCCCACGGAAGCCCATGCACTCGAAAGATCAAGGGGCCTTGTCATTGAGGATGCTTTGACTGGTATGCAGGCAGGCAAGCGGGCGGGGATGAAAGGTACGTCAGACCTCAAATTCATTTTCAATCCCTTTTTCAGAACGATATCCAATGTAGTCCTCTGGGTTCCGGATGCCAATCTCCTCAACGTTGCGTACGAAGGAGCTGAGGTTGCCGACAAGACGATAAAAACTCTAGACGAATTCGTGCCCGAAGAATGGGGTCTACCGCCTTACGACCTCGAGGCGTAAAGGGTGACATAGTGATATACCGGCCATTCATCTAATTGGACCTAGGGTCGACATCTTATCTCGTAAGTTGTGGTATAGATATACGGGTTGCAAACCAGCTGCCAATGCACTAGAAATACAATCCAACCGAAACTTGTCTATCATCCAATCCCACAAACCCCAGTTCATCATCTCTGCCTCGGCTTGGACACAGGGCGAATGAGCGACCCAGGCGGCGTCACAGTCAACCTCAGCTTGGTCAACGGCGACGAAACACTAGGATCAATCGTAAATCCTTTCGGAATCTTCACCGTCTCTTTAGCCTTCCGCGATGACGGCGGCGATTCCTTCCTCCTCCCTGCTCCTGTCGAAAGGTCTTGTTCGGAAGCGATCGCCACGGGAGAAGTTATGGGTTCGGCAGGGTTGGGCCTATTCTGACGGATCACTTGAAGTGGTCCGACTCGAGCCTGTCGAAGTGTGGCCTGCACGAGTTTGGGAGGCCGAAGCGAGGAGGTTCGTATTGGAGGGATGATTGTCGTGCCAGTGGGTTTTGGTTTCTTGACCTGACCGTCAACGGATTCAGAAGGCGGTTTCGTGTCCGACTTCGGTTGAAGAGGTGTGATTGGGGAGGTCACATTGCCTGCTAGTGAAAGGGCCCAGTCAATACAGCTGCGTACAAGAGGAAAAGGTAGTCGTCTCACCTTTCACGCCTACATTCTCCTTCAGACCAGCAGTTTTCTTGACCACCTTCAAAGGCATCACGGGCTTAGTGTAATCATAAACCTTGACGGGGACGTGAGATTTGGTCGGTGAGTTAGGTGGCAGACTAGTCAGCTTCACGATATCGGAGGGAGTGGATGTAACCATTTTAGATGAGCTCGCTGAAGTTGCTGCGTCGGCCGGTGTCACTGTCGCTGTTTTCCGACTGCTGGGACTAGGTTGCCGAAGTGGAGATCTGGGAGGGATCCTAGGAGGGGTATTCGACTCGCTCGACCCTTTTCTCCTCGATGCCGAGGATCCCTGACTCGACCAACTCGAGTTCGTAGTCCTCGGGGAGGTACTGCGAGGTTGGACAACAGGGAGGGAACTCTTCCGGGGAGTGCTGGGTGCGGGGAGGTTAGGGCGAGGTTTCAGTACCTGAATCGAGCGAGCGAGCGTCGACTTGGCGTTGTCTCCCATAAAGCCTCGTCGAACGGGCGTGGGGCTGGACAGGGACCTCCTCCGACCTCTGGATTGCGGCGGTGGCGAGGGTCCATTGCTGACAGATGAGTTGGTGTCGGCATCCGATGGCGATGGGGACAGTGTACCATCATGGTCGGGGGAGAGTGGGACTGCCCATCGAACGGACTTGAATGTAGTGGGCGTAGTTGGATCGACAGTCTTCACAGGGTGCAACTCTGCCGCGCTGGGCGATGCACCGACACTCGTTAGATTCTCTCCTGCGTCGTCTTCGGGGCGAATAACCTCTGCAGAGCTAGAGGATGGTAGGGTCGAACTCCTACCCTGCGACCGCGATTCCTCCGTCATTTCCAACGAGCCTAAACTGGTGCTACTGAAGGCTGCGCAAATTCGTTCCAAAGATATCAACGCCTGGCAGGCGAGAAGTGGGCTGGGACCGGCATCATCTGAATCGTTGAGAATATGGCCGGGTCGCCTGTTTTTCCGCGATGAGGCTGGAGGGAAGGACACGCCCTTCACCGTTCGACGAGTCGATGAGGCCTCAGCAGACATGGTTACTTCAGGTTCCACGGTTGGTTGGCTACCGTCTGCAGAGGCCTGTGAATCAGCGAGCCGCTCAGCAAGAGCCTGTATCATGATTCAGCGAAAGAACAGACGACGAAACTCAACGACACTGACCGCAAGTGATGGAAGCCGGTCGTGAATAATGCTAGAGCCCTTCCTACGCGTAGAGGGCAACTTTGTAGTCCTACCAGGCGATCGCTGTGGTATTTGACTAGATCGGTCTAGAAGCCTCGGAGGGCTATCGATCGGAGACTGAGACATGGTGGAACTGGGCGGGGTAGCCGGGCGCTCGTGGCGATCGATAGGGGCTGCGGGGTCGACCTCTTCCGGGAGCGGCAAAGTTGAGGAGGAGGCCGCTTCGTTGGAGGGGGTTGTCGATGGTGGGCAGTCGATGTCCGATTTTTGAGTGGGAGGTGTGAAACATCCAGAATCCCTCTTTCTCGCAACGTCTTCTTTAAGTTGGCCGATCAACTCGTCGAGTACTTGCATCCTGGCTGTCGATGAGTCCGCCGCGTCCATTTTTTCGAGTTCCGAGGATGAGGGAGTCACGGTGTTTGCTAGATTTGGGTCCGATTTCGCCAGTAGCTTCCAGAATTGGCTAACCCTGTGATTTTCGCGGAGCTCTTTACGAGCGTTGATTGTCAGATTGAGAGCGCAGAGGTAATGGTCAAGAGTTCGAGAGCCTTCAAGAGCGGGGAGATGTTCCAGCCAGCTCGCCCGCGTATTCTCGAGGGTCTCCTGAATGGATCGCAAGAACGATCCGGCAGATATCCGTGGGTTGTCTGTAGATTGCGAGAGTCGTTGAAGGACGGGAATGCCCAGTTTGAGGTCGACCAAGTCCAAGATGAACCGTTCAGCCTCTGCAAGCTTCTTGTTAGCATCGATAAGTTCAGTGTGCATCTGATCCAGTTGCCGACGAATCGCTTTGGAAGCCCCCAGTTCTTCATAGTAGTTGATTCGCAAAGAAGCCAAGTCTTCAGAAGCTCGTTCCTTTTCGAGGATGACAGAAACAGTGTAGTCTTTTAAGATTTCGTTCTCCTCTTCCAGACTCTCGATGCGGCGCTTCAGTTCCAAAAGCTGTCGTTTGTGCTGGTCGTCGGCAGAGGAGCGTCTGTGTTGCCTAGACCCGACAGGTGTTGTTGCGGCGCCCTTGGTCAGTTCTTCGATGAGCTCGACAGGGATATCAAGAATAGCAGGACCTTCCGAGAACACGCTCCCATCGTACGAAGCGGTAGACTTGATCGAGTCCAGTGAAGGCGAAGAAGGAGAAAGATCAGCCGGAGTCAAGCATCCATCCGAGTCCCCGGAGCTGTCCCCGCTGCCCCTTCGAAGACTGGGCTCGGTGGTGTACAGATCGACGACGGAATAGCTGCTGTTCATGACGATGCTGACAGGCACCAAGAACTCGTCAGGACTCGGGCAACATGGGCCTTAAACTGGAGAAGTCCAAGCATAATATCCGGTCCAACTTTGGCTGACATATTCCAGAGAACAACTGCTTGCAGTCAGCCATATATGTAGTGCTGCTCGTCGTCGACGGCGGACGCGACGAACAAGCGTCACAAAAGCGGAAGGATCAAACCCCTATCAGTTCTGAGTCAGCATGATGGCAATGATGTAAACAGTCCCAGTGCGCTAATGGTCCCGCTCAGGTCACCACAGGCGCTGCTGTGAACTTGTCTTCTTGAACATCGACGACCACCACCATGAGCCAGTATCCAGTTCCGCCGCCAACGTATGGGTCAACGAGCCCAAAGCCAAACTACCATTCTGTTGACGACACCCGCGACCCCTTGCTAGGGGGTAGCAGCCAGGGGGGTTACTACAACCAACCAGCGCCTGGTGAACTCCCCGACGATTTCAAGGTTTGTCTTGTAAACTTCGACCACACAGCTGGCATACTGATAAGCATGGACCTCAACAGTATGGTGTATCCGTATCTGAGAGTGCACCTGAGATCCGTGCTGCGTTTGTTCGCAAGGTTTACTCGATTCTCTGTGAGTTTCGCCCTATGTTCGATAGTGTTCCAAATCATATTAACCGACTGCTCTGCACTCCACAGTGGCCCAAATTGTACGGAATAACTTCATCTGCTATACAGTCAAAATCTGACCATGTTCTGCATCTAGTTCGCTACCTGCGTTGTTGGAGGACTCGTCTCATCGTCTCCCTCGGCTATCCTCTGGGTTCAGGCCAAGTACGTCCGCAGCTTCTCATCGTACGACTTCCCCGCTAACGGTCGATTAGCCCATGGTCCTTCTACGTCCCTCTCTTTGGAACTCTCATTAACCTCGGTTTACTCTATTGGAAGCGCCACTCTCATCCATGGAACTTCGTCTTCCTCTCCACCTTCACGCTTATGGAAGCATTCACCCTCGGTATCGTGACGGCCTTCTATGATGACAGACTTGTTATGCAGGCTCTGTAAGTCCTGATGATATTTGCCCACAATGGTTGGAATTGACACAATCATCTAGGCTTATCACCCTCGGCATCTTCCTTGGTTTAACGCTCTTTACTTTCCAATCCAAGGTATATATCAACTTCGCATCGAAGAAGCCCGGCACTGACCTCGTGTCTTAGTATGACTTCTCGGGAATGGGGCCCTTCCTGTTTGGCACCCTCATGGCGCTACGTAAGGTCAACTTTCTAAAGCTGTTGGTTCTTGCACTTACCGTCGTCTGCAGTTTTCACTGGTTTGATTTCCATCTTCTTCCCTTTCAACCGCACCTTCGATATCGTCTACGCCTGTGTTGGTATCCTCCTGTTCAGTGGATACATCGTCTACGACACCTACATGATCAACAAGCGCCTGTCCCCTGATGAATACATCATGGGTGCTATCAGCCTCTACCTCGAGTGCGTCCTTGTGTCTTTCCCCTCTTGCTTCATTCACTGGTACTAACCGATGATTTACCTCTCAAGCTTCATCAACCTCTGTAAGTATCACTATATTTGACTGGGTTCAATGAGCAGAGGCTAACACTAGTTCTAGTCATCAACATCCTTCGGTTGCTAGGCGATCTTCAAGAACGTTAAGCTCACGAAGTCTGAAGCCACGATCGACATCAAGGTCTGATCCTGTTCAGGTGACTTCGTGTGCAGAGAAGTTCAACTCTCGAGTATTCGTCTCTCGTATGACCGTCTTGATATTCTCGGACTCGATCTGCTGCGTTCTGTATGTACAATACATCTACGGCTTCTTGAACAAGTAGTGCCCAACTCCCCATCTGTTTCGTCATGTCAGCGGGTGGGATACTAACCTGTTGACTACACGTACTGTTCGCCTTTATCTATCTTGAAGAACTCAGCACAGGCCATGTAGAAGACCCTGAACCTGAGACGAAATGAGATAGGTGCGCGTGTGGAGGGTTGCTGCCTGTCCTACCGGTTGAAAGCCTTCACGCCCTCTATTTCTGGTCTGTCATGGTTGAGAGCATCGACTTTCAGTTCCTTCAGGCCATCTGCCCAACGGTACATGCTGAGTCGGAGGTAGGGAAGTCCGTAACACGATACATACCAGCTGCATGAGCATCCTGAAGCTTAAGCCAGTCTTCGCAGGTGCGAGAGTAGTGTGTGCCTGGGAGGAACCAACTGCGGATCAAGGTGACCTCGGACTGGAAGTAAAGCTTTGAGGAGAGTTAGTATACTGGTGCTGAAGGAGGGAAACAAGGGGAGACATACGAAGAGATCAAAGGAAGGCATTGTCCCTCCCGAGAAGAAATGCTTGGCCATCCAGCTGTCGTCGTCGATGTAATCATAAGGAGTCGTTCGGTGGCAGAAAATATGGATGAAGAGAAGGGATTCCTTTGCGATATCCTTGACCGAAGAATCAGATTTATCGTCGCTGGAGGTTGTACTGGGAGGCGTGGATCGAAGCCACGATGAGACTTTCTTGAATAGAGCTTCGTAGTTCTTCATATGCTCGAACATCTGGACAGTTTGGTTGAGAGGGGACGCGGAAGCAGAGCCAAACTTCAATACCTCAATGGAAAGAACTCTGTCGAATCGCTTCGACTCGGGAAAGTCAAACGTATTGACGTCCGCGGTTATAATCTAGAAAGTATATATTTCTCTATGAGTACGTGGGTATGAGGTGCGTTAGCTTGGCCAAGAGCAACAGACCTCGAGATTGTCCAAGCCACGCCTTTGCTTGATCGAGTCGATGTGTGCCTTCTGGGTGGCTGAATTGGAAAGTCCGACTATCCTTGACCGAGGGTATTTCTGTTGTATCCGCTTTGAGAAAAACCTTGCAGGTTGGAACATTGGACACCGCGTACCTCTGCAAGGAAGATGGACAGGCTGCCCCATCCACACCCCAAGTCCAGAATGTCCAATCCGTCCCGCAGATGAGCCTTCTCACAATAACTTTCGAGCATGAGAATCTCGGCCTGCTCCAGCGTTTCTCGCCCAGTTGGATATAGACAGCATGAGTATTTGGCCCTAGGTCCGAGAGTCGACAGAATGAATGCCGTGGCGACCTCGTAGTGTTGTTCATTCGCTTTCTCTGGGACTTCAGCGATAGCGTTCCGGGCCCGAGCAGCCGCGAGCCATTTCATCTTGGCCTCATGATTTGCCTCCAAGCTCCCGTGGTCGATTTCACGAAGTCTTTGTCTGGACAAGCGGCGAACTGCGAGTCGAACGAAGAAGTCTGGGATGAGCCCCTAAATCAGAGGGTAAGCGCCCAGACAGAACCTGCGATAAGAATCAAACTCTTACCCTGTCCAGCAAGCCGTAGACTAAACTCATTAGTATCGTTAAAGGCTGGGTTGGTCGCGGTCGTAGCCAATTGCAGGGGAAGAGCAAGGCTGTTGGTGGGGGCAACCGTTGTGGATTACCCTGATGGTTTAAACGGTTATTAAGGCCACGTTCCCCTCTTCAGGCTTCTGTTCCCACTGCTGCCAGCGTAGTCCTGACATGATCAACTTAATGAGCTTGATTCCCTTCAGCGCTGTCCTGTCAACGACTGGTACCAAGGCGATCTCTTCGTGAATGTCTCTGCACGTCGGTGATGATCGTACGCCAATTGCGCGATGTGGGGCTCCCGGCGTGTTGCTCATCGTCGAGAATTGCGAAAAGTGCCGAGAACTGGTAACTGGGAATGGAGACGGGTTTCTGGGAATCGACCTTTACGGTCATTGAACACAATTGCACACCGGCGGTGAGGGTGACCACAGATTCAGAAGGCACTTTTGGTCGCAGAATGTGACGGTCATCGCATACAGAGGCCAATGTGCGGAGTTTGAAACAATCTTGTTTCTCTCCACGAACATTGTCAATCATTCCCAGTTTGCTGCGTCATGTCGTCGTTAACGCCTTTCACTTGGACGTATACTGAGGACGCGACGACTACGCGACGAACACTACCTCCGTCGAGATCAAAGTACTAAAAACCGTAACCCTCTCCGTGATGGTAGACAAGAGCATCAGAGGCCAATTCAAGGTATATGTTGTAGCCTTAGTATGAACATTTGTGTTGAAAGGGGTTGAATACTCCAGAATGGAAGCTGATCATTTCATGTGCAAACTTCTAGCCCTCTATCGTTCTAGGTAAAGGCAAAAGGCTATAAAGTGCAAACCCCGAGGGCACAGCAGGGCAGGAAAACAAACAATGGGAACGTTTTCCTCGTCGTCAACCCCGGCCGTGACTCCGCGCATCGCACACACATACTACCGCCCTCGTAACTGAAGGCCAACTATTCACGTTATCCCGGCGACCTGATAAGCCAGAGGAATAAAAGCTCTCCTCTCTGGTGTCTCAAGTATCCTTCCTGCCGGGGTTAGTCGCAACTCGAAATGCTTCGCGCTGGCATTCTAGCCAGGATTCGAGTCCCGCCTCGCACTTTCCTTCTTGTTTGCCTTGCCGCATTGATAACGACGCTCTTCGTTTCACATATTCGTGACACAGCTCCCCGTCGTCGACCTCACCACAACCATGGCGGGCCCAAGGCTAGCGAGCATTCAGTGTCCGGTCGCGATTGTCACTTAGGAAAAAATTCTTCATCCCTCAACCTTGCGTTCCCTACGCGTCATTTCAGAGGTAGGTACAATTCTCCTTCATCGTAAACCTGGCCTGACCTGCGCCACAGACAACCTTCGTAATGATACATACTACATCACGTCGTGGGCGAAAGCCGGTTTCAGTAGGCCTTTTCTATCCTTTTTTCACTTCAATGACTCACTCTCAATTCCTAGCAAATATGTTTATCAGTTATGTTCGTCGCTGTTCTTCTTGGGCGCCCACGATGAGAACTCAAAGGCATTGGTCGTAGATGCATCTAATTTACCTAGGTTTTCTCTCTGACCGAGTGCCAATCCTGCCTCCGTTTGTTCCTGATGATCATATCCGTATGTTACTTTCTTCATCCGAACTGAACAGCACCCCCACTTATCACCAAATAGCCCAGTCGGCTGGCGCACTACCATTTACATCGGTATTCAAGTTTCATCATCTCCGCCAGCACCTCCGCATATCAATACTAGAATGGTCCCAAGTGAAAAGGCTTCCCGGACTTCGGTCTTCGAACCCCAACAGTCTCTACAGCAATCCCAACGTGGAATCTATCGGATGTTGGTCGACACTCCCCGAAGAAGACGGCCAGTTTGTATATCCGCGCAATACAGAAAAGCTTTTGGGTCTGGACGTGGCCTACACCAAAGTCCCTAGATTCACGAGAATGGATCCAAACGACGACCGGGATCCCAACGTCAAATTCCACTCGTTGTCGGTTACTATCACGCCCAAGCACAGCTACGCTCCTTCAGATAGCTATCCTCTTGCGGCAGCCTCGCCGTCTGGAGTGAATCTACCGCCGGACGAGCATTTGTCCTGTTATGATTCACTTTATTTCGCTACAAGTGGGGTCTCCGATCTGGAGTGGAGATATTCCTGGGGTCCTGCCTGGCGTCGTGTTGGAACCCATTTAAGATTTACCGATCACCTCGTCGACCTTACGAAGAACTATTTGCGCCAAGCATTTGCTGTACCTCCAGGAGGTGAACTTCCGCCGGTAAGGCCAACAATTTTTTTTTTCTCCTTGACCTGTGCTGAACTTCCTCCCAGCTCATCACAGTACATATCCGCCGGGGGGACTTCGCAAATCTGTGCCACGACGAACAGCCGTGCTTGATCGAGCCAAGCAAGTTTGCCAGTGCAGTTTCCGGGATCCGCCAAAAGTTGTCCGACGACCAGGGACTGAACGTCACCCACGTTTTCGTCACTTCAGGTTAGTGGCTATCTATTTCCAAAACACCTTGTCATTTCGTCTGGGGTTGATTACGTGCTAATATTAATCCTTCTTCGCGACTTTCCAGATGAAGTTGACCCCCAGTTCTGGAAGACCATCGACGGTTTTGGATGGAAGTATATCAACCATGCCAGGGAGCTAACAACAGAACGCTTTGGCCCGTGGTACCCACCTTTGATTGATACGGTGGCTCTGAGCATGGGAGTGGGGTTTGTCGGAACCGATAAATCCACATTTAGCACCTTGAGTGCGTGGAGGGTGAAAGATTGGAATAGGGGGGAAACGAGACTGGTCACTCGGGAAGACTGACAGATGTACTGTAGCGCTCGAAATAATCCTACGGGATCCTCCCAACCCAAGAGTAATGACCCTGCTCCAGATCTGGGTTTCCCTTTCCTTTCTGGATCTCAGCGGCGCATCCGAACCAAGGACCCAATCTAGGTACTCCCCACATGTCAAGTCAACAAGGAGGTATTCCGTTTGCAGCAATGTCGTTATCTCTCTAGATCGGTATGGCTTCCTCCGCCGACGATTCCAAACTATCCCACTGGGCGCTCCTCCCACTCGAAACACACGGTGTCTACGTAATATTGGGTAATTTTCATTAAGACATTGGGCGTGTGACCTGGCCATGTACGTTCAGCGGACTCTGTGCCACAATCTTTCATTGACTGTCCCGCGAAATGGTCAATTGAAACTTGGCCTCACTTTCCACGGGCTCCCTTCACATCGCCTCGTGTATTCGCAGGACTCGCACCCATTCAATATCCTGACGTTTACTGCTCCGACGAATATTACTCGTTCTGCTTTACCCAGATCTGCAGTAGCCATTCAATTGACTCCCTTCAACATCGAGGGGATCTTCAAGCGTGTGAGTTCATGGAACCGTGCTCGTTTCTAGCTTACCGGTGGCCGGTGACCGTATGTAACTCAGTCGCTGACGGGCAACTGCTGTGTACTTGATGGCTACATAGGTTATGCAGAGGGTCACAACATGAAATTCATCCCGACGACTCACATATCCAGGCGTTTGCCCCCAGGCTTCGGATTCTGAATCTTCAGTCGAGACTTGAACTAGGCGCCTGTGTTTTCGGCGCTTCCTACCGGACTCCACCGGAAGGGAGTCGCCGGCAATGGGTGATGATCAATTGATGGACTGATGGCATCTGGCACGGTTGTCCCTGGCCATCGCATCCCGATGATTTTCCGCTTTTGCTCGGTCTTCTCAGTGAGATTCTCAATTTCACTTCCTTCCTAAGGATTCCAACCCTTTCGTTTGTATCTGAAGGCGCAATGGACCAATCTCGCCGTCTGTGCGCGAAAAGAGGAGTCCATACCACCCTCGGTACCTTTCACCATGACGGGCGAGATAACGCAAGTGGAGAAATAGATAGCCAACATTCCGCTTGTCTAAACCGCGTCGCGACCGACGGCTGGCTGGCTCCAATGCTCGCATTGCTTTGCTGGCAGCTCCAATCGACTGCCGTTTCCCGCCAGCCACAACCTCTCTCAGCCGTGTTCGCCGCCACCTGGTTGTAAAAGGGGACTTCTGGAAACCCCCACCCCCTGCACTTTGGCGATATCTCTTTCCCTCGAACCAGGCGGTCAAAACGTCAGAGACCGAGGTTACACTACCTTGGACGTTGTACCCGAACTTAGGTCAGAGGCTAGCCATGGTGATTCACGGAAACCCATCGATGCGTTGGCTCCCCCGACTCTTGGCAACTGTGTCGATATCCATCATTTTTAGCAGTTCGCTTTCCCTTTTCTGCCTGGTTTACTTCTACGATAAGCCCAGAGAAGCTTGGCTAGAATCCCTCCCCCGACCAAGCGGCTCATCCGACTCGAAGAATCACACTGCTCCTGGCAGTGATTGGCTTCTACCACAGACATCCGAGCCGCCGTTTGGATCGCACTTGGACTCTTGGGACACCTCATACTATGTGAAGGGGGAGCCGACAGAGCTATTCAGAGGTGCGTGGGACTGTACCATAGAGCGACTTGTAGACTGACAAGTTGTGCTTCCAGATAACCTCCGGAACGACACTTCCTATATCACATCATGGTGTAATGCTGGATTCAGTGAGCAACCAGTGGCTGTTGGGCTATGACAAGATCGCTGATTCCTTCTCGCTCACTAGCTAACGAATTTATGGAATACGTAGGTCCTGTGTTGGGCTCTTAAGACGTCTCTTTTTGATTGTCGGTGACGCGATCTAGATCAACTTAATTTATCTTTCCATCCTCGCGGAACGCGTTCCAATCATGCCACCTTTTGCTCCACACGACCACATCAGTATGTCTTCTCCATCTTCTCGCAGATCACCTTTTCCATTCTTCATTTACTGGCGCTAAATCCCTTTCTTTCTAGGCCCGGAAGCAGGAGTGATACCGTTCGGCGAAATCTTCAATCTCACCCATCTCCGTTCGGTGCTGCGGATGCCCATCCTGGAATGGTCGGATATCAAAACGTTACCGATAACCTCCTTCCCCCAAGTCTATTCTACTCAATCGGTGGAACCTCTTGGCTGTTGGTCGACACGTCCTGAAGAGACCAACGACCCTGTTCGAAACGATAACCTCATGCGCCACTTGGGATTGGATCCTTCCTATACGAGGATGCCAGATTTGATTAGGCAGAGCGCGAACAACCGGGGCGAAAACCACATTGTCTTTGCAAAGGTCGCTGCCGCTGTGCATCCTGGCGGACCACTTGTGAAACAGGACGACTTGCCTATCATGGCGGAATCCCGGGAAGGCCTCCGTTTGAAGCCTGATACCCAATTGACTTGCATCGACCAGACCTATTACATGACTTCCGGGGCAGAATATTACGAGTGGAGATTCGCTTGGTCACCCGCTTGGAGATTCGTTGGGCGCCATGCGAGGTTCACCACGACTGTCGTCGACCGTGCGGAAGGGTACCTGAGGCGCACGTTCCAGCTCGGCCCCACGGAGGAGATGCCAAAGGTATGTCGGCTGGTTTAGCAACCTCGTTTCCGTGCGGAAAGGCTAATTGCGTGTTCCGACATAGTTTATTGCGGTCCATATGCGACATGGTGACTTTATCGACAACTGTTACTTTGCAGGGCACTGTTTGTCTACTGTAGAACCTTTCGCGACCAAGATAGAACGGATGAAAGAGAGGTTGTTGGAGGAACGGGGAATCTCGGTTTCCCATGTCATTGTCGCGTCAGGTATTGTCCCGTTGAGTTTTTGCTTGCGTTGCACGGAATAACTCACTCTCCCTCTAGATGAAACGGACCGCAGCTTCTGGGAGGATATTTCATCACGCGGATGGTATCGCATAGACCACGACGCGGAAAGAACTAAGGAACGCTTCGGGGAGTGGTGGCCGCCGCTAGTTGATATCGTCGTCCAAAGCCTGGCCACGGGCTTCGTTGGCACCGAAGATTCTACCTTTAGCTTAGTGAGTGGGAGGAGAGTGGCGGATTGGAACAATGGTCTGTATATCATGGTCGATGGACGGGAGTAACTGATCGGATGGGCTGCCAGACGCCCCTACTTGACTCAAGCACGCGTAGGTACTTAACACTTACTTAAATCACACCCCGTGTATGGATGGTCGGTGGCGACCATATCTGCATTGCGAATATGGACTTTTTCGACAGCCCACCTATTCTCCACTACCATTGTAACTTGTTAGGGTCGCGCTCGTCGCGGCGTTGTTGGGTGTATGCGCGCCTTTCGTCATAGCTTACATCCCATCTTAAACTGCACACAAAGGCAAAGGACACCTGCTTCGCCATCGCGGTGATAAGGAGTGATGCTTGCCTTTCGGATGATTCTCGAAATTGACCATTCTTCTACTGAGGCACTTCCAGGTTCTTAATCGAACTATATGGAGTTTCAGAGGCAGGGAGGTGGTCTCGGGAAGTTCAATGCAATGGGTTTTAACAACGCTATTCAATCCACCTGGATACAAATCCAATATTAATCTGACCTCGACATTGACGTGTCCAGCCGAATAAGTACATACTAAGGCTCCGAGCCTCCGACGGTGGGCGCTGATCTTGACGCACCCGGTAATCGAAAATGGATCCGTTGCATCTTTGCGAGGTCATTGTCGCGTCCTATTATTCTCTGAAAGACCTCCAATCCGTTACAATAACGGTTTGGCTTGACTATCAACTTCTAAGGAATAAACAATACCGTAGGACTTGAAATTGTGTGTAGAGGCTGACGTAGAAAATGGACAGGATCAGAAGCCGATACCGGTTTTGGGAATTGCGACCGGGAGTGGGACCGAATTTTGTTTGATAAGGACAAGGCTAACGAAGACCGCTGGCTTTTTAGTTTCCCTCCCTTATATTACAATCCGGTCCTCTGCAGCGTCTCCCCACACATTCTTTTGCTTTATCTTCTTCTTTTTCTCGTAGCTTGCAATGTCATTGCCGCTCACAGACACTCGCTCGTCACTGCATGACCCATTTGACCGGAAGGTCCCTCCGTTGTCATCCACATCATCCTCGTCTTGGCCCATCGTCCCTCAGCTCCTCAATGTCCTGCATCCAAGGAAAGCAAAGTACCGGAAAACCTTCATCGGGCTCACCTTCATTGTGTTCCTGTCGACCTATGTGTTTCTCATCCACGGCTCGGCACTTTCTCCGACATTAGCGCTGCGACATACACAGTCTCCAGCCGCGGACCAGCTCGCAATAGCTCTGGAATCAACAGAGAACTCAAGAGTAGGGGAAGAAGGTTCACGATTCATTCCGCTGAACCCCCACCGTCATGATTCCTCCACTCGTGGTCGCCACCGTACACAGTACCCCGCGCTTCATCTTACGCCAGAGGAGGAGCTTGCTGCAATCTCGAGCTTCATTGCGAGTTTGCCTCAGAACGTCATTCCACCCACCGTCAACCCTTCTCGACCCATCGACCCAGAGCTCGTGCTAGATTTTGACACCCGGAGTCCACGCGCCGCCGACGAAGTGCGGGTGATGGTTCAAGATGTCTGGACCCGGAACCCGGTATTCGTCTATTCGAGAGTAAGTGACATAGTCTTCGATTTGATTAACATTCGGAATACTAACGCTATCATCGTCTTCACTAGCTTTACTCACCGGCGTCCCGAGAACTCAAGTCCATCCTTTCCAACTTAAACCTTTATCCTGCACCCACAATCATTGACGTTGACATGCGTGATGACGTCGATGTTCTCAAGCCCATCCTCGCCCGGTTAACGTCGTACCCCGAACTTCCAGTACTGCTGGTCGGTGGCAAGACTGTTGGAACTGTCGACGAAGTCCGGGAGATGAGCAAGGACGGACGGCTACAAAAGGTCATTACGAGTGCGGGTGCGGTGGTGAATGGTGCAAAGAAGAAGAAGGGCAGGAAGCACTGATGATCCTGTCACTTTGTGATCCTCTATCTTCTTCCCATCTTCTTTTCTTTGATTAATCTGTCAACGTCACCCTCCACGCCATTCTCTTACGACGAACCCTGGCAAGCCTTGGATCATCGGGGTATTTTTAGACGACCCCGCACTCCGATACTTGACATTGCCACGGACGACGAGACGACTCGGACATTCAGAAGAACGACAATGTACACCGCGGGCCTCCATCTTCTTCCTTATCTATCGCTTTGGATCTATATTGGTGTACACAAGGGGCCTTTCAATTCCTTACGTAGAGGTCTTTCGCCATCTGCTGACTCTGCTTTCTTATACTTATAATTCCTCGCCCTCCACCCCTTAATTTCTTTTCTTCCCGCTCTTCCTTTCGCTTCTCGCAGGGGGGAATCAGGGTTCTTTTGTGCGCTTTGCCTGTATTGTCTACCTTACCTCAAAGAGATGGCACGGTGTAATTTGGGTGTAATGCTTAATTCTGTACTTCTTCGGCGCTTCACCTTTGCACCACGCTCCCTTAGCCACACCCCATCCCGCAGCCTACAGCACTCGTTCTAAACGCTTTGGCTATCTACTAGCACCTGCTCGTCGGCACCGACGCCAGGACCTTTTCCATCGGCCCATCGTCGAGCCCGCCGCGATTAGCACAAGCACGACCTCTATTATGAGCGTCGGAGCGCCTCCATTCTTACTACCCCTGTGTACATTCCTTAGCTCTTCGATCAAGGAGTGCCGGCGATCCCCCTGGACTTCGAACGTCGTTGACTGGCCTTAGTATGGTCGTTTGCAAATGGCCTGAGCGCAAGGTCTCCCGGCCTTTCGAATCGAGATGCGTGGCTTTCTCATCCCTTCTATTCGATGTCTCCTCAGTCGCGGGCAAATCACTTCTGCTGTCGTCTATGCTGTCGTATAATAGGTTGCGTACCACATGAATGATAAATTGACTGCTATAATCGTACGCTGGCGAACTTCCAAAACTCGTCTGCCAATCCGAAGACATACAGTGGTACTGCAGTTCGAATTCGTGGGGAAGCCTGAGGCCAGTGTATTAGGAGCTGTACCTCGTATACGTACAATTGACGAGCTTCGAACTTCGAAGACGAGCGTCCGTGAATAGCTCCAACCGAGCCAGTTCGACCTTCAGATAGTATCGACCTAGCCGTCCTCGACACCGGTGCAAAGAGAAGTCAGGGGGGAGGGTACTAGATCGTGTGCCACGGTGGGGAGATTCTAGCGAGGGCCGCAGCAACTGTGGTCGCCAGCGAACGCTTCCGAGGACTTGCTTGGGCCAGTTGAAAGACCGGGAAATGGATATGGGGATCGATCATCATGGCCCTGAAACACGGAAGCCAGGAGGGAGTGGGATATCCGAGAACTAAGGGGGATACCGGCGACGAATGCAGCGAGGATGCGACGAGAATAATTTATATATCAATGGGGACCGCTTTCAAAATTAATGTAAGCGATGTCGAAGGTCCGAGAAAGACTAAGGAACGTTGGTTATTGTTTGAAGAGCCTGCATCATAACGCCGGAGTATGATGACCTCCCAAGGATGGCTGCTATCCGGGATCGTCAGTGATACACATATACGTCGGTAGCCGACTCGCGCTCGCGAACAGCGCCGCTCCTTCGCCCGACATAAGGTCTTCCACGTGGCGATAGGCGACTCAATTTGACTTCCACCTGCCCGCGATCCCAATCTGCGTGGCGCTCGAGTTGTGAATGATCTCTGCAGATTGTGGTAAAGGATGCCTGTTTTGTAAGTGTTGTATTCCTGGAGAGCCGAATAACAGCTGGGGGCTCAAACTGACTCCAACTTGTGGGAGAGATGAGATGGAGCATATGGAATAAAGATGGAATCGGTCAACCAAGCTGTGAAACGTCGAAAGGCGACCGTCGCCCTGACCGACACTGTCGCATCAAGGCGCATCACAAACCTGGGCCAGGCCTGACCCTTCCTTCCAACCTTTTACACCTCCAAAGATAGCGCTTCCCAGATCGCGTCGGGATGAAAGAATGATATGGCGCTCACCTATTACGCCCTTCGCCAATTGAGAAGGCGCAATAAGAGAAGCGGACCCTGCAATATTCACCCCTTGCGCCACTGCCCACAGCCTTCCACAAGCGATTTCCGATTCACCAGCGGCGTTGATTCCAACCTATCAAACAATCATCGACGTCGGAGGGGTCCCCTATCGCGCCGCCACCCTCTTCCACGTGGAATTAACGTGGTAGAGGTACTCTATTGATTTGAATGGACGAAGCGGAACAGGTGGCGGCGAGATAGAGCCACGAGACGAGGGCAGGAACACCAAGACAATTCATTGGCTCAGTGGCTGCATGGATGCAGTTGGACTCCAGTGCCGTGTGCGAGATTTGCAACGGTGAAGTACCTGACGACAGTGTTCCAGCTCAATTGCCCGGTAAAAAGTGAAACGTGCACAGATAGGGATTCATGTGTGTGAAAGGACCACCTACACCTTCCGTCGTCGGACAGTCTGGTGGTTGATGAGCGCCGAATGTCCACAGTGGGCAAGGGAAAAGGGACGAGTGCCGTATGCGAGAATGTCCAGACAGTTCAAGACAAGGCTCGGTTTCCAACCACCTAGAAAGTGCCGGTGCAGGGGCCTCAACCAACGGTGGGAACTTCGCATTATAGCAGGAGCAAGTGGTGTAGCACTTTTACGGTTGAAATCCAAGAGAGGAGAGGACGCTGAACCGTAGTGCCGCCGTGAATTCAAAGACGAATCGCCCGCCGACCTGGGCCAATCCAAGTCCGCCGATTCGTCCAGAAAGAGAATCCAACCCCGTCTACAGGAAGATCCCTTGCCTGCGGGGTATGTAGGTAGTAGCCAAACCAATCATAGAGAGCCGTCGACAACGACAATCCGTTGAATCAAACTGAGCCGAGTGGGACGAACAGAATGAACAGAATTCCAGGTCGTTTTCCATCAAATTGAGCATTGAGATGCTCCGTTGTCGGGGTTGATTCCTTTGGAAGGTGTAGCCGCCTGTTAGTAGTCTTGGACGGTGATTAAATGGCTTCGCCGTGACAATGCTTACATCAAGCAAGTCGTTTGTGAAATGGGTCATCCTAAGTTCGGCCTTGACCTGTAGGCTGTGAGCCGTAGTGGGCCATCAAGGAGACCCACCTGAACGCCAATGAATTCGAAGGAGCTATACAAACATGCTGTGTATAGCATGCTCACCTATGATTCCCAACGGAGATGTATGTGTGAGTGGCAAGCGAAGGAACGGAAAGTAGGGTAAAGTGGGCAACTTCCAACTACACGAGTCAAGAGGTCTCCGTCCTTGTGATTCCCAGTAACGCCATTGTACCTCTCCAGTAAGATAGATAGGCTAGATAGAGGCAAAAGCATCATGTAAGGTTTGTCAAGGCTTGAACAAGGAGGCTGGCCTGCTGTTGATAAGATGATGTTGTCCCGTGTTGACAGCCTGATTAGATTTTTAGAAGAGGGTCACCAAGAGTCCGATGACCTGTCGGAGTACGTCCTTTGGAGGTTCTGGATATTTTTGTCCTAGTCCGAGCGATGGATGTTGAAGTACTAGTAGACATCGGGCAGGTTGCACCTGGGGCAAAGACGGCCGCATAGAATAGTCGTGAGCGTAGGTCACATGAGCCCATTTCAAAAGATCAGTGCAGGGCGTTATCGCCAGTGAAGCGTGGTACGACCTAGGGGATTCAGACGTCCCAGGGCGCCTCCACGGTTTGTGAAAGGTGATCAAGTTCGAGATGGACAATGGATTGGAGGAGTCGTTGGGGACCCCGCTCGAAGTCCCGTGGTTTGCTTCTTGTGCGCTGAATGCAGACCGAAGGCCGGCCGTGTGGATGTGACCATAGATGACCACATTCAAGACTGAAGGAATGTGGGCATGAGCGTCCGGATGACGGTACGAAGGAGGTATCAGGTGCAAAGCTCCGACAGACACCGACCCTTCTGGCAGGGCGGCTATGCAAGCAGTCGGCAAACGCCGAGAGCCCTTCCATGCCAAGTTGCCGTACCGATTTCGCTCATCCAGAGACAATTGTGAGCACTAGTAGGCGCCCATGTTCAATTCCATGATGGGAGTGGTGCTTTCATGATCATAGGGTATGCAGTATTCGCTCAACCTTTTGGCGGTAGTGCTTGCTGTCAGGAAACGATCGGTAACCGGAAGAATTGGCCTCTCTTGGGCTCTTCGGCACAGATAGACGTGACAAGCGCCACAAAACCGATCTACTAATAGTGAGTTCACCTGTATGAATGTCATACAAGTAGCCCGTGGTACTCGTGGAGCTTGTTCGACAGCCTTCCTCGTTCCGACCATGAGGTCGCATATCCGAGTTAATATGGCTTATTTCCTGGGTTTTCCTTGAAGGCAGCTGCTGCCCATCCTGCGCCAGGGCCCTTTGCAGGAGCCCCATGTTGCCTCGATCATCGCATGGATCGCATCAAAGTAGTTAATCAAATTTTTCGCAAGATGCCGGAGGTTTGCCATTGGAGGGTGGAGGAGGTGAACCTGCAAACTCCGTTAATTATAGGTCGCTCCTCCCCGGTCTGAGGGCCATATCCAGACGTGCGAACGTCAAACGGCTCCTGGTACGGTGTGGTATGAAAGCCGAGGTCAACTTAGGTCAACCCTTACATACATAAGCACGACCATTCCATGAAGGAATGTACCAGAGACCGTCGGATTTCGGACTCGCAATCAATAGTCACTGACGCATTGTGGACGGCTGCCTCAAGACTGACTGATTAAAAGATTGCATCCTTTCGGAACAGATACACTGTTTATGTGGACGATCAGCCTACTAAGGAAAGTGGAGACCGTCACGCAATCCGTGAAAGAATTTTGGGAAATCTAATCATGTCTGTGGGGATCCTTAAAGGAAATCCATGGAGGTTCCCGGATTGACTCGGTAATGCATCTATTGTCCGGGAGAAGACCTCTTCCCAACGCCAATGTGAAGCGAACATAGGTCATTTCTGAACTCCATGCTGAAGATATCTCTAAGTGCCTTCAAAGGTAGACATAGCAAGTACAGTCAAGATGTAAAAGAGAAAATAAATCGAGTTCCAGGAGTTTTACCAATATTTCGAACCTTTTAAGGGCACGGTTTTACGCCAAGGCGATCGCAAATGACCATCTGGTTGGGAGGCTTCAAAGAGATACCGCATCACCGAAATCATTTTGGGACCCTTAGATACGCACCAGATCTGGAGTCAGGTCTAGTCAGGTTCAGGTTCGTTGCTAAATTGGCTCTTGTCTACTAATTTGGAAGGCCAAGTTCTTGTCTTTGCGAATTACAGAGACTGGGAGCAGGCCTGAACATATAGGCTCTCTTCCCGGCATCTTCCAGGAAGCGGAGTCAAAATTCGGGCACTGGTCCCTGGGGAAGTGCATTGAATTTACGAGCTGTTAGGCTACCTTCTAAACAACGAGGAGGTCAGTTGACAGGGCTTTTCGAAACGACATTCGAAAGAGAAATGAGTGACACAATGCAGCTGACTTCGTAATGCATGTTCTCGCCAGTCCCATTCGTATTCTTCCAGGCACACTGCCATCAGGATCATTCCCACCGGTATCCCCTGCTTGTAGTTGCTAAAACTCTAATATTTGCAAAGGAGGTTTAATTCAAATCTCTAGATCCAACCCACATGTCGTAACGTCGACAACCCATCAAACCTGATTCTAGTGGCTACTTGTTGTGGGGTCCGAGCGAAGCGATTCGCCGCTCTTTATAAGTACCAGAGTCCCTCCAAGAATTCCACTTACCATATTCCTTCCTCAAGCCCCTTCGCCATCCCTTCCACCCACCTGGCTTTGTCCAACTATCCCCACTACTCCTCTACTATTATGCAGCGAGCAACTTGTACTGGAATCCGTATACGCTCCCCCGCCGACGCCCGTGTTATCTTCCACGCCGTCTTCAATGACATACTACCTATCGTGACAAGACGTCTGGACACTGAAGAGAGGAGTCTCATACAACCTGGAGCCGTCTACGTCTGGGAGGAGCGAGGGCCCCATGCAGAACTAACAGGAGTACGTCTTCGGTCGCCCACATCTGTGACCTTCTATTTACCTGGTGCTACCTCCTAGGTTGGAATCGAACGCTGGACAGATGGTATGTAATTCATCCGATTTCAATGGCTTTCTTCGTGCTGACCACTTCTGACAGGAATTCGCTGGGGACCATCACGAGTGCGAGAGGTCAGTCCAAACGCCCATGCCACTACTTGGTCCGCCGCAGGAAGCTGATGCGAGTATTTTCCTCGACCAAATAGGGCTTTCTCTTCTATCACGAAAAGTCCCAGCAATCATATTCTGACCACCTCTACGGGGCCGATAAACCGTCAGTATCTCGGTGGCTCTCGAATCTTATGGAATGCATGTGCTAACCTCTGTGTGTATCGAAAGCAGACATAACCCACGGGCCGTCCTCATCAAACAAACATACACCGTCTTCGTCGATACCGCCAGAGGGCAACGGAAATGGCATCTGAGTACGTCTAACAGCTTCTTAGGGACTTCCATACCCACTAACTGTTCCCCATCAGTCGCTTACTTCACAGAAGAGTCCCTCGACCGGCTAAAAACCATCGAGGACTTCCCTCAACTTGCCTACCTCGAAGTCCCTCCTGGGAAATACAAGAGTGCTCGGTCAGCCAAGGGGAGACCAGACAACTACTTCCAATCTTCGGACGCCGATTCGAACCACTATTCCCAACTCGAGTATGTTTCCTATGCCCCAAACCGACGGACTTCGCCCAATCGCATCGAAGGCACCCCAAATCGACCTCTCACATGGGTAGATACGTCACCCCACAGTGAACGATCGTCAAGACGGCGGACTCACCCTTACAGTCCGTCTTCCGCTGACGATAGTGGTTCCGATTCTGGCCTAGCTCCTCTCGCCTATCTCCAAAATATTCCACCTCCCCGAAGACATCCTATAGATGAGAAAACACTAATGCTCTTTACGGCTTCAGGCCGCCTGTAACACTAGCCCACCCTACCACGCATATCCGAACAATAGCCCCTCTGTCTAATACGAGTAGTCAACGAAATGGAGCCCCATCACTGTATTTTTGGTACATACCCTTTGTTTTATTAGCATTCAACACATCTAGTTAGTCAATTAGAATACACTATCCCCGGTGGAAGCGAACGATGACCGTGATCACCGCCCATTATCACCTATTACAGCACAGCCTTTCCGTGCCCTCAGGGCTAGCCTCCTATTGTAAAAAGCACAGGATATGACCCGATTTTCAACGAGAAACTGCACACAGTTCAGATAAGAATGACAGTGTGAATGCTGGGAATGATAGTGTATGTAACTTCCCCGGCCAGAAGGGAACGAACGGACCTACAGGTGACCCAACACTCGACGGAGATCGCGAGCACAACACCTCGATATGGTGCTACTATATGTGTGTCGGCCCTTTACGGGCTTACTAAACACACATTCGTCAGTCTGACTACGGGAGACTAGCGTCGACCGGCGTTCTCTGGATTGAATTCTTTGGGTTCAACAAATCAATTGATACAAAGAGATACGCATTCCTCACCAAATTCCAATCAACGGATACCGTCATTGAGTGGGCTTGACGACGGCGGAAGTCACAAGGTACTCGGTTGCCCCGTTAATTGTTTACCGGGAGGTCCATTTCTTCTGTCGAGAGACACATGGTCGACTTGTTGAATGAGGAAGGTCTGGGGTCTTGGAACACATCGGCTGCGAAACTCCAAACTAGAGGCTTCTAGCGAATTCATTAGTTGGAAACGTAGATGTCTTTCTTCTAATTTGAACACCACAAGGGCGGTCAGACAGAGCGTTCTATCGGCAGAAGCGACGACAGCCCTTGCCGGAAAGCACACATGTATGTACCCTAGACGAAGAACATCGTCCAAACTCTGGGCCTTGACGTCAAGATAAGGCAATGAAATCAATTCATTGTATTCGCGGTTCCATCGTGGGGGACTTCAACGGCAATCCTTGATCCCGTATGCAAGATCTGGCGAAACCGTCAGAAATTTCCGTCAGATGTCGGCCGTTGTACTGGGGAGGAACATAGACACACCGAGATCTCAGGAGCCAATCGCCCCGGGTACTGGGTAACATGTACCTTCCCACCGGTGCATCCAACATAATGAAGGTTCATTGACTGCTCAATGCATATGTGGCCTTGGGTCGGGCCGTTGAATGGGATCGAGTGACACTGGTAAACGCACGTTAGCAGTGAGAATGGTCGAAGTCCACGAAACGTCGAAAGGCCAGAAAAAGAGTTCGTGATTCTACGTTGGCTTTCTGACACCAGAAGCGCCGGGGCCTCATCGTGGGGGCATCGGAACCTTGAGCGCGTGAAGCGAGGCTCCTTGCCAGAGTTGGAAGAGGCTGATCATGGATACGAAAGCCTATGAAAGAAGATACGGCGTCCTCATCGAGAGTCAGGATGTAAACGTCTGCGGGCGTTCAACACCCATTTGACCATCTCTCTCCTAAACTTCCGCCTAACACCAGATTTCGAGCTCGTCGTTAGGGAACGGGGCCCTTTGGGAAAAGTGAGCAGTCCATGTCTTTGGGATCGAATAAAGCGGACGCTGTTTCAACCCGAACGCCACTGAGAATATGGAACCTCCTGGTATTACGACACATTGGTTGAAAAAGGAATACTCAGCTTTGAACGGATGTCGATGTGGTGAAATCATTTGATTAAAAGGTGTACCAAATGTAGGTGCATATATTCAGTCTCTCTTCGAGGTTACAGCAGTGGCAAGCAAGATGCTCGGCAGACTTTGGTCTCCAATGCTGTAGAGGAGCGTGATGGAGCCAAAGACGACGAGCAGTAGAACGATAGTCGTTCCCGTCAATAGGACGAATGGCCTAGATGGGAAGAAAGAAGGTCATGAGCTACTTCCTCTGGACAAGGTTGAATAGTACTCACCCGCTGACATCCTTTCTCTCACAACTTTCACCAACCCATCGATCGGTCTTGACTTTGTCACCCTTTCCTGTCTTTGTGACACCACAGGCACAGACGTAGCAGGTGCGACCGGACTTGGTCGCCTTGACACATTGCCCTCGACTCGAGCAAGAGCTGGTCTTCTCGTTACAGGTGTCGACATCAGCAAAGCAAGTTGAGATGGCACCAATCGGTTCTTGTGGGAGAGGGTGATCTGGGAAGGGCGATTGTTGAGGGTTCGGAGAGCGCTTCACAGAGGAGGACGACTGGAAAGTGAGAATGGCGACGTTGAAGTGTGGTTTGTTCTGAACTGCATTCTCCAAGAACTCTCGTAACTTGGAAGCGAAAGCGCGGTACTCGTTGCTTGTGGATCCGTATTTCTGTCGCAAGTCTTGCAGCTTGGATACTTCGACCGCAGCAAACGCGGGTCCGGTGGTTGAATGGAAGAAGTCGGCCAAGTCGTCGACGTCATCCAACCTCCAAGATTCTCTGGGAGAGAACAAGTTCGAGTAGGCGTGGCGGGCACGGTGAAGGTAGGTAGAGACCACTGATGCCAACGAATCAATGTTGTTGGGAGTTGGCACTTGCTCTATCGTTGATGAGGCCTTGAAGTCGGACGATAGCACCGCTGGACACCGGTTCAGACCGCAGCTCAACTTCAGCATTAACATGCAACATACCATTCGCATCGTCCTCAGTCAGAGTCAGCAAAACACCGTCCTTGACTCCGGCGCCGACAAAGTCCTCTGCAACAGTCAAGGCATTAGGAGCGTCTTCGAATCGTTCCAAACCAAGATGACGCGAGACGGCTGCACTCGCGGCCTCGAGCGAGTTTACGCCGACAGCATAGTCTCGAGCAGGATACAGATAAATATTAACTGCCTGGGCGACCTGCACACTGGCAGACAGCACCAGACCGACTAGAATATGAGGGAGCATGTCGCTGGAGGGCGCTCCGTCGTCGTGGTTGGCAGTGAAGGGCTTTGTTTGTCCGAGTTTGTACGACGTCCAATAAATGGCATTGCCCGAAGGCGGCAAGTGGGGAGATCGCGCAGACCACGACTTTCCACCAAACTTTAATGTAAACCAATCCCGTCCTGTACTCGATTCTCAAATGCAGACTATTCTGAATCGTAGTCTCGACGTTATCGACCCATTCAAATGGTAAGAACGCGAAACAGTGCACCAGAAGCAGCCCCTTGATGACTCATTTGTTGTAGTGTCTTCACCGTCCCGATGGCCATCCAACAAGAACATCCTAAGAAACCACCGCCAGAGCTGCCACCTGAGCTATGGCTCGAGATATTTCAATTCGCCACCTACGTGCACCGATCCGCCTCAATCAAGCCATTAGATCCCTTCGCCGTCCAGAGGATATCGCGCACTCCGATGGCGGCCAATACCCCGGCCCTAGCATTGTTCACAAAGCTGGCATTGGTTCAGGTGTGCAAAGCATGGAGGAAAGCGACGCTGCCGATGCTATACGAACACATCGTCATCCGGAGTCCGTCGAGAGCCCAGATGATCCTCAATGTGCTGCGAGGTAGCAGGGGAAGTGTGGCTTCACCTTCGCAGTCGCCGGGTCGAAGCGTTGGTTACGGCTCCTGGACGCGTCATATCGAAGTGCTCACCCACTCTAGAGGTTCAGGGAGACTAAGCTATCTCCAGACGATCTTCTCTATCTTCCAGCAGTGTCCAAACATTCGTATTCTGAGCGGCATTTGGACGCGCCCACTACCGGAGGAATTCCTCACCGCCGTAACAAAGCTCTATGGTCCCTCGTTGGAAGGATTGTACTGGAGTGAAGCAATGGATATGCCTCACAGTAACCCCGTCATGTCACCAGCAGCCACGTTTAGGTTGCTCGCCTCGTTCAGGACGCTGCGAATTCTCGACCTCAGGCATGTCACACCGAAGAACGGTGCTTCGGAGCCGTACAACCTTGACTGCACAGAGTCAAGTACCGTCCTCCCATTTGTCGAAAACCTAATCGTATCGAGTCACAGGCGTAGTCTCGACATTGCTTCACGTCTCTCCCTCCCGAGACTCCAGAACCTGACCATCAAGACACCCCTACGAGACACCATTGATTACCACAAACTCAGGAAGTTCCTGGCGGCCCACGGGTCGGCTTTGGTGTCAGTCGACCTCCCTTCACCCTCCCCCGACAATGAATTGGAACCAGATTCATCGTTCCTGCGTCGGGAAGTTACTCACATAAATCCAGAACTCTTCCTGGACCCTGATACATGTCCCAACCTGAACTCCATCTCCTTCCCTGTAACATCACCGGTCCCGCAGACGTCGGACAAACCCCATCCCTGTTTGCGTCGCATAGGTTTACGCGGTGTACGAGCAGACCTTTTGTACCCAGACAAACCCAGCCTACTCGTTGATCACCTCCGCACCATCACGGACAAACGGTACCCCAACCTCGTGGTGGTGCAAACGATTGGCTACTTGGTGGAAGCAGATTGTGACAACATCAAGAAGGTCTTCCCTTGGTGGGTGGAGAGGTTTGAGGAAATGGGAATTGATTTGCTGGATGGGGAGGGCGTCCTGTGGCTGTTTACCGAACCAGAGCCAGGCAGTGAAGAAGCGGAGGAGCAGGATGGGTCCACTCTGACTACCGATAAGGACCGCACTTCAGATTTATCTTTACCAACGGACAGACCTACTACCACAGCCGCTCCTTAATGATTTTATATGCCACGGGCACGGACACATTCCTTACTCTACTTTATTTCCTGTCATTACCTTAAACCCCTCTAATAAACCAGCATTTATCATCGTGTAACGAACGAGTGATAGGGCCCAGGGAATGGATATCTTTTGAACAACAGATGGTCCCAAACCTACAGCAAACACCCGAATGGAAGCGTATTTTAGTCTAAATATGAACAGAGCCCAGCCTAAACGTATGGGTATATCCTTGGTGCCATTCTAGATTTTATCGAGCACCCTCATTGCCATCTCGAACCCGAGGAATGTAGCGCCATTGGCGAATGGCGAACTAAATGTCGAGTAAGCAGTGCGCATTCCGCCAGCTAACCGTGACAGACGTACCGAATCAAAGTGGGACCCAAGCCCCGGGTGAAGGCGCTGATACCCTCTGTCCTCCATACCGTCTTGACACAGTCCAGGGTGGATTTGTATTTTTGGCCCGTTGAAGGTGAGAACCCGTCAGTTTGCATTCGGGACTTGATCATGTCTATTGGGTAAATGATAGCCCAAAGCTATATGACCGACGTCAGATGAAAATGGAACTCCCTAGGAAATAGGAACACGTACAGCATAGCCGGCGGTTGCTCCGTACAGAACAGAGTTGATAGGATTGATTTGGTCTCGCCTGATCCCCTTCTTGCCCATCTCCCACTGAACGAGCTTTTCGTAGGTCAGGAAGTAGACACCGTAACCGCTTGCTTCACGCCATAATGTTGCGACCTGGCCCTTGTAGACACCCTTGATACCGTGAGCTGACCAAATCTTCTTGATAGCGTCGCCAGGGCCGGCGTATGTGGGGTTGGTGTTTGATTGTGTCTGCAGACCTTTGGGGAACATGAGTCAAGGTCACAATCACGAACAGAGGCAACATACGAATACGAATGTGCTCGACAGGACCAGAAACAACACCGTTAGCCAGGCCGGCAAAGACGCCGGACAGGAAGAGTTGTTGGCCAGTCAAGGTCTTCCCTGCTTCGCCCCCACGCCCCAACGCCAGGTTTTGTGCTGCGAATAGCCTCTTGGCGTATTCCAAAGCTCCGAATTGAATGGAAACACACACTCCAATACCGAGGAGAGGTGTTAGTGTTCCCTGGGAGCAGATACCACGTTGTTAATCCCGACTCCGTCGTACGATACCCAAGGTGTGCAGACCTTGTAGAACGCCAATGGACCTTCATTCTTGAGGATTCCGCCGGCACAGTGAAGCATGCCATTGTAAGTTCCTTTTGCAGACGTTTGCATGCGCTACAGCAGAAGGCATGTTACTTCTCCTGTTGTATGGCGATGGCCAACATGACTCACAACTTTGACAATGTCAAAAGGTTGCCCAACGAGAACCTATCCCCAAAAAGTATCAATACTGTGGTGTATTCCAAGCTGACACGACGCACCTGGGCAATCCCTCCAGCAGTGCCAGCTGTTAGGTCCTTTATCGTGTTGGACATGTTGGCGGTAGGGGCGTTGGGGAAACGTCGGCGAGGGAACCAACGCGGATGGGAGAGGCTTGGACCCTGTTGAACAACATCCCCATTCCGCCAAAGCCGACGATAAAAATCGTTCGGTGCCAAGTCGAGGGGATGGCGATAAGATAACGACCCTAAATCTAAGGCCTCTGCACGCTCGACCAAATAAAGCGGATTCAAACCCTAACTTGGATCAAAACCCTTTTCGAAATATTGTTTCTGCGAACGACTATTACTGGACGCGATGACGACTAGCCGACGACCTCAGACTTGCTAAATCTGCTACTAGATTGCCCCATGGATGTTCAAGTTCAGCCAACAGACCAGTCACTGCCTCCCCAGACTGAAGAGTGGGAAGAAGATGAAGACTATGACGACGACGACAGCAGCAGTAGTGATTCGGACATTGACGCTGAGGCCCAGGAGCTTGCTCGAAGACTGGGCGAGCAGTTATGGGCCGACCTGAACAGTGGTTCTGCAGCGGGGCCTGCTGAATTGACGCCTGCAGTGGCCCAACCAACAAACGCGGTCGTACAGCCAGAAGGACCAACACCATACAAGAAGGCAGAAGAGGCTGCATTACACACCATTAACACGGTATTACAACTCCTTATAAACGACCCACAAGCCCGAAATATTCTCGCCTCTACATCCGTTCCAGAACTCGGCGGCAACGTCTTCGACCTTCTCCAACAATGCGCAACGTCCAAGAGCATCTCGAAGGCCAACGCGATGCCTTTGAGCCAAGTTCTGGTTTCTCTCGCTAGATCGGAACAACTCTTCAGCGGGCTTAGACACTCCGATGCTTCTGCCGTCCAGCTTCAGCAAGGCAAGCGGAAATTGGACGAAATGGAAGAAGCGCACCTACAAGATGCTGGGAGGGTTGCCAAGCGACCTTTTATCCCCGAGCAAGACCTCCAAACTCAAGTGACGAATGCAGTCCAGGGAATACTACAGGCCTTCGCATCTGCTCCTACTCCACTTGACCCGACCCTCATATCCTCTATCCGCCTGCAACTTCATCAAGTCTTCCTGTTCGCCGTAACTTCGTCCGCTCGAGGAGGTCCAGAGATGCACCCGCTGCAGGAAATCAGTGGCTTGATTCAAGTCGTTGGTGTTTTGAGCGGTATCCAAATTGGTCAAGGCCCAGAGGCAGCAGCAGCAGCAAGCCAGTACCCACCTGGCTCTTATCCGTGGATTCCTGGCCACGGCCCTCCACCGGCGACGGATATTGGGACAGCGGTATATCCCTGTTTAATCACCGGCTGCAAGAAGATCTTCTCCCGGCTATACAACCTTCGCGCGCACCAGAGGAACCACGCCGTCCATCGACCGTTTCGCTGCACCGCTTGCCCAGCTTCTTTCGCTAGAAATCACGATCTGAAGCGTCACGTTAAGCTTCATGATCGCAAAGCGTGGAAGTGCGGTTCGTGCCAGAAGATTTTCTCTCGAAGGGATGCTTTCAAGAGGCATACCAACAGCTCGAAGACCCGCGGTCCTAGAGACACCTGTACGGATGCAGATGTGATCGAGGTGGAACTGGACGATGAAAGCTCGCATGAGACGCACCGAGAGGAACGCAGAGCCAAACTCTGGACGGGCATTGCCAACGGGTCGATGCAGGGGTTTTACCGCGAGCATGCGACAATGGAAGAGGGTGAAATACACGAATCGATCATCCATGCTATTCAAGGCTCGGTGATGACCTTGCACCCTGTCCTCCAGGGCCTTGTCGGCAACGTCCTGGGCATTCCCGCCCAACCAGGTCAGCCAGACCCACACATGACTGACGCTGCCGGTAGCCAAGCGACGTTAGCCAGCGTCATCGCTCGAGCGCAGTCGCAGAACCTACCTTCAGCCCTCCCGCCAGACCCTTCGATGGTGCACCAACCTTTGCCACCGCCCGAGGTCGAGCCAGCACCCCCGCCGCAAGACGTGGAGATGACGGCTGCACCCGCCGAAGGACCACAGCATGACCCAGGCTCCACAGGCACGAGTTTGGCACCGTTGACCATGTATGGCTTATCGGATGAACAGACGAAGCTGCTGGAACTTGCGATCGCGAATGCTGCTTTGGCTGCCCAGGCACAGGCTGAAGCGGAGGCCGCCCTCGAGGAGGAAGACGAGGATGAAGACGAAGAAGAGGAAGAGGAAGAGGACGAAGCAGAGGAGAAAGAGGCTGAAGCGCCTTCCGCGGAGCCTGTCACATAATCCATCGGATCTGGTTTGGTGGCAAAAAATACAGTGCGGTCAAGATATACTACTACATGCAAGGTCGGTTCGCTTCGTATCAAAAATACAACAGTGGGATCGTCAAACTGAAATAATTTACATAGGGGCGGGTCTAGTTCGTGGGGATTCCCGCAACAAAACAGCTCTCAAGAAAGCAAAACGGCCATGGTGTCGAAGATCGAAAAAGGGAACATCTACAGCGTCGACATTTTTTACAACACGCTTCATGACGGGTCACGAAGGGCTTACCAGCGGGTAATGCAACGGCTACATTTTTGGTTTTGTGTTCGGCCGTCTTGGAGAGTTGAACTGCGTCCGTACGCTTGCGTCTAGCTGTCGCCATTTCTCCTTGCTCTCTGCACTTTCTCGCTTCCACGCTTCAGCTATTGCCTGTGCTAGCGGGGAGGAGGGGATTGGCGTCGGTTGTGGTGGAGGTTGTCTCCGTGCATTCTGCGGTGATTGTGAATCGGCAGTCATCTGGATTATGGATGAGGGCATACGAGGGGTTGGGCATGTTATTGAGAGGCAGAAACTCGGGTTAAGAGAGGGAGAAGGGCGTACAGCGATAACTCCTGGTCTTCGGTGTATTGGAATGGAACGCGATGCCTGTTCATTCTTATATCATTAGCTCGGGCAAGGAGTGAAGGACGCTACGATCAGCTATTAGAGATTCTACGAACCACGATAGTTTCCAATGATCAGGGTTCACACCCGCAGAGAAACAGGCGAGGGACAAAGGGATATCCTATATCAGGTAAGTTGAAAGGGAGTTCAAAACGGTGAATGAGATCGGGACATGCCGTTTTGGGAATGGAATAGATGAAAACTGTAGAGGAAGAGAACGCCGTCTCGAAAGGTATTGCGGGTTCGGGAGGGAGAGAGGGAGGGAGGGAAGGGCGTCAGTGCGGGAAGCAAGGAGTTGGTGCGTCAGTGGGAGAAGTGTCCGGTTCGCTGATTAGGATGGATTTTATAAACGGATATGGGCTTGGACAGCGCGGGTAACGTTTTTAAGGAGATTGTAAGATCCAAAATGATGGTGTGTGGGCTCGGCCTTGACGTTCCTAAATTTGATGGGATGGGTTGGGGGGAGAGTTACACGCGACTTGCGGCTCGCTGCCCAGCTTTTTTTGCGATAAATCCTCGAGGCCTCATGTTAAGCGCAAGGCTCTGGAAAAACACTATATTTTGCGCATCTACAACGCTCCCTACTACATATATCTAAACTGGATCTAAATGCTCTCGTAGGACGCATCATTCGTGCCCGGTGACAGAGAACGCGTTCGTACACGCCGCTTTTGCATAGTTCAATCGAATACTTCTTCACAGGCTTGTAGAACCTTTCGCGGGTTGACAGTGCACCTTTCCTCCGCTCGAACGGAATGTGTTAGCTCCCCTAGATATAGATACGCCATTGCAAGTGGCTTGCTGTGGGCCCTCGCCACGAAAACCCGTCAATGTCGCAGTAGTCCCGAACTCCCCACCGACTCGGAGGTAAAAGTAAGGTAGAAGCCTGAGATACTAGGGCGTTTCCTTCCCTCGCCCTTCCAAGGTCCGTAATAGAATACAACATTGACTATAATCGCTTGGGGTGTGTGATAAGATCTTTTGAAAGGAGAATATCTGGAGTACTTCGGGGCAACTGTTAACACTAACTCTTTACTGGTGCCAGGTCAATGACCTCTTGTCGGCGGGACCTGGGTATTCACGCCGCGCGGGCGAAGTTGTTAAACTCTGTGATGAAACATGGAAGGAATTCGATTGCAGTACGTATGGAAGTTCTGCATCCCGCCCCTCCTGATACCGTCATATTTCTCACCCAAGCTCCCCATTGACTCACCCAACCGAGAAACGTTCGCACAAAGACAGAAACCTAGTGCGAAAAATGTGTATTCGTGGCATTCATTTCCACAGAGACCGCTCTGGATTACCTCTCCGTCGCCTATGATAGATGGGGAGGAGGAAAGCGCTTGCAGTCTTCCGTCGAAACGTGACGGCATCGTCTCAACAGCAAATTTAAATGAAAATTCGATCACAACTTCGTCATTTGCAAGGGTCCCTGTGCGCCTTTGAAGGTTTTGTCGGCCATCACCACCGCGTAAGTATTGGATGGTGCCACTGGGAGAGCGGGGGGAATGACGACTCGCTTACATACCTGTAAAGCCAAGGGCCACGCAATTCAGATCCAAATGCAATGTTCGGGGATGGGAGAGGAACGATGACGCAGTAGTCGTCTAAGCTCGAGTTCCGTGTAACAGAGCATGAAGTTCCGGCCTTGAGCTATGACGCTATCCACTTGGTTTAACAGCTTTCGGATCGCATTCCGTCGGCGAACTTCTCTCTGTGTGGCCTAAGTATCCGGCCCATTCAGAAGGAGTCTAAAGGGGATGAGCGGTGGACCGGCTCTCCCATCGCGTCTTCCACGATTTGTTTGTTTGATGCGTTTTAATACCCGTGTACAGCGTAATATAGTGCACTTGGAGCCTTGACACGAAAAGTCAATGAAAAGAAACATAAAATCACAATTTATCACTGCACTTTTTCCGCGACCGAACGCGCCCAGCGCTTGCCGAAATGAAATGAGTGTGAGACAGAACTGGCGCCCAAGGCGCCGGCGCTTGTTTTTGATCTGAGGATTCAACGGGTTGGGGAGTCCGTTCCCGCCCCACTGGCGCAGCGGGACACATCTTCTTTTCCTTTCCTTCTCTTTCGGAATCCTGGCCTGATAAAATGAATGTCGAGAGGGCTTCCATTCAACGGGACGGTGCTCTAGTAAAATTTAATTACCGTTCGCCCGGGTTCCGACCCTCCCAGAGTTCTCGAACTCGAATCCACCATTCACCCTATTCAATTGGGTTAACACGGCCGTCAAGTCAGACTATGACGAACTTGGGGCGCGCGTACACTCGCTATATGCACGAGCTAGCTTATCCAGGCTTATCCTCAAAAGAAACATAAGATTCATCAAGCCGAACTTTAAGTTACGTCTTGCCCAGAAGGCTGAAGCTTAAGTATCATACATATATGGTTAATATTGCGAATCGGCCAGGCCATGGCCCAGTAACTTCAGTGCAAACGCCTCGAGGCATTGTGGCTAAAACTCTTTGGGCGACCTGACACTCCGAGTCATGGACTGGGGGCACCCAAGCAAGTATCTGCATGGCTGAGGCTGACTGACTGACTGAACCTTATTTGATTTGGAGAACTGTGCACTAATGGCGTGGCGCCCTCGTACGACATGTGTTCGGACTCCTTGAGCCAAGCGTATTTGCCATTGGACTCACAGAACATCACAACATTTGGATCGACAGGACTTGACAAGTCATGTCAATGATCAATGTCACCAACGTCAAGGTCCTACTATCCCCCACTAACCCCCGCATTCAAAAGGAGAGGAGGCATATTGTGACCACTGTGATACATGCCTGCTTGAATGCAGGCACGCACAAAGCAACTACTTCTCGAAAGTATCCCGAACTCCGGGATCCCTCTTTAGCGCCCGGGTCAGCGGAGGTTTAGTCTATAAAGTATGTGTCCATCATTACACCGATGATAACGATACCGTAGCCCGACAAGACAAAGCAAGACAAAGAAAACATGAAGCACGAGGGAAGGATCACAAGGCGAAATCACGAATGCGCAGCAGGCATGATACTATATACTACGCGATGGATCCATGTAGTAAATGGTGATATGTCCAAAGCAGTCCAGCTGAAACAAAATATACTACCAAGCGGAAGAGAGAAGAAGGTTGAAAATAAAGGCCAAGGCACTGCCCAGGATATGGTTGGGAGTGGCGTTCCAGACGCTCGGCGAGGCACCACTGAGATCATTGGCAGTGGTCTCCCTCGAACCTGGCGTAGGGACAACTGCCTGAGTGTCGACTTTTGATTTGGCGGTTCGAGCGGAAGGGTTCCCGTTCAAGGATGCATGGACTGTAAAGGTAAATGAAGAGTCACGTCCAGTCAGCCCCCTGGGTCGAGAAAAATAGTCTTTAGACTCACTGATAGAATCCAGGAGCGTATCATTGCGATCGCCCCCCGCTTCCCACATCGCAAAGCCCCCCAATCCAGTTGAGTAGATGAAGTCACCCTTGGCCGCGTAAGAACGCGGATTTTCGTACGACACGTAAACCTGCGTCTCGGGATTATAAACGAAGGGCTGCAAAAAGAAAATCGAAGCGTCAGCAAGGAAACAAACGAAAGACTATATCTGGGATGATGCAGGACGAAATCCGCGGTCGAAGAAAGAAATCAGAAAAGAGAAGACGTACCGTTTCGCTGCAGTCGTCGTACCGGGACACAATTCCCTCTGCAACCGAACCATCCGCGTTCAAAAAACCTCCCTCGAACAGACCCCAGTACGTATAAACTCCTCCGGGCCCCCAAGTGACACCACAAACGTCCATACCGCCTTCCCCATCCCAGCGATCCCCTCGTTTCCGATCGGCAGGTGAATAGCTTGGGTATGCGTTCAACTGAGAAGAATTCGACCGCGAGAGGGCGACCACAGGCGAAACATCATACGAATGACCATGCGCGGGGACTCCGAGGACCAACTTTTCAAGTGGTATCCCCGCCTTGGTCCATTCCTCAATCGAAGACACAGCCGACCCCCACTTGGCACCGGCTGGTGCACATGTATCGTCCAGAGGGGAACGAGACCCGGCTCCGACGGATGGATTGACGGGAACGTCGTAGTTCATCACTGCGATGTAGTCTAGGACTTCTGCGAAGCCGGAGACGTCGGTGGATGGAGAGCCTGAGGCGTCGTTGAAGGGCTTGACATAGACGGCGGCTGAGAGGACGAGGTCGCGCCCTGTTGTGGTGTTTCTCAGTTCGCGGAGGAAGGTGAGGAAGTTGGCGGTGTCGTCCTCGTGGACGATGTTGCATCCCAGACCTTGCATGTTAGGGTACTCCCAGCTGTGAGAAAAAGAGGTTTAAAATAGTTCTGGGAACGAGGCCAGCACGACGCACTCAAAGTCAAGGCCATCGAGGTTGTATCGGCGCACAACGTCGAGGAGGGTGTTCACAAAGGTCGTTCGGTTACTTGCAGAGCCCACTGCTGGAGAGAAAAAGCGAGAACCAGTCCAACCGCCAATAGAAAGACTTGCGGTTACGTTCTATACATGAGTCAGGTTTGTTCCCCTTTGAACAACAGGAGGCGACTCGCATGTCGATGGGCCATGTCCACAAACTCGGGTAACAAGCGCTCATCCGACTCGTCCAGCGCGAGCACATCTGGACTAGGCGTCGTTATCCTGCAACATCCCATTAGCAACGGTTCAAAAAAATCAACCATTTATCACGCACCCAAAGGCATAGGTCATATGAGTGTATTTTGACCAGCTAACTCTCGAAAGTGGGAAATCTCTCGAATGCCAGCCAGTGTACCACGCCGCTACGATGAGATCGTCTGTCGGTGCTCTGCGCACAAGCTGTTCATCGTGGACCGCAACGACGGAGAGGGTCAAGGACAGCAACACCAACGGCAACTGGGCAAAAGTAAGCATCTCGCCGCGTGTGTTCGTCGAAGAAGGAAAAGGAGGAAAGAAAAAGACCGAAAGAGAAAAGAGTGTTTTGAGGAAGGGCTTTTCTCAGTCAATGGAGCATGGAGGATGGAAGGAAGCAAAGTGGGGATGCACCAAGGTGTGTGATGCTGGTGGCCGTGGAGACAGAATCGAGGCTGGCAGATCCTTCGGCGTGATTACCGCTTACTCTCCGCTTCTTGCTGTTAAATTACAGAAGCTTGCCTCGCTGTTATGCACGATGCGACCGCATTGCTTGCGTTCTTGGACGACATTTCTGAACCAGACGCGATGTTGGAAGACATTGGACAAGAATGGTCGACGGTTATGATGGTGGCTTTCCGCGTCGCGATCGAGGAGGTAAACGGTTCAGAGGTATACAGATAAGATTAGATTGTTCCTATTACAATATCTACAAGTTGCTCTTCTTGAGGCCTTGGGCAATGTCGTCGCCAGAGACAAGGAGGCAGGGTCCACCATAGATGACCCGGTCAGCCAAGTTCTCCTTGATGTACTCGATAACAGCCTCATCCTCAGCTCCGGGCTGAAGCCAAAGCGCCGGAACATCGAGTTCTTTCGCCAGTTGCAAGGCACCAAGGGTCACCTGGGGGAAGTGGGTAAGGATACGAAGAATGTAGAGGGAAAGTTATCGGCGTTCTTACTTTGGGTGGCGTAACGATGCTGATTGAAGTCTCCTTGGGGTTTGGAAGGTCCGAGACGCTCTTGAGCGTCGCGAGTCCCTCGAGTTCCGACTCTTTCTGTAGTAATTCACCGGCGTTGGTGTTATGTTGTTCTCCAGAAAAGATATAAGTCTTACAGGATGAAGAGGTGTGACTTTGTACTCCCGGGCTTGGTACCATTTCAAGACCTATTTTGCGGGGTAAGATGAACTAAACCCCACGAAAGGCACATGCCCTGCCCCTACCTTGGTTCCGTACTTGGTTTGGTCCTTGGAGGCCCCAATGACAGCGTAGTACGGAGACGAAAGGAACTTGTTTTGGATCTCGGCGGTGGTAGGAGACATCGTAGTCGACAGTGTCCTCAGAGTCACAAGTACTGAACGGTGGAAAGTGAAGAGAGCTCTGGTGGTTTGCGGCCAAAACGCCATCGCGTCTCCACCCTATTTATTCTCGTCCCCCAATCCGGTTACCTCCCGACGCCAGGTAAAAGAAACCACCTTGCGACTTCGGGCAGTTAGTAAGGTCTGTGCATGACCGTCTCTAGTTCAGCGTTTCATACCAACGGAGACGTGATTCAAAACTCTGAGTAGGCTGTCGCCGACGGTGGTCAGGGTAGATAAGATAAAGCCGTCGCGATCGCGTTTCGCTTGAGTGGATGATGATGGCGTCACTACCTCTCAAGTTCTTACGTCCATCATGGCCAATTGGCCAGCTGCTATCCTCGACAAACTACCACACTGGGCTCGCTGGCCTTCTCAAACAACCGTCAGACATGTTCTCTATGGAATCTTGATTGGCATTTCGTTGTCGTTGACCACCTCGTCTCTCGCTGGAGCGCGTCGGAAGAAGAGGAAAGAGCGTATTGAGGAGAGCTTTCCTCCGCGACCTATCGAAGTTCGGAGCGACGAGATTGTCAATGGGGTCACTGGATTGATAGGTGCGAGGTCCTCTCTACTTCTCAGACCGTTATACTGACCCTGTAGCAGGTAATACACCGCTTATGCGAATCAACTCTCTCAGCGACGCTCTCGGTGTTGAAATCCTCGGAAAGGCCGAAGTGCGTAAACCACAGCATACCATTGTATCTACAGCCTTCTTATCCTTGTTTCACAGTTCCTGAATCCTGGTGGAAGCGTCAAAGACAGAGTAGCCCTGCGCAGTGAGCTCATCTTCCCGAATCCATAGCATACACCAGGTTCTTATCCCTTCGGACAGTGATCGAAGATGCCGAACGACTGGGATACCTTCGTCCATACACAGGCTCTCGTATCTTCGAAGGAACGGTTGGGTCCACGGGAATTTCAATCGCGACTATTGCTAAAGCCAGGTTCGTCGCGGCTTCGACCATATGTTCGCGTAACCGAACTGACCGAATGAATTTCACCTTGCTACAGAGGATATGATGCCAGTACGCATGTGTTTTGTATCGTCAGACGGAAGTGTCGTAACATTGCTCGACAGCTATCATCATGCCGGACGACATCGCTGAGGAGAAAGTAAAAGCTTTGCTCTCGTTAGGCGCTGAAGTTGAACGCGTCCGACCGGCGAGTATCGTTGACAAGAAACAGGTATGTACCGCACCCTCCCTACTTCTTCACTTGAAGACTAACTTACTCCGATACATAGTTCGTGGTAAGCATCCCAGTCTCAACCACCTTGCACCCAACCCAATACCATCCCAATTCCCCACCCAGAACCTCGCCCGCCAACGCGCCTCCGTCTTCGGCCAACCACCCTCCCCATCATCTCCAGCAGACATAAACAAGCTCCCCAGCGTCCGCGTAGCCCATACACACCGCGGCCTCGAGTCTCCTTCACACACCGTCCTGGTGTCCACCACCGCCAACGAAGTCAACTTTGACAACGAAGGATGGGAGAATGACGAAGCGTTTTTGTCCAAACCGAGAGGGTTCTTTGCTGATCAGTTTGAGGCGAGTATTTCATTGTGGAATGAGAATGCTAGAACGAGAATTAACGAATGTTACTATTGGTTTCAGAACAAAAGTAACTTCGATGCTCATTATCAAGGGACAGGACCGGAGATTTGGAGGCAGACCAACGGGGGCATCGATGCTTTCGTTTCCGGTGCAGGTGGGCTACCTTTTACTCAGTCACAAGGACGACGACCCTTTATCTCGACTGGACAACCCAGCTGACTGCACATCATTCGACAGGCACAGGAGGAACAGTGGCAGGCTGCGGACGGTACCTCAAAACTGTAAAAGAGGATATCATCGTAGCCATTTCTGACCCTGAAGGGAGTGGGTTGTACAATAAGGTTCGTTAGACGCGACCCATTACTCACTCAGACTCGAAAGCTAACAGATTTCTGGTTGTATTTCTCCGTGGTAGGTAAAACACGGCGTGATGTTCGACCGGAAAGAAAGCGAAGGAACGAAGAGAAGGCATCAGGTCGATACCGTTGTCGAAGGAATGTAGGGGTTAAGTTCTCTCAAATCATCCATTCGAAGATTTGACACGACGTCGTGCTAGTGGAATTAATCGCCTAACTCACAACTTTGAACTTGCACTACCGATCCTAGACGATGCATTCCGGTACGCTCTCCTTGCCGCAACACACTTCCGCTAGACCATTGATGTATCCCTTCGCAGGATATCCGACGCCGAAGCAGTCGCCATGTCCCGCTACCTCGTCCAAAACGACGGCCTGTTCCTAGGTTCGAGCAGCGCCTGCAATCTAACCGCCTGCGTTAAGCTGGTGAAAAAGATGGGCTGGGAAGGCTCAGGGAAGAAAATTGTTACTATTCTGTGCGTCGTTCATACACCATCTTGGTTATAGATTGAGGTACTGAAAGGATGGGTGAACTATAGCTGCGACTCGGGCATTAGACATTACTCCAAGGTTTGTGTATCATCTATTCACTGTTACGAGGCGTGCTGACGGGTTACGCTAGTTTTGGAGTGACGAGTACCTGGAGAAGGCACAAATACCGATTAACATCTCTCTAATTGAAGATCTAGTCGGCAAATCCAAAATCGCGGCTTCAATCCAGAACGGACCCACTCAGCTCTGAGAGCCCGCGCTTGTACCCCCTCCCAAGAAAGCATTCCATTCCATTCAATCTCTGTCAAAAAATACCACCAATTCATACATCTACTTATCCTGAATAACCGAATATCCCTCTACCTCCTTCCCAATCGCAATCCTCATCCCCGCCCACAAACAATCGATCACCGCCATCCCATTCGCGCACGCAAACACCAGTGTGGAGGCGTAGAAGAAGTTGGCGTTGCCAGTCCCTTGGATTAGCCAGAGGTGGTTGAAGAGCGGGAGGAGGAGGGCGGCGTGGAGGTGGAGGAGGCCCGTTACGATTGGGTGGCGCATGTCTGTGTGAGTGGGTTTGTTCAGTTAGCCGTGGTAGGAAATGCAATTTGGAATGGAATAAAAACGTACATGGGAATAGTTCAGGGAAGATAGACATTATGCTTAGGAATAGGCCTGGGTCGGAAAGTGTCGGGTATGCTTTGAAGGTTCCTAGTACACCCAGAAGGAGGAAGAGGGCAAAGAGCGGGTCGTGCCTGTCATAAGCATTCAGTTGTCAGTTCCCTGGGCTAGGAAATGGAAGGAACCCCCACGTACTGGAACTTGATGCATAGCGGGGCGACGTAGATCACCAGATGCACCTATAGGATCTCGTGTATTAGCACGACACTCGAAGAGAAGAAAGGGTCGGGAAGGGGCATGAATGGAAGAAGAGAACAGTAGACACAGTACCGTAAACACCATCAAGAAGAACGGCCTGAAATGGTCGAACATTTCTGTGAAGAAGTACCACCAGAGGCCTGGGTTGGGGGTGAGATCTGGGAGGGTTATCCTATCCAAGCCATCGAGTCAGTAATCGTATTCAAACGTCCTGAAAGAGAACTCCGCCAGGGTTATACACCCCACACCGACAGTAGAAGAATCGAAAGACAAAAGAATGAGGATGAGCTGACGTACCATGTTCCCCATGTTTGGGATACCCAGTTCCAATCACCCGTCACGAGTGTAGCGGCGAATGCGAGGGCACCGGTGTACAGCAGGAATTCTCCGAGGTATGGAAGTGTTCTTTTCAGGCTTGCTGTGAGTGGTTTGGGCGAGGCGAGGTGGGAGTGTGGGTCTGTGATCAGAAGCAGGAGGAGTGGTGCGAGGACGAGGATAGAAATAGGGGATAATTGAGTGAGGAAGGCGAGTGTTAGCAGTGATGCCGAGGATTTATCTGTGGTGCTGTATGAGCGGGGGGTGTTCTGGAAGGAATGAAAGGATTTGGGACGAACGTTGAGAAGCGAACATGACGCTCAACAACATTAGCGCGTTTTCGATTGTCGAAGTTGATAACGCGAGGCTTGGGAGGAAGATATATGGGTTTGCGAGGTATCTGGAATAGATTTTAGTCACCGGCTCTCAACGCAAAGGGGAAGAAGCGAGATTTGGATCGTACAGAGCGGCTATAATCCCGTCTCGCGTACTCGCAGGTACGTTCTGACGGGCTCTCCAGATGTTCACAAGCGCCCAAGCCGCCAGTGCATCGAACAGCACCCATATTATCGGTGCGAAGCTTCTTGAACTCGGGAGAATCGTAGAAAATAGCGCAAGCAGCAGCGGGGACTACGGCCAATTAACATCAGTCCTAATTCCAGCAATAAAGTCATGACCACGCACATGGCGAAAGGTTCCTCCAGCATATGGGTCAATCCCATGGTTGAAAAGCCACAGTCCTTCCTGTACTAATCGTTGTTATTGTTTAGCGCGTCGTCCTGGACGATAGCAGAGACCTGGTCCACGTACGTTGCGAGAACGAAGTTAGTGGGGACGACAGCTGGTGGTCATAGCGGACGGCGTCTGGTAGTTTTGAGAACCCAAATGCGAGTTTGGTAGCAAGAAGCGCCGGGACTACAACATTGAATGAGAGCAGTCGCTGCGACGACGACATACTCTGGATGGTGATGAGAGAATGCAAGTTGGCGCCGAGCTCTCCTGCGAGCAGCGTTGGTGACGCGAGGGGAAACGACGCCACAGGGTCGGTTGTCGTGTCCGTGTTATTAACGGTTCGATGGCGTAGTTGGTTATCGCATCTGTCTAACACACAGAAGGTCGCCAGTTCGAACCTGGCTCGAATCATCTTTTTCGTTTTCCATTTATTTCTCCCCTCTCATTCTGCCTGTCTTTTTGCAATGCACAGGTACCGTCTGCGTAGCCGCCGGCCATGCATCTAAAGGGTCTCATGGTTTTTTCCTCGTTCTTACACGGTGGTATCCATTTTTCGTGGTCGCGGCGTGACATGATTGACCCTAACCGGCGTCTGTGAACAGCGCTTTGATCTTGACCACCATGTACACATTCGAGTTACCGACAACAGGCGCCATTTCCTTCTCCGAATTCTGCATAGACCAGAGTACCAATCGCGAATATGGCTTCCGATTTTCTCAGGTGACAGAGGCACGGGCAAATCTTCGCGCAATCCTCAAGGAAACTAAACGGACGGACGGGTTCGACAAGGACACCTTAAAGCTTGTCAAGGTGCGATAGTTTTCACTATATATCTCGGAAATGCGGACTGACGGCATTTAGATTATTGAAGAATACCTCCCCCAACTCCAGAGCGTCATGACCTGCGTCGTCCACGACGAGATCGGTTTCAAAAGCGAACCAAGTGTGTCGCTCAACCCTTGAGCATGCTCGGATCTATAACTCAAGCCGTGCATTATGCATAGTCTTCACCTGGCGTTCGACGCTCTCCGCCAACCTACTGAAGACCTCTCCTCGTCTTCCGATTCCTGGACTTCATGCTGACTACGCATTCACCTTGTTGACGTATGGGTACGCATTGTGCAATCTCGCATGGTCGATTGTGAATGGGTTGGGGACGTATGAGCAGGATAGGGCTATTTCGGATGCGGCGAGGAAGGTGAAGGATGAGCAGTTGAATGTTGCGATCAAGTTCCTGTGCAAGGCCTCAGGGATCTTTGCGTACATTGCGGACACGGTATTGCCGAACTGGGAGGTGAATAGGACAGAGGTGCCGCCTGGCTTTAATAAGCCACCTGAACTGACTAGGGAGGTTAATAATGCTTTGTCCAAGTGCGTTTATCCTTCTTCTCTTGGCGATGCGGGTTACTGAAGAATTGCTTTCAGGATGGCGCTAGCCGATGCACAAACCCTTGCGATTCGGAAGCTACTGTCGAAATCGGCGTATGAGAGCAACATCGCGCCTGGCCCTCCTTTACCCAAATCGCATCCTTCTCCCGCTCTTCTTGCCAAACTACATCTCGAATGTGGATCCTTCTATTCTTCGGCGAGATCTCTGGTTAAAACAATAGGATCCAGTAAGGGATCGGGCAGTGTTGAGGTGATATCAGATCTACGAAAGCACCTGGCGGAAGCAGCCTCTTTCCATGAAGCTCTGGGTCACAAGTGGCTAGGCGTGGCTGCTGGCGAGAATGGCGGAAGCGAAAAGGGAGGAGAGGCGGTTGGATTTGTGGCATGGGCGAAGAAAGAGTTGGAGGAATTGAAGAGCTCTGGGCAGCTAGTTTCTTTGGGTAAGGGGGACAAAGAGGTGCGAGGGATGAAGAAGACAAAGCTTGCAGACGAGATTGCTACACTCGACGTGTTTTTGAAACACTACAAGAAGATGAACGACTCGGTGGGTTGGCTAACCAAGTTCAAGCGGGCCCGTCGTATTCTAACGAGCTTTCTAGGTACATTTTCAGCCCGTTCCTTCGCAGGCAGACCTTCAGCGATTGATTCCGACAGGGACCGCGGCTGTTGCCACAACGGCGTACTCACCTCCACAAGCAACGTTTGGACCCGACTCTGCGGAATACCAGCGGCGGAAACAGGAAGCGAGCGAGGCTCCTGCCATCGTTGAACCTGGACTCGGGAAGCCTGACGACCTGCCTGAACAAACAGACACACCAGTCGGGAACTATGCTGGGGCTGGATCTTACTTTTAAAGCATCGCTTGAATTATGGTATTCAATCCTCAATGACATATATTAATTAACGCTACGCAGGACGACATATCCGAACCATTAATAACAGGGTTTACAGTATCACAGCCGATCGAATGTTCCTAAAAGGTATAGCAAAGGTGTGCACGCGGTATTCGGTGCGGGTGACACATCCTTTAGCCATGTCTGCCTAGACCCTTGACGGACTTGTGGATAACTTTGGCCTCTGCCTGCTTGGCTTTGGCTCGACGAGCACTATTCAGTCTGTTCAGTAACTGTTACGACTTCAAACACTGGAAGGAACCTACTCGTCAATAGCCTCGCGTTCGAGAAGCTTGACATGTTCACGCGCCTCGCGGACACGTTCTCGTGCCATGAGCAGAGCCTGGTCGGCTTCACGCTCTGCGATCTCTGCTTCTGATACTTTTTGGCGCGCTGACATGATGGAGGGATCGTTGTCGATGCGATTGCGTCCTCCGAGCCCGAAGAAACCACCACCACTCCTCGTGCTTCCAGCGCCACTGGCCATGGTACCAGCGCGACTGGTTTCCGAGGAGGACCTGGAGTTCGAGTCAACAGAGCGACGGCGGCTGAAGAAACCGCCATTGCTGTGGGAATCGTTCGGTGCTATGGGAGTATGATTGTCTCTCCTAGTAGGGGAGGCAGAGGCGCGGCGAGTGGACTTGGATTTGAAGAGAGGCATTATTGTGTCTGATTTCTGGTTTGTTGGAACGGTTTGCCCCTCGTATTTATGCTCTTTGTACCTAACCTACGTCACTTTGTATCTTGGGGCTCTCCGTTTATACAAGTGGAGTGTTACCATCTCCTCCTCGTACTCTCGCGTCGTGTACCCCGCACATCCCAGAAATAGGGGCAAAGACGTCATTTGATGGTCCGAGCGTGCGAAAATGCAAGGAAAGTACCCCAGCGGAGTTTGAATCCTCCGGGTTGACCTGGTGGGGCATTTTGATATAAAAAGGCCACGCCTCTTGACTCACAACCTCCTCGCTCGTCAGGCCCCGTCGAAGGAGTCGGCCAGCATCGTTCACGAAACAGCGATAGTAACGATTTTGCTGATGTCGAATAAGATAGTGGTGAGCTGCTCACCGACCCTTTGTTCGTAGTAGTGGATATCGGTTTTAACATCGATGTCGTTTTTTCTTCCGATTTATTGAGCCCACTATCTATCGTGCTGTTATCGACGATGTCATCGCTTCGATGAAGCCAGAATTCGACGAGTTTGGCGTCTCAGAAGATGTCCTCGCTGAACTCCAGCATGTACGTCTACCCTCCTTCCTCTCCTTTTGGGTGCAATTTTTGGTGGCTAAATCATGCATTTGTGACGTCCTGTAGAAATGGGAGAGCAAGGTCATTGCCTCGCATGTTGCTGACTTCGAGCCGCCCCAGCAGCAAGCAGCGGCAGCGCAGCCTGCGCCCCATCCTCCGCCAATTCAGTACCCTCCGCATCCAATGCATATGATGCAAACCCATCCACATTACGCGAATCCTTATGCCCATATGGCTGTTGCTGCTCAAGCTCAGCCGACGGTGAAGACTGAGCCCAACGATAGCGCTCGCTACATGCTCAATCCGTACGCTGCCCTGCCGCCCCTCCCCGGGCCAAATGTAGGTGCAGCGCGTCCACCTACGTTGCCACCCCACCCAGGAGGTCAGACTGCGGTTTATACTCTTACCAGACCATTGCAAACTCAGCCCAACGCTTCAACAGCCGCCAGTGTGGCACGACCTGTGTATACTCCCCCTCAGCCTGCTTCTCAGATGCAGCCGGTTGCTGCTACGGCGGCGAACGGGCAGCAACAGCAGCAGCAGTCTGCGCCTGTGCAGCACAGGATTCCTCAGGTTGACGGTCCTTCTGAGTCATCGGACGACGACGACTCTCCGTCGCCGCCTCATCCGGCCTTTGCCCCAAGAACGAACCATCCTTCCTTGCCTCAGCCAGCAGCTGCTCCGGCGAGGCCAAAGTCGCCCGTCGATTCAGAGGCAATCAACAGCGACTTAGATGATTCCGACACTGATAATGACGATGATGGGGATGAGGGCGGAGCCGGTGAATCGGACATCGTGTTTTGCACTTACGACAAGGTTGGGTTCGAGTCTTTCTCTACCAGGGTTAATTTGTTGACTTGTTCCTGACGCAGGTTGCCAGAGTGAAAACCAAGTGGAAGTGCGTCCTCAAGGAGGGCATGATTCACGTCAATGGCAAGGATTACCTATTTTCCAAATGCACTGGGTATGTGCTTCGTCACCGCTTCCAGAACGGTACTGACTTCCTGCAGCGAGTTCGAATGGTAAAGACTCGCAACATGGACTATTCACCTATTCTATCGCCCTTTACCCTATACTATTTTCCCAGCGTGGTCACCATGACTCCCATTTTTTTCCTTCGTCTCAACTTTCACTCTCAACCAGCATCATACATGGGCTAACCTCATTGCAACAAACTGTCATCACTCGCTTTCCGGTCCCTAAAGCCTCGCATCCACAACCATTATCTATCTATGACTTAGCATTTCTCCCTGTTAATACCTGCATCATTCCTGTCGGATTTCTTCACCACCAGCCTCCCCTACCTTGAAGATCCACCTAGATTGTCTTGTCACCTGTAACTTGCCCATGGAATATATTGAATTTCCTAATAGAACTTCTGCTAGACAGTCTTGACACCATTACGGATACCACATTGCGAGGTATGATGAGGGGGTTAATACAACAGTGAAAGGGAACAGTGAATACAGTACATTGTAAGTGAGAGGGTACGATAGCGGGTTGTGTTACTTAGAATACAGTCATAACTTAGGTATATATCCCCTCTCCAGTAATATGACGGAACAGCGAATAACGAAGACAGGGTGAACACAGAGAAACGAGCCCGATAAAATCAGAAAGAGCCGAGCCCGAATATATATGACGTTGGGCCGTTGCCACTTCGACAGAAACAAACAAGTATAGAGAGCGAAGGAAAGACGTAGGAGATGGGCTCCACTTAGAACGCTGGTGTTGCTCCATTCTGCAGCATTCGGAGGGCTTTGTCGTCGATTAGATCCCTCCGATACGGTTGTTGGCGATTCAGTGCATGAAGTGGAGCGAGAGCACGCTGCTCAATGTCTCGGGGAGAAGCACTTCCCCGACACACCTGATTGGGTAACGAGGCAACGTTCGCGGGGGCGACAAGCTCGTAGTGGGATGTCATCTCCTGAGGTGCGATGTGTAACGAGGGCAGACCTCCCTGGCGCTCGTCGTAGCTAATCATCGGTGATGGGTGAGCCAAACCGTCCGGAGGAGGGAGACGCTGATAAGCCGGATGCTGGCCAGATAACTGGTTTTCGGTAGGGGACATAGGATGATAGCCATATCCCACGGTTGACTGAGGAGACGACTGGACGTGCGTGTTTACAGAAGTGGCTTGATACTGGTAGGGGGGATGTTGAACCATAGAGCTTCCAACGTTCCATGTGGATGGATTGAAGTTGTTCTCTACTGAAAGAACAAAAGACAAAGGAATAGTAGATCAGCAAAAAGATCCGTTGACGGACTTCGGATAGACGACTGGGAGAAACTTACCCCTTTGCCCATGGTCAGGCAGGGCTCCGACGACAGAGTGTGTATGGGGATGGGGACGGTATTCCGGTTGGTGGGAACGTACTTCATGTCCAGGTGCGCCTGGAGCGTCCGAGTACGAAGGCTGCACTGGTGCATGCTCTTGCGAAGGTTGGGCACGGTCTATAGGAACTTGAGAGTGTGTGGTGGAGGCAATACTAGGAGATAACGAGACTGGGGAACGGTTGTGAGGGGAGTGGGACCCTCGAGATTGAGTGTCTGTTTCGGTCGTGCTACTGGAGGCCTGCTGTGTCTGTCCGTAATAGTAGCCCGAATGACTAGTCTGGTATGGCTCGTACATGAGGACAGGTTGAGAGTTTGAGCTCTCTGCGCCTGGTGGCTTTGTTGTCGTGTATGGTGAGGGGAAGGCCGCATAGGTTCGTGTCACTGTAGACGATTTCGTAGACTCCGACCTGGATTCGTCATGTTTTGTGCGACTTTTGCCGACTCGTGTGCTCTTGAAGATGCCTTCAGGAATGACCAGGTCCTTGACGCCAGGGATATCGTCAACGGTGCCTAACTGGTCAATAGTACCTTGCGTGAAGTAGGCGGCTGGTAGGACGGGGTGGGTTAGCTCACCCCTAGTAGCGAGAGCACTCCACTTACTTAGATGCCACTTCCTCCGCCCGTTTTCGGTGTCCACCCAAACGGAATAGGTCTGCTTAACCATGGGTTCCCAGTCTCTTGGGGGTTTGCCCTCCGACCTGGGGAAGATGAGCTTGAATGTGGCGAACTATGAACATAGCCAACTGAAGCATACCCAGAGCCATTCGCGTTCATGTCGGGCGGGGGCATGTATCGCTCATAATAGAAGAGAAACTCCTGGAAATAGACGCCAATCACCGTCATGAGGCGTTAAATGAAAGAAGGAAAGTGCCAACAATGGCAACTTACGTCGCGAACTCGTGATGGCGTCCATCGTCGCCCCTCTGTGAAGCGCTCAATACCGAGACCAGTGATCTCGCTGTGAGGTCCCCTCTCTTCCCAAGCGTAGACGCATCCAGAACGAAGCGCGAGTCGTTCATCTGCATCCAGGCGCCGGGTAACCATCTTGAGAATGCCCTTCTGGACTGCATAGAAAATTTTGTGGGTATCATGTATCGAGCGAATGCGCACATTGGTGCATGTTGGCTGTTGGGTGTGAACCATTACTCGGTAGTCCAACAGTAGTGGGAAGGGGCAAGACGAGGGCAAGAGGAGCGACGGAGGGAGATATTATAGTAAGTGGGGAACCATCATTTCCGCATGTCACCCCTGCGCTCCCAAGATCATAGATTCGCGAATCGCGATCCCCATATGAGCTTCGTATCTCGATTGTCGACCCAGGGAAAGTTTATATCCTTACAACCTAAAATGTCATCACAACTCGCAGCCCCAAAATCTCAGTCCTTGTCACATCTCATAATGCACCCTCTTCTCTTTCTTCACAGAATACATGCGGCAATTCACAGCTACTAGGCCCGTGCTCTAATACCGTACTGTCTACCTGAGGACTAGCAATACCATGGTAATACGACGGGAATTGACTTCTCTTTCCGTAGATTTTTCCGGTCTCTGGTAGCAACTGTGTCGGAAGCGAAAACCTTGACTCTGGAATAAGTATTGCATGTTTGAAGTGCGATATTGGAGGTAATAGATGTATAACTTTCGTAGCCTTCCGATAGGGGCCTTGTCAGGTAGCTCGGCGACTAGTGACTGCCCACTTTCCCGCCGGCAGGAAGGCATCGTTTGGAAAGTTACTGTGACCGCGAACTCTGGAAGAGTGGTGACGTTGACTCCTTGATCCCCCGGAAGGCTGGTAGTAAAGAGAATGAAAGAGTTCGTATACGATCTCGCGCTGCATAAGAGTTACATGAACTGATTCTTCTTCGACTCGGCCGTCTTCAGTCCGGCATTCAAGTCGACATCCTCCTTGTGTTACAACGAATTCCAGGACACTCTCGCTGCTACGGTGTATGCCACGTCCGAAGTTCCTTTCACTCACATGTGCCCTGTTCCTCAAGTTGTGCCGGTACTTCCTGCGGAGGATACGAGCCTCATGAAAAAGTGATAGGAGACAGCCTTTAAGCATTTTACATCTCCTCTCCTGTTCCACGGCACAGCAGCCCAGGACCCACACAAAGGTACCCTGGACTCTTCTCGTGTGCCCACTGCCTACAAACGCCGACCGATCGAAAGAAGAGGTCTGATATTGCCGTAAGCTGAGTGTACCTTCTGCTTGACACATGGAGCTGACAGCTTTCTACGCCGCCGTGGTAAAGGCGTGACAAAGTTTGTTGGACAGATGTGATTCTGCGAAAGGGTCTTCTTGCAGCTCTTTGGCCTCCAGTATGTGCCCCAAAAGTTTTCAATACAATGAGAAGGGATTCGTCTTCCGGCATGACAGAGATCTGCGTTAAGAGCCCAAGGTTTCCTCGACAAGTTGGACGAAAGCTCTGTGGTTCCTGTCGTCTCTCCAGTCACGAACGCCTCCAACCCCTCGCGGTGACGATGTCTCCTCTCACCCCTCAGGAACTTCCGCACACCACCAGTTCTGTTACGACATTCACCCCACTCAAGGACTTTGCTTCCTCACGAGGCCATGGGTCTTGCCAATGTAACTTTCTTCGGGTCTTGGAACTGAAAGGGCGCTCTGCCCCGAATCTGGCGAATTCAGTTCCCTGCCTCAAGGCGCAATTAGACGCCACACGCACTTGCAGCTGACTCGCTTCATTTCTCGGTAAATTCCTGTTACCCAGTGTAAAAATAACTGATGATTCAATCGCTAGCTAGGACACCTTACGGGTTAGACCTGGGTCTATATGTTGATTGCGGGTACCTCCCGTGAATTCTTAGCGAATGAAAAGACGCCTCACCCGTGGTCCACCACGGCGCGTACTTGCCTTGTAGGGAGCAACACCCTCAGTTTTCCGAGTGCAAAAATGGCTCTACGCAAAACCATGTCCGGCGGCCTTCAAGGGGAGTGTAACGATTTCAAGGTCTCGGAAGATTGGTTTGGAAGAACAGAGAACCCCTCAGCTCCAGGGTCCGTCTAACTAATACACCCTTGATATTCCCACTGTAAGTTTCTGAATAGCTACACTGCAGATGCGTCAATGTCCTAATCCATCCAGGCATTCGAAGTTTGGGAAAGCAACATGTGAAGCTGCCTCGAGATTTCGAAGCCACCCGAAGTCATTTGAAGCAGATGTCCGAGTTCGATCCGAATTGAACATTCAAAGACAACCAAAGGTCTGGTCTTCTTTACATAACTCGACTTGCGAGGGAAGCGGAGGTGAAAGGGTACTGCCGGTCAGGTGTTTGTGTCTTGGACATGGGCGTCCCGAGGGAATAGATCCAGTGCACCTCGTGAATCACGGGCTGGCAATGAAGAATTCGTACAACGGGAACGACATGATGGCCTTTTCGTCCAGAGGATGTCGGGTCGGCTGCACCAGATCTTGCAAGGCTTCCAACGGTGGCAGCACGTTGCCTTCGTTCATGACAGAACCGCGCGAATTGGATGATTTGGTGCTGGATGTTTCCGAGGATTCCTAGTGGACATGTGTCAATAGGAGCATAGGTCATTAGTGTCGTCTTGAATGCTCACCCTTGAGGGGGACCGTGATGTAGACGCCGGTGCGACTGTTCCAAGCGACCGCTGACTCGGTCCTGGCCTGGAAGACCGCGCGCTTTGGTAAACGTTGGGCGGAACTCGTATAGTCGCAAGTTCAGGGTGAAATGGGTTATCCCGGACTCTATACAGCCTATCCAACGTCTTTTGCGTGTAGTACGCAACTGGAATAAGCTTCAGTCAAAATGCGACATGACGATGCCATGCAGGGGAGCGTACTGAGGTGCCATTTCTTTTGTCCGTGCGGGGTGGAGACGAACACGGAGTATGTCTGTTTGATCAAGGGCTCCCTTCGATAGCATGGTTGGTATCGAATTATTGCTGACGTTGAACTGGAAGTCGGGGAGAAACGAGACGTTATTGTCAGTATTCGCCGTTTTGTTGAACAGTGAAACGCGAACCTCAGATCAATAGTGGTCATCTCCGATGATTGCTTTTCTTGGTAGTAGAGAAACTCCTATCAAGTCCTGTTTGAGCACCAGTTGACTCGAAAGAGGCTGAAACGCATTTATACTCACATCTCGAACGCGACTTGGACCCCACCTCACTGAGTCTGTCCAGCGCTCGATAGCAGACTGTGGGTTATTTGCCAGTGCCTGATTACTACTATTGTAAACATATAACATTGCCTGGACCTACTTTCGATACGGTCGGATCTGAATACGAAGTACGTTCTTCCCAGACATACACACTTCCAGAGGCGATTGAACGTCGCTCATCCGTGTCCAGTCGTCGAATGACCATTGGTAACTTGCCTTTGGCCACTGCGTGAAAAATGACCTTGGCATCGTGCGTGGTTTGTACGTGAGTGTTTATGCAAGTAGGTTGCTGCATGAGGGGATCCGACAAAGGAGGTAGACTGGGGGGCAATGGAGAGCGCAGCCTCAAGCACCAAGCTCTTAAATATGGCTTCGTGCAACGGGCGCTCAACCAGGACACTGGGTCGAAAAGTGATTTCCCATAAGCGTTGATAAAGAGCTCGATCTTCGAACCGGTCCACTTCCAGAAACAAGCCAGAATAGTCCCGACGATGGCACAGCATTAGATCCCTCTTCAGAGTAGTCGGTTCTACTGATAAATTAATGATAGGTCTGTTTGTGCGCGAGCGGCGTTTACGAGACTGCACAGAACAAACAGCAATCAAGACAGTAATAGCTTAAGTTATCCCACCGGTTCTTGCGCGCTCTCTCGCCGCTTTTCAGGTGCCTCTAGGAGTCCGCCCGTTTGATGGTACTTTCCTCAAGAAAGAGGGAAAGAAGTTTTCTCCCTTGCCCCCAATAGCAAAACAACGCACCTGAGGCACTGTTGAGTGCGCTCGAGAGAAGATGATACAGGGTGTGATATCAGTGAGGGAGGACAGGCGAGTTTAAATACACTCGCAAGATATTTCTTTCTTTCTAAGGTACGCTCCCCCATTAAGCTGTCACCGGCTATGAATGGGAAGCATGGATATCGATCTTTTGAGGGCACACTGACAAACGGACTTGGCTCCATCTCCGTCATGAACATTCTGACTGGTCCATGGAATTGGATGTCTGCGCGCTAAATACAATTGTGATAATTGTATAAATGAGTCCAGGAAGAGGTATGAGAGCAGTGCTACTAGGAGCTACTAGGAGGCCAACCCTAAATCGCTGTCAGAGGTGCTATTTCTCCTCCTTCGTCCAGGTCATAATTGTGTAAATGGTGTAAAGGTATGGCCAGCATTGGAAATGCGTTTCCGTCCAACCCTCCAAGTAGATTCTGATGGAAGCTCAAGATCCACAATTGCCTCCCGTCCTAATTATCGGTCGCTCCATATTCTACGCCCGTTGATAGACGCCCAAGCATGAGCGCTGGGCACTGCCCGATCGAGTTCTCCTTTTGGTCTCCCGCGAGCCACGTGTGAGCCCGGCGAATCGGCATTCGTGGGAAAAGGAGCTCTGACTGGCGCCGAATCCGTTAGGTTCGCGTCAAGGTCAAACTCAGACGACAGCACCAAGCATAGGGCTTTGCACTGGATGCTAGCCAGGTTTACCAGATGTGCAAGGGTCAAACCATGGAGGGCCCACACAGAAGCGTCGCAAATAAACTTCCATCCTGTGACACGAAGATTCTGTTCCCATGGACCTTCGGCATCCGACACGAAAAGATCTGAGGACGAATTGAAGCTCCTGCTTTACAATTCATTAACCAAGTCCAAGGTAAGTCGACCACAGGACTGTCTATGGTTTAATTGCTCAAGTAGACTGCAGACAGAAGTAACCTCAGCCAGCGCACGCCCACTGAAGTGGTACAGCTGCGGACCAACGGTTTATGATACCTCCCATTTGGGCCACGCTCGGTGAGGTCGCTGAACCTGTCTCGAGCCCCATAGACTAAGCAGCGAACCGTCTGGATCAGGAACTATGTGACTCAGGATGTTATGCGACGGATTTTAACCGACTACTTTGGACTAAACATCCAATATGTCATGAACGTAACTGACATTGACGACAAGGTAAGCATCGGCAACATCGTCTCTACAGGCGAGGCTTACTCTGCAGTAGATCATTGAGCGAACACGCCAACACTACTTCCTCGACAAATTTCGCCAAAAGCATACCCGACTCACTTTGGACCTAATATCTGAAGTTGAGGAAGCAGTTGAAGCTTACTGCCATGAGCATCTGACTGGATTGCCGAATACAACCTCGTTGGAAGAGCTATGGAGCAATCTAGATAAGCTGGCAAGTGACCAGACCTGGTTGGAAACGCGAGCGAAGGAAAGTGACCGGCTCAACCTGCGTCTGGCCTCAATTGTAAGCCCCTCATCGCCTACCCCGGAAATACATCTGAGCGTCGACAGAGAAGGTGCAGAGAAGCATTAAAGGCTGTCCGAGCCCATTACGATGATGGCGTGGTTAGCACTGAATCCGCCCACCAATTGATTGAAGCGTCAAGCGATATCCTTGGACCAGCGCTGAATCATAAGGTATGTGTCTACAACCATCCAATTTGGAATAGCTTCACCGAGCATTGTTTAGTCTCGCTCACAACAGTTGGACCCCGGTCTGTACAGACGGCTGGCTGCCCATTGGGAAGCCGAATTCTTTTCGGATATGGCCAAATTGAACGTCGTGCCTCCGGACGTCGTCACTCGCGTCACAGATTATGTCCCAGAGATCATAAATTTCATCGACCGTATTATTCAGAACGGCTACGCCTACTCTGTCGGTGGTAATGTTTACTTCGACATTCGCGCATTCAACCAGGCTCCCGGACATCAGTATGGCAAGCTGATTCCTTGGAACGAAAATCATGGGGGAATGGATGGTAACAACTTCAATGCTGATACAAATCCCCCTACTTGGTGCTCAACTCTTTCTGGTAGATGCTGGAGATACAGCGCCTGCTGCCCACAAAAAGTCGCCTTCTGATTTTGCTCTCTGGAAAGCCTCGAAACCTGGCGAACCATTCTGGGAATCACCTTGGGGGCCTGGCCGCCCAGGTTGGCATATTGAATGTTCGGCGATGGCAACCGCAATTCTGGGTGAAAAGCTCGACATCCATTCAGGCGGGATTGATCTGCTCTTTCCCCATCATACAAATGAGCTCGCTCAATCTGAGGTAAGCCGACTCCTTGTCGACGTCCTACCAAAATCTAAAACACACTAGGCCTATTTCAAGACCGATTCATGGGTCGATTGCTTTATTCACACAGGTCATCTTCACATTCAAGGTCTCAAGATGAGTAAATCCCTGAAGAACTTCATCTCCATCAAGGTAAGCCTTCTCGCGATTGATTGACAAGCTCCCTAATGTCGCGTTACAGGACATCTTGCAATGTTATACTGCAGACCAGCTGCGTCTGGCGTTTCTGTTACATCCATGGCACGCGAAGTTCGATTTCTCTGACGAGTTTATGAAGTCTGAAGTTTTGACTCTGGAGGCCTTCTTCGCAGTGGGTCATATTTTTTGCCTTGTTGGTCCTACCTCGTGTTCCTCATTCGTCCATGCGCAGAACCTCTTCAGTCGAACCAGATCTCTGGCCCGCGCCGCCCAGTCCAGTTACCCCCCTCCAGCCCAGCACTTTGGGGCCCACGAAGCAGTTCTCAGAACGCAGTAAGTTTGTCTTCACCTGCTCCACAGCGTCCCGTTCACCAGCCCGTAAAGGTTGGAAGATGCAAAGGTCGCCTTTCGTTCAGCGTTGGCAAATTCGATCGACTCAGTTGGTGCTCTAAACGTTCTCCGAAAACTCACTTCACAAACCAATATCTATATCGATCGTCGAGGCGACTTCATTAACGTTGCTCTACTGGGGTCTGTAACTCGCTGGATCACGAAGATGCTGCAACTTTTCGGTCTCACTATTGGCGACGCTTCCAATCTCGCTTCAACCCGTATACGGGAGGATGAAGTGGGTGGTCCTCATGATGGTGGCGTCGTGCCCCTGCTAATATTGTCTTGATCCAGCGAGAAGCCATCGTATATCCTTACCTCGAAGCTTTAGCTAAGTTTCGAGACGGGGTTCGGCAGTTGGCGAAGGCGTCCGTTGGCCCAGCCTCTGGAGAACTTTTGATGTTGTGCGATCAGCTTCGAGACGAAGTCTTGCCACCGTTAGGCGTATCATTGGAGGACAAACCAGGTTCGTGCATTCCTCTTCCCTCATCGTCATAACTTTAACTGACCGACGTAGATGGGAATGCTCTCGTAAAGTTGGTGCCCCCTAGAACGGCAAAGTCTGTTGCATTGGCAGGCAGCTCCGATCATACAGCGGAGACGAAGAGAACTTCCGACCGCCCAGGGTCACGTCGCTCCGTGGACAGCACGGTGAACCCGCGTGCTATGTTCACACCACCTCACGTCGAAGAAGGCGTTTACAGTTCTTGGGACGAAGAAGGTCTCCCCCTTACGGATGGAGAAGGGCAACCCATCAGCAAAAATCGAAGGAAAAGGCTCCATAAATTATGGAAATCCCAGTACCTCCGGTATCAACAACATATGGCATCACAGAGCGAATAAATTGGTGGTGCGCTGATGATCCATCACCAGTCACTTGATTCTACCACTAACTGTGCGATTTTTTCTAAGCCCTTCTTGTCCTCGTTATCGAAGCCATTGAGCGCTAGGCAATCAAGATCAAGGACGCCGATCACCTTGGTCCCTAGAACGAGCGGACACACAATTTCGCTCTTAGTTTCCCCGTCGCAAGCAATGTGGCCTGGGTAAGCATCTACATCTGGAACAATGGTCGTTGTTCCATTGAGGTAGGTGTCACCACAGACCCCGCGCACCTTGCCGGGTGCGACGGGGATATACTGGCAAGCTGGTTTGCCACAGAATGGACCCAGTAGAAGAACATCCTTTGGTAAAGGTGCTGCGTTTTGCGTCAAACGTGGAGATGGAAAGAAGTCCGCGTGAATATAGAATCCTATATTATCTACTCGTTAGTGTGACGTCTCTATCTCTGATTCATATAATTTTACCGGCCCAATTCACTGCCCGATCTTCATTCCCAAAATGTTTTGGGAAAGCTTGAAGCGAGTTGAAGATCACTGAGGACGCGTTGGCAAGGTTTGAGATCTAAACTGGTGTTAGCCTGATTGCTTTAGTTAGCTGTGCCAGTTAATAAGTACCCAATGTCTTTGCCCATCCAGGAGACCCTGGATTTGCTCGTAAACATGTTCCCAAAATTCTGCCTTGGTTTGTATCCTGGTGGCGGTTACAATTAGCATGAAGCGGGGTGGCAAACGAACACGAACGTTTCAGGAACTAAAGAGCTATCCGCGTGTGGCATAATGTCGATCCTGGAGCTGTCTGCCGCTTTCTGGACCGCGATAAGTAGCAGGAGCCAAGATGTAAAAGCCCGTTGACCTGTATCCTTACTCATAACAAGATCACCCGATTAGATATCTCGTTGTTGATGGAATGATGGCGAGATGCGTCCCGACCAACAAGGCCGTTGAACAACCTGCAACCGCTCCTCAACAACTCCCATTCAGAATCGTACCAAATGGCCCCTTATCTGGATACCGTCAAGGTGGCTCCATCCATTTGAATTCAACCCAAACATAGCTGATCAACGGGATTTCGCTGCAGTCGTTTGCCGATGTACCTGTGACCGACGCTGGCGTCGACACCGTAGCTTTCTTGGAGGCATCGGAAGGCTTGGTCGGATTGTTTGGTAGGCGAACACTGAAATAACCATTCAGCGCCTATTTCTGACACACCTTTACACAGATCTCTTCGGAAGTGCAGCATTTGCAGTCGTTCAGAATGACTTGAAGGGCAACATCGCCGTAAGCCTTGCCATCCTCTGGGATCAACGTCGCGCTGACGAGCGACGTCTGTATCGTTCAATAGAAAGTCCGTGCTCGATATGAGGCCACACCCACGCAGTCTGCGACCCTGGAACAACTAGTTGAGAACGAGAAGGGAGAGAAGAAGCGCGTCGCAACGGAAGGTCTCATGTGGTTGCTCCGGGGCCTCGCCTTTACTTGCCAGGCACTGCTCATCGTGCAGGCTGATGCTAGCAAAGAGCTCGCCGACGCCTTCAACGAGTCGTACAAGGGCACTTTGTCCAAGTTCCACAACTTCATCGTCAAGGGGGTCTTCTCGGTGAGTATCCATAGAGCCCTAATGATGGTTTCCACCACTAACCTTCCTGATTTCCGTATCTGTAGGTGGCAATGAAAGCTTGCCCCTATAAGAAAGACTTCTTCACCAAACTCGCTGCCGACCCCGCCGGTGGTCCACCTGTAGAACAGGCAAAGCTCAACGAAGAGCTGAACAAATGGTTGGCCGCCCTCGATCAGATCGTAAAGCGCATGGAAGCGTTCTACGAGAAAGGCGGACACAACAAGGGATTCTGATCACTCACATAACGACATTTCACGAAATCTAGCACTGAATTCTAAACTGTATATCTAGGGTCTCCAGCTGTTCAGAGAAGCATGTCATTAACTCGATGATTGATTTGTTGAAACGTGATTGATAGGGCAATGAGATGGAGTGGGAGGTCGTCAGGACACTCTCGCTAGGCCATGCCCTCCTGGAGGAGACAAACATGGTCGTCAGGTCTTGGTCTCGTAGACCTTGCAGAATGACTCGGGACAGCCATGGCAAATGAGAATGCCGCACATTGCTCGGCCGAGTCGGTCGTTTCAGATTGGCGGGAATGAGTGCCATACATTCTATCCCCCGTGGTTGCATGGATGTCGGAGAACACGGAAAAAGGCGTTTTGTGTCTTTACCCAACTCGTCATTGCAACCTGTCCGATTCACCGAGGCTATCAAACCACCGCCTGGTTCGAAAGTCCTGCCTTGATCGAATATGTCAGGGTGAACCAGGTTCGACTCTGTTCTCCAGCGTTACGAGAACGGACCGCGTGGGCAGGAGAGAAAGGCATAAGGGTTATTTGTCACAGTCCATAGCCCCTCGAGAAGTCTTCTATGACTCGGGGAAGAAAGGAAGGGTCTTACCACATCAAGGAACTGGAGCGGCCTGTATCACACGATAGGTGGACTTCGAAGGCGACGAAGCGATAAGGAAAGAAGCCTGACATCAGTCCTCGACAAACCCCTTGAAACTCCTCGTGAACTTCAAGGTGGCCCATCCTCCGCCGGTCAAGAGTTTGCATCAGAGCTGTATGGCCGGATGACACTTGTAAGCGATCCATTGCCAGCGCCTTGGTCACTGTCCATATCAAGCGCCAGCCAACAAAAAGTCCATCGTGTGCGGGAGTCGAGCTTCGAGCCTTCGCTCATCTTCCAAGTTTCCTGTCAGACTACGTACTATTCGCCGCAGTACCCCATCACGATCACGCGGTGCGTAAGGTGAATACGAACCAAAATAACCATGACGAAGCAGCACATACCTATGCGCTCACACATTTAATTGTACTCCCATCCAACCCGAGAGTTGCCCTTTGCTTCCACGCGCCCACAAAGATGTTAGATCCTTGATGAGAGGAGAGGCTACTTCATGTCCGTGGGCCGTGGACCCAAACCTGGCTAGGACAAGAACCGGAGGTGGTTAAATGTATGACAATAGTGAGGGGCAATGCACTGAATGATTGGCGCTGCCTCCTACCACAGGATCTACCACAATGTGAGCGCCGAGCTGTCTAAACGAGATTCTTTAGCATGTGCAAAAACTCTTAAACTTGCTGAATCGGGTTGAGAAGCTTGAGCATCGCTCCCAAATCACCAGTATCATCTGGATCTGCAGAAAGATCAGAATTCGTGAGATAAATCAGAGCACCTATTGAGAAGCTCTGAGCGCACATAGCGACGGGGGCTGTCCGGATGATAGAGGACCACGGTGGTGGTCATCTGCTTTGATACGGCGCCTATCTGCGAAAGCTGAAAGGCCCAAATGTGTAAGCTGCTACCCAGGTGACCTTGTGGAGTAGTAAAACTTACTGTGTATGGCAAGTGAAGATAGAAGAGGCGTAAATAATGCTGTGGATCTGCAAGAAGAGTGAGGAAGTAACAAAGATGCATCATTGAAGAAGCGCTGGGCGATGGGAAGGCTGGAAGGTTGGGGCAGAGCTGCGCCAGCTCGAGCGCGTTGTGGCGTCCAGAGGCGGCTAAACGCTTTGCAATAATATGATGCGTAAATCCTCCCATTGTCCCCGTCAAATATATAGTACATATTAAAGAAACCTAGATGCGGCCTGTCCCACCATGGTAGAGTGAGAAGGTTGGGGGTATTTGAAAATGGAAGAAAGTAAAGGTCAAGGCGTCCCAGGATGGTCCACAGCCTTTTACTCCATGAGCCAGCCATGTCTTCATCCTCTAGAGCCCTGGAGAAAGTCGAAGAGGGTCCACTGGGCATAGATGATCGAGAAAGTGCCCGGGAAAACGCCATGCTAGGTCACGTCCCTGGTAGCGCGGAAGGTCGTCGGTTGAGTACCGTTCCCGACCGGTGTAGCAAACGGTGAGCGCTTGATGTCCAACGACCTGTCCGTATGGCCATCCACATTGCTCCTCAAAAAAGGAACCTTCATTCCTGGTGACGGCTCCATCTGGGCTGTCCGAACGTAAGGGTTGTGGACCTGAGGCACGTAAGATAGAGGAGGAGATGTCGAGAGCTTTGGGCGGCTATATCCCGGATGCTGACGAGTGCCCAGGGCCAAGGAACCATGCGGGTCGGAGGCTCCTCTTAGTTGATCGTCGTTCACCCGCTGGGAGATCTTGGGAGTCTGCTGGGTATCGGGATGAGGATCTGGTTGTTGGTGGTTGCGTTGAACTGGCATTCCTGCGGTGCGAGTGACGCTATAAAGTTCATGACCCGGGCTGTATTCAGAGCTCGTCCGCCTCGAGCGAGTTCGGTCGCTGTAGCTGGAACTGACGCTGTCCAAGGATAATCGAGAGACAATCTCGTCTCGCGTAGAGGCAGCGATGGGCAGTACGTTAAGAAATGACGATAAGGAGTGGTTGGGTGCTGTCGTATTCCGCGGTGGATGCGTTACGGATTTGGAAGGGGTGCCAGGATGACTGGCAGGAGGTTCTGGCGAACAGGATGAGACTCCAGCGGCGAGATTGTTCCTGTTCGAAGAAGGGGGGAAAAACGATAGCTGTGAGACAGGTACTCGAAGGACATTGGTTCCTGTTGACGAGGTCGAGGATGGAGGAGTAGGTTCTGAATGCGTTAGGCTGTTCGCAGAATGGGTAGATGCTCCGCTAGATTCCAGGGTGATATCGGTTGTGGATGCGCTGGGCGAGCGTACAACATATTCGTGTGCTCTTGAAGCTCGATGTAGAGGTATGAAGAGGGTTTCACGAAGGTGGATTGAATCGTTAGGCCAAAGCTGATTGGCCTTTCGAAGTTCGGTCAGATCGATTCCATACTTTAACGATACCCCAGCCAACGAGTCCGAAGTAGTCACCTGAATGGGATTAGGATAGTTAGCCTCATTGGAAGTTATATGTATTAGTCAAGTACATGCCTCGTGTACCAGAACCTCGGTATGAGGCTCCTTCAAAGTTGGGTATCCGTCATCAGTATCAGAACTCCCACCGAACAGACTACTGTCCACAGAACTACTTTGAACAGCTCGCGATAGGTGGGGCCTGGTTATCCCAAAGTCCTGGAAATCCCCAGACCTTCGGTGCGCTGACTTCAAAGGGTGACCACTGAGTGGTGGCGGTTCCTCTGAATCGTCTTGGTCAGTGTCGAGACGCAGGTCCGATCGTGATCGCCTATGGCGTCGACGGATGGTACTCCTGGATGACGACTGTGATTCGCTCGCTGATGACCTTCGCCTGGTGAGTGCTGGTGCTGTAATGTTGGATAAGAAAGCTGAGCCAATATACTGGCGTCCCTGGGCCCTGCCGGTCAGCTCATGAGTCTTGTCATTGTTGTCGTCGTCGTCGTCGAAAGGATTGTAAGTCAGGTCAAAGTCGTCTTGGTGCATCAGGAGGTGAGTAGGCTGTCTAGATCGTCGCCCGCATGCGCTGAGGATTGGGCGGTGGTCGTCGTCGTCGTTATGCTCAGCGTCGGTCGAGAACACGATGAAGCATGCCTTGATCTCATGAAACCCCGCCCACCTCGACCTGTCACTCCCGGGCTCGGCGGTGCCCTGCTGATCCGCACGTGATGACAATGTTTGGCTCCATATTTGGGTCTATGGGAGCTTGTGTGTGTTGCTTCGCGTCTTCCTCTCCCTCGACGTCCATGAGCGTCCATGTCGCCTGTGCCCCATCGAGAGCAGTTTATGGCCTACCCGCTATTGGGGATCCCCCGCCCTCAATATCCTGGGCCGCTTACGCGACGGAAATTATTTCTCCAGGGTATCAGAAGATGATAGGTAGACTTCTACCTTGATCTGCTCGCGAGTCGCGAGGCTACCTGTGACCTGTCAGAACTCGGTGTAAGCTCAACAGTTATATCTTGACTCTTAACCTCGGAGCGACCCCAATCTTCCTCTCACCTGGGAAAATCAACTTTTCGACCCTCGAACTTTGAAATGAAGCGCACAGACTATACTTATCACCCCGTCCAGGGTGGATGGCTCCAAATCAATCTGTCTTCTCTTCCATACTCTCGTTGCTTATCTGGCTTGGTCTTCCCCGCCCAACCTAATTTTAGGAAAACCGGCGTGAAGGCCCAACCAACCTTTCCGATTGCGCAGAACCTTTCGTATGTCTTCCATCCTATCGGTTAGTAGTCCACCATCCGTTGACGCATCAGACACGGCTCCCAGCGCGCTTCTAGCTACAGTAACATAACTCTATGGAAGTCACGCGAGAATAGGAGAATCAACGCCATAGCAGCGGCGTCTGTCGACCGAAAAGAGACTCTGCGTCGCTGATAGGAGCCACATCCGATCACAATCACACCTTTGTCCCTCCACTTTCGCCTTTCCTCGACGTGTCACACCCGGCAGAGCGTATGCAGCCATTGCATACCGGCTTATCACCTGGACGTTCCTCTTCCCGTTTCGTAGTCTCTCGGACTTACCAGTTTCCCCGCATCCCTTCGACAACTCTATTTTGCTTCAATGAAGGGGTGGCGTAAGTGTCAATTATAGTGGGGTGAGTTTGTGGCTTTCATGTTCAGTAGTGTTCATGGGGGATGTTATGTTAACATGCGCAGCTAGGCGCGATGGCAGGTTGGAGTCTGGAGGGCCGTTGACACCTGGGAGCTCCAAGCTTTTACAAGGCCCCCGAAGCATCCGAGTCGGCTAATACACCAACCCACAGGTCACAAAGCCCTCCTTCTCCCCGGTACCCTCGTTACTGCGATTCAAATTATCACCGCTGAATTGGAGAACCTTGTTGACCCACTTGTTCAGCACCTTCTGTTCTGTGCTCTGGTGAAGGGTAGAACGACCGCCCTTCTTCGACCGCACTGTCGGACGGCCAAGTAACTCAGGCCCAATCTCAAACTGTGTGGCATGTATGTGCAGACACATGCTGTTAAGCTTCTGGATTTCCATTAATTTTGTATAGATAAGGGATTCATTACCAAAGCCATTGTCCTGTGGTTTTCTAGCGGCCTCGAGCGTGTCGAATCATCCACCAACGGTTATAAGGCGGGCGATTACCGACCTATCAGCTGCTCAAAAGAAGCGATATCGTAGTTCTCAACTCCGCGATGGGGAAGAAGGAGGAGAACTGAATTTACTAGGTAAGTTTTTATATGTCCTCCTGACCAGACCTCATGACATCGTCGTACTAATCTTTCGTCCAGAACAGGCCAGCAGCTTCGCTTGTAGTATGCTTGGTACACAGTCATTACGACCGACGTATCCTTGGTTTCCTATCTCGGTATTGTCGTCGTCAGAGACCCTGTGGGTGGATGGTATTCGAGATCAGAAAGCGCTATTGAAACTCGCTGACTGAGCGGTTTGGCTGACTGATAAGGTCTCTCAAGCGCCCTCTGCCGGTGCACCTTCCGAGGTGATGTCACTTGCCCGCTTACGGTCGACAATACGTGGCCCTTCTGTTGCTTCTAGCGATCAGGATGGGCATTAATGATTTCTATTCTGGTTATACGGAGGACATTGCAAAGACTGCGGCTATTTCTGACCATGATCAATAAGCAGGTCTTTTCAATGCCTACAATGCTTAGGAATGCTAGGAGATGCCTAATGTTCACTGTTACACGTTGCACGTTCGTCCGAGGGACGCGAGAGAAGCGTCGAGTGGAAGCAGCGCTTGAAAGTCCAAGAAGGCTGGAAGGAATTGACCTGTGAAAGGCGTGGTCGGAACAGTGATTCCGACCTCCGTTCTGCGATGAAATTCAGGAAAAATCTCGAGGAGTTTACATCGCCTCGTTGCAGTTACATTGGGCACGTTGGAATTTGAAGAGGTGATGTATTGCCTCGTGCCTCCCCAGGGAAATCATAGCCGGGGGTTGATTCTCCTTGAATTTCAGACCAGAGTCTGTTTTCGTTGCCTTTTCCCGCATGCTTCTCCGAGTTTAACGACTTACCCGTGGCAATGTCATCTCGGAGATGAAGAGAACCCTTTTGTTTGCATATTTTTAGCGATCGAATTGGAAGATGCCCCAACTTTGAGGAGGGCTGGGAGGACGCTGGTTCGGGTTAAGCGCCCTGTCAGAGCTGAATTCACGTTCCAACCTTTCACCACCATTTCAAATCTCTCGAAATAGGGTGTAGGGCTTTGTACGCATTTAGCGGCCCCGAAGTACTTTCATCGCCCGAATAATGTTCAAAATTCGTCCCAACCGTTTTTCCGCTCTAGCCCTCTCGATCGCCAAGGGCAGGTGAATACATAGGGGGTGTAGGAATGCCGTTGCGAAGGAGAATTCGTGGCTCTCGTTTCCGATTGGATCAGGGGGGTCTTCTGAGGACGGAGTACTCGAGTCATTCAATTTTTTTTTTTTTTTTACAACAGCGTAGACGTAGCGATAGACACTATTGATACAGAGTGTACAGTATACCCGGGTGGTGCAGCGTGTCAAATGTGAGAAATGGTGAATAGGGGGAAAGCAAGGGAGCGAGATGGATAATACAACAATAGCAGCACGAGACTCGATGGCCTTAGCAGCGAGAAGAGAACTTGAATGTGGTTGAGTGTCATGGGGCGTGTGCGCAGGTCGTTGAAGCCGGCATGAAATTGCGTGATATAGATAATTAAGGTGAAAGGGAAAGATGAAAACGAGCAATGGGATTTATACTACGTAAAGAGATAAAAAAAGGCATAAGCCTCGTTCCTCTTGTCGTCCGTCCAGTAACGCGATTGTATTAAGCATTATCACCATCTTCTCGTCGACGTTTGCTGCCTGTCGATGCTGATGCGGTCAGGGATTGGAGGGTTTGTGCGGAGGGGATGAGGGGAGGGGGGACGGGTCCCTGGGCTGCGCCCGTAACACCGACCACGAGGCCCTTGAGCCAACCGTTCTCGCGACGGAGTGCCTCGCATTCCCTCTCCAGCTCGCTAACCTTGAGCTCCAACTCCTTCGCCTTGCCCTCCAGCGCCGCCTCCCGCTCCTTCTTCTTCAACCTGAACCGGGCACTCGCAGCGGTGTTTCTCCGACGTTTGTCCTCAGCGGCAGAGAGGGCAGCGGGGGAGGGTGTTTCGGCGTCGGGAGAATCGGGGTTGGAGACGGAGGCCTTGCGGGTGCGGGCACGCTTGGCAGCGGGGGCTTGTTGCTGCTGCTGCTGCTGGGATTCCTCAGTCGAAGTAGTGGGGGTGGGAGGGACCGACTCGGCTGCTGTTGGAGCGGCGGGTTGTGTGGGGCGGTATGATGTGATCGGGAGAGGGAGGTTCGAAGCAGATGAAGCTTGTTGTTGTTGCTGGATTTGGTGAGAGGCGGGAACGAAGGGTGGTGGGGGTGGGATGTGCTGAGCAGCAGCCGCAGCAGAGTGGAAAGCGAGCAGCTGAGCCAGAGAAGGGGCGATTGGCTGCTGCTGTAGCTGAGGAGCAGCGGCAAAGGGGTCGATGCCAAAGCCGACCAGGAAACTGTTCAAATCGAAGGGCGGCAGAGCGGGTTGGGCAGGGGCAGGTTGGCGGGGCTCATTTGTGCCGATATTGGTGGGGGTCACCACATTAACGTGCCCGTCATGGACAGCTTTTTCGGTTGTCACTGGAGAACGCGCGGCTTCTTCTTCTTCCTCATCGGAAAGAGATTTTCTGGAGTACTTGTCGTCATTGGGCCTGGACGTCGTGAGGGGGTCCTCAGAGTCGAAAGTGAGATTTGTCCATAGGTCGAGCTGGGCTGAGAGATCCTGGTATTGCTGGCCTGCAAGCAGATCGTGGCTGTCGCTGTGAATCGTCGGGTGGACGACGTTGAGGCCGTTTAGATTTGGGGGCATCTGAGTGTCGGGGACGATGTGCAAAGGAAGAGAGAATGGAAAATGTGGACCTGGGAGCTTTAAGTGAGGCCTCGGTTGTTTTGCTTCACTCGGCATTCCTTCCGGTCCGGAACAACTCTCCCTGCTGACAAACTCTCCGTTCCTCAAAATCACAAAAGATATTCCTCCCCATTCCTCCATCTCCTGTGTTAATTCTTCGACGTACCCCATCGTCGTGTCTCGATGTCTAGAGTGTGCATGCGAAAAAGCGTAAACTTGTTCCAGCGCCTCAATCTCTTTGTATATAACGCCCAACGCCCCACCATACTTGTAGTAATTCACACATCCCACTCTGATAAGATCTGGCTGCATATGATTGATGGTTGAGATGTTCACCTGACTGAATGACAGCGGAGAATTCGGCACTGACAGTCGTCTAAAAACAGTCTAATCAAGGTCAGTGGCAAAAAGGCGCTGTTTCATGCATCGGTCATGTAGCAACGAAGACCATCCCGAAACAATCCCATTGGCCTTCTTCCGTCAATCGACACGGTCCAAAAATTAGTAGACTCCGTCACAATAGTCCTCTGCCTTTTATCCTTTATTTTACAGACTTTTAAGACTCCAAGGAGGCCGCGCTATAGGACAATTAGCGTCGACGGACCCGACGCGGCGGCGCTAATAGGTAGCGCCCTTTAGTTGACGCGCCCGTGCCTGTTTGATATGACGCCATTTCCAGTGGCAATCGCCCAATCCTCGACCAGTCACGAGCAGCACTTTAGCGCGTCGTTCCCTACTAGATATGGCTAGGACGTCGACGAGGTGTGATGGGAGTTAAGGCTGGCCATGCCCGCGCAGGGAACAATGGGGCACAATGACCTGATAGAAGGAAAGGGTCCACGCACTCTTTTCCCAGCAATCCGTTCCAGAAGTCTTCATGAATACGGATCGTCGGTCCTGAACAAAGAAACAAGCCCGGCGAGAACCTGCAGCCTCACGACTGGCGTCGAAAAGTCGCTGATGGGGGCGAGTCATTTTCTTCCAAACCGATGTCGGTCGAGGACAGTGAAGGGCTCGACTGGCAATGTACAGGCAGGCCTCACAACGGCCTCGCACACCGGTGGCAATGTCCCGCGATGCTGTTCTCGAGAACGTTATCATTAGCACCGATTTTCAAAGTAAAACAGACAGCTTACCTTGTTTTCCCCAACGGACAATCAACCGATAAGCGCCCACTTCGAAAATTTGGTCACATGCATAGTACTCCCAGCAACCCATGCAAAGCCTTACGGCGTCGATGGACGACACCGGTGGCTCGTGACCTTGGAGGGGTATGGGCCCCGCCGATGTCAAATCGGCCCTTGCCAAAAGCATACCTTGAAAGCACACTAAACACGGCGGTCCCAATACAATCCACAGTCCAGATTGGCAGCTTTCTGTCATGAAACCGCCGGGACCCTGGTGCGGCCAAACACAATTTGCCCACAGATGTGTGTCTATCACATATGTGCTAAGCCGAGGGGTAGAACAAGTGCTTTACTCAGCTTTGCACGTGCCATGAAGAATAGAAGGGTGGAATGTCATGAACTCACCTTCGATGTAACAGCTAGACTCTTAATGGCTGATAAACTTATCCCAAGCGTCAGAGGCCTTGAATGTCGGGACGCCATAAATAACCCATTACGGCGCTGCGCAGCTCCAAGGGACGATGATATGAAGTTGGAATCGAGTTGTCCGTCGTCATAGATAACTCGCGACATGCGTTATCGAAGAGGGATCGTCAGAGTGAGGCCTGAGCACCACTGTGCTGAGGATCGAATCGGCGAGGTTGGAAGAAGTCACGAATTCAGAACCGCCGATATCCTTGCGCCGGAGAGACATGCCTGGTTACATATGGCTCCATCCGGTCCCGGAGGCCGTAAGGAACGTTCGCGGCTAGCCTTGTCCTGTCGAAGACAAGAAGTGTGGGGCTAGGGTTCAAAGATAACTTGTCGATGTGATAGTTCCTCCAAGCTCCTTCCTTGCAAGGGTTCCAAGAGAGTCAACACCTCGATCCACGGATGTAAATCTTGGAGCATAGAGCGCAGACGACATTGCATCTCGGCGCAAGAAGAGATGTCAAGAATCTCGCGATTCCAGTTCCACGAGGGCCTGTGACGGGCAGAAGTTGTCCTTTACCCCGAGAAAAAGAGGGTCCCTGTCGACATTCGACCGAGTCATAATGTGACTGGCAAGAGGACAGACGAAGGAAAGAAGATCTGTCCCTAAGTAGCCGAGTAAAGCGCATCAGGGAGAGGGTGCGCATAGTATGCGGTCCTTTGGACATCTCGATGCTGTAAAGGCAGCGGCATATTATGTTGCAAGAGCGCGTGTGGGCGCGCCTGCATTCCGAGAGGCGAAAAAGGATACATACGGACCTTTGTCCCAAGTCGACCCAGGTCGAGAATGTATTTCGCGTTCAGTTCATCACTTGTGAGAAGCCGTCTACTGAGAGCAGAAGTTTGAATCCATAAGATCTGCCCGCAAGAAGCGACTCGGTGGCCCCACACTACGCGATGCACTAAGTCCAGGCTCCATCGACCTCCAGAAAGGCATATGAAATGTCTTGATAAGTTGAAAGGAACTGGCGGACGGAAGGAACCCTGCCTTCACCCCTGTCACAGGGTTCCAGAATCCGAACCCTCAGCCCAAATGAGGCGGCCAATACCGTCCATGCCATCGCGTTAGCGCCTCGCTTCCAAAACTAGATCTGGAGTGTGCACGATTGTAAGACAGCAAGGTGATACAGAACGAAGGCCGAGAAATAAGCTCAAAGTCATGTTTCCGGAGGTCACGTTGTCTGATGACCGAGGTTGAACTTGCTCGATGGGAGACGGACAGAGCACAAAGACACATCCCAGTAGCGCTATGTCGTAGCCGCATGATCCTGGCAAGTAAACGGCGCTTTTTCCAGTCGGCAAGACATCAGTAGCACAGCGGCGATGGACCAGTTGACTGTCTCCATCGTGTCAAACGAATTTGACAGATTATTGTTCGGTTTTTTCAATGAGAGACATATCAAGGAGAGCACTGATCCCGCCTGGCAACCCGCAGCAGAAAGAACACAAGGAAAAGTCTGTAGGCGTAAGTCCGACGACGAGTCTTGGTCCCTGGATTAATTGTCGGCTTGGGAGGCACGCGAGTTTATTAGAGATTTGTTCGGATTTCGGGAGTAGACCAAAGAGGGTGGTGATTTGGTTGAGAGTGTATTGAATGGAGACGCGGACGCCGCTGCCGACGCGGAGGAAGAGGTGACCAGGCAGTGAAGTAAATAGGTATTAGGGCATAGCTGTCAGTTCCTCTTTTTTTCCAAGGTCACATCCAAAGCAGGAAAGATGAGCGGTTAATCGTGGGTCCAACAGATTCCTGGGTCAGAGAGTCGTGTGAGGGGAAGAGAGCTAGTATGTTGGGTTATGTTTCTGGAACTAGGCAGTGTTATAGCGTAAATATACTCTAAACAATTTGGATGTCGCAATGAAGTCGCAAGCAAGGCTGAAGAATTCACTGAACTTTGGCGCTAGTCACCAACCGAATGCGGCTTGGCATGACTGTATGTAAAGCACGTGAGGTTCCCTTAGTCAGCAAGCCTTGGGAATCATGGGCGCCTCGGCACCGTTGGCAGCGATGAGGTCGACCAACTCTTGCTGCTGAACCGCCATGGCCTCGACTGGGGAGACTGTAAATGTTCCTTTCTTCAAGAAGAAGAAGGGAACTCGACCAACGACTGCTCGGAAACGCTCTGTCTCGCCTGAACGACCCGATAATTTGGGTGCTTCATCCTCCAAAACCCAGGTGGTGCTACCCACCAAGAAGGCGGCCTCGAATCTGCTTAGTGCGGGAACTAAACGCACTGCTGCCCAAAGGGACGACCTTGATACTCCCGAGAAAGACGGGCCGGACGTGAAATGGTCAGCAGAGGGATCTCACATCAACACGGCTCTTGAGATTCTTGCTGGGGATGAAGCGGACGAAATCTTGGCCAAACGCCGTAGGAAGGAACGTCAGGAAGCTGGGGAGGATGACATTGAGGTACCTGACGACGGCCAATACCGAGGGCAGAACGCCTATAGAACACATATCAAGAAGACAACCGAAACGCCAAAAGCCATGCGTACCGGACCTCAACGCAGCACCAATACAATCCGGACGGTTACTATTGTTGACTACCAGCCAGACGTCTGTAAAGATTACAAAGGTACGTAGCTCAGTGAATCTCATGACTCTGGTCTATAGTTTCTTATCGCCAAACTTTATTCGCCCTTGACAGAAACCGGGTTCTGCGGCTTTGGAGATACCTGTAAATTCCTTCATGACAGAGGAACATGTGAGTACAGCTTTCCAAACCACATGACGTGGTTTAGTCTACTTTTGGGCGCTAACATGGCTATGTTCCTTTCTTCCTCCCAGATCTCGCTGGATGGCAATTGGACAAATTGGCGGAGAATCCGAAAAAGCAGGTCGACGATGATTCAGATTCCGACTCAAGCGACGACGAGGATATCCCCTTTGCCTGCCTCATTTGTCGTAAACCCTACACCGATCCCATTGTCACTCGGTGCGGACACTACTTTTGCTCGGCTTGCGCAATAAAGCGATTCGCCAAGACCCCGAAATGTCTCGCATGTGGGGCTCCGACTGGTGGCATCTTCAACCGAGCCGATAAAGTCATAGACAAGATGAACAAAAAGCGGAAGGAGAAGGAGGAAAAGGAAAGAGAGGATGACAGTGACTCGAACATCCAGATAGAAGGTCTGGAAGAGAAACAGGGAAGTGACGGCGACAAGGACGATTCGGACGACGACTCCGAGTAACATACTGCGGTGTACCCCAATCCCATCTCGCTTTGTATATCATTACCGTATGTGATCTCCCGTTCGAGTTGCTCCTGCCACTTTGAGTTAATCTGTCGGAACATACTCTTTCCAGGCTCAACAGATAACACGCACTGCCGCCCATTGCAGACCAGGCTAGGCGAGGCAACTTGAACGGACAGCACGGGCATTCCTATTCAATGACACGCACACCCTCTGACAACACATTCCCAAGCGCCCAAGGTCGTGATTTGCGAGGCGGAGGTGTCAATCACCTTCCGAGATCGTGTTTCGTTAAGGAACCTATTGAACACTTGTCAACTTGTCCCTGAGCTGTTCCTTGAAAGGATACTCAACGCGCTAAATGACACAGGGCGGCTGGGCGCATGATCGCGATCCCGTGGGGTTGGGCAACGAAATGGCACCTCTGGTAACCGACCGACTGGTCCATCTGCAAAAACAACACCAGAACATGCAACTTAAGGTCTGCCGAATTTGCACACCAGTGTAGTGACCGACGGTTTCGCTTTTTGCACCCTGGCAGCAAGGCGCGCGCTGAAAACAGGGCGGGGTGGGGCTTATTCTCCTCACCCCATCAAACCATGAAACGTTCGATTAATTATTGTGTACACAAATATGATCCCAATACTCGAATTTCACTCTTTTGACGTCCTGGTTGGCAGATTGAACGATGTCAGAATTTAGGGCCACGGCGAACACACGAGGTTTGCAGGAGGTCAACACTTTGGGAAAGGTTTACTTCAGGCCGAAGTGAGCTATGTAACGGTGCATGATGGAAACTCGAATAGTATTAAGCGGTAGGCACTAGCAGACTACAAGACCGGTGAACGTGCTTTATGGATCCAAGCGATCAAATTAGCCCAAACCTAGGACCTCGCGGAAACCCGATGCTGTTGTTCGGCTATCCAACTCGAGGTAGAAGGACAGGGAGCACCGATCCAAGCAAGTATACGAAAGATATCCGGGCGCTGGAAATGATCATCAGGGCGCAAGTTGGACGACAGTCTGGCGGTGCGAGATGAGTTCGTCCACGTTGCGCACGAGATCAAACGAGGTATCGAAGTGATACTTTTGGAAGGAGGGTATATGGTGAGAAGGTTGTGAATAGGTAGGATTAGATTGGCACGTGAGGCTGACTGTAAGGTGAGCATAGTGATAAGAGAAGCCGATCTAACCATCAGAAAACCAAAGAACACACCGAAGAGACGGTCCTCGTATGTCAAGGTCCAGGTGCCTCGTCACATCCATTGTCAACATGTCTTTTCAGGGAATCGGCTCTGTAAATTTTTGCTTCAGATGCCTATCAGGAAGTTACGAAGAACTGGATGGCCCACCTGCTGAATTCCTTTTCGCACCATCTGCAACGATGGATAATGGGTGTAGCCAAGTGCTGAGTCTCGTGATGTCTCTTTCTATCGTGAGATCTGGAGAACGTCTTGCCACACTTTTCGCAGGGGAAACGCTCCCCAGATGGAGAGGTAGCGGGGGACGAACCAAGTGTCCCTGACCTGGGTCGAGTAGTCGAGATCCGTGGTCGAAGAGGCCCGCCATGGGTAGAGCTCATTAGGTGGGCTGGATAACTGACCGATCCAGTGCTATAACGGTCGGGTGGAGGCACGGTAGGGGATCGAGGGATCATAGGCGCGTAGTTGCTATAGGCATTGGCCATCTCCGACGGTGTTGGGATGAACTGGGTTCGCGGCTCTGGACTCGTCCCAAAGCTCCCGGCGAAGTATGCGCCGTTGGACGTATAGACGCCGGAAGAGCTGGTCGGTGAAGGAAGAGTGCCATCTCCAGAGAAGTAACCCCGGGAGTCGCGTGAAGCGCTGGGGTAGCGCGTATGAGACAGAGAAGGTGTCATGCTTCGGTAGTAGGGCGACGTATGGCCTGAGGTCGAGTAGGTAAGACCGACGAATGCTTGTCATGCCTCGATGAAGACGACTCACTATCATTCGCTCCTCCCATAGACGTTGATGAATAGAAGGCCGAGGAATCGTACTGAGGATAGGCAGGCGTGGTGAGCGAGTACTCGGAGCTGTGGTGCGAAGCATGCCCCGTAGAGTAGCTGTTACCCTGGTCATCGTAAGTGTAAGAGCGAGGTTCGCGAAATTGCTGCATCGTGGAGGGCGTCGAAAGAGGTATCGAGCAATGGCTGGGGGACGATGTAACGACCGTTGGACTACTCTCTCTTTTATTATAGGTCGGCACCGGCTGTCATACACTAACTTGGCAAGTATGAGCCGTGCTCATCCGGGGTTGACCAACCGGGTGAATTAATTCTTAGAAAGGAATCCGATCCTAGATCCCGCTATACGCGGTGACCTAGTTTTGACCTAGTTATTCGAATCTACGTACACCGTTAGGAAGAGGTGATGAGGTGGAACCTATCAAGTATGCTCACCAGTAAAGCGATACGACAATTTCTTCTGCCTCCATTAGGCTCTTCCTTTGCTACGAAAATCATTCATGCACTTTTACGGTGAACGAGTTGTGGTGACCTTTGGAAACGCCGAAAGGGCCTGAATCTCCGATTCAGCAGGACGGTGTGCCTTCAAAAGACATCCCCCGATTAGACCCAAACTAGGTTAGCGTAATATAACAGACTTAAACAGCCCACAACAACTCACGTCGGACGAAGATCCAATCTGGACAAAAAAAAAAGTCTTGACCTTGCTGCGCTTTTTTATTGGCAATCTGACAGCGATAACCAGAGCCTCGTTATCACATATTCAGAGTCCCAAACCTGGATATGCCGACGGTGTTTTCACCGAATTGACCCGGACTGGTGGGACGCAAACTTGTTCCTGGTCTGAAATTCTGTCTGCATCTCGTATCCAAGGCCACGCCTGCAACAAAGGAATCATCAGTTTTATCCAAGTTCCATTTCACGAGCTGACCTTTTCCCCGACATCAGGCACGTCTTACATCTGCGATGTCCGCAATCCTTGCGCTGTCGGTGAACCGACAAGGGCACGTTGTTGACAATCCTCGCCCCGACAGCCGAACAGGTCGGTCCTAGCGATCCTGGATTATATTGGGGTTTTTTTTTGCGCACAATGACGTGACCCATTCTGCCAAGAAAGGTAAGTACTAGGTACAATGTTAGAATAAGATTGTTCTTGGAATTTCCCTGCTGGATTTGTGAGAACGGGGAAGCGAGGGGAAGATAGGGCGACACGCTTGGGACCAGCAACAATATTTCCTTCCAAGGCGAAGTCCACGAAATTCGGCACTTCGCGATTCACCTCAGACCGGATTCACCAGAATGCTGGCCGTGTACCGGAAGTAATTGCAGATCATGAAATACATTGATTTGGCGAGTTTTAGACGACGTCGCACCAGGACCATTCTCTGAAAGAGGAACAGAAAGTCTTCAGTCCCAAGCTTAATGGAGAGAAGGGATTAAACTCACAGATCCGTGATGCGAGCGCTTAGGAAGAACTCGCTATGGAGAATGTGGAAGGAAAGATTCAGCTTGAAGGCTGGTCGAAACTCAGCAAAGCTTGTTCCCCGTGCGTCAAAATCGCGATTCAAAAAGGAACCCAAACTAAATTTGAGGGCGACTTTCGAGAAGACGTCCACATGGCGAATTAGGGGGCTGAGTCAAAGCATTAACAAAGATTGGATTCGATGCGGTCCGTGGGCCTGTTGGATGCCCCAAAGTGTGATAGGTGGTTGTATTCAAATGTTGAAGTGATAAGTAATTTCAGGTCTGGGATATCACTGGTGGGAGAGACTGTTGTCGGGTGACTGAGAGGTGAAGAGACAGAACAAATTCTGAATCGGGAAGTGTTTTGGTCAAAGGTGATGGCATCTGATCCTAACAGAGCCAAAGCGTTCGCAATCGCGCCGTTGAAGTCATTCGCAGCGCTTATAGACACTGGACAGTCATGGCACCCTTCGATCTCGACGCTTGTATCCAACAGCTTCTACGGAAACAACTACTACACGAAGCCCTACTTCGAGAAATATGCGAGAAGACCAAAGAAGTACTAATGAGGGAGTCCAACGTCGTCCACGTTAGCGCCCCAGTGACCGTAGTTGGCGACATCCATGGGTGAGTTCTCGACAGTATGACCACGCACAGGCAGCTTACTATCATCTCAAGACAGTTTTACGACCTAATAGAGATATTTCGAATAGGAGGATACGCTCCACACACAAACTACTTGTTCCTCGGTACAGTCCTCGTATGGCCCTGGCAAAGGGACAGGGATTCACATTAATCCTTGAAGGCGACTACGTGGACCGCGGTCTCTTCAGCGTCGAGACAATATCTCTGCTGACGTGCCTCAAGCTGCGGTACCCTGATCGTGTACAACTTATCCGAGGGAATCATGAATCGAGAGCTGTAACGCAGGTGTGCAATCAGAAACCCGTGCCTTCTGGTTCAAAATGCCTAACGGCTTTTTCTACAGACCTACGGATTCTATTCGGAATGCGTTCGAAAATACAACTCATCTCATGTTTGGACGTACTTTACCGACATGTTTGACTTCTTAACTCTGTCCGTGGTGATTGACAACCAGATATTCTGTGTGCATGGCGGTGAGCCTATTCGCCAAACATCGAGGTATCCGAGGCCTGATTTTCTATAGGACTATCCCCTTCAATTCACTCCATCGATCAGATCAAGGTTGTCGATAGATTTCGAGGTCCTCCATCCCCAATCTTTCCTTTGGGCTTCCCTGACGAAAGGCTTTAGAAATTCCCCACGAAGGCCCAATGGCCGACCTCGTTTGGTCGGATCCTGACCCAGAGAAGGAGGACTTTGCAATATCTCCTCGGTAGGTGATCTTCTGGTCGCCATGTTAATCTAATTAACATTTCCATCAGAGGGGCAGGGTACACCTTCGGTGCCGGCGTCGTCCACAAGTTCCTCCAGCAAAACCAGATGTCCCATATCCTTCGAGCACATCAGCTATGTATGGAAGGCTATGCTTCCCTATTCGACAAGCACCTGTCAACCGTATGGTCGGCACCAAACTATTGCTATCGGTGTGGCAACTCCGCGAGTATTTTGGAGGTGGGCCCCGGCGGCAGTATGTACTTCAATGTGTTTGAAGCTGCTCCGGAGAACGAACGAGATGGCCCGGCTCAGCAAGCACAGCAAAATGCATCCGGAAGGGTAAGTGTTCCTCAACCAAATCGCATTCATCTCTTTCTCACAGCCAGATGCAGCTACCGGAATACTTTCTATGATTTATACTATGCTAGATTACTAGCGTTTAGATGTAATATATGGGAGGCGCCTTTCGGATCAGCGTCCTATTGCTTTACGAACATCTTTTATCACCTGTAGCAGACGGGGTATTGAGGGACGTAAGTGTTTTCGCAGAAGAAGGCATAGCACCGAAATGCAGCAGGTCAATATGATGTAGGAGTGCCAACGAGACCAGAAAAGGAGTGCAAGCGTCTTGAAGAGGTCACGTTTGCGACGACGACCGTGCTGCAGTGAAGGTAACCGCCGATCTGGTGTAGTTGAAACAGGGTATCCGAAAAAGGGGTTGAGAAGAGACGTCGGTGAAATCCATGGCAAAGACGGAGATGTGGATTCCTCGACGACTGTCGTCTGGGGTATATCTGTCGTGTAGGTTGTTTCCGAGGTGATTGACGCGTCGTCTCTGTCGGACGGGAGGAGCGGGTCGTATAGCTGAGCCAAAGGAGGCAAATCACCACCGTAATCTATCGTCCCGGAATAAATAAGGACATGTATAGGTATGAACGTGGAAGTGTTACCTTGAGGCAGGCGAGAAGAGGAGAAGTAGCCAATGACCTCCTTCTGGGAGGGGAAGAAGACCCGGGACAAGGCTGATTCAGGTAGTATCCTCCTGGAAACAGAGAAATGAGCCTCCTAGAGCTCGCATGGTGCACATTAACATCACGCACTTGACAATGCTCCATAAGCTAGAATGCGTCCAAGAGTAATTGAGCATGAAGACTGGGGGAGGAATCTGAGCGCTTTCCATTCGGTGGGGTGGGATATACGTACCTCCAGCCAGCATCCCAGGATACCGTGGAATTACTTCACGAACTGCCCAGCTGACGATATCAATCGCCTTCGTGATTATGAGAATCAGTCACCTGAATCACGACCCAAGCCACTCACACTTCGCTGAAAGCTGAGTGCACGTAGGTCCACTAAGACCATACACTGCAGTGGAGGCGTATCCCCTTGTTTGCACTGGTGGAAACGCTCGGCGAGATGTTGCCGCAAGGTTTCGAAGAACTGGAGTATCCCAATTTTGACCACCTCGGGCTCCAGCGTCATTGGAACGGTTTCAATGATGATTATGGGACGCCCGAAAGGATCGACCACCTCGGGTGGAAGACAATGCACATTGGGCATTGGTACTGGTGGACTGGGTGCCCAGAGATTTTGCAGTCTCCAGATGAGATTCTTCCGAATGGCTTCCATTGTAAATGATTTAATGAATTTATTTCTCTATTCATCGTGGGTTGAGAAGAACAACGTGGGCGGGGTGAGGGAAGCTTACTCGTGCAATGCGGAACATGGAGGCTGTAGGATCAAGAAACATCAGACCTCAGACCTTCCAAATTGAACTGAAAGCATACCAGTATCTAGAAGCCATTCCTTGGCCCAATCCGTGGCATCCGGGGCGAGTTCCAATTCGTCTGTGACGGATGGAAGTATGTCGTTAATCAACGTCTCTTGAAGCTTTTCTACATCCTGCAAATTGGCATGGTAGGCTTCCAGCAATTTATCACAGTTGGTTCGTAAATGTTCATAAATGTCCATAGAAAAGAGCCCAAATTGGTTTCTGTAGGGTGCGGAGGGAACTGTAGGATGGCGAGCACAAGACCCCGCTGCAGGCGCTCAAATTGAAACTGGAACGAGAAGAGGTAACGCGAGATGGCCGGTTTCGGCTTTGTGATCTGGGCTAAAGTTCCCACGATCATGGCGTGCAATGATGCCGATCCTACCATTGCCAAATGGCTCGGGCCCGGCCAATGCGAAATTCGAGATAACTCGCAATCTCAGTTATTATTTCAGCCTCATAGTTCAAGAGATCTTGCACTTAGTTTCCTAATGGATTGGCGAGCTTTCTCCCCCGTAAGCAAGTAGAGGGCAATGGGCCAGTATCAATACGGCGGACCCCAAATGGCATCACGAACTTCCTCCGATGTGACACCAATCCCTCACCTGCCATCGTTTCAGTAAACTTTATTCGAGATAGAGTCTCTTCGAGGGCGACTGCAGCTCACACTCATTAATGATAGGTAGTCCGCTGATGATAAGTGGTCCCATTTTTACCCCATCCAAGTAGACGATGAATTTCTTTCACCATACTACTCTGGCTCATTGGCCTCTTCAAACTCCGCGTCCCTTGCAAAGGCGTCGTAGGTCCATGGAGAAATAATACCAATCACACTTCTGCATCGGACGGGGTTTGACTATTGAAAGGAACTTTACATAAACCCGGGTGTGGCATTCCACCTAGAATTCCACCTGATCGCGTACGAAGAGAGGCAGCCAAGGAAGCTTGCTGGGGAGCCGAGAGTGGAACCCATCTAATATACTTTTCCGAGCTTCCGCGATTGAAGGCCAAGAATGGGACACTTGGTAGCAGAAGTTCGTAATCATACCCGCATGCCGGCGTTCGAATGCCAGAGGTCCAGTAGGGGGATGATCATTGTTCCTTGGCTAGTCTGCTCATCTGCCAGACGTGTCCTGGTCGTCGTATACGCGTAATGGAGAACGACCGTTGTGAGTGTACAGTCGTCCCATTGAGATGGATCCTATCCTAGAGAAGAACTAGTACGGTGAGATCTAGTCGCCTGATGAATTTCAAGTAATTTCATGAATCTGGAACTGTCCCCGAATTCTTCAGCGCAAGAACCACAATCCGACCGCACGAAAGGCGCGGGTTTCCAAGGAGCTGGAAGAGAGATACGAAGATGGACTCGGTGAACCCATGATCCGACTGTTTCAAGCTTCACCTACTCTCAGTTTAAGTGGAAATCATAGACTCGCGTTGAAAGAAAGGATTGAACCCGGACGTTTGGACTTAAAAGGGCCCAACCCACCCGTGCCAGGGTGACTGCGGGGGAATTATTAGTCCCAATCCAGACGGGGACGGTTACACGACCGTATTCGTGCTTTCGTTCGCATTACCGATTCAGTCGGGGGTCAGGATAAAAGTAGCGTCTTAATTATACTTAAGACCAGCGCTGTCAGCCAGAAGCCTGAGGCAAGCTCCCCGATGAGTTCACCGTGGATTTGAAAATGAGAGAGAAAGGTCGAGCTGCTTCGCGATCGTGCATCTTCATCCTTTGGAATGTAGGTGGGCTGGAAGTTACAAGTCCCGCCATTGGTACTCTCAAGGATGAAGGGGGATCCACTATGGACCACCCTATCAACTCGAGCTCGAGTGCTTCACACTCTCCTACCCACTACGAGAACATCGCCCTGGTATGCAGATGTAGGGAGGGAGATTGGTTTGATTGGCCAGGAGCGCAGATCCAGTCCCCACTCTTTTTTACGATTGGTCTCGATAGAGTTGTCCACGAGGTACGTGCAAGGAAGCTGTTCCCATTGAAACGTGCTTCACAGACGAGGACAGGCAGTTTACACACCGTTATTGAATGTATTGTAACGGCAGGGAAGCGCCCACAAGGGAGTAGTGACATCCTTATCTCGTGTCAATCAGGCAAATTGAATCGATAGAGCTGTCTACGTGACCACCAACTCCTTCTCTGCAAAAGAATTCGCCTGAGCCAGGTAGTTGGGAATAACGCCGGATATAGGCATCAGGACAGGCGCCTGACGCGAGCATCTTGGAAGGTTGCCATCCCGAGCCAGCCTCCAGATGCTACCCTCTGGTGCCAATTGAAGTTTAAACATCGGCACCGTGAAGTTCAGGTGTCGTTATCCTGTCCCGCGCGGCAGCTCGAGGGCGGGCGAATGTGGCAATTCAGAATGTCAATGATTGAATACAGGAACACTCTTTCTCCACAAATATCTGACTCTTCTATTATGGGATAAAACCCAACAAGATCCGTACCCAGCTATAGCCCCTGAAAGCCTGTACGGCAGGCTCACGAAATCCTTCTGCACCCATTCGATTCCAACCACATCTGCCAACAGCCGTTTTCCGGGCAACAAAGAGGGGATGGAGCTCACATGGGCACCCCGGTGCGCACAGCGTACATGACCATCGTACAGTATCTCTATGTCTTTTTGGCCATGTGCGGAATATATAGGCGCGCAATCCCCCTCACAGTTCTGGAAAGTTAAAAGTTTCTCCCGCCAGCCACAGGTTAGTTAAGCGCCCAATCGTGGGAACGCGGGATCTTTTGTGGTTGCCGATGGCGGCCAATTTCTGCTTCCAACCTTCGAGTCAACTTCAATTGCCTGGATTCTGTGACTTCCTGTTCTGTCCTGACAAGTCACAGAACAGTGAGTATACGAGACTTACGTGAACCAGAAAAGGTGTATCTGTGAGTTAACCTGTTTCGCTTCTAGAACTCGTTCGTGTGACGAGCATAATTTTGATCCCAGGAAAATTCTCCATCCACAGAGTCTCTGCACAATCATACTGAACACAATGACCGACCGTCCTGATTCTGAGGCGTTCATACAGTGGTTCTTGAACCACAATGGTACGATGGACCGTGAAGCCATGGGAATCGCGGACTTTCCTGCTGCCGAAGGAGGTCGTGGAGCAGTTGCCCTGAAGGACCTGCCTGTATGGATTGCAACTTCGATTCCCACCTCGAGGGGTCTTTTTTGACCAAGATCTAATTCTTCATCTCTGCCTAGCTAGGAAGGACACGTCCTATTCACCATCCCACGCGCTTTAACTCTCTCAACACGTACATCTCGGTTACCTGAACTGTTCGGTCTCGAGGAATGGAAACGCTTGAAACTGCATCAGGGTTGGGCTGGACTCATGCTCTGTATGATGTGGGAAGCTGCACAAGGAAAGGAGTCGAGATGGGCCGGTTATCTAGGTTTGTAGGAAGCGCGTGCAGAAAGACCACGAGCATGGCTGATCCTCTCTTCTCAGATATTCTCCCTGCGGCCTTCGATACACCCATGTTTTGGAACGAAGAAGACCTCTCTGAGCTAGCGGGAACGTCGATAGTTGGTAACCACGTTTTTCATCCTCAACTATAGGACGTCATTGACGTTTTTGTGCAGGGAAATTGGGAAAGGAAGATGCAGAAAGGGATTACGACTCTAAGATTAAGCCAGCTATCGCAGTAAGCATCACAGATCCGTGCTCCTTCCTCGCATCTCCGCTGACCAGTCTCGTTGAACAGAAAAGGCCGGAGCTATTCGCTCAAGGGGAAGTCTATTACTCTCTAGAGAGATACCACACCATGGGAAGTCGGATACTTTCAAGAAGTTTCACGGTTGAAAAGCGGGACGGGGAGGAAGAGGAAGAAGACGGTGCAAATGCCGACAACGCAAAGCATGCTGAATCCGAAAACGATTCAATGGACGTAGATGAAACTCCATCCAAGGCAAATGATCTTGAACAGGAGGAGAATGAGGATGAAGATGAAGATAACGACGAGGGCGAGGATGATGCATCTGATATAGCCATGGTTCCAATGGCAGATATGCTCAATGCAAGATTTGGGACCGAGAATGTACGCGCGGTTATTCAACCTCTGACTTGACTATCCACCTGACACGGTTTCATTCCAACAGGCCAAGCTGTTCCACGAGAAAGAGGTGCTCAAGATGACGACAACAAAACCGATCCGAAAGGGTGAACAAATTGTACGTCACAAAGTGCATCCTACCGAACCGGTAATCCAACCTTGTTCATAGTGGAACACATATGGGGATCTTCCCAATGCCGAATTGCTGAGACGATACGGGCATGTTGATCTGCTCAAGCTCCCAGATGGAAGAGAAGGGAACCCGGGGGATGTGGTTGAGCTGGGAGCTGATATCGTCGTCGATGTCGTGAAAGAGACGAACGGCCGAAGCACTAGCGATGCATTAGCCGAGCGCATCGACTGGTGGCTCGAAGAGGGCGGAGATGAGTACGTGAACCTTGCTAAGTTCGTATTTCCCTACTCACCCGGGCTTAAGCGTCTTCGAGTTCGACTGGGACCTTGATCTTCCACCAGCGGCTCTCTCGTTGGTTCGACTTCTCCTTCTCCCTGACAATGACTGGAAGAAGGCCCAGAGCAAAGGCAAACCACCAAAGCCAAAGGCGGATTCTGACATTTTGCTCGTCCTCGAGAAGGCCATTGAAAAGCGCCAAGCCCAATATCCTACCGCTATCCAGGTATGTTGCCATCTTTCCCAGCAATTGTCCGCTCCTTACACGACGTCCAGGACGACGAAACCCGACTTCAAGGTGAACTTTCATTAAATGCCCGACATGCAACGGTAGTTCGCTTGGGTGAGAAGCGGATTCTGCAGGCTGTGCTTAATAAAATCCGCTCTGCGCTCGAGAAAGACAAGGCGCAAGGCAGTGCGGCAAAACGGAAAGCCAAAGCCCAAGACGATGGCAAAAAGAGGTCGAAACGATAGAACATATGTCATCCCTAGTCTAGTGCACCCATGCTATGTCGGGAGGTCGGAAATAGAATATGACCTCCGCCCGAGGTTGTTCTTGGCGACATAGTTATAGTAACGCCGCAGCGATGCGGTGCAACCGCACCCAACTGCGCATGATCTCTTTATAATATTCCACCGTTGATGCTGCCTTCATAATTTCCTTGACCATCGCCATGTCTGAACCTGCGAAACCAGCTGCCTCATCACCCGTCCAGAGCCCGCCTGAAGTGGCAACAACAACGCCAACAAATTCACCACCGGAGGCGTCCAGATCATCGCCCAATCCGTTCCTTGATAACGAGGTCGTCGAGGAACCGCGGGAACACGCCTCTCCTCCACCGTCGGTGAACACTGTGACAAGACCCACCTCCCAGCCGTCGCCTGATACTACGGAGAATGTAACGACCGATCCAGCCATTGCTGAATTGAAGGCCATGTTCCCTGATTATGATGATATCATCTTGTACGTCCAGCCTGAGCGCTTCACAGGGACGCAACGCCTCACCTCCTCGACTCTTCTTACACCAGGCAATCCGTCCTCGAAAGCGCAAATGGCAATCAAGCTGCTGCAATCGAGATTCTCCTGGGCATGAGCGACCCCAATTACAAGAGCGAGGCTCCGCCACCCCAGGCTGCAATGGTGAATATTAATGTTACGTCTGATTCGGAGTGAGGATCGTTGGGTGTACTGATTACCGTGTGGTGATTCTACCACCTTCTTTCTTAGTCCCAGACGGAGCTGGACGAGCAGTTGGCCAGGCGGTTGATGCTGGAGGAGCAGCAGCAGCTTCAGTGGAGTCCGAATGCTGCCCCGGGTTTGGGACCACAACGCCGAAATTCTCGGTATGGCCAACCTCAGGTCGGATCTCCTGCTGTTGCTCCTCATAGTGCGGGTGCTACTTCGGGAGATAAGGATACCATGGCTGAACTCCAGGAGCAGTTCACAAAGGTTGCGGAAGGTACAATCTGTTTATGCGTTATCTCGAAGGTCCAGAACCTAATCGCGTTTGCTTTTTGTCCAGCCGGAAAGAAGACTTTTGGCAATATCTTTACCAAGGTGAAAGCCAAGATCCAGGAATTCGAACGTGGAGGGTAGGTTGGACGTTCCTTGTTCCTTTCTTATACCTCGTTTGAAGCAATTGGACTAACAGATTGGTGGTGAAGGTCGGATTCTGGTCCATCGACACAGTGGGTTGGAGGATACGATCCTCACGGACATCCTCAACAAGGCTATCCCCAGCAAACTCCGTACGCGCAGTACCATGGAAGTGGTGCTCATGGGCAACAGCAGGCAGCTTCCTATTACGATCCTAATTCTCCGATCACCCTCTCATCGTCCCAAGCGACACCACCACAAGGGACACCTGCGCCCGCAGTGCAAGGATACGACGCGACACCTTCAGGTGATTATTCTTATACCATATCTCCCCAGACGAAGAGGCAAGCTAACCCCGTCGAAAGCGGCTTCCCCGCCTCCCGCCGCAGCTCGGGCTGCCTCACCCCCAGTCACCCAGACTGCGACACCCAGCGCTTCGACTGTTCCTCCACCCAATCCTGCTGCAGTGCCCCTTGACGGAGGTACGTAACTGAGAATAGTCTTTGTGCCTTGATTAACTGACATGTCTTTTGGCTCAGGGAAACTTGGATTGCTTCCAAAGCGTCCAGTGTCGCTCATCCGCGATCCGCCATCTGGACAGCAACAGAAGCGGGCGGATGACAGCGACGACGATCTGGAATACGCAGAGAATCCCTTTGAGGATCAGAAGAAGTAATTGAAGCTGGGAAGATGTCAATCCTTGATCGTGTAATTTGTCTGAATTGTTGAATGGTCGTTTGCATTTGTATATTGGGACAATTTGATACCCTGTTGGCCTGGAATTCGAGTCGGTGCAAACGGACTTCTCGTGGCTCGAGAATTGGACACAGACGGATGGTGGTAAGGAATGTCTGTCGGTCGAAAGTACAGTCCATTTGGTATCGGTATGTACGGCGCCAATAAGTTAAGCAACGTATGGGGAAACCATTGCCCTGGCAGAAGTCGCCGCGATACCTGCAGCTGCCTGGAAGTCTCCCGCCGATCCTACCATGATTAGGCCAACTGACAAGGGAAAATTCCATGAGTAATGTCATTTATTACAAAGCGAAGATGGTGAACGTACCAATGAGACCGAACAGGCCAAGGATACTTCCGAAGACCTCCACAACAAGAATCTTGACGAACAAATCGGGGTCTGCTGCGTCACCCAACGCTGCGGTCGAACCTGTGACACCGACGCAGACACCGCACAGAAGGTTGCAAGCACCGACTGTCAAACCACCCCAGAAGAGGGCAAATCCTGTCGAGATTGGCAGTTGAGTATTGCCAAACGAGTTGGAAATGGAACATTCCACACACCTGTGTAGTAGTTTTCACGGGTGTAGAGTACGTCCTCGGCGACGTTGGTGAGCTTCGCGGAGTAGACGATTCCAATGATCTGCGGTGGTCGGTTGGTTACTTTGTTCGCTCAGAAACGTTGACGCCAATGACTGACCACTCCGTAGATAGCAACGACCTCACAGAAAATGATACTGTAATATTAGAGTCAAACTGCTGTTCATTCCTCTCTCCTGAAGCTGAATTGCTTGCGAACCTAATCAAGTTTTTTGTGGTAATTCGTGGTGTGCGTACACCTCCACCGAGGATGGAAGAACCTGTCAAGAAAATCCCCCTGGAAATTCGAGGGCGCGGTAATTAGGGAGTGCGCAATTCGAGACAGCAATGGGGACGCACCATGCAGCACCAGCAACACTCAGTCCAATGCAAAGACCAATCCCCGTCGCACCCCAAGCATAGGGACTGATTTCTTCGAGGAATCGTCCGACGTTGAAGGCTTCACCCGAACCTGGTGTGGTGCTTCGTCAGTTACCTGGTAATTGTTCACAGTGCACAGACTGGCAAGCGTACCAGTGAACAGTAAGTATAAAGCGATAACTGTTATTAGAAAAGAAGGGAGGCCATAAGTGTAGTAGGAGTATAGACCCATGTCGTGGTGTAGTCCGGAATGACGCTACAGTCCAACCTCACTGCGTTCGTGATTGCCTCCTCCGCCGCTGTTGTTGGGCTCTGTTTGCTCTCGGCGATCTGGTCGCGACGTCAGTGTCCCGGCACTGTTTGCTCCTCTCATGTACCATCTATTGAAAGGCTTCCACGAATACTTGACGAGGTGTGTGAAGCGCTGTGTCGTTCGAGGACGAAAGACTGACATAGTTAGGAAGGAAGAGTTTAGTGTGATTATCATCGGACTGGATGGGGCTGGAAAGACGGTATACTTGCCCTCTTCAACTCTTACACCAGGACTGGATCAGTCTAATGGAAAGCGGCTAGACACTGCTGGAGAAGATAAAGACGCTGTATAATGAAACCCCGGGACTGACGCCGGATAAGATTGGTCCAACGGTCGGGCAGAACAGTACGGGACTATACCTGGTTTCTGGAGGCTGCTCGCTCATCAAGTGGCCTTAGCTGGAAAGATTACTCTCCCTTCGACTATCCTACAATTCTGGGATCTAGGAGGACAACGCGGTATCCGCAATATCTGGCCAAAGTATTACGACGACTGTCATGCTGTGGTCTATGTCATCGACGCCGAGGACCGCGAACGATTGGGAGAAGGTTGGGAAGTGTTCGGTGTGTTCTTTCCGTTTAGTCTCTCGTCTTTCCATGCTTATCGAATCTATGTAGACTCTGTTCTCTCCGCACCTCAAATCCTAGGTGTTCCGCTACTCCTGCTGGCCAACAAACAAGATTCCCCCCTTAGCCTCTCAGTAGAAGAGATCCGAAATGACTATGAAGATTGGCATCAAAGGAAATTGGAGAGTGCGCGAAGGGATCGTTTTGGCGAGACTGAGCATGCTGTAGCAGCGCGGCGTGAGCGATTGGCGAGTTTGGATGTTATGGGCGTTTCCGCTTTGGAAGGGTATGTTCCCTTGCTCTAAAGCTTAAATGCTTATTGACGGAAATGCGGATGCGTGTAGGACTGGTGTAAGGGCGGCTGTTGATTGGTTGTTTCTCAGAGTACAAAATAGTAGAAGGTGATCAGAAGCACAATCTGGGCTTTCGCCACTTTACTGACATCGACTTCCAGGGACGCGCAGAAGAATGGCGGTAATTGACTTGCTGGATCCATATCTCCTGTCATAATGCCAAGGCATCTCCTGAGCAGTGACAAATTTTAGCACTTCCTGGAGAAAGCTCGAGCGCCACCTTGAAGAAGTGTCGAGCACAATTTTTTACTGTCTCTCGGGGCAAGTCTTAGACAAAGCTGCATCTTTCCTTGGGAAAAGATGTGTGGAAGTGAGCGAACGCGAATGCAGTTTTGAGCTGGTTGGCGTTCGCCATTGCGATTGTTTGCATCACGCCATACAAAGAGGGGAATGGATCTAATAATTCCATAGCATAAGAATATCTCACTTATGTATTGGCTGGCTTTCGTTCCGGGAACGAGGAGGACTGCAAGGTACCCCGCAAGCGCCCTTCGGAGCAGCGAGCCCGGCGGGCCGATGCCGTCTTTTGATCCGAAGACCGGCGGGGACGATTTCCGCTCGATAATGATGGCTTGACTCATTTGATACGATAACAAGTTACTATTGCTTTTCTCCCTGAGCCAGTGTATCTGACTCTGTTCAAAACCCTGTGGGCAGCCGCTCTTTTGCCCAAGTGCCGTCGTCAACCATGGCGTTCCCTGCACATGACAGTGAGTATTCTCTGAACCATGAATGTGACTGTTTCTGACCCTAGCACGACTAGTTGGCGCCCAGTTCGATTTTCCAAAAGAAGAGGAAAAGGTCCTCCAGTTCTGGAGAGACATAGACGCGTTTCAGACCAGTCTTAAGCTGTCTGAGGGTCGACCAGAGTACTCTTTTTACGACGGACCACCATTTGCCACCGGTCTTCCTCATTACGGCCATTTGCTCGCTGGAACTATCAAGGTGCGCCCCTTGTTTTCTCGAACACAATCGTGTTCTGAGCAGCTAGGAACAATAGGATATCGTCACTAGACACGCCCATGTCAGCGGCTACCACGTTACCCGACGCTTTGGATGGGATACTCATGGTCTCCCTGTCGAGCACGAGATCGATAAACGATTGGGCATTACCGGAAAAGAAGATGTTATGAAGATGGGAATTGACAAATACAACGCCGAATGTAGAAGCATCGTCATGCGATATTCGAGTGAATGGCGCCGCACCGTAGAGCGGATGGGCCGATGGATCGACTTCGACAACGACTACAAGACACTTAACCTCTCGTTCATGGAATCCGTGTGGTGGGCATTCTCCGAGTTGCACAAGAAGGGCATGGTATATCGTGGTCTTCGAGTGATGCCCTACTCGACTGGATGCACCACCCCTCTCTCCAACTTCGAAGCTGGACAGGCATATAAAGATGTCAGCGATCCTGCGAGTACGTATGGTTTTAACATGACTTGGATTCCATCCTTGATGTCCTTGCAGTTACCGTCGCCTTCCCTTTGGTTGATGACCCTTCAACCTCCCTCTTGGCATGGACCACCACACCTTGGACTTTGCCCTCCAATTTGGGTCTTTGCGTTCACCCCGATTACACTTACATCAAAATTCACGACGCTGAGCGTGATCAGAATTTCATCATCCACGAGAACCTCCTCCGCACACTCTACAAGGACCCTAAGAAGGCCAAATACAAGAAGTTGGCACAGTTCCAGGGTGCGGACATGAAGGACTGGAGATACGTTCCCTTGTTCGATTACTTCACTGAGCAGGTACGGAAACCAAACCGAAATCGATGACCCGTTTCATCACTCACCTTGGTTGGCTAGTTCGAGGACAAGGCCTTCCGGGTCCTTGTTGATACCTATGTCACCGACGCCGATGGTACAGGTATCGTCCACCAAGCCCCAGCCTTCGGTGAAGACGATCACCGTGTTGCTATTGCTCACGAGGTGTTGCGCCCCGACGAGATGCCTCCCTGCCCCATTGACGACAAGGGTCACTTTACAAAGGAAGTGCGCGACTTTGAGGGTCTCCATGTCAAGGCCGCAGACAGCCCCATCCAGAAGGCATTGAAGGCCAAGGGTCGACTCATCGTTCAGTCTACTCTTAAGCATAGTTACCCCTTCTGCTGGAGGTGAGATACTTCACCCAGCCTTTTCTGCCAAGAGTCTCACGTATGTTTCAAGGTCGGGTACTCCCCTCATCTACCGTGCCATCCCAGTGTGGTTTGTCAAGGTTTCTCCTATTGTCGAACAATTGGTAGCAAACAACGAAGAAACGCGATGGTAGGGGGCTTTTCCCATCTCCTCGAGTCAGGTTCTCATTACGATCACAGGGTTCCATCCTTCGTCGGCGAACACCGCTTCGGCAACTGGCTGGCGAACGCTCGCGACTGGAATGTTTCCCGAAATCGGTACTGGGGAACTCCCATCCCTCTCTGGGTCAGCGACGACTTTGAAGAGGTGAAGCCAACGCAACAAATGTCATGAGTTCAATGACTGACGAACTTTGCCAGATCGTCTGCGTCGGCTCCGTTGAAGAGCTGGAAAGACTGTCTGGAGTCAAGGGCATCACTGACCTTCACAGAGACAAGATCGACCACATCACTATTCCCTCTCAAAAGGGCAAGGGTGTTTTGAGGCGTGTCGAAGAGGTATTCGACTGCTGGTTCGAGTCGGGAAGGTAAGCACGCGCTGAGATTATCAGGGAAGTGATACGAATAACCTTGCTATCGATAGTATGCCATATGCCCAACTCCACTACCCATTCGAAAACAAAGAGCTCTTCGAGAAGACATTCCCTGCCGATTTCGTCTCCGAGGGTATTGACCAGACCCGTGGTTGGTTCTACACTCTGTTGGTTTTGTCCACCCACCTCTTCGGACGAGCTCCTTGGAAGAATTTGATCGTCACCGGATTGGTCCTCGCTGCGTTAGTCCTTCTGCCATGGTGTTTCTCCTTTCCACTCATACATTCCTTGTAGTGACGGCAAGAAGATGAGCAAGAGCTTGAAGAACTACCCTGATCCCAATCTGATCATCGACAAATATGGTGCTGATGCTACCCGGTAAGGCATTCCCGCCGAGACTCAGGAATGATGGTCTTATCATCCCCATAGAATGTTCTTGGTCAACTCGCCAATCGTTCGCGGCGACAACTTGCGCTTCCGCGAGGAAGGTGTCCGGGATGTCATTTCCCGTGTGCTTCTCCCGTGGCTCAACTCCTTCAGGTTCTTCCTCGGCCACGCTGCGCTTTACAAGAAAGCATTCAAGGAAGATTTCGTCTACAATGCCCATGCACCCCTCCCCAACAACGTCATGGACCGCTGGGTTCTGGCTAGATGTCAATCCCTCATCAAGTTGGTTACCCAGGAGATGGCGGCGTACCGACTTTACACCATCATCCCCCGATTGCTTGAGCTCATTGATGAGTTGACGAATTGGTATATCCGATTCAACCGTAAGCGGTTGAAGGGAGAGGATGGAAAGGAAGATACCTATGCTGCTCTCAATACCTTGTTTGAGACCCTCTTCACCCTTTGCCGAACTATGGTGAGTCGGGCACCAACTTCGCACTGGGAAATGTGCTGATTGGGTCGTTAGTCCTCCTACACTCCTTTCCTCACGGAGAACCTCTATCAAACACTCAAGCAGTACATCCCTAAAGATCCTAAAGCAGGAGATGTTCGCTCTGTGCACTTCCTGCTCTTCCCCACCGTCAAGGAGGAGTACTTTGACGAGACCATCGAACGCCAGGTCAAGCGCATGCAGGCGGTCATCGAGTTGACTAGGAATATCCGTGAGAGGAATAACATTTCCCTGAAGGTGCGGGCATCCCCCTTTCTACTTTTGCCCCTGTTGGCTGACGAGTATGCTTGCAGGTCCCTCTGAAGGAGTTGCTCGTCTTCCACCCTGACCCCGTCTACATCGCCGACATCCAATCCCTCGAACGCTACATCAAATCCGAACTCAACGTCCGCGATGTCGTCTTCACCTCTGACGAATCCTCATCGGGTGTCCGCTACAAGGCTGTTGCCGACTGGGGTGTGTTGGGCAAGAAGCTGCGCAAAGACCTCGGCCGGGTCCGCAATGCCCTCCCCAATGTCTCAAGCGACGCTGTCAAATCCTATGTCGAAACCGGCAAGATTTCCGTCGACGGTATCGAGTTGGTCGAAGGCGACCTCCAAGTGCAACGTTTCCTCGAATTGCCTGCTGGCCTTGAAACTCAGTTCGCGACGCAGACGGATAACGATGTCGTTGTGAGGTTGGACATCCAGATCCACAAGGACCTCCAGAGTGAATGGCTCTCCCGGGAGTTGACCAACCGCATCCAAAAGTTGAGGAAGAAGGCAGGGCTGCAGGCTGTTGACGAGGTGGATTACTTCTACCAGTTCAAGGATGACGACGGGGCCGACATCTTGGCTGCCATTGAGGAGAACAAGGAAGCCATTTTGAAGACTGTTCATGGTCTTCCTAGAGATGTCAAGGAGAAGAATCCGGCCAAGGAGGTTATCGCGGAGGAGGAGCAGGAGATTGCGGATGTCAAGTTTGTGTTGACCCTTTCGAAGCCTTGAAGTGGGGCGTGGACAAAGGAAGATAAGGAATGGAATGTAATGAATACGAAGTGTAAATTTAGGCGATATGTTTAATAGATCTTGGGAACCTCGAATTAGTGTTGCTCTCAGAGTTATAAAAGGTGAAGTTCGGAATGCTAGATCTAAGGTTCCTGGAACCTCCTTTCCCCTTCCACCGCCATGTCATTCCTCGTTTCTCCGCGTTGCTCTTCAACGTTAAGATCGCATTGCAAAGCGGTGTGCGATTCTCTCCCATTCGATTAATGGCCGCAATGGCTACAATACAAGCGATAGTCGAATACATAGATGGGCACTCGGGCCTTGCTGCGACTTAAAAGTCAAGACAGTGTCCAGGGGAGGGGCGGGAGAGTGTCGGCAGAAACGAAGAGGCGCAAGAAGCCTCTTGCAGGCCGAGGGCGGGCCTTCAATAGCCTAGGTGTCGAAGGCTGTTTGAGCCGTCCTGATTGTGTCCACGGCGATTAGGCTTGGTGTCGAGTTGGGGGCTTATCAAGGCGTGTGTGTACTAGTGTCGCAAGTCCGGATGCGATCTGGTTGGGGAGGAACTACTTTTTGCTCGTTCCAAACCCAGAAAAGCCCATCATAGCAGCCATCTCGGCGTCCTCGCCAGTTGGTTCTGCTATCATTTCCATTCGCTTCTGTTCCTTCTCGGCCTTCTTCTCTGCTTTCTTTTGCTCGCGAGCAGCCCGTTCCTTGGCTCGGATTTCAGCGAGTCGCTTGTCAAAGTCGAAGTCTTTGGCAGAGGATGCGGCTTTAGTCTTTTCGCGGAGGTAAGCTATGCGGGCTTGAACCTGGGCTAGTGTCGAACGTTCTATCTTTGTCGACTGGCCAATGGCGCGAAGGTCTACAGAGGTGCGTCAGCTCGAGACCATCGCCGCGGAGGAAGGAAGACGTACGAGCTCTACTGTTAATGTGATCCAGGTATGCAACGGTGTCTTTGTATGTTCTATTACAAGTCTCGCAATAGAAGCCGGGCTGCCCTGGTCCCCGTCCACCTGGGTTCTGCACGACCATGGTCTTCCCCAAGTTCTTGTCAAGTTCCAGAGGTGCTTCTCGAGCCTTCATCAGCTCGGTAGGTTTTGGTAAATCCTTCTTCGTCCCCTTGCGTGGTCTTTTACCTGGAACATCAGTCAGAGGATCGAAACCTAGGGAAGGGGAATAGGCCACTGTACCTTGCTTTAACCGTTCCTCGTTCTCCTTCATTCGTTCGCGTTCCTCGTCATCTTTCCGCTTGGCTCGTTCTGCAAACTCTTCCTTGTCCCACTTCTTCCTGAAATCTGTGTCGGAGGCTCGCTGGGCGCCATAGGCGCTGCCTGCCTTGTCTGCCATGGTGGTCGGTGGGGTCAAACGAGGGAGGGCTTGGCCGGCGGTAATGAATATTGGTCATGTGATCATTATTTGGCGCCACGGTGGGGCGCTGCGAGGGTCCAGTTTGGCCGCTTGGATTTGGGTTCTTCTGGTTTATATTCTCTTGATGCTTTCTAGAGCCCCGCCCAGAGCGCTTTTGCGGTCGTACGAGCAGAAATGGTCGCCAACGACGTCCACTACGATCCCGCCAGCGTCGTCTTCCCACTGCCATATCGCGTCTTCTTCCTCATCGGTGTTGGGCTTCTCGGCTGGGCCACCAACCTTCATGGACTCTACAAACTGGACGTCGACGTCGTGGGGGCTTTAGAGCTCAGGACCGAAGGATACCAACCACGATTACCACTCACAAACCATCGGAGACCGTCGCTCATTGGCCAGAGCAATGGCTCCGCAAGGTCGAATACCTTTATGGCGACCCCGACATTTTATCAATCATTGTATCGACTAATACTGACATATTCTGGAATATGTCTAGTCTCTTGGACTCTCTTTCGTGCATCAACAGGAGACAACCCATCTCTAGTGGATGCCTACGGATACATCCCCGCCCTGACCGCGTTGATCATGGTCTTCATCCTCCTCACGCCCTACAACATCTTTTTCAGGGAAGAGCGGGCCAAGTTCATTCAGTGGGTCACACGACCACTATTTCTGAAATCCCCTCGCTGACTGACCATCACAGAGCTATTCGAAGATGTTTCCTCTCGTCAATGAATACCCCAATCCAATTCTCAGACGTCATTCTCGCCGACATCGGTACCTCGTTCTCTAAAGTTATTGGCGATGTATGGCTCTCGCTATGCATGATAATACCCGGAAATACCATTCTAAATCCCCCTCCTCAAGTTGGACTAGCCCGATGGATTCTACCAACTCTAATGAGGTGCGTGCTTTTCGCTGACTCCGTTCAATCTTCTGTGCTTACACTCTTGATCAGCTTCCCGTATCTCGCGCGTTTCCGCCAATGTGTGATAGAGTATAACCTCTCCTCAAATGAGAGCACACGACCGCTTTTCAACGCGATTAAATACGCCACGGCATTTCCCGTCATCTATCTGTCCGCTGCTCAAAGCCTTGTAGTGGCAGACCTGGTACAGAAGCGCGGAGATACAGTCCTCAGCGATCCCTGGCACGGCGAACATCGCCTGTTCCGGTTATGGTGCGTGGATATACAGGATATACACCTATTCCTAGACTGACTAGCATGCTCTCTAGGCTTCTTGCGGTTTTCGTCAACTCGTTCTATTCCTTTTGGTGGGACGTCACGAATGACTGGGGTCTGGAGCTGCTAAAGCCAGAACCGTCTGTGCCTCAGGAACGACAACCGCCTAAAAGACTCATCCTTCCTCGTCTTCACTCCAGTACCCCTTTAATCAGCCGAGAGACAAGCCCTGCTTCAGATACAGAGCGGGATCGATCACCCCGTATCAGCGAGTCCAGTCCTACTCGCGGCCGATCGCGGTATGGCTTACGACAGATCCTTCTTTTCCCTGCCTTCGTCTATCCCCTCTTCATCGTCGTTAACCTAATGCTACGGATGGCATGGACTGTCCGACTAGCAGCGCACCCTAGCACCACCAGGGATGGATCTATGACTGTCTTCTGGATGGAGGTAGCAGAAATTACTCGCCGCTGGCTCTGGGTGTTCGTCCGCGTGGAATGGGAGGTTATCAAAAAGATAGGGGAAGGAGAGCCTCAAGCAGATCCTGATTACCTGTACTCTCATCCTCCTTCCAGCAGTGAAAGTTTGTCTGCGAGAGAGAATTCCCCGGGCATGAAGGAGTGAGCGGCCAGTCCGCGTAATCTGTTTTAGATGTATTGTGAGTTCTATAGGTTCACCTCGTTCTGTGTGACAAATTGCTAAATCTTTCTTGCAGATACACCTATTGTAATGAGCCTCTGCTGCACGGACTTCGCATATTTAAAGCTACGGACACTGCATGCATCTTTTCTCGCCTTCCCAACTTCTTGTAGGGACGAGTGCCTTTGTCATTCTCCCGCATATCAAACTCCTTCAAAGCTTCTCTCTACTTCTTTTCTCGTTAGGGTTTGTTCTTGGTAACAGTGACATTTAGGGGAACCTGCGCTCGCACTTGAGTCAACACCACTGGCAATGTCAGGCAGGTACATGTTCATTGTCCCGACTTATTTTCCATGGCAAACTAAACTATATTCGTCTAGCACAGCACATTGCCGACCGTTGACATCACGGGCGGATGACTCCATTTCGCAATGATGAACGACATCTTCGTCCGGAAATGACATAAACCACTCTTTAACTTCATCCTAAGGAGCATACCGGACCCAGGGAAGACCCCCAAGGACATTCCACGTGATGAAGTGGAGAGGAAGTTGTCGGGAGGGAGGAGCTACGAGATGTCAGAAGGCCTGTTGCCGTAGCCATTGGTGGATTTCCGAGCCCACAGAAAGGTTGCCCATGTTCTCATTGGCGCGTCGATGGAACTTCTCTATTCCATGGACTGTCATCTGATGCTCTGTAACGGCTTGACTGCTCAGGTGGTTCCCCTTCATTCCTTGTCCGTTGTGGCTCGTGGATCTGAGACTTTCATCCCCCAAATCAGGCCGGAGTAAATAGGCCAGAGTTGCAAAAGCCCGGGTAATGGTTGGGCCTTCCTGCCTGCGGGTTCATCAGGGACCTAACTCCCGAAGGCTTATTTAACAGTTAGGGTTTAAGCTCTGGTGACTTCAATACTCCCCTCCTCCATTCTCCTATCGCTTCCCGCGTCTCGCAACATGAAGGTATGTAACTCTTTCGTTAGCGATGGGGGTCATCGCTCTCGACTTAGGGAACACCTTCCGTCATAGGTCCTCGCTATTCTCTACGACGGTGGCAAAGCTGCTGAAGAAGAGCCTCGTCTCCTCGGTACTACCGAGAACAAGGTGACAACCCCCACGCCCGCGTCCCCGTTGTTCTAATCCATGCTTTTCCAGTTGGGCATCAAGGATTGGCTCGAATCCCTTGGGCATGAGCTTGTCGGTAAGTCCAGCATTGCTTTGGGCTGGATGAGAAACTAATGTATTCCTCTGCAGTACGTCGCCCATCACAGCGGTCCACCCTGCTAGCACACAGCGAGCGATTATCCAGGTATCCAGCAGCAAGGAAGGCCCCGATAGCGACTTTCAAAAGCACATCGTCGACGTGAGTCGCTGTACCCTTTTACGCCATGTACTTCATGGTCATTAATGCCGCCATTTAATTCCATTTAGGCTGAAGTATTGATTACCACCCCGTTCCATCCTGGGTATGTATCTGGTTCACCCCACTTTACCTTTCTCCGCGGCTGCGGCGTCAACGCCTATCTAATCTATCCCTTCTTCTCCCCCTGACATGTGTTGCATTGCTCAATTGGTCTTATTTTATCCCGCACATCTAAAGGTACCTGACCCGGGAACTCATTGAGAAGGTGAGAGAAGTTCGAATTCCTTCGGTTTCACCGATGTTCTCAGCTCAACGAGTCGGACCGCCTTCTTGGGGTGGTTCGACGGTCCTTTTCCTGGGCTTTTTGCTTTTCGAACAGGGTACTGATCCTCGCTTGGTTATAGGCTAAAAACCTGAAGTTGTGCATCACTGCTGGAGTTGGTTCCGATCACATCGACTTGAACGCCGCTGTCGACCATCGTATTCAAGTATTGGAGGTGAGGACAACCCTATAGATCCTGTTTAGCTTGGAGGTGCTGATTGACGGATGGCGGCTGATAGGTCTCTGGCTCCAATGTAGTATCTGTCGCCGAGCATGTCGTTATGAGTATCCTCTTGCTCGTCCGCAACTTTGTTCCTGCTCACGAGGTAAGTGTCCTCCCTAACTGAATGCCCCTAGGAAAGGGACTAAAACTTAGTTAGATGATTGAGCGTGGTGATTGGGAAGTAGCTCGTATTGCACGAAACGCTTTCGACCTGGAAGGCAAGGTCGTTGGAACCATTGGTGCTGGCCGAATTGGATATCGTGTCCTTCAGCGACTCTTACCCTTCGACTGCAAGGAGCTTTTGTACTATGACTATGCTCCTCTTCCTCCTGGTTGGTGTCTTTTGCTACCCACCTGGTTTTCATTGCTCAATGGTCTACCAGCTGCCGCTGAGGCCGTCAAGACCCGCCGTGTCGAGGATCTCAAGGTGTGCCCTAGTTCTCTTGTGTGGAAAGGGAGTTAACCTCGGAATCCAGGACTTCGTCTCCCAATGCGACGTGATCACTGTCAACTGCCCCTTGCACGAAGGAACTCGTGGCCTCGTCAACGCGGACCTCCTCAAACACTTCAAGAAGGGTGCTTGGCTCGTCAACACTGCTCGCGGTGCCATCTGTGACAAGGATGCCGTTGCTGAAGCCCTCAAATCCGGACAACTCTCCGGCTACGCAGGCGATGTGTGGGACGTCCAGCCAGCTCCCAAGGATCACGTCTGGCGTACCGCCAAGAACCCGCTTGGAGGAGGAAACGGCATGGTTCCTCACTACTCAGGTACGACTTTGGATGCGCAGGCCAGGTATGCGAATGGCGCGAAGCAGATTTTGGAGAACTATCTCAATGGGAAGGCGCAAGACCCCCAGAACATCATCGTCGGTCTTGGTGTGTTATTTTGTTATTGTGACTTTACTCGCCAACTAATCCGTCTTGTGCAGGTCGCTACGAGACCACAGCTTATGGCCAACGCGACAAGAAATGAAAGGGGATGGCCCTCGGATGATTAAATTGAACACAGACCCGTCTTGTCCTTGTAAATATTATACCAAGATGTACACTGACAGGAAGGAATCAAATCGTGCGTTAAAGTGTCATTACTACGGTGCCTCTTACAGTATTGTGATGGTAACACTAAGCAGAGTAAGGCTGGCTGGTAAGGCAATAGGGGTGCTAATGTACATACATGAACGAATAAATAAATAAGCGACAGCTCGGAACGTAGAAGGTAAGTAGGTGAACCCGGGGTAATTACAGCTAAACAACATATGCGTCCGGACAAAGAACGCAGAGACAGGAGAAAGGAAACCTCTGCATACGAGGACTACCGATCCCGCACATACCCAGGTAGCAGACGCTTGAGTAATTGCTCCATCTTGTTGGCCTTCCTGTGATAACTTGATGTCTCGGGGTTGTACAATCTGCAGTTGTCGAAGATCAATAAGCAGTCGTCGACAAATTGTTCCACGTTCTTGTAGTGATTTGCGTGGAGTTTGTTTTCGATGGTTTCGAAATCTATGTCGGCGGTAAGCATGATGAGAACGTGAGAGGTGTGTCATGCTTACCCATTGGATGCTTGATAACGTCGAAGTAATCCGGGACTGCTTCGATTGTAACCGGGGTTTGGAAAGGCCAGGCATGGCTGTCGGCTCGTAACGTGGCCAGTGTCTTCTCCATAAGATGGTGATCTGGGCTCTTGAGATTCCGTAGCCTGTTGAAAAAGTCCGTTTTTGTCAACGCTCCGCGGGGCGAAAGGCAACAAAAAGGAACGTACTCTTTATCCATCTCCGGTGTCCACCCCGATTCTCTCAGTCCCGGTACATCTCTCGGATCCACGGTGACACCCTCAGGCTGACCAGGCTGAAACTGCGGCAACCCAGGGTACACAATGTGCGCTCTCGACATCTGCCTGATCTTCTCCAAAATAGCATCATGCTGCTCGTTAAATATTCGCTTCTTCTCCAAGTAGTCCACCTTGGGTATCATCGTGCATTGCATGATCGTACCACCCTCGTAGTCCTTGATATAACCCGCCCAAACGGATTTGTCAAGGGTGATTTCTTTGGTAAAACCTTGTTTCTCGAAGTAGCCGACGGCGTAGTTGTCGGCATAGGTGAGGAAATGGTTCATGTCGGGGTATTCTTTTCGGATGTGGGCTTTGAAGTAATCCATCAACATGCCTCCGTATCCCTAGGAGTATGGGTCAGAATACGAGAAAGGATGAGGAAGGTTGGATATACCTTTTCTTGATCCGCTGAGTTGGTTGCAAAAAACACGATTTCCGCGAATCCTCGATGAGGAAACGGTCGAAAACAGATCCCTCCCACTACTTTGTAGCCTCGCTTGATGATAGCGAGTGACCGCGAGTTGTCATCGTATACTAACCGAGAGATGTATTCTCGCGGCATTACTGGTAGTTGTTTTTGGAAGAGCGTCTTCAACCCGGTCAGAATGATCAACGAGCGAGGTTCACCGTCCTGTTTCACCGGGACGACCTGGATGACGCCTCGACGGAGTTCCACGGATGATATTTTCTCAGCCCTTTGTCCTGTCTTTCTTTAGGTGAGTGATGGCCAATACAGGACAACATCCAGACTTACTGGTACAACGGGTCGTGCGGCCGTTGCATCTGCTAGGACCGCAGCCTCAGCTTTCTCCTCCTTGACCTTCTTGTGTCCGTTGACGCCATTTACTTGCCCATGTGGCTTATCGTCGTCCTCGTCGTCATCATCGTCGCTAGCAATGGTATGCACCCTCTTAGCCTTCTTTCCGCCAGCCTTGCCGCTCCTACTTCGCTTGGAAGGTGTGGTACGCTTTGCTTTCCCCAGTACAGATCTTCCGGGAGCGTTTGCTCCCAGTAACCGTGATGCTAGTGGTTTGTCTTCCTCTTCATCGGAGTCATCGTCTTCGTTCTCCTCTGGGTCGGGGTCGTCTACTGCTTCACTTAGAGATGATGTTGAGGCTCGCCGTTTCCTACCTGACAGTGCAGATGAAGGATCGAGTTCGCTGAGGGATGATGATGCAGGGGACGAAAGTGGAACGCTCTGCCGACGTTCTGCGTATGTGATGTGAGCTGTTGAGACTGGGTCAATGGGGAGGCGCTTGCCTGGCGAAATAGACTCCCGTTTGTAGGGTATGACCATTTGCTTCCGGAGGTTGTTAATGTCATCATCGGTATATTCAAAGTCCAGCAATCGTCCAGAGTCCTGTTTCATAGATTAGTGGCGGTCTCCGACCACAGATAGAATGCTATACCTAGGCCGATTGCATTAGAAAAAAGGACAATAACAAGGTCAGAGCGGACATACCTTGAGCAATTCATCCATACGGATGGCAAGAGCAGCTCTCCGCTTGAACTCCCTCTTTCCAAGCTCATCCTCATCCGCGTGGTGTGATTTACAATCATGACCGCATGCACAGATCTCCAGGTAACCCGAGGCAGGTATTCCGTCGTCTTCGTCGTCCGATTCGTTGAATAGGTGCGAGTAGTCGTCCACGCCAGAAGACTCGTCCTGGACGTCCATGACGATTCGCACACCTTTGGGCGGGTGCATTCCCTGACAGCTGCTTGAGCACACCGCGCATGGCGAGTGTCGTGCAATCTTCACAGCAAGCAGGGAGTTGTGGAGGGCGAAAATGTCGCTCCCCGTGGGGTAAGCGAGCTTCATGACGCTATAGTATTCAAAGAGTCTTCAATGCGCGGGCTGTTCAGGTGTGTCCAGTCCCTCAACAACGCTGATAAAAGTTATCGGCCGTGGTCTGCTCGTCGTCGTTGTTGAAAGAACCGTCGTCGCATGTACGTCGTGGAAGATGTCCAAAAGGCGTTAGTCCTGTCGCTGTTGACAGTAATGGCCAAAGAGTGTCGGTCGTTGGTGTCGGTATTGGTCGTTGCTGGACGTTACATTCGACGACGTCGAGGGTTGATGATGCGGACGGGGCTGTGGGCTCGCTGTGATCGGTCAGTGCGCGCCAAATTGGCGCTTCTGCTTAGTCAGAAAAGGCGGGATGGGCCGACGCCCGCCCTTTTGCCAAGCCTGACGCGCTCTTTACCCTTGACGACGATGTCGACCTTCTGCAGAGCTTCCAGAGGCTGCCTGGACGACGATGGCTGGTTGGTGCTCTGGTGGAGCGGGTGTGAACGATGATCTCTGAGGTTTCTTATTCCCAGCATCAAAAGGCCGCGAACCCTAATTAGTCCCACCATGGGTCGCTGAATTTCCCTTGACCCGCACCATTACCACAACGACGAGCAGGCTTTCTTACCGTCTGTCTGTTTCTGAATATGAAATGACTAGACCTTCTTCTGGCTTCTATGGACTGGCGTCCCTCTTCGTATGTCTTTTCGGCAACACACTGGCACAATGGATAGACTATCCACCTGACGGTTTGGCGACCTTGACACACTACACCCTACCTCGAGGCTACGTAGCATCCTGCGGATGCACTCCCGAGACTACACATTACCCTACAGCTGCACTCTCCCAGATGGCCTACGGTAGTAGCGCTAATTACGGTACGCGATCCCTGTTTTGAGTAACAGAAATATTCGAATTGACAGACCAAACCAGGTCCCGCATGCGGCAAATGCTTCAAGCTGACCTTGCTCAACCCCATAGTCGCGACCCCTCCCTTCTACCCTGAAGAAACCAAAAGCATAGTTGTCAAAATCGTCGATCTCTGTCCTCTCTCAGAGTCGGGTTGGTGCTCGGGAACGACCAAGAGGACTAATTCGTGCGTACCTCTGTGGCCGCGCCTCCAGAAAGACTTTGACGCACCTTTATTGGTCCTGTATCAGTGCCGGTGCTCAGCTCAACTTCGACCTTGCCTACCCCTCCAAAGCAATCCCTGATGACTTCTTCCCTCACGACGAGGAGTTGTACGGGTACAAAGACTTTGGGGTCTGGAATATCACGTACTCCGTCGTTCCATGTCTCCAGTCATGGGAAGGCCGCAAGAACAAGAAAGCGCTTGGAAGTGTGGACGCACTAGGATCCAGTGGTTGCTGTCCTGCCGATCCCACAGTAAGCTTTCTGCCCTTCTGCGAAGGTACTACCGCGATCTGACGAACCAACAGGGCAATAGCAACGATACTTGTACTTCTTTCTCTGACCAGAACGGTCTCCCGTAAGTGCGCATGCATCTCATTGCAGAGTTGACACGCTAACGTGAATCTAGGCCCGACACCAGGATTGGAGAAGCGCAATCGCTCAATCCGGTCTCGTATTATTCTAGGGTATCTTTCCTCGCGGTTCTTATCGCCAGTTTTCTCTTTGGTTTTTAGTGTTGGTCATGACTGGCTTAGAGAGAGCTAGTAGAAGTATACCCGGACCCATCTGATATACCCTCCACCAGTTTACAATTGCCGATGAAATAAATGCATTCGATCGTATGTGAAAAGCTAATAAATGTCCCTGATGCTATATGTTTCGGTCACAGATGCACATTAAAAATTTTAGCAGACCCCAAAGACTCGCTGCCATTGAGGCACCATTCGCAAGAGCTCAGTCCAATCTGTGTAGCATTTAGCTTCTTATGCGACACCCAATGAGACCTCACTTAGTACCTCTCGACATCATCGCTGGCGAGCTTCTTATACTTGCTGTCACCACCAGGAAGGAACCTCCTCAACCACCTGAATCCTCCAATCCACCAAAACACCGCTCCGGCAACCGCGCCGATCATCAGGAGGTAGACGAGGTTGGAGAAAGAGTCTGTTTGGGGGAGTGAGGGGATGGGGTTGGTGGTGGAGGACTTTTGGGTGATCTCGCCGACAGGTGGGCCAGTCAAGGGGGCAGGTGGGTCAGCTTTATCCGCTGCAGTGCCAGTTGGGCCGGTATTTTCCTTTGCCTTTTCGTCGTTTTTGCTATCGTCGTTCGTAGATCCCTAAAGGTGAAAAAGCAAAGAGATATATTGATTGTATTAAAAATTAATACTGTTCTCGGAGCATATTTAGAGCTCAGCTCGGAGAGGCACCTCTTTGCCATCTTCGTCAACAACAGTCTCAATTTCGAGCTGTAAAAGGAAGGGAGGAATGAGTATATCGGAAGGAGTATGTCATTGGAAAGACACGTACCTCGCCACAGTCGGCAATGACGACGTCCTCAGCAGGTCGGTCTCCTCCACCCTTGGGAACGTTTTCTGGAGAAGGGTTAACGGGATGTTAACAACGTAGGCCGAGTGATGCCTACCGATTGCGTGAACGACGTCCATTCCATCGAGAACCTTTCCGAAAACGACCTGATGACAGCGTCAGGAATGGATACTTGCAGAAGGAGAGCATAACTCACATGTCGGCCATCGAGCCAGCTGGTCTTGACAGTGGTGATGAACTGTAGAACACACATGTGAGCTGTGGTATTTCCTCAGAGGTTACGAGTAGACTGACGAATTGGGATCCTGAAATAAGAGTCAGTCAACTGCAATCCATGATCACGACGGGAGGGGACGAACCGTTGGTATCTTTGCCGGCGTTGGCCATGGAGAGGACACCAGGACCAGTATGGCGGAGCTTGCTGTTGGGAACGTTAAGTCAACCGGTCGTTCATGACGCTGTTGATTCCACATACAAGTTTTCGTCGGCGAACTTCTCACCGTAGATGGACTAGAGCAACGACGTCAGAGAGTAATTCGATGCCATGAAGCTGAATGAGCACACCTTTCCACCAGTTCCGTCACCACGAGCTAACAGAGTGTCAGGCTTGATCCTATTCGCAAGTAGGATGAATACTTACTGAAGTCACCGCCCTGAATCATGAAATCCTTGATGACACGGTGGAACTTGGAGCCCTTGTAGCCAAAGTCGAGTTCGGTACCATCCTTCTTCTTGCCAACAGCAAGAGCGCGGAAGTTCTCAACGGTCTTGGGAACAGTCTGGAAGGGAATTGCGTTAGAACGCGACTTTGTTAGAGCGTGCTGTCAGCGTGTCTACTCACTCCACCGAAGAGACCAATGGTGACTATTGAAAGTTTAATCAGCAAAGTTCAACACCTATGAAGCCAGCCAACGTACTTCGTCCAAGGTCCTTGTCACCATGCTTGATATCGAAGAAGACCTTGTTGGTGATTTTGGGGCCCTTTGCAGCCTCTGCAGCCTGGGCGCAGAAGAGCGCACAAAGGGTGACGAAGAAGAACGCGAGACTGAACCGACCGAACATTATGGTTTGAGGAAGAGAAGAGACTGGACGTGGCGAAGCGACTTGATCCCAGTTACCACAGTCGTGGGAACCCTGGTAGCGGACACGTATACTCGACGATGCAACTCACATCTGCGCTTATTTCCCAGACCACGTTCCCCGGGGCCGCTTAACCATGTCCACCATCGAACTTTAGATTTTGAATTGCTGGTGAACCAAGGGTAAACTAGTCCGATTGGCGCTGAGCGCTGTTATCTAATCTTATCAGGCGCAAGATGGGCGCGGCGGCACGGACGTCGGAGGCGGAATTCCACTTTCATCCCTTTCCTTGTCCTTTTTCTGTTTGAAACCAGCTGGACACCTCTACCGGGCTCGTGATACTCAGATTTTGACTTGCGAGTCCTCGAAAGTCGATATCCAACTGATTAGTTGTCCTCAAGCAAAGACAGCGCCTCAATCAAACTGCGGACCGCAGTTATTACCCCTCACACTCATTCCATTGACCACCGGGTTGAACGCCTTACCAGAGGCTCGTCGTTCAGGAGGCTTCTCAATCACTAGTTTGCTGTGCAACGTGAACGAACGCTCGTGGCCAGCATCCGAAAGAGATCCGGTGACCAAACAGCTCGAAACGGTTCAATCACACACTCACAGTCAACCGCCCGTGGCGCCATTGCTTGGACAACAACTTCGTTCGGCCCAGCTATTTATGGGGCTGTAAGAGGCTCTGATACCCCTCGTTGTCATAATGTCCCTGTACAACTACGTGGATACTCCCAATAACAACCTGATCTGTTGTATATGCAGGTATGTTCAATTGTGCTCGGTCCGTGGGCCCATTTGACTTATCCTCCAATAGAGCACCGTTCAACGAACCGACGACGACACTGACTTGTCAACACACATTTTGTCGAGAATGTATATATCGGGCACTCTCCCACCTACCGCAATGTCCTGTCGATCGCTCCCCTCTGACCAAGGAGGAGTTGGGCCCTGCCAATCCCATTGTCCGAAGTGTCAGTAGTGCCTTGCTTCAGTTACTCGAGGAATCCAGATCCCTCACCTATTTTTTCTCATAGATGGTGGACGAGCTGATTGTTGAATGTGTGTACAAAGAGGACGGCTGCGACTACAAAGGCGAACGACAACTCCTACCTGCACACCTGAAGGAGAAGTGTATGTTCTCGGAGGATGCAGAGTTCAGAAGGAAGGCAAAGGGAAAGGAAAAAGAGCACAGTGACGATCGGATCATAGGGTCAAGTTTCGCAAGAGATGATGAGCCAAAGGATTCTGACTCGGTAAGTACTTGGTGCGTCGTCCCTAGCATTGAACGGAATCCCTGACCTCTCCTGTAGGAACGATCCGAAACGTCGACCTCTTCAAATGCAAATCCCGATACTCCGTCCTCGACACCGGATACTTCACTCGGGGATGGCTCCAAAGAATCACCCAAGTCGCCAACTACTGCACGCCTCAACAAATTAACTGAACAGAATATCCTTCTCCGACATCGAGTAGATTCTCTCGAGAATGCTATGCAATTTATCAGGAAGGAAATACAGGCCGTTAAGATAATCTTGGAGCCTTGGATACGATTTGTCGAGAACAACCCCCGACCAGCAACAGCAGCGACCTTCGGCGTGAGCGAACCATTCGCACCACTGCCATCTGCATCGACTGCCCCTCCTCGGTCATCACCAGATTCTATCCCCCCGGAGGCATCCTATAGGCCACCACCCATGAATTCACGCACCAATAGCACGGCCAACGCGGACGACCTTGCATCATACTTCCCCACAGAAGACGAAGTCCGTGTTCGACCTTCTGCCCCTGTTCCCCCACCCCAGGTCCACCAACAGCCGCACCACCAACAACAACCAGACCAGCCCTCTATTCCACACCGACCGGGCCATGCCCATCACAACAGTCTGCCGATATCACCAAGTCTCGAAACGCCCTCGCACCCCCCACTCAATGTGGGCTACGCCTCAAGCGTCGGGAACTTCACTTTGAACCTTCACGGGAGCACCAATATGTATCTGCCACCGTTCCTCCCCTCCAATATTACTGCTCCTTCTCTCCCTTCTGCTTCTGCTCCCGTCCAAACCCCCGCTGGTCCCCCGCCGCAATCTGCGAGCCAACCGCAACCTTCGCAATCCACCCCACTGACTTCCGTGCCCAACTTGCAGATTAACACTCCGCTGCTCCTGCAAACCCTGCAGAGCATGCAATCGACCTCGCAGACGATAGCTTCTGCGTTAGAAGAAGTGAATCGCAAGAGCGAGCTGGCTCTCTCGCTAATAGGGGCCGGGGCAGGAGCGAACATGACGGGTGGCGGAGTCGTCGGTGAAGTTCTACGGCTCGGCGAGGAAATCATGGGTGTCCGAGCGAGCGTCCAAGGGCTGCGGATGCAGGTACATGGAATGATGATGGGTGCTGTAGGCGTTGGTGCCCCTGCTAATAATGTCGGCGCTGGGTTTATGGGAAGACCTGCTGGTGTATCTGTTTCCCCTCCGAGTGGAGGGGGAGCGGGTGTGTTGGGTGAGGAGGATCCCTCGGGTATGAGGACCCAGCCGATGCAGATGCCTCCGGGAATGCCGCAGGGTTTGCGTTTTGGTTTCCCTGGGCCGTTGGGAATAACGAAACTGTAGAGGTCTGTAACGACTAACATATATTGAACGATTTGCGTATCTATGTATAATATCACTCTACTGCATTGCTCACAAGGAAGTTCCGAACTGCGAACCTTGCGTCAAGCACTCGGGGGGCTTCGTCCAGAGACTGCACATGTTATTCAAATAATCGACGGGCGCTTGCTTGTGTTTGGCATCGGCTTCCGCCTCGCCATCATCAGGGCCAGCCAACCGCCGGATGCGCCAGAAAGCCTGAACCAGAGTGCTAATGGTTCTAGCTTCTACTAACTTGAAGTGCCTACCCCCTGGGGGCGCGGTGAACGGTACGCGCATCTGAATCTTCGTTATTTTCTGCTACTGTCGCATCCGGCGCCTATCTCGAAAATGAGATCTGTAACCGTTCGCAGAATCCAATCTGCTCTTTCACTAGTGCCGTTTGTTGGTCCAACTTTCCGATCATTCGTGGCTCTCCCTTCCTTATACTTACTTGCACACAAACAAGAGCTCTGAGGCGCGCAAGGTGGGCCACAGATATATTTACGTTGTCTACAGACGCAGCGGCGGCCGGCGACTAACCTCGTGGGCGCGTCGCAGGATTACTCAGAGCCGAGGATGCGTGGCTCATTGTAGGAAGACATCAACTATCACGGTAACCTCAACATCGCGAACCATACTATCATTGGTTCCTGCAGACATGGCTTTCCCTTTGCCTGGACTCTTCAAATAAGATCAAATCGCCTTCTGGGGGCGACTATTCACTCGTCATCTCAGTTTGCAAAGGACATATCAAACCTTGTTTTGCGTCTAACGAAATCCCGTCTCCAGGTGACCTTTCGTGTTAGTCAACTCTGACCAACGACGGCCCAGCAGTCGATACGCTTCTCTTCCTCCATCGGGAACTTGGTAACACGCCGCCGGTTCTTTGCGCCGTGCCATCTACTGGAACAGGCCATCAGAATACATCTGTAGACTTGGAGTGACTGGCATACCACTCATATTGATAATCTGGATTTGGCCCCTTTCGTCCACTTTCTCTCATAGGACAGGGTTTTCTCCCTGCCTCCTGCTTGTACTCTGGCGCTGAATCTCAGCAACGGAGTGCACTCGAACTCCGGGACCCCCAGCTGTAGGGCCAGTCGACTCGGCTTTCACACAACTCGATGGTGTAGGGGGTTCTCGGCCACTAAGCTGGGCTTGGATCCGTTTCAGACCCGCAGAACAGCGTCTCTGGCTCTTTCGAAGGCCTCCCGCAGGAAACGGTTCAAAACCGAATTTATCCTTACCCTATCGACCCGGACTACTGTTATTGACAGATCTAACCACCTGCCTTACTACCACTCGGGTTCGATCGATGGAACATAGTTGTCAACTGGGGGCTCGCTGAGGTAGAGAACTTCACTGGGACCTCTGGGCCGTCGGCGTGCAAGGGGAACCACATACCCCTCACGTCCGGAGGTATGAGAGCCCATGTGGAGGTGCCTACAGGAACAAACGTCGGGGAAATCTTCGATAATACAGCGACCCCACATCCGCCGCTGTATGAGAGGTATACCTAATCGCCAAGTCCATCGTTTTACTCGTCCACAACGGGTGGAAGGTCACATAAACCTTTCTAATCCCATCACTTTCATCACTATACATTCGACTCCATGACTTGATCCCTGCCGCAAAAGGTGTATACTTCCGCCCAAAGTAGGTGCGGATGGAGGAATCTCGATCACATTCTGAAGTCTGGGTGGGAACGGGCGAAGCGCCCATCATTTCGTTGCCGCATATGGTTGCCCAAAAGGTAGACACGGTGAAGTTCTGAAGGGGAATGGGGTCTAGGAGCTGGAGGTTATACCGTCAAATGGGGGGCTTGTTGGAGTTATATATGATACGAAACAGGCCAGTGCATATCCTCCCCCGGTTGTGGAATTAACGACTGACTACGCTCAGCCCAGACCTGCCTCCGCCGTTCGTGGTTCAAGCGTAGATTCTCCTCAGCGACCGGACTTGCATTTCATTCGTGTCTCTGGGGAAAATTGCGGATATGGACTTTTTCGACACCGTTTTGGTCCCCGGGTTAATCGCCAAGCAGGCTCTCAATGTGCGTCCGAGTCCTCTGCCACCTCGTGTTGTTGGTTGCCGACTAATAAGCGATTCAATGACCCTTCCTACTAGTATACCAATGGTGAGTAGTAGTCGTGAGAAGCACGACGAGGCTCCGTGAATACATGCTAATGTATGGGAGTTTAGCGGCATGTCTAGCGCTCTGGGTAAGCCTGCCTTTCGACCGTCGCAATGCCGTCCATGGTCGCTCAAGTAAATGTAGATCGCCGATTACTTTGACATGCTCCCGCTCGAGGTAATAATATTCCCTATATACTTTGCCTATCCACTCTGACAAACGTCTTTTTCTAGATATCCTGTGTCTGGAATCAGAAACTCAGCAAAGTCAATATCCTGTACTTCATTCTGAAGTACTTCCCGGCGGTACATATCCCGTCATTCTTCCTTTGTAAGCCTTCAACCTTTTGTCACCAAAATACAATGTCAACTGTTTCTCCTGGTACATTCGCAGATTCCTTCCTAACATCAATACCCCCTCATGTCAGTACAAGCCTACAGCTCACGGTCACTGATTGACGAAGAAAACAGGCTTGCAAACCCATTTTCATCCTCAATACAAGTGAGTCTCTCAGTTGAGTCTTCATCGTTTGCTTACGCTCATGTTTTAATCTACAGTATTTGTTCCTGTGATAATCTCGTGCGCTCAAGGTTTGGACATGCCCTGCCGCGCGACACAGGTGGATCACGGCTAATTAAGTATTCTTCTTTTAGCTGTTTTGTTCCTCCGAATACATATCCTCGGGCAGTCAAAGCGTCTGACAATCTACCTGATTGCTCACTACGTCGTGCGTCGTCCTTTTCCTCGTTTCCCTTCAGCTGCCAGCTAATCCCATCTGAGATCTCCATCATTGCGATATTTACATTGTCCATCGTATTCTACACGGAGCTGCGAGGTGAGTGTGACTCGTTTCTACCTTGATTTCTCACTTCTCTTATTTTCTTACACCGGGTTGACCAGTCCTCGAGTTCCTGCCGCATGAGTTCTTTGGCTGCGGGAACCTCATTGCAAATGGAGACTACACCTCTGGGGTATATGGAATCGTACTCTTCAACGAGCTTGGTGGGTGTCTACGCGATTCGCCCAATACACTGACTACTCATGTCAATCGAAGTTATGGCAATCCTCAACCTCGTGCTTAGTTATCGAAAGTATGTAGCCTCGAGATCGACGCCGCTGATGCGGATATTTCGGAGGGATGGGACTGGGTACTTTATTGCCCTCGCAGGTCAGTTGAATGGCCCATATTCCACCGCACTCAGAGACATATCACTTACATCCCTTACCAATGGGACTGTGTAGTTGTCTCAACCATTAACATTCTCGTCAACAGGCTTCATCCCGATGTACGTTCCCGCGTTTCATGCAGCTAGGTCAGGCCTCACACATTCCTCTAATCCAGCCACAATACTCTTTCCTTTTGGCGGTGTGCGTCTGTTCTCTACCCTTTTTCGTCCGGGTTCCGAGAACTTATATCTCCTCAGGGTTCAATACGCTCTCCATCCCATCTTCACGACAAGGATGATCCTCCATCTCCGGCAGGTTGCAATGTCCGGAGGATCGACTAATCAGAGTATCTCTCAAAACCTGCCCGGTCGCGCAAAGACGGCCAATATACGGCTCTCCGCTCTCAAACCGAAAGATATCGTGTATACTTAAATACAGGTCTTACTAGTACAACGCCATGGTAGATGGTTGATGTAAAATTCTTTGACTTATGACTGTAGCTCACGGACAGCCTACTACTCTGTATCCTCTATTTGACAATTGTTACTCTTTAAACACGACAAGGGTAACCTACAACCAGTTTCATCGAGTTTTGGATTCATTGTAGGATTAGGCGAGAGGCTTGGCACTCCTCAATTGGCAATTTTTGTTCGCTTGGCGCGATGGTCAACCGCTTGTTTTGGCAATGCTCGTCCGACATTGTGCACCACAACGTTCATCCAGACAAACCTGGCTCTCATTCTCCCAAAGCGAGTGATAAACTCTTCCACGGAAATATTAAAATTCGCTATTTCCGAGTTCTCGTTGCGATGTAAAAGACCGGCTCAACAATGGGAAAATACGGGCAAACGGGGAATCGCCATCGACTTCAGCGCCAGAAACTCACCTACAAGGCATCCACTTAGGCCCCTGGAATTACACGAGTGTACACAGGTATATTCCTCTAAAACATCAATAGCCCGCATTCAGTATCTTGCCGGCATCCACGACTTCACGCTCACTATCTTCATTGGCCTGGCGCTACCCACTTGGTGGTTTTTAGGTACCTTTCAATAGCCCTTCATCAGTGTTTGTGCTACCGGCACGATGTCTTTGGGAACCAGACCCACAGACTCCGTGCACCTCAGGCTGGAGCAGCGCTAATTCAACGAACTGAATGGCCTTTGCCCATGATCACCGAGGCCTCCCCTACATACGACGCCTACACAGCGGTCGTCGGCAATCAACCATTGACTTGGTCCCCACCAACTCATTCTCCATTGCCCAATCTTGGTCAGTTTATCACAGGCCGTTGCCAAAGACGCACTCTCTCGACCAACTCCCTGCGATGCGTAAACCGGAATCTCCTGGTCTGAATTGGGCACATATATATATTGGAGGATCTGCTACTATTACGCTCTCCCAACAAGGTTGACGGCTCTACCGGGTGCTTGTGTCTGCTATGGACCCCCTCCAGATTGAACAACTACACAAGGGCCTCTTTGCCAAAATCGCGTTGGATGTGAGTCGCCGTCTCTCCCCTGCTTCAACCCAGGCCGTCTAACGTACTATCTGGCCAGTACTCCAATGGTAAGTACCCTCTCATTTTGTAATGATTCCAAACGCCCTGACACGGGGTACTCTGCAGCTGCGTGCATCGCGCTCTGGGCAAGTCATTTCATGTTGCCAGTGACGGAGTGTCTCATCTGGTCTCAGGTCACAGATTACTTTGCGATGCTTCCTTTGGAGGTACGGACCTCGGATCTCTATCCTTTGACAGCGATCAGACGAAAGCACGGAGGCAGGTCGCGTGTGTCTGGTCTAAGCCACTCAGCAAAGTAAACAGTCTATACTTCATCCTGAAGTACATGCCAGCACTCCATCTCCCGTCCCTGCTCTTGCGTGGGTTCCTGTTCGCCGTCAGTTCTCTGTATGTTCTGACTTTCGTGCCTACGCAGAAGGCGTCGCGCTATCAATTCCAATGGAGGTTGGTTGTGGTTTGATCCTCGATGTGAACTTCCAGGCTTAGTGTGTGGCAGATGTGCCAACCACTGTTCATTGCCAATAGCGGTGAGTCGTGAATGCGTGTGGAATCGGTCGTACCTGAACTATTTTCCTTGCAGTCATTATACCATTCAGTATATCATGCTGCCAGGGTAGACTTCTCGCCTTCCCCGTTATGTCACTAACGCTGATCCTAGTACTCCTAGCCGTCCTCTTCCTCCGAATACATGTCCTTGGACAGTCTAAACCTCTGACAATCTACCTTGTTGCCCATTACATAGTAAGTATTTCGCCAGCTGTACCTCGCAAGAGAAGACTTAGCGCGACTTTTAGATTTCGAACTTTGCCATCTTCGCACTGTCTGCCAAGTTCTACACTACCGTCGAAGGTGAGGCACGCAGATTGGTGAATGTACTGTGGCAAAGGCTAAGGAGACTACCTACAGCGGCTCCGTTTCGCCCCCGCGAGCGCTTTGGATGTACCTCCCTGATAGCAGACGGAAACTTCACTTCGATCATCTATGCAATCATTCTGTTCAACGAGCTGGGTATGTCATTCCAGTTTCCGCTTATACCCTGACTCAATTGCGGAAGTCATGGCGTTCCTTACCCTTTTCCTCGCCTACCGCAAATACATGGCGTCAAGCTCGACACCGATAATGCGCATATTTCGTCGCGACGGAACATTCTACTTCATTACACTCGCAGGTGGGATAAAGTGTAAACTGTCCGTCGACAAGCATTTGACTCTACTAACGCTCCCATAAGTTATTTCCACTGCAAACATCCTTGTCAATCGCCTTCATCCTGATGTATGTCCCCCTCTCCCCCCGTCTATACGCACTCGGGTCATCTGACTCCTCGCTTCAGCCAGAGTATTCCATCCTCCTTGCCGTGTAGGTCCCCCTCTTCTCACCCCGAAACATTGCTTGATCGCAACACTGGCCAGGATCCAATATACCCTCCACAATGTCTTCACAACCAGGATGATCCTTCACCTTCGGATGACCACAAGGCAAAGCGAACATCCTGAACATTATTCCAGTCGAGAATGGGTTCGAAACCATGGGCGTCCCGTGCCACCCAGTCGCGATCCTCGTGCGTACACTGCAAATATCTGCCTTTCGACGATGAAGCCGAGATAATACCTGTGACCTCTATATCCAACATCCGACTACTATTATTGTCCGAATGTTTAATCGTACCATGTCCTCCAATCTCCGTGTCGAGCCCTCCGAGCACACGACGCAACGGCCCACTCAGCCATCCCCCTTGAGGTAAACCACATTGAGAGATCCGGAACGAGTTTAAGCTAGTCCAGCTGGCGGGTCTCGCAACCTTTGCTGAGCTGCGTCAATCACTATTGCGAGATGCTCGCGACTGCTCCACGCCACCCCAGCGAAGACAGCCGCATAAAGGTACTTGTGTAACGGCCTGCTCAGTCGCCAAAGGTCGCTCACCAAACGTCGGTAATATTGGATACCTTTCAGTCCCCTGTGGATAAAATAATTGTTCAACTGGGGCCTCCACGGTCGAAGCGAGATTGACGTACGCAGTGACAGCATTCACCCTCTCATCCAGCATGCTATACACGCCAAACTTGAAGTCTTCTTTGGGGCACAACACCACGGGTCCATCGTCCGCCAGGAGCCATGATGCTCCGTTCGTGTTTGGGTCGGGATCGGTTGCCGCGTAGAAGATTGCATTGGCGATTCGAGGAATGGGGGATAATGGCATGCCTGATAGGAACAACTTCACTGCGGTCGGAAGGATTTCTGTGTCTATGGGGCTATGTCAACAGGTAGTCCATGAGATGATCCAGGCATGACGAACCTGCGAACCAAGGGTGGACACAAGCTATCCTGATGCCTTGGAATTCCATGCGAACGTACATTCCCCGCATGAGACCCAGCATTGCATGCTTTGATGCGGTGTATAGATCAGCTAATGGTAGTTTGACCCATGAAGCTATACAGAAAGGAGTGGCGATGAGCGACTAGTTTCATCCGACGCAACCGTCTTAGTCACATACCCATAGAACCTATCAATACGATAGCCTTCAGATCTCCCTTTTGACTGTTCAGTAGCAGGTAGTGCTGGGCTAAATGCGCGGCTAAAGTGGCTCTCCCATTAGCTTCTCTTCATGCATGAAGAAAGGGGACCTACTGTAGCACGCCCCTTTGACATTGACGTCGATCGTAAGCATCGAAGGCGCAACCGGCCTTCCGCCCTCGTCGAATTGGACGGTTGCGAATCCGGCGGGCGGCGACTCTGCTACACCCGCATTTGGAACCACGATATCTACTGCGCCGTACGTTGAAATTGCGTGCTCGAAAAGCGCGACCTGGTCGTCCCAGTTGGTGACGTTGGTTCGTACGAAGGTTGCGGAACTAGAGACTCGGACAGCATGTCATATTTTGTGTTCCTTTTAGAAGGCAGTTTTACGTACCCGCCAGAAGCTTCGATTTCACCCACAGTCCTCTTTCCTCCCGCTTCATCCAAGTCTCCTATGGCAACTTTGGCGCTTTGGGAGACGCAGTGTCAGCATTCGAGCTCGCCAGGTTCGAGTACGAGGAGTGCCAAGACTTCGACAAGACGCGCCCATACCGCGCGGTGGTCGCGTGCCATACGTGTCAGGAAGAGTCGACGCTCAAATACTCACCCATGGACTGCAAAGCGTAGCGCTGTCTCTCTTCCAATGCCATTGGAAGCACCTAATAATTAGAAGGGTAAGAAAGGTACGTTGTCAATCTCCTTTACCAGTGCACCAAACCGCACAGCTGGCACCCAGTCTCACCTGTGATTACCACAACCTTCCCTTTGACGCGTTCACCATAGACGAAGAGCTGTTCATCAGGTATAGCTGTCATAGTAGCAAGAGGAGGAGGGGTTATGATGGGAGTGATAGATTTGGATGGTCACTTTTTTAGTCGAGCAACATAACGTTGCTTTTCCGGCCGCCCTGAACTGTTGGTGTGCTGTGGCTGTTGGGCGCGGGTTTCTGGGCCTGACGGCATCGAGGAACAGAGCCGAACTGAGCGCTACCACGGCGAACAGGATACGCGTCAGTCTATGCGACGGAAGAATATGAAGCCATCCAAGACAGCAGCACTGGTATCCCTTACTAGATGACAACAGTGCGCAAGTCAATACCATAATACTCCATACCCTTATTAGCCATAAGGAAAACCAGTAGTATAGACAGAGTATATCAATGTATCAAGCCAGAGGAAAAAGACAGCGTACAACGAGGGTATGGGTATAAATCGATCTGTAGATGAAAACCAAAGGAGTGTTCAAGGATCCAGTCAAAACGGTAATGTAGCGCAAAGCAAGAAGAGATGCCAAGATAGGGTCGATTACTAGGATTCGGGTGGGTGAGATTAAGCCGGGTGGTGAATCTATTAGTAGCTGGTGTTGGAGTCCTGAGCGGCAATCCTGCTCTCCAAGTTCCTGTACAATGGCAAGTCAGTTCAAGTGGAGCTCTATGTAAGTGGGCAGGTAGCGCGAACCTGAGGGCAGCCTCCTTGGCCGCGAGTTGCTGTCGCTTCTCGTTGATCTCGCGTTGCATCTTGAGTTCGATTTCGCGAAGCTGGAGACAGACATTTCGTGAGATTTGATTCTGAGATGCAGGGAAAGAGGGCCACTGACCTTCTCTTCCTCGCGACGAAGCTGCTCTTCCTTGAGACGGACGCTCTGGCTGGCGAGATCCTCGGGGAGGAGTTGGGAGTCGCGGTGGTCGGCGCTGACGGCACGGGACAACTTCTCGGTACGGTAGGTTTCGTAGAGGACGTCCTCGGTCAACATCTTGAGGTCACCCAAGTGGGATCTAGGAAATTATGAGTACACCGAAAGCTTGCGACGTAGGCTTGACATACCCAAGAATGGCGCTCCTGAGCCTGACAAAGTCAGAGTGATGAGGGTTATCCACCTCCACGATACCCCATGGGTAAATCCTGGCACGGGTAGGCTCTCCATCGATCTCAATCTCCTCTTCAGAGCCGACGACAGCAAAGGGAAGGAGGGCCTTGGGATAAAGTGAGCATCTGAGTTAGCAACAACGCGACTGATGGGACTCACCCTCAGTTCCATGTTCTCCTGGATGGTTTCCTCGTCGTCTTCCTCGACATCATAAGGGAAGTTGTAGATGGGAATCGAGTAGTGATCGATGTCTTCCATGATCTTTGAAGAGCTTAGGGGTTACATCGAGACGGTTGTTAAGAGATAAACTTACACGCTTCCTGAAGGCCTTGAGTTCCTTAGGAGTCAAGGAGTCGGCCTTGCCAATAACGGGGATGACGTTGACACGGGGCGAAAGTCGTCTCATGAGTTCGATATCCATTTCTCTCAAGCTTTACCGAGGTTCAGTGGTCGCCACGCGAAAGAGAAGTCGAACCAAACTCACGCGTGCCCAGTCGGGGGAATGAAATAGAGGAGAGCATGGACACGATTGTCCTTGAATCGAGGGTTACGCTTGATACGGGACTGTTCAGCCAAGATATCATCGTATTGTCGCTCGAGATAGTTCATAATTTCTTGGAAGCTAATAAAATATTAAGTTTAATGAGAAAATCGTAAGACAGCAGGACGCACGCGAATTCGTTGTCGATGTTGTCACCAAAACCGGGGGTGTCGACGACAGTCAGGGCAATGCGAATCCCATCTTCCTCGAGTTCTACACGAGTTGTAAGTCGACTGGGAGGCTAACCAAGCGGCAAGCGGCCACTAACCAACGTTGACGGGCTTGATTTTGATACCAGCTTCGAGGTGGGCCTCCTTGGGGTCGTCACAGATTTTGTGCGACAAAACGTCTGATTCGCAGAGGGTGTTCACGAACGTCGTGCGGCCAGTTCCAGATGCACCTATGAAGGGATTGATATCGCAGTTCCTGAAGAGAGAATGTTGACGTACCAACGACCATAATGGTGAACTGGACACCCTTGACCTTGTTCCTTCGTCGAGCAGGGAGCGGCATTTTTGTGGGTGGGCAAGGAAGAGTTTGGGGCTAAGATGGGTATCGTACCACGTTGGCCGATAGGTTTTATGAGCCAAGCGCGGTATTTAAGTAATCGATGTCCTGCAGAATAGGCGTTCGCCGTTTCAACTCGAGCCAGCCTCACCAGTTACCGCCAAGCTCAACGCCTTGGAATCCTAACACACACATACAAACCGCATAACCGTTTACAGTCCCCGATCAACTCAGGGACCGAACCAATCGGATTTGGCAGTGTGATCATGAGCTTGACCGACAACCGCGACGCTCAGCAGCATATCATGGACCCTGAGGAAGACGAAGAGCTTGAGCAGCTACGGTGAGACTCTACTATCTATAAAGTCGAAACGTCTCCTAATAACAAGCAGGCGGTATGAAGATTTCACGACTATTGGTGCGTGGTACGGCCAAATGTTCAATTCCATGTACCGACGGCCGTCCTCCAGACTGGATTCAAGACGCAAAGCGCGAGCGCGCGCAGAGACTACAGAGTGCACGGGATGTGAACACACCGAGAAGGGGACCTAGAGGGGAAATGACCATCCCATGGTTCTGGGCAAAAGTGAGGAAGGGGGCAGACGCAGTTTCCAGTTGGTTCGTGGTCAGTCTCGTCGGTGCGTCTCCCCGTTTGATGGATTGGACAGAATGAAAGTCTTATTGTGAGCAGGAGTGTGTATAGGTCTCAACGCCGCCATTATATCAATAATGAGCGAGTGGTTTTCCGATCTGAAGATGGGCTATTGCTCGGATGCGTGGTGGCTTAGCCAACAGTTCTGTTGTTGGGAAATGGAAGGAGAAGAGGTTGATGGTTGTGACCTTTGGCATACCTGGAGCTCTATAACGCTCATTCGGTGGATTGTATTCGTATTGTTTGCTGTAAGTACTGTGTATACTCACGAGCATCCAAGATTAATTAACATTACACAGACACTATTCGCATTCGTTGCTTCCCATCTGGTCCGCTCACTTGCCAAATATGCCGCTGGCTCAGGCATCTCAGAAATCAAGTGCATCCTGGCAGGATTTGTTATGCAAGGCTTCCTTGGATCTGCTACATTCTTTATCAAGAGCATAACACTAGTAAGCCTTCTAGGCCTTTGCATGTAATTGAATACTGAACTGCCTAGCCCCTAGTCATTGCCTCTGGCCTCTCGGTTGGAAAGGAAGGCCCATCAGTACACGTCGCTTGCTGTATTGGCTTCCTAGTGGCGGGATTCTTCCGGAACTTCAAGCGCAGCGAAAGTGAGCTTCATGTCTTCACACCATACACTTTTTCCAATCTAATGTATCGAAATTAGGCAAAATGCGGGAGGTCATTACAGCGGCCAGTGCGGCCGGTGTCGCCGTCGCATTTGGTTCACCAATCGGCGGTGTTTTGTTCTCTATTGAGGTGCGTTGGTTAGCTATATCATCGACCTTAATTAACCTTCGTCTAGGAAATGAGCCACACATTCAGTATCAAAACCATGTGGAGAAGCTTCTTCTGTGCACTAATAGCTACATTCACTCTAGCGGTCAGTTGACTTGTTTCGGATGGCATGGGACAACCATGACTTACCTCTCTCTAGGCCATGAACCCCTTCAGGACTGGAAAGATAGTCCTGTTCCAGGTCACCTATGATCGCGATTGGCACTTCTTTGAGATCATCTTCTTCGTTATCCTTGGGATTTTTGGGGTACGCGAGTATTCTGCTTCCGCCACCTCGTGACTACTGACGCTTCCTTCACAGGGCCTTTACGGCGCGTTCGTGGTCAAATTTAACCTCCAAGTTGCTGCTTTCCGTAGAAAACACCTGGCCAACCACGGAGTCGCCGAAGCGGTCACACTTGCCACCATAACCGCAATGATCGGCTACTTCAACCGTTTCCTCCGGCTTGACATGACCTCGAGCATGGCGATATTGTTCCGAGAGTGTGAAGGTGGAGGGAACGTGTTCAACCTCTGTCAGTAAGTCGGTGCAGATCAGTAGCTTCTGACTCCACTACTAATCGAGTGGTACAGATCCGAAGCACAGTGGCGAATTGCAAACTCGCTTCTTCTGGCCACCATTATCCGGATAGGACTCGTGGTGATAACCTATGGGTGCAAGGTTCCTGCAGGTATTTTTGTGCCGTCCATGGCGATCGGTGCCACCTTCGGCCGGATGGTTGGAATTATGGTGAAAGCCATGTACAAGTACGCTTGGCCTCTTTTATTTTTTACAATGATTATCCTTATTAATTCACGTCAACAGCGCCTATCCTACTTCGGGGATCTTCAAAGTCTGCGACCCAGATGTCCCTTGTATAACACCCGGGACGTACGCGTTCCTTGGAGCTGCTGCTGCTTTGAGTGGAGTCATGAGAATAACCGTTACTGTCGTTGTTATCATGTTCGAACTCACTGGTGCTCTGACATATATCCTGCCTACAATGGTATGGACTTCCACTTTTCCACGTTTCAAGAACCTCAATCTGATCCCTTTTACGCCATTTAGATCGTCCTCCTCGTCACCAAAGCCGTCGGCGACTTTCTTGGTACCAACGGGATTGCAGATGAGATGATTCGGTTCAATGGATTCCCATTCTTGGAGAAAGAAGATCATGCATACAACGTAGCTGGTGCGGCGTTTTAGTGTTGGCTTTCAAACACCGACGTCTCATAGTTTGCCCGCAGTTTCTTCAGTCATGAAGAAGGAACTACATACACTGACAGAGACGGGTCTGAGCGTGAAAGATGTTGGTGCGTGATGTCACCTTCGGCTTCTGCCTGAGCAAACTAATTGAATTGGCCTCATTTCAGAAAACCTCCTTTCCAATACTGATGTCAAGGGCTTCCCTATCGTAACAGCAGATGGAGCATTGACATTGGCTGGATATATTGATAGAAGTGAACTGCGCTACGTGATTGGTGAGTACAAAGTGCGGTTGGGCAGAATGATATTTATCCCGTCTTCTAGAACGTGCAAGGAAGACTAGAGGGCGTATCACGAATATACCATGCCTGTTTACTACCCATTCAGAGTACGACGGTCTGGAGATAGGCCGTCCTAATTTCGAAGAGGAGGAACCCAACGAGCAATACTTTGCGCCTACTACCGCCGGGGAGGTCCAGTTTGCTCCTTGGGTCAATAAGGTAAGTTTGTGGCTCCTATCTGCTAAGTTTCCACTCTCACCCCGCCGAATTGTAGACCCCGATGACAGTATCGCCTGACCTCCCTTTGGAGACTGTGATGCAAATATTCAAGCGCATGGGGTGCGTTCCCTTCGTCGTTTGCAATTCTAGATCATCGTTAGGCTCACTGGCCCTCCGTAGTCCGCGGGTTATACTTGTGGAGGATAAGGGGATGCTTTGCGGGCTGGTCACCGTGAAAGACGTTCTCCGTTACATTGCCACAGAAAAGCCTGGCCATCGTCCATCATGGGACGAACGTGGTGGGCTAGACGGACTGCTAGAGGAGCTGTGGAATTGGGGTAGTGATTTAAGAGATCAAATGCTCAAGTGGGGCTGGAGAATCATCCGGCGGAGATGACATTACTCTGCGGGTGCATGTGTATGTCCATCCTAATTATAGTGCCCTTTGGCATGTTTGATCCTCCCTTCTATTGGGGACAAGAGTAAGGACTTGTTGGCATGCACCACTCTTCGCCTGGTGGACCCCCGAGCGCTTCTTTGTGATGTCATGGTTCGCAGGGGCCCTTGGGCATCAAATCAGCCAAGAAAACTCGGTCGAACTCCAAATCATCGAGCCTTCACCAAAGTAAGCACACCGCCACCACCACAACAAGAACAACCTGGACTATAAAGTGCTGTCGTGAAATTGAGAAATGGGTTCTTCCGACCACCAGAGTCAAAAGAGCGTTTTCGTCCAATATGCGCAACGACCAACAATCCCCTAAGGCGGAACCGACTCAACGCTACTCTCAAGCGTTGGCGGCTTATACCCTTCGCCAGTTCTCGATTGCCAACTCTCAGTTGGACGAGAAAAATAAATCCAAGCTCGCCAAGCTTCCTGGCTCCTATTCTCGTGTCGTGAACGCGGAACGTCTCTCCTCTGTCCTTGGTATTAACTGTTTTTTTCCTCCTAGCCTGCTATCATTGGCGTATTCGAAGAAACTAATACTTTAGATGCACAGGATCCGGCAATCGTATCAGGGCTTGAGGGCAGAAATGGCATATACGCGCTTATCCATCCACCCCTATCCACCACAAACGACGAACCCCAATCCCCTACTCCGCCGATATAAGCACGCACTTCAGGAAACCCAAACGTATCCGTTCTCGAGTCTATCGCGGGTCTGCAACGAGTGTGTATGATAGGAATGGTGTCTGCGACATAAGTCACAGGTTTTCGAATGGACATGTACATATGTTTTTGGTACTAGTCAGTGTAAAGAGCCCCTGCAGTCGACTCCTCTACTCCTCCATGGCGACATCGTCGTGCGCATGAGGGGCGCTTTGAGGTCGCGCACCGTCGCGGTACAGTTGCGCCCATTTAGGATAGACCCTCTTGTACAAGGACATGCAGACGGTGTCCATCTGGTTGATTGGGCCGTCGAAGTAGGCTTTGAAGTAGCCATGTGTACCGAGAGATTCCTTGATGTGACCAACGCGGCCGTACTTGGTGTGTAGTTGGATAGGTTTGAAGTAATGCACGTCCTCTGTAGCCGGGGCTCTGTCAGACATCCGTGTGTCATAGATGATCTCAAAGACGTACCAGGGTTGAAGAACATGTAACGAATGGTCGCAGTCTTCTTGTGTACCTTGAACGGATGTCCACTGAGGATAATCCTCTTCGAAATCACGCGCGTCGTATCGGTGTTAAGGAAAGAGCCATAAGCCACGAGCTGTGGAGCTGGTAGAAATCGGTCGAAGGTGAGTTCCAGGCGTTGAACCGAATAGTTGGAATCTTAAACTGAAATAGAAACGTTACATACCTTGGGAATCGTTCGACTCTCGAAGGAGAGTGCAGGGTTGCTTTCCGTACGTTACAGGTCCGTATACAGTTGCTACAGCCGTGGAACCATGGCGAAGGTAGCGTTCGAATTTATGGACATTGTTCGTCCCCTTTCCTCCACCGCGGGTATGTTGACTGTAGATGGGATTCACAGAGAACCGGCGAGGCCCAACGCACAGGATCATGGGGTCCTTAAAGTACGGGGGTCAACAAAGCAATGGGAAGGGAGCTGGAAGGCCTCACCTTTGATCGGACACTAGCATGGTATTCTGTGTTGCGCTGGACAGTGAAGTGAAGGACAGAGACCTTGTGCTCATGCTGGAACAGCGAGAAGAGGGTCAGAGGTCCAGATGATACAGCCTCTCGAGCAACACCAGTGATATGGACGGTAACGCGGGTTCCAGGCTAAACCAGCCGTCAATCGACATCCACTCTCATACCTGAGATCAGCTCACCTCGACGGTGTTCAGTTCCTGCTCGCTCCGCTTCCTGACAGATCTCTCTGTCCGCTTGAAGTCCTCGAATTGGAAGATACGGGCATAATCTCGAGGGAGGTTCTCATAGGGGTCCCATGGACTAGTCCGGAATGAACGCATTCCGCGGTAACGAGCAAAGCGAGTGCGAGCGGGTATGTCTTGAGGGGTATCGACTTCATCAGGGAAAGCAGCATCGTCCTCTTCCTCGCGTTTACGGTTTCTCCATTTCTCCAACCTGGACAACGTCAGCGAGAAAACGCAGTATAGCCTAGCAATGATAACTTACTGGGCGGTCTCCTCCTCGATATCGAGATCTTGGAAGGTAACATGTCGTTGATTATCAATGTCCATCTCAGTGGTATCCTCCACCTCGACCATCTCTTCCATCTCTTCCTCCTCTTCCATACCGTCCTTGTCGCTTCCTCCCTGGGAATCATCATCACCGTCCTCATCGTCGGTCTCGTCAATGATCCAAGCAGCCTGGTACTCGCTCATACCCTTCGGGATGCGCTTTACAGCCTTCGGCGTTGTGCCAGGAACTGCGTCAGGTATCGATGGGTCATTGTTGCCGGTGTGCTTCCCATTCATCTCTTCTTCTGTTGGCCATGTCTGCTCGTTTTCGAGATCGTCAGGGTCGTTGGTGGAAACGAGCGAGTCCGCGTCGTCAGGGTTAGGTTCAGCGATCAAGGTGGGCTCCACTTCCATGCCATTCTCCTGGCCTTTGCGAGCTCGCGGAAGTGGTGATGAGTAGATCTAACAAACCCGTCAGTAACTTGCTTCTTGGAGAATAGTACTCTGGACGTACTTTGGAAATTTGGTGATCACCCGAATTGGGTATGTGAACCAAGCGATTTGCAGACAGAGATGCTCCACGAACCACACCCGTCACCCGCAAAACGTCACCGTCCCACTGTACCTGCTCTCCAAGCAGATACGAACGCCCTTCTCTCCATCGAACGTCAGCCGGTTTGCCTTCAGAAAGTGATCGTAGGGCGTTCAAACGGTCGGACGTATTATGCAAGTCAAAAACTTTCGTTTGGCTCGGCACGAAGTACTGGATGAAGGAGAGGAGAGATTTGAGAATCGAAGGTCGTGCTTTGACATCCATTTCCGTGTCTGGAGAAACGATAGTCACGACCTCGGGAAGCCCTTGGGATTGTAGACTTCGAAGGAGGATGTCACCCCAAGTATCGACTTCCACAGCACTCGAAAGAGCAAAGACGACATAATCGGCAACTTTACAGGCGTCCAACGTTTCGTAGTAGCGACGATATGGAAGGGTTCGGAATTGCAAAGATGTTTTGAATCGATCGGCTCTGTAAAGCAATTTGCCCGCATGAGTACAACGACAGGCGATAACTGCATATATAGATACCTCATCCTCCATAGGCCGTCTTCAGAACAATCGTCCGCAGGTTGGTCCAATGCATTCGAGATGGCTGAGACCACATTTTTGGAGCTAACGTCCGGGGAGAGAGGGACTACGACGACGATCCTGGGGCAGCCATCGACGCCATTGAACAGCCTCGTAGCTGAGACGATAGCCTCTCTTTTCTTCGACTGCGCCTGTTTTGCGTTGTTCCTTCTGTTCAACCGCGTCTGAGCAGCTGCAGCAGAAGCTTTCGGGCCCGTCTTCGATGATTGGAGAATCCGGCCTGGTTGGTTGAGTTTAAGTCCTCCTTCCCATATCTTCAGACAGAAAATAGACCACCTTTGGCTCGATCCTTCAGAGTCCCTTTCGTGGCATGTTTCGACTTGAACTTTTTATTTTGCTTGAGAATTTACAGATAAGATTACCGCGATTCTGGATGTCAACTAGGGCAACTCACTTGCTTGAGCGTCGGTCTATGGTGGAATGCTTCAACCATTGTATTTTCAATCCCAAGTACAACGAAGAACACCGAAGAACACCTGGCTCAAGGTGGTCAAGTTGAAAGATGATGGAAAAATGCAAACCCACTGGTGGATCCGCCAACTTTTTATGACTTCCTAATCCGGTGCACCAAATTAGGTGGCTGTGCGTGCGGATGGTTTGGACGCGCCCAGCGCTCGACGCGTCTTGAACTCGAACCACGAGCAGCAACCGACCGTTTGAAGAAATGCAGGCGACGTTGGACGCTTCCTCAATTAAGCGTATGTCTACAGCTCGCAAAGGATCCAAAAGCTACTGAACGACGCCAGCCTTTACCAGGGCACTGACCTGTCTGTCCAGATATGGAGAGGAATTGTCAATCCACGCATCGCCGACCACATTGTCACTATCTGCGGTCAATGCGGCAAAGTCTGCCTACTGTCGCTTCCAATTTGCAAGGGACATCTTTTCCAAGTACAGACTTAGCGATGTCGAAGAAACTGGTTTCGACGATGTAGAAGAGGTCCCATCTGTAACAGGGCAACTTCTGACCAAAGTGCGACACCACGAATTAAGCCTGACCTCGACCCAGCTGACGATGGAATCTAGGCTCTTCTTTCGATTTTGAAACATAGAACTGTGGAGAAGTCTGTCGAGAAATGTGAACTTACGATCATCGAAGGATCCAGCATTGCCGACGAAGATAACGAGCAGCGCGATGGTTTGGAAAGCAAACTTGTGGTCAAACTGCACTGCAAACACGGTAAGGACGTAGTTCCCATGTCACAACTGACAGGACACTAACGGTGTAACTTCTACAAGGCGTCGTAAAAACGCATCGACTGCTCTTGCTGGCCACTACATCGTTAATGACACCCAATGTCCCGGATCCATCCTTGCAATCTAGGCTCTGTGTTGCTCCGAAGGCATTAAAGGACATGATCGAACACTTCTCAATTAATAAAGGCGCCAAATCAGATCCCCAGTTAATTTGGCGTTTTGAAGACGACAATGTAACCCTAAAAACAATGGACTCTTCCCTCGAGGCTTCCAAGGGTTAGTACCCGCACATGTCTTCTCGCACACGCACCCTGACACTTTTGGTGAACCTCGTGCAGGTCGTGTCGGATTATCGACCGAACTCACCCTGAACGCCGAGGAGTTCGACGCATATGACCTCCAAGATCCCGTCACAATCGCATTCCATTTGCGTGAGCTAAATGTGGGGGCACCATGCATCTTCTGATTGTCCAATGATGCTCTAACACTAACGATAGGCGACCATCGCATTTGCCGAATCCCTCGGAACCACTTTAGACATTCACTTCACAGAACCTGCGGCCCCCTTGTGCATCGATGTGGAAGGCCTCTCCATCGAAGGACTGTTCGTAATCTCGACCATTCAGGTCCCCGGAGAAAACCATGTCACCATGAGTCAGACTACTGCCACTGCTAATGGTGTCAAAAAACGTGAACGTGAAGAAACCCCGTACGAGAGTGCAAGATTCAAGAAGTCCATGAAAGTGGTGCACACGACTCCCCTGCCGTCGGGCTCCCGATCCTCTGCATCCGTCCGTGGTCAGAGCGTTATGTCTGCGCAGCCCCCCGCCTCCCTTCCAAGAGCAGCCTCCTTCTTTGCTGACAGACCAAACGCGCAGTCAACACCTCGCGACATGCCCCCACCTCCCCTTCCAATACGCGGAGAATACGCTCCTCCTCCACCGGCGAGGCGTGAGGAATCCGAAGAGCCCCTATTCCTTCCAGCATCTTCTCAGCTCTCACAAGCCGAGGTCGAGGTCCTTCGGTCAACCGGATTGGGAATCGAGAATATGGACGCGGAAGAATTTGCCAACATGCTCGAGGGCGATGGTGAAGAAGTAGCATTCGACCTGTCTCAGCCGAATTTCGCCCTGCAAGCCAGTCAGACCGACCCTGGAACTGAAGAGATAAACATGGAGTTCATATCCACACAATCATCAGGTGACAGCGAGTCAAAGGTATGGGAGACAGCAACGTCCGTCAATTGTGGATCAGCGATAACACAATCCTACAGGACTTCCATCCCTTATTCGAAGATTGAATTTGTCCGAATAGTGAATGTCAGAAAGGCTATCCTCCATAGCCTTCCTTCTGGTACTCGTGTCGCAGGGCAAGCGAAGAAACTCCTCACGGATCTCGACCGTCAAGTCGTGCTCACTGCATCTCCCCCTCTTGGACAAGGTTTGAGCACAGCATGTATTCCCTGGCACTACCACGCCCGGAAGCCAACATCCCGTGTCAAATGCAGATGTGGAGTACGCTTCTAACCCTCACAACAAGCACTGTGGTTTCCTGATAAGAGGGTTTAAAACTCCGCGAGGGTGGGGAAGGCTTCCTTGAACGACGACGCGATTAGCAAGCGGAGATAAATTCAGAAAAGCGCACAGCATGATCGACCCAAATGGCAGTCCCCCAAACCCTATTGCTGTAACATCCCTTTGCCCATTTCAAAACAGAAAAAAATAACTGAACAGATACCATCGATACCATCGCGTCCCATTGCGAAGCAGTCCCTGCAGGAGTTATTCCCACATCTTGAGCTCTTTCACCGATGATGGCCATCGTTTCTCTTCCTCTCTGTAGATCCTGACGCCAAGCCCGTCAATCCGCTCCAAATCCTCCTCCGCCACGAAAATATCCAAGGATACCCCAACTTCAGCTGCAAATCCAACCTCCGTCAAAGGGTAGCCCAGAAGCTTTCGAGTGTGTAGAGCCTCCAAGAGACTGGAAATCTCCTCCCGGTCATCAAACCCTAATGTTAAGTAACGAAGACCTGTCCAGCAATGATCGCCGTTCTCTCTCCTGGTCCTCCCAGTTAGATATTTCTCCAGCCTTGAGGTCTCGAAGGTGGCGTGGGGACAGCGAAACATGGCGACGCTGGGGAAAATTTCGAACAGGTGGTCGTAGATCTCGTCTGAAGGGATCCACTCTGACGCGACGAACACCTCGACCTGGGGAAAGTGGATCGATAGCCCCCTGCCATGTGACCAAAGGGTGTCGAGGTCGCCTTCTAATAGGCCGTGGAGCTCGAGCACCCTCAGTCGAGGCGCGTCGACCATGTTGAGAATTTTTGAGAACCCTGCACCAGTGCTGGAGGAAATGACCAGGGACTCGAGGTGCGGCAACTTGTGCTTGGCTTGCTGGGGACTAAACGGGAGGTTGACAAATTGTCCCTCTGCCCAAATTGCGAGGTCGACAAGGGATTTACACTCGCCGAGCAACGCTCGAAACATGTCATCCGTGAACGTCAAGCCTCTGTAAGGCGCCAAATCGAGGGCTGTGACTGTTGATAAAGGTGGTCGAAATGCCTGCGGCGCCATGCCGCGAAGTCGCAGGCATGTCAGGCTTGGTGTACCACTCGTAAAGATGGCGGGGTCTGCGGTGATGTCCACGGGGGCGTAGTCGACCCAATCGACGTCAAGCGACAAATGTATCAGGTTGGGGGCGGATGTCCGGCAGAGGGAAGAGATCGGTGCAAATGCGGACAGCAAATGCATATCCTCCCTGAGGCAGCGCACCAAGAGGCGCCTCCAACGGCCGGAGTGAAGCGCGAGGAGGTCGATGTTGCGCCTCACATTGGCGAGAAGGGTGGGGGATTCGGTCCACGATCCTTCCAGCGCGATAAACACGTCCAGAGGCGCGTCGCCGGACCTCTGGAGGTAGGCCTGAATGCGGTGGCTGTCACTTTGGGCAGTAATGACGATGATACTCCACAATTTGGAGGTCCCAAGGGCCACATCGCGGAAGCGCGACGAGACTCTAGAAATAAGTCGTGGAAAGACATGGTAAGGCCCACTTTGAATGGCGGCGATGAGCTGCCTAGTATCAGTTTCTTCTTCGAAGTCAGTCTGTTCGGGACGACTGTTCATAACAAACACTTCGGCAAGTAATTCAGTCGCCAGTCGGTAAACTGGGGCAACCAAACCGCCTGAAAGCTCGCCCGAGACTAGCATTGGTTGAGGGGTAGTGGCGATTACTTCTCGGAATGCGAAAGGTATCGACATTTGTAGTCCCCAGCTTCCCGGGTGAATTTCTGGGTAAATGGGCCCAAAATGCATTCAGTATAACTTCTTGTTGTCCATATACGTTGTACATGCACCGCTATCTTATTTCGGATGGAACAGAGGCGAAAACTTCAAAGAATCGATATATGCCGGAAGCTTAATTCTTGTGTAAGCCTTGGACCAACTGAATCTGAAACCGTCGCAATCAGCAGAGATCCTTAAAGTAGGAAAAGGAAGCCCACCTCGCCTTTGGTTATGGTTCGCAGCTCTCCAGGGGCAGCCGTCTTCCCCGTAGCAGCACCAACGCCGATTTCAATGGCCCGGCCAATCTTTCCCTTGGTGACATACCAGTAGCGGATTTCATCGGGAACGACCTCGATTAAGGAAATCCTGGGGTCATTCTCGTCGCCGGTGTGAACACCGTCCTTAAGGTCCCCAAACCAGGCAGACGTCCTAAGCAAACTTTGGCTGAGATTACGAAGCCATTTAGCAGAGTCGTGCTCACGAAGATGTCCAGTACTTCTTGATCTCGTTGCGATCATTGGAAACCCGTGCCTTGCCACACACACTTGCGGACACAGCGGCTATCAGGGACAGTTCGACAGCACACATGGGAGGTCTGGACTCACGAAACCCAGGCGGAGGTGGAAGGGTCGAGAAAGCTAACGTTGACATGGGAATCGTTATCGAGTTCCTCAAATTTGTGGGACACATTGTTGGCCAAAAACACAAACGCTAAGCCGGTGTCGCTGGGACCTGCAGTTCGGTTCAACACGAGAATATGATTGGCGGATTAGAATTCACGTACGAGAGGCTGGGTTCATTGCACGAGAGTGAAGTTGACCATCTTTGGACCTGGTAGTCATCATGGCCGTCTGGACATTGTGGATGATTTCGTTCAAGCCTGGTGACGATTTATCGTGAAGGCTGTCAAAGAGTTGGGACGGAGAAGAAAGACATGCCATTGATCTTTTCCTGAGGAGTGAGGTTGGGATTTTCGGCTTTGGCAGTGTATGGATCGAGATTCTTCGCTTGTGACATGGTGAAAGACTGGTTTTGGGAACAATCAAGATGAGAGCAAGTGGGAAGGGCAGGAAGTGGAAGTGACTGGTTCCTCAGGATCGAGCAGGGTGTAAGTATTGAAGGACTGGTTTCACTTTCATGACGTCAAGGGTGGGGTCATACAGTTTATTTCGCTCGTAACAAATCGAGGATAGCAAATGTGACATCACTTCCTAGTGGTCTTAGACGGTCCTGCGTTGAATGAGCGCCAGATATCAAGAAGAACCAATAGGGTTATCCACTTACCGGCATTGGAGTTGAGACCGAGTCGATTCTTTTGTTCATATTTCGCAGACAGCGCGCGTAACCGCTCCTGGAGCTCAAGGTCCTCCTTCGTCATCGTTGGCATATTCGCTAGGCGCTTCATCTGCAGCAGCAACGTTTGATGGTGTTGCTCTGCGTCTCTTTCCGCGACAAAATGGTCCCGAACGTCCTGGACGTCCGAGTCTGTCATTGGAATCACAGTCGGATTTCTTCGAATCATAATGGGCGCTGTTCAAGTCGGTGAAACTTGAAAGGACAGGCGCGCGTTGCTGCCTTTGGCTGCGGCGTCGAAGCCAAATAGATTACATAAGACAATCAATCATGGTCGTCGACTGTGTAGCGCAGCGTTGAAGGACAATCCAAAATCCGAAGGCTGCGGCTTCACGTTCTTTCTTCTCAACCACCACCAACGCCGACCTCAACCAACCAGGATACCCTTTTAATCAACCATGGAAGCCGCAATGCGAGTAGCTGAAGTCGTCAAGTCCTTCCGGGTACTTTTGGTTATTTGAAGATTCAGACGCGCAATCCAGCTAATGATGAACGGAATGGGCTACAGGAAACCAGACTCTCCGGACTGCGACCCCCCAGCGAGTTCTTCGATTGGACACGTATCTCACGGCCAGCAGATATGAACCAAGCCACATCTGTGCGTTGAAGCGATCGCCTGGTCGAAAAAAGTATTTAAATCTAAACGAGCATTGCAGCGGATATCATATAACACTCGTTACTTCTCCGGTAAGCGACACCGCATGCTGCCATTCCGAATTCAATGTCAACTGAACGCATTTGACTTGTATAGGAAACTACCTCCTTATTGTCGCCCTTTTGGCTGTATACGCCATGTACGCTCAGCCGCTATCCGCACCAGCTTGGCACAAGACCACTCACCGTTTCAATTGATTTTATAGATTGACAAACTGGCTCCTCATCATCTCCCTCCTCTTCCTTGTCGGAGGCTTTGCTGCTATCAATAAGTTCGGTGGGTACAACTCCATCTTTAAAGTTGTCCCATGACACTCATCTCTTCATCCTTCACCCACTTCTTCCTCTTGGTACCCCGCTCATACGTACCTTCCACCCCGCAATCGACAATACAGCTCCCGAAGCGACCCAGTTCGGTGAACACACTATCACCCAAAAACACCTCTACACCGGCCTTTTCGTTATTGGCATTCCCATGTTCTGGCTTGCTAGCCCCGTCAGCACCATGTTCTGGCTGGTCGGCGCGTCTGGATTCCTCATCTTGGGTCACGCGTCCTTCCTGGAACCTGGCGTAGAGAGCGACTATGCCGCCATCCAAGAAAACGTCTAATTGCTGGCAAGAAGACGTTCTTACCTCCCTTCGACTTATCCTACTTTGGGGTGCGCATCCGGAGTCGCCGCAACAATGGAGCGGGATGTGGTCGCGTGGCTTACGCCCATTCTCTATGCATATGTACCGACAATCGGCATTCAAACCTTTCTCCGCAAGTCAAGGTATACCTTAGCATCGTATTTCTTGTGTCTTGTGTATTTAGACTATTAGTATTGGGACTCCTTCACTTCGTTCACTACTACATCCCCCCTTTTTTTCCAATATAGACTCGATCTCTTCATCTCTATCAACGGCGCCCTTCTCCTAGACGCGATCGCAGTGGGTATGCTGGGCTTAGAGGTTTTGGACACACCTCATTAGCATTTGTCATTGGGCACGACGATCGCGGGTGGGGGACGATGAACTGCGATAAAGTTTGTACCTTCCAAAACATTCCATGGAGGAGACGAACCACCGGCAATTCAATTCAACGCTCAAGCTGAACCACCAAATGCCGACGGTACAACCGCTGCACCTTGTGGGCCCGAACACCCGACTGCGCTTGGCCGTTCCTTTCTCCACATTTACCACGAGCCGTAACAGGGGTTCGAACTGGGGTAAATGAGGTACCCCTTCTATGGTCCAGAGCGCGCAGTGCTTACAGCAACGAAGAGCAATTAAAATGCCGACGCGTCATAGATGAGCCTGGCTGAGCCCTCACCTGCCCTTCTCGAATACCGCCCAAGTCAAACGGTCCTCACGCCCAGACAGCCGCACCCACGCGGGGCTTAGGGCGTCATATATAAGTCATGGTAAAACTAGTTCCATTTGATGGGGGAGTGGAAGGACATTATTGCATGAGGTCGTGGTAATATGACGTGACGTGTTCATCCTATAAGAGATAGAGAAAGAAGGAAACTGCAAGCAGCGAGTAGCAGCAGTGCTAGCGAACAGAGAGGAAAACAACGCAGGAGATGCCATGGGCAGCTTAAGCCAGGAGCGAATCTAGAGACATAGAGACATAACGAAGACCATAAGGGCAAGTGTGCATACAACGACAGAGAGTCAGACGCACAGGTGGCTAGACTCGAAGAGTGTTCGACAGGAGTAACCAAGGAAGCAGACATATCTCGAAAAAGATTAGCAGCGAGAGAGCTAAGTAAGAAGAGATGAAAGACAGAAAAGAGAGATTTTAGAAACACAAAGGGCGAAACGCTAGTCAAACAGTTATTGTGAGAGTGGGATGGAAATAATAAAAAGAACAATAGTTATAGCAAACCAGATGCACACGAACCCCAGATGCTTGAGACAGAGATAAGAAAAGAATAATCATACTTGACAGGTTGAGACCGTCATTGGACGGCAAATCTAGTGGCTGGCTTCTTCTATAGAAGGGGAAGCCATTGGCCTGGAGATAGTACGCAACGAGAAGTCAGTTTGGTAAGGAATTCGTTCGAGGTATCGGAGGTGCCGTACCGATCACCATGCTGGGAAGATCGAATAGGTCTCTTCGTATTGAGAAACAGAACGTCGCTGGGACTGGTGTGCCGTCGGGTTTGAGTAGAACGCAATGCGAGTATACAGACCGTGTCGTGTTTTCGAATGCATGCGACGCAAAGTTCTCCCAATACTCGACCACCGATTGGTTCTCGAAGAGCTAGCGAATCAGAAAGCAAGAGGAAAAGAACAGAGGGCAGAGTAAGTCAACCTGGGTTACACGTCGCGGAGCACGCAGTGGATGGAAAGCGTTACTTACCTCATAGATGTATTTTCGGCGACCAACCAGCTCTTCCATTGGCCACTCCGTAAGCATGCAGAACTCTGGAGCAACGAGGCAGATCTCGCCAGTGCGACGCCAGACGACTGTTGGCGTCCCACTGTAAGATATTAGCTTGCCAAGTTCCTACACAGAGAAAAGTGAGAAACAAACTGTCAACCTGAAAGCCTACGCTGGTCTGCTTACGAGCAATGAACGCTGGAAGCACTTTTCAACGAAAATCTCGTCGTCCAGAGAGAGCGGCATTTGAAGCGCAATTAGCGATGGCCGGAAGATTGCTAGCGCGCGCACTACACGAAGGATGTCGTTCTTCTCGAAGCTTTAAAAGGCAATGTGAAAACGCGGCGAGGACATGAAGAAAGGCGGTAAAGGACAGGAGAGTGAAGAAAGGGAAAGTGTATTAGACCTCGAGTCCCAAGGGCACTCTTTTCGTGTAGGAATCCAACTTGACGAGGGACGTACCGAGTTGGCAGATGTTTCATCAAGAAGTGATAGCCCTCGGTATAGTCGTATGGCTTGGTTACACGATCATTGATACTCTGCAAATGCGAGACCGCGGATTTCGGTTGAGGTATTTCAGCTACCCCGGGCGGAACGGATGCTATTGAGCTCGGTGAAGCGTTGGATAGCGGTGGTGTAAGAAGACCACGAGAAGCGACGTCTGTGGAGACTTTTTCGCCTACAGTGCTGGTTGGTGGTGAGCGAGGCCTTTGGTCGAGGGGATATCGCGGTTGGAGAGGATGCAGAGGGGCTTGAGCGGAATACTGTGAATACGGCAAATCGGACCCTTCGTCCGACCGCTGTTGTTGAGAATAGGAATAGTTTAGGAATTGCGCGCTTGGTGAAGTTGACAGAACAGAGTCTGATGAGATAGATAGCTGCTGCGCATCGGTGTATGAGGAAGTGAAAGACGTGCCCAGCCGTGGCGAGGCTGTAAAATCTAGCGGGTCTGACGGCCAAGAGTAATGTGATTGGGACGGTGGCGGAGGAGGCGACGATGCTGAATCCGGCGGACTTGGGTTGCCCAGAATTGCAGATAGTATCGAGTACTCGAGGTTTGCTGCTTCTGATCCAAACGCGAAGGTGGTTGGGTCGAAAGCGGTTGTGAGCAGCTGCTCGGACTGGGGGACTGGTTCGGCTAAAAGTAGTCTCAAAAACTCTTTCAAGCGGGGACCGACTGGAGACACTCACATATCGGCATTGTGGCGACGACTGGCTGGTGCAATTGGGGCTGAGGCTGAGGCTCTGGGGCCTTGCCCTTGGCTCCTTCCTTGCTACGCTTCAGGGCCTCTATAGAGCCACACGTGATGTCAGAGGAGTGGACTTTGGATTGTCGATAACGGAAAGCGGTGATAGCGTACCTAGTTCGTCATCGTCCAGCAGATATTTCGCCTTCTTGCGATGTCCCTCTCTACAGTTATTGGCGATACCACGTTTTATGCATCTTTGACAGGGTCGGGCTGCACAGATACCATGAGTTCAGGGATTGGGGACAGGGGGCCGAAGAAACACGTACAGTCGTCGCAAGTAAGGTGCGCCTTCTGACAGTGAAAGCATGCGCGATTTGCTTTCTTTTTCTTGGGGCCTTCTCTAGCCTTTTTCTGTGGTTGAGATGGAGCCGAGTCCTGCGGCGAGTCTTCTGGGGTGACTGTGCGGCGTCGTTTTGTTGGTGCGCTGGTAATGCTGGATTGGGAAGAGCTCTTCTTGAGAGTCTGTTGTGGTGAAGTGGATGGACCAGCCTGGGCGGGCTATGGACAGTGACGTCTGTAAGAATGTCAGGCCAAGTTATGAAGAGGACATACTGCAAGAGGCGCTGGGCGAGGTGCGACGGCGAACATGGTTAGTTTAGATTATCCAGGACGATAATTGAGAATTTGGCAAGGGAAGAAACCTTGCGGACTTGTCGTTGAGCGAGCGGTAAAGTCAAGACTCTGAACTCAAAATATTCATCTGCTTTCATGCGCCCTGACAGCCTCGATTTAATAGTTCCCACACCTTCAAATTACTGAGCTGGTTCACTTGCACTCGCCAAGACGGATCAAGCCCGAGTTATGGCCTTTCTTTACTCCGTAATCACGTCCTCAATCCAACTCATCGCGTACCACACCAATCGTGCCATGCATTCCCGTCTGCTCGCGCGTCTAGCTCAGTCGCTAGGCAGCCACCAGGCAACCCTCGAGTTCAAATGGATGGGGCAGGCCCTCAAAACAAAACATGCCACTGCCTCTCTCGAGGAAATGGTCAATCGTCGCGCACGCGGCGAACCCCTGCAATACATCTTGGGTACCTTGGTCTTCGCGATCCCCGTGTCTTTATCTGAAGGCTTCTCTCCATAGGAACGCAGCCCTTTGGCCCTCTCAACCTTCTCACACGTCCGCCGGTCCTTATCCCTCGTCCAGAGACTGAACACTGGGCTCTAAAGTTTGCAGAAAAGTGTCGACCTGTTCAGGGTGTTCACAAATCCCTGCTGGATCTTGGGACAGGCTCAGGGTGCATTCCCCTCCTTCTCTGCCGTCTCTGGCCACAGGGGAGCTTGAGCGCAACTGGCGTCGACATCTCGCCACACGCACTCAGCTTGGCCAACGAAAACGCTGCCCTTTGTGGCATTCCGCCACGGTCGGACTCTATGACACCACGAAACACCTTTAGGACGTCTCTGGCGAATTTCCTTGCTAATGACTTCCCTGGGACCCACCTCTCTTCGGCGCTTCCCATCGATATCCTTATCTCAAATCCTCCCTATATCCCCTGGGACGAGTATCTCGAGCTCCCAGAATCGGTCGTCAACTTCGAGGATCCGAAGGCACTCTTCGGAGGGCCGTCTGGTCTGGAGCACTATGAAGCCATTGCCCGGCTACTAACGCGCCCAGGTATATTCAATACCGGTGCCGTTGTGGCATTAGAGGTTGGCCATAGACAGGCTGAGACTGTCGAGGGCCTCCTTCGCAGTACCGGTCGCATTCGCTCATCAGAAATATGGACTGACCCATGGGGCAAAGAAAGGACCGTCATAGGTTACATGTGATTGGCTAGCCCATCGATGTAATCAGCGACAATATACCTTTACTGATTTGCAAGATGGGACTCCGTAGGGGGTATTCGACACGGTTCAGTTCATTGCTTGAAGCTTGATTCTTGGTATCCTGGTAATCTTTGTCAAGAATGGAAGGTCAACCGGCGTTTGGAGAGGCCCATCGTAAGCAGCAATGTGAAAGATTGGGCGTCGCTCGCGGCTTGGCCTTTACACCGCCGGCAACTTTACAAGCGACTCGTGACGTCAAAACCTCCTATCCATATCCCCAACATCCCCTGGTATCGGGATGGATCAGTTTCGTCGTAAAACAGTGTCTCGTAGACTCCTATGCTACTAACCTCTTGCCCGTAGTTGTCCCAATGTCTATCCTAGGACTCTCGTCTTTCATCAGAGGTGTGTATGCCCTTGACACTGCGGTATCTTTATTGGCACTGATTATATGATAACGGAGGCTGCTGTAGCACACGCAGCTCGCCATGCATCCATCCCAGGATCCCACCGTCACCCAGCGCATCCTAGAACACCATCCCTATCCATTCGACTTCTCGAAGTCACCTATCCACAAGCTCGCAGGACGAGTATCAACCCGCGAAGCTTCTGGGTGTTCCATACTACCTCCCGAGTTGTGGGCTGAGGTTTTCCTGAATTGCATCCCTCAGCTTCCTGCCGAGGGCACACCCACTCCATGGTATCACCGAGACCTTTATGTCAATCCATTGACACCTCCCCTGCTTCTTTGCCAGATATGTCGCTCGTGGAGACAGATTGCGCTATCTCTGTCCCAGCTCTGGCAGAGCTTGACGGTCTATGTCTCGATGGGTACCGCCTATCCCTCGGTCGAACTCTCCCGACTTTGGATATCGCGTTCCGGCAACCTCCCCCTGTCCCTCGCGCTCTACCAGCAGAACGAGTCAAACCTTAATCGTCTCGTCGCAGGACGGATGCTCGGACTCTTCATGAAGTATATCCCTCGATGGTGCGAAATCGACCTTCATCTCGCCGGACCGCGTCTTCCTTATAGCCTCGCACCGGAAGAATTGCGTGCACCGTCGCTTAGGCGGTTCAACATGAAGACGAGCTATAGGGTGTATGAGAAAGAGGAAAAATGTATCTTCGGAATCTTCGAGGACGTACCTCGGCTTTCGCACCTCCAAGTCTCGCGGATCCCGGAACTCGATTTGTTGGGTAACAGCGCCGTGAACATCCCCTTCGCGCAACTGGAGTCCTTATCCCTGGACTATGTTCCATCTGTGGGGACTTCACTTCACCTTCTCAACAAATGCAACAACATACGCGATTGTACGCTGAAGATTGATTCATTATTCGGGCCGATCGAGGACATTCCCTTGTTCCATCCTTCGCTTCGTTCCCTGTCCATCAACATCAGCCACGAGCATTTTCCCGGGTTTCTGGCAAGAATTACTTTACCTGCGTTGAAACGCCTCAAGATCCATGTGCGTGGCCCTTTGGAACAATACACCTGGCCGCAGCACAGTTTTGAAGAATTCCTCGAGCGGTCCTCTTGCGAGCTGACCCGCTTCGAAATTCATGATTCTGGGATGCGAGTCGATCAGTTCGTTTCGGTTCTCTGTCAGAAAAGGATGCAGGGATTAGAAGAGTTGGTTGTAGACGATCGTCGTGATTGGACGTGGGACCCTTTCGTCACCGATATCGCTCTCGATCTGCTCAACTCCCCGCGGTACAAGGATGCCTACTCGGCAATCGTGTTCTTAAACCCCAACGTTGGTTCTATCACCACCACCACGACGACGTCGGAGGGAGAGGGATGGCTCTCGGGAAGCACTGCGTGCTTTCTGCCTAATCTTGCCCAGCTGGTACTACGAGGCAACTGTCTGCGAACCTCCGATGGTGCCATCGCGGATATGGTGGAATCGCGGTGGTACGAAAGAGGGGGACCTGGCGTCAAGCAATTGAAGAACGTTAAGCTTGACATTCCTTCCAGCCATCTTGCGGATGTACAGCGGTTGAAGGCCCTCCAGGCGAAGGGACTGGGATTGGAGCTATCATTCTTGGAAGAGACGTAGGGGTGTTGGCGTTATGCTGGGAATGTTGGCAGATGCGCGTGCGAGCCAGAAGCTTAGATAGTGCTAGTTTAATTCTTCCCTGTATCGCTAGATAGCGGGAACTCCAGTATCCTTAACGTCTTTAGATAGTGCAGTATCTTATCTGGCCTGCATTAGCCCCTAATTCTCCACGTGCATCATGCCTGCACCTATCTCGCCGGACCGGCAGTGGATCCTCTTATAAACCTCCTGCAGTCCCCGTATTCATCGTTCCACTACTTGACTTTGAATTCTTCGTCATGTCTGCCATACAGTCCATCCCCTTAGACCACTTCAAAGAGACCTTCTCAACCTGCACTGGTAAGCGCGCCTACTACATGCCTCAAACGGGCGTCAGAACATGATCCCCATCACCACAGAATTGTCCAGCACGGCTATCGGAGGGAGGATAGTGTCTGTTTCGGACGAGTTCTTCGCAGAAGCGTTTAATCTCCTGAAAGTAGAGGTGAGTCGAACGTTTGTCGTCTGTAATAACAAAAAGCTGACATATAGCGTTCCTGAATTACAGCCTTCCACGAGCTTGAAAGGCAGCTTTGGCCCAAACGGCGCCCTTTACGATGGCTGGGAAACGAGGCGACACAACCCCGCGTACGATTGGTGAGTCTCGCCTTCTCCTTTCCCTCGATGTCGGAGGTTGAGCCAATGGTCTTCGTAGGGTTATTGTCCAATTGGGTACCTCTGGTAATATTATTGGCTTCGACGTCGATACTTCCAACTTCAACGGTAAGAATCGTCGAGATTCAAGCTCCGGGCACGTGCTGACCATTCTGTGGGACCCTGAAGGAAACGAAGCACCGGAAGCTTCCATCGAGGTGATCCATGGGGCACCGGCAGAGAATCCCAGTGTCGATGATGCCGGAGTGAGTCATACCTGTCGTATTTTCTGGTCGGGACCCTTGGATATTGATGTCTACCGCATCGTTAGTGGAAGGAAGTGCTGCCAAGGACTCGCCTAGGCCCAAACTCAAGGCATATGTTCAAGGTCCCTACCACCGACGTAGCCAACTTTGTTAAACTCAAGATTTACCCTGATGGAGGTGTGGTAAGTGCATTTCTTCCAAAGAAGGGTCCGGCTAGCTCGCATTTTTACCCTGGTTTGACGTCTGGTTCGTTTGCCACAGGCTCGATTCAGGGTGTATGGTCACGTATCACCTGTCCATCCGATAGATGGATCGCCCTTCGATTTAGCCCATGTCTTTGCGGGCGGACGGGTACTGGAAGTATCTGATCAACACTTTGGGGTCGGTGCAAACTTGTTGTTGCCTGGTCGGGGGAAGGATATGGGCGATGGCTGGGAGACGAAGCGAAGCAGGACCAAGGGGCACACTGATTGGGTGATCATCAAACTGTTAGTCGTTGCTTTCACTGTCTTTGGTGACGCGTTGCTGATTGTTTACAGTGGTGCACCGGGTTACCTTGAGCACGTAGAGATCGATACAGCACATTTCAAAGGGAATTTCCCAGAGAGCTGCGAGCTGCATGGACTCTATTCAGACAATGATTTAGATGTTCAAGTTCAAGGGAACTGGACTGAGATCCTACCTAGAACGAAACTTGGTCCCCATAGACAGCACTACTTCCAACTCGAGAATGTTGAGAACACTGTATACAGTCATGTCAAGATGACTATATATCCTGATGGTGGGGTCAAGCGGGTGAGAGTCATCGGTAGGAAAGCAGATTCGAACACACTTTCGACCACCCAGCCGCAAGAAACCGTAGTCACGCCGCAGCCGCCCCAATCACTCCAATCGAATCCTTTTTCCAGTTCGACCATGAAGGTGAACACGATCCCTGTACTTCCCTTGACTCCAGAAGGTTTCGCGCCCTTTGGTTCGGTCATCCAAGGCTACAGCGAGTGGACAGCAGCCCCCAAGGGAGCAAAAATCACCAAGGCGAATGCGGATACTGCCGACAAGTTTCACAAGCAGACTCTCCTCACTTCGAGCTATCCACCATCCGCTAACGCAACAACAGGGATATCGGTATATCGATGTCGGCCGCTGAGGGACATCGGTGCAGATGGAACCGTTGCGTTGACTGTGCTGGAGCGACATCGCTTCACGAACCAGACATTTATTCCTATGGGCCGAGGGGACGGTGAAGGGCTGAAGGATCCAGCGCATCGATATCTGGTGGTGGTAGCGCACAACGGTGAAGACGATCGACCTGATCTTCGGACCCTGCGAGCCTTCCTGGCCACGTCCGCACAAGGAGTAACGTACAACGAAGGCGTCTGGCGTGAGTGTGGAGTTGACTTTCTCGTTCGCTGGGTTGGTGATAACTGACGATTTCGGTACCGCAGATCAACCGATGACCGTTCTCGACAAGGTTCGTGATAAGAATTCGCCGTTCCATCTCCGTTTTCTGACCGTTTTCAACAGGTATTGGACTTGGCTTGCGTGGAGACCCAGATTGGCGACGGGAGCGCGAGCGATTGTGAAATTTTGGAATTGGACACCAGCACAGAGCTGTACAAGCTACAGTTGCCTGCGCATGAGTAAATGTACGACGTCTACGTAGAATATCGTGTCAGTATTATATTTGCCAATAGAGTGTCGTTGAACCCACCTGGACGCGTTAAAGAGAGTGGTGCCTGAAGAAAGTTGCGGTTAATTAGGGGCGTGCACGTGAGAGAAAGTTACATCAGCCAGCCGACTTCGAAACACTGGCCAAACAGAGCAGCTCTTGCCATTGCTCACTCATTGGCCACCCTTATCCCCTCCGTTTTCCAAAAAATCTCGCCCTGGAGACGCTAATGGAATCCAGAAAGCGTCCTCATACGGACGATGGGGACGTCTCCGTTGCAAAGAAACGAGTTCTCACAGGTTCAAATGGCACACCACATGTCAATGGCCCCAACGACCAAACCGAGGATGAACAGGTTTTTCAGGCTGGCCTTGAGGTGCGTTGGCGTACTCTTGATGACGCGGTGGCCTTTCTAAAACCTCGCGTCTCGTGTAGAACTTTCGAAAGGAGGCTATTTATCGGAGAATGAAGCACTACAGTCGCGAGAATGAGCGTAATTTAGCAAGAATTGAAGATCTCGAACGTCGGAAAGAGACATGCGAAGCTGGTTTGGCGGCAATGTCTGCATGCTGGGCACAGGTGATGTTCTGGCTTTCAATTGACCGTTGGTGCCTGATCTCATCCCTTACAGCTCATTGAAACGATTCGACTGCTCATTCATACGGATAATCTTCCAGAGAATCATATCAAGGGCAAAGGTAACCATCCCATGAATGGAAATTATTCAACTTAACCTCATACGATAACTTTTAGACATCTTCGACTTGAGTTCGCGTCTGCAGGAGGAGACCACACCCGCTCTGAAGTCAGCTATTGGTGAAGCGGCAAAAGCGACTGAGGCATTAGTAGCCAAGTTTGCGACCCTAGCAGCAGAACAAAAGCCCGAAATTTTGCGGAACGACACATTCCAAGAATGTCAAAGGGCGCAAACCGAGGTAGGGTTTCTATATTTACTACTCTACCTCAGAGTCAATGACGATGATTCTTTAGTGTGCTGCCCTTCAGTCAGACCTCCAACTAACGCGACAACAGCTCCAAGATTGTATAAACGAACGGGACAAGTACCACAACGAACTCATTGCGACCCAGAATCGTATAGAGCGGTCACAAAGTCGGACAGTACTCGCTGTCGAATCCCGGCAACCATCAAGTACAGCGAACAGCGTGAACGGTGATGCAGAGGATACACAGCGCAAGCCGTCCTCTCCTTCAGTGAGTGGTTCGGTTATGGTCCATTGGTGGGGTTTTTGACATCAGCAACTCTCTTCCCTTGTCTGATTTTGTCTCAGGAATCGCCGAAGCCGTCTTCGAATGCACCCGAGAATGCAATGGCTACCGACGCACCGCCTGAACTCTTGCAGCTTAGAGAAAATAAGATTGTGGAATTGGAGAAGGAGGTCGCATCTCTGAAAGCTCGAGCCATGGTCAAGGAAGCCGAGGTATGCCAAAGTGAATGACCCTCCCGAGCTCCTGACCTAACGGCTTTTCCATATCCCTAGTACTCAGCAGTGCCAATGAAGGCTCTTGAAGAGAATGTCGTGTATCGCGCTTTGGTGGAGCGGTGTAACGATTATAAACAACAGGCGACCAACTTGCAAGAAGAGCTCAGCCATGTCAGGGAAGAGAACCATAACCTCAAGGCAATGAGAGCCGACTGGGAAAGCAAGATTCTGGTTTGTCCTTTTTTTCTGCTCCCTGGCCCAGGTTGACCTTAGCTCTACGAATAGGGACATTTGAAGGCCCACAACGAGGAGCTCAAGAGCACAATTGCGAAACGCGATGCCGAGAATACGCGACTGCGAGAGCAGCGAGACCAGCAGCAAGCGGAGCTGAACGAACGCAAGCACAAGGACGGTGTCAAAATAAACCAGATAAATGAGCTCAAAAACCTGGTCGAGCAGCGTAAAGTGAGCACATGGTCCTGCTTTTCACTCGGAACCCGCTAATCGTCAGAATAGGGTCAGATTTGTATCCTGCAGTCTGAGATTCGACGGTGCAAAGCTCGGTTAGCTGCGAATGAGAGGCAGGAGGACTTAATGAAATTCTTCCTGGGCGCCAAGGATGACCCTGGCGTTGTGGACTATGTGAAGTCACTCGAGCAAGAGAAAAAGTGCGTTTCTACCCATCCACTCGTCTGCACTTGCTGACTTTTTGATGTCAAGGGAACTTTCAGCTCGCGCAGATGCTCTGAATGACGCTCTCAGCCGCTGCAGCGAAACCAATCCAGACGTCGCCACGCATATCAATGCGCACGCCGAAGCGGAGGAGAAGCTGAAGCAGGTTACTTCAGAGTTGACCAAGTTCAAGCAGGTTTTCGGCGATCTCCAGAGTCTTCCTCCAGATACCGCCGAACTGGCTGCCCGTCTGCAGACTCAATCCGAAGAAATAGAGCGGCTACGGCTTCTGAATAAGCAATATGAACAGGTATGTTGGATGTCCCACCTCGTGCTTGAGCAGCCCTGTTGACGGTCTTCACATAGTCGGAAGCCGGTCTGTACGAGGAGATTGAGAAGTTGTCTACGGCTTGGGAGAGCTTCGATAAGCAGCTAAGCAACAAAGTCTTCGACCTCGCCAACATGGAGGAACGACTGCAGAAGAGCGTTGTCGAGGTGAGCGTCTCGTCCAACCCTTGCAAGGCACCACATTAACTCGATCCACAGAAAGCCAAGTCGGACAACAAGTACTTCTCAGCAATGCGCGAGAAAGAGGCTATTGACATGGAGCGCAAGAACCTTCAGCGTGTGTTGGAGAAGCAGGGCAAGGCGTTGGACCGCTTCGCCGAAGTCGACAAGAGCGTCAAAGCCATGCAGGATGGTCTGCAGAAGTCACTGGCAACCGCCGAGAAGGCTAAGGATGCCTGTGAAGCCCATAATCGCGAATTGCAAGCCCAACTTGCCCATGCGAAGACGTGTTTGCAATTGGAGAAGGCATCGTTGACCACTGTGAGTTTTGGTACACCGTTGGAGTTTGGAGGTAACTGACGCTGGTTTTCTAGCTGTCGACGTTAATTGCGAATCGGGATCGAGAATGGCAGGTGGCGGCGGAACGAATGAGGCGGGCTGAGGATGACTATTATAGGGCGAAGAAGCAGGCACAGCAGGAGATACAGCGTATGAAGGAGGAAGCGGCGGCTCGTGTTGTTCATAAGCATGGAAGTGGGTCGAAGGATGATGCAGAGTATCAACACCTTCGCGTAAGTCCTCTCAGTATTTGTCACCGACAGCTAGCTGAAGGATCTTTACCAGTCCTTGCTTCTCTGCTCAACGTGCGGTACCAATTTCCGATCCGTTATCATCACGAAGTGCATGCACAGTTCGTCATACTTGTTCTTCTTCGATGCGGCCTCCAGCTGACATACCCGTTTAGCGTTCTGTAAGCCCTGCGTGGAAGCGCGAATCACAACGCGACAGCGTAAATGCCCAGCGTGTAACCTGCAATTCGCGCAGTCGGACGTGTCCACATTATATATGCAATAGTGTTTGTCGATTAATGCTGGAAATGCTTTCGTTCCTTTTTATTTCCATATTCCCCGTTCATGACATGTCCGCCCTTCACTGCACACCTCATGACTCTGCCTCACCTACTACTCTCTTCAAGAGTCTCCGTTCACATATCTCTTACTTCTTTATTACTCTATTCGTTGTCCTTGTTTTTGACTCCCCGCTGCAGACCTTGACCGTTGACGATACGATACCTCATTCCTCAATCTAGCCTATTTATCTTCACGCTTTCTTTCTCTCCTCTGTTTGTTCTATCTGTTTACTGTCTGTTTCTTTGCGGTAGAAGCTCACCCACACGATTCAATATTATATAGGCATGTAATTGATAGTATCATTATCATTATGAAAGATGTAAATAGTAGAGTATGACTACCGCTTGACCCAGGTGTACTGTTCGAAGGGGAAATATCAGTATGCGACAGGGAGAATGAATGGAAAGCGGGATTGGGACGTACCCTCTTGCGAGCCTTGGCGAGACCGGTCTTCTTCCTCTCCACCATACGAGGATCACGTCTAGTAAGTTTGGCTGGAAAGAAAACTTGTGAGCAGGGGAAAGGAGGCAAGGTGTTGATACAGATGACGCACCTTTCCTGAAGAGGGTTTCGAGGTCGGGCTCGTGTGCGACGATGCCCTTGGCAATGCCATGGGCCAGAGCACCGGATTGGCCAGTAGTTCCTCCTCCACGAACGATAGCAAAGATGTTGTATTTCCCGAGAACGCCAGCAACCTTGAGGGGTCGGGTTATCCTCTCTCTGTCGGCTGGGAGGAAGAAGAATTCGTTCATGGGAATGTTGTTGACGAGGATAGTGGTGGTGGGGATGGGATTAGGCGTAGGAGTGGTCGAGGTGGAGATTTCCCCTTCGGAAGCAGCCTCGGACGGCCGAGTCTCTTCAAGAGCTGGGTGTTGGACAGGAATCATCCATACTCGAGCAGAACTCGTCTTTCGCTTTCCGACGGTATACGAACGACCATAAACGTCCAGTTCAACCTTCTTCCTTTTCCCTCGCGCAAGGTACGCATCCTTCTTCGAGCTTTCAAAGATGGACAAAATGCCCTCTAGACTCCTTGAAATCTCGGCCACGCCAGCGGTATTCGCGATCCGGTAGTAGTCGTTCAGCTCATTCAAGAGTTTGGTGACTTTGCGGTACCGTGAGAGCGTCATTTTGGTTTGGAATTCTGAAGACATCTCTTCCTTGGTTTTCCAGACTGGGTGCACAACGGGGAGGCTGGCCCGAGCAAAGGCGGGAAGCGGGAGAAGTTGGACACGTCGGAGGGCGTTTCCGGTGGATGAGATGGCTTTTTCGAGCTGGGCGACTTGGTCGTAGTACTCTGGGCGCGTGGTGTAGAAGCTGGGAGAGGCTGGTGGGACTGGGCCTCGTCGTCGTCGACCACCGGTGCTCGAGTCGGCGGAGGCGTCCCCGGCGTCACCGTGTCTGCCAGTGAAGGCTGGTTGAACGTCTTCTAACTGGGCTGGGGGCACATAAGGACGTGCAGTTGCAAAAGTCCTACGAACACAAGTTCTAAAAGGGTTCCGTAGGATGTTCATGACGCCCAGCCGCGATGCGCTGTGAGCTGGTGGAAATCGAATGTCCAGAAACAGGAAATGACGGAGGAAAAATCTCCGCGCTTGATGCTCTGGCCGTCACGTGGCAATTTAGACGCGAACAGCGCCAGCCGAAAGGCCAAGCCTCACGACCTCAAACCCCTCTTGTACATCGTCCACGACGACCAAGTCCCTAGTTCATGTGTTATCGCCACAAATATGTCGTCTAATGCGTCCAACTTCTCAGCTGCGCTTGCAACATGGCAGGGTGCGCAGTATATTGATCCACGAAACCACATATCATTAACGAACATGCAATTACAGAAATCAATCTGAGCGAGTTGCAGAAGAAGCTCGATGGCCAAGGTGTTGAGATTGTCGAGAATCAAAAGGAAGGACTGCTTGGTCGTAAAGCTCTGGCAGATAAGACCAAAGGCATGTTCCCCATGAACTAATAATGCCGCTCGGGTGGGGTCTAACTGCGCGCCATAGAATTCAGAAAGTTGCCGGACGACGAGAAACTGAATGCGTTCCGTGGACTTTTGAAGGGTGAGTTGCAATTACGTTTGAACCCCCCGGTACTCACCTCGCCCGTTAGCATACCAGGCTGAAATTGACAATATCACGAAACGATGCAAGACCTCCGACAATGCCTTCCTCAATGTCTACAAGATTCTCGCAGAAGCGCCGGACCCATACCCTCTACTCGAAGCTGCCGTCGTACGTTGGAATATTCCCCGACCTAGTGCTTCAAGTTGACAGTCGTAATAGGACCAAGCAGTGAAGGTTACCGAAGCCGTCGAGCAAGAAGCCGAATTGAAACGGTTGCGAGAGGAGAATGCGGATATGAAGAAACGAATCTCGGAATTCAGTTCATTAGAGTCCAACAAGAAGAAGCTGGAACTCAAGGTTGAGCAGATGGAGCAGAAGGTAGAGGCCCCGCACTCTCAGTGAAACACGCGTGTTAAAGCCCAGCGTCCACCCGTGTAGATGGACGACCTCGTTCAGGACAAAGTCGCTCAGAAGGTCAACGAGTTGAACGCTACCTACGACGAACGGATACGAAACTTTGAAGAGCGGTTAGTGACACTGGTTCTATGTTCCCGAGGCGAAGTTCTGAGGGGGGCTGTAGGGAACAGGATCTCCAGAAGCAACTCTCATTGGCCAAGACTCAGCTACGAGACCTGCGGGCCTCCAACGAAACTAACCAGGCCAAGTTATTTGACCAGACGCAACGGCAAGGTATGTAATCCTCACTAGCCCTTCTGGAGACCAGCTAACCTGGTCCGTGTGTAGACCAAGAGATCTTCTCCAAACTCGCCGAAGTGGACATGATCATCGCCGACTTGGACAGGGCTAATACTCGTATCGCTACTGTGGAACGTCGCAACGTATGCCCCTTCATTCCGAGTCCCCCGAAGCAAGGCTAATACTGTTCTAGGAAATCCTTCGTGCCGAGATCGAGACGTTACGTAGCGGAAACGAAACATCCGACAAGTGAGTGGCGTTCCTCATTTCATGACATCTCAGCCCTCTCATCGCAGTCCCTTTTCAGGGTCAAGACGCTGGAAACTCAGATCTCAGAACTGGAGGCGGAGAGTGAACGCTTGTCGCGGTCGTTGGAAAACCAGAAAGCACTGACGTCAGAGGTTGAGCAGAATGGTATCAGGAAAGCGAAGGAGATTACGGATGAGTTGCAGAGAAAGGCGGCTGAAGTGGAAACCCTCAAGCAACGTCTGGCGAGGCTCTCTGACTACGACGAGATCAAACGGGAATTGGAGATCATCAAGGTATGCTCCGCCTTCTTTTGGCCGGATCCTCGCCTAACACTCCCAACCCTCCCTTTCAGTACGTCGAGTTTGCGGGTCTGGACGACGAAGATGGTGATCAGGATGTACATCTTCCTGATGCCAATGCCTCGAAATCCGAGTCGCAGCACAATAAATCATTGGAGGCTCTCCTGGCAAGCAAGAATAAGCGTATCCAAGAAGAGCTGACCAAGTTCCGCGTACGCCTCGTTTCCGCTACCCTCAATCAGAATTATGATATTTACGCGAATGTATACAGATCCTTCACAACGAACTCCAGGAATCACTCAAGAACGTGGAAAACAAGCTTGACTCTACTTCAGCCGAGTTAGCGAAACAGAAAGAGTTGAATGAGAAGTTGGAGAATGATCTATTGGCGATCAACAACCCTGATGAGAAGGCTAATGGTTCGGCGAACAAGTCTGGGGATGATGATGATATTCTGGCGAATTTGGATGTTGGCAAGAAGTCGGCGGTGAGTACATTGTTCTTGTACCGCATGCAAGAGAGAGAAGAGCTGAGGGGGCCTGTTTCCAGGACAATTCAACGCGGTCGACACCCATCCCATTCGCTTCCTCAGCAGATACTTCCATCCTACCGATCGTAACGAGCCAACGCGACCGATTCAGGCAACGGAACGCCGAACTAGAAGAGGTACTATTTCTTTGCTGCCATAACAGCACTAGTAACTCAACGCCCGGATCACCAGGAACTGCGAAAGCAATACCAAACCATCTCGGAACTGCGGGCGGAAATCAAGTCCCTGCAAGCCGACAACCTAAAATTGTACGAGAAGGTTCGCTACATGCAAAGTTATCGGGAAGAAAGCGCTGGGATGAGGCCCGTTTCTCAGCTGGATCCTTTACCTGGTTCTTCGAGAGGTGGTGGAGATAGCGGATATTCATTGGAGGATGGGATGAGTAAGTACCATTCGAGGTACGAAGAGAGTGTGAATCCGTTTGAAGCGTTCCGTGGGCGGGTAAGTGTTGTCTACCTTTATTCAGTCTGATGGTGCGATCTGATGCGTCTTATGACGACAGGAACAAACGAGAGCATATCAAAACCTCAACCCACTAGAACGAACGGTGCTGCTGTTGACGAGGCCGTTAGCGGGAAGTCGACGTGCTCGGACACTCTTCATTTTCTATGCTATCTTCTTGCATGTCATGCTTATATACAAGACGTACACTTGCTCGCCGGTACCGTCAGCACACACGTATGGGTCGTAGACTTGTTTTAGATAATTGATTTTCTGTTCAAATTTCATACATGTCCCTGTTTGGTCGGTATTCCTGAGTGGATCTGCTGTATTTGAAAGTGTATCTGCTATTTTCCTAGTTGCGGTAAACCATTTCCTTTGCACGCAGGGGCCGTTTTTCTTGTTTCAAGTTGGCGAGCGCCCATTGGCAGCCGCTTAAACCAATGCCTGCCGGCTGTCACTCTTTGGTCACGTTCGGATAGCAGGTATTGGCTCTCTAGACCCCTGGAAGTTGTCGAGTCGTCACTTGCCGCTCAGGGACACTTCTCGTTTAAACTATCCATTGGCGACGCCTCGGGGCCAGGACCCGTTATCGATCCCTTCAGTATCCGAACGGCTATTCAAGCGTGAAATCCCGAAAAAGCGGTTGTTTATCTCGATCTAACTACTTCTCCTTGGACAAGGGCCACCATTATACCCTTGTCCCAGCCTCTCGATGTCATTTCTGAACGGCATGGAACGGCCCCGCGACTTTATGGCGGTCTATCGGAGCCGATAGACGCCATGAAAAGGCCATTGCAGCACGCCCTGGGCCATTTTAAGAACTAAAGCGGGACTGTAAAAGACCTTCTTATTCTATGGAAAGCATTCTTCACTCCTCGAGGGCAATCGGGAATGCTGTAGGTTGGACCTCCTACGAGTGAATAAATGACAGTGGCTCGGCGGGTCAATCGTAGTGCATTCTCCCCACTGTTTCCCCTACATCCAAGTTCTCCTCTAACTCTTCTCAGGACGGCTACAAGATGTCGAGCAGTGCTTCAGCGCAAGCTGCGAGACACGAGGCAGCAATGAAAGCAAAGAGGCAACAACTTAAAGAGCAAGAGCGAGCACGAATCGACGCAGGACTCCCTATCATTGTTCATCGAGCCGCTATGTCGAGTGCCTCAGAGCACGCTGCAAAACACGAGGCAGAGCAAGTGGAAAAGAAAAGGCGAGAAGGTCGCGGTAATAGAATCGGAACTGCGGATGCCACGACGACTCCCAAGAACAGGACCAGAAACAAACGTCCGGCGACCGATGCCCCCCCTGAACCATTGCCAATTGTCTCCGAGCTCGTCGAGTACTATGTGAGCAGTCCCATCCCTATCCTGCAGAACCCTAGATCTAACGAGGTTGAATTTGCGTATTGTCCAGAAATGCGGAGCATGCGGGTAGGTCCATCCGCCAATTAGGCGCCTTGTCCCGTGAATTCCCCATTTCGATCCTCGCGCTGATTATTTAACCTGTAGTCTGGAGGAACCGGACAAACCCATGATATGTCTGGTGTGTATACTCAAACACACCTTGTGTGAAGGCTGCATCAGACCCCACGCAGAGAGAGGTCATGGATGCATCGCCCCAGGCCACCCAAATGTGCCGTTGAGGCCGGAGTTTCTCTATCCCGCGGATGGATTACTTCAACTCGTGAGTTGCTTCCGTTGCTTTCGATTCTCCGCCTTGTTCAAGTTGAGCCCGCCGGCCCACTGACCCCCATCGATTTCGCAGGCTCTCAAAAGGGTGGTGGTCGACTGCTCCGACTGCTGGCATGAGGTGGATTTGAAGCACTATCGCATTCACAAATTATACTTCTGCAAAAAGCCTTGAGCAACGATCAAGTTTATAATTTATGGCCCTCTTTCGGCTTTCGACATAGGTTGGATCCGGAGAAGGATTTCTGCTTTTCTTCTGTTATCCTGTATCAGCGCCACTGGCCCCATAGCCACAGACAAATCGAGTAGTTCTCAGAGCCTCAGTCGTACCTGTGGACATGCATTTTGGGCCCAAGGTATCGGGTGCCACCGCTTTCAAGATTGGATGTATTTAGACCCCCAACAAGCCCGTCTATTTCAGTGGTAGTGACAAAAAAGAGGATGTGAGGAATGAACAAAGGTGTAAAAATGGTGTCCTTGAGAAAGTCGGGAACGAAATATCTTGAACTCTCCTCTGGAGGGCATCGAGGTTTCTTGGGGAGAATTCTCCAGAGATTTCGGCGAGAATTCGGCATGGGGGGAAAATGATGGCGAGGAGACATCCGGGCCACCCGGAGTCGAAGCCAAGGGCAGCGGATTTGCTTCCGCAAAGTTCTAACCCGGTGGCCACTCAGATTTTATTAGTACCTCGCATATCCTTTGTAATGAGTCTTGGATTTAGTCCTTGTACTCATAGGGCAGCATGCGCTTCTGTAGGAAGTTCCAACTTCGGTAATTTATCTCTGCACATTTACGTAGCACCCTCATCGAGCGAGAATCCGTTTTCCAAGTTCCTCAAGTTAAAGCCAATACTGAATCTATACACGAGGAGCTAGACAACGTTGCACCTAATTCTCTGGGAATAATTGGGATTGTTATATTCTGCTTTGGTGTGCATACGAGAAGGCAAATCAATCTCGAGCGTCAAACTTGAGGCGGACTCTTGGTCAGCCGAAGCCGCGGGACAAATCGGCACAGCTGGCTTGAACGCGTTGCGCAACACTTTGTCTCGGCGGATCAATTTTGATGATCAAAGAACCCCACCCCTTGAAGAAATGGTCGGTTCAATATTCAATACGGTCAATTGTGTCTGGCGACGAACCCTCAGGCTCAAGGCTCGGACCTGGATCATCTTCCTCTATAACCTCGAAGACAGTTATTACAGTAGATTTACGGCAGATTGAACTGGACTTGTAAGTCACCAGCGCCGGCAGCACCCAACACAACAGAGTAAAGTGACTGCAAAGAAGGCGTGCAAAAAGGAGAGACTAGTTGAGCGCCACTCAGTAAGACTGTCTAAGAGCTACCTCCCTCTTCGTGCAGCCATAGCAGCCTCTCTATTCCGATGAAACGTCAACGCATGGTTCACAGCATCCATCACCGGTTTCATGGCCTATTCGTCCCCCAAAGTCAGCAGTGCAGGACATCGAGAAACAACAAAGTACTTGCATTCTCAATCTTACTCCCATCGATCCCATGTTGCTGCGCAACCTGCACAAGCGCATGCACCTTTTCGTGCGTCTTGCCCAGATACCCAATCATTTTCTGCGCTTTGGTCGCTCGCTGAGCCGGTGTCGGGACCGCTAGACCAGGCAGCTGGTCGCTTGGAGGAGGAAAGGTAGAGGACCAGTATTGTCGTAGGAATTCGTTGGCCGCGGTTTGGCAGGTGATCATCTGGCGGAAGAGGCCATCCGGAATGTCGTCTGTGAATGTGTCGTGAGTACAGGAATGCGAGAGCGAGAGTTGTAATGTACTTTTCCGCGATCGCACGTCTAACCGTGCAGCGACGTTCTGTGTCATGGATATGAGAGCAGAATCACCTCCTTTTCGCTCGATCTTCAACTGGAATGAGATATGTCAGTGGAAGTCCGTTCACAATCTCAATGCACCAACCTGGTTCAACCCCTTCTCCCAATCCACCAGTGCTAATCGCGCTTCTCGCTTGGTTTCGACAGGATTAAGCTGAAAAAATGCATATCCGCGAATTAAGTGAGATTCCTACGATGGCAAAAAATCGCCAAACCGACCTTCAAGCTCGAATCCTTCTGCTGGTTCCCTATCGTTCCCTCGAAATACCGCTGTCGGTCCTGCATGTCCAGTACAATTCCGTCTGACACTTCCGAGCCCCGCAAGTCCTCAATCTCGATCTGTGAGTAGGCCTGTGAAATTGCTATCAGTAAGTGACGATGACAAGAGCAAGGGTCTTACCTCGCCGTTATCGAGTCTTCTCCGTTTTGAAGGAGATATATCGCCTCTGGGGTGGTTTGTTGACTATGTAAGTCTTGCGACGCCACCAAGTGACTCACAATGCAGAGTTCAACAGCCTCTCTGAGTGCTCATTGAACTTTCGAATCAATGGGATTGCTCCTTTTTGTTTTCCTGCCTGCATTGTAATGTCTTTCTCCACCGTAGGTTCCCCATGATCTGCGTGCGTGGCGCCAAGATCCAAGAAGATTTCTGGTCGCTCATCCCGTTGCCGTCGGGGTTCAATGCCTGTGAGAGGGAATGAGCCCGGAATTCAGGAAGATTGACTCGAGAACGCACCGTCATCCGGATCTTCGAGGTACTGGTCAAAAATAGCATCATCCTTGACGACGTGCTGAGTGGCAGAGGACCGAATAGACGCCCGGTGCGAATTGAACAGCTTGGATTGAAAATAACGTTGCCAGAACTGTTCCTCTGTCAGCTGAGGATAGGAATCAGAAACCTGCAGAGTAAGAAGACGTTCGGCATACATTGTTGGGGACGTTCTCGTTATATGCTTTTGCAACAACCGGATATTCGTCAAAGATATCGGCGATTAATTGTTTGGTAATTATAATCTTGATCTCTCCTCCGTCAACGGTCTCTGGACGTGGATCTACGAGTGTGCCGGGTTTTCCTTTGCGCTGGTTCTCTACTGCCTGCTGAGCTAGCAGAAGGTGCTACAATGAAGCATGTTAAACCGCAGGTCAAGGCGTGTTAATAGGTATGACTCGAACCTCCCGCCCATCCCAGAATTCGGCTTCGGACATTTGGCCAGTCATGACAAGCTCCTGGTGAAGCTGGGCGAGGTCGGGGTTGCTCGTGAGGACTCTCTTTCGCAGTCGAAAGTCAGCGGCGGGGTCATTGGCGACAATGGTTGGTGTAGCTCTGTCGCTGGACACGGACTGGGCTCGAGACGGAACAGCCGATGGCCTCGCCGTCTGCGGTCTTGGTATCCCATTTGGCGTGGGGGTTTGAGGTGCTGAACCCGCTGGCGTCGACTGGGGCAAGTCGGCATTGGCCTTGTTGCGGGCAATGATAGTTGTAAGTTCGGTCTTAAACCGTTCGCGTTCTTGGTACGCGACTGATTGGGGCTGATTTGTGAACGCAAAGGTGTGGCCATTCGGATTGTTTACGAGGACAATCTTGAGCCTGACTTGTTCTGCACCCTCTTTGCTGGAGAAAAGGGCTAATTGAAAGGAGAGAAAACGGTCAAGGTCGCTGTGCAAAGTGGATGGGTTCACTCACAGGCGGCTTCAGCGTGGGCGACGCGTATTGCAGGCTGTTTTTTGCCATCCTGGGTCCATTGTAAATGGGTATCTGTGAGCTCTAGCAAGCCAGGTAACTTTTTGTACGAGGCTTTGGCTGTGCACACGGTGGTCGGCATTCGTCTTTCATTGTCTCCCACCGAAACCAGCTTGGCCCTTTGGCCCGGCCACCTCCCGGCATCATTTGTTTGGCCCAACGCCCTTGCCAAACAATCTAGACGGTCCTCGCCATATGGGTTCCCTGCAATCTGCTGCGTCTATCGTCTACAAAATGCGCGATCCTCTGTTTCAAAGCCTCGAATATACTCCCTGTTCACTCAGAAGGTTGCGGTAACCTTTCCCGGAGAAATTAGCCATTTTTCTCAATTGGGAAGCTTATGTCAGCACAGATAAGATTTCCTCGACCAAAGCTTCAAGTCGAAATGAAAAGTGCTTAAACTTTTCCCGTCACCTCATCTTGCGACAATGGAGCCCGTTGACAAGCAACTCATCGTCTTCGACTTTGACTGGTACGACTCCCCGATTTCTCGTAACAGAAACCAACAATACCCATCGGTGAATGGCCCAACAGGTCTATGGCAGATCAGGACAGCGACCGATATGTCTTCGAAGTCGTAGCCCCAGATCTCCGTCGCAAGATGAAAGGTCTCAAAGATCAAATTCAGTGGACAGATCTAGTGTGCGTATCTTAACAGCCCTTTAACCACCATGTCGTTTCAATATTTATAACCAACCTGTCAACAGTGCTCAAACGTTGGCGGAAGCCCATGGTCGCGGTATCACTAGAGCTCAGATCGAACATGCTCTTAAAATCATGCCTTTCGTAAGGATCACCCTCCTCTTTGCGATCCCTGGCATGTATCTCATCGCAGCTCTCTTGTCCGTTTCACTATAGCACCCTGCCATGGCGCGTGCCGTTGACAAGCTCAAGAAAGCTGGATATACCGACTTTTTGTGCCTTTCCAACGCCAATTCCATCTTCATCTCCACCATTTTGGAGGTACGTGGCTGGCGCTCTCAAACTCCGCGTCGCATCCGTTCTAACCCGCAATGTAACAGGACAAGAAGCTCACTCACATCTTCAGTGAGATCATCACCAACCCTGCTGAATGGGACGGTGAACTCTTGAGGTTGAGGCGCCGTGTTGACCCAGAGGGACCTCAACACTCCTGCACCGTCGGGTGCAGTCCCAACATGTGCAAGGGCGAAGAACTCGAAGCGTTCCTTGCAAGACATGGGAAAGAATTCGACCGAATCGTTTATGTCGGTGACGGAAGCAACGACTTCTGCCCCATCCTTCGCTTGCGAGAGTAAGTCGCCCGTTCTGCTATCGCCCCTCTACTTCCTTCCGTCTTCCCGGAAAACTGCGTCCTTTGAGTTTCCCTTTCCTGACATCAACGTTTTGTTGGTGATCCTCGGCTTCTGCAACTGCGTCCGACCATGGATTGACATGAACACGGGCTGACCACATCTCTTCAACCAGGCAAGACCTCGTCCTTTGCCGATCCCATCGCGGTCTCCAGCGCCGTATTGACAAGGAGGGCGCTGAGAAGGGTTTGAAGGCCAAGATCCAATACTGGGCCGGTGCTTGGGAAGTCGAAGAGATTTTCGCCACTCTCTAGACACTAGAGTCGCACCTCGACCGGAATAGAAAAGAGACCAATGTCATATACCAATTAACAACTAGTAAGTCTATCGTAATCCCGCGCCCCCAACGAATGCGTTCCATATCTTGACGACACTTTCTCTTTCCAGTCTATCTACTAAATACCTATGTACAACGTTGGAAGAAACGGAGACGATATTGAGGCTTCAACGCCACAGCTATCCCGGATTTAACAGCAACTAGACCGTATACGGGATTTGGTCGTCTGTACTGACTGATGTGGCGTATCTAGTCATGGCGTCACGCGGAAGGAACTGCAACATGCCATTGCTTTCGTTATCTAATACCGACAGTGGGACATACTTGAGCCAAGGTCGGACTGTATTGTCAAAATTCGTCGTTGACAATGGCGGCGGCAAGGGACATGTAACTCAGCGTCGACCCAAGGGAGACAGCATCCTCGGCATTCGGACATGCTTCACAGGCTCAAGGGGCAAGTACTGTTACGCTTTCTTAAAACAGCATGGACAGACCCCACCATTCACTTTAATTGTAAGGCGAGTCAGCGTTCTCAACAAAGAATCTGTAAGAAGATGGATATCAAGCGAGAAAAGAAAACAATAGAAACGCAGACAGTATCAAGAGGAGAGAATCATCTGGAACAAGTCAATGCACACGGCGAATCTAGTAAAGAAGTCAGTCAGGAGGAGGGAGGCGGGCACATTAGAAAAACAGAGGACAGGCATCATAGAAGAGAAAGGAAAGAGAAAGAGGTTGCTATGCAATTTGCAAGGAAATATTCATCGCGAGTCGTGCATGGAGACAAGGGAGACAGGATGCGGGTGTCTGTTCTTGCAAATTTCCAGTAGCGATTAGAAGGACGAGAGGAAGAGATATGAAGAAGGAAAGAGAAACGTCGCGAGATGAGGGAGGGGGGAGCCTGAGGGAGATATGTACATGCATGTATGAAAACAACACATCGCACATTGGGCGAAAGGTAGTACATGAACACCGAGATGCGCGGGGTGGCCGTTGAACCAATGGAGATGTGAACTGGGTCGGTTTACAAGTCCAATCGGGAAAAGGGGCATGACGAGGGGAGAGAGGGGACAAGGGTTCATGTCGTACGCAAAGTGGAGTATTAGTGTGCAACAATCGCGAAGGGAGATGGCGAAGAAGGAAAGGAAGGCGGGTCAACATGTCGAGGGTAATGAAATAAATTGCATACGATGGAGGCAGAATGTCCGCGCCGACGAGTCCGACGACACGCAAAGCTGAAGAGAAAGGGAGGTGGGTTGGCTAGATCGCAAGTTTACAGACGGAACGAGGGGATCAACTTGCGGACCCAGAAAATGCCCCAAGGTGTGTTCAATTGACAACGGAATTGGAAGCAAACAAATGTCCGGAAAGCAGTGTTGGGTCAGATGTGCGGGCGAGAATAGTGATAGCGTTGGGCGATCAGTCGGAAGAAAAATATATAATAAAAAGGCAAGGCAGCAGCCTCTACAGAAGAAGAAAAAACAACACGGGTGCGAGGTAGGAAAAGAGATAAAATGGAAAACAACAAGTCCGACGAGGACAAGAATAAAGGATCGCAAAATCGCGCACAGAGCACAATCAATCACCGCTGCCGCATTCGCTCGACCCCAAACCCCCGCCCAACGGACGCCACCAAAAGAACTTTCCGTCCATATCCCCATCCATCCCCTTCACAATGCTTAGGCGACTTATCGGGGCCAGTTGCGGTTGTCCTTAGGTTGACCCATAGACTGCTGCGCGTTCTCCTGCACGTTGAACGGGTTCCTCTGTTGTTGGGATCCTGAAGGAACGATCGAAGGTCCGTAGAACGATGTCGGAACCGGCGGTCCAGCCGGAGGAGCGTGCCTGTTCGTCGAAGTCGAAGCAGGATAGCCTTGGTACTGATCCGGCTGCATAGGCACGTACATCCCGATATCCGTCCGCCGATCTACCGTGTCGAACGAGTTGGAAGATGCTGGCGGTGGCGGGTGCTGTGGTTGCCCATAGCTTGTCGTGTACCGACTTCCTGCCGCGGTGTTACCGGAGTAAGCTTGTGGTGGACTCGTAATGAGGTTTCCAGTGCTCCCGCTGTATGAGCCAAGCCCCGATTGCTGGTCGGTTCGTGCACCACCACCAGCAGCTGCGCGAACATTGGACATCACCACATCCCTCCTAGAGGTATTCCCGTTCTCATCGTCAACCATAATCGTATGAGGTTGGTACGAGTGTTGCAACTTTGACGGTTGCGCCGGGTACCTTGTATGAGGACCACTCGCCCAGTTGGCCAAGCCAGACGCAGCTACGATCTCCGCCTGCTGCTGCAGGTACTCCAATTGCGGGTACGGTTGAGCAGCAGGAGGTTTGCCAGATTGGCGTCGCTCCCATTCTTTCATGGCGTCATCACGGTTCAAGACCGGCGTCAATGCATTTCGTCCACCGATTATGTCTTGGTTCATGTGTTGCAGTCGAGCGAGAGCAGGTGGAATGGTATCCATCTGGTTGATCGTGTTGGCCCGAGCGCGAGAATTGGGGTAGTAAGAACCAGACGACACATTCGGGTTTAGATGCGAAGACGAGAGGTTTGTGGCGGACGAATGGGAGGGATATTGTGACCCAGATGCTCCAGAACCCAATTGATTCGCAGAGTTCGCGTGTGCAAGGGCACGGTGAGCAGTTTGTGCCGCTCCACTTCCATACTGGCCGGAGAGATGCTGTGACTGAGACTGTTGCTGTTGCGACTGAGGGTGGTACGGGTCCGCAGGAGGGTTTGTATAGGTCGTTTGTGCTACAGGGGGTTGGGATGGTGGCTGTTGTTGATGTTGTTGCTGCGATTGCTGTTGCTGAGCCGGTGGATTGATGTACGGGTTTCGGAAAGTGTTCGCAGCCTGCGACGCCTGCTGGGCGGTATATGCCTGGTGCTGAGCGAGATGATGGTTGTAAGTGGCCGCGTCCTGATAAGCCCGCGTGCCCTTCGGCTGAGACGGAACGAGACCGCCGTATGGACGCTTGGGATCGGGGGTGTTCGGGGACGAAGAAGAAGAGGGTTGTGAAGGTGCCAGACCTTCGGGCTACACAAGAACATCAACAAGAGACACCCCAAACGCCACGGAAGCACGTACGACGAAGGGTTTTGTAAACTTTTCTCCGGTGATGAATGGGTGGAGTCGCGCTTGCTGTGGAGTCCATCGTGTCACAGGGTTCAGATCCAAGAGGCCTTTGCAGAAGTCGATGAACGCAGCACGGTTATTGAGTTCTAGCAAAGGAATATGTTAATCAATGTGATCCCATGGGGTACATGTGCCTAGAAGGACTCGCCTTTCTCAATCTCATGCTGTGACCTTGACGACTTGGAAGATGGCATGGGCGCCGTATTGATTAGTTCGGGTAACGATGTAGCCTTGAAATATTGCTTCCCGGGCTGCTCGTTGGTGTTGTGTTCCCTCGAATACTGCTCGATGGACTTGAGGCGATATTTCTTCTCGTGTTGGCCCGTTTGGGGGTTATAGACATCGAAAGAGTCGAAGAACTGACTGGTTTGCTTGCCGCTATTGAGCATGCTCAAAGGAGGCATCCTGACGAATGGTCTTTAGCAAGACAACGTGACCTGTAGTAGAGGAAACCCACCCTAGCATCTCAATTATCCTCGTTAGCTGGTTGTACTCGCTGGTACCAGGGAAAAGAGGTAGACCAAGGAATAGCTCGACGGCAATGCAGCCCAATGACCACATGTCGATAGCTGCCGTGTAAGGCATTCCCAAAAGGACTTCAGGTGAGCGATAGAATCGCGACTGAATGTAGGTGTAGACTGTTTGCCGTTCATGACACGCAGAACCGAAGTCGATAACTTTGATTTGAGGAGATTGAAGGCTAGGACAGTATTCAACATCGTGGTATCTCGAAGATAAGAATGGAATGGCGTACGATTTCAATAGGATGTTTTCAGGCTTCAAATCGCAGTGTATCAACCGTGCCTCTTTCAATACGGTCAAGGCGTCGAGAAGCTGGGCCATGAAGACCTTGACAAGTTGCGTACTCAGACCCTGGAATTGATTCTGCTTGATCAACTCGTAAAGGTTGGACGACAGAAGCTCAAAGACGAGGCACAGGTGACTTCGATGGATGAATGAATCGCGAAGTCGAAGAAGGTGGTGTTCGTCGTTTGGATCGCAGGTTTTGTTAAGCTTATAGAACCGGTCAGCGAAGCTCGGGTGCGAAATCCGACTCAACTCACCATCTCTAGGATCGTGACCTCCATCATACTCTGGTTAAAGTACGCGGGCTTGTTCTTGATCACTTTCACGGCGACAATCTCGTGTGTCTTCATGTTCTGGCATTTCACCACCTGGCCGAACGTTCCTTGACCGAGAATATCAAGGATAAGGTATCTGCGTTGAAAAAGGTGCGTTAATGAGGGCCATTAGTTGGAGATAAACGCACGCACTTGTGGCCCTCTTCAGTACCCAGCCAATCATTGACGTAGAGAATGTAATCATAATCCTCGTTGTCGTACCCTTCATTGTGAACGGGTTTGCTCGGCTTGGTGAGAACCCGTCTGGGGTTATGAGCCGATTCATAGCGATAGCTGGGGTTGCAAATCCGGTATGTCTCGACGATGTTTGTAGTGAGTTGCCGCAAAGGCTATACAAAGGAGGGGCAGTGAGTACACACGCATGGAAGCGCAACGTAGGGAAGACTTGCCGAAAGATAGGTTCCGTCACTCCCCATTCGACGACCCCCAGGGTTAGCCTCTACACGGGGCTGGAGATCATGCAACGTCCGCACGCGGCGGAACCCTGATGCACGCCTTTTAGGAGGCGGGTCCACCATCATCGACTGGTCCTGGGGGTAATAATGAGAACCTGGGCCATGCATGTACGACATTGGCGTTGGCGGATTGGAGATCGACTGCTTAGGTGGAGCATGAGCAGCCAAGTGTGATGGCGTCTGTACAATGGAAGGGGTGGTCGATACATCCATGGGATAAGACTTCGAGCTATTGCTTACTTGGTGGGACTGATTCTGGGGTGCATAAGGGCTTGCTATAGGGGGTGTCGCTTGCTCTTGCTTGACCTGGGAGTTGCTGCGACCGTGGGTCTGATAACCAGTCGATTGTGGGGGACCAGGACCGTACGAGTACGTTGCTGTTGTCGGAGAGTATTGCGATTGCTGTTGAGCGTAAGCGTCTATGAGTCCCGTTGAATTGGTAGGATTGGCGGCTCGGTGTGGCGATCGACCGGCGGCACGGTTGGGATCTTGGATTCTCTTTGGTGGTTGACTGGCTGAACCATTGTAGTAGAGATCTGAGTAGGAATCGGATGTTGAGCCTGCTGTCGTGCCAGATGAAACGTTCCCTGTCATCGATGGTGACTGATACCCAACACTGGGGTTGTAAAACGTGTTTTGGGAGAGTTGGGGTTGCTGACGGGGTCCCGATAGTCCTTGGTTGTCAGTATTGTAGGCTTCCAAATCGTCCGGTTGATTATGGCGCCTGACAAGGCGCGAAGCCAGGTTACTTGCGCTGGTACCTCCAAGGGATGCACTGCGGGACAATGGGGCCTGGTTTGAGGGTGTATACTGGTTGGATGGCGGGCTTAATGAGTGTTCCTGCTCGAGCAACTGAGAAATTCGTGGCTGCCTGGTTGAAGAACCTGTGTGGCTCTGGTGGACTGGCTGGATGCGTTGGGGTGACGATCCGGACATGGAATGCTGTGAAGGCGGCGGTGGGCCATAAAGGTAGGGAGTTGCCTGGGCTGCAGGCTCGACATGGGTCTGCCAACGAGGAAGGTCGAACGACGATTCGTTAGAGTCTTGCATGTAGTCGGCTTGGGACATATTCCTGCGAAAGGTGGCGGTTCAGCGGCAAAAGGCGCGAGCAGGAGTCCGCAGTCACGACGACTCCAGCGCCCGACACCGTAATTTGTGTTCACAAAGGATCAAGAGCGTTGGAGACGGCGACGGCGAAGGTGAGCGGAGCGTTGTGGTCGATGATCAAGGACCAAAGCTGTCGTTTGGGACAGCTTGGAACTGGCTTGACTCCGCTACGGCAGTTGGCGATGCAAGAGCTCACGCTTGGCTGATTTTCAATTCGCGACTTGGTTTCATCTATTATCTTTTGTACCCTACAACTATACAAATAATCCGTGCGCAATCGATAGCGATTTGTTCAACAAAACAGTCCTCTCTTCTCGGCCAGCTTCCATGTGACTCGACCAGAAATATAGAGCCGCCGCCGTCAACCGTGCTACTTCTCGAGCTCCTTCAACGTCTCCACGATTCCGCGTTCAGCTTCTAGCACAAGTTCTGGTCCCTGGCCAAACCCAACTACAGATGCAGGCAGATCAACGGACAGGAATATCTGTTTCTGAAACCGCTTCGCTGCACATCAATGAAGCTTAGCACTTGATAACCCGATAATCCAGGATCCCATACCTAGCCTTTGCGCCATCGGGAAGGCGTTATCCGAGCTAGCAGATCGGAAAAGAGACGTCGCATTTGCTCCCATTCCAGGCTGATTGCCACAGAAAACCGGGGTGCATCGGGAGAGGGAGGTCAAACATCGGGCAAATGTCGTCCCTTGGAATCAGCGACCACCCACGGCGAAGGAGAATTGACGTACAGCTCTTGGGGGCATCGCAACAGCCCAGTCTTTGCATAGACTTCCCTGTTTTACAGCTTGCTCTTTACTTTCAGCTGTACCATCATGGACCCCGATCCAAAGCATGTACGACCCTACAAGCCTCGTCACCTGCAGAACGAGCGACGGCAAGGTCGGTTTTCTGGACTCCAGGAAGATTGTCGATACAGAAACTCCTTGTTCTGCCGGCTCTGCCATTTCGCGTCGCGTCAGTGAATGCACAACCTGGTTGTCAGCATCTGCGGCTTGCTTCCTAATGATTCTCACTTGTCACACGGTGATCCATGTCCTAATTCCGTGCTTCACCTTATGCCCTCTGCCCATCCTCTGCGACTATAACGCCTTTCGGGGACAACGAGGAGCTTGAGTGAACCTTCCTGTTTGAAAATGGTTCGAAATAAAATGTATCGATGCGTATCCAGAACTTGGACTACCAACCGTCATTACCCTGCTACCGAGGCTGGAAACCATGGTGAAGGTCCGTGTCTTTTCAGCAGATCATTGCCATGGAAAGACAAGCGCCAGGTATGTCAAGTTCTCGGGACAGCGTCCTTCGTCGTTCCTCACCGCCCTTGTTTGCGTTTGTTTTATTCCAAGGACACAGTGATCGGTCCCTAAACATGTTGTAGGCGACTCTGGGTTGCCCGAAACATGAGCTGAATTGAACATTACCCCTGGGCCTTTGCCGTCACACATCTGAACATGCAGAACGCAGGAATCTCGTTCAGTAGCTGCTCCCCGGCGGCTCCAGACGGCGTCGTGCGCTGTTTCAAGCATGGACTTCCTGCTTCTCTCAGAACAAGCAAGACTGCGACAAATCCCAACAGGTAACGATCCGCTTTGGCTTAGACCAGACACTACGGGAGTTGAAAATCGCTGCAGAAAGTTCTTCTGCTGCTCGCTTCCCATGGAACACCAAGACCGCTGCAACTTCTGGTGTGAGTGCTCGGTCCCACTGCCATCCGAATTCGTTAATGAGCCCCTAATTAAAACGCGATTTTGACGTTTAGACTGGCAAGACGAGTTGCTCCCGGCCATCTCCCAGCATGGGCCCCAAGTGAACAACTCGCCGACTCAGCCGACCCAACAACTTGCCTCCCCCGCCATGAGCGAGAAACGCCATTGTCATCCAGACCCGGCCTATGAGACCCCTTCACAGAAACGCAAAAGAATCATTGAAGAAACGTTATCGGGGAAAATGGACAGGTCAGTAATATATTCACGTAACTAGGTCCCGTTAGGAAGACACCTCCAGGACATGTACCATCATTTCCATGGAACGTCGAAGGACATCCGTCTTCCTGTTGCCTTGCTGGAGTTCAATCCACACCGTTATCTGAACATTTCGCTGATTGTAAAACATGTTTCGTCAACAGTTCGCCAACTTCTCCCGACATGAATCAGCGGCATGCAAGCAGCACTTCAACAGTCCCAAGTTCTTCTTTCCAGCCACCATCTACACCAGTCAGACAGTCGCGAAGTTCTGGAGATAAGCTTCAGCGATTCAGCAGCGGCACCACAACATTGGACACAAAAGGCAGGGCTTCTGTGTCCGATGGAGACTTCGGAGAAGACGAGTGGGACATGCTCACTCCTCCGCCGTCTGATCCCCCTCGTAGCCAGGCTGAAGGCCACCATCATGGCCGCTCTGTCTTCGCGGATGGTGGCTCTTCCCCGTCTCCTCTTCCGAGAACAACAGGAAAGAGGCCGAGTACTATGTCTTCTTCCCAGACCCTTCTGAAGTGGGAGGACCCTCTCCCTAGTAGCTCGGTGAGCACGTCCACTCTTCCTCGAGTATATTCGCTTGCTGATCATAGTCTCCATACCATGCATGCTACCATAACCCCTGTCCACAAAAAATGTTGCTTGCGTCCACATGGAACTTTTACGGGTACAGAACCTGGACGAACCTTATGAGCACTCAAATGTGTCGAAGAAACTGGATTTTAGCCAACCTGCTCACTTCACATCTCAATTTCTTTCTGATGAGCTCGATGCTTCGATGTCGGAGGCATTTGCCTACGAACAATTGGCTCAATGCGCTCATATATTCGACCCACGGTTGCAGCATGTGCTCAAAGACCTGCCACACAGGCTGGAGGAATTCAAGAAATCTGAACGAAAACGGATTGCGGCGGAAAAGAGCGCAGAGGCGAAAGCGAGGAGGATTGCAGCACTGGAACGAGAAGTGGACGAGTACGTACCTGATCTTCTGAGCAACGGTTCCATTCCATTCCAAATGCTTCGTAATCCGACATGATAAGGAAGCTGAACTGACCTTTTTTGTTCCTCTTCTTTGACAGATTGAAGTCGTTGGTGCAGAGACTGGAATCTGCGAAGAGCCGTCCGAGCGTCCAGGAGTAAACTCGCCAAGCGAAATAACAGAACAACGTTTGCTTCTTGGGCTTGTCGTTATTAAAGCGCCTGGGGCGCTTCGAGGCGTATCATAAGCTCCAGTGGTTGTATTATTATCGGTGTATATGCGATGGACTTCTTTGGGTCGTATCTTCGTACGCTGTTAACCGTCAGGTGAAAAAACCTTTCTATTTAGTCCTAGCCTCAGCTCTTCGAGGGCCGTGATCCCGGGTATTGGAGCGTCGGGGCTGACAATACGGTCGATTCCTGACAATTCCTACCGCGTTGATTGCCAGGATATCGATCTCCAGTCTTTTCACCGGAATTCAGCGGGCTCCAGACGCACAATAAGGAGGCCAGTACGCATGCAGAGGCCACCTTATGCAATCTCGATGGGTCGAAAAGCTCTCTCGGAAATACGCTGACGGTGTTTTTGCCGGAATCAACGGCAGGTGGTACGAGGACCTCTTGATCCATCTCCTTTGGCAAGTAATCCCGCTCGAAGAGTTTCAAAATCGCAGAGCAATCACCCATCTTTCTCCGCATTGTCCTCCTGATATAGAGCCGTGAATCACAATCACAGTGTGGATGCAAAAAAGCCTAAAGCAAAAAAATTGTATGGGTTGAATGTGCAATGTGAGCAGGGAAGCTTTTGGTACGGAGATAATAGTAGGCTCGGAGGCCCTCGACCTGATTGACAGAGTGAAGGAATCGAAAGAAGTCGTTCTAAGCAAGCAAGTCGAATTCATGGAAATAGAACTCGCGGATGAAGTTTGGCTGTCTTGCGGACCTTCATTCCTTACCGTATATGAGGCTTAACACTACACGAAGGCAAGAGAAAATACGATACGATACAGCTCGACGAGGCTCTCGAATCCAACTGAGGCCAAGACTCGGCACGTCGAAGAACCAGCATGGGGTTTAAATTCAGGGAAAAGGGGGGTTTCCAGCACAATTTCGGAATTTATGCATACCCACATTTTCTTCCTTCGCTTGCCTTTCCTTGACTCATACATCGAGAACAGGGTCCATCCCAGTGCTCAATTCCATCCATCCCAGACGAGGTGGAGATGGTCACGGTCAAATCCCAAGCCTTGGCGATATCCCGACTTGCCAAAAAGAGTACAAGGGCACTGCCGGCGCCTTTTTCAAATCGGCGAATTGGTCGTAAGGGTAACCTTTTCCATCCATGATCTCCGGGGCTGAAGGGGTCGTTTTCCAAGTTGTCTTTCTGATCGCGATGAAGCATGGAGGAGGGGATCCAGATTGCGATACGTAGGCAAGCAGCTTACATATGTACATTCTTTGCAAGTTGAAATTCAGCTTGGTTGATTCGGAGGGATTTTTGCATTCGTGCAAAGACTCTGGTGCTTTCTGCGAGCTCTCTGCTGGGAGTCTACACTGTAATCTGCGCGTTGCCTGGTTGATAAGGACTCTTCCGGCATTGTTCGCGATGTTGAAGGGTGCCTGCTTCATGGCTGCCACGCGAGCCCACGCGACCGACGGTTCTCAAATCTCGACTCCCAATTGTAGTTTAGCGCGAACATTTCAATTCATCCGTGTCCTGTTCGGGGTGGATCGCCTTGGGAGACGGCGGCCTGAGCAATGAGCATCATCCGGGTGACATAAACGCCCCAAGTAACGATCAAGATGAGAAAGCTTTCAATTCGTAAAGAAACGAATAATAGAGGGCACTGCGCACTCATGACGATGAAGATGAAGGGAGGAGATTGGCAGGGTCTTCCAAGGGGCTTGGTAACCAAGATTTCGATGTCAAAAACAAGTCGATATTGGAACTGGGCTAGGCGCCCGACGGGAAACCAGGTTACCGCGGTTGACTGTATCTGAAGAGTCAGAAGTGGAAACACGAACTTGAATCCCATTGTCGGGCCCGATGTATTGCAGAAAATACCATTCCGCTCGGAATGGCTGAGCACAGAAAGCGATTTGGGGCGTTTGCCGGCGAATACTACGCGCTTGGGCGCTGAGTGAGCGTTGCTCGGTATGGGCCCGGTGTTTGATCAATTCTAATATCCAGGAGGGCTCGAGCGCAAACGTGGCTGGCTGCCGACTGACCGAGTTTCCTTCGCCCCCACCGGTGTTCTACTACAAGCTGACTTTACTGAGAAAAAAGCGGGGGCTCTCCATCCGTGTTCACGGTGCTGTTAACAAGATCGTCATTTTTACTGGTAAAACCCGTATATGCACCGAGTGGTTTTGGTCGTCGGAAGTCTCCAGAGGCTCAGTCAAGAGGCCAAGGGTCCTCTCGGCCATAGTAGGCCATAGTACTACTCACCCAATCTCTCAACTGCGCGTTCCTGTAAAACAGTTCTAACGGTGCCAAAAATACTTCGTAAATCCTCCACAACGCTTCTCCTTATCTCCAGGTACCTAACAACCTGTCTATGGTGACATTTCGACCATTCTTGTACGCCATTACACGGAGTGAACGAAACCACTTCAAACTCCTTCGACCTCCACCAATTGAATACATTGCTCGAACAGGAAATACTTTATGGGGGTTTCCACGACTTCATGGCGATTAGCCCCATGTCATCAGTCAGCCTCGTTGGCGGGTGTCATGACTGTGTCATGCCATGTGGTCGAAGGAGTGGAGATCTGTGAGCTCTCCTCCGCCGCGTACCTTACTTACGGCTCCAACGGTGGCTCAAACGCCTCCCAAACTACCATCAGCCATTTGATCACCCCGCAGAGGAGGGGTGCGCTAAGCGGCCCCGTGAGATGATCGTGTTCCATGGTTGGAAGCGCCTTACCTCCCCCACAGAAGGTCGTTGAAGGCCCAGTAAGCGCACGGCCGAATCCCGACGAAGCCAGAATCCCCATCAGCAATCGTCCGACCTCCCTCTCCACATTCTGTCGGGGAAGAGCCATACGCGTCAAGCGGAAACAAGTTTCACTGAAACATCTGTGCACGGAGGAAGATCTATTTACAGGGTTGTTTGCGGGGTAAGGGCGATGTAGTCACACTAATAGTCACAGTTACTGGGAAAGAGAGCTACAAATCCGTCCATTCCAGCTCTCGGAAACAAAACGAAAAAAGGAAAACAAAATACTGGGGGTAATTCCACCAGCCGATCGTGTAATCGTCAAGGCAGGAACCAATGTTGCGAGGAGCACCCAGCTTCTAATTCTACAGCACTTTTGACGGTGAGTGGGGAAAAGAAGCAAGGCTTTCAGCCACTATCAGCGAATTGTGTGTGGCAGACGGCGTGGAAGGATTACTGCCCGCACAAGAACCAATCGACATACCGACAGGTTAATAGCTAGCGTACAGAGTCCTTTAGCGTGTTGCGATATGCAGTATTGTCACTTACTTGACTTGACTTCGACGGTCCGGAGGAGAACTAGAACGCAATTCAATGTCAAGACCCAGAAAGTTGGAAGCAAACTCAAAAACCCTCTTCCTACAAGCAACCTAGGCGCCTCGAGACACCAATACAAATGGGAGATAAGAAATTCCTGTTTGAGATGATTGTCCTAACTTGTACAATGGGTAGATAATTGGAAACTGCAAAGATTTCGAAAAAATACAAAAAGGATTCGGAAATGACAAACCACGAGCTGAATGTGGGGTATGAACATTGAATAGCGTCCGAAGAGATGATAGATAGTTTCAGTCTCAACAGAAGATGCGGCATCGTAATGTGTCAATGCCCGAGTTCGAATGTGAATCGAGAAGTAGCGCTATGTGTCTGTCCCGATAATAAGAAGGTTGGGAGTGGACTCTAGCAACTGAATAGCCGTTTCCACCAGAGAACAAACCGTGTCCACCAGCTCCCATCCCAGCCGTCACTTCGAGGCTTTGAGCTTACCCACATAGAGCCCGTTCCGAAGTGTATTTGCTTCCCTTCCAACGAGTCGTCTTCTCCTTCTTCTATGTCTGGTTGTCGCGAAGGTTGTACAGGAAACCGAGGTAAAGGACGCCGTGACACAAACGAAGGGAATAGCTTGAGGAGCTCCAGGAGCTCGGGGTCCGTTAGGTCAGGGGAAGTCCAGATGCGCATGTACTCCTCTTGGTCAGGATCGTCCAACTCGTCGTCGCCTGCAAAGGGACTTCTACAACGGTCTACGGGAGAAGTAGCCGCGTAGGAAGCAGGCGCGTCTCCGGGAAGGTGTGATGAGGATGAGGGTATGGTGCGGGAGGGTGGGGTATCTAAAAAGGGATCACTAGGTGCTCGAGCTCGCTTCGGTTGTACTGTCGCGGTGTGGGGAAGGTTCTGATGAGAAGGTAGAGGTTGTGATTGCGAGCGAGCGTGAAGTGGGGAAAGACTGCCATCTTTGGGATAACTATTCAGCGAGGGTATCTTGGATGAAGGGATTTCTTGGAAAGCAAGAACCTGGAACGAAGATAAGCCAGCTGTTCACGGTTAGTTGGTGGAAAGTACCGACTCCTTTCAGAACGTCAATGGCTTCTAACATGAAGTCTTTCCCTCTGGTAGAAAGACGCCGAAGACAGGTATTAGGAACTCGATGTTTTCAGTCTAATGATCACGAAGACGTACGCGGCTTCTTTGAATACGGCATCGTCGAATTCCCATTCGATTCTATTCCTACCCGCCCCGCCCAGATTCTCAGGAATGACTTGTAAACGCATTACAGCCCACAGCCTATAAATCGGTGTGAGCTCCTCCGAAGATGACATGATGTTGATGATGACATACGCTTCAAAAAAGGGTTTTGTCCCAGGCATCCCTGTGGTACACCAATTCCTGATAAACCGTTCGAAACGCTCGTAACGTTCTTGAAAATGGCCACATTAAGAGCAAGTCAAAGCGGAACGTAAATGGAACACACCTTTCTGGGCAGCAGCACCACGAGGATCTGCCCTAGCATGAGCCATCAAAGAGGCGCCGGGCTGTGTAGCAGACAAGTGAGCTTGAAACTCTGCATGGCGACGCTTGTTGACCGAGCGATGATATGCTGATCGTATTGAGGCTTGAACTCTGGAGAAAGAGGCTTTCTGTGATGGAGGTAGAGTCGCGAGTGTTTGCGTCATAAGGGTGCCCGCCTTATCGTCCTGGTGGAAATACCTAATCACCACCTAAATTCAGCACCCTCCAAGGCCGGTGAGTATTTAAGATTGTGACAGAAAGCGTACCATGCCCGACAGTACTCCGCGAAGCGCTCCAACTCGCTAGGAGCGAAACCCAGGGGAGTGGTCGACCGCATGCGACCACTCGGAGGAGGCGTCGGCCTCCCGCTTCTTGCTGACATAGGGTGTCCATGAAACGAAGGTGATGTAGGAGAGACGATGCGACCCGACTTGGGGCTCGTCGGGGGAGTGGGAGAAGGGAGATCGTAAAGGAGGGTTTGTGAGGAATCTTGGTTGACGTTGGACAAAATCGTGGTCGTGGATCTATACGAGGTAGAATCGTCGAAACGTAGGGGCGCTGGGGGCGGTCGTGGTCGAGGGTTGTGCATTCGATACGAGCCAGACATTGTTGAGTGCGGTATAACCAGCAGATACCAATACTACATAGGCGAATTGGAATCCACTGGGGTTGTTACCGGACCCTAATCCTGTGGTATAGTTGGTCGTCCGTGGTCGTTGCCAGATAGAATCTCCCAGATTCACGGCTTCCAATCCCAAGTTCCTCGATAACAGCCCCAACCCAGAGTCCTCGCGGTCTCGCAAGAAAGAGTAAGTGGATGAACCAAGACGAAAACGAGGTCGATGCGGGGGACTCAGGCCACTGCTACACGTGACCTGAAATCACTTAGCCGAACGGCTTGGAGGCTTGGACTTGTTACTCTCGTACCACCACGATCTTCGAGAACTGCCCTTCTTCTCAACTTTACTTTTCTCGAACCTCGCTTTATCCTTGGGTGACTCTCGCTCTCGCTTCTGCTAGGGACTGTGCGGGTAAATGGCCAGGAAAAAAGTGGGGTCCTGCGGTCTCAGATACACCCAAACGGTCCAAATTGAAACCGGTAGTTGATCACCAAGGCCAAGAGCCCGCCTGAACACCCAAACCGCCCATCTTCCGTCGTCTACGATGGAATCGGCCATCCTCCTCGCCAGACTTTGGTTATCCAGCTCCGTCTAGCATTTAGAAACATGCGTATGTCACCACCACCCTAGAAATGAGCTGACGCTTCTCATCTCATCACCGTGCTTTGGGAGAGCCTATGTACGAACAAAAGGCCGCCGTCTCACTTGCTTATCTTTGTCGCCCTAACCCTGGATATGATTGCCATCCTGCCAATTTAAATATAGCTCAAGTCGATTCTACCGCACCTCGTTCAAAGGAAAGTATGAATTCAATTGTCACTTGATTCTTCTACACATTAGGTGCTTACGGCGTCTGAAATGGAACCCAGCGAGTTCACCGATCAGTTTTCCATTCCAAATCAGTCGTTTTGAAACTTATTCTGCTGTGTGCCTAACCTTCCTCCATGGTTTCCTCGTTATCAACATCTACAATTCTATCTTTTACTCTGTGGCAACCCTTCACCCTGTCGATCCCTGCCTTTTGCCTTCCCGGCGGCGGTCGAAACTCAGGAACTCGTCACCTGGCTGCCATCCAACGTGTTAAGCTCTGTCAATGTCGTCGTTCCTGTCTTTGTTGGTGTGTACCTGCCTCTGTTGCTGACACCCGTCCATGCACACGCTTCCGGAGCGGAATAATTAACGTTCTAGGAGATTGTGGCAAATCAGAAACACGCAACCCTTCGCGATCTTTTAACTGGAGAAACCGTCGTGGCTCCTGTCAGCGTTACCATCGCCATCCGGTCTCCGCCTTTGAACCAGATATGCGGAGGCTTCCGCTGCTTTCCTCAAGGCCCGACATCTGGAAGAGACAAGGACTAGACTGTGGTGGAGCCTGCACGCCGACTCGGATAGCTGCGGCGGCCCACCCTCCAGATGTTTGAACCTCTTCCTCGGGATCTCGGGCTATTACTGCGACGCGTATCTGGACCTCGAATACTTGTAACGGCCATTGCCGCCTCCACTGTGCTGGGTCTTTTCCCCTTGCTCTGTGTTTCTGTGCTTGAACAGGCAGAGACACCACCTCAGGTGATTCCAATCCATTAAATCCCATCAGCAACGTTTCCGCTTGGATCCTGGAACTCGGAGCGGGCCTGGAAGTGCTCTTAGTCTATCTATGAACGGTTGGAACATGTATGTGCCATGGTGGTGTTCTTTTCATCCTCAGCTACCTGTGATTGATTTTCTGCCATCCTCTTTGACACCTTGCCCCACCTACTTAACAAATAGTTGGACTCGGAGGTTCTTGTCAAAACTGAGATGCCTGTCTGTCTCCGGCTCCTTCCTCCCGTTATCCAAAGTATGTATACAAGGCCATTCTTTTGTTCAACCCATTCTGTGATCTAAATCCACTCTCTTGTCTTTCCGCATCACGTTAGTCCGTCCTGATTATCACAGTACTTACCGCGCACGCAATAGCGGAAGGAGTCTGCCAAAGTGGAAGTTGACTTTGAACTTCCAATGATATTCGTTTGTTGGACATTGAAACTGGCACGTTTTTCGGCTCCTGGTCCGCAGGGGCTGTGAGTAGGTTAGGGTTTTTTGTCCGGCACGGCATTTCGTTCCTTGGAAAGGTTCAGGGAGTGATTGGATATAGGCTGTGGGTTTTGGTGTGGGATTGGTTGTGGCTGTTTATGTTAGCCCTGACGAAATGGACGGATGACGATCTTTCCGACAGACTTGAAGGGTCTCCGACGACCCTTGCTCTGGCGCTGGTATGAACGGTTCCTGGCCATCCAGACTTTGAGGAACTCTGAGGTATCTCAAAGTGGGTACAGGTCCCTGGTCGCTGTCATTCCAGCCATTGTGTAACTTCTGTGACTTGCCCACCCTGTAGATGACCCGTACGCGTGCGATCGTCGGTACGGTCGGCCGGAATCCAGCTTTTCAAGCAGAATTCCGAAAAACGAGGTCACAATACAATTCAGTCTATTCTCTCCTTGCTCGCTTCGTCGCGACTCGTACACGGTCCGCCCGCGGTCGTTTCAGGTTCGGATTCAGGGCAGGAAACCATATGCTTTGCAGTTACGATCAAAAGAAGCAGGATTCTTTTTCTCTTCTGTGTTGATCGCCTGAGACTTGGGGTGAGAGTGTAGGCGTTTGACGTTGTTATTTTTGTTGTTTGGCGGTTGTTGGGAGAACTGTGTCGTGTGTGTGTAGCTGGATTGTGATCGTGTTATTTCCCTGGAGATGGACATGTCGGGACGCGGAGTCTGTTGTCAGAGTCGGGTTTCGGGGTGTTTGTGGATGAAGGGAAGCGGAGGGCGACGGAAGTAGACGAAGCCCTTCGTAGTCGGACGACTAGGAAGAGAAGAGGGTTGGCAGTTTTAGTTGTACTGCTACTAGAACTTGAGATGCTCTACTAGTAACCTGCGAAGGTTAAAGTGAGCTCGTTCTTGTTCTCGCTCTCGTCTTCGTTCAATTCAATTCGCTCTCTTTAAGGGTGCTTTCTTCCACTTCAGCCTCCGCCTGTTCCTTCATGTTGCTAGTGCAGATCATTTGACCGTAACCTACGTACACAACGACTTGAAAGGTGGTGTTGAAACCCAGGGCCACTGGCAGCTCGATGAGTTACAGAGGTGATGGTTGCATACGACCGACACGACCGACTGTAACCGATAGATCATCCTCCCTCCGTCCGACGCACTCTCTTAAGAGCTCGTCGGGCTTTCAACGAGTCAAAAGCCCCATGGGTGGAGTAAGTAAGTCATAGTATGGAGGGTATTGATCCCAAGTGCTTTCCAGCTATGATCACGATCATTGTACGAATCGGAAATAATCCTAATCACAAAACGTCCTTTAAACCACCGAGGGGGAGGGCTTCTGATTAGAAACATTTTCCCCTCCCCCGCCTGCGGGTTTTTTTTCCGAGTCGATGTGTCGATTTCTTCTCCAAGTTCTTGAACAGCATCTTGGCGGGGTGCGAACTTTGCTATGTGAGTGGTTGCTTGAATGAGTCCATCTGCTGTTGAAAGATACCGAGTGCGAGTAGGAGAGTTTATGTTGAGGTACTTATCGAGTAGTGACTGAATTGGGAGGTATGTCAGGAGTGTGCAGGTTAAGAAGTTGTAGTATATGTCACCGGGGAAGTTGTGAATAATGTAGACTGTGGCCGTAGTGTTTGGCTTAACGCCGGAGCCGCCGGTTGGATTGCGTATTCTTCTCGTTCTTCTACTTGCCTTGGAAGGAAACCTCTCTCCGGAGCTGTCAAGCGCAATAATCCAGTTAGCGCCCTCGAGATGAATCTACCTATCTAATTCCTTTGATTCCTAACCTCGAGGATCTAGTCTTTCGGCCATCTTTCAAACTTAAAACAGTCACGATATGCGCAGATTAGCCGGGGGCAAGGGTAAATGCGTCTGTTAGATGGAGATTGAGATGAGATGGAGTTGACAATGACAGTGACAATTATCGTGATCGACCTTGAGGTGTTGCATGTCGAGTTTGTCATCTCCATCCAAGAGATAGACTTATCGAGGTAGGATAGTGGGTGGTAGAGCGCTAGGTAAGGAGATTATGAACTTTAATTAACACCTCGAGACTCGAGAGCCTTTTGTTCGACGGCTCTGGGGGTCGAGGTGATTGCAGGTGAGCCGGGTAGGGCATCAGTTTAATTCATTCTAATCGTCAAGTCGTGAAATGTTACCTTCCACTTGTGATCACCTCATGCGACTATCATATCACGTTGTCGACAGGCCATTTGAATGGCTAGCCTAACAGTGCCAGTTAATTTACAGGGCAAACACGGGTGCGGCGCTCTGAATACACATGTAGTATACTATTACAGCGGTCAACGAAGCAAACATAGGCACCTGAGCAGCCGCGTGTCCGCGAAGTCGGTGAAGACGAGGGGGTAAAGTAAATGAAGTATGGACCATACGGAGACCCACTCTGATGTATTTGGAATAGAAGATGAAGCCTAAGACTATCATATCACTTGCATTCTACTTTTGCTTGGAAGACTGGACGGTTTGTCCAAGTACTATGCTTGTGGTGCTGTTAGTTAGGGGTAAGGCGAGATCACGAGTGTGCTGCCGCCGCTCTAGGACGTCTGTTTCTTCGGCTTGATGCTTATTTAGGTTTGGCCCTGACCACGCTATTGAGCATGGTCACGATGGACATGCTATAAGCACGGATAAGCCAATCAGAAAGGCCGACTTGTCGAGAAGAAGCATTGGGAGCTCCATGGTCAAGTGCAAACCTACCGCTATCTACATTAGATTATGAGTTCGCCGTATGACTCGCAGGAGAGGGGAAAAAGTGGGTGTATGGTTTCGTAAAGTGAAGAGGTAAGGCATCTCAGTGGCGGCTGAAGAAGCTATTGGGTTGTTGACCTTCTGACCCATAGGGCGCCTAGGAGGAGGGGGGCGGCGCGCAGTCCGTGGGCGGGGGAAAAAGGGTCCGCTGTCCCAGTGACCCCAGAGCCAAGAGCCATCACATTAGACGCTGATTGAAAGAACATTCGGTCCTTTCGATAATTCGCGACAAATAGCGAGAGACTCTGAGCAGCAAGTAACATTGCTGGGATATTTTCGGTATTCTACGGTGTATAAACGAAGCGAGGGAAAAAATGGCGAGAAATACGGACACGGGGGGAGGAAGGAGTTATGAAAATCGAAAGAGGGAGGGGTCGGACAAATGGAGGAGGGCCGGACGGAGTTTGCCGAGAGGTGATTCGGGGGGGTTGGTGGTGCGATGAGATCTTGATGCAACAAAGACCGAGCGTTGCACGAGGGACGGGTGGTGGCCAATCGGGCGGTGTTGTGAAGGATTCGTACCAGGCAAATCTGTGAATCTGTGATGCGAATTGGGGGGTGGGTTGGAGAGAGATCGCACATATCCGCGGTGATCTCTCTGGAATATCCTAAAGCGTAACTGGAGGCAGAAACCGAATAATTTCTTAAATAGCAGATTGGAAAAGTTGTGTTGCCCACCATCGACCCTCCACGACGATTGGACGACTGTTGGGTGCTCGGTAAGTGGTGGTGTCTATGTCTGTATGTTTCAGCGAACTCTAACATGAGTCGGCATGTTCCGACGGGATCAGAGTTATAAACATCCCCGCCTCGACGCTCTCTGTGCAGGACGCTCTCTCTTGACCAAGCCCGACGCGTGTGTGAGACAACGATGGCGTCCCTCGACTTTGCGTCTGCACCTCCCCCCGCCCAGCACAGCCTCTATCCACAGCCTTCTGACCTCGATGGAGCCAACTTTAATCTGCCACACTCGGAGACCGTTGGTGTCTTCCCTCCGTTGCGCACAGACTTCCCTGCTGACACTAAATACCGCCAGTCGGACCAACTCGACACTCCAGACACTCACCAGAACTACGACCTCTTCCCAAACCAGCAGCAACACTTTTCCTCCCAGCGCTACCGCACAAACGCTTCCTCCTCTTCCTCCCTCGGCCATCCCTACGCCATGAACTCGGACAACGGCCTCTACTCCCACTCCGGCTTCGCCGACTCGGTCCCCTCCTTCGGCAGCTCTAACAGCAACCCCTACGACATGATCAACACCTACAGCAGTGGCAAGGTCTCCCCCCTCACTCCTAGCGACCCCGTCGGCGGCCTCCACCACGGCCCATTCCCGCCCTCCGTCCCGTCCAAGGACTTTTCGCCGTCCACCTACCAGGACATGGGCGATCGTCGTCTCGGGATGAATGGCAATGGCTACCAGAACGACTACCAGGACGACTACTCTATCAACGGCATGAACAACGGCCTCGCTTTCCCCCAGTCCATGCCCCAGTTCCCTGACCGTCTCGGTCGATACCCAAATGACCGCTTCAGCCATCCCCAGGGCCAGCAGCAGGTCCAGTCACACATCTCCCCGGCCCAGAGCACAGACATGATGAGGGGAATCCCTCCACATGCTACCCATTCATTCGACAGAGACCCATCTGCAGGCTACGACTCGATGCACTACATGAATCCCAATCCTCACCAGGACATGTCCCTCCGTATGTCCACCGCAGTGGACGAGACCTTGGCCCGGATGAAATTACAAGCCCCTCCAATTGGTACATCAAGCGACCTCCAGACGTTTATCCGGTAACTAGTTTCTCCGTGCTCGGATATTGGAATCGAGCTAACCGTATCTCAATCCCCAGTCCATTCCTTGAGCAGTATGTCCGAACACCAAATCGCCTTGCATTCGGTGAAAGAACGATCATCGTCATGTCAAGCAAAGTCGCTCAGAAGTCTTACGGTACCGAGAAGCGGTTCGTACACTTTTTGCACCCCTCTTTTTCTCCCCCTTCTCACATCTGCTCTAAATTAGATTTTTGTGCCCGCCTCCCACCGCAATTATGATCGGCAACTCATGGTGGAGTGAATCCACAAGACGCGGCGAAGAACCAAAGCTCGCGCCGCCTCGAGTCGTCGTTTCGATTTCTGGAGAGCCCGCTCCACAAGAGTGTTCCATCGAATGGACCAGCTCTTCTGGCAAATCCTTCGATGTCACCGACCCTCCTTCTGGAACCACCTATCTAGGCCGCTGCGTGGGCAAGCAACTCTTCATCTCTGACGTAGATGAAAAGAAGAAAAAAGTTGAGGCCTTGGTCAAGGTCACCGCCCCTGCCTCGGATGACGAGCCAGAGCGTATCATTGGTGTCTTCCCCAGTCGCCCAATCAAGGTCATTAGCAAGCCTTCCAAAAAGCGACAGAGTGCTAAAAATCTTGAGCGTATGTTGACTCCGTCTTTTTGATTGGACTGTGGGGCTGAGTAAATCTTTTCTAGTTTGCATCAACCATGGCTCGACCATCTCCCTGTTCCACCGCCTCCGATCGCAGACAGTCTCCACCAAGTACCTCTGCGTGTCTGGATCGAATTCTTCGTTCAAGGGCTCGGATGGCGCTCCACTTATGGGCCTCGATCAACGATCAAGGCAATCCACCCCCTCGTTTATCGCTCGAACTGCCTCCTGGGGTAAGTCAATTTTGACATTCGTGATTGACCAAGTCAAACTGACCACTCAAACCATAAAGACCCCTTTATCATGTATATCGTTGATGTGAACAAACCCGGCGGTGGTTTGGACGTCCCACCGCCACCTCCCCCTCAACCCGACTATCCCTCCCCTCCCCCCAACGCCATCCCCTTCACGAACAACGGCTCTCAAATTCCGATTTACTACAATCAAACCGTTGTCTTACAATGCCTCACGTCAGGCGTCGTCAGCCCCGTCCTCATCATTCGTAAAGTCGATCGCCAGACGACCGTCGTCGGTGGCGGCTTGCAAGAGGGTGCCAAGGGTATCGCCGATCACTACTGCGTTCCAGGCGAAGTCTGCGGTGATCCCGTATCCCAGCTGCACAAAATCGCCTTTGAGGTGTACGACCCCAACAAGGGACTGCCAGAACCCGGTACCCCTGGCGTGTCAGGCGCCTTCTTGTCCTGCATGGGTGAAAAGGTCAATACCTACCGACCGATCGAGGGTCGAATTTGGAATACCAATGTCGCCAACAACAATGGATCCAGTTCGCCAGTTCTGCCCGGCTCTCCGATGTCCCCAACCAACGGCTCAGCGTCGGCCGAATACTTTGGCCAAGCCACTGGTGCTAATGAGAGCGAGCCCGCCTCTCCGTCGTCGGCTGAGTTCCTGTCGAACGATGGCGGCAGGGTGAAGAAGAAGCGCTCGACGTCGAGTGCGGGTGGGCTGAGCAAGGCGGTTGGAGGAAAGGGTCGTCGACGACCTAGCTCTGCTGGCTCTGTGTCCTCTCGTCGTGGGTCAGGAAGCGACTCTGGTGCCTCGAGTGGTGCACTCTGGCAAGTCGACATTGGTGAGACGAGCGTGTGGACCATTGTTGGAACGGGTAAGTTGCACCTCCCACTGGTCATGGTTGATGTTTTCTAACAATGCCTTTGTAGACCAAATCCGTTACAACTTCTACGTCCCTCCCGTCCTCTTCGACAACCAGCACGCCCAACCCAGCTCACTCGGTGCCTTCCCCATCCCCTCCAAGCAGGTCACGCCCTTCCCTGGCGTTGTCAAGTACCTCCCGCCCGACCGCGCGTCCGAGGCTCCCAAATCCAACTGCGCCCAATCCCGCGCTGTGCTCGCCAAACCCAACCCCCATGCCGCCAAACTCCTCACTGTGTATGGCGAGAACTTCTCAAAGACGGATCCCGTACATGTGTTCTTTGGGTCGGAGCCGTCGCCGTACGTGGAGGTTCGGTGCACGGAGGTGCTAGGCTGCTTGCCACCTGAAAGTGGACATAACAACAAGCGACGACCGATTATTCTCTTGCGTTCGGATGGAGTGGTGTTCCCTTCGAACGTTATGTATCCTTAGACGCTCTCATCATACTTCTACATACCCTTCGTTGCTCGACACCGTTGTACAACCTATCGCCGCCTTCTTCCTCGCTATGGTCGGCCCTTTCGTTTTGTATCATTTTCACTCCTTGTGTGTATTCGCTTGCTTCGAATCTGCTTTGATGATATATGGCCACTCTTGTATCATTCGCTCCCTTTCTTTCGTCTTTCGCACTATTACTACTAACAACGCCCACTGCTAACCCACATCTACCCCCTTTTCTCTGTTTCAATACCTTCCAATTGCTGCCCTTAGTTGTATCTGTACACTCTTCGGTCTTTTACTATCTCTTCCTTGCTCGACAAAAGACTATATGTAGCCCTTTATCTCCCTTTATCTCTTCGGTTTCGATAACTTAACTGGCGATATATACCCCCGTCTATTCACTTACTCTCTGTTTCTCTTTCTGACGTGTTGGTCTTTTGTGTTACCCCATCTCCACTTCTTACTTTGTCATTTTCTCTGCATAGATGTAAAAAAAAATGGAACACTTGGAAGGATTTTTCTCTCTGCTCAAACGATATAGACAGCAGTGCGACTTGGCGTTGAACGGGTACTGTCCCCGCGAGGGGTAGAGGACATGGACTACTGCTTGTGGACACTGGGGTATGTGCAGGGTGCAATTCAATCCCGATTTCCATAGCGCTTACGCTCGTGAAGCGAATACCGACTCGAGTACAACCACCGTGATCTGGGTTTTACGCTTTGAACCCAAGGCGGTCCACGTTTACATACACAACTCTTGACTTCGAAGAATCATTCGAATAGAACACGAATGGTTTTTGCTTACCGTACTTGCCACCCAGCTGACCATACACATCCCTCGTAAGACGCAATCCCAAAATCGTAGACTCATCTCAATCAGCTATAGAAAGTATCCTCTAAGGAGCAGTAATTAACGTAACACCCACTCCAGGCCCTCCTTCTGCTGTGGTACGTTAGGTCATTCAAAAACCCTTTACACTGTTATCAATCACGGCTTTTATTGTGTTGATTTTTTTTTCTGTTGGTTTTACACCGAGATATTTCCTTTGGACTGTTGTGCCAATGTATCGGATAGGAGTTGGCTTCTTTGGCGGGCTGGGGGAGCTTTTATAGTCTCCGCTACGGGATACCTGGAGACTACTCGTATGTGTATTGTGTTAGCGCTGGATGTCCAGGTGGTGTTCCGTGAGGATTCAAAGAATTGAATGTAAATCGATGCGGAATCTGGGCCTTGTTGGAGTTCGAGTACCTGTACGTACCGGTTCTCGTATGTGCTACTAGTAAGCCCGACCTACTGAATTACCCCGCGCACTGAGAGGTTGTCCTCCCGCATAATGATCATGCGTCGACTGGCTTGCGTCCCGTGGTACGCTGTAGGCGCGCACCCCTATTTTTGATGTGTAGACCCCCCATCTCCCAAAGGCTATTTCGAGATCGAAGCAAGGCAGGGTAACGTCACGACATCCCTACTCTCTTACCTATCTTTAGGAATACAGCCTGTTCTCCCGACACTTCTGCAAATATTCTCGAAAGAGTGCGCCACCGTGCGCAGTAGCGGATTCTTAACCTAAAAACAGATGGTCGTCCCTCCTTTTCCTTTCGTTCGAGAAAAGAACCAAGGAACGCGAGCGGAACATAGCAAACGTCGAGCGAAGAGAAAACGAGGGTGCATCCGTGCACGGCGACCTAGGCGCTGTTGCACCAAAGAGCTGGGAAGAAGGTGTCGGAGTCGGAGTTCGACACGGGCAGAGCGAAAACGCTTGACGGTTCCATCATAGTGGCGCAATGGCCATGGAGGATATGGGCCGATCGAACGAATACTCTCGTGGCGGAAGGACAGCCGAGGGGATGTATGGATTGCCAATGTGGATTGCGCTGACGCCAGGTTGCTGGAGTCTGGGACATCACAGTAACAAAACATATGTTAGTTCTCTTGTCATCCTGTGCGTGGTTACCCTATCCTGACCAGGCTTTGACCGACCGACTGGCCCCTTGACTGAATTGCATACTTTTGGAAAGGCGTTTAAGAGCATCCGCCGCCGATAAGATAAGCAAAGAAGCTTTTCAAAGGGGAAGGAGTGTTCTTGGACATGGAGCCTTTTGTCGGTAGGGGTGTGATGGGATATTGGAACGGTAGGTACGTAGATTACCGTACTCGATTCGGTGTGGCCGCGTTGGAAATGAAAGAAGCACGGAAGAGTGGGTTGTAGAGTGGAGAAATGCAAAGCGGGATGGGGCTGGGCGGCTCTTCAACAACGCTTCTCTGCAGCTCTCTAAACCACCTGGCTCCCGTCCTCTATTCTAAGATGGGATCAGAAAGGATTGTAAAGATAAATAGGGAAATGCGAGTACGTTACATGCCTGAGCACGCCATGTCGGAATTCGGGATCCTGTCATCAATCCAAAGAACGGGCCTCATCGAAGCGCGCTGCTACAGTCACCGAAATCAATACGGGCGAATGTAATATTTGTGGTTCCTAGACTCCCATACCACCTGATTCCAAAAGGTTAAGTACTGTTCGCGGAACTCGAGAAGGAAAACGTACCGTCAAACGTGGAAGGCCAAACGCCGGCGAGATTGCCTATTGTATGTCAGTTTGGAAAGAAGGGTCCGGCCTTGGACATCCATTACTACTACTCCCTTGGTTGCCTCTGCTGTTTAGAATCTTCTCCCGAGTCGGTGCCCGATGTCTAGGAGGCCGTATGTAGCACTGTAGGATTTCAGATCGATAGAGCCATGAGCTTTATTAGGAAAAGCCAAGCGACGATAACGAGTTCAAGACCTGTTTTTGGCAACGCACAAGACATCGCGTCTGCCAGGAGGCTTTATGTCGTTCACATTTTTCCGCCTGTTATTTTCAAAAGCCCTGCAGCCCTGAGCACCAATCGTCGCTTTGAACAGTTCCAGGGACCGAATGGATCGCAGAGCGCTCTGTGGGGATTCTGAAGACATGAGAACAAAGTGGCACCGGTGCCAGGATCCTGCGGATACATCAACAAAGCATCACCAGTGGATGCTGTAGGTGTTGCCCCAGATTGTCGCGCGTTTATGTTATCTTCGGAAGAGAGCGAGCATGCCCTGGATTTCTCATACCATCGGCGAACGGAGAAAACGCGTGGCCGTCGTGTACTCGGGACCAAGTGGCTGCTTTGGGCGCATGTTTAGAACAATACGAGTATAGATAAGGTCGAGATAGGCGATAATAAGCATAGACAGAGCACACGCAGTTCTGGCATCCCGTCAGAGAATCGCTTCTGTCGCCCTAAAGACACGGCCAGGGTTGCAGATGCATTGAATGGATTTCTGGTGGTGAAAGTTGACAGCAGGATCGGAAATTAAAGATTTTGAGTTGCCGCCGGCTCCGACGCGTGCCGTCACGTGGACATCATGGCATCACAACCTCTCCCGCCCCGGAAGCAGGCGTGCAACAAGGCCGCCAAGTTTGGCGCAATGTGTTGCATGTAACTCCAAGTTGTCCTTCTTCCACCACCACCCTCCTGGCGTATGTCGCCCTTTCTTTGTCTAGTGTAATTGTCTAACGGCTGAAATAGGTCCTAAGGCGTCCGTTACAATGAACGTAACGCAGTACATATCCGAGGTGACCTCGCAGGTTACCCAAACGTCACCCAGTGCCTATCCTGGACTTGTATGGACCTACTATATCCGATACCTCTGGAACTACGAACCCGAATCATGGGTGGCACGCATAGCCTACTTCTTTAGGGTGTTTGCTATCCTCCTCAGCCTCCCAACTCTGCTCTTGGGACTGCTGGTGCGTCCAATGGCCCTTATCCGCAAGTTCCTTGTGATTTATGAAACCTCGTTCTTGCAGGATATCGTGTCTTACGGCATTGCTCGCACACTGGGAGTTATCGACGATGTAAAGGCCTCGACGAGCGACAAGGCTACTGTCCATATCGTCGAGAATGCACCATCGATTCGCGTAGAAGACACGGATTCATTGGCAGGCGGAGACTCGCTAAATCAAACCCCACCTTCAAAGCCATCCGAGTTCTTCGCCACGGACAACAACGTCAATCTATCTGGCGTCGATGTTCTTTCTCCAGCTGCTTCAAGACCGCCGTCTCCCACTATCACCCGAAAATCCCTCCAGCCGGACAGGCAGCCACCGGTCATCGCGGATTCGTTGGAAGAGCCCAGAAACCTTCGACAACGTCACCTTCGAAATCAAGTTGGCAATTCGTCATAATGTGCGTATGTATGGGTATCATCACAAGTGAAAGCAAAAAAATATACTATATTACAATGGGAGTAATGTTGTACAAAGAGTCCAATAGAGAAATTAGAAACCGAAACGCAGCTGATCCCTCGTGAATACGGGTGGCTTCCAGCGGAGGCATTCTGGGTGAATCCTCCGCTTTCGCTTTGCCTTGGACTTGTTGTACTTTTCCAAGACAGCATTATTAAGGCAAATGGCGTGACCTCCTTTGTAGTGCTTGAAGAGCTGGAGTGTTGTACACCTAAAAGAAGGTTCTTGAGAAACGAGAAAGACGTGGAGAGGTGAAAATGACATACGTATTCATGATATCAGCGTGCGTGATAGAGGTCTTGTGGGCGATCTCGTCAATGCTCAATTCACCCTCTGGCGTGCTGAGGAGAAGGTCGATGATGGCCTCTGCCCAGTAGGCACGGTAACCGAGAAGACCCAAGTCAGACAGTGGTTTCTCGGGGCTGCCCAGTTTCCCTTCCTTCTTGCTGAGCTCGTAGGAGAATTCGATGAGCAGCTTGCCATAACCGTGACGCTGGTGTTGAGGCAGCGTAAGAATACAGGCAACGTTGTAGTTCTCGGCAGATTCCTTCTCCTTCGAAAAGTAGCCGATGATATGACAACCCGAAGAGTCTCGCTTGACCTGCGAAGTGATCAACGATATGCTACCGTAAGGCCTAACGAGCGCAGCTTACCATGACGTAGTAGAGGAAAGGTGTCACGTCGTAGTACAAGGTTTTGCTTGAAGGGGTCATCAGCACAAAGCAGACATCACAAGGCAAAGACCACTGACTGGTCAAGGAAACATTTCGAAAGCAAACTCAGATTCCTACACCACGTCAACTGCCTCTTCCCGTCGATTTCGTAGAACGATATGTCTTCGTGTCGATATATTTCATTCCCGGGGGGATGTAGCATAGTACAGCGTTGCCGATGTCGCGAGAACATCATGGGGCTGGGGAAGAAGGATAGACAAAACTCGCAGATGTAAAGGACGGGGAGGTGGGCGTATTCTTTCGGATATGGACTGAAGTACCAGGCATCCACTTCGTGTTTGCCTATCTGCAGTCGGTTGAGGTTCTTGACACGGGCAATCTCCGAGATAGACTGTGTCATTGAACCGGAAGTTCGGAGCTTCTCGATTTCCTGTTCTTTGCTGAAAGAGGACAGAGGAGGTGCGTCGGGTACCGGTTCTTGAAGACTGAGGTCAAAGGTAATATCCCCTTCGTTGTCCACATCCATTTCTCCCTCAGCATCGTCCTCTCCTTCAGCATCCTCTTCTTCCTCTTCTTCCTCCTGGCTCGGCGAGAATTTCCGTTTGAGGGACGTAGGTGTTGGTGAAGGGGATGGATAGTCAACCGGGGTTGCAGAGGGAGTAGAGGGAGCTGGCGTCGGCGAAGCGGCCTTTGTAGCGTTGGCCGTCGCTTTCTTCAACAAGCTCTGTGCTTTAGGCAGTTTCCCCGGCTTCTTGGAAGGAGTGGCGGCCTTTTTGGGAGCAGCGGGAGCTTTGGGTCGCGGCCATTCAAGGTCGCGAGAGAGAACCAGACGTGAACCAGAGACCCATTCATCTAGACGCTTGTTGAAGTGTTCCCAGTGAACGAAGAACTCGCGTTGGTCCTCCGGTTTGGGTGTGCCCTCCTCCTCCTTGGTTGTACCGCGGGTAGCCCGCCTGGCATAGGGGTTATTAGGCTTGTCTCGAATGGAGAGAATTTCCGCCAGACGCTCTTCTTCTGTTCCATCTGGCCCAGGACGGCGAATATAGATTTTGCAGCCTACAGAGACGCTCTATGCGAGAAAAAGGGTGCTAAGCGAGGTTGACTTTTGCTGTGTGAAATGAAACTGCGCACCTGCAGCGAATATGTGCCGCCAGCAGAGACAGGTGGCGGTGGAGCGTCCGCTGGCACAGGGGTCCCCGAAACCATTTTTCCGCAAGTTCAGCGACGAAGTAGTCGGTGTCCGAGGTGGCCTTTGCTAGCCACAGTGTGTTGGTAGAATTCAAGAGATTTTAGGCAGGGCGCTGCGATTCTGCGCAGCCCTTTGTGCACCGGCTTTTGATGACTCGACAAGGAGACAAGAACGCAGACTGAATCACGTAAGCAGAAATTTCCAATCTTGGCGCATTGGGCGTCATGTTGCTGAACGCTCACCAAAACCGACTTGAAAAGTCTCGATGGACGATGGTCTGGTCCTGAATTTGGCTGTGGATGATGTCGCGCCATCCAAGAGACCGGCAGGCTCGCAGAAAGGAGGGAAATGGACTGATAGGTGAGTCTATATTTGCAATCTTCCTTACCTTGTGGCTTATTTCGCTCCGAGTTTTATAGATTAAAAGCCAAACGAACGGCGAAGCGAAAGGCTTCGACTCGTGAAAAGGCATCCGTCACGAATGCTGCCTCGGAGGACTCGAATCCGAGACCAGTCAAGAGACCAAGAACTGAGCCAGTAACGGCAACGACCTCGAACAAACCCTCGGCACCGGCCAAACCACAGACCCAAGTCATCTCTTCCCTGTTCACTTCAAATCCAAAGGTCGAACTCCCAAAAGAAACTGTCGTGAAACGTCCCGCTGCAAAGCCTAGCAATGCACCTGTGGACTCGTCGACATTCGAAGGACTGGGCCTGAACCCACTTATTATATCCCATCTCACGAACAAAATGAATATCAAGAAACCAACTGCGATCCAGAGGGCTTCTCTTCCACCTATGCTCGTGGAGACCTCGAACGAAGATCTCCGAGACGTCTTCATTCAGTCCCAAACCGGTTCAGGAAAAACACTATCCTACGTTCTTCCCATTATCCAAGACCTTCTCCCCCTCAGCTCTCTATCCTATATCGACCGTTCGATAGGCACCCTCGCAATCATCATCGCCCCTACCCGCGAACTGGCTAAACAGATCCATGAAGTCGTGGAAGCTATCCTCAGAATGCGATTGCGAGCTGAAAACGATGCGGATGGAGGAGCAGAGAATTCCACGCGTATGACACGGTGGTTGGTGTCTGGTCTGCTCATTGGTGGGTCGACTAGGACACATGAAAAGGCGCGGTTGAGGAAGGGGTGTCCAATCCTTGTCTCTACTCCCGGCCGACTGTTGGACCATATCCAAAACACCTCGTCTTTCAATGTTGGAAAATGTCGGTGGCTCGTGCTGGATGAAGCTGATCAACTCATGGAACTTGGTTTCGAAGAGACCATCACCGGTATCCTTCGTGGCTTGGAGGGGAGGAGGAAGCTTGCTATCCAAGCTGTGAAGGAAGGCAAGAGTCTGGAAGTTGGTGGATGGGATTGGGAGCGGAGGAGACGGACGGTTCTGTGTTCTGCGACGCTTCGAGATTCGGTGCAGACCCTTGTAGGAACTGCTTTGATTAACCCTATTATGATCAAAGCACTAGAAGCCGACAAAGAGGACATCGCTGGTCCCGACGCAGTCACGGCCAACCCCTCCACCACGCAATCCCTCACACCTCCGTCTCAGCTTTTGCAAAAGTATGTCGTTGTCCCACTCAAGCTTCGACTGGTTGCCTTGGTCGCTCTTCTCCGTACCCTTATCGCTCAAGGAGGGAATGGGACCAAGATCATCGTCTTCCTCAGCTGTACGGACTCAGTGGATTTCCATTGGACCTTGTTGGGTGGTGCAAGCATGGGAGATCCAGAGGAAGGAGCTGGTTCCGAGGAAGATGAGGCGAAGGACTCGGAATCAGAAGACGACGACGATGAAGAGGATGAATCCGACGATGGGAAGAGCAAGCAAAAGGGCAAATCAAAAGCAAAGTCCTCCAATCTCGACCCAGATGGAGTGGAAACCAAATGTCCTTTAATCCCCAATGCCTCAATCTATCGACTACACGGTTCTCTCCCTACTGCCACACGTATGCGTGCTCTCAAAGGATTCGCGGGCACTAAAGGCAAGAATCAACCCCAATCGACTTCCTCATCCATCCTCCTCTGTACATCCGTCGCCTCTCGAGGTTTGGATCTTCCACTGGTCAAAGCTGTCATCCAGTACGACCTCCCAACTGAAGGTGGGCCCAACGAATACATCCATCGTGTGGGTCGAACTGCTCGTGCTGGTAAAGGAGGTGAAGCATGGAGTATGGTGGCGCCGAGTGAAACTGAATGGGTCAAGTGGATTGAGGAAAGGATTCAGGGTGACGATGATCAAAAGGCGAAGAAGACTGTTTCGCTTTCCGGCGTGGGTATCGAATCGGTTCTGCAAAGTGGCTATGGGGGTAAAGGGAAGGAATATGAAGCTCGTGCGACCGAAGTGCAGCTAGCATTTGAGCGGTGGGTTCTGAGGCATAGCGATGTAAGTGCATTCACTACGTCCAAGTCTAGTGTTACTGGATGCTGACATCCGGTAAAGCACGCCAACCTAGCACGGAAAGCCTACCTCTCGCATATGCGAGCGTACGCTACCCATCCCTCGAATGAAAAGCACATCTTCCACATCCGGCACCTCCACTTGGGACATCTCGCCAAATCCTTTGCTTTGCGAGAAGCGCCAACAAAGGTTACCTCCGCCTCATCCAAGTCCAAATCCAAGGGCAGCAACAAGGCGAAAACCACGCCGAATGCTAAAGGCGGCAAGCCGTCTGGTGGAAAACGTCCACCACGGGATGCTGCAAGTTCAGACTCGGATTCAGATGGTTATGGACACGATAACTATGGTGGCAAACGTGATATGGACGCGGAGAGGAGGATGAAGGCGGTTGTGCGGGCGCAGGGTAGGCTTACGAAGAAGGGAGGTGCGATGGTCAGTTCGGGTATCTCAGAGTTCCAGATTGCAGGGACAGATGCGTTGGAGAAGCTTGTGAGGATGTGATGGTGGTATATGGCTATTGTACAGGTTGCTTTAACACGGTTGGATAATGGGTACAACGTCTAATCCCCGAAGGAAACTTGAAGATGTGAAAGGTATAGATGGTCTGGCCGGCCTCCGACCAGGGAGGTAAGGAATTGGCAACACGAATAGGCCATTTCGATTCAATGGAAGAAAAGTGTCATGGTTTTGTTCACGTTCTCTTCATGAGACCAGCTGCGAGTCGCACTGCGATTATCGTCGTCATCATCTAGGGCTTTAGAAATTTCGGTCTAGAAAAGTACCTTAATAAACCCTGTACTCACTACCAAGTCTCCATGCCACTAAACTGGGATCTTCGCCGAACACTGGGAATGTATTTGCTCTGGGCGGGAGGCCAGGGTTGGAGTGTGCTCGCGAGTGGGAAGGGCCAGGGGTTCCGTAGCCTCTATCGTTCTCGTCGTCGTCTTGTACTAACTGGTGGGCCATTTGGTGATCCAACATCTCGCGTAGGGGGAGTGTGACCTCGCACCCGGGAACACGACATGTAGCGGGTGCGCAGACGCATTCAGCTTCGAGGTGAGGTTCAAGGGCGTCCCTCGTCATTTGCTTGGTGCATCCAGACGAGTTGTAGATGCACTCTACTTCAAGTTCGTCAACGAGCTGGACGGTGTTTTGTTGATATCGCGTTCACGCGTGGTATTACGTATCATGTCAAGGGTTGAGCCTAGGTTTAATTGCTTTTAGAAAATTGACCACTCACAGATCGGATAATAGGATGCGCTGGCTGTAAGTTGGAGATATTGAGCGCTCTCCTGTCTACGGGACACTCGGAAGAATGAGTGATGGCTTCTTCGATGCACTTTCGACAGAACGTATGGAGGCATGTCGAGGCCGTTACAGGGTCGAGGAAGGGCGACCTGTAATAATTACGTTGATGAATAGAGCGTTTGAGGGCTATGCGCCGTTGTATAGGATCGGACTGGGCCTTACAGACAGATTGGGCAGTCCTTAAAAGCGTTATCATCAGTCAGTGAGACAGAGCAAGGTCCGGAGTCGACGTCCTCACCAAGTGACCGCTTGTTTTCCCAACGTAGCGAAGGTCTGCACTGACAATGGTGTCTCGCATCTCTTCAGAGCTGCGCGCTGCAGTTATAGGGCGCGACTAAGGTTTGTCTTCTGCGAAGCGGTGCGGGATGAGGTCGCCCAAAGATAACTGGACAGCAGAAGGACCCTGGCGCTTAATCAAACGACAACGATCGAGCTGGATCCAAGCGTGTCACGCCTTTCTCAGAGGATCAATGGTGTGTCTAGGCAGGAAGACAACCAGAAAGCGAGGGTATGTAGACTTGTCTTGTCTTTGAAGGTTGAAGAGGGGATGCTTGTCTGAGGGGAAAAGGTGATAGCAGGAAAGGTGATAGACAAATGCCACAGTTTTGCCTCGTGTTCTGAAGGATTTCGCCACACCTTAGGGGGTTTGATCCCTTTTTAGTACGATCCGCGTCTCCGCCTAGGGGCCTCGCAGAGAGCGGATGGAATGGGGTTGAATTATTGAGGTTATGATACATAGCAGCTATAGGGTATATAAAAAGGAGGTCATTAGTCTTGAAGCTATTCAAGGAGGTAAGTATACCTTTATAAATAACGTGTGGGATCGAACGAACCTTGGTGTCACATACACACATCGGCGAGGTCAATGACCACGTATATCTGTCTGGACGCAGCAATCGCGGGAGTCATTGTCGCAGAAGCAGACTTTACAGAACCCCCACTGTCTACCCTGCCATCACGGGGCTCTATAAAACTTTCCCGACCCGTCCCAGAGAAATCCACGGGATCACCTCTGAACTGGAATTGGTGTGCGATTTGGTGGTCCAGCATGTCTACTAGTGGGACTGTAGCGCCGCATCCGGGGAAGTCGCAAGTGTAGGGAGTATGGACGCATTCGTTTTGGAGGTGCGCCGAGAGGTGCCTCCTCGCCATCCGTTTTCTGCAGCCGTAGGGCCTGTGAGGGCATTCGACGTATAGTCCATCAACAAGCTGGTGAACAAGGGGATGGAAAGTTCGTTAGATTCGCGGAGTACATCGTGAAAGAGTCCGCCTTACTTACAGAACACAGCATAGGATGGGCGGGAGACACATTGCGCGTGCTCAAGAGACGTAGGTCAACAGGGCATCGAGGATAATCGCTGTCGAGGAACGTTTCCCAGAGACAGGTTCGACAGAAAGTGTGGAAGCAGGCGACAATGGTCACTGGGTCCAAGAAAGGTTTCCTGTATATTGAATGAGAGGCGGATTCGTTTGGGGGAATGCTTTCTGACGTACAGGCATACTGAGCATACCTAGCAGGTTCAAGTGAGTACTACTACCAGACCTGCGCCACATGTGACCAAATTATGAATCTCACCAAATGACTGCTAGGCTTTAGACCGGTAACCGATCTGTCACGTTATGAAATCCTACGGATTGTCGATAGACAGACCGGTACAGCTCGGAGCGTTTTGGCAGGGAGCTACACGTCACGTGCAGACCTTCTCCATAAGGAAGGATAAGAGGTGCACGTGGATCGGAAATATCCGAGAGTGCTGCCAGAGCAGTGAGAGCCAGCGCCGGGAGGCTCCTTCGTCGTCGTCTTTCATCGTCGACAATGGCGCCTCCTCGAAAAAAACGCGACCTGTTCATATTTGTGCAGCAACAGATACCCGAATTCGACGCGCCACCCTTGTACTTCATCTAGCCACTAACGCCAACGCCAGCGCCTACGCCATTTTTCCAGGTTTCTGTCGGGCTCAGCGAATTCTTAACGGGGTGGACTTGTATGGTAGCCACGGAGCTCAATTTCATTGGAATGGTAGCATTGGAGGTCCTTCGTCAATATTCATGAGCTATAAAGATAGATCATTTACAGCCAATGGGGCGTTACATAGACACAGGATCGAGGTGCTCGACGCGCAAACGCGCCTGCACGTGTGATGCGCCCGCACGTGTGGGTTTTATCCTTCCTTATGAAGAAAGTCTGCACGTGACGTGTGGCTCCCCGCCAAAACGCTCCGAGTTGTACAGGTCTGTCTATCGACAATCCGTAGGATTTCATAACGTGACAGACCTGTCACAGGTCTAGCTAGGCTTGCTGACATACTTAAGACTCGAGCCTTTTAGCTGGTCCTTCAAGTTCATTGCCATATGTGTATCGAAAGCAAAGGATGGATGTGAGGGAGCTCGCAGAGCTTTGAGAATACTCACCTCATTCTTTTCCTTCCTTTAAAGCAGGCTTGAAGAGTTTGGAGTGGTCGCGAGGCATATCTGAATCATAGCTGTCGACGATTCAACAAAAGACAATCAATCGTTTATCAGGCAAAGAGCAGAGTAATCTCGTATTGTCTTGGTAGAGGTAGTAGGCTCAACTGTGTGCGGAGCCATACGTAAGTGCGAGTTTTGAGCTTGACACGGTAGGCGGCACTGAAACCTCGAGGCTCGCCTGTGCACACAGAGGATGCAAGGAACGTGCAGTGGGACAATAAGGCTCATTAAGAGTTGGAACGCTGGTAAAGGATCCTTCACCAGACTTGGATGCGGTTTGGTAGAATGTACAATGGGATAATTTAGTAGTACATCCACAGCAATGACAACAACAGATGAAACTAATACAACAGTGGAAAGCAATGCGAAAGGCGAATATGTGATGGGTGGTACAAATGGTGGGTAGCTTGATCTCAGAACTTGGTGATTACGGTGGAAAGTCGAATTGGGTAGGTTACAGTTGAAATTGTGGGCGCGGTACTGCTCTGGCGCTAATGGCGATGGATGAGATGCAGGGCGTCATTGTTTAGGTGGTGCGACAAGCTGAAAAAGATTTGGTCAGCGCTCCTATGTATCCAGACAGGAGATACCCACGGAAAGGCCAAAGGACCGCACTTTTAGGCGATAACGCAGTAGGCGCCATTGCCACTGCCTCCACCGGTTTCGTTGTCAGCAGGGACCTCGACGGAGGGCTGAGTGGTGAAGATGGAGGACACGATGGTGGTGAAGGAGTCCATTGAAGAGGATGTCTGGGTGTGACTTGGATGAGGTAGACGAGGGGAGCTGTCTGAAGAACTCGATTCGGAGGTAGCCCGTTTAAATACACGTCTCCGGAGGTGATAGAAAAGGGCCAGAGCAGTGGGAGATTAGCGAACGCTGAGGCGCGCCTCCCAGAGACTCGTAAGTTGCCGGAAGACAAATAAACGACGTCCAGGTTATTCTTCAACGGAAATTAAAAGGACTCTTCTCCGTTGAATGGATTGCCTTGTAGCTCGCTTGACCGAGCTCTGAGTCGCGTAGTATTCCCACTGAACCCCATCGTCTTTCCTCCGGATGCGTCAAACTATCCTCCCTTTGGACACGAAACCAGAAATTAAGGGGATGTTTAGGCACATAAGTCCACGCCTATTGTTTTCGGAGGCAAATCGACATGGCATAGGCGAAAGCGCTGTTGTTCGCAAACAATTGACGGATGTGGCGGGTGAACATGGAGAGAAGTTGATTGAATTACCCACCTGTTCAGAACGTCCGAGTTGAGCACAGTCTAACTCTGTAAGGCGTTCAATGTCGAAGTAACAAAAGAGCACTCGCCATATAATGGCTGGAAGATTAACGAAGGAGATAGAGACCTGGTCCACCGAGAACACAAAACACTTCAAACTGCCGCATGCTACGTTATAGCCCATTCAAAGACAGTTCGGGAGTTCGTGAGAGGGACTGGTTCCATGTTTCCTTGAAGATTGGGGACAAAGACAGTGTGATTAATTGAGGGACCTGTGTTCAGAGGAGAGCCTCCAGGCTCACTCATCGTTCCAACAAGCTATTAGTAGACCCATGTACCTTGAAGCGCTCGCCGATGATGAGTTGCCGCGGCGACCTACGGCCAGGTAAAATCATCGAGCAGCAGGGAGGGACCGACTCAGAGACGATCTAGAGGGATGGCTTTCTCTAGTCGAGCGTGGGTGAGTGTGACGAGGTGGGCGGCGGTGACGCATTGATGGCTGACGGGCAAGGGACATCGGCATTTGCCGGTCGCAGTGTCTGTGATGATAAGCGCCCAGTCATTGAATCGATCATCCGTCTAAACTCGGGGTGCGTAATAAACGAGGACACCCGATCCATTGGGGTCCGGGACCGCCGGACCTGGTCCGCAGGCTGTGGGCAGGGCCGCGAGAGTCATCGCACACCTGTGAACCCAGTTTATTTGGGGTCTGATGTACTGCATGCGTACTGCTTAGGCCACAGATAAGTACTATCAATTTGTGGGGCTATACTAGTATTTTTTTTTTGCTTCGGGACAACGATAGGTTGCAGGCAACTTCAAACCTCCCTCCACAAGCACGTCGCATGACAAACACTGTCTTGCTGGGTCTGTAGGCATATTTAAGGACGAGATCGGGCTCCAAGACCACACTAAATATAAGGATATTTTGGTGTGTATAGATCGAGAACGATCACTACAAGGTCAGGTAAGATGCAAGGGAGAACGTCGGTACGCTGGGGCTTAGGCGCCTAGTCGTGTTTGTTCGTGTTAGGATCAGACGCCCTGATGGCAACCTCAGGTTCGCCCGCTCTGAACCTCTTTATTTCTTTATTTACATACAGTTAAGCCCAAAGAAAACCTTCATATCTGTTGAGAGCCCCGACCATGCTTTTCTAACGGCCACACCCTCGCGGAAGACGAGAAAAAGCGATGTTCTTCGTCGCGCAGCCCAGCCCGCGGCCTTGGACCGGCGGCCCCGGACCCCGATAAATCGGGTATTCTGTAATAAACGGAAGCCAGGGCTGCCCCCTCTTTCTCAGAATACTCGGCGGATTCAAAGACGTGTCATAGATTTCAGACGTAGCTACTACTACAACAACAAAAATTACAAATGTTACAACATGAGCTTGGAATTGGAAGGTCGAAATGGATAATTTACAGGCCAGGTCGTGGGCCAAGTAAGTGCGGGACGGTGTAGATTCGCATCGCAGCGTGTTCGGGTAAGGTTGAAGTGTATAAGCGTCAAGTGATGGGGTTGAGATTTCGCGCGAGAGTTCATCGCAGGGGCATGGCAACTATGGAGAACACGAAATTTGAGCAAAACCATCCAATATTCAAGAAAAGCTGTGGACCAACCCGGAGTGCAAGCCGATTCAAGCAATAACGCAGTAAGCGCCATTTCCACTGCCGCCACCGGTCTCGTTGTCAGCAGGGACCTCGACGGAGGGCTGAGTGGTGAAGATGGATGAAACAATGGTGGCGAAGGAGTCCATTGGGGGAGAGGGGTTTGTTTGTTTGAAGGGAGAGTGGGTTGCGAGAGACGAGCTGTCTGAGGAATTCGAGGTGGGGAGAGATTATATACCCACCTTCGAGTCAATGAAGTTGTAGCTACAGCCATTGAACATCGTACACCGCAGGGCTAGAGGTCGCCGGAAGACAAAAGAACACAAAAGCGAGATTATTCTTCACCGGAAATTACCATCGAATGTATTGCGATTGCCAGCGCCGCCTAGCCATGTGTATACAGACTCAAGAGTCAGAGCGTACGTTCTATCCTCAAGCCCGGTGCGGCCTTGACCGAGGCATTCAGGATACCATCTTCGGTTCGCCCAGGTGGAAGCAAACAGTTGTTCCGAGTAGCTTGCACTGGCCCAAGGAAGCCGTGGTATCTCGTGGTTATTGTCCTGGGGTCAGGATAAGCGAGGTGCTGTGAAGCCAAAAGGCTCAGAACAATTGGTACAAGTGCCGACGGGGGAGGGATGGCGAGCGTGGCTGGTGGACGAAACTGAACGGAGGCCTCGATCTTCGATGACGCAGTGAGGAATTCGGTGTCACGCAGGTCTAGATGAATCATGAATCATGAACAAGACAATTGGTGGTCGAGCCCTGCATGGCCTGGGACGACGTCATTGATTTCGCTGAGACGGCAACGCTGAAGACGCAAGAGATGAGGCGATTGCGAGATTAGGTCCCAGGGTTATCAAGACGGTCACGCGCAGCGAGTTGACGCGGTCGGTGGAGGCTGCGTGCCCGCCATCATGTTCGTCGGACAGGATACTATATCGCTGGAGTGTTTAGAGACAGACGACAGCGACCGACGCGGTCCCGCCTTTGCCCGCGGTCTGATGGCACACGGCCCGGTCTCGACCGCATCAAAACCCCCGCCATTTTTTTTTTCGTCTTCCTCATCGTCCTTGTCCTCGATGTGCTTCCATGATTCTGAATGGTGAGTACCCGCCCCCTTCTCCTTGTTCGTCGACAAGACGAAAAATATAACTCAGCTCACTTCGATGCTGTTGCATATGAGACCAAGTTATTACCACAGTTCTGATCTCCTCATCATGCTCTTTGTTTTGAACCTATTGCTGACCCTTTTTCTTCCACAGGTGAGTCTATTTTCGAATTCGCTCTTTGAAGATGAAAAATACCCGAAGTCTATGCGCCTAGCGATGAGACTGAAAAGCTTTATGCATGTTTTAATTAGACTCTGACTCTCTTTCTCCATTCCTGTCTTTGACTGTCGCTAACTGTTTTTTTCCCTTTCCCCCAGGTATCTAGTGTACATATGGGTGTCCATGTACTGTAGTATTAGTTATGCAATCCAGCCGCCCGTCTCTCTGCAACGGTATCGTCGAGTGTGTCCAACAAGCCCTGAACCTCCTTGACTGCCTTCTTTCGCTCCTCTCTGGCCTTGACCCAGTCCCTGTCGGGGGTAACGCCGTCCAATCTGAGCAGACTCTGGAGAAGCAGCTCGCCGATGCGCAGAAACTCTTTCTTGTCCTTCTCGCTGGTCTTTTCGGTGTTGGTGATGCGGCCGAGGAGATCGTTGAGATCTGGGGCGAGGGTTGATCTGACCATAGCGAGTTCGGTATGGATTGTTGTGATAACCGAGTTCTCATCGTCGTCTGTGGTGGCGGATTGACGATTTGAGGGAGGGGGCTGGGGCATTGACTCGTCCACGGGGATCATTTGAATGACAGAGCCAGGATGGATGCGATAAGCCGATATTGGAGCGTTGTCGTCGCGCATGACAGCGCCCTTGTGGATGAGTTTGAATGCATTTAGACCAGTGTAGTCAGCGAGAGATTGTTTTATTGCATGTAGAGTAGTGTCTGGAGAGGGGAGGGCGAGGGAGATACGATCTCTTCCAAATTTCACAGTGACGGACATGACGTATCGGGATAAAAAAGGTGCCGCGTCAGGTTGAGTCTGTTGGCTCTTTCCTCTTACCGTCTCTGCCATGGCTTCCAACCATAACAACCGATTTCCGACTTCAACACCGATTCCTCCCAGTCTTCAGGCAAAGCTCGCTGCTTTCCAGGCAAACCGCGCCGCACCAACAAATAATGCAGTCCGTTCTCTCGAAGATGCCATGAACGGCGTCTCCATTGCTCCTCCCGCCGTCCCACCGCCCCCGCTCAAGCCAGGGCCCAGTCTCGCCGCCCGGATGCAGGCCCTCCGAGGCCAGTCCACTCCCGGCCGTCGTCCAAAACCCGCCTTCTCTCTTCACGACATCGATCCATCCCTCGGCGGCATATCGGACGCAGGTCTCGGCGCAGGCCGCCCCCGCCCTCCCCTCTCCCTCCACTCTGCCGCCAAACCACCAGCCTTTGCTACTCCCTTTGCAAACTTTTCAAAGATCGTCGATCCCTCTGGCGCTCTCAACTTTAGCGGAAAAGCTATCCTTCACGCTAGCGGCGTCAACTTTGAGAACGGCTCAAGCTTTGCGATTAATAGGGATCAGCTCCAGCTCGACGACGAGGAGCTCGGAAGAGGCAACTATGGCACAGTCAAGAAAGTCCTACACAAGCCAACAAACGTCGCAATGGCTATGAAGGTACCACTCTTTTTGTTATCAAATCCATTTGGCTCCCCGTTGACCTAACACTTCTTCCCCAGGAAATCAGAGACTCGATCCAGGCAAACTCACCAGCAATCATCATGGAACTCGACGTCCTCCACCGCGCAGTCGCACCAGAAATCGTCGAATTCTACGGCGCATTTTTCATCGAAAGCTGTGTCTACTACTGTATGGAATACATGGACGCCGGCTCTCTAGATAAACTCATCCAATCCAACTCACAACCACCCCAGCCTCAAATCCCCAAACCACCGTCCTCGGACCCCATCCAGACAGACGCTTCGTCGCCAGAATACTCTTTCGCGATGCCTTTCGTTGAGGAGGACCTCGATTTGACCAAGGATGAAAACTTTGAACCCTACAACCGCGCCTTCAACCGTACCTGTCCCCCTCCAATACCCAGCACCTACTCTGGCGGCCCCATCCCCGAAGCCATCCTCGGCCGTATCGCAGCCTCCATGGTCCGTGGTCTCAAATTCCTCAAAGACGAACTCAATATCATTCACCGCGACGTCAAACCGACCAACGTGCTCGTCAATTGCAAAGGCCAAGTCAAACTTTGTGATTTCGGTGTGAGCGGTCAGCTCGACAAGAGTATGGCCAAGACAAACATCGGATGCCAGAGCTACATGGCTCCTGAGCGCATTCGTGGAGAAAGCAGGGTCGTTGGTGCAGTCCCTGCCTCAGAAGGTGGGACAGGTACTGCGGCCGCCGCTCAGGGTGGTGTACCGGGCACAGCGGCATTGGCGGACGAGCTCTATGGGGCGTACACTGTTTCCAGTGATGTGTGGAGTCTGGGGCTGTCGATTATTGAGCTGGGGCTGGGGAGGTATCCTTACCCTCCGGAAACTTACTCAAATGTCTTTGCTCAGCTGACGGCGATTGTCCATGGCCCGCCACCTTGTTTGCCGAGCGGTCCCCCTCCTCCCTTATCCCCCGACGATGATTCCTCGTTTGAAGAACCCGTCCTACCACCCACGTTGGATGATCAAGACCCCCTGATTTCACCCACGACGGGTAGGCAGAGGCCAGGGTATTCACCATTCGCCCGCGATTGGGTGAACAAGTGCATGAGGAAGGATGCAAAGGAGCGGGCAACATACAAAGAGCTCTTGGAACACCCATGGTTGATTCGCAACGGCCAGGTCGACGTCGACATGGAGGGTTGGGTCAGGTGCGCCCTCGACGCAAAGGAGAGAGCCAAAGCTGGGCGGGGGAGGTAAGCAGGATCCTTTGTCCAGCGACTGTGCGCCATTTTTCCCTCCCGCCGGAAGATGTTGAAGACAGGGGGATGCGGATGAGGATTGGATCAAGCTGAAGAAGCGTACTGCATACTACCTATATCTTTATTATTCTGAATGCTGCTACTGCTGCTACTACTAGTGCTAGTGCTGCTATACTTGTATGTATTAGGGGCTTGGACTCGGGAGGTGTTATCGGTGAAGCCCCGGTTCGACCCCCTCTGCTGGCACTGGGCGCGACGAGTCGCGCTGTACGGGTCGGACTTTTACTACTACTAGCCGTGCCGTCCAGGGAAGGAGGAGGACGCGCCGAGTGTCGATGATGTATGTAGAGGATATCTCATGGTGTGTGATTAGCCTGTAATTCTACCTACACACAATCCCCAGTTGGGTATTGTAACTGGTCGACTCTAGACACGCCCAAGTCGATCGTAAATACAGCCTGTATTAGCCCATGTAAAAAAAAAAATGCACTGTTTTGTTCGAGGCGTTATGATGCTCGATGTATTCCTTTCACCTCATGCTGCCCCTGGCCCTGCCTCGAGGCGAGCCTCAAAATTTCAACGGGCGCCAAGTTGCCATACCGGCAGGGATTTATCTTTGTTATGACGTCAAAACATACCGAACTCAGAGTCCCCTCAGTGAGTGATCCACACCTTCTCGCTTCTCCTAACAACGGACACTCCACCCTCCATTCAAAGACGCTTTTCTGGCCGGGACGTGATCTGTTTTCGGTGTTCCAAGAACTGGCCTATCTCTCTGGTGGTTGGAGTGTCAGAAGATGAAAAAGCGAGTTTGACGTGTGGATTTGTGGTGTGCAAGTATATTACTATCAGATAGGGCACATTTCGGACTTCGGATCCTAACAAAATCCGTCACAGGTCGACGTCGACACGGCCTGTTGTTAGTATGTAGTTTTTGTGTGTGTGTGTGATATGAGGGGAGGGTAGCATGCAGAACGGGCCTTGGCGCCGTGAAGGTTGATTTTGTGGATGAACTATGACGATTTCGATGCTGGAATGGGGTCATAAGATCGTTCATTGCAGTGTCTGTCGTCGACATAGTGGACGTAAGGACATGCGTATATCCTGCATCCGCGACACGTTTTTAGACGGGGTGTTTGTGGCATGACTTGTTTCCGTTCAAGGCAAGAGGGGCCTAGTCGAAGAGTGACTGGAAGAAGGAAGGACTGCGGATGATGATAGTGGTGTTACAGTTGTGCGAAGAGGCGGCGGTTATCAAGGTAGTTTCCCGGATATGGTTGGTGCGGAGCGAGTGAGAAAGGATAACGATGATGCGAAGTGTCGGTGTGGAGCGGTAGATAGGGAGTGGGTCGTCCAATCGGCAGGCTGGTGTCCGGAGGACGAATGAGCAGGGTTAACCGGCACGAGGCAAAAGCGAGCCTCGTTCAAACTTCGGATTGTGATCATGATCAGTCCGGGAAAACAGACGCCAATGACGACCTCTGATTCAGCCAGAACGCAAAGAACAAGTCGCATCCGCAAAAAGTGCTGGAAAACACGTTGTGCCAATGGCAGGCGCTATACATAGCCTGTTCTGACATGAAAAAGAAGGGGGGTCCTGATCAACCGAGGTGTAATGCCGTCATCAAGAACCACGAGTGAAGCCTAAGTACGATACCTACTTAATTTATGCTGTTCGCAGAAGGTGATTAACGTAGACGAAGGGTTCTCCGCTGGGCATGACGTCGCTGGATGGGCTTCGATCGAGGACGAACATGAGGCGGAAGGTGATTTGTTGATTGGTAGAGCGTCGAGCCAAAGTTCAGGGACGAATAAACTGGAACTGGGTGACTGCGATCCCGGAGGATGAGTGCTGTGTTTCGCGGTGCGTCATGCGGGGCAAGTTGAGCTCCGTGGCAGCATGTAGGGTGTTGTGAAGAGGGAGATGCTGTTCCAAGGGGCTCACAGACAGGTGATCATGTGGTATAGGGTTGAAGGCGAACTTCGAGAAGTCAGCCTGAAAGACACCCTGAGTCTAGACCCCCAATGCGTCTAGTAATCCACCTAGTAGTCTGACGCAGCAATGCTTTTCAAGCCGGGTGCTTTCTGTGCAGAAGGCGGTTCTAGTACGCGAGCCTGAGCTGAGCCTGAGTCTCTGAGATTCGCTGACAGAGTGTGTTCATGGTCAAAGAATGAGACGCGTCAAGTTGAGGCTTGGCACGGACGCGAGGCTTCACTTTGCATATATTTGGCAACGGCTTTAAATCCGACCACTCTCCTGCGTCCTTCAAGTTCGTCTTGAATCTCGAACAGTCGCAAACGGATGCCTCAATCGGGCCCAAACTCCTCGGCACGTACAAACCCTTTTCTTCTTGGACTCGTACGCAATGCGGCTGGCATAGCTACTTTCTGTCAGGCTCTTGACTCGCGCTTTGCCTCCCTGGGGCAGGATCTGTCAACCATCAAGGACTGGGATGCGCTGTGCTGCACTTCTTGGACTTTCGTCAACCTCGAACGACGGGCAGGCGCAAGAACTTGGCAAGGAATTGTGCCGCGAATGGCTCCGCAAGAAACCTCGGAGCCCAGCGACCATCCCATATCGCCGTGCAGCTGTGATCTCATCGGACCCGTTGGGAAGTTAGGCACATGGTCGGCTATCCTCCTCTTCCCTTGTCTTATTGTTGGCTTCGCCCTGTATGGGCATGGAACTAACAATAACGACAATAAGCTGAGGCGCAGGTACAGAATAGCCAAGGTCCGGAGGCACGTTGATTGCCCAGTTCGGGCTTGGTAGGACTCTCCCGATACTCGCCACCTACTTCCTGGGCAATACATTCACGGAGAAATCAGCAATAATTCCCGCCAAAGAATAAACGAAAGGTGGATTATTTGTCTTTCGGCTACATGGCAAATGTGATTTTGGTTGAACTTGGGTGTCCTGAATTGCTTCCATCATCTGGGATTTCGGTATTTAAGCTAGGTATCTCCTGGTCGAGGTTCCTCAGACAAATCGTCTACTCGCATTCCTCGAAGCCTCACTCGAGCTCAGCGAAATCACCTCCAATGGATTCCTTCACCGCCATCACTTCCATCTTCACCACCCAGCCCTCCGTCGAGGTTCCCTCCGACCTCGAGACTGGCGGCGGCTCTGGCAATGGCGCCTACTGCGTGATCGCTTAAGCCCACGCTCGTGCACTCGGTAAACATTTTTCTCCTGTATATAACTGAAGTGGGATAGCTGACCTCTTCTTTGCTTCTAGAAACAAATGTCCCACCATGACCCGTGCTCGGCTACACTTTCACGGAATTCACCTAACCTACCTCTTCGATCTTCTAACTAATGATCAAGTTCGCGCTGCATCCAATCGCATGTAACTTATCACCTTCGACCTTCGCATTGCTTTCGGTTTTGTTGTTGTAACTTTGCTATCCGCTGTTGTACTTTACTATTCGTTGTCGCGCCATCACCGCTTCCGATGTGTTGTACCAGTACCACTACTAATAGTAACGACGAATGACCTCTTACCTTCGAATCCGTTTCTCTGGGTGAAATCAGTACGCTGCAAGACACGTCTTCGTTCTCGAAGTTTTACCTAAGGGTTCTCGCATGCTGTTTAAGCGCCTGCCGGACTAGTTGCACGCTGGCCGATTTTTTCCTCGTTTTGGTCCGGGTGTCACTCCCACAGAGTCAAATGTAAAGATATCCCTGGCCTTGAGGCTTAAAAATACCTCTCAGAACTTTAATCCAGCCCATAGAAAGAGGTTTGAGACTCGTCCGTTTCGACTATTTTGTGAACCTTGAATTCGTCCCTGTCAAACTTACTTCGAAGCAGTCTATTCCCGTTCTGCAAGCTGGTAAACCAAGTAGTCATCTCTATTGTTCTGAGGCTACTCGCGCAGACGGGCAGTCAACAATAGCTGAAATATGATAGCTGCCGAGGCCGGGATTCAATGCCATGCAGAGATGTGATCGTTTGTTGATTGCTCTACATGGGGCTCGCGACGCACGTAGGTCTTCAGAAGAGGCAAATGAGACTGCTTGTGAATCTTCTTCTCACTGCCAGTCTTTTGTCCGCCACCTGCTTCCCAGTAATACAATATTCCGGGAAAATCAATATTAATTTCCGTAGAATAATAAACCAAGGATGGGTTCATTTGTCTTCCGGCTACTTGGCCATCCCAGACAATCGGACTCGCGCCTTGGTTCCTACCATGAATCCTGGCAAGCACCATGTACCGGGGTATTTAAGCTACCAGGTTCTGAGCCAGTTCTCCTCAGACAACCTGTCTACTCCGAGTCTTCACAACTCTACTCCCCAAGCCAAACCAATGGATTCCTTCACTGCCATCATCCCTGTCTTCACCACCCAACCCTCCGTCGAGGTTCCCTCCGACCTTGAGACTGGTGGAGGCTCTGGAAACGGCGCCTACTGCGTTATTGCCTAATGCCGTGGTTGTATATCTGGTATGTAAGCGTTCCTGCGGCTACACGTCTCACAGGGACTAATGAGTCCGACTTTCAGCCCAACCCACCTAACGCATTATGTCCACGACCTGTCTTCGGCCAACATCATTTTACGGACCACCTAACCTACCCATTCGACCTTCAAACTAATGATAAAGTTAACGCTGCATTGAACCGCATGCTACTTGTCACATTCGACCTTCGCATTGCTTTCGATTTGTTGATGTTGTAAATCGGAACTTTGAACCCCCGTTGTACTTATGCTACCGTTACCTCAAACATGCTACACTATGTTATGCTATAAGCAGCTGTCCTGTTATATGAGACGCAAGGAAATGAGCAAGCTGGGGATGTCGGTAGTCCCAACGACAAGATTAAGCGCCCATGGAAAGCTTGGCGCCAGTGAAGAGTTGATTTGGCCCTATTTGTCATCGGCTTTGACCCTTCAGGTTGCGCGTTCCGAGTCCCTTTCCCTTTCGATCGAACTACAACGCTGGTATCATGCTTTTACTTTTACGAAACCTTTGCGAACCTCGACGTGCAATGTGTACCAATCGGATGGGCTGGACCTGAAAATCCGACCTCCCTGTACAATCCATGCGGAGCCGACGTCTCTCACCGCTCGTCCCACCGTCTCTATTGGCTTGCCCGACCATGAGCCCAGGGCAGACTCCCAGATAGGACGACCTCAGCCTTCCCTGGGGCATTTTGCAAACCTGCGTGCCTGTCTCTCACAGCAGAAACACGTTACACGCATATTGACTGAGCTGAACGCCTCAACCTAAGAGCTTTTGTCCCCTCTCGCTCTTCCCCACTTCGAGGCGCAAAACGAGCGACGGTTTCGGCGTTCATCGCCCTGTACTGTGTACTTATATGGATGGGCGTCGCTTATCACCACTGGTGTCACTGAGGTGAGCTTAATTTGATTTGTTTCACCGCCCTCGTCATATTCGTGCATGACGAACTCTTACACTTGATGAACTCGAACAGGGCCCGGGTTGAAACCAAGCCAGAACGCTACTTTAGAATCGAGTTTAGAGGGAGGTCCCTGGGCCGAACGTGGACGCCTTTGTTGGCAAAGGTTGTTGAGGTCGGACTTGCTTCTTGACCAACTCTCTGAACGCACGACTTGGGAGGAGGGACTAACACATATGAAATGACGATGAGCCGGTGCATTGCTTCCATCATTTGTCCACCCTGAAGCGTCCGCACGACAAGTCGAAAGTCGCTGCAATTCGATTATCCGGGATGATTGAATCTGCCTGTAAATCCTTGGGACCCCTGGAATGCCGTCGCCAGTAAACTCACTCTCTTGTGTCGTGGTCCCGTGTGACCGTCTTCAATCGCTGTCCTCCACTACATGTATAGGTGTTTCTGTTGTACCCATGCTCCCGTACTAGGTTGTTCTGAACAACACGTTTCCGTCGCGAAGGTCGAACTTGGATGAAGTCGGCTGGGCACGAGAGTGTCACAGAGACAGACCTCTGCAGCCTTGGAGTGACATGAGCATTTGTCGAGAACTCGTAACTTGGGCATCAATCAGATCGGAAGGTCAAGGCTGGTGCCCGATTCTCGATGAATAGCTGAGTTTCCCTTGCACAGACAGATAATTACAGGCACAGTTGTACTACTCGGGACAGTAGTTAATAAACTGAAGCTCGCCGCAAGTGGGTACACTAAATGTGGCGAGGTCATACATTCGCATTGACAACTCGTTGATCTCTTGGGCAACGGTGCTGTCTGGGGTTGTATAAAGTTGATCAGTTTTTCGGTCGCAGCAATGAATTCGTCCTTCAAAAGGCGTAAAGAATCTCGGATGACTCACAGGCGATAAGGCTGGACGCGGGTGCACCTGTACGGGTACCCGCACCCTTGACACAGGTACCCATGCCCCCAAATTCCATACCTGCACCCTCACAGGTATTTTCCAACAGGTACCTGTTACCTGCGGGTCCTACCCATGGGTATCTGTTGGGCACAGGTCCTACAGGTACCCAAAGGTAAACCTGTAGGTACCTGCTAAAGGGATCAGTTAGAAGTCAATCACCTCAATGATCCTTGACTGTGGATCTCAATTAATAATAATTAATAAGTGCATTTATTCTCTACTATGATATACAGGGATTAGGTTCAATTCTGAGCAGTTTTGAAGCAGTATTATGCTGGACACTGTCACAAACAGGCTGGCGGGTACCTACCCACAGGTACCTGTGGGGCTAAAAGTGATACCTGCACCCTTGCAGGTATTTCAGCTACAGGTTACCTGGATCCACAGGTCACATACCCATGGGTTTCTTGGCAGGTCGGGTCACAGGTACCTGTGTACAACCTGCACCCGCGTACAGCCTTAACAGGCGAGGTGGGAGCGACACTTTGGTGGTAACCAAGTGAAGCAACAACGCTTCCTTGACTTTGGCAGACCCAAGACTCTGTCGGAAAACTTTGGGTTCGGGTGCCTTGGGCGGTTGCGACTGTCGGTCCATTCTATCCACTGGTTGCCAGCGGCTTTCCAATAAACGGCGAATATCTGTTGGTATTGATTTTGCCGGAGATAGATGTCTCCCGGGGACCCAAGCACCTCTAGAGGCACCATTTCCCCAGAAAATTGCGAGAAATGCTCGTCCTTTCGGGGAGTAGAGTACGTGAAAGCGCAGTTTTGAGTTGAGACAGCTTGGCCTGACATGATAGCCTAGTTAACTGTTACATTTACACACTGAGGTCGGGTTGCTTTATAGAAGACTTCGATGCTCTAAATTGTCCTTTTTTGGAGCACATACATCTCTGCAGGGATACACGAGCAATATCGAGCAAGGTACTTGCAAACGTAGTCCATGAAGTCTTCGGGAGAAGCCGACTCAGTCGATCGAGCGACGAGCGCAGCCGCTTGTCACTTAAGCTCGCTGGGACGCGGCTCGGATCCAAGACGGACATATCTTTCCAGGACACTCTTCCAAGCTGTCCTGTATGCCAAATGACCTATATTTTGTAAATATGGGCAGATACAGTGACTATATATCGGTTTCTTTGCACAAATGTTTGGGAATCTGCTTTCAGTCAGGCAAAATCAGGGCAGGTGCCTCTCTTCTGTGATAATAACTTAGATACAAAGAAATTGATGTCAGATGTAGGTTTTTACGTGACACTGGGCCTCGAATTTCGAAGAACAGATCTATTTGGAGCTTAGAATTCCTCAGGGAAACAGGACTACGGAGTTTGGAAGGGTTTACAGCCCTGGATTGACCCAGGAGAATGGCTGAATCTGAGTTTCTTGTACACAGGGCTCAGGGCCAAAAGTGCTAGATATACTGTATACTAGTAGATATGTAAATGCTTTGAACACATTGACCCCAAGAGCGCTCATAGTGGCTCAGAAATGGAGGAGATTCAGAAAGATAAGGAAAAATAGGGGCCCCACAGCACCTTCCCCATTGTGACATACATGTGGTGGGGAAAGAGGCTGAGAAAGGTGAGGAGCCTTAGGGGACTCAATGTATTCCATGCCTTGTCGTTTCCTCGCGAAGGTCTTACACAAGGAATTCGGAGAAAAGGGTTGGCCAAGCCTGAAGGCTGAGGCGCCTCTTTTCCAAGGTAACAACAATTTACTTGACAGGTGTCCTCCCCGCCACAGCGGTTTGGCTTCGCACAAGCCTCCTAACGACTGCATACACCATCGCCGTAGATAACAAGTAAATTGGTGAAATCTAAGCATCTTTCTCGTTTCACGCACCTAAGCAGAGCCTGCTGTACCATAAGTAGATCTCTGATCAACACGACGCAACTTCGGATGATGCGCGTTCCCACGGACTCTCCCGTCTTTCGACTTCTCCCAACTGCATCGACTCTCCAAGTCAGTCAAGGAACGACATGAGCGCCGCCCTGACATTCAATTCGACTGTTCGGCTTTCGACCGGTACTACAGAAACTGACCTGGTGATCGGGACTCTTTTCTCATTTGAATTTATCCAGGGTACTACATGCCACAATTGGGGCTCGGTGTCTACCAAAACTATACCACGAAAGAATCGGTCCTCGAGGCCCTCAAAGTCGGATATCGGTAACTCATCTCTCGCGGAGAAGTTAGGGTCACTCAATTCATGTTCCTTGTGTCTTGTAACACCCTTCCTGATCTTGCCATCTTGTTTTTGGGTGGCCGTCGTCTTTCCTTCAACAATCCTTTCTTTCGATGGTCCCACAAAGTCATATCGACTCTGCACAAGCCTACCGGAACGAGGCCCATGTTGCTGAGGCAGTTCGTGAATCGGGAATAGATAGAAACGAGGTGTTCATCAGTAAGTGCTTGACACCTCGTGGCCATTGGAAAGTTCCCTCTCTCGTTCTCCCGAGCTTCCATTGCCCCTTGCCGCAGTTTCTTAAATGTATATCTGATTCCACTTCTTTAGCCACCAAGGTTATTTCAAAATTTCACGGTTATGATAGGACTGTCAAAGCGATCGAAGCATCGCTGGACAGTATGAAATTTGGTGAGCTTCTCCCCTCTCAGAAGGCCAGCATCCGGATTAATATGTCCTGCTGCGGCAGACTACATTGACCTCTTCTTGATACATGATCCGCATGCTGGTAAAGTGAAACGCCTCGAGACCTACAAGGCTCTTCTTGAAGCCAAAGCTGCGGGGAAGATCAGGAGCGTTGGAGTATCGAACTAGTAAGTTTCATTGCGGGATTCTCATCATCCTATCGAGTGCCTTCAGCATAACGCGCCGGGACATGTGATGATTCAAAAACACTAGTGGAATCCATCATCTGGAAGAAATCGTCGAAGCTGGCTTGGAAACACCTTCAGTCAATCAAATTGAGGTACCTATGGACATTTGCAACTCCGTGAAGATTGCAACCCCACTCACCATTTGGCCTTCGAAGCTTCACCCTTTTTGCCAGCAACGTCCGATCGTGGAGTACTGCAAGAAGCATGATATCGTCGTGCAGGCGTACAGTCCTTTGATCAGGAGCGATCTCGGTCACCCGGTCTTCAAGGAGTTAGCGGCCAAGGTACGCGTTGCTATCATCTCCCCGAAAATTGACGTTAATTCATTTACTCCAGTACGGCAATCGCGATCCTGCACAGATTGTACTCCGGTGGTCCCTTCAGAAAGGGTGAGCTATGGGTGTTTCTCTCGGTACTAGAACTGCGCCGATTCTGAACGTCTCGGACTGAACCACAGATTCGTTCCCCTCCCAAAGAGTGCCAATCCCGACAGGATCAAATCGAACACCCTTCTTTACGACTTTGCCTTGAGTGACGAAGACATGGCTAAGTTAGACGCCCTGGACAAGGGGAAGGAGGGCGCTGTCACCTGGAACTGCGTCGACGTACCTTGATTCAGCGCAGTCCTTACCACCTCGAATCTTTGCACAGGAAACATGATCTCATATCCTGCAGTGTAGCTAGCCACAGCTTTTTGGAAAGTGATAGCGTTTATGTTGTAGTATATACAAATACGAAGAAGTCATATAGTAAGAAATTTCGACTCATAATACACGGCGTTGAAAGAGCGAAAGAACGAAGAGTTGAAAAAGGGAGAACACGACGATAGTCAATTACCCAAGAATGACTCGCGATAACGTACACAGCAATTTGTGAAACAACTGGATAAAGAAGATTGATCAGAGGTGTAGACTTGAGGTGAAAGTTCATAAGACCATGAGTAAGGATAGAGGAAATGGGGGATAGGAGGAACGTTGCGGGCATTTTGAAGACGTGATCGTTCGTTATCTCGATTGCTGTGCGTTCGTGGAAGGGTCGTAAGGTTTCGCTACTTGTCGTGCGGCCTGTGCACGTTTAGTGAGTTCTTCTTGGCGTTGCCAGAGAAGCTCGGCCCAGAGAGGATGAGGTGGGATGTGTCCAACCAGCGCCCTGAGGACATCAAGCCTGTATTCCAAGGTTTTGTGATTAGCAGCACGAACCAAATTGGCTACAGCGCAGACGCACCATCTACTCTTCTCCTCGTCCGTATCGGCGAAGAACATGATCTCCTCATTGTCGGGGAAGATCAAGCGGAAAGATCTTTCAACGCCATACAGAGCAGTTTCGTACCGACTATGATCTTTACACTCTGCATCGTCTTCGAGTGCAATCGCCTTCTTGAGGTCGATGGTAGCAGTAGCCTTCTTGGTGACATCGTTGAAGGCAACGAGGCTGCCTCCAATGACACGGAACTGTCGCCGACGCCACGTCTAGATACCAATCAGCATACAGACATGGAGAGAAATGTCGGGATACGTACACTGCAATCACCACCATTCTGTGTAAGTGTTCCCTGGAAGTAGGTCATCTTGTGCCAATTGATATGTCGGAGACCCCGGTGGCACTCCTCAAGGCTCTGAGGAAGCTGATCCTGAGGAATGCCTGGGAGCGGTGGCAGCCTGAACATTTGGAGGACAATCTCTCCGACCTGTTGGGTAGAGAACTTGCCGCCCAGCTCAGCTCGCTGGCCAATCAACGGATAACTGGTCTCGAACAAGCGGGTGTCGCAGCGATGCACAATGTCCTTGAAGCAAACAAAGGCACGGGCCATCGTCCCATCGGGTTTGAGGTATCTCGCCAAGTTTTCCGGTAGTCTATGAGGAACGGAAGGCTGAGGAGGGGGCGGCGCCACAGCAGGGGGAGGGCGAGAGAGGTGCTTGTCTTTCTTCCTGGGTGACGATGAGAAGAGGCTGAACATGCCGCTACTCTTCGAGGCGGTTTGTACCATGGGAGGGGGAATGGGAACCGGAGCTATTGGTGCAGCAGGGGGTGCTGCCAATGCCTGGAATTGGGCGGCGATATGGGGATCACGGCGAACCTTAATAGTCAAGGTAAACTCTAGCTTGCTGTGTTCGATGCTACAATCCTACTTCAGACAAGCTATACAGCGTTCGGTGACAAGGTGACTTACAGCTCGAATTCTTGCTCGATCGCGGACGTCTCTCCGAGTTGACATTCGGGAGTAGTCACAAAGTGAATACCATTGTTCAAGGTGCAAGTAATGGCAGTGCGTTCGCGAGGCAAAGGGAGATGAACACCCTTGATGGCGAGAACTGGGTTGAATGTAAATTTACAAGAAAACAGCGAGTGAGAAGCAAAGCATACCCTTGACGAAAACTTTGCCGTACGCCTTGCCCTTGTCTTGAGCTCGATACTCTCTGATTTGTTTGGCATATTCGTTCTAGGTGCACGTAGGTTAGCAGACACCCAACCATAACCTTGTCCCACTCACCATATCAGAAGGTCGCCTAACAGTTCTCCAAGCGCGTCCGGCATCGACATCTCCAGCAGCCGAGTTGTGAGAAACCTTCTCATGGGACGAGGAGGCATAGATCGTTTGTCGGTGCTCGCGAATTTGATAGCGCTAGATGAGGAAATATTAGCCAAACGAAACAGGGGACAGGGGATGTGGACGTGCCGTCTTCTTAGGCTCCTCCTTCGCCTTGTTAAGCTCCTTCTCAATGTGGCCAAGGAGACTGTCAGACCCCAACTCGGCAATGTCCAACAACACTTCGCCCCGACGTTTAGTACCGAGGTCTTCGGCATCGCCGGTGCTCATGCTTCGCCTACGGCTCGGACGTCCGACTCCCAAGTGCCTTTGGGCAGGCCTCCTGGGTGCAGCTTCAAACGAGTCATCGTTCTCCTCATCCTCAGAGTCCTCCATCATCCTCCTAGCCTCGCGTCGCTTCTCTAAAATCAGCTGTTCGCGATTCTTGATACTGTCCTTGGGCGGGACAGGTGGTGGTAGAGTGGAGGTGGACGAGCCACTGACGGTCCGGCTGCCATAATCCTCGATGGAAGAAGAGGTATGTAAAAGGGCGGTATCGGTTGCCGCTCTCTCAAGCACCTTGGGGCGGGAGGTAGGTTCCTGAAGAACAGAGATCGTGGAAGCCTGGGAGTCCTGGGAGATGAAGGAATCGTCCGTCATGAGAGAATCGTCAACAGGGCCACCAGCAACGTCTTCCATCAACCGGTCCAAGGCACTCTTCATGTCCATATCGACGTCCTTGTCACCCATCCGCATTCCAGTTCGCTCCGTGAAACCTGGGCGAGTGGCTGACTGCGGTTCCGAAGCGGTTGGAGAGACTTCGTCAACCGTAACATCCACCACACTGGTTTCTGTCGAGATACCCAAACCTCCGAGACCAAACTTGCTGCCAAAGTCGAATCCAAGACGCTCGCTAGAAGGGCGAGCGCCAAATTCTGTCTCGGGACCAGAGTCGATGGGGGTCAGCGAACCTGAACCGACAGACACCTTGACCCTCTCCGCCTGAGTGACGATGGCGGTTTCGGTGCTAATGTCTGTCATGCCGGTCATAATAGACAATCGGTCCCGGTTATCGTCCTGGGCGGGTTGGAGAAGGGGTTGAGATTGGGGAGCGGGCTCTGGTGCAGGTGATTGTCGACTTCTGGTTGGCTCCGGAGAGTTGGATGGAGAAGGGAAGCTGCGACGTCCCAGAAGACGCCTTTGGACATCTTCCTTGCTAATGCGTGGCCGGAGGCCAGTAGGACTTTGCCTTGCACCCAGATGAGGCGATGATACACGAGTCAGCGGTGACCCACCGCGCACCAGGGGTGAGGCTGAGACGGCGCGCGTGAAAGGCGAGCCTGCCCGCGAGCCTGCGCGACCTTGGAAGGAGCTATTGGGCGAACCATATGAAGCATCTGGGAAGGAGCTGCTTCTATCCATTGAGCGTTCAAACTCTTCATTCCGATCGCCATCCACACCCAGCGTTTCCTATTGATGACTGTTAATAGTAGTCGCGCCACAGACACTAAACTACATACCTTGGCAATTGGCGACTCTGTCCTAGCCCGTAGCAAGTGTGAGAGGTCAACATCCGCGCTTCCGACGGAGACATTCGCAGACTTGTTTTCCTGAGTCGAGGTCGTGGAAATCTCTGCGGGTGCTGATTCGTCTTGGAGTCTAGAACGCTCAAAAGGGTCTGCGCCGATGTCGACGCTGGCATCGCGACTGGTGGGATCATCTGCAAAGAGTAAAATTAATGCCAGTGGGTTTGAAATAACACTCAAATCTACGTGCCTTGGCCAATATCGAACCGTGGAACCAAGGCGTCTTCCACGCTTGCTTGGCGTGTTGGCTTCATACCAGGAGACGGGCTGGGTGGCATCATGTTCACATCCCCTTCAGCCTCCGCTTCACGCTCATCCTCGCGGATTTGTTGGATTCGCTCGGCATGAGTGGATCGACCAAGCGGAGGGGTACTGTGCATCATGCCAGGGGCTCGCCTTGGCGGGGTAACTGGAGGTCCGTGAGGCGATGCATGAGTAGGAAGGTTGAGGTTGAAGGGGTAGAGGCCTGAAGTTCGTGGGGAGCCATGTTGAGGGGAGCCGCGAGGAGAGAAATGAGGAGGTTGGGAGCGCGGAGAGTGATGTTGTTGGTGCTGCAAGAACCGCTCGACATGGTGACTCCTTCCCAGAGGCACACCATCTTCCGTTTCCAAGTCAGCGGGCAAACCGGAATGTCGGGGTGGCGTGTTTGTGAATGAGGTAACACTAGTATCACCGGGCACGAGGCCGTTGGGTGAGAAAAACATTTCGTCGACGATGCCTGTTATACTGGCGTCGGGATCCCCATTGAGGAGGGAATCGACTTTCTTCTCTTCCTCTGAGATGGAGTTGCTGTCATAGGCTCCATCCCGACCGGCGTTGTCCTGGTTAGAGTCCTCGTCCATGGCGAGGTTGGGTAATTTGATGTCGTGGGCCTCCTCGTTGCGCTCCTCGAATGACCCCTCCTCGTCGTCCGTGTAGCTCTCGTACCCTTCTTCGTCCGTCTCATCACGGTCAAATTCTACCACATCGCACCGCTCGTCAAAAGTCACTGTTTTACGTCGTTCGCGCTTGAAACTCCCGCTGCGCCGTGGGCCATGCATCCGGCGGGATACGAGTACAGACCTTCCTGGCGAAGGACCTGCGGAGCCGGATCTTGCGGGAGTAGGGATTCGTGAGGGGGTTGCCGAGGTAGGGATATAGGAGTGCGGGCGAACTCTGATTGGTGACGACTTGTTCCTGTCGGACGGTGAGCGCTTCAAACCCAATTTGAAGGGGCTCTTAGAGACTGGCTCCTTCTCCAAGAGCTTTTCCAGGCCCTTGCTTTGCTTCCTGTCCCGTTTGAGAGAGAATGGACGCTCATTCTCCGTCTCTCCCTGCTCGTGTAACGAGGCGGGGCGGGGTCGTTTCTCGGACGATACACGACGTGTCGGCGTTGACGTGGGGAAAGTTATCGCAATTGGGGCGGGGCGGGAGCTTGGAGTCGATGGAGTAGGAATTTGAGACTTGAAGGGGGATTTGGATACGAGATTGTTGTTATGCATATGTTTGTAGCTGGACGACGAGCGACGGGCAACGCCTGGGCCTCGTGGACGAGCTGGAGAGTCCCGCTTTGAGATTCTGAGCGGGGACGTTATGGACGACGACGAGGAAGAGCTTGTTGAGGATATGGAGCCTGTTGCTTGTACATTTGGTGTGTTCCACCCCATTCCAGATTCGCGGAGGATCGAGGATTTAATCGGGTCAGGCGAATTTGAGAGCAGCCTGTCCCGCAAAGGAGACTTTCTGCTTGTCATCAGCGGGTCAATAAAACGCAATAAAGAGAATAAAAAGAGGCGATCAGAGAGAAGGAAAAAGGTAGAATCGAGTGGCTCAAGAGAAGTTGCCTAACGCAAACTCAACAAACCATTTCGTGGGAATAACAATGCGAACCCAACTCACAACGCGTCCTTCGTCACGTGATGGTGCTCCCGGCCGTCCGAGAATCAGCTGTAATTAGCCGGCTCTCGGTGACTCACGGACCGACGCAAGATCTAAGATGAGGACCAGTCTTCCCTCCTAAGCTCAAACTACAACCACCATGTCCTTCCAAGGCTTGATTTCTGGCTCAGAATGCGGCGCATCCTCAAACCCCCTTTCCCAGATGCTAAAGCATACTGAAGGAGATCGCAGTCTGACCCAGGTCAGTTCCCATTAGGGGCTGCCAATATTTACCCCACATCGCTCACAGAAATTCTTCACTCCAGGATCGCATTGCAGGCCCTTCGTCTTCGAGAGTACGCCTCCGAGTGTATCGTTTTATCTCGTCGATTGACCCTAAAATCTAGTTGCATCAACTTCCGACGTCCGCCAACGCAGGCCCAGTCAACGAACACGATGCGGCCTTGGCCAGGCAATTCTTCGAATCTCAAGGACAGGAACATGTCTTCAGTCCAGGGTTTATGGCCACGCATGCACCGGACCTCTCGCGATTTGAGATGGAAGCTAGACCGGAACTCAGGGAAGCGTGGGCGAAAGAGCAGAGTTTGCGTGGTCTTGATGCTCCTTCTGCAGCGGCTGGGTGGGCTAACGAATTTTCGAGTGCCCCTGCAATGAATGCATCGGCCCAGCAAGCTGTTGTGAGCCGCCCAGAAAGTGAGTGCCCTACAGTGTTTTGAACCGACATCGACTCAACACTCCTGCTAGTGGCGCAACAACGATCTTTCATGCCGGGGTACAATACCTACGGTGGGTCGATGGGCATGGCTCCTGGAATGTACGGAATGGGAATGGGGATGCAATATGGCATGAACCCCTCTGTCCAAACAACCTTCCAAGACAAGGGCAAGGGAAAGAGCAGAGAAGAGGACTTTGAGGCTGCCTTTGCTAAGGCTGCAGCATCGTTCACCCCAGCGGAGAAGACGGAAGACGAAACCGTCGCAGAATTGGAGGATGCGATGAAGCAAGCTACCCTTGAATCGAAAGAAGGAGAGTCAGACTTTAAAAAGTAAGTCCTTCGATTGTGTGCATTATCCATCCATCTAATCGAGGCACAGAGTTTGGGATGAGATGCAAAACTCTGATATCGCACCCCCAGAGGAAGATCTGGCTAAATGGGAGTCAGAATTTGCGCAATTAATGAACGCCCAGAGGGAAGAACTCGACTACGGTGCATCGATGCAAGAAGCTTGGGAGAGCGGCATTGGTGACTTCCAGCAGGGAGCCAGCAGCGACAAGGCGCTGCAGTTCGATCCAGAGGGCGTCCCTATTCTCGGCGAATACACATTTGGTATACCGTCTCCATAAACAAGCAGATGACCATCGCTGATCCGGTTCACAGAGCAAAACAATCCTTTCCTCGAATCCCCTTCCCGGTCATTACTGAGTGACGCCAAGGCCCTTTTGGAGCAGAACGGCTCGCTGTCCGAGGCAGCTTTGATGATCGAAGCTGCCATCCAGAAGGGAGAGCTTGGTGAAGGAGGATACGAGGCATGGATCCTCCTTGGCGAGACGCGGAACATGGACGAAAGGGAGGAAGCTGGAATGAAAGCACTAATGGAAGGTGTGAAGAGAGCCGAAGCTGCCGGTGCAGCTGGAGAAGGAATGCTGGTAAGTCTCTCTTGACAACTGCGACTCAGTGCTTTGTTTTGACGACACTCGACAGTCGCTGGCCATTTCCTTCACCAACGAATCGTATGACAGAGGCTCGCACGCAATGTTGCTGCGCTGGATCAGGGCTCGTCACCCCGAACTCCCCATTCCAGAAGAAACCATCAAAGCGATGACCACCAATTCTGCCTGGGACACCCACGGGCGTATCACCGACGTCTTCCTCAGCCTTGCACGGTTGCAAAACAGCCAAGGCGTGTTAGATCCCGACGTCCAGATCGGCCTGGGTGTACTGTTCTACAACAACAGCGACTACGATCGAGCCAAGGATTGCTTCGAAGCTGCCTTGAGTGTCAGGCCAAAGGATTATCTCCTTTGGAACCGGTTGGGATCGTCGTTGTCGAATGGAAACAAGCCCGAGGAGGCTCTTGGTGCTTACCGAGAGGCCTTGCAACTTCGCCCGACGTATACCAGGGCGATTTATAACGTTGGTGTGGCTTGTACGTGCTTAAGTCCTGCTTTTGTGGAGGATCCGCTCTCATGGGTCGTTTGTTAGGCTTGAATATCGGAGCTGATAAGGAAGCCGCCGAGCATTTCCTTACGGCTTTGAACTTGCAAGACTCGACCAGCAACGATACGAGTGATCAATTGTGGTTCACCCTTCGCAGGGCATTGCTTTCGATGGTAAGTGGGCCCCCTGCATCTGCCGCTTCTATCGACACGGACTCACCATCCATTTAGGGACGAACCGACCTCGCGGACGCAGCGAAGCCTGAGGCGAAGACGAACCTAGATGTTTTCCGGAAAGCAGGATTCGATTTCTAGACGTAGAGTTCTTGGTTTTTTCTTCCGCGTCCCTTTTCAATCGTTAAGAGATATCTATCACCTATAATCTTCGTATATCCCAGGACAATCCACGTCAACTAGTTTTGTATTCCGTATCCAATTTCTCTGCCTTCTTTACATCCTTTATTCCTTCTCTTCGGAATATTGAATCCCGTGCCGTCTACCGTCGAACGTTGCCTCGGACGAAGCCTCAATTGAATTCAGGTTTTGCGAGCCGGCGAGTCCGATCAAAAAGCTCCCCCCTGTTGTTCTTTCTTCCTTTCGCCATCGTCACAAGTTCTAATTCCTGCCATTTCCGAACCCTTTTCTGTCCCTGTGACTTTTGGAAGCGTTATAAAGATCCTGAATCCAGATATGACTCTTACGCCCCTCTTGATTCGTTCTTGTTACTTTCTCTCTTCAACGTTGACTTACTAGTAGTCGGAACCACAAAATGGCGACCTCGGATTCTGGAGACGTTCAAATGTAAGGTTTATGTATTTTTAGTACGGTTAGAAGAGTAACTGACGTTCCATTGACTGGGCGTGGTTTATAGTCACAACCTGAGCAAACCCTCAGCGCAGGGAGCTCAGCTAAACAAGATCTCATGCCAGATTACGCAAAACAAGGTATCCGATTGGCTGGCGCCCATGTTCCTGTTTCTCTCGTCAATGACCTGTTAATGACGATGGTGACAATGAATGATAGATCCGGGGAGGAGCACAGGCGATGCGTCAGTAATCGCGTTTTGAGCCTCGAAATTCGCTGGATGCTCACCGTGTCTATTAGTCTATGCCGTCGGACTGGAGGAGACGGACATGGATAAACCCCAGGTACGTACTGCTGCGGACTCGGGATTCACTAGATCCGGGGTTCGAGAGCCTCGCCTGTGGTGTTCTCATAATAACAATGCTCGTTTCTTTTTCATGATTAGATCGGTATTTCGCCGGTCTGGTGGGAAGGTGCGTTCCAATCCGTTTGATCTCATCATCCTTCTGCAAAGATATCAGGCTAATTATATCGACTGGCTATCGTACTGTCCTCCAGGCAATCCATGCAATTTCCACCTCCTTGACCTTGCAAAGCATGTCAAGAAAGGCTGTCAAGAAGAAGACCAGATTGGGTTGATCTTTAATACCATCGGTGTCAGGTTCGCATACGCTTTCGCCACCATGTTTGGATTGAATTTTGAATGTCGCGTTGTACAGTGATGCCATTACGATGGGTACAGACGGTACGTCCTCATACCCATTGCATGAGAACCAAGCTTTAATGTGTCTGCCTGTTCAGGAATGCGGTACAGTCTACCCAGTCGAGACCTCATCGCGGACTCCATCGAAGCAGTCGTCATGGTTCGTCAACCTCTTCAACCTGCCTTGCGTTGCCTAACTATGGGGAACGCAGGCCCAGCACTACGACGGAAACATCGCTATTCCTGGATGCGACAAGAACATGCCCGGCTGCTTCATGGCTGCTGTCCGACACAACCGACCGACCATTATCGTCTATGGAGGGACTATCCAACCTGGTACCCGGCACGTTGGTAAGTTCTTCTGAATATCTTACTCTCGGATGCGGTAGAGTTGACTTGATGTCGGTAGATTGTCCTTCTATGGGTAAAGAGAAGGGAGGGACTGTGAATATTTCGGATGCGTTTGAATCGTATGGTCGGTATCCAGGATCGTCTCCCCCGAGGGCTGCGCTTACCTTGGATGCCCAGGTGCCTTTACTGTGGGCAAGATCACCGATGAGCAGAGGTTCGACGTTGTGCGACATGCCTGTCCTGGCCCCGGAGCCTGCGGCGGAATGTACACTGCGAACACGATGAGTTCTGCCCTCGAGGTCCTCGGCTTGTCGCTCCCGTATTCTTCAAGTATCCCAGCGATGCATCCAGGTAATGGCGTGTCTTTTTATCTGCATGCCGCTGAAGCGCTGATAGATTTTCACCTGTAGAGAAGGTCCAAGAATGCTTCAGGGCTGCCAAGTACATGAAGAAGCTGCTTGAGTTGGATTTGAAGCCCAGGTGTGTTGATTTGTTCTTTCCCGATCGTGTAAGCTCATTCCGCTGGTCACTAGGGATATCTTGACGAAGCAGTCCTTCCTGAATGCCATTGTCATCATCACCGTTCTGGGAGGCTCCACGAACGCGGTACGTCTGCATTACTTGTAAGTAAAGTCAAGGATATGGCTGAATCTGTCCGCAGGTTCTCCACTTGTTGGCAATGGCCCGAGCTGCTGAGATTGATCTCACCATCGACGACTTCCAAGCTGTAGCAGACAGGACACCATTCCTGGCCGACCTCATGTAAGCTAGCATCTCTTACTCCAGATGCTAGGGCTTTACTCACCTTTGTCTTTCCAGGCCGTCAGGTCGCTATTACATGGAAGACATCCACCGCATTGGCGGCATCCCCGCCATCGTCAAGTATTTGTTGAACCACTCCGATCTCATCGACGGAAACCAGATGACTGTCACTGGAAAGACGCTGGCTGAGAACCTAGCGGATGTTCCTGAGCTTGAGTTCCATAACCAGGACGTCTTCCGTCCACTGGACAATCCTATCAAGCCGACAGGTCATATCACGATCTTGAGAGGTAACCTGGCGCCAGAAACAGCTGTTGCGAAGCTCACTGGCAAAGAGGGACTGAGATTCGAGGTAAGTTGAGGTTTTTACATGGGTATTCGATGTCACTCACGAGGATGAATTCAGGGTGTCGCGCGTTGCTTCGATAGCCTCGAGAAGTTCTACCCCGCTCTTGCTGCAGGGGAAATCAAACCCGGAACTGTCCTAATCTTCAGATATCAAGGTCCCAAAGGTGCACCCGGTATGCCGGAGATGTTGGGTATGAGCGCTGCATCGCGTGGTCTGCCGCGGAAAGCTAATCAACGGTTTTCTCTTTGTCTAGGTCCAACTGGAGCTATCGCAGGCGCTGGCTTGGCCAACTCGACTGCGTTGATCACGGACGGCCGTTTCTCTGGCGCCAGCCGAGGGTTTATTATTGGGCACGTCGTCCCAGAGGCACGAGTTGGCGGACCCATTGCCCTTGTCAAGGACGGAGACAAGATCGTCATCGACGCCGAGACTCGAACAATCAACTGGCTCGTGGATGAGGAAGAACAAGCAAAGAGGAGGAAAGAATGGGAGGCGTCGGATAACGGCAAGTTGAATGTGAAGAGAGGAGTTTTGTACCGATATGCCAGAGATGTCGCGGTGAGTGTTTCCGTGTATTCTGTGCGATATAACATCATTGAATTTCCCTACTAGCCTGCAAGCATGGGAGCATATTGTGATTGATGAAGCAAACTAAAACCCTAAGATAGCTCGTTAACATGTAAATCGTCCAGGGAAGATAAGCAAATGGGAAAGCAGTCGTCACTATGGTTTATGGAAAGCCCGTGTTCCCGAGCCTGGTTATGATGGTATGGATAATGTGGGTGGTGTGTGTGGGTTGAGAGGCTCTGTCATGTCATCTTGCTCAGTCGTTCTCCTTGGAGTACCTGGCCGTGATCTGGAATGGCTTTTACGGTGTGACTTCTTCCCTGAGCCCTCTGAGCTCTGTCTGCTCTTCGACGTGTGCACCATCTCTCCAGGTTTGGCTATACCCATAAGCACCGCAGGGTCGGGGGGTATGATGAACCTCTCCGTCGATGCATTTGGATTCAACTTCTCTGGTGGTGGATCGCACTTCCCCTCTTCTGCCAGACGTTTCCGTTTCTTTCTGTTGTATCTTTTGCGGAAGTAGATGGCGAATCCGATGACCCATGCCAGGAAAAGAGAGACCCCGCACACAACGCCTGCGATAATTGGAGTTTTGGCAGGTTTCCTGTGCGTATATGCGGATGAGCTGAGCTTGTGGAGCTAGACATCTGGGCGCACCCTTGCAAAGCTGCTGCTTCAGAAGAGCTTACTTCTCGTCTTGCTTCGAGAGTACGAGATGGAGACGCTATTTGGAAAAATCAGTTTATTGATTTGCGGGCACTTGCAGTATAAAGACGCACTCGGGGACATGATAGTAGAGCTGAAACTCCTGGAATGGTTCCAAGGGTAGATTAAGGAGAGAACCGCAGCATGTATACAGCGTGGGTTTAAATCATTAGGTAGCAACGAGGCGGTACTGAGTGTACTGATATCGGAACAATGGAAGCGTTTACTGCGCACTGTGTGGGTTGGTGAGGAAGAGGTGGAAGCAGCGACAGAGCGCCGACAGACTACGTTCCCATATAAGGCAGGCAGTGATGGCACAGCCCCTCTCCTCTGCCGTCTGCAACAGTTGTTTGTCACTTCGCCATTCCCGTCGCGTCGCGGTGAATGGCGACCCCAAGATGACTGTAGAACCTTGGAGCAAGGCACTATGGAAGTCTCAACCTTATCCCGACGACTACGTTCCACCTGATGTCTTCCTCGCTTCTCTGCAACGAAACCGTAGGCTCTTTCGTTTCTAGAGCAGGCACGACTTACTGAGGAATTGCTTCGTTGGATAGCCCATTTCAAGCCATACACCTACTGGCCTTTGGTGATTTTGACTTGCACGATCACCCAGCATGTTTCTGTCATCTTCATTTTCGTCGCTGTCTTTGGACAACTGAATGCTCAGCTGCTGGATCCTCGTACTTTGATCTCAATATCCGTTGCATGCTTCCTTGTGGGATATGCTGCGTGGACGTTCCTCGACAGTACTCCCCAGCGTCCTTCAAAGGGCTCCCGGACAGAAAACCGTAGGTGGAAACCTACTTAGAGCATCAAGAACACTCATACCACCTTGGATTTTACAGACTTGAAAGCTATAAAGTCATCCATAATGATTTTTCTTTCCCTGGTTTCCCTTTCTCCTGTTCTCCGGACACTATCGGCGGCAACCTCGTCAGACTCCATTTGGGCACTCGCCGCTGTCCTCTTCTTACTCAACACCTTGCTGTCCGACTATACTTGGACCACTGTTCCAGGAGAGTTACGCGGTCGGTAAGTGGGCCAGCGCTTCATTACACACGTCGATTGACCAGTGCAATCCTCGTTCAGGTTGACCTCCGTTCTCGCTATGAACGCCGCCATCTGCGCTTCAGTTGTGCTGGCGTCCCGTCTTGACAGCGATATAGCCGTGTTCGCACTAATCCTATTTGCAGTGCATTCGTTCATCTTATACCCTATCCTCAAAACTCGAATCCAGGTGAGTAGAATAACAAGCCCAGTTGTACGAAGGTTGCTAAAGAATCATGCACAGGAGCTATCCAATGCGCTCTGGATCATGATTACTCTCATCCTAGGCTCTCTTGCCTTACATTTAGTCGGCCAGCTGTCGCGGGTCGTAATGGGACTTTGCTCTGCGGTGCTCTTCTTCATCACGTTCGTGGCTCCTATGCTACTTGTCTGGGCGCAGAAGTATAAAAAGTAAGTCATCCCTGATGCGGTGACTGAGGCCGTTTCTGATGCTGGTTTGACCAGTAATATTCGAGGGCCGTGGGACGTGGCAACACCTAAAGTCCGTTGAAAGAACGTAACCCTCCCTTGTTTTACGCAGACGTGCCTTTCAGATACTTAACGGAAGTGGGAAATCAAGTATCACTGATGAAGAGTGGTACGTGTCAAGACTCAGAGGGCTGCCCTTTTGGAAGCTCTTGCACGAAACCCACCCGATATTGCCGAAGGTGCTTGGAGACTCGAAAGCAAAGTCAGGCAGAATGCTCTTCCCGTCAAATAAAACGAGTGTTCCGACGCAACTGGTTCTTGATCACTTTGGGAGGACAACCACTGGAAATGAGTGGGCTCGAAGGGTTGTCGTCGACTGTGCGTGGGTTGGAGCTGTTGGACGGAACCCCACAGAAAACATGCGCCCGACTGTCAAATGATTGGTCGTCATGGGCTCTGGTTTCATGGCTAGGGTACAAACGCCCGACAATGTCGGATTTTGCCTCTGCATTCAAGACTTGGCCGGGTTGGACAACATCGGTGGTGTTCTTGAAGGTGAACAGACGCCGAAAACCTAAATTGAACCGACGTGTCGCCATCTGAAATTGATTTAATAAATGGGAAGATGAAGCACGCCTGTGTCGCCCCTTTTTGGCAAATGGAGAAGCAGAATTCAAGTCAGGAGGAAAAATCAGGTAGCTGACCTGCATCAGCGCTGCCAAATCCCTTCTCCCCACGCCCAGTTGGTGACCGGTGAAGTACGTGGCCTTGTCGATCGTCTCTTCGGCGCTCTGCATCGCTGGAAATTGGTATGACTGGCGTCGACCCCAAGACAAGCTTGTCTTGGGGTCGATGCCAAATACGTACGAACACACTTAATTCAGCGGCAGTGTTTACATCTTTTTCATTGCCCTGTTTCAGCGTTCTGCTCATCGCTTCCATCAAAATGGACATTTTCGTTGACTGGGCTAATCGTCTTCTATGTGAACACGGGCCTCGGGCTAGACCGACTCTACTGAGTGAAGGCCGCGCACGACTGTTTTCTACTTGCTCTACTTGCTTCCTGTCACAAAATAGTGCATCCCTACCTGGAACTCAAAAACTCACTTTCCCTCAAGGAGACATACTTGTCCGTCACATTCGGAGTCCAGTGTATTGTTTGACCCAGTCTAACCATCCTGGTAGGATGCCAAGTCAGCGGCGCAGATACCCACAGCGGTGGACGTATTATATACAGAGCACGCAGCCTAGACCAACGCTGATTCCCTCCTTAAGTTCTCTCGACCTTCCTATTCTCTTAATTTCTAAACGCGCAGGCTCCCTTTCACCTATGTCAACCTGAGGGCCACCTGGGATGACATTGACCGATGATGATGGAGCCGCCGAATTCAAGTTGATTGCGGCGGGGTTGGTGGCGAAGCAGGCCCTGAGTGTAGGTTCTTCCTCGTCTGACACTCAGAGGGCACCTCATCCATGTATCTGTGAGCTGACGTCCTATTCCCTGGCCCGTAGTACGTACATGGTGGGTTTTCGAGTCAGCCGCGTTGGGCGCTTATTGAAGGCCTGATCTGATCTGGACTCCTTGTAGTGGCTTGTGTGGTTCTTTGGGTAAGTGTCTCGTCATAATGCCGACATTTCTCGTGAAAGATTGACAACGAGCTCTGTACGGATAGCTGACAGATTACCTGGATCTCCTCCACCTCGAGGTAAGTTCCAACGGTACCTCGGATAAAGGTTGGCGATCTGATGTGTCGGTTTACTAGATCCAGTACATATGGTTTCGCAAAACCACCCTCGTCAAACTGCTTTATATATTCATGAGATACCTGCCATTTGTGATCTTGCCGTTGTTCGTCGTGCGTAAGTTCCTGTGGTTCCTGATTCTCCTCGTATGGATAGACTCTGAAAATTTCGTTTTGGTTTCACAGATTCTACATTACTCGATATTCCGGTCGAGGTGCGTATTTCAACGGATCTCCGTCAAAACCCACCATTGACTTCATAGGCAGTTCTGCAAACCGTTCTTCACCGTCCTTGCCTGTAAGAGCCCTCTATATGTTACAAACAGCCCAATGAATCAATGATGTGAAGGTTGCGTCCCTGCCTGCTACTACGCTGCTCAAGGTCCGTGTCAATGACCTTACCTTGCACCGAAGGGCACTCTGACTATCACATGCTATTCGCTCCCTTCGCAATAGGCTTCCTCTTCCTCCGAGTTCACGCCCTCGGATATTCTAGAATTCTAACCAAATACCTCGTCGCGCATTATGTGTCTTCGAGTCTGATTATGGGAGGGATTTTTGTCAAGTTCCTAACCACTTTGCATAGTGAGTCCTATTCCAGATTTCTCGCCTAGCTTGGAAAGGTAGATTTGATGCTCGACCTTCCGTAGCCGTGGAGAGCTCCCCATTCGATTTGTTTGGGTGCACGTCGATTGTAGGAGACGGACGGTGGATGTCAATTAATTATGCGATTATTCTGTTTAACGAAGTCGGTGGGTGTTTTTACTCAAATTTGCGGGGGTGGACATCTGCTCATTGAGTTTTGTTTTTCGGGCTGAAGTGATGATGGTCCTCACTATATGCATTGCCTACCGCAAATACATTCTGTTGAAGACAAGACCTCTTGTGAGGATTTTCTACCGGGATGGGACTTTCTATTTTGTAATTTTAGCTGGTGAGTGTGGTATAGTAACTAACGGAAGGCAAAACTCTGACATGGTGTATACAGCAATTTCTACGGGGAACATACTAGCCAATTGGCTTCCTCCGGATGTAAGATTCAGACATCTCCCATCCTTAAAATCGTTCGTACGAAGAGCTGAACTTCTTCTCAGGCAAACTACGCGTATCTACTGACAATGTACGTCTCCAGCCCTCCCTAGCCTCCTTTATCTTCCAACCTGAACTGTTTTTCCCCCCTCCTCAGAATTCAATTTACACTACACAATGCCCTCACTACACGGATGATGCTACACGTTCGACAAGTTGCTGCTGAAGATTCGGATTGGGGACCGGAAGGAGTTGGGCATGGAGGAGGGGGGTATACGGAAGAGATGTCGGCTGCTCGGTTTCCTATACAATTTAGAGGCCGAGGGGTGGACACGTATCTTAGTGCGACGTCTTGAGGCTGACCGGAACCGGGACGCTGATGATACCAGTTGAAAACTGTTTACTTGAAAGAGTGGGTTTGTGTATATGTAAGCGTGATATTAATGTATCCAAGTGGTGACACTTTGTGGGCCCAATGGCAGAGAAATACAGTAGAAGTGCTCCTGGAGCCTAAATTGGTACATACAAGCATTACGGAGGGGACGCGTCGCGACGCGACTGGTTTCCCATGATGGGAGGCGTCTCTTGTGGGCATTCTTATCAAAACAGGTTGAAAACTGGTGCAAGTCCCGTGAACTTCGGTCGTGTACACTGTGGATTATGTGGGCCCTGTGTGTATCGACAGTACCTGACAAGCCTTTGGGTTGATTTCCTGCTGCCTCGCTCCAACCGAGACCCACAAGAGGTGTGTTGATGCGTCTTTGTCATCAGAGATTTGATCGTGGACTTGGGACTGCAGGCGCTGGTCCCAGCTTCTCACCCGACGTTCGTGTCGGAGGACAACCAGCCATGCCCAAACTAAAGTTCAAAGGAGACGACGAGAGGGATGGGAAGAGAGAGCGGAAGCACAGGAAACGGGAAAAAAGGAGACACGACCAAGGCGATGACCATGGACACCGTTCGAAACGACGTCACACGGAGGCCGACATGGATACGGGCAGGGCTCGGAAGTGGGCTTCCAGTGACGACGAGGAGATGCCTGGACCAATGCCTAGCGGTTCGGGACCATCAAGGGGCCAAGATGGATACCGGTCGACGACGGACGATGATACCCTGCGTGCCGAGGTGGAGGAACGGATGTTTCGAGAGAAGATGTTTGATGCACTGGGAGAGGATGAGAGGTTGGATGGGATAGAGGCTCAATTCAACGATTTCAGTGACTATATTCATATCCCCCATCGGGGAAAAGTGCGGCTAGTGACCTGCTGCAACGGAGCTCTACGACGAGGATGAGTTTCTGAAGGTGGATCCCACCTCTTTGGACGATGATGAGTATGCCGAGTGGGTTCGCCTTGGGATGTACCGGTATGTCTTCCTTAATCTGGACATGACATGTTTTTGAACGATTTGATATAGGAAAACGCATGCGGCAGAACATGCTGAACGACTGCGGCGAAAGGCTGCTGCTGAAGAGCGGCGTGCTGCAGAGAAGGCTCGGAGGCGGGAAACAAGGAGATTAGAACGGTTAGAGGCGGAGGAACGGGAGGCTAGAAGACAAGAGCGTCGGGCGAAGCGGGTGGAGAATGCAAGGGTCGAGTATCAGTCTCGATGGAAGAGGCTTCTTGAAGAAAAGAACAATCAGGACGTGCTCCGCTTCCACGACATACCGTGGCCTATCGCCGCTGCCTATGACAAAAACAAAGACGGATCCAATGCGGTCCTGGCGGCAGACGCGTTCACAAAGGAAGCAATTTCGGCCTTTCTTCTTCCATCTGAAGGTGAAGATAAACGGGAGCGCAAGGAAAGACTTCGGGAAAGCTTTCTGCGGTTCCATCCTGACAAGTTTGAAGGGCGCTTCATGCGGCGGATACGGTCTGAGGACGAGGCTGTTGTACGTGAGACGATAGGGCAAGTGAGCCGGACACTGAACGAACTATTAGAGTCGCTGTAGTAGAATACAAAAGACTTAAAAGTTATTGTGCCGACAACAAGGGGGTTGATTACATAATACACGGGCATGCATGGCCTTGGCAATGGGTGGGTCTGGATTTGCGCCTACTCTCTTCCCTCACTCACTGGGACCCAGTGTCACAGCACCGCCAATCTCTCTACCTCGTCTGTCTTTTCCTCTTCCTTTCCCTATAATTATTCCTTGGTTATCTTTCCCAATTGCTGGTCTTTTCGGTCTACACACGTACTTTACACCAAGGACTCGTTGCTATCCCAGTCCTTCAAAAGCGACCAACTAAATGTCGAAAATCGAGGATGCAGCCGACAGCATCTTCAACGACAGCTCGCGGACGCTGGCGCCCGAGGCTGTCGCATCGCAGGTCGCCCTCATGAGTATCGTGTCGGTGCGTCGCATCGCTTAACCCTTGAATGCGCGCCGAGATCACTGACGGAACCCCCAGATCGTCACCGTTCTTTTGTTCAACCTGCTCAGACCAAAGAATAAGGTGCGCATCGTTTCAGCAACGAGGTCAACGCCTTTCGACGTGGAGGTCGCTCCGCCCGGGCACGTTGAGAGGCTTCGATTCTCACAGCTAATTACTGCGACCAAACCGCGAGCTAACAGCGCCACTTAGATCATCTACGAACCCAAGGTCAAGTACCACGAAGGAAACAAGCCTCCACCACGCATAACAAGTCATCTATTTGGCTGGCTACCGCCATTAGCACACACGAAGGAACCTGAACTGCTCGATAAAATTGGTCTCGATGCCGTCGCTTTCCTGCGCTTCAACCGGCTTCTTCGCCAGCTCTTCTCTGGCATCGTTCTCCTCACTGGCGCCATTCTCATTCCCATTAATGTCACCTACAACTTGAAAAACGTCGACAAGAAGAGCCGTGACCTCCTCTCCATGCTCACGATCCGGGACGTGCAGGGCGACTTCCTTTATGCCCACGTCGCAACAACCTACCTCATCACAATCCTGATCATGGGTGTGGTATGGTACCACTGGACACAGATGATCAAGTTGCGCCATCAATGGTTCCGCTCCCCCGAATACCTCCAGTCATTCTACGCCAGGACGCTTCAAGTAATCCACGTACCGAAGAAGTACCAGTCCGACAATGGCCTCAAGGAAATCTTTGATCAACTAGGAATGCCCTACCCCACCACTAGTGTCCATATCGGTCGCAAAGTCGGCAAGCTCCCCGAACTTATCGAGTACCACAACCAAACCGTCCGCGAATTCGAACAAATTCTCGTGCGATACTTGAAAGGCGGGAAGATCAAGTCCAAGCGTCCAACTATCCGGATTGGTGGTAAATTTGGATGCGGGGGCGTTACGAAGGATGCGATTGACTTCTATACGTGGGTCCTGGCCATTTAAGCTCCACAATTCCAACTGACAGATTGGCGTGTTTTAGTGCAAAGCTGAAGCGCACTGAGGCCGCAATCGAGGAGTACCGCAACCAGATTGACACCCGCAAGGCCGAGAACTACGGTTTCGCGAGTTTGGCCGCTGTTCCCTACGCCCATATCGTTGCCCAGAAGCTCGAGGGCAAGCACCCCAAAGGCACAACAATCTCGCTGGCACCCAACCCCAAGGATATCGTAAGTCCATTTCTATTCGTACTTGAAGCTTAGCTTATTTTTATTGTCCAGGTGTGGAGCAACATGAACAAGACCGATGGCGAACTCGCAAGGAAAAAGTTGATCGGTGTCCTCTGGCTCGTCCTAGTCTGCTTCTTCAACACGCTTCCTCTGTTCGTGATTTCGGCTCTTGCAAACATGGACGCTGTAAGTGTTTTGTCCTTTGATCAGACCTTCAAACTGAAAAGTAGTACTAGGCCCGAGCGTTTCTGCCTTTCCTTCAGCAATGGTTTGAATCGTCACCCAAGACCTTTGCTATCGTTTCTGGTGTGCTCCCCGCGACGGTTTCTGGCATCTTCGGTTTCTTCCTCCCTATCGTTATGCGTTGGTTGACCAAGGTTGGTCCTCGAGTTAATTAGACCCGTGATCAAGGCTCACACATTTTATCAGTACATGGGCGCTCTGACCTACTCGAGACTTGATAGAGCTGTCATTGCGCGCTACTTTGCATTCCTGATCATCTCGCAGTTGATAATCTTCACTTTGATTGGTGTCCTATTCAGTGGGTATCGACGCCTTCTCATACGACATTGACGAAATTGAACCCCATTTGCAGACTCGGTGAAGGAGATCATCAAGGCGATTGGCAAGCAGGGCTTGAACCTGAATGACATTCTTGCGGAATTGGACAGTGAGTTTTCCTTTCTTTCAGGTGTGTTTGGTATACTCAAGTAGCTGTTTTTCCGCAGAATTGCCTGGCAAGATCCACACCACCTATATCAATCAGGCTTCGTATTGGCTGACTTTCTACCCGTCAGTTCCTTGGCTCCATTACTTGTCGGCGTTGAACTGACCTCGTTATGACGATAGACTCCGTGGTTTCCTTGTTGTCTTCGATCTCGCCCAGATCATCAACCTCGTCTGGCTTTCGTTCAAGACTCAGTACGTAACTTGATCTTCGGGACAGCGACGGTTGTCCAATTGAACTTTTCAGTGTCTTCGGTCGTACCCCTCGAGATATCCGAGAGTGGACGCAGCCACCCGAGTTCCAATATGCCGTGTACTAGTACGTTGTTGTCTCAAGTGGCCAATGTGTTGGGTGCTGACTGAAGACTTCTGAAGCTCCAACTTGCTCTTCATGTCTGCTGTTGGTCTGGTGTTCGCTCCACTTGCTCCCCTTGTCGCCCTGGCAGCCTGCTGCGTCTTCTGGATGGGTTCTTGGGTCTATAAATACCAACTCATGTTTGTCTATGTCTCAAAGGTCGAGAGTGGTGGGGTATGTGCGGTCTTTTTGTGTTCTCGGCTCCATTGGAAGCTAATCGTCTTGCAGCGAATTTGGAACGTCGTTATCAACCGACTTTTGTTCTGCGTCTTGCTCATGCAATCGCTCATGGTTCTTAGTACGTCCTTTTGGATTGGAAGTCTGAAAAGAGATTAACTCTACTCTCAGCCATCGGTCTGCAGAAGGGATTCAGGTCCTTGCTCTGGCTCTCTGCTCTCCCTCCCGTCCTATTCATCATCGCCTTCAAGTTCTACATCAACGCGAAGTTCATCCCTGCCTTCCGCTACTTCACACCAACCGAGGAAGAAATCCACAAGGCCAAGGTCCACTCCGAACGTGCTGATCACAAGGCTAACAAACTCGAGAAGCGCTTCGGTCATCCCGCTTTGCATATGGAGCTGTTCACGCCCATGTTGCACGCGAAGATGATGCCCCTTCTCACTCAGGTGTATTCTGGCAAGATCAAGGAGGACAAGGCGCATTTGGACGAGTATGGAGGACAGAAGATGGCTGCTCAGATCGTCCCTGGTGGTATCAGGATCGCTGCTATCAACCAAGCCGACCTCGAATACGACCCTGTCATGTACCAGCGGGACCGTGGCGAACTCGATTGGGATCAACGTTCGATTTCGTCTACGAATATGCTCGACACCGCTTCCACGCTCAATGGCCACTACACAAGCCCCAGCACATCTAAACTGAACGACTATCTACATTATGGACCTACCAAGGCACATGGTTCTGAATTTGAGATGACGCCTGTGGATTCTATGACCGACCTGCTCGATCCTCGTGTGGCTGGATATCACGGCCAAGGATTCGATTCCCACAACTCACTCGCCAGACCGCCTTCGCTCTATCAACAAGGCGGTAACGACTCCGCGCGAGACTTGTACCGACCTCAGGACCGCAGCTACTCGCCTAGTCCCTACTCCGACTCTCAACACACGCTCGTCAACTATTCCGAATCTCAACAACAACATCAATACCCACCGCAACATACCCGCCAACCGAGTGGTAACATGCTGGCTAATTATCAGCCCCGGACGCAGTCACCCAGCCCGTACGCTCGTGCTGGCACCCCTCAACAATACCCCCCTCAACAGCAACACGGCCGGGCATCACCTGGTCCTAATCAAGCGTATCAGTCTGCTCGGACGCCTTCGCCAGGACCTTATCAGGCTCTTGGAAGGACGTCACCGGGGCCTAATCAGGCGTATACGGGAAGGATGTCTCCAGGACCTAACCAGGCTTATGGATATGGTCAGCAGCAACAGACATATCCCCAGCATGGCCGACAGCCAAGTGGGAATATGCTCAATGCGCCAATGAACCAGACGCGCTCTCCTTCACCGATGGGTCAACAGGCCTATCCTCCGCAACAACACGTGAGGCAGCAAAGTGGGAACATGCTGCATCAGATCAATACACAGGTGCATCCACAGCAACAGCAGCAGCAGCACCTAAGATCACCTAGTGCCGACCTTCTTTCGGCACACGGACATTCGCCGGTTGGGTCGAGTCCCTCCTCGCCCTCACCGTACTCACCACGTCAACAAGGAGCGTTGAACGCTCGACAGCCACAGAACCATGCTGGACGTGGTGCATTTGGCCATGGACAAGGACAATAATCATGGATACTTTCGGCTTTTCAAGTAACTACTATCCACTAACGACAATGCAACCCTTTTGACTTCTTTTTAGCTTACCCTTACGCATTTGTTTTGAAAACATTGAATTGTATTTCTGCCTTTTGTTGGTTAGCCTACCTACTCACGCGAATTGGTTTGAACGCTTTCTTTGAAGAGGATAGAGCGTTCTTTATTTCCTCTCTTTTTCGTTCGTGGAGTACCTCTTTTGTAATGACAGACGCTTTTTAGAACAAATGTAATGCCCTACCAACCTAATCTCGCTCTCGGGCCCTCAGCGCAGAATGCCTTCGTGAATCGTGGTTGCCGTGTGTTTTTTTCAGTGTATACAGGATGTACATTATGCCGTCGATGTGGTCTAGGGTATGGTCGGCGGAAAGGTCCATTGTCAGTATAATCAAGTGTCTATTTCCACCACTTCAAGCAGAACTTCCGTGGTATCGTGATGGCTCGCTTTTTGAGACGCTATTCCCTGCAGATAAACCTGCACCGTTTTGCAGGAGGATCGCTCGGCGAGTGCGGATGTGACCGACCTGGGCCACTCGCTAACCCCGCAAGCGGGACTTTCGTCAGGAACGACGAGCGACAGTTCCGTAAGGGATGGTAATGTCAATCGGTCAAGGAAGGGTCCCATCGCCGATCCGGTAAAGGCGACAATCTCCATCGACTTGAGGTTCTGCAAGACAAGGGGAGCCGTCGAGTCCATTGAAGGACATTGGGCGTGAAGCAGATGTATCCGGCATTTTTCCAGGTCTGGGCACCGTTTCAGCACATCAAGATGTGACTGCATGTCTGCCCAGCATCGGGAAGAAAAGTGAACAATTTGATTCCAGGGGAGGTTGAGTGGTGTTGGATCCAGAGGAACAGTGAGGAGAGAGACAGATCGGAGTTTGGGGGCGAATTGAGGGGCTAAGTGGAGGCTAGAGATGGCGTGGTTTGATCCAAATTCGAGTATCTCGAGGGTGGGCATCGGTGTGCTCAGTACTGACCGCACTAGGTGCTCGGTGAGGTTGAGGCGGAGTCGATACCAGCGCTCCGAAAACGAGAGTAAGGTTGCGAGTGTTCGGTAGTATTGAGCGGGTTCCATGTGTGGCGACACGGATATTTCGATGGAGAGAGGGAGGCTCCCCGATCGTTGAAGCCATAGTTTAGCCAGAGACGCGCTTCCCTCTTTTCGGGTGATAGAGAGGGAATTCCAGAGGTGTGAAGTGGAGATGGCGATGCCTCGCCAGTAGCTACACACTTGGCAGAAGAGAAGGGGGCCGTTACGCACGCTCGGTCGAATGTAAACCTGGTCCTCTGGCATGGCATATTGAAAGATGACAGACCAGAGCTCTGGGGGTATCCGCCCAACAGCAGACACCGAAGCTTTCAACCTTGCCAACTGACTGGTCAGCTCCTGCCGGTGAGAACGCAGTTGATGAAGATGGGCCTTGGTGTGTATGATCTGTGCATCCAGGAGATCCTCGCTCTTTGGGGTACGTTTGGGAGCGACCAACGTGTATTGTCGCCACAACAAGCGAGCATGTCGGAAAAGGGCAAAGTTGCGAGTCGAGGGTTCTGATAACCGTCGCAACGCCGCTCGTTGATGCCTCAGTCGGAGTAGGTCGTCCAGGGTTTTGCGTGCGCAGTTGCCTCGCATGTCGAGCGCCTCCAACCAGGCTTGAAGCTCATCGATGGCTTCAAAGGTTTCTCGCTCCGAGCGAGTCGCCTTATCCTAAACATTCCAACCTGTCAGCGCACGTTCATGAGCGCTTAATATCCCGATTCGATGCTCACCTGGAAGGCTAGACTGGCGTCCATGACATGCATAGCAACACAGGGACCCTATGGGTGATTCCAACGTCTTTGAGTGACCTCAGAGGCGTAGGTGGTGAGAGACGGGGAACGAGCGGAAGTTGGGCGAAATCTGCAAAGCGGGAAGCATTATTTAACGAGGAAATCCGGGGACTGATGCGATCAACACATTAACCTTACTCCGGAAGCTTGTGGCGGTGCCCGGAGTCAATAGAGGTACCCTACCCAGCCAAGTGGCACTCGTTGTGACAGCTTTGTCGTCTTCTTCCTCCATGATTCCTGTAACTCGAGTGGCTTTTCTTCTGGATTGCTGCTTGGAGTATCAATCGTTGGTACACTTCTCAATTCTCACAATGGAAGGGACTTTACACCGCTAATTTGGGACTAGCTTGAATGGTACGTACCCTGGAAACCATCTGCTCACGAGATGAAAGCTCGTATCTTTGTTATACTTTTGGGATGGGGGGCAACTCCTGTGCGCTCCCAAATGACCTGCCGTTCTGGCAAAATCTTCTCTCTGAATTTTCCACTTCCGATGACATGAAACGTCCCTAATCAGGCGCTGACAACTCTTCTCACAGATACTCTTCTCACAGATGAATGTACATACTTATGATACATACGCAGTCAGATTTCGTAGTATGGATAAGAATGAAAGAAACCAAAGATGCCTATATTGCCCAATCGGGCATTGCTCCAAGACCGAATTACAGAACTGATGCAGGGAAGCGATGCCTCAGGATGCCACCACTGAAGATCGCTGTACAGCTTCACGCTCGCTTTTGTTTCAATCCCCAACTGCCCCATGTCGACTTGTCTTCTGAAGATATCAAGAGCCCCCAGGAAATAGCATAGTGGTCCAACACCAAATCGAGTTCTTCGGTTTCATCCAGGAACTCCAATTTTGCAATCCTAGTGACAATCATGGAAGATCAGAAGAGAGCAGGACAGAAATAAACCTTCGAGGTCTCACCGTTCCAATTCGGTTTCGTCGATATATGCCCTACGGATTTCCCGCAACGTCAGTGCTCGCGCTGCGGTGAAACCGGTATCCGTGAACCTCTTCGATAGGCTTTCCAATGTCGTGAATGGTTCAGCACCTGGTAGAGTTACGTTTCTGGCCTAAGTTTGGAAATACATCAGCTGAATGAAGACTAACTGTGACTCTATTTACTGACCTGCAGATTGGCCAGCATAACTCGACCGAATGCATCATTCAGTTTAAACATTTCATAAATCAAGCACCCGAGAATGCCTCCACCCTTGGAAACGTACGCCGCGAACCATTCAAGGAGGGTTGATGATGCACCCGGCTCCATGTACGCCAGGACACATTCAAAGAGAAGGAAGGTCGGGAGCGAAGGAGACAGTAGAGGCTGGCCATCGACTCCATGTTCGGTCGAGGTGAACAGTGGCTCGAGAGTTTCAGTAGGGGGTCGCCTCAGATCGGCGGAGAGGAGATGGTACTGGGCTGAATGAAGCCCCGTGCCACCGCCCACTGTATCCTATTATCAGACTACAAAGGAATGATTGAACTTGCTATTACGAACCGACTTTGACTTGAGCAGGGTCCCCAAGACCACCGTTGAGCTCCTTACTCTTCCGGATGGCCATAGCCTTCCTGGTCACAATCTCTGGGAAATCAACCTCTATGTAGGTTGAGAAATCATCTTTGCGTGGGCCTGTCTGCCTGGGTGGATGGACGAGGGTGAATCGTCAGATCTCCAACCGAACTTCAACCAAAATGAATGGCATAATCTAAAACTAACCGCAAGCCTCCAGAATCTCGTATCGCTCCCGGCTCCTAGACTCACAATCTGACATTTCTGTCCTGATTGCTTCGCCAGGTCAATAAATTCGTCCACGAGCAAGTCGATAGCCGCCGTCCGCACGTACGTCCCAATGTTAATTAGTGGCGGACGCGGTGGTTGGAGGTGGGCACGGGGGACCAGATAACGGACGAAGGGATCATGGAGGTAATGCTTCTGGACAGCCGAGAGTCTCGCTACCGCAGCATCATTGTCTGTAGCCCTAATAGGAGCGTCAGGGTCTTGATTCTGGTGGCCTGGTGGAAACATTTCGAAACGAGATTGACGTTGAAGTGGAAGATCAAAACCAAATGCGATTATGATACAAGGTCCGCCGGGAACGTGATATACTTATGTAAATAGACTGTCCGCGTAATCTACCCAAGCTGGAAAACACACAACTGAAAGAAAACTACATTACGGAACGTTGATAGTATCCACATTCACAGAGATATCATATGACCATGCTCTCTCCTCATACGCCTTCAAAAACGCAAACCCTTTCGCCGTCTGCTCGTTCGCAAACACTGTCACAGGTGGGGAAAGAACCTGCGGAGAAGCCACCAACACGCACAACGTCTTGGCTCTACTGATGGCCACGTTCAAACGGCGGCGTTCGAGCAAGAAGCCCAAATCATTAGTATGGGAGTCGGGTAAAGAGAAGAGACAGATGACGAAGGATGCTTCTGAACCTGGGAGGGAGCTCAGTGTTCGTACGTGAGAATGACAAAGGAATATACTCACCCTGTAGACGTTCAATGGTGTCCACTGTAATGTTGTACATTGGCTCCTGTCCAATACTCATCCGAGCAAAGGCATAGTCTAATGAGTCTCGCTTCCGCTGAGCGTTAGCAGACTTCATCCGCACAAGTGCAGCTTTGACTGCTTCCCGTTGAATTCGATGCGGGGTCGCAACGAAGATATCGTCTTCTGGACAACAATAACGGATACAGGCAATCAAAGCTGCGGCAACAGCTGCTTCCCCATGTACGTGTGTTTCGTAGCCGAACTGATCAGATCGGGATGACAATGTTTTGAGCCGCACCAGCGAGAGCGAAACGGGATAGTGACCGAGATCCAGACCTAGTTTCTTGTCTGTTCCCGATGCAGTAGTAGTGGCTTTGAAGGTGTCCTCGAGTCGACGTCGCGGGGTTCGAAGGATGTTCTGGGGGACACGGAGCATGACTTTTGAAAGGCCGAGGAGGAAATCTCGAACTTTGATCAGAATGGACCGGTCAACTCCTGTCTGTGTTGCATCCATTTGTGGAATTTCTTGTAGGACCAATGCGAGCCTTCTAGCCTGAACTTTCTGCGGTTTGAATTGACGAGAGTAAATGGTGGACACGAATTCTCCCAGATCAGGGTTCAATCTAACAAACCACACGTGAATAGACTTTTCCTTTCCATATGAGAAGGTTACATGCCTAAAGTTCTCCGTCAATTGAACGACAACGTTGGCCGCCTCGAGGAGCGCTTCTTCATCTTGCTGGGAATCGGCTGTCACTGGCGTGGCTCCAGTCGGAGTCCACATTAGTGTATCTAGAGCAGATCCGAATAGGGATAAATTCGACAAGGACGGGTAACTGCCAGTAAAGATTGGCGCCAATTGCTCTGAATCCCCGGCGATGACGATTCGACCTTGGGAACTCAGACATCGCAGTACGAGGGAGAGTGTGCCAAGGGCAATTTGTCCAGCCTCATCGGCGACGACGCAGTCCACCTCTATACTGTTTGCGTGACTAAAGTTGTATAGCTGCCGAAGGGGTCAACTTTGGCAAATTACGTAGAAGGAAGAGAATTCCTCACTTGAAAGAGAGTGCCCGCGTAAATATGAGTTAGGGATCCCGAGCGCAAAGGACCAGGGTGGTCATGCCCCTTGAGCACTCGATGTATTCTGACCTTATCGAGCCATTCCGTCGATAGAGATTCAATAGCTCGGTAAGCATCTACAATCCTTTCCAACTTGCTCAAGCATGCGTCGATTGCGGCGTGTGTCATCGCAGTCACGAAGATAATCTTTGGACCACGATCGTTTAGCTTCCATTGAACCTCGAGAAGACGAAGAAGAGACAAGGCTATCGTATGTGTCTTTCCTGTTCCTGTAATTAATCATACATTTCAGAAGTTGAATCCCCAAGAGAAGGATGGCACTTGCCTGGAGGGCCCCAGATCACTGTTAACCGATTGGTTAGCATTCGCTGGGTCGCGCGGTGCTGCGAGGGTTTCAGCAAGAGGGAGCCGGCAGCTTCGACATCGAGATCCTTGAGCCTTCTGAACATGGTCTGGATGTTAGCGTCCAATTTGAGCATTTCCTTGGCCGTTGGAATAGCGCCAAGGGATTTGGGGTCCATGATCAGTTGAAGAAACGGCACTCCTCTGTGGTCTTCCTCCGGAATTTCTTCTCCCTTGTCCCGCTCAACCCACTGCCAATCCGCTTCGAACAGTGTTGCTAGAACCTTTTGCGTATTAAAGTCAACAAGTCGCGACGATAGTCGATAACGACGTCCGGGAATCAGTTGTTTCTCAGTGGTTTCCCAAGTCCGCAAGACGACATGTGTACGACCACCAGCCGCGTACATATTCCGGATATCCGCGAGTCGTATTTCGTCCCTCACCCGAGCATCCTGGGACTCCCAATGAGGCTTCGTCCATTTGTTGAGCGGGAAGACAAAGCCCGCGACGGCCAGATCCTCGAATAAACTTTCAACTGGGATTTCTGTGTCGGACGAGACATCTTCGACGAGAAGTTTGTCGAAGAACGCGTGGTCCCTGTCGGATTGGAACTCGATGCTGCCATCGACGAGGTGGAAGATGTGTTCAGTGCCTCTGATTCCAGGTTCGGAGCGCTCGTATTCTAGTATAGGTGCTTCTGGAGAACCTTCGATCCTGGACGCCCAAAGCTCCCCAAGTTTTGAGAACACTTCGAACTGTTACCGATGCATCAGTGTATTGCCAAACCCAATATGAACGCTGCATCGCACCTGCTGCATAAAGAACAGCTTGCTGAGATGGTCGTTGTAACAGATGTCCATGAAATCCCCTGAGACCGGCTTGCCCTCATTGACAAGAAGACCCAAGCCGCTTGACTTAATTCGATTCCGCATTTCCAGGAGGACATCACGCATAGCCTGGTTCCGAATCGCGAGGAAGCGTTTTAAGAGGTCCAAGTCGTCGTCCAGCTTGAAGGCGGAAAGGATTTGATCGTCTGTTGGAACTCGTGTGATATCTTCTCGCTCGAGAAGTACACCGCAGCACTCGCGGAGGTCCCAGTACCCTGGAATCGGGAGGGCGAGGAGTCGTTCGATTTCTTTCTTGAGGACAACGACGGGTGCTATTTGGCCCGCCTCCTTTGCTCCATTCCCTTGACTTTGACTTTGCAGACGCTTCAGTTCTGTTGTAATCCGAGCGCGCAATTCGGGGACGGTCCCTTGTGTATCCAGGCCCATGCGGCGAAGGCAAGTCTGGTATTCTCCCTTTGTACGACGCGACTTGCCAAGGAACGATAACAGCGCGCCGCCTAACAACATGGGCTGGAACGTCGTTCGCAACAATGAAGCTCCTTGAGCGAGAGTGCCGATGCAGAGCCGGATGTCCGACCGGTCATCCCCAGATTCAAGGGCGGTCTTGATGAGGTGCGATTGAAGCAACCGCTGCTCGGATGTCGACCAGATGTAAAATTGCGTCGAGGGAGGAGTTTCAAGTCCCGCAGTTACATTGCGAATGGTAGCGGCCAGGACAGGAACGAAATCTTCGTCTGGTCCATTGCACGAGAATGCGGCTTCTTCCTCGCCTTCAAAGAACACGGAAATGGAGAAGAATTCGAGGCACGGTTTTGGTTTTGCTGGGTCTTGGACCAAGGAAATGACTATGGCGATGTCTTCGCGGGACGGGCAAGTGAAGTTCCGCCGAGGGATGATCTAACAAATGGTTACTTCTACATTGTTAACAGGTTGAAAAACACAATACCTGGACTGCCTTGGCTCGAGCTGCATCCAGGACCGAACTAGAGTTCTGTGCCTTGTCTCCTCGACGTATTCGCTTTGGGAGAGCAAGGATTTTCCTGACCTTCTGGACAGTAATAGGAGCTTGGGACTCTATTACCGAAATACGTTTCTTCTTCGAGACAAGGTAATGGAGGTCTTCGATATCTGCTGGAGGGTTGCGTTCGAACCCTTCTATCGCCTGTTCACCGAGGGAAATGAATTCTTGAAGGACACGAGCATCATTGATAGAGACGTTGGGCATGGTCCCAAGGCGGCCTTCTCTGATAACTGTGCGCTTGCATTGGGCACTATAGTCACACCCGGAGCATAGGGGATTAAAGTGCCACTTGACACGGCTTTTGGGTAGCGACAGCAATCTGGGCAACCGGTCGAAAAGGAAGGTATCCAGAGAGGGAGAAAGGAGCGACAGGTCTATGCTCTTGATGTCGTCAAAAGAAGGGGGCGCAACGTTGAAACCGTCTTCCGGAGGTAACCATACGCCCGCCTTTCCCGCTGCCTCGAAGAAAGGCGCCATCAGAAGATGCTGGAGACAGAGGCTATAGAAGTATATTTGCACATGGTGCGATGTCTATGACATTTACTCGTTTAAAGTCATGGGCTATACGAGGGCAGCTGTCCTCACCTTGATAGCCTGGGACGCCTTGGCGTCAATGACTTTCCATCGTGCCCCAGTTGCTGTGCGTCGAACTTCGATCAAGTCAGGTTTCGCCAAACCAAAGTTTACAGGATCATGGCCGTGTTGCGCGAATCGGCGCACCAGCTGGTCAGCCGGGGCCTTGAAAGTCAAGCCTGTTATAAAGAAGTGGTCCCTATCGTCTGCGAGGATGTTTTCCATGAGGATTCCTGCCTCGACTGGCGTCGAAGGAACTTTGAGCAACAGATTGGACTCGTCTAGCCATGAGTACAGTGTCGATTCCCATTCGAGGCCCCGCTTGTAGCGAGCCTCAAGTAGAGCCTTCTCGGATGCGTCTTGGATGGCTGTCGAGGTCGATGGCCGTGGGTTCTTCTTGTGGTAGACATTGTGTAGGTAGAGATCGCAGTTCAGGTGGTGGTGAACGGCGAGATTGGTTGCAGAGAGAGATCCTTGCGGCCCCATTCTGGTAGAAAGAGGTACATGGCGGAAAGGCGGGCCTCGAGTTCTTATTTGGATGGAACAATGGACGAACCGCCGTCAAACTTTCTCAGCGCTCCCGACTCACCGCCTTCGGTGGCGCGCTGGAGGCGGTTTCTCACGATACGCGTTGGTTATCAACGTAAGATTGAGTCAGTGGTTGTCCTCTTGCAGTCACGACACTCCTCTTGTTTGGGTTCAAATGGCCGCCTGTGGACTACCTCCGGAGATCTGGAGTCATATCGTATCCAACGTTCCCGTCTTTGGGCAGAGAAATCTCCTCCAAGTCTCACGCTCGTTGCACGAAATCGCCCGGAGTATCGTGTTCTCGGCGGTCAAGATATACATCATCGGTGGGGATGCAGTGTATAAGATGCTGAGCACGGAGGACGACCACTTCAAAGAGGAAGCCACCCACAAGTTGACGACTCGTTCCTATGAATTACTTCGACAAATGACGAGAGATCCGTCGTTCGCCCGTGTGGTGCGAGACCTCACTGTGGTCACATCCAGCGACTGCGAATCAACCTTTGAATACCGTCAGTGCCATATCAGATTTTGTTTAAATAGGTCATTGACACCGTTCTATTCAGTCTTTCTGGCCGATGCCGTGAAATCTTTGCCCAATCTCCAAACATTCCAGTGGATTGGTCCACATCCACCGCTGGCTGACAACATTACTGAAAGTCTCCCGGACGACCTTCAGAGTTTGAGCCTGAAAACGTGAAAGGCGCCATCTCCTGTTTTGTGTCTACCTTGAATCTCAACCTTCATACAGGTACGTTCCGCCCGCCAACCTGCTTCACAGGTTCCACAATATCGCCCAACTGGCCTTTCCTACTCCCTTCTTCTACCCTGACGACGATGAAGCCCGTGATTACGGTTCTGCGAGTGCTACGCTCCTGGACATTTCCCATCTCATCCCCGACTTCGACGAGATCATGAGCACCATGGCTCTCGACAACTTGCATTCTCTGACCATCAACGCAGTCTATCTCCCCAAGCTTCCAATCAAAGTCATTGGAAACTTGACACAACTAGATATTTGTGTTACAACGACCATCCATCCAGGGGGGCTTGACCTCGTATTCCGACATGCTCTCTCCTTGGAATCCCTGACACTTTTTGGCTATGTCGACCGAGACGTGTTTTCATGGTTCCCCTGTGAGGCATCGGATCTTCCTGCTCTTCGTTCATTCCGTCTGTCCTGCGACCGGTTCACGATGATCCAGCCCCTTGAACCTCAGGAGATGGAGGTCCTGTTGAAGTTCCTTGGGGATCGCCCCAACATGCGGAGACTCTATCTTCGTATCCCTAGCATCAACTTCATTAATCTCACAGCCCTCGCCCCCGTAATCCGAAGCATGAAAACTCTCGAAGTTTTCGGAATCCATACTGGGGCGATCGTTGTGGATGATTGGTTCGTCCCATTCATTGCGAGCATCCTCCCAGCTAGTATCACCGCATTACATTTGGCCATTGACTGGAATGGAAGCAGCTTATTGCCGTTGGTAAGTTCCTTCAACGGAAGTTGGTCTATTCCGCTGACTTGAATCGTAGGTCGACTATCTCGCCAATTTTCCGAGGCTCCAGTTCTTTCATCTATATGGCGTGAGAACCCGGATTACATTGCTACTGGAGGATGCAGCATCCACCGCAACGAACCTGACTCTGATTGGGAGGAATCGTTCACTCTTTGATATTGTCAGGGGTGGACCTGAGCTTGAGCTCAAAAAGTGGCCTCGGTGGAAAACCAAGTTCTGCACCGAGGTGGATTTTCAGCATGAAGACCATTTCTGGTTATATCAATACAATTGATCATGTGCGTACTATTTTCCTCGACGTGCTTTTTTCATTCATAGTTATCTTACCCTCAGGTCGTTCTCAGTGTGTTGCGGAATCCATGACGCCAACGTATCTTTTGTAACGGATTGAAATGTATCCAGTCTTTGCTTGCCAACGTGAATCAGGACATTCGAAAGAAACTCCCTTTTCCTTGGGTACATTCGAAATGGCCTACTTGACCTCTTGACCGCCTGCTTCAGCCCCTGAACACCCGATAATCGTTTTGTGGAGGACTAGCATTCAACAACTCTAACCATACTCTAACCTACAGAAACTCGTCGCTGATCACGACTCGGATTCTTGGCAATTGCAATGGATCGCTGAACGCGGAGCGTAGTGGTATCGAGACCGGAACTTGACCAGCATCAGGGAAATGGATGATCGCCCTGACCTGTGAGTCGAGTACCCCCTGGTCGATGCAATGATAGGTGTATGGGGCGTTCATCGTGACCCCTTGCTCTGACGAACGTTCGTTGGTACGTAAACTCCGGGCCAAGGCTGAGAGAAGAAAACCTTGCAAGACCTGATCGATAACAACTGGCTGTTGAATGTTGGACTCGATCTACCGAGGGGTGAAGTGGGGTGTGGATAAAGATGATATCTTCTTGGTTGGTTGGCCAGAAGGAAGATTATTCAGTGGGGAGGTTTTCTCGACTCTGGGGTATCCGTCCGGCGAACGAGACATGGGGTGTCTGTCCATGGACCTCGCGCCAGCGCGGGGGCATGCTTTTTGCCTTTCTCTTGGCAAATGATCGTGCATCTTACAATATCGTCGAAGCGGTCTTTCTGTTCCAACCGAGGATGGAGGAAGAATCCCGGGGGAAGCTATCTTGCCAGGGGGCCTCTAGTAAGGGCGGGTCGTCTCAGACAAGGAGGCTCGAGGAACTTGGGAGCGACACACGTGATGTAAATGATAGCAAATGGGTGCTGCAGTTTGGAGTATTCTTGGCGCTGAGCCCAGTTGAATTCGCCTCTGAGTGAAAGCGGCCTCAGCCGCCATTCAAACTTGCGGGGTAGGTAGCAAGTGGACTTGGAGGGTTACGCGTCTGATCATGCCATGCTATTCGCATTTGTTGGGCGCTTTGGGATCCGGTTGCAATGCAGAACTTCGCGTGGACAGCCCTCCTTTGTATGTCCAATGGGGAACGAGGGGGGAAGCTTCTGTCTCCAGCAAATCTCAACGGAACTCATTTGCGATTGGCAACGTGGCCCGACCAGGTGGCCGTCGACCCAGACTGCGGGAAGAAGCGAAAGTTATTGCCAAGGGCTTTCTATCGTGTGAGGGCGCCTTGTACGAGCGCCCAAATGAGCTGCAAATCACTCGAGCGCGTCTGACGGATATTACATACATCAACTTCCAACCAGCAACACCGAGGAGAAGTAACGGGTCAGTATTGTCTACCCCCGTGCTCTCACCAAATAATTAGACGGACACAACTGACGTGTCTTTGGTTGAGGTCTTGCCACAATGACTTACATTTATGATGTTGTGTAGCCTCCAAAGGTCCTGGATCCTATCCGTTATCGGTATCATTCTGCAGTGGATTGGACATGCCAAGCCAACCGAGAACAACGTGATTTCCTGATATAGGAGGAAGAGGTACAAATCTGGAATCCATCGCCAAGCCTTCCGGTCGGGAGCATTGGCTCTCTTTAGAGTTTGTCCTTCGACTTCGACGGCTTCTGCACATTTCCAGATGTGTAGGATACCAGGGGGAAGACTCATCCTATCGCAACACTGCTTCCAGGGAATCCCTTTCCTTCACCAGTTGCAGACGCCAAGGACGGCTTGTCGGGTGTTCAATATTACTTTCGGAAGCGACTTGCTTCGGAGCTCTGTCTGCCACGTAGATATTCGTGGACGCGGTCAATCCTCTGGACGTACAATCGATGTTAAATTGCCCTCGTTTGCCTGAATACTCACTGTTCACTGTACCCCTAGAAAGAACTGGGTCGCATGTCGGCGATCTGAAAAAGCAAATCTGGGACGCTGCACCATGGGACGTAATGAGCCCCATCACCTTGGCAAAATAGGGTTCTTCCACCATCTGACAACGCCGTCGAAGTCAATCGTGAACCGAGCTCAGCCTCTGGCCTAAACCGGTTTCAAGATGCACCCAAGAGAACCCTTACAATTTCACCCATCAAGCTGCACCGATTTTTTTGTTTTCCTTAAAAGCAGCACTCGGGAATTGACGTTCTCTCCAACCCACCGCCTCAATCTGCAGCTTCGCTTCGACACCTTTGCCTCTTTCTTGTAACATCACACAGCATGTCGCCCTCCATCGACTTCTTCCCCCATATTGAGGAGGCTTCTTCATCTTCTGCGCCGTCGTTTATGTCCGTGTCGATACCAAAGGACGACGCGCCGGATGCCTTCAGGGACACACCATCGCCTAGCCCGTCTCCCACACTTCCGACGACCTCATTAGATGGAGTCTACTATAATGCTCGTCTGGATCCTAAAAACTTTCTGCATGGGCCTCTGTCACCCAACCCTGCTACGCGACTGAGGCAAATGTTGGCGAGGCCCGGTATCGTGGTACGTACTCCCATCAACTAGTTATCGCATATGTTCTTCTGCCCATTCCCATCCAGGTTGCTCCTGGCATTTGCGACGGAATCAGCGCCCGATGCGCCATTGAGGCCGGGTTCACATGTTTGTATCAGAGGTAGGGAATTGGAACTGGCCCGCTAATACTTTTAACTTTTGTGAGACTGACCGGCTCCTCTTCAGTGGAGCTGCTACCACTGCCTCTCGTCTGGGTCAGCCTGACCTGGCTATCGCCACTCTAAATGACTTCGTCGGCGTAAGTGCATTCGTGATTTGATTATGTCGGTCCGGGCTGAACCAGGGTCAACTTCAGGCTGCCCAGATGGTATGTAGTCTGGACCCCACCATGCCCGTAATCGCCGATGCAGACACTGGGTAAGCTACGCTCTAGCCCTGACGCGGACGAGGCGCTCAGACTAAAACGTTAATTGACTGTGCTGTGATTAGCTTTGGTGGACCTGCTATGATCGCGCGAACTGTCACTCAATATGCAAGAGCTGGCGTGGCTGCGCTTCATATCGAGGATCAAGTTCAAACCAAACGCTGTGGTCATTTATTGGGCAAACAGGTGGTCTCAAGGGATGAGTTTGTCACTCGTGTCCGTGCAGCGGTCCTTGCTCGGGACTCAATACCAGGCGGCTCCGATTTTGTACGTTCTGTTTTGGTCAGGCAATACTCTGCCCTAAATTGATGACTTGTGGTTAGGTTATCATCGCTCGCACTGATTCCGCTCAGGTCCTTGGCATGGAGGAAGCAGTATATCGACTGAAGCTCGCCGCTGATGTCGGTGCCGATGTCTGCTTCATCGAAGGCGTGAAAACGAAGGAGCTCTTGGAGTCGACGGTTGCCGCCTTGGCTCCTAAACCCGTCAGTCACCAACAGCTGTGATCACCATTAACATGCTAACGCATTTGATCGAAGGTTCTCGTCAACGTTATTTCTGGTGGATTGACACCATCGTTTACCACCCTCGAAGCAGAGCAAATGGGAGCTAAGATTATCAGTGCGTACAGTATCCCTCTTTCCTAGGTATGCCGCTGTTGACCCAGCGACGCAGTCTTCTCTCTCGTTTCCAGCGTCGCAATGGTACATGCTTGCCGCAATGCGATGCAGCTTTTGAAAAAGACAGGGACAGACTTTACCTCTGCTCAGGGCATGGACCCTAAAGCCTTCTTCGAAGTAATGGGTAGGTCGATTTCTGCTCGAAACGCATGGCCCAGTATTGACCACCACTTCAGGTTTGAATGAGGTCGTTGAGTTCGATGCTAAAGCGGGAGGAAATGCCTTCGCCACGATCTAAAAGTAGCCTTCACACAGTATCTCCTATATTCCTTTAATTTTCTTTTCGATTGCTTACCGTCTCTATGCCCTGGGTTGAAATTAGGACCTTACTGCTTTGTTGCGTTCTATATGGGATATACTATTTCTTCGGTTTCAAGACTTGGATATGGGGTTCCCCGTTGTTGTTCTTCTAGTGTTGCGTGTGATGTAGTTGTGCCTATTCTGCTGTTCTGTACTTCAATGCATATGGTGCCCTCGCCTCGAGCATTACTGCCATCTGCCATCGCACAATCCATTCGCGTGACGTCATCGTGGTGGACGTGACATTTTTAGCACTCGGCCCGGCACGGAAGGTTTGCCGGTTAACCCCACAAGCTTGGCGGGCTTCCGCTTGGGGTCGGGTGCACTTCGACCCTGTTGACTCTATTCTCTTGACCACCAACACAGTCAGTATGTCGCAGCCAAAGGTCTTTACTGGAGAAGAAGTTGCAAAACACAATACCAGGGAAAGTTGCTGGATTGTCGTTCATGGTGTGTGAATCTTAGAGCTTGGGAGAGGCAAGCGTTCTGAGGTTGGTCAATAGGGAAAGTGTACGATGTGACTGAGTTTCTGGATGGTGAGCGCATCGAGACACGACGGTTGGGGTTTACTAATTCAACTTGACATTGCAGAGCATCCTGGTAAGTCATTCCCGTGTCGACCAGAGGGACTTGCTGAATGAAGCAGGCGGTAGCAAGATCATTCTGAAGTACGCGGGGAAGGACGCAACGTACGTCGTCTAGCGCTGAACGGACCCGAGTGTACCATTTAACAAGTTACCAGCGAGGAGTATGAGCCTATACACCCACCTGATGCCATTACCACCAACCTGCCGCCCGAGAAACAGTATGGTTATACCATCAACCTCGGAAGGGATACTGACCCCTGTTCACAGGCTGGGTGTAATAGACGAGAAGACGGTTCAAAAGGTCGAGGTGACGATAACAAAGTCGGAGAAAGCACGTCTGGAACGTGTGTCTCGACGACCTCCCTTATCGCAGATACTCAATCTCCATGATTTCGAGGTGCGTATTCCAGCCAAGCGTCACTGTTCTCCTCTCCAACGGTTTCGACAGGCCATTGCAAAAGCAACCATGCCAGAGAAGGCCTGGGCATACTATTCGTCGGCAGCGGACGATGAAATCACCAACAGAGAGAACCACGCTGCTTATCATCGGTTGGTCGCTTCGTTGGAGGATCAAAAGACATGTCGTTGAAAGTCGAGGACGCAGGGTTTGGTTCAGGCCTCGGATATTGATTGACGTGACCAAGGTCGATTGGTCTACTACGATTTTGGGCCATAAATCAAGCATGCCCATCTACATCGTCAGTATCGTTTCTGCACGACATTCTTCAACGTCGTTGATGGCTGGTCCTTCGGTAGACTGCAACTGCACTAGGGAAACTCGGCCACCCGGACGGTGAACTCAATTTGACCAGGGCCGCAGCCAAACACAACGTTATTCAAATGGTATGACTCTATTTCCCCTCGAATTTGTTATTTATCCCATCGACTCGCTTGGCCATTAGATTCCGACACTTGCGTCGTGCTCCCTTGACGAACTCATCGATGCAGCGCAGCCAGGCCAAGTGCAGTGGTTACAACTGTCAGCGATTGCCTAAATGTTCACATCTCATACACTGACAGCGGTATTCAGATACGTGAACAAGGACAGGGAAATCACCAAAAGGATAGTTCAACACGCAGAAGCGCGTGGAATCAAGGGTCTCTTCATTACCGTTGATGCTCCTCAGCTCGGAAGGAGGGAGAAGGTTAGTCTCAAATTGTATCTTTTCCGTAGAACGGTGCACTGATTGCAACAGGACATGCGAATGAAATTCGATGCGGATGATCCATCGGAGGTTAAGAAAGCAGGCTCCGATGGTGTCGACCGTTCGCAGGGAGCAGCAAGAGCTATTAGCGTGAGCGTTAAAATATACTCATCGCGACTGTTCGCGACTAAAGTTTAGAACCCAGTCGTTCATTGACCCTGGATTGAGTTGGAAGGATATCCCGTGGTTCCAGAGCATCACCAAGAGTACGTGCTCACTAGTTACGCATCCCGAACGTTGAGATTCACCACATCTATCAACAGTGCCGCTTATCCTGAAGGGTGTTCAACGATGGGAGGTTGGTCGATATCCATGTCCAACTCATGGCGTATTCTCTAAATGACGGATTTAGGACGCACTGAAGGCATATGATCTCGGGCTTGCCGGTGTTGTGCTCTCCAACCACGGAGGCAGGCAACTCGACTTCGCGCGATCAGGCCTAGAGGTCCTGGTCGAGGTCGTCGAACACCTCGGGAAGAAGCGAGGCCTGACCTTCCCGAACGAGAAGTTCCAACTGTTCGTGGACGGCGGTGTAAGAAGAGCCACCGATGTCCTCAAAGCCGTTGCTCTAGGTGCCACTGCTGGTGCGTCATAGGACGGCCTCCTTCGCCCGTACCGTGTCTTCTGACTCCCTGTCCCTTTATCGCCTTTTTTCCGGCCGCATGGCAGTTGGAATTGGTCGACCGTTTTTGTATGCATTCTCGTCATATGGCCAGGAAGGCGTGGAGGCTGCACTCCAGATTCTCAAGGTATGAGCAGATTCGGGTGTATGGAATGACACGCTTAATGATGCCGTTTCTATAGGATGAATTCGAAATGAACCTTCGATTACTTGGTGCACCTACGATCAAGGATATTCAACGGGACATGGTTGATGCCTCCAACTTGCCTTCCCACGTAGCCATCGTACCAGGTGACAGGCTTTACGATTCGAATTGTGGGTTCTTTCCGTTATTCCTTGGTCTGAAGGATTCTAAAGGGTGTTCCAGATGAAAGTATGCAAGTTGCGCGACTGGGCGAGGTCAAGGCAAAGCTCTAACCTGTTCGCCGTATTGGATAGTATCTCCGTCGCAGTAAGGGACGATACAATAAAACTATGTTACTTTTCGGCAAAGTCAGCCTTCAGTGTGTCAAGCGCCCAGCAATACAGGGAGCAAGAAGCGCCAGAGGCGAAAGACTGGCATCGGGGTTCACGCCCGGTAATGGAGCGGTGTCTATTAGAGCGAAACTCCCAAAGTACAACACCACGATGGTCGCACTCGAGGCGAAGATGACACGGTGAATACCCCATCTCCGACCATTTTCGCAAGCCGTTTGTCGGTTGGTAACTCCATTGGCCGACGGGTTGGTAAAGGTCCGTTGGGTGACAATGTCCCTCGCCCCTTCAACTTGGAACTTCCCACTTCACCGTCAGCCTACAACGCTTGGCTGTATGATGCAGGCTCGCTGGATCGATACCACGGGGCTCTACAAGAGCACAGAAGTGCGTATCAGGTTTTCTAAATACCCGTGTGGCGCTCTACCTGTTTCATGAAAAGAGGGTCCAAAAATTTGACAAACGGTGAAGATTCCCCGTTTCATCAAGAACAAAACAGCACGGTCATTTCTTGTGCGAACCATGCAGAATACTTATACATCGCCTGCTTCTCTCTCGCGTCTTGACCGAAACTTGAAATGCCGGAAATGTTGGAAGAGATTGTTTCGGCCACTGACTGCTGACCACAGGGCCAGCAGTACCAATTGCAATGGTAGGCCTGTAATACTTATATGTTCGCTGACCGTGGCCGAGGACGTCGGATTTGTGACGGCGGGGTGATTGCTTCGTTTGGGATGCACCTTAGCAGATCGGCTCGCATTCGGATCACTTCTTTCTCATCCGAGTCTCTGTGGTACGCAACTTCCACCTTGCTTCCACCCGGGAGATGCACAGTCCAGTACCGTAGCCATTATCTGAGGGCCACTGTTCAGTAATCAGATTGCTAGCACAGAAAACCTTATGAACGGATACATGATGTAGACGGACTTGGTAGTTGAATGCGAACATTATGGACGACAAAAATCGCGGACATAGTAACATAATCGATAAAGGAATGTAGTCCGTATCGTAGACTCATACGGATGTTGAAGTGGTATACAATGTTCAAGGAGTAGAAAAACTTAGAGCAAAGCACCAGCAACGACCGCAACGGCTCCCAAGAGGGAGGTCCCCACAAAGGCACCATGGATGCTCGAGCTCCCGCTATCATCCGAGTCATCGCCAGTCGCGCTCTCCGCCTGGCCCCCGAGCCCATTTCCGGTACCCTGGGGCAAGGAAGAGCTGGTACTAATGGGTCCTCCTGGACCAGGCTGGGTGACTGTGACGGTAGGGAAGGGGCAGGTGGGGATCCCGAGCACACTGCTGGGCGCGACACTGGCACTGGCAGTGCCTCGGACCCCAGTGATGACAGGAACAGGGCTTGCAAAGGCGGTGCTGACGGTGACGGGGCCGTTGTCACGCCTCGCGAGAGTCGCGCCGCCTGCTAGAGTAGAGCTAGAGGGTTCCACAGGGACCGGGACGCCGCCGAAAGAGCTGCTGGGAATTGGATGGCTGGCTTGGACAGAGCTTGTAGGCCTAGCGAATGTGGTGGACACTCCGATGGTGCTCGCCTCAGAGATGGTGATCGTGAAGGTCGAGTCACCGCATGCGAAGGTGCTTCCTGGCACCAGACTGTTGAGGATTGAGTGGGAAATCCTCGTGATAAAGAGGTTAGAGGAACTTACATTGAGGTGACAGTAGCCTCGGGGGCATGGGTGGGGAAGACAGTCATCGTGGCACGGGTCGGGAAAACAGTCACGACGGCCTGGGAAGAGCTGATTTCTCCACCATTGTCCCTCTTGATATTGAGAGCGGCAGCCTGCAAAGCCAAAGGCAGAAGAGCGAGGAAGGCGAAGCGGGTCATCTCAGATGTTCTGCGAAGGGAAAAAGAAAGGAAGGCGGTTGGATAGAGACATCCTTCTGCCTGCCTAGCCCTTTTATAAGTTTCGCAAATTGCGCCCTGTTTACTGGCAGCTTTGGTAAACGGTGAATCCTCCCCGGGCTCATGGAGACCGCATTCGGCAGAGTCAATCTCTTCTATTGATTAGTGGGTAACAGGGCGAGTGACAAGTATTACGGTTAGAAAACGCCGCCTTGGCATCCCATGTGGATATCGTAGGAGTCCACAGTCCAGGACACCGGAAGAAGGTCCTTGCAATGAGATAGTTGATTATCTCAACCAAGAAGCTCTTCATGAACATTGAAATGCCTAAAGAGTCACGACAATGAGCTTCCTGCGCAGCAAAACCAAGGACCAGCGGATGGAGCAATACCTAACGACATATCCGGCTTGGTGACAATGTCCTTCACCGCCTTCCTTCCACTCGACCACCCATCTGCCAATGAGTTTGCCGTGTTCGTCCCTTGTCTCGGCGACAGTCTCCTGTTTCCCAACTAGATCGTTTCCTTCTGAGGCAACTCGGGTTTGAGGGAGAACAACTGTCTTCGCAAGTTCCCACTTGGCCATAGGTCGCCGCGTCTCGACTAAGAATTCGGGGTCGTAAACCTAGCAAGGCACCCCGGTTCAGAATAAGCGGTGTCTTCGGAAGGAAAAATAAATTGATTCGATGAACTTACGGTTGTGATCCTATCCTTCAAAAGTAGGTTCCTCGTTGTCAATTCGAGGATTTCCCCGTCTTCACCTTCGGGGGTATAACGCCGTAGTTTTGTGACGTAGGGTTTGGCGCACCATGCTACGAGCGATGTGCTGAAGCCCGAGGTACCCACGGCCAATGTTGCAAGGGCAATACGGGCAGAGTTGGGCAAACTGGACTCGACGACGAAGATAAAAGGTGAGAAGACGGTGGTAAGTCCGAACGAAGCGAGTGAAAACAATTTCAGTCTTCTCCATGTAGTTTCAAAAGGGCCGGTGTATTGGAATACGCCTGTCGCTGAAGGCTTTTCTTTGTCGGTTTTGTCTGCAGAGTCCGAGTATGCTCTGCAGCGAACTAGGTGAGCTGCCGGGAAACCCAATTTTAGGCGCTGTCGGGATAAAAGTTGGTGCTGCTGTGATAAGTTCCGACGTGTCGAAAGAGTTGCCAGTGTTCTGAGTACGGGCATCTGCTGGCGGTTCCAGCCATATAGACCCCTTGAAGCTGCACAGCGCAGCCCGACAGCCCTGGAGAACATTGTGGTAGTCAACGAGGAGAAAAGGAATTCTGCGCAGACGCGCCTGTGCCGTGTCGCTGGCCGTTACCCGCTCTATTTGCTCCGGATTTGGACACCGGAATTGATGGAACGCGAACATGGACTCACCCATCTACTACTCAAAGGCAGAATTCATCGAAACTGTACGTTTTTTGGTCTAGACGACGCGTATACACATGCTAACAGGAATTCTAGGACACAGGAAACAAGGTCTCGCGTCGAGCAACCATCGCAGGCCCGCAGAACATCATCCTGGGCGGCAAGACTATCATCTCCAGTGGTGCCATTATTCGCGGCGACCTGCGACGAACAGGACCTGGCCATGCAGTTGTCATTTCTCTGGGACGGTACTGCCTTGTTGGAGAAGGATGCATCATGAGGTAGCGCTTTGTGTGCTTCCTGTTGGCTGTTTCCGGGAACCAAAGGTTTTGACTGACGGAAAGGCCTCCTTACAAGACATATCGCGGAAACTTCAACTACTATCCCATGAAGATCGGAGACCATGTTCATATTGGTGCCAATAGTGTCGTTGAAGCTGCAACAATAGGAAACCACGTCGAGATTGGGAAGAACTGCGTCATTGTGAGTAGCCATGTCCTCGTCCTCGGTCCTGTTACCCAAGTCTTGCCAGGGCAAGTTTACGATCATCAAAGACTGCGCAAAGATTGCAGACAACACCATCATCCCGCCGAACACAGTTATCCCTGCACTATCTCTCTTCTCCGGTTCGCCAGGTGCGCCCTGCCAACCCATGTTCTGCAGTCCCTTGCTCACCTGGTCCCACTTAGGTGAATTCGTGGAAGACCTCCCAGAGTCAACACAAGAAATGGTAGAGGCCCACACAAAGCAGTATTATATGCGCTTCCAGCCAGGCTAAAGATCTACAATACATTCAAGCACACACGCCTGCTTTCTTTCATCTGCATCGACCACTATACCCTATGCATACGGCAGCTCGTACAAACATGAATGGTTATCCAGAATAGCAACTACACCACGATGATCATCTATTGTAAGCCCATACGTGCACCACAAGTCAAGATCGTCTGGGACTTCCAACTGGTGCGTTGTGCACCCGTCTTCATGAAAAGTCGCCAGCTGCAAAACCGCTTTGTCCCCAACGTCGATCAGCATGATCGCCCCCCTCCCTGAATGGGCTAGTATGAGTAACTGCCATGTTGCGTCTGTTGGAACGACCAGTTCTCCTTGAATGCCGAGAGCATGGCGTGGTTTAAGATGCTGAGCCTTCGGTCTCGTCGACACTTTCCCTTCTGACCAACCTTCATCCACTTCGACGGTCCAAAACTTAACGTATATGGATTCACGTAGGCTGACTGTGTCTTCCTCTTCGTCGTCCTCATCCATGCTCTCCTCGTCCCTCAATGATCTGGTTCGTATCTGGTTGACAACCGCTTGGATCGAGAGCGCTGGCACACCGTAATGACATGCACTTGAGAGAGCCCCTAACGGGAATGGATCTCCCTCTCCACAGTCCCATTCGAATGTCCTGCGGTCTTTGAGGAGTTGGATTTTGTATGTTGACTGAGTCGAGTCGGATGTTTCATGGCCTGGCGCTGGTAGCACTGAAGGTTCATGGTCCGTACTGTTGAAGGACAGAATTGAGCCTGGGACACGGTAGACGTTAGATTGCCCATCTTCCTCGATGATGAAGAGGTCGTCTTTCACGGTCGTCGTTCCAGATTGATGGATTGTCGCGTTGGTCTACGGAGAACCCCTAGTTCAATATGGTCGAGATGAGTGGAATAAACGCGCTCACCCCAGGAATATCAGTCGCGATCAACTTGCGTCTCTTACTCTTGATCTCGTATACGAGAATATGCAAGCCGTCATTCCCATTCCCCGACTGAACAAGCACTCCGATAATCTCCTGCGTCCAGAAAGTGGCAAACGAATGCCACCCAAAGGGATACACTGCTTCTTTGAAGTCTACAGAGAGGGAAACATGTCCGTCCGACTGGTGGTGCAAACTAACGATGATAAGGTATTCGTCGTGTCCGAAATGGCTGAAGATATAGGCATCCAGTTGAGTAACCGGGCTCAAACGAAGGAGTAAGGAGGGCTTACGATTGTCTCGTCAACAACCCCATCGTGAAACAGCCAGGCTCGTCCCGTCCAGGGGTAACATCCAAGATCACCTCCGCAACGCTAATCGAAGGACATACTGTCTTCTCTTGTCCAGCATCCCAGCACGTTACAATCCCTGTCGTCCTCGAGTGCAACAGATACAGAGCCGTCCCGGGCACCTGGAATATGATGTCTTGCTTAGGGGCCTCCAGTCGGGCTTTGCGAGGGGTACCATAGAGCTTGGGCTTCGGCAGACGCCAGTTACGCATTCGACGAAGAGTTTGGTGCGCAATCCGTTTAAGCTCAGGTAGAGAGTAGGCCGAGAGGTCAGCATGGAAAGGACAGGCTAATGGTATGGATTGTCTTGTACGCCGGAGTGCGTAGATCCATACGGTCGGTTGGTCGAGCAATGCTCTGAGCCCTTTACATGTCTGAAGCGCCCGGAGATTATCAGACTTGGCTCGAAAAAAAGCGAATCAGAGAATCAGATACTGACCGCACAAAAAGCAAGTACATCGTCTAGTTCACAGTGTCCAAGAAGCTTGAGTAACACATCGTCGGGTAACTCATCGATCCCCAACGTCATAGTCAACGAGCAACATTGGCGGAGCAGAAAAGCTTGATTGAATTATAACAGCTTCCGGTGACAAGGTCCAGGCTCCATTTTTCGCGTACGAAAAAAATGAATTGCGTTGTGGATTATTACAATGCAGGACTAGCAATTACTATGCGTAAGGATAAGTGGGGGTGTACATCGAATAGCAATATGTAAAATAGATCATGAACAGGCATTACTTTTAGGACCTCTAGAAGTGAGCGCGGCCCTCCGACGAAGTGTTTAGTCGGAACCAAAGTATAGGGTACAAACGAATGGATGAACGTGAGGTGAACTGATTTAGTCCTTCTTCTCCTCCTTGTTCTCAGACTCGGACGACGAAGACGACGAGGACTCAGCAGCACGCTTCTCGTAGACCTTCTGGAAGAGACCAAGAGAGGCCTGCTGGGTCTCGCTGATCTTCTCCTTGATCTGCTCGGGGGTGACGGAAGGATCGCCGGCTTGACCCTTGGTGGCGAGCTCGCGCAACTCGACAAGAAGTTTGGAAACCTTCTCCTTCTCAGCGGCATCCAGTTGGTCCTTGAAGTCGTTCATGGCCTTCTCGGTATCGTGGCAGACAGAGTCGGCCTTGTTACCCTCTTCAATGAGAGCACGACGGGCCTTGTCAGCCTCAGCGTACTGCTCGGACTCGGCAACCATGCGCTCAATGTCTTTATCAGAGAGACCGGACGAAGAAGCAATGGTCATAGACTGGTCCTTGTTGGTGGCCTTGTCCTTGGCGGAGACGTTGACAATACCGTCGGCGTCGATGTCGAAGGTGATCTCAATTTGAGGGACACCCTTGGGGGCGGGAGGGATGCCGACGAGGTTGAAGTTGCCGAGGAGCTTGTTGTCACGGACGAGCTCACGCTCACCCTGGTAGATCTTGACTTCGATGGCGGTCTGGCCATCAGCAGCCGTGGAGAAGACCTGGGACTTCTTGGTGGGGATGGTGGTGTTGCGGTTGATGAGCTTGGTCATGATACCACCGAGGGTCTCAATACCGAGGGACAGAGGGGTGACGTCGAGGAGAAGAATGTCGGTGACGTTGCCAGCGAGGACACCACCTTGGATAGAAGCACCAATAGCAACAGCCTCATCAGGGTTGACGCCCTTGCTAGGCTCGCGGCCGAAGATGCTCTTAACGGTGTCGACGACCTTGGGCATACGGGTCATGCCACCAACCAAGATAACCTCGTTGACTTCGGAAGCCTTGACGCCAGCGTCGGAGAGGGCCTTCTTGCATGGGTCGAAAGTGCGCTTGACCAAGGGGTCGACCAATGCCTCAAACTGAGAGCGGTTAAGCTTGAGGTTGATGTGCTTGGGACCCGAAGCATCAGCCGTAATGAAGGGCAAGTTGATCTCGGTTTGTTGAGTGGAGGACAACTCGATCTTGGCCTTCTCCGCAGCTTCACGGACACGCTGGATGGCCATTCGGTCACCCTTGAGGTCAAGGCCGCTCTCCTTCTGGAACTCGGCGAGGATGTGCTCGACGAGGACAACGTCGAAGTCCTCACCACCAAGATGTGTGTCACCGTTGGTGGACTTGACCTCGAAGACGCCCTTCTGCATCTCCAAGATGGAAATATCGAAGGTACCACCACCGAGATCGTAGACGGCAATGACAGAGTTGTCGGCGCGGTCCAAGCCGTAGGCGAGGGCGGCGGCGGTAGGTTCGTTGATCACTCGAAGCACATCAAGACCGGCAATTTGACCCGCATCCTTGGTGGCTTGTCGCTGAGCGTCGTTGAAGTAGGCGGGGACGGTGACAACGGCATGGTTGACCTTCTTGTTGAGGTATTGCTCTGCGGTCTCCTTCATCTTGACGAGGACCATTGACGACAACTCTTCGGGAGTCTGATGTGTGACGTAAGTGGTGAGTAACCGCCCAAGCGCTCAACGACTTGGCTACTTACGAAGGTCTGTCGCTTGCCGCCGTTGTCGACCTCAATGGCGGGGTGACCGTCGGACTTCTTCACGATTTGGAAGGGCCTTGAAAAGAATGTAAATGACTAAGCGGAAGAGGGAGTAAAAAAATGCATACCAGTGCTTGGCGTCGTCCTGCACTTCCTTGTCACTGTATTGACGACCAACCAGACGCTTGAAAGCAAAGACAGTGTTCGCTGCGTTAACAACAGCCTGTCGCTTCGCTGGCAGACCAACCAGTCGCTCGCCGTGCTTGGTGAAAGCAACAACTGAGGGCGTTGTTCGGGCACCCTCAGCGTTTTCAATGACGCGCGATGACTGGCCTTCCATGACGGCAACACAAGAGTTTGTCGTTCCCAAGTCAATACCAACGACGGGGCCTGGTAGAGAGCATTGGTTAGACTTCAATTATATGGTAGAAAGCCGCAAAATGACACATACCGTTGACCTTGGAGTTCATGTTGCGGGCGATCATGGTACGTGGCAAGGCCTATGGGAACAAGTCAGTAATCTGGGCGCCTGTCGTGGTAGGGAACGCTACTGACGGCATAGTGGCCAGTCCTCGAGACCGACGAGCGCAATGAACTACGAGCAGCGGCGAACATTGTTTTTGGAGGAAGAAGAAGATGAAGGAAAGGGATGAAGAGACTTCAAAATTTTTGGTTCCGTAAAGTACTCCGCTGTCTCGCTTATAACGGCAACGCCCGAATTTTCGAGAATGAGTACACGTGACCGTCGTACTTGACTAGTCTCGCTGGTGACCCGTGATTGGCTACTGATCCCATCAAATCACCACACTCAGGGTCCCTCCACCAATGCTGGGCAGTCCCAGGCTCAGGGTTTGCAGCGTTGTATCCTAGACGACTAAGCGAGCATGAAAAAGATCCTCTCACTCCTCGTGGGCACACCCTCCCGGAATTCCGAATTTTGGCGCCCTTGCTGGATGTAGTCGCCGAAAATAGCGCCCGTCGTTCCCCGCGCCGGTACAACTAAAGCCGATTCCGGGAATCAATATACTCCTGCTGCCCTTTAATCGTAGCCGGAAGACATTCACAACGGTTCATTTCCTACCACTTCCTTCTCGCCCCCAACCATGTCTGAACAGCAGCAACCAAAGAAGATTGGCGGCGAATATGGCGAGATTCGCGCCAATATCGATATTGACAGTCTGAACAGGTATTTGGACCAGAACACGTCAATCAAAACCCCTGTCGCCGTGAAGCAGTTCAAGGTATGTTGGCCAGTTGTTCATGTTTTCTCTGTTACTAACTTGGATACCCAGTTTGGACAGGTAACATACTTGTGCGCGTTACTCTGAGCTGCACTGACTCTGTTGTAGTCGAACCCCACCTACTTCTTGACCGCTGCCGAGTGCGTAAACGCCTGCATCGGCCTCCACCTCATTCCGACTAACCATTGCACCCAGTGGAGTGAAATTCGTGCTTCGCAAGAAACCCGCCGGCCAACTTCTTTCGCCCACCGCTCACCAAGTTGAACGTGAATACCAGATCCTGGCTGCCCTCCACAAACACAACCTCAAGCCCACGACTCCAACGGAGAAGAAAGTGCCGGTCCCTGAACCTATCATCCTCTGCGAGGATTCCTCAGTTGTGGGCACTCCCTTCTATATCATGGAGTTCTTGGATGGGCGTATCTTCACCGACGTGCGGATGCTTGAGGTTTCGCCAAAGGACCGCAGGGAGTGGTATGTCCGGCTATATCATGTTCGGTTACGCGGGTGAATTGACATGCAAACCACCCGAAGCTGGCTCTCTGCCGTCGGTGCCCTTGCCGCTCTGGGCTCCGTCGATCCCAAAGAAGTCGGCCTCGAAAAGTTTGGCCCCTCATCCGACTACTTCCCTCGCCAAATCAAATCCCTTTCTCGCGTGTCAAGCGCACAAGCAGAGGCAGTCGACATCGATACCGGACGAAAGGTTGGAAACATCCCATTCTACGACGAGTTGGTTGCATGGTACCGCGCCAACCTCCCTGACGAAAAGAAACTCGGTCTCCGTATTGTCCATGGAGACTATAAACTGGATAACCTCATCTTCCATCCTACCGAGAACTATGTCATTGGGATCTTGGACTGGGAGCTTTGCACCCTTGGTAGCCCTGTAAGATCAGCACTTCCGACGTCTCCTGGCCTGACACTGATACTCGAGCTTCCTAGCTCGCGGATCTGGGTAACCTTACCCAACCATGGGCCATCGACCTGAAGAACCTCTCCGATGCTCCAGGTTTCCTTCGAGGATTTAAGAACACCACCGTTGACGTTCCTATTCCTCTTGAAGATCTTGAGCGTGAATACTGCAGACTCCTCAAGCAGCCATACCCCATTGTGGAAATGGTGTTCGTCCGCAGTTGGATGTTGTTCAGGGTGGGTGAAACAAATGTCTTTCTGTTGCCAAAACAGTCGGATCTAACTCGGTTCTCCTAAAGCTGGCCGTCATCTCGCAAGGAATTGCAGCTCGCTACGCCCGTCGACAAGCGAGCTCGGAACATGCTCATATCCATGCTACATTGTTCCCCATCGTCGGAAAGCTGGCGCGGCTCGTGTTGGAGGACGAGGGTATCACTCTTACACCCAAGGCCAAGTTCTAGCGAAGAACCGCGGCGGTCTATCTATTACAAGGATATACCATTACATTTAAGCATACCAGGTATTCGAAATAGAGGCAAAATCGGGATTCTAGATAACATGAGATATAATTTTACGAGTCCGAAGGTTTCTCGTGATGACCATGGAAAGGCATGAACTTGGACTTGAGCTTCGCGCGACGGCTTTGCCTGGGCTCCTCCTTACTGGACGACTCTGGTTGCTGGTTCTCCTTCGTCGCGAAGAACCCTGACTTGGACCTGTCTGGATTGACGGTGAAGAAGTTTATGACAACCGACCACAGGTTGTTCCCGCTGAAGGCATGGTCCCGTTCTCCTCCCAACAAAGTCCTATCAGCGAACTCGGCAAGTTGTCTGGCCTCTTCCGTATCTCGTCGGGCAACGATGCTGCTAGGAGGTGGCATTTCGCCTTCGTCCAACGCCCATGCACAACTCCACCCAGGGGTCGAAAGCAGGAACGCCTTGAAATCCTCTTCCTCCTTCTCACTACTATCCCCAGTACTCGTCCCTTTGCCCTTCTCTTTCAGCTCCCTATCCCTCATGCTCTTCTTAATCTTAGACATCCTCTTAATCGTATCCTGCTTCGCTCTCTCCAAATTCCTCCTGCGATGTTTCTCAATTTGCTTATACGTGTGCGCAAACTTCTTGTCGTACGCCTTCTGGGAATCGAGGTATCGTCGAACTGCGAGTTCCGATATGCGACCTAGGATTTCATCTGGTATCTGCATCGCTTCGAGCTCGGAGGCAGGTTCGAGAGGTCGGATTATGCCTTCGGTGGAAACGCGCTCTCTGACCATGCCGCATTCCCAGGATTGGGGGTTCTGTGAAGGCGAGTTAGCTGATGTCCGCGTTTGTGAAGTTGAACGAACCTTGATGGATTGGTAGAAAGAAACCTCGCCAGCATATCGCTCGCCTGGGGGAGGAGGCGAACGTGATCTGGAAAAACTGAACCTGGGACCAGCAACGTCGCTCGCAGTCGTTTCCCCACGGGAAGGCTGTGGGCCTGTTGCTTCAGCGATAGGTTTGGGCTCTGACACCAAGTCCTGTTGGGACATGGTGGGAGGGCTCTCCACTTGGGGTTTAGTCTCGGGGCTCCCAGAATTCCTCGGCGAACCAAAGCCCAACCTCGCCGAGAGTGAACGCCGAAGGGATGGTCTCGCCGGGGAAAGCTCGTTTGTTGTATTAGAAGGGAGGAAGATGGCGGACATTCGTCGCTTCTTGGACACTGAAGCGTCGGCTTCGGCAGACAGCGACGCGCGGCGAGAACCTGAAGGTGTTACGGGGCTGTTGGTCTTGCTCCCGTCTGTTTTCTGAGAGAGGAAGGAATCTTTGGCAACTAATGGGGCAACCAGGGGCATTCCCGTTACCAGTTTCGCGAAATTAGCCATGGCTCTGAAACAGAACTTGGCCGGTGTGGTGAACGCGAAAAGGATGGGCAAGACGTGCGCGGTGTCTGAAGGAAGAATGTTAGAGATTGCCGCTACGAGTGCATCTAGGCAGCTTACCATCATACACCTGTAGATGGACCGAGGTTGGCTTCATCTCTTTGTACTTCCTCAGAGTAGGGTACAGATCGAGGCACCTTTCCTGCACGGGGAATTTGGCTGGGTCCGCCGCTCGATGGGCACTGCGATTAAACGATCGGTCAGAGTGTCACACCGACAAGGCAGGAGCACGAACGTGTAGATGATTTCATCCCGAAGCACTTCCTTGTCGCTCGCAATGAAGAACAGTGGGGGCAGGTCGCCTAGGTATGACATCGCTGAGCTGACCAGTGGATGCACCAAGAGCGAATTGCGGGTATAGAAGTGGAACTGGCTTTCGATTTCCACGGTTTCGTTGTCTAATTCGAACACCATCTTCTCGACGAGTTTCGTCTGTTCTTCCGGAACTGCGGTTGTGGTGCCAACATCTACAGGAAGTCCTTCAATCCCAGACTTCTGGTCATGCGAAATTATGGTATCGGTGTGTCCAGCCGGGGTATCGTCTTTGTTGAATACCTGACGTAGGCGATGTCGAATCGAAGCATGAACGCGGTCGGAGATTTCTGGGGGTGGGGGAGGCCAGAGAGGACTTGGCTTATGAAACGACAACCCACAATCCGGTATCACGTCCTTCAGAAGAGTGAGCGACTGGATGTCCACGGCGAGGTCAAGACTTACCGTCTTCGTGTTGAGGTGTATGCTTGGGAACGAATGGGTGAGGTCACACCACGGAGAAATCAAGATGCCGCCAGCGGGGGCTGGGAGGCCAGTATCACGGATAACCTGAAGTAAAGCCAGTGACAAGCCGCCTCCTGCAGAATCTCCTGCGATGACGATATGGGCAGGGTCTACGGCTTGATGTTCAGCGCCAGTCGGAGGCCTAATCAAGTAGAGATCTGCAAGAAGTGTAAGCTGGGGTACTGGTACAACCAAGAGCAAACACACATGAAGCAAGGGCATCCTGAAGAGCACAGGGGAAAGGGTACTGAGGTGCTAGTCGATAGTTGATAGCTGTGTAGAGTCGTAAGTTGGCGGAAGGACAAGGATGTGGTAAGCCATGTACCAAAAACGCGACCGTTGATCTTCCTGGCAAGCCTTTGGATGCTGTATCGCTCTTGGTCGACGCTCCCAAAGTAATAGCCGCCTATTCCGGAATGTTAGCGCCCTCATTAATCTGTGGCGCTGAACCACTCATACCTCCATGCAAGTACAGAATGCAACGCATAGCATCCATATCTTTGGCATACGTTCCTTCTTCATTCGCAGTCGAGTATTTCTCGCCGCGCTGTTTGAAACGGCGTTTGGCTTCTCTCCAATCCTTCTTGGCTGCAATCCATTGGGCGTCCACGCTGCGCATTTAGGAACAACAGAGTCAGTTTCAATCATCCTTGATGCAATTCAAGACTCACCCGTCGATCCCTCTCACTTGCCACCATTTGACCCCACCGACGACCCTCCGGCAGACATCTTCTCCGCCAAGCGCGCTGATTAGATAGGAAGCGGCTTCATCGCAACACGACATTGGCACAGTGGTACGGAAGACGTGTACCCATGGTGGTGACGGTGTACGGGTGTTTGAGAACGCTATTCAAGCCCTAGCTCAGTACAGTTGAGTGCCACCTGGATTGGAAGCTAACCTTGCAGGTCTTCTACAGTATGCCTTGTGGAATATTCAGGGACAACTTAACAAACGATCCGAAGCACGGGTTCTACGTACCAGCTTGCGGCATTGAGGAATGCCTGGGTGCGGTTAAGTACAAGGGCGGAACTGAAGCACATTCTCGGGGACGTACTTTAACAATTGTGAATGCTTCGTCGTATAGAATATCGTCCTTGCGCAGCTTTGGGCTGTTCTCGTCGCCATCCTTTCCGGGTCGGTCGAGGTAGTGCTTGGCTAAAACCTCGAGCAGGACGGGTCCGACCTTGAATCCGACTTCTGTGGTGAGTCTGTTGCCGAGTACCATTGTCGCTGAAGCATTCAACAAGGCGAAGACAAGTGGGGCGCGAAGAATAAAAATGAAATGCACACAAACCGTGTCTCAAATGAAGCGCAAGGCATGCCGTTCACCCGGGTCGACAGAGATGGCGGTGCCAATGAAAGCCTCGCGGTTGTTTGTCATGGCGTTGACGTTGACCGTTGGCCGGAACCACGACAGACCACGACCTCCGCCACTCGCCATCGTGTTGGAATATCAATAGCATATCGTCCACGACCGCACTCAGAGCTTGTCATATCGATTCCGTCGTGCGCGGCGCGTTCACGACTGCTGATCGCTCCCACCCCTTGGAAGCTGGAACCGCCTTCGAACACGCCCTTTTGGTTCAGCCGCATTTCCGTGTATTCCCCGACTAACCGAGGCTTCTGGACATCCCTTCATATCGACGGTCCTACCGGATAGACTCCCCTCTGCCTCCTCTCTCTTGTTCGGCCGTGAATCTGGGGTATGAATGGCAACTTGCGACTTGTATATGGGGTTTTACCCGACGATAGCCCTGCCTTGGTGGTTCCTTGCACAAAGGCACCGCAAATAGAATCCTATAAATAACAGCACTATCGCCTGCCGACCGGTGTTCTCTGGCCTCGTGAGGCGTTAGAGTTGTCTTCTCAAAGAGAGAACTTGATGGGAAAGCTCTTGCAGCATGGGGTGGCTTCTTTCGGATCGAGGATTCAAGCATCCCCTGACTAGCAGCTCTTATGCACGATGAGACTATCTTGCTTCTTCGGAGCGAAGATAACTCAGCCCTTCATTTGTGCGGCCGGATTTTTCAACCAACCGTCTCTTCCTGGCCTTCTTGTTTTCCCGTACAATCTTATCCATATCTACCTCGATTGATGCGTTCCGGGCCTTGAACTTCCTGCAGGTGGTCCGATGCCTTTAAAAGCCCTTCTCTAATTCTTTGCTACTCATCCCGTCGTTCCTCTCCTTGGCTTTCCTATCCCAGAACATCATGTTGTCGTCGCTTCTCGTAGCCTTCGCTCTCGGGATCACATCAGCGTTTTCCGCGGTACCCCCAAGAAGGTACGCTGTCCACAACGTTCCACATTTTTGAGAATGGGGTTGCTCAACAAAGCTTAACCTCTCAGAACGTGTGGAACACACATCTCAGAGGAGCAAATTGCCGCCGCCGAATCGCACTTTGCTACCCACCGTGTTGCACCCAGTGACTTTTCAACCCAGGCTACCACTATCAATGTAGGTTTGACTTCCACCACGCCATTGACACGACTCCAACGCTGGTTTTGCAGGTCTACTTCCATGTCATCAGCCAGGACGCTTCTACCTCCGGGGGCTCCGTGACGTTAGTTCACTTTCACCATAGTGCAGCTTTACCGGAGACTGAGCATTCTCTCGTAGCGACGCCCAGATTGCCAACCAAATCAGGGTGTTGAACGACGCATACGCTAGAGCAGGAATCAACTGGGTGCTCGCCAACACCACTCGAACCACCAGCGTAGACTGGTTCCAACGTGTCGCCCCCAACACCGCGCAGCAACAGGCCATGAAGACTACTCTCCGAACTGGCAGCTCACGCGACTTGAACGTCTACACCGTTGGGTTCGTCATGGCTACTCGTTGCTACGTGTATTCATGCAGACTTACTCCACCTCTTTGAATACAGTTTCCGAGCAGGCTCCGGCAGTGGGCTGCTTGGATATGCCACATTCCCCCAGGAATTTGCCGGTAAACCGTCAGATGACGGTGTTGTTATCCTCCATTCCTCTCTCCCTGGTGGAACCTCTGCTCCATACAACCTTGGTCACGTAGGTTTCTTCCGCATCATCTGCTCATTTTCTTACGTTTCTAATCATCTCTGGTTAGACTTTGACCCACGAAGTCGGCCACTGGCTTGGCCTTTACCACACCTTCCAAGGTGGCTGCTTCGGAAGCGGCGACTACGTCGATGACACCCCTCCTGAGGCCAGCCCTGCTTATGGCTGCCCACGAGGACGTGACAGCTGCGCTGGCGGTGGAGTCGACCCCATCAGTAAGTTTCCCTTTCCTATTGGACATGTTGTATAGTCTGACCAGTGGATCAACAGACAACTACATGGACTACAGCGACGATGCTTGCATGACCGAATTAACTCCGGGTCAAATCGAACGAATCCGTGCACAGATTGCTACTTACCGCGGTATTGGTCTCTAAGGGACTATGGACGATTCGAGTTCACGATTTTGTACAATAGCACTTTCAATTCTTCCCAGTTCCACAATTGCTCTGCTTGTTACTATTTATGGCGTGATGTGATACTTCTGAATGAGGGATTCGACATCCTTAGTTTGGAAGAGCTCAAGGAATGACGCGACCAGCTCGGATGGCTTTGGCAGCCTCGCTCTGCGCCTCGTCACGCAAGTAGCGACCATAGATTACATCGAGATGTTCCCGATCCTGTAATACGCGTCAGCTAGGGGTTCACTCGGAAATTAGTAGGGCTTCCACATACGCTAGAAGTCTGGACCACCGACGGCCTGCTCTCAATCAACTTGGCATACTCCTCCCACTTTGGTCCAACGTCCTTCCTATCAAAGCCCCGATGCTCCCTCAGAATATAGTCCCTCGCAATCCAAGGCGCAACAGCCACATCAACCAGGCTAAACGTTTCACCAAGGAAGAACGGGCCCCTGATTTGCTCACTAAACTTGCGGAGAGAATCAACCACTTCATCGCGCCCTTCTTTGACTTTCTCGGGTGTCTGGGCTTGCAAGAGGCGATGTGAGGCGGGGACATAGGTCTTGGAGAGGTGATCTATCCAGATTCGGGCGTGTGCCTTTTCGACAGGGTCATCTGGGAGGAGTTTGGTGTGGTTTGGGAAGGCGTCCTCAAGGAATTCACACAGGATGAGGGACTCGTACAATGCCCTTCCCTTGTATGCGAGTGCCGGAACGAGGCCTTTGGGGTTGATTGCTGCCACGAAGTTCAATTCCGATGATCATGCAGAGAACACAGTGCGCGACTTACCGAGGAACTCTGGTTCCTTCTTGTAAGGATTGACTTCTTTGTACTGATAAGGAACTTTCTTCTCTTCCAAAGCAATCCAAGTTCGCTGAACGAATGGGCAGAACTACTCGGTGGGAGTCGGTCAGATAGGAGATAGGTGTATGTATTATCAGTGATTCGGGGACTTACCCATCCAGCATAAAAGACCAACTCTTGAGGGGCTTGGTGCGCTTCTACCAAGGCGGCAGCAGCGCCAGTAGCAACGGGATGAATTTGAGCGTCAGGAATAGCCATGGTTCTTCAAAATGAGAGCAAGTGAGTTGGGCTGAAGAGCCCCTATCGGCATATATACAGCCAGAATTGCGTCATAAGCAACTGATGCTTGTCTTGGTACCTCTTTACTAATACCCGTAGATTAGTACCACCCCACCACGAGGTCGAGCAACCACCAACTCCAGTGAGATGACTAACTGGGACGAAAATAAAGGCACAATATTCACAAAAGCTAGCAGAAATGGTGTTTACACAGCAGGAAGAACTAGCACGGTTCCCAACTCCGTCCCGGTGTCATGATCAATACCATCTTCACCCTCATCTCCCTGAATAGGGATGCGATACCGTCGGTCTCTCCTCAGATCAACAACCTTCACCGGTTCCCCAACGAACCCATCATGGCCCTGCGTATCCTCCGAAGCGCTGGTCTGAATCGCCTTACGTCTATCCAGAACCCTTATCCGAGGAACCCTCACATAGCCACATTCCAGTGGGATGATCGACCACGTTATCCTTTCCTCGGATCCAGGAAGCAGAACAGGCACTCTGGCAGCTCGCACACCCGAAACCACAAATCCATCCCCAGAGTCAGGGTCAAGTTGGACGGTAACATTCGCCGAACGATGAGGGTGGTTGTTCCGCACGATGATCGTCATAGGCATCGGCTTGTGGAGGACTCCCGTAGGCTCGATGTCCATCAGTGCTACGAGTTCGTCCATGGGCGGCTGAAGAATGGGCAACAAAGTGGTCGTAGTCGAAAGCTTTCCGTGGCTTCCATCGGGGAGTATTCTTAGAACAAGAATTCAGTGATTTCGGAAGGCGCGAGTGTAGAGAGGACCTTACCTTCTCCAAGAAAGGATAAACTTCCCTGGGCTTGGAATAGGTTGATTCTCGGATACAAGGTCTGACTTAATCAGCGCGAGTCTGCAGGATATCGAGAACTCGTCCCCAGGAAGGTATTCTAAGAAGGCATTCAGGAACACGGTTAATAAGAGCGCACGTGGATTGCTTACCTCCCGGATACAAGTTGCAGTCTTCTATGTCTATCGAAGAGTCCAGGAGCTTGAACCGAGAGTTACTCTTCTATTGTCGAATCAGTACAATCCATGGAAGTGTCAGGAGAAACTCACATCAATCTCGACAGCGGCAGATTCAACGAAAATACCCCAAGGGCCGGTACAAATGCATTGCAAGCTGATGGATGCCTCGTGAGCACTAATGCCCTCCTCGTGGAATGTAGATAGATCCGCCAGAGCGGGCCATTCCTTCCGCGTTCTGGCATAGACAACATTATCGCTAATGTCGAATGGCGCAATGGTTGGAATGATGACTGTTCTCTGATGTGCCGTCTTGTCTAACGAAGTCGGCGAAGGAGGTTCTTCGCTTTCCTCTGCATCCTCTTCGTCAGATGACTCCTCGGAAAGGACAATTGCACTGGAAGTGACAGAAATATCCAGAGCGCGATCCCCGACGGCACCGGCACTGAACAGGTGAAGAATCTTTGACGCGGTCATGCCAGGCAAGAGTTTGCCTAGTTGGATATCTTTAATCAGCCCAGTGGAAACCTGGTCATCGATGGAGATAGAGTTGACTAAGGAGTTCGTCAGTTTGGGAACCGTGATTGCGTGTCTGAACGACATACCCGCATAGTCAATGTCGGATGGCTGCAATAGGATGTCAACTGTGACATCGAGCTCCTTCTCATCCCGGTTCGTAACTTGGATGTGAATCTCGTAATCTTCGTCCAGGTATGAAGGTGTGTGGTGAGATATCGAGACGTCAACGAGATGGGGTCGATGTTTAACACTGAATGGATGTCAGCCCATGTATCTCATTGACAGATTAGTACGCACATGGCGAATGAGAACTCTTGACGGTTGACGGGAATGAACCTGGGCGGGTCCAGTGAACGCAACCATCGAGGTTGTATCCGCGAGCTGGTCCTAGACATGTTCAAAGACAACGGCATCTGGATTTTCCATTTATTCTGTTCAAGGTTCAACAACACTTTCTCAACCTATACCAGTGTCAGTTTGATAGGCGGCCTAAGAGTAGGGTAACATACCGTCAACCTCGAAGGCCGCTCGGCAGACACCGTCCCCGTAAACACGACCGTGCTGCCAGGTCCCCATCGCAAATGACCAGAAACCTCTGAAGGAGTCTCGTCGCCGACTTTGATGTTGCCAAGGTCAACCCGCGTTGGCCGCGTTACCACTTCTTCCGAATCATCGTGTCGAACGACCAAAGGCTCATTCAATCCTAGGAAGTGTACTTCCATAGACGTTATGGGTAGGGACGAAACAACGACACGGGGAGGGGCAGACAACGATAGCTGAAAGGCAGCTGGCTGTGATACATGAACCTCAGTGTCCCAGAATGCAACGCTGGTTTCGACTTTTCGAGCATCAGCTCTCAGAACACAGGCAAATGTAACCGGTGCTCACATATAGGCAAAGTGTCTTCAAAGTCGTACACGAGCACCTCATCGTCGGATGTTGGAACGGTGCTTTGCAGAACAGCGAGTAGATCCTCCTGAAGAGACGTCGGCTCATCATCCTCAGCCGGTTCTACGAGGCAAGGTCATTAAACGGATAAGCTAAGGATGCGACTCCCTTACCATGGCCCATCATCTCGAGAAGCAGTTTGATGCTCAGGTTCACATCGGGCATCTGCTGTGCACAGTGGTACCATTTGGCGAGGAGGGGCCTGAGCATCAGGTACCAGCCTTCTTTCCTATACGTCTTGGCGATGCGTTCCAGGAACCTACCACAGCCGTGAAATCAGAGTCGAATTCGCGTAGAGTAGCGAAAAGTCTCACCGGATGGCCATGTCGTACTTCCCGGACAGGGCATAAATCTCCGCGATCCGGTAGGCAATCAGCATAGTCAGACGGCCTGGAGATTGACCCTGTGATGGCGGGTTATACCTCTTGAACATTTCATATGCTTTGGTGTATAGCTAACAGGGTCTGAGAATGGCAATACGACAGCACACGCGGCGCACTTACCTCCAGTACAAGCGACAAGTGATCGACCTTTTTCTCGTTTGCGAATCCAGGTGAAATGGTGATCGGTTGGTTGTTGTTCTGCACGGGAATCAGCTCAGGTGAATCTCGACTTTAGGCAAGGCAAGAATGTACCTCCGCCTCGACAGCAGCCAAGAACCGTTCACGCCGCATGTCCGTAGCTTTCGCAGCCATATAATAGTAATACCCCGAATGCTGCAGGGCATGGCTGGGGTTGATACCAAGTGATCGTAGAGCGTCCAACTCGGCGACACCCATAGCAGCACGCGTCGCGGCGGTGGCTGGGTTAGGTGGTGCGACAGGTTTGTGGACTGGGATAAGGAGTCCAGATCGAGTACCCTGGTCAATCAACTCGGCCAATATCCGATACCTGGCGGACAACTCAGGGACACTATGGCGCTGCGAGGAATCGGGAAACGTACTGCCGTGCAACCCAGCCCCAGAACTCGAAGGTCTCTTCACCAATCCCCCAACCTCTCGAAAGGTCATTGAATTGTCGTATGTGGGTATTGTGATGCGCAAGAGCTAGAGCGTGCTCATTGTTGTAGAGGTACAGTTTGACGATCTGTACAAAGGGAGTTCAATGAAACGTCGCGGGTGGGAGGAAATGATGACCACCTTGATGTTGATACAGTCAGCCAGTACTTTGGCTTCTGCCCATCGCTTTGTTCGCGGGGGCAAAATGGCAGTCGAGCCGAACATGATGATCAAGGCGCTATACGCATCTTGATAATGTCTGTAGGCCTCATGAGGAGAAGTAGAGAGTTGATTGCGGGTCTGATGCCTTACTTGAGGGCGACTTCATCTTCACCGCGGAATTCAGCGAAGCACGCCATCTTGTACTCGTATCGAACTGTCCATCCTTCTGGCCGGAGCGGTCGAGCGACGTTAGGATTTGCGAGGGCAATGGCAGGGTTGGTGTACGTGGTCGCTTGTGAATGTCGATTGCGCTTCCTTCGTACTCGTTTCGAGTGGGCCGTGTAGTATTCCAATGCGGGTTCATAAAGAGCTTGTTGGAGACTATGCGATCATCAGTTCGCGTACGGTCATTCAGGGACATACACCGCACCTCTTGACAAAGTCGCCCAATTCACTTGGGCTAACCGGGCTCAAGACGAACAACGCTGCTCGAGAATCCAATCCACTTTGCCGCCGAATAAAAGCAAGCCGTGCGTCCAACTTTGGATCGTCTATGAGTAACCTTTGGCATTAAATGTGTTTGCTCCCCATAACCACGAGATCTCGAAGGGACATACCCAGTAGACGCCGGCTCGCCATGAGAACGACGGTGAGTTTCACTCCACGTTCGTTAGTTCCCCTCTTGCGTTGTGCAATCTCGGCAGCCAATTCAGCATCTCTGCGTCTCTCCTCTTCAGCCCTCTCCCGTTCGAGTTCAGGACCGTCTTCCGGACTTCGAAGTATAGGCGGAGGTAACTCGAATATCCTCATAAACATTACCAAAACGGAAGGCACGAGAGTTGTATGTTTCCGTATCCAAATCGGCGCTATCAAGCCATCCGGATACAGAGGCGACGAAGGCGTCAAGGGCGAAAGTGGCGAATGTGCATTCGAGTACTGTGGGTCGTCGGGTGGAACCAGTTTGCGTGGTGGGAAGCGCACGTCCTTGTCTACGAGTATGACTTGGAAGGTCTTGGACTTGTCGGATTGCCAGATGGCTACCTTGCGTTGGTTTGTGAGGGCTTCGCGGAGACGGATGGCGAGGACTTGGAAGGGATCTGGTTTGGACGCGTTGCCTTCTGCGTCTGGAGGCGGTGGCGGTGGGACGTCGAGACCGGCGACGAACATGACTGGTGCGAGTTGCACCAGCAGTTCTGGTGGATACGAGTTCATCGTGGACCGGCGACCTCTACGACGAGGATAGAGTTCCAAGTGCTGATTAGACTCGCCGACATCAGCACTCTGCTTGCCATCAGCGCCGGCGCCAAACAACGCGGTCTTGTTCTAATTTTATCTCTTTCGTTCACTGAACTCGTTGCTACTGGCGAGTAAATCGGTTCGCGCTGGACGCTACTTGGAAACGCCTCGAGGCTCCAGACAATGACTTCACATCCACTCTTGTTCTTCTGTGGCGGCCTTATACTTGACATAGATTAAGGTTTACCTCGTGGTGGTTTATAAAGCGCCCAAGTGCCTACAAGACTGTGCTAAGTTGAAGCCCACAGTTGCTCTGGAAGCCATATAAGCTCGAACTCGAACACCCGACCGCTCCCCAGGCTACTCTACTCTACCCTTCTCAACCGCCTAATACCTTTCTCTATTCTCCCCCGACAATCATCTGGAATGATGCCCAAGCACATCTCGCAGGCTCTCGCTATTCTCGTTATCCTTGGTGGGTCGCTCACGTCACAACCAATGCCCTCCATCTCTCAACACCCTCTAGTCTCCTCTGTTAATGCACTTGCCATTGGTGACGTTGGAGCTGTCCACGCTGCTCCTGAAATTCTCGCTCGAGAAGTGGTTCGTTCGATTCACATTATCAGAGGTCCAACGTCAACTAATCATCTGATCTTATAGAGCAATCCCAACTCGACGTTTTACGGCTCTGTTAATAGTGGTCCTGTGGTTGGCTTTGACGCCCGGTCGGCTGCGCGAAGCAATGCCCCTGCGTCTGTCGCCGCTGTTGTGTCCGCCGCCTTGCTTATGACCATGATTTAATCCACACTAAGACTCCTCAGACCCCTTATGCCCCCTCTTTGTAGCATAGTACCACTGTATCAATAGCATTCCTGGCCTTCCTGTCAATGTTCTGGATGACGCCCGTTTGGATAGGGGTCTGAGTCCAGAAAAAGCAATATTACGTAATCGATCAACAAGACCCGGGCGTCCTGCTTAATTGGTGCCCACTGACTGCTTTGCCAGAACCTTCATCTTGCAACTGCTCTTTCCCTAGTTCAAGAATGGCTTTGATTGAGGTAGGTACACCTCTGCTATAGGACGCGAGAACAGAACTCTGATCATGATATCTGTGTTGCAGGTGATTGCTAACGACCGTCTCGGGCGAAAAGGTTAATTGCAGTTCAATATCTGGAGTCCATGTTGCTGACGATCAGGATTGCCCTGTTCTTTCTCTATTCGCCGACTCTCGTTGCGCCACTCCTATGATCTTCCGAAATCCAACAGTTCGCGTTAAATGCAGCCCAGATGACACAGTAGGAGACTTGAAGAAGCTCATTGCCGCTCAGACTGGTACCGATCCCAGCAAGATCCAACTAAAGAAATGGTATGTCCGAGCACAAATCTTCTTGCCCTTTCATGAGATGCGCTTTACTTTCTCTTAATCCGATTGCTTTCGCTCCGTTTCTTCCAGCTATTCTCCCTTTCGCAATGCTGACTCAGACTGGCTCATCCTTGTTCTGAAACAGGTATACGATATACAAAGACCATATCACACTCGCAGACTATGAGATTAATGACGGAATGTCGCTTGAGATGTACTGAGCAGAGTGTAGTATTTAGTTGACGATAATCGAAATTGTGTTTGCGGTTGCTTGGCGGCGACAGCCCAAGTCGGGTGGAGTGACTCTTGGCAACGCCCAGATATCATCGATGGGGGACTTGCGATGGGCTGCAGTCTTGTGGATTGGCATTGGCATGGCCAGCGTCGGTCGCGCCAACGAAACCGGCTCCAGAATAGAGTACGTTCGCTTACAAAATGTCAACCACTTCCATACCGACTACTCCCAGATACTTCGATGACCCCTACCTCAGGTTTCGTCCAGACTTTGCTCGCTCACTCCCAGTTCAAATCCTCCTCACCGGCGTCGTCCTCACCCTCACCGCGGTCCTCTTCATCCATTTAATGTTCACGGCCCAGTACCATTGGCCACTCGCACCAGTCAACTATGTCCTCCAACTATCTGGCGTCACCACTCTCTTAATTTCTCTCATCGCCACCATTCATGTCGTCTTGTCCGCGACCATGGCTCAGAGCGAACGCTGGCCGTACATGCTGGACTATATTGCCGTCAATGTCCCCCCACCGCTTGAAACAGAACCCGACGTGAAGAAATGGAGTATGGCTGAACGAGCGACATGGCTTGTAATGAATGCCTCAACGTCTGGTCTTATCCAGGTGAGTGCTTCTTTCCAGCAATCTGGTCAATAAACTCATACGCCACTAGATCACCCATATTCAATTCTTGACTCTTCTATACCCTTCTCGGCTGGAAGGAAGACTCATTTTCATGCTGCTGGGTGCGAAAACACGTCTGCTGAGTGTGTCGATCATACTCACTCTTCATTACCAGGCCCACTCGCCATTGTCGCCGCCGTAATGCAACTCGTCCCAATAAGCACCAACGTCAACGTCAATATCATCGCCTCCGCAGTTCGCAATGTCTGCAACGCCACTTTGTCGTTATTATTCACCGTCGCCTTGTTCATTTGGGGCCTTCTCGTGAATCGAAAACAGGCGTGGAGAACCGACGGAGGAACCGCAGCGTTTGGCGCTGCTGCACTTACCCTCGCCATCGTCAGCACCGCGCTTAATTTCCTCTATGTTCACAAAGAAGATGAATTTGTCTGGTTGCCTGGCTTGATGTGGGCTGTGATACTTTGGCAGAGTTTCCTGGGATGGTGGTGGTGGGTTGGCGCGGGGAGTGGTGCAGGTCTTGCCTCTGCGGAGGATTTAGAGGACAGACTGGAACGTGAAGCCCAGCGCGAATCAAGAAGGAGGAGGGCTCGCGAGAAGAAACGGCAAAAGAAGGATAAAGCAAGGAGGGTTTGGAATGATGTAACGGGTGCACTCAGTCATGGCCATGCAACAGGCACTAATTCGCGCATCTCCGACGATATGAACTCCAACACTCGATCGAGAACGTCTGGACGACGGTCTTCCCGGACAGGAGGCGACGACGAAATGTCGGGACCCCCATCTCCAACACCCTCACTCACGCCCTCAGTGACGTCGACACTCTCCGCCACCTCCGCCGTCTCATACACCACCCTTCCAAGAGGTCTCCCGCGTTTCATACATCAGTGGTACGCCTCGCTTCGCCGCGAACATGTTGCCGCCGCACGACGTCAGGCTGCTGAACGAGTCGAACGAATCCGGGAACTCGAACGGAATGGAACACAGAGGGCTCCACGTGCAGGGTCTGGATGGGGGTTGGGGAGCTTTGGATGGATCATTGCTCCTGCTCATCCCTCGCCAGATTCTAGGGGAAGAGACAAATCGAGCCGAAGTAGGAGCCGTTCAATGTCCGTTTCGCGCGGTAGGCAGCATAATGAAGAAGACGTTGAGCTTGCCGAGTTGGGTAGGGCTGATAGTGCAAGTCAGAGCGGAGGGAGGGGAAGGAGGGCGCGGTCCACTTCGACGGACACTCGCGTTTCCCCTGACGGTGCTGAATCGGGAGATCAGCTCAGGCAAACCGACTCGAGCACGCCGTTACGCTCCCTTCGGGACAGGCGGAATTCGCTACGAATAACGATTCCGGATGTACCCTCAAGAACTGAAGTGACGACCGAAGCGACGACGACGCCTTCTTCAGCAACCTCCCCGCGAAACACCTCGACAGCAAGGCCGAATTCGATATGGTGGTGGGGACCATTGCGCAGATGGAGATTACAAGATTCGACGAGATACGCATGATCACCATCTTTTCTGCTCTAATTTATTTCAACACTCTTGGACATTTTTTCTTGCATGGTTTACCAAACATCATTGTTGTAATATGTGAGTATATTCATTCGTCGTCGGCCTCCATATCACCCCGAGCTCATCCCCTCACAGTAGTGCAATTAATACATACTTCGTACACCACTGAAATGCTGCTTTCAAAGCCTCCTGACCTTTCACGTCAGCGCAAGGCGTCATGCTTTACTGTTCAGACACGGTTCACGTCGTCGACACTCCACCGCAAGTGCGTTCAGAGCTCGCTAGACAACAGAATCTCTCCGTCGTGGTTTGTTTTCGGTTTGGCGCCTGTCGATGCTAATCACTTTTACCCCGCCAGAAACAAATCCATCCGATATGGACTTCACGTACACCCGAGCGAACCCAGAGTAATTGTGCCTGGCGCTTGTCAGACTCCTCCTGTATAGATGGACACCGCATCGGAGAGGTTTGGGTATTTAAACTGAGAGACAGGTTGCTCGGGAGACCATCTCAATCTCAACGAGCGAAGATGCGATTCTTCATTCATCTCCTCCTTGCTTCGCTTTTGAACATCGTCTTTGCTGCTCCCAAGTCGGAGAACACAGATGCTTTTGGGCTCTTGCGACGTACTCCCGACGAGGCGCGCCGCGGCCGTCCCAAATGTCTCTCCCCATCGCGTGTTAAAGCAGGAGAAGACTGGGCCATCGAGGTGTGTTTTGGGGTTGCACTCCTGCTGTCTATTTACACGAGGTAATTGACTGACTGGCTATTCCTTAACCTAGAATTACCGAGCTTCGGATGACAAGGACCCAAGCTATGTGGACAACTTCATTGGAGAGGACACACAGATTTTCTTCGGGGAATCTCCTCCCAGTTCTGGGAAGGAGTCGATTAGAGAATCGATTGAGTGGCAGTGGAATGCGACTAGCAGCGTCTCTCATGTGTAAGCTGCCTTCTCTGTTTGGCCTGCGTCGCCTTGAACTGATAGGCATCGGCAACCGTTCTTTAGGCTCCAGAGGATTATCGTCCTTGAGGATCTCACCTCTGTCCAGACAGAGGTTACTTATACCTTCACTGATGGGGCTGCGTTGACGAGGAAGGCTATTACTCTGTATGAGAAGACTCCCGAGGTTAGTTCTTCAACTTACAAGTCGATGGGGCTGTGTGCTGATGATGACACTCTCGGATGCAGGACCAGTTCCCTGCTGCGATTAGGGTGTTTGGTGATTTCGTCGAGGTGTTCGCGAAGTTCATCGAGGTTGCTGGACCTCCCCCTGGTAGTTAAGCTGCTTGGTGCTCCTCGTGTACTTGTGGTTTTAATGGTTGTGTTTTCCATGACATGGTGGTGATCGTGCGTAAGCTAGGTACAAGAAACATCGGGATGGTAAGGTAATGGGGATGGTTCCAACCTAGAGACTGGTTGCGAGATTGGGGCGAGGTCCGCCGTTTTCCACTAACTTCTTTCCGGCTGCAGTGAAATCGCCGTAGATTCTGACTTCGCCATTGACCCGTTTGTCCTGGCATACGGGTCTGGTCAATGCAAGGTCCCAACGCATCGTGGACGAGCCGGCAAACGCACCTCTGGAGCTTTCTCAAAGACAGTCACCATGTTCAGTTTAATTTCTGTTCCATCGAGAAATACGTACACGAGCTCGGCTTCCGCGATCGTTAGGTCTGGGACTACCACGGTTCGGCGGATGCTTCAGAGTAGATGGCAATCAGCACTTCAGTCCGACCCGTCCCGAGGACTGTGAGGACAGCGGGAGCCTACTTGTGCACAAAACTTTTGGTAGCGCTGCATTCCCAGTTTATGAGCCGCTGCAAGGCGTCTTTCCCGATTATGGGAGGCGATGTGTTGTAGATGAAGGAAGCGTTTTCTCCGATGTAGGTGTCGAGGTAGGTTGGGTCTCTGCTATCCAGGGATGCATACATCTCGTGACCGGGAATTAGAGCAATGAGTATGGCGGGATGGTTCACAACGGTACCTCTGTGACCCATTCCTCTCCACGCTGGCGATGAGATGCAAGGGGTTTGTGAGAGCCTGCAGCTGCCTCGAATCTCTCTGAATGTTCCTTGGGCATACGACTCAGCTGCCTTGGTAAGAATGCAGTGTCAGCCACTGGCGACGCAGGAGGAGGTGATAGGAAGTTGAGAAAGGGGGTGAGGAGGAATAGCATGTCTGGGTTAGGGCTGGCGCACTGATTGCCCCACGCATCCTCCTTCTAGTATTATATGACCAGCTAAATATGACATTGGGATTGGAAGTGTGGCCTTTGTCAAGTAAGGTTTGCGTTCATTCGGATGGCAGTATTGATTCTTTAGGTCGATTGACGTACTATATGGAATTCTGGCGTCAGGTTATCGCCTAGGACGGGACATTCAGGCTTGCCAGTTAGTATGTATTACTAGTCAATAACAGGAGATCCGCCTCTCAAAGACTATAGAGGCCCCCCGTTCTGCACCATTTTGCTAAGCGCAACCACTGTGGGAAGCCGCTTCCATCAAGATCAAGGAATCGGCCCGATGCCGACACGAAATTCAAGGCCCGCTCCATCATTTCACACGGTCAAATTTCGAAGGTCGCAGGAACGCCCCCGCCAACGAAGGTAGGTGCTTCACATTCAAGGTCGGCGTCCTCCTACTCCATCTAATTCCTAGTCACCCTCCCTTTCTCCATCGTCCGTCAATTTCCAGGCCTGTCATGCCATCGTTCAGTTGCAATTATATAGCAATTGCGGCTCAGTCTCCAGGACCTCTTGTGAGTAAGAACACCCTTGCGGGCATTTCTAGCTCACTCACACGCGACCAGCGTCAACGGAGGCTGGAGCCGACACCCAGTTGCAAAATCAGGGGACATCGAGTCCCTCAGTTGGGAACGACGTCAGTCAAAGCCGCAAAGACCTGCTTTGCGGCTTTGACTGACGTCATTTCATTGGACGTGAACGCCAGCGGAGGTTTCGGCCGGGCCTCCTGTTTTCCCATGAAAATCTGGGTTTTCACTTCGTTCCTGCCAAGGCCTTACCAGATTATCCCTGGCCTTTCGCTAGCCTGCTTTTTCCACCCCATTCCAACTGATTACAATTCACTCGAGATTCAAGTTTAGGTGTGTTGTTCTTCGTGTTTATTCCTATCAAGCTGGCGTTCGCTGATACAGACTGGCCGTGCAACTCAAGAGTCTTTGGATGACTCCCAAGTCGAATGTCAGTTCGGCAGTTCTGCTCTCGGATGTAGGGGATATCGAGGACGCCGTCGCTCTAACCGCAGAACGACGACACCCTCTATGGCTTGATCTCCGACATCGGAGATCAAGCCGAGCGGCTAAGCGCCCACACCAACACACACACAGCACATAAACCGTCGGCGCAACGTCACGGTTCTTCCCCAAAACCACCATCTCGTGCTTCGGCCTTTGCACCCCCCCCCCACTGCGTCCTCGATGCCCTGTTGACTCGGCCCCGGCTAGTCATCACGAGTCGAGAGAACAGTGGGGCAGACCAACATGCTCACCACCTGCCATCCTGCCCGTCCATCTCTCTCCAATCGCCCAAACACGACAATGCACGCACGACGCCCAACCTTGAACATCGTGGAACTGGAACAGCGCACCGGCGAGGTCGAACGACCTTACCCGCGGATATCTCGTGCTTCGGCCTTTGCACCCCCCCCCACTGCGTCCTCGATGCCCTGTTGACTCGGCCCCGGCTAGTCATCACGAGTCGAGAGAACAGTGGGGCAGACCAACATGCTCACCACCTGCCATCCTGCCCGTCCATCTCTCTCCAATCGCCCAAACACGACAATGCACGCACGACGCCCAACCTTGAACATCGTGGAACTGGAACAGCGCACCGGCGAGGTCGAACGACCTTACCCGCGGATATCTCGTGCTTCGGCCTTTGCACCCCCCCCACTGCGTCCTCGATGCCCTGTTGACTCGGCCCCGGCTAGTCATCACGAGTCGAGAGAGCAGTGGGGCAGGCAAAGCCGAACTCGGATTCCCGCACCAGCATGCTCACCACCTGCCCCTCCTGCCCGACCATCTCTCTCCAATCGCACAATGCACGCCCAACGGCTCGGAATAACGACGCCCAGCCTCGAACATCGTGGAACAGCGCACCGGCGAGGTCGAACGACCTTACCCGCGGATACGAAGTTAGTCACCTGCAAATTCCCATTTCCATGAACGTTTGGTGTTTGGCTATGAGTGGCGGTGTTGTGTAACCGGGGTGCCTGCGGGCGATAGTTTGCGTGGTCAGCGCCGCCCTGGTCTCTGTATGTTGTCTGTTGGGCTACCTCCACACGGCTGGCATGCAGGGGTGAGTTTACGTCTCCTTCGCAATCATTTCTTCTTACCTGACTTGATTTCCAGTAACCACCTCGGCCTCGTTCGTGCCCGCTTGAAACGCTCGTATGGGGTTTCCTTTGCACGTAATTAAGTTGCAGATCAGGATTTGTACAATATGTTTTCATGTTCAGCATTCCACGTTACTATTAAGAGCTGCCGTATCATGTAGTAAGTAGATTGTGAGTCAATCCGACCAGTCCATTTCTTCTTGCTCCGCTTCACCCTCCCCATCTGATGCATTGTCTGGCGCGTTTTTCTCGTTTAACTCGTCGAAGGTTGGGATAGCAGCATCAAATCTGTCGAGAATCCACCACTGTTGGCTGCGCTGAGCTCTCCCAGTCACTGCCTGGATGTTCCGCATGTCGATAGCGACTGGAGCGTGCATGGCTTTGTATGAGGTGAGTTCTTTCCTTGCATCTTTTCCTCGTGTCTTGCATGGAGTGACGATGGCCAAGAGATAGGTCTTTCCTGCGTATCCTTCGAAAAGGGCGATGTCTGGAAGAGAGCAGACAAGAACAACGTTCAACTCTCCGTATGAGATGACGTCTACTGGGTTTCCTGCTTCATTCACATATTCGCTAGCATACTGGCTGGAAGGTCAGTCTCCGATAATGCACATCGACCAAATGAGGGTACGTACGCGTACATATGAAGAGAGGCGGAAATTGTGGCTGAGTTCAGAGACAGTCGAAGTACGGATAGTTGTGCGCCCTCCTTCGATTCGTATCTTCCCCCAGGCTGGCATTTCTGCAGGTAGTTCCTTCTTTATCGCAGAGATCTTGGGTTTACTCAGCAGGACGAGGCGCCAGTAGTAGGCAATTTGAGCAATGTACTCATCGGTCGGCCGGTAATGTTCTCGATAAGGTGTTAACATGATGTGATCTGGATCTTGAATCTGAATGAGTTCCCAAACAACGAAGGGCTGCATGAGTAACTCACAGCCCTCATATTTCCTTTCATTCCTAGACAGAAGACCCTCTCCATCGTAGATCCTTCGTTTTGGAAACCCAAGTTCATCGGTCAAGTCGTAGCGATACCTAAGTTGTTTTATCCAGCAGAGATGGAGGTTCCACTTGTCTAGATTTGCCCAAGGATATCGTTTTGAACGTAGTGCTTGTTTAAGCGACCCGCAAAAACGTTCCATGAAAAATGTCCAGGTTGTTGTGACTGGTCCGCAAGTCCGAATGTCCTCCACCAAGTGGAGGAGGGCGTGAATAGTCAGAGTACAAGTCTTGAGGCGATCGGAGTCATACTGGTAGTAGTAGCTAGTAACATGAAATATGAGCGAACCTTCTTTGTTACGATCATAGGCAATCCACCTACCGTTCGTACTTTTGAACCCAGTCGATGATTTTTACTTCGAGATCATCAAGCTCCTCTGAGGTAAGAGAGTACTTGAGAGATGTTTTCATGATCTCGACGAGACTGAGCATGTGTTTATAATACTTCTTGCGCTTGAAGCGGCCACGAAGGAGGATGGGTGCAAGGTAGATGAACCAGAAACACCACGACTCGGCAGTAAAGCCTGAACGGTCCTTGGCAATGTCCTTGAGCACCCGCACAAAGTTTGCTGGAATATGTCGAGTCGCCTCAACTGTCTCCTTGCCAATCTCTGCCCACACCACATCATCAATATGATAGTCTTCAGTGCCAGAATCCAAACCCTTGTAGCGTCCCATCCACAGCATGACCAGATTGGGTACAATATTCTCCAGGAGTAGATGCATCCAGTCATGGGGCACTGACCGCGCGTAATCAATGGATCCGACTCGACCAAATGCTGGGGCCTGGCGAATACCCGTGTTCTTTGAGATGGCTTCGCGTTCTTTCTTTGTTTTGGCCTGAGCCATTGCATCCAGGGCCTCCTGAAAGTCTTCATGGATACGTAAAGGGAGGTTGGCAGGGTCGCGTTCGCCGCCAGAGGGCTCGTGTCCATGGGGAAGCTGAAGGGGGATATAGTACACCTTCTCTCCTCCCTCCACGTTCCGTACGCCTTTTAGCGTACACCGGCGGCACGGATGGATTGCATTGTGGCCCTTGATCCCGAGAGCTTTCTCAATTGCCACCATGTCGCCCAGTTCAAAGATTTGGTATGCTCGAAGGGTGAAGCTGGCGTAATCCTCCAGTGCATAGTCCGCATCAACACCATGTGCCAGCTTTACGCTCTCCTCTTCCAGTGGCCAAAGGAAAGACGCCAAGTCTTTTGGCTGGTTGGGGCCTGGAATAATCCCGCAACAGATGAGATTTTCGGCGTGCGTCCGGATGCGAGGGTGCAAGTTGTAATTCTGGATTAGGATGGGTGTTGCAGAAGGGCCAGCACGTCGCCTCTCGAAAAGAAGAAATCCATCGGTACAAACAGAGAAGGCGATGTCACGTTTGTCGGAGAAGTAGTTGTGCTCGAGTTGCTCTCCATCAACTTCGACCTGTTGCTGTAGGAGTGAACGGTAGTGCTCCCCATCAAATATATCTCCAATCTTGGCAGGCCCCGTGATGTTGTATGTTGAGCGGTAAAGCAAGGCTTCACACATTCTTTGGCTTTCATACATTCCCCTAAGTTGAGGGATGAAAGGGATATATCCAAAGACACGTCTAGCCTTTCCCGTCTCCTCATTCCACCTGCCCTCGTCACAGAACGGACATGAGTCCAGATCAGCGTATTCGCCAAGATATGCAATGCATGAATTGATGCAGCAGTCGTAATAGACGGGGCTAATGCCAGTCAATGCTGCCATTCGACGAAGGATGACAAATTCGGAACTGATATTCATCTTGTGGCTGAACGCGAGGCGCATGTAGTTGAATGCGGCCCGGGGCATCTTGGAGATGTGCCGAAGTTGGAAGGCGCGTATGTTGTCTCGATCTTCTTCCGTCAATTCGTGATCTTGAGGCCATCAGTGTGAGAACGTACGAGAATGTAAGAACAAGCTTGCTTACCGGGCCTGCAATACTCGTCCAGGAGGAGGTCCAAGGTGTTGAGAGCGAACGCATCCAAGTTTTCCGCCCATGGATCGAGCTCATCCTCTTGAAAGTTTTGGTTGAATACAGTATTTATTCCCTCGATGCTACAGCTCTCGTCCCTATAGCATGACATGAAGATGGAGAGCAGTGAAGGATGTTGAAGGACTTACGTTGGGGAACTTGTCCTTGAATCTACCTCTGGGCTTCCATTGCTTGTCTCGTCAGACTCGTCTTCATCCAGACTATCCTCCTATTGTAGATTATTCCCAAAATAAAATATGATGAAAAAAAATCCCCAAACCAGAATTTTAGCGGGATACACACCTCTCTGTCCTCTGGATCCAGCATGTCTGTATCTTCCCCTGTGCTACCAATTCCTTCAGACCCATCCTTGCTTGAGCGCTCGCCGTTATCCGAGTCGGAGGCCTCTGAGCACGTTAGTGATGGCAAGATTTCCTCCGGCTTGTCTGTATTTTTGTAGTGACGCTGCCGAGTGCTATAGGCTTTGGGCATGTGGCAGTAGGGGTTGCAACGGCATATCTTCTTCTTTGAATTTTTTGGAGCTTTAGGCATGGCTGTTGGAGTCGAGGTGGTGATATATTCACCGACAACCAGCTTGCGCCCTTCTGGGAGAGTGCGTGGGAACAGTATCACAGCCACAGGCGCCAGATCAAACGCGTCCACTCCCATCTTTCTTCCTTGACGCTTGGCCACCACCACTGTTTCGCAACTGCCTTGGTCGCTGTTCCCAACGATGGCGAAGAAAGAGAAAAAAGTGGTATGGATTTCTTTAGGTCTGAAAAGCCGTTCTAACCATTCTGAACTAATTTAGAGCAAGGCGGGCAAACCAAAGCCCTTCCGTAAGTCCAATTATATTTGACCTGCATATATGCACTAAAATGTGTGTTTTTCTTTGCAGAAAAGCTCCCTACCCTACCCAACAAGCCTGCTGGCCATGCCAAAGACAAGATTCAGCCCCCAAAGCGCCAGGTGCCTGATCCCGAGTGCGAGGAGGAGGAGGAGGAGGAGGAGCAGGACAAAGGCTCTGACGACGAATCTGACGACGAAGGCTCTGACGACGAAGGCTCCGACGAGGAAGAATCAGACGAGGAAGAATCAGACGACGAAGGCTCTAACGACGAAGGCTCCAACGACGAAGGCTCCGACGGCGAAGGCTCCGACGAGGAAGGCTCCGACGAGGAAGAATCCGACGAGGAAGAATCCGATGAGGAAGATTCTGACCAAGACCACGTTGCCAACAAACACCCTTCAAAAGGTCTGATCAGGAAGCCCAAGGGGAAGATTCGGATACGCCATGTCATGGGATTAGACAATAGTCCCTTCTACAAAATTGTTCGGGTATGTTCATTATCTACTGAGCATAGACATCATCCTGACCCTTGTTTAGACTCGTGTCCGCAGCCTCTGCGAACGTTTTCTCAACCGCAGTAAGACAATCTCATTCCAAGATCCCGCTAAATTGGACAAAGTACGGAGCTTGGTAAGGATCATTTGAACTATCATCTCGTCTAATGCTGATACTGTACCTCATTCTTAGATGCGCCAGGCAATTCCATTTGCTTGGAACAGATATGAAGGCACTTGGCTTGAAGACGCCCTCATTGGGTCGTTTTTAAGTAATGCCTCTGTGCGTGCTAGAAAAGAGGCAGAAGAGCTTGGTGGATTGGTGGAGGAGCAGAAGGAAAAGCGTGCTCAGAAAGCTCAAGTACGTGACATGACACCTCTTGGCTCTGAGGCAAGCTCTCATCATCGTCTGCTAATGTCCCCTCCACCAAATCCAACTTGTAAAAGGCCTTGGCCTCCAAGTCCGGCTCTTCGAAGACGCCGACCACCAAGGGTGGCTCGTCGAAGACGCCGACCACCACCTCCAAGTCCGGCTCTTCGAAGACGCCGACCACCAAGGGTGGCTCGTCGAAGACCACCACCACCAAGTCCGGCTCTTCGAAGACGCCGACCACCAAGTCCGGCTCATCGAAGACCACCACCACCAAGTCGGACTCGTCGAAGACACCGACCACCAAGTCCGGCTCGTCGAAGACCATCACCACCAAGTCGGACTCGTCAAAGACACCGACCACCAAGTCCGGCTCGTCGAAGACCACCACCACCAAGTCGGACTCGTCGAAGACGCCGACCACCAAGTCCGGCTCGTCGAAGACCACCACCACCAAGTCGGACTCGTCGAAGACGCCGACCACCAAGGGTGACTCGTCGAAGACGCCGACCACCACCACCAAGTCCGGCTCTTTGAAGACGCCGACCACCAAGTCCGGCTCGTCGAAGACCACCACCACCAAGTTCGGCAACACAGCTATTACCACAACTACCACCAAACGCAAATGTTCGTCAATCTCCGTGGCTACAGTCCAAGAAGGAGTTGTTGAGCCTCCTCGCAAGAAGGCGAAGCACTCGGTCTGTCTCATTTTTTCCACCTGTTAATCCGAACTGATTCTGTCTGTAGTCTGAGCCTGGTACCTCCAAGAAGCCTTCCACTACCACCAAGCTTTCATCAAGCAATTCAAAGTCCTCAAAAGCCAAGCAGAGCGCGCAGAAGAATAAGGAAAATATCCCCCCAGCTTCTACCAAGCGTAGGTCTCAGGAAGAGGAAGGTGTCGAGGATGATCCTCGGCCTCTCAAGAGGACTAAACGACTGGTGTGCTATTGTTTCAGTTTCATTTTACTCTGTTTATCGCTGACTACCTCCCGTAGATTCTTTTCTCCGACGATGAAGACTCGGTCGACGAAAGCGATAAGGAGAATATCCCACCCGTCTTCTCAGCCTTAGCAAAGGTTCAAGTCCAAGCAAATTCGAGGACTGCTAAAGACCTCGAGGCCGTGGTTTGTCTCCAGATCGTATCATGACCCGGTACTAATGCCTCATCCATACAGGCTATTACTGAGACTGAGGGACATTCTACTCTCCCTCCTCGTAGTCGCAGATATGCTCGTGAACACTTCAAGCGGGTCAGCAATACCTCCAGTACCGGCAATGATGGTGACGAAAATTCTGGCGCCGAGGACGGTGGCAACGCGGACAGGAACAACTCCACCCCCCTCTCGGACGAGGACATACCATCAGCTTGCCCATCCTGCGAGGTTTACAGCGAGTTATCTGACAAGTTGAATGGCGAGAGTCAGAGAGAACCCCATGGCGTATGTCAGCCCCTCACCCCAGAAATGACCCGTCTTCTCCAGACCCGTCGTCTTGTGATCAGCCAAGGTAAAGATCCCTTCAGGATTAACTTTGACATCTGCGTCCAGATTGGTGCCGAGAAGCAACGCAACATGGCCATCGATGAATTCAACAAGAATGGTTGGCCTGTCACCCCTGACTTCGCTTCAATGCCTGCCCGTGTCCTCAATCACTATCAGAGCTGCTACGACCTCATCACAGGGGCAACCCCGCTTGATGACCACTTTCTCTACACCGCACTCGAACGCAAGATGGGAGATAGTACCCTTGAAACACTTAACAACAAGCTCAGCCCTACCATCCAGGCATTCGCCCGCCCAGGATAGTGAGTAAGGTTCCATCTCTCGTGAACACCTACCATGATCATCTTTTTCTTTCATTCTAGCTTTGGTGAGCCTGGATACTATATCATCCACAGCTTGGTCCTCCGCATGTTCTTCAAGAATGTTTTGGCGTTCAAAGCGTCGACTGTCCTCAACTTCAACCGCTTCCTGGAATGTGTTGTCATACCATGGCTTGGAATTCAGCTCATCTCCGAAGACTTGAATATTAGTGCTCTGGAGGCCCTCGATGTGATGGAACGCAGCAGTGCCGGCGGCTATCTGATCCACCGGTCCATCTGTACTGATGATTTTTACCCCGCCATCGACCGAACCTTCAAAAAGTGGATTCGCTCACGAGGAAGCGGGGCTTCTAGCAAGGCTGTGGATAGGAATGGTGGTGCTGGAGACGACAATGTGGGGGGCAATGCACAGGGTGGTGGTGCTGGAGACGACAATGTCAAGGACAGTGAACCGGTAATGTCTATCTTTGTTAGTCTGTTCGCGATTCTCACTTGTTGTAACTTGTTCTACCAGGTGCTCAAAATCAAGATCCGTGCTCGCCCTCGTAGAAACCTGCGTCCCGCATCCCCTTGAACATCCCTCAACAACCGCTTTCGACTTTGTTCATTTGCTATCAAATTCGCGCTTTTTTCCCTCAACTTTGCTTTCATTTCATGCACTGTTTTTTATCACACCACTGTCGCTTTCCTCCGATTTTCGTTTGCTTCCAGATTGCTCGTCGCTGTCCAGTTCAATGTTCCCTCGGTAAGTATTTGTATTGTGTTTCTGTTCTACTTATACTCACTTCAACATAGCCTCAAGAGTCCGCCCCTTTCCCTGTACTTGTTATTCATCGACATCGACAAACCGCCTATCATTATTCTTATGTTATTTGGTCCGCATTCTTCCCTCCCCACCATGCCTAGTCTCTCGCATACTGTATCCCTGTCACACGCCATGTTGTACCCCTAAATACCAGCAATCCACCCGAATATGCTGCATACCTGCCCATATGAGGCTACCACATTTTGAAGGAATGCTGCCCGGAAATTGAGGGATGAGCTGGCGGTCAAAATAATGGTCTCTACGTCAAAAAGAAGGATTGCCGGCCTTCATTGTGAGCAGTTGAAGGTCAGAGGCCTTCATTTCCAGGGACATTCTCTCGGGAAATCATCACTGGAATGATGGAAGCTGGGCTTCCCTCCCGATAATTGAGGGTGACTCGCCTTCATTTCCCGACCTTGAACATGATGGAAGCGGCTTCCCACAGTGCAACCGTGAAGTCTCCGTAAACTCTGAGAGTGTTGTTGAGCCGCTTCTCCTGTGATGGGACCACCAGGAATGGTCAACATTGCCTACTACAGTACTTCAGGACACACTTCGTGATACCTACCTCTGGTGCTTTCTCAGCGATAACCACGACTTGAACCGTTATCTCGTCCCCCTCCTGGAAGGTGTACACCACTTCTCCTTGAGATATGGTCATATCTTTGACCACGACGACTCGGTGCACTCTTTTCGGCGGTGGTTAACCACTGGATCTCCAAACTGATAGCAGAAGGATGCTTACTTGCGAAGGATCTTCTTGGTAGCGGTGTACTCCCAGTTTATGAACCGCCGGATAGCGTCTTTCCCAATTATTGGAGGGGAGTTCGCGAAGATGATTGTGGCGTTCTCGCCTATGTAGGTGTCGAAGTACCCTGGATCTCTCCCATCCAGGGAAGCGTACATCTGTTTACAATGATTATTATTCCGTTTTAGCCAATTGTACAGGGCCGCATACCTCTGTGAACCATTTCTCTCCAGGCTGGCCATGCGGTCTTGGAGGTTGGGTTGAAGTTGCAGCGGAGTCGGCACAAGGGTCTGAATAGTATTCCCGCCGGGATGCGCGCTCTGCAGGCTTTCGACCTGATAGAGGCCTATCCCTCACAGGCGAGGTTGGAGAGTTGAGTAGGGGGTTGAGGACGGGTGTGAGAAGGAAAAACAAAACCATGATTGACTGGGGGGCTTCCAACCCTCAACGCTTCGTACTTTATGGCTTATAGTTCGACATGGGAAATGGTAACTAGTACTAAGGATTGGGCGAACAGCTTAAGTTCATCTCGCAGCCAAAACCATAGGTCGATTGACACCTCCAATAGAATTCTTCCGCCAGCCTGAGGTTATATCTAGTTACTTCAAAATCGCGGGATGAGTATCAACATAATAGGCGCTCATATGAACTGGCTCCATTGGGGACGCGCACTGTGTAGCCTCACCGAGAATGAAATGAAAGCCTGCCAGGCTGCGTTTTGTGGATGGAATGAGCCGAGTTTGGCATGGAAGTATCCTTGACATAAAGCTGATTCGTCCATACCATGGGGGAATGAAGCGATCGGAGTGGACTGACGTCGACGGCGCCTACTATTGCCCTCTGCGGGGCTCATTTGATTGTACCGAACTGAGGGACATCCTCCTAACAGGCGCACTGATCCATTCCCCAAAGGATGGCTATTTCGTTGGCCTGGTTCCATGGACGGCATTATCCGTTTTTTTGTGCACAAATCCCGCCTTTTGCCCAGCGCTTGTTGGGCGTTTTTCTCCATAAATGGTAAGAGTCGGACCGTAGATCAGTGTGCTTTGTCAGCGCCGCCATTTCGCAGGCATCTTGGCGGGAATGAGAGTTTCCTCTTGCACATCTCCTCGTTGCTCATAAACTCGGCGGTCAACTGATTGACACACAGTCAAAGATGGTAATTGTATTTCCTGCTCTACCGGGCACGCACCGTCGAGAAGGAATGACGAAGTTATAGTCAGCGGCGAAGTCGCGGGTATTATACGACGGAGACGGCGCCGAAGGGTGCTGGTGGTGGCAAGCTATAGCTCAACGCCTGGCTCTTCGGAGCTTTGGAGCGCAGGTAGGTCCCCAAACGTCGCCGTCGACCGCGCCAAGGTCTTCGGTGGCTCAAGGACGTGAGTCAGAAAAAGAACCCTTATCGCCCCTACGACTCTCAAGCCTCTCAATCCTCTTTGGGCAGTCGAAGCACAATGATTTGGCCCGGCCGCGTGTTCTCAGCATTGTCATAATGGGCACGGGACTCGCGAAACTGAGTTCTGGCTCAAAATTGCTTATTTCGAGCTTATTATATCGATGGTGTGTGTTCCCCAGTCTATTACAAAATAGAGTAGTTTCATATCCGGCTGACATCATTAGGGGTACCCAGGCCTTGTCGACTACCCCGTTCGGAAGGATCCTCAAAGGATATGGAAGGTACACAACTGGTGGCTGGCTATTCCCGACCCATGTGCATGGAACGATAACGACCGCGGTCATGATGTGGCCCGACTTCGATTTAAAGAGGGCCACCGCTGCCGTGGCATCCAATTGAGCCCATCGCCCCCACCAACCCACCACTACCCAACCACCAAGATGCAAATCAACGGTTTAGGTCGTCCCGCTATCCCTCCCGTTTCGAGCACAGACTTGGATGCAGGAAAGCAATGGGTGATCAACGTAAGTCTGGTGCAACAAGAGGCAGCCGTCCCAGTGCTCTGACCTGTCTGCTGGCCAGTACTACACCGCCTTCGACACCAATGATCCTTCCTTTGCGTCGACATTCTACACAAGAAATGCAGTCCTCTCTTTTGGAAGCGCCGAGGCCAGAGGGACCGCCGGAATTACAAGCACCCTTCAGTGGTTGTTCAATGCGACGAATAGGATTGACCACAGGTGAGTACCACCCTGAATTTTCCGTGAATTATCCCATCTGACTGGAGATCTTCCCTAACTGGATTTAGTATCCGTGCCAGTGAGTACAGTAGATTCTGCTTTTTCCTTGATTCGTGGAACTGACGTCATCTTTAGTCCATGTCCTACACGAGCAACTTCTGGTGCAAACACAGGCCACATACACCTTCTACAGGGGAGAACCGCGGCAGATAGACTGTATGACAGTCTTCCACAAGGCGCCGTCGGTACGTGTACCAGTCTTTCAGAAATTTGACCATTGCTGAATCTCAGTTTCTTGCAGCATGAGAAAGCGACCCGCGCCTACGTTTACGCAGATTTCACATCCTTGTTCGCCAAGTTCACAACCATTGCCGGTCCCCGACCTTCGTGAGCGCTAGGTTAGTCTGCTCCCATTGTGCCATTGCCCTTCTTTGCTCAATACGACCCCCAGTAGATCGCTTCCTAATTTATTTTCATTCCACTCTGCACACCGACCATGGTCGGGCGTTATCAAGTTTCATTATCATTTACCTACTGGCATTGTATACCCCCTGGTAATTCCGTTCTAATTTGACTTTTGAACATCTCACTCAACGACGAAAGAAACCAGCATCAATATACCTCTCCAGAGCACCATCGCCCCTTGGAGTTCTACACTTGCACGCGCCGTAGAACCGCACTTCGAAGCAACGAGACTCTCCGGAATGTCCGACACTCACATCTGGTCGCAACAGACCATGCTATTTTGCTTCTCGTCAGGCGCCACCGGATTGAGGGCATCGAAGGAGGGACCCCGCCATTCATCCATCCCCCGGACGAGATTTTAAATCATGACAGAAGGCTCCCTCCTGCTTTTCCACCTCCCTGTTAGTTTACGGCAAGGCGGAAAGATACTTGATATGTGCTATTTTTAGCACCATGAAATGAACACCTTTGTAGCGTAAGTTCCCCGCCATGGAAGACGTATTTGACAGGGACTAGTGGAGAGCGATGACACAGCCAGCCAGCTGGTTGCTGTGCAGCCCGTGCCTTCCCGTTGGACTCGACAAACTCTCCACCCCGTGCCTTCCGATAAACTAGAGTAAACTCTCTCACAAAGCCTAGATCCCAAAGGTCCTCGTCACTCATCATGATATCCTTGTTTCCGGCCGGGTTCCCCATGACTTTCGCAGAATCGGCGGATGCAAAGCATGCCAAATTGACTCTACGCGTGTGTTTCTGTGCAGGGATAATTATTCTGACGCTTGAGCAGAGCCTTTTGTTGTTTTTGTTTTTATTTTGCAGTGGAACCATCCGGGAGACGGCGATGCATGGGAATGTCGCCAAGTTCACTTTTTCAATCGTGATTGGCGCCCGACGTGCTCGCCTGTTCCGTTTGCCTTTTGCGGGCGATAACTGGGTTGATACTATCATTCTGTGGACTAAAAGCGCTATAACTTCCTACACCCGAGCTTGTCCCTGGAGAGGACATCAGAGATTGGGGGAACGCGCAGACGGCTGTTGGTCAAAGAACCCAATCTTCCCCTCGACCCAATCCCGAATGAGCACACCAGCAATAGCAGACGAGGGAGGAAGCCTAAATGGTGGTTCACTATCTTTGGGTGGTTGCTGGCCGTTTGCTGCGGCCTTTCCGTCCTCGGAAGGGGTGAATGCCCGAGCGGCAGCGTTCGAGGAATCCGAGGCCGACCTGTCCTCCAGCTTCTTGCCCTCAACGATTTCGTTCATACGTTTGTAGTCCGATTTGCCGAAAGTTGTCCCAGTGCGGTGATTCAGAACTGCGCGAACTTCGTCTTTGGTAAACCATCTAGCGTCTGGAGGTCATAGCATGAGCGAGGGCAGGGCACGGATAAAGCCGAGAGCGTACCGGCGAGTTCGTTGTCGAGATCAACACGGATCGGTTTGGACGAGTCTGCTCTTGCATAGAACCCGACCATCAGGTTGGCAGGGTAGGGCTTCGTGGAAGGAGCGTATCAGACATCGTTCTCGGTGGGTGTGTAAGATGCGGGATTGACTGACCCATGGCTGGCCGGAGTGATACCGCACATTCCAGACGCGTACACCAGCCTCCTCCCACATCTCCCTCTGCACAGCATCTTCGAATGATTCACCGGGTTCGATAAATCCTGCGAGAGCCGAGTAAAACTTGCCAGGGAAACGCCTCTGCAACACGATGAGTTGGGTTAGTTATAGGGTTTTAAATGGAGTTTCTGAGGTCCCACGCACCCCTCGACCGAGGAGAACCTTGTCGCCGGTTTCGTCAATGGCGATCATGATGACGACGGCGTCCGTCCTTGGATGAGTATAGTTTTGCAGACCCTTACTAGAAGCATTGTCAATCATCGTTCTCAGAATCGACATGGAGGGTAGGACTCACCCAGAGGGACAAGCCGACTTCCCCTTGTTATCTGCCCAAGGCAGCAAGGTGCTACATGCGACCTTCCAGCCTCCCCACATCGAGTATGTCGGCGATCCGCATCCTGGACAAAACTTCATGACATCCTCGTCAATGATACGGCCACAGGCCAAAAAGAAGCCTTGAATTGACCTTGTTCCTAAAGTTCCAATCCACCAGGCTCCTCGCAGATGCAAACACTGCTGCTTCAAAGTGGCCCAGAGAGGTCATCAACGACCTTGGTTCGGCCCATGTGAACGTCCTCCCGTCTTTCGACAAGCTTGATTCGAAAATGGAGCGAAGTTCGTCCTCGGAGTAGCCTAGTTCTGCGACGTCCATAGCAAAGTAGGGTGTCCCCTTGAGTTTCTGGAAGGCTACATCGGGGTCCTTGAATTCAGCGAGTGGGAGGGCCGAGTACGGTGCCCCGTTTCCGCCAGCCTGTCCTTCGTCGATACCCAAGAATACGATGCGAGCGTGGAGGTGTCTGCACGCTTTGGTTGGTGAATGGCGTCCCGAATGCTCATCCGAGTCGTCGTCGTCTCCTGTACAAGGCTCCCCTGGATTCTGGCCCTGTCCAAAGTACGGTTCGGGACCTAGGAGAACTTTGATGTCGTTCGTGTTCACGAATAGGGATGGTTTTGGGGAGTCTTTGGAGGTGACTGATAGAGGCTGGCCGTTGTTGAAGAGCAGGAATCGAGTTTCGGGGAGGACGATAACTCGGTTGAGGAAGGCTTGGGATTGCCTCAACCAAGACAGTCGATTCAGTGGTGATCCACCATACAGATTCGTGACACTGGTTTCTGATTGAGTTTGCCCGGACCAGCTTCATTGAAGGGTTCACATACGTTTCGGACATCGGTTATGGCGACTTCAAGGACGGACGGGAACCAGAAAGAATCGGCTTCAGTCTCCCCAAACGAGGAGAACAAGTCTCAAGTTGGGTGAGTAATCCATAAGCACGCAACCAGGAGGGATAAGCCGGTCTCCACTGGCCAACATCGGCGGAAGTGTAACCGATACCGTCGTATCAGATGATAAACTATCGGGTAAAGGTTTGTAAAAGTTCGTATAGTTTCGTAAGCCTCGAGTCCCGCGAGACTTCTGTCTCTTTTGTGCCTAAGTATAGCCATGCATCTAGGTCACTATATGTACGGTTTAGTCTGAGCAAGCGCCCTTCGTAGCTGTCCCGCTGTCCTCTGATCTGGGTTCAGTTTACGATCCCTCGCCATACGTTCCACATCGTCCCCGTACTTCTCAAAGAGCCGCCGCATGTACGCAATCTCCCCGGGTGCTGCATGTCGCAGGTTTGGTCCGGTACTCGAATGTGCCACCGACAGCGTTGTGGAGTTGAGATTTTTCTTCATGGCAATGCTTTCGAGTTCTGCGATTAACGTAGGTTAGTATACGAGTTTCGGGTATCAACGAACGGACAATTCAATTCCTGTACGAAAAGATGGACGGCAACCGACAAATGGGAGGAATACTCACCATCGACCAATCCAACTACTTTGTCCTTGACGTCCACCTTCGTTTTCCCGATATTTGTTGCCCACAAATCTCGCATTTCGCCGTCAACCTCTGGCTCAGACAAAGCTTCCATCTCCTGATCCTCCTGCTCAGCTTCTTTCGATTCGTCTTCCTGTGGCAATTCAACCCCAATCACATTTCCTGATTCGTCCCGGATAATGCGCCCAAAGCCTTTGGGTAAAGGCTTCGAGCTTTCACCTGTCTGAGCGTCGCTGGTGATAGAGGGACCAGCAGTCTCAGAGGACATTTGAGCATCTCCATCCTCGTATTTAGGCTCGATTCTTTTCTCAGAACCTCCAGAGGAGATAGGATTGAGGTCGGAGACCAATCCCAGCCGAGCATAACTTTGGGCTCGTATCAGCAAGAGTACCATAGCACCGACAGAGAGGTAAGGCTCACTTCTGCCTCACTGTCTTCTTCTTGTCCCAAGCTTCTTGTAACGCTTTTGGCCCTCGGATAGCTTCAAACGACTCGTGTTCAATTAGAGAAGGATAAAAGCCGCAGCTGATTGCAACTCACGAGGCATTTTCTTCAAATTCCTTTTCGCATTCTTGGAGTGAGATACGGGCTTGTACGATGACGATCGTGCTTTTCTTCGTTGTCGAGGATTGGCCATTTTTTAAAGCTGAATGAACTGAAGCAAACGGTCGGCCATCGCGGGGAACTCCAGTTTTAGTGGGTCACGTGAGATTGAGCTCACATGACCGTGAGCCGGCGACGGCGAGGTGGTTTTGCGAGATTGCCCGCCTTTTGGGACGACAACATCCGCTAACGACGAAATGGCCAACTCGCGAGTATTCATCCACCCTTCCCCAGCCCAGGCCGCCCTCAGCGTGAGCTAAACACTGTTCACGACGTTTTACACTCGCTGACCCTGCTTTTCAGGCCGCCAAACCGTGGACCCGGTCCGCAGGAATCGTGCGTTGGTTTTCGACGTGACAGTCAGAGAAGTCCTAATGTATCTTGGATTTGTTTTCAGTGGGGTTTCGGTACTGGTGCTGCCGTCTTCCTGGTACGTTTACTCTCTGGTTGATTCATTTCCGCTTGGCTAATACGAAAAATCAGCTCCTCTCCGTGACGCCGCTCGTCCGCCGTGAGGTTCTCGAAAAGACTCCTGGTGTACGTCCTTCCGCAAACTACCGACCTCTGTAGTTTCCTCTGACCGACAACCCCGCAGCTGAGCTGGTACTTCGAGGACAAGACCCCTGCCTCCGACAAGCCCTTCTGAAGAACTTACTTCACTCATCCACCAATACATTTAACATAGACGGCATAATACCACGGATTCGCTCGGACTTGGCAGCGTGTTATACGCATTTATTCTGAATGCACAGCACGTTACAAACACACAAAGTTCATACAGGAGTCAATCTTTTCGGGAAGAAGCTGTCGAGGTGCAATCCCTGGGCTGCAGTCAGTGAAAAGGAGAGGGAAGATATTGCGCCAGGCAGTCGGTATGTTTTGGGGAATTTCTGTTTTCTGGGAAAGCGAAACCGATATAGTGGATGGGAAACAGCAAGGTGAAAGCGTGCGTGCATTTCAACAAAAGGGCCTGACATTCTCGTCATGATTCTGGGAGTCAGCTTTGCGGACCTGGGCTCGACGAAGCGCAATTAGAAGCTGAAAAGAGGGACAGACTAGACAGAGCATTCCACCAATTGGTACCTGACCCCGCAGAATTGCATGAATCTGTTGAGGTTCTTGTCCCTGGAATCCGACACTTCCGGCAATCCATATTCCTGAACTAGGGTCTTACAGGTCTCCGCTGAACACAAGCCGTTAGCCTTCAGGGAAAGATGGTCACGGAAAGGATATTTGATGGTATTACCGTCTAGGGTGAACAGTCCTTGCAAATCCTTAGGGAAGTGGGCGCTAACAGATCCATTGGACATAACAAGCGCGTCTAAGGGTTCATCCGGCTTGTCAGAGCGAAGCTTGCTATTCATACGGCGGCTCTCACTGTCGAGAAACGCGTCAATGTTAACAATCTGAAGTAATTGCGGGGCTTACGAATTGTAGAGGGCAAGCCTGGCGCGTTCGAGCTCGCGCTTGCTGTCCTCCACCTCTTCCTGGAGGTCCTTGGGGATATGAGCCTTCAAACACTCTCCGAGGCAGTCCTTGACCATCTCATCAATGTGCTCGTTTATCTCTTGCTCCACTGGTCGCGTCCTTCATTGAGCAGAAGCGTTACCATCAATAGTGTAATGATTTCACCTTGATCTCGCATTTGCTCGACGACTTGCTTGTCGAGAAGATCATCGATGATGCCTAGTCACACGACAAAACTTCTCAGAACGCATCAACATTACTAGGGTTCAGGAACTCACGTTGGATCTCGTCCAATCCTTCCTTGTGGCGCTGCTCTTGCTCGCTGATTTCTTGACGAAACCTACACCGGATCAATGGGGGTGTTACTGAAGGTACCAGACGACGGACTCGGTGAGCTCCTTCGAACCAGCCGAACCATTCACTGCGGCCATTTGCATGGTCTGCCCATGGAGGCTTTCAAACGCAGCCTGTATCCCCATTTATCAGCAAACGCGCTCGACATCAGTGAGTAGAGGCCACATACGCTGAGCGCATCGAGCGACACTTTGGCGTTGGCGAAGAGCTGCAGGTTTGCACGAGCTTCCGCATTGGGAAGCTCACTTTGGACCGATGTCGCCTCAGGTTTCGCAGCAGATGTGTCCATCGAGAGACTTGGAAGAACGACTTGGAAAAGGCTAGAATAGTTCTCGAGGTCTCTCGAGTCCTTTTTATAAACGCAATGGATGATGTCACTGAAGAAAGGCTGTCAGCCAACACGCGGTCACGCAGCCCGCTGGCCAGCGCCCCCAAATCACACAGGCTCCAACGTGTGAAGATCCAATTGTCAATAACGTCCTATTGAACAAGCCTTGATCTCAAGGGCATACAAGTCTAATGAAGTGAGTAGTGATAGTCCTCTCTAAGAGCTGTGTACCATCTAGCCGGGAATTAAAAGGCGTACGTAGATTAACTTCTTCGAGGCTCAGTCACCTCGAACTCTTCAAGTTCGTTATCTTCCTCGCATGGCTCAGGCCCTTGGCGGGGCTGCTGGTCGTGAAGCAAGCTTTCGCCAGCAGCTGCATTTAGCTGCGCAGCCATCAGTGCCCTAAATCTCGAGTCTTCTCGCGCAACCTAGGGAACCGAGAGTTGCATCATTAGAGCGGTGAAAAGGAAACCATAACGGGGTCAACTGACCAACTCGCGGAATGTCCCTGATTCGGTGATACGGCCATCTAGGTGGATACAAATAGCCCGTGAATAGCAGACAGGAAAAACAGCCGTGAATAGCCTACCTTCCAGTACGACGATCCGCTGAGCTCGCGCGATGGTCGACAAACGATGCGCCACAAAGAGGCAGGTTGTTTGACGAGAGCGAAGGATTTTGTCAATGGCATCATTGACCTATTAACCGGAGAGTACAATCAGAGGCAATTCCCAACGCAAGGGCGATGGTTGTCTTACCCTTCGCTCCGAGGTAGCATCCAAGGCACTGGTTGCCTCGTCAAGAGCCAGTATGCGGGGCTTCTTGAGAAGGGCACGAGCAATAGCAAGGCGCTGCCTCTGGCCGCCACTAAGACTTAATCGGCTGACTGCGGACAAGAACCGTCAGTACTAATAGCCAAGTCGATGACGAAGGGGGCACCTACTCTCGGTATCAAACCCGTTGGGCATGCCCCATACAAACTCGCAGTTTGCTTCCCTGGCGGCAGCTTCTATCTCTTCTCTTGTTGCATCTGGGTTACCGTATGCAATGTTGGACGCGATGGTCCCTGTGAAAAGAACTGGATCCTGCGGAACAATGCCAATGGTATTTCGCCACGAGGTGGTGGAGAATTCACGAATATCTGAAAAGGCTTGAGAGGACCGCTGGGATGGTAATGAGAAAGACGCACCTCGGCCGTCAAACGTGATCTTCCCTTGCACTGGGTCGTAGTACCTGAGCAGCAACGAGTGGATTGAAGACTTCCCTCCACCGCTCTCCCCTACAATAGCCACCGTCTCCCCAACATTGACGTCAAGGGAGAATTCTCTCAGAATCTCCACACCTTTCCGGCTGGGATAATGGAAACGGACGTTCTCAAACCTAATGACACCTGGTTTTGGGGGGACCTCATCTCCGCCGGTATGTGGAATTGCTGGAGTCCGATCTAGGACCTCAAAGACACGAACACCCGCTCCAATGGCTCGCATGATAGAAGACTGTTGGTGCCATTGGCGTCAGAAGTGCACCCAAATCATGGATAACGGAGAGCGCTCACAAAGAAGGACCTGAAATGAGGGTGAGCGAATGAGGTTCCAAATGGCAATGTTAGGAGACCTACGTCAGCATCTGGAGACCGCTTCCAACATAGACGGTGTACAGAAGTAGACTTGTTAGATCTCCGACGGAAATTTCTCCACGGGAGACGAGGGTACCACCTAACCTCGGAGAACGATGAAAACTTGGTAGGAAAGAGCAAGAAAGTCGTCGCTTACCGTAACCGAGAAGGCATAGGATTGTAACGTTTCCGCTCCATCCAGTACTTCCAAAGAAGATACCACTGGCGATGGCTTCACGCCTGGCGAGGGTGAGGACCCTAGTGATCTTCTCGTGGAATTTCTGTTGTTCTTGAGGAACCGCGTTGTATGCTTGGACTGTCCGAAGAGCCGAGAGTGATTCGTTCGCGACCTTGCACCTTGGTCAACGCACATCCACCATACAATCTTTTCGAGCGAGTACCTTGGTCATTTCACCAACAGCCTCTTGGGTCTGGTTCGACAGCTTCTTCAGGTATCTACCATAGAACACCTATTTGCATGAGTACACAGTCATGCAGAGATAGGAAGAACATACAGCTCCCAGAGAAACCGGAGGGACAACGCCCAGCATCAACAAGGTGAGCGTAGGAGAAACGTAAATCATGGCACCCACTAGAGGGAGCAGAGGTTAGTCGGAGTTCTTCGCAGAAGGGGAAGGAACATACAGCCCACTCCAGACATTACAATTGCGCGGAGACCGTCCGAGAGATTCTGGGTCACGCTTGAACGGAAGTGAGTCCATGATATAAATCAAACTGGCCTGCCTGCTAACCTTTCTCCAACAATGCTGGTATCCACGCTGAGACGACTCAGAACGTCCCCCTCCCCCTTCTCCACGTATTCAACTTCTTGACGGAGTGCTGCACCATACGTCCGTTCCCGTAGCCGAGCGACTATTCTCTGACCGGAGAGTCTCATTATGATAGAGCGACCCGCGTTGGCAGCGGCTCCTGCAGTGAAGAGGAACAGTAAGGCGCCCGAAGCTTGCCAGAGGGAAAGACCAAAAGGTATTTGCTGTGTTTAGGTGGTATCCATGAGTGAAGTAGACCCAGAGTACGGTGGTATATGACTTACTGGATTTGGAGATGCAAAGAAGTCTATTAGCTTGCCGATAGTAAATGGTACGCTCATAGACACCGCAGATGATACAAGCAAGAGTCCAATCGCAATTAACAAAGGCTTCTTTTCCGGTTTCGCCAGCGATACAATCTTCCGGAACGATGAGACGTTTTGTGTCGAATCCCCCTTGGAAAAGAGGCGTGAGGGCAGGAACCGAAGGAGCAGTGGTTTCTTCGTTGGAGGTTCCACATTTGTCGCCTTCGTCGTTGTCGTCGGGTTGTTACTTGTGCTAGAGTTCCACCTGCACGAGTTAATCCCCAGAACATCCGTCGTTGACTTGCTACCGGGTCTCCACTGGACTCGTAGTCGATACTCCGATCTTGACTCGGGACCTGGAACGCGACATAGCAGACTGTAATGGGCCTTTTGCTGAAGACCAAGCCTATGGGCTGTGGCCAGTTGTCGAGAACATGTCCTGGGCCATATTCCCAGCATACTGCCAGGAAATTAGCGAGTCACTGTGATGATGATGAGGGCGCCTTTTCACTCGACAAGTTGCTTGTCGGCCAACTCTGACGTCGATTTCGGATCGCGACACATTTCCCACACTTCCCAGCCCGGAGTGGCACGGTCACGTGTCAAAGGATCTCATCTTATCTTATCTGTCAGTTAGCCGGAACTCAACTTGATCGGCTCGACGGCTTCCAATTCAGATGTCACCCGACTTGAAGGCAGTCATAAACCCCTGATCTTCAACGGTGACCGCAACTTGACTTCTTGAACCATGACCACCACGGCATCCACCAGTTACAAAGAGGAATGGCTTACTGGGCCGCAGTCCACCCAGTTCTATACCAGGACCTACCTTCCTCCGGGTGAAGCGTCACCGAAGGCAGTAATCGTCTTCGTGCATGGCTTTGCCGAACATATCGGTCGCTACACGCATTTCCACCCTTGGTTGGCCCAGAGGGGCATTGCAGTCTTCGCCTTTGATCAGCGTGGGTATGGTTTGACTGCTCAAGATACGACTGGGAGGAAGAGCAAGACGAGTGCGTATGGGAAGACTTGTTGGAAGGACCAGATGGGGGATATTGACTGGGCATTGAAGCATGCGAGGAATCTCTTCCCAGGCATTCCCATCTTCCTCATGGGTCACTCTATGGTATGTTCATTGCCGTCTATCTTCAGTTCAATGCACTAACGCTTGGGTAGGGTGGCGCAGAAGCTCTAGGATTCCCCATTGAGACCTCCTCGTCATACAAAGATGGTTTAGCGCTCGTGACCGCCGTTATTTCAACTAGCCCGCTCATTGCGCAGACGAGTCCTGCTCCTTCCCTCATGAAATGGCTCGGAAGCATGGCGAGCGTCCTACTGCCTAACACACTCATTCCAGCCGACGTGAACGCAGATGTAGGTGTTAACTTGTGAGGATGCTCATGTTCGTGCTGACGAGTTCAACGGTTGGCTTTCAGGACCTGTGTCATGATTCCGAGGTCAACGCTGCGTACCTCAAGGACCCACTTGTCAAGCAACAGGGGTCTTTGAAGGGTATCTCTGACATGTTGAGCAAGGTCTGTTGTCCAACTTACTCGTGTCGTCATATCTCGATCCTTACCTCGTGTCTTTCAGGGCGAAGCGCTGCGCAAGGAATTGTATAAAAACTGGCCGCCAGCACTTCCTGTTCTCATTGTCCATGGCAATGAAGACAAGGTACTCACTCGACCTCACTCACCGTATCAACGTTTACTAACTTGCACACCCAGGTAACGTGTTGTAAAGCCTCTAAGGAATTCTACGAAGCAATCCCTGCCACAAATAAGAAGTTTGAGCTGTTCGAGGTGAGTATCACATGCTTTACCTTGTTCTTCTGCCGGTTTGCTCAACCACTCCGTGTCACTCGCAGGGGGGCTTCCACGAACTCCAAAACGAACCGGACGGTGTCAAAGAGAAACTCGTTGAGCAAATCGTCAACTTTGTGGAGGAAACGGTCCCGACTGCGCAAGTCTCCGGGGGAGGTGGTTCTGATGCCAGTGTCCCCAAGGCCAGCCTCTAAGTTCCTTCACATTACGATCTTCCACGCCAATTATGCCTATCTTTACGACTTTAATACGTGTGCACTTTACATGGGCCAGATTACGGTGTTAATCCTTGTACTTATACTGAACTTCTGTCCTGCCTCTGTCCCAGATCGTCAATGTTTTCGCATATATTACCCATTAAATCTAGCAGTAATCGTCTAAATAGAGGTTCCCGTGGTTGAGTAGGGGTGTGGCGCATGTGCCATAGCTAGTTCTAGGAACGTGACAGCAGCTGGGCATACCAGGGGGTTTTCGCAGGCTTGACCTCGGGTTTCGGCATCTCCTTGATGAACCTCGAGGTATCCAGCCGTTCGCCCTTGGACCACTTATCCACGGCTTTGACCAAGCTCTCCTCGAGGTACCGCATCACCATTGATTCTTTCTTCCAGACTCCTGTTGTCCAAATCGCCAGAGGCCCGCTAGCTGTGGCAGCACCGGTGCTATCAGACGCTGCTTCGGATTTCTTCTCTTCTGAAGATGAAAAAGAGGATTTGAGGGCAGGCGGGCTCCATTTTCTTTCTGAGGACTTCCGGATACGATTAGCCATGATCACGTCTGTGAAGATACGGTCCCCGACAACGATGAGTTCGTGGCTCTTCACTGGGTTGGGCAGTGAAGCAAAGTAGGACCGAATTACTGATATGCAGGAGTAGGCGGGCTTGAAGGCGCTGTGGACTAGAACTGGGACGCGGAGGTGATGGGAGACGGATTCGGCCTGTCGATGCAGAGAGGTGAGCGACTGAAAGGTAATGGAAGCGAGGGCAGACTCGCCTGAATTCCGCCTGCGTCGAGATATGTCCCAGCAGAATTGCTAACAATAACGACGTTACCGTCGCCAAAGGTTTCCAAGCATTCTTTCCAGGCTTCCTGGATTTCGTTCAGTCCAGTTCAATCCGTCATGCGCCTTGCCTCGTACCTGTAGTTCTGGGACGAGTGTATCCTTGTGAGGTATTGTCTGGTGAAGAACGAGTGAATTAACGTTCTCGGAAGATTGTCTGAGTCCCTTACCAGACAATTGTCCTTGTCAAATACAGCTCCGCGGTATCCAGCTTTCTTAAGTGCCCGGAAGTCCAGGTGGCGGATATCTTGCTGAAGAGAGCTTCATTAGAACCAGTTCAACTGAGAGGGGATATGCGACGTACCTTTGACAGAAATATGAGGAAGTACCAGTCTAGGATAAAAGATCAACTGAAAGGGCGCCAGCAGCCCAGGAATATTCAGCGGCATCGCGGTAAGCGCTGGCCAACACAGCGGACGAGCAGAGCAGAAGCAGAAAAGGCTCGGGGGTATTAACCCGACAAAGGATCCATTTCCCACGGGTGCACTGGCAGTGACTGGTAAACTCATCTAGCAACAACATCCATCTATTCACCTCAACGCTCAAACACAACCGACGACAATGAGCGACTTCCTCTCGCGCGAGGCCAATCTCTTCGGCGGTGAATTTGGTGGCACGAGCAACACCAGCGGTGCGGGTGGCGACGAAATCGACTTTGAGCGCGCTGCGTCAGCGTTCCCTGATATCTCGTTGGACGGCGATATCCCTTCTGTTCCTGTTCCTTCCCAGACGACCCAGTCGAATAGTGGTGGAGGATTCTCGTTTGATAGCTTCGATGCGCCTAGTGATACCGGGAATGTGAGGGTTACGGGCGATGATGAATTGGAGAAGTTCGAGAACCAATTCCCTGAATTGGAGGTTCCACAGGTGAGTAGAAGATGCAGGCTATATGGTTTATCGGATGTTCAGTGTGGATTGTGGACGACGTTCATGTTATCTATGGTCGAGTTCGTTTATGTCGAATGGAAACTGATTTTGTTCATTTATAGCAAACCTCTCCTCCCCCCTCTGCCCCGACCTTCGCGCCACGACCGCAGCCATCAGCGCTGGCATCCACCCCTATCTTGACCCAGCAAATTGAGGAAGAGGAACCTCAAGTCATTCGGTTAGTAGTACCCACCAACTGTGACCTCGGATTCGCCTAATTGAGTTATCTAAAGGGAATGGAGAGAAAAGCAACAAGCGGAAATCCAAGCTCGCGAGGAAGCCGCTAAAGCGCGTCGTCAAGAGACTATCTCAAAGGCTGAACGCTCCATTGATGAATTCTATGAGGAGTATGCTAAGAAGAAGGAGAGGAACATCCGGGAGAACAAGTGCGTTTCGCGAACTTTGATATTTTTTAATTGGCACTAACCGCCGTTATGCAGGGATACTGAAGCGGAATTCCTTGCCAACCAAACCTCTTCGTTAGCCACTGGCACGACCTGGGAGCGTATTTGTGACCTCATTGACCTCCAGAACTCGCAGAGCAAAACCCTGGCCCGCACTGGTGCCGGTACTACGGATTTGACACGCTTCAAGGAGGTGTTGTTGCGATTGAAGAGGGAGGGAGACAATGCGCCGGGCGCAGCTGGATATTAGACGTCTGTGGTTATCGTCCCTTAATAATTGCCTTTCTTGCTTCTCGACTTTTTAATTGCTATTGGTTCTCGTTGATCGAATGGGGGCAAGCAATCGCGAAAACAGGCATTGGGGTATAGTACACACAACGGTGGATCCTTCCTTTTCTCTCCGTTCGGATTCAGCGACTATTTCTGATTGGTGTAGGAGGTGGTCGACGAGGATGTATCTGGCCCTGGCTTCATCTTCAAGCACCAATCCATCAAGCAAGGCTCGGTCAACGCAATGAGTGTCGAAGGGCTGACGGGGCGGATGATGGGAAGAATCTTCGTTCGTCGCTGAAGTTCGACATTCTGTTTCATGGATGTCGATAAAATGTCCTTTGGTTGGAGCGTCAACCTGGACTTGTTGGAAGCAGCAGCTAATCGACTGTGTTCAGCGTCAAGGAACATTTCCAGGGCATAAATCTGAACCTAGATGTTGCCTCTGAAATGCGACGTATTCTCCATGGGGTTGGGACCGTTGGGTGTACAAGGGTCGTGAAGACGGGAAACAACCAGAAGAGACTGTCGGCGCTTGGACAGATGACAACGACTTCAAGTGGTAGAAGTTGAGTATATGCGCTTAAATTGCATCCCTGTCAGAACACCTAAGTATACCTGAGGCGCTGGGTGAAAAGCAGGGGGTCCATTGTGCATCCGAGCGCGATACTGAGCATAGGATCTTGGGTCGACAGTCGCAGGGAAAGAGATTCTGGGTGCAGGATTCTGCCTTTGCAAGTAGCTCTGTACGCCATATCTGTGTTCTTTAGACTTCGAAGAAGCGCCCAGAAGTAGCAAATTCTGTGCAGCGCGAATCTGAGCCTCAGAACGATCGTCCATAGTCGCTGTAGCAGAACAAGAAATATATTCGAGTTTCGCGTGAATTTCCTGGAATTTATCGCGAACTGATGGCAACCACGTGTATTGATGGATGCCTCTGCAGACGTCCACCAGGAGAACCGCGGCCTGCCTCAAATGTCGCCATGGAATTCCTCAACCAAACCTATGTCGCACTTCGAGGGCCAACGGGCCAGGTCCAAACACCAGCGGACACCATCGGACGCCTCAGCGACCGACTTTCACCAGCAACACTACTAGCAGATCGACGCGCAGCGGTTCTCTCTCTCAAGGGTCTTTCGCGCGAGTGGAAAGAGGAAGTAGGGGCTCGTGCTCTCACAGGCCTCATCGATGTCCTTGCAAGCGATGCAGAGGTCGATGCAGACATTGGCAAAGCGGTATTGGAGACGCTGAACCTCCTGTGCGATACCGAGGACACCGGGAACAACGCCAAAGCTTTGGGATTCAAACACACTGATATCGTCCTTGCCAACGAACGAGCTACTCATGTGTTGTTTGGGCTGCTGAAGGATAACAACTTTTACAACCGATTCTCGTCGTTGCAGTTCCTGTCGACTTTGTTGCAGAATCGGAGGCAGTTGGTGCAAGGGTACTTCTTGACAGCTCCTGTTGGTCCTGGAAGTATTATCGGTGTCCTCGATGATAAACGGGAGATTGTTCGAAACGGTTAGGACTTGTATTCTGACGCGCATTGACCGATAATCTAACATTGTTTTAGAAGCGATTTCTGTCATCCAAAGCCTACTTGCCCAAAGCTCTGAAATCCAAAAGGTCCTCGCCTTCGAAGGAGCGTTTGAGAAGTTCTTCAATATCATCACGCAGGAGGGGGGAATCGAGGGTGGTGTCGTTGCTAACGGTGCCTTGGCATGTGTGGATGGGCTGCTGCGATTTAACTCGTCCAACCAGGTGCGTATCAAGTTTCCACGCAGAACCCCTACTTTCAGCTGACCAGACTTCCAGAGCTACTTCAAGGAAACCCCTCTCTTCCCAGTCGTCAGCCACCTTCTACAATATCCCTTGTCTCTTAAGCTATCAGATCCAGCACCGCAGGAGTTTGCGCTCCAATTCTGGGATGACCAGAAACTGGCAAACGCCGCTCTCGTCGTCGGCATTTTGGGAATCTTCGTGAATTCGAAGAGTACTGGACTCGGTAAGATTCATGTAGGCGTGTCGGGAAAAAGCGACTGAATCTCCATGCAGAAGTGACCTCTTTCTCGCGATGCTTTTTGGAAATTGCATTGGCGTCTAATGCTCCGACACGATTGAAGATCCAGGTTCGTATAGGTTTCCATTCCATATCGGCATTTAATTTAGAATCATTTCAGGCTCTCCATCTCCTACCTCCGAGCATCAACTTCGCGCTGTCGGAGGTCGTCATCACCCCGTACATGCCTGTTCCTGAAACAAACGGGGAAGAGTGGGACAGGCTAGAACCCGCGTCAATTCTTGACGTTCTTGTTGAGTTGGCCCTACATGGAGAATACAATGGCTTGGATGGTGGGAAGCGCACCAAAGAGGGACTAGAGCTTCGCACTTCCGCCGCTTCTGTCTTTGAGGTAACGCTGCCTTCACATTACCCGAGTCTGCTGTGAGCTAACCTCTTGGGGCAGAACTTTGTTCGTAAGGAAGAAGTTAGGCTAGCCATCATGCAGGGTATGGCACCTCCGCCGGGACAACGTATGTCACCATTTACACTTCCATGTTGAGACTTTGTATCTGAAATTTGGGCCGCAGAAGCAACGAAACCTATCACACCATTGATGCATGCACTCACGCTATCCTTGACCTCTCCGGCAGCGCTAGAGCCTGGAAACGTCACTGCTACTCAAATGGCGAATTTCCTATTTGCGCACCTCCTGCGCTCTTCCCCGCAGGCCAAATCCATTGCGCGTTCGATAATGCCGCAACCAGCTCCGCCCCCAGGCACATCTAATTCTGCCTTTTTCGTGCCCGCTGATGGGGGACCTCCGCCTCCCCCGCCTGAAGTTGAGGACGACGAGCCCCCGCAGAGTTTGCTTCAGACCTTGAGCGAGAACTTGTCCCTAGCTTTGTTGGCTCGCTCGAGACCAGATACTTCGGACAAGGAGCTCCGCGAATGGGATCGACTGGTCGTTGCGTATATCTCCCTACTCTCCCAATGGCTCTGGGAAGAGCCTGGGTCTGTACGAGATTTCCTAGAAGCCGGTGGACTGAGTGTGGTGCGTAGTCTTCGCTTTAATTGAGCATTGTCTGCGCAAGGACTAATTGCTTCTATTTCTGAACATCTGTAACAGCTGGTGGAAGGCATTAACCAAGCCTCGGAAGTTGACGCCTTTGTGCCAGGCCTGTGCGCCTTCCTTTTGGGTATTTGCTATGAATTCAATCGTGAACCTGGAGAGATCACAAGGTACGCTTCAGATATCGACCATGTCCCCTCCGCGGCTTTCTGTACACTTCCTCAGCTACTATTGGGGATACTAATGCCGCTTTCTATTTCCCAACAGACATACAATCCACCCTATCCTAGGCCGCCTTGGAGTCGACAGCTTGATTGGACAACTAACGCGCTTCCGTGAAGATGACCGATTTAGGTCTGTAGGACCAGACCATATCGTGTTATCGTCACCCCATTCTGTGGGCACCGTGGCTGGACCAGGTGACGCCGTTCGGTCGGACGAAGCTGAAGTATGGTTTGACTGGGCATTTGTGGATTTCTGGAAATCAAACTACTGTGGGTACTCCTGTGTTCCTTCCTTCCTCTTCTCGTTACAACATTTCTTTCTTCTCTTTCTGTTCGGCACGTCCTGGTCTGTGTCATGCTGACAGTCGCGAAATGCAACTTTCTGTCTGTGCGGTTTCGTTCTTACCCATTGTGTAGATTCCGTTCAGCGGGCATTTTCCACCGATCCAGACCAACTGTCAACTTCGTCTACTGGTATGTTTTTGACGACTCCATTCTTGGATCGGTGACTGACTATGACAATGCTCGGTTTTCGCATTCTCTTGTTCCTTTGACATTCCACTTCCACGCGATAGGCCCCAGTGCAGAATCCGCCATGCTCATCGCCTCCCTGCGAGACGTCATCCGGAAGCAATCAGAAGAAATGGAAACTTTACGCAAACAGTTGCAGGACATTTCAACGAGTTCCCAAAAGCAGGTCAGTGAAGCACCCACATCAGCGCATCATTCTGTGCACCCGCTTTACTGACCATTTGCTCTGTCTGTCACCTCACTGCCTATCCATCAACGCCCTGCTTCTGCACCCACAACTGTTTGGGGGTACAATTAAAATTCACGATATCTTTGTGGACGTGGATACGGTGTTTACATGATACAGATTGCTGATATTCAAAATCAACTTACGGAGGCTCAAGCACAAGCTCGGAATTCGGAAGAGAAGCGGAAGGAGGTGGAGAAGGAGCAGGAAGATCTGTTGGTGCTGTTGGATGAAGTTACGAGTAAGAGAACGAGGGATAAGGCCAGGCTACGTGAGGCTGGGATGGAGGTTTCATCGGATGACGATGATGACGATGACGAAGACGACGAGTAGAACAGAGGCAGAGGGACGACCTATTATTGTCGCTGAAAGTGGCATCTTACTAGGATACCCCGGATTTCCCTCTGATCTCCCGTAGCATTTGACATGTTCTAATTACATTTTGCAAATCCTAACCTGGCACAGTGTCGACTTGCTGGGGTTCCAACACACGGAGAATAACACCTGTCGCTTAACCCACCCGCTCCTAATCGGCGGTCTCGTGGCTCTGTTTGGCAGTAGAAAGCCAAGCGGAGAAAGCGACGTATCAGGAATAGATTGCTTGTAGGGTACCGATAGCCGACAATGCTGGAACCATATATGATGGATAATGAGTGGTATGGGATGTGTACTAGTACAAATGAAGATTCCTGAAGAAGAAGAGGGGAGAAATAAAGGTTCGTGAGTATCGAGTAATTACGTTGCATAACCTGGATGGGGTTCGTGAGGAGTACAGCGGAGAGTAAGAGAGGAACAAAAAAGATCGCTAGCACGACGGATGGATTGATTAGTGGCTGCTCCCGGAAGCGTCCCTGTCCTTTCTCCAGGCGTCCATTAGGGACTCCCGAATCTGAGAGTTGCATAGAGCTGTTGCAAATCGAATCACCCGTTGGATATCTTTGAAATCGCTTGCCAGTCCTAAACTGACTCGAACGATTCCCAGCTCTCGTCCCACCCTGCGCTCGAATTCCTGTAGCGTGACACCTGGGTACAGTTGCGACATATCGTCGATGGCTCCTAAAATAGAAGAAGTCCCCCCAGGGTTACACACACAGCCTGTTCTGAGCGAGATGTTTTGTTTCGATGCCGTATATTCGATGAAGGAGTTTGGTATCATGACGCCTGCCGGCTGGAGAGAGGCGATTTCAGTTCCAAGTATCTAAAAAAAGCACCGATACACTTACATCGAAGAACAAGAACGAAACCATAAATCCTGTTTCCGCCCGCTCGCCGATAGTCATTACCCGACGAGAGGGGATTTTCGAATAAATCTGAACGAGCGGGGCGCCGTTGACGTCGTGTCTCAGGCGGGTTAAAGACGAGATGAGATAGTGCAACAGGCAGGAAAGTCGTAGCGGAAGGAAGGGCATATAGGCCGTCAAAAACCGGAGACCGTCTACGATCGCAGGTAACGTAAGATAGTTGATAGTACCATCCTGATCGCACGAGGATGTCAGTTATAATTGTTGAAACATGACGCTGCCGACGGAGACTAACCTCAAATTGTTCGTGTTCCTCTTTCGACAAGGTGACCAGGTTTCCTGGGACTTGGACGATGTTGACTGTGCCCCCAGAGAACCATGGTCGCTTTAGTTCTGCCAGAAAAGAGCGCTTCACGATAAGCGCCCCAACGCCTGTAGGGAACCCAAACATCTTGTAGAATGACACGGCCATGGCATCCACCGGATGTTCTGCCAGGGAGAATGATGTTGTTGGGACCAACGCGGCTGCATCGAGGATCACATGGTATCCCAAAGATTTTGCATATTCAGCGATGGAAAGTGGCATCTTGGTATTTGTCACATTCGACTGAGCTGTGAGCGCGAATAGGCTAGGAGTTAACTCCCTATTTCGAGGTCGATGTCGTAGGAGCGTGTTCTAAGTATATGATAATCACCACATTCAACAATCAGTTTCAATTCAAAATCAGAGTTTGTTACTAACCTTTGCCACCGCAATATCAAAGCCGCCCGTTGACAGTGATGGGATGTACGCGCATCGGGCACCCCGGTAAGTCGCAAATTCACGGATGCCGTTGACCTGGAGAGCGTAGGTGTTAGACGGTCGAGAGAATGAGAGGCGTGCATGATGACTTACGCTGTTGTGAGAGTCCATCGCCAGGACATAGGAGCTACCTCCAAGGAAAGGGTAGGATTCCCCGATCAGTTTTAACGAGGCTGTCGTGTTGGCCGTGAAGATAACGGTATACTCTGGCGGAGCCTGGAAGAAGGCGAGCACAGCCTGTCGGGCTTCGTTGGCGCAATCCAACGATAGCTTGGAGCTTGAGGGCCAGGGTGAGTTACATATATGAGATGAAGCGACGTATAGAGCCAACCTGTTGCTGACAGAATGGGTATTCCCTAAGATCGAGTTATTCAGAAACTCCGCGTGGACCCTGACGAGGCTTTCTGGATACAACGAGGCACCCATATAGTCCACATAGGTCTCTTCATTCCGTTCGAGGCGTGAAAAGTCTGTTCGTCGCAGTGTATCGAGAATCCATGTAAGGCGATATTCTTTATGGATGTCAGCAACATTTCCCTGGGCCAGACTAGGGGACGAGGGGCCATACCAGGGTAGTCTCGGATGAATTCCTGGTACATGCTGTCGTTCTCCTCGTGGTTCAAGGGCTTGGGGATGGAGGTATATGCTAGGAATGAAACTGGCCGTGCATTCGTTGAGGCCGTCTCTGGAGCCTTCTGCCTCTGGAGGACAGGGCTTGTCCGCCCCTGGCGTTGTTTTTCGTCGACGACGAGAAGATCAGTATCTGGCCATGGCTCTATGCTGTGCGTCGATGAGGACGGTGAGGCGCATCTGAGGGAAGGCCTGGCGTGGGTTCGCTTTCGCCTGTGATCACGGTCCTTGGAGATGCGGTTCTGACTGTTGGCGGACGGAATATTGCCCATGGTTGGGAAGGGGAGGTGGGGTATCTACAGGGCGGTTATTGGGACGTTGTGGGCTGGTATCAGGGTATTTGTATGACCTACGTTAGTCCTGATTTGGGACGACAATCATGATTTCAAGTCAAGTCTGAAGCGGGACTAGTAATCGACCGTCTTCCGAGTCTGTCTGCATTCCAGTCAAACATCGAACAAACATTGCGTCCTCTGTCTTCCACCGCCCAACTCAGATCCGTCCATTTTTTCTCCTTCACCTCCATAATTTACCGGATTCAAGTGCCAGGCCACTGTCAGGCTCTGCCAGTCATTTGAGGTTATGTTACCTCATACTGTACAGACCCTTCACGGCATGGATCGCAGCTTTTGGGATACCATCGAGATCTAGCAGGATACCAGCCATAGCCAGGCCTTTGACACCCTTTGCAACATGTGCACGGTGAGATGCTTCCGGATTTCGATCACAGAACCAGGTGCAATCCTGAAGCTCCTTCCCGCCGAATCACCATTCAGTTTCGCCCAAATGTGTCGAGGGAAGGCTGTCCTGCTGATAAGTACGAATGAGAATCAGCACGCATTGGTGAGTCTGCATGGCTAATACCTGGAAAGGCGGCTATCTTTTCAACACCAAATCAACATTTCTCCTCGGAGCAGCGTCTGTGGGCGCTGTTGTTAGAAACGGCATCCTGACCCCGGTTTTGGACATCCTGAGGGCCGGACGAGTGCTGAAACGTTCTTACTGACATGGTGGTCGTCGCTGGCAAACCCTGGGCAACAGTTTGTCCAACGCGGTCAATCACTCTCCCAAACGAGGCAACAGCACCCGAGGGCATGATAGCGGACTTGCTGGCGACGGCTGTCGCGTCCACCAACCTCTCTTTGCCACCTTTGCAACCCGATAGCATGTAGAAGTCACTTTCGATACAGGTACGTTCGGCGAAGAAGAGGTTATTCCTGCTAGACGTGGCGCATTCCAGTTAGGAAATGCCCTTTCCAGCCGACAAGACGCCTGCTTGGCAGGTTGTGGAAATCGACCTTATTGGATTGCTTCTCCGCTCCTAAACTCCAAATCTGAATTGGAGCTTCGGTCCAATGCGCATCGAATCCTAGGCACTAGCAGTTTTACTGGCAACTGTGGACATCGCATGCAAGGGATATTCCCCTCCTCAAGCAGTGGGTGCCCCAGACACCAAATCTTTGCCTTCTCCACCCACGACCTTCACACACTAACGGATGTGTTTGTCTTTCCAATAGAAGGACATTCAGCCGAATCTGCGAGCAAATGTTTTAAAGCTAAAACGCAAGTAAGCTTTCGGCCATCTACAAAAACCGACAAGTTCGGGATTTCAGCCCAGCCGACCTCATCAGGACGGGTTTCACGGAGTGAGTATCATTGCGTACCTTGCGCCCTTTTCACTTTGTTTGCCCCACTGTGGCAGATTTCAGAATAGCGCGAGGAGAGGGAGCTTCGGGGAGAAAGACTATACGAATGCATCTGCCCTCAACCGGCCCCGTCGCAATAATCTGCATCAACCCTAATAGCCATATACACAAGCGATCTTCCATGCAAAATGAATAACAAAATCAAAATCAAAATGGCGCATACAAACCGTCTGTGGGTACATACCCTGAATCAGAACATATCATGATCATGCTATACGGAGACGGTCTGGTGACATTGTAACGAGATGGTGTATTCGGTTCTTTCCTGTGGGTAGTGTGTGAGGCGATAGGCCCGTCCGGTCCTTAGTGCTGTGTACAAGCAAGCATGTGCTTGAACAATAAAGCATCCCGCGAATGTGGCTATAGCGGCTGGTATGGTATGGCGAGTAAGGGAAGCGAAGCGAAGACTGTCACCGAGGGACTCCGTCAGCGTAAGTCAGGTTCTGTCATGTGTATTTCAGTGTATTCGGATTCTCTTCCTACCGATAACATATCTCGGATGTAGAAATTGGTGGGAGTTGGAGTAGGTCAGGAAACCGGCGAGAGAACGGAACCGTACTTTGGCCTTGAGGCCAACCAGCTGGGCAAGATCCCATGTCAGGAAATATACAAGGATGGAGTCCTGTCCTCTCCGTCCTTTAGACTCCTGCACTCTGTCAGGAATTCCGACATTGAGGCCAGTTCTCGAAACATAAACCTTAGATTCCGGAGAACTGGGTTAACGAGCAGGTAACTTAAAAGGGGTGCAGTGAAAGCATCATGGGGCTGGGCTGGACTTATACAACGCCGGAGACTATATGTACAGAGCGAAACGAATAGGCCTACTTTCAGATAAGATAAACGAGGGCAGCGGGAATAAGAATCAACGCGCCAAGGCCTACGCCCGATACTAGGAGACTTCTACCAAATGCGGCACTTTCTGATGCGTCCGTTTCGGAGGCATCCCCGTTAGGGGCAGTGACAGTGGAGAATCTCGAAGCCGCAGGCGAAGAGGCAATGTCCGTGCTAGAGGAAGGTTCAGTGCTGAGAACCTTGACATACGCAATATCAAAATAGGCGTTGGAGTAGTATCCGGGGTCTTGGATGACAAAATCCAGATAACATTGTCCTTCACAGGTGCGCCCGAAAATGTCAGGAGGGCGTGCAAAGTCTAAAAGAAGCTGTCAGTCGCGGATTTGTCGAAGGGGCTCAAGAAACTTACCACCACATAGGGTGATCGCAAATACAAGATTCTGTGGTCTGAAAAATCGGTTGATATCGCAGCCGGTGGCTGGCCAATGGCCCATTGGGGTGCCTAGAGTGGCTGTATCGATGCTTGTTGCTGTTGGAGTAATTGAACCTGGGATGTTGGCCCGGGAGAAGAACCAGATCCTGTTCGCAGAGAGTTAAGAAGATTAGACCTGGCCTCTTCATTCATGTACCGAAAGTAAAGAAAGGGCATTGAAATAAGAAAAACGTCACGAGATCCCTGTTTCCGCGAATTCAGTGACGAAGACGCTTCCCCCAGCTGCAGCGAAAGCAGGTCCATATGAAGCTGGGTCAGTGTTGGAAACGATACATCCCTCGTTGTTTGGTCCGTGACAGTCAGTGGATCGGACCTCTGTTGTGAGTTGGTTTGGCGATGTCTGAACGCAACCCGGTTCAGTGTGGAGACCCATTTGACTTCGCGTTTCCTGGTTAATGCCTTCGAAAATATCGATCTCCCTAAGAGAAGACAGTCTTGTCAGAATCAGATGGCCGCGAAAGCCTAGCGGTACGCACCCTCCTGCTGGCCAGTTGTCATCAGCGGCAGCCCAAGTCCACCTGAAGCAACCAATTCACTTAGTATCGACAGTCACAGAAGGGGTATTGGATATGGCCCGCCAGCTGGGCCAAACCGAGCACTAGTAAAGAATCGTCATGAGTAGGTAGCCGATGTGAGTTGCGTGGAAAGCACTAGTTACCCCATACGGAGCGTGGTGGATATCCGTAATGAACACGCTCCCAACAGGAAACGCGTCTTTACTGGTAATCCTAACAGCCTTTCGCTTCTCCATGTATGGGACCTCGGTGGTGTTGTCAACCTTGACGATCGCCCTATTTGTGTTGGGATCCACGTATGCCAGGCTTGAAGGCGTTCTGGCCTCTGAGGCGGAAATGAACCTGCAATGTGCGAAACCGAAACGCGATCAGCTGATGTACACTCGCCTCGGCATGCTGGACTGAATTATAATACAAACTTACTCTACATCACCATTGGTAAGATTGTCATCTGCGGATTTGCCTTTAGTGAAGCCGTTTAGGAGAGGAGACCACCGATCTGGACGTACGAGAACCATAAAAGTCCCAATCATTGAAAAAGGTGGATCCACTATATTCCTTCGTGACATGGTAGGTCACTGCTTGCGCGAGGCCAACCAGGGAAAGGAGCACGGATTTCTGCTTCCAGAGGATCGTCATGAGGGGAGTGAAGAAAGGCTACCTTGTAACGATGTCGAACAGCGTTTGGATGTTCAAATTTGCGAAAACAACCGGGGGAAGTCCGGGCCACTGGAAGCTCCTTATGTTTAATATTACCCATTGTCGCTGTTGCCCAGCCAGCGCCCATCTGAAAGTGATGTTCTCTTGGTTTCTTATCTTGTCATACTGTTTTACGACAGCCCAGGAGCGCCCAGGTTGCACACACAGATGCTTCGTATGTGAACTGCTGTTGAGGCCTTGGACTGCCAGAACATCAGAGGGTTCATACGGTAACAACGGAGACTCGGAGACTTGGCAATTGCGAGTGGGGTATGTGCGTTGCTTGTTAGAATGAAATGCTGGTGCTTAACTGCAAGGTATAAAGGCCGATCAAGTACTAGTATTCACATAGGGAAGGTTTCTATTTCCCTGACGCTGAAGTACTTCAGCAAATTCTCTCCTCGAAGATCGGCGACCTGGCATAGTTGAGTGATGGGCGAAGTCTTGGATTGAAAGCACGTACTTCCTGATCAAGGTGACGGAAGAGGACCTCTTTGAACCCGTCCAAACACTCTCGCAGTTCAGTGGGTGAATATTCCGAGGGTGATTCTGTCCACTTCTTGAGCAGTGCTTCAAGTTTGTCCAAGCCTGCCGGGAACACAGTTAGGGTAATATGTGAGAAATAATAGAAGAGACATACCGTCGTGGATATGGCTGTGGGATTTCAGGTGTTCACTATCGTGGTCCGGCGAGAACTGAGGCATTCTCTTCGCCAGTAGGGGGAAGAAGTGTCGCTCCTCGAGTGTGTGATGCAGAGTCAAATCTGGGTGAACAGTTCCGAGTGATATTCTATTACTGTCTGCTTCAAGCACGTACGATGGATGAAGCTCTTGCCCATTTCGAGGAAGACCGAGAGCGGCATGCCCACACGAGCATGGATATCTGCTAGCTGAAAGGGTCACGGTAAGGCGCTCAATGGTGTTGCTGACGAAGACTAATCACCTCATGAAGGGTGTTAACTGTCCGTCACGGTGTCAGTAGGGCGCTTCACTCGTTAATCGAACGTAAGTAGACGGACATTCCCTCTTGAAATACTGATGGAACTGATTCATCCGGTCACTCAACTAAAAGAAACAGATTAAGGACGATGTACGGTGAACACAGGGCAGAACTTACGTGGTTGAGCCTCTTCTCTTGTCGCAGCATTTCTTCTGGACTGCTAGTGGGGATCCGTGTCGACATGACTGCACTGCGAGTTTTAGGGGCTATAAGGTGATAGGCAAGTAACCTGGGTCTGAAACCAATCCGAAGCATTTATTGGGTCCCAAGCAAGTTCCCGCGTTGATCAATTTACATGGCCAAGGCAGTACTTATAGACAAATCGCTTTTGGGTTAGGCAGTGTGCTGACTTGGTGCTGACAGAGAACGACCAGAGTAAACCGTTCACCGAAGACGATGACAAGGCGCGCATTAGTCACGCATTTGTTTCCATCATGTTTGGACCGAATGGCTTTCGCAAACACGGAGCACCTGGCCGCCAACGGCGACGACGCCGTGTGCTGGTTGGAATGTCATGGCTTCACGTTCTGAGCTACGACGGTCGAGTGTTACGGACCAGGATCCTTATGAGCTAGAAAGGCTAGCAGAAGAACTCGAAACACGAGAAAAGCAGGGCGCGACGAAGATAAACTTCGATGACCTGGACGATTCAGAGGTTCCAACATTACCAGCCTATGTTCCCCTCTCGCACGAGAACCCATATCTAACGGCGGACAAATTCGATGTCGAAGAATTTCTTCGCTCGCGATCCTACACATCCCTACCTGACTTGCGAGCTGAACTACGAGAATATCTGGCAACTTTAAAGGAAGAACTGGTCAAGCTCATCAACGACGACTATGAAGCTTTCATCAGCCTCAGCACGGATTTGCGGGACGAAGGAGCGCGATTAGAGACGTTAAAGAGGCCATTGGACGGGATACGGAGGGAGATCTTAGTGAGAATGTTCGATGTAGAGTCCTGTGATCGAATTCTAATTCGTATTCAGGAATCCAAGAAGGAGTTGGACGCTATTCAGCAGAGTGTACAAGAGAAGCTCAAAAAGCGCGCCGTTCTTCGTGAGGAGAAGGTATTATTTATTACCAGTGCCTTGAGAACCAGTAATGTAATGGTTCAGCAAACAGGCTCTCCTGCAACTATTGCTCAAAATCTCGGATTCAGTCACTCGGCTGGAGAAGTTATTGGCAATATCCTCACCAGAGGAAGACGATGATCTTACCAGCTCCAAGTTGACGTTACAGTTGGGCAACGCTGAGGACCCTTCGGACGAAAAGTAAGGGTTAATCCTAATGACTACTGTGCGGGAGCTAATCATGCGCCAGGTTGCCCGCTAATCGCGCCAAACACCTTTCTCGAATCGCGACTGAATATACCCAGTTGTTATACCACACAGCTAAGGCTCGATCCGAGCAATGTGTATTCGTGAACGGGATCCAATGGGTTTGTGAGCGTTCTTCCAATCGACTTCGCTGGCCTCGCTGAAACTTCTCTAGAGAATTGACAGGATACACTCGACGCTATCCTCCGATCTCGACTCCCTGTTCTCAACAACGCTGTCATATATCACAGAAGGAAAGCCTGACACCAAACACACCGAACTCGAGCGGACGAAGTGGATTGCAGACTTGACGGAATGTCTTCGGACGTATGACCTCCTCGGTCTATGGACTGACGCGGAGGATATCATTCGAAGGCAAGTTGTGCGGAAGTTCGTTCGAAAGGCGAGTCGATGTTTTGTAAGTCCGTTAAACCTGGCTGACTCCGGTTCCCAGACGATATATCCTGGCGCACTTGATGCACCCCATTCACCTCTTGTCCCCCATACGCCCTTCCACCCAAACATCCCCGAGCCCCTACTTTCAGCCAGTTTCCCTGGTCCTCAAACCCCATACACCCCGTTTACAGCCTTTATTCCCAAACAAAGTCACCAGTTTGGACCACGGAGTCCGTTCCAAAAATCACAATCGTATCTTCTGGACGACACCACTGACAACCTGGCCCATCTGTACAACCAGATCCTCAGGTTTATCGAACGGGACGTCTGCTATCTTATGGACGCGGCGGAAAGCTTGAAGTCGAAATCTGTCAGCGGGGACAAGGCAGCAAACGCGGGCTTCTCGATCCTCGCCAATGTGGTCTGGGATGAGTTATCTCGGGCAATCCAAGATGAGATTGGTGGGTCTGTGTTTTCAGCGGGAAGACCAGATGAGTTCCGGAAGGTAAACCGCTGTTCAATGTACCGGGGAAACATTGTTGATAGCAAGTTCTAGCACTACGAAACCACCCAAGCCTTCATCCGTTCTCTGGAGCTGTTGGCACCTTCGATGAAAGCCGTGGAGGAACTACGTTCACACGAGTCCTACAGGATTTTCGAGAGGCGGTGGCAACTCCCAGTATACTTCCAATTACGGTGGAAAGAGATCATCGGGAAATTGGAAGAGTCACTGGCTGTCCAGAAGCTTGAACCGACCTACTCGAAAGGTAAAATTCCGGCCAAATAAGTCGCATTGCCTTGATTGACGATTCATCTAGAGATCAGTCCTTTCGTAACTCCCCAAGCTGCAGCAGCATGGATATCGATATCGGCTTGTTGGAGCGCACAAGTCTTCATTCCAGAACTATGTTCCCGGTTCTGGAGGTTAACACTACAGGTCTGTGCGAAGGCATGTGCTAATGGCATTCGGGAAACTCATCGTCCTTTGCAGATCATCAGCCGGTATTTTGTATGGCTTTCAAATTGCCTGGATGCCATCGACATCAAGCTTGCTTCTGAACTAAAGGTTGAGAATCCTTTCTGATATAGCCCGTGGTTCGTTTACTCATTGCTGCTCTTTAGACATCAGGAACATCGACACCCGCTGGAGGCGGAGAATCGTCAACCCCGGAAAGTTCGGCTGCGGATGACAATCTTCTTCGCCAGTATTCAGCGGCTATTGTGGATGTTCTTGCGATGGAGAAAATGGTTAGGACCGTTTGGGAACAGGAGATTCAATTGGTTTTGCCCGATGTAGAGGATGACGAGGACGCTAAACCGGAAGGTAAGTTCCCTTTTTTGCGTCTAGGCCCCCTTATTCATAGAAGCTGGGGCTGTTGGGTGTTGCAGATGCCCTGAACGCAGTGTTGTCCAAGCTTACAGAGAGGTTACCTTCTCTGTCAGCCATGATAATTAGCATTTTGACGCGGCGGTGCTGTGACGCGTTGCTCCCTATGAGGAGTATCCCTGCCCAGTTTAGAGCGATGACGAAGAAGCGGATGCCTACCGAACCCAGTCACTTTGTCCCCAATATTCTTCGCCCGGTTAAGCAGTTCTTTGGGATCGGAACGAGCGATGGCCCTGGTACTCAGATCAAGGACCGGTACTTGAAGGAGTACTCATCAGAGGTGTTCAATGCCATCACAACAAGGTTTATAGCCCCCATTGTATAGCTCGGGATTTGACTTCCTGACGACGACCTGGCGCAGATACATAAACTACCTGTCCTCCAAGAAGAAGACGGAGCAGTCTCTCAAACGACTCAAGCGGGGTACCACATTTTCCTTGTTTGGAAGCAGCAACGCATCGTCCAACCAAGAAGCGCAGGATGAAGAACGTATCCGGGCTCAGATGATTCTCGATGTGGAAGCATTCGGTAAAGACGCCCGCTCGCTTGGTGTGGCAGTTGACGACAATGAGCATTTCAAGATGCTCAAGGAGATGGTTTATGAGAGCGATGGTTAGTAACTGGTCTGCCTTTTCTTACCCGTCTTTGTTCACCTGGTTATTGCCATTCAAGTAGACGCAGCTTGAAGAGCCCGGTTGCAATGTCCATTTAAGGTATTAAATTAGTCTAATATATCCAGGATATCCGTTCCTCCACCGCTAAACTCAAGAAGAGACGGGTACAGCTGCCTCGATACATTCCTTGTGCGTGATGGACCCGGTGCGAGACACAACAATCTCGCTGAGGGATATTTGAACTGGCTGCGTCGACTTGCCCTTGGTCGAGAAACTTGGCAGTAGAGGGCGGCGACAGACTGTGCAAGTCCCACTTGACGGTGCCCACCCCTTCCTCTTCGCGACCGTGTAACGCGATATGTTCTCGAACAAATCCCTCTCCACCAAATGTTTTGTGATATTGAGCATGTCAGCATCCGAGCGGTACGATTCCAGCATACCTCCCAGAATGAGGCGGAATTCGGTGTAGTGTGTCCCAGTTGCTGTGGGTGTTGCGTCTACAAGGCGTTTGAAGAGGCGAGGGAATGATACCGCTTCGGTGGATGTGATGGATACCAACGCAGTGAACGTCGTCTGTACCAACGCGCGGAGCTGTGTGAGCACGCCTTGGAGTTGCTCTCCTTCAATGTCCAACCCACTCGATGACACCGATTGAACAGCGTGGATCTGACTGCTAAGCAGACCAAACCACATGTCCTCGAGCGGAACCTCCGATGGTTCGAGCGATTGGGAGTGTCCAAGACAGATATCCCTTCCAGTGATTCCGATCGCTTTCAACAGAGCAAGCTCCCGTGCAATAGCCGCCTGGGAAGACAAGGAACGAATGACACGTCGCGTAAGCTGTTGGTGATAACTCTCCGACTTGCGCAAAGCAGCCTGTGGTTCCTTTTTCCAATTCAACGCCCAAATGACCGTATCCCAAGCCTCGTTTTCCTCGCATATGTCGGTCACTTCCGACCAGTCCGAGATGGCGTTGGAGCTATCGAGTTGTTTGAGGACATCTACAACGTCAGTGGGGGCGAGCCGTGTTTGGAGGTCGATGAAAGTTCGGAGCATTGCATGGGGTAGTCGGGAAGGGTCAATTGCGCGTTTGGTGAATGGGATTTCGGTATCGCCCGAGTCCACGAAGAGTTGTTTGAGGTACATGAATTTGGCTTCCTCTACATCTTCGTGGAATTCGTTGGCGATCACTGACAGCGTCTCCTCATGCATCTGGGGTGCGTGGAGGTCGAGGAGGGCAGCTGTACTGGAGATGCCCATGCGGAGGAGGGTTGGTAGTGAGTCTGTAAGGACCTGGGACACTTCGGTTGGGAGTGATCGGTGGTTATGCCGTGCTGCACTCTTTAGGGTGGTGTCGATGTTGGTGAAGAGATCGGCAGGGTGCAGACTGTGGTCGTTAACGTAGGTGAGGAAGAGGGAGGGCCACTGGCGGTCCTGTCGGTACCATGTCCGCAGGATGCGGTAGAATCCAGCTTCTTCAAAGAGGGAAATGATCTGCTCGCTGTCGTGAGGGTTGTATACGGAGAGCAGGTACTCGGCGGCTAATTGCCGATCCTCCCGTGTTTTGGGATCAAGATCCTCAGCCAGGCCTATGAGGACGTTGTGAAGAATGGTGGGTGCGATGGGAAGGAATTGAGGGTATTTAGGGACGTTGCGTGCAATGAAGATGTTCACTAGTGTGACGTCCTCCGTCGTGAGCTCCTCGTCGCTCATAATCTCCAACAGTATCCGCACGATAATCAGACGATTCACATTTCGACTCTCATCGTTGAGGAAAGAATCTTCAAAGGCGATATCGAGCGAATGCAGGAATGCTTCAGAGTCGAAGCGGAGAAGCTGCCGAGCGTAGGGATAAGTAGGTTCCACCCCGCCTTCCTCGATGGCTGTTAGAACCAGTTTACCATCGTTGCCGGGAGGCCAGACGTTGGATCTGCCAAAGAAGAGGAAAGAGTAAAGAGATTTCTTGGCGGTGTTGGCTTCATCTTCAGGAAGTGGTTCTTCACTGGGGAACGACAGCCCGGAAAGGATGTTGGCGAGGTATGGGTATATCTTGTACGCATTTTGCGCAAGACTGTCGGGTGACTCGTCGTCACTGGGATTCGGATTCTCCAAACCCAACGACTCCGTCCTCCACAATTGGTAGATTCGGCGGATAAGACCCAGTAGTTCGACAACGGGTGCGACGTAGTCTTGCAATGCACGGGTATAGATGTAGATTAGGGCATCGTAGAGGCGGAACTTTTGACAGAGTTGGATGGTTTGATTGAGGTCGAGGCAGGCGGGATCCATGTGCCAGATGATACGTTCAACGTACTCTGGATGGCCGTCGACTTCATGTAGGGCGATGAGGCGCTGCGTTATCCGCGGAGGGACGTAGCGGATTTCGTTGTCGAGTATGAATGGCTCCAGTTGCCGCAGGTAAATGGTGGCTATACCACTGTCGTCGTATAGTTGGAACAGATCTTCGAACAGGAAATAGAAGTCATCGAGTGCGATGGCCGCGCGACAACAGGTAGAGACCAGGCCTTCGAACAGAGGGGTCCGGTCCACCCCTCCAGGTGTCCTGTGTGTCTCGTCTGTTAAGCGGTCTTCTGAGAAGGCATAAGTGGCCGAGGCAACCATCAGACTTCGCAGCTTGTCGCCAATGACGGTTTGACGAAGTTCCGGATCGTCTGGTAATCCGTTCCTATTCCCTGGTGCTTCGTTGGTGTAGTACGTGCGACAAAGTTCGATGGCTCCCAGGAAGTCGCCAGCTTCGACCAGCGAGAGAATCCTGTCCGCCCATGTTAACATGGTTCCTACCAACACCCTATCTCGAGCCTAATCCCGATTTCAGCAACGAGCTATAGAGATACATCACGGGCTTACCAGAAGGAACATTTTCCCTTTGTACACCCGCAGGCTATGCGCCGTATCAGCAGCAGCGTCCGAGTAAGACACAGACCCATTCGCAGTTCGATCGAGTGTCGGCGACATCAACGCTAGGCCGTCAAACTTGGCATGTTCAAGTATCCGAGAGAGTTGGATGTCGTAGACGACCATACTGCTTCGAGTAACAAGGACAATTTGCTGGAGAGACCATTAGTAGGAGGTCGTTCGAACGTAAAATGGGAACGTACGTTCGCGTGCAACCACTGCATGGCCGTAATCGTCTCCTCAGCCATATACCGGCCCACAACCTCATACCCAATCGTCCCAATATCAATTTCGTTCGTCTTGCCTGTTTTCAAACTCATTACGCGTTGCTTGAACCTCGCCTCCACAACCTTGATGATCCTCAGAGAATTCCCCCAACTGTATGCCAGTATAGGTTCGGTACCCTGTTCAACAGTACCGTCCTTCTGCTTCACTGACACGGCCTGGTTGCCGGTTGGTCCATTCGGAGACGGCCTCGCCACACTAGGGAACCACGCCAACGTCCCTTTCATACGTGACTTGGAGAGACGGCCTTCCTCTGGCTCACGGGGGATTTTGAACCATGTTTTGGGAGTCGGTTTAAGACCCACCACGACGAGTTTAGTTGGTGTAAGTAGAGCAACTACGTTGTATGCGTCGGTCGGGTGGGGGTTGGTACCTAGTGGGAGGGGCGCCATAGAGAGAACGACGTAGCGGACTTTGCGGTTGGCGGTTAGAGGAGCTGAGGGTGGACTTTGGAGGGCTTCTGGGGGAGGTATAGGTTCAGGATACTGCCCCAGTATCCTCAAAATATCAGCTGCCTCGACGAACAACATCTTCCCAAGTGAATGGTAGAATGCTAGCCCATGTTCATCCGCTGACACAAGGGCCGTGTGTCGTCCTGCGATGAAGCCGATACTGACGATCCTGGAACCTTGTAAATGACCTTCTTTCCGTCCTGTAGCCACAACGTCAAGTGTTGTGGGAGAGACTGAGCGGATGGGTGAGGTTGGTTTTCGCAAGTCGTAAAGTTGTATGTGGCCGTTGGCGTGCCCAGTTGCGACACAAGTGTGGTCATGAGATAATGCTAGAGCTGTAACGGGTCCCATCGTTTTGCCTGTCGAACAGTCAGTTTATACCGCCTCCCGCAAAAGACATGCAAGCAACCAACCTATAGACTCGTTCCCGCAAATAGCTTTCAAAGTCTGCTTGAAATCATACACGAGTACTCTGCCATCCTCCAATCCCAAACAAATCATCCCATTCGAGGCGATAACAGTTGGAGTACTGAATGTCGCCTTTCCAAGAACACTCGACGCTTTCTGAGAAGCCTTGGAGAATACCTGGTTTGTTATCGTGTGCAGTTCCGACCACCTGAAGACTTCTCGTTCCGAGATGGATGGCCGTTGACCGTTGGAGGGTGAACGAGAAAGTGGACTTGAACTCCTTCCGCGTAGGTTAGACACGGAGGAGGCTCGGGACATTGAGGAGAAGTGCGAGGGTGATGGGGAGGCGCCAATGAAGAGTCGTGAGGGGGAGGCGGAGAGGTCTTCGCGCTGGGAAGCGGGTGTTGAAGGTTCGGAAGGGGTATACGAACGAAGTCGCGAAACCGTTGGATGTAGATAGGACTTGTTCAGCTTTGCAGGTCGTAGTAAGAGCCCTGGAGAAGCTACTCGTGAAGGTGGGGTCATGGGAACGGATGTAGTTGAAGGGGAATTGGTTGAGAAAGCCTCCTCCTTATACTCGAATTGTTCCTAGAATCCGCGCCATTAGATTCGAATAATTCGATCCAGAAAGACGAGACTTGCCAGGGGCTCATGATCGTCTTCGACAACCATAGACTCTTCAGCTTCTTGGACCTCCTTTGGCGTGTCCTCTGGAGGTTCAAGGTCAAGGACATCCCGGAGCTGCTCGTCATACGAAACGGAGATATCTGGGGCGTCTATTCCGGTGTAGACGAAACCACCGTCCTCATCGTCACTTCCATCTTGGCCATCCCCAGGCGGTGGTTGGTCTTCATCGTCACTTTCATCAAAGAGATCCTCCATTTGCTGAGAGTAATGGGAATAATCTCCAGTGTGCTGCTCGGGGTCAGACTCGACGTCTTCTTCGTCACTGTCCCCGAACCGTAGGTTGGCTGCGGAGTCTGAGGGAATGGGCGAGGACATTCTGTCGTCCATATCCAGCAGCAGACGTTCAAATGAGAATTGGTACGGCGTCGACGTGGATCTGGCGTCGACTGACGCGTTGGTGAGCAGTGCAATCAGGCGCTCACCGCCGTGCAGCGGTCGCGGTATGACTGCCTTTGTTTGGTACAGAAGCCCTTAACAAACTGACTGCACAGCTTCTAAATTGCCAGGGGCCAGTTATCTCCTCCGAGTCCCCGAGAGCGCATCCGTCCCCAACGCAATGCTTGCTCGCAAAAATGCTAGAATTGGTATGTTGAGACACTGATTAAATGTACAAGAATATGCAATTACACCACAGGAATAAAGATCAATAAGGAATGAAAGCAAGAAATCGAGTGAGAACACAGCCCTATGTGTGTCTACTAGACAAAGGGGATACCAAAGGTCCGACGAGCCCACCACGAAAAAGTCTTCTCCTCGCCACCGTGGTCATGACACTGCAGATATAGGATTATTCCGCCGCTCACGGTCACGGGCTTTAGCACCGGGACCGAATCGCTCTTGGAAGCCTATTAGCTCTTCCATGAGTTCCTCCATTTGTTTCATCGTCGAGGCTGACGACTCTTTATCAATCGTTTTGATAGGTGGAAGTGGCTGCTGTGGTTGCTGTCCTCCATTCCCTTCCTGCCCGTTTCCACCCGTTGCAGTGTTACTCGGCCCTTCTTCATCCACCAGCATAGCAGCTTCATCATCGACGCTCGTTATGCCACGGAGCTGTTGCTGTTTCAGCTCGTTTTCGAGCGCTTCTCTCCGTCGCTCGCGGTCATGAGCACTCGCCTGTTCACGTCCGACCCACTCCACCAGCGCCCGAACGCGTTTGTTCATATCGCCGACGCTCATCCGTTTGCTGGGCCATTTGACTTTGACACCGCGCTCCATCGTACGTTCGGCGCTCTCGCCCCGTGAGCCAGAAGGGTTATTTGATGGACCGGAGGGAACTTCGAGTGGCTGTGGGATGTCGGTCGGTAGTATGTGTTCCAGATGGGCCAAATAGTCGGGGAGACCCCACGAAGTCAGTAAGGGTTGTTGGGAGACGACGTAGGCGTGAGTATTGCGATAGGCTCGGGCATCAACTGCTATGGAACCAGAGTGCTGGCCGTTAGCGTTGCCGGTCCCAGATCTTCTTCCTCCCTGGTCCTGGTTAGCGATACCGGAATTGTGAGAGGTTGCATGAGACAGTGGTGGTCGTTTGGCGCCGGCACCCTTTCGGTTGCCTCCGCGTTTATTCGTTGTGGCGGTCGTGGTGGTGGTGGGTGTGGGGACTACGGAAAGATGAGAAACTGGATTTGGGTGTGAGAAGCGCTAAAACTCACCTTCTTCTCCATCGGGCGTGGCAGCTATCTCGACCGTCGTCGCCTTCCGTCCTCCCCTCTTTCCTTTGCCGCCTCCTTTGGCCGGAGCTGGAGCTTGCGAAGGAGCCTTGACGATGCCATTCATGGGGGTTTCGTCTCGCGCGATCACTGAGGGTGGGCGTTCCGATGTCGTTGAAGCAGAGCGCGTCCGTTTCTTGATAGCACTAAAAACGAATCAACAGATGTGCATTTGGAACGTAGAATGGACATACGGCTCCTCTTCGGCGCGTTTTCGTTTCTTCTTTCCGTTAGCTTGTACCTCTGAGTCCCCGTTGGCGGTCGCGGCTTCATCGTTTGTGGAGCCCTGTCCGCCGTCCTTGGCCGCCGCTGCCTCTGCAGCAGTGGCTTCAATAATCTCTTTAAACGTTTCAGCGAATTCTGCATCTCGACTGTTCATGGTATTTCTCCGCCTTGATGGTTGTTTTGCAGTGAGGGTGGGAGAGTGCGACCGGGAAACTCGGGAGGCTGCGCTGTTGTGGTGGGATGCACCTCCGCCGTGGCGTCCTTTCTTTTGCGATAGTTTCCTAGATAGGTGATGAGAAGAGGATGGATTGGGCAATGGAGAGAGACACTTACTTGAGGAGGTCGACGTGCAAGTCGGGTTTGCACTGCTCGCAATAGTAGTCGTCATCGTGGACTTGATCTTCGGATTGGTAGCCCATACATAGACCGTGTTGCCATACTTTGCAGCCTTCGCACTGTACCATGAACTCTCCGGCGTCAGGGTCGTCCTCTGTGAGGGGTGGTCAGAGCCAGGGCCAACGGCGAGAAAGCGATTGGGACGTACCAGTGCTACCGCACACACAGCGCGTAATACCCTGCTCTTCATCGTCGTTTTGGGGATCGTTTTCGTCGAGAGGGGCTGCTGGAGGCTCGTCGACGACTTCCTCCGGTGGTGGCTGCTTGTCTTTCTCCTTGCCCCTGCGCTTCCCTTTGCCGTTGGATGCCCCCTGGGTAGAACCGTTTGAGGCGACCGAGGGTGCTGAGTTAGGTTTGCGGTCATCGACTGGATCTTCAAAGTCTTCTTGTTTGGGGCGGCGAGAGCGACCATTTGTTGTGTTTGAGGCCATTGCTGAGCGCGATGAGGTGTCCTTGCCGCGGGGAGGCTGCTCAGAGTCTGGTGATTTTGAGTTGCTGGTTGAGGTTGATGGAGCTGAACGACGACCTGAACGTCTTGTCTCTCTTGGAGAAGGAGGACCCATTGTCTGGGTTGACATGGACGGGACGAGCGTTGACAAACTCCAAGTTGTGAACCCCCTTCCTCGATAACGGCCCGCCTCGAATCCCACGCTATATTTGGCCCGCCCTGGCATCAATAAAGATTTTGACTCGATCACAACCAGCTCGCTACGCTCTCTCTAAATACCCTGCACCATGCCTCCAGCAGCCACTCTGGAATATGCCTCAAATGCACCAGAACCCTTGGCCATGTACTCGCGTCTCCCAAAACACCATCTTCGTTCTGAAGACGGGACTCCAGATTATCTACGCCTGATCCTCACCGCCAAGGTCTATGATATCCTCAAGGAAACCCCTCTCGTTATGGCCACAAACCTGAGTGCAAAACTAGGCAACCAGATCTGGCTCAAGCGCGAAGACCTCCAGGAAGTCTTCAGCTTCAAGATCCGAGGCGCCTACAACTTCATGGCCAGCCTCTCAGAAGAGGAACGATGGAAGGGGGTCGTCACTTGCAGCGCGGGTTAGTGTGCGTACTAGACTGGAGATATATCTATATCATTTGTCCTCCTATTCTCTTTTGTTTCGGCTGACTCACAAAACCCCATTACAGGTAATCATGCCCAAGGTGTAGCCCTCTCAGGTGCCCGACTGGGCATCCCTTGCACTATTGTCATGCCCCAGGGAACTCCGACCATCAAGGTCCGCAATGTGGCACGCCTGGGTGCCAAAGTCGTCCTGCACGGCGTGGACTTTGACGAGGCCAAGGCCGAATGTGCACGACTCGCCTCAGCTCACAGCCTGACTTTTGTCCCACCCTACGATGATCCACTCGTCATTGCCGGGCAAGGCACAGTTGGAATGGAGATCCTAAAACAGCTGCCCGAATCCGACCAGCTCGACGGTATCTTTGCAGCTGTTGGTGGTGGAGGTTTGGTAGCCGGCATTGCTGAATATATCGATCGCATCGGAAATCCCAATAACCACGTTATTGGAGTTGAAACAATCGATGGAGATGCGATGGCACGTAGCATCGAAGCAGGACACCGCGTAACCCTCAACGAAGTCGGTCCGTTCAGTGATGGTACAGCGGTCAGGATCGTTGGTGAAGAGCCTTTCCGTATCTGCAAAAAGCTGCTCGACTCGCCTATCGTGAAGGTCGACAACGACGAGATCTGTGCTGCTATCAAGGATATCTTCGAAGGCACGTCATTCCTGATCGTCCCACCAAGCCCTTACCCTGATCATTTCGATAGAAACAAGATCCATCACCGAACCAGCAGGTGCGGTCGCCCTGGCCGGTCTAAAACGCTACATCGCAGACAACAACCTCATCGGAGCAAACAAGAAATTCGTCGTGGTTGTGAGCGGCGCCAATATGAATTTCGACAGGCTCCGGTTCGTTTCTGAGCGAGCTGAAATCGGTGAAGGCCGAGAAGCTCTCCTCAGCGTGGACATCCCTGAACGACCTGGAAGGTATGTTACCTTCCTAATTAAGCACATTCCATCCTCCGAGCCGATCTGCGCATTTCTTCACCTTTCATCTTATCTCTTTCCATCTTCTACGTTGGTTCATTTGCTCACAATCTACTTTCAGTTTCGTGGCCCTCCATTCCATCATCCACCCGCGCGCTGTCACCGAGTTCATTTATCGCTACAACATCGACGGCGACCGTGCACACGTCCTTTTGTCGTTCAAGATTGAGTCCAATTCACGTGAAACCGAAGTACAAGCTATTCTTGCTGCTCTAGAGGCGGCTGATATGAAAGGCTTGGATATGACGAACGATGAACTGGCCAAGAGCCATGTCAGGTATATGATTGGCGGGAGGCAGCAGGTGCCCAACGAAAGGATCTTCCGGTTCGGTCGGTATCGTGTTCTTTTTCTCTTCATGACTATCCAAGTGGTTTGGAGCCTATGGAACTGACATCTGCTTTGTTTACGTTCATTATAGAGTTCCCGGAAAGACCGGGCGCGCTTAGGAAGTTTTTGCTCGGCATGCAGCAAGGGTGGAACATCTCGTTATTCCATTATCGAAACCATGGAGGAGGTAACGTACTTTCTTCTTGAAACTTTTCTGGCGCCTCGCTGACCCTGACCTGTTTTGTTCTCTTCCTATGCGTTGATTGGCGCTCATGTGCGGATCGCGATAGATCTGGGCCGAGTCCTCGCTGGTATCCAGGTGCCCGAATCCGATTCAGACGCGTTCAAGGCATTCTTGGACAAGCTCGATTATTCGTATGTAGAGGAGACAGACAACCCTGTCTATGCGCGATTTTTACGGGGGTAGATCGTTAGGTGGAGTAGAGTACGGTACAGTAGAACAAACCGCCAGGATCTGGCGGAGGCAACAAGAGATCGACTGCAATGGGAGAAGTCTAAAAACATTGCAATCATATCCCTTGAATTGCAATCGGGTGGATGTACAATAATTAGAAGAAAGCGTGAAGTAAGGGAGCTGAAAAGAAAAGAAGATGCGAATGCGTCAATAAATTATTAATGCAATGGAGACGTTGCAATGAAGTGGCCGAAAGTCGAAGTCAGTTGGTCAATGCTACAGTAAAAGGCAATCAATGAATGAATGTGCATATGCAAAATGAGATGAAGAGACGAAAGACGAAGAAAGGGAAGACGAATGAGGAACGAGGGGAGAGGCCTTTCAGGCAACAAAATACAGACACGATTATAAGTGTACAGTAATGGTGAGAAGGTCGAAGGGGCTGGGTGTTGCTACAGTAGATCAATGCAAAAATGGGAAGACGAAGGTCGAAGGGGTGAAGGAGTGACTACACTATACAGGTAGGTACTAGAACCAATCGATGGCATGTGAATACATAGAATATATATGCAAGGCAACAGCGGCGGCCGAGGGTCATTAGTCGGAGTACTTTAAATCGTCACTAGGTCATTGCGATAATGTAAAAGAAACTGAGCAGGAAAATCGAAGATCGAAAAGGATGGAAGGAACCAGCGAATTGCTATGCTGGAGTGTGAACGGACAACCGAAGCTTGGGGTTGGAGAATATCCGGCGCACTGTGTTGTTGAGTTTGACGCGGAGGTTGGTGTTGCTGAGCTTGGGGCGAATGAAGTTCGCGATGGACTGGCGCTTCTTGAGGGTCGGCATGATGGGTTCTTCCACCACAGTCGGTGATGGCGAAGGAGACGCGGACCTCGACTTTGTGCGATCAAAGTTTATGATGGCGTCCACAGCCAGGGCGGTGGTAAGGCCCCTGTTGCCGATCTTGAGTCCGGATGCGCCGTACTTGTAGATCCAACCCATTTCCCAGCCACCATCTTCGCATTGAAGTGCGAGGAGCGTGCGCATATCGATCTCATTGTGAAGGCCGAGGTAGTTGCAGACGATGATGCGCATAGCGAGTGCCATTGCGTCGCCTTCAGCCCCGATGCGCTCTTGGACGCGCTCGGTGAAGAGCGGGCGCAGGCGCTGGATGTCCTCGTCGTCGGTGCAGTCGAGAAGCCGGTGGAAGCAGTAGAGGAAGCATTCGGCGTTCATGTAGTATCGTGTCCCATCGAGATAAGCGCGGTTGAGGAGGACTTCGGAAACCCATTCGAGCGTCTTGCGGAGTTCCTCGCCACGTCCGTAGGTGTAGAAGAAGGTCAACGCATTGACACATACGACGGGGTCGAATCGCGGTCGACGGTGATCGAAGTATGTCTGTAGATGCGGATACGGTTAAAATGTTTGATTAGCATTTTGTGGTATATTTGGATCGTGTAAAGACTCACTTGAATGATGCCGTCCGAGTCAACGTACTGGAGCATTTCATCCATTACGGAATGCGCAGTTGAGAAATTGCGCTTCATCACCGTCAAACCGAGCGATGTCGTGTCAATGTCGAAGGGGAACGCTTCGGTGGTGAGCTGTCCTTTTCCACCTGTAACAAAAGATCGTTAGCATCAAACAGCATTGTCAGAATGCATGCTACTTGATACTTACCATGGAAGAAATTCCATGTGCGGTCGTGTTCGACGAGATCAACCAAATCACTATCAGAGAAAAGTCAGTTAAGGGCTGTGTCCAGGGTTGCTGCTAATACTTACCGGTCGTTGGTCAATTCCAAGATGAGCAGTTGGGCAAAGTTCTCGTGGAGGACAACTTCCGGCTGCTTCTCTGTTCGTGCCGTCACCGATTTATGGTTCTTGGCGTGGGCTGCGAGATATGTCCTTCCTCGAGTGACCGGATCACCAAGGAGGTTGCGGAGAGCCCGCTTGACTTTGTCCCGATCGTCGAATTGAATCCCATGGAAGCCGAGTGAGCGAGCAGAGAGGACGTTCTCCAGCTTGTCATCGATGAAGATGGTATGTCGTGGCTCGATACCGGTTTCCCGGATGACGTGCCTGTAGAACCCAAGGTGTGGCTTCCGTTCGCCTGCAGCCGCAGAAGTAAAGATCTGCTCGAACATCGACCAGTCATCCAGAGTCTTCTCGAGCATCACCCAGTCAGGTGCGGAGATGTTGGACATGGCAAAGAGTCGTAGTGATGGGTTGGCTTCCTTCAAGTCGCGGATGAGGTCGAACATTTCGGTGTCGGGTCTGAGGGATGCCGTGGCTTGCTCAAAGGCAAGTGCGATGTCGTTGGCAGGAATGTCAAATTCCTCGCTCACGCGTCGATAGCATTCCTCTTGTGATAGAAGGCCTCGCTCGTAGTCGAACCAGGTTGGTGTTGACAGGATAGCTTTGAGTGTCCGTGGAGAGACACAAGTTTTCGTGTCGCTTGACCAGGTAAAGAGGACGTCACCAAGGTCGAAGACGATGTTGGAGAAGTGATTGGAGCCGACCATGGTGGCTGGGTGAGGGGGTAGGGGAAAATTAAAGGGAAGGAAATGTCGGGTAAGCCGCTACTGAGGTTGAAAGGTTTTTGGGTTGGGTTTATATACCCATGTTGGCAAGATTGGGTACGCGATGGGATCTAGGGATGGGAAGCTGAACCGAGGTGGTTCAACCTGGTTCGTTTTACGAGAGGGGTTATCGGGGAGCGTATCCTTTTGTCACTTACACTGCCAGCGACTTGACATCACCTCACCATTGTCTCAGGGATATCAACAGGCCTTCCAAGCTTTTGACTTGGGACGTTTTCTTCCAAAGATTATCGTGGAGCGTCAGAGAATGAAGCTTCCACAGAACAGACGACGCTCATCGATACAGCAGAAACACAGTCCCAACAAATCATCGACCCTTTCTGCAGAAGACCTAAAGCCTTCGAAGGTCTTGGCTTAGACGTGATTATGAGGTGGATACGCGTCGCAGAATGAGGAAGGGTGCTGGCGAAGAAAGAGGCCGACGAACAATAGCGAGACCTGTTTTCGGCAGCGTGGATAGAGAGCCAGGGTTGACGAAGAATTCAGAAATCGGTTTGCCGCCGTTGGATTTGGAAGAGATCTTGAATGAGATTTGACCGGAAGTATAAAAAGAGATATAAAAAGGCCGAATAATGATAGGAACCGAGGCGTTCCAAGTATGACATATACGCGGTGTCGTCCGGACGGGAGTCGCGTGGCTGTAAATCGCGTTGAAGATTTAGGTTTAGAGGGAAAGTGTTGCTAGTTGTACAGGGTCGCGTAGGAAGATCGATCTCGCCGAGCGAGGCTGTTTACTCGAACACGGGTTCTTTCAACGGTTCAGTACCAGTTGTCCCAGGTTTCATATCAGTGATTAATGCCAGCCTTGATTGTTTGGGGCTTAAGCTGTGGTCCAAGAGAGAGCCTACAGGCCTCATTATCCGGTCATTATGAACAAGAACAAATGTGGCCAAAATTGTATTTGTTCTAGATAGCGCTCGAGCGAAAAGGTCGGGGCGTCAAAACGGTTAGTCTTCGCCGGTAACCTGCCCTGTTGGCAAGAATGAATGAGCGTGGGTGCTCTACTCCAATGAAAGCGGAATTCGCCCTTGGACCGTAGCTTGACCACGGGGTGCTACTCCATGCGATATAGCAGGGTCGTTTATCCGTAGGAAGTGGATCGTAGAACATCGGCGTAATCAAATCATGAAGGCGACCTGATGAAGTTGGGTAGCACTGGGCGAATGAATCATTAAGCCGGAACAATTCACTTACTCCAAGAAGAACCGTCAAAGGCGCTCATGGCGGGCAGCGCTGCGAATAAGCCAGGACAAGCCTGAGCCAGGGGACAACAGTTCGAAATCATCCGTTAACCTTTTTTAGGGATCGCGATGGAAAAATATGACTGTAAAACGTTCCCAGTCATGGGAACGACGAGTCAGCGAGAGCTTCCATTCACTGGGATTGACTAGAAGATTGACCGCCGGCATTGCCCCATCGAATACATACCTACGCCGACAATGTTGCCAACGCGGCAGATATATTGGCAAGGGGGGTTAGGTTAACGCGAACTAGGGCGAACTATATCCGTATCTAGCAGCTGTTAGCAAACTTCCAAGTTCGTTTCTTTAGAGAGTGCACCTGTGCGAAGTCAACCAAATTCCACCTGGTCCAGGTACCGGTGTTCCAATACACCGCGGCCGTGCAAGTCCGTCACAATTAGCGTTGGTGCATGGCAAATGAGCAGGTAATACTCGTCAATTAGAGAGGAGCCAATGTGATATCACACACTGTTCAGGGCAGCCAGGATATTCGTTCGAGAAACAAAAAAAAGTAGAATCTCTATTTCAGTCCAGGGAATGGGCCAAAACGGGTCACAGGCATGTATATGTAGGAAGGTCCGAGGGTCCTTGGATGGTATGAGTGAATGTGCTCTTTCGCAGAGGGGACAATGGCCAACCTCATAATTAATGGTGGTGGTGGGACGATTCTGGGGATTTCGACAAAACATAATTGTCTACAGCGACGTAGGCTGTGAATGCTACGACAGCGATGCCGAATCCGGGAAAAAGGCTTCGGAACATGACGCGATTGGAGAAAACTGGGCTCTTGCGCCAGGCCTCTCGTTTGGCCCAAGGATCCCGGTAGATGAGTGGTTGTTGCGACATGGCTGCGAGAGGGTCAGCGACAACAGGAGACGGACGGTGGAGGCAGCGAGCTCACCGTTGGGTGTGTGGAGGACCGAGGTTGAGTGTATCCGTGGGAAAGGGGGTGTGGTCACGACGTTTGTGTTTAGGGCAGGCTTGACCGACTTCGAAGTTTTTGATGGGCTGTGGTTGGCCCTTCATTCCTAACTCTGTTTCTTACCTTCATAATTCGCCCTTTCGCCTCATTCTCTTGTTCTTCCATTCATTTATCCGCTAATCCACATGTCTGGCGACTCACAAATGCTTTCCGACGACGAGCGGCCATTGGCTCCCAACACCGACGCTAACGGTCAACCGCCTGCGAATGGCAATGGTGGTTTAAACGGCCACCTCAGTGATGTGTCCATGAGCGACGACGACGATGTCCCTCTGGTGCGCGAACCACATACATTATTGCCTCTACATACATGTATTTATTCCTTGGTGAAACCAGTCACAGACGACTGCTACGCGTAAATCCGAGCCTGAGGGTCGTCCCTCACGCAGTCTCAAGCGCAAGAAGCCTGTTTACGCAGATTCGTCATCCAGCGACGACGACGTTCCACTAGCCTCGTCCCCCGTGAAAGCAGCTCGGGCCAATGGGAGAGCCAAGGCAGTTAAGAAGGAGGAGGACAGTGATGACGCCAGCGCAGTGGCTACCAGCACCAGCAGCAGGAAGCGGGGGAAGGGTACTAACGGGAAGCAGCCGCCAAAGAAGAGGGCTGTTGCTCAGTCCCCTCCTGAATCCCAGTCCTCGGAGGAGGAGGATGCGCCACCTGCTAAACCAACCCGTAAGCGGAAGGTCAAGGCCGAGTCAGACTCGGACGATGCACCACCTGCGAAGAAACCAGCCACCAAGTCTCGGAAGAGGGTGAAGAAAGAGGAGGAAGACGATGAACCTGAGGCCAAGCCTTCGGCATCGAAAGCCAATGGGAAAGTCAAGAAGGAGGAGCCTGCTTCGCCTGTAAAGGGTAAGGGCAAGAAAGGCAAACAGAAGGAAGAGGAGGAGGAAGAGGAAGAAGAGGTCTTCAAGTGGTGGGAAGCTGGGGATGTCAACGGCGATGGCACTCAGAAATGGGAGACTTTGGAGCATAACGGTGTCTACTTCCCTCCACCGTACGAGGCGCTCCCGAAGCACGTTAAGATGAAGTATAATGGTATGTTTCCACCACCACGGGAGCCACCGATTCGATGTTCACGCGTTATTTCAGGCAAAGACGTGGACCTCTCTATCGAGGCCGAGGAAGTGGCAGGTTTCTACGGCGCACTGCTAGAAACAGATCATGCAAAGGACGCCACCTTCAACAAGAACTTCTTCACGGACTTCAAGAAGGTGCTCGAGAAGTACCCTCCAGTACGTATACTGACTTTCTGAGATAGATGGACAGCTGACATACCTGGATTTCAGCGTTGCGGAACCAAGATTACCACCTTCGAATTATGTGACTTCCGGCCTATGTTTGAGTATTTCGAGGCTGAAAAGGCCAAGAGGAAGGCAATGACGAACGAGGAGAAGAAGGCTGCGAAGAAGAAGAAAGACGAGCTGGAAGAGAAGTACAAGACCTGTGTCATGGACGGACGGAAGGAGAAGGTTGGCAACTTCAGGATTGAACCTCCTGGCCTATTCCGTGGTCGTGGTGAACATCCAAAGAAGGGCTCGCTCAAGGTCAGTCGTTCCCCCCATTGTCTGTAACTTGGCTTAAACTAGTCCAGAAACGCGTTTACCCTGAGGATATCACTATCAACATCGGGAAAGAGGCAAAGATTCCTGTTCCCAACATTCCTGGCAAATGGAAGAAGGTTATTCACGACAACACGGTCACTTGGTTAGCGACTTGGACCGAGAACATCAATAACAGTCACAAATACGTCTTCCTCGCTGCGGGAAGTCGTTTGAAGGGTCAAAGTGATATGCAGAAGTTCGAGAAGGCCCGTGAACTCAAGGTCTGTTTCACCTGTCCATCCATACACAGCGTTGACCGTCGTTACAGGACCACATTGAGAAGATCCGAGCGGATTACACCGAAGACCTTAGAAATAAGGTCATGGCTCACCGTCAACGAGCGACTGCGATGTATTTCATCGATAAGCTTGCCCTTCGAGCGGGTAACGAGAAGGGCGAGGACGAGGCGGACACAGTTGGCTGCTGTTCCCTTCGTTGTGAACACGTCACCCTCCGGCCACCTAACGAGATCGTGTTCGACTTCTTGGGTAAAGACTCTATCCGTTACTTCAAGGAAGTCCCTGTCGATGCGCAAGTTTTCAAGAATATCCGTATCTTCAAAGAAGGGAAGGAACTGGAAGACAACCTTTTCGATCGAGTTACTGTGGGTGTTCTGTCATCCGATTTTTCCAACCAGACTTACTAATGTCCTACCAGACCGCAGGCTTGAATAAGCACCTGACCTCCTACATGAAGGGACTTACTGCGAAAGTCTTCCGTACTTACAATGCGTCGTCGACCTTCCAGCGTCTTCTGGACGAGGAGGACCTGACGAATGCAACCATACAGGAGAAGATCAATGCGTACAATAAGGCCAATCGCATGGTCGCCATCCTATGTAACCATCAACGTGCCGCCCCCAAGACCCACGATCAATCTATGGAGAAGATGAGGTATAAGGCAGGTTCACGTTGATTGAGCAACTTGGCTCCTCGCTAACCTCGCTACGTTCATCATAGCTCCGGTCGTTGAAGTACGACCGCATGAAGCTGCGGCATGTCTTGGTTACGCAAGAGCCCAAGATGAAAAAGAACAAGAAGTACACTCAGGAGGAGTCCGACATAGATGACGATTGGATAGAGAAGCACGAGGAATCGCTCAAGGAGAAAGAAATAGAGAAGGCGGAGAAGAAGTTCGAGAAAGAGAATGAGAAGTTGGAGGCCGAAGGCAAAGACAAGCAGAAGAAGTCGGTCTTGAAGGAGCGCATTGAGGCTATCGAAGAGGAGTTTGAGAGACTGGCTCAGGAAAGAGGCACAGGCAAGGCGACCTTGAAGCGGGAGCGCCCCACCGAGAAACTGGAGGAAATGATCGAGAAGTTGGATGATAGGATCAAGACCTTCAAACTCCAGATGATCGACCGTGACGAGGGCAAGGAGGTCGCTTTGGGCACGAGGTAAATGCAATTATTCTCGTGGTATTCGTCTCGCCGCTGACATCTCTTGCCGTGTTACAGTAAAATTAACTACCTAGATCCTAGGTTAGTTGTTGTCTACAACATGCTTCGGCTCTGCTGACGTTGCTTTCTAGAATTACCGTGGCATGGGCTAGCGCCAACAAAGTTCCCATCGAGAAGATGTTCTCGAAGACTTTGCTTGAGAAATGTACGTGTCTGCTCCGATCTTTAGTTATTGTGCTCAACAAGGTTCTAGTCCCTTGGGCTATGGGCGTCGACGATGACTGGAAGTTCTGAGCTCGTATCGAAACTGACTTTGCTCTGTCTGCTCTTCGCTGTTGTCCGAGCTGGTTTAAGCCGGACTGAACTGTATTTATGCCTATTTCGCTAGCACGCCTTGTGTTGTTGTTTTAATATTTAGCTTAGAATTGATTTTCAACGTGGACTTGAATCGTTTCTTATGAAGGAAGCTGTCATGCGATTTCTCTGTTTTGTGTGAGTGTGTTGTTTGGTCGCCAAATAAGGCAGCAGCATAGTTCTCGGCCTCGCTGTACCTTTGATTTCTTCGTCCACGTAGCCATGAGCCGCTTCAATGCGCCAGCTGGTCAATCCCTTTTTGCTTCAAAACTCGCCTATGAAGCTCTAGAAATCGAGTCTGGTGAAGAAAGTGAAGAGGAAATTGTCCAGGAGGAGCCAGCTCAATCCAGGTAATTCAGCTCCGTCGCGTCATTTTTGACAATTCAAAGTTCTCACTGATTCCCCTTAGTGCCCCGGAGGAGCCTCCAAAGCCTACCAAGTCGGCTTTGAAGAAGGCTAGTCGCCTTGCCCGTCAGGAACGCAGGCAACAAGAAAAGGCAGAGAGGTCCAGAGCCCGAGCTGCTGCCAAGCAAGCCGCTTCGCAATCCCCCTCGACGCCCTCGACACCTCTAGAGACACCTACGTCGGCGAGCAGGTCGGAAAGCGGTGTAGATGAAACGCCTGCAGCCCCTGTGAAGTTGGAGACGCCTGTCGCCGCGGCTCCACCTCCACCAGCGGTCGTCGCGGAAGCAAAACCAAAGGACGAGAAACCAATCCCATCGCGCCCTGCTTCCAATGGCAACATCAACGGCCATGTCCACCAGGAATTGGCCCAACCAACACCCCCGCCAGCTAACGAAGAAGCGAAGACGCCAGCGCCTTCCGCACAACCGAAAGCAGCAGCGGTACCTACCAAAGCACCACCAGTCGCCGTCATCGAACCGCTAAAACAACCTGTGGTCAAACCCGTTGCACATCCTCCAGCACCAGTTGACGAAGAACAGGTGAAGAAAAGACAAAATGTTGTTGAACGTGTCATTTGGACGTTCGTCATGATCTTTGGATTCATTGGTACGGACCCATGCGAGGGTGGATATACCATTTCCGCTGACGATGCCGTTATTATGCAGGTCTTCTGCTCATGGGTCACGCGTATATGATTGTGCTGGTCATGCTCTGCTCGACTCTGGTATACCGTGAAGTGACGGCACTCTTCTCGCTCAAGTCAGCGGACCAGAAGGAGAACAAACCTGAGTTGAAGGGCAAAGACCCCTGGAGCAAGACGTTGAATTGGTACTTTTTCGCTGTCACCAACTACTTCCTGTATGGTGAAAGCATCATCTACTACTTCAAGGTACGTCGCCACTGTGGGTACGAGAACGATAACTAATTGTCAACTTCACAGCATGTCGTATTCGCAGATGCTCAGCTTCTCCCCTTCGCTACCAACCACCGAATGATCAGCTTCACCCTCTACATCATCGGTTTCATGGGCTTCGTCATGTCTCTCAAAAAGGGATACCTGAAGCAACAATTCGGCCTCTTCTGCTGGGTCCACATGAGTTTGCTCATTATCGTGTTTTCGAGGTAAGCATCCCTCATACTGTGCTGTTTTTCGTCGCTCATTCTTTATCTAGCCACTTCATCATCAACAATATCCTTGAAGGTCTGATTTGGTTCTGGGTTCCCGCTTCCCTCGTTGTTTGCAACGACTGCTTCGCCTACATCTGGGGTAAGACAATGGGGCGAACACCCTTGATCAAGCTCTCTCCCAAAAAGACTGTGGAAGGCTTCGTTGGCGCCTTCTTCAGCACTATTATCTTTGCTGTGTTGTGGGGAACCTACTTCATGCGATTCAACTACATGATCTGCCCCGTCCACGACCTCGGAACCAACGCGTTCACTGCGATGTCCTGCAACCCGAACCCGGTCTTCATCTGGCGAAGTTTGGAATTGTGGAAGCCCCTGTCTGTCGCGCTCGGCACTATTGTACGTTGGATGCTACTGTTCCCGTTGTATGTGGTTCTGAATACCTCATTCCTTTATCCAGTCTGGCCAGTCCATCACCTCCATTTCTTACGCTCCGTACCAACTCCACCTCCTCGTGCTGGCCTGTTTCGCCTCTCTTGTTGCTCCTTTCGGAGGCTTCTTTGCATCGGGTTTCAAGCGTGCCTTCGACATCAAGGACTTCGGCCAAAGTATTCCAGGCCATGGTGGAATGACGGACCGCATGGATTGCCAGTAAGCAGAATCTATCATTTAATCAGGACTTGCCGTTCATGCTTCCTTCTAGGTTCCTCATGGGCGTCTTCACCTATGTTTACTACAGCAGCTTGATCCGTCAAAATAACGTCACGGTCGGAGGCATCCTGCAAACCATCGTTAGCAACCTCACCGTCGATGAGCAACTAGAGCTCATCGGTGATCTCGTACGCTACTTGGAAAAGCAAGGCATCGCCGTTCCCCGATGATCTTTAAACCCTTTGGAGACTGGACTCTGACGTTTGTTTGGTACTATATCAAGCTACCCTTGTCCTTATAATAATGTTATGCTCATGTGCTTTACGATCTATTCTCAATACTAATACCATCATGATCTGATTAAGAGTTTGAGCCCGTCTGGGTACCGACGGTGGTCGTTACATCGCATTCCATCGCGCGTATGCACCGAACTGCATGGCTTTTCGACCGACTGCATGGTTATATTCCTCTACCCTGATTCCTTTCCCTGGTTGCTCTCCAATGGACTTGACGTAGTAGAGTGAAATCACAGAGCCTGCAGGAACCTGGACAGTTGCGACCCACGCCCCTTCGTCATTGAGATACATCGGCGTCTTCACTTTGTCGTTGGTATCGATTAGCATGACGTAGTTGTCCGCTTCAGCTGTGGACATGTGCTCGCATCGTTTGCGAACCGAGAAGGCGAGTGTCGTTCCGCCTTGGAGGCCGTCCCAAGCGGGTTGTAATGTGTACTCGTCTAGATTGGCTGCATAGAAGTCGCGACAAACAATAGGGCGTTTGCGCTCTCCCATGTACTCCCTCCAAGATACTGGGCCACCCGTCTCGTCAGGTATCAATTGGTAGGCCGGATCTTCAGTAGGGTAATGGCGTTTCACGAACTCGAGTGGATCGGCGGTAAACCAGAAGGGATTGAAGTGCTGGGTATAGGTTGTTCCGTTTAGCGCTCCTGCACCCCAACAAGCGTCGATTAGACGCCACTCTCCATCCAGGTACGCGATGTTCCATGCATGGTTCATCTCTGGGGGAGGAACCATTGCCCCTTCTTCTAATGGCTCTATCCCCCACCCTTTCCCGTGTCCAACAACCTTCTCTACCTTCTGCAACCCGGCCAACTGAGCCAATCGGACGAACAAGCCAGCATACCCATCGCACACTGCCAACCCAGATCGTAGCGTAGACTCCGGGGTCGCTGCTTGTATGTTCCCGGAGAAAAACGAGTTAACGTCGTACCTGACGTTAAAATGGAGCCAGGCAAAAATGGCCCTTGCCTTCTCTGTTTCGGTGGAGAATGGGCCGGTTAGGTTTTGAGCCAGTTCAGTAAGGGATGTGACTGATTCCTTTGGGAATAGCGAGGCGTGTTGGTCTACTCCGTCAAAATTGTAACATTTCAGGCAGTAATTTGTTGGAGTGTGCGGTATATGTTGAGTGCAGTGAGTTCCATTCGCAGCGGAGGTGACTAGTGGGCGCTGCAGTCTGGGCTTGGTGGATAGGTTGATCACCGGAGGTGGTGAAACGGGCTTAAGCATAGGGGGGAGCCTTCGCTGAGCAAGGGCGGCCGGAGGTTGTGGGTGTGATCCCAAGCTTCCATCCTCTTCACTTTCGGAGTAGTCCACCTGAAAATGGGGCGGCTGCATGGTGTTATCCTCCTGTTGATTAACAGCCTCCTGGCTTGGGAGCCTTGGGGGGTGTTGAGGAACACCTATCGTGCGCACCTTTCGAGGGCCAGGCGGCGGTGGTGGCTTGCGAGCCATTAGCCGTACTTTCAGGTCATCGTTGCCTGAAATGCGTGTCAAAGGCGGTTCTGGAACACTTTTACAGTCTCCAGTATTCCTCTGAGGTGGGATCGGCGGTACGGCGCGTCCAGGTACGGTGCATGAGCGCTTGATTGAACCAGGTCTAGAAGGGACAAATTCCGCCTCTCCAGCATTGACTACAGAGGCTCGAATCCCCTGTTCAGGGTCGCGGTTTGGAATGGAGGGTGGTGGGCGCTTGGGCAATGGAGGTGGCATTGCAAAGGATCCAGATTAAGCGCCCAAACTGTGCTTTTTTTCTGTCTTCGAGATGCAAAGCTGGCCTCAATCTACCAGCGACTTGTCGTCCCCCTGTGGGTGCTGGTAATGATATAGGCAAGCTGTGAAGTAACTGAACAGATCTTTCAGTGCCAAGGTATTGAAACTATGACTCGATTGGCTCGATACCTTCGTTACGGAGCAAACTAGCCGCTTGCGAAGGAGATTTGTCCCGTGAAGTGACCGTCAGGTCCTAGTCATCCACCTTTCTTACTACAACTTTCTTACAAGGGTAAATACATCCGAATTCCAGGCCATCAAAATTTAGGCGCTGATGGCAATGCCGAACTGCGCCGCCGCGGTTCTTGACTCGAAGTTAACAGTGCCCCTTGATTTGCACCTACCAACTAACACTCGGTATCGATATTCTGAACGCGATCTCTTGTTGACATGTACGTGCTTGAATGAGGCCTGTGGGCGATGACCGCCCACATTTCATCAGTCGTTCACATCGGGATGCCTTTCCAGCTTCCTCCGTTGCGTCATTCAGGGTCGAGCACATACCGGATCACAGTGTGTTGTTTGAGCTCTAGCTCCATACCAAATCAGCGATGCCAACTCTCCGCCATTTCCCTTGCATCTTACAGCACCAAGAAGCACCGTTCTAGTAACTGTGGAGACGGGACCGATGTCCTCAGGCTCATTGAACAGTTGAGCCTGCCGAACCAGTGATACCGTGATCCAGGCTCGACCTTCCTCGAGGTTTCAACGTTCAACAGCTACGTGAGGGTTGTTACCATCCCAAGCAGGATCTAACAAGGCACATCTTTCTCTTTTCCGAAAAATGCGTGGGTGTGCATTCATGTACAAGCGCGGGCACTTTAATCGACCATAGGGCAAGGAATGTAAGTAGTCCTCGGAGTAATCCGTAATGCTCGCGTGTGTGCATTTCATGGCACGGTGACTTTTAGGTGGATAGGTCGCGAAAGAGTTTCGAGTCGAGAAGTAAGGAAAGAAAGTTACAGGGACGTCGTCACTCTCGAGCCTTGAAACACCTCTTCTCATGATTTCAGGATGCGTAGAACAGCTTTTCCCGACAAATTCGTGGGTTCAACTTGTCTCCGCTCCACCGTACGAAATCACTGCCTCGACGGATCCTGAAGACCATGTGCATTAACCCTGTCATTTAGACGTTTATTACACGTGAAGTGCAAATCTTTTTGAAAAGCTTTATTGTACACTTCAAACGAGCAGTCTTCCGATTACTGTCAGCTTGCAAACAGCAAACGCTACACGTACAATTGGCACGATGTCCAACTCGACATGGCGTGTTCGTGATTTTCTGTCTCGACGAAAATTTATTCCTCTGTCGACGATCTCCTCTTGGGGAAAGCAGGTCTTTGTGCAGGAATGATCTCAGCCCATATATTCAAGTTCACCGTCGTCATTTCCCGTTTGAAGATTTTAACACCTAGATATCCCCGTTCCATCCCAACGGGCGCCTCTCTAAGGGCAGCATCGTCCCTCGCTCGCGTGCTTCTCGAGATTCGTGTACGGATCTATCTCCAGTTAACGTCGCCATACCTCCTCTGAACCAGTTCAGCTCGCCCACCCCCTGGGAAGCCGTATCTTCTTACGGAATCCGAAGAATCGACTCCTCGAGGGAAACATTATATCAAAGAAACATACGGTCGCAATCCGTCAACTCCTTGCAGTGCAACGGTCCCGATTGCCTTTTCGTGCTTCTCGTGCACATCGCCCCTCAATGCCACCGCCTGGAAAAATGAATAAAATAAAATAAATCAAGGGACTGGTCGGTCGATGAGACTTTTGTCGGTTAAACCTTCTAACAACGCATATCAAGCATGCGCGGCGCGCAAGGGACCCGAGTAAAACTGTGAACGTTGCATCCCTGGCTCGGGAAGGCCTTATGGCGATGTCGCGGGTTGGGCCCAACTCGATGTGCACCACGAGAAGAGGGTGCAAAATCTCGTGTGAAGTAGGTTCCAGCGTTTCGTTGAACCCCGTTTCTTCAAAAGCCCACATGTCCCAGTTGTTCTCACCCTATACCAAGTCATTTTGTGAATTATTCCCTCGAGGAGTGGGGGGAATCTCGAGGCCTTCAAATTCCTATTTCGAGAGAACAATAGAGCGGGATATCGCGGGACGGTCGCGGTCCTGAAGTCCTGATGCATGGAGTCAAGTGGATTCGAATCTCGATAGATGGGCAGGCGGGCGTGCTCACCCTAAGTGACGTTTGCTCACCAAGGTCATAGATTGAATCACGCTATAAGCGATCCCATTCCCGGAAGAGGCGCGGGTAACTCGCAGTTGAAACGTTGCTCGAAAGTCGAGACCCGACGGCGTCGTATAAACCAGAAGCTCATTGGTGCTGGAGTTCTCTGTCTTTAACCCTCCCTTGGTTGCTAAGGTCAGAACACGGACACTTCTCCCCATGGTCGTTCATGGCGAAAGCATTACATAGAAATGTGCGAAACTGAACAAGACACAGCCTTGCAAGTGCCACCAGTCTGAATGGTAGTGGATCGAATGAATGAATGAATGAAAGTCATATTATAGTCCTATCGAACGGTATATTCTAGGCGGACTTTACTTATGTTAATCTATTCTATATATTGTCCGTAGCGTGTTCGTCTACCACCCGCGTGCCCTCCCGCCCTCGCCAACGGCGGGGGCGGCTAAGCACGAGTAGGAAGGTTTGATGCCTGTAGGTTAGATGCGCGGCTTAAGGCCGTTATGCTAATCTAAATTGACCTGATTGTAACTACCTCGTATGAAGCCTGCCGCGCCTCTTGCCCCCCTCGTGCATAAGGTTTGCCTCCTCGGACTCTCGCTCTACTCTTCCGTCCTCTTCACTACCAGTCCCTTCAGTCTTTCTGTTCTCCCCAGGTAGTGGATCGACAGAGCCGGGTAAGTCTTGCAATCGTGATCCGCGAGCCATATTTTGCTGACAATGCTAGGGGCAGGACACGTGGATTGGACATTGGACGGAGCAACTGAGCTACAAAAGGGAAAGCAAGGTGAGTCTTGACCGATCTTCGCGACTCATGTACCAACATCCCAATGCTTCGCCACGCCAAATTCACAACCGCAAAAGCTTGACTGGAACCTAGAGTCGAGGGCGATTATAGTGGTGGCGGCTTGATCTGTTTCGAAGCCTCACTTGATACATAGGCGAGGGCTGGGAGCTCCAAGTCGGGTGTCTTTTCGATGATCGGAACCTCGAAACTGCCCCATAGCTGTGTTGATAGAATCTGAGGCTTCTGCCTCTTACAAGAATATCTGGGAGGTGGCAAGCTACCTGAGAAGTCAGAGTCAGGCAAATGCGGCCCTGAGCATTCTCGTGGTCCAGACTGATCTGGCCCCTACACACAGGGCAGAACCACCCCCGTTCATCGCCGAAACACGTCTAAACGATTTGAGAGCACCGGAAGGATAGGCTGACGACGGCGGTTCTTCCACAATGCCATTCCAGTCGTCCACAGTCGTCCACCTGACGCAGCGAGATGGGGACACTGAGTATGATCCGCAGATACAACGGTTACAGTGACTGGGATCGCGGTTCAACACTTCAGGCTATGATGTTGCGATATCCTGGGGACAGCGTCCTAATAGGGTGGGGAGAGCATATGAGTTATTGAATCGGAGGAAAGCATGGGTCATATTGTGCATAGAGATGGAACACTACAACATGGCTGGGGAATGACGTCCCCATAATTCATAGCGACGCAAAGGCAACCTCGAAAGCGTTGGTGAGCTGAATGTTTGATTGGTGCGTGCTCAATGATATGATACAGAAGCGGGATATGGTAGTTCGAACAGTTTATGATCGAGGCTTCTCCTGTTGACGAAACGAATTTGCATCAGTTTCTTATTGGCAGTGGAACAATCGACTAGAGGATAATGGTCGCGAACTGACCTTCTTTTCTTTCCAGAGCGCAAGGAGACCGACACCGGACACCTTGACGATCTTGAATCGCACACCGGGAATATCACCCTTGGCCTTGCCGCTACGACCGAAACCGGAGATGAGGACTTCGTCGTTCTCATCGACAAAGTTTAGGCAACCGTCATTCTGTTGGAGTTCGTCAGTCCGAGGTTCATAGCGTGCGATCAGGTGGTCGACGTACGGGGACGAAAGCAGTGACCTTCTTGCCGTTCTTGATGAGTTGGACTCGCACACACTTTCGGATGGCAGAGTTGGGTTGCTTGGCTTCGACGCCAACTTTTTCGAGCACAATGCCCTTGGCATGTGAAGAGCCTCCAGTGGGGGAGGTCTTGTAAACGTTGCCCAAGGCACGCTTCTTGTAGCCTTTATCGGCCTGTCAAACGGGTCAAAGGTATTAGAAAATCATTCCTATGTGCAGCCAACGACGACTCTTGCTCGGCAGGCGCTATCGAGATGTTTGGCGAGTCGTCGTTGGGGAGATAAGAACTTACCCATCGGTTGTCCCGTCGGTCGGTCCTGAGCTTTCGCGCTGCCTGCAATCCGCGAGGTTTGTTGGCTAAAAAATAGGCGATCAACAGGACGTCCTTCGAGGCGAGGAGAGGGGGAACATACAGCCCATTGTCGTCGCTGGCGATGATGAGAAGGGGTTGCTGAGGGAGAACGAGGCGACGACAAGCCGTTTGTTTGACCCTGATTGGCTGGGATCAGACAGTCACGTGTATCTCAAGTCTGTTGTGAACCTTAAACTAGTCCAGCTATATAGCCTGCTTCAACTCCGCTCGGCACTGAGTGGATGCCGGCGGGCGCTTTCTCCTTTCCCGAGACCCCGGTGCAATCACCGTGCCCCGGAGCCGCGTCGAGCATCGTCGAGGGCGTTTTCGCGCATGTCTGGGTGGATTCGCGGGTATTTAGCTCGAGGTAACCCGAATGATAGCACAGAGTAACACTGCGTAGATAAGGACGAGGGAATTATGCAATATGTATAAGGACTTGAGGTTATATAGGGAGCAGGCCGTATTCTAGGCGTTGCCCAGACGCCGGATCCAACGTCATCGAAAATGTAGCCGCCGGTCTCTTGCCTTGGTTCTTCCAATGCTGTGGCATGTCTGGTCGTTGTCGAGAACGCCCAAGTCGCGACTGGCTCCTGTCTTGAGACGCCATGCGCGTCTAAACCACAGCTCAGCGGTGCTCGACGAAGTTACTGCCAGGGGCTTCATCCAGGATGTGACACGACGCGCTGACCTGGCAAAAGCGCTCGAGGCCAAACCCCAAGGTCTGTACACCGGCATAGACCCAACTGCCCCGTCTTTGCATATAGGACACTTGATACCCTTGCTTTGCTTGGCCCACTTCCATTTACACGGCCACAAGATTATACCCTTGGTAAGTTCTCGACCTTTTCAATTGCCATCGTTCTCCCTGGCTAACCAGAGTAGATTGGTTCTGCGACAGGTCGTATAGGTGATCCGTCAGGTCGAAGCACCGAAAGGAAATTACAGCAGACCGAGCAGCTGAACGCCAATATCGCTGGACTCACTCGTTCCGTTACCAACTTCTTCGAACGCGCCTTCGTTCATGCGTCTCGTCGGCTCGGTCTTCAGCGGGATGCGCAACCGGAGGTTAAAGTTGTTTCCAACCATGTCTGGCACGAGAAGTTTAGCATGCTTGACTTCCTCCAAGTTGTCGGTATCCATGCTAGAATTAACACGATGATGAATAGGGAGAGGTAGGTCGTTCGTGGAAGCCGCAGCTTGATTGAGCCCACAACTTCTCCGTTTTTCGACAGTGTCCGAGCTCGGCTGTCTTCTCAGCAAGGAATCTCCTTCACGGAATTCACGTATCAGCTACTTCAAGCCTACGACTTCCACTATCTCAACCAGAACCACGGCTGCACGATCCAAATCGGAGGGTCTGACCAGTGGGGAAACATCGTTGCCGGGATCGAGTTGATTGGCAAACTGTCCCCTTCCTCGACAGCCCAAGGCACCGGAAAGGAGGCAACGCCACCCACCACAAGTCCCGACGCCTTTGGAATCACCACTCCCCTCTTGACTACCCCGTCCGGTGAGAAGTTTGGAAAGAGTGCTGGAAACGCCGTTTGGTTGGACGAGAACTTGACGAGCGTGTTCGACTTCTACCAAGTACGTGTATACCTGGATTCTGACCTCCAAATTTGTCTAACAGTATCATGAAGTACTTCTTCAAGTCACCCGACAGCGTCTTGCCTCTCTACCTGAACCTCTTTACCTTCCTTCCCCGACCCAAGATTGCCGAAATCGTGGAGACCCACAATGCTCGCCCCGAGTTGAGACTAGGTCAGAAGACCTTGGCAGCCGAGGTCACAGAGATGGTGCATGGAGGTAAGTTCGTTCTATTCACTCATCTCGAATGAACCTGACATTCTTCGCTAGCATCGGCCCTTGAGCGTGCCCAAACTCTCACATCCCTCCTCTTCCCCACTTCCATTTCGGCTTCTGCCAGTCCTGACGGTTCAGCCCAATCCGATTACTCTGGACTCACCACAGAGCAGATCACCTCTGCGTTTGACTCATCCGACCCCCGATTGGTGTACATCCCCGAAGCTGAACTGGTCGAGTCAACACCGGTGGTCAAACTCGCCAGTCGATGTGGACTGGTAGCGTCGAACTGTAAGTCGACTCTTTCCCTGTTGTTTTCAGTTGCTCATGTTTTCCTTCTTCAGCCGCTGGTCGTTCCCTCGTCGCCTCCCGCGGACTGTATCTCAATAACTCCCCAGTCCCAGATATCAAAACCACCATTTCCAAAAATCAGCTTATAGATGGCCGAGTTGCCATTTTGCGAGCTGGCAAGGATAAACTGTCGGTCTTGGTTGCCCAGTGATCACTGCTTCCCGTAGACTTTTGCTGGTCGCAACGCGAGCGCATGTGCTATAAACAGAGCCTAGAACTACTTCTCCGAGAGGTTGGATGAACTCATCAGGCTCTACTAATCCCCCACTCTACGTCTATCCTAGCCCTTAGCGCATAATGACCTCTTCACACCAGCCGCCCTAGCCGCCAGTACTATTCATGATAAATTAATTGTCCGCGATTATATAGACTAATATACCGATAGAGATTTGTCGCCACACCTCTTGCGAGTCCTGCAAATGGGCTGTAATCGCTTGCCTAGATCCAGCTCTGCTTTTTGATTAAATCCGAAAATTGGAATCGACGAAAGGAATGTGTGAGCCAACACACGCAGACGCGTGTTGGCGTGAAGTACGAACGAATGGATGGTGCGTGAGGACTTCGCGTGGCGAAAGGGTTAGTCTATCCGGATTGCCGTGTATAACCGACGGACAGCCCAGTAGGAAGCGGCGAACCCGATGGTCCCTGCACGAGGAATTAGCAAACGAAATTAACCAAGCACAGAGGCGGCAGGGCATCATACCAGTTGTCAAGAAGACTGCAAGGGCGATGAGGAAGAGATATCCGAGGTAGAGGATCCTACTCGTCATCGACTCCAAGGAGAGGCGGGTGGCCCAGTAGAACAGACCATAAGCAATTACCCAGAAGGCACTACCTCCGCCGACGAAGAAGGATCGCCAGTGCCACCTGTTTGGAACCGAAGGTTAAGAGGCAAGTCGCAAAACGGCTGGGAGGGTAAGTATGCTTACCGGTATTCTTCAGCGCAGAGCACGAAGTAGGTGAAGAGAATGGACACGGTGGCAGCGGTTAAGGAGACGACGCCTGCTGTCAGCGCAAGGAAACCAAACGCGTAGTACGCTCTTGATGCGAATAGACTCGACAAGACGAAGTAGAGTTCGACGAATGCAGCACCTGATTTTTATCAGTTTATTACAGCCGAAAGACTCGCGAAAGAACGGACACACCAAAAGGAAGAATCCCACTGAGGATAGCGGCAACCCATGGTCGAAGATAGAATGGCACAGGGGGGATTTGTCGAGGGATTTGGTTAACTCGGACGGGATGACGAATGCCCTGGGACACCGTGTTAATCGACATTTAGATTTCGGTGAACGAGATACCCTACCCCGTGCTTGGAACCATAATAGCTTCCAACAGCCGACAGAGGTGCAGAGATGCCGAACCAAAGAAGGATGATGGTCAGCATGGTGCCTAAAATTGGTGGTCAGGAAAAGATGAAGGTAATATCCTGCGCTATGATTGGCTTACCAAAAGGTACAGCTCCTGAGGAGCCGGCGGTGATGAGGAAGAAGTTGAGGAAGAAAACAATTGCAAAGATTGTACTAGGGACGCGTATAAGCAGAAGCTCTTCCTGGTATACGACATAGAGGGTGCTAACGTGGGTAACATCGTGGCTGTAAGGAAGGCGTTCTTCCTGCGATTAGAGCCTCCCAGTGAGGCATAGACCCGGGAAGAGATGTAGCCACCAATTCTATGAAATGTCAGGGTTCAGGTTGTCCATAATCAGCGACCAATCAACTTACCCTCCGAAAAGGGACCAGACGACAATCATCACTGTCGCAAGAGAGCCTCTGTTGGACGGTGACAGGAAGCCTAGCAGGGCAAAAACTAGAAAGCAATGCGTAAGATACACACGCTCAGTCCATCTCTTCATCCCCTACCTAGGGTTACGCCAACCATGGCGGAAAGCTGGGCTCCATTCCCAGACATGATGGACAGGAGCATGGGGAAGCGTGGTGTTCGGAATACTTCTCCATGGACGAGTTTCCATCCCCAGTCTTCCTGCACGTCCTCCTGGAAAATGGTTTAGTAGAGGACTCGGTTGGATTACAGTCCTGCATACATTAAGATCGACATTGTTATATCGAGCAACCTAGGATATCCTTTAGCATATAAAACTTATACGGACGTTATAATGACCTACATCTCGTGAAACACTTCGGACAAGGATCATGGACACCATAACACACAGGAAGACGACGATAACGAGAGAGTTGATCAGACTGAACCAGTGGATTCGGGGGTCGAAGATGTGGAGGTAGTTGTCCCAACGTGTTGCCCATGGAGTGTCGGATTCCTAGACTGTGTCAGCTGGGCGGTATGAAGATGAACGGGCATGGGGCGCACCATCCACGTTACCCGATATGTATATCGGACCGCTTGAGTACCATCTTCATTAAGCTTGAGTGGCTGCGTCTCAGAAACATCGCATCGAGGAGCACCGTCCTGAGGCCCACCGATACTTCCTGGCCATACGAGAACACCGACGACGCGGTAGGTACTCTCGGTCGGCTTGTGGTAGCTGGGCAAGAGTCAGAACGACAGCACGCTATAGTGAAGGCAACTGACTTGAGCATGATTTCATAGTGATTATTTAGCACAGGAAGGTTCTGGTTGACGCCTTCATTGTCTCCGAGGTTGAAACCAATGTCGTAGAACACGTCTCCCGTCCGCACATCTTGCTTCATTTCTGCCGCAGGTAGTCCATCTACTAGCCAATTGAGAGCATAATCTTCACGAATGCGGTCGTTGATAAACTTGGCCTCTTCAGAAGTGACATCAGGGACTGTGCAAAGAGCTTTACACGTTCCATTATCTTTAAGCATTTTGATCTGCAATATCCGGTGAATAGACGCCGGAGGGACGAGTAGCTGAACACGTACGTCGTACGGTGAATTGAAGATTCTGTCTCCAAACAATATAGACCCTAATGACTCTGGCTGTTTCTTGGGACCATCCTTGGGTTCACAGAAGCGTAGCTTCGGATGATAGTAGTCGTCTGAATTGACGGTCAATTCCCCGGAATTATTCATCGAATACAGTCTGGCTCACAGTTGATGAGAGATTTCTTCAGAATGTCTCAGTGACCTGTTCGCTTATATACAACTCTAATTTACATACCAGCTTTGCATCACTTGAACCAGAGAGCATTGGGGTCAATGCATTGACGAAGAGGTCGACCTGGTCACCCTCGGCATAGTCACGCGGCGCAGCGCCTGGTAGATAGAAGGCCTGTAAGGGTTGTGCAAGCAATATACCCGCTACTGCTGCAGATACTAGGCGCATCCTGGCTAGGACGTCGGAGTAATGGGATAACCTGCGTTCCAAGTCGAGATCAAAACTCGACGTGGGATTGTAACCCTAACCTCGCCTCCTTTAACCCTTCTCTACTCCTTCTATTTCCTTTTATCTGTCACTCTGGCTCCCTCAACTCGCGCCTTTGCAAGAAAAATTGCAATGCAATTCGAAGTCATTGCGAAATGCCACACCACCAAGGCTAGGGTCTCCAGGATGACACTAGCGCGTATGATATCCGTTCATTCGTGTCGAGGGAACAAAAGCTTAGGGCCGTCGTATTGCAGATGGGGTCACGATGCTACCGACCTTCATGCCAGTCGCAACCCAGGCTGCAATCAAAGGTCTATCGGCGCAGCAAGTGGAAGCATTAGGAGTCAGCCTAATCCTCAATAACACGTATCACCTCAACCTTCGACCAGGCTTGGATGTGCTGAACGCAGCGGGAGGTGCACACAAATTTCAAGGATGGAACCGGAACCTTCTGACTGTATGTGTTGCCAATTCGCGCCCTAAAGTCCTTCCAACGAACATATCTAGGATAGCGGAGGGTTCCAACTTGTTTCATTGAGCAAATTTACGAAGATCACCGAGGAGGGAGCACTATTTGCTAGTCCGTTCACGGGTGAACCGACGATGCTAACGGTAAGCGGGGAACGTCAAATGGTATTGTCTTCGCCGCAGCTCACCTCGGATAAGCCAGAGGAAAGTATCAACATCCAACACACAATCGGCGCCGATATCATCATGCAGCTAGACGACGTTGGTACGCCATCTGCCTCCGGCGCTTAAATCGGATCGACCTGATATCCCCCCAGTTTCTAGTTTGACTGTTGGTCCTCGTGTCGGTGAAGCCATGGAACGGTCTGTACGATGGCTAGACAGGTGTATCGAGCAGCACGAACGTGCAGGGAAGGCCGACAAACAGAACCTATTCGCTATCGTCCAAGGAGGCTTGGACCCAGAGCTTCGAGACCGGTGTCTGGAAGAGATGATAAAGCGACGGGACCGTGTGGCGGGCTATGCTATTGGTGGATTGAGCGGTGGAGAAGAGAAAGGTGCGCTTGGATCCATTCGCTACAGGAATAACCCATCTAACTGTGGTTCCTAGATACGTTCTGGAGAATGTATGCACTAGTAATAACGCCATACCGAGTCCATTAGCTGACGCCCTCCATCACCAGAATCAAGCAGTGCGCTGACAAATTGCCAGAAGATCGTGGGTTGATTCTACTCTCTAATAGAACTCAACGCTGACTTGCAGTTCAGGACCAAGATACTCCATGGGTATCGGTTTTGCTGAAGGTATTGGTCACAAACTTGATGGTCTATGACACTCCTGACACTTCATCCAGACTTGCTCGTTTGCGTAGCCCTTGGAGTGGATATGGCCGACTGTGTCTTCCCTACCAGAACGGCACGGTTCGGTGTTGCACTGACGCACAAAGGGCCCTTAAACCTCAGTGCGTGTGTTTTTTATCTCCAAGAAATCCCCTGCTAATCAACCTTCTCTCAGAGCTCAGCAAGCACGCAGCTGACTTCCGACCGATAGACGAGACGTGTCCTTGCCCAACTTGCACGTCCAAAATGACAAGAGCGATGCTTAACCACATCGTCACCCATGAAACGACAGCCGCACATGGTACGAAAGCGTTCCTTGTAACTTCTAGACTTCGTTACTGAGGCTGTCATTCAAGCTTTGACCATCCATAACATCGTCTTCCAAGCCCAGGTTATGGGTAGAGCAAGGGAAGCCATCATCAATGGCACCTTCCCTGACTATCTGCGCTCCTTCTTCCGCGACTACTTTGGGGACAGCGGATACCCCGAATGGTGCGTGAATGCACTCCGCACTGTAGGCGTGGATCTCTTGGAAGGAGTGTCTGTCCCGGTTGTACCTGGAAACGCTCCTAAATGGGAATATGCTAATCCATAAAACCTCCTACTATGTATACCACCTGAACACTACTTGTGAATACATCGCCATCGTAGTAGATAGACTAACATTGACACCACGGTTACCGCCTGCTCTTCTTCGAGGGCCTGGCGTTTTTGGCCTTGCGCTGCTCCTTGATTTTGCGGTCCTTCCTGATTTGGTCCACAGTCTTGAGCTCGGACTTGACCTTCCCAAAGGACTTGCCGCCATATCGGCGACTTGGGGCAGACCCCTTCTTGCCCTTCTTTCCAGGTAGTGTTGGTTGTGAGGGCCCCTCCTCTTCCATCCCAGCAGCCTCCTTCTCCTTCCTCTTCTTCAACTTGCGCTCGTAGTTCTTGTCCAACTTGTCCAGAGGCTTCGGCGCTGTGATCTGGTTGTGCTTGTACTTCTTTCCCCCAAATACCCGCCCACGGGAACCACTGCTGTTCTCAACTTCACCGACCCTAGGGAGGCTGACGCGGTGTTTAGCTTTCCATTCGTCGAATCGACCACTCCGATACGTCGCCGGAAGTTTGGCACCGCTTTCCGTCCGAATCATCTTCACATTGTCAGCTCCTACACCGTCGCCCTTTATGAACTTTTTCTTCTTCTTGTCCCAGGTGAGGGTGTTGTTTCGTTTGCGGAGACCGTCTCCATCGTCGCCTTCGAGGTCAAAAGCGACGTTCTGTGCTTGCCTCGCGAATGAAGACGCGCCATCGTTCAAAGAGTATCTGAGGAAAAGGACGATCAGTACTCAGGTGATAGACTGGAACCAACTGAACATACCCTCGTTCGGTATCTGCATCTTTGGGAGTATATGAGAGATAGAACTCTTCGTCGCGGTAACTGCCCTTCTTCTTGGAATCGGTGTTGAAGACGGCCTGGATGATTTCAAATCAGTGTGATACCAGGAGTGTAACACCGAAGAGGCCATACCGCGATATCCTCTTCGTCTGCCATCTCCACGTCCTTCGTATCGCGCTGCTCTACCTCTTCGTCCTCCCCATCAAAGTCGATGCCATCCTTTGCAGACATCTTCATCGCCTCCGAACGCTCGATCGACTTGCTCAAGGCTTTCCGCCTTTCTTTCATAAGAGCAGCAGTCTCCGCGTTGCCCTTGTGCGTAACCTCAAACACGGTTTCGGAAGGCTTGAATGAGCTAACCGCTCGCAGTAAATTGGCACGAGCCTCCTGTAGCTTTCGTTGATCCTCCGCGCCAGACCCGCGCAACAATACCGGATGTATGCTCGAATCCGAACCAGCCAAAAGCCATTTGGGATCCTTCATCATCTCCTTGGCTCGTTTATAGCTTGCCGGACTGGCTTTGCCCTTGCTTCGCTCGTACAAGGTGTGGCCACGGATCATGACCTGTCGAAGGGAAGGCAACGAGTGGTTGACGTCGTCTAGTGAGCGCGTATATTCAACCTCCTCGTCGAGGGTTTCGCGTCCGAACGTCCCGAGTACGAGATTCTCGGTGTAAAAGTGGTCCTCATCGCCGGGGACTGTGTTGACAAGAGGTCGTGCCAAGAAGAGTTGGAGGTCGAGGAGATAGGGAAGTTCAGAGTTCGTGATAAAAGACCATGCCCAACCTGGGCGACCGGCACGGGCCGTACGACCAACTCGATGCACGAAGACGCGGGCTCCATGAGGGAAGTCGTAGTTGACAACGTTTTGAAGGACAGGGATATCGATACCACGCGCCGCTACGTCGGTGACAACGAGGAGGTTGGTTAGGCCTTTCCTGAACTTGTCCATCTGGATGCTTCGAGCAACTTGGTCGAGGGAACCGTAGATGTGCGAAACCGAATAGCCGACTGTTATTAGGAGGTTGGTTAGGTACTCAACGTGGTGTTTTGTTGCGGCGAAGATGAGGGTTTGGTGTGGCGCAAGGGCGTGGGGTGCAACCTTGGCCTTCTTGCCTCCCTTCTTTTTCTTGTCCTTGTCACCGTCATCGTCTTCTAGTTTATTCTCCCCGAGAGGCACTTTAATGACGTCTCGGAGGAGAGTGAGCAAGCATGCTTCTTTTTCAGCTTGTTTAACAGAGAAGAACGCCATCTTCAAGTCTGAGCTGATTTTGCTTTCGGAATCTAACCGAACGAGCTTGGGGTCTTGAAGGCCAGCTTTGGCGAATTCGACCAACGATTTGGGGAGTGTGGCGGAGAAGAGGATGGTCTGTCTGGAAGGAGGGAGTCGGTGGAGGAGCTCGTTCATCGCGGTTTCGAAACCCATTTCGAACAGTCGGTCGGCTTCATCGAAGACAACATATTGAATTGACTTGAGGTCCAAATTCATTTCGACAACCAGATGAAGGAGGCGACCCGGGGTTGCGATGATACTATCCAGACAGTTAGTGAGATGGGATGGGCGCATTTGCGGAAGTACAACATACACATCGGGGTTGTTGGTGATCATCTCGAACTGCTCATCCAAGCCCTCTCCTCCGACTACAAGACCCCAGCGAAGAGACTGGCCCTTCGAGGACTCGCCTTCTTTATCTCCAGCATGGTCCCCCTTCGCGTGCCAGCCCCGAGCCAGCTCTTTTCCGACCTTGAGGATCTGAACCGCCAATTCACGAGTTGGTAGCAGAATGAGAGCTCGTGCTCCGAATGTGGTCTGATGAATTCCACCTAGCCGTTGGACAAGGGGTACCATATAGGCCAGAGATTTTCCTGAACCAGTTCTAGCCATGCCGACAAGATCTCGAGGAGGGTTTTCGAGAAGTGCTGGAATTGACAGTCGTTGGATGGGTGTCGGTATCCGATATCCCTGGAGGGTCAAGGAGCGCAAAAGAGAGGGATGAAGACCTGATATCGGTTAGCATTGGCGCTTGAAAGCGTTGAATGGAGGCAAGACGAACCCATGCTTTGAAAACTGCCTCCGCCCACTTCTCCCTTGGCCACCCCTGCTTTGCCCTTCGCCTGTTTGATTACTTGGGCACCTTGTTTAACATCTCGCTTTGTTATAGACGTTTTGATGAAATTAGCCAGATCTTCATCGTCCTCTTCGTGAAGTTCGTTGTCGCTTTTGGCTTTCTTTTTGGAAGCCTTCCCAGTCAGTGCAGAAGAAATATCCATGTCCATGTCGTCGTCTGAACCAGCAGATACAATCTCAAAAGAGTCATCGTCTTCGCTGGATATGGATGCAGCGCGTTTTCGTTTTGAGAGAACCATGGTGCAGTTGTGGTGGAGGAAGATATTGAACCTGGATTCAAGTGTTTTGCGCTCTCGGAAATAATTCGTTACGTAACGGGGATGAGCAAACTTTGAGCGCTTCAAGAGTGTCAAGCTGGATGCTTGCGGCTTCAAAGAATGAAGTCCTTGCGAAGGGTTGTCACCTTTCAAGATCCCAGGAATCTGGCCATCGAAGAATGGATAATGTAAAACCGCTATAAAGCACAGATGTGGCTTTGGAGTTCCCTTAAATGGTGCCTTCCTACCGGATGGTAGACAGCATCTGAATTTCAAGCTGCTTCGAATTCTGCACTATTATCTTAACCGTTTCGAGTGTCGAAACTCAGGATCACTCAATCCGTCCTAACCTTGGAACAGTTAAAAGGCGAGCGAATGGGCGTCTTGGTTGGGTTCGTCGTCTTTCTTTCCCAAGATGAGGTCCTTCAAAGCATCCCTGGTGCTTGTCCTCTCGGCACTCCACAATTCCCCCGTAATCGATGCCCTTCCTTCCCCTGGTGGTCAGAACGTGCAGGACGTTTATGCACCACCTGTCCTACGACCCATGAATGGTGAAGTGTTAACTGCGGGTCAAGTTTTCCGGGTCGTCTGGTAAGTCGTTCTCGTCGAGAAGAGCCGCCTACTCATGCTCCGACACACTGGCAGGGACGTAACTTCTCCTCCGCACCAAATCACCAATCCCTTTGGAGTGATCAAGCTTCGGAAGGGAAACTATACCATGTCAGGTGTGCGACAAAGCAATCTTTAGCCAGCGGTGGAGGGACCTGATGTTGCGTTTCCAGGTTCTCTCGCAGCTGGCTTCAGCATTCTCCAGGGATCAGCGCCGATCGTAATTCCGCCTGTTGCAGAAGGCGACGACTATCGCATTGTCTGTAAGTCCCTTGCCCTCTCGATCCAACGCAGATGACGATCTTGACATTCCGCCCGAAGTATTCGGTGATTCTGGAAACTGGAGCCCACCCTTTCGCATCGTCCCACCAAGGCGTCCTGTACACTGTCACAATTAGAGAGACGATACGTAGTTACTTAGCGTAGTCTGAAGGAATAGTACGAGCACCCAGTGACGCGAGACCGAGCCCCTGAGCCGGCTTGGAAAATGGTGCGCCCGTTTCCTTTCCCCCCATTGCCCCATGTAGCGACAAGCTCTCAAGGCGAGACAACACGAGGTTGCGTGGACCTTGGCTAAGGTCAAAAAGTGGATCCGTAGCCAAGCAGCGGCGATGTCGATGGCGCGATGATCTTCGACTTATCAAAAGGCAGATCCTCCTGAAGCCTAGTATGAAGTTTCGCGCTCTACGTTCGACGCGACAGACCTCGACTTGAGGTGGTTCCACGGACAGTTCCGGAAGAGACACCCCTCTTGACTGGAATTCCGCTGCCTGGAGCCACAGACGGCCTGGCCCTTGAAGAGGTGGAGGTAGATGAGGCTACCCCGACGTCAGTTAATCGCCTTTAAGCCAGACTAGTAACTTACTTGGTCTTGGGGGTGCCACTGTCCTGGCTCCCCTCATAGACGCCCTGGTGCCCCTCACTCCCCTCACGCCACCTCGGGCTGCAGCCCTTTCCCGTTTCTCCGCTTCAAGTCTTTCTTTTTCCTCCCTCTCCAGCCGTTCCCGTTCCTCTCTCTCGCGTCTTTCCGCCTCCCGTTGAGCTGCGAGCTCCCGCTCACGAGCCTCCCTGGCTATCCTCTCTTGTTCCTCTATCCTTTCCCGCTCTATTTGTTCATCGTCCTGCCAAGACGCTCAGCTGAATCCCCGAGAACATGGAAAAGGATTGAGGGCCTACCGCTTCTGCTCCGTACCACTCTTCATCGAAGATGAGTTTCGCAAATTCTTCGCTTTTTGAGAGGATGCCCACGTATTTGTTCAGGAGGGCGTCGGTTTCAGCTAGCTGGGCTGCAACCCTCTACAAAACCGGTCAACGCTTCAGCGATGCATCCTCGAGACGCTTTACGAACCTGGTTTGCGGACCCTGCCTCATCTAGCGCCTCGTTGAAAGAGGAGAATGCGGCATTCAGTTTCCTCAGCACAAAAATGTCGCTCTGAAGCTTCTCCTCTCGCATTCTTGCCGCTTTCCTCTTCGCAGCTTCCTCGTCTTCCTCCTCATGTCTCTGCGCTTCATCGTCTCCACTCCCATGGCCCCCCTGGTCCTCTGGGTCCACCAAGCGGTCGCTTGGCTTACTATCCTTTGGTGGTGAAGGACGAGAGAGTAAGCTAAATGGTTTTGCGCGTATAGTTTGGTCGAGGGAAAGGTCGGAAAGCGATAGATCGTCGACGTCGTTCGACTCGGGTAGCTCCCCTGATAGATCAAGCAGTTGTGAATCGTCAATGACAAACGAGAGGCCTGAGCTCGAGGGATCCATTGTATTTATGGCCTAGACTTGTTGTGACAGAGGGAAAACGGGCTCGGAAAGCAAGCTGAGGATGAATGTTTGGGACAAGGATTGATCAACTTGAAATCGCGCCGGTCTCATCACCACATGACACTCGCGCGACGCGACGCGCTCATCAAACGTGGGCTCAAGCAAGATAGGTCCACTATCTAAGCTATTCGAACTTTTGGGGGTGGTTGAGGCTTTTGGAGGGTAGATGGATTGTTGAGTATTTCTGTTGAATTGGTGAAGATGGGCCTATCCATAGCGCGACGCTTGAGAATGAGTAACACAGGCTCAAAGATGGCAGGTAGTTTCCATGACTTTGGAACGCTTGCTCGACTCTGAATTCGCCAGCCCAGAACCTTCCATTCCCTCCACGAGCGCCGTGACAGAGACAACTCCGTTTGATAACTCCTGGGGTCGGAAACCTGGGCCATTTGGCAGTGAAGATGGGATGACAATTTCCGTTGTTGCCTTTCCTTTCCGGGGCTTTCTCTCCATGGCCGATAAACTTGACTTCGTCGTGCTTCAATGCCCTCAGAAAGGTTTCATCGGGTCCTTCCTTGGTCCCGATGCTCTGCTGCGCCCCGCCCGTAACGCCAAACCGCGGGCTCCCGCGGCTATCCTGAATCTCGTTAGATCGGAACTTGGAGCTGGTGGTCGAGGCAAGACGAACCATGTAGGGTACACCCCTGGTAATATCCCTTTAAGTAACGACAGCGTACCAATCAGTGTCCACTTTATGTTCCCAGGCCCCGTCGAAGGGACTATAATCCAAAGTCTGGTTCACCTAGACCCGAGAACGCTTCGAACATTTGGTGAAGCTCTTGTCTATGGCGGCGAAATAAGCATTCTCGGCATACCAATGAGGAAATCCTTCAAGCCGGTTATGCGACCGCGGGCTACCACAATGACAAGTTTGCAAGTTTTGGCATACGGGGTCGAAAGAATGACGGGCTTTCAGCTGAACGAAGGGAGAAAGACTTCGAGTTCGCTTCGGGGTGTTTAACATGGCTCCAGCTCGAGAGGTCCATGGGGCGCAGTTGCTGGGCAACCCTCATCTATAGGGAACCAAATTATTTGGAGGTTTCCAACGAGTGCCCACGTCTGATCCACACACCCCGGTGACATTGCAAGGTGTTGACTAAATAACCCAGAAATTTCCTTCTCTTTCTCCCTTCCTATGATCCTGTACCATGCTGCGAGTGTCGACCTGGATGGCTGAATACATACCTGATTGGGATTCCAATTAATGGTAAGGATCGACAGTCGCACGTGACTGAAAAGTTGAGCGCAAGACTTGACGGATAGCATGGTTGGGAACCTCAAGTGCTCGATGTGGAGACATCAGGATTCAGGATAATGACAAGGGCTTACAGTTAAGACGAAACTGCCATCAGTAGCCAACTTCCTGTGGACTGTGGTGCCCCTTTTAATCAGCGCGTCGCGACGCGTCTGATGCAATCACATCGGACAACTTTGGCCCGCCATGTCCCAGTTTGTCTCTCAAAGGAAGCCACTAGTCTGGTTGATATACGAGGCAAATTCATAGAAGGTTGTACATAAAATAATTAGTAGGTCCTACCAAATGTCACAGGGGCGTAGTCCGAACCTCGCGTGTGCGAATCGAATAACAGGCGCTAGAAGTGCGCCAGTGACTGCCAGTCCACTGGTATGTCACTCCACACTGTTGAATCCGGATTGTTGGACGCACCGTGTAGGCTGCTATCAAACCCTATTGGTGGACTCGTACTTTGCAGGTACGATCCACCCGCCGGTTCTTGTGTCCCCAACAGTTCAGCGGTCTGGGCGGCGGCTACCAGGGCTGCCCAGTACTGGATGGACTCGTCCAGCTCAAAAAACTCAGGTTCGTTTACTTGGCCCGTCACAAAGGGAGTAGCCGAGGCTCCCTCCATCATCTGCTGCATGGCGACAGACTCGAGTGCCTCGACCGCAAGACAATCCTTCTCATAAAGCTCCCATGCTTCCTCGTTCCTTGGCTCAGCCAGCATTCGTGATGTCTGCCCATCCAGCACACGCCTCAGAATGTCCATCTTCGTCCAGATATTCCTCTCCCTTGCGGCCTGTTCTCGCAATTCTTGTAGTTTGGGGCATGGCCGCCGGAAAGGCGCGAGTGGGACGAACGGCTACAGGAGAGAGTCAATGGTGGTCCATTCCTAAAGGAAGGGAGCATGGCTTACCTCATTCACATAGGGAGGAGACTCGACTGGCGGTTTGGGTGGGGTAGGCCTCGTTAGTGGTGTCAGCGTTATCCCAAACCTAGACGCCCGTTTAGCCCAGATCTCCATTTGTGTCATCGTCATTGTGGTTTCGAAGTCTTCTTGTTAAGGGCTTGTGTCGGTTTTGCGGCTACGAGGCTTTGTATTCTTTGGTAATGAGCCCCTCAGGAGTTGCAACTTTAGAGTATTTATACTCCCGAAGCCCGAAGAGATGCCTTATTGTTTCTTGCCAAGCACTGTGGGATGCCACTGCAACCCGACATGAAAAGGCCCAACCATCACAGTGCGTTGCTATCGGTTATCCCAGATCCCCTCCGCAACCAACGTAGAGCGAGTGAACTCATGGCATGTCTCCATATTGTGGCGCATGCAGTTGTTCCCATGCACTCGGACCCGCGGATCTTGCAACCCGTCTGTTGCGTCATCTCTGGTTCTAGGGCCATCGGGAGGAGCGCTACCCTTTGTCCGCCCCGACGGCTACCACAATGAGAGGCAACAAGACCACATGTACAGAGGTATCTAGAGGCCTGAAGATTGACCACGAGGAGAAAACGCCGGGGGAAACAACGGCCACGCCGAGCTCCTTAATGGACAGTTGTCGACAAAGAAGAATGGAATTCAGACGCAGTTTAAGGATGCAAAGAACAGAGATAGCAAGGGAAAGGTGGCGCAGATAAGATAATGATCGGAAACAGTACAGACAGCGAAAACAAAGCGAATGGCGAGAATACATACAGCACGAGTTTTAAGCTTGAATGCACACGAAACGACCTAACGGGAGCGACTCCCAGGTGTTACTTTGAAACAGCTAAAGGGTAGGCCATAGTAGGTGACGGTCTTCCAAAAGACACCGCACTGTCACTTTGTCATGAGTCACGGTCCTAGCAGGCAGCGGAACAATAGAAAAGCTCACCTCGCGCTCATCGGCAATCTAGTCCCGCTCGCAATGGGGGACCTCGTATCTTGACTCGGCGCGCACGCACTGATATGCGGGGCATGGGCCTGCGAAAGACCAAGTTCTCGGGGAGATACGCTGGGCGAGGCTCGAGGCTGATCATTCCTTGTAGTCCTAGGTGAGCGAGTTCGATTGTTGAGCCACGCAGTCCCTCCACTAAGATCAAACGGAGGGACGGGCGACTTGGGTTGTGTCACCTGCGTGGAGCTGGAATTTCTTGCCGATTCACGAGGTGTACGTGAAGATCCGGAAGTATGAGATTGAGACTCCATCGTGACAGAACTACCTGAAATGATCCTGTGGTGACTCGCTGGCGTCGAGATGGGGTCTTGGTTGGGGGACCGGATAGGCACATCCATGGGGGGAGGGCTCGTCGAAGGTCGATTGTAAGAAGACGAGCTTCGAGCTGCGTCAAAACCAGGGACGGTGTGAATACCATTGATTTTCGATGTCCTGGTCGACGATGGCGCCTTTGTGGACGGTATCTGAGGGCTGCTGATATTGGTGAGCGACACCTCCGCGGGGTGAAGAGGTGAAAGCAATTGTGTTCCATCTCTCGTCTGAACTGACTGAGCAGCAGCAGCCTTCCTTTCTCGAGCAATCTCCCGGAATGTCCGCAAATGTGCAGGTCTCCCAACGACAACGGACCCAGATTTCATCGACCACGATGAAGAAGAGGAAGAGGAAACAGGGGAGGCCACGTCTTCCCGTCGCTGGCTAGACCCGGAGCGCTGTATCTCAGTATCATAGTTGACCAAATGGTCTGAATGGGAGCGGATAATTCCCGTAGAGTGCATTTCGGGAGAAGCAGGCCTGGTGATGGGAAGGGAATAATGATGCGAAAGCGGTGGAGGGTGATAAGATCTCGACCTCTCATCTGAGCGACCCTGCAGAAAGTCGTGGGCTGTTTTGTAGCTCCCTGAGCGATCATGAGGCAGATGCATTCCCGGGCTCGAGACACTCATGCGATTGAAGGGCTCGGATAGACTGTCGTCGTACTCATCCTGAGCGAGCAAGAGCGTAGGCTCCCTCTTGATTGGCTGTACCGGCGCACTCGCCGAGGGCCCACCGTAAGCGCGGTTGCTGCTACTAGACGGGTTGAATCGTCTCAAGGGACGTGCCAACCGCCGTATCTGTCCCTTGGCCAGTCGCTCCCGATATATCTCTACTGCTTCCGCTTTGGTCTTGACTTTATCAAAGCAAGAGTTGGGTACCCCTTTGACTTGTGGCCCAGCGTCAATCCTGCGGAAGGCTGTTAAGCACCTTGTCCAGCGGAGGTCGCGGTCAGACTCACCAAGTGGGATAGACTCCGGGTACTAGACCTGCACAGACAACATACCAAACTTTTGACACCACATTGTGACCCCAAGGACCGTCTATGGGGTCCCAAATGGCGTTGTCGGGAAAGGTGACAGCAGTGCCATCAAAGTCGTTGCTCTGGACAGTCTGGACGATGCCCTTGCGTAGCGCCGCGTCGTAAACAGCACGGGCGTCCGCCTCTGAGTTGAACGAAGCATAAACGCTCACATCGTCCAAGTCCAAAACGTGAGGCTCAGCCCTGGACCTAGAGTCACGGCCACACTCATAAGTCAGTCGCGTCTTACTCCACGGAAGAGTTGCATTGCAAATGGGGATACGAACCAAGGAAAGTATACTCCGGTCTCTCTGCCACGAGCGACGACGCACCACCGACCCATTTCTTCCGCCTTTTTGACTGTGAGAGCAAACTGTGGGGAAGAAATGTGGGGGATGGTGAACCTGAACGACTCGGCTCCGCGCGTCCGAGCTTTTGAAGTCATTTTAATCCCACGTGGCGAGCCAGGTTCGAGCTCAGACTAACTCAGCTGGTCATCTCAAAAGGGTCCTCGACCGGAGAGGACCATTGGAGGAAGTAAAATCCATTGCGAATGTAGTTCCAGCCACTTTCCTTCTCTCGAATCCAACCGGCACGCGTCTGTACATTTCAATTATCCCAATAGCGTAGAAGCCAATCCTCTTATGGAAGATGTCACCCTCGAAGTCACATTAAAGATATAGGCAATGGAGAAGACGCCTATGACCACGAGCTCTTGTAGGATTGGTCAACCAACCGCGAAAGTCGTCACCCCCATGAGAGAGCGGTCCGATGGAAGTTCTAGAAGCAAGTCGGGGTATTGGCTTGCAAGGGGTAGATATTGTGCGGGATAATCCGAGATAAGCAGCACGGGGTGGGACGGGCATGGTGGCGTCGAGAATCGAGTCGGTCTTCAAAGTCTAATCTCCAAAGGTAGATCGATTATCACGAAAAAGTAACCCAAAACGAATTACACTTGGATGTAACCATTCCGTGATGTTCGACGAGGCTTAGCAGAGGAGCAGAGATGAGACACGACGTCGCTGAGCATATAGGGTACTTCTTGCCAGAAATCTCGATGGCTGTATACAAACACGTCGCGTGTTAGTGCACGAGCCATCGGAGACAAACCACGAAAACTACTCACGGAATCAAATCAGCCCCTCGGGCGCCATAGGTGGTATAGTTGTAATAAGCACCAATCGCGAAATATGCGATAAAGGCGAGGAATATCCTAAAAGCATGTCAGAGAGCCTAACCTCGAGGAACAAAAGTATTCTCGTTACGTACAGCATGAAGAACCAACCCAAACCACTGCCTACAGGTTCCTCAACCTTCTTATCATCGTTAGGTGGTGGTTTATCGCCATTTTTGAGGGGGCACCCTGCGATACCGAAATACTCCACTTCCAACTGGGAGCCGTCGTAGCCCACGATGGTGATGTTAGTTGGTTGCTGCGGTTCACACCATAATGTGAATTTAAGTGATTGAGCGACGGATGGCGTGGTTTCAGTGGATTCCGGCGGGTACTGGGAGCCATGGAATATGAGTGTGAGGTGCTCTGGAGCTAAAGGGGGAGAGAGTCAGGTAAAAGCCGCCCATAACTGAGAAAAGGTGACTGCGTACAAGGGCGATTAAGCGTTAAATTGGGACGGAGTTTCTCAGTTTGAGCGAGTGGAATAACAGATATTATCCGCTCCGAGTCCTCCCCTTTGACATTGATTTGCGTCAAACATGCCCTCGTTCCGCTCGGGCACTATAAGGAAGGAAATTAATGGGCCAGGATGGAGAAGGCAACTTGAGCCAAAGTACCTGGTCTGTCTCTTGTACGTCCTCCTTCACTTTCAAATCGTCGCACAAGTTGAATGTAAGAGAGTCGATGGTCGTCGTTGGTGGTGTTGACCTCGTCCGGTTGATCTGGTGTTCTCCACCCAAGCTGGTGAGGTTGTACTGGTTCCCCTGGACGGACTGTAGGCAATTGAATTCATCTGCCCTGACCTGCAGGAGTGTCGTGGCGAAGAGAACAAAGAGAACAGGCAGGCGCTCGAGCAGCTGGCGCCGCAGCATCATGGTGGTTAGAAAGAGAAAGGGAGAAGACTGCAAACGACTGATATGGCTCAGGCAGAAATCGCGGTGCGTCACCAAGAGCGACGCTCAGTACTTAACGCTTAGTCAGCTGATGGACGGCAACAATATCCTTGGGCGCTCAAAAAATCGGGCAGGGCACTTGGAACTTGGAAGCTCATCTTTTCATCGAGCAGGGAGATGTCTGAGAACAATCCATTGAGACAAGAAATGAATACATGTAATACTACTGTAAAGATGCGACCTAGAGAAAGCATAGCAAGTCAATTAGTGCACTGTGGGACATCGAAACGATGAAGGGCAAAAAGATCAGACATCCAAAGGAAGGTCATTTGAACCCGCATCGCGTCGACCCCCGCTTCCCGCCCAGCGCAACACCATGCCGAAGCATGACGGCCCCGCTCGCCATGTCTTTTGGGTTCAACACGGACGAGGGAGAATATAGACGTTCCGCATTGGGGGAGTGCTCCTCTCGGAGGACGCTAGAGTGGAAACTGCGAATGACGGAAATATTTCATCAGGGAGAAAGAGAGAAGGTGCCGTGGATTGTTGAAGTAAAAATTTGGAGAGATGGTACACACCTTGGAGGTGCAGGAACGTTGCCGGAGTCGAAGGGAGGAAGTGGGAAAAAATGTATCTAGAAAACTGGAATAGAGGGTTAGATGAAGTTGGAAGAACTTGAGGATAAAGAAAATTGCTGTTCGAAGGCTCAGTCGAAGCGGCACTGGCAAGTACCTGTGTGCTACAAGAGCACTAGTTTGTTGCGAACAAACTCTCTTTCTTCTCGACATGGTCGTATAAGACGGGGAAGAGAATAGGGTCATCGCCGCCAACGAACAGCAGAAATACAGAGATGGAAGCGTGATACTCACTGTCAACAAGGATATCGTCGAGGTCGAAGAAGACGACGACCACAGAGATCGCATACTAAAATTTATATCGCAAAGTTTGATGTTTGTCCTTGTTGTGAATTCGGGCCCGTGCACAATTACGTAAGTCCAGATCTTCACTGCTGCAACGTTAACGGCGACATGGAACGCGTTGGAACGCGAAGTGAACATCCTCGAAACACATGGATTATCGGACAACAACCTGTGGACATCGGGGACACTCTCAGGAAAATTCCAGAATGGACAGCTGACAACAACATCGATTTTACGTCAACTATTCGACGGCATATGGAGGAGGATCAACCTCGAATCCACATACGCCAATGCGGACACAGTCCTTGCGGTGGGCGCAGGGGGTATGGTGGCGGGATAGAGAGAAAGAGAGAAGGGTCAGAAATGCAAATGTACAATGAAAGAAGTGAACAAATGTTTGCCGACCAAGGAAAACAGGAGTACGAGTCAGAGGAGGTAGCAAAAGGGAATAGCCCATCGCACCAAGAAGTACTAGTACTAATGTGAGCGAAGGCAAGAAGAAAATGCATAGATAAAATAAACGGGCCGAGAACTCAGGAGAACATGATCCGAATGGAAGAAGGAAAGAGGTGAAGAAGAGCAGAGTGTGCTAAAATTCCAACAAACCGATATACAAGCAAAAAAAGAAGCAATTCGTAAATCAAATAGATAGAATGGGAGAGTCAAGGCAGGTGGAGACCAAGGGAGACTTATGAAAGGATGGGGTTAATGTGAAGAGAAGGCGGGTGAGCAAGCCCACAAGAACGCGTGAAGATGGACCCATTCCATCCGAGCCGTCTGAGACGCCATGCATTTACTTGCCCATGCGTTCCAAGTCTTCCAAGGTCACACGAGAGGGGCCCGCTTCACTTGGAGTAGAAGCGCCAGAGGTCCTGGCAGATCGTCCTGCGTTGGCAGTCCGACGTGATTCTTCAAGGACCATTTGCAGAATGGGGTCGTCGTCCTCGTCCAGCTGATGCTGAGGAGGGGTGTAGCGAAGAAGTGACGAAAAGTCAAGGCCGGGCAAACGGAATGGTGGTTCGTCGCGAGATTGAGTGTTGGAATCACTGGAGGGAATGGCGACACCAAGCGCCCTGAGTTCGTTGAGGACTTGGGCCTCTTGTCTGGCGAGGTCTTCCCTGGCCTTGAGAAGAGCCAGGAGGTAAGCTTCCATCTCTCCCCGCATTGATTGACCTGAACCGGGAGACATAGGACCTACCATCGACCCATCATTGTCATTGCCTTCGATTCCGCGAGTCTTGCCTTTCACATCCTTGTCGCTGTCGGCCCTGGCCCCTTCTCCAGTCCCACCTCGGCGGGGGGCGAACACTTCATAAAGGTCACTTCTACGGTCTGACGCTGCCAAGGGATAGCGGCGCAAGGCCGTCGACGAAGCGTCGTCGTCGATAGCCTCGATCTCGTCTTGCAGCATCCCACCTTCCATGGCTGGCTGGTCAGATCTAACATTACGATTGTCGTGACGGTTGGTCGTAGAAATGGTGCGGGGAATGGGGGCTCTGTTGAACAGCGAGGTCCAGGGGGCCTCAGGGGCGTCACCGATGTGAAAGTCGAAACGAGGGACAATGATGGGTGGCCTGGCACCGGCTTCCTGTGCATTTACACAGTAGCGGCAGTCTGGTTTGTCGCAGGGTCGGTCTGGTGAGTGTGCAGTGGCACGCCCTAGGAGAGTACTCCAGTCGAATGGGGTGCCCACTGCGGAACCAGCGGCGGAGAGTTCAGGGTCGTCTCCGGGTTGTACCTCCAAACGGGGCATAATGAGTTGTCCTTCAGTGACCTGTCCACCGGTGAGCAATGGAGGAGAAGCACCCAGGATTCCAGAGAGAATTTGATCCATGGTCATCTCGGCAGGGTTGGGTACCTCATCAAGGCCAATAGCGGGGACCCTGTCGTCCGGGGTTGAAGAAGTCCTCGGGCGCTTGTGAAGGACGTCCAACCCGTCGTCGACGTCCGAGTTTGAAGGAGAACGCTTGCCTGTAGCAGGCGTAACTGGTACCACGTCATCAGATACTGAGACGGTAGAGGAAGGCTTTTGGTCCCCATTGTCGAGGCCAGCGGCGGTGTCTGCGACGGAAACGTTGTCGAGGATATTGGTCTTGGCGTCGGAGACCGTTTTTTCGAGGTTTCGGGGTGAGGTAGACCTAAAAGCAATTTTAGCCGTCATAAATTCGCGTCAATGTAGGACATAATGAACACACATAGTGTTATCCAGTTGTAACGATGAGGTAGAAGCGAGGTTGTGAAGTGGTGTTGTGTTTTGAGTTGGGATGGTTGTGGTTGCAGAAAGAGCTGACGCGTCCCATTGTGTCCGAAATCGAGGTGTTTATATAGGTTGGTTCTCCAGAATTGCAGGAGTTGACCAGGTCTATAATGTCTGCCAGGATGACCATGGATTATCAGCGAAAGAGGTTTGGATACTACATTAGGAAGGTGCGCGACGAACACGAAACCAGGGATTGATGGCATCAGATGTCAGATACCGTGACGTGATGTGCCCATCATCACGTGTGGCGACGCGTACCCGACTTGCGCAGTAAATTAGTTGCTCTCCACGACGACCATGGCCGGTTTAGAAGCTCTCGCGTCGGCAATCTACCATGAGAAACAACAACCAGGTTCCATGCTCTGCGCACAGCATGCTCTCAACTCACTCCTCCGTAAGTTCATCCAGTTCTCACTAGCGACTCGGAGACTGAATTCGTTATTAGAAGGAAACTATGTACGTCCTTCTCGCAACTTTCGCCTCGAGTCATTGTGTTGAGGGACGACGGCGCAGTTCACCGCACCAGATCTTTCGGACATTGCCAGAAATCTGGATGCGCTAGAAGAAAGCTATGATGATGATCGAGGGCAGACCAGTACCAACATGGATGACACCGGTATGACTCTTCATTGTGTTCAAGATTGGAATTCGAAATCGATTTCCTCTCGAACAGGTTTCTTTTCCATCCAAGTGCTCGAAAATGCGCTCAAAGTGTGGGGCCTGAAGTGAGCAAGGTTTCCCCGAGTCAGCTTACTACGGAGCGCTAAACCGTGCAATGTTACCAGCCTCGTTCGATGGAGAAGCGAAGACATGCGACCCTATCACGATCGTCCACAGTACGTCGCGACAATTGGGTAACATGTTACAACGGGGCTGACTTCCAGCAATGTTAGCGTCCAACTGGGGTTCATCCTTAATCTGGAACAGCACTGGTTCACACTTCGTCGATTCGGTCCTGCCTTCCCAAACCCCGACTTGGATCCAGGAGAAGGACATTGGTTCAACTTAAACTCGTTCTTGAAAGCACCGGAATGGGTTGGAAGAACGTACCTAGGAATGGTATTGCAACAAGCCGAAGCAGATGGTTCGTCCCATATTCCTTCCATTCTCGCTGAAGTTTAAATTGACGGGTGGCATCTTTACAAAATCAAACAGGCTACTCTGTGTTTGTCGTGACTCAAGCCGACCCTGAAGCACCCCTTGCTTTACCTCGAGTCCTGGCTGACGAGATCGCCGCCACTCTGCCAGAACCTACTTCATCAGGCGCAGCGACTTCCTCGTCCTCGAGATCATTCCAGCGAACCATGTCGGCCTCCTCGCCTTCTCCCGCCACACAGGCCGAAGCTTCGCAACCGGCGGAAGAGCACTTTGACGAAGAGGACTACGAGTTGCAAGCAGCACTCCAAGCCTCACTCATGGCGAGTCACCAAGACAGTGCAGGTGGCAATGACGACCACGCAACCATGGACCACGTCCCTCCTTCAGTTCCCCGTGGAAATGTCCCATTACCCCATCCACCGACTTCCATCAGCAGTTTGGGATCGCGTGCAGTTGCTGGTAGCACCACTCAGGATGAGGACCCTGCAGCAGATGTCGACCCGATTGCTGCGAGCATGGAACGAAGTCGCCTTCATCTCCAGAGATTCCAGGCAGAGCAAGAATTCGCGCAACGTGAAATGTGGAGTGAGGCTGATTTGAGCCCAGAGGAACTGCAGGCTTTGCAGGAACGGCGAGAGCGGAGACGTCAGGAGGAGGAAAGGGAGGAGGAGGAGCTCAGGAGGGCTATCGAGGAGAGCGAAAGACTGGCAAATGAGCATCGGTCGAAACGTGCAAAGTTGTCGGAAGGCGATGATGATGTGGAAATGACTTCTCCCCAGGCGCCGTCCTTTAGCGGCGGCCCGAGCCACTTTGGCAACCATCGAGTATATGATGATGAAGATGCTGAACTGCAGGCGGCACTGAAGGCTTCGTTGGAGAATGTGCCAGAAGGATGGGTGGAGCCCGAACCCTTCAGTGCACCGGTTCCTCGCCGTCCTACCCCGCCTCCACCTGTTACGACAAAAGACAGGGATGATAACAAGTCGACAACTTCGACAAACACCAAGACGACGTCGACTGAAGAAGCGGAGCCCGAATCAGAACCCACACCACAGGCTATTGACATGGATGAAATACGACGGAGGCGGTTGGCTAGATTTGGGGGTTGATTGGACTGGAGGGTGTTTTACAGGAGCGGGTTCTTGTACTCCTATGGTTTCTTCTCCACTGCTACTGCTGGGACATTTTGGTACTTGGAAAGTAATTGATCTTTTTGTTCATTGATGCCCGTGGCTGTTGATTGGAATTGGAGAACCACCTATAAGGACGATAGAATTACACGCAAAAGGATAAGTAATACATATATAAAATACAATATCTGGTTGCTGAGACGGCGTCGACAGGAAATATTACAATTACACACAGGTTTACAAGCGCGATAGAATGGTCGTGAGGTAACTGGATTCGTCGATGAGTGAATAGATGGCATAGCAAGATGTGTAGGAACCGTCAGTCTATCGCAACTCCGCGCTAGCATTGAGGACAAATCAATACTGCTTGAAGATTGTCCAAGGAGGTCCTAGATGTCGTAAAGGACATTAGATTAAGGCTCAATACAGTGTTGTTACAGGCGCTTGAGGCATATAAGGATCCGTTGGGTCCGGCTCGTCATGCCTTCGACGTCGCCTTCCAACCGCGAACCGGATGTATCTTGAAAAGCGGTTCAAATGTGGATGATGGTGGTTATGGTGAGGTTCATAATCCTGAGGAGGGTCGTAGTTCTCGTGTCCTCCGTCGTCTGACCTTCCTGAGATCATGTTTTCAAGAGCGAAGAAATCGTGCCGACAGATGGGACACGAACTCGAAAGCTCGAGCAACCAGGGGTCGACACAAGACTGGTGGAAGCAATGTTTTCCTTCACAGGGAAGGACACGCACGTCGTCGCCTTCTTCGAAGTCAACAATGCATATGGGACAAGTTTCTCGGCCAATCGCGTCGGGCACAACGTTGTGCTCGTCCCGCTCGGCATTCGAGGCTTTCGAGGCTTTCGACGGTCGTCGGATTACAGGCGCCTCTGCTGGGTGAGAATCGACCACAGGTGAGCTGCCTGGACTGTCTTGGACTTCGCCATCCACCTTGATTTCCGTTGCTGGCGGCGGTTTGTCGGTTTTGTTCAGATCCTGCGCGAAGGAGACCTGAGGGCGAGGTTTATCCGGTCTCGGAGTGACTGCTTCGAGAGGAATTGTCGCTGGAGCGCCATTTGGTGTCGACTCAATATCTTTGGCCGGCGGGGCGGCAGCAGAAACATTGCTGCCAAACTTTACGATTGGGAATGTGTCGAGAATGGCTCGTGTGAGGCCTCGTGCGCGGCTTTGGCCGCCACCTTCGCCCCCAAAGCCTCGTGCCCGTGGTCCATATCGTTCAGGGTGTCGTATTGCACGGATAGCCTGGAAGAGGTTGTGTGAACGCTCGTAATGCAGTCAGTGAACTCGGAGTGAAAAAACCATACTCCACTGATAACCACTATACAGAACAAAGCAGAGACACAGCCAGTGATCGCATACAGTACGATCCTTGCCAGTGACATGAGCGTTGTGAGACAAGATGAATGCGGCAGGACTTACATAGCGAGAGCAGAATCCGGACGGGTGTTCCCAGAGGAAGCAGAAGGGGCGGGATCTGTACCAGGAGATGCTTCTGTTATACTATCAGTGGCGTTATGCGCCTGGAGCTGTGCGAGAAGGTATCCTTGAGAAACTGGGTATCCTTTTTCAATGGACTTCGTGATATCGTCATAAGAGTTGTTAAGCATCGTTGAATTGTAATCAAAGAGGCTTCGGTTCTGCGGTAAGCCTAATTGACCGAATTGGTATTCAATTAGGTGTGCGCTGGTCCGGCTTTGGGTCGAAAAGATGTCGAAGACTTGGTCAAATGTAGAAGGATTTGCATATTCCGTGTTGATGACGCAGGCCAGAGAGTAGAGGGAATACAGGAGCTACAGGGGCAGGAGTGAATGAAGTCCCGAATTCTGGTGGGAATGAGCCTACTGCAGCGACGGCGCCCCTGTCTCGCGCCATGGTGAAGATGTCCTCGTCCATAGACATATCCGTAGCATTTCTGTCGCATGAGACAAGGGCAATCCAAGGCGTATTGGCTAACCAGAGATACTTGTCAATTGACCACCTGCAGCGGAATACGACACTCAACACTCACTTGGCGGGGTCATGTTATTGGCTCGCTCCTCAGAGAAGTGGACTAGAGCTCCCTTGATACCGATAAGCAAGAATATGAGGGATCCGAGGCTCGATGTACCTTGCTAATGCCTGTACTCCCATTTCCTGCGAGCTGGTACGAAACGTTTTCGACATACCACCCGATGCCGTTCGCCCTACTCCCAGATAAGCACCGAATCCTGTGGAAGGGCTTCTGTTCTGGGACGCACCCATTCGAGTTCCATTGCATACGCAGTTTTGAAAGTTCTGTTACATTGAGACCCGCTTCGATGGCCTCGTCCGTAGAGTTTGTCGGGAGGGCGGGAATGTAGGCCAAGACAGACTGAGCGAGACAACAGACGACGGCGACGGCGATGGCGAGCATGGCGGAGACGGTGGCCAGGCTTCTTGCTCGCTATGGTGGTCGTCGCTGCTCAGAGACAGTCAGGGGGGTTCGCAGAGACAAAGCAGGGAAATGACTGGGACAGGCCCGTAACCAATAAAGTCGGGATTTAGCTATGTACATTTGCCTCCGCGTGGGGTAGAGCCCTTTAATTGATCGAGATCACGGGACCATCAGGCCTCACTCTGTCTCTGTCCTGCCCAGAACTGCGTTTTGAACTGAAACTCTGTCGTTGTGCAGATCACCCAACCTGCTCGTGCTCGCCACGTTCCCATCGATTCAGTATCTTTCTAAATCTATTGTGTAATCCATCCCAAGCACCTCTCACGCAGCTAATGCTAATGCAGAGGTGAATTGGCTTTGGCGTATTAACCGGGCCAATATCTACAAGGGATGTGAAAGGATGGGAGTTGGATGGAAATGACTTCATAAACCCCTAATGATCCGATATTCATGTTACGATTTGCTTCCGTGACCTGGGCGCCTAATCGGAAAAGACAGGGGCAGGGGGGAAGGGACGGCAGTAAAGTTGTTGCTACCCAGGTGCGTGCATGATACCTACAGAGTTCCCCGATGAGACGTTCCACCTTTCATACAGAACAGGAGTGCCCCTTCTTTCCCACAACTTAGGCAGCTGAAATCGGAGGGCGACAGGGCAACGATAAATTTACGGGGAGCACCCTAGGCCTGCTTGCCTGCAGCTGCCAGATTGAAGCCTGTCTTCTGCCCTGCATTGCCCAGGGTGTCAGGATTGCCATCAAACTGTGGCTCAAGCTGGCGTGTCTGAGCTCTCAAGGCAGTTTGAAACTTGGAATGACGTCATTCGGGCGCTTACTATCCATAAAAATTGCAGCCTGGGATGCCAATGGGATTGATTGCGGTAACTCCAGGTGTTTGAAGATGCGTGAAGTAGCGAATTCGGGTGTTGATAACGTAGGATGATTTGTGTAGGGGCGATGCGAACGACCCGCAAATGGCAGAGCCTCGCCCCTTAGTTTCTTGGTTGTATCGGAGAGTTGAAAGACTGTTTATCGATAACGGCCATGGTAGACATGAACGGCATGATTTTGTCTCCAAATCCCTGGTCGAAGGTTCAAACCGGAATGCTAAGCATGTTCCAAGGAAGACACTTACTATCATTGATCCCGGAAATCCAGGGTCGAAAGGCACGACACTTTCAATGTACTGGATATGCTCGGGCGTGAGCCTGATACTGAGAGCTTCGATGTTCGACATGAGGTGTTCGACTTTCCGGCCACCGATGATAGGGAAGACGTGCGTCGTCTTTTGCATAACATACGCGATTGCGACTACACGCGCAGTGAGTTCAGTTTCAAGAATCTGGTTGAAGGACAGCGGCCTGACGTATACTCACTTGAAGTCATACTTTTCGCGCCGATCTCGCTCGCTACTTTCTCCAATGCATGAGACATCGTCCTTTCATTCTCTGTGCGTTCCCAATTCCCTGTCCCAAATGCTGTTCGACCCTTTTCACCGGTTTGGCTGCGGCGTTCTTCCTCAGCATCAGTCCTGAGCTTACCTGCAGCCAGGACGTTCCATGGTGCGAGAGCCATCCCTATCGACGCAGTCTTAGTCCAGAAGGGAGTTGCGATTTGTGAACGAGTGTACTCACTCTCGGATCTGGCCATAGGGATAATCTCTCGCTCGAAGGAGCGTTCCATCACATTCCAAGCGCCCTGGTAGACGACAAAAGGCGTCAAGCTGTGGTCCCTAGCAAATTGATTTGCCTTGGAGACGACCCAGGCAGGGGTGTCTGATATACCGAGATAGAGCACCTTGCCTTGGACGACCAGGTTGTGGAGGCCAGCCATCACCTCCTCAATGCTGGTCTCCCAGTCCCACCAGTGGACATACAACAAATCGATATAGTCGGTCCGGAGTTTCGTAAGGGAGGCCTTGACCGAGAGGTGCATGGATTTGATATTGTTTCCAACGTAATGGACCTTCTGCGCGATGCTATCGTTGGCTTGATTGTACCCAGTCGTATACTATAAGGGTGACAAATATCAAAGCAGAAACCTTGAGGAAATATATCCAACCTTGGTTGCAATGAATAACTGGTCTCGAATGCCTCGCTTCTCGGCCCACTCCCCGATGAACATTTCCGAGGTCTCATCTTGGCTATAGACAAGTATATATGAGCAAGTGGCCGCAAATTCGAGGACCCGACTGTAGTGCTTACTAGTTGTTCGCAGTGTCGATAAAATTCCCTCCGTTGTCGAAGTAAGCGTCAAGCAGCTTGAAGCTCTGCTCCTTGTTCATGCTGCCCATGCCCAGCCTGTCCCACTTGTCACCGATGCTCATCGCCCCCAGAGCCAGCGGAGATACATGGACGCCGGCGACAGGTGCTAGTTGCCTGTAGCGGCCGAGTGCGGTTTTAGGTGGTGGTGCAGGAGGGAAGGACATCGTTTGCTAGGGCCTATACTCGATTTCAATGAAACTTTGGGTTGGATGTGCCTGTGGGCTGGGCGCTCGGGAGTGTTAGTGACGGCCAAGTTCTTTCACGTCCTTTATAGCACAGGTTCACTATGGATGTGAGACAGGACGGCCTCTGGTCTCTCGTCCTCGCCTGCCGTCGTAGAGGAGAGAGACAGCGAAGTTCGGAATCTGCCCAGGTCGTCACCGGGCGATTAAAGATCAAAGAGGCACGTCATAGTCGATTTGTTGGGGGTCCTGCTGGTAGGCAGAATAGACGAACACAAAGGGTAGTAGGCTCATCGTGGCCAGCCAAAGATAAACCGCAAGGGCGGGCTGTACATATATCCCTAGAACCTGATGTCATACATTGTCATGTGTCGCCACTGGTAACCGGGACACAGAGAGTGTCTACTTATGTCTATGCTTGCACTGGCGGTTGGATCGGCGGAGCGAAAGGCTGCTTATCGACGGCACCCATACTCGAGATGAAGTGCAAAATTCCCTCTCCAAAGCCCTGCAAATGATGTAAGACCTAAGGACCAAGTACGATTTTGAACAAAGTGCTCACGATCATCCACCCTGGGAAGCCAGGGTCAAAAGGCGTAACGCTTTCGATGTATTTGATGTGTTCAGGGGTGAGCCTGATGCTGAGAGCTTCGATGTTCGACTCGAGGTGCTCGACTTTGCGACCACCAATGATGGGGAAGACATGCGTCGTTTTCTGCATAACGTATGCGATTGCAACTAAAAGCAAGGCGTCATTGCCGTGAATAGGACAGTGAAAACTGGTTAAATGGGTACCCACCCGAAGTAATACTCTTGGCACCGATCTCGTTTGCCACTTTCTCCAACGCCCTCGACATTGCCTTTTCCTTTTCATTGCGTTCCCAAGGCCCCCAGGCTGTTCGTCCGTTTTCCCCAGTCTGACGGCGACGTTCCTCCTCAGCGTCAGTTCTCAATTTCCCGCCAGCCAGCACATTCCAGGGTGCGAGTGCCATCCCTATTGATGAGGATTTCAGCGCAAGCCGAGACCCGAGTTGAACACGAGTAAACCCACCTTCCGATCTCGCCATAGGAATAATCTCGCGCTCGAAAGAACGTTCCATCACGTTCCAAGCGCCTTGGTAGACGACGAAGGGTGTCAGACCATGGTCCCTAGCAAATTGGTTTGCTTTGGTGACCACCCAGGCAGGGGTATCCGAGACGCCAAGATAAAGCACTTTGCCTTGGGCGACCAAGTGATGGAGGCCTCGCATCACTTCTTCGATGCTAGTCTCCCAATCCCACCAGTGAACATACAGCAAGTCGATATAGTCCGTTCGGAGTTTCTTAAGGGAGGCCTTCACGGAGAGGTGCATAGATTTAACGTTGTTCCCAACATAATGAATCTTCTGGGCGATATTATCGTCGGTTTGTTTGAAACCCGTTGTATACTGCAGGGACGGGTTAACTTGGCACACAGGCTGTGATGGGGGAAGTTTCTATCCACCTTGGTAGCGATGAAAAGTTGGTCACGGATGCCACGCTTTTCAGCCCACTCGCCGATGAACATCTCCGAAGTCTCGTCTTGGCTGCAAGGGGTGATAAGAATAACCACAAAGAAGAGCTAGCGAAGAGCACGCACTAGGCATTCGCAGTGTCAATGAAGTTTCCTCCGTTGTCGAAGTAAGCGTCAAGGAGCTTGAAGCTCTGTTCCTTGGTCATACTGCCCAGGCCAATCCTGTCCCATTTGTCGCCGATGCTCATTGCCCCCAGGATCAATGGAGAGACGTGGACACCTGCAACAGGGGCCAGCTGCCTGTAGCGACCGAGCGCGGTCTTGGGGGGAGGCGCTGGCGGCCAGATTGGGTCAGACGTCGACTGTGTCATTGTTCGTGTTGGAATTAATGCGGGAAGCTGAAGCGTTGGACTGGGGTGCTGAGTGCAGTAGAGCCAACCATGGTCTTTATAGGATTTTCCTGGGAACGAGACAGGGCCGGGTTATCGCGTTACGCGTCTGGCTGCCGCTGTGGGGCTGGGCGCTAATTGATTAGTTATCCATGAAGGAAACCACGGTGCCCCGTTTGGTATATACACCGCGTAGATGATCGATACCACGTCACCGGGAGAGCTATACCTTCATCTCCGGGAATGTCCAATACAGAAAGGAGGGTAAACACAAAATACGCACAGTGCTCGCTCGGTGGTGATAATTTCGTTTACTTAGTCATGCACTGTAGTTTCACCACAATCTTGTGTGACCAAGATGATCGAGAGCGACAGAATTCGCCACAGCACGGAGGTATCGTCTGCGAATGTTGTTTGTAATTTCCCCAATAGCGCGTTATCGGTTCATTGCTCTGATGGTAAGCCAAAAAAATAGAGGCGCGGGGGAAAGGATCTCGCTGGAATGAAAGGCTCAGTCAGCACGATATCTCTGGAAAATGATAAAGAAAACCGACGCCGACCACGACTTCACTCTCCGGAGACAGTGGTGGAAAGGCAACCGATGAAACAATCTTGGTTGTCCAGAGGCTCACGCAAAACTTGCGTAAACGTCGATAAGGGACACGCAAGACATGCGGCACGGCAAGTTTACGACAAAAGGAACCAAGGATTGATTCGACTGGCGATAATACATACGCGCTAGATCAGCTTCCCAAGAGGGGGAAGACCGTCAAACCCATTGTGGCGGCGGTCATAAATCAAGGACCCTCGGAGGTAGGTTTTCTCCACGCGCCCAGTCAATTCTTTGCCTTCGTATGGTGAGATCTTGTTCTTGTACTGGAGAAAGTCCCTGGTAACCTATACGAGATGCATCGGGACAGTTAGCGCCGAGATAATCCAAAAAAATGATTAAAAAAAAACCGTACGGTAAAAGAAGCATTCGGATCCCAAAGAACGAAGTCGCCGTCAAAACCGACTGCCAGCTTTCCCTTGGTCTTCTCTAAACCAACGTGCTTTGCGGTCCTCAGGCTCATCCAATCCACCACCTGACCTAAGGAGCAACCTCTCGTCTTACCCTCTGTCCAGAGGAGGCTAAGCCCTAATCCCAAGGTGCTGATTCCGCCCCAAGCCGTCATGATATTTCCAGTATCCACATTCTTCAGCTCGATGACGCAAGGACTATGGTCAGAAACGACGAAATCGATCATACCCTCTTTCAGAGCATCCCACAGCTGATCACGATTCGCCAATTCACGCACAGGGGGACAGCACTTGAATTCCGTATGGCCATCGGGAATGTCTTCTGCGTCAAGGCATAGGTAATGGAAGCAGGTTTCGACCGTGAGAGGTAGCCCAGCAGCTCTGGCTTCTCGAATAACTGGCAGTGCCTTTGCAGCGGAGAGGTGGACTATGTGGGTTCGCAGAGATGGGTATTGCTTCTGAAGCTTGTGGACTAGGCTGATAGCGTCGCATTCGAACCTAGGAGGACGCGATTTGAGGAAGGTGGAGTAGTGCGTCGGATCTCGCCCGTCTTCTCCATCTACGGAGCTATCCAATTCAGCATGGAAGAGAAGTAGACTGGAGGATTTCTATGAAACAATCGTGACAATGCGTCAGAGTTAAGGATGCTGTGGGTGGTGTTGAATGCATACTTCGAGGTTTGCCATTGCTGGATGCAAATCATCTTCCGTAACGCAGGGAAATTCCTGTTAGAATGTTAAGTTGCTGTTGAGCCACTGAATGGACATTCTCTACCTCGACGCCACTTTCAATAAGGAAACATTTGAAGCCTTTGACCCCAGCATCAACCAATGGAACGAGGTGGTCCTGGGTCATTCGCCTTGTCAAATGCTTTCGTTGGCTGTAGTTAGAAGGTACTCACCTGGTTCCCTGGGATCACCCCGCCCCAGAAGCCGACGTCAGTATGACACTGTCCTTTGGCGGCGCTTCTCTTTTCCTCGAGGTTTGACACGGTTGTCGTAGGCGGAAGGGAATTTAGGGGCATATCAACGACGGTTGTGATACCACCCGACGCAGCAGCCCTTGTTCCCGTCCAAAACCCCTCCCACTCGGTCCTTCCGGGCTCGTTAAGATGTACATGGGCGCTGCGAATGTCGTTCTCGGCTCAGGTGTCAAGTAATAACGAGAGAAAGATGTGCGACTGACTCGACAAGGCCGGGTAACACAACCAAATCACCAGCGTCTATCCATGAGCTGATGGTGGAGGCTTCAAAGTCTTCCTTGGTGCTCAAACCCTGCTTGACATCAACGATCTTCCCGGAGACTTGATCCACCAAGATGGTTGCGGGAACAGGGTTATCATGGCCTGGCAATAGAACGTGTTGACCAGTGAGTACCACCCTCGACATTGCTGTTCCTGATGGCACTGGATGGATCCTGAGATGAAGGTGTGGTGAGATCTCTGCAAGCGGTGCTGTTCAACCTTTTATGCCAGACATTCTTATCTCGGGAGGGTGCCAGCAGAGATAAGGTAGACCGTGACCATGCCACTCATCGTTCGATGCTGGCTCTGCGTGCACAATGAGCGTCTGCAAACTGAGCCCATCTCGGTAAATTCACAATGGTCACAGTCGAAATAAAAACGTCAACACGGGGCGTCGAATGTCGGGTCCGACGAAGTTCGTTTGCCGCGGCGCGCCAGGTGGTCGTCGGAGAGTGTCGGAGTCGATGTGACACAGGAAGCATTTTCTTCCCGACCACAACGCGTTTAGCGCCCCGAATAATTCTGGAACATGGTGGTATTGGTACGGTGCGGTACCAACTGCGGTAGCCCACTCCTCTGGAACCTCGATTGAATCTCGTTGGTGCCGTCGAGATTCGATTCGCGCTAAAGGATCCGTATGGTACACGCAGCTGAGGTCGGGGCGCTGCTGATGATCATGTTTTCGTCTAGAAAAAGGAAGTGCTGTGATGCTCTCCACTATTTAGGTCGGATGTCAAAACCATATCTTTGCCCTTTTTCTTTCGCTCCCCGATGGCACACTATTACAACCACGACTATGCCGCAGGGTCTTCGTCTACATTGACTGTCGATCGTCCGTCGCCAGTACGCCGCTTACCCTCGTTGCCCGGCACTACACCGCCTGCCACCCCTGGTTCTTGGGAATCAAGACGGGTTTCGAGGCCTCTGCCTAAAATTCCCCGCGCTCTTATTTGCAAGCAATGCTCGACCATTATCACGTCTAACAACGTCCTTCTACCATTATCTCAGGTATGTTCTGACCTTCCTATTTCTCCGTGCTCGTATTTACTCGTCGTCAGATACCACCAGATTCGCGAGCCTTCAGAGGTTTCGCCGGGAAAGCATCCCTGTTTACTGAAACGTACGTTACCCTGTCTCAGGCCTCCTAACCCGTTGTCCTGACGCTTCAACTTCATCTCCAGCTACAACGTGAAGGTCGCGAAACCCGGCATACAACTTATGGCCACCGGAGCACACACGATGTCCGAAATTTCATGTGGGGGCTGCAATACATACCTCGGATGGAAGATCGTACGCGCCCACGAACCCACAGAGCGCTGGAAGGAAGGCCACTTCCTCCTCGAGCTGGAGCACATGTACGCACAACCGGACACCGTCGCGCCGCTCAGCCTACGCCCTCAATCCCAAACTCGAAGCCGGAAATCAATCGGATCCGATACAAATTCAGAATGAAGCATGCTTAGTGGACAACCTACACCACCACTACAAACGACGATGTCGGACTTGTTTCATCTTTCATCGTTTCTCCTTTCCTGGGCTTTCCTTTTCTTCTGCTGCTTTCTGGGTCACTCGCACACTCCTTCGTTCCTATTGTTTGTTCGTTTCGCTATCAACCACTTGTAACTCTCCTTCTGGTCCTGGTCCTGCATTTGTACAACTAATACCGCATTCATCTTTCATCACTGTTGTAACTTATCTCCCATTTCATTCCGGTTCGACCTATCCTACACATCTCTATCAGCAAACCTAATCCTGTTGTGTACTTCATATCGCCGAGTATCAAGAATGAATCAATAAATGTTTGGTTTCCAGGATGGAATTCAACCTGGAGCCTCTGCCTTAACTCTTGTTCTTCCCATCGCCCCCAATTGGGCAACCAAAGGCGAGCTTCGAAATATGACAGCGAGGCGATGCCAATCCTTGCATACTCGAATTCGTATGTTTACACCCCGACCGTACATATCCCCTGGGCGATCATCAGAACCGGTAAGCGGGATAGAGAACGTGTTTCAACTCATGTCCTCTGCCTCGGATACGGGCGCCAAACGAAAAGGTTTCTGATGATGATTGTGATTGGGATCTGAGTACGATTCAGTTGAAAGTGCTTCTGCTGTGCCGCCTGTGCAAGATTGGTAACCTATTGAAAGCGGTCTCGAGATGATAACCCGCTTCTTTGAATGGCCCAGGAGGGATACCGGAACATCGTCGAGGAACGAGTCATCGCACAGCATATCATAAAACTTTCGAACCAGTCCTTTGATCTTTATCCAAATACTTCAAGATGCCTAACAGCAAATCAACGGAAATGGGAGGATATTCGAGCACGAATTGTGATAGCCATCGGGGCGATGACCTCAGTTGAGGTATCCTTCTGTGGAGATCAGTGGAGACCTCGCAGTGAAAGTCTGGCCAAGAGCCAGTTTCCAACAGTGAAGAGAAAAACATGAGGACGACTCGCATACGCCGCAAGTACACCGAGTCAGGAGGGAACGGGAAGCAATTGAACCTTCACGACCGCCAGTATCATATGTCATGTGGTGACCGTCCAAGTTGGAGAACAGAAGGCTGAAGGAAGTGTATTTTTGCATGGATTTTGAAAAGGATTGCTAGTCCCACAGACCCTGAAAACATGCGGGCTTCTCTGGACCAGGAAGTCAACGGAACACTAAACAACCACGTCGTGAACCTTGAATGAAGGGTAACCGGTTACCGTACCGCCCCAAGGCACAAGATAAATCCATTCAGAAAGAATAGACATCCAGTCCATTTACAGTCCCTGCAGATTCAACTCGTGCATCGAGACGGATCATCACATACATACGTCACAATCTTCGATCCTGATGTTAGGGGAACGACCCCAACCTGCTTACCCTGCGGTCGAATGGAACAGGTCGCTTGCGGGATCACCCAAGGAGCCCGTTATAGCGATCATCTTCGAGCTTCCTGGAAGGATGCGGGAGATCGAACGCCTCGATCAGTCGAGCGTAAGACTCCCCTCCGAGTCTCCCGACTGCGCGAAACTTGACTGGATCAACCATCTCCTCAGAGTCATCAAGAACGTCTGAGCGAATGTGCAGGTACTTGATTGAACCCAACACGATTGTTGTTGCGATCTCTGAGCTGTTTGGAAGACAGATGTCTTGGAAGCTGTAGAGCTACAAGGTGTGGGCCACGGGGATGTCGGAATGAGTCGAGTACATACTGATAGGGGTCGTGTACGCACCTCGCATTCCATGCCCATTGGGCTTTCTTTGACCAAAGTGGGTCTCACGAGCTTCTGTACGTCGTCAGTTCAGGGGTGCATACGTGTATGACGGGGGATGGCGACAGACACGCACTCCTGACTCTTTCGAGAGTCCACTGAGGACCCATTCGTCCACATACGAAGGTAGAGCGATCGACGCGGAGTGGGCAGCCTCGATAAAGGTTTCGTCAACCACGTTTACCGTGAACTGACGCGTGCTAAGGATATTCTCCCTGGTTTCGCGCGGCAGACCAAGGGATAAACTTAGCATTGCTGGGTTGTGCGAGACCTAGCAATCTTTAACGAGTTGCGGACAGTGGATAGCGGTGGATTCACCAGTGAGAAGTAACTGGTTTGTGGGTTCCCGGTCTGCCTGTCAGCATGATGTTCTTAACGCGTAAAAATGACAAGTACCTGAATAGGGCCAGGTTGGCAGCTCCAGTGTTGGACACTGTAGAGACCAAGGCCAAGGGCCTTGGGCTAATAGCAGCTGATAGAAGGGCATACTTCTCCCTGTCGAGAAATTAGAACTTGTGAGCGTCACTGAGAGTCTCTTAAAACCCCACTTTGACGATGTATGGTCCATATTCCAGCGCCTACGAAGGACTGCTTCTGCCTCTTCCTCATTCAGATGCTGATGTTCAACCTTGGTGCTTGGGTCGCCTCCATTGCCATAGTCCCATGTTGGGTTAGGTGGTTGCACGAAGGAAAGCCTCTTGTCCTTGTTAAATGGTCTGCGCTGCTGGTCCTCATCGTTGGTGGTGGTGGTCGAGAAGAAAAGAGCTCTGATGGCGGCGGTCCGCTCGCCGCGCAGGCGCCAATTTCGACTTGATCTGCAGCTGCCATGGAGAATCTTCAAAGCCCTTGTCACCATCGTCGTCGGTGCCCAAGCCTCGAGTTACACGCGCCTACGTCAGACTATGCTCTCATGGTTATTTGGAGCTTATTCTGGGCGGCTTCGTACCGGTCCGCACAACATGGCAGCACTGACCCCTCCATGTCGTCACCTCGGCACACCCTCAGTCGACCCTCTTGGACAGCGTCAAACAGGAGCTATTGTGTGCTTACGACACGTCTATGTCTTGTCCATCTTACCAGCTCAGAAGATTTGCAGACCCATGGGCAAATCCTACTCAGAGGGGATCCGCTCGACATGTCACGAGGCTACCAAACTGAAAATCTATCCTTTCGAAGGAGACGTCTTGGTAATGAACTGATGCAGAATGTTCAAACTTGTACACCACCGGCCCACCGCGCTCCTAGAAGCTGCAAAACGGAGTATATATTCTAGCTGGAGAAAGAAGGGACTGTGGACCCCCAGCTTCAATTGCCCTTGGTCTTATCTCCCCACTCGCACTAGAATGTCAACCCTAGATGACTCCTTTCCCACTGACCCCTTGAGTGGGTTTTACGGCTGGACGGACACTCTCAAGGGTGTCTATTATGGCCCCGGGTCTGTTAAGACTGCTATTCCTAAGCTGTTGAAGACCCTGAAGGTCAAGAAAGCGCTGGTCTTGACTGGGCGAACATTGAATGATAAGGTCGGGTTCGCACTATTCATTACATTCAAGCACAACTGACTAGAGCTCACTAGACTGATGTCGTTAGGAAGGTCGAGAATATCCTGAAGGAACACGATGCCTATGGGGCGACCTTCTTTGAGATCGGGGAACACACCCCAATTGCGGGTATCCGGAAGGGCATCCAGGCGTATAGAGACAACGGATGCGACCATATCGTGGCCGTTGGCGGAGGATCGCCTGTTGATGGAGCCAAGGCGATTCTGTACAACATTCAGCTTGCAGATGGAGGCCCTACCCCTCCACAGATTGCCATTCCGACCACTCTTAGTGCTGCAGAATATAGTGTAAGTGCGCACGCTAACGTCTTACTGCGGACTAGACTGATATCCAGACTCAGATTGGTGCAGGATTTACGAATGACGAAGGACACAAAGTCGCAGTATCCTCCCAGGATTTGGCCCCTGCTGGGATCATCCTGGATGCCGAACTCACTTTGGCCACCCCCGAACGTCTCTGGTAAGTAAACTCTTCTATGCACCTCCACAGTTCTTGACCGAACGTTCGACAGGTTGTCCACTGGTATCAGATCCTTGGATCACGCTGTGGGTAAGTCTTCTTCCTGCTGTAACTCCAGGAGCAGTATTCAACCGCTCGTCAGAGAACCTTTATAGGCCACTCGTGACTATCCCATCCAAGGCGCTCTGCTACGCAGCTCTGAAGGACTTGTTCAAGTACCTTCCCGAGTCCAAGAAAGACCCCACCAATGTCGCCGTTCGTCAACGCTTGCAGATTGCCTCCTGGATGAGTCTTTGGCCCATGAAACTGGAGCGGTACAGTGCCCTTGGAATCTCCCACTCCCTCGGACACAAACTGGGAGCTCGCTATTCGATCCCCCATGGCATCACATCGGTGAGGTCCCCCCTCGTTCTATGGAGGATTTCGCTGACATCTCTTTCCAGTGCCTGACTCTGGCCCCGACAGTCGCGATGAAGGCGGAGGTTGGGTCGCAGCAGGACAAAGAATGGCTTGCCGAGGCTCTCTTTTATCTGCGCGAGCCATCCACTGGATCCTTGGAGGGCGATGTTCGCCGCCTGGCTACCTTAATCAACAAGTATGTGTTCTCCACGTGCGTTAGATGAGTTTGGAGCTGATTTCTTTTCAGTCTTGTGAAGGACCTCGGCTTGCAAACCACACTGGAGGCGTACAAGGTTCCGCGAAACGAGTTGGAATCGGTTGCCGAGGGTGCCCTTGGGACGCAAAACCAGAATTATGAGTTATCGCGGATCGTGCAATTGTTGGAGTCGCTATATACGCCTCTAGAGCTCTGAATGTAGAATCCATGATGTAAATTGGAGATTTCCGATAATTATTGCGTATTCAAGAGAAACCGGAAGCTCGCCCGTGCGGCCTAGACTGGAAAACTGCGTCCAGAGCTGCTCCAATGAAACCGTCGCAATCTCACATGCCCTTGCCTTTTGACCACTGACATATATCGACAACTGGCAAGAATCCCACCTCGTCGACGTCCCCCATCGCCAACAACGACCACGGTCTCGACACTCTCGGAGAATGATGCGGCCCCTTCCCGCGGCCACACTCTTGCATTCCCGCCATCGAGCGCCGACAACCAGCTCAGCCCTTCGACGCAGCGACACGCCTTGTGGCTCCAACATCTCCAGGCGATTACGGCTACACAGCGAGGAGTTCTGGCCTCGACGGTGCCTGTTCTCAAACCGGAAAGCAGACGTGTCACTTAGGTCAACTATCAGTTTACCCTATTCCAGGGTTCACCCGACAATATTGCCCTTCTGTCCCACTATAAAGCGTTCCATTCGTATTGAAGCTGGGGCCGCTCCCTATTCAACACAAGAGAAACCAGGCATGTCGTCGTCGACGCAAAACCATAATGGATCTTTAAGACAGCGCCAAGGCAATGGGCGGGCGGCTGCACACGACCACGAAGACGACCACACGCATTCACATTCGCATTCAATATTTGGCCACTCGCATTCACATGGCGACCATGGACACTCGCATGCCCAGGATGCGGAGAAGATTATAGCAGCATTGAAGGGCTCAGGTAACGCGCTACGTTGGTTGTTCAACGCGTCGTGACTGAACAGACTTGTCTAGGGGATAGGGGAAGCCAAATAACCTTGGTCGGCCTCTTTGCAAACATTGGTCTAACTGCAACCAAGGGCGTAGCTGGATGGTACCTTCACTCAGCGTCCTTACTTGCTGATGCCGGTCACTCCTTGAGTGGTGAGTGAACTCGACTCGACCTATGACCTCGGCAGTAACGAATACCTCCCCAGACCTGCTTGGAGACTTTGTCACTCTATTCTGCTGGAGACTATCACGAAAACCCTCATCACAACGATACCCCTATGGATTCGCCAAATTTGAAACACTCGGTACCACCACCATATCCATCCTTCTCATTGGCGGCGCACTCGGAATCGGTTTCCACTCATACCACCTCTTAATGGTCGCCCTCGCCGATTCAGCGGCGCATCTTTCGCCTGGCCCTCTTCAAGAAATCCTCCAAGCCGTCTCTAGTGCACCTGTGCCCCAGATAGGTCATGTCCACGCTCATGGTGTTGACCCCAACGCAGCATGGTTTGCTGCAGTCAGCGTCGTAGCAAAGGAATGGCTTTACCGGATAACCAAGACCGTCGCGGACGAGGAGAGGAGCCCGGTCTTGCTAGCGAATGCTATTCACCATAGGAGTGACGCCTATTCCAGCTTGGTCGCGTTCTTCGCGATCGTCGGAACCTGGCTCTTCCCCGCATTCCCTTTAGATCCCATTGGAGGTGCGTCGTCATGGGCTCATCGTTTCTGGACGTTCCACTGACTTCAAGCTCCCATTTAGGCTTGGTTGTATCATTGGTCATCCTCCGACAGGGCTACGAGTTACTTAAAGGTGCTTGGGGCGACCTTACAGACGCTAGTGTATCCCCGAGGACACATGCATCCATTGAAAAGATTTTACAACCTTTGATCACAAAAGAATCGCCAGCCACCGTCGCTCATTCTTCTAAACCAACCATACTGGACATCAGCCATTTACGCGCCAGGCAGGCAGGTTCGACGATCTTTGTAGACCTTACCGCGGTTGTGCCTGGTAGCATCACCGTGGATCAAGCCCATGCTCTGGACGCTAGGATACAAGAGTTGGTGAAGGAGAAGAAGAAAGAGGTGGCGGAGGTTAGAGTTAAGTTTGAGCCATGGCATTCTAGTCACTGAGCGGAGGGAAGGAAACCCAAAGCTCGTTAATTTAATAGGGGCGTCTACCTGCTTCGCGTTGCTTCAATTATCGTGTATTATAGGCTGTAGTTTACTTCGTTTTATCTCATGCAGGAGGATACCCTTCAAAGACTGTCTGTCGTTGGAAAACAACCATTACCATTGGTTGACCAATCATTCACTACTGTACATTGTCTAGCTCGTGATATAAGTACCTTTGATTCTACAGTGTCATAAAATTAGTGGAAAAGGGAGACGACGACGGAGCTCATGTGGCCGTCGCGAATAGCCTGTAGGAGAAATAAGTGAGTTGGGGTGCAAGAAAGCGGGACCGACAAGAACGTACCTCGTAGATGGTAGAAATATTCTCCCCAATGGTGACTTCATCGTGTCCAATACCGTTTGTGAATTGCCCGTGGTTCTCAGAACCATGCATTCGAATACCAAGATTCGTCCGGACGTAACGGTAAACCGCCTGGGTTTTCCCGAGAAGAGAAGCAGCAGGTGCGGGACCGCGTTTGCCTGACAAGAACTCATCGCGAAGCTGTTGTTGCAATGCCGCAGCCCGAGTCGCAACCCGTGACTGGAATTCGGGAATATGGGCGAGGGCAGAGCCCTTGGTGGCTGCATCGAGGGAAGAAGACGTGACTTTGGTGAGGAGGAGGGTAGAGGTGGAGGTTGCAGCGGTTGTCATCCTGTCCGTGTTATCCATGGTCGTGTTCTTGTCGAGGGATTGGCGCATAAGGTGGAAGATCTCTGAAGAGAGACCCTGAGAGTCGCCTTCGGTAGAGAGGAGAGAGAATGAAGAGGAGAGTTCCTCCTTGATGATGTCCTTCAAGCCAGCTTCGAACTCATGTTGGAGAGCACGTAAGTCAACAGCCTGGCAGAGGAGGTAGAGGTAGGAAGCGATGAGCATCGACAGAACTTGCACAGAATTCACTGTCGATCGTGCAGAGATCAAAGCCAAAGAGCTATGTGTCCCTTTAGTCCATCGGTCTGTAAGGTGACTGGGAAAAAGACTCACTTGACAGCCTGGTTATGCATTTCGGCAGACTGGATGTGAGTAGAGACGGGAGCAGCAAGGTGACCGAGCTCTGCGACATACGCAGCAGTAGCGATATCGATACCTTTACCATGGTAGTTGAGAGAAGGATCAGAGGCAGCAAGGTTAGGTGGGAGGCCATTGTTCATGGCAGGGTTAGAGAGCTCTGTGCTCTGAGCAAACATTAGTTTGCCGATATGGTGGAGAGCAAGGCGGGTCTTCTCCATGGCGTTGGTTACGGCCATCGCCTGGAAGTTGCCACCGTGGTGAACATGACCGGTTTCACCGTCGATAAGAGGGTTATCAGTGGCTAGAACGGGGCAAATTGTGAGCCAATTATCAAAGAATTCTAGAAGTAAAAGAACGCACTCGAGTTGCACTCCAGCTGAACGGTGGAAAGTGCGGCAAGAATGTCTTCTACCTGGGGCCCCAAGAATTGAGGGGAAGTTCGCAAAGGGTACCTGTCTTGCCTCAAGTTGTACTTGTCCTGGGACAGACCAACTTCTTCCTCGTGTAGCTGAGCAAGTGAGCTTCCCTGAAGCAGATTCCAGATGTTCCGGGCCGTCTCCACTTGGCCGGGGTGGGGTCGAGCAGTGGCGTGGATGAAAGGGGCATAAGAGCCAATATTTCCTCGGAGGGCTTCTGTGCCTAGAGCCGTGCAGACTTGCGAAAGCAGGGCGAGTTGCATTGCGTCGTGCATGACGAGGGCTGCAACGGATGCGGAGAAAGCGGTTCCGTTGAGGATCCCAAGGTGCTCCTTGGAGGCCAGGGAAATAGGTTCAATGCCATGTTGGGAGAGAGCATCGGCGGATGACGTGAGTTGACGCGAGTCGGACGAGGGTGGGGTGTGGAAGACCTTGATTGAAGGGTTGGCGACTATTGGTGGTCAATTAGTATCTGAGCTTCCCAGAGCGGAGAACTCGCACGCACCGAGAGTTCCGGCGATGTAAGACAGGGGAGATAAATCTATTAGACCGACGTACAAAGTTAGCGTGTATCTAACATTAAGGTAAAGCTTCCTTACCGCCAGACGCTGAGATGCTCGTTCGTACGGGGACAGCAGGGGTAATGTTGGCCATGAATACCTCTTTCATCTTCTCAAGCAATTCCCATCTTTGACAACGACGTTAGAAAGACATGCTCCGGGGACGCATTACGGAATTAAGCTCACCTCACACCAGAGTGGCCACGAATGAGAGAATTCATCCTGACCAACATCGCGCCCCTGTAACGGCATGAATTAGCTGAGCATACGCACAAGCCAAGCGCAAGACTTACCGAACCCAGGACTCTGGCATAGCCGTCGAGGACAATGGGTCCAGGAGGGGAAGACCCTCTGGGGCCTTTCCGGATGTCGGGAGAACACCGACATGCTGGTGCTGAAGCAATGCATGGCCCAAGAGTAGGGGCTTGTCTGTGCGGGTGTCGGCTGGAAACGCAAGGTCAGCGATGATTCGCTGGCGCAGAATCTCCGACAGACGTACCACTGCCACCAAACCCAGTCGACAATCCGTAGACGCTGGTACCGCTGTCGACCTTGTCCGAGATGACCTTGCGGCTCTTGGCGATACGGTCCTTGACACGATGGCAGTCGTCGAGCTCAATTTTCGCGTGGAAGCGAGCGGCTGCGACGACGCCGGCGGTGGTAAGAGTGTGGCCGTCGACAACGACGGGCTGCCCATTCCTAGTATTGAATACAGTTAAGCTGTGGCAGATGGAGAATGGAGGCGGTGAACATACCTGAACCGAGCAACCTCCCTCTCGGATTGCAGGAACCTGGTGAGCATAGAGTCTTCCTCACCGTCGGTCATGTGCCCCATCTTGCGAGGTGGGACGGCGGGGTCGAGGAGGTCGCCGTTGACGCGTCGGAGAGTAGAGTCGCGTAGTTCGTCCAAAACCATGGCGGAGGAACAGAGGGTAGGGGTGGGTTGTGGACCATAAGGACATAGGATGATATTATATATAGGGTAAGGGACGGATGAGATCCGTTTGAAGACCGTTGCTGTAACAAGTCTCAGAAACTACATACGAAGTTGGTGGTGCGACCCCGATAGCGCTGCATTACCGTGGTACTGTTGTCATCACAAGAACGATCAATCTCGCCCTCAACATGGCAAGTCCCCTGATCCATATGTCAGAGTCGGAACAAATTACGTCGATGTGGCTATAGACTTGCTTCCGTCTGCTTAAGGGCCCTTAGATTCTTTCCAGAATTCGATCTGTCTCTTTGTGTGGTCTCCTGGTCGGATTCATGGAACCTCCAACGGAAGGGGGATGCTCATGATTGGCTGAAAGATCCAGCCGAGTCAGTGTGACTTCATCTCAATTCTCGAAAGAATGTCTCTGAATCCCGCTTCACACTCGGAGTTGGCAGATAGCTCTATGCCTATCTCCTCTTGCCTATCTCTAGCACACCCATGCGGGGCCCAATGGTTATCGGGTGCAGAGTTAAAGCTTTTGTTAGCCAAAGTGCAGCTGAAGCTGGCTTCCATTTGAGCGCAGCTCTGATAGGTTCGAAAGACAGCCATGTGCACCGTCTAAATTTTATCAGAATCCACATTGTGTCGCCGTTTCCAAGCCGAGAACCAACCCCTCGAATCCTGGGCTGCCTGCAGTCTCTTCTGAGACGACTCTCGGATCTTGGGCCTGTATAAGCGAACTCCATGATCCGGCGACCCTGCTTTTGGCTACGGTGATCATGAACACTGCTTTATTGGCCAACGAGAGGACATGGATTACCTCCAAGGTAACCAAAATTCGTGGACCATCGGGCGTTCGTAAAACGGAGGTGGGACTGCTTGTTGCTGAGGGGTAAAAATACGAGAGGCAAAAATAAACGGTGCGAGTATTACTGGGACTGGGAGCAGCCAAAGTCGTCTAGCGGAAAATTCCAGAATCCGGGTATCCAAACGGAAGTGCATTAAGATCCAAAGGTCAACGAATGTTGCGACAGAAACGGATAGAACACCGCTCACCATCATACCAAGTCACCCCAAACGGTGGCCACCCATTGCGTACAACCGAGCGTCGTCATAAAGACCTCAGGGATTGCCTTGACCAATACCGGATCTTCAAAGCCCTTGATAACAAAGGAAGGTATGTTTTTTTCAGATAGGTTGTGAGCATATGGCGGCAGAACGGCGTCCGGGTCAGAAGCGCGCAGCCGCGCTCGCTTGAATGCCCTCTCGCCTGGTACGCCACGGCCTGTCTTCATGACACTAGGGAGCTGATCGATTCCAGCAGGGGTGGGAGCAGTGAATTGCTCCAGCAACTGCCTTCCAACAGCTTCAACCAGGCGGCGTCGAAGGAGGACGAAGACCGGGTCCTTAACCCTGAGAGTACGATCGACCAATTGGCGAAGACGCATTTCTTCATCTAGGTCGACAGGCTTGGGCGCACTGGCAAGACGTCGAACATGGATAACCTCGTCAGCTAGATTGACCAGTTTCGTGCCGCCGTCAGGCGTCGATTCCTTGTCCGACTCCTCGGCATCGATTTCCAGTTTCAACAGTGTCCATACACGATCCATGAAAGTTAGAGCTGGTGTGCCTTCATTAACTTCTCCCTTTTTGGGAACAGGTAGTCCAGAAAGAATCCGCAGCGCGGCTGCGATGGCGAGGGCTTGGACGCAATTCTGGACGGTGAATAGTGCACGGGAAGCGAACAGAAACTGTGGCGGCAGTTCATTTGTTGCATTCGATCCAGGGTTTTCGTTCTGTTCGGGTGGATTTGAAGGTGCGGCAGGGGATAGAGGGCAGGAGACAGCAACATCGGATTCTAGGGCCATCATTAACCGCGGAATCCATCGAGTCTCCGGCGAAACAGTGCCATAGCGAGCCTCCTCGGATTGAGGAAGTTCGTCCACCCATGTCCGCCATTTCTCTCGCAATAACTGTCCTTCGGGCTCCTGATTGCTGGACCATAACCGAAGAACAAGATCCCGTTCCTGTTGCTTCGCCTTGCGATAGACCATTCCCTTGACTTCATCTTCGGGCATAGTACTGAGAATGGCCGTGTTGAGGTCGGTATTCATGACCTCTGCAAGTGACACGATGCTCTTCATGGTCTCTGCAATCAGCCTCGCGAGAGGCGACGAGGAGGAAGGATTGGTGCCGGGTTCGTCGTCATGGTCGAGACGAATATCATGCCATTCATCTAGCCGATGGTATAGTTCGTCGATATCCTTGTCTCTGACGGGAGCACATCGCTCCTTCAAAGCGAGCAATAGTTCTTTCAAGAATGCGAGTGTCGAGTGCAGTGGTGACGAAGAGGGAGCGAGAGGAGCACGCAGAGTCAGGATTACGCGATGGTCGGGAGGGAATATGGGTTTAAGGGCGTCATAGAGATCATTGTAGAGGCGTTTTAGGCGGGGAAGTTGAATGGCAGGTGAAGGGTCAGACAGCGACTCCACCGCCTAGTAATAACAATGCGATCTCAGTTCACATCCAAGCAGGGAAGAAACAGCAGCTGTACCTCATCCCAGAAAGCTTTGTGAGCAACCTCTTTGACCCGTTCCAGCAGTGGTTGCGGGTCACCTGGTGCCGATTTTGAGGCAGCCAACTGGGCGTGCAGCAACATTGATAAGAGGGATTTGCCTGGAGGAACCACTTTCTCTGGTTGAGTCGCCAAAAGGTGTAGAAAGTATGCATGATCCAGGCTCTCTACGAGCTCAAGCGGTAGTACTGAGCGCATGCCATTCTGGAAGGGAGCTGAGGCCATCGGACGGGATGATGGTGGTATGAGCTCAACCGTTGACGGAACCGGTTACTCAGCCAATTCGGACACCGGACGTTTTGACAATAACCTGGTCGCAGATGGCGACGACGTTCGATACCCTGCTGGCTTGTCTCTTTCCTCTGGCTCTGTGTTTCGTCGCATATCGTCTCAGGGACAATATCTTCTCTTGGTCTGACTTTCGTGCCCTCGTTTTCCCGGGAAACACGTCCAACGAAGCTTGGTGGCATCTCGGTGGGTCGACTCTGTCATGCGATGCTCGAACAACGTTCTAATCCACGTTGTACAGAAAGAGCGTATGCTGCATATTCACAATATGAACGCCTTTCGAAAAATGAAATCTCTCGGATGAGAGGCGCATATGCGAAACTGGGAAGATCTCACAAGACCATGGGGCACAAAATTGGGTATCCCAAGAAGCTCGACCGTCTCTGGGACGCGACAAGTCTGAACGGAACCATTGCTGCGGACATAGCAGAACTTGCTCTCGAAGAACATCCGTCTCTCAATAATTCTCCGCCCGTGAACCCGACCGTTGCAGACCTAGGCAGAGTACGCGAATCGTTGAAGCACTTTATCCGAGATTGGAGTGCAGAGGGGGCCAGCGAGAGGGAAACTATCTTTTCCCCCATTCTCAACCTTCTCGCCACGGTCGAACCAGAACAGCGCGCTTCTCAAAAGGTTCTTGTCCCAGGGTCTGGTCTGTGTCGACTTGCATGGGAGATTTCTCAGCTAGGTTGGTTCCGTCATATCGAATCCGAGCATAAGACTGAGATACTCGTCTAGGCTTCGATACCACAGCTAACGAAATTTCATACTTCATGATTCTCGCTTTCAAATACATTCAATCTACGAAACAGATTAACGAACACAAACTACGTCCGTATGCCCATTGGTGGTCACATCAGCGCAACAATGAAAACCTCTTCCGGGCTGTATCCTTCCCTGACGCCCTCCCTCGGCTAGGCCCTAATTTCCAACTCGTTCCCGGAGACTTCCTCAGCATCCGCCCTCTAACGCCTTCTAAACCCTCCTCCGAGTTCTGGAAAGAAGGATCCTCCAAACCCTCGAATGAAGGGGGATACCATTACATCGTCACCCTTTTCTTCATCGACACCTCTTCCAACGTCTTCGCTACCATGGAGCACATATACCGCCTCCTCCGCCCCGGAGGTTCTTGGATAAACCTGGGTCCTCTCCTATGGTCAGGAGCTAAACTCGAGCTGAGTTTGGAAGAACTCTGGGAAGCGGCAGAGGAGGTTGGGTTCGTCATCCAGCGCGACCACAAGGAGGAAGGCCACCCTGAAGCTCCGAGAACGATCGAATGCGAGTATACAGCGGATAGGAACGCGATGATGAAATTCACTTACAAGGCGGAATTTTTTGTTGCTCGGAAATCTAAATGATGCTTTCGAGGCTTGATCGCTCTTTCTTTTCGCCTTCTCGGGGTCATCTTGTCGTTGTTCTTCCATCTACAAATTGACAATGGCTTGCATAGTGCGTTGTTGTCAGGGGTTGGGAAGGGGAGTCGGTTGGCAATGGTCACTGGAGACACCACGTGTTGCCTTTATGTTCCCAACTTGAACTGCCTTTCGGACTTTTGGGACTTCTTTGCGGATGTGGAGTGCGTGGCCGAGGCCACCTATCTACACACGTATAAAGTACCACACCTTTGCCTCTTCTTGCGCCATCTCGGCGCTTATCGATACACACATACTTGCTTTCCTCCCTTCTTCCCCTTGCCTTCTACCCCAACCCCTGTCCACCCACTTGCCCCCATCTCCCCTTCTCGGCCCCTATCCTTCTCCGTTGCTGTCAACTTGTATATCCATCCTTTTCTGTGATACCTTGCTTTCAACCAAATACCCCCTTTCGAGCAACTAAACTGCGGAAATGATGGGCTTCGAACGCCTTAAGGACTCCAACGAGCTCATCATCGACCTCGACTCGGACTCTGATGAAGAAGAGGAGCTGGTGGTCGCCGGGGAGAAGGTTGTGGTATCGAACTCGCGGGAGCCCCAAGCTCTCAAGCAGTGGCTCCAATCAGGTACTCTGTCTCCTCGTCCTATCGCTGGCAGCAAGAGGGCTTGGAGGGCCATGAATGCCGCTGTGGGGCCTAGTCCTCAGGCCGCGGGTTTGCATGAGCGGGAACCGCTGCGCGTCTCTACTACAGGGGCTCTGGCCAATAGTCCAAGTCGATCCCCCACAGGCTCCCAGGTACACGTACCATGTATGAGTCTTACTACGTACTCTAACCTAGACCACTACTGTCGCACACCTCATCCAGGACTCTGCGCATAGCTCTCCACGCTCACTTGGTTCATTGCCTACCGCCGCCAGTTTAAATAAGGAAGAGGTGAAAGCCTTTGCGGACGCTTGGACGACTGTAACCCCATTTTTCGATCCGCGAATTTTGCAAGATCCTCCCCTTCCCAGTGTTCATTCAACCAATGCGGAGACAATGGTAAATGAATCAACGCTTCGCTGCAGCTCAGAAGCCTAGCTGATAAAAAGCTCTTGTAGGAATTTGCTTGAATAAACTGCGTTTCGCGAGGGTGGTTTGGAGTCCGCAGAGTACTACCGCCTTCCTCGTATTAGTACTCTGCGAACTCAACAAACAGCTCGAGCTCGAGTATTATCATGTTCTTATTGCTATCCAATATACATCGTATGCTTGTCTTGGAAACAACAAAAAGGAAAAAAAATAATACGCAGGACAGAATTCCGAAGGGGGCCCACAATCATCCAAGGCATTTTAATCGTCCCAAGCCACCTTCCCAGTGAAGACGGAAAGCAAAGGGCAACCCGAAACGCCGAGGAAGAAGAGTGTGAGGTGTGGGCGAGGTATCGAGTACACAACTACAAAGGTGACTAGTAGTTAAACAAAAGCTTCGAGACGGGTGACGGTAACAGAACGAGGAAGAGGTATAAAAACGCATCACCCTAGCCTAACATTGGTATCAATAGAGGGGTAACGATGATGTTGTAGGAGGGAATTAGGATTCAGCCATTGCGTGGCCAGACATTACGCGTTTTTGGGTGTTCTGTCCGTAGGGTTCGTTGCAAGAAAACAAAAAGGGAGTATCGTACTAGTTGTAATGTAGCAGTGTGGTTGCGTGCGAGAGTGGTCGATCGGCGGTAGTGGTGATGATAGGTATCTGGTATCGAGGTGAGGCAACGCGATTAGCGGGAAGGTCTAGGTTTTGGTGGTAAGGGGGCGCCACGGTTTGTGATACAGTGCGTGATCGATCTTGAGAGGGAGCCTTGAGAAGTGAGTGGACAGCGGTTTCTGTTGGGTAGAAGGTCGGCCAACCGCAGCAAGCGCAAGGAAAGAAGAAGGGCGGTGTGTAAAAGGAGATTCGGAATGAGATTCAAACAAAAACAATAAAATATAAAGGAAAGCATAAGTATGTACAATAGATCGAGAAAAGGTAACAAGGTAGAGTTTGCTGCGAACGACAATTGAATAATGATACGTCTCAACCAATAGCCCAAACATTCCTCTAAACAAAACACGTCGCTCTTGCAAATCGAATGGTCACTTCCCACACAATTAAGGAGGGCTGCACCAAAATTAAGAAAGCTTGGTGTTATCGAAAAAAGGAATTCCGGAACCATAATCCTCCATCCACTTGGAGTATGAGAAAAGGAAAGAGACGGAGTCGAGGAATGTCGGTTCGATATCGCGAGCTGGGAGAGGAGGAAGAGAGATAGACAGAGAGAGGCAAATGACCAAAAGGAAAAAAGGCCGAACGAAGTCCGAGGGGTATCCAATGAACAGAAAGTCCAAAACGGCGGGGAATTGGTGACAATTCAGAGGCCAATCAGCATTGCGATTCGAGGGGATTAAGCCGCAGGAGAAGCAGACCCATTGGGCTGGGCATCAGCGTCAAGGTGCATTTCGCCATCAGCTTCAGCACCGTTGACATATTCTGCATTGGCATCCTCCGCGTTGCCAGAGCCACCTTCATTGGCATTGGCAGCTGCGTTACCGCTGGCAGTTCGTCGACCGCCGCCTTGGGGACCAGATCGTGGAGGGTTGGCGCAGCGATCCTTGCCGTGTGCGATTCGCAGGTTTGCATATTCGGCCTTGTTCTTGATACCGTCGATGGCCTTGATAGCATTCGAGATATTGGTGAAGTTGACGAATGCACAGTTCCTAATGCAACATTAGTCGATGCCCAGACAAAAGACATTTAACTAAATACCCACTTTTCCTTCAAGAAGTTGACGAGCTCGATGTCTCCGTACTCTCCAAAGTCACGCTTCAATTTCTCTTCGTTGAAGACTTCGAAATCTTCAATGTTGCCAATATAGACGTTTCTCGTGGCACCGGCGTGGACGGCAAGAGCCAGAGAAGGCGGGAGAGGGCCAGCGTTCTTGCCCCAGCCAACCTTGAGGCGTCGATTGTTGAGGGTCATGCCTTGGTAGGATGCGACTTGGAAGAAAGTGAAGGCGGCGGCGGGGTCGACAAAAGTGACGAAGGCGATGTGCTTGTCTTGCATATACCGAATGCTCTGCAAGACTCCGCCACGAATGGCGTTGCAAAGATCTTCCGTAGTGGTCTCGGGGTGAATGTTGCCGAGGTAGACAGTTCTGTTCATAGCTTGAACACCACCAGCTCCGCCCGCCAAACCGTTGCCCATCATATCGAATCCAGCGCCGACATAGGGAGAGAATGGTGCAAAGCCATTGCCCTGCTGCTGGGCAACGAGAGACTGGGCGGCAGCAGCTTGTGCTTGCTGTGCTGCCACTTGCTGAGATTTTGGAATATATGCACACCGATCCTTGCCAAAGTTGACTCGCTTGCCTGCCCATGCAGGCTCGTTGGGGAGGGTGTTGACCACCTACGACATCATGACGTGTCAGCGATAACATTCACGTAAGACCGTAAAGCAAATTGTACGCACTTTGGTAGCAACGGAGATACTCAAAAAGTGGACAAATCCAATGTTCTTGTCCCTCACAATCTTGACTTGGTCGATCAGACCAAATCGGCTCAATTCATCCCGCAGCATCTCCTCCGTCATGTTCTCATCCAAACCACCAATGTAGACGTTCCTGCTTGCATTAGATTGGCTGATGGCAAGGGCGACCTGTGCGGGCACAGGTGATGGCTTTCCCCAACCGATTTTGAGCTCCTGTCCGTGGAGAGACAGTTTCTTAACTGTCGCGTCGGCATGGAAAGCGGCAGCAGTGGCGCCGTCAAGGAAGGACAGGAAGACACAAGATTTCTCGGGGAGAACGCGGATGGACTCGAGCGGGCCGAAGTGGACGAGGTTCAACAGTTCGTCAACGGAGGCAGTGGCAGGAAGGTTTCCCACGTAAACAGTTCGTCCAGTTGCGTTACCCGAGGCGTTCATTGCCGCGGTGAGGGCCGCTGGCGAGTATGCTCCTGCCTGTGCGGCGGGCATGGCGAGGTTAAGGGAGGGGATGCGTTGCTGGCGGAAAATAGACCGTGAGACCAAGCACTGATTGTAGACATGTTCAGAATATACACCCACCTGGTTGAAGTTTGCCATCTGGCCATTGTATGGGAAGGAGCCAAGCATATTCATGCTTGGAAGGCCCATGCCCAACATGTTGTAGCCCCCGAAACCGGCGGCATATCCTGCTGCACCATTTGCGGCACCCTGGCCCTGCTGGGCCTGCTGTTGTTGCTGCTGTTGGACAGCGAAAGCTGCTGCAGCGGTGTTGGGACTGAGTTGCGATGGCATTGCGGCGCCGTTGGCTTGGGTGTTGATGGAGAGTGAGGTGGTGGAATAGAGAGGGCTGCCAGCGAAGGCGCCTCCGTTGGCCGCGCCGCCGTTGAAAGGTTGGTTAATGCTGGCGTTTGGGCCGTAACCGTAGTTTGCGAAGGCGTCGCGGTTTGGTGCACCCGCGTTGTTTCCGTTTTGGTTGGAGAAACCCGAAGGAGGAGACCAACGGGCCTTTTTAGCATCTGGGCCGCCAACGGTATCCATAGAGCGCTGTTCTCGACTTGTCAGGACTGAAAGCTGGAGAAAATAGGAGAAAAAGAGACTGACCTTCATCATGTCGAGGTCGAATGGGTAGGTGGCGTATTGGGACGCAAAGGCTGTCTGTGAGTCGTCCATGGTCGCGAAAACCGTAGGAAGGGAGGGTTATGTGTAAAGTGGACGGGAATATATGGCAACGGCGAGAATATTATGGGGAGAAAAGGGGTAAAGGATGTCAGACAATTGTAGAGAGCGACAGTGTTATAGAGAGGATTGTAAACGAGTGTGAGTTGGTGGGCGAAAAGAGACACGCACGCAGAAAAAAAGAAAAAAAAGGTGTAAAAGAGAGGGAAATTCGAATTCGTGGACTCGTGCGATTTGGCTATTCGACGACGTGAACGACGACGAAGACAGACGAGTTCAGCGACGACGACGACGACGAGCAATAGCAGAGCAGAAAACGAATATGGAACGAACTGAGTAAACATCCGCGCCAGCAATCACAACCAGTCTATTCACATTTCTAATCTTCCCACGCACGGGCTTAGCCCAGCCGACTCTACAATCCCTCGACACGGTATACATCGTACGCTACCTCTTCGTATGGATGCACCTGAGATCTTACCATTAGACCTTGTATACACACAATACAGATCACATTACCTTCTTTAGTTCTTCAATAGCTGTCTTGATTTCCTCTTGTTGCCCTTGGTCATTCACAACAACCTCGACCCTATCCTCTTCCACGCTCTCGACCTGTCCAACCGATCCGATAGTAGGGTTCGCGTCTCCAACAGGTTTAAACTGGCCTGTCAAATGCCATTAATACCGATCTCAACCCCCCAAGTCCAGCCTAAACCTAACCAGTCCCAGGAGTAATGAACGCGCAGTGCTCATAGTCTCCAATCTTGCCTACAAACCGCGGGCATTTCTCGAATAGTTTGTCGAGCACCGAGCGTGTATTGGCTCGCGGCACGAAAAAGACGAGCTTGTAGCGGATTATCGGCGACATAGTAGTTGTACAATATCGTAATACTTGAGATCAGGCAGAGACTAGAGTTGTGATCTAAACTCCGACCCAGTCCTCTCTTTCCTGTTACACGTTCGATTCGCGACGTGTCCAAGGTCAGTACTTTATCGTCGTTACCGCCCGATCCCACCGCTCACACAACACAAGATGAACCTCTCGTTACACAGTATCCAGGCCTTCCTCATTATCGATGCAGAGGGGAACCGTGTCCTCGCCAAGTATTATCATCCCAAAAGCAACCCATGGGGCGAGATCAAAGAATTCCAATCCCTAAAGGACCAAAAGGCATTCGAAAAGGGACTGTGGCAAAAGACCAAGAAGGCTGGAGGTATGTCTTTCGATGTTCATGCTGCTTTAAACTGAAAAGGAACGGGCGGCTGAGACCATGCAGGTGATATTATCTTGTACGACGGCCATCTCGCCGTATACAAGCATTCCTTGGATGTCATCCTGTACTTTATCGCTGGGCCGACGGAGAATGAGTTGATGGTCTCGCTTGCGCTCTCGACGCTAATCGACGCGATGACCATGCTTCTCCGAAACTCTCTCGAGAAGCGCGGGATCTTGGAGAACTTGGATATGGTGTTGCTATGCTTGGACGAGACAGTCGACGATGGGTACGTCCCTTTGCTCCCTGTCAAACGATAGGGGAATGAACTAATCATTTGGCGTGCGTGTAGGATCATCCTGGACACAGATTCCGCAGCTATTGCTTCGCGAGTCACCCGGCCACGGCCAGACAACGAGATGGGTATCAACATCAACGAGCAGACGCTTATGAGCGCGTACCTGACCGTCAGGGACAAGGTCCAGCAAAGGATCGGTCAGCTGTAGTGCTTTGATCCCCCACCATACATACCCTTTCTGCGCCCCACCTAATCCCCGGCCCCCGGCATACATAGCAATATCCATACTCCTCGCCCACTCATTTCGCCCGATTCGCCTTCCTCAGCCTGTGTACTGGGCCCCATTCGACCTTCAACGTTGGAGACTCGTTTCGTCTTTCGACTTCTGCTCGAACTCTTCTCGATTTCCTAAGGAGATCCCCACACACCTGCTGTCATATGTTATCAGCATTGTCATTTCCCTGCACCGTCATGTACTAGTGACTGCCATTGACGCCTAGGGAAAGAAACGGGTTGCAATGCGAATTGAACAAGTGCGATGATGATCACGATTTCAGGTTCTGATCCATGCGAATTAAAGCAAGTACTACAGGAGTATGCGGAATGCGAAATTGTTGAGACTATTATTACACGGGCGGTCGTGAAGAAGACGATGAAGAATACAATGACAGGGAATCCACATAGAAGGACAAAACTGAATGCAGCCAAGGGAAATGGAATGATACACATGTGGGATGAACAACAGGAGAGACAGATGCGACGAATGCGGGAGAGAAAGCAACCAAAGGAAAGACGAAGAGGGGAACGATGATACAACGAACGGCGAATTGTACAGATGAAGGGAAAGACGAATCGCTGGATTGGTGCGAGAGAGGACGCTGTCCAGGTTTGATGTGCCAAAGCGACGGCGACCAAGGGGTTGAGGAGCGATGTGAGATCCGGTGAAGCCTAACTGAGGCTCCAAGCCATCTCCTAATCTGCTATCGTCCAGAGAGCATTCGCCTAAAACCGCAGGAAACCACTGCGCCATCAGCTTCATACTCGGAGCAAAGGTAAGATGGCAAAAGCAGGCTCACGCTTTAGGCGAAGCATTCGCTAGTACGCTTGTAAACTGATACACAGCGACGGACGAAGCAACGGCGGCGATGGAGAGCGCCCCGAGCACGGAGCATAGTCTTGATTTAGCATTCGAGTCCGGGGACCAGACTTCGGACGAGGTGAGTTCAGGCGATTCGTAGAGGTCGACGGCGGCTCGCATTGTGAAGTCGGCTGCTGGCAATGCAGTGGCGGTGGAGGACGATGGGTTGCGGGGTGGTGGAAGTTGGAGAATAAGAGTGAGACAGAGGACAGGTGTCACTGTCAAAAGAAGTCTTTGTGGATATGTCGCGGAAAAGTCGCTTTGATGGGAAAGAGTTCGGTGGAGAGCGCGGAAATGGTTAGGGGCCTTTATAGCGGTTCCCCTGGCTTCTTATTGTTCTCGGGGGGTTGAAGCTCTGACGTTCCTTTCTCCGAGAGCCGTAGCAGTTAGTCACGACTGGATCCTGACTTTCTCGATTCGTAAATCTCCAAAGATCTCCGGAAAGTTACTGGATGGTTGCTTACAGCTAATGATGTTTCGTCCTTCGGGATGGTAACCTTTAGATGTTTCCTTTTTTGAAAACTGAACCTGGGGCTAAAACAAGCGCGCTGTGCTGGGAAGGGCAATGTTGGTAGGTTCGGTTTGGTTAACGTGGAAGCTGGTGCTTGTTAACGTGGATCGGTGGGTACTGTTGCGGTGTTCGCTCGTTATGTGATGCTGATGTCGATGAGACTACGGAGAATTTCCTCTAAACCTTTTTTTTTTTTCAAATCAAAATGCGAAACGAAGGGTTAGTATGGGATGGGACAGCCCGAGCCTTGTTGGGTAATCTCACCGAGTGCTGTATTTCCGATCTCCTCGAAGAATAGATGCGAGTTGTAGTCGCGGTGTTCGCCGCTGCGGTTGACGGCGATCGATATTTCGTGGCTGTTGCAAGGATGCTGTCCGACCTATGAGAGTCGGTCTCGCCAAAGGCACGACGATTGCAGCGATGGATAATGGACTCACGGACGTTATATACTGGACAACCCCAGTAATTGGGCGGCTAAGCGTTGGGTTTGTTGAAAGACGGAAAGACGGCTGGTCGCCCGGGATCACAGAGAAGCTGTGGAGCTGCTGGCCGTGGACGTTATGGCCCGTGTTTCAGGCTGGGACACAGGGTCAACGATGGACAGAACCAGGCTAGGCTGGGTCGTGAACGTGAAAGAAAAAGAAGATTGACGTTAGGTGGGCGTGGGTCGGGGCGTTACTAGTCGTTAGTCGCGATGAAGACGGGGCGGCGATGTGTGGACCCACGGAGCTGGAAGCTACGTCCGAGTCAATAGTGTATACAAGGAGGGGTGTTGAGAGTTGAAACGGGTCTAGGCGCCCACTGCACCCCGAGCCAGTCTTCTTATAGCAATGGCGAAGAAAAGTGATAAGAAACCGGGATCCCCAAACAGATCGCTGAGGAACAAACTGGATTCGGGATAGCGAGAATTATCACAATAGAAGCATGTCGGTGGAGAGGTACCCGAGTTCACGAAAGCCCGTAACGGCCGTAAGAGGCGTTCATTGGGTGCTCGTGGTGTGGGCCAAGTAATGGCTATCAGAGGCGCTGGACATATGACCGCACTAAATGGACCCAAGCCATTCAGCCGGCCGCGGTGACCCCACAGAACATACGGTATACCCTGACCTCGACCTCTGAGCAATAGAATCCCTGAGTGGGCGTTTACGCTGATTATCACGCGTGCAGTCCACAGATGAGCAGGCCCTTTTCATGGATCAGTCATCCACGACCCTGAAAGAGTGCGCAGTCACCAGCGCGCACGGCACTGGAAGAATGTCGACGAATTGCAAAGGATTGATGTCACAATCTCCTCAAGCCATCGGCCATAGCGGCAACGTATAACCATCTACACCGCGTAGCTATTTGAAGAACACTCCGAGAAAGGTCGGTCACTGTTGCTTCCTCAGCGACGTGCTTCGGGGTGCGTAAGGAAGATTTGACGATGAAGTTAAAATGAAGGTGGCGGATGTGGGTTGCACTGGAAGCAATAAAGATCGTCGAGGTCGTCCATGTTAACGTGATGGTATGCAGCTAGAGTACAAGAAGAAGAATCGTGATGCATCGTAGTAGGAAATCTACATAGCAGAAAAGCGGCAGACTCTGGCATCTGACGGCCGTCATTGCCGAAAGGAAAGATGTTAAACTAACGCAAAGGCCAGATGAAGAGAGTGCAGGTGCAACTTCGGGAAATGGACGGCAAATAGACGAAAAAATCTGGAGGGATGCCCGATAACATGACGTGACAGTGCTGAATACCCTTACCGCCTAAAACAAGCAGACAAAGTTACTAGGGAAAACGTTCCTTCCTCTCTGCCTCCTCGCTTCGTCTAGCAGTTCGCCCGTCCACCAACCATCCTCCGGAGTAGACGTTACAGCAATGATATCCCCTGCTTGGAAATCAAACTCCTCGTCGATCGTCGCTGCATAGTCATATAGCGCTTTGACTAATCGCCGCACCAGATCGTGTTGCGATTGGTTCGAGGACGGAGCGAGGTTAACATTAGGACGGAAGGGGATTAGATTAGTATCAGGCAAAAAATTATACAATCAAACAGAGAGCATACCGTAGAAGAGGATAGGAGTGCCATCCTCGGTCGTAACCTCCGCCTGTTGCTGTTGCTGCGGCGGGGGAGGCTGAGGAGAAGGAGATCTCTGAGCCGCGGTCCATGTCTGTTGCTGAGGCGGTTGATGATAGCCTTGTCCAGGAGCTTGCTGTGCGTATTGCGGTTGTTGCTGCTGAGGTGGAGGCGCTTGCTGAGGTGCCGGCTGCTGTTGCCCGTAGTATCCGCCCGAAATTGAAGATGCTCGCTGAGCTCCGCCGTGCCCGTACGTGTTGGTAGGCGCTTGCTGCACAGGTGGTGGCTGGTAGTGATGGATGGGTTGTTGCTGGATTGGTGGTTGAGTGTGTTGAGGTGGAGGCGCTTGCTGTTGTTGGTACAACAATTGTGATGGAGGGGCGTAGGTGGGATGGGCAGCAGGTGGAGGAGCACCATAGGTGGGTTGGGCGGCGGGTGAAGGCTGTTGATACAAATTGGCAGGGGGAGGGGGAGGAGTAACAGGGTGCATGGCTGGCTGCGGTGGCGGCGCAACCGTGGGTGAAGGCGTATTCATGTAACTCAATCTCCTCTGCGGTTGTTGCTGCTGCTGAACTGGGGGAGCCAGAGGAGGTTTGTACGCTGGCTGCTGTTGCGGTGGTGGGCCTCGATGTTGCTGGCGCAGTGCCTGCTGATGTTGTTGATAGCCTTGAGCCATCTCATCGTGTAGAACGCGCCCGTTGGGATCGAGCGCGATTCCGATAGAATTTGGACTTGGTGCTCTGGCAATGTTCTGAGCCGGTGGCGAGATGTAGCTTGTGCGGACAGTATTAGGCGCTGGGCTAGGCCCTCTGGAAATGACAGGTTGAGGTTGAGGGCTATTGCTTCGTGATCCACCATGGGCGCCGATCCCAGCGTGACCAACGGAAGCAGGCCGATGCAAGTTCTGTCCATGAGAAAAGTTGGCGTTTTGAGGGACAGCAATGGATGCTTGTGAAGCCGACGGTGCATGGCCTTGCGGTTGAGTGCTGGTCCGTCTAGAATAGCTGTTGTTACGACTGATAGCCTTCCGTTCTCCAGGAAGTGACTGTTGGTAGTCGGCCAAAACGTCGCTGATCATTTCTGACCCAGGTGGAGGCGCCGCATTCTTTGGCATCATGAATGCAGCGGTGGGCGGTTGAGGGGACGATGGCCTGCTGGCCGCAGGGTGGGCACCGACCACCAAATCAGCAGAGTTGCGGTAATCACGATTGGGGGATGGACTCCTGTTAATCTGGGCCGCTGGGGCACCAGGTGGGGATAAAGATTGGGGAACATTGCTGACAGGTCTAGTCGCGGACTGTGTAACGGAAGGCGAAGCTCGCGCCTGAGCATCGTTTTGCGCTGGGGGTGGTTTGTGCAAGGTGTTTCTCCGCGTACTTCCGCCAATCGACACCGCGTTCTTCAATTCTTGCAGCTGCTTCTCCAGAGGATCAATAGTTGCCCCGTTTTCTTGCTTGACAGGAGAAGCTGTTCGGTTCGCGATAGGCGCACCGGTTTGTTGCTGAGGGTCTTTGGATGGGTCGACCTTGTAAGCATGATTCCCTACTTTGATGTACGTCTCGGCGGTAGGATCGATAGGCTCTGCGTGAGGATCACGGTTACTTAGTGGAGTTCCATAGGCGGATCCGAGGGTAGATTGCCGTTGCTGATTGGAAGCAGGCATAGGAGATGTTGATGGTGGGAGCACAGGAGCGGTGTTCGGAGGCTGCACCGTACTTCCGTTGACATAGGGCTGTGGTGATGCAGCCATGCTATTGCGGCGGGTATCTTGTCGAAGGAGATTAGCGTCGGCTGGGACCTCAGAACGTCTGTTTCCGCCTCCTGCCCCAATTCCAGCCGTGTTAATGGGTTGGCTGTCGTCCGGAGGCTCCGCACTGGGAGCACGAGGTGGCAACTCTCTCGTGGAGACTCGTATGAAGTTCGCAGGCCTCGTGGTAACCCTTTGGGATGAGGCTGGCACGGCATCGGGCGAATTGTAGTTCACAAAGGCAGGAGGGTCAGGAATGTCGTTTCCAGTACCGTAGTTGGAGACGAAATATTCCATTTCGCGTTCAGGTTCCATCTGTTCTAGAGACAGACGAATCTTTTCGCATGACTACGACGGATATGAGCTCATTGACAAAAGTGAGAGAATGGCACTGACCTCATCGTCCGCTACGCAGACAGTTGAGACCGCGTTGGCGTACGCCCAGATATTGTCCTTCATAAATTCAATCCTCTGCTCCTCCAGATCTTGGCAATTGTCACAGAATGCCTTCCAACTGAGCTCCCATTTCTTCGTGGTCTCTGCCAGAATCTTGGCAAAGTTGGCAAACTCTCGCTCATTGACCTGAACAGTCTGCTGGGCCCGCTCTAGTTTCGCAGTGATCTTGTCGAGTTCCTTGCCCTGAACGAGGGTGGACTGGGCTGTGAAGGCATTAATGCGCATCCCATCGGATTCGTACTTCTCTCGCGCTTTGTTGACGTGAGCCTCCTGGGCCTGTTTCGTCTTGAACTCCTTTTCGATACTCAACTGTTGAGTCTTCTTGTGCGAGAGTAGACGATTGTGAAATGCTGTTGTTGGTGTTTCGAGGTCTGTGCGTATCTGGCTGGCGAGGTTCGCGTGGAAGCTGGCCTGTCGTTCGGTCTCGAGCCTTACTGTGTCCAAGGAGGCGCGTAAGTCCCTAGATATGCATCAGTACTGCAATAAAGTAGGATCAAGAGCAATACAGTTGAAGAAGCAGCAATCTCGCGACACACGAGATTGCTATCGTCGCCAGCATTGCGAATGTCATCACACGTACCCAATCTCATCGCGACCCAGGACAACTTTGGACAACTTTGCTAGCCGTTTGGCGTAATCTTCCTCTATCACTGCACTGGACGATTAATCTCTGGATCAGGGTGTGTATTAGGAGCATTCAAGAAGGTTACTATACCGTTCTTTCCAAAAGCTTCGTAGTTCTTCAATAGTCCGCGTTGCCCCACGCATCCTGGCGAAGAGGACCTCTACGCCTACGTCTCCTACTCCCCAGAAGGCATTGCAAAAGTCGAGGGATCTATCCTGTAACAGCGGTGACGAGGCACGCTCGTATTTGGACAACGACGTTGTCGACGACTGACGTCTTGCAGTTAATGCTTGCATTGAGCAAAGCGGAAGAGAATGACGGGAGAGTTGAGGAACAAGTTGAAATTACAGTGGAATAACCTTACGGCTTTGTTCAAGTGAACCGTGATGGCACGTGCTGCAGTTACAGCCTTTGTCCGTATAGCAACCTGATTCTAATGCCTCCTTAAACACATATTATATTCTCGTCTCTCATCTACAACTCTATCCAAGTCGATCTAAGAAGTCATCGTCGTCGAGCTCAGAAAACAGCGACCGGTGGTGCACAGGCTTGACTCGGTCGTCTTTCAGCATCCTGCGACAATGTAAGGGATCCGATCATCCTCAAGCCAGTGTCGAACACGTACCGGGCATCGACGCGCGCATCTTCACCCTCTACACCAAGAACAGGCGCTGGCGTCTTTGCCTCGATGACCTATGGGGAACATGTCGGAAATTAGGGGTTTCTGAGGATGCAACCAAAGCAGACGCACATAGTGGTTGTCACAGTGGGGACAGTATTCATCACTTTCCTCGTAATTGGTCATATCCTTCCTGAATGCCTTTTTACACTTCTTGCAGATAAAGGCCATCTCATTTGTCTTCTTGAGCTTGTGGTCTTGCGTTTCAGCGTGGCATTCCGCGCAATCAAACCATTGCTTGCAGCATGGCGCGCGGATGGAGACCTGAGCGTTTAGGATATGTTTACTGTCCAGAGGGAGTTTCAGTCAAACAACGACAGGGACGGCAAGTGTTTCTTCTTGCAGACTTACCACATACACCGGCGAATTCGATTCGAGGTCAAGGTTCTAAGTATGTCGAAGAGCTCCAAGTCCCCCAAGGCTGCCAAGATCATAGATCAAGAAACTTTCCCACAGGTGATAATATACTGGTCGGCACTAAAATACAAAGAACGAATTAATTCACAACAAGGTCGAGAATACAGCTAGCAAATAACATGGAGAAACGAGCGGATGTTGCAGGAGGTACTGTGGTATCAAGGCAGAGGTATCAACGAGCACTCAGATCTTAGAAGCGGTTTCGACTTCGGTTGAAAGTCAGCCGTGAATGGTTCTGTTGTTGGAACCCTTCAGAAGCATATGCAAAGTCTGTAGGAGAACAAGAACGTGCGTTAGGAAACGTTCATCGTACTCAGGGAAATAATGAACCGCACCGATTGGAGAAGTGAAATTCGAAACGGCGGCGCTGATATTTCCATATTGCATATTGTGAAGGGAGAGATTCGACTCGGTCAAGGTTGCCTCGGCTCCCATTCCACCCAACTCAATGTCTTTTCCGCGTCTGCGGTTTCCACTACGAAGCGATGGCAGCGTATCCATGTCCTCCTCAGCAAGTCGCTGTTTCTTGTGGTCATGAGTCGAGATCGAACCCCTCGCGCGATCATCTTCCAACGTTTCGTCGATACTTTGAGGACCGAAGGTGGCTTTCACTGGCGACGAGGTGAGAAGGTAAGTGTCACCAGTGCTAGAGGTTAGCTTACGGTCCGTTCCAATCTGAGAAGCGGCCGCAGCATCGACTGTCATGGCTCCTTGTGACTTTAAGCGTTTCTTCTCCTTTCTTGCATCGCGGGCGGCAATCTCTCCTTCAATTGAACGAGGGAAGAAGATCTGCAGAGGAATTAGGCGCCCGAACGTATTTGGAACTGGTCAGACGCCGATCCCACACTTACAAGAAGAGTGATAGCGGAAGAAATAGCGCATCCGAAACCGGCGATGACAACCAGCAAATCTGCAAGAAGGCAGAGTTTGAGAATCGTTTCGGTAGGTGATATCCGGATTCGGGAATGGACATACCGGTGAACACCATTTTCTCGTTGATGTGGTGGTGTGGCCTCACACCGTCAACGCCAAGAATCAGGAGTGGGACGGTAAAAAGGAAGCGGAAGATAACGCGAATCGTCTTTTTTAGAGTTTGGGTCACAGGGTGAGCACATGGAGACAGGAGAGCATTTACGGGTGGGTCTCACATTCAGCTCTGCGAATTTGGTCAGACGAACGACGGTGCCAGTGTCAACGCCTTCTCTTCTCTAAGAAAATTCACGAATCAGTAACTGCACGGTCTGTGACGATAGATGCGTTCACTCACTAGGTTGTTCAAGAAGTTCGGGAAGGTCCATCTGCGCAGGTGGTGAGCATCAGTGCTTCCATTGGACGTATGCACAAGCGCGCAACATACAGAATGGGGGTGAACCACAGCGTTAAACATAGACTTCCAAGACTTCCCGCAAGGAAGGTGTATGCTTCAGCCTATGATCAAACCGTCAGCATCCCAGTGTGGAAACTCGATGGCTGTCAAATGGCAGACCTTGAGTGCGTCGTGTCTGGTAAAGATCGTAACCAAGGGCATGTAAATAATCGCGACAACGGAGCCAACAATCCATGTCTTGAAGTAGTGGGAATTGAACCAGTTTTGTTGGGAAGAGCCAGAGTTGACAAGGAAGAGCCAGAAGCAGAGTTCTGAAATGAGCGCAGAATAAGTGGGGTGAAGCAATATCCGTGACTCCCGGGGTAGCGTACCTTCCAGGTGGGTTACCCTGTAATGATGAGACCAGATGTGTCAGTCAAACTCGCACTGGAGTAGGGGAAGGGGAAGCCATACATTTCCAGGCCCCAGGCGATGGAGAAAACGAGCATGAGAGGGAAAATGGTGTCATGAGAGGCTTTGGACCAGAGCTGATGAGGCTTGGGGATGACTGCAAGACGATGCGATTGAGCGAGGGCTCGGGATACCAAAGAAATAATGATGGACCTCCTAGTTCAGGATGGACAATGAAGCCTTCGCGATACTTGATTATCGTGTTGCCCAGAGCGTAAACAAATATCAGCGGTAACGTTGTTAGATATGAGTACTGTGATTATGAGTATGCGTGAGTGGGGCCGAAAAGTGTGCATTCCCTGCTAACGCCTTACGGTCATGAAACGCTTGAAGGCTCCGTTGTGGGGACCGTTGTTCCATCTATCCCGGGGTGAGTCCGTATTATCGCACGGGAAGGATAGGGCGAAGCTACCTCAGGCATTTGAATCTATCGAATGACCACAGATGGAAGATGAGGAAGGATCCAACCTAAGGCCCTCGGATTATTAGCATGAGTGAATTTTGAAGGAACAGGAGGTACTAACCAAGGCGACGAGCGTCGTCCAGACCAGATAACTGCAAGGAGACGTATGGGTCATCTCGTTTGGTCCAGGAGGTCAAACGGACGGAAGGCGAGGCTCGGGCCTGCGAGGAGAAAGGATTGCTCAGCGAGAACACCACCTTCGTGTACCAAGCGCCGCTGAGGGAGCACCCAGGGAACGGTGGGCTGTATATTATAAGGCTTCCCTCCACATGATACTTCTTGTTTTACTCCCGACCGTCCTCCATCTGATGTGCACTGATTGGAATCATTCCTTCTAACCTCGTCTCTCTCCATTTGGGCGCTAACACGATGCTTGGCGGCTTGGGTGGTCCCGTCGGTGGTTTTCGTCCCCGTACTCGAGCGAACCCACATCAGAGTGCATGCGGTGCTCGAAGCAGCAGAACCATTCGCCCAACGTAATACATAGCGGGGCGGTACTCTGCGGTACTTGGATGTCTACACTGCTGGTGCGAAAGCAATAATCACAGTTGAATCGGGATAACTGTGATGTAGAAAACACCTCCTCGAATATTGTGTCCAGACAGGAAATGGAACGGGAAAAAGCCCAGAGAGAAATTTGAAATTTGATGGCGCGCGTGAACTTTGGCGCCTTTGATCTGTTTGTGATCCACAACCACGACCGTCGACATCAACGACCGCCAACAACAAAGGGCGATGCTCGACCCTGAGGCCGTTGACGACCTACTCCTCGCTTGCAGGTATGGCGACCTCGAAGATGTCGAGGCTTTCGTGAAGCAACATGGCCCCACAGCACTGGGCGCTGTTCTCGACGATAACAAAAACACTGTGTTACATATGGTGTCTGCCAACGGGCATCTCGGTAAGTCGTCTACACTTGAGCCTGCTGTTACTGTGAAGGCAAGGTAGTAATGGAAAAGCTGTCCGATAGAATTGCTCAAGTTTCTCTTGCCAATCGTGCCCCCATCACTTTTGGCTGCCCAAAATAACGCAGGATCGACACCTCTCCATTGGGCCGCGCTAAACAACCATCTCGAGGTTGCCAAAGCTCTCGTCGAATTCCCTGGAGGTCCAGGAGTCGATCTTATCGATATAAAAAACGAAGCAGGACGTTCACCTCTCGCCGATGCTGAATTCTCAGGTTGGGACGAAGGAGCAAAATGGCTTGTTGAAGTCATGAAGCTTGATCCTGAAGCCAAAGGGCAGGAAACAGACGATACCGTCGTAGATGCACAGGACATCGAAGTCGAAATCGAGGATGCCAGCGGCCAGGTCGCCAAAATCAACATCTCCAAGGACGGTGCGAATTCGACCGACTCCTCCAAACCCGCTACCTCAAGTTGATCATTGCACAACCCGACATCATGATAACAACCGGTAGCACTTAAGCCGCCAAAACTTTGCCCTGATCATGTCTTGAACGGCTACGGCAGAAGTACTACGTTACGTTGGCCAAAGAGTTCTGTTACTTAGACCTCCGCGCAGGCGAGATCCTAGCTCGCATGTGTACATACCAGATGGAATTGCAGCCTTCCAAATCTACAGGCGCACATCTTTCGACAGTTCAAGATTCGCTCTGGTTACTTTTGATTGTCACAACGGTCGCCACCCTTTATCAACGTTCTGCCTTGGGATCCGAAGTACTCCTCATCAGCCTTTTTGCGTTGCGGCGGTTACCTCCCAAAGTAGCATCATGCGACCATGCAGGGTCAGCTAAGGCCCTGGCGTGGACGTTGACTTCCAGCTATGTTCACGCCAGCTTCTCAGTCTGCCAAATACTCCAAGATGTTCCTCCACCTGAGAGCAATGGATCAGAGTTTGTTTCCATTCCTGCCCGTCAAGTTCGGGGGTCCCTGTCCGATACCGCAATGGACAGTGGTAACGTCGTCGGTAAGTTACGCATCCTGTTCTCCTTCTTAAGTCATCCAAAGCCTGATCACCGCGTCTGTGCAGAATGCCCATCGTTCTGATTTAGGAACTTCCATCTTTCACTTCCTCGGCGCAAGTTGATATTTTCATGGACGTCATAATGAAGGTCTCGGTGAGTATCCCAATTGCCGAGGGACAGTCTGGTGACACTCATTCGGTTCTTGGAAGGCGTTCGTGGGTGAAACTGACGATAACGATGTACTTAGAAGCGTTGGAAGCGAGGGGGCCCGCACATTGTGATATTGACCTTTGGGTCATATAGCCTTGACACGGGATACCCCACAGACCCCGTGAGCAAAGTCCAGTAGGTTGATTCATGTTCACGGCCAATATTGGGTTTTGCAAATTTTCAGACGTAACCCAAATGGTTGTTACGAGAACATAAACCCTTCCTCGTACATCAAATTCACATAATCGGTCGGAAGAGGTAAGTATGTTCTGAGATTGACACTCACCTTAACCTCTTGCTTGTGTAGGTATTTACGTCTATGGACGCAAACCAGGCGGTTACCCTCAACAGTGCTTTCTGTGGAAAGGCAGAACCGTTGGCGCCATTTCTTTTGCCGTGGGCCAGGGTGTGGTGAAAATCGTTGCTCATGATCCCGTTTCCAGTAATCATTTAACGCGATCTACTGACGTTTTCTCACTGCGACTGAGTGGCAGCGATCTTTCTCGTGCAACTCTGGTGGTGCACGGTACACGTCAACGACACTTGTGCGGAGGACCCAAAAGCGCCACGGAGTTCCAATTTCAAAATGTGATTGGCTGGGGAAGGTATGTCTCTTCTCTTCAGGGTTTAACTCGCACTGTTGAAAGCTCCGAGCAGCACCCCGAGCATGAAGCATGAAATAGACTTTCATCATGAAAGTCTATTTCAATACTTCATGCTCCTCGTGTTCTACAACCCCCTTGACACCCTCACCAATCATGGAAGTGACTCGAGCGTCAGTCGGCGTCGTCAGAGCGTTGGCCCCATGTAGATAGTGTGGACCCCAAAACCTTTAGATGAAGGCCTTCCTCGAAGACGATGTAAGGTCGGATGAAGCCACTTGACCCGCTACAACGGTGTTACACGGGCAGTGTTGGTTTTATCGAGTGGATCAAACTCTGGATCCATATCTAGTGAAGGAAAACCACTGTTCTGGTTTGTGGTCTCCGCCACAAGAACCCTTTCGAACCCTCAGGGTTATCGACGCAGTATGTAACTGGCCTCGTACCCACCTCTTAGCATTGTCTGAAGAAGATCCCAGCCCATTACCGACCCTTATTAGATGTTCTTCCACCTGATCCGCTTGGACTTCTAGGATCGCGACGTTGGCAGACCACAGCCGTTGCAAGTGTTCGCGAGGAGAATGGTCACCAGTGAGAGCATATGGTAGACACCTCGCGGTGGCAGATGCGCGAATTGCGGAAGCGTAGTCGATATGTATGTTTTCAATATTTATGACATGACGTGAGGAATTCATTTGTACAGAAGTAATTTGCACCGATAAGACGTTGTCAGTAAATCTCATCAGAATCAGTCAGTGAACGCCTCGAGGGTCAGGAAATTCTATGGAGCCTTGGCTCTTGGATTGACGTTCTTGATCTCCGACGGATCGAGATGTGGTCACAAACACTTTCAAAGTGACCATAACCTCCACTAGTGAATGGAAAGAGCTATAAAGGAAACCCGGATTGGGTTCTGTACACCAGCTTCCCAAGCTACACCTCGAGTTATTCTTTGTTTCCCCTCTCCATGATGCTCACTCCCAAATCTCTGGATCAGGACCTCTACGACGAGCTGTCGTCTCTCTGTAGAGGCCCTGTCGTGCTCAACGACGACCCAGAGTATGGCCTCTCTGTTGACCGTATCCCTGTCCCCAACGCTCATTCGTTTTCCCTTGTAGCTTCGTAAATTATGCGACGATCTTCAATGGCAATGTCGAAACCAGGGCCAGGGTGGTTGCATGTCCGCTTGACGCGGACGATGTCAGCAAGTATGGATAGACTTTGACATCGACGGGCCCGTCCTTCGGCTGACACCCTTCCTCTACAGGATCCTCACGTTTTGTTCTGAACATGGTCTGTCTCCATCCGTCAAAGCTGGTGGTTACGGCACCGCGGGGTGGGCCATTGGGGGTGATGTTATCATCGACCTCAGCAAGATCGTGGAGGTCGACATCGAGCGTCCCCACCCCGACGGTGGCTTCACCAGCCTGCGCGACGTCGCTTCTGCCAATAGCAAAGGAAAAGCAGTGGTGGAGCCGCGCATCAGCAGCGGTAAGCGTCGCCGTGAAGAGGATGCTGAGTTGCGAAATTACGACGCTGCCTCTCGCAATGTCGCCTCGCTCCTTTCAGGCCCTCTTCTGGATGAGTTGGAGGCCATGAACGCTACTGCTACCCTCTCTATCGATGAACCTCCCCCGAATGTCCGCCGCCGCCTCGATTTGGATGACTCCATGCCCGCTTTGGCGGGTCGTCAGATCTCCCAGGAGTCGAGCGGGACTTCGTCGTCGGGCGGTCAGGAGGGGACCTCCGATTCCAATATCGACTCTGGAGCTTCCACCGTGGGTACCTCTCCCGAGCCAGAGTCTGAGCCAGCGGGGATGCGTGTGGACACGATCACTGGCAGAATGAAGTCTCGGTTTGTCTCCGTGCCCGACGAGGACCCGTTCGGATACCTCGACGAGCCTAGTGACGCTCCTCCCCCAGTTCCCGTCACGCTTTCGGCTGTTCAGGCCTCATACAACCCTCATGCAAGGATGCACGCCTACGGCTCTGGCTCTCGCACATCCTTCACTGGCAATAATGTCGCGCAGCAAAACCTTCCCGTAGAAGTCGAACCCGTCTACCCTCATGCTTTCGTCACCTTCGGCGCTGGTATGAGGCAGAAGGAGATCGACACCTATACCGCAAACCACAAGTTGGAGGCGAGGTACATCACCGGACATGGTGACGGTATTCCATACCACATCCCTTTGTGGGTATCTATCTCTCCCTTCCCAGTGAAAATGTTGTTTACCGTTCTTTCCGACGGACAGCGCGGCTCATCCTACTGGCTCTTCGATTATGCTTCTCGGAGGCTTCGGATTCTTGAGCAGGTTGCATGGCCTTAGTATTGACAATCTCGTCGAAGTCGAGATGGTTTTGGCCGATGGCCGTGTCGTCGTCGTCAGCGAGAGCGAGCATCCAGGTCTGTCCATTTCTAGAAGCCACTATGCTGCGTGCTGATTTCTCACTCCTTGCCAGACCTTTGGTGGGCTCTCAGGGGTGCCGGAACCACCCTTGGTATTGTCACTCGATACAAAGCCAAAGCGTATCCAGTTCCTGTAGTGTTCGCCGGCAATCTGATCTTGTAAGTTGTACTCCATTCAGATAAACGGCAGCGGGGTCCTGATCATATCCCTGAAAGCCGATTCAACAAGGCTACCGCTGCGTCCCTCATCAAGCATTTTAGGGATTGTGTCAAAGGCGCTCCACGCGAATTGTACGCCAACCTCTTGTTGACGGCTGGACCCCAAGGCAAGGATTCCCTAGTCGTTATCCAGCTTTGCTACGTTGGCTCGCGCGAGAAGGGCCAAGAGTTCTTGACGGCCATCAGCTCCTGGACCGGTGAACGGTGCCTGCTGAATGAAGTTCACGAGAAAAGCTTCTTACACCAACAAGACAGCGTCGCCCAAGTTCTTCGAGGCAAAGGTATGTCCTTGTTTTTTCTCCGCATGTCGGATATATAACCGCTTTCTAGCTGGTAGGCAATGGTTCATACGCTCAGTTCTCATTTCATCCTTGCCCGACGACATTATCCATACGACGGTTGAACAATTCAACAACACTCCGCTTGGTTGCAGTAAGACTATTCCCTCTTCGGGACTGGGTACCGATTCTGATCGTTCCAATAGCGTGGCTTTTCGAATTGGCGGGAGGCGCCGTTGGGGAGTTTACGGATTCCGTGGTCCCGAAGGCTCAAAGGGAAGCGTTGTTCAACATCGTGGCACTCCACCAGTGGGAGATGGATGCCAATGATGATCGGTGCATCGATTCTGCTGAGGAGGTCAGTGGTAACTCGCGTTTAATTGCTCCTAATCTAATAGTGAAATTCCTAACCCGGATCCTCTGTAGTGGATTGCAGGGACCTTGAAGCCCGTACACATCGGCGGCGCATTCCCTAGCGTAAGTGCCTCCTCTCTGACAGAATAGCATCCATCTCATCTATGGTTCTAGTTCTTTGGAAGGCATGAGATTCCAGAGCGCATCAAAGCTTCTTTCGGGGTGAACTGGGACCGCTTGGTGGAGGTTAAGAAGAAATACGACCCCAAGAACATTTTCAGCAATAGCTTCTGGCCTTTGAATGAACATGGTGAAATGGTCGACCCCCGCACCCATGAGCCACCCACCCCAGGATATCTTGACTCTTGGCAGAGGGCAAAGATCTATGGGTAGATTGTGTTCACCTTCCTGTGACCTCGTCCCTCTCAGCCCGGGCTCGCCGTCTTCACCGCTCTATCCATCCCTTCACTCATCTACTCGATCTCGCTTAGCCCTGTACATATGCTCTACTGTCGTATCCTTCCTTCTTTTGTCGATCTCCCCTTGCATTCTTGGACCTACTTAGTGCACATTGATCTCGAAACCTTGTAACCCTGTTGATGAATGACATGCTATTTCGATCAAATGGCTACAACAACCCTGTCCTAAGTAGCGATGGGTAACGATGTGAGACTACCTACAATAAAATACAAGAAAGTGCTCCAAAAATGACAGCAGCATGAGGACATAATCCATGTAAACCAACAAACAACAACAAAAACTATGGGGAATAGGCTGAAAAATAAAGACAAGGTGATGAGGTACATGCTCCATATCAGAAAGGTGGGTCTAAGTGGGTAAATTGATGGGCTCAAGGAAGCTAGCTAGGGCCCATCCGACTGTCCCGTTCCCATTTCTGCACAACAGCAGACAATCTTCGCCGTCGTCGACGTAGAGAGGGAGTTTGGGATGAATGCTGGGATGTCCCGCCTCCTGAAGAACTTCATAAAGATCTCCGTCATAGAGTGTGAAGAAGGGGAAGCTGAAATAATAAACAGAGGCCGGAGGTTTGCATGGATGAATGACGCGACAAATATATTTGGCCGGTTTCCCGACCCAGCTGTCCCTATTCCCAGGCGAGAGATGGCGCATGTCCGCGTCATGGGGCATTGGCTCTTGAACTGCGTCCCGGTTCGCCCTGTCGGCTTTGAAGAACGAGGTGACAGAACTCGACCGCTGTCGGTTCTGTGTCCCCTTCTGTTTAGAGCTTTCCTTGGACTCTTTCATCCCCGTCGTCGTCGCCTTCTTCGAGCTGTTGTTCCTGGAGATCTTCCCCAGCCGTTCCCTTTCCCGAGCCTCTCGGTGGTGAGAGTCCGGTGGAGGATCGACGGGCGCTGAATATGGATGGTAGATCTGTGACGCGTAATAAGAAACATCGTCGTCTTCGTAAATCCCATAAACCTCGCCGCGTGGTGGAGAAGTGTTCCTTCGAGTAGCGTTATAGTTGCGGCTGGCGAAGGAATCCGAAGGGAGAGGCATGCTCTTCCGCCTCGGAATTGCGGTACCGCCGTGTTGATTGTAGGCGTAGGGATGTGGCACTGGCTGATAGAAATTCTGTGCTTGCACAAGCTCATCCCTGTCACTCTTGCGACGAGGAGATTTTCCTTTTGATGAACGGGGTTTGGAGAAGAGACTATCATTCGAGCTTCGGCGAGAAAGGGAGCGGGAGCGGTGGGAGTCTTCGCCGGATGGTCGACCACGGGTACGATGACCTGGTTGCAGCGGATAGGGTACTGAGACGTAACTGGAGGCGGAAGAAGAGGATATGGAGGGATCGTTGGGGGTGTGTCTGCTACCGGAAGATCTCTTCTGTGGAGTGTGGCCTGGCTCAAGACTGGAAAGCATGGAATGAAGATTGTTCGTCGAAGGTCGAGCGTGTTCTGGCTCCTGGTAGATCTTCTTCGTTTGATTGATGTTGAGGGCAGAAACCACCTCGTCGACGTCTAACCACCGACTCCTCCAGACATTGATTGTTTCTTCGTGACCTCCGTTCAATTCACCCTCCACCCTGAGCATCTCCCACAGCTCGCTCCATCTGTCTTTGACATCCTTCCAGAATCTCGTTTGAATGTCGGCCAATCTTCTCACAGATATCGACATTCCCTGGTGGAGTAGGGCGAGATAGGTGGGAAGGTCTTGCGCAAGTTGACCTCGTAAAGCCAGATAATTGGTGGATGCCGCAAGAAGGGCTGGTGGTGGGCGGTTTTTGGAAGACACGTTCATGTTGAGTAGATGCCAATGGAATGGTTCCTGTTCTTGCATAGAGGCGAGTAGTTTGTACGGTTGGTTCATAGTTTTCAGAAGATGTGCTATTTCCTTGAGCAGGCGTTCGTTGATGATGGCTTCGAGGTCGACGCAGAGAGGCATGAGTTGATGCTCGACAACGGCGAGGAACGCGTCAAATGCTTCGCTCCCTTGATCGGCGTTCAATCCGATAACCCTTCCAAAGCTCACTGCCCATGTTCTCAGAGCACCGACCACTTTGGACATGGATCGTGCCCACTCCACCACGTTCTTCGCGAATTGCTGGGCGAAGAGCTCGATTCGCTTGAGCTCTTGGCTCATCCTCTCCACCTGGGCTGCTTCTCCATTTTCCTCGTTGTGAGGACCCTTACTCCCAGGCCGGAGGTTCTTCATCTTGCTGAGGTTAACGGTGGCGGCGACAGTAACATTGACGGACTTCTTCTTGGAGGTGAGAACGTCTTTGACGACCTCTGCGCGTCGTCGAATCTCGTTGACGTTCCGTGCCACTTCCTCCATCTGTGTGCGGGCATCTTTGAGATTCTGTTTGTCCGGATGAGAGTCTGGCGTTTCCTCGATGATGGCGGTTAGCAGGAGCGGGTATTTGAGCAGTCGTTGGACAGGTTTGATCAGTAGGGACGCGAGATCCCACGCATGGGATAGCGACGAGGCGACCGTTTGTGTGTAGGTGAGATAGGCCTGTAGAGCGGGCGTTTGTGGTAAACCCTGTAAATGCTGCAAGGCAGTAGGATGTCGAGTGATGTAGTATTGATACGGTCGCTCCAGTTCAGGAATCTGATGGTCAGTTAGCATCGGCGGTTAAATGAAATCATTTCGATACGCACAATCCTCAGGAAAAGCTCTCCAACGCGATCCTCGCCAGTCCCGCCCTCGACAAGGGCGCCGAGCGCGATCTCAAGCTCCTCGGAGAACATGTCGGAGAACAGTGCGAGTTCGGAGATATTGCTGAAGATAATTCTGGCATCGTCTTGCGTCATGGGCGGGCCTAGCGAAGCCGTCGACGAGTCCGATGCTGTCGATAATGTGCGCGATGATGAGGCGGAGGAGTTCGGCGGGGAGATAGGGAGGTTCTGGAGCGGCACTGTCTGGCCTAGACGAACACCCGATTCAGATAGGCGACCCATTTACTCTGGAAGAGAGGAGACGTACCCAACGCCAAAGGAATATGAACTTCTCGAATGAGGGCAAGGTCCGAGGCATAGGCCCGTTCAGAGGAGAGCAGTTCGTGGAGGGCATGTTGGCGTTTTGTCATGGGTTGAGCGGTGGCCGACGGTTGAGGTGGGCCCAACGACGACGATCCGGAAGACTCGCTCTTGCGGGGGACCCTCGATCGGCCGTCCAAGGGGGCCACGATGGGTGAATCTGGGCGGACAGCAAGGGACTTTGGGAAATCCTGGTCTGGGGAGACGGCATTGACGGCGTTCAGAATGTCATTCAGCGAAGGAAAATCAGAGTCCTGGTCGTGCATTTGGCCCAGGCCGTCTGTGGATGGGTCCACGATGAGTGTGTGGTCGATGCCTGAGAGAGGCGGAGTGTCTAAAGTTGCCCTGCTGGATCTTGAATTTGTGCCAGAGCTTGATTGTGAAGAACGAGACTTTGGTGGTGGTGGTGGCCTCAAAGGGGACCTAACAGGGATTGCCGGTGGTTTAACTTGGGCCCGTTGAGCAGACAAAGAAAGAGAAGAAGGCGTCGTTTGTGCTGCCGGGTCACTGGCACCCACGAGGTCGGAGCAAGGCACGTTCACAGTCACTGCGCTGCTCATTGCAGCAGCCGACCAGCAACTTAATTTCGCCTTTCTCTACAGATCTCTACCATCCACACGGTCCCAGCCTGTCTCCAGACAACCTGCACAATGTACAAGCCGCTGAGCACAAGGTCTGTAGCCACGGAGATGAAAATGAAATACGTACCTGCTGGTCGGTTTCCAAGTCTCCAAAACGTTTCCGGCTCGAATAAGGTTCCAGGCGTTGCGAGATTGTTGTACAAGTTGCTGCAACCGTTGCTGGGCCGCCACACGACACGGTGGACCCTGGTGGACCCCAAAGATCCTTGTTGGAGGGTGGTATATGGTATTGGTTTGGGGGAGAGTCCAAGCAGTATATCTATCAGGGTCGCCGTGTGTCATGTGCCGACAATATTGTTTCTCCATAAGGCCCCTACTTCCACGTACAGCCCTCGGTCCTCCATGTGTTTTCTCCAAGTATTCCCCGTCCTTGTCCTAAACCTCGTTTGATAGATTGCAAATGTATCTATTGCCACCAGCCCGATATAATAATTACTGTAACTATGATAGATATAGTCTGTACAACAGCGACGTCGTCCAAGAGATCATGCAAGCTCTTCCATAACTTGAGCATATGTTTCGTCAGCATTAACCTTCCTCTCGTAGAAGCGTCTACATTCGTGCAAAACGGCGCTAGTACCAGCCAGGCCTAGCAATACAGACAGGTCTGTGAACGAAAGTGCCGCAGTATGGAAAATGTGCTGCATAAATGGCACGTAGACCAACCCAAGCTGCACCAGGAATGAAGTCGATACCGTGATTATCAACATTTTGTTTTGGAAGAGGCCACATCCGAGCCCGCGGTTTTGGACTGCAGACACGAGGTCTAGGAATACGAAGCAGGTAAAGGTCTGATCAAAGTGGAGTTAGCGTTTGTAGCACACAGGATGGAGAAAGCAAGGAGATGGGAGCGGGCCAGCGGAGGAACCCCGCGTTAACTGCATCCGCAGGGGTAGAGGAGGGTAGAAGTAACCCAAAGGTGGGCGAGTTCCAGGAAAAGAGTTCGGGTAACTCACCATAGTCTGTTCCCGTCGCGACATGTGTGAATCATCTGACAGGGCAAAGATGTACACAAATAGCGTTCCAATAACAATCATAGACGCTGAGAATAGGACGCGCAGGAGAAGACGCCGTGTGATTATAGACGCGTTCTTCTTGCGAGGAGGACGCCTCATTACTTCGGGATCAACTGGATCAACACCCAAACTCTGACTTGGAGGACCTGATCGACAGAAGCAGGTTAGTTGAATGCCCGACGAGACAGGAGAAGTGATTGCAGCGACGGAAAAAAAACGCACCATCCATGAGAATGTTGATGAACAAGATCTGCATTGCGTTGAGGGGATTGCTCAGGCCAAGCATTGTGCTCAGGGTGATGAGCGTCAAGGCCGCGGCCGCGGTACTCAGCTGGAAGGACAAGAAATTTTGAATATTGTGGAATATAGATTTCCCTGGAAGGAGAGGAATAGAGCATTAGATTCCGTCGAGGAGGGTATCAAACAGAAAGTGACTCCACCTTCTTCAACAGCAGGGAGGATAGTGCTAAAGTTATCATCCACAAGAATCATGTCCGCAGCTTCCTTTGCGACGTCAGTTCCGCTCTTGCCCATCGAAATGCCGATATCAGCCATTTTCAACGCAGGTGCGTCATTCACTAAGGAACGCCATCAGCACAACGCCTCACTTGCCAGGTTCCGAAATCACTCCTTACCCCCGTCACCAGTCATAGCAACTACAGCTCCTCGGGATTGGAAAGCCTCCACAATAGCCATCTTGTGCTTGGGTGTGGTTCGGGCAAATACGCTGACACTACCAACCCGCTCCTTCAACTGCTGCTTCGTCAATTGATCGATAGCCTTCCCAGTCAAGCAATGCGTATTCGACAATGCACCACCCGTCCTTCCGACACGCAATCCCAGTTGTTGGGCGATGGAGAGAGCAGTAGGCTCTGCGTCACCAGTGATCATGATAACCTGCACACCACCAGACTGCAAAAGGCCAATAGAGTCTGCGACACCCTTCCTGGGAGGGTCCAGCATGGCCTGGAAGCCTACGAAGACAAGATTCGTTCGTTCCAGGTTGGATGGGTTTGGTGAGCCTGATCGTGAAACCGCCCGGGATGAAGCTGTTGATGAATCCGAGGCCCCGTAACCATAAGCCATAGCTAGTACCCTCAGGCCCCGAGAAGCAGATGAGGTCGCGCGGGTCATGATAACGTTGCGGGTGTGAGCGTCCAGAGCAGGTGTCGACTCTTCACTGACATAGTAGAACTTGCATCGCTCGAGGATGGCTTCTATCGATCCCTTGATGTAGTACATCTCGCGGGGAGCGCCATTGATGATCATTGTTCCGTCTTCGTGGTATCCGGTGACCGCCATGTACTTATGCTCGGAGCTGAAGGGCTTCTCAGCGGTTCGTCTGAAGGTCTGAAGATGGGCGGTTAGTATCGGATCTTTAGTTCACTCGCATTCACTTACTCCACGACGATCAGGCATACCGAAAGAATCGAGTACGTTGAGAAGCGCTACATCCGTCGATTGTCCAACAAAGTTTCCATCTTCGTTTCTTTCCAAACTGGCATTGTTGCAAATCGCGCCGATATCCATTGCCCGCTTGATGGCAGGAGAAACAGAGCCGTTATACGGAGCGGTCGATGAGGGATCGAGGAAGATTGTTTCGTCCACAGCATATGCCTCGGTAACCGTCATTTCGTTCTTAGTCAAGGTGCCGGTTTTGTCTGAGCAAATAACGGAGACTGATCCAAGAGATTCGACCGAATGGAGCTTCTTGACAATTGCCTTGCGTTTAGCCATTCGGAGCACACCCAAAGCCAAAGTAACAGTCGTGACGATAGGAAGCCCTTCTGGAATTGCGGCGACAGCAAGAGACACTAAAAATAGCGTTCAGGCTAATGGAGAAAGGGATTGGAATCTCAACGACTGACCTCCGATGGTAAACATCTCAAGCCATGGTCGCTGTTGCAAGACACCAAGAAGGCAGATGACGCCAATGATTCCGAACGAGACCATGGACAACTTCTTCGCCAGTTCGTCCATGTTCAATTGCAGCGGTGTCCTCTTCTCCTCGACCTATGAATAGACGCATCGCATCAACGAATGTATACTTCACATCAAACATAACCCATCTCTGGCTTACATCTTGCATCATTGAAAAAATGATACCAAATTCCGTTTCAGTCCCGGTTGCAATGACAATACCGGATCCGCGACCTGTTTCACTGCTCGTTAGCAGCACGGACGGGGGAGAATGAAGCATACTACCATTCCGAACGAGAGTGCCCATGTACGCCATACAGTTCCTATCGGCGAGCGCGACAGGCTGGCCACCGACTTCAACACCATGCTCGAACCGACACTTCTCGGCTGTCTTCCTGCGAGCTTCGGTTTCACCAGTCAAGCTACTTTCGTCGATTTCCAAATCCACAGATTCGATGATGCGAATATCAGCAGGGACACGATCACCAGTCGCAAACTTGACGAGGTCGCCGGGTACAAGTTCGTTGGCGAGGACGTGGATGGTTTGGCCTGCTCTGAGGCATCGAGGTGTAAGAAGTCGGGATCAGACTGAATGACCGGGCACAACTAACCGAACGACGTGAGTGTGATGGGGAACAAGTTTATTGAGCGCTTCAAGACTCTTTTCCGAGCGGTGTTCTTGAATGAATCCGACTGCGAAGGTGTGAGAGGTGAAGGGATAGGCATGGTTGATGAGACGCACCAAGCAACACGATAAATACGGCCACGGTGATACTGACTGCATCGTCTACATTTCCCATAATGGCACTGACGATAGCACTACCACACAGCAGAAGGATGAGAGGGCTCTCATAAATCGTTTTAGCAAACTTGAGGAGGAGGGGTTCGGGCGTCTGGACTGAGAACTCGTTGTATCCGTGCTCTTCGCGTAAAGCGTCAACTTCTGCGTTCGTCAAGCCTTCCGTACCAGATGTGCGGAAGTGTGAGACCGTTTCCTGTGAATGGATGAGTGGGTGGACTGAGACAGCAACAGATAAACAGACCTCGACAGTGAGATGCGCAAAGTGTGCAGAAGGTGTATCCCGCCGATCCTCCTTTTGTGGTTCGGGAGCTTCCTCGTGGACAGGTAGGTAGTCGTGTGTTTCCTTCCCAGTGACCCAATTCATAATCCGAGTCCAAAGAGTCGTTGCCTCGGCGTTCACGGTCGCAGCGAACACAGCAGGTGAAGCAAGCGCCGCCGCCGCCTCGGATTGATGCCTTCGCAACTGGGTACTGTATGCAAAATGCTGCTCTGCATTGGGGGTTGGCCTTAGCCTGTTACTGACGTCCGCCGAGAGTAACGGAAAGTAAGCAGAAGCTGGGGGCGAAGGACTACGTGGTATGTGAAAGTGACCATCGCGCTGAGCGGACCGTTGGGCGTGTCTGTAGAAAGTTGCAGAGCTGGATGAAGCCATTGAGTTCGTCAAAGGTGCGTTTCCTGTGTTTCTTTTTCTGCCCGTGCCAGATAAACCGTTCATTGCAGACATCGGTATTCGATTTTGGAGTTAATTAAGTGGTAAATGAGACCTGCCCAGGTATCGAGGGTATTCTTGGGTGCATACACGGGATGCAGAGGGTACAGCGCCCAGATGTTGCGCGCGTCGTCGTCGCCGGCGTCGATGAGACTGTCGTGGATAGCGCCGGGGGTATGAGAGTTGGGATCTAGAGGAAACAGACGTTGCCCCGCGCTGCAACACGTAGGGTGTTTGGTCTGATGGCTGTTTGTAAACAACACAGGTTCCATCTGCATCAACCACAGCCCCCGGTTTCAATACCAATCGTTTCTCCGACGATACACAAACTATACAAGTGTAAGAAGCTTGTCCATAGATTCTTCTAAACTAGTGTACATGTGCCTAAGTGCCAAATCGTGAGCGAACCCATCGCGTACGGCGCGTAGCGGTCCGTCGGAGAAATGGGCGCCATATAACGGGCTACTTCTGCTGAGGGGTCGCTAAACGTTTTTCAACCTTCCCAGTTCTTGAAGATGTCTTTTGGAAAAGTCGTCCATCTTGCCGATGGCACCCCCGTCCCACAAATCGGTCTGGGTACCTGGCTCTCCAAGCCCCATGAAGTCGAGAACGCTGTGCGTCCAATCATATCCCACACTGCGCGGGTCCTATCGTTAACAGAGGCCAGGTTGAGATCGCTGTAAGGAATGGCTATCGCCACCTCGATCTTGCGAGGGTGTACGAGAATCAGGATGAAGTCGGACGAGCACTGAAAAAGGTCATTCCCTCGGTCGTGAAGCGAGAAGAGCTGTTCATTACGAGCAAACTTTGGAATGACTCTCACCGGCCCGAGTTGGTCGAGAAGGCATTGGATGAGACGCTTGAGCAGCTAGGTCTCGATTATTTAGATCTCTATCGTGAGTAACCCACGGGAGGGGGTTTCGGACGTCGTTGACCCTTTTGCTGCAGTCATTCACTGGCCAGTCGCCTTCCCACCTGGAAGAGGGTTATTCCCTCTCGATCCCAAGAACCCTGATTATGTCGAAATCGATGGTACCACTAGCCTCGTCGACACATGGAAGGCCATGATCCAACTTCCCAAGACCAAGGTACGTTGTCCAGAGGTGCCGGAAAGGTATGGTAACCAAACCATAAGATAGGCCCGCAATGTCGGTGTCTCCAACTTCACCATCGCGCACCTCGAGGGTATCATTGAGGCGACCGGTGTCGTTCCTGTACGTATCTACAGCTGGTTCGCATTGATATATTCTGAATAGGTTGAGACAGGCTGTGAACCAAGTCGAGGCGCACCCCCTCTTGCCGCAGGATGATTTGGTTGCCTACTGCAAAGAGAAGGGCATCCACATCACGGCCTACAGTCCCTTGGGCAACAACTGTAAGTCCACAACCCAAGCAGCGTAAGCAGTCAGTGACCGCAGGGATCCAGTGATTGGCAAGCAGCAGTTGACCGAGAACCCAGTGGTTAAAGAGATCGCAGAGAAGCTCGGAGCGACGACAGCACAGGTGTTGGTAGCCTGGGGCGCGTACAGAGGTTACTCTGTCATTCCAAAGAGTGTCCAGGAATCCCGTATCAAGTCGAATTTCCAGCAAGTTGAATTGTCCAAGGAAGACTATGAGAAGATCACCGAACTCGGCAAGACCAACCGTACAAGGCAAGTCGAGTCGTCAGTTCCAGAAGGAAATACTGATGTTGTTGCCAGGTTCAACGCCCCAATCGTCTCGCACAAGCCTATCTGGTCGATTAACCTGTTCGACGAGGAAGAAGAGAAGGTGGCCAAGCACCAGGTTGTAATTGGGTAGAATTTCGGGCCGGAGGTGTAAGTAAGCACATACAAATAGTCCCGGCCGCCGACGGTCCGCAGAACATTGCCATTCGGATAGATTCGGATCAGTGATGTGTCCCGTCTTGTGCATCCAGCCGAAGGTCAGCACAGTAGTGCTTTTCGTGGTTCCTCCTGTGCACAATTCCCTACTAAGCACCAAAATATAAGGCAGTAGCCTACGTAAGCTGACAGTAAGATCGATGTCTTTTTGGCTACGTCGGGCTTGGTGAAATCCTCATCCCCTTCGGAACTACTTACCTTGGGCGCCATCGCATCAAACAAGCATCAAAGTGGTTTTACAGTTCACCAGAGCACCAAGCATGCACAAGCCCCACCATATGGCCCGTGCGAGGACCCTCGCACGGACCAAGTAAATCTGCTTGCATATGCTTGTGGATATTTGTTGGCCAAACAGCAAGGAAAAGATATAAAATGGGTCGAAAATCCTTATTTTTTCTGCATACTTACCTTGAAGGCGTACTCCCCTTCACGTACTTGGGGCTACGGGTGGCTGAGGCTCCCCATTGCACGGCGACCTTGTCCTCAGGGAGAATTGGTCACTTGTATAGGGTATCCCCCTATGCACCTTCCAAATATTTTCCGGTCCTGCTTCGGCCACTCTGGCTGGGCAGGCTCTTTTTTTTTGGCCCTTTCGCTCTCCTAACCCTAACCCTATGTACATTCCTTTCATAGTAATCCAACCCCTTTTACTACCAAATGAATTTATTTGCTTGCATTCTCCCTGAATGAGTCTATTGAAATGTGCTATGTACTACATCACGGCTTTGGTGGGTCATAACTAGTGTCTGATGCATACTTTTGGTGCATCTCGTAGGAAGAATAATGTCCGTGCTGGAACAACGGGTCATCGTCGTCCTGGTGCAACGCCAGTACACGCTGGTAATCCCTCTTACGATCGCGATTCTTCTTCCACCATAACCTATTGCACAAACTTAGTTGCGTTCCCCCGAGGGCGGTGAGGGTACTTACAGTCCAACAATCAAACCGGCGATAAACACGATAAGCCCAATCAACCCTCCAATAAGAGCGAACCGATTCCTATGGAAGAATCCACCCAGTCGATCGAAACCTTGGGGATCTGGATCGACAAATTCCAACTTGCGATTCGGTAGCTGGGATTTGCTAGGCGGGTTCTGTGGGTCATAACAGTACCTCTGGAAACATTCCGTGCATTTCTCTGAGCGCTCGACAGTAGGTGAGACTTTGAACCGCGCTCTGTCGATAGCAGCGCATTGGAGGCAAATGCCCCAGTCTGGATCCGCGTCGTTTGTATCGGGTTTGAATCCTGAAATGAGGTTGGTGTGGATTTGGTCGAACATTAGACGGGTATGCTTCAGCGTGTATGATAGTTGGAAGGTTGCTGTGCTGTATGACCGATGAGAGGTTGGAAATGTTGAAACAGGGAGAAGTGACATACTTGGAATGCGGGTCATCGCCATTGACAGGGGGCGCGTTGGGGAGGTAAATAACGAGCGGATAATCGGATGGCGTCGACGGGTCGCAACCAAAGAACGTAGGTCGGGCGTTTACACCTGTTTCGATGAATTCTTGGGGCGTCTTGGGGATAGGAGGGAACGCCTGATGGGTGAGACGAAGGATGGTTTCTTGTCGTTGCTTCGTTGTGATCAAACTACTTCCACTGTGCATCATCAGTGTCCTGAAGGGCGAAAGGAAGAGCAGACTGGACGTACTTTGGCCAGTTGAGACCAGGAATGTCCGCACTTCCTTCTGCAGTGACGATCACATCCAACCCGCGTGCTTTGACGAACAGTGGACCGTAAGGTACATTTTCTTGGTTAGAAGACCCGTCGATAAGTTCTAGCCAGTTCGCGTCACTGTCCTGGAATGTGTCCTCCCTCAGGCCCTGGAAAGGACTCGGCCAGTTGGCAACATCATCTGCACGTGTTCGCACGGCACGGAGTTGGCGCCCAAGAACATATAGTAACCCCCCTTCGTCGGATTCGGAGAATCCGTTAATGGTATTGCGGGCAAAGTCAAAGAGTTGCTGTGTGGTTTATCTATGTTGTTAGAATTGGAATGGAGGAGATTATGAAAGGACGTACATTGAACAGGCTTGCACTGGTTCCCATCACGAACCCTACTTGGTCAAAACCCACCATGCACGCCGAGCCGTTTTCTGGGCGACCATTGTTGAGATGCGTGCCCGCGTAGGTCAGGTTCATCCCCGCTGATAGACCTGGGTCGTAGGATGCCAACTCGAGGGGTGTGATCTGTATTACGATCAGATCGAGAGTTTGGATGGATGTCTCGAGGACGAGTACAAACCTCGTAGACTGTAGCATCCAATGACAGAATAGTTGTCGCATTTGACCCAACTGGACGAGCGTTTGCTACGATCATTGGGAATGGAGCACGGAATTCTTTGTAAGAGTCGAGCTCTGGGACTTTGGACCAGAGCTGGCCTGCACCGTGGGCTGTTTCGTTGCTAAAGATGTTATCACGGGTCGTTTGATTCAAGAAGTGGTAGGAAATCATTCGGGACCATGGATCTGTCAAACTGGTATCGCTGTAAATGGAGCGTCAAATCGTAATTCTGCTGCTGTGAGGCCGGAGAGACTCACACGAATTTCGCTTTAGCCATTACGCTCCAAAGGATACTACCAAAGTACCATTGGTTGGCTTTGGAGAGGATGTTTGATCCATCGGGTGTTACGAGAGGAGTGTCGAGTCTCCATCCGTTGAGACCGTTATGCCCGAAAACGAGGTCATTGAGGGTGGGCCAGTCATTGAAAAACAAGGAGGCTGTTATCCAACTTCCACCTACAGTCGTGCACACAACGCTGAGAAGTCGCCATGTGGTCGATGGGGAGGACACACACCTGATAAACCAGTCATGTACGAAGCGACCTGCAAGAGACCACCCGTCCCTGCAGCCTTTGCAGAATTGTTCCTGGCGTCGAGTGCATTCAGACAGGCGGCACCGTACTGTGCAGCCCTCAGGCCGCCACCCGGGATGGCAATCCCTACTTTCGGAAAGTTGCCCTCGAATGCGGTCAAGTCGTATCCAAGCGCTGATCCATCCCCGAGCCAATCAGCCCAAGCGCCTGGGAGGACGGTGGACGCCCGTGTTTCGACATATTCAACTTCGGCTGGGTGAAGTGTTTGATTCTCTGGGGGGAATTGGCGGACCAGTGGGTTGGTGGAAATGTCGGGGCAGTCGACATTGGCTATGGGCGCGTAATCTGTCGGAGACTGTTGGTTCAGAACAGGAATTACCTGCCCGTTGCATAGGCGAGTGAGGTACAGGAGAGTGTAGCCCAGGAGAGTTGGTGGTAGGACACCCAGCACCAGCATAATTCAACTGGAACCGAGGGAAATGGTGGGTATCTGTCAAGCCGTACTCTATTGTTATAGATGTCGCCCTCGATAACACCGCAGCAGTTTCCAGAAGCGCTACCGCGTTGTTGCCATGTTGCAAGTCAACCTCACTGTTCCCACTTGAAAAGCTGTGTCCGGGAGGCAATGAAAGCCTGTTTGATTTGATCACACCAGTTGCACAGGCAGAGGACGGAGGACGGAGAATCCAGAAGTCCATTCCCAATAATACTTAAGGCTACAATTCGTTCGCGCATAAAAACAGATACAAAAATACAATCAGGTATCACCGTCACCGCTAGCTAATTAGTCGTCGTCGTCAAAGCCGTGCTCGAACAGGTAATTGGCTGCGAGCTCCTCATTCTTGTCGCACGCAAAGTACGCCTGGATGACCACTTCCCGGGGGAACCCAAGGCCTTGTAACTGCAATGACAGTCTATCAGAGATGGAGCCAGAAAGATATACAAAATCACCCTTACCCTTTCGATAGCTGCGTTCTCCTCTGGTGTAATGTTGACGACGGTGGCGCCAGGGGGGATGTCTCCTTCACCAGGGAGGAAGAGGTTAGTCAACAGATCAGGGTCGGAACCGATAATCTGTGCAATCTGAGGGTTCTGTTGTGCAAGCTGTTGAATGAGAGCCTGTGCTGCTTGTGGATTCTGAGCCATAGCTTGTCGGATCGCAGCGATTTGTGGGTTGTTTCGTAGGGTCTCGATGTTGAGCCCACCAGGAAGAGTTGGTCCTCCAGCCCCGGCGCCTCCACCACCTTGCTGCTGCTGTTGCGCAAGCTAGAGGGTATATCAGATCAAGCGAATGATGGACGCAAAGTGGATGACAAACCTGGAAGAGGTTCTGAGGCTGGTTTGCGGGAGCAGCAGGGGCAGGGGCAGGAGCTTGAGCAGCAGGGGCAGCAGCAGCAGCAGGAGCACCACCGGCAGCAGGAGCAGGGGCAGCCGGGCCTGCAGCCTCTGCTTCGAGATGTGCAGGAATTCCCTACAGAAATAGATTAGGTGGGGGTTTATTCATAGGAGAGACAATCTTACATTCATCAAGTAATCGACAGCTCGGTCAGGATTGTTGAAGCTTGCCCTCATTGCACGGACGACTTGCTCTTGAGGGAAACCCATCTCGACGAGGTTTTGAACAGCATTTTGATATGCAGCTCCGGAGAGGAAGGATCCAGTTCCAAAGCCTTCCTGTGCAGGGGCAGCGGTAGTCGCTTCTGACGGTGCAGCAGCTGGAGCTGGAGCAGCGGGTGATGGAGCGGGAGCTGGGGCGGCAGCGGGCGTTGGAGCTGTGGCAGGTGCGGCGGCAGCAGGTGCAGGGGTGGCCGGTGCAGGCGTGGTACTCGTTGAGGCAGCAGGGGTAGCCTTGGGCTATGTAATTTCTTAGCTCTGTTGTATACTATCGCCTTGGAGAATGCGCAATACCTTGGACACCATCAGGACGAAGAAATCCTTCTCCTTGAGTGCACATGATTCAATAGTCTTGTCATCGGGCAGAATCTTGCCTTGCAACGAGTATATTCTCAGAATCTCTCTTGTAGACCATAGAGGCTACTCACCAGAGTAGATGATCTTTTGTGCAGCGACTGGGTGACCGTGCTCATCCGAGATCTTCTGCTTCACGGTGCCGATGGTGTCAGTCAGCTCGACTTCGACCTGGCCAACGTTGTCAGGACTGATTAGGACACTAGAGAGATCCAGTTCCTACATGATGGACCTTCTGTTGGGTCGTCTTGACTGTAATCTTGACCATTGTCGTCGCGGTTGTACAAAGAGAGAAGCGCGGCCGCCAATTAAGGAGAGCTCAGACGCGTAATCGCGAAACCAATCATTTCGTGGATATTAAGTAATCAGCGATCTGCTAAGTCCATAATGGTGCCGCCTTGTGGCCCCTGTTTGGGGACTAGTTCCTTGCCGTTGACCGCATTGCAATCGTAAGGTCCCTGGCATTTAAAGCCTCGTTTCTCTAGCCGGTGCTCACAGGTTGCGTCTTGACTAGGGACCATATCCATGGAGCCAGAGAAGGGAGACGATTACCTGCGTCGTCTGGCCGCCTTCATTCGCGACAACGAGAAGGGTCTGGCCGAGGCAGGTATCTCCCGGCGGCGACGAGCTCAAACCACCACTGCGAATATATCCACGGATCTCACCTCATACCTGAATCCTCTGTCATGGATTGGCTGGGACGCATCCAACGGTGCCGCGCCCAAGCCCACCATCCTTTCAACCGACACCCACCACTTGTTCTACGTCCTCATGCGCCTCGAAGCGTTGGGGTACGACGTTGGGACCCTGGACGTTCATATCGATAACCCTTCACGACCGATGAGCTATGTCAATCTCTTTACCGGCCCCGACAAGTCAGACACGCTGTCGCTGGCGTCTATACGTTCGTCCCTTTCGGCTGTCTCCAAACTCTCACTCGGAGCCGCTTTGTGGGGGAGAGCGGAGCCGCCTTCCATCGACCAGGACCTCAAGTACATCTACAGCAGCTTCACAAAGCTTCCGGCACTCACTATCCATGCCCCCACCAAACATGCCATTGCAGAACTCCTTGCCGACCCACCAGGCCAGAATGCATTGCCCCTGGACGCGTTCAAGAACATCCAAACACTCAATTGCATCGACGTCGACCCGAGGACGCTGTTGGGCTGGGATCGACTAGCAGAGTCGTTACGGAGCCTAGTCATCAAGAAAAGCGGCCTAGAGGATATCTCTGATATCTTCATTGGAGCTGTCGTCGATGATCAGGCTCGAAGAGAGGGGAGCCAGTCCCGGAGCCGCCGTCGAAGACTTCCAAAGCGGTACGGGAAAGCCGAAGTGGGATCAACCCCTCTCCCAGATGCAGTGATAGAGGACTCTGCAGGGGAAAGTGCCGAGGAGTCTGTATCGTCTCATACCACCTCTCCCTCTCCACCACCGACCCTCGGCTCGTTAAAGTGGGCCTTCCTCAAGTACTTGTCCCTGGCGGACAATGCCCTCACTTTCATCCCACCCGAACCACTAGCCTATCTCACATCAGTGACCCACCTGGACCTTTCTTCAAATCTCCTCGTATCTGTGCCCCCTGGCCTTGGAACGCTATTCAATCTGATTTCGCTGAATCTATCCGACAATATGATCGACTCCGTGCTCGGAATATACCTTAATCTAGGTTCCATTCTTTCCCTTAACCTTTCGCATAACCGACTGGAATCGCTTTGCGGTCTGGAGCGCCTACGCGCCCTCGAACGCGTCGATCTTCGCGGCAACCTCATCGAGGAGAGCGAGGAGGTTGGCCGGTTGGCCACTTTACCCAACATTTCCCAGGTCTGGGTGGAAGGCAACCCATTCTGCGAGTATGAAGAAGACTACAGAGTGGCTTGTTTCAACCTTTTCTGGAAGGAGGGCAAGACCATCTCGCTCGATGGATCTTTACCTGGATTTTACGAGAAGCGGAATATGAGCGCGCCTGCAGGCCGGCAGGCCGCTGCTATACCCCAAAGCAATATCATTGCTCATTCACCACCCGTGGTTCCTATTGGGAAACCGCCACCGACCGACCGTACTGCTTCCCCTCAACCTCTCCCGACACCACCATCCTCGAATGCCTCTCCCCACCTTGCCCCCATCGCTGCCCCTAAACCTAAACGACGTCATCAGAAGCGTATTGTCGACCTTGCAGGAGAAGGGTCAGGGGGCAACACCCCGACACACTCCAAGTCACGTTCAGAAGAGTCGCCGGAGGGTCGCTCAATGAAGAGTAAGAAGGGACGCAAGGCGACCAAAGCAGCGTTCGCAGAGGCCGTGCCTCAACCGCCTGCACCTACCTCGCCCGAGACTTCCCCATCTCAGCCGGGACAGCCCGCGCGCCGGACGCGACACAGTCGGTACCAGACTGAATTTGCGCCGACAAGCCCGCCGCGGCAAGAGGAGAGGTTTGTTACGGCGCCGACGCCGTTCTCAGCAGGGTCCCCGCCATCACGGTCCGCCACCCTGAGTCCGAAGTCGGCGATGAGGCGGGCGAGACAGAGCGCGTCTATGTACGAAGGGCCTGCTGGTGAGGAGGGAGAGGACGAAACGCATAGGAAGGACAGTGTGGACGAGTACCGACGGCGAATAGAGGCTCTGAAGCAGGACATGGGGGACGGATGGCTCAAAGTGTTTAGCCAAAGCGAGATCAAGACGTAGTAATATCCACGTGACTTAGTGTAGTTATCATGCGTTTAACTCATGTTTTTTGAATTATTTTAAGTAAATGGGGAAAATAATTGAGGAGCGTTCTCGCGCGAGAGGGTGTTGTTGGGTTTCGTCAAGTTCACGTCGCTCGTTAAACTCTGACTTGCCCCTCCACTTTTTTCTATTCCTTCGACTTTTAGGCTAATCACAATGGGCGCAAACCTCTCAAAGGCAATGGGTGAGCCCACCGCCGTCGACGTCCACCGCAGCTTCCCGCTGATGCAGACACAGGGAAGATATTCGGGAACAAGGAGATGAGGCTATTGATGCTGGGGTTGGACGCTGCTGGAAAGACGAGTATGTCGTGTTTAAACTGGCTAGTTCTGTCCTACAACGCTCACTTTCAAATGCCAGCAATCCTTTATAAACTCAAGTTGAACCAGTCCGTGACAACGATCCCGACAGGTATGACAAGAATTTCCGGGTCATACGCACACAACCCTCTGATGTGGCCAACTATTCCTGCTACCCTCCAGTCGGCTTCAACGTGGAAACTGTGACGTATAAGAACGTGAAATTCAACGTCTGGGACGTTGGTGGGCAGGACAAGATTCGACCCCTCTGGCGACACTATTACACCGGCACGCAGGGTCTTGTCTTCGTTGTCGACAGTCAGGATAGGGAACGAATTGACGAAGCCAAGCAAGAGCTGCATCGTATATTGAGCGACCGAGAAATGAAGGATTGTCTGCTACTCGTGTTTGCGAACAAGCAGGACTTGCCTGGAGGTGTGTAGTGTGTCCCCTATGCTGCCTCGTTCGTTCAACTGACTGTTGGTGTGACTTTCCCCTTTTAAGCAATGTCGCCTGCGGAGGTTACGGAGAAGCTGGGACTACACCGAATGAGGGATCGCTCGTGGTATGTTCACCCAAGGTACGTGATATCACCCATGGCGTTCACTGGAGTGGCATTGACCGTTCCACGCAAACAGTTGTGCAACAACCGGTGAGGGTCTGTTTGAAGGCCTGCAATGGCTCTCTCAGAATGTGAAGAAGCGACAACAGTAAACGGCGTTATGACCTTGATCCGCCACCTCCTGTCTGTCCGTTCTCTATTTCACGACGCCGACGCACATGTTTTTCTTCCTGTCCCGCCCGTCTTCTGCTCTGGATTCCCATAGCCTTCTTCTCTTCTTTTCTTTCTTTCCTTCTCTTGTATATCTCTTTATTGAATACCCCCTTTTGTCTCGTCTTTTCGTTTGCGCCTCTGTCTCTCCCTTCTATATATCATTACTCATGGCCATTTGAACGAACCTGCACGTATGAATTGCACTTGGACTCCCACCACCGCCTCATCATCCAACATGCCTATTCCCTTTACCCCAGCCAGCTCCTGGAATAATAGTTGCTTCGTTCGTGTCTCCGCCTCCAGTTCAGCTTTTACAGCGTCGTATCGGTATAGGACTAGTGGTTTTAATAGACGATCAAGAAAGTTTCTTGGCTAAGGCCGACTGGGCGCGGTAGTTGGTTTCGGAGGTTGAACGGATGTCGTGCTCATTGAGTGATCCAACAACATCCTTGCCTCGCGACTTGTTTACGACAGGATGTTCGGGAGAACAAAATGGCGCCGCCCCCTCTTTTGTTTCTTGACTTTGAACCTCTACCACAACCTCGACGACGATGATATTCTCTTCCAGCTTGCGCTCCGCTGCGAGACGGGGCTTTGTTACCAATGCGCCTGTGAATGGCTTTGATGGTGCTATTGGCAACACCCCTCTGGTGAGCTTTCGGCTAGATGTCCGATACAGCGAGGAGCGTTGCTGATACTCCTGGCTGCCTTAGATTTACTTGAAAGGCCTCTCGGAACGCATTGGTTCCAAGATTTATGGCAAGGCCGAGTTCCAAAACCCCGGTGGAAGTGTCAAGGACCGTGCTGCCCTTGGGCTCATCAACAATGCTGAAAAGCTCGGATTGTGAGTGAGCATTGTGTCGGGAGAAGAGTGGATACTGAGATTGGGATTTTAGGTTGAAGCCTGGTGGCACAGTCGTTGAGGGCACCGCTGGTAACACTGGTATTGGTCTCGCTCATGTCTGCCGAGCGAAGGGATACAAGTGCGTTATCTACATGCCTAACACCCAGGTATGTTCCTCCGTCTTTCCGCGATGTAAGGGTAGTCCTCTCACTGCTTGAACGGTATAGAGTCAGGAAAAGATCGACCTCCTTCGTATGCTCGGTGCAGACGTCCGCCCCGTCCCCGCCGTAGCCTACGAAAACCCCAAAAACTACAATCACCAAGCCAAAGAATATGCCGAATCGTTACCCAACGCCGTCTGGACCAACCAATTCGACAACGTCGCTAATGCCCAGGCGCATTATGATACTACTGGACCAGAGATTTGGGAACAGACCGGGGGCAAGGTGGATGGGTTCATTTGTGCCACAGGTACGGGTGGTACTTTGGCGGGTGTTGGGAGGTACTTGAAGGAGAAGAGTGGGGGGAAGACGCAGGTTTGGATTGCGGATCCTCCAGGAAGTGTGTTGACCAGCTATGTGAATAGCGGGGGCAAGTTGACAGAGAGGTCTGGGAGCTCTATTACCGAGGGTAAGTCGAATTCGCTTCGACGGGTGGGATGCTACTGACGGCGGCGGTATTGTAGGTATTGGCCAGGGTCGTATCACGGACAACTTGGGCACCTTTGTGAAGCAAGTGGACGGTGCTTTCACTGTGCCGGATGAGAAATCCATCGCTATGCTTTACGAGCTCCTTGAGACCGAGGGTCTCTATCTCGGCGCAAGCACTGCACTCAACGTTGTCGCTGCCTATGAGCTCGCGCAGAAGCTCGGCAAGGGCTCCAGCGTTGTTACCATCCTTGCCGATGGAGCCTACCGATACCAGAGCCGACTGTTCTCGAAGAAGTGGCTAGAGGCCAAGGGATTGTCTGGTGCTATCCCTGAACACCTCAAAAAGTATTCTGTCTTGGAGTAGATTAATTTATTCAACCTGCTTGTATTTGTATACCGTCGTCGCATGGAGAATAGGTTGCTAGGATTAATCCAGGTAGTATTGAGCTGGGTCATCGAATTAATGCAATGTAAGTATAGATAGCTATAGCAGGCTCTAAGTCTACGCCAACAACACCTCGCCGTCATGATCATACAATTTAGCTTGAAGGGGGTGGAGGAGCGTTGGATGAGGGTGGAGGTGGAGGTGCTTGGGCTTCGGGAGCAGGTGAAGGTTGACCATCTGACGCCTTGAGTTCTGCCTCCCACCGTTCCTTTGCTCTGACGACTTTTGATTGGAGGTAATGCGAATGTGTTGGGATGGACGCTGCGCCTTTTGCTGCCGGCTTTGCTGGTTTTTCTGCCTTTGCGGGTGGAGAGTTGGCTTTGAAGAGATGCTCGTAGTTCTGAACGCGAATTGGGGTGATTTAGGCATAGGCTCCCTTGGAGAATATAGGAGTAACGCACCTTGAGAACCTGCTCTAGTGTTGCATCCTTTTTGACGTTGAGGATGAGCTGAGCCTCGTCGAGCGTCATACGGTGCTGGCGGGTGAGCTGGTCTGTTATTGACCCTGAAGTAGCGTTGCTGACGCCCGCTGCGTCCCCTGCCACTGCCTGTGGTGACGACTTTACATCTATGAGCGTTGATATCCAGTCAGCTTGTGTTATTCAATTGAGAGATGCATTGCAGACTTTTGGCGGCCTGTCTTCCGGCTTCGTAGAATGCCCTTCCGAGCGCCTTGCTCGTCGAGAGCAGAATGTTGACGATGATTTTCGGTGAGGCCTACATTGTGAATGTTTAGATTAAGCTGAGTTGTAGAATCAAATGGACTGACCATTGTACAAACGCCGGAGAAGGGAGTCGAAGGAGACGAAAGCGGTGGAAGACGCCAGCGTCCGATCCAGCGGCGACTTTTCCGAATTCGAAATTTCAGACACGTGATGCGCGAATTGACTTTGAAAAAATTGGAACGAAACCAAGCGCTAATCTCTATTTATCTGGAAAACAAATGGCTCATTCAAGTCCTTCAAGAAAAAAGCGACCCACAGATGGGCAGTCGACACAGCCCAGCAAGAAGCAGAAGAAGAGTGCAGGCGGGGACGCGAAGAAGGGGAAAGGGAAGGATTCAGATTTCCAGGTCGTCTCTGCTACTTTGTCGATTTCGGTCCCTCCTGTGTTTGCAAAGAATCCCCAGGCCGGTGTGGAGGAGATGCTGGACTCGCTGATCATGAGGTGAGCTCGGGCATGGGCTATCTTTATGGTCATCGACGCATTGCGGAGATGGTTTGCTAACGAGCCTTTGGATATTGGTTTTGCGCAGATATGTTCCATCGTTGGAGGGCGTGGTCATTGCCCACTCAAATCTGACGTTCACAACGCCCACAGCGAGGATAAAGGACGATTGTCCCTTCCTTGTTTGCAACATCAGGTTCGATGCTACTGTCTGGAACCCAAAGATTGGTTCTAAAATGAGTGAGTCCTCGTGGCCTATCGAGTGTGCTATCTCAAAACTAACTATCGCCTCTTGGAATTGAAAGAGGGAAGGATAATTCTATCCTCGCCTGACCACATATCCCTCCTCGTCCACCGAACTTTTAACGTATCAATACCAAGACATCATATCCCCTCCGACGAATGGGAGTTTGAGTACGGCCCTGCCGAGAATGACCCAGAGTTTGGGGCGGATGCTGCTGACGAGGAAGGTCAAGCCGAAGGAGAAACTGAAGGTGTGAAGGAAGGCGAGGAGCAGCCAGTGAAAACCGAAGAAGCAAGTACGGGTAAATGGGTACACCGCACGACAGGTGAACGGTTAGGAGGAACTGATAAGAAGGTTGAATTTACCGTGATTGGGTGCGCCTCTAACCAATTTGTTCGCGGTGGAGGAGTGTTTACAATATCTTCTTCTGCAGGCTAACGGTGGCGAACGAGATGCTTTCGCTGGTGGGATCTATCCAAGACGACCCATTTTCTCCTGCGCATAAACCCTATCAATCGACCAACACCGCGACGAAAACCAAGACGTCAGGGGAAGAAGACGACGCGGATGAGCCGCCTGACGACGATGAGGACGACGAGTCTGGCAGCGAGGAGGAGGACACCATGCGCCTTCTCAAACGAAAAGCAGCTGCAGCTGCTAAGGAGACGTCAAAAAGTGACACATCCAAACCTAGTAAAAAGAAGAAACGGAAGACAGATGCTTCATAGTAGACTCTGCTTGACAAATATACATGTCTTCCAGTTGCAAACGCGGGGCAATGAGTGAGCGAAAACTCTTGTGAGCGTGGGTTTTCATTACGCTCTTGATATTGAGGGAGGAACTAAAAAAGAACGCGGGCAAGAGACACGCTTCAGGCGCTACCAGGGTTCGAACCTGGGTTTCGGGAAATCAAACGTAGACATCAGAATCCCGAGTGATAACCACTACACTATAGCGCCTTGAAGGTCAAGAGTTAAGGTGTTGCTTATCGCACTGGTAGGGGGCGTCGAGCTACGAGCTTGCGTTTGTGCGTCTGTTAATTTCAAAAAGCATTGGTTGAGACGACGTCGACATGTTGAAAAACTGGGATTACTGCAAATACATGTTTCGACAATAAAATACAAAGTAGCTCGATCAAATGAAAACGAAAGCGAGGATGGAGCTGAGATGCAGCGACGCTGGGTTTAGTGCTCAGCACTGGGAATGTAAGGGGTCACAATCAAGGGTAACTGGCTTCCTTCGCGGTATTTGCCAGAGATGTATGGTCTCGTTAGGACTCTGCAGGCGAGGAAGTCAGCGGGAACATGGGTGAGAGATTGTAAAGAGAACATACACGTTGGACTTGATGATCTTGTCTTTGGTGGGCTTGAAGACGAATCGGGTGACCAGGATGTAGAGGAATGTCTTAATTTCTATCATCGAGAAGCGCATTCCGATGCAGGACTGAAGAGCTACAGCGTGAGTGTTGGTAGGAGGGAAGAAGGGGAGGAAGCATACACGAGGTCCAGCTGAGAAAGTGAGCGTGTTGTTGTATAATCCAGGCAACTGTCGAGCCGTTTCTGGTTGGTCGTCCCAGCGATCCGGACTGCCACCCAGGTAAATATTGGAAGAAGCTCGTAGGGGGTATAGACTTACTTGAAGTCCCAAGCATCAGCTCCCCAGAACTCTTTGTCCAAGTTGAATCCCTCCACGGCGACATGAACGAAGCTCCCCTTGGCAATCTTTACGCTCTGCTTCGTGTCAATTGTTCCGTCTGCCAACTTGACGGGATATCTGGTTGGAATCTCGTCGTCCTGAGTGGCCACCCTAATCGAGGAATGTACTGGAGGGATCAACCGAATGCTCTCTCTAGTGACGTTGTTAAGTAGCGGAAGCTCTGCTATGATCCCGTAGAGGGTTTGGATTTCGTCTTCGTTGAGAGAAGAGATGTCCGCGGTTAGCTCGGTATCAGGGATAGCGGCGAGGAGTTCCGCACGGAGGCGGTCTTGGATCTCAGGGTTATTTGCGAGGAGCCAGAGCGTCCAAGTGAGAGTGAGGGAGGAGGTGTCTGAGCCTGCGAACATGAAGGTGTTGACATTGTTCAGGATGTCTTCGTCGGAGATGCGTTGGTCTTCAGGGAGGTCGACGGCGACGTTGGATTTCACTAAGGTATAAGGTTAGATTTGATGGGAGATTGGGAAGGGGAAAGAGGCGTACAAAGTAAGCTGAGCAGGTCACGGCCTTGGTAGGGTTTTCCGGATGCTTCGCCTTCTGCGATTTTGCGCTTCTTTTCTTGAATGATTTGGCCAGCTACGCGTCGAATAACCTCCTGACATCGTTCTACTGTTCTAGACACCTGGTTTGGCTACATAGAGAACGTTATTCGCGTTAAAGTATGTGGTCCAAAAGAAATTACGAACGAAGATTTTGTGAATCCATGGTGCGTAAATTGAAATGAGGGTGATGATCCCGTCGCCTTGGGAAATGGCGATTTCGAACATTTCTTTATAGGCATTGAAAAGCTCGTTGGACTCGTTTTGGATGGCATTGAACTGGTAGTCGAAGCCTGGACCATCTCATCAACAATGCGTCTTGGTCTGAAACCTGGGAATGGGGAACGCACCAGCTACACCAATAACATCGAACGTCGCTCGACTGACCCAGTGACACACATCCACGACCATGCTCTTCTCCTTTTCATCTGAGCCTCTAACCTCTCCCGTCGTTTCGATCATCTCCATCCATTTGTCTTTCAGTTCTGTTCCCTTCTTGAATACCAGAGGAACGATGCCACGAAGGTTCTGAATTGAGAAAGCCGGTGTGCCGACACGTCTTTGGCGTTTGTGGACTTGTCCTTCAGCAGCGAGCATGCCACACCCGATGAGGCTTGTGATGAGAGCGCGAGATTGCCATGGTTTCTCGTAGATGGTGGAGTTTTTGAGGACGTAGGCTACGGAGACGGGGTCGAGGGTGAGTAGACGTTCGTCCCACTGTTGAAAGATTGTGAGTTATAGACTTGGGGTTGTTTTCGACAGGTAGACATACCGGTCCAACACCGCGTATCCGCATCGACCGGCCATAGTTCTCCGCGTAGACCTCGTGTAGACGGGGCGATACGGTTGGGCTTGTTACAAAGATTCAGTATGCAATCCGAATGAGAATACGATTTTGTGCACACCTCAGTACTGGTGCCAAGTTGGTCCCAAAGAGGCCAGGACTTGGGGGACCAGCCAGCTTCAACAACGGGTTGAATCTGGGTTCAATAACGACCCTGTACACGACCCATGTCAGCACTGTGCTGGCTGCTGCGAGCCCTGACAGCAGAATTGGATTCATGGTGGTCGTGGCAGAGGATGAAGATGAAGCAGATAGATTTAAATGGGGGGACACATGTTTATTGTTCGCGAAAGAGAACTAGGACCGTCCATCAACGAGTCTCTGTTAACAATAACACGCCGCGATCTAATTATAGTTCCGTTCCCACGCCTGCTAATTATGTGCGCGGTTTCTTGGCGCTCAAGCTGTGGTTGATTTCTTCCTCCAACTTTTGCCAGAATACAGTCGGTTCGAGGTGAAGCGGTGGCAAAGGAAATTTACCGAGGTCGACAGAAGTGTCGCTTGCGCTTGATCCAACTGTGAAGAGGCTGAGTGTGCTGGGTTGCGTCACGATCAGTGCCGGGATTTGGGGTTTGGACATGAAAGTAGGCAGAAAGGTAGGTCGCCGAACTTGGAAGTTGGGAAGGGTTTTTGACCTTTGCATGTTTTTATCAGCGACTATGATGTTCTTCTCAGGGGGAATGGATATTGGGCGCTTGTGGAGGTCTTCGCTCGAGGAAGAATCGGCGGGTAGGACGACTAGGACTCCTTTGGCCAGCTCGAGACTTTGCGTGTGGCCCCTCTTGACCTCGAATACCTCAACCTCCACCTCCTCTGTGTCACCTGAAATCACGTCCTCTTCTTCACTCTCTTCCTCCGGTGACCCTTCGAAGGACGTCAATGAGGTCTCCGAGTCTGCAGCATTGACGGTATCGAATATCCCTGGCTCTGTCTCCGTTTTCTCCGTCGAGCCTAGGCTATCCGGAGATTGCTGTACGAGTCCGTCTGCAGTCGCTGGCCAGGTTGTGTCTTTGATGCTATGGCGGTGGAGACCCGCCATCGCGATGTCCATAGTGATGATAGGACTTTCTGAAGCTGACTCCCCCGATTCCAGCTCTTCATCTACTTCGGGAACGGAGAATAATCCTACAGACGAGGCAGTTGGGTCGCCATGTAGAGGGGATGGGATCCACGAATGATTCCAGGTTCGAGGTCTTGGAAGGGAAAGCGTCGTCCCGCGACTGCTGGTGGCGTTGGCATTGTGGTGCAGGGAGATTGGCCGAGAGTGATCGAATTCAACTTCGCCTGGAGCAACGTGGCCTACCTTGACGGAGGGTATGTCGCTGGAAAAGGGAGAAAGGTCTATCGGTTTCAGGTAGTAGCGTCGTACACCATCGTGATTGTGAGGAGCTGATGTTGAGGCAAAGGACCTGCTGCTCATGTTCAATGGCAATGACTTCTTCGCTGTCGAGGGCGTGCGCTTCCAGAGGCGCCCAGAGCACACTGTCGCACTAAACCCTAGGAGGAGCATCACGCCCGTTAAGATGAGAGCGACGATCAGGGCTGGATCATCGAGGAATGAGTGGGGAGGAGGCCGCGCGGTTGGGCCCATGTCCCGCCTTTCCTGAATCCGGAGGACAGGGTCGCAGCCATATAGGCGACCGGCGCTTAATTTCGGGATGCAATCGTCGTGGGGCAAATGGTAGAGCGGAGAGCGGTGAACTACCTCAGTCAATGGTGGGGGCATGGCGGGGAAGGGGAGGAAAAAACCATATCTTGTCACAAGTCAATAATTACCCCCTCGGGGCTGACTGCATTCACGAGCGGAAGACAGAGCAACTACCACTCCGCTGAGGCTGACATGGCGTTTCTCCAAAAAACACCCTTTTTGGATTCATGAAACTAAATGTATGTCGTGACAATGCCTTTGATACAATATATAAATGGAAGCAGTGAGGTTTTGAGATCATGCGCCGAAAGGATATAAAAAAGAACAGAAGATAATTGTCCGCACTGAATGGTCTCGAGGATATGTTAAGGATCACCAGGAAGACGAGGCTGGGATTTGAAGAAATGGAGAACAGAAACGAGTTCAGTCTGACGACCCACCGGTCCCACTGGTCACATCCGACGTTGCTCTAGGGGGTCCAACGCCGACTCCGTTAGGTCCTGCACCATTCAACCCCTTCTTTAAATACGCCCGTCGTATGCTTTCAAGCTCATTCCTCTCCTGGTTGTATTCTTTCATCAACTTTTCTACCTCGTCGGGTGACATTAGGCTGGGATCTGAATCCTCCTCGTCGGTACCGGATCTGGACCCCTTCGACCCGCGGCGCTGGAGGAGGTCGTTCAGTTTCGCGTGCTGCATCGTGAGTTGGTGGTATTGCCCGATGTGAACTGGGAAACGGGCGCGATAAAGCGCATTTAGGGCCTTGCGATCCGTGGGGAGAGGACCGCGGTGGTGTTTGGAATTGTAAGTGGAAACGCGGGAGGATGGAACCGAGCGTGCGTGGTCGGATGTGGCAGGAGCGTTGATGGATGCGGGTAGCGGTGGAGGCACGGAGGAGGAGGGAGGATTGGTGGATTTGGGATGCGAGGAAGGAGGCTGTTGAGCCCGGGATTTGGAACTGCTAGCGGCGTTCGCGCTGGGACGCGGGAGGTCGTCGTCGTCATCTGAGGACGTGTATATAGGCGATCTGCGACGCAGTTTGCTGCTGCCTGATCTACTACTCTTGGAGGCTCCATTGGTTAAGGCCGTTGTGCTGGTATGCAATCCGCTGCTCTTGGAGGCTCTGGCGTCACGGTCGCGATCCCGGTCCGACGGGGCGCCCGTGTTGGGACGTTTAGGTAGCGGTGAAGACGGCCGGTATCGATCCCATGAAGGTAAGGGAGAGGGTTCGCGTTCACGTTTGAGCGATTTGGTGCGAGATGTTGAGGACGCCTGTTGGACTGTCGCCTCACTCGGTCGCGGTGGTAATCGTAGATGCTCCCTGTCACTCTCCTCTACCTTTGACTTCAAGGAGCTCGATGCTTGATCAGTCCTGCGCCTTTTGGTGGGAACAGGGGACAACCGAGATCGAACAGACTCTCTGTCAGACTCTCTGTCCATCTTGGAACTCTTCCGTTTCAGGCTTAGAGAAACAGAGGAATCCGAGTATTCTCCATCCTCCCTCTCACGCTTAGCGCGAGCCACCACATCCCGGTCAGCTGGTACTCGTTGCTTCGGTTTCCTCTCGAGATCGGATTCGACGGCGCTTTCATCGCCGCGTGGCTTGGGCCGTTGGGGAGGCCTCGAGGCTTGCTTGGAGCTTGAAGCACCAGTAGTTGCCGTGGAGGACTGGGATACGGCGGGCGCGTCTCTGCCAATTCGACTAGAGGTTGCGGACATTTCGCTGGGTGCTCGGACACGAGTCCCTGATCCTGGTTGCTTCCGGTTAATGGCCGAGGAAGGGATGGGTGGTCGGGTAGCTGGATCCCTCGAGGACGAGGCACGTTGACGGTCATCGGCTCTTGCAGCATCGGATTTGGAGGCTTTGGCAGCCCTCTCTTTCTCTTTATCCCTCTCTCGTTCTCTTTCCCTCTCTGCTCGTTCTCTTTCCCTTTCTTTCTGTCTTTCTGCCCTTTCTCGTTCACGCTCCCTTTCTCTCCCCGCCTTCTCCTTCTCCTTCTCCCGTTCCCTCTCCTTTTCACGCTCTACCCTCTCTCGTTCCCTTGCTTTCTCCCTCTCCACCCTCTCTCTATCCCTTTCCTTCTCCCTGGAGGAGTCACCTGAAGTTGTCGGGCGCTTCAAAGGTGGCGCCTCCACAGCATCCCCCTCCGCCTTCCTTGACACGACAGGCTTCTTCGCAGGAGGTTCAGGCGGCGAAGGAGGTTTACTAGGCACAAAGTTGTCCCAGACGGGATCGCTTTCGGGGATCTTGAGCTCCTTGAGCTTGGAGCGAGCCGTTGCAGCCGTCCTTGCCCTGACTGATTCTGACCACTTGAGCCAGTCAGCATATGGCCTGATCTCTGTCCAAGCCTTGAGTTTGAGGCGGTAGGTGTTCGACTTTTTGTTCGAAACTTCTCCAACCTAGATTTAGACCGTTAGAGTATACCGGGACAAGATAATAGGGGGCCGTACGTCGCTCAAGGCTTGCAGGATTGTTAGCCTTGTACGTTCCGGACAACTCGCGCCTCCAGTTGCTTTAACGACTTCGTTCTCTGTACGGTCTTGTAGCGCTAGATAGTGAATTACCCTCCGCCGTAAATCAGCATCGGGTTTTGGAGGCGGTTCTGTCGCTTTGGGGGTGTTGGAAGTAGACGATGTAGTCGAGGTTGAAGCCGACGAAGGTGCAGTAGGCTTCCTAAACATCGTCGAGTTAGCAACGGCATCCTTGGCCAACGATTTCTTCTTGGTCTTCGATGGCTGGGTGGATGTGGTTGGAAGAGGTCCGTCCAAACGAATCGTCGTCCTATTAGCTCGTTCATTCTCGACCTCGTTCTTCCTCTCTCGAACCTTTTCGCCGATTGCATCCGCCTCGGGTTGGACTGTGAATTTCCCGATAACGTTCGCATGTAATTTGAAGGGGGTGGACTTCTTGGTTGTTGTGGTTGTCCTGAGGTAGATCTCGTGGGGTGCGTTTTCGGGTTGGCCAAGGATCATGGGGAAGAAGGAGCCCCCGATGTAGATACCCTAAAAATGCATGTTAGGCATGGAGAGATGTCGTGGGGAGCGAGTAGGTTGCTATATACCGGACTGTCACCGAATTGGAATTGCATCTGTGCCGGTTGGTTTGACTGCGAAGCTTCCAGAGCGTCGAGGGCAGAGGCTGACATTCTAACGAGCATTGCTCGCTTGGGTTTGGATATCGTGGTGTCCCCTGGCTTTGAGTAGCCCATGAGGGAGAAGGAGCCATTTGGAGGTAAGGGCATCGTCGACTTTGTGTGCTGTTCAGCGCTCGACCTGGAGGCGACAGGTGCTCGACGACGAGAGCGACGACGAGCTGGACGACGTTCTGGGGGTGAGGTGGGGCTGAGGAGAAGGAGAGAAGGATGTGGTCGTGGTCAAAGCCTGACAGAAGGCCCTGAGCATCGAATTCTGATGGCACAAGGCGGGTGCCAAGACGGATGAATTGCCAAGGCGCTGTATTTGCCCTTATTGTCCACACCACAAAATCCTAATTCAAGTGCTCGTCTAGATACAATGCGAATTTGCTAGCTATTTGTTCTTCTCCCCAGTCAACACTACCTCGCTCAGTCGATCCCAGAGTAATCGCTTTCTTGTGCACAGTAACAAACTGTCGCTTCAGTCGCTGCAGCTCGGAGAGTGTTACATTCCGTGCTGGAAGCGTAACCCGGGCTTTGATTCCCTGCGACGGTGAGATTGTAACAAGTCCTCCACTGCCCCCTGCATTGCTAGCTTCAGCAAGCACGCTGGACACCATGGATGTCGTTGTCTGCTCGAGGATGTGCAGTGCGTCGGACGGGGCTTTTGCGACCTGATCGCATAATCCAAAATTAGCAGGGCTCGAGAAGGCGGTGATTTGAGACGCACATGCAGTGTTCCAGAGTTGGGGGGCTTGATATTACCTTTGGTTATGGCTTCCCAGATGGCTTCACCAGGCACTGATTCGTCTTCCCAGAGAACAGTGAACAGCGGTGAATCCCACCGAACCATGGATGAGGGTTCTTCGTATCTCTGAATTAGATTATCGAATCTAGAACGCCGTTAGATCTTTCCAAATGACCTCTTGGTTGTGCGTACGTCTCGGACTGATATGACTTGCCGTCCTGGCGGGAGGTGTTCCACTCTCGACAAGTGTCAGGCGGTGCGACGACATAGAGCTAGAACATATATAAGCATATTGCGTCTAGGAGGTGCATGGACATACAGTAGCGACCCGGACTTTGGCCTCTCGTGCGGCACAGTACATTTGATAGCGGAAGCCCTTGATGTAGTTGAGCGAGTCGATGATGAGGATCTTGTTCGGGCTCATCTCTCGCTGCATAGCAGTGAAGATAGCACCTCTGGCTGGTTTCTCGGATCGCGAATCTTTACTGCGACGGTGAGCTTAGCGAGCAACTGGACGGAGAAGAGCGCGTACCATTGTAGACTGCGCGGTCGATGTTGAGAGAGTCGTCGCTGATGATTTGGACGGTGAGGGCGGGCCCATTGTAGTCGGGGTCAGCGAGCTTTGCGTCGAGGAAAGCCTTGAGCTGGGATGAACGAGTTGACTTGCCCGAGGAGGGAAAACCGGATACTGTGATCAAGGCCATGATTGAGAGACAAAAGTGGGAAAACATGTTGGCAGTGTGTGAATTTGTTATTTGCGCGCCGGCGCGGCGGTTACCCCCTCCGCCCTTAACGACTTTCACCTTCCTCGTCGTTCGACACAACGAGCAAGCCTCGTTCCTCATCGCCAGCAGCTAGTCTCCTGGCGTTACCTCGCCCACAATGTCCGTCGCTACCGACGTCCCCCTCCGCGAACAGTCACACTTAAACATTCAGCAATCCGCTCACCCCGACCCCGTTGTCGAGGACAGACTTTGCCCCGGTTGCAAGAAATCCGCCGTCAACGAGCAAGGGGGCCTCGTCGTCGCCTTTGGGTAATTATCGACCCTGTTTGTCTCCCATATCCTTGCTAATTTCATTTCTAGGTCATCATTCTTCCATGTTGATTGCTTCAAGTGTGCGAAATGTCACAACCAGGTAACCGCCGACACAAACCTCCTCCTCCTATCCGACGGCTCCCCAATCTGCGCAAACTGCTCATACTCGTGCAATGTCTGTCGCCAACCCATCCTCGACGAGGCCATCATGGCCGGTGAAGACTCCTACCATGCTCATTGCTTCAAGTGCAAGGTCTGCAAGAATCGCATCGACGAGCTGGTGTTCGCCAAAACCAGTCAGGGGATCTATTGTATGAAATGCCATAACGAACGCATGATCAGAATACGGAAGCACGCTCAGAAGAAGGCGGACAGGGAAAAGGCCCAGGGCGGTAGTGGATCCTCAAAGTCGCGCGAAAGGGAGGCCAGAAACTATCATCGCGAAAACTCGGTAACTAGGACCTTATTCCCCTTCTCTTTGTCGGGCTCATCATCGTTTTCTCTTTTACCAGACGTCCAGAGGAACGGCCGAACAGGACGAGTCGCGGCGAGCGCCTGATCCACTACGAACACCGTCTCGCACAGATACTGCACCGCCAAGCGGTCTTCATTCCAATCGCTCACTGTCTGGCGCAACCCCATCACAATCCCCCGCTCCCCCTGTTTTCACTCCATCCGTCACTGTTGCCTCTCCGCCGCGAACGGACCACTCACACAGTGAAAGCCGTCAACAGCCGACAAAGCAACACACTCTCCCCGTTCCTAACAACGGTATCGGCCGGAATTCCAGGAGGAGTGTCAGTTACGACGACGGCCTCAAGCCTGTGGAAGGAAATCCATCTGAATTCGGCGCATCTCCGTCATCTAGCTCTAATAGTTTATCAGTTACCTCCCGTCGAGACAAGCGACGCTCAATCAACCCCGGCCTGTCTTTGAACCCATTCAACGCCTCTTCACTGTCGCTTGCAACATCTACTACATCACCGCGATCAGAAACATTCCATGACGCCCGCTCTACCCCACCCCCGCAGGATCAGATTAACGACCCCCGTAACGCCAAAAGGACATCCCATGCAGACTCGATGCATAGTCTGCACTCTCTACATTCTAACCACAGTAAATCCCGTTCTCCCTCACCATCCATCACGACCCAAGACTACGATCAACAAGACGAAACCGTTGTGCTCAAATCACCCATCCTAGATACGTTCAATTCCACCCCAAATCCAGGTGGTCCCCACGGGGAGCGGATGTCGGCAGGCCTGAGTCCAAACGATCCCAGGGCCAACTTTGCATCACAACAACGACGTCCCAGCCTCGGAACCGACACCTACCGTGCTGGGGGCTCGCGATCTGCTTCTCCCGCATATCGCGCTGATGTCCCACACAGTGTCGAAAGCGGTACTGACACCGATGATGATGGTCCTGATGCACTTCCCCCTGCGCCTCCTCCTAAAGACCCCAGGATAGAAGCTCAAGCCTTTGAGCACAGACATTCGATCGACTCTCAGGATGGTGATACCTCCCTCGGAAAGGACGACTACTCTGACGCGGAGATTGAGCGAAACACCCATTCGACCTACATTGCCCCTGCCCTCCCTCCCATCCGCGTTTCTCTCACTAGCGACCTTTCTGACTTCCTGAATGGCAAGTCGATCAACGACTTGGCCAATATGAACGGTTTGTCCTCTGCGACACCAACTGGCACGGCTGCTGACGGGCTCGCCAATATCGATGAAGAGGCTTTGACTCCGGATACGCCTACTGCGGAGGATTCGTCCGTGGGTCATGGTTCGTCGAACAATCATACCAGTGAATCGCTTCCTGCTTCGAATGCATCTACACCTGCCACGACGGCGAATGGACTCCAGTCATCGAAGAGTTCGGTGGTAAGCCAATCGACGGTTGTACCACCGACCGTCAGCGTCACTGGACCTCGACAGAAGGCCTCTGGGGCAGATATCGTTACTACCCGACTTCGGGAGGCGCTCGAGAATGCGAAGGAGCGGGGAGCACAGCAACTCAAGCTCGATCGAGCATTCGTTGAAGCAATCCTGGGAGCCTTGGATCAGAGGACGGCGGACCTGAACCAGATGAAGGCCAAGTTTGATGGGGTCAAGGTGAATAGTGTTAGTGATGCCTGTCTTTGGATGTGTGCTCACTCTCTTTTCAGCGAGCTAGCAAACAGTACATCGAAGGCTTCAATGTCGCTCAGACGGAGTACGATCGAGAGTTGAAGCTGCGCCGAGATGCTGAGGCAGAAGTGACCCGTCTGCGAGTCTTGCTTTCTGGTCAAGCAGCTCGATTGTCAGCTTTGAGCGGAGATTCGAAACGACAGGAGGTCCGACAGCAAATGACGAAGGAGATCAGTGACAGTTTAACTGGTCTGGAGCAAGACTTTGCAAGGTTGAAAGCAGAGCGAGATATGACCCTTGCTGAAATGGAGGAGTTGTCAGCGAGCAAGAGGTTTGGGAAATTTTAACTCTGTTGAATCTGTGTTGACTTGGACTTGCAGTTCTGGACCCGACCCTGCTCCTGCCAACAACCTCAGTCGGACACTAACGAAGCGACTCGACAACATTAAGAAGGAATACCAACGCGACCTCATCCCTCTTCAGAAACAACGAGAGCAGCTCAATCGCGAGATTGCGGAACTGAAAGCAGTTCGCGATGTCTTCCTAGAAGAAACGGCCGTTCTCAACGCTCGAAACGAGGAACTTGCCCAGTTGAGCGCGGTGTACTCTCGTAGGATGGATCCCATCCCTGAGGCGCCGCCGAAGAGTGGGAATGGTGATACGCTTCGTGGAGTTACCCGACCACCAGTGGTGCAAGCTCAACAGTCGCTTGCTCCTTCGCTCAGTACATCGACGAGCAGTACCTCCACGATGTATGAAGAGCAGTTCAACCAACATGTTCGGGCTGAGATTACGACTCCTGCGAAGAACAAGTTCAAGTGGCCAGGAACTGGTTCGAAAACCAAGGAGGTCACTGTTTCACCTTCGAATGGGATGGAGTTTAGCAAGAGCAAGGCGCATATCGAGCACAACTTCCAGCAAATCAGCTTGCTCAACTTTACGAGATGCAAACATTGTGGTGATAAGATGTGGGGTTCGCAACTGAGGTGCACAGGTGAGTTGGAATTTCTTTACGCGGGTGTCGGTACTCATTGCCTTCAGTTTGCTCGACGTCAATCCACGTGCGGTGTATCGCCAATGTGCAGATCCCTTGTACCCAGAGTGCAGCTGCACCGCCGCCTCGCGAAGAAGCTCCAGCAGCACCACTTCGTGAGTCGTTCTGTCTTCTCTGATTTGGCGAGGTACTGAATGAACCTTTAGCACCATCGATGTTTGGCCGAGATCTTATTGAACAGGTCCGAGCTGATTCCAAGGGCGGCGAACGACGCATCCCGGTGATCGTCGAGAAATGCGTGGATGCTGTTGAAGCCCTCGCCCTCGACTACGAAGGAATCTATCGCAAGACGGGTGGATCAGGCCAGCAACGGGCTATCACCGCCCTCTTCGAACGCGGGGACTACGCTGCATTCGACCTGCAAGATTCCGACCGGTTCAATGACATCTGCAGCGTGACGTCTGTGCTAAAGACATACTTCCGCTCGCTACCCGTCCCTCTTCTCACGTTTGATCTGCACGATCAGTTCATTTCTTCAATGGGTATTAGGGATACCGAGGCTAAGCATCAGGCTCTTGTGGATCTGGTGAATAAGCTTCCGACAGAGCATTATTATACGCTTAAGAAGCTTATGATTCATCTTCACCAGTGAGTGCTTGTCGTCGTCATGGGGTGGTGACATGTTTTCCTGATTTGCTATTTTAGTGTCATGCTACAGAGCGAAGTGAATCGGATGACCGCTCGCAACCTTGGTGTTGTTTTCGGACGTGGGTGCTGTGGTACCTTGATTTCCGAGTCTGCCTGACATTCGATTTCTAGCGACGTTGATGAAGTCGAGAGACCCAAGCCAGGAGTTTAGCGATATGGCTGGTAAAGCGCTCTTCATCGAGTGGTTGATCGAGAACGCGCCTGTTATTTTCAACGAGAGTAACTAAACGTTGCTACTCGCACATATGTACCTATTTTAACGCAAAAGGAGGGGAGGAATGGGGAAGGAGAAGAGCATTTTTCTTTACTATATCTATCTATCTAGGCCTAAGCCAATGATTCCTAGCTAGCTAGTCTTCACTACCCCAACCGTACCCTGTCCATGCACAACCACCACCCGCCATTCCCTTCACGATTCTTTCTCCTACTCGCGGCTGTCTTTTTTTTCATCTCGATTTTTTTGCATAGTTCCGGAGGGCATTTTTTTCCATGTGTATTAGTCTATATCCTCGACTCTCTTTAGCGTTTCACCTTTAAAGTGTTAAAGTTTCTGTACCCATCTGTCCCTTTACTATACCTTGTGTTTACATTATCTATCGGTGTATCGAGAATTGACAATCGGGAACATATCACGGTGTGTAATCTTGATGTCTGGAGGTCGAATACTTTCAGGCTGGGACTAGTAGGATAACGGCGAAGATGGTATATTATTCGGTGGACCATATTTCAGTGCTAAAAGGAAATGTCGACAAAGGCCCAAGGGTGGGAGGGATACCAGATTCCTCTTCAATTTACGCTAGCATGGTATGGTATGCGTAGAAGAAAGTGCGAAAGAAAGTGAGCAGAAAATGTGAACTCCAGGACGGGTTCAAAGAGGTATGTCAACTTGGTTGTTCGCGATCGTCTCAAGTCTGGTCGGACCTCGTCCTCTTGTTCTTTTGCGGTGACTCGTTCTTGAGCGCACAATAGAGAAAGTGCCTTCGAGGACCTGAAGCCGCACCTGCTACTGCTGCTACTGCGACTCGGGCGCCTATGGGTGTGGTCTCTGTGCCGCTGCCGCGGAGTCCAAGGGAGAACATTCTGTCAAAGACTGGTGGTGGTGTGAAGATCAGACAGTGATAAAGGAGTGGAGGACGGGAAATGGCTCACGGGTTGCGGTGAAGGCTTTTGCACTTGCTTGACATGCCGTTTGGGTCAGTGAGAGTGGGGGGCTTACGCCCTCCAGCATTCGGAGGTAGCGGAAGACCATGGATGGCTGTGGTGGGCCTGGGGTGTTTGTTTATGAGAGTCTGGTTTAGATCGGAGCTGGAGTAAAGTCGGAAGGAGAACGCACCGAATCTGAATACGGCGTGGTATGCTTGTCTCCATTTCTCGTCGAGGAGACGGGCACAAGTTGCTGGATCTGGGCATGTCGGGCACTGTATAAGAGCGAGTAAGAATATAGACGAGGAGCTCTATGTAAAGTATACATACACATTGGTACTCCTTTGCAATCATGGTCAATCCCAGCTTTAACACCCTCTCCAAGAACCAATTTCGCCTCTTCTCCAACTTTAGTAATGTTTCTTGGGAGAGCGTGTTCAATTCATGTTCAGACCAGCCGCCAGGGTTGTCCAGAACGAATCGGCTGGCTTCGCGGTATAGTTCCTCTTCTTCGAACAGTTCTGCGATGCGCATAGCTTTGATGGGTCGGCCGGCTGCATGAGTGAGGAGGAAGGAGAGGCATTCGCGTTGGAGCGTTGGAACGCAGAGCTTGTGGGAGATGTTCATCAGTCCTTCGACGTTGTTCCATGTTATCGTGCATTCGAGGCTGTGCATGCGGTTGAGCCAGCTGGGCAGAATGGAGGGGGAAGAGGGACATACTGGGGATATACGAATTTGAGAAAATCGTGGAATGTAGTTGCCTGCGTGTCTCTGTGAGGTGGTGAAGTGAATAGTGGTCGTTTGGATATACCTTTTCTTCCTTGAGAACGATGACAGCGTCAGGTCCATTCTTCATTCTTCGACGAATGGTGGCTAGGGCCGGAGAGAGTTTCTTCTTGCGCGTTGCAGAAGGGTCTCTTTCCTTGGTGCTTTTGCTAGGTGATGGTGTTGGACTTTTTGCTGCTGTGGATGAAGCCTCCAGTTTTGCAAGGCTGTCTCCGCGAGCCCTTTGTTTCGCAGACTCTGTATCGCTGCTACTCTCTGGATCACTCTTGAGGTTCTCTGGATCCGTCAAGATCTCAATGTCGTCGTCTGGATCTGGGTATCCTTCGCCATCGAGACCTTCCTCTCCCTCGGAGTCCATAGGCGCAAACGTCATTTCGGTGGGTATATCATGCTGTTCTTTGTTAGCCGGGTCAGAGGGCGGCTGAGAGATGGTGATGACTGAGGATATGGACTGTGGTCTGCCACCTGTTTCTGACCAGTTGCCGCTCAGGGCTGCTTCAAAGAAAGGAGAAGCGAAGAAGAGGACTTCTTTATGCGCCCTATTCGAATATAAGCTGTAGTTCTTACAGAGGCATAAAAGGCTGACCAGAAAGTGGTGGCTTCGACGATGATTTTGACTGTTCCTGGAAACTTGCTGTTACGAGTAAATGTCTCGTCGAGCTGGATTGCTTCCTCGTTGTTGTTCTCGCCGTCTTCGTTGCTGAGGTCTGAAACGATGTCGTCCGTTTCGCATTCTTCAAAGTGCCAGGGCGGAGAAGTGGATGAACGGAATATGCCAGATGCTGCTGCGTGAGTTTCTGTGGGTGAACTGAGAGAAGCAGATGGATTGTGACCACGCGAGTTTCGTGCGATTAGAATGTGAGATGGGTTTGTGCTCATCTCGTGGTTAGTGGCCAGTCAACAATGAATCAGAGCTAGCGACAGGGGTCTACAGCACAATTCAAACTCAGACAGATGATGAAAGATGGGCGCTTCCCTCACTTTCGCGGCATCCTTCAACCGTAGACAGATTAATCTACCTCACAGCGATCCATTCACACCAATCCCGTACCAACGGCACTGGTCTCCGCCGATCTGACGAAGCCCTCCTCCATGCCATGCGTGGCGCTATAGTGTAGTGGTTATCACTCGGGATTCTGATCTAATCGTCCGATTTCCCGAAACCCAGGTTCGAACCCTGGTAGCGCCTTCGGGGCCTGTTTCCTTTTTTTCCACCCTTTCATAGTCGCCCTTTGTCCCTGCTGCCCGCGAAGAGGACCGAAAACCAAGTCCATATGGCGCTATAGTGTAGTGGTTATCACTCGGGATTCTGATTCACAATTTCCCGAAACCCAGGTTCGAACCCTGGTAGCGCCTAGCAAAGCCAACTTTTTGGCTTTCCTTTCATTCTTTTATGTGCTGCAAGCCTAGTTTTCCCCCACATGAATAAAGGATTATCCCATAGATTAAATTAAATCCCAAAAGAACAAAAAAGGGTATCTACGAGTACTCCAAGTCCTCGACAGTGAGATCACCTGGAGAATGGTGGTTCTCCTTGATCCCTGGCCTTCGAGCAGACTGTACGACATTCATACTCTGTGTCAGGTTGGTCAAAGGCATCCTCGTCACACGCGTGATGTGTGTCTTTGGTTTGTGCGTTGGCGGCACCATAACCGACTTGTACATATCCAACTCATCCTGCAAATTGTCGTTCTGCGCCTTGATCTTCTCCTGTTCCACCACAAGCTCTGCAATCCGCTGCTTCGCATCCGCCAGTTCCCGACGAATACGATCCACGTAGACAATTCGTTGAGCCGGGTTGTGGTGTCCAAGAATCTGCGCATTGAATTCGATCAGCTCGGCCGCTTCGTCTTCGGCCACCTTCTTGCGTGCCAGGAGGGAATCTATCCGCGTGTTTAGTTGTTCGAATGCATCGCGGTAGGGTTCTAGAGACGCCAGCTCGCTGGTTAATCTACCGGGGAGTGTCAGTCGCGTTCTAATGGAAAGCTGGTATGGGACCCACCGTTCAATTTCATCCCGAAGACCTTCCTCTGCCATGCGGTGTTTCTGAACTGTCGAAGCCAGACGTTGCGTATGTGCCTTTTCGTTGTTCAGAGCCACTTGGTGCAGAGACTCAATTGCCTCCAATTCCGTCTCGCGTTCTCCCAGTCTTTCCTCAACAACCTTCAACGTCCTCTCTAGTCTATTCTTCTCAATCTCTGCCGCAGCCATCTTCTCCTGCACCTTGGAGTACTCGGATTGGATGGTCTCGAGTTTGCTGGCGATGGCTTCGTGGGAAGCGAGCGTTTCAGAGAGATGGCTAGAGTGTTGGTCTGAAATTGATTCAGAGATAGAGAGGTGGGCGCTGAGGAGGGAGGAATGGATTGCGAGGTGTTCGGCATGATGTTTGTAGAGGGTGGACAAAATATTAGAGGTGCGTAGATCACATTCGGTGGATTCGAGGGCGTGTTGAAGGATGGTCGTGTGAAGCGAGTCAAGGGAGGCTTGATCGTCTGGTTGTTGTTGGGAGGAATCCGTGAGCTGGTCGTGGTGTATGGCAAGCTCTTCGTGTGCATCATGTAGACGCTCATGGAGCAAAAAGTTGTCTTCTTTAACGAAACGGATAAGGTGTGCCAGTTCCACCACTTGTGCCTCCGAATTCGCCAACTTGCGCTCGAGTTTCAAGTTGTGTACTTGAGCCTGGAGGCACTCTGAACGTGCCCGTTCGAATTTGGATATTGGTACTGTTCGGGCAGCGAGAGCGCCGAATTCGGAAACGACTTGGTTCAACAAGAGGCGATGGTGTTCGAGTTGGGAAAGGAGCTCTTCCTCGCGGGCAGAGGCCTGGTCTTGGATAATGGAGAGCTTCTCTTTGAGTTGGGTCGCTTCAGATTTGGATTGCTCGAGTTGGGATTGGAGGGCTCGGGTTGCTTTCCTTGAATCTGATTCAGTTGATTTCTTGAGGTCTTCGTATTGGCTGGAAAGGATTTCGCGACTCTTGCGTTCCAACGTCAGACGTTTCTCCAGGTCAGACATGGTATTATCCCGTTCGTTGACCTCCCTCCTTCGTTTATCCTCTAGCTGTTGTAAGGAAGTCTTGAGGTCAGCAATTTGCGCAGCCTCGGACTGCAGTCTGTTCCGCTCGTTCTCAAAAGCGCGTAGTTTGGACTTGAGTTCCTTGAGTTGAGCGCTGTCTGAGCTTCCCGTCTTTTTCAGCTCCTGGAGACGGGCCTCGAGCAATGCCACCTGTTTGCGTTGTTTCTCAATTTGGTCGGTTTGTTCTGCATGCTGTTTCTGGTGCCGTGCGAGTTCGGTTTTGAGGCGTTCGGTTTCTGCGAGGTACTGCAGCAGTGCCAGGTTATAGCCTAAGGAAATGAAAAAAGGGAAGAGGACGTACGGAGCGTTTGCTGTCTTGGTGGACTCGTTCAAGGTCTTCTAGCCGTCTTTGGAGAGCAGCGTATCTGTCGCCCGAGTGACTTGGATTCGATACGTGTCTTTGCACTGGTCCGGTTGGTTTGGGAGGCATTGGATTCGATGTTGATACAGCTAAAGGGTATTAGACAAGGTTTTTGCTTCAAATCTAACGGCCGACCTAGTTCCTCAATTGCTTTGAACCTGTCTGCCTTTTCCAGGAAAGCACCTCGTTTGAGAGGATCGACTGGGTCTGTTGTATTGGGTTTAGCATCTGAAGACGCTGGATTTGACTATAGTCCTACCCTGGGGATTGTAAGCGTTTGGAGCAGGAGTTTCTGGGACTAGTAGAGTATAAGCTTGTTGTATATAGACTACTTAGGATATTGCATACCCTTGAATTTGTCAAATCTAGGACCCTTTGCGAACATGGGGCTTTGTGACAGGAAGCGGCGTTGGAACGCGCCGACCCCCGCTCTCGATCAACCGAGCGGCGCGTTACATCACGTGACCGGATCCTCCTGAATATTCATTCGGATTTTTGGCAATTTACGGGGTTTAGTGGTATGGTCTCTTCATCCCCCTCCTCGTCGTCCCTTCCTGTCCCTCTTTCACAACTTCCTTCAACGTCGTCTACAACGCCCTCAACGTCGTACAACAAGTCCTCGCCGTCGTCGAACGCTGCCAACGGTCAACAACCCTCGCTGGACAACATTCGACACGTCAACGGCGCCTTGGAACAGCCGCTCAACCTTAGCCAGAACCAGTCACAACGGTCCTCGTCGCAGCCCGTCGACGGCCAACACCGCGCGGAGAAAGGTAGGCGATTTCATTCGTTGTTTGATTTTCTTGGACATGTCACTCAGGAGCGAGCGCCCGGTCCTTTAGTCCCTGTTTCCGAACAGCCAACAACACGTGTATCCCACAAGGAAGAAAGTGACAATCTTCCCGAGCTCGATAACCCTGAAGACGCGTCCATGTCATCAACGATAGCACCCAACGCTGCCCCCTCATCGTCGTCCCCGGCCAAGGCCAACGGCGTTAAGCCTGAGAGCGGTACACCACGCACGACGACCGCCACCAAGCCCAGTTTTCTCTCCAAACTTATTCGCATTCTCGTCCCATGTGTGTCAACGTCAACAACGCACCCCATCGATATCGATGTACCAGCGTCATCAGAGCCATCGTCGAAGCAGGACAAAGAAACGGCCGCTGCACCGGTAGAGTCAAAGGAAGAGGAGGCTCCTGCAAAACCTTCGCCGCAACAGCAAGAACAACCGCAGGAAACCCCACCCCCGGCTCCGCTGGAAGTTTCGAAATCCGAAAATGAACCCGAGGCCAAGCAGGACGACGAAAAGCCTGCGCTCAAGGTTGACGAGGACGTTGCTGTCACCCAGGAGATTGCTACCCCTCATACCCCTACGCTCCTCCCTGAGGACGAAACCGGGGGGCTCACGGCTGGTGCTGTTCAGGCTCCAGGCTCAACAGGTGCCCCAGTGGCTGGAGAAAAAATCTCTCGAGACCGTTCGGACGCCGAGGACTCTGATCGTACGAGCTTCACTGAAGACGACGACCTTGAAGATGCTCATTTGGATGAAGACGAGGAGGAGGATAGGCTCATTCTCAACGGAGGAGCCGGTATCCCTATTGGCCCTGTACGTCGTTTAGTTTTTTTTTTCGAGCGACACCATCAGCTCATTCCGTAACAGGATGGAGTGCCTCGGCCACTGCTTCCCCCCATCTCCCCTCAACATGCGGGAAGGAAATGCCTTGTTCTGGATCTCGACGAAACGCTTGTGCATAGTAGTTTCAAGGTATGCTTTCTCTTTTTGTATTCACTATTGTTCGCTCAACTCCTTTTAACAGTCAATACAACAAGCCGACTATGTCGTTCCCGTCGAAATTGAGTATCACTGGCACAACGTATACGTAATCAAACGTCCTGGAGTGGACAACTTCCTCAAGAAGATGGGCGAGATTTACGAAGTTGTTGTATTCACTGCCAGCTTGAGCAAGGTGAGCCCCTGTTTCATGAATTGCAAATTCCTTCCTTTCTCTAACCCATCCGATTCAGTACGCTGATCCAGTACTGGATAAACTCGACATTCATCGCGTCGTTTCCCATCGGTTGTTCCGGGAGAGTTGTTACAATCACAAGGGGAATTATGTCAAGGTGAGTGGCGTGGAAGTATATTTTTGTGCCCCGCGCTCAAGTCTCCTTGTAGGACCTCTCACAATTGGGACGACCGATAAGCGACACCATCATCCTCGACAACTCCCCCGCCTCTTACATCTTCCACCCCAATAACGCTGTTCCAGTTTCTTCATGGTTTAATGACCCTCACGACACAGAATTGACGGACCTTGTTCCCTTCTTGACCGACCTCGCTACCGTGGACGATGTACGCGGAATTTTGGACGGTGCACGGTAGTACCCAACTTTTCTCTAAAGCTGTGAGTCTGGCACTTGTATCTACTACTGTATACCCTTTTCGTCCAGTTTCGCACACGTTACATCCTCGTCGACCTTGGGTTAATCTAACACCGGTCCTCTTTTCGCTACGACCCCCATAAACAACCTATCTTTACTCACACTTTGTTTTATCGTTTCATTATTGCGTACCTCCCGCTTTTCTGTTGATGACCTCTTCTCCCTATACCGCATCCCTTTTTTGTCGTTGCCCCCAGTGTATCCTTACGATTCTTTTTCTTGCACTCACCGAACCACCTACACGTTTTTGACGGCGTCTCTAGCTTTGCTTTCCCGTGTTTTGTGATGGACCTTCGCTCGTCTTACTACTCCGTCCAGCATTTTACCTTTCACCGTCAACGTTTACGAGTTGTTTATAATACCTCTTTGGACTGGCCTCCTGTTCTGTTAAGTGGCACAAAAGACATATACGTATAGCACTTCATTTTTTTTTTTTTTTTTACCAGTTGTCACTTTTTTCATGTTGCTTTCTCCACCTCGTTTTAGATGTGATGACGCCCGCCGCACCCCCTCTTCGTTCACCTCCCGTTCACATTCCCTCATCTATACCGTCGAACATTCTCTTCGTTTAAAATTTGGGCTAGCAGCGACACTTTGTTTGAAGTTTTACGATTTGCCATGACCGTTACGAAAACTCCTTGTTCCCTCTCACATGAGATCCGACTTGTTGCTTTCCTCGTAGGTCGTACTTTGCGTTGAACTAGACTCGCGTGAACTATAATCGACAGACTTGTACTTGAATTCTTTGGACGTTACTGTAAGTATGGGGTTTGTTATGTGCGGTTATACAAGTGTTATGCCAACAACAGCTCATTCCCAACAAAAAGCGAAGACTATTGCAACATTGAACTGAACGGTACTCTTGGGTTATAACATTTAACTCTGAAATCGAGTGGAAGGTTGAAGCAAGAGAGAAAGAAAGCGCGAATGGGTTGGCGATTTTGACGCAGCCCCATTGGGTCTACGGAGGCTGCCCTCGCTACTTGGTGTTTGTCCCTCCAGCTGCGGTGGCTGGTGCCGTCGTGACGGGTTCCTCATCGTCCCAGGGTTTAAACTTGGACTTGCGCGGGAGGAAATGAGGGAACCACGAGGGCAACTGCAGCGTCTTGGTGACAGGGTCCGTAGCCGGGGTGGTGTGCGAGAGGCCAACGACGGGACTCGCGATGGCAGAAGCGTGGACGTGAACCGGCGAGGAAGGTATACTCCCGACATCACTCAAACTCGGCAACCGCTCGAAGCTGTTGTTCGTGGAGCCTCCAAGGGCACGTTGAAGCGCCTCGCGTTCCGCAGGAGAAGGCGCAAACGCGCGCAGGAGGGACGAGCTGGTTGAAGTGGTTGTGCTTTGGGAGGAGAGGCCGGTTGGGTTGAGCGCGTCGTACGGGACGGGGACGATGGGGAGGCCCAGAGAGGTCGTAGACTGGCTGGTTTGGCGTCCAAGGCTGAATGCTTTAGCATCTGGATTCAAACCCTTCTTTCCTCCTTGACTCTTATTGTTCAATCCCAACCTGAAATCGTCGTTGGTGATATAACCGAGTTCGTCCACCGCTGTACCGCTGTGAAGTGGCCATGTCCCGTTCTGGACAGCTACAGGTCCATCATAGGGTAAAAATTCGTGTAACGCGTGAGTAGACCGTTTGTTGCCGCTGTCGGTAAGCGCTGCGATCGTTCCGTTAGCATGGACCGATCGCTGCGAAGAACCACCATCCGTCAAAATGTTGCCAAAGCGCCCGATGTTCCTGTAGAAATCGTTTTCACCGGCGTACATGTCCAAGTTGTATGGGTACCCGTTGGAAGCATAGTTGTGGGGTCCGTGCTCGGCGTCGTCGCTTGAAGATCCGAACGAGCCGCGCTTGGAACCAGAGCTGGTGGTATGGGCCGGGGAAGGAAGCTGATTGTTGGCGTAGCCTTGCTCTTGATGCATGTCCGGACTGTGCTTGAGGTCCACAGGGTGATAAGGATGGGCGAACCTGGGATGTTGGACCAACTGGGATAAAGATTCGAAACTTGTCGGTGAGTACGGAGAGTCATTGAGGACATATTGTTCCTGCTGGGATAATTCTTGTCGGCGTTGTTCCGTTCGCTGCCTCAACGACTGTAACCGTTCCCGTTCCGAAGAAAGTTTATCCTCCAATTCCCTTGACCGTCGGGTTAAAGAAGCCAGAAGATCTTCCGTAGCTTTGATCTCCTTCTTCTTTGCCTCGAGAGCTTCTGACAGTTCCACATCGGGCTGAGACGCGTCGGAAGACTTTTTCTCGAGAAACGTCTTGTCGTCTGCGAGCTTCCCATGCAAAGTAGCTATCTCCTTGTCCAAAAAATCTATCCGTCGCTGAGCGGTGTCCCGGGTACTCTGCGCAGCCTTGAGTTTGCGTTCAGCTTCCCGTTTCACACTCTCCGCAGACCGTTTTGAATCATCCAATGTCTTTGTGCGCGCCTTTAACTCTAATCGCGCTGCATCTTCTTGACGTTTCCGATCACGGCACGAGTCGAGTTCGTGTTGAAGGATTTCGTGAGATTGAGAAGCAGAGAGCTGACATTCCGTTAATTGTGTGCGGAGTTCCTGGACAGAGGTTTGCGAGGTGGATATTTGGCGGAGAATTTCTGCGATGAGTGGGGAGTGTTCGAAGAGGCCAGATGTTGACCGCGAAGAGGGCGCTAACCGAGATGCATCGGAGGAAATAGGCTGGACCGGTGGGCAAGATGGAGCTGCTTGTGAAGCGATTGTTATATCCACGGGCTTTTCGCTCTGGGGCACTGGAATACGCTTTGTGGCATGCAGTGGCAGCGATGCGGTTTTAGACAGTGGCGGAGGAGAGCCATTTCGCAGTGACGAGGAAGATTTTGGTGGGCGGTCGCGATTTCGTAACCTGGGAGGCGAATTCTTCAACGGAAGATAAGGAAACGGTTTGGAACCCAGGGTAGCGCCTATCACGTATGTGTTAAGAAAATTCTACAGCGAACGAAGGAAATGGAGGGTGCGCACCATGGAAATCTGGCAACATGTCAAGATTTTTTATGCTAAGGATGCCTGAATTCCAGCCTTCTTCGTCCTTGGAGCGAGTCATGAGGTCCTGATACCAAGTCTCCCAAACACCACCTCTCCACCACTTGCCAAAAGCTCCGATGTACCATGAATCCGATATTGACCATCCATCCCGGTCATCGGATTGCGACGACTTTGCGACTGGGACCATAGCAGCGATGGTGAACAGAGCAAAACTGTGAAAGACGTGTTTTGGTGTCCTCAACGATATCGATGCACGGTTTGCAAAATGGAAGGGGCCGTTGTCGGAATTTGGGGACGAGGAACGAGCACGGGCGCCATGAGAGTAGATATTCGAGAAACGAGCATCGTGCACAGTTGTCTCGTCGTCGTCTAGGTTCTCATCTAGCCGGCTGAGGTGGTGGCGGAAAGACTGCTCGGTCAGGTACGCGCGAAAAGAGTTTTCCGACGGGTTTGTGAGATAGGCTGTGTTGTTGAGGAAAAAAAAAAGTTGAGTTTGGTGCGTTTGAGGAGAAAAAACTGGGGCCACACCAATGACGATGGATACGATGAAGAAAACGAGGAGGCAAAAGATTGACTGCAGATCGCTCTTGCCCAAAACCAAGCCGACCAACTCTGCAAAAGGATTGCGGAGGGACATGAGACTGAGGCAACCGAATGCGACGCTCATCGAGAGGAAGGCGAGGTCCTTCCAAGAGGATCTTGCAGTGTCAGAAGGATTGTTTTGGGCAGAGACAGGGCGTTGAGGTGATATCGTCGAGGACAGCTTGCCGATGGAACGACGACGAGGGGCACTCGCCGTCGAGGGCGCTCGATGATGATGGCAAAAGAGGCCAGGGAGAAGAAAAAAAAGGACTGGGAAGAGAGAGAGAAAAAAAAAGAGACGGTTGCGGTTGTGGGAAAAGGGAGCTGGTTGTCGTTGTGGACGATGAGCTCGAGTGGTTTGTGGTCGTCGTGCTCAGTGAAGAGCTTCAACTGGCCCCTCTGCGCGAACTGAATTTCCGGAGCCACCGCGGTCCGGTGTCCGGCCGGAGTATATTATGTAATTCCATTTATTAGTCTCATAACAATGTAGCTAAGTCGGATCCTAGTAGCATGCCCTGTCCAATGTACTTCGCATAGTATTTCTCCAGACTCTTCTTCTTCTTCTGTTTCTGAAAACTTGGGGCTTTCCAGGCCTCTTTGTTGTGTTCCCCAGGCTGACTCTCCTGCTGAGTCGGTTCTGGTGTAATTTGTAATGGATGGTCCCGTTTCCATCGGCCCACTTGCTGACCTAGTTGAGCCTGACCAACATCATTCTCGCTGTCCGTTCGACGCAAACTGCCCTCCGTCCGGAGTCTCTTGGCGGATCGCCGTTGTGGTTTCGACCCCTCGATATCCCCATCATACATCGTCTCGTCCTGACTTGCAACCTTGTGATGTCGCTTTGGCCCTTCTCCGCGGTGGTTTAGATTGAGTTGCGACAAGACGCCACTTTGAGGTTGACTCTGCGATTGGGACTGCGACTGCGATTGGGATTGGGATTGGGACATGGAGGTGTCCGAGTTGGGGACGAGGACTTTGCCTGTGGGCTGTTTGTCCAGTGGGGATGGAGGAGGTGGGACCCGGCGAGGAGGTAGGGGCGGTGGATGCATAAAATCATCGTCGTCGTCCACTTGGAGATGATCTGGGAATGTAGACTGGGGTGGGACGTCCAAATCCAGGGATTGAGGGGATGACTTTGGTGTGGGTGACCATTCGCTTATCAGACGTTCAGGGGACGTTTGAGGTGTGGATGGCATTGCTCGCGGGCTCGGCGTGCTGTTGGTCGTGACCATTGGGGATGATGGAGCTAAAGGTAAAGTTAGGATCGACCGCGCACGTTTAATCTCAGGCATCTTGCCCTCGGCTTTGGAACTGGGGCCGGCGGTGTGGCCGTCTTCGTAGACTAGGTCGTTGTGAGTATAGATCGAGGGAAATTTGGATGGGCTTACTTGGCTTGTCTCGCATGGAGAGGAATAATTCATTTGGTATCGGTGTAGTGTCCTGCCAATTGCCTAGTTCTCTACCAACTTTCGAACTCGACCCTTCGTTCTTGCGGTTTCTCAAAATGTTGCTGGACTTGACATGAGCTGCGGTACAGAAGCCAAGTTGATATACTCACCCATCACCTCCACCTTTTCTCATTCCTTCCATCCATTTCTTCAAGTCCTTGTGGTCTTCAATCGTCCGCGGAGCGTCAATGACACCTCGGACGCCCGACACCAAGTGTTTGATCGAGTCACATTCGAGCGCAAGTTGAGGTAGACGTGTGAGGCCGGCCTTTCCACCCAGCGGTACACGGGAGAATATTGCATTAAAGTTCTTGATGACGACTGTTGAGTAGAGCTCTTGAACCAGTTTCTCGGGGTGGGTGCTAAACACACAAGAGTCAGCTAGGATCGAGGGTATGGGCGGTTTTGGTCGTACATGGAGTACTCTTCCAGTGCATTCTTTGTAATTTTGATTGGGATAAAGTATTCTTTGTCGGATATTTGAGCCCAAACGAAGCTGTCCTTGTCAGACCCGTCGAATAGGAACTGCGAAACAGTCAATTGAGCGCTATCAACCATGCGACGGTGACTTGCCTCTATCAACTGCCCTCTGTGAAGTTTTGGATTGGGTGGAACAGAGCCTATTGAGCCTCCGTGTTTTTCTGCAACGTCTAGGAGATATGAAGCAATCCAAGGTCCTGTATTCGTCCCCATTGTGTAAAGCCAAACACGCTTGATCGCGTCCGACGCGACTGTTTATTTATGTCGGTCACGTGGACGTATTAAACTGGACCTGGTCCGGGTGCGTTGAGGACGGGCTTCTCGAGGAATGCGACAGTAGAGGCGACATTCCATCAATGTACCGTCTCGAGGGATGCCCTGTATATTTTAAACATTCCCGAAAGTAAACCAGAGTGCAATGCGCTGCAATAAATTGATTTTATTGTCGCTTGTCCGATGTATTTTTTCCCTGCAAGTATTTTGGACGACGCGTGGGGTAGCGTCGACGGGATGAGGAAGCGGGGTGGGCAAGGAGAGAGCGGACACTGCAGGGTGTCGGCTGCAGCGCCCACACTTGTTTTTTGGACAAACTGGGGACGCTGTAGCTTAGGTCATCGTTGGATTTGGTTTGCATTGATTTTCAGGCCCTTACATAAAGCCAGTTAGCTTGTTCAGCTTGTTCACCGCATCTCTCACCATCTCCAAGACGTCGAAACAACATTCGGGTATGAATTTGGACTCTATGACTATTGATACAGGAATTTCAGACACACTGACGACGACGGCGACAAAACTACTTTCGACATTTGCCCAAGTGAGGTTACACGCTGCTCTACTCGTTCTTCTGCTCGACGACGGTGGTCGAGGGCGCTACCTCGTTCTTCTGTTCCGAAGCCCCCTCCTTGGCCGCTGACTCGGGTGGGGGAGGTAAAGGAGCAGGTGCAGCAGCCGACAAGTTGGCGGCGCCTCCTGGCAACATTCCGGCATGGCTGAGCGCCGCTCGCAGGGCGGCATTCTCGACACGCAGCTGATCGACAAGGGCACGACACTCTTCCCACCGACGATTCGCCTCATCTGCGGACTGCAGGGCAGCATCGAGTAGCTGCGATCTCGACTCGAGATACTTGACATGTCTAAAGAGGGACGATGTTTCAGGGCTAATATAACAACAAAGGGGACTGGGACTAACTGATCACGACGCTCTCGGAAAGCACGTTGCGCCTTTCTGTTCTGCTCAGCACGTTTACTATTGCTCAAGGTGCGGCCTCCTGTGGTGGAGGTTGTTGCTGCCCTGGCTGGCTGCTGTTGCTGCTGCTGCTGAGGGGGCTGCTGGGGAGGTGGAACTTGGCCTGGCGGAGGCGGGGCCGCCATACCGGGAGGAAGACCGCCCGGTGTATAGTCGACTGGCGGGTAAGGGAAGCCTGGAGGCAAAGGACCTGGGATACCGTGGGGCGGTGGATGCATCAGGGCATGGGGAGGGGGTAATGCCACATGCTGCATCTGTTGGGGCTGTGGTTGAGGCTGGGGAGGCGGTGGCGGGGGTGGCTGCTCAGCGTTTGTGCTAGGCGGGGACTTGCGCTTTCTCCTTGTGGTGGCTGGAGGAGTTATAGTTGGTGGATCATCGCGCAAACGCATTGTAGATTGTTGCTGAGGCTGCTGCTGGGCCTGTTGTTGTTGTTGCTGTTGCTGGGCCTGTTCGAGTTGGGCCTGTTGTTGCTGTAAATGTTGAATTGTATTTTGAATTTCCTGAGCTTGCTGCTGAGCCTGCTGCTGTGAAGCTGCCTGATGCTGCTGCATGGTGACATTCGATTGTTGCTGGAACGAAAGCATTTCCTTGTAGCCGCGCCCTTGGTTTGATTTGCGGTGCAGAGAACCTGGCTGAGTCAGAAAATTCCAAACTTGGAAGCAATCCAAACAATATTCCCACGATACACGTGACTAAGCAGCAGGGGGAAGCAAAGTCGCAAGTGGGATTTGTTGGAAACGACTTGGAAGCGTCCATCACCGCCTTGAATGTCGACGCCGACCAAGGTCTCTTTCAGGCAGAAGCTTTTCAGGTCTCCCAGGAAAGACCTTCAAAAGGCTCCTGACAATAGTAAGTTTGTTTATTATACACTAGTCTCTCCCTCTAACTTTCTCTAGAACCTGGGACCGTCACAGGCGATGACCAGAACACAGACTCGGAGCCAGATCGCGAGCAGGCCTCCGTCGACACCTCTCTGACAGCGAGCAACCGCAGAACACCCTTCTATCGCAAGAAATCCAACAAATCTTCATCCTCCCAAGACGCTCTCTCCTCTGCCTCAAACTCGATCACCAAATCTTCCTCAGGGCCAACACGCTCGCGCCCCTCTTTTCTTTCTCGTGTTGTAAACAAGGTCGTCCCATGCGTTCCTGCCCCAGAAGGCCCCTATTCCAACGGTCTTCAAGCCGCCGTCCCACCAGCAGAACCTGCTGATGACCAACGCCCAGCTCTCTCCGTCGCCACCCAGGGAGCAGACGCCTTAAGCGCCCAGCAGAATGCACCTCTAAGCTCTGGAGAAGAGTCCCCGGCAATTGCAGCTGGATTCATCCCCGACCCAGACCCCGTTTCCATCCCCCAAACCCCGGATTCAGACGTCCTCGTTCCCCCTCCCATCCACACCCACGTTCTCCCTCCCGACGAGACGGACGGCCTCACATCAGGCGCAGTCCAACCCCCTGGATCCACCGGCACAGACGTCGCCAGAACCCCAACCCATGACTCTGGTTCGGATTCGGACAGGGCCAGCGTGTCCGATGACGAGGACTACCACATCCACGAGGAGGACGAGGAAGAGAGGCTCATCAGGAACGGTGGTTCCGGTATTCCCATTGGTCCCGTGAGTGCTTTTACTGTACTAGGCTCGTAATTGGCGTTCAACTGTGTACCCTAGGACGGCAACCCTAAACCCCTCCTACCGCCCATTGCCCCAGAGCATGTTGGCCGCAAATGCCTCGTTCTTGACCTCGACGAAACCTTGGTTCACAGTAGTTTCAAGGTATTATCCATGCCCCATATCTCGGTTTCATTCACTCATCCTGCTCCAGGCTGTGCAACAAGCGGATTTCATTGTTCCTGTCGAGATCGAGTACCATTGGCACCATTTCCATGTGTTGAAACGGCCAGGTGTCGACAACTTTTTGAAAAAGATGGGCGAACTATACGAAGTGGTGATATTCACAGCTAGTCTGAGCAAGGTAAATACAGAGTTGGGTGGCTCATTGAACTATAGCTGACGTTCTTCTAGTATGCCGACCCTGTGCTCGACAAGCTCGATATTCATCGCGTCGTCGCCCATCGGTTGTTCCGTGAGAGTTGTTACAACCACAAAGGCAATTATGTCAAGGTGCGTGAGACCGCGTGTTGTTGCGCCACTTGTTTTCCTGACCGCTATCCCCGCCGACAATAGGACCTCTCCCAACTCGGACGACCTATCGCGGACACCATCATCCTGGACAACTCTCCCGCCTCTTACATATTCCATCCCAACAACGCTGTCCCCGTTTCCTCTTGGTTTAACGATCCTCATGACGCCGAACTAACGGATTTGATACCCTTCCTTGCTGACCTTACCACTGTTCCTGATATCCGTGGAATCCTGGACGGCCACCGACACTAGTGATATCCCGCTGGGGTATATATATCCTGAACATCTGTATACCCACCTACGCGCATGCACACACTTGTAACTATAGCTTTCCCGGGTTCTGCCCTTGCTTTCTCTGCCCTTTTACTGTCTCTCTTTTCCTTGCTCTCGACATGGAGCCCCAAAACGGCATCTCCACTACACCACTCGTTTATATCTGTTTCCTTTTTCTTGTTTCTCAACTAGGTACTACTAACTACACGGGTTTGTACTGACTATGTAGACTACTACTCTGTTTTCCGAGATTATCGCTGTTCATTGGGGGAATATTATCTATTTTACATGTGAAAAGTGATGCGTCCCCAACAAACGCGTCGGCTCAAGCGCTTCTTCTTCCTCAACCTTCATCATGTCCACAAAGGCTGCCCCAAAATCCAAGCCCAAAAAGTGTAAGTCGTCGCTGTCGGCAACGTCGACAACGTGTCCTGACGTGTATTTTGTTCAGCGGCGCCGGCGGCGGTCAAGGCCTACCTCATCGCCTACAATGCGCTGTCAGCGGCTGGATGGTCGTACCTCCTCGTTCTGCTCATCGTCCACCTGTTCAACCTCGATGGCCAATCCCAAGCTGCGCCAGTTCCAACGCACTCACTGGTAAAAACTCTGTTGTTCAAGGTCAAAGGACTCCTCTCACTCGGACATGATACGGAACGGCCTCTTTCTTTCTTGCAGACCAAGCTCCCGCCCGCACTTCAACCCATCCTCGCCCGAGCCACTACAGCCTATGCAAGGATTGGCGAAAAGACGACATTTGTGCAGAGTTTTGCGATTTTGGAGGTTCTCCATGCCGTGCTTGGGTGGGTTCGGAGCCCGGTAGTCACTACTACCATGCAAGTCTCGAGCCGCCTCTTCCTTGTGTGGGGAATCACGGCGCAGTTTGCTGAGGTGCGTTGTTATCTCTGCATTGGTTGCTCTGGGGCTAAACGTGATATGGTAGACTCATTCGAACCCAATTTACGCGTCCATGGTATTGGCCTGGTCCGTCACAGAGGTCATCCGTTACACGTTTTACGCGCTGAACCTCCTCGGAACCTCCTCCCAAATCCTTTTGTGGTTGAGATACACGACATTCTACGTGCTTTATCCTCTTGGAGCCTCGTCTGAAGCTTTCCTCATCCTTTCTACTCTCCCTCATGTCGGTGTGTTCCCCAAGTGTCTCCATGCAACTGGAGGCAGCAAGCCCGTCAGCGAGTGGAATGTTGGACAATTGGCGAGGGGTGTTTTGTTCTTGATTTGGTGGCCTGGTGAGTTACGACTTTCGGTTGTGTGATGACGCTTGGCTGATTGGAGGACAGGTCTGTACGCGATGTATACGTATATGATTGGACAGAGGGGGAAGGTTTTGGGGGCGCCCAAGGCTAAGACCCTCTAAGTGGGAGAGCTACCGCTACGATATTTCATGACGAACGTCTACTACGTTTCGCTGTAATGGTTTTACGAGTAATGCATGGGCCTCTAGTTGTTGTTGATACTCTTGGAGAATCCGACTCGACCGCCGTTTGCGTAGTCAAACGTGCTGTACCCTGCGTATCGTTAGGTTTGTGTGGAGAGGGTGTGGGGGATTTCGACTGACATGATTTTAGAAATTCGTCGCCTGTGAGGGACTTGGATGTTATTGGGCAGTGATAGTGTGGAGGGGTTATGCTGCATACCGATGATTGCAAGGTTAGGAGGAAAGGCGCTTCCTAGTCCTAGGATCCCACCGACACAGTCCCTGGACGTCATTTAGATCGTTAGCTCAGTGATAAAGCGATTGATTACTTTGAATTCGCATCGGTTCGTCCTAGGATGGTGTAAGTTGGAAGGACGAGTGTTGATGGGTGCACGCACCAAGGTTAAAATCGAACGGGTGGATTGAAAATGCTTGTCCATCGAATGAAAAGGATATGTCCAGGGGTGAAGAGCATGGATAGGTGTATACACCTGCGAAATCATCGTTGGTGGCAAGTATTGCAGAAGGGAAGGGTGCTGACCTGCTCCGTATTGGGTCGCCGGTTTTGAGCCCGGGATCTACATCCGCTTCAGTATAGTCCGAAGTCTTTCACGAAGCACCCTACCAGTTTATAAAAGTTCAGGGCAATGTCATCAGGGAGGTAAATGAGTGTTGTCCCCGTGTCGATCGCCTTTTGGCGCATTAGTAGTTCTGTGAGTTCACTGCGGAACACGGAAATCCGGATGTACTCACAGCGACCAATTGGGTTGCGATCGAGTTGCCCTCGGAATTGACGGCGATATTGTCGAGTGACAGGGTCCAGTATGTTTTCGAGACAACCGGTAGCCATGATATTGGCCCTACGGCTTTAGAACCGTCGTAGCACCCGAAGCACACCTACCGAACGCGTCAATAGGATTCAGGGGGTTTTCAACCGAAGAAGCTCAACCTCGGATCCACTTTGCTGATTCCTAGCCAAATGGATCGAAAACAATGGAAGTCCCACATGTTTCCTCCTAATCAAGTTCTCGAAAAAGGTGGGTTTGTTGGTTTGTGAGATGGTCCCGAATGCGAGTCCTAGAAGGCCATCGTTGGGATATCCAGTAAAGTCGAGTGACTCGGAGGTGATGAGTGCAAAGGTTTGGTCTTCTATTTTGAGACCTTGGATTGAGACGACGTCTGTTACCACTGTGCCTACTACGTCGCCTGAGCCCTGATTGTATATGGTTAAGGCCCAATGTGAAGAATGCCAGAAGTCAAATAGACGAACGTATGATATTTGGAATGACTCGCTTTGAGATGAGTTGAATGTCGTGCTTCGGGAAGGGACAAACTGTTTATTGGTGCATTCCCTACATTCGTCCCCTGGTATCCAAAGATCCGCAGAACCGGTATCGATATCCACAGTCAACCTCTGCGGAGGCGTACCGAAGTCCAGAGGACCGTAGTATAAAACGTCGAGTGTCCCGTCAATGTCGTCGATGAGGGGTAAGACGGCGGTTGTTTCAGTTAGGATCGGTGGGATGAGAGGAACATCGTCCGCATATACTTTTGAGGAATCGGAGCCGGGATGAGGGCGGAGAACGTTGCTGAGGGGGTTGACTGGAAAGGTGTGGGAGATGTCCGGTGGTCCGTTGGGACTTAACCCCACTCCTGCGAGGACCTTTGCGGCTTGTTCGTACTTGGAAAGGAGGGAGCGGAGCTCTTGTTTCTTGGGGGAGGTCAGTGAAAGGATACAACCAGCGAGGAAGGAGAATCGAGACGAACTGCGAGTGCTGCGTCAAAGAGGCGGGCTTCGGGGGTTGTGTGTAGAGGAGGCTTTTGGCGCATGGAACGTTGTTGGAAGATGGCTATGAATCGGCCATTTTGTGCTGGTCGGGCAGTAGTTTGGTACGAGAGGATCGTCAGGTGAACCCAGAGCCAGGTAAGGGTGAAATAAACCATTGTGAAAGTTAGATGGTAAGAATTAGGGCATTTTGGAATGGAACATCTGAATGGTGCACGAGATTCTGAAGTGGACTGGTGGTCATTGTCGCAATCAGGGAGCTAAAGCGCAGGCGTGATGCGAGTTGGGCAAGAGAGTCCAGACTGGATTCGAAGAGTACTAATATACAATTTGAATTCATTGGGAGTCCTGTGATCCACTCGTCAAAAGACGGAAAGCGAGCATGAACGAAAAGCCACAACCAAAATTTTCATGTTCTCTGCACTCCTCATCTTCTCTGCAGAGGATCGGGATCGGCGAAAGGGTCCTCTGATTGGACGAGTGGGCGTGTACTGTGCGGGGAGTGTAATGGCACCATGGTGATATCGTCATAGTCCTGGTGGTACCTCTCCCTTGTCGGGCTTCCCAGATGCCTATCACCTGCAAAAGAGGCAGCAGGTGGCTTGTTCAGGCTTGTAGGTGAAGCCAAGGTCGAGGCCCTTGGTGTATCTGGAAGCGTAGGCTTGTTATCGAAGTTCCTCCATCCTTCGCTGTTTAGTTTCCAGCGCCCACTGTTGCGATGAGCTGCAGAGGGGGAGGATGATCCTCGGCGTTTGAGGTAGAGTAGTGTGATTATGACTGCGGCAATAACGGCAAGGGCGCCTAGTATCCCTCCAGCTATCACACCCCGACGAGAGGTGTGGTTTTCTCCCTGAGCAACCGCTGAAGAGGGGGCCGGGTGACTGCGGGTGATGGTGTAAGTCGTGGGCGTAAGTGTAATTGTACTACGAGTCGGTCGAACGGAGTCAGAGAGGGAGGCTGGAATAAGGCGAATGGTGGAGCTGGCGCTGGCTAATGCGGGTGTTGTTGATGCTGCTGATAAGGAGATTATCGATTCGTTACTGGTGTCTTGGCGGGCGACGAATGCAGCGAAGGTGAATAATGGAAAGAGGGAAGCTGCTCTGATCAGTGCCAGGGCAAGGGCTGGGGATGGGCGCATGGTGGGCGCTCGGTGAACCGTCGAAGGTGGTATAGCGTCCCCTGAGCTTCGAGGTCCTTATATGTTGTTCTCAAGAAGTCCGGGTTATTCCCGCTGGTACACATAAACCTAGCCCTGATATAGTGCCTTCATCAGCGTCAAGATAAACTTAGTATATGAGGAAAAAGCTGGAGCTGACCCTGTGACCTTCCGACTCGGAGGCGTCACTGAGTCTCGAGTCTCTGATTCGGCGGCTGGTTGTATTCACAATTTCGCTACCTGAACGCAACCAAAGTGTTAGACAAGAGATAGCCGGTCGCTTCCATACAACCTTTCCGTCATGGTTCTGCCAGCCATACTCATCTGCCAGCTCTCACTTTTGGTGTTTCTTCGTGGCGCCTTAGTTGTGGCGGAGAGATACCGCTTGAAGGACAGTTTTATTGGTTCGGAATTCTTCGATTCGTGGACTTGGGAGACGTTTCAGGACCCTACTCACGGACGTGTCAATTATGTTGATCTGCAGACGGCCCTTCGGAATAACCTGTCTTACGGTGAGTAGCCTCCGTCATATAACCAAAAGAGGGTTGACTCGACCCTATTCTGAATGGACGTCAGCCACGGAGGATAAATTCGTGATGAGGGCGGACCATTGGAGCACGATTCCGCCATTTAGTCGTGGAAGGGACAGTATCCGGGTAAAATCGAAGAATGCGTATACGGAGTCGTTAATGGTGTTAGATTTGGAACACATGCCGGAGGGATGTGCGACTTGGCCTGCGTGGTGGACGCTGAGTAGGAATGGTCCGTGGCCAAATGGAGGAGAAATAGATATCATCGAAGGTACGCCTTGGAGTGCAGATGAGAGGTTAGCAAATGTCAACAGGTAAGTAGGTGTCAATCGCAATGCCCAGAATGCGGCGACTTTGCATACGAGCGCAGGATGCACTATGGCCGCTGTAAGAAGACAGGCAGGGTGAGTAGACATTTGTCCCGTCTACAGTGCGGCACTAAACGGTGATTGTTTAGTGCATCATCATCAACCGACTGTGACGCTGCAGCAAATGGAAATCAAGGATGCGGGACGACCTTCTCAAGGACCAGCTCGTATGGGTCTGCATTCAATCAGCAAAATGGTGGATGGTTCATCATACAAAGATCTTGGAGTAAAGGTATAAACGTCTGGTTCTGGTCTCGACATGACGAAAAGGTTCCTGCGTGTGTCAAGTACGGATCAGGGCTGATGGAGATTGGAGACGATTGGGGCTTACCTGAGGCTTCATTTACGTTCGAGACGTGCCCCTATAGCGAGCACTTTGACGAGCACCAGATTATCTTCGACCTTACGTTTTGTGTAAGTTATTTCGTTCTGGGAAAACGCGACCTGACACGAATTTCAGGGAGATTGGGCTGGGAGTACGTTTGGCGCTTCTGGATGCGGAACCATGGCGTGCGACGACTGTAAGACAACCTGCCCATCGTCAAACCAGACTAATCTCGCTATAGACGTCGACCACAATCCTTCTGCTTTCGAGAACGCTTTCTGGGAGATCAATAGTTTGCGGGTATATACGCCTTTGAAAGAGCTTTGGGACAAGGAGCATTTCCTTGGCATCGCACATTTGTTACTTTAAAGCTCCGAAAGAATATGACGCGGTCACATGACTGATGATGTTCGCACGCTGCCTCATGTTCTGGTCAGTTCAGTTGGAATCCCTGGCACAGCTTCAACCGAGTCCTTCATCCTTTTACCATGGTAAGCTTATTTAGTCGACGTTGTAGACGTTTCTGACAGCGGTAAAGGACTTTCTACAGTTATCAGACAAGCTGAAGAGCGATATAGCCCTCCCAGACGCTGAAGATACCTGGGAACGTGTAGCCAAGGCTCTCACCTCGCTCAAACAGTCTTGCGACGCTCGCCAATTCGACGAACCCAGTGATGTCGTCCAGACAATCAAGACATTTCAGACCTCGATTATCAACTCGATGAACTCGGAGAGGACGAGATTGTGCTTGGCCGCGCTAGATTTGGTGGATGCTGTGGCAGTCGCCTGCGAAGTCAAGTTCGAACCTCTCATTCCTGTTCTCCTCCCGGCCTTGTTAGTGCTGTGTGGGAGGACGAATAAGGTTATCGTCAACAGAACGAAGGGGTGCATCATGTCGATCGTGGAGTGCACGCAGGTTGCGGGCGTTCTTCCGTATTTCCTCGGCCAGCTTGGGGAGAAGGCGAACACAGTGCGACTGGTTGCCGCTGAAGCTGCGCTGGCGTGCGTCAAGTGCTGCAACCCACCAGACTTGGAGAAGGAAGCGAGAGCAGGGGATATTGAGAGTATTATTCGCAAGGCAGCCAGGGATGCGAATGCAGATGTGAGAAAAGTCGGACGAGAGTTGTTTGGAGCGTATAAGATTCTATTACCTTCCCGTGTCGATCGGTGAGTTCTCACTTATGGATGTGTTCCAATGCATGCTTAGGGTATATTTACTAGATTCACTGCTCCACTGACCCCGACAATAAGAAAATATCTCGACATCAAGAGCGCCCCTGCTGCTGCCAGCAAGCCAGGAGCTAGTCTCACGAGGGTAAAATCGATGTCGGCACTCAATGTCAACAGGGCTATCGAGTCCTCCAAGGCTGCTGGCAAGCATTCACGGAATCCTTCCGTCAATACAATGGCTACTACGAGTAGCGTCGCCACCGCAGCATCGAAGGAGCCCTCCAGACCACGGCCAGCCTCTCGCATGGATCGCCTCCAGAAATCCACTACCACGTCGCAGCCCGCCACTCGCACTGTTCCAACGACAAAGCCAGTTCAACCGACAAGGCCGGAACAACCGAAAAAATTGGTCTCACAATCTGGAAGTGCAGGGCCGTCGAGGGTGATTGCACGACCAGCGTCTGCAGAACCTACTTCCCAGGCTGCCATCCGACCTCAAAGAACAATGCCTACTGGTGTCACTCGTTCGCTCACAACCCGTCCCCCCGTTGCATCGGGATCAACCCTCAACGTTTCTGGCCCACGTCGTGTCCCTCTCCCTCCTCCGTCCCTCTCTCAATCTCAATCGAGTGATAAACAGCCAAGTCGACCGAATTCAGTGCAGGGCCGACGTATACCTGCCAAGGGTGTGGAGAAGCCGACGTTCAGTACGAGTAATAGTACAACCACCAGTCGAACAGTCACGAGAACGGTCACAAAGGCAGCGGAGAAACCGACGAGTCGACCAACGAGGCCGACCACCAAAGCTGTGGCGTCGAGTTCTTCGAATTCGATGCCTCCCCCCAAGGTCCCTGCCAAAGCACGACCGGGTTTGACCCAGCCAACTTTGGCACAGATGGCGAGAATGAAGGATAACGTTGTTCGCAAACCTGCTGCTGCGACTTCAAAGGCTGTTGCACCCCTTGCTGCGAAGACTGCAACCAAAGCCGGCTCTTCGAGCAAGGTGGTCGCTGTCACCAAGACAAAGGCGGGATCGGTCCTACGTGACGGTGCACCCAGGTCGAATGCGAAGGAAGCTCCCGTTGTGGTTGCCAAAGACGCAGTGGTCGAGGAAAAGGTAGAGCAAGAGAAGGCTGAGGAGATCGTTGAAGAGGAGCAGGCCGAACGAAAGTTGATTGTAGTGATTGCAAAGGAGGAGGAAGAGGAAGCGGGACAGGTCCCTCAGCATTTGCCCGCTGTTGTTGTAGAATCCGCCGACGACACGCTTGAAGGGGAAGACGATGACCATGACATGGAAGAAGTCGAGATCCCAGCACCAGGGGCTTCCGATGACAAGAGTCCCATTACACCGAACGCCCCCATTACACCTCCGAATCCCAACATTCAGCTCGGCATCTCGTGGAATGTCCACGAAGCCAAGACCCCCATCTCCGCTTTGCTCAGCTCCATTCAGCAAGGATTTGAATTCTCACCCGCGTCACCTCTCTCCCCTCCGCAAGGATATCAGGACGTTCAGCCTCTCGCGCTATTCTGAACGGGCCGCATTAGGATTTTAGGATATATCCCGACATTATGTAGCATTTTCTAATTACGGTTTTGCCATATAGAGTTTGTTGAGCAGCGACGTGGCAAATGTCGATGTTGCTGGCAACTACGAGTGTGCCTGGAAAGTCGTTGATTCTCTGAGTAAATTTGAGCGCCAATTGCATGGCAGAAGACGGTGATGACGGACCACTAGTGAGAAAGGTATCGACGACCCTTTGCGAGTCTGTTGGCAAGGACGCGACGACCGGCCGCTGTCTTCTTGCGTGCGAGGAAGCCGTGTCTGCGCTTTCGTTTACGTTGGGAAGGCTGGTATTCGACGCCCTTCTGGACTGAGCGCGCTTGCATGAGAGCTCCGAGGACTGGCGACCGGGAGAGGGAAAATGCGGGCTGTGGCAGGAAGCTAGACGACGTCAAGGACGGTCTGTGGAACGTCGAGCGCAGCGACGAGAGTGGCCATTGCTGGGTCGGACGCGACGAAACTGCGCGAGGGACGACGTCGGTGACGAGCCTTGGCAAACGAGCCAGGAACTGGAGGAGACGAGGCATTTGGTTCAATTGCAAAAGGCAATGTCCACCGACCGACTTTGTGGAAATGGGAATCTTTGCCGGCACGTGACTTTTGAGTGGTGTCGTGACTTTCTCGAGTCAGTCGGATTCTTCATTTAGTCCAAGGCAGATGCACAGAGCCCAGCTTTTTTACAGACGCTCATCATCGCCCTGGTTCTGTCGTCGTCGCTGGCTGGCAACAATGTCCTCAAATTCACAGTACACAGGTCCCTGGACATCCCGCCGTGTCCGAGAAGAATTCTTCGAGTACTTCAGGGCTAGGGACCACACTTTTGTTCGTTCGTCCCCGACAATCCCTTTCGATGACCCGACTCTGCTCTTCGCCAATGCTGGCATGAACCAGGTGGGTGATAAGCTTCCTGGCCCTTCAGATCAGCTAAAAACGCTTCTCTAGTACAAATCAATATTCCTGGGCACCGTCGATCCCAACTCTGAGCTTTCCAAGGTCAAGCGTGCCTTCAATTCCCAGAAGTGTATCCGTGCTGGCGGAAAACACAACGGTATGTCTCCATTCGTCGACGATAAGCCTGTTATTCACGATCCAAAGATCTCGACGACGTTGGAAAGGATTCCTACCACCACACCTTTTTCGAGATGTTGGGCAACTGGTCCTTTGGCGATTATTTCAAAGTGAGCATTGCGTTTTCGTCCTGATCTTTTGGTTCTGATGATTTGTTTAGAAAGAAGCTATCAAGTACTCCTGGGATTTGTTGACTCGCGTATACGGCCTCTCCCCGGATCGACTCTACGTCACATACTTTGAAGGAGACCCCGCCAACGGTCTTGAACCCGATTTGGAAGCCAAAGAGTGCTGGCTCGAATATTTGCCTGAGGACCGTGTCCTTCCTGGAAATGCAAAGGATAACTTCTGGGGTGCGTGGTGTCACCCTCCCGAGTTGGATTTGGCTAACCGACGTGGCAGAGATGGGCGCTACCGGTCCCTGCGGTCCCTGCAGGCGAGTTTAGACGCCACCACCTCGATTGCAACATGTATTAACTCAATTGCAGCGAAATCCACTACGACCGAATTGGTGGACGCCAAGCTGCCCACCTTGTCAATCAGGACGACCCCGACGTTCTCGAGATCTGGAACAATGTCTTTATCCAGTTCAACCGCGAACCTGATGGCACCCTCAAGCCCCTCCCCGCCAAACATGTCGATACAGGAATGGGCTTTGAGCGACTCGTTTCAGTTATTCAAGACAAGCGATCCAACTACGACACCGACGTTTTCACGCCTATCTTTGCCAAAATCCAAGAGTTGTCGGGTGTTAGGCCATATGAGGGTCGATTTGGTGCTGATGACGCGGATGGCATTGACACTGCCTACCGTGTTGTTGCAGACCATGTTCGAACTTTGACCTTTGCCCTCAGCGACGGGGGTGTTCCCAACAACGTCGGGCGAGGATACGTCCTGCGACGTGTTCTTCGACGAGGTTCGCGGTACGCCCGCAAAAAGCTCGGTGTCCCTATCGGATCCTTCTTCTCTTCCCTTATGCCCGTTGTGGTTGAGACTATGGTAAGTTAAGATGTACACCGCCTATCGTCCATCAACTCACGCCCCTTTCAGGGTGACATTTTCCCCGAGATTACCAAGAAGGTGGATGATATCAAGGAAATCCTTGACGAAGAGGAGGAATCCTTCTCCCGCACCTTGGATCGTGGTGAAAAGCTCTTTGACCAATACGCCGCCAAAGCCAAAGCCGAGGGCAGAAAGGAGCTCAGTGGTGCTGATGTCTGGCGACTCTACGATACCTACGGTTTCCCCGTTGATCTCACCCGATTGATGGCTGAAGAGTTGGGCTTGGGTATCAATGATGCGGAGTTCGAAGAGGCACAAAGAAAGTCCAAGGAGGCGAGCAAGGGTACCGCCAAGAAGGACACTGCTGAAATCGTCAAGCTCGACGTCCATGAACTGGCTATCCTCGAGAAAGACGACAGCGTTCCTAAAACCGATGATTCTGCCAAGTTCGGTCAGTGCTATCGCTCTCCTCCCGGGTTTATCCTATCTCAACGTGCTCTTCGACAGGCACTGGTAACATTACTGCCACTGTCAAGGCCATTGTCTACGACAAAAAGTTCCTCACTTCCACCCAGGATATCCCCGAAGACGCAACCTTTGGTGTCATCTTGGACAAGACCAGCTTCTACGCTGAATCCGGTGGTCAGGAATATGACACTGGAAACATTGTCATTGATGGTGCTGCCGACTTTGAAGTCACCAACGTCCAAGTCTACAACGGTTACGTCGTGCACACTGGTCACCTCAAATATGGGCAGCTCGATGTTGGCAGCGAGGTCATCTCTTCGTATGACGAGCTCCGACGATGGCCCCTTCGCAACAACCACACCGCGACCCACATTCTCAACTTTGCATTACGGGAGGTTTTGGGCGACCATGTCGACCAGAAAGGCTCCCTCGTCGCTCCTACCAAGCTCCGATTCGACTTTTCGCATAAAGCTGGCATCACACTTCCCGAATTGACCAAGATTGAGTCTATGAGCATCGATTGGATAAAGAAGAACGTCAAGGTGTATGGCAAAGACCTTGACCTCAACTTGGCCCAAAAGATCCCTGGACTCCGTGCGGTATTTGGAGAGACGTACCCTAACCCTGTCCGGGTTGTTACGCTCGAGTATTCCGTGGACGAGATTGCGGCGGATATCGAGAATCCCAAGTGGAGACAGACTTCTATCGAGTTCTGCGGTGGAACGTGAGTCGTTCTTTTGTTTTTGGCCTGGGAACGCGATTGATGTTCGGAAACAGCCATGTTGCAAAGACTGGTGATATCAAGGGTTTCGTCATCACGGAAGAGTCTGGTATTGCCAAGGGTATCAGGCGTATCATTGCTGTCACTGGCCATGAAGCTGCCGAGGTTACTCGTGTCGCTCAGGCTCTTGAAGAAAAGCTTAACCAAGCCGATGCTCTGGACGGCAAGGCCAAGGATGCTGCTTTGAAGGCATTGACTGTGGTATGTACTCACCTTGGACCTAGTGTCACCTGTCCCTAGAATGAATTCGCCTGCAGGAACTCGGTCAAGCCGATATTTCCGTTCTCAAGAAGGCGGAACTGAAGGACAAGTTGAATGCCATGCGCAAGGCGTTTGACAAGGCAGTCAAAGAGAAGGAAGCTGCTGCTGGGAAGAAAGCTCTTGAGGACTTCCAGAAGCACTTTGTCGAGAACCCCAACGCCCAAGTGTATATTGCTTTGGTCGAGGCTGGGGGAAATGCCAAGGTGAGTTTGAACGAAGTCTCGTCGGAACAAGGAGCTGATGGTTGATTTGTAGCTCTTGCAAAGTATCGCCACCGCTGCCCGCAAGGCAGAAAAGTCGATTTACGTTTTCAGCCATGATGCAGAGCAGGGCAAAGTTCCCCATGTCAACTACGTTGCACCAAATTTAAAGGCTCAGGGTGTTGATGCACGACAATGGGCTGCAAAGGTCACTGACCTTATTGGTGGCAAGGTAAGCCTGTCCAGTTGAGGAGTATTGCGATGTGTGTTTGCTAACGCATCGGCGCATAGGCTGGAGGAAAAGAGGAGAGTGCGCAGGGTGTTGGGTCGGAGGCCAGCAAACTCCAGGAGGCCATCGCAGCTGCTAGGCAGCATGTTGAGAAGTACTTGTAAAATCCGCAACGTACTTAGATTGCATGGGGCGTGAGTGTATTGGTATAGAGCTTTGTGCGTCCATCTGTTTTCGTGCTTTTTAGTCGCTTTTATAATGGGAGAATTTGCTTTCGCCGGGCTCTACGCATCCCTAACATCCTTGGAAAACTCATTTGTTATAGTGGAATTGGGAGCAAAAAATGCTGCAACCTGCCCTTTATCCACGTAGAAGTGAAATTTCGTGATCGCTTGTTGGTTCCTACTATCAGATGACTTTCCAACGATCCGGCCATTGAGAATAGGCTTGACGGGGGTTTTGAAAGAACATTGTGAGTGCACAAAGCCTTCCACATCTCCAGGCCCGAAGGAAGGTTGGCGATGTGGGAACAATTTCGATCTCTCTGACTATGCTCGAATCCTTTCGCCTTCGGTAACCAATGAGGAGACCCTCCAATATGTTTGGCCTTGTTAGATACAGACGTCGTCGCCTTCCCACTACAGGGCCCGTGCGAAATCAACGCAAAAGTCGCTATCGCCAACGTCGAGCGCGCAACGTCCAAAGGCCCCCATCAAGCACGAGAAGACACCGTCTGGTGAGTATATGCTGCGAGTGCCGTCGAGCTGCGCAGCCTGCGTGCTGTTGAGGAGGATGGTCGATTTTGGCGGGCTGCTGCAGGCTGGATGGCACGGCGTAGGTTGGATGACGATCTGGAGGGCTGATTTGCTCTCATTTTAGCCGTTCACCATGTCTCTCGTCGTTCCGGAAGCCCACCAGCAATTCCAGGTATGAAGCCGTTAGGAGAGGATACACAGGGATCGGTTTCTGACGGTCTCCCCAGCACATTCTCCGTCTCCTCAACACCAATGTTGACGGTAAACGCAAAATCATGTATGCATTGACCGAGATCAAGGGTGTTGGTCGCCGATACGCCAACTTGGTCTGCAAAAAGGCCGACGTCGACCTCAACAAGCGGTGGGTTTTGGCCCGTTAGAAAACGCTCTCCAAGATCTCATTTAAAATTGGTCATTTAGTGCTGGTGAACTCAACTCTGACGAACTGGAGCGCATCGTTACCATCATCCAAAACCCCACCCAATTCAAGATCCCTACATGGTTCCTGAACAGACAAAAGGACATTGTCGACGGCAAGAACTACCAGATTCTCTCCAACGGTGTCGACTCGAAGCTCCGTGATGATCTCGAGCGATTGAAGAAAATTCGTGCCCACCGTGGTCTCCGACACTTCTGGGGCCTCCGTGTCCGTGGTCAGCACACCAAGACGACCGGTAAGTGTTTTATTCTCAAGGTTGGTTGGCTGTTTGATGCTCATTTGTCTCAGGTCGTCGCGGAAAGACCGTTGGTGTGTCGAAGAAGCGTGGTTAGATGTACTATTTTGCCTGTCTCTATTCATTCCAATACACACTGCATGCAGCGCATTTTCTTTTTCGAGGAATATATCGCTTGAGAGAGCCCCAAAGACTCAATCATATTTTAGTACGATCACATGACTAATCGCTAATTTGGACTGTTGAGGTAACCTTGTGTGAAGGAGTTGGTTGCCAGCGAGCGAGGACGTTGTCCAGCGTGCTCGTCGTCCCCCGCAGCGTCAAACTACTTCTCGTCATCGTCCGACTCAGTCCGGGCACTCTCAATTGCACTCATGGCTACCCCAGGCAAGCCCAGGCCATCCGCGATGCCCCAGCCCGGACGCGCGAGCAGCATACCAACACCGGGCAGGTCGCGTTCAGCATCGAGCCTTTATCAGGGCGGAATAAACAACATCGACGACAGGGATATGACCAGGGCCTTTGCAGATGCTATAAAGGCCAATGACCCAGCTCAGCACCGCATAACGACACACCACTCCTCCACATCTCTCTCTCCAAAGTCTACAGCCCTAGCACAGTCAGGGCGACGCTCCGTCGCTGCAGGTCGTCCCCCATCGTCAGCATCATCCGTTTCTGCATTCAGCCAGTCGACACGAGCTGGCGCAAAGACTCCAGGATCAGCACGAGCCCCAAGCCGACCACCCAGTCGACACTCTGATCTCCACTCGAAAAATCGTACGTTCGAGGTGGGCGACAACGTACGGATCGAATCACTCGGATTCGAAGGTGTTCTCCGCTATCTGGGTGAAATCGATGGCAAACCGGGTCAATGGGCTGGCGTGGAGCTTGGTGGTGGGTTCGCTGGCAAAGGCAAAAACGACGGAAGCGTCAGTGGGTGAGTCTTCTCAAAGCTTTCTTTCAGATCTGAAAGGCTTTATGGCTTTCTTCTTTCAAGGAAACGCTATTTTGAATGCCCACCCAGCTGTGGTGTCTTTGTCGCTATCGCAAAGCTGTCCGCTCCCACTGTGGGACCAGGAGCTGTTCCACGACCCCCGTCTGTCGCTTCGACACGGAATGGCCGTGTGACGCCTGCAATGTCGGGGCGCATTACTCCTTCATTTTCGTCCCAGACCTTCTCGGGCTTTTCAGCTCGAACACCATCGGCCTCCTTCGCCAACGGACGGATGACACCAGCCAACACAAGCGGCAGGATAACGCCATCTATGTCGACCAGCAGAATCGCTAGTGCCATCACCCCATCTGCAAAGCCACGACAATCGCTTGCCAAAAAGTCACCAGGCCTTACGGCGGGGTCCAGGGCGTCCAAGTATGCGAACATGACGGCTAAAGACCTTACCAACTCCCGTTCGACCAAATCAAGTCCTTCACCAAAGACAGCACGAGTGGTTAGTTCCCCCACTCGAGGGCCAGGGTCACCATTTACGACGCCAAAAGCATTGACAGCCTCGAAACTCAATGCAGCTTTTGGCAAAGGACGGCCATCTGGAACGACACCCCGCGCTCGTCTACCGAGTTCAGTATCCATGCCCCCTCCTGCATCACCATTCTCCAAATCGCACCCCAATCACCATGATGAAGCACCGGAAAGCATCTCTCAATTCAGGCTCTTTGGAGATCGACCCGATTCTCGACCTGGCTCGTCTGCGTCTGTTAGGTCGGACGATAATTCGCTGATCGGGCGACTGCAATCCCGGCTGGAAGCGTTGGAGTATGAGAACGAACGGTTGAGGATAGCTGCTGCCTCGGCACCGACAAGTCAACCTGAACCGGCGGCGGACGACGCAGAAAGGTTGAGAGAGCTCGAAGAGCTCAGAGGGGAGAAGGACGGAGCTCTCAGTCGGGTGACTGATTTGGAAGAAGAGTTGAAGCAGGCGAAGAGTTTGACAAGTCGCCAAGAGCAAGAGGTCGCATCCTTGAACTCAACTATCCAGGCCCTTCAACTCGATCTGGACAAGGAGAAAGCGGATAGGTTGGACGATCAGCAAGCGTTCACAAGTCTTCAAGCGGAGATGCAGGACGTTGTGAAGGATATGGAGCAATTGCAGAAGGTGTTCGATGATCAGCAAGCGTCGCAGTCTAAGCTGGACGAGGATCTACAAGTGAAGGAGGCCGAGATTGAGGCGTTGCAGAGTAAGCTTGCTCAGGTGACGGCAGAGCTCGAGGAGGAAAGGAAGGAGCTTGGGACACAGATTGACGAGCTCAGGATTGCTGGCCAGGTGGGTATCTTTCGATGGATATTGTGGCGTTGCGCTAAAACGTGCACAGGAAACGATTGCATTGTATGAAGAACGATTAAGCGAGATCGAGGGACACCGATATGACCTCGAGACTCGCCTGAATGCCCTGCTCGAGAAAGCGGCCTCGCAAGACCAGCCGGAACTACCACCCCGAATGGGCGAAACGGCCGCTGAGATCGATAATGAAACTTTACGAGAACAAGTAATTCACTTACAGAAGAAGATATCTATGATGGAGGATATTATTGAGGATCATCGAGCCAATGCTGAGAAGGAGGAGGCGACTCATAGGGAGAGAATGAAGCGGTTGAAGGAGAAGGAGGAGAGCATGAAGAAGGAATTGAATGAGGGCAGGAAGGAGGTCGAGAGGGTTGTTAGGGCAGAGCAGCAGGCGAGGAATAGGGTTGAAGAGATTGAGGAAGCTTTGAGGGAGAGCACACTGGCGCTTGAGAATGCGAGGGCTGAGATTGAGATGTTGCGATCCGAGTTGGCTGTGAGTATCAAACGGTTGCCAGTGCAGGCCATTCTCTGACATATTTTTAGAACTTGGATGGCCTGGTGGAAGGAAGTGCTGATATGGATGGGGATCTTTCGACTCGGATTACTGCGTTCACGCGTCGTATGGGTGTTGAACGTGAGCAGAAGGACAAGGAAATCGAGAGGCTCAAGGCTGAGCTCAAGGCTGCTCGGGAATCTCCAGAGGTAAGACAGCTGGCGTGAAGGGAGGTCTTTTTTGCTGATCATGGCTTTCAGATCCTGGATCTTACCGCTCAGTTGAATGCTACTCGACTTGACCTGGAGGAACGGGAACGAGATATCAAGGAGCTCAAGAAACGGATGCGGGACGTGCCTGTGGTTAACGGCTCGTTGGATACCAGTAAAGCTCTCTCGCCAACATCTTCCAAGAGTGATAGCAAGGAGGAAGTCACTGGCCTCAAGTGTGTCCCATTGGTGCAGTGTTGAGAACGAAATTAACTGGGTTTCTAGGCATATCATCCAGGAACTTCAAAAGGACAACTCTGCTTCGCTCAGCAAGATCCATATGCTCGAATCTGAGAACGAGCACCTTCGCTCGGAAGTGGAGCAATTGCGACAGGTGGGTATATTGAAGTTGGGACCGGGCGGCCTGACTGACTGGTGTTTGATAGGAGGTTCGAATCTTGGAGGAGAATCTGGATGACAGTCTTCAGAATGACGACTTGCCTGATGATACGTCATTGTTGCAACGACGAACGAAGCAGCAAGCGCTCGAGATTGAGCAGCTCAGGAAGAAACTTTCGGATCTGGAGGTGAATCACGGGCGAACTATCCATGAGGTATGTATACCACACGTTGGTTGTACTACATGTCGCTGACGATCTCTGCAGCTGAACAAGGAGATTGGTGAATTGGAGGCGCTCGTGGAATCCAAGGTCGGTGGTGCCGTTTCCGTGAATGATCTGGGTTTTGATGTGCTATTTTTAGATTTATCGCGAAGACGAGCTGGAACAAGAGATTGAACGGCTCAAGGAAAAGATTTCTCGAGCAAAGAAGAGGAGTGTTGAACCGAGCAATGCCAGCAACCGATTGAGTACGAGCAGCGTGTCGAGCTCTGAGGTTGTGGGCAACAGTGGATCGCAGGTGTGCGAGATCTGTGAGCGACCTGGACACGATATCTTCAACTGCGACTTGCTCAAGGACGACATGCCAACGACGCCGAGCACGACATCGTCTGAACTTGTTTGCGCCGATTGCGAGACGCCAGGACACACGGCAAGCGAATGTCCATATTCACAAGACGTCTTCTGAGTTACATCATCATGACATCACTACTTTCACCACCAATATATACTTCTCATTTTAATGTATTTTCCATCCATTTTATTCGATTTCTCTTCAATGTCGTACGCCTCTGTCGCTGCTCAGAACGTCCCGCCACAGGAAAAGTGGCCTCAGCCTGACCCCGCCCTTCTCAACACAACGCCCCCAACAGACCACACCGTCGTAGACGACGCTGCCAAGGTCAATGTCGTCGGTCCTGACTTCAAGGAGAACCCCCATACCGCCTTTGAGGAAAACATTAGACGCAATGTCTCCACCTCCGAAAGCGAAGGCGACGACGACCGTGGCGATGGTTCCAAGAGACGAAAGCACCGACGCCACCGCAAGCACCACCCTCAGACGCTGTGGGACCAGGCGACCGAGTATCTCCTGAGACCAGGCGTCGCTGGCGGCCTGGTTGGAATCGGTAAGTAGATGGATTTTTCTCAAGTCAGGAATGGCAACTGAATTCATATCAGCAAACGTGGGGTTGTTGACGGGCGTTGGGTATACATTCTACTCGAAACCGTTGCTTCGACGTGACCCTGCGGCAATCAGCACGGCCGCTGTGTCTACCCTTGCACTATTGTTTGCGGAAGGATATCTCGCAGAGCAATACTCTGAGACACCTGAAGGACAAAGGCAAGTCCGCCGGGCCAAGGACAAGACCAGTGCTTTGGCCCGCTATGTCGATGATCTCATACATCGAACCACCACCCTCAATGTTCTCGTCGGCACTTGTGAGTGTGAAACACTCCATTGATATCCATATTTCTGACCCCCTGCAGTGAATACCGCAGTCGTTGGCGGCATTGGGTACGTTGCCTATGCCAATTGGGATCGCCCATGGAACCGCAGCACAGTTTCGACTGTCGCCGCTGGGGCTCTGGCTCTCTTGGGCTTTGACGGGTGGGTCCTCTGTCACACCCGTGAGCACATCTGACGGGGCATATTAGGTATCTTTTGGAGCAGTACAGGGAGTAGAACAGAGTTTTTGTAATTTATTTAGCTTTTGTAATTCCCTTTGTTGTGATGTATTTGGTCTCTGAGGATAGGCGCGAAAAATCTACTCGGATTGATTTGATCTCGTTATTATCAACGACCACGACAATGTCCAGGTTCTTCCGTCCCGCAGGCGACTCTGACTCGGATACTTCGTCCTCGTCTGAGGATGAGCTCATGTCCAGCGAGGACGAGGCTCCCAAGCCAGCAACCACCGTACCAAGGACAGGCATGGCTCGTTTCATGCGCGGCGTCGGCTCCTCCGATTCCAGCTCCAGCGAGTCCAGTGACGAAAGCGAGTCAGATGAGGACGACGAGGATGAGGACGAGGATGACGATGACGAAGACGAGAAGGGAATCCGCATCCTCAGTGCCCAGGAGAAACGCCTCAAGGAGATGGAAGCAACAGGCAAAGCTATCGAAAACGGTCTCAAGATTAACGATTGGGTAGCAATTTCAAACGGTGCGCTCACATCTTCTCAAAACAAGTGATATTCTGATCCTTTTTCTCTTATATAGAGTTCGACAAGCTCGGAAGAATGGTCCACAGACAGCAAAACATGTCAGAGCCTGCTGCCCCACTTTATCTCAAATCCTTGATCAACCTCGAATCGTCAATCAACACCACCGTTTCCAAGGAAAAAGAGGCAAAAAAGAAGATGAACGCAACCAACGCAAAGGCCCTTACTGCCATGAAGCAGAAGATTAAAAAAGCTTTGAAGGAATTCGAGGACGACGTTTCAAAATACCAAAAGGTATGTCCCCGCTCAATTATCGCCGTTACGTACAACACCTCAACCGAGTCATAGGACCCAGAGGCCTTTGAACGTGAATACCTGGCCCACATCTCCCAGGCGACACAGACTCCTGCTACTCGCGGTCCCGCTGCTGCCGCTGCCCCTGCTACCGACGCTGACGAGTTCACCACCGTCGGCAAGGGTGGACGAGCCCAGCAGTATACCTCTGAGACCATCTTTAAGCACTTGCAGGCCGTCCAGGAAGCCCGAGGCAAAAAGGTAAAAACACTTGATTTCATGTATAGAAAGCTATTCACTATTTACTATAGAACACTGACCGTGCCGAGCAAATCCGTATTTTGGAAAAGCTCCTCGAGGTCTCTGTTACACCATACCAACGCATTCGGGTTCTCCTTGCTTTGATCTCCTACCGCTTCGACTATAATTCGGCCTTGTCCACGCACATGCCAGCCGAACTTTGGCTCGCTGCTCAACGCGAGGTCGACCAGTTGTTGTCCATTGTCACCACCGACACCAATTACTCTGTCCAAGAGATCACTGACGACTATGACGAATTGGTGGAGAGGTCGCCCGAGACTGAAGGCGGTGTCGTCAAGATTCGCGGTTCCATCATCAGCTTTGTCGACCGATTGGACGATGAGTTTACTCGCAGCTTGCAGAACATTGACCCCCACGGCACAGAATACGTCGATCGCCTCAAGGATGAGAAGGTCTTGTACACCACCATCTGTCGCTCTCAGGCTTTCTACGAGAAGACAGACCCCAAGGACCCTCTTGCCCGCGTTATCATGAGGAGATTGGAACACATCTACTCCAAGGTGAGCTGTAACAAAAAATTATGTGTCAACCATTCACTTACCTGGTATATCAAGCCCAATGCTGTCGTGCAAGCGCTAGAGTCAGCCGCTGCCAGCGATGTCCAGGTCAAGCCCACAATGAGCTTGGAGATCCAAGGTGACACCACTGCTCTGATCCATGCCCTCTGCGCCCACCTCTACAAGTCTGGCAACTCTCTTCTCCGGACCCGTGCCATGCTCAGCCATATCTACCACCACGCCTTGTACAACAACTTTTACACTGCCCGGGACATGCTTCTCATGTCCCACCTTCAAGAATCCATCCACTCGGCGGATGTTGCGACCCAGATTTTGTACAACAGAACCGTGGTACAGCTCGGCTTGTGCGCTTTCCGACTCGGCTTGATCAAGGAGGCACAATCAACGCTCCTCGAGATCTTCACTACCCAGCGGGTGAAGGAGTTGCTTGCTCAAGGTGTCCACCAGCAACGATTCCAAACCCTTACCCCCGAACAGGAGAAGGCCGAGAAACAACGCCAGTTGCCATTCCACATGCACATCAACACTGAGCTCCTCGAAGCCGCTTTCCTCGTATCCAGCATGCTTGTGGAGATCCCTCTGTTGGCTAGCATCGATTCTGAGGAGCAGAGGCGCAAGACCATCTCCAAGCCTTTCAGGAGGTTGCTCGACTTTGCTGACCGACAGGTGTTCACCGGTCCCCCCGAGAGCACTCGCGATCATATCATGCAGGCTAGCAAAGCATTGCAAGACGGTGAATGGGAGAAATGCCGTGACCTTATCCAGAGCATCAAGATCTGGAGTCTCATGCCCGAGTGCGCGTCTGTGAAGGAGATGCTCGCCAAGTACGTCGTATCATTTCTTCCCCCATGAACTATCCCTGATTGTGTGTTTTCTAGACGGATACAAGAGCAAGGCTTGAAGACCTACTTGTTCACGTATGCTCCCCATTACAGCAGTTGTTCCCTCTCACTCCTCTCCCGAACCTTTGCACTCCCCCTTCGTACTGTGTCCTCTATCGTTTCCAAGATGATCTGGAACGAAGAGTTGTCAGCATCGCTCGACCAATCCGCGGGCGTTGTTGTGTTCCATAGGATGGAGCTTTCGCGACAACAGCAACTGGCGCAGACCATCGCGGACAAACTCGGTGTCCTTGTTGACCAGAACGAGAAGACACTCGATGTCAAGATGGGCGGATCAGTTGGATGGAATGAAAGGGGAGGGGACAAGGGCGCCAAAGGTGGCGAGCAGGCGCAGGAGCGTCGTGGACGAGGGGAACGAACGAGAGGAGCAAGGGGTAAGGAAGTTGTCTCAATTTTGGGGTTGAATCACAGGCTGATATGGGGGGCTTTACAGGAGGCGCTCGTGGAGGACGTGGAGCTCGTTTCGCTCAGGGCTTGGGCAACCAGATGCCAGGAGGCGGTCAACGGCAAGCGTAGTGGCGGACCTTTTTCGTATCTACATTCCCTCATTCTTGTCTCTGTAGTCTGTCTACGCCTTAAAACTTGTTTCTATTCTTGTGCGGCATTTGTGTATATTTCTACTTCCCTCTCTTGATATTCTATGACGAGTCGTCAGAATCGCCGTCATCGTCACCCTCGTCAGAATCTTCGTCGTCCGACTCGGGCAAATCGTCCAGTTTCGAGTCACCTATCCAGTCGTTGATGTCGAGCTTTTCCCCTTTCAGGACGTCTGAAGAAGGGTGAGGAGGGGTTAAGCAGTGATGTGAAAGGGGGACCTACCTCCGGGGTTCACTTCGAAACCTCCGCAAGAGATACAACGGCTGAGCTCTGCTTTTGCTCCAACCTTGGTGTTCTTGCCCAGAATACATCCATCGAGTTTGGCGCTACAAGGTAAAAGCGTCCAGCAACTTCTTTTTGTTCAGTATAAAGGACGTGACTCACCCATCTTCCACTATACAGTGGTCCAAGAGCACACAGCCTGAGATCTTGACAAACTTGCCAATTATACAGTGTTTCCCAATGACAGATTTCTTGATCGTAGTCCGTTCAGAGATTTGAGTCGAGTCTCCGATAATAGTATCTGTCGAGATTTGAGCCTTTTGGTCGATAAGGGAACGATCCTTAGGGTCAGTCGGGAGTGCATAAGATGCCTTGGAGAGCAACTGCCTGTTGATCTCGAGAAAGTTGTAAAGGGTGTTGATACGCAAGGCTTGGTCTGCGTCTTGGGAGTGGATGACGATGGAGACTTTATAGTTTGATTCGGAGGAGGTGTCAGAGTTGGAACTGGTTTCTCCATCTTTGTCGTCGTCCTTTATGGGGCTTGCAGGGATTGCCGAAGAGGGGTCTTCCTGTTTCAAGTGAGAAGATGTGGAGTGCCCAAGAGCCAGGGACTGAGAGAGTAGTGTACTTGAAGAGACGTCGTTTGCTGGGAAGTCTGTTAGATGGAGTCTGAGCTTGCGATGAAGGGATATATATATACTTTTGCCTTCAGGTTGGAGCTTCAGGGAGCGGTACTGGTTCCTGCATAACCAAGGGAGAAATTCCTCTCTGAACGAGTCAAATTCCTTTTTCTGATGAAGCATTGAGAGGATCTTATTTTGACAGATGTAGACGTGCGAATCTTGGAACGAGGCAGTAAGTTTTGTGCGGGAGAACCTGGAGAATACTTGAGCTTTTCATATAGGGATATTGGGAGACCGAGGAGCGCACCGAGAAATCATCCCCATGCTGAATTGAAAATCCTCGTTGTTCCTGTCCCGGTCATCTGGCGTATCGATGTGCAAGAGGCTGCCCGTAGCAGGATCGACGACGATCGCTGGTGGTGAAGGCGCAGGGCCCCATTCATCCGAGAGAACAGTCTTATCCGGAACATGAACGGGGTACCAACATGTTGTCAAAAGGTTGTTATCCGAGGTAGACTCCACCCTGAAGGTGTTCAACAGTTGACTGAGAGGAAGAGACGGGGGAGCGAGAAAGTCGCAGGGAACGAGCACAAAGTCCTCGGTTATTCGATTTGAAAAATGTCGGAGAAGTTCACATGTTCCTGCAGGGCTCTCCTGGGTTTCTTCATATGTTTGGAGGTCGATCCTGAGCGAGGGGGAGGAGACGTCAGAGTGGATGTGGTGGTAGAGCGCTGGACGGTGAATAGCCGGGCAGATGAGCAGGACATCTGGAAACCGTTTAACGTCGGATGATGACTGGGAATAAAGATAACTGCATACCCTTTATTCCAGCTTGCTCGAGCCAGGAGAGGATGTATTCGAGCAGAGGCTTGTTTGCAACGGGCAACAGGGCCTTTGGGTAGGGTTCATCGCCATGGTCGCTGGTGAGCGGTAAGAGTCTGTGGAACGATTGTCAGGGATGCTGTCGAGGACGATGAGGACGCGACAGACTCGTTGCCAAAGCCAGCGATGAGGACGGCGAGAAATTCGCGCTTTTGGAATTTTGAGTCGACGTTGTGGATGTCCATGGTCAAGGTCAAGGACAAGGTGATAAGATAAAAATCATAAACAAACATTGATCGTTTTGTTTCTTGACTTCCATGTCCCAGCCAGATGTCCACCAGCTCTACCAGCGTCTAGAAACAATAGGAAAGGGCGCCTATGGTTCAGTCCACAAGGGAAAACATATTCCAACCGGAAATGTAGTCGCCCTCAAGATCATCAACCTCGACACACCCGACGACGATGTCGCCGACATTCAGCGCGAGGTCGCCCTCCTCACTCAGCTCCGCGACGCCCCCAACATCACAAAGTACTTTGGCTGCTACATGGACGGTCCCCGTGTCTGGATTGTCATGGAGTATGCTCAGGGAGGCAGCGTCCTGACCCTCATGAAAGCCTCCAAAGACGGCTGCATCGAGGAGAAATACACTTCCGTCATCATAAGAGAGGTCCTCGTCGCCCTGAGCTACCTCCACAAGGTCCCAGTCATCCACAGAGACCTCAAGGCAGCCAATATCCTCGTCACCGCTACCGGCAAGGTCATGATCTGTGACTTTGGGGTCTCTGCGCTCCTCACGACTGTCTCCAGCAAACGGACTACCTTGACTGGCACACCGTATTGGATGGCGCCTGAGGTTATCCAGGGAGTTTCGGCGTATGATACCAAGGCAGACATCTGGAGCTTGGGTATTATGATTTTTGAAATGATCAAGGGGACTCCTCCGCATTCCAACCTGGACAAGTTCAAGGTCATGGACCTGATCCCACGAGCGAAACCACCTCGGCTGCAGGAGAGTGAGGGGAGTAAGGACATGCGCGATTTCATGTCATATTGCTTAAAAGAGTCGCCAACAGAGGTACGCGGAGCGCATTTCCTTCGGGAGGATTGCTAATCGCTCTTCAGCGACTCCCGGCAGAAGAATTGTTGAAGACCAAGTGGATCAAGTCGATTTCCAAAGTGAACGTCTCTATTCTGAAAGATCTCATTCTTCGATTACAACAAACGGGACCGAGAGCCAGTCTTGCTGGCCCGCTGGATTGGGAATTGGAAGAAGAGGCCGACCAGTGCGTACATTATTGTGCTTCGCTTGTATTTCTCTTGACGTCTGTCCAGGAATGCGCAACAAGACTGGGAATTTGACACAGTCAGGTTTGACCGGAGACCTTCGCTGGACGAAGAAGACTATAATGCACCATCTCAAGCAACACCTACAGACAGCTTTGAGACCGTCCGTGTACCCGCATCCGCCAAAACTCTTCCATCCTCACTGCGACATCTATTTGGAGATTCGGCCAGTACCGAGCCAGAACCATTCACTGTCCCTCCGCCATTTACGCGACCACTTACGCCTCCCCAATCCACGACTCCCGTGACCAATGAATGGAATACAATACACCACGTGCCATCTGCCGACGACTTTGCATCTTCTACATCCAATACCCTTCGCAGGGCAGATAACCCACCAATAGCCGAACCTGGAGAAGAACCGCAACCAATCATTTCTCCCGATGTACCCTCACCACTGGAGGCCTCTTTGGCCCCCCAACCCATCCAAATTCCGGAGCCACCGCGAGAAGAGTTACAACCTGCATTCATCCAACCACACCTTGGCCTCCCTGCTGAGGACTTACCTTCGTTTACACTTTCGCAGCAGACACCTGGCCGATCAACACCATCCCGGCTAGATCCGCCTGCGCGCTCCAAGCCTGCAACTCACCAAAGCACCATATCTTTGGACAATACATCTGCGCCTGGGAACGGAAACCTGGGTGTTACTTATTCTCCTTCGCCCATAGTGCGGACACGGTCGGCGACCACTTTACCTGCCATCCAACCACCGCCCGTTTCTATCATCCCTCGAGCATTTGTTCAGCAATCGTCTCCCGTGAAATCTGCTACGTTCACCGATGATCCAAGTGCACGAGGCGGCCCGGGTTTGAAGGATGTTTTAAAGGTGAGTTATTCTCTCTCTTATTATATGCATCGCGGCCTCAAGAGTTTGTCAGATCCCTTCACTTACCACTGAGAGTCATCTTGGGATGGTCGATCTTCTGCCCCCGTCACCCTCTGCGCTGGTTACTTCAAATCGCTCGCCTGGGGCACACGGAATATCGAAACCATCCCGATCTTATGGTGGACCTATGGACTATCCTTCACCGGCTACAAGCAAATTCGCAATGGAGCAAGATCGTTCACAACGAAGCGCGCAGAACTCGATATCAGTGGATGGTTTGCCGACTTTGGAACCTCTGAACTATGCGGCGTTGATTTCCAACGGGGACCCTCAAAATGAGCTCATGCAGACCATTGAGGGACTGGCCAGTTGGTTGAAGGTGGTTGATCAAGGGTTCCAAGCGATGTTAGAGCATTCGGCTTTTGGAGATATTCTTGAGGAGGGGAATGAGCAGTACGGGTCGTCAACGAATGAGAGTGATGGGCAGTAAATATGTGTGCTAGTGATACAATTTGGCTCTTTACTTCTGCTCCAGGTTCGTGCTCTCTGATATCGGTCTGGGGTTGGGTATACGCCTAGTTGAGGTAGCCTTTTGATTGGAGATAGTTGGTGATTTGTTCGACGGCTTGTGTCACCGAGGTTTGGTCGGTTTTGATGTGGAGCTCTGGAGATTCCGGGGCCTCATAGGGCGCAGAGATGCCAGTGAAATCTAAGAATAATCATTGGTCACGAAAGTCAGATGTAGTAATGGCCAAAGTGCGTACCCTTGATTTCACCAGCTCGAGCCTTTTTGTAGAGTCCCTTGGGATCTCGTTCCTCCACGACGCTGAGAGGAGCGTCAACGAAAACCTCAACGAACGGGATGCCTGCCTTGTCGTGTAATTCACGAGCTACGGCGCGGTCCTGGCGATAGGGAGAGATGAAGGCAGTGATAGTGATGGCTGAGGCATCGGAAAAGAGTTTTGCGACCTAGAAGCGGAATAAGAATTTTGCTGAGAGGAAAACCAAGGATACAAACCTCGCCGATTCGGCGAATGTTCTCGTTCCTTGACTTTTCGTCGAATCCGAGGTCTTTGTTGAGACCGAAGCGGATGTTGTCGCCGTCGAGGCGGTAAGCGAACTTGTGAAGATGGAGAAGGTGTTGTTCGAGTGCGCAGGCAATGGTGGACTGTCGTCGTGCGTTGGGCGTCAGGTTTGTCGGGAGAAAGAAAGGGAGCAATCTTCACCTTGCCGCTAGCGCTCAACCCGGTAAGCCAGATTGTAACTCCTTTTTGCTTGAGCAATGCATCTCGCTCTTCCCTCGTCACAGATCCTGCATGGAAAGTAATGTTCGTGGACATCGTCGACAATCTTGAGGATAAAAGGAACTGCGAACAAGTCCTTTTTTAACTATTGCGGTTTGAGCAAATCGGTGATAGTTCCATCGCGCAAGAAAGATGCAACTTTAGCGCGATGTGAGACCATCGCTCGCGGCGGCGGCGCCTGCCACCAAAATCAACTAACGCCCGCAATCAGATAATCACACCTCACGTGACCACTTGGATGGGTGATGTGTTTGTACATACGGTGACTCGGCAAAAATTTTGCACGCTGGCTATTTGATATAACTATGGATTGACTGGGCTGTTCGACTCAAAACTCTGTAGAGAGATACATATGCATATGGCATATCTACCGGCCAATTTTCAGATCGATTACGTCTCGAATAAGGCAGAGCACGAGTCCACCCGCGGATACACCCGTACCCGTGGTGACAGGTACCTGCCACCCAAAATAGCAAACCCGTATCCGTACGGGTTTGTTCCCACGGATATCCGGGATCCGCGGGTCCGTGAACCCATGGGGTTCACGGGTTTCTAGACACCCGCCGATTCTTCAGGTACCCACAAGTTACCCGCGAGTTTGAGGTACAAAAAAGCATAGAAAGACGTCACATTCAATATACTACTGGTCTATACATAAACTACTCCACTTCGACAACCTCGGGCTCTGACTCGGATGAAACTTCAACATGATTTGCCTTCTTCGGCCGTCAATGCTTCAACTTGAATTTCTCAACGATATCGGCGATGGGGATCAAGTTAGTTTGCGAGGCCCAAGAGCCAAGCACAACAGACGCGCGGGTAGTTTTGGCATTGAGTGAATGCCGCAACTTCCCCACAGTCAACCCACCCTTCGAGAATGCTCGTTCGACGTCAGTGGATGTAGCTAAAGTTTTTGTGAACACCCAAGAATGATAATGGGATTATACATACATACCTGGAATGCTCAGAAAGTCAAGTGCCATCTGGGCAAGCGGGTGCTTAGCAACCTTATTGGCGTGCCAATACTTGAGAGGATCTTCATTAGTAGGGACAGGCGGAGATGCCAACCACTCTTCCAATGGGTTGAGCGCGGTTGCCAACGGAGCATCATGATGTTTGTTGAATTCGCCATGAATCATGGCAAAGCGCTAAGGGATCATTGTATCAGCGTGATACAGACAGCCAAAGGGTGGGGAAACATACATCTTCATCGGAATCCTCGTCACACGGAGCTGCTGTCGTTGGCAACAATGATGTGGTCGACATGAGGGGGACCTTGTAGCGTGCATGCCATTCGTCCCGTGCAAGGTTCTTTGCAGCTTCGATCCACTCCGCGCTCCAACCAGCTCGGATAAAGTAAGATGTCTTGAGGGAAGGGTGTAGGACTTGGGGAAAAAATCAGTTATAGTCAATCGATAGCAATCAAGACACTTACGCATGGCAATGCGATAGACAACAGCATCATCAGTCTTCTGATAATACTTGTTCAGCACCAGAAGACCCCGAAACGCTGCATGACAAACAGCGGGGTGGGCATCTTGGTTGTCGATGAACCTGTCGAACACAGCAGTGATCGAGTCGATAAGGGGAATAATTTGGTGGACCATAGGAACGGAGCTTTTGGAGACCTCTTTCGTTGCATAAAGAATTGCCTAGAGCTGAATGAGCAACATGTTTCACATTTCAGACAACAACTTACGTTGAGCAAAGGCTTGATGCCTTTGAGAATGGCCCACTTGGCCTGCGAGAGCCGAAAGCATTCCAACCGCACGCCCCGTCCACGGTTAAACTCCTTTCGGATAACAAGGAGGTTAAGCGCCTTCTCAATGAGCAAGACACTGTGGATCAGCTCGGCCGAGCTGTTCCACCGAGTGGAGACATCGTGCACAATGCACCGGGAACGCAGGTTGGAAGCTTTGCAATCCTCGAGTCTCGACCAGTGCCTCGCAAATAGTTGGGGACCAGTGAATTTTCTGGGCAAGCTTTCGAAGCTGAAATGCGAGTGAGACAACAGGTGATACCAATAATAATTATTACATACCTTGGTCAAAGCAAGTTGACCTTCCTTTGCATCCCGAAGGCCCAGCGATGGCAAGCGATGCTCGAGTTCGGCCTCGTCCATGACCTCATCCACCACTGACATATCGCTAACCTCCACATTCCGGTGCCAACTCATCTCCATCCTCCCCATCGTCTTCCTCATCTTCCGACTCAACATCTTCATTGCCCACCATACCATCACCATCATCGTCCTCCAATGCGCCCAGCGCGGCATCAAGATCGGGGGTACTTTTCTCCACCATTTGGGATTTGGTCAAGCGACCCGCGAAGGGAGAGAGGATGGCCTGGAAGAGGGGTAATCAGCATCATAGGGTAGCTGAGAACCAAAGGTGTACCTTTGCTACAAGATTAATAACGTGAGCGAAACAATGAACACGATACGACGATCCGGCGAAGGTGGGAATGAGTCACGACAACTCTTCCACCATCGTATCGTTATTCGACCCGTTGTCGCAAGCGAGCCCCAGCAGCTACACAGAATAGGTGAGTTATCCAGCAAATAAATCAATGCAGTTGACTTACCTGAGGATCAAGACCAAACTCGCGAAGGCACACGGCCAATCATCGCGCAAGGTAGACCCCTGTATGAGCCTTCACAACCCTGCCCACTGCAATCAGATGGAGATCAAAGCATTGTGAGGGGACAGGGCTTACTTTACAAAGTCGAGCGTCAACATCTTCAACAGTCCTTCGGAGATATAGTGGACTGTGACTCCCAGAAACGCGAAGATGTTTGGAGAGGTCCACCCATCCACACCGATATGGATGGAGCCCTCGACGTTGTGCTGCAAGGGTCCCGGTGGTGTAAGTAATAGCCTGGGCAGAGTAAACAATGACACGTACCTCAAAAAACTTGATAATGTGGTCCTTAGTGTGGTTGTGGATCTCGATGATATCCCGGGGGACTGTGTGACGAGAAACGTGCTGGACAGCCGAGTTGAGATCCTCAAAGATCTCGCGGAGTTCTGGGTCCTCAACAATGGCAAAAGGGCGGTTACGCCGGGCAACCCAGATACCTAACTTGACCCAATGTTTGGCTGGGTGGTACGATGAGCCATAAGCAAACACTTTGATGGCCTCTGACTCTACGGACTTGCTGGGATCGCAGAGCTTGACATGCTTGACGAGGTTGCTCGTGCTATCGTCATAGCGCCGGCGCTGGATCTCAACCGATGGGTTGCTAGAGACACATGTCACTTCCCTTGTAAAAATAAAGAGCCAAATTGAAACGTACCGCTTGCAGACAAAGACATATGTCACCTCTCCTCTTCCAACGATAAGCTTCGGCGGCGATTTGAAGTGCTCGTAGACAGCGGACATCCAAGACTTCATCTGAGCAGCTGACCAAAATATGAGTCACAATCGTTGGCAGGAAGATGAAATACTTACCCAGTACTTGCTCACGTCCTTGAAGACACCTTGTACCGCTCCTCGAACATTGATTTCTTCAGCGCAGCGCCTGTGGGGTTGACGACATTGGCCAAACCTTCTGTTTGCGACGCTGAAGGGGTGGGCTGAGACTCATCAGGAGTAGGCGATGGTTGAGGTTCAACCTGAGAGGACGTGCGTTTGCGCTTGGTGGCACACTGAGCCTGCACAGCACGCTCAAGCTAGTGAAAAGCAAGGGTCGGCCAACCCCTGCGGGTTTTCGGGTCAACCCTGTCACGGGTCGGGTACGGGTTTCCATTCCCAGACCCGAGAACTTCAAAACGAGCTGTAGATCGTCCAAAACGGATGAGAAATGGTAGAGATACAGTCAAATAAGTATTTTAACCCTATCTCAGCCATTTCTTATCCGTTTTGGATGATCTAAAGCGCAACCCATGCGGAAAACCCACCGGGTTACGGGTAGGGTCAAGCCACGGGTCGGATCCGGGTCAGCCTTCCGAAACCCGGGGTTAACCCTAGTGATCACTAGCTCAAGCGCATAGTCTTACCCCTTCTCTGTAGCCCTGTCGTGAGCATTGAGCTGGCATGGACCGAGGAGTTTACTGACGACCGAAAACTTCAGCAACGATGACCTTATATGTGTGCGCTGGTGGCCCGGTAATCTCACTCACTGGAACCCGTTGAAGAAACCCGGAATCGAGAGGCCATGGTCCATGCCGCCGACCTACAGACTCGACCAATTGCATCGCACTAGAGCCCCAAACGATCGGCCAGGCAAGCAATGCGCAAGGGAGTTGGTGTGCCAAGGCGGAATGGCGTCACCAAGAATGGAGGTGGGCAGTAGAGAACATGGAACCGGTGAAGGAAGGGAGGGAAGGAGCGAGTTTGCTGGGAGACGACAGTGAGTGTTGGCTGGCTATATAGAAAAGAACCTGTGGGTCCACTGTGAGAGACGCGCTGTTCTGGACTGACAGGTGAGATGAAGATAAGTTTGGCGAGCTGAAATGAACTCACACCTTCCTAATTGGTCACCCACAGCGGAAATGATCTTCCCTCTGCTGTCGCTTTACGCCTACCTTGTGGGCTGGGTCAAGATTCATGTGGGGACCGGTCAGGGGTCCTCTTTTTTAAAATATATGGCCACTTACCTCTCCTGTTCCAGGTCCCAATTCACTACTTACTCAACTTCCAAGTGACGAAAATGAGCAACAATCCGGTAAACTCCCCCGATTCGGCACCGGCCTCAATGGATGCCGTTATCGTTGACAACTGTCTGCCAGCCACGATGGAAGAGCCGTGTGTTGTTTCCTCCTCCCCCTATTCCTCTTAAATCTTTCCTGACACTATGCTAGGTGTTGTGCATTTTTGTCTAGTAAACCAGCACAAAAAATACGGTGCAAAGCGCACCTGGTCAATCTGCGGGCGGTGCTTTCGACAGGTAAGCACCCACAACCTCGGCATCTTTAGCAAAGCTGGTCCTGATTTGGATGACGTCCGACATTTAAGTTCGCAAGGGTCTAAAGGATGAGGGCGAAAATTCTTGACTGTAATCCATTAACTATAGAACACCTAAATACATTGAAATAATTCAACATCTGGTATTTTGATTCCTGAGTGTAGGAATATGCAAGTACCTGTGGCAGGTATCTGCCACCGTAAAATCTAAACCTGTATCCGTACGGGTTTGTTCCCACGGGTTTCCGGGATCCGCAGGTGCCAAAATCCGCGGGTTTTCCCACAGGTTTACCTGTGAGTGCGACAGGTTTACCTGTACTCGTGCTCTGCCTTACCTTTGGAGGACCATTGTATTGTGTTCGCTGTTTTGCACATGTGATCAATCTTGTAGCAAAGGTACGGTTATGGATCCTGGTTCCAAATGAATGACACTAACCTTTTGAACCATGAAGGCTGTCCTCTCCGCATTTGTGGGTCACATGACCAAGTTCCAGTTGGCCGAACGACAAACACCTGATCTTGATGCAGAGCTTGCAGCGTTGGAGGATGAGGATGGAGAGGGTATCGTAGGCGATGAGGATGTAGAGTCGGAAGAAGAGGAGGGTGAGGTCGAGGACGGAGATGAGCTCGCACCTGAAGTCCGCGAGAGTGATGAGACGGTTGTCGATGAGGTGGCCGATGAGGCTGACCTCGAGCATCGTCTGCCATCGCTCAGTCTCCGAGACGCGAAGGCAGGGCAAATTGCGCTGACCAAGGTAAGTAGGGATGATTCATCTAGGGCTAAGACTGTTCTTACCTCACCCTGTAGCTACGAAAACTGGCGCAGAAGATTCACTGGTCACTGACGATCTGTGAAGCCCTTGCAGAAGACTGTGAAGCTGTCAATGTTTGGCCACGTCACATCGTCCGTGACGTCTCCACTCGGTGGAATAGTTCAACGGAACTAATTCACAGTGTGTTGCTCATCGAGAAAGCACTTAGTTGCCTTGTCATCCGCAAAGAGTTCAATCGACCGCGAGGTGTGCGATTGGAGCGGTTCATGCTTTCGCGTGCTGAGTGGGAGATTCTCAAAGGCATCAAGCCTTTGCTAGATGTAAGTCTTCAATATTCGCAGATATAGTTCGCTTCATTGATATAATGTGATCCAGGCTATTCTGTATGCGACCAAAGAGGTCTCTCAAAGTGCTGTTCCCATGGTTCATCCAATTATTCCCCTGATCAACTCAATTACTGCCATATTTGATAAGTTCATTGACAACCTCAACTCCCATCCTGCTGTGTGCCACGCAGCATTTCGTGGGCTTCTGATGCTCAACAAGTATTACAAGAGGACAGATGATGCTGTCGTCTATCAAATTGCTATGCGTAAGTCGTATCATTGTTTAAGTTTGAATTGGGCTAATGTATTCTCTTCCAGTCATGCATTCTTCCACGAAGACTTCATACTTCATCCGTGCCGGCTGGAGTGCTGAGTGGATCGGGGCCACTGTTACGCCTGAGGGTCGTTTGACCCTTCAAAAATCGTGAATAGTCCTCCGCCGGACTAGTTCTAATCGTCTGAGTGAGCATCTCGATAAATGACTGTTAAGCCACTAAGGCACTGTGTTCTTCATAACCGGCGGTCATTTATTCTGTCGTATGAGTTGAGACTGATGTCGAGCAAACACTATCTAGCTAAGGTGGTCCACTCTAAGACTTACCAGATAGAGAGTTATGTGAGGCCTAGTGGCTAACTACAAGAGTTGTGACGAACTCCATCTATTCCAAGGCCAGGGAGGGCCGGTATTTATAGTTTACAGGAAGCGTGACAGATGTGACATAAACTATATAAATATGGAAGGTGTGATGGGTGAGTAAGCAAATGAGTCATCATGAGTAAGAATGAGCGATAATGATGCAAGTATTAGCACCTGCTTATGTGACGTTCCAGAATGTTCTACACTAGAATGTTCTGGACCAAGTCTCACTAATCTAATCTAATCTACGATGTAGTCTACAGATAAGATAAGATAAGTTCAACACTCCCCCTCGCTAAGTGCAGCTATGAATAGTGCGCTGAGCGTACTCAAGAACTTAAGCCCTTCCAAACTCAAAGTCCGAGTTGTTCACGGAAATGCTCAAACTTGACATGACTGAGAGGTTTGGTAAACATGTCAGCAGGATTGTCGTTAGTGTCGATGCGAAGAATCTCGATGTCTCCATCTTCAACACGTTTGCAGATGTAGTGATAGCGAACATCAATGTGTTTGATTCAACATTCCTGTATAGGGTTTGAGCCAATGAAGCTTCAGCCACATGACCTGACAGCTACAATCAGAAAGTGCTGTATATTCGGCTTCTGTAGACGAAGTAGCAATGGTCTTCTGGGCATGGGAAGTCCAACAGATAACAGTGTTAGCCAACTTGACGATGAATCCAGTCACGGACCTGCGTTTGATGGGATCAGCGGCAAAGTCCGAATCCGAGTAGGTGATGAGTCCTTGTGAGGAAGAACCATCTAAGACCAGTGCGTAGTCCATAGTTCCTCGGAGGTATCGGCAGATGTAGAGCGCCTTGTCGAGGTGCTCCTTGGATGGATTTGCTGCGAACTGCGATAGCTTAGTGACAGCATACACAATGTCAGGACGAGTGCCTAACGTAAGGTATAGCAGCGATCCAATCACAGACTGGAAGCATTGTCGAAGTTGGTGATCCACAGGACCAGTATTCGGAAGAGGTTTGTATCCCTCAACCATGGGAGTTCGAGCCACTCGGCAGTCCATCATTCCGAAGCGTTCTAAGACCATTTTGAGATAGTCTTTCTGATCAAGGCGTATAGTTTTTCTTTGACGTTTGATCCGCATTCGGAGGAATTCGGTTGGTTCGCCAAAATCACGGCATTCCCATTTTTGCTTGAACTCGTCTTTCTTTTGATTGACAAGTCGCTTGGAAGGTCCCATGAACAGGATGTCACCGACGTATGCGATCATGATGATGAAGTTGCCATCTTTTTCCTGGAAAATAAAGATTCCGGTGTCGGTCGAAAGTCGTTTAAAGCCTAGAAGCTTGGCAGACTCTACAAGTTCCTTGTACCAGGAGTTGGAAGCTTGTTTGAGACCATAGATAGCTCGGAGCAGCCGGAACACTTTATGCTCCTGACCAGGTACCTTGAAGCCTTCGGGTTGTTCCATATAGATCTCCTCTTCAAGTTTGCCATAGAGAAAGGCATTCTTGACGTCGATGGCGGTAACATACCACCCTTCGAGTGCAGCGACAGCAAGCATCGTGCGAACTGATTCATAACGAACCACAGGAGAGAAGATCTCGTTGAAGTCAACACCTTCAACTTGGGAGAAACCCTTGGCGACAAGTCTGGCTCTAAGTCGACCGTCTGGTTTGACGTCGAACACCCATCGGCATTTGATCGCTTTACGACCAGCAGGCAGAGTGACGAGAATATAGACGCCACACTTCTGGAGTGCCTCAATCTCCAGCTTGCAAGCAGCTAACCATTTCTCACACTGTTTAGGTGGAAGTTTTTGGATGCCATGGAATGTATATTCACGTGGCGACTGCTGAAGGGGTTTATCGGGCGAAACTGCCTTAGAAAGCAAGTATGTGATAAACTCTACTCCCCCTTCCCTGACCAATCGGGCCAATCATTTCTCTAGGTCTCCACGCTCATCAGCAGTGCCACTATCGCGATCTGGATTATCGGCAGGATTTGGTCTGGGAACCTCATCTTGCGATCTAGACTTGTGATAACCGGCAGGCCTCCACTCGGTGTCTCCAACAGTCTTTCTCCAATCACGCTGCGATTGAGCATCAATTTGTGAAGGGGTTTTATCCCCATAGATGGAGCCTGGACGAGTAGCGGTTTTCCGCTCATGGCCAGATCTTCGAGGTTGGTCCGGTTGTGGTTCCGGAGCCGGTGGTTCCTCTGGTTGATCTCCCAGGGCAGGTGGCGGCGGATCTTGAGGTTGATCGTCGTCACGATCTCCCCCTCGATCCCTTTGGGGAAGGTCATCTTTTCGGGAGCTGGGACGATGGACAGAGTCATCATCGTCACCTCCTTCAGGAGAAATGTTGTCATCTCCGCGATCCGATGGTGGAGGTGGTTCATCGCCGGCACGAACACCACCTCGTTGAGGTTGTGCACCAGGACACTTTGGGAAGTAAGTCTCATCAAAGACAGCTGTAGCGCCTCGGAAGAGACTGTTGTTGTGTAAGCGCATGAAGAGATAACCCTTCATTCCCTCAGGATATCCTAAGAACACTGTCATGAATTAGACCTTTCTTTTCCTTTTCTCGCCGAAGACTTGTAGTTAGTAACATAGGATGTCACATGACCCAGACACGTGATGAGTCATGGGACCGTATCCCGCCAGCTGAACAAAACACTGCGCGCGCACAGACCATGGACCAAACAAGTACATACAAACTCAAGTAGTATATATAGAGTAGACTTGTAAGTGTAGTTTCCTCAGTCTTTAGCTGGTCTATTCCTAGCTACAACACTCTAGTCTTCACTGAATCCTATCACTTTTCGCCAAGTCTTTTCTAGTGCAGCTATTGATTGCTTGAACGACAGATCAAGTAGTTAGTTGCTGACATTAGCTAAAGACTACCCCTTCTCGACTGTGTCTATCCCCAGCACCCTCGAGTCTCTCATCGCCCTCCGCCCTAACAAGGCAACCCCCACTCGTGTTACTTACTTCCTTACATAGACCCTTTCCTCTTCCCCTTTTAGTAGGCTATCCTTGGCGACGCCCCTTCTGTAGGAAGGTAGCAACCAAGAGAGCTGCGGAACTTAGGTCCAAAGCACGTAGTGTAGCTCCCCTCTGTGTGGCTAACACAGTGACAACCGGGAGATAGTTTAGCTTTTCTTACCTTACCTTTTTCCTTCTCTTGCCCACGAGCCCATTGTTCCTTTTTTACGATACTATGTCCACCCACCCCTCCCCCTTACAAGTACCCCCTGCCAACGAGGGCCAACCCGCCCCTCAACTCCTCCAGCCTGACCAGACCCAGGGTCCAGGGTCAGCAGGTCTCTGCTTGGGACTACATGTACCAAGCCCTGGGAAGCCTTGCTGACAGCGTGGCAAAACTTGGTGGCCGCTGTTTCCGGCTACCAGCCAGCCCTTGCCCAAGCTTCAGAAGCGTTGGCCCAGTCCGCAGCTGCCAACACCCAGGTCTCCGAGGCCTTAGCCCAACGAGCTGACAAGCCCAAGACCAAACCGGACCCACCCAAAACTTACGATGGGAAGCCGGAAGATGCCCAGGCCTTCCTCGATGCCTGTGTCCTCTACTTCAAGCACACTGGAGAAGCAGATGAATTACGACAAATCTCCTATGCTCTCTCCAAGATCAAAGGAGGAACCAACGGCATGGCATCTGCATGGGCAAATTCTCAACGGGCCGAGATCATCGCTGACACCCTCGCTTACAATGACTGGAAGGGCTTCGCCAAGGCCTTCCTCGCCCACTTCCAGGTCCAGAACTCCCGAGCAGAAGCGATCTTAGCCATCCAAACCATCGAGATGGGAGATCGCTCCTGTGAGGCTTACAACACCGAGTTCCGATCATATATGACTCGTTCTGGATACAACGAAGTAGCACTCATCGAGGAATACAAGCGAGGGCTGAATGGCAGGCTGTTGGACAAGTGCCACAACCAGGAGAATGGTGGTTGCAAAAGTACTTTACGCTCCCGTAAGTTACCTAACTTACCCTGCGAAAAGTACATTAAATGTACTTACGCTCCCTTAAGGTAACTTAACCTACTGGGCCCATACATAAGGTACCGTAAAGTGATGGTAAGTTGGTGGGACATAGGAAAAGTGAGGTACAAACTTACCAAAACTTGTGGTATGTGTAGAGAGATAGCTGAGAGCCCGGTGAGAGTTCGGCCCTTATACGGTGGTCATACTATATATAGAATGACAACTTACGTATTAGGCCGAAGCTGAACCACCGAGCGAGCACCTCTCCTCGTTCCTGGCTTCCACCATGACGCTCGCCTTCGGCCATCCAGACAGGAACAGCAATTTCGACCTCAAAAGGCACAGGGCGCCTGTATACGATGTGGGATGAGCTGGCGCAGTAGCAAGGGACGTTGGGGCAAGGGATGGGTCCGGGTGGTCCTTTGAAACAGTGGGATAAGGTACGAGCAAACACACATTAGGGACAGAGTAGGATCTTTGGACGAAGAGACAGATGTTTCTCGTTTGGGTGAGGATAAAAGAGGTACAAAGCGCGTTAGAAAGTAGTTTAAAGTATCTTCTTATCTAATAGTACTGTAAAGCATTTGAAGGTTTACATTACACTGATTTATTAGATTCTTCATGCACATTTCCCCTTTCAAGTTACCTTAAGTTACTTTCCACTGCTCCCTTACTCCGGAATATTTCACAAGTGTTTTTCTCCACTTACAGCCACGAACTTTCCTTATAAACGTTACAGAATGCTCGCTAAGCTCTATCGTTCTATCTAAAGTAGGAAACTTGAATTGGAAATGATTTGAAGCAGGAATATTGATTTAAAGTGAC